CAGAGATGAGACACTCTCAACGAGATCAACATAGAAACTCCATAGCTTCCAGCTCTTGTGGATCCTTTGCTGTGGAGACAGTGTCTCGTCGAAGTAGTCCACGGTTGATTTCTTAGGCGCCTGTGTTGCCTTCGCCATAATACTGACTGCTTTGTCGAAATTCTCGGCACGGAGCTCCATTTCGGCCCATTCGCACCAGGTCTCTGCCAGTTCAGCTACAGACTTGAATGGAACTTTCACAGCCTTATCGAAAATGACTCTTGCAGTATCCAAGTCCCCGCCGTTCTCATAAAGCCTGGCATAATTGACCCAAAGTTCGGAGAATTTTCCAAGTGCTTTCTTGGGGTTGATTGCAGCAATGGCATCAGTGTAGGTGTGGACAGCTTCTTCCTTGTTATCGCCCCAGAGTGCCACTCTCTTTTCCCATTCAATGACATTGTGAGGGTTCTGCCGTAAAAGGACATCATTCACCAAAAATGGTCTGCGGTCCATTAGCTGCTCGAAACGCAGCATACGGAGGTCAAGATCAAAGTCGGCATCCTCGTCGGCTTTACCCTTGTCAGAGCGGGCGGCTGCGCTTTCCATCAAGCTTCCAATGATAGACTCCTCGAACTCGACATAGGAGTCGAAAATGAGAGTGAAATCACGAACTGTCATGACAGTAGTGATTCCTTTCTCGAAGACATCCCGTGCCTTCTCGAAGTTGCCCTTGGTGATCCAGTATGTGGCCAACCCGGCCCACAGCTTGCCCCTCTGGTCTGCAAAGCGCTCGATGCCACTCCGAAGAATGGCGTCAACATCAATTCCGACCTGAGGGCCAGTCTGAATCTTCTTGGCCTTGGAGACTAGGAGATCAACCATCTCTGACCATAACTGGAATGGACCCTTGCCATGTTTGGACTTGAACCGTGGGTCGTCGAGGATATCCATAAATTTCTTCACGGCTTCCGTATATTCGCCCTGTTCAACGAGAAGCTCTATATAATCCTCGATGTTCTCCGGATGAATTTGCATATACCGAGCAAAGATCTTGATAGCGGTTTGTCCGGAAGCAGACCGAGCAAAGCCTTTGTACAGTCTCCAAATTCGGTTATGCTGTGTGACCGGCAGAGCGCGAAGGGAACGGTCGAAAGTTCGTCGAGTCTGGGTCACCATAGGCTGCTGGAGCAGGAATGAGAGGTACATTTCCCAGATGCGCGGCATCTTGTTCAGGAGGATCAGGGCCCGTTCGAAGAGTGCGTTGACTTTCTGGTATTCGGCACGATATACCGTGGGGTTGCGATTCTTCAAATGATTTGTTCGGAACTCCAGATACTGGAAAGGTCAGTAAAAGCAGAGACTTGAATTTGCAGAAAAAAGTCACTTACCATCTTCCAGAGCTTGTAGGAACGCGGTAATTGCTTGCAAGCGCGCTCCATGACCTGATAAAAGCCATGATATTAGTGATAATCCTTAGGAACTCGACTGTGATCGGTGAAGACATACAAATGCTTGCTCATAGAGCGTGCCATTTTGCTGTTTGAATTCGATGTAGGCAAGCCATGGCTTGACACTACTGGCGTCGCGAAGCAAATCTTGTTCGTAGATGATGTCTTGATCAGTCTAGCGATGAAATCAAAGTAAGCCTCGTGTTCAAATAGTCCAATGGTCAAAACTCACAATCAAATAGAGGTCCGGCCGGGACGCAGATGGGCGATCCATCTCTGCGTGCTGCCGGTGGGATCTCGGGGGCAAAAGCGTCCCTGGCATTGCGCCACTCAGTCGAGCGAAATCCAATTACACGATCAACGTGTCAACATAAAGGAAAATTGCATAAACAAGAAGCTGCTGGCGTGCGCGTTTGAAGCCAAATCTGTTGACGGATGAGGTTCCCACCTTGATTGTATCACGTGATTGATCTGTATCAGGTGGGCGGTGGAGCTTTATCGGCGTCATACCAATGTGGCCGCGTTGCTTTAGCTGAACAACAAGGACTATACTGTGATTTTTGTTCTGCTGCAGTCATGTCTGGCGCTGTGGTGGGTTTATTGTGGAACTGAACTTCTGTATTGATCTCATCTGACCTCTATTTAGGGCCGAGAGGCAGTATTTCCAACTCGCCAATCATTGGGGTTGATGAAGAACAAGCTGAAGGGAGCGGAGATTGGCCATAGTTTACTAAAGAGAAAGAGTGAAGCTCTAACGAAGTAAGATTTATCTGCCTCTCTTGATTCTTGGGCTATATGCTGACCCCCTACCTTGTCCAACAGACGTTTCCGAGGTATGATGCGACACATTCCCATTCCCCACCTTATCGAGGCGCTAATCATACTTCGACAGACATCACACGCCGCATCGATGAAGCCAAACAAAAGATGGGTCGGGTCATGCAGATTGCAGCCTTCTCCCTGGCAGAAGTGAGCTACGCGGTAGGCGGAGATATCGGCTACCAGATCCAGGAGTCCGCCAAGCAGGCTCGTTTCCGCGTGCGGGCCAAACAAGAGAATGTTTCTGGTGTTCTTCTACCTACATTTGAGAGTTACACGCAGGAGGGCGTCAATGATTTCGGTCTGACAGGTCTAGGCAAGGGAGGACAGCAGATTCAACGCTGTCGGGAAACATACGCACGGGCCGTGGAGACATTGGTGGAACTGGCTAGCTTACAGGTATGCATGGTATCTATGAAATGGATTGGGATATCGCTCACCAATTGTGCCAGACTGCCTTTTTGATTCTGGATGAGGTGATTAAGGTTGTCAACCGAAGAGGTAAGTCATTTTCTCATGGATTGTGACAGCTTACGGCTAGTAACTAACTTATATGATATAGTAAATGCGATGTAAGATTGGAACTCGTGAATTTGGCTTCTGTTCGGGATACATACTAACCTATGTTCAACAGTGAGCATGTTATCATTCCTCGAACCGAGAACACTATCAAATGTTCGTACCACATAATTCAAGTATCCCCTGTACAGGCTAACTATTCTGAAGACATCAACTCCGAACTCGATGAGCTCGACCGAGAGGAATTCTACCGCCTGAAGAAGGTTTCAGGCAAGAAGCGGAGGGACGTTGCTGCTGCAGACGCCGAGATCCTTGCAGCCCGGCAAAAGGCAGCTGAAGAGCAAGCAGCAAACCCCAAGGTACCTGATGCTACTATCTTCGTTCAAGAGGAAGAGACGGCAGATATTCTGGGCGACCAGGAAGACAACGATGTCATTTTCTAGACTGCTATTTTGTTTCATGTTGATACTCTTTTCTTGTTGGCATCTTCCTTTTTGGCCGTGATATGTACCACTCTGTACGCTCATACTCGTTTTAGCCCTATGGCTCGTTTCATCTACTTTGGGAAACATTGAACTTCATGTGATACGCAATCTTGATGCATTGCGATAGCAAGAGAGCAGTTATAAAGCTCTCCGTATTTTTAATACACATGTACTTCAGATAAGACCATCCAAACGCCAAAAAGAACGAGACCGGGATATTTTGTAGGATGCAACAAACCACCCACAACTACTGTCGCTGGTAGGTAACGCGAATCGCCTTGCCCTGGTCGCCCATGGGCATGCCCGACGTAGCCTCCTTCGCGCTGATTGCACCAGCTTCGGCCTCGTATTCGACGAAAGCAATTCCCTTGCGACCAGGCACCAGTCTGACTTCCTGGAATCCTTCGAACCGGCCAAAGACAGCAGACAGACCTTCCTGGGTTGCGTCGTCCGGCAAGTCCCGCAAGAACAGGATCTTGTTGGGTGGTAGGTACTCGTCGGGAACGACAGCGGTTGTAGCAGCAGTAGTAGGCTTGAGACCGGCACCTTTGGTGGTCTTGGCTGGGCGTGCGGGTTCGACAGCGGCAGCAGGACGCTTGAGTTTCTTCTGTGCTTCGAGGGCCTCGTGGGCTTGTTTGCGCTCTATAAAACGGCCATTATTAGCATAAATTGGGTCTTTGAATAGAGTGCGCCAGTGTCTGTTTAACGTACCTTTCTCGGCTAAGCGCCTCCGTTTGTGAGCCTCCAGCTCGTCGCTGCCTCCCTCCCGCTGGACTGTCGCGTCACTGGGCGTCTTTGCGTAATCCAGCACCATGGGCTTCTCGAAGAGGTCGAAGCCATTGATATCTTCAATAGCGCGGGTCGCAGAATCGACGTTGTCAAAGACGATGAAGGCCTGGCCCTTAGCTTTGAGGTTGGTCTTTGCGACGACCTCTAGAATGGTGCCATATTCAGAAAAGATCTCCTCCAGGGCATGCTTCAACTGGTCGATCTTGATTCGCTCGTCTAAATTCTTGACCTAATCAGTGCAGGGGAATCTGTCAGTATGGCAATGCGGGAGCGGAGTGCTGATATGATAGAGGGGGAGGGACAGGCGCACATATACTCTGTGAAGACTTGTTAGTACGGGTATCGATTATGAATATATGGTATAATACTCACGTCGCATTTGGAGGAATACCAGCTGCAGAGACGGCTGCCATGTTTGTGACTGTTGGAGCTCTAAAAACCGGCGAGGTCGAGCTTCCGGTTGACTTCAGGCGGAGGAAATGAAATTGGAGGAGTAGTAGGGCTATAATGCGTAATAGTGAGCCAACACACATCAACTAGCATCATTGGTCTAGTGGTAGAATTCGTCGTTGCCATCGACGAGGCCCGTGTTCGATTCACGGATGATGCACTTCTTTTTTTTCGTTTTTGCTTTTTTTCCACCCAATGGCTACACCCAAATTGCCCTATATGATACAAAGTAATTATCATTCTACTTCCAGTATTTAGGGTTGAAGTGTTCAAGGGGCATCTTTAATGTATGTCGATCATCCCTGCCCTGACAAAGTGGCTGCACATGGGCAAAGTGTAAGGTTTAGAAGGTAAGATAAGAACACTTGGCGGACGCCATAGGCTCCACCTTAGGTACTGAAACTTGTCCATGAGTTTCTAATCAAGGGATGTTTAAATATACAACCTAGCCTCCAGGGCTATGTATCCCCCAAGAACTTAGCACCCTGCCCACCTGGGCACTCCCCAAAAAATGCATATCCTATCTCTGCTGTCACTCGCAGTTCTCGCGAGCATCAGCGCAGCTAAAACCCCAGGCTGTGGAAAAGACATACCTTCCAAGTTCCCCAAAGCAGGATCAAGCCGAAGTCTCATCCTCCCAAACTTAAACCGACAATACAGACTATATATCCCTGCGAACTATGACAAAAACAAGCCAACGCCGCTATATTTCTCCTTCCACGGGGCGTCGCGCGACATGCTAGAGCAAGAAGGCCTATCCCAATTTTCGAACCCGGAATTCAACCCGAACGGAATTGTTGTCTACCCAGACAGCAAGAATGGATACTGGCTGTCCAACCCACGTGCAAAGACCTCACGTCCCAACGATCTAGACTTCACCTACGATCTGCTCACGCACATGGAAGACACCCTCTGCATTGACACAAGCAGAGTATACTCGGCGGGCAAGTCCAATGGCGGTGGTTTCACGAGCGTTATTGCCTGCAACGCCACGGTTGGAAGCCGGTTTGCGGCTTTTGCGTCTGTCAGCGGCGCCTATTATAATACAGACAATATCGAGGGCGTGGGGCCCTGTGCGCCCGCTAAGCGGGAAGGGGGATACCCTTTCTTGGAGTTTCATGGTACGCTGGATAAGACAGCACCTATCGATGGTGACACAAAAGGTACTAAGAAGCTGCCTGTCATTGATATTCTGCAGGGCTGGGCTGCTCGGAATGGATGTGGGGACAAGGCGACGTGGACTAGTAACGAGACTGTCTTTGAAAATCCGCTTGTGAAGCATGCTTTTTGGGACTGTAATGGGAAGAAAGGTATTGTTCAACATTATCGCGAGAGTGAAAATGGTCATTGCTGGCCAAGTACTGTTAGCAATGATGACTTTGTTCGATTGCACCAACAGTGCCCGTTGAGCAAGTATGTTTTCAATGCGACTGAATACATATTTGACTTCTTTGGACAGGATCACTCGAGCAAGTCCGACAAACCAATTACTGGCAAACCAGATCCCGACACACCAAATACCAGTGATGGTCATGACGAAAACCAAAGCCCAAAGCTTTTACATCCCATGCCTATCCACGCTTTGTATCTTATATTATCAGCGGTTCTTGTCAATTCTATGCATATTTAAGTCCTGTGGCTTTTCCACAGAGCCGCTGTCTAGCCATCCAGAGAAAAGGCGATCTTCAAATTATCCACCTGGGGCTTCAGCTGTTTAGGCGAAGCAGACCAATCTTCGTACTTGACAATCTCAGAGTCTGTCACAACAAACAGGTATTCTGCAGCGCTTGATCGGACCTAAAGAGGCAACTGTCAGTACCGAAAACCATGCATTCAAGGTCTTAACATACCCTTGGGAAAGGATGCAAAAGTAGTCCAGTCATCTTCTTCAAAACGCCATTTCGTAAGGAGTCAATCCTTGATAATGCAGCATAGACTTTGACTGCAGCTTCCAATCGAGCTATATTTGCGGATTTGAAATGTGCTTTCTGGACTAGCGTGAACAATTTTCGGAAACTAGAGAGAAGATGTCAGGGAATGATGTAGGTATATAAGCGGCGGAAGACGAGTTCACAAACCTTGGATCTGAGGCTTCCGGGATAACAGGAATGTAACTGTCAATTAAAAATGCAACAAACTCGACGGCAGGAATGGCAAAGCGGTCATCTTGGAGGTTGTCGCTCAGTACTGTGGAAAGATCCCCCAGGAAGATCATCAATATCTCCTGGCGTCGAGGTTGGGCTTGGGAATTGAGGAACTGAGTCAGAGCTGAGCGAGAAGCTCGGACGAGGCCTTCTGCTCCTGAGATAGCAGACGTAGCAAATCCTTGTAACAAAGGAAGACGAAGCCAGTCAATATCCTGCAGAGTAAGTAGCTGAGCGAAGTACTCTTGTGACGAAACATGACTGAAGTGCTCGAATTTTCTGTTTCTGTTAGCATCCGTTACAAAAGTTTGCTTTGTTGGCAATTTGTTACCTTTCAAGTGGAGGTAAATCCCCTGCTGATTCCCAGAAGTCCTGCAGAGATAGCCATGCTTGTAGTCTGACTTTATCAAGCTTTTCGCATGCAAGGCGGCAAAGACACCCGACCAAATTTTGAATAAGTGGTGACGGTGACGTCGAGTCTAATTGCCTTTGAAGCAAGATTCCAACTGCTTGGATTGCCTCGACTCGAATAAGAGATCCAATATCACCTCGTCTGTCGGTGGTGTAATCATTCAGGAAATCGACAAAGTTGCTTGCAATTGTATCAGTAGCAGCTAAGTTTTTGTTAGTCTGTTTTCGTGCCAGCTTGTAAACAAGATATATTGAACATACCCATATATGGTAAGATACTGGTGGCCAAGCACTTCACTGCAGCAACACGCTTCTCGATAAGTTCTTCTTTCCCGGTGTAACGAAGAATCTCGGTGACAATATCTTCTTGGATATCACTTTGTGCTCCGAGTTGCTTAAACACCGTACCGAGTGCTAGAATTTGACCACGACCTGTCGGCAATCTCCATGAAGTACGGAGATGGGAGAACCAGGTACGCACAGTTTCTTTCTGTTTTGATGGCCATAGGAGAGGAAACAGCTGCGCCAAGGCGGTTGAAGATGTTTCAATCGAGACATCGTCACTCCGAGAAACACAGAGGGACAGAATGTGGAGTGCTCGGTTTAGAAGTGGTTCTGAAGGTTGAGCGAGACCTGTTGTTATGGTAGACTGAGAGAGCGAGGAGATCAAGCAAGATGATGCCTCTGCTGTCAGCTCAGGACGTGAGGTTTGGAAGGTCAAGTCATCATCGGTAGGGCTTGACGCAGAACCGAAGACATCCCAGATATTGGCCACTTGAGAGAAAACAGCCCTGGCTTCCGGGGTATCTCTCTTCTCCGCTGATGCTTCCCATTGTGAAGTAAAAGCATCGACTGTGGCAGCAATGGATAACAGACAGCCATGTCGGGATTCCACATCATTCCGAGAGATGCTAGAGAACATTTGCAGCAATTTATTCAGGACCAGATTCATGGTCTTGAATAGCTCCTGCGTGCTTAAAGTTCCAATAGACTTAGCCGTATGTCTTCTAGACTCGGCATCCGGAGAACCAATACCTCTCCAACCCATCAAAGCCTCCAGAAGTGGACTCCAGTAAATTAGATCCAGAGAGGCCGTTGCATTAGCAACATCAATTAGTGCACGAGAACGTCGCGCAACAGCATGGTAATCCACAACCTGCACAAGGGGGATTCCCTGCGCGATGGTATTGGGGTGACGGCCAATCAACTCTTGTAGCGCAGCAGACGACCCGCGTCGGATGTTCCCAGATGGGTCGATACAGGCAGCACAAATGAGTTCCACAGCCAGCTTTTGCAGAACGTCGACCTCTTTCTGGCCAGATTGCGACGCCACTACCTGGGGTTGCAATGCCAGGAGTTCTCGTGTCGTATACTTTCGAGACATGGCCCAAATACCGAAACACGCCGCATCTCGTACACCAGTTCCCACAGAGCTACCAGTAGAAGACCTTTGCTCAAAGCCCAAACCAGAGACAAGTGATTGAAGAATCTCAGGGAGTTGGTGAATAGGAGGTGCACGGCGGAAAAGTAAATGTGACAGCGTTAAGATAAGTCCTTGCCATCGCTGGGCATCAACGGCACTGAGATTACGTTTAAGGGTGTGTGTGCCAATCTTCCGCGCTTCAAATGGCGTCATAAGGGAACCATCGTCTTTTTCAAAGAGAATATTCTCACTCAGCGAGCCAATGACCGCTTCGATGACCTCGGTCGCCATTTCTGGGTCTAATTTCAATGTGATAATGCTGAGTGCTTTACTCGCGGCAAATCGCACAGGTGTATCTTTGTCGGCCAAGGAGACCAAGAAATGATCAATTGCATCTTCCAACATAGTCGATAACTGATCATCCGTGATGCGGCCGTCATTTCGCTCATTCAAAGATAAGGCCATGGTTGTGATGTTGCGAAGGATCTTGACAACAATCTTTCTGGCCAATGCTGAAGACTGGATTGTCGCAGATACTGAAGAATGCCCTTGAATTACGTTGAGAGTCCGTTGAAAGACATAAGGAGCAAAGTCCTCTACTTGACCCGATGCGCCCAAGCGAGCAATGAATGTAAGGACCCCGAGGCAAGCATAGACAGAGGGCGATTCGCCGTCCTCTGTCGGCTGAATTGTAGCAAATGCCCACTTTGTCAGACCCGTAAGCACGCCGAGGGCTTGCATATCTCCACGCAAAGCCAACCGTGCCAAAAGCGCTGTCGCTGCCTCGCGTTCTTTGCCCGATGCACCAATATAGTGCAACGACAAGGAAAGAAGCGACCTAGCAATCATAGGAGTTTCAGAAGGTAGCCATGTCAACTGTTGCAGATTGTCGTAGGGCACCGGGATGTTATCATCAGACAAAGAAGTCAAGTCAAAAGGAGCAAGCAGAAGATGCGAAAGCCAGACCAGCATCACATAGCGTTCTTCCCAAATGAGTCGCTTAGTTTCAGATTCCATCAGTTCTTCGGAATTAGATGGCCGGACCGCATCCCATTCGATGAAAGCCCTAAGCATCGAGTCAAGATATTTCGGCTCATTGTTTAAGAACCTGCTAATCACTTTGACGCCACGGACTTTACAGAAAGTGTAAAGCAACCTGCAGATGGCTCTTGGTAGAGGATATTGATTTCCTGTCTGCGATGACTTCGCCGAAACAGCGCCATACTGTGTCCGATGCTTGATCAGATATGCTAGAAAAGCATCCACTAAAGGAGGCAGCAATGTCTGCAGATGTGGATCTAAGAGTTGAGGCCACTCTTGAAAGGGTTCAAGCTGTAGATATCATCAGTAAATAAGAACAGAATGATACCCAAGAGGGGACTATGCGGTGCGGCCTTACAAGGCTGACAAGCTTCTCTGTTTTGGTAGCTTGTGCCCATTTACGTGGGGTGCGGAGAGGAGTTCCAGCTTGGGCTCTCCACAATAGCGAGGGCAGCTTTGCCGAAAACTCGGACACCAAATCCCCAGAGGCCCGTTGAAGTTTCACTTCTTTATCCTCGGCGGCATCCATGGTGGAATTCTGGGTGACGCAGTGTATATTGAAGATTGCAGTGTTAGGAATAGCGTCAACAGCGGGACCGGTCATGTGACGCCTAAGTATATAAAAGAAAAGTTTACTGTTTCGTTTAACACAAAAGTGCTTTCTATATATCTACGAGCAGGTAAGAGAGGAAAATATATTTTGTATTCGTCGTGTATGACATAATATATGTATTTTGTAGCTTTTGAAGCTATTCCACCCGCCAATGGCTTTAACCTTGAGAATATCTTCATGATCACATCCGCTCTAGCGCTTCTCGGGATGCCTTCGCCCAGTCCACCATCTTCCAGAAATAAAAGCCCTCGATCGACACAATGATCGATTGGCCGATAAGAATTCCACACCATAACCCGAAAATGCTCCAGTGCAAGCCAAATGCGAAAGCAATGCCCAAGGGCAATCCAACAAGGTAGTAGATCGAGAGCTGAACATAGCTACCCAGATCCGGTCTTCCCACAGCCCTCAGTAAGCTATTGAGGGAAGTAGCCACAGAGTCGGGAATTTGAAGGACGGCACCCAATGGAAGCAAGAAGAAGATCAGGTGCCAGACCTCGCCAATATCACTAAACAAGCCAGGAATAACTCCCCGGAGAGCAAGAATCACAAGCATATTGGTTACACCAGCACCAAAGGAGGCAATAACCAAAACCCTGGCTGCTGTTGCTGCACGCTGGAGGGAGCCTACTCCGATCAAATAGGCAATGTGTGTGCCACCAGCAACAGCGATGGAAAACGAAACTTGGAATGCAAAGTCCGAAAGCGTCGATATAGCAGCCTGGGCTGCGAGCTCGGTCGCACCTAAACGGGACGAGATGAGTGTCATAAGTTCCCATGCGAGGACCTCAGCTTCGATCATCAGCCAACTCGGGATGGCAAGCTGCAACATTGAGCCCCAGCCGCGCCACATCTCGACAGAAATGGGGTGCCAGCATTCAGAGCCCTTGATGAATATGACATAAAGTGCCAGGAAGATCGGAAGAAGACTGTTTGCGATCGCAACGGCGATAGGTGCACCGATGAAGCCCCATTGCAGTCTCTGGAAAAGAAGGAGTATCAGTGAATGGCTCGGGGGAAGCTCTAAGGTTGTACAACATACCCAAACAAACAACCAGCCCATGAAAATATTCAATGTAGAACACATCAACAGAACCACCAGACTCGCACTGAATAAACCCTGTGCCTGGAAAAATCGCTTTCCGGATTCAAAGCAAGCATAACCAGGAGCGCCCGCGATGGCAATTTTCAGATACAGCCCTGCAAGAAGAGCTGTCTCGTGGGATTCGGACGGTAGAATGAGGAGAAATATTCGATCCGCATTCCACCATATAGTTCCAATTGGGATCGTGAGGACGAGCATGAAAAGTGTCAGTCGTTGAACGTGAAGCCCGACCAAGGTCAAATTCCCTGAGCCATATGCTTGAGGACATAAAGTATCCAAACATGTCGCCAAACCTTGGAAAACAAAATATCCAGTGATTTGGGCAGTCATATTGGCCAAGCTCACGGCGCCGATCTCTCGTTTCCCAAGGTGGCCCACCATGAAGATGCTAGAACCGGTTAATGCATGCTGAAGTAGGAGCGATATCATGAGGGGGGCGGAGTATCGCGAGATAATTGCTAATTCTTGTCGCCATCCTGACTTCTTAGAACTGTTTGCTGCTTCTTGGTCAACGTCGCGTAGCAAAGGTGATGATTCTGTGTCCCCATGGATTTCGGAGATCATCGTGAAAGATTTTTTTAGGGCGCTGAGAGCTCTCCGGATTCTCAACAACACACTCTGTTAGTCTTCAAGTTGATTTCATCGAAACAAAATGGCAGAAATGGTTCAAAGATCAATGAAAAACAGAAGGGGCAAATGAGTATTCAACAAAAGTGGAGATTTGATCAGCACATCCATCCTTGCATTGGTCACGACAATTCCATTGGCAATTTGTTGCTCCAGGCTGATCTTGGCTCCACTGGTATACATGAGCATTCGGACTTGGCGTGAACCTATCATATACATTTCTACGTACATTTGTACAGGGGGAAGTTACAACATATCATTCAATACATTACTTGTGCATGGCTTAAAGTACGCCAAATTGCCATCAAATAAAGGTTTTAAAATTCCTCAAAGATGCATATCAACATTGGAATGGTTATGGGAGTATCATGTCTGAGCTCAGTCTCTCGATTGCGGGTGACTCCTGGAGGAGACCCCTGGGGGAAGACCAGGGGATATTGTTTCCCCCCGTGGTTTATTGGTTATGTATATTTCCAGAGTTCTTTATGACATGCATCAAAATAATTGCAGCCACAAAATCTCGAAGATCTCGGGGTAGCAAGGTAGAAATTAGAGATCAGCATCCGATGAACTCATGGCAGGGTCATCAAAGACCGAGGCCACAAACTTGTTACCGTAGGCCTTCCCGAGCTTGTTCACGGTCCTTCTGATGTGCATAACGATGATTGCGACAGCTAGAGTGTTCCATACATCACTATCAAAATCTGCAAGATCGAAATGACCAAGGAACTTGATTCCTCGCGTTAGGGTTTGTGGATTGGGATTGGTGTCTAGAGAGATGGCAGAAAGAACAGGTCCACAGAGGACGAGCCCGATTAATGCAGGCCAGACTTTTTCGCCATCATGAGGTGCAGTGAGCTGGCTCTGCCAGGTATCCGATAGCTTCTGTAATGCTGTGGCGACTTTGCTAAAGGCTTCTTTTGACATTTCATCCTGGTTTTTGCAATAAATGACGTGCACAGGAGGTGTGTCCGGCTGGACTCTGACACCGGCATCGCTCAATGCCCAGCGCAGGTATTTCTCTACTGACTTTTTGATATAAATCTCAGGAGATATCTCAAGAATATTGCAGTAGTCCCTCACATTGCCGCATATCTTCAAAGTCTCTTGGAAGGCACGAATCGCGTAAAATTCTGAACATTTATCATTTCCAAGGACAAAATTGGATTCCTTAAGTTCTGTTTCATCATCTTTCCCAGAAAAGAACAGCGACTCTGGAAGGGTGGAGAAATCCTTCTCCCAGTGTCTATGGATGGCTGGCATGCAGCCACGAGTAAGAAGTTGATGGGCAGTCCGTTGTTCGTCTGGTGACAGGTCATGGCCTTGAGGGAGCTCCATTGCTTCAAGTAGGCGCTTTGCCCTTTCTCGGGTAAGATTAGTATTGAGCAGCTCGTCGTCGCGCTCTCCTCTTGGAATGAAGTACTCTTCCTCGCTCTCGTAGTCGAGGTCACTCGGCTCAGACATTGACCTATCCGAATCCGACCACTTCCTCTTCCTAGCCTTTCTAGCTTTGCCTTTGGTCTTAAGCGAGCGGCCATTCTTGACCGAGGAATGCAAAGAGGCTTTCTTCACTCGCCGTACACATGGCGAAGAAGGGAAATCGCTAACATCGCTGTCACTTGTACTAGAAATCTTGTATTCAGGCGAGGTGGGTGGGTCCGAATCCCAATTGTCGTCCTCACTGACGTTGGTATCCTCGAGGTACTCGTCTAGCTCGACTTTAACTCGCTTAGCCGGGTATTGAGGCTCTGTATCATCGGTGAGGAAGGCTCGTTTTTGGGCTGAGGTTGCCTGGGATGGAAGTCAGTGAGATGTAAATGAGTAGGGACTGTGGAGGTATGTAGAGAGAGAGAGGGATAACTAAAGTCAATGTGATATAGTAAGCTATGATAAAGGCAAAACTCACCATTTGGCCCTGTTCGGTAAACTGAGCAATCGTATCAGGCGTGGTGTTGAGTGATGGGGAGCTTGCCGGCTCCTTGGAATGGTCGAGCTTTGAAGCTGCAGCCGCCGGTTGTGACAGGACCGGGGTAGCAGGAGCGGAGGGATAAGGACGTGGATTGATGATGGTGTGTGGTTCGTAGCGAGGGGTGTGATGAGTTGCACGAAATCCTTGATGCACCTGGTCGTGAGGAATCTCGTCCTTACACAGGAAACGTCGAATCTCAGGATCTTTATCCCACGTCTCGTTGAACCAGGCTGGAGGGGATCCCGATTCTGAGCTTTCAGAAAATTTGATATGAAAATTTATATTATCAACTTCTGGTCGCACCCTGTTGATAGGGGACCCATCAACAGGGCGAGCCACGTTCTTGAGCCATATCTTGATGGGATGGAGACTCGATGGCGGTTGGCCCACATTTGGAGTGGACTGAGGGGTGTGTTCTTTGTTTCCCGGGGGCGAGGATTCTTTGTTTCCCGAGGGCAGGTTCTCTTTGTTGCCCAAAGGTACGGCCTCGGCGGATTTACTCAAGGCTCGAAGGCCCCGACGAAACATGCCTTTAACTTTTGGCAGCATCTCTGGAAATAAACAGTAGCTTGATCTATTTCTAGAACAAAGGAAAGATGCCGGAGCAACGAATCAAAAGATATTGTAAGTTGGAAGAGAAGAGAAGAATAGAAGAATAGAGGAGACAAAGGTAAACAAAAAGACGTCTACGTGATTTCGTAAGAGAGGAAGGTACACGATGTTTGGCTTCCTATTTGGGAAGGAACGAGGTACCTATATAGGCCAGTACCAGGACAGCCTTCGACTTGAGAGAGGCGACAGACCGGAATTTGATATCCCATATGCATGTAAAAGCAAGATTCAACTATAAAACAGACAGGTAGGATAGATTAGGTCGTATTTGTATCTCCTCCTCTCCCTACCACGAACCGCTAGAACATAATACCGGACATAACGCGCAACAGTCCCTGAAGGGACCTACGCTATCTTCATAGATCTTCAAACCTCGTCATTTCTCATCAAACTCTCTTGAAAACACTTCACGCAATTCCCATAGAGGAACTCGCCCCCCCCTCCTTTTTTTGGACATCAAATGCCCAACATAAAATAGAGTCATAAACCCGACCAGTCGGAAGAAAAACTTGTATCGAAAAAACAGGACTCGAAAGGGAAAAAATAGAGCAAGCAATTTAGATAAACACACAAAGAGATCGAGAAAGCAAAAAGCAACCTGGAGGTTTCATTAACCATGGTATCCGGCGGCCGAAGAATGTCAGTTAGGTCCGGTCCACACCGGCACTTAAAACGAAACTGCGATTGGGTATGTTGAAGCAATTTGAAGAGAGCAAGAAGTGCTGGAAAGGGCGGGAGACCCGCGGCGCCCTGGAGAAATCGGAAATGTCGGCACTAAACCCTCCTATGAGACCGAATTGACACCCTCGTCAACAACTCGTGACAGGAGTCCAAGCAAGCAATAATTATCCCGATCATTGACATCGGTGGAATCAAGCAAAGTCAGCAGTATAGGAGAATCCACGGAATTCTTCCTGCATGGCTTGCGAAAGCACTAAATAAGAAGGATTGGTTAGTTACAGTTTATCTACCAGCAAGCACACAGAAAAAGCCAAAAAAAAAGGATCTTACCAGATTGTACAGGAGTCAGGACTGGAGTGACACTAGTGAACTCCTGGTCGAAGTTGCTGGTATCGGTAGGGCTGCTGATCGTGGGGATGAATGGCGGGGGAACCCGTTTGTGGTAGATGTCATCCCAGTTGATGTTGCGGAAGAAGGCGTGAGACATCACTTCTTGGGCATCAGTGGGACCGGAGCCCAGACGCAACTCGGGCTCACGAGTTAACAGCTTCTGGAGAATCGACACGGAGTCTCGAGGCATATGAATAGGGTAGAGAGGCTCGTCAGCAAGAATGGCATCGTAAATTTCATCCTCGTCTTCACCACGGAATGGAGACTGTTGCAAAAGCATTTGGTAGATGAGAACACCGAACGCCCACCAATCCACAGCCCGTCCATACTTCTTGTCCAGCAAAATCTATAACAAAAGTCAGCTCATTAGTACTTCAAAAAGACACAACAAAACTTGATTCCACTTACTTCTGGGCCCATGAATTCAGGAGTACCGCAGAATGTGCTAGTTGTACCACCGTACCACATGTTCTCTTTGCAAAGACCATAATCAGCAATTTTGATATGACCATCCAGGGTCAGCAAAATATTATCAAGCTTCAAATCACGGTAGATGACACCGTTCTCGTGGAAGTACTTGAGTGCCAAGCAGACCTCGGCAGCATAGAATCTAAAAACATGTGAGCAATTCCAACGCACAAAATAGGACAAAAATTAAGCACAGGACTTACTGTGCCCTCTTCAGGCCGAATTGGCCACGCTGAATGTGCAGCATGAGATCACCACCACTGATATACTCCATAACGAAATAGACGCGAGTTTCAGTTTGGAAACAAGCGTGCAAGTTGAGAAGGAAGGGGTGACGTTCCTTGTTTGCGATCAGGAAAACACGCTTCTCGGACTTGGTGCTCTCCACTTCATCGTTCTCGATGATGAATTCCTTCTTCAAGACCTTGATGGCATACAACTTGCGGGAGCTCTTTGTTTCAGCCAACATGACCTTGCCGAAATTACCTTTTCCGAGAACAGCAAGGAAATTGAAGTGATCCAATCCAATGCGAGCTTTTGAATGCGCCCCAGGGTCTTCCTTGATAGGGGGTGCAACTTGCTGTTGTGGAGGCATTTGCTGCTGCATGGGCTGCGGAGGGGGTGCCATTGGATAAGCCGCAGGTTGCACCTTCTGCATAGCCTGGGGTGGGGGCTGCTGGGGGAAATTGGCATAAGCGGATGGGTCATAATGGGCATGTTGAGGCTGTTGTGCCTGTGGTGGCGGCATAGGACGGCCCATTTCGGCTAATATTTGATTAGTACCAAGATTCTCTCTTCAGGGAATGATCGGAAATTGCATACTAGGGGCTTGCTGGGGGCTACGTAGCCCAGTAGCTGCAGCCGCGGCGGCCGCGGCGGCGGAAGGCCCAGTAGGCGATTTCGGTGGCATCTGTTGGCGGTGCGCAGCCTGTGCAGCAGCTGTTGGTGACTGTGGAGTCATAAAGGAGTTAGTAGCAGCGCTTACCGCTTCTGCGGAGGGTTGTCTAGGAATAGCCCCGTAGGGTCCTTCCATCGGCTTCTGGGGGTAGGAAAGGGCAACGTTGTCTTGAGCGGGCTGCGGACCGCCTGCTCGAAGGGTACGGTTGCTGAGGCCAGAACTAACAGAGGCAGACTTGTTGTGATGCTTGGTGCGAATCAACGTCTCTAGAATTTGGTTGGCGGCTTCCATCGTCATTCCGCAGAAATCGGGCACAAGGTGAGTGCATTGAGCGTGACAAGTAAGACTGCATTCTACAAAGGGAGTCAGTATGTACTAGAAAGAAGCTGCGATGTCAGTAATATGCTTACCAGAGCAGCGCTTGGCATTTTTACGTCCGAACGGAAGCAGATAGCCACAGTGGCAGCACCAGTTCGCGGAGATGTTAGAAAAGCCTTCGAATCGGTGGGGAATGCGGTGGTTGATTTTCTCCTCGTCCGGATCGGTCTCGTAGTTGGCTTTGCTGATACACTTGGTGACAACCTTGGGATAACACTTGCGGTGGCAGGTGTACTTGCAATCCGCACATTGCATACCGGCAGCATACTTAAGGAATTCTCCACACAGTGCACAGCGCATAATGTTGTAAAACTGCTGGGTGACGAATTTGTGACCCTGCTTCTCGTGAACCTCCTCCTTCTTTTGGCGCACGGCACCTTGACGGTTAAGACCAATGTCAAAGGGACGGCGGTCCTTCAATTGTTTGGCTATATCCAGTTAGATTACGAGGTTAATCCTTTGGGGTGAATGCAAATTAGTCTTACCGAAGCTCATTTGAAGCTGAACCCGGCCAACCGGTTCCAGAGCAAACCATGAATCAATCATCACAGTCGGGGGAGCACCTGAGCTTTCGCCACCGTGTCCATGTCCACCATGCCCCGAAGCGCCCGGGTGTCCTCCGGGGCTAGGGCCATGTGAGGAGCCCATAGGAGAACCACTGTGGTCATGTCGAGGGGATCCGCCCTCGCCCATCTTATCTGCGGATACCCAGCCAGATTGATTGAGCTCCGTTTCAATTTTCTTACGACGCATCTCCTCTGCGATATCAGAAATTCGCACCCAAAGCATACCAATTGGTACTGGGCGATCTCCCGACTTGTCATAAACAGTCAATTCGATCTCGTTTGCCTTGTCGATATCCATGGAGAAGCTTTCATCGATCCATTTATCGTTTCGAGTGGCCTTTGTTCTCGCTTTGATCGCATCTTCAACCTTGACGACAATATACGTCTCTGGTCCTCGAGAAAATCGCGAACCGGTCGCGTGGTCCACATCCTTGACCGCATGGATGCGCATTGTCAGCAGACCCGTCAGCGGTTTGCGCATATTCGGGGTACTAAGACTCTCATCTGCATACCAGTTAGTAACCATGTAGAATTATGCTCGCGGCAAAATTGCTATGTTTTTCATACCGTCTGGCGCATCGGCGGATTCAATATCAACATGAAGATCCTCATATCGCTTCAGAGCCTGCTTTAGAAGCTGAATCTTTTGGTTGCTCTCAATGCGACGGCCCTCAGCATCAGCTCGGCTCTTTCGGTCGCCCTCATCCTGATACAAGCGGACCATCTTTTCGATACCGGCTTTATATTGCATTTCCACGCTTAGCTTGAACTCCAATTGAGACAGCATGAGTTGGATCTTCGGCCCGAGATACGGAGTGTCATACTTTATCAGATCTGAGACATGGTCATTAATATCAGCATTCCAAGCGATTTAAGCTCAGCGCAGCATTTTTTTGAGGGGTTTGACAGCAGCAGTATACAAGAACGTACCTAACTTTGTATAATTGGGCCTCGCCTTCGGGATCGGAGCATAAGGTCGGGGATCGGCGTATGGAGCACCGGAGGGCATCGAGCCAGAGCCACCCTGAGTGTAGTGACTCTCGCCTTGCTCACCAGTGTATCCGGTGTGGTCTTTGGGCGGGGGAGCCGGGCCTCCACGCTGGCCGGGTGAGCCACCTTCCTTGTTCATCTGACGGATTTGCAATTCTCTCATTTTCTCTTCCAGGTAAGCGATATTCTTGCGGCCATCGCGGATGTTGGCATCGACTCTCTGTTGCACGAGGGGATTGTCGGTCGACTGCCGCATGTTACTAGCAGCGGTGATGAGGGCCTTCTCCCGCTCGATCTTGCGGAAGACCGAGGCGATCAGCTCGTCCCCATCCATGATGACAGGTTTGACGAGGGCAAAGAGCACAAGGCTGGCTCAAAATTCAAGGGTGCGCTTGCGCCAGGTCAAGGTGGGTTGTTAGTGGGAGAGGATTCGCGGGGCTGTTGTTGACAAGGGGCGCAACGGGCGCGGGTAATGCCACTTCGGAAAATGTGAGACAGATTGCCCGCGATGATCGCCCGGTCGATTTGCAACCGAAATTGAATTGATAAAGTCCAGGGGAAAAAAGAAGAAAGGGTTCAAGTAGAGATAAAAGAAAGAGGTCCTATTTTACCAGATGGATTAGATCCGAGGAAGAAGTCCAGACGAGTCCAGGCGGGTTACTGGGCAGGCTGGGTAATACCACGCACCTCCGATAAGGAAGTGGCGAAAATCCACGGCTTAACAGCCGCAATATTGACAGTACTAACATGTGAATATTAAATATTGAATATTTTTAGAGTATATATCTATGTGTTATATATCTCTATCTATATCTAATGATGCCTCCTTACCCATAGATATATTAATTTGGGCGCACTCCTACAGATGTACACTACATCGTATAGCACACCACCTCACACGGAGTACTCCCGAACCCTTTGAGATTGAGAATAGCCGGAATGGTCTCAACATACTTGGCACTCTCATTGTACAATATTCCAATGTTGTCACTGCTTTGTCATGAATTTCTCATCTGGCACACAGGTCATACCACATTTCTCTCGCATACATTGAGGGATAATAGGAATCCTAGTTGCTTTAAGGCATTCTCTGTATCTGATGACTTGATCTCTGTGCCTTTTCGCTGGCTGTAATGTCACTAGTCTCACAAATAGTTGGAGAACAAATGCATTGCAAGGTTCTAAACGTTGAAAACACAGAGCATTGATACTACATTTACCACTATCATGCAGTCTCAGCCCGATTTAAAGAGCACGCGATCATATGTTTGTTGGCCTAACGATACTAGAAACTTCTTCGCTTGTGATAATATATATGAAGTTAGCGAAATTCAAGGTCATCGCTCCGATCAAGGCAATATTATCAGCAGTGAGATTTGTCTAGCTTCCACCCTAACCATTATTTGGGTGATGTCTTATCCTTCGTTCGCTGATAACTTCCACATAAAAACACCCATGGATTCTATCTAACCAATCGTAGGAATAATAGTATGCGTGGCGTAGTTCACGTTCCTCGTAATCTTGGGCCTGTGTCACTGTTAGTTGATGCTACGTAGTAGTTGGAGAATCCCCGTGCAAGATGAATATCCTTAAATATATGGCTAAATTTGCGCAGATATTGCAATGAGAAGTTGAAAAGTTCTGTTGTCTACATATTAGGACATAATCTATAAGAGCTAGATCTGATCGTAATTTGTCATTAAGAAATATATATATGTAGGTGAGGCCAGATAGCCCGTTGAATATTGGTGAGTATGTATTCATTGCCAAGATATATCGACGAACGCTACATATGCATATATTTATATATATTCAGTTGGGTTATTTCTCTAGTCTCTCTCAATCTCAACAATCTCAATATAGTGGGATAAGAAACACATTGAATCTTGCTTGGGGTGAAATCTGGCCATCCATCACACTGCACATCTATCACTGCGGGGGCGTGTGCTCTCAAAGCGGTTGTCCCACCTTGGACGGATCAAATGGCACAATGCCTCTGTCGGCAAATGCGTTTGTGATAACCTGGGGTTGAAATGATTTTTCATGAATAGAAGGGAAACCGTCGAAGAAGGCTGTTTTCTCGTCATCGACGTCGTCAATCAGGGAGAGAAGCAAGCCTGGACATCCCCAGTACTTCTTGTAATCTTGGAAAGGTTTGCCGTCAAAAGGCTGCATGAGATGTCCTATATTGGGCGGAAAGCTGAAGGATATGATCTTGTGTTGCTCGCAAAATTGGAGGAACTTGAAACTCAAATATTGAGGTTGTCCCCTAAAGAGTAGGAGCCGGGGCTGACCGTCTGCAGCGCGATCTTTAGTCTGGTGATGGAAAAACTCGATCCACTTGCATGCAGCCTGCTCGTTGACCCGGCCGCTCAGCGTATTCATGAATAGAGCTCCACCGTGAGGTCCTTTGTAGGACAACCACTCCTCGTAATAGGAGTAGCCTTGAAAAATGGTAAATGGATCGGCTGCCCAGCCATCGGCGGCAATACATTCAATCGTGGTTATCCATTCACAATAGGTTCTAGTCTGGTAAGGGGCGTGGACCCTACTGGCACTAGTAACGACCTTGTAAAGTTTCTTTCCTTGGCCAATTTGGAAGATGGTGTCGTCGAAATTGTAGATATTCTCTGGGGAAGCTCCAGCAATCACAGCCTCCAGACGTCCATAAAAATTCTCCAAAATCTCCTGATCTGATGCATCGAGACATTTTTTCTTGACTGATCGTACTTTAGGCGGCTTTAGGTCATCTGGTAGCCGTTTGATGAAGCGATCAACCCATGACTTGTTGATAGTGACGTCGTTCCCATCACGGTTAAGAATTTGGTTTGCACTTATCGTGATGAGCGGTCCCATAGGAAGGGAGAATAGGTCCTTCACCTGACGAATCCACTGAATCAAGACTTTCTCTTGTGCTTCATCAAGTGTTTTAGGAGCTACACGAGTTGGATTAGCCGGAGGGCTGTTCGATTGGTGTTGCGCTTCAATTTCTCGCTCCAACGCGGCGATATTTGGTTCATTTAACGACCGGGCAGGGGCGGAGGTCTTGGAGACGCGTCCATTGGTTGAATTGGGACCCCTAGGCATGGCGATTGTACAATACAAAGACGCGGGCCCTCAACATGATAAACAACGCGATACCCGATGGGCGGTCCACGTGCCTAAAATCATTACATACACAGTTATTGGTGCTGTTTGATAGGAACCAAGGAACAGTGAGCGCTGTTATTGCCGGAGTTTACGAGATACATAGTCTCAAAACGAGTTCTTGGTCAATCTAAAGTCATTCAATTCACAGTTTGAGGGCGTCTGACCTCTAGTCCATCTTGGAGGACCCACGACTTGGTAGGCCGAAGAGCGATGGAGTAAATGCGGGCAGCGGAAACCCGCCCCGCCGATAAGATCAAATTATTTTCTGGAGAATTTCCACCATCCAATTTTGTCCTGCACTTGATCCGTCTCTGCATTCATAATACCCATCATTTTAAATACCGCATATATTCAACAATGGGACCTCCTCGCCGAAAGATGCTGGCTACAGCAGAGGGAACTTTGACCCCTCCAGACGAGCTATCCGACACTCAGCAGATCGTGCGAGCAATCAAAGCGACCGGAAACAACATTTACTTGATCGAACAGACAGACAAGAAGCAAATGCTAGTCGAATTGCCTGCACGGTTCCGCTCAGCCATCTGGATCAAGCGCAGCTCGTACGTTGTTGTCGACACCAAGGGCCAGGAAGAGCGGGACAATAAAATTCGAGGGGAAATTGTCAATATCGTCAGGGACGAGAAGGCGTGGAGAAAGGCTCCCTTTTGGTACGTCTTGTTGATTAATATCAGCCACAAAACCGTTTGCTAATTGGCATTGCTTTCCCACAGGCCGAAGGAATTTGTGAAACAGCAAGTTGTAATGGCAGCCGACTCTGATGATGATGAGGAAGAGTCGCGTGTGGGGCAAATGCCTTCTTCAGACGAGTCAGATTGAGTGATCGCCTTTGAAAGGCACCAAGCGTTTGTTCAATGGCAGCCGCTACGGTACACAGGGATTATGGGCTATCAACAATGATTCTCGAAATATGCACGCCTCAGTATGAATTGGAGCTGCGGGTATATCTCATTTTTGGACAATCGCCTTGCCACTGCTCCCCTTGTGACTCTTCTCATCTACCTCGCTCGAGCCATTGAACAACACGCCAAAGACCTGGACCGCGAGCGACAACACCACAACCGCCGAGCTTGCGTTTGTGCTGGGGAAAACGTTCCAAGCCCACTCTTGCAGCGCCCATAGGGCGTATATAAGAACTGGGTGGATACCTGCGCGCCAGAGAAGAAAGGGAGTAGCCCACGCGAGATATGCAAAAAACTGGTAATGCAAGGACCTGGCGCATAGCAAGCCGATGGCAAGTGAGCTCAGCATCACGGTCATAGTGAAGGAATTTGAGAGGGGAACTGTCTTTTGGCGTCCTTGGAGAGTATCCTGGAGGAAGCGAACCATGTTCGACCCTGAGGGTTTTACCCAGTTTCTGAAGAATATAGCCAACAAGGATATATGCAGCACTAGCAGACCTACAGAGAACTCCTTTGAGAGAAACGTCTCTTCCCCTACAAACCGCCAGTTCACTGTCCATTTGAACATGAATTGGCGGGATAGCTCAAATGCCCGAGAGAGGTAGCCTGTAGTATTAGTCTGGAGGAAGGGAACCGCAAGCAGGACCTGTAGTTTCTTACGTTAGCCAAATCCTTAGACATCAGCTGACTGGCTAAACCCACCTGGATAAGAACAGCTATAGCTCCAAGTGAAATACTTTGCGCCAATCCTAAACTGAGGAGAGTGATGACCGCAATAGCAGGCACAAGCAGCACAAGTGTCATTTTAATCGCAACTCCAAAAGACCATACTGCAATTCCCGCCGTCCAACTGCGCCTCAGACACAGATAGATAGCAAGCCACATAGCGAAAGTCGCGACGCCATCATTGAACATGCGCAAGACGAATATGCTATGCAGCCGTTTGGACAGAGCAAGGAGCGGGAAAAGGTATGGAGGTGCCCCGGTCTGTCTGTAGCAGGCAACTACCACAGCCAGTGTAGCCAGATAGAGCACGGCGAAGAGGGCCTGCCCGAGGAGAATATCACGGCCTTCATCGGTGAGGTGGTAGAGGAGGGAGTAGATGTATACGTGGGCGGCGGGGTAGACGAGGGGACCGGTTGAGCCTTTGATCAGGAGGTAGTCGCGTTCGCCGGAGATATATAGAGAAATTTGCTGCATGTATGTCGTCCAGTCAATCTCAGTGTCTATGGTTGTGGCTTGGTTAGCTGGGTCTGGTTCAGTACGCGACACCTGGCGCGGTCTTACAGGCGATCTTCCATATGATGAGGGCGCAGAGTAGCGCGTCGCCTAGGATGAGTAGAGGTCCAATCCATCTTGTATGTTTCTGATTGGTGAGCACGTCGTAGGCGAATTCCTTGGCTGTCAATGCCATGGCGAGATACACTCGATGGTTGACGGGGGAATATTCAAGGTGGCCAGAGCTGGCTCCGCCTACTAGATAGCCTCTACAATTGCATTTGAGTTGAAAGTAACAGATTTTGGTTAAAGCAATTGTATAGCATTTGATTTATTTCTAGTCTTAAAATTTGTATTTGTTTTTATACATATCAATGTACATAGAGAATACATATGCTGTAGGTCTAGCTCACATTGAGACCTGGAGCATGGCCTTTTAAACATCCATTGGTCCACCCAACCCTTATTGTCAAAATCCATGGTATCATTAAACAAGCCAAGAAAGCAAAACGCAAAAAATTGAAGGAGAGTGTCGTGTTGGCGTGCACGCATTATGGGTCTCCTTCAGGCAGCGCGGTTGGCTGGTGCTGGGAATTCGCTCGGAAGCCCAGCAATTCCCCTATAACCCCCTTGGGTTTAGGGACGGGGCATTCTCGATTGATGTGTGAGAGTTCCTCTGCTTCCTTCTCCATCTGAAGGAATGTCGAGACCTCCTCGTCAACAACTGGCGTGGCCTGACCCGGCTGACTGCCCTCTGGGACTGCTTCAAGATCCTTCCGTCGTCTGCGTCGGACACGTGGTGCTGGTTGTCCATCGGCTGTCATACTCATCTCCGAATCGGCAAAAGTGCGTCGTGGGGACGGACAAGGGAAGACGTGCGGCATGCCGACAACTAGGAGAGATGCGAGGAGGGTGCCGGCGAATAGGCCGGTGGTTGACCGCGACCGAGGATGTAGATGTGGCGGCATTGTGCAATAAAGTGAAAGAAAGACGAGTATTGATGTTCAATTGAGACAAGGTGGGTGTGGCCGACTGTTTCCGGAATTTTTCAGGCCATCGGGGGGGTTCGGACTGGGCTGGCTGGTGTAGTCGGGAAGGAATAGTAGACAAAGAGGTCAATTGAATGCTAAGTGAGAATTACTCAAATTGACAAGCTTTTGAACCCCCGACGGCAAATGTGAAGGAAGATTCGTAGGAAAGCGTGCGGAGAGAAGACGGGCAGCAAAGGCTCTGGGTGCATCTAATCTTATCTGGCTCCCGCGTGATTGGGTGTTCCGCCTGTCTCTCAAGTCTCTGCGTCGCGCATCATAGCTTCGCGAAGATGAGACTGTATTTTTCTAGGGAGAACTGAGCCATCTGATATCTCTTTTGGGGTTTCTCGACTTTAATATAGTCCTCCTTCCCTTCCCCCTCCCTCTTTCGACAAGATGAGTGACCTAGACCGGTATGGCACTAACCCCTCAAGTCTCTAGACCCCCATCGTTCACCGTCAAACTAATACTTTGTGTCTAACAGGGCGATCGAGCAGCTGCGGGCCTGCCGCCTGATCCCCGAAAGCCAAGTCCGCGAACTGTGCTATAAGGCGCGTGAACTCTTGATCGAAGAAGGCAATGTCGTGTCCGTTGACGCTCCCGTAACCATCTGCGGCGATATCCACGGCCAATTTCACGATTTGATGGAACTGTTCCGCGTTGGCGGCGATGTTCCCGACACCAACTACCTTTTCATGGGCGATTTTGTCGACCGTGGTTTCTACTCTCTTGAATCCTTCCTTCTCCTCCTTTGTTTGAAAGTCCGATACCCCGATCGCATCACCCTGATCCGCGGCAACCACGAATCACGCCAAATCACAACAGTTTATGGGTTTTACGACGAATGTATTCGCAAATACGGCAGCGCCAACGTATGGCGCTATTGCTGCGAAGTATTCGACTACCTGGCCCTGGGCGCGATCGTGCTCGGCGCGAGCTCAGAGCTAGAACCCACCTCCAACACAGGGCTATCAAGCATGCCGATCGATGACAGCGAGCTGGAAACAGAAGTACTGAATTCCAGCGGCGAGGTTACGTCGAGTACCTACCGCGCACGACAGCGTTCGTCTTCTGATGCATCCACAGATTCCAGAAATATTTCCCCGCCCCGAGACATCTCCGCCGCCCCAGGCCAGGCTGCCGCGCCCTCACGAACGGGTGCACCGGGTACAGGCGCGAGTGGCGATGGCAACGGCAGCGCCGTGACTAGCCGGACTGGCGCGGTGCTCTGTGTACACGGTGGATTGTCACCGCTCATTGACTCTGTCGATAAAATCCGGCTGATTGATCGCAAACAAGAGGTGCCACATGAAGGTGCCATGTGCGATCTGCTTTGGTCAGATCCGGATGAGATCGAAGGCTGGGGTTTGAGTCCTCGTGGGGCTGGGTTCCTCTTCGGTGGCGATATCGTCAAACAGTTCAACCATCTCAACGGCTTGTCTCTTGTGGCGCGTGCCCACCAGCTTGTTATGGAGGGATACAAGGAGATGTTTGATGGTGGTATCGTCACTGTCTGGTCTGCTCCGAACTACTGCTACCGCTGCGGTAATGTTGCCGCTATCCTTGAGCTGGGTGAAGACACTAGTGGTGGTGGCACTGTTGCTCGCAGCAATGGTGAATATGGTCGGAGCAACGGCATCGTTAATAATAGAGTCGTTAGTCCTGGAAGGAGATACCGAGTCTTTGAGGCTGCAGCGCAGGACACAAGGGGCATGCCTGCGAAGAAGCCTGTCGCTGATTATTTCTTGGTAAGCTTTTTGTTTTTTTTTTTCTGTGATCTTGACTCATATCATTTCACTAACATCCAAGTCTAGTGATACCATTCCATGCACCTTTTTTCTTTCTTTCTTTTATATGGTTCCCTTGGAAGTAGCATTTTGCGCCTTGGTGTTGGTTTGAGAACTAATGATCATCTATGACAAATCTTTTGATACTTGCCCAGATGTACCTCTAAATGTCCTTCTGTAAAGTGATCATAAGGTTTAGAAACATAGAAACCAAATTCGTAGATGGCATGTCTATAAACGCCGGGACCAAACGAACCTCCCTAAAGTGGTATCAAAAATCGAACGAGATGTGTTCCCATTAAATTAAAAAATCACAAAGTCCTTGCATTATTTCCATCCATCCGCATATCCAGCTGTATCATCAGGATTCAAGGGCGACGACCCAACTGCCGACATTCCCCCGGGGGCTTGAGGCTGCTCATCGCCAGAACCAGAAGGCTGAGCAACAGACATGAGATTGCCGTCCTGGTATTGAACGAGAGAAGACTGATTTCGAGGGGCAGCATTCCAAGCACCACTCCAATCATCCATGCCGATGCCATATGCATTAGCATTCCTCGACCACCAGTCCTGGCTCTCTTCGACCAGGTTTTCCGTGCCGTCATACCCAGACACTGGCGATGCAACCGATGTCGGCGTTGCGTTTTGGGGCGAGATATGAGCCCCAGAGCGTTCGTACCACTTGTTCGGAAGGGGAGAAGAAGAGGCCGGAACGGACCCTTGCAGGGGAGTGAATTGGTAGGCCATTTGGGGTCGGAGGTATGTTGGTTCGGGAGGGGCAAACTCAGGCCGTTGGGCTTGAGGTGGATGCATTCCTTGCATGGAGGGGAACGATATTGGGACGGCGGTGAGGGGCCCGTATTGAGGGCCCATTTGTGTATCAGCCATGGCGATGGGGTCGGTGTTGGAATGTGGGAATGGGAGCGCAGATGGTGAGAACCGGCTTGGGTTTGTAGAGGCGTGTAATATGGTTGCGGGGGGAGAGTCGTCGGATGCTGAAGGGGAAGTTGCTTGGTCCCAAGAGCCCCAGGACCCCCATTTAATATGGGTTCGTTCGAAGATGGAGATTGCTTCGGGTGGTAGCTCTACTTGCCATTTATTTGCGGATATGTCGAGGATGCGGAGGGTACGCCGAGCACAGAGCCAGCCCTCTGCCATTTCTTCGAGATTCTTGAGGCCGTGTATCACGTCTCGCTGGGCATTTTTGTCGGGGAGATTCAGAAGATGGACGGTGCATGCTGTGTGGGCAATGTAGACTGCGATGTTGCAAATCTGTTTCAGTCCATATCCTCGTTTGTATATGCGCAGCAGCTTGGACACAGTTGCGGCGGCTTGCGTGCATATCTTGCGAGGTGAGACATGGGAAGGAAGTGGAGTATTGGCCTTGGTATACTTCAGGAATGGTCGGTATAAATGAATTATTTGAAGCTGATAGAACATACTGAGGCAATGGATTAGCTGAGGCAATACCGTGTGCGTAGGTGTGTTAACTTACTGCATGACAAGCACTTGTGGTAGCTGTCCTTCTTTTGCGACCAGTTCCTTAGGCAAATTGTTTTTCCATGCCTCAAGCCGGGTATGAACATCGCTCAGTTTCTTCAGTTCCGACTGTTTAGGCTGTAATTTTTCGAGTTCGGTTGGGTGGTAGAAGAACACAAGTACATCGCTACTGATCTCACTCAGTTTTGATATTTGGTGCGCAACAGCCCTAGTTCTTGATGGTTGCGTGTTCTCATGGCCAACTCCAGAATCAGTGTAGGGTGACCATAACTCTATCTCCTCCTGTGGCAACACATCAAACTTGGGCACATTAGCGTTGGTTGAGGTTAACTGAGGTTGACGGCCGAGGTAATTTGACCAGCATCTGTAGAGTGTTAGAGAGGCATGAGAGATAAAGCAATGGAGACTGACTTGTCAATAAGATAGCAACCCCAAAAAGTGATCCGCCGAGCATCAATCTCTTCGTCGCTGAGAGTGTGTGCTCCAAGATTTGCCGAATCGAGATTTAACCCTAGATCAAAAGCCATGCGGAAACTGAGACCACTATAGACCCAGCCTTTTCCTTCACGGCCACAACCCGCCTCTCGGACAGACATAAGTGCAAATGCCTGAACAGTGCAAAGCTTTGCATTCTCATGTTCGTCATTTTCCAATACGAGTCGCTTCGCTTCTCTGAAGAAATGATTTCCCGCTGTTGCGAGATTCTGGGGATCATCGAAAGCACCATGCCATGTGCTGAAATGGCAACCCAGAGCTAGCATAGCATTGACGAGTAATGCAGAGCAATATGAACTGGAAACACCGCGGATGTAATCCCGATAGAACATATTCTTGGATAGGGTAGTGAAGAACGGATAGTGCCATGTAAAGTACATGGTCATCAGATGGCTGATTAGAGAGTTGTCATCTGTAACCTCGGTCCACCGGCTCACAGCGTGCGTTTGATTATCGACACCAGGGGCAGGATTGGTTTGAATCGAAGCAGACTCATGCAGCTCGGAACCTGGCGGCAAGAAGATGAGGTTCGAGGTACCTCCGATAAATTTGCGAGAACCGTCAAGCATGAGCTCACTCATCTTGCCAGCTAGCTCTGACTCGAATTGATCTATCTCAGCAATATTCTCATTGCTGGCTAACTCCTTCGTTGCTTGGTCCGTAGACACGAGCCCCTTCTCCTGGGCGATCACTGAAGCTGCTACATCTTCGAGGTCATCACAAGAGCGGATTTGACGTACTAGGTCGAAGGCATCCGCTTCGTCGTAGTTTAATATTGCTTGTATCAATGTTTGTAAAGTAGTGTTTCGGGTCCGCAATGTATCGGTGTCTTTCTTGTAGACACCTTTGCGGCGGTGATCCGAGTTTGGATCATACACACCTATAGAAAGGGTTAGAAATGTTGATATTGCTCTTTTACAAAAGAGATACATACAAGGTGTATGATATACTGAGGAGCAAGCTGCACAACTGGGCAGGTTTCCATCACACTACATGTATATGGTATTAGTAATGTGACATCTCGAGATCGGAATATGAGATTCTAACCTTTGACTTCCTTTTGCGGCAGGCAACACAAGCTGTGCTGACGCATCGTCTTTTAGACGACTGGGCACGTTCTGCACTCATGATTTCGGATGGTTTGATAGGTGCGATTCAAGAAGTGAGTACGATGGTTTCTCCGCGGGGTCTCTTCGCATGCTTAGTGTCGTGTTTGCCGATGACTGGTCCAAACCTGGAAATGACATGTCCATCTTTTAGGAATACAAAGCTCGTTAGTAGAACATGGTGGATTGTTAGATCGAGGGTGCACAGGGTGGCTGTCGGCATGTTAGTCTATAGGGCCAATCCATTGCGATCCAGTCCGTCTAGTCAGACGCTATGATCGGATATTGCGCCTTAAAACAAGGGAATATCAACGCACCAGCTACGCTTGAAGATCTATACAGGCCGGATGGCAATTGTAGCAGGAAGCATGTACCCCACGATCGCAATGACCCGCAGTGGAGGCGGGGACAAGCTCAACGCGAAAAAAAGTTGGTGAGATTAGAGATTGGTGATGTCCTTGAGATGATTGGATGCAAGCAATGACAATGCAAACTGTGGTTATCGCCGGCCTCTGGATGGCTCCAGAGCTGCCCAGGTGTGATGTCCCATTTTTGATAAGCAGCTGACTAATGTATTCACGTGGCGGCCCGGGGCATTGACAAACTACATGGATACTTTTGTATACCGAAACTGTATATGGGTGTAGTTTTGTTTCTTGGAGGTTCACTATACGCTATATATGTGATTACTATTATAGTGAAAAAGAGGCTACAGGATTCATGCTAAGCCATTCTCAGGATATGCACTACGTACGGAGCATCTGCGGTATATCTCGGATCTCCGCCGGTTGAAGGATTCAACCCCTTGGTACGTTACATAGACCTATTGAGGTTACATACGTATTTTGGTTGAATGTAAGCCAAAAAAAATTGAAACAAAATCAGAACGAAACTATGTATGTTGTATGTATGACTGCCTAACCTCACAAAAAGAAAAAGAAAAAAAGTACTGTATACACGTATAGGGGGGTTTCACCGCAATTGCCCTCGCTAAAGGCGGTCCACCAACTCGCAACTTGGCTTTTTTTTTGAATATTATGAACACAGTGGATATGGATATTTTGATGTGTGTTTTGATTTCATATCTATATAAGACTTCGGGTCAAATAAGGATGTTTAGATAACAATGTAAGTGGAGTCACTTTGTGATTTTCGATGCCTATCTTGTATCCATGGATGTATAACACACTTATCAAGATATACTTGAATAGGAAATATTTGGAGTACTCTACAACCTTCCAAGATGGGAAGTACGATGAGTCAAACTATTATAACAGCCACAATTAAAAGCCACCAATATACGAAGAAAGAAAATAGGAGAAAATAGGGGCTTCACCGCAATTATTATCCTCGCTTAAGGCGCTCCACCAGCCACGTAGGGCCTCTTCGACTTGACGTTTTGGGAATGCAGCCACCCGTTCTGTTTTAATGTTTTCCCCTCAAAATATAGGAGCCTCAGAGTTCCTGTCGATCAAAGTGCCGAAATTATATGTTTACCATTGCTTTTTCTGTAACAACCTATAACAGTCAGGCTAATAAGACTAGTCAAAATCCACTGATAGGGACATAAAAATGGATATTCCGATATCCCGATGTTCTCATTTTTTCTTGGTCTACGATTCTGGGGCGGTTGCATCTGCCGGCACCGCACTAAAAGCAACCTTAAAGGGCCCACCTTTATTCAACACTCGGAAAGGTTGAGTTCGTTTGCATATAGTAGTATATGTCTTACCAAAATGATATGTTTTGATAGATGTAGTGTACATGTAGTAAACTACCTGTCATAAAAAAAAATATTTATATATATCAAAAATACACTATAAATACGGAAATATTAAAATATAAAAACAAGTATAAAAAAAGAAGAAAAAAATCATTCCCTTCCGGACTCCACCGGCGGAATGTTCCATGAGTAATGGGAATTGTATTAAAAATACCCAAATACCGTTACAAATCGCCGGACACAATCCGGAAGCCGGCATTGTCCCCCGCACAACCAATCAATTGAACGGTAAAATAAAATTACGATATAATAAAAATTACCAGAATTTACCGTCCTGCGCCTCCCGTGATCTTTACCTGCCTTGACCTGCGTTTACCTGCCCAATACGGAGTACGGCTTATCTGAGATCATCCACTTTCTCGCTCTCCCCCATTATCTCCCATTATCTGAATTGACTTCTACATATCTTCTTTATTTCTTTCGATTATTCTCCTTCTTGCTCATTTAATATCCCTTTCCCTCATATCCATCCTCCTTCGAAATCTCCTACCTTATCGCCTGTCTCTATCATCTTATCGGCTCGCGTGTGTGCCTGCATACCCTTGTCTCACGGCCCTAACTGCTTCCCTGACATCTCTTTGGGCCAACACATACACTCTTGGATTGGCTGCTGGTCTCTCGTCTGACTTTCTGTGGGCTTATCACTTCCTATATTTTTCTCCTCCATCCATGTATCTCGTTCAGAAACTCGACCAAAGCGCTTCATCCGGTTAAGGCTTCAATACCAACCGTGGTCGTGTGATGAACCAACAGTCAAGATGATGGTTCCTAGAGCATTTCTATTCAGCTCAGCACCGCCGCAGAAACCATTTCAGTCTCCTGGGATGAAGCAATTTATGCCGTCAGAGGATTCTGACCTTGATCTCCCTGCCCCCAATACCAATACCCGAGGACCGATCAACACTGGCCCAGTGGTAATTCCTCCAAAGCGTGGTTATTCATCGCAGACTATGATGCCAGCACGTCGAGAAATGCGTTCACGTACCTTATCCAAAACATCCGAATCCTCTCGTCGGTCCTCTTCCAGTTCATCCAACGATCGCCCCATCCCTACGTCATTCGCTTCAATGTTGGACGCCACGGCCATCCCCGTCCCGCGACGAAACTGGAGCACCCGCAGACCTCGGAAATTACCTCGTGGAAATCATGTAGAGGATTTTAGACGAATGCTGCAGGAAGATATCAAATCGAAAGAGGATAACTTCCTAGATGGGACTTCTTACTCCCCTCTTGACATTCTTCTCAGCCCACCCGATAACGACAATGAGAGACTCATGTCTTGCAACGATTCCGAGCATGCATCACCACTATCAGTGAGATCGACATCAAGCGAGTCGGTGCCATCATTAGAACATGACCTAGCATCGCCGCCCAGTCTTCCCTCGTCGCCAACCCCTCCCAGCCATAGAAGCACACCGGAGAGACGACAACCTCGGTATTCGCATTGCGAGGAATGTGCTTTGGACCATCCCCTACTTGTAACCGAATCCGATGAGCCCGAATTTATCGAAATCAAGAATTACAATGAGCCCGTTACACCCGACACAGTGCCTGCAAAGCGAGCTGCATCATTTGGCCGCCTCGGATCTAGTTTCAAATCGAACCTCACGGCATCTTTACGGGCTATCAAATCCGCTGCACAGTCGGTCTCGACATTTGCAACGCCATCTGTTCAACCAGAGGACTTCCTCACCCGATCTCTTTTCACCATCACCCCAGAAATGACCGATGATCGCCGACCTTTGCCGATGCAAGAAACGCCTTCTCCAGCACTACGACGCTACCTGAATCCTTCTCCAATGAACCCAACCCCGATGTCACCGGCAGAGATGTACGTCTATCACGATCACCCCCACGATAAGCCCAAGACCTCCAGCACGTCCCCAGTCTCGATCCAAATGCAGACATATCGCCGAACCGGTGGCCGTGGGAACCGGCGAAACAACTTCCATATCGCGAGCAAGGAACAGAAATTTGTCACTTTGGATCCGGAAGGCCCGCCCATGTCACGCCAGCGCGAAATTCGAGAAAATAGCGATTTCTTGCGCGTGGTCGTTCTCGAAATGAACATGCGCCGCTGCGGCAAACTCCGCGAGGACATCCCACCCCGTGCTCGCATCTGGCTGCCAGCGCGAAAGACAAATACCCACTTGTCCGGACAATACATGGACGGAGATGACAGCAACACCGTTCCATCCCGTTGGGTAGGTGTCTCAGCCTAGTGAAATAAAGGGTTTGATAAAGTCAGTCTTAGCGCAGAGCGCAAGATATGGCACGATGCATCTTTTTGGTCACTTGATCAGTACATACACCTTTTCTTTTTTTTTCTTTTTCTTTTCATCTTTTGGTTATCCTCAGCAAGCGTGGCGTTGGACTAGGACGGTGTCCTACTTGGCGCAGATATTTTCTCTCTTTTGTTACATACCCCCATCTCTACCTTGACAGCGCTATGCTTTTTCTATGGCTGCTTTTTCTGGCTTTCTTTCAGATCGATCTTTCGGTCACCACCTAAGATATCTATCCAACTCAAATGAAATCTTGAAACAAGTTAATTTTCTTTCTCCTTGTAACTGTAACAGATCACACAATATTCATATACAATAACTAGTTATAGAAAATTCTACATATATCTCAAAGTACTGATCACAATGATATAAAGTGTCTTCAACGGTCTAGGCCTTGCTTACTTCGTGTGGTTAACGCTCGCTAGAAGACAAAACAATACACCGAAAAAAAACTGCCTTAAAAATGCAACTAAGAACGCTAGAAATGATACCGGAGAGAGTCGAGTAGCTATACGTTCCCCATAGTAGACCTCGGGTAAGAAATCATAGATAGGCTTTAAACATTCTGTATGATATCATCCTACATCCCGCAACATGCGATCCCTCCGCGTGGCACGATGAACCTCGGACATATTTATATTAGGCTCTTTGACCCTAGCCACAGTGTTTAAATACCAAAACGTGTCTATTCCAAAAAAGCGTTATTGGTCTACGGCGCAAGGGGAAATCAATTCCGCAATGCCGGTATTTCTCTTTCCAGTTATAATCTCTGGCTCAAGCCAAGTCAGATGGTCCCAGGATGTGACTTATTGTACTGCGTTGTTTATTTCGACTGACTCGCTTCGCATCAAGACGCATATGTCCAGCGACGGAAAGGGAAATTGAAAAAAAAACAAAACAAAGGAAACGCATGTGCATAATTCATCATAACACGATTTGAAATCAGCTCTTACGGTTCATCGCGGAACCGGGAATCCTGCCACGCGTTAGCCCCAGCCCAAATACAGGGATGTTACGACTTACTCTCTTCGTCTAGCAAAGTGCCATTTTTCCAGCTTTCTTCTACCCAGCCCACGATAACAAGATGCGGCATTTTCGCACCCGGCGTCGCGGCGAGGCATTTTCGGAGTGATGATATCTCAGCTGAAGATAATGTCTCCGGGTCGACTATCACATGTGTGGTGTCTGAGCTATTTAGTGAGCTGGCGATGTTGGCGCCTGCGAACCGGGCTGTATTGCGGGCGAATTGGAGGCGGTGGTCTTCCTTTCTTAGTTCTTGGGAGGTTGGTTCGTCTTGCTGGTTTCCGTTGGAGTAGAAGTGGAACCGTAAGCCCCGGAAGAGCCATCCACAGGGTACTGTGTAGCCGGCATTTACTTTTTCTTGGATACGAGACTCGATTCTTTGGAGAGTTTCTGGGTCGGGAGCATGGGAGGGTTGCTCTTGGTTTTGTTCCATTTGCTTGAATATCTGTAAGATTGAATATTTGTTAGTCAATGCCGTGATTGTTTCTTGATATTTCTTTGGGATCGTTGTACCTCCTTGAGCTCGTCGGCAATTGTATCGCGGGCATAGCTGTCCATGAATTTGTCGACATTTGCTGCGACTTCTTCTTCTTTCTCTTCTGTCATGAAGAACATATGTCTATAGATACCAATTAATATAAGCCCTGTGGATATCCTTTGGCTGCCAAAACGTACCTAGGCTCGAATGGGAGAAGAAGATCAGGCAGGCCTGCATCTATTTCATTCTGCTTGATACAGTCGATAAGCCAAGATGGTCGAATGATATTTTGATCTCCACTCTTTTGTAATGAGGCTACTTTGACCGTTCCTATCGAAATATTAGCTTAGGGTTATTTTATATGTTGAAAATGAAGCTCACTCCGCTCAGCGACACAGATCATGTCTGCCGCAGCTGTCTTGGTTTGATAGAACTTGCCACCATTGGCCTTCACGAGTTGTTCCAGCTGAACTTTTGTTTTCTTTTCTGGGACGGTTGACTCGGTCATTATGACTAGAAGGCCATGATATTAGTATGATATACGATAGGAAGGGAACACCGTCAAACCACGTACAGAAATTGAGCTCATCGAAGATATGACCAGAAGGTTCAAGATACTGGACATCGATATTATCGTCGTACCCAGCAACCGTGAGCGGTTTCTTAGTAGCCCTCTTCACCCGTTTCTTTTGAGTATTATCAACAGAGAACTCTTTTTCGCGATGTTCTTGCTCTGCATTGGACTTTAGATCAAGGAACTCTTGAACTGAGAGCGCACTTTTCCAGTCCTTGTCCTTGCGCAATTTCTTGAAGCGAGGAAAGCGCAATGTCAATCCCATGCGGAATTGGTCACTGATTGCAACAGATGCAGCTTTCACACAGAGAACAATCGAGTCAGATGGTTTAATCCACATATCTGGGCGCTCATGCTGGGCGTCTCCGCCCGCCAGTTCGATAAAGGTAGTCGGTGGCTTTTTCGCATCCCACGCCTTCCACTTGCCCTCTGTATGATGGCGGATCTCCTGGTAGTCGGCTGCAGTAAACCCGCCACCAACCTTACAAAAGGACCAGCATTTCTCTGCTGCCTGCGTGCTATCGACTCGTAGTCCGCAGAGAAAACTGGACAGCGCGCCTCCTCGATGGCCTGAGCCATAGTATCCGCCAATCACAACAACGTCAAGAGACTCTCCAAACTCGGTCATATAGTCTGGTTTAACTTTCATCCAGTCATCGTGGCGTTCGTTCAGTCGATATGGAGAGCGCGGGTTCTTCAACACAAGACCCTCTGACGCCTCGGCGACGACCTTCCGCAGAGCCGCTTCAACTTCTGCGGTGGTAGTGGCTTCCTCATAATGGTGGACTTCAAACCGGCGATGGACAGGTCGGACAGTTTTCTCCAGGGCATTGTGACGATCACGGAGGGTATATTTTGTTAGATCGCGTCCATTGAGATGTAAAATATCGAATATGCGGAACAAGGGTCGTGGGCCATTTGAGAAAGGATTGCGTTGTTCTGACAGCGCTGCGGTTTTGAGAGTACCGAAGGGAACCATGGCGTCCTGTTCAGGGTCCCAGGTGATCATTTCGCCGTCGAGAATAATGCTCTGTACTCCATCCACAAAAGCATCTTTTAGATGCCTTGTTAGAGCACCGTTTTCGTCATAAATGCCATTCCCATATAGATAGGTATATTCTTTCGCTTTGCGCGACCAGAAGCCGAATGTCCGACCGCCTTTCATTGAATCGTCAGGCGCCATATGGAGTTGCATACGCTCACCGTCCATTTTTTCTTCAATCCAAAACACGTTGTCATCCTCGGTTGGTTTCATACGAGCAATAATTTTGTCGAATGAATGCATCTGAAATTGGGCCAGCTGAGGTTGGAAGCATTGCATCAATGCGATACCGCGCTCCTCTCCCTCAAGCCGGATATTAGGATCATGCAGCTCCCAGCACACACGCCGCAGACTGCTAGAGATGCTGTACAAATTCTCGGCATCGGGATGCCAAACATCAAATATTGTTCGTTCGGTAGCACCAACCTTCATCTGCCGAAGTATAATACGGATAAGCCACAGTAGCTCTTCGGGATTCATCCGCCGGTAGAACTCCTTCAAGATTGGCAGTTGTTCATCCTCCTTTGACGCAGCAGATAGCTTATCTAGCTTCTCGTTGACTTCGTCAATTGTCATGTCGCCCGGCTCGGTCCGCATAGGCCGCTTCGAGAGAACATCAAAACATCTTCCAGCAAAATCACCCGCCATGCGGGTCGTAGCACCCTGGCCGGGAAGTTTCCAATTCAGAAGATTGTATCCATCTTCTGATTCTTTATTGATCTTCATGATCTTAACGAGCATCTTCCCGATAGCCTTCTCCTTGATCCCGTACATAGGTCGATCGCGGTCTTTGTCGGGAAGAATCAGTCGAAGGGCAGGGTAAATGTCGTTGCCGACATCCTTGCGCCACCGCGAAATGAAGCGTTCAATTACATCGCGCCGGCGCTCGAATGGGTTGAGACTTGCAGCACTTTTGCCATGGGGACCAGCTTTTCGGCGAGCTGTAGCAGGTCCTGAAGGCTTCTTCTTGAGTTCACTTAGTGGATTGAATAGGTTGAGGTATAGATCGTGGAACGGTAATGTCGGGGCTCGGTTGTGAGGTCTATTGGGATATCTGCCAATAGCTATCAGTGATCTACCCAGAACCTTAGCCTCAGGAGCTATGGACTCACTTTTTGTCCAGATCTTCTTCGCTCTCTGGATTCAGCATATCCTGCTCTAATATCTCGTCGGAATCCATGGTTGTAAAATTTAAGAGAGAGAAGTCGGAGGTTGCACTACCCCAGATGTTTTTAGGCTGCACCGCTGATAAGATAAGGATAGCTCCCACTCACAATACAAGGGACTTTTGGTGTGAAAAAAAAAATTGCTTTTGTACTCCGTAGATAGATTTACATTACATATCTGATGATCACAACCTGTTCTCAAATGCCTTGCACCAAACCTATACCCACATTCACTTTGTCCTTCAAGATTTGTTCAACGTCATGATGCCCGTTACGAACCGCGTAGCCAATTGGTGTCCGGCGGTAAGGGTCTTGGCGATCAGGAGCTCCGCCCTGCTCTACCAGGAATGTTACCATTTTTGCTGAACCGGACCGGGCAGCGTAGTGTAATGGAGTACCAAGTCCAGTTCTTTCATTCATAAAGTATTCTGGAGTTCCCTCATCAAGCATTTTGTTAACACAGAGCTTGTTATAGTCAGGATCTTGATTGTAAATGAATTGTAGCACTTCGTGGTTGTCGTCTTCAGTTCGCATTGCCGCGTAATGCAAAAGCTGCCCATCTTGGACTTGGCCCCCATTTTGAAGAAGAATCTTGATGGCATTAAAAGGACCGTCCCGGACCGCGTAGGATAGTGGCGTGCAGTTGCGAATACGGCACCTTTTGTTTGGGTTCGCACCATGGCTTAGGAACCACTTGAGAAGCCCCACATCTTCAAAGGTATACCTGCAATATTATGAGCTTGCCTATATCAGATATATCAAGGATTTGACACTTACACTAGCGCTGATGGTGTCATATCATTCATATCGGCGTTAATATCCCAGCCACGAGACAAGAACAGCTCTAGAATGCTGATGTGCTTTTTCACAGTTGCAATGAGAAAATGACAGGCCTTTATTGTAAGACCATTGTCTAGCAACTTAATAGTTGTTTCAACGTCGCCATTCTGGATAGCAAGCCTGAGGTCCCTGTATGGATTCGCCATGTTCTCATGTTGAGATCGCAGTAGCTATTGGAAGTCTGGCGGTTTTAATGTAAGCAGTCACGTGAACTGCATGGTCCCTGTATTCGAGAGGTAAAGCCAGGCCGGCACATCTGACTGATCATATAGAAGCAATTAATTGCTAGGCCAAGAAATATCAGATTGTTGTTATGATCTTCTGAACTAGGTAACTAACTAACTAGCGGTTAACTAAAAGCTATTACATAATTAGTTATAGGTAGCCCTGTACCTACCAAGGTAGGGACATACCTACTCAACTATTTATGGACCTAGACAGGTGGCAGCAGGGCTTTTTAGCGTCTGGATTACATACTACGTATGGATGGATGGATAGCGGGGTATACCATGTTATCACGCTACGGTGCTACTTATCCATATTCACATCAGTCACCCACCAGTTACCCGCCTACTATAATACAAAGCATTGCCCTGTTATATCAACCGCAAATTATTGATATCTCTGCATAAAGCGACGATGACGTCCCGCTTCGCGGAGGCGTTGGCAGATGATGAGCTGGTTGATGTGAATATGGACGAAGTCGCATATGTTTCCTTCGTTGGTTCTAGCCTGAAAGCTATAGGAACCCAGAACTTGAATAGCTGCATGGCAGTTATGATGGCTTCCACGAAGGGTGCCGTTCTTGCACATATCGCACCGCGATCTGGATTTACAAACGACCCTGACGATTCTATCAACCACACCCGAAATATGATGGGAACTTTCCTTCAAAAATGCCATCAGGTATTTTCAATCGCGGAAATTAAGCACTCGGTCCTAGTCTATGCCAAGTTTGACGGACAAATCGCAATGCCAGACCAACGGGATTTTATCCATAGTGTCTTCTTGGAGAATCTGGAAAATAACCAATTTCCAAGAGAGTACTCCTACACTGTGCGCGTGGGTGGTCATTCCAGTCCGGGAATGGGTACTATCTTCATTGATGGCCGAAATGGACCGCCAAAGCTCTACGTCGAAGATGTCGAAAAGCAGCTGCTCGGGCCCTAGTTGAGTAAGCAGATTATGCCTTACCATAGTTACCTATCTCTCAAGCATATGTGCTAATGGTTGCAGCTTGTTTGCCTCAGGCCTTCTCTTGTTGGGGTCTTATCGCTCTAGGTGTACTGGCTGAAGAGTGTGGGCCATATGACCCTTGGTAGGCAGGTAGTTCAATTGCCTACCTAGCCACCCCGACGCAACTTGTTATGATATGTGGCTTTATTTTTATTGAGTTTTATGTTGTAACTGTATCTACATATGTATTTATCCAAACATACTTCTATTCCCTTGCTTGTCCAAAATGGATCCTTCAATTTAGGTTTAGGCTCGTGTCAGGACTTAAACACCAATGTATATATTTGCCTTGTCATACCAGCAGCTGCGAGGCTACCATTCCTTACCACCGTTTTATTGTAGCTGCCGGACGTTACTTCGGTGAATTTGGGCTTTGGCCTTGAATCAACAAAGGACCATGTACAGGAACATGGTAAGAATTGACACCAATGCAACTTCAGGGGTATAGCACTATAAGTAAAGGGGTTGATTTAAACAGAAATAATGTAATGTGGGAGTTCACAAATGCCATACCACTAAGTGTCATCGATTGAATACACCAGTTTCACCCCCTGAACAGAGGCAACAAAGGCTGGGATTTGAACCTCGTCTTCTATTATATTGTTCAGGCAATGGATTAAAAGGTTTGTTGAACATTGGCTCTGAGTGTTATGGCATGCCCGGGGACGATTTGGATTCGCGCAGAGGAAGATAATAGCACACTCGTTTTAAATATATTTGGGCTATTATCCCATATTCCGCTAGATGAACTGGGGCGAGAAGGATTGAACAAGCGATGTATATTCTACCTATACTACCGTATTGTTCAAGTAGTTTCATAGCATTTACTTTTTCAAGCACAACAATGTACTTTGATATGACCTCTCTTAAAACTCCCATTAGAATGAAGGGGGGATTACATGCCCACTTCACTCATTTATATCAGTGTAGTGAGCTTACCTCTACAAGGGATTTTTATGTTCCTTCGATATATTTCGGACCTGCGCCTTGTGGGTTCCCACGTCGTAGGCAAGGAGAAAGTCCACTTTCTCCGTCGTGTCGTTATATATTTGTTCGGCTTTCTAAGATAGCTGGTGTCCTTCCAAGGTTGGTCAACATAGTTGAGAGACATAACTTTTATTCATTTCAAGGACATTGTGTATACCTCCATTGCATGCTGGCCATACCACTCTAACTGCCAAGCCGCTCTGCTCCATTCCTCCTCCGGCTAGAGCTTGATCATAAAATTTCCGCAGGGTACATACATGGGTTGAGGTCAAAACCAGGCGCCTTCTTAAAAATGATACGCCTCCTACCCCCTGCCGTATTCCCGAGACGCTGAGACTAGGAGAAAATATACTATATTTATAGATATTATTTCGGATCTTCTCCATATCAGCAAGTGTCAGGCTGAAGTCAGTCTTAGTGTTCTGAGCTCGAACATGTCTCGAAACTCGATTGTAAGCTCGCCGTTGATTATTTCTCAGACAACCTGGTGTCAGATTGCGGACAATTTTGATCCTTTTGAGTATGGGAGGAGAATATATCGGAGCCTGGAATATCTGAGCGTAATGCTCAGATATAGTGGTCTTTTTGGCCTAGTGTGTAACTAGCCAGTCCAGGGGCATGTTATAACAAAGACTGACTTAACTTCTCCATTCGATTCACAAAGCCAAAACTTCACTTTTTTTTTTCAAGTTTGTGTCTCGTTACGGAACATTTGCCTTCCTTAATAGCTGTTCACTATTTGCAAATTCTTTGATGAGGGAGTTGTCAGATGTGTTGATTAAGTGTCTTCCTCATTGTGCTCCCCCAGCTGCCATAGCAGTGGCTTGTGATATAACCATTTTTGTTTTCTGCATCAAAAATCGAAAATCGTGACAAGGGTGCTAATGACCACCTTGGAGTCTGTTTCATAGTTGCAATGAGAAATTGATGGCGATTCATTATAAGACTCTTGTCTAGCAACTTCGCAGTTGCTTCATTGTCACCATTCTTGATGGCAAGCCTGAGGGCTCTGTACGGGTTCGTCATGTTCGCATATTGGAATCTCGAGGAAGTCTGGTGGTTTTAATATGCAAGCAGTCATGGGATACCTGATATACCCAGCAGTCATCCCTGCTATTAATACAAAGCATTGTCCTCTGTCTATGTTCGTCAAATCTACCAGAACAAAAAAAAAACGGGGCAACTAAGCTGTCGATTCCAAGTATATTGTGGCTGTGGGGCGTTTTCAGCACTAGCATATATTCTCCTAGTACCACGCTAGCGTTACCACCTTGGTTTCCATTTCTTTCGCGGAGCGTTTCCTCCCCCTTTTATCCCTATGTAAATACCGACATGATGTTGCTTACAATTTGGAGTTTGTGCGGCTCCCCCTACACCCCGTGAACCTCAATAAAGCAATGCTGACGCCATGCAAGTTTTGTGTTTATTTTGACTCTAATCTCTTTCGCTCCCCAAATTAACCAAATTTGGATGGAAAAAGATTCTAAAGGGATCTCATCAGAATACCTGCTATTCCACTTGGTCCGCGCAACAGAACGTCTGTTTTTCGCCTTCACCTGTATGATCACTCTGGACGAAATACCATGGTTCTTCGTCCACAACCCCAAGAATGTTCTTGACTGGATCAACTTTGCCCAGCTGGTTGGAATTTGGGTTTTATTCAGTGTCTTGTAAGCTATATGACTTAAGGTCGAATCAACCAGATCGAAAGTTAATCATAGCGAACAGATTCCTTCTTTATCTACGGTATAGCCCCATGAACCGGAGTCGGAAGCTGTCATTGCTAGTCATTTATGCTGGTTTTGTTGGAGTGTCGATTTTGCCACTAGTGGTAGACGCTACAACCGACATCTTTTGCCCTCCGGGAAAGAGAAACTGTGACTTCAAGGACCGAGATATCATAGCATCTTTCGTTAGCTTTCACAAAGCTTATGCTTCCCAGATTACTGGGTTGCTTCCATTCTTTGGGCTTTGGAAGCAAATTCGAATGGCTAATCGATCTGCCTCTAATTTGAGCATAACTGGCTTAAAGTGGCAATGCGCAATCTTCATGTTATCGGCTGTCGCTTGGTGCCCTCGAGCGTTTTTTCCATGGAAAGATTTTCTCGGAAAGCCACCTCAGATCCCAGTTCTGAACATATTCAATATTTTGATTGTTTGGAAAACAACGGTTGGATTCTTAGCCACTGGTGATGCCACTTTTGCTATCGGACAAGGCATTTTGCTATGGCGGATGCTGCGGCAGAGAAGGCACAACATGCAAGCATCAGAGGCTGAAACACAGCCACTGCTAGGTGAATAATTTCATATCTACTACCACTCAGCAAGGAGATATAGGTCGTTAAGTGAACCGCCGAAAAAGAAAAAGAAATGGACATTATCGACGGCATAATACGTATATATCCTTTCACTTTTTTTTCTGACCTTGTCCCCTTGTTTATGCTGTTTCTTGTCCTATATTTTAGGTAGCTAATAACTAATCGTTCAGAATATAGAGAAACTCATAGTAAAATGATAGATTAGCTAGGTGAATTTGAAGATTCGTGAGAATGAAGTTACATCATAGAAACAACACGCTTTCTGTCAAGAGAGATTTTCATGCCTGCCGAGAGATAGGGGAGGCGGCAGAGGAGAGAGGTTATCGGGGATAAAGGGAACCGTTGGGATTCTTGGGGACATTCGCAAGAATATCGTCTCTTTCAAATTGCTCCTAGTAGGAGGCGAGGGAAAATGATCTGGATGGATATGAATTTCAGGTAATTAGTAAGTGAAATATGAACCCGTGGACCGAATGTCAACATACCTCGTGTTGTTTACGCTGCGGCATATCACTTCGGCTGCACATACCTCGGCAGGCTCAGAAATACGATTCCCCATGGGTTTCGTTCACTTCACGACAATACAACCTTCATTCTACCGGCACCATCCACCAGCAGGACCTTATGTTTTGCATCATTGTGGACTCGTGTCGTAGATTCGCTCTATCTGGACAAAGAAGCGAGATTTGAAAGAAGAGGGGGAGGTCGAGGAGGACGGTAACGGGCTATAGAGTAGGGGTAGAAGACGATAGGTATTCGGTAATACGCTATTCGAAGCCGGGATTTCGAGAGACCTAGATACTTTTAGCCAATATACCGATCGGGCTAACCGATAACGACACTACGATTTAAAGCGAAGCGAGGGGAGGATACAGGAGTTAGCAAAGTGAGAGGGAAGTGAGAGAGAGGAAGAGGGAAGATAGGGGGTACACCCTATATGGTTATTTATATACTACGATTTTCTTTGTACGGGCTATAGGGTTTTGTGGGATATACTATAAGCGTAGAGGATTTGAAAAATTGGGTTGATTCCGCAATCTTTTAATCAGTATCTGTTTCTCTGGGGGTGAAGATCCTGGCTCAGGCGTTATGGCTTCGAGTTCTTGCTTCAGCTGGATAAAGCGCCTGTATAGTTATACGCACATACTTAGACTACAACAGGTTAATTAAACTTTGATTGATTGATTGATTGGGAGAATTCATTCTTGGCTTGTACCAATCTATGGATGGGCTCGGGGTCAACAGCACCAACAAAGCATGGATGGTCGTCAAGTCTGTGGATTGGGCCTGGGGTGAAGTGCTCGCCATTTTCTGCATTTGGCAAGGTCAGAATAGGAAGAACAAAACATGGGGGTTTACGCGTCGCGAAACTCGATCGCAGCATCCACGTGAGACTCTTAGACAACCGGGTATCAGGTTGCGGACAACTTCGGTCCTTTGAGTATGGGAAGAGACCTGCAGATTCTTAGCAAAGATCCTTCTTCTCAATGGTAATTTTACTTCAAGTTGATACATACAGTAGAAGCATGAGGGCTGGCTTGAATTCTCCATTCGATTCATTAGCCAAAGCTCCATAGGCTTGTTCAGAGTTGTGGCTCGTTCCAGAACATGTGCTTCCCTTGACAGCTGTTCACCATTTGTGACTTTTTTGAATGGTGGAATCGTTCGGCGCGTAAGGTCGGGTGTTTTGTCATTGTTCTCCCCTCGCCCCCCGAATGTCATTGGGGTAGTGGCTCGTGGTATGACCCTTTTCTTTCTCTGCGCCACGAATTTTGATTCGTAGCAACGATGCCAATGGCCACTTTGGATTCCACTGTTTATGACCACTTTTGTGAGTCGCAGACTCCAAAGTGGCCATGAAATGGTATGAGAAGGGAAGTTGTACGTTTTGCAGGAGACACCTATGTAGAGTTTTTCTAGTAAGTTCCTGAAGCACTCGAGGAAGGAGCTTTTATTTGAGGAAGGAACGTTCGAAGGCTTGTCTATAGTGGAAATAACCATGATACTGGTGTGCGGCGAATCATTCTAAGAGGACATCTACAAGACACCACAGAATTACCTTACCAAATCTCCATCGCGGGCGGGACCTTGTAGAAATAGGCAGGCCAGTTCTTCAGCACCGCTATTTGTATAGAGATAACATCTTCGTGAACCCGATATCCAACTCATATATGAAACAGACGAAGAAACCAATGAAAACACTAATGTACAGAATAAGAAATATGTTTATTTACCACAGACCACAAACCATTCATCCTTCATCCTCGCTGCCAATCAAACTTGTTCAGCATCATGCCGGCGGTTCTGTTCCCAAGAGGAATGATACGAGGTCAAGTCCGCAAGCCTCGTCAAGATAGCCACGAACTTCTTTGAAATACTCCACGCCGTCAATCCCGAAATAATCTCACATCCGACTCGCAGCATCCTTTCCGGTCCCTCTGTCCCACAGATATCACCAACACCAGTAACATTCCCTCTCATTGCATGACCCTCCCTGACAAAAAGCTGCACAAGCTCATCATCGCATGGCCGATCCAGATGAACAAAACTCGGTTCCAGGACCGGCTCCGCACGTCCCTGGAAATGCGGAGTGGACTCATGGGACGTATGCGGGTGACAGGATCCGTATGCCCACAAAGTCAGCACAGCGATGAACGCCGCGACAGGCTCGTGGAAAGCGTTCGTCGAGTAGCGGCGGATATGCCAGAGGGTGACGCCGGCGTGAATGATTGAAAGCCGGGCTTTGTATTGGTCGTGTTTCATCCAGCGCCAGATGTACTGCCACTCGAGGGACTGGTGTCGCTTGCTCCAGCGCTTCTTTTCCGTTGCCAGGGAGGTTGCGAGGGAGCGTATTTCGCGAAATGGAGTGAGGAGGAGTAGTCGGGCGGCGTGGAGGTGGAGGATGGTTGGGTGCTCGAGGCCGGCGGCTTTGGCTACAGTGCTGTTGGCGGTCCAGTGGAGGATGTCGAGGCAGTCGCAGGCGCTATTGCGCCATTTCGAGTACGAGGGGATTCCGGGGAGCCATACTGAGCCTGTGGGGATGGCGGTCTCGCATGATTGCTTCTTGGCTGTTGGGTTCCAGAAGGAGAGTGGGCGGCGGAAGTAGTCTCCCACTTCCCACATTCGATGGTAGAGAGCGTGAATGAGGAGGATGTGACTGAACTCCCCTATCCCAGATACTACTCTCTTCTCGATGTAGAGGATGTGGACTGCGTCGTATAAGGATTCGTTGGCTGTAGAAGTTAGAGATTGGTCCGTTATTTAAGTCCGAATAAGATTTACCAAATGACTTTGCCCATAGTGGCTTCCATTTCTCTGCGGACCTTGCTTGCCATAGCTTCTCATGCGCGGGCAATGCAGCTTGTCCGTCATCTAGGGAGAGCAGAGGTCGATCATCAAAGTAATATGCAAGAGTACAATCCAAAAGCTATTATTATTGTCAGTAAAATGAAAGTCTCCATTTTTCGACAAAGCTTACCCATATACAATAACCAGTGCGTCTCCTAACCTCATCCTGAACCCAAGATTCCCAAGATGCGTCTGGTGACGCCTCATTGAGACTTGTGCGCATCGGTGTCAATAAACGAGAAGATTTCATGAGTGTCACCAGGTCACCAAAGGTGCTCATGGCCAAGATCCTTCCTCGCTCGCTCCTACTATGGAGAAGCCCAATGCAATTGAACAACATAGCTTGCAATATCTCGAGAGAAGTCTGGCCAGGGAGACTCTTTTCCTTCTGGAGGTGCAAAATCATTAGCTGGAAAATAATGAATGGCAACAAGAAGACATTTCTCACCTCAAGATAGATACCCCGCCGAATCAGCTCGTGGAGAGTAGTTGTACATTGCTCTATCTCAGAAATGTGGGACACATGGCAGCCGAGTGCTATTATTGACAAAGTCAAAAGCCAATGGCTTGTGTTCGGATTAAAGTTAGGAAGATGTAATATCGGATAAACGGCCTGAAATGAATCGAAGAAGAATATGATGAACTGGTTGCATTCGTCCGCGGTGGGAAATCTCTCCGATTCGAACGCCTCGAAAAATGGAGTTTCATTGCAGCATAGTTGAACAAAGTGCCGATAAATCTCATCGTAGGTGGAGGTTTCAATCCGTTGTACGACCCGAGTAATATCTTCCGATATCTGATCTGTTCGAAGTTCGGAAATGATAGGGAAGTTGAACCGGTGCTCGCCATCTTCAAAGAGTAGCTGCCTGCCAATATCGACCGGCTCTGCAGATGAGCTTGACCAAGGCGCGTGTTTCTTTCCGTACTTTGGAAGTCTGGATGGCGCACCGTCGACATAGAAGTCCGCTGATCCCTTGGCGGAACCCACTGATTCGGTATGAGGAGAAGGCTCGCTGATGCCGGGAGGATACCGATTGGGGCTTCCCATGTTCTTTCCTAGAGAAACGTGCACAGAGGGTGTTTGAGAGATCCGATCTGGTTGGAAAGGACTGTTTTGCTCCACGCTGATAACCGGCGGTTGCCACGCTGGCCGAGGGAAGTAGGCACCTGGGCTGAGAGATTGCGTGTATTGCGAGGAAACACCGGCAGACTGCGTGTGGCTTTTAGGATCACCGGAAAGCAACTCACCAGGGAGCCAATTGATGGTGGAAAGCATGGAATGGTCGAAGAACGCGGGATCAAACCCTAGCGGTGCCTCCGGATTATTTGCTATAGTCATCTCAATGTCACCTGCTGGGTTGGCCATTCCTGGTTGAAGACCCCCCATTTCAGTGTCTAGATTGTTGGATGGCTCAACCGGGAATACTTTGGGAATGTCGGAGCTCGAGGTATCATATGTCTGGTTGATATCTCTAGGGTAGACCCCTAGTGGCGGTGTTTCAGACGGCTCTTGTATCTCATTTGGGAGATACAAACGAGGATTCGTTGCATCCTGCAAAATGGGGTGTGTGTTTTGTAGTATTCTTTTTGTGTGATCATTTGCGGGCGTAGATGATACATTAAGCGAAATTTTGGATGATGGTGCCGGCTCATTTTGCTGGTGTATAGAAAACTGGCTCTGACTAGAAGCTGCATTCGAATCTTGCATGGGCTTGTGGTTGTCGTTTTGCGCCTCGGTTTCTTGTCCTGAATCTCTCGCGTTTTTTGTTTTTGATCGCCTTTGCGTAGGGTATTGACATTCGAGGGAGCGAGTGTCACACCGTCCACATGGCATGCCACCGCTACATCGTACTCTTGCCGTTGCGCAACTAAAGCACGCTCGGAATGTTTTGACAGTAATCCGGTGGGTGCGATCTTTCCCTCCCGTCCCTGGTGCATGGTGACTCAATTCATGTCGATGGAGGGTGTCACTGGGGGGTGATTAGCGTGAAATTCGACGCCAAGGATAGCTATAACCCAAGCGCATACGTTCTTGAAAAATGCCGGCCGCACTGGGTACACTCAAAGGGCTTCTCCTTAGTATGACTCCGCAAATGTCGTTTCAGATGCTCCGGTCGTCGAAAGGTACTGTTACACACTGAGCATTGAATGTGGCCAGTAAGCAGCTCATCTGCATTTTTATCTGTATCTCGAACTTCGGATCCCCCCTGTGTTCTAACATGGGGATCACCGGGTTTGTCTTGACCCGAGAGCATGGCTCCAATTGTGCTTCAGAGAAGCAAAGATAGGCATTTCCCCAAAGTTGGTATGCAAGTCATATTGCAGATGCAGATGGACCAGAATGGAGGGGAAAACAAAGTGGAGAACGGGGATACTAGTCTTTAAACGGGGAAATGGCTGTTCGGTTAAATAAAATCTGGGGTTGAAAGTTGATATCATTGACGGGTTGAGAAAGGGTCAGATGATGTTTTAGCATTGTATTAATGAAATACAGATATAACATCTACAAAATGATTTAATATGTGATTCTCTACTCCGTATACAACATAAATGCAATGTTTAATATAGTCGCGTAGAAGAAACGTGTACGGTCGCGTGCACGGCCATTTCTGAATATTTTCCCCCTAAACATTCCAGAAACAAATTGTAAGATCAGCCCGGTCATCTTGGTTATCTTGATATAATCCTTGTTTTCAAGTTTGAACTCGCATAACCCGCATACCCGATTTTGCGGGGAATCGATTCCATGAATGGCGAGGCCGCTTCCGCGAACCAGCGGTTGGCCCGGAATGACGCTCTACAAGGCGCGACGCTTGCATTCCAACATTCCAGGGATCCCTCACCCAATGTGAAGGTTAGACCTTCTGCTACCGCTTCTGCGATGGCAAATCAACATCCACTGAGTCGTGAAATGACTGGATCCGACGCCCCTGAAGTGGGCTCCGTAAAGGATAAGATCGGGAGATGGGCCCGGCCGCCTTCACCTCCAGCCAGTACAAGTACATTATTAAGTGCGAGGGGTCGACCTTCAGCCGCCCCTCTCTCTTCGGCCTCTCAAATTGCGGCCCGGCTCGCTGCATCAAGGTCCCCTGGGCGGGACACCAGTGCTGCGTCGTCAACCGGCAGACTTGGCACAGGTGCAGTACGAACTGCGAGCCGGGTGCCACCCACACCAGAGAAACGAGAGCTACCACCACCAACCCCTGTTCGCTTGATCCAAGGGATACATAGTCCCATGCTGCACGAAAGAGCCTTAAGGTCTGATTCGGATCTGTCTATCTACAGGGGCTCCCCATCCCAACTATCCAGGACAACTCTAGATTATCAGGATAGTGAAGAATCGAGCCCCCATCTGTCCTCGGAGTCTCTGGATTCTTCTGCGCCGTCAGATGAGGTGAAACCAAGAATCCCCCCGCGTGTGCCGCCACCACGAGGGTCTATGAGGAACCATGGAGCCGTCACCGCATTTCGATCTTTGACACCGAGCGAGCTATCTATATCAAGCCCGCTACATTCGAAAAGTACCTCCAACTTGATAGATGACCCCATTACCATGAGCGAAGAAGCTCTCTCCAATGCTATTATCGCCTCATCCCTGGCATCATCACGCGCATCTCCATCTCTTAAAGGGGTCCCCCCGCCGCTTCCCCAGCGACGACGGGCACGATCCTTTCTACATTTGGCACAAACCCCCAAGACTGATCTATCAAGGACGCCGAGTCCTCCGAAGAGTATGCCGATGACACTTCGCGGCATGCCGAAAAAACCCACCGAGGCCGACCGCCGAAAACACAGAAATCTACTACACAAACACCCCCACAAGCACAGGGAGGGCGACCGTAAGCGCTGGCAACGCGAGGTCACCGAGAGGGAGCGCAAACGTTACGAAGGAGTCTGGGCCTCTAATAAAGGGCTTCTTATCTCTACTGACAACCCCGGTCCTGGTAAAAATGGGTCGTGGCCACGCGATGCCTCAGATATGGTTCTTAACCTGGTGGTCCGGGAGATCTGGTCCCGCAGCCGTCTACCCGAGGCGATCCTAGAACAAGTGTGGGATCTGGTCGATCACCAAGATCTCGGGCTCTTAGTACGTGAGGAATTCGTGGTCGGAATGTGGTTGATCGATCAGTACTTGAAGGGACACAAGCTCCCTGCGAGAGTACGGGAGAGTGTTTGGGATAGTGTACGGAATGTTGCGGGTATTAGACTTCCCCCCTCACTGGGAAAGGCAAGGCTCATGCTTGAGAGTCTCTAATTACGAATCGGATTATCCCAATAGTGGATTGACACAAATGTCTAGCATGAAACTGTATTCCAAATCATTCCCCTATATTGGCGATACCTGCACGAACCCCTGAGGTACTAGTGATATCTATCCTCTCCGACTTATGCCCGAACCCTTTTGTTTGGTTGGAAGAAACCTCCGCATCACACGATTGACTGATCATGTTAGAATCTAAAAACAGTCTTAGGTGATCCAGTAATATGTAACAATTCTAATAATATTCTAATAATTTCTCAAATAATCGCTTTACTTATGTATTTTGTACAGAGTACGGTGCATATACTTTGCACATCACACTTTTCAAAGTTCTATCGTGAATCCACGTGATCAAAATGGTTTCAGATGGTAAAATTACCATGTTTCCTCCTATCCAATGTCAATCAATGCGAGTATCCACTGTATCGGTAAGTTCCCATCCGAAATCCTTTGAATATCAAAATCCAAAATTCCCTTCGATTTTTGTCTTCTCTCCTTTATACCGAGGCAAAAAAAATATATATCAAGAAATCGTTGAAAATATTCCATTTTCGATTACCCTGCATATATACTTGCATTCTGACACCATCTCTCCAATTTGGGGTTGGGCCTGATCTGCTCTGCTTAGTTGCCAAAAAGCAAATCCCGAACCTCCCCACGGCTCGGGATTTGCGAAGATCAAGCAATCACACGAAAGTCTCTATATCAGCGCTCTTTCGGACTTGCAATTATATTACTCGAGCCGCAGAATGCCCCATTTCAACTAGTATTCGGTTGCAAAGACACCCGAGAGGTGCAGTTTCAAATTAATGCTTTTGTAGAATATCGAGGTATTCATGTTTAGTGTCGCCATGGCCGATACTTTTCACGATTATAACGGACTTGCCTCGACAGCACCTCGGCCGGTTCGCAAGAAGTTTGCTAAACCGCCAGTTAAGGTAGCTTGTCTGCCTTGGTGAGCAAATCCCGTGGGAAAAAAAAAGAGGAACTTCTCCACTAATCGGTTATTGCAGCCGGGCTTCGAGAACAAGATGTGGCGGCCAGATGCCATGCGCGAATGTATGTTTTATTTCTCCTTTGAGCGTTTTGACTGCTTTGAGTGCTTTGGGGGCTTTTTTTTAAAAATTGTGGATCTGAGTTGATCAATGCTCATTGCATGTATTCCGTACTGACATTCACTTTAGTGTGTTAGCAAAGACAGAGAATGCTCTTATTTACCCAGCAAACGAGGCGGGCCACGCAAAAAGAAGGAAAAATCCTCGCTGTCGCCAGAACGAGAAGCCAGGCAAGATGATGTCCCGTATAATGCTGTGCCCTCACCGCCGGAGTTTGGAGAAGGTATGTTGTCGCCGCCCATATCAAATGAAAAAAGCGATATACTCATCCAAAGTTTAGCACCAGGAATGTTCACCCAAATTGATGAACTCTCTCTGCCTGGTGCAGGTTTGAGACATTTAGATTTCCAGTCCGAAATCCCCTCCATGTTCCAGAGCTTCTTCACTGGCGATGGCAGTCAGTCGCACATGCAAGTGCCCTTGATATCACCGCCCTTGAACAGCCCTAGCCCCCAACCTTTCGTAAGGACCTATGGAAGCGAACTTGAAATGTACGCACCGTTCTATAATAAGTTCCATATAAATTATCTAACATCCCCAGATTGAATGCCTATTATGACTTTATTCATAACTATTTCCCCATTCTCCCACCACGGGCATCGCCACCGTGTCGAGATCGACCATTGAACTGTCCCGTTCCATGTTCAACTACGTCTGAACCGATGATGATGTACCGGCCCCGTTCGCCTCTGAGTCTGGCACTATCTGCGATCTTGGCTTTGATTCCGCACCCAAGTGATCTTGAGCCATCGTCTACGGCGTCTGTACTCCAGCGCAGAACATACGCGCATACTTTTGCCCAACTCGCCAACTCAACTATCGAAGCCGAGTGTGATCTTGATCTGTCCTCAACTGATCCCGGCCAGGCATTGTCTGCTGCACGACCTTTTGTCGGGCGGGAGAGATTCCACTCGCAAGCTCCGGTGGAATATGAGAGCCTTCTGGCTCTCTTGGTGCTTTCAGTTTATGAATACTCCCAGCGTGGTAATCTGCTCAAGATGCGATACCGTGCTGGTCAGGCTCTTGCAATTGCTTTGGACAAGTCACTTCATGCTCAAATGGAGAATGATGAATTTTCGGAAGCTCGACGGAGAGCCTGGTGGATGACGGTTTGTATTCCTCCTCCCTCATCGGTATCTCATCTAATTGTTGCTTAGTATTATTGTGTGATTCAAGGATCTATTGTTAGCACAACAGTGAGTAATATAGCTCTTGAATAATAAAATCGAGCTAATAAAGAAACAGATGCCTGCTATCGTTATCAATGACCCACAGTTCACGACTCCGTATCCATCGTTCTCATCGGATACAGAGGTATGCACTCGAAGAACTCTTGGTTATCCTCCATCCACTAACCATTCTTTAGGGTTGGGCTATTTTGATACAGGCTCAACAAGTGCTTGTGTCAGCAACCCAGTTTATTGGCGATCTGAACAAGTGCCTTTCGTCCCAATCAGGGATGTACTATATGTTCGAACGAATGCAGCAACTTGATTCCTGGACGCATTCTGTAATTGCACAGGCAGAGCTACTCCCCCTTATGCCCCAGACATCAGATTTCGGCGATCACAACGAATCCATTACGGCGCAGAGTATACGCGCAATATCCCGAATCAAACTATCCAGGTTCGAGTCCTTCACATTCTCATACCTAACCCCAAACTCACAAATACCCTAGTGCACAAATCAAAACACACCGCTTCCGGGCTTTCTCAGACATCCCCCTCTTCATCAAAAGACATTGTGACCTGACAGCAGCAAATCCAAACACCGCCCCCACACCTATCAACACCAAACCCGCCGGCATCCACAACGTCACCTGCTCCTGCTCAAACCTAACCTCCTTCGAACGAGCATCCTCAACAGAATACATGACCCCATCCGATTCCTCCACCTCATCAGACATCCACACGGATGTCCAGCCATACGCACCCCAGTACTCGCAATATCCCTTTGCGTCTGGGTTCCCTTACAGCACGCAGCAATCCGCAAAAATATGTCTTCAGGCTGCACTCGTCATCTCTCGCATGTTCCACAGCCTACCTGTCCCACAGCCTCTCTCAGATCCTCAGCAGCAGCAAGGTCGTCCATTACCCCGCACCATGCCATCCTTCGCATGCTGTCTGATGCAAAGTAGCTATGCTATGTTCATGATCTACTACAAGGCGCGCGTGGCGAAGCAGCTTGCACCCGATAGCCCGGGCAATGAGCGTGGCGGAGATTCGACTGGCCACCTCATTGACGAACTACGGCAGGGTTTAGAGCGGATCATTGCGGCCGTGTCGAATTATTCACTTGCTTTTGAGGCTTTGGATGGGATGAGAGGTTAGTACTTTTATACTTTGGTATTCGGTCCCTATGCTAACATTGTTTTAGATGAAATCGAAGGTGCATATAAAACGGCGTTCCCACTAGCATCTGTTTAAAAGGGGGTTCTTTTTTTTCTTCTTTCCGAGCTTTTTCTTTCTCCGGCACTTTCGAGTCGGCCATCTGCATTTTTATAATGATCCCCCCTCCTCTCTTTTTACGACTTGATTCTCCACTATTCTTGTTTTGTGCCCAACAGAACAGCGGCGTTATTTGGTATCTCTGGCATAATACAACATTGAAATATGATTCCCTTCGTTAGTAGAAAAATTATATAACGCATACGAAATACAAATTCTATCACAATTCGAACACGACTGTGCAGGAACCTTTCGCTTCTCCTAGTTATTGTTATGCCAAGGCCTCCAGTGCTGGTCTTGGTGCGAGGTAGGACGGGCCCACCCAGTTATGACTCTGGCAAACCCACGACCGCCAACAGGTTTCAGCCCCATTCGCCTACCCATCAATCTTCCAGGACTTGCCATAGGTGCACTGTCTCCCTCATTCCAAGGACACATCAGAGCCATCCCCTGCTGATTACTAAATCTCCTTGCCGGTCTTGTGGGTTGCTCATCCAGCACCCGAGGGCCAAAGCGAAATCGATGAAGTCGAAGACTAGGAGATGATTATCTATGACCACGAGGAAGGTAACATAGAGCGGTCAATTCTCGATCGTGAACATTTCCACAGGGTTCTAATTTCCCTGGGCCATGCAGCTCGTCATACGCCGTATCTAGTTGGATTCACTAGTAATCATTGTAGTACAGCATGTTTCTCATATCATATGCGATGCGAGAATCCTTCGCGTGCATCAGTAGGCGTTCAGGAATATGTGCTAATGCGTTGATCGGTAGAAAGGCTAAGGGATATCCCTCAGGGATGGATTGGAGATCGAGGGTAGAGATCATGGTACGGAAAGGAGGGAGGGAGCACGGATTAGTTGTGTGGACTTATGAATCAGGTGATGCTCAACCGGTTCTAGGCTACTCTCAAAGCGACAAATTGGTATTTCAGTCTGCTACTTTCTTCCAAGGTTGTTCCCCACAGTTCTTGGAGCAAAAAGGTATGTGACTTAGCGCCTTGTAGGGTAGGAATACATCATTGACCTTTCAGTGCTTACAGTTGCTATACGAATATCATAATTGATGTACATATATTTATAAGTAGACCGGCAGCAAGTGCTTGATTTAAACAGAAGACGTGTATTTTTTCTAAAATCGCTAATACCAAATCTCCATTCAAGCAAGGTACTATCTAATTATTGGCTAACAAACCTACTAGAGTTTGGACCGGATACCTTCTAGTCGGAACTTTACGTCCTTCAGAACCTTACTAGAAGGTTTCCAGTTGTCAAATTGCCTGAGCAATTCCATAGTCTCCTCGTGCAACTCCCGGCGCACATAGTCCTCTTCCAGCAGACCGCGCATGGCGAAGGGGAGAATGTACGGGTTTGGCGTGACAGAGCTGCTGGCTCTCTTGACGCTGAGCGCGGAATCTGGTACAGAAGAAGTCTCGAGTGCGAATTCAATGGCCATGCTGGAAGATGATGTCAGTTTTGGATGCCCGTATGTAGTTAGGATTTTTACATACGAGTACACGGCTTCATCGTCATACAGCCGAGAATGTCCCTCTCCTGAGTATAGACTTCCTGCTAATGGAGTGCTTAGTTCGCGAATTAGACCGTGGTCTGATATACCAAGATTGCGGAGCTTGAGGGCGAAGCCAACTAGATGAGAGAGGCTATGTTTTGACATTAGCATTGCCAATCGAGATAGGGTGGCTGGTGGAGTTGCTTACAAGCTTGGCGCGTGGACTCGACCGTCCACAAAGACAGCGCGGTAGACGTAAGGGTGGGCTATGGGTGAGAAGAGGGAGGACTAGGGGCGAGTTAGCAATTTGATATAGACGCTTGAATATCAAGATAGGTACTCACCTCTAATGAAACGAGTTGATCGTCGATGCTTCCGATGTAGGAGATGCGAACGCCAAAATTGAGAGCACATTTAAGAGCGGCTTCGTATTCTTTCGAGACCTTGCTGAAAGGCAGTGCAAATTCGAACAGCTCTCCGGCCGACCCACTAATCCATCGAGAGCGATAATCTGGGAAGGGGCCGAGGTTCACACCTGCCATAGCGCAGATGCCGACTCGTTTGGCGTCAAGACAGCCGAACTGTATCAATTTTGCAACTAGCATGATCGTTACTGGCACACCTTGACTGTGACATGCGAACATGACGAAATCAGCCTTGCGGATCTCTTCCATCCAATTTAGAAGCAGCTTCCACAGTAGATCCACTCGCTCCGAAATGCGGCCTTCTCCTTCCAATGCGATCTTTTCAATATCGCAAGTGTATCCATGGCTCTCGGTGTACTTCCGAATGGCATCTGCTGCCATATTGGAGAACCGGATAGATGTCCCGGTGGGCTGTCCAAGAAGATTTCGAATGAATGGGGCAGGGAAATATCCATGGACACCAATAGCCAAAGCACGTCTCACATGCAGCGGATCTCTAACCCTGCTGACGTGCCTAATTTCCGGCCCTTTCCCATGATACAGGAGTCGACTGAGACTCTGCAAGATAGAGGGCGATTGTTCAAACGCGTAGGTTTCTTCAAACCTCGGCAATACTTGGTTGGGAAGGATTTGCTGTAATTGCTTTGAGGCGATAGTATCGGCTGGTCGAGGTTCAACAGACGCCGTAGATGTAGGGGTGCCCTCAGTGGTGGGCCCAGATCCATCCTTAAGACGGTTGTCTTTCGGGGGCTTGATTTTGATACTGCCTTTCTGGGTTATCTTGATATTTGAATCTGTATCAGGTTCAGGTGCTATGTTTTTTGATTGAGTACTAGGTCCCACTGATGCCTCGACAGCTTCGCCTTCCTGCGGTTTATCGGAGGGTCCATCTTTGTTTGGATCTCTGGACCAGAATGACCAACCAGATGATCTCGTAGTTCCGACCGGGGTCTGTGATCCACCAGCTGGTTCTGCTGGCTCATCTGGAGGATAGTTCGGTGCCATGTTTGCGCCGGGAGCCTCGGCTGGATCGCAATTCGCGGAAGCGGGGACCGTGGATTCTATAGATGGTGGGTCTTCTTGCTTGGTTGGTGTGTTTGTACCATACCACATCTGGAGCCACGATCGCTTCTGGGATGAGGAAGTAACTTCAACAGTATCTTTGGCCTGCTCTGGTTCCGGTTCCAGTTCCTCTTCTCGCGCTGTATAATCTTTCACATCAGGTTCAGCACCCTGCTCTGCCATTTGGTTTTCGTCCAATGGATGATCAACGGCTTGTGTAGATTCTGAGACGTTCGCAGCACCTTCAGATGTAGCCGATGGTCCATAGATCCATGAGAGCCAACCGCTAGATTGTTCGGGGACCTCTGCAGATCCCGTATGCAGTATAGTGGGATCAGCGTCAGGGGTGGCCTCCTGTCCCTTGGCTGGGTCCTCTAACGGCTTGGTATCACTCTCGCTGGGTACTTCTTTATCGGACGTTTCCTGTTCTACAGCCCTGGGATCTTCGGTATCGTCAGAAGGTGTAGTGGAAGCTGAACCATCCGATGCAATGTTGACACGGGTAGTGGTAGCGTCAGCGGGCAAAGACCTGGTCGAGGTGCCAACTTTTCGCGTAAGTTGGATGGAAGGATGCCGATTCTTTGTTGGGGTATCAAGAAGGGAAGTCGACGAGTTGGTGATGCTCGATGCTACAGTTTTGGCCGCTGAAATACTCTCACGGGCAACCTCGGTAACTGGAGCTGCTTTAGACACTCTCGCAATGGAAGACCAGGATCCGGGGTACCAGCTCTAGTATATGAACGATAGGTGATCAGTAAATATGATAAAAGAACTGGCTATTTTGATCACAAAGGCTTACGGTATTGTACCCCCGTGACTGGGAGTCTGAGCGGTCTCGGCCATCACCGCTCAGTTCAGGTTGTGAGTCCACGCCGGAGGGGCTGGTCTTCACTCTTTTGCGAGATCCCTTGGGTGTCATGGAGGTAGGGGTGAAAACATCAGGTCTATAGTTAGACGGTCAAACTAAAAAGATAAAGCATCTACAAAGCGCCACAAGTGACATGGGGTGCCTGAGTGATATCACGTCACATGTCTGGCACCGACCCTTTGGCCTCAGGCAACAAACTGGAGAACAGAATCAAAGGCGGTGAGCGATAAGTATTGCAACTTTTTTTTTTTCCAGATCCTCTTCCATAGAAAAAGTATACATTCGCTTTTACCCAGTCAAGTTTAAAGGATTTTCTGGTCAACTGAGACCGGCTTTCCTTCAAAATGGCGATCCAGAAAAAGGTGTGTCATTTTTTATCTCAGCCCGCATCATTTCATGTACTGACTATTTTCAGCATGGAAAAGGTCGTTTGGATAAGTGGTATCGGCTTGCCAAAGAGAAAGGTTACAGAGCCCGTGCCGCGTTCAAGTTGATCCAATTGAACCAGAAGTATGGATTCTTGGAAAAGAGCAGAGTTTGTATCGATCTTTGCGCTGCGCCTGGTGTAAGTATCTTCAAATGGCACTTTCTCTCTCAAAAGTCTTTCTCTAACCACTGAGCAGTCATGGTGTCAAGTTGCAGCAGAATACATGCCCGCTCAAAGTTTAATTATCGGTGTCGATCTCTCTCCCATCAAGCCAATTCCCCGGGCCATTACTTTCCAGAGCGATATCACAACGGACAAGTGTCGCGCAACAATTCGATCTCACATCAAGCACTGGAAGGCAGATGTCGTGCTTCACGATGGTGCTCCTAACGTCGGTGCCGCATGGGTACAGGATGCTTTCTCACAGGCAGAACTAGTTTTGGAGTCCCTAAGACTGGCTACTGATTTCTTGGGCGAAGGCGGAACCTTTGTCACCAAGGTCTTCCGATCCAAGGATTACAACCCACTGCTGTGGGTTTTCAAGCAGCTGTTCAATTCTGTCGAGGCCACCAAGCCTCCTTCGTCCCGAAATGTCTCTGCCGAAATTTTCGTCGTTTGCCGCGGATTCAAGGCTCCCAAGCGCATTGACCCGAAGTTCCTCGACCCGAAGTACGTCTTCGCTGAACTTACCGCTCCCACTCCCAACTACGAAGCGAAGGTTTTCAATCCGGAAAAGAAGAAGCGCAAGCGTGAAGGTTACGAAGAAGGAGATTACACCCAACACAAGGAGCTCCCAGTGACGGATTTCATCAACACTGCGGATCCTATCGCTATCTTGGGTGGCTACAATAAACTTAGCTTCCAGCAACCGCCAGGTGGTGATCTTGCCCTGTCCACACTGGACCGTTTGGAGGAAACAACGGATGAGATCCGAACTTGCTGTGAGGATTTGAAGGTCCTAGGCAAAAAGGAATTCCGCAACCTGCTCCGATGGCGTATCAAGTGTCGTGAGAAGTTCGGACTTGTCATCAAAAAGAAGCCAACCACAGAAGGTGAGACAGAAGAAGTAGCCGAGGTGGCACCTATGGACGAAGAACTGCAGATCCAGGAAGACTTGATCCGCATGCGAGAGCAGCAGACCACCAAGGGCAAAAAGGAAAGGCGCAAGGAGAACGAAAAGAAGCGCAAGGATATCATTCGAATGCAGATGAACATGACCACCCCCATGGAAATCGGTATGGAGCAGCTTGGTATGACAGGCGACGACACCACATTCACTTTGAGACGCGTCGACCGCGAGAATGCCAGAAATGCGGTCATCAATGCTCGTGATCTTCCCGCTGAAAGCGGAAGTGAAAACGAATATGAGTCTGAAAGTGAAGAGAGCGACGACGAGGAGGACCGCCTTGAAAGGGAGCTCGACCAGATGTACGAACAATACACCGGCCGCATGGAGGACAAAGATACGAAATTGCGTGCTAAGAAGACACGCAAGCAATACGAGGTTGACGAGTGGGAGGGCTTTTCTGACAGAGAGAAAGGCAGCAGTGATGAGGAAGAGGAGGAAGAGGATGGAGAAACTACCACTTCAGCTCAAGAACTTGAGGCTAAGAAACTTTCCAACAATGCCTCTATGTTCTTTGATCAAGACATCTTTGAGGGACTAGAAGGGGACGAGGAGGAAGAGGAAGAAGAACAGGAGGTGGAGGCAGAGGAAGAAGAAGAGGAGGAAGAAAGCGACAACATTTTTGCGATGGATGAAGATGAGGAGGAAGAGGAAAAGACCCCTGCCTCCAAGCAAAAGAACAAGAAGGACGCAAAGAAGAACGGAAAGAAGAACTCGAATGATTGGGTCAATGAGTCCGATGAGAGTGAGGTAGAAGATACAGAAGCCAAAGATCCGCTAAAGGCGAATGGCCAGCTTGGTAAGTTACAATTGATGTCCAACATGAATGAGTCCCGACTAACCTTGATTCCTCCCCTACAGACATCGACATCATTACCGCAGAAGCCATGGCCCTTGCACAGTCAATGGCTACTGGAGAAAAGAGGTCGTCTGATATTGTTGACGACGGCTTTAACCGATTTGCTTTCCGCGACGTGGACGGCCTTCCCGAATGGTTCCTCGACGATGAGGGTAAGCACAGCAGACCTGTCCGGCCCATCACCAAGGCTGCTGCGTCTGCTATCAAAGAAAAGATGCGTGCCATCAATGCACGCCCGATCAAGAAGGTTATGGAAGCCCAGGGACGCAAGAAGTACAAGGCTGCTCAAAGGCTAGAGAAGCTGCGGAAGAAGTCCGCACTTCTGGCAGAGGATGATGCTCTCAGCGAGCGGGACAAGGCCGGTGCCATTGCCAGACTGATGAGCAGGGCAACCAAGAAGAAACCCAAGCAGGAAGTCAAGCTCGTGGTGGCTAAGGGTCCCAATCGTGGTATTTCTGGCCGTCCTAAGGGTGTCAAGGGCAAGTATAAGATTGTCGATGCTCGTATGAAGAAGGATGTTCGTGCAGAGAAGAGGCTGGCAAAGAAGAAGTCAGGGAAATAGAGAAGGTGTTCATAGTTTGAATCTGACAATTTACATAGCAAAAATAATTGATACCCAAGGGTTCATTCTTCCACAAGTACGATCTCATGAATTTCAAAAATTCAAAATTCAAAATAACAACATACATGTAAATCTTGTAGACCTGCAGACATGCACATCGATGTAAACATGTATCCATGACGCTGTAGACAAAAGCGCCAAGGAACGCCAAGGAACGCGGGATCGCGTGGTTTCCCCGAGTGGCGCCTTAATCGATAAGCCCTTCTCTTTTCTTTTCCTCTCCCACTTCTTTCACCTCACTCGCATTATACTTGTAATATTCTTTAACCCGTTTTCATTGCATAATTTGTATACATTACTTTCTGCATTTTTGTTTATATCTATCCCGATCCATATGGGCTTTTTCGACCACCTTCAGAAAGGAGGGGCCGGAGCCTTCTCTCTACAGCCAAAGAAGGCGCAAATTCGCAAGGTCGTGCAGACTCGACCTGCAGCTCCTACGCGCTCGGTCACACAACCCTCGGATACTCGGTCATCTCGAGTCCAGTCCTCAACGGAGCGAAACCGGAACGCACAGGCGTTGAAATCTCGATCGGTCTCCAGTGACCTGGAAGCACGCTCGGCAAAACGACTGAGCACTCCCTCACGCATTCGGAAAAGGCCAACACCCGAGCAACGACTCTCGAGCGACGATGACGCAAGCGATAGCGAGGCTTCCTTTGAAGTCCACAAACGTGCGAGGACCAGCGCCAGCGCCGAACCCGACCCGGAACGGCGTCTCCGCTCGGTGAAAGCGTTCTCGGAAGAGGGATCTCGCCCATTTAAAATGATACATGCTGCGGATATAACGTCGGGCCAGAAGGCCGGCAAGTTCAAACCCGCCTTCGGCGCAGAGGGCAAGCCCAAACAGATTCTCCTGCAATACCCCAGTGCTTCGCAGCAGGAGAGGTACGTTTTTTTTAGTTGGGTACTTGATGATTTCTGGGTACCGATATGCTAATTTATTGCTCGAACAGATATGACTGTGTGGTTCCCCGAGAAAATGACGAATTCCGACCTATCGATGACATTGTTCAAGTCATCGAAACGGTGTCTGATAATTACATCCCCGACGAGGAGGCAGATCAGTTTAACGACGAGACGACCGGGATCAAGCGGAGATTGCGCCGGGCTTTGGCTGTTACATCCGAGACTCAATTTCAGGAGGCTGTCGATGATTACAATAAGGCTATCCAGCGGTTAAGGACCAACGGTAGCCTTGCGAGGCATCTGGATGCAACAAAAGGCATTAATTTGCCTTGGGTAGAAAGGATTCTCACTCAAATCTACTCGCGCACGGTGTCTCCTCAAGTGGAGTCCCTCCGGCAATACGAGAATGGCACGGACAATGTCTACGGAGAGCTTCTCCCTCGCTTTATCAGCACAATCTTCAAAGAAACCAAGCTCAAATCAGGCCAGGTCTTTGTTGATCTTGGCTCAGGCGTAGGTAATGTTGTTCTTCAGGCGGCACTTGAAGTTGGCTGTGAGAGCTGGGGTTGCGAGATGATGTCAAATGCATGTGATTTGGCAGATTTGCAGCAATCCGAGTTCAAGGCCCGATGCCGGTTGTGGGGAATTGCGCCAGGCAAAACTCATCTTGTCCGAGGTGACTTTCTTGAGCAAGAGAGTATCACAAGCGTCTTGAAGCGGGCCGATGTGGTGCTCATCAACAACCAGGCTTTCACCCCGCAACTGAACAATGAGCTGATCAACCACTTTTTGGATATGAAAGAAGGCTGCAAAATTGTCTCACTCAAGTCCTTTGTTCCCGCTGGTCATAAAATCCAGTCTCGAAATCTGAACTCTCCAATCAATCTCCTCAAGGTTCAGCAGAAGAATTATTGGTCGAATAACGTGAGCTGGACTGACGTCGGCGGTACATATTTCATTGCCACTAAAGACAGCTCTCGGCTGAAAGCATTCATTGAGAATACGCCATAGTCTTCAATGGCTGGCTTGGCTTGGCTTGGCATGGCACATACATTTTGGTTTTTGGCACTTTTGTACATTACCCTGTCCGTTATTGGATGGATATATTTTGCCTGTTAAGTTTTTGTATTATACCATTTTCCGACAATTTGACATGTACAAAACGGATAATCTCTTCAAGTTTGGGCCCCCACAGTATGAAACTTGGTTCAATCCCTCCATTGCTCAATATTCGATTGGAACTATCATTTGTATAACTTTCCGATTATAGGGAAGAAGATCACCGCGAGCTTAGTACAGCACTTGCTGTTCAGACACTTAGTGAAAGGATCAGCAAGCCTTGATGTAGGCCGCATGATCATGTATCTGGCGCTTTCGTATTCCATCTAAGTGGCTAACTATCGCGATTCAAGATCTAAACATCACAGAATCTATGCTTCAGTCTCTCCTAGCAACCTTGCCCTGTCACCTGCTCAGTGCATTTGGACTAGTCAGGAATACTTCGACGCATCGTTCATGGCCTCAGCTTCTTGGCCCATTCTGGCCATCCAACGATCAACCAAGTCTTGATTCTCATTTCTAAGTCGAGTTGATCGTTCTTCAGCCATATTAAGTTGAAGATTTAGTGTCGCCAGTTCATCTTGGAAATCCTGCAGAAATGGACATGATCCATGTTAGCCACTTTCCCCAGCCCACCCTTGTGTGATTGGAAAGCCTATGTAAATATAAAAACAGCCTACCTCTAGCAGCTTGGCCTTTCCTTTCAGCTCCGCATCTCTATCATTCAATCGTAGCTTTAGATGGGCCCTCTCGCTTTCCAAGGTGTTGATTCTTCGACCATCTTGCGAACTCTTCTTGCGAAGTGTTTCCACTTCCGCATTCACTCGATTCAAGCGATCTTGTAATTCTGAGCGGGAACGCTGTGCCTCGGACAAGTCTGCACGAGTGGCATTGAGAAGATCGGTCGGGGTAGGATCTGGCTCCGTCGACCGTTGCTTTTTGGATGGTGCAACTATAGGGGATGGAACAGTAGGTTGAGCTTCACCGTGCGCTGTTGTGGGACTGGCGCATTTTGCTGCTCTAGCTAGGTTGCTGGTGCGATCTGCAAGCTGGGCATCTAGATTTGGTAAATGATGTCAGTCGCAATCCGTCAACAAAAAGCATCACTGATAGACTGACAGGCATCGTAAAGGGTAACATTTGCTTTTTCTCGTTGATCTCGGACTGTCAGGGCAGCCAAGTACTCCTCCCTCCAGTGGGCCATAAGCCTTCCCAAGTAAATGGGGATGTGCTTGAATGTGATGAAGTGGAGTTGGTTGCCGCCTCGGAGCAAGCTGTGGTGCTAATCGTTATCAATTGCCCACCGCTCGTGCCACCGCCCAGGCCTCATGCATCATCGATCCCGGCTACGACCCGACCCCAACCCCCAACTGACTTCTCCTTATCCATTCTATAAAGGCTTAGTGAAGACTGATCATAGGTCTTTACTTAATAGTGATTTTTTTGTTTATCCCTTGCGCATTTACATTACTTAGTCGATTCCCAACCATGGCGTCAAGGAAGAAGGTCCTCCTCAAGGTACGTATAATCTCCGCACCTGCTCCGTGTGACGAGTAACCAATCCTTGAAAAGGGTATTTTTTTTCTGACTGGCGCCTTTTTGGAAATATAGGTTATCATCCTTGGTGACAGCGGTGTGGGGAAAACAAGTTTGATGAACCAATATGTCCGTTCAACCTCGCCCCCAACCAGCGCTCTGCGGCCGTACCGCGCTCGGTCACGAATACCTATAAACGCTAACATGCAATTTTTCGATATGGATAGGTCAATAAGAAGTTCAGTGGAAGCTACAAAGCTACTATCGGAGCTGATTTCCTCACAAAGGAAGTTCTCGTTGACGACCGACTGGTGACAATGCAGGTAAGGCGTTGGAGAATAGCGCAATTGTGATGAGGGGCAATAACTGACTTGGTATCAGATCTGGGATACTGCAGGTCAAGAACGATTCCAGTCTTTGGGAGTCGCCTTCTACCGTGGAGCCGACTGCTGTGTCCTGGTCTACGATGTGAACAACTCTAAGAGTTTTGAGGCTCTCGACAGCTGGCGGGATGAGTTCTTGATCCAGGCAAGCCCAAGAGATCCAGAGAGTTTCCCATTCGTAAGTGTTTTTCCCGCATTCCTTTTCCTTATCTCGTGCGCCGCAGCAGCAGGCAGGAATGATGCGTTGGTCCGTGCTGATGGTCATGTGCAGGTTGTCATCGGTAACAAGGTCGATGTAGAGGAGAGCAAGCGTATGATCTCCTCAAAACGGGCCATGACCTTCTGCCAGTCGAAGGGTAACATTCCCTATTTTGAGACCAGTGCCAAGGAAGCTATCAATGTCGAGCAGGCATTTGAAGGTGAGTCAAATTCCAGCACGTAGTTGCTTTGCTCGAAAACTGTTCTCGTCCAAGCTTGCTAATCACTATTTAGTTATCGCACGGAGTGCACTTGCCCAGGAAGAGGCGGAGGAATTCAGCGGTGAATTCAGCGACCCAATCAACATTCATCTAGACAATGACCGTGATGGCTGTGCCTGTTGATATACCCTTCCTATTCCCGTGATGTTCCAGCGACCTATTTCCTTTTGTCTTTCCTTTTTCCTACTACTATTTGGTTAGTCTCCAGTCCTGAGTCTGTAGAGAAGACCACGGGGTTTTGCTTTGGATGACCTTGCCCTTCCCCCGGTGTCTTGTTAGATGTCTTGGTTTCAATTGTGGAATTTGCCCGAGAGAGAAACATGTTATTCAACCCTTTCTCAGTTCAGTTTTATGCAGACAATGTCTTTTTTGGGCTTAATGCAATACCATCTTCGTTTTTCCGCAACAGGCAGTTGGTCGCGTACTATTTTATAGAAATAAAGATAGCACGATCGTATGACCCGTTATCATCAGGGTACCTAGGTAGATTACCCCTGAGGGCAGCCATAACATGTGTACTTATCATATGTGGCTCATGATTTACTATAGTAGATATAAATTACAGGGCATACATAACATAAGTCCTTCATTGAAAGCCAGAGCTTTGTTTTTTTTACCTCCATAAACACTAAGTAGAGCAAAATAATTGGCAAAAAAAGAATACCGACTCCACTTTATTTGAATGGAATTCGAAAAAAAAAGAAACGACGGCTGCATGATTCGAACATGCGCCCGCGAACGGAATTGATTTCCAGGAATGTCTCCGAAGAGTTGTTTTCCATTCGAGTCAATCGCCTTAACCACTCGGCCAAACCGCCATTGGATGATAGAGACAGTAAGATCTAACAATATGACTGAAGAGATAGAATCAAATAAATGATAGTCCTTCTTGGAGGAAATGATTCATAAAAGAACATGGGGCTGAGTAGAGGAGAGAAGAATTTATTTCAAGAGCGAGGCTACTATATCCTCAGAAGCAGAAGACATGTCGAAGAATGTTGTTTGACACTGTTGATCGGACATCATGTGTCATATATGTGGGTGTTCAGCACCCACATAGCAGGAGGTATAAGATATAAAGATCGCTCGACAATGTGACATTGAATGTTTCTGGGAAAATGTTCGACACTCAAAAAGATTACAACCGTACAAAATAGGTCTCCAAGGCCTAAATGAGCGCAATCACATATCGACCGCGACTATATTTCTCCCCACCCGAGCCCTTATCTCACGGATGCTTGGCGTCTGACCGCGTGTTCTCATCAAACACTCTTTTAGGCAAGAAGTCTCGTGGCATTTTGCCCTTGCGCTGAATATATCTTGCTCCTTGATCTTCAAATGACACCATCCCGACTGATACCCCGTTCAACTCGGAATCTTCGGCTGCAAACGTAGTGATTGCGACATCGGCACGAGGTTCCTGATAACATCTTGACAAGTCGCGCAAATTTACCCCTTTGCTCAAACCTCTCACAACTACAATTACCATGGTCTCGGCCACGCCCGAGGGACCTGGTGCGATGCCACTGGGGGTAGCGCGACGGACATTAGGAATCATCCTGCTCCTAGTGGTGGTCGTGCTATGGACAACCTCGAATTTCCTTGGAAGTGTATGCGTGCCCTCTTTTTGAAAAAAAATATAACACAAAAGGCATATATTGCTGCGAACATTTGGCTAATTACGCGTCTAATGCTGTCCAGACCATCTTCGCCGACAAGACCTACCCGAAACCTTTCTTCGTAACTTATACGAATACCTCCATGTTTATGCTGCCCCTAGTTATAATCGTTGCTCGTCGAACATGGGCTCTTTGGCGCCTCGGAAAACTCTCTCAGGTTACTTCTCTAAGGAGTTTTTTGAATCATTTGGATTCGCATGATCCCAAGGCCGAGGAGGAGAGCATCCTACACAGCGGTTCCGATGAAGAGGGTAGGCAATTCTCGCGGGAAATACATGATCCCCCAAGCGGAAAGCTAGGACTCAAGGCAACAGCTAGACTCAGCATTCAGTTTTGTATTCTCTGGGTAAGCACATAATCTTGATATTTGGATATATGATCAGCCGGCTAACCTATCATAGTTTACTGTATGTCGTACACCTCACGCTGTGATGGCTTACGTGTTGGAAGTGGACTAACTGAAGTTCCTTTATATAGGCAAATTACTTCGCCATGGGGTGCCTTCAATTTACGTCAGTCGGAAGCACAACCATCCTGACTTCCACCAGTGGTAAGGATTCCCCTGTTTAAATGTGTTGGAAATTTGGTTCTCATGCTCACTCGTCTAGGTGTATGGACCATGGTCTTCGGCGCCCTGCTCCGTGTTGAGCAATTTACACTGCGCAAATTCATGGCTGTTATGGCTTCTCTGATTGGCATTATCCTAATTTCGCGCGTAGATCTCTCCACAGACACAGGCGAGGGTGCAGATGGCAGTGAGGGCTCATTCCCACACAAATCCGCGGGGGAGATTGCTCTCGGCGATGCCATGGCGGCGTTCAGCGCCATTTTGTACGGTCTTTATACCGTTGTGATGAAGAAACAAGTTGGCGACGAATCACGCGTGAACATGCCACTATTCTTCGGACTAGTTGGATTTTTCAACATTATCCTTCTGTGGCCTGGTTTCTTTATCATGCACTGGACGGGAATGGAACCCTTCTCCTTGCCCGAAACTTCGCGAGTGTGGTTAATCATTCTGGTATGACTCCAAGCCCTCTTGTTCACCTTTGATTCTTATTTGACTAACCTCACGTCTATCAGTCTAATGCGCTTGCATCATTTGTCTCTGACATTGCTTGGGCTTACGCAATGCTTCTTACCACACCGCTTATCGTGACGGTCGGGCTCAGTATGACCATCCCGCTCTCCCTGATTGGACAGATGGTCCTACAGTCACAATACTCCAGCCCTCTGTACTGGGTTGGAGCAGCTATCGTGGTCTCATCTTTCTTGGTTGTGCAACATGAGAGCAAGCCTCAGGACGATCTTACCACCACTGCTAGAGCAGGCGGGTCCTTCTCAGGCGAGTATAACAGCATTCCTGTTGAAGAGGAGGAAATGCGTTAGTCTAAGTTTACGAATGTTTTTGTATTTATCGCTACACAATTTTTGTAGCTTGTTCACATATCAGTTTTACGATCTTGTCCCGCTACCCTTCGCTACCTAATCAAAGAGCTGGTGTTTCCAACATAGAATGTAGAGCCATTCAACGGAATTATTATCAACTCTATTTCTGTGGATATTCTGCAGAATTTGTCGCCAGATTGTAGATGAAATTTCGTTGAATCCTCTTCATGCGCTGCATATCAGAATCACTGTTCATACATGTACCTATACGTGTATATATATATATATATATTAGATGTATTTCTTCTACCGGGGGCTAAGCCAAAAAGATAATAACGATTCTCGAGAATCAGATTCTCATTGTAGCGATATATATATTAGGCCCTTGCATCCGTTCAGGGCCTAATATATACCGCTGCAGTGACAAACACACGTTCTGTTTGTCCTTATGATCTTTTGGCCTAGCGGTTAAATGCTCTTATGTAATCACTTAGGTGTAGCGGCCTAAGTAAATCTGCCGTCCCGGCAGGATTACACACGTACATTAAAGCCACCACGTGATGAACCAGATTCCAAGGCAGCATTGGAGAACGGGTTGATGCCTGTTCCCTTACTAATAAACAGTAGAAGACTTTGAAGGCCACGGATATAATTAAGAAACTATACAACTACAATGCCGAGATCCGTTTAATCAATCATAGTTTATGAGCATAAAATTATAAAAAGCATATATATCTTCCACCTATGATATATCTGGAGGTACTACCAGTTTGACGGCGTTAAGCACGGACTTAGGATAAATATGTATGTATCGTTGACCCACAAGAATCCATATAGGCACACCGAGATCAACCTATGGCTACTTGGTACTAGCATCTCATGGTGACTAAAAAGCCGAAGGCAATAAAACATGCCAAAGTGGACCAACAACCAAGAGCCAGCTGGAAGTGGTTTCTAACATTCCGGTACGATAGTGAACCCAACGAGCCAAAGAAGGGCCCGGCAAAGAAGTAGTTACTATAAGGGGATCTGCCTCTGGCCCGGTATCAAGCCTAAAATACTCGATGAATGGCGGAAATATTCAACGAATGCGGGATGCGGCATTGTAGGGATTACATACAGCCCCATGATAACAGATGCCAAGGCTGTTATAACCTGCCCCTGGACTGGCGAGTTACACACTAGGCCAAAATGACCACTATATCTGAGCATTACGCTCAGATATTCCAGGCTCCGATATATATAGTGCGACATGACAGCTGTGCTATGTACTTTGTATGGTGTATGCCCGAAAATCACGACTCATAATGCATATGGAGTAAGTGGTAGTGCGAGTAATAAAGTAAAGTGGCATATGAGCACGTCTAGAGAGACAACAGGTGCTGCAGATATGCTTCTTTTCTTTGCAAATGCATCGGTGATCATCGGCCTCGTGAAAGTTCCCGACGTCAGCACTTTGACCCCACGTACTAAAAGCCACCCGATAGTTGGTCGGATTCCCGGATGTGACCTGGGGCTAACTGGCTCCGCCACTGGGGACTTGCGGGGTTGGCAGTATAATCTGGGGAGACCGAGTTCCGCGGGACTGCCTTCTCTTCATTCCCGTTACGGATAATAGCTATATAATCGTCAATCGCATCGCTCGCTTCTCGCGACGATGATGCGCGGTAATATAGCTCTGCGAAAAAGCAAGGATGCGACAATATGCGACGCCATCAGCTAATGACTCGGGCCAGAACGACCACGACAACAGTGCTAACAGCAACCCTCAACAAGAAAAAGTCGCGGCATCGGGAAAAGATCGTCAGGACCGCACCCGTGCGACACGCGTGGGCCGGTCGGGGCCAAGATCTAGGTTGGGATGCCTGACGTGCAAGTGGAGACGTGTGCGATGCGACCAGGTTCATCCGGTCTGCGGTCATTGCTCTCGCCTTCAGTTAGACTGCGACTATGAGCCGCATCGACAGAGACGGAAACATCAGCGGATGAATGATGTAGCCCCAGCCGATCAAGCCCAAGAAGCCCTGATTTCCTTGGCTGCAAAGGGGGTACAGACTGATGATTCGCTAGCGCAGTCGGGTGGAACATTAGCAAGTAATAGTACTGCAGATCTACGGCACCCTTGGAGACTGCAAGACTCCCCGCCCGTGTCCAATCACGCACAAGATGGAATGCCAGGCGAGACCTCGTTTGGACATTTCCACAGCGCCGGTTACCTTCAGAGTGGCGTATATGCGACGCCAAGTCAGTGCAACGATTCCTTGCCGCCGTGGGATCTCTCAAGCGCGGTGAATTTTGTAGATGTGTTCTCCGGGGGAGATACGTCGTGGGCACAGGAGAGCTCGTGCACACTGCCCGATATCAGAGACACCCCAGCATCGTTCCCTCCGCAGGGAATACAGCCTATCGAGCGGGGGCGATTTGATAGTCCTTTGAAATTCACTGAGTCTAGCGCATTCAAACGCCTTGAGTCAGTAAAATCTAGCCATGACAGAATTGCTTCCCAGGCAGAACTATTGCGAGTGCAATCGACACCAGAAGCCCAGACTCTGACAAGATCGAGGACCGGTCCGTCACTGGGTTCAAACGAAGACCCCACGCGTCTTTTCCAGCTCTTCAGGAAAATCCAGCAGCCCCCAGCAGCCATTCTCATCGGCGGCTCCAAGCGCTGGCGTCGGCTACAGCATTACCTCTGCAGGCTGAGCGACCAGTCCCGTGCGGTCCACAGCTCTCTGTTATGTTTCATTGAGCTCTTCATGATCGACGAGATAACACCAGAAGAGGATCAGAGCGAAAGATGCATGAAGCGAATTCTGGGCCATCACGCTCTGGCATGCCAGGAGATCGAGCGCAAAATCTCCAAAAAGGGTCCAATCAAGCCGGTGACGAGGGAGTGCATGCTCGCAGCAATTTTCTTTTTAGGCTGGTTCGAGGTGATTAGGGACCAGGACTCAAGCCGCAGCCTTTTCCCACGAGAACTAGCCAATGCAGTCATTATGATTAGCGCAAAATGGAACAGGTATTCGAAGCAGCTGCTGTCGTGGCTGAACACCCTCGACAGTAAGGCGACTCATCTCGGCCGTGAGCATCTCCTGGCACCAGAGACCCTGCATGTTGTCTCTTACTACCACACCGAAATCACATCATCTCTGGATCGCAGGACTGATTATGACGACGATGGCTCTGATAATCCGGATCAATTGTCACCTGATATGTCGCCAGGGGTTTCATACTCGTCGCCTATGGAGTCAGTCAATACTCCACCGTTTTTCAGCCTGGGTCAGGTGAAGCAGACCATCCTCAAAGCTATCCTTCAACCAGCGCTCGCCTGGTATTTGACATCGCAATCATATTGCCGTCGTATCAGTGCGCATGACAAGCATCATCGGAGGCGGTTCACCAGTGACGATGAGTACGAAGTTATCACGGCATGCAAGGAGATTGAGATTGAACTGTTCGAGCTCTGGGATAGCCGGCCGGCTGCCATCACCATGCCTACGGACCAGCTCATGGCCGTGATATCGCCGGATATCGCTATTCAGCTAGAGGAGATCTTCAGCACATATGTCGCTAGCTTCTGGATCCTGTTCGTGTACCTGCATCGTATTACCTGGTGGCATCTCCCACATTCTCCCCTCGCGAAGAGGGCCCTGCTCGAAGTTTGGCACCACATGCAGCGTGCCCAAGGCGAAGAAGTGGATGGACCACTTCGCAAGATCATACATCCATGTTTAATGTGGCCTCTTTTCCTCTTTGGCTCAGAATCTCAAAATCAAGAGCATCGTACATGGGCGATTGAACAACTGGAGGCACTGGGCGAGAAAAGGTTGGCTGTCCCAGAGAATGGAACAAACGATGATACCCTGCCTCCTTTCAAGCTTAGCTCTGGTGCGACTAAGAACGCTCACAGAGCTGCGATACTTTTACGGGAGCTTGTAAAAGAGCAGGATGCTAAACAGGAGAGGGTCGATGACAGGGATCTTTCCATGAGGATGTTTGGATGCTATTTCTCTATTGTGTAATTGGAAATGTAGTTTACGTCCTGTACCTTTTCTCACTTCTCATGTCTCTCTTCCCCATGTTCCATTTCCCACCTTCTCGCACTACCTTGTCCTCTCTATGAACCAACCTTCCCCCGAGTCAAAACTTCTATATTGCTTGCCTTGAGCATTATGATTCTAGAACCATGATAGAATCTAATGATACCCGCTTTCTGAGAAACCAAGCCTGTAATCAAAATACCTCAAAAATACTAAAAATAACTCCATATCCTACTCTGTACTAGTATGCAAGCCACAGCCCCAATGTCATGAACTTCCAGCCAAGCGCCACCAAGAGGAAAACGGAAATTCGGATACTGATCAAACTGACCGAAACCCAGACTCTTTATAGCCTTTTACAGATCGGCTAATACTAAGTAGCCCAGAGATTATTAAGCGAAAATGCACAGCTTGAAATCAGATTCATTTAGGCTCGAAGTAATGCCGTTGCTATATAGTGCAATTATTCTTTCTCTAGCAACCACCGAAGTCCTGCAATAGAATCCGCCTTATGCTTTTTGCTAAACTCTGCGTTGGGCCAGAAAGTCCAGAAACTATGTGGCAGGCCAGGATAAAGGTCGATCTTTGTAGGTACGTGAGCCTCTTCCCGAAGCATCTTCTCGTAGACTAGCCCTTCATCTCGGAGAGGATCTGCCCCGGCTACTTGGAAGTAAGTTGGCGGGATACCAGCATGTGAAGGGAATGAAGCAGGTGATGCAAGAGGGGAGAATGGATCGTCTTCGTAAAGTCCTGTAGAACAAGGTTAGAATCAATAACGGGTGCATAAAGAGACTCTAGTTGGGCCACAGGAAAGGTGTGGTAGATACGCACCTCGGAAGAGTGCAATAGCTTTCTCATTCAAAATGAGCGCGTCCTTGTTCTCCTCTCTACTCGTATAATCCTGCTTCAGCCGCTCGGGAACAACTTCCGGCGACAGAATGCTCGGGATGCTCAAATACACACCGGTAAGGCTTGGGGTCAGGTTGTCGTCTCTGGCAAGATGCGATATGGCACAAGCGATGTTTGCCCCGGCAGAAATGCCAGCCACAATAAAGCCCTTCGTTAATCCGCCTCCATGAACACTAGAGTTATCAGCAGCCCACCTGACGGCATCGTAGCCATCGTACACGGCTGCCGGGAATTTGAACTCGGGGGCCAGCCGATAATCGACATTAATGCCGACACCATTAAGGTCCTGGCACCACTGCTTGCATAGAGAGGCCTCATTGTCGAGCCCGCCTAGAGCAAATCCGCCTCCATGGAACATCACCATCACAGGTCCATCTTGGGATTGAGGCCCGCGATAGACACGCACAGTAATATGGGAGCCATCGCGGGTGGGAATCAGGTGGTCCGACTCCATAATCGTCGTGTCACTTGGCGTACCAAGAGCCCCCGCCGCAGCCTGTTTCTTGCGGAGAAGCATCTCACGCAAGGCGTGGATATCAGTTGTATCACCTAGGGAGGCCGGGGTTGGGCCATCTTTTAGAATCTAGTACGGAGTACTAGTAAGCCCTTCTGTGTGGGTAGAAAGCTGGTGAGAGTAGACACACCTGTACAAGTTCAGGGTCCATATAACCCGTTGTTAGCATGAGAGTAGATGCTGACATTTTTGCTGTGGAACTGCTGGACAAATGCTGCAAGACTTCTGAAAGATTGCACAGTGTGATGGGTTATAGTGAGGGCATTGCTTTAAGGGAAATCTACGTGGTACAGATAGTCAGAAGTCTAACTAACCGACGCAGTCCCGATGCCCAAATGCCGAAGTCATTTCTAGAAACGAGCTCGCGACGCTCGCGTAAATTTTGATGGGCTCGCATAAATTTACTTGGCATAAGTCAAATTAACCGTGTAAGCGGCCAGCTCTCTGTGGGGTAGAACACATGGGGAAATGCGGAGGTCTGGGGAGAGGCTCAGCTGCTGTCCTTTACCTATTTTGTCGTATACTGTCGGTTGACGGCATTCGAATGTTTTTGCAGAAGCCTAATTCTCCAGCATATACTAATCCAAATGTTGATAAACCCGGAGGAGATCAATTATATGCCCCCACAAACCAAATTTCCACCTACCAGCTCCCAGTATAGATAGAATTTCTTCTGTAAAGATCAATTTCAGATGCCGACAGAACAGATAGCCGTAAACAAAGGATGAAGATAAATAGAGAGAGTGAGAACGAGTAGATTGTCATCAACAAGTTCCATTTACCAAACGTTCTCTGCCAGCATGTGGTCTTCTCGCCTTTCACTGGCAAGTATTGCCTTGTTCCTTACTCAGGGGCAATGTTCTTGCCCTCCTCTGGATATCCCAGCACCTGCGAAGAATATCGAGGCAGTCCCCCGTGACTACCAGTCATTTTCCATTGAATTCACCTATTTCCCTGATTATGCGGGTAATAAGTCGAATCCGAATGTGTTCTCCAAGAACCTCTTGGCCAACTTCAAAGATATCACGGGCGTGAACCCCAAATTGAGGATTGGGGGAAATTCTCAGTATGAATCTTTCCACTTGTACACTATTACTGGTAGAATACTCACATATTTGCTTTTTTTACAGGGACAATTCCGATTACTTTCCCGAGCAAAAGGAGAACATCAAACTCATCTTTAAGAATCCGGGCGATGACCAGCCGGAGAAAGCCCACTACGGTCCGTCCTATTTCGAATCTTACCAGACCCTGGGAGATATCCAGTTCATCCATGGCTTGAACATGAAACAAAATGACTCTCGTCAGCTCCGTGATGCGGCTGTGGGAGCATGCACTTCGCTCGGCTCCAACTTGCATCTCTTCGAGCTGGGAAATGAATGGAACTTCGGTCCTGGTATTTATCTGGCTGCCAATTACTCAATCCAGGACTATGTACAGGAATGGAAGAGGAAGTCTGACGTTGTGCTCGCTGGTGTTCAAAAGGCTTGCCCAGGTCCCTTTCCAGGATTTATGGCACCTAGCTTCCTTTACTTTGCATCTGGGCTTTTTAACCAGCAGTTTCCCTGGAAAGCAGAAGACCTCTACAAACTTGGATACGACCCGAAGAATTTGACCAAAGAGATCTCATTCCACACGTGAGTTTTCGTCATGTATCCGTAGTTAACACAATAATTCATCTAAAATTCCGATTTAAAGTTATATGAATGCCTTCCTGCCACCTCTGCCTCCAGCTGCCATGGATCTTCAGGGTATGGCATCATTCTAAGCTAACTTGACCAAAATAGAAGCACTAACACTAGATAGAAACTTTCATGAATCATACCAACATTGTTGAGAATCTTGCTCCTCAAATTCAGCGCGCCAAGAACCTCGCTCACCTTGGCCATCCTTTCACCCTTGATGAAATGAATTCAATGGCTGGCCAAGGTCGCAATGGCGTTACTGACGTTTTTGGAATTGCCTTATGGCTAGTGGACTTCTCGCTTTGGGCAGCTGCAAATGTATTGATATCGTCCCCTGTTCTAGACTAGATCACCCTAAACTAATCGATCCATAGAACATCAAGCGTCTCCATTTCCACCAGGCTCTCAACTATCGTTATACCTCGTGGCAGCCGATTCTAAGCAAAGGAATTCCTCCGGCCACCAGAGCTCCTTACTACGGCCAAGTCATGGTTGCCTCTGCTTTTGGTCGCTCAAAGAATGCTCGAGTTGCCAATATCCCTCTATCTGGAGATAAAGAGGCTGCCTATGGTATTTACGAGGGGAAGAAATTGTCTAAACTTGTTGTTCTCAATCTCCAGACGTTTAACCAGACAGCATTTGGGAACCGATTGACTCGAGAATACAAGTTCAACGTTCCTAGACACACGAAGAGGGTCAAGATTGAGCGTCTTATTGCTCCAGGAAGTGATTCTACTGGCAACATCACTTTTGGGGGCATTTCATACGATTATGGTCTTAAGAGGGGAAAGCCCACACTGGTGGATGCAAAGGAAAAGAACCAGTTTGTCAAGGTTAAAAATGGGGTTCTTCGAGTTGATGTTCCTGATTCATCTGCTGTCCTTCTAACCCTTCTTTGATTTGCTGTACGCTCGCGGGATTGGTTCTGTCCGTGTTCAATGAGATTCTCTTATTTCGGTCAAATAAAACTGTTTGGGTTTGAAATCTAGTGTATCTCTCAAAAATCAAATATGTGGTCTGATATTCCTACGAATTTGCATTACCGGGAATCGCTCTCTTCTTTTTTTCGATGAGACATCAATGGATAGGATTAAAGAATAAAGGAGTGGGGCTATTAAGTGGATCCGTTGATTAGGCTTAACTAGCGCGTATTCTAAGCTTAGTTAGGGATGGGGCGATATAGACAAGTTAAGATATTTCTTATAGCATAGCCTATGCAGTAGTTAAGAGCACCAAACTTGCTCTATCGATAGGTCCAGGTGGATTGCCCTTGAAACCACCTAAGGATATACATTGCTGGAAATCCCCTCTTCCTTTAAACTATCTTTTTTTTAAAACAAAATAAATATGTACATATTACACATTTCAAAAAAACAAAAAACAAAGGAAACGGGGTTATTAAAGTAGAATATCTACGCTTTAGACCATTCATATAAGTAACTTAGTAGTGGTAGGGTATGGAAAATGAACTTGATTATTGTTGTAATAACTAAGCAACAGCCTCCAAAATCTCCTGGACTTGCTCTTCCCTGAGCAACGGTACAGGGTTAGTAGGTGACCAGAAGTCACGAAGAGCCCCTTTCGAAAGTGCTGGGAAGATATCTCTGCCAACCTGCACCTCGTGAAGTGACCTGGGGAGGCCGAGTGCACGAATGATAGCATCGAGGAGTTGACCAAGGCTGGACATATCCGAGAGGCCTGCTTCTCGGAGTGCCGCTGCAACTTCAGGCTCAGACCAGAGAATATCTCGCACTTTATCTTGGCGTGCTTTTATCTGTGGATTCTCAGATCCATACTTGATATTGTACTCCATCACAGCGGGGCTCATGATACAACTGGTAATACCGTGCGGAACTCCTAATGGGCCTTTGCGTCTGTCAGCATATCACACGTTGTTATTCTGGGGTGGAAATGGCGCTGAACCTAGCTGATGGCCGATAGCATGGCTTCCGCCCAAAGGAATCCCAGCCCTGAGGTTGGCCATGGCAAACCTCGCGGCCAATTGACACTTATGTCTTGCGGGAATATCCTGGGGATCCTTTTTACACTTCATCAGACTTGGAACGATCATTCTCAAGCCATTCTCGGCATATTCATCAGACTTGGCCGTTGATCCCAGAGAGCACAGCGCCTCAACACAATGGTCGATGCTCCGCACACCTGTGCTCAGCCAATGGTACTCTGGAGTGAGTGTGGAGAGCTCCGCATCAAGGATCACAAGTCTAGAGCCCATCCCAGAGTGGATGAAGCCATGTTTGTGGTGTGTAGAATCCTCGGTTCCGCCGCCGGTGCTGAAATATTCTCCTCCAGATAGAGTTGTTGGAATATTTATGAGGGGAATCGTGGGCTCCTTAACATTTGCTGGAATTTCGGTACTCTCAATCGAGTAACGAGCCAGCTGAGATGGCTCAGTAATATCATTGGCAAGGCACTAGAGACCCATCAAAGATCAGCTTGCACTCTCAATAAAGAAAACTACCTCTATGCCCGCAGTATAGAAGTTCAAAACCGAAGAAGCAACAAGATATCTCAAGGGCGTTTCATCCACAAAAATTCAAGTGAAAACGAACCAGAAGGACAATTTTGGCACCGTCAGTTATGCTGCCAGCGCCAAGAGTAACGACGGAGTCAGCGTTAGCAGCCCGGCACTCGGCCGCGATGCTCAATATCTCAGACCATGGCGTATGGGGCGTAATTCCATTCCTTACGCCGACTACCTTGCTTTCACCAATCGCCTTGATCAGCCTGTCGACTCTGTCCGTGTTACGCGCCAGAGACCCAGACGCGATGATATACACCCTGGAAGCATGGAATGTATGTTCCAGATGCTTTGCGCATGATTCTTCATATGTGAGACCCCATGATACATGGGGTGTGGGCAGACTGAGGTGTTCAATGGGGAGACCGGCCAGGTTACCCGGGGGTTCGGTGAAGGCTAGTTCAAAAGTCTCTTTGGAATCCATGTTGGCACTGCCGCAAATTGCTTGTAGCTTTGGTGAAAATAATTCAATCGTAGTGGTGTTTCGTGACGTAGCAAGGAGACCCAAGTGTTGACCCCAGAGCCATACTTTTGGATAAAGCTGCAGGTTATAGGAAAATCCGGGAAATGCCTGTGGAGACTTCGGCTACTAAGCCACCGCGGGGTATTAGTCTGGGGTTGAAAGAGGCCAGCTCGTTTGTCGTGTATCTCGTTTCCATCGCCTCCGTCGCATCTGTCGCATTTTTCGGGTACTACTGTAGTCGCGCTAGATACCGCATTGCTTAGTCTCAAATAGGAACCTTAATGATGACAGGATTTTATGCAATTTATGCGATAGAATAGCACAAGGGTGTTCTGCATCTAACTGGTAGACGTCATCTGACATCCGTCGAGGTCATTTGATTACCTGCATGGATCTGATGCTCAAGTGGTATTTAAATCGCCCTCACGCTCAAAATGTGTTTTATCCTCTATCTTATCCAAGTATTCCATCGTAGCTTAACATCATGACCGATTCTCGTATTATGCTCATCTCCGGGGCGCCGGACGTCGGCGCCATTCCCGAACCCGGCGCACGGCATGATAATAATTGGTATAACCAAGATTTCCACGGGTATCGCGTTACTGAACAACCCGTGTTTACAAAGCGGCACCTACGAGTAGTTTGTGTTGGTGCCGGCGCTTCAGGTATCCAGCTCGCCTACAAGGCCGAGCGGCTCCTTGAGAACATCGACCTCCAGATCTATGAGAAGAACTCAGACATCGGTGGCACCTGGCTGGAGAACCGCTATCCAGGCTGTACCTGCGACATCCCATCTCATTCCTACCAGTTCACTTGGGCGCGGAACCCTACTTGGTCCAGCTTCTACTCTGGCGCCGAAGAAATCTGGCAGTATATGAAGGATGTTGCCGTCAAGTATGACTTGGAAAAGTACGTTCAGCTGGACACAAAGGTCCAGTCTGCCGAGTGGGACGAGCAGACCGGTCACTGGAACTTGAAAATTTCAGGTCCAGAAGGATCCGCCACTGAGGACTGGTGTGACATCTTGATCTCCGCGTCCGGCGTCGTCAACGCGTGGAAGTATCCTGCAATCACAGGAATCGAGACATACAAGGGGAAGCTGATGCACTCCGCACGCTGGGACGATTCATATGATTTGACTGGTAAGACCGTGGCCGTCATTGGCGGTGGCTCGTCCGCGGTGCAGATTATCCCAAACATCCAGCCCCTAGTCGGCAAGATGTATGCCTACTTGCGATCGGCCTCTTGGATCACCACCGGATTTGGTGCCAAGTATGCCGGACCGGGAGGCACAAATTTCAAGTATACAGCCGAGCAGATTAAAGAATTCGAGGAGAACCCCGAAGTTCTCAGGAAGTACTGTCGTGACATTGAAGGAGAATTGAACAAACGCTTTAACCTCGTGCACGGCAACTCTAACGACCAGAAAAATTCTAGAGTGCTTATCGGCAACATTATGAAGCAGAGACTCGGCAGCGAGAAGCTTGCCGAAAAGTTGGTCCCTGAATTTGCTCTTGGCTGTCGCCGAATGACTCCAGGATCCGGATATCTGGAGAGTCTTTCCAAGGAGAACGTGGAGGTCATTCACAAGAGCGTTGTGCGTCTGACTGAGGACGGTCTCGTTGATGAGGACGGTGTTGAGCAGAAAGTCGATGCTGTCATCTGCGCCACTGGATTCGATACCTCGTTCGCGCCTCATTTCACGGTCATCGGCCGGAAAGGAGCAAATATCAAACAGCAATTTGGTGATTTCCCACAGGGATACCTCGGTATCACAGCCGAGAACTTCCCAAATATGTTCCGTAAGTCAAGTCTTTGCCCCAATAGCTTTTACATGTATTTTGTTGGGCGGAATGCAATAACTAACATCCTGCCCTAAAATACAGTTTTGGCCGGGCCTAATTGCCCCGCCAGCCACAGTTCGATTTTGCCAATCATGGAGTGGTATACTCGCTACATTTTCCAGATGATTGAGAAGATTCAAACAGAAAACATCAAGTCATTCGAGGTCAAGGGTGGTGCAGTCAGAGACCTGTTTGACCACACCCACGAGTTAATGAAGCGCCTGGTTTGGTCGTCGCGTAAGTATCCATTTAGCCCCGGCATGGTAATATCTTGCTAACAAAATCGGCAGCCTGCCGCTCATGGTTCAAGAACGGCAAGATTCATGGTCCTGTCACAGCCATCTATCCCGGCTCGCGGCTGCATTTCTTCGAGGTGCTCAAGAATGTCCGATGGGAGGATTATAAACTGGAATACAAGACGGCAAATAGGTTCCAATTTATGGGAAATGGCTTTACACACACTGAAAGCAGCGTCAATGGTGACCCGGTGTGGTACTTTGATGATCCTTTTGTCCTGACTTGAGTCAGTGATATAGTGTTCCCAAAACCGGGATTCTTACCGCTCTTGTGCTTTATCGTTCTTTGCTTATTATAATCAATTCTTTACGTTTATTTTTAATGATTCTCTTATTGGATGCATATGATCGTTATATTTTTTGCCTGATTCACGAGATCTTAGTCCATCAGATAGTCTTGTGTATTTATATGGATGGCTCCATTGCCCAGCTGAAATAGACCATTAATTTATCTGCCTAAGATCCCTCATCAGTTATGAACCTTGTTTTGTTCAATAAGCTTGATTTTTTCAAAGAATATTTTCTCTAGAAATGAGGACTGTGAGGGAATGGACCATTTATCTCAACTTGAGCCGTTCCACTCGTTTCTGCTATTTATGCCAAGACTAACTAAAAGCTTGGTTTGAGAAAGCTTCATAACTTATAGTCACACCTTAGAGCCATCTATGTGTGATCTCTGAAGAGATATCCAGTGTAGCTACAAATCTAAACCTCAACCGTGATATTTTAATAGCGACTTGGGAATATAAACCAACAGATATTAGTTCACTCTTTTGGAAGGCATCACACTTCTCGCATTTCAGTTTTTGATTTCGACAATCGCCAAATTAGTTATCATCGTATCTGTAGTTTAGGATAACACCACTGAAAGGCTGAACTTTCTGGTTTACCCCGTGCACAGACATGTGATACGTGACATAGGCACAGGGCCGATTTGCATCATGTGTTTCAGCATTTCCATAATTCCGTCGAGTGGGAATTAATCCTGGTTTGCAGGTCCTATTCTGACATGCTGGTTGAAAACCAATTCTACCATCCGAGAGCAACGAAATGGCAATACCGGAGCGGAATAAGAAAACCATATGGCGGTGGCGTAAGAGCCAAAACAGACAATATAATCTTTCAGAGAGAGGTCGTTCTTCGCCTGTTGTCTCCCGGGACCGCGGGGCATGAATGGCGAGGTTAAACTGGTATATTGCTGACCAGAACAGGAATGACACTGCGAATATGACTACTGTTGTGAGCACGAATACCCAGACTGATGGGTTATCGAGTTCTCGTAGGTTCATGCCAAAAGTGGAAGTTGACAATGAGGCAGGCAAGAAAACAAAAGCAATTATGGTGACTAGGTAGAGACAAAACAGGCTGAGTATTGACCTCTGGATATCCATGGATGGTTTGTATAGCACTCACGCATCTTCATTCGTTTTCCCTCTTTGATCGCAAGCTCCGCTTGCAGAATAGCCTTTTTCGACTCCTCTAGGCTTAACCTGCCGACTTCCAACTGTTGCTCGTCTCTGAAGAGGGACTCCATCCTTCTAGTACATTTTATGGCATAGTCGTGGTCAATCTCAAATATGTCCCTGGATTGATGATCTCCAAGGGTTGGATCCCAGAACCTATCCCAGCTATCTCGGCTTGCAGCACTTGCTTCAATGTCAACCCGTAGAGCTCGCCATATTATATGTAGCGATTCACGGTTGATCTCGTCACTTTCACTGAGAAGCGTGGAGATGGTGTATAGCTCTGCGAACTTGAAATCTAAACACGGTGCCAGGAAAACCATCGCATTCAGGTGGGCCTCAGATACTCGATCACGAGGCCAGTTAATTAGAAAAGTGGTGTAAATATTGACGAAAACCTTGTAGTCGTTATAATAGTCGTAATAATCAGTGAAGAACTGAAATGGGGTGGAAGGGTCAACGCTTTCTGGAGCCACGCTCAATTGACGCCGAAAGCGAAATTGAGAGCGTAGAATCGACGCAGAAATAGGAATGTCGTTTTGATCATTTCGGCTCCGTCTTGGAGGAGTCCAGAAAACTGTCATGGCGTTAGCATAGCCCCTGCTCTAGTCAAATATGAACCTACTGAACACGATGTTCAAATCATGCTTCACTGTCGCTCCACACTGCCTCTCAAGAAAAAGTGCAAATCGTCCATAACCAAGATTAAGAAGCCCAGGTTTCTGCTTTGAGCAGGAATCCCACGGCAGGAAAGAAGCCACCGCACGTGGATCGAATATCTTCCCCTTGGGCCGGTTAAAATAATCGAAAATTGCTTTCAAAAGTTCCGGGTCCAGACCGTACTCCAGGGCAAAGATATCGTAGAAGAGGGTATGCCTCCAATAGTCCGATATCACAATTCTAGTGCGAAGGTCATTGCCGTGACACCGTGTGGCGCGTTGGAACTCCGCCTGATGCTTCTCGTCTGTCTGGCCCTCCTGGAGAAAAGGAAACACATGCGGAGAAGAGACAGAGCCACTTGCAGAGATGTCTATCATTGTGATCGAACCAGCTTGCGTGTAGTTACCTCTTCTCTCATAGGCTAGCTGATTTTCCTCAAAGAATTTTTCATAGAAATGCTTCTGCGAGGGAAACGTTGACCCGTACATGTAGTATTCTCTGTATGTCTGGAAGCCCATTTGGCGAGGGCTATCAGTTACCTCATGCTCGATAGGAGCCTCCGGCAATTCTTGTGCTGTTGGTGCAGTCATTGGGTGTGTTGTGTAGAAGATTGAGAAATGGGAATCATTCAATTTCCTCACTTCTTATTTGGGGCATTCCTATTCAATTAACTGGTGGCTTGGATACGGAGTATACTGCTATGTCAGCTCGGGCGACAAGGGAGGCTAATGAGGGCTAATAATAACTAACATGTACCTACACGTACGCCATCAGTAATAAATATGGTACTTTTTTCAAATGCATACAACTAGTTAAATACAGAAAAGTCCACGGACTACCTACATAGTATGTATGGACATACTGGTAATTAGTACTACATGTAATACATAGGTATTACTGGCAGTTTACTCCTAAATAGGCTAAAAACATGTGCATCAGCGCGAGTTCTCGCCCAAGTTGATACTGCAGGGCACCTGATTAGGACATCACCACTACGCTAGTCTTCATTCGTTGGCGTCCTGCATTGCATAGCCACGACTCATCATATACATCAAATGTACGGTGACAGCGTTTCGTGGAATTGAACTATATCATGCGAACAGGATAGACATATGGAAGCACCGCATATGTTTGTCGCATTAGAAATTTGAACGTAACGTTTCTCATGTGTAATATGTATTATGAACTAGAGTACTACAGCCCGAATCGATATGATACATAATAGGTGCTCAATATAGACAATGAAATGAAGACAGACGACAGACAAGAGAATGTCAGACTCGACAGTCAGAAGCATGAATGCACAATGAGAATGCGTCGCTTCGTTGGATTAAATCAAGAGACAAGAGTGTGAGAGAAACGAAAGGCAGAAAAAGAGCTGGGTAGCTTCGTGATCAAAAAGAACTCCTTCTCGTCCACTCAATGTGCATGAAGGTACTAACGCCAATCCGTTCCTTGAAGACTCTGAAGCTCACCACGAGACGAGTAGTCAAAACGAGATCACCAACCTGGGTATATTGAAAGAAAAGAAAAGGTAAGAGATGAAAGAGGGTCGCCGAAATATGGGGAATATGAACCGAAGGGAATAGGAATAGGTAGAGTAATAAAACAGGCTTTACTCAAGTACGGAGTAGAGCGAGGGGAATTATACAGAAGAGCCCAGAGCGGGATCCAATCTCCTGCGCGCTGCGAGAATGCTTTTCAAGGAGCCTAGCCAGCGCGCGAGGGACTCTTCGTCTGGAGCGCAAAGTCGATAGGTCTTTTCTTCGGCGATGATCTGCATGCAGAAGGTCTTTGATCTCGAAATAGGGTCTACTTCTGCGGCATCGAATACTTGAGACATGGGGATGAGCTTGATGGCTGCGTACTCCGCTTCATCTTTGTAGAAGGCAAGACTCTTAGGTCGAAGCACAACCCAGTGTCTTCTCCATTGGCGCACGGTCCCTTGGATGCGCAGCCCCTGCAGGTACCCCTGACAGATGACGCGCTCTGGATCACGCAGGATGCCTAGGTCTGATGGTCTGTGTGTGTCTCTGGGTAGAGATGCTGACGGCCGGGGTACTGGTTTATCCTCTTGTGCTGGAACGGATAGTGAATGAATGGAGGGCATGGATCGTAGATGGCTATTGCGTACTGGCCCAGGCCCATCGGAGAACTCTGAGTATGAGGTCATTTCGTTGCCAGAGTAATCTTGGATGTAAGGGAGTGCCTGGGCGTTTTTGCGGCGTGGGGACAGTGCGTGGCGTGGCTCGGGGGAGCTGGCTCGGCCAGTGGGATCGAAGTCGGAGTGATCGGTTGTCTCGTCAACGAGCTGTTTGTGGATCACCGGGGTTTCGCGCCTTTGGGTTAAAGCCAGGAAAGCTTGCTCGTCCGCGTCACCTGGGGTCTCGGCGCGAATGCGATCGATCCAGACCTCGGCATCGCGCTCAGTCGGGGCTTCGAAGCGGTAAGTCGTGGATGGGGTAAAGACACCAAAAACGTGTCGCCGGGTCGATCGCGGGGACTTGACGGGTGTGACCGCGGTCACTTCGGACAGAGAGATGGAGACTCGAAGGCGGGTGGTTTCCTCGTCTTTGTATACAGAAAGGAGGTTCGGTCGGAGGACGAGGTAGGCTGGTTTCCATGAGGCGCGAAAGACATGTTTGTGCTTGACTCGGCGATAGACTTTCCCTGTCTTCAAAACTCGATCGAATTCGAAGCTCCCATTTTCGTTGACTGGTGAAAAGGGATCCAAATTGCCACTGTTGTGAGGCCCTCGGAAATGAGATGAGGGGCCGGGTTCGGGGAGGTTAATCATCGGAGTTTTGCCCTCAGAAAAGGGCCGAGTCAGCACTGTAGTCATGTTGAGGTTTGGCAGCAGGGAAGAAAAGAAGAGAAAAGGGGGAACCCCACGATGGTGAGTCCATATAGTTTATTGTCATACGGGGGAGATATGATGAGGGGATGACGGGGGATGATCCGGAACCAAGCCTTTTGACCCTTTGGGTTTTTTTTAAACGGGCAAGTAAGGATCTACAATGTGCATAGAAATTATATGACTTTTGATATGCAAGTGGTGATATTCATTTTGATGGATATATTAGTATTAGCTGAACATATTTCCCTCAAGTTCTTTTGAGTAACCATGCACACGAGCAAAATAAACTTTGTATAAGGTCATATGCCCACCCCCTGGTATACAAAGTAGAAGGTTGTTCTAAGGTTATATAGAAGTGATATACTCCGTACTTCGTACATATAACTGATATAGAAGGAAAATACGGAGTACTCCGTAGTGATCTTAATATATGGCCACGGGTGCTCGACTAATTTGACTAATATAGGTAATATAAACAGAGGACCACGTACTCCGTACGGAGTACATACATCCATAGTACCTACAAAGTACTAGGGTCCAGACCTTAGATGAGACCCATAACCCCAAAAAGATAATTAAATTTGCAAATTAAAATTGAAAATTTTGAAATAAATTACATAAAATACTGTATTGACATCACGTGCCCAGTTTATGTATGAGATTGAACAGAATTCTATAAACATGGCATATATGTACCCAGTACCTACATAGTCACCTCTGTGAATCCGAAACATCATGTACCAGGTACCTTAAACAACTCAATAATAGGCACATATAAGAGGCTGAATGTGAATACTTAATAGGGTCTGACATCCCCAAGAATCATTACACGCGCTACTATTGGGTCTACCGGGGAAAGTTTGGACCCTCGATCGTCATGCGCTAATTCTGGAGATTGTATTGGCTATATAGAGACAAGTGAAACATGTCGACTCAGGAGATCTCTGACAAGTTATCCGAGTCAATCTTAGAATGATCTAAAAAACAGTACTTTAACTAAATAAACTATACATATCTATATGCTTGTACTCATCACCTATAGTGTATTATGTGTGCGATTTACCCGCAGGGCCGATATGGTGGATCAAGTGGGCTAGGCACAATACTACATATGTACAAAGTACCATCGGATATTCTTTTAGGCCCAGGTACAAGAGTACAAAGTACGCACAGTAGGGAGTACACAAGCACAAGCATAGTTTTTTTTAGCAGATGGGATCAAAATTATCGCACAGAAGCTTTTTTCTTCATTAGCTTAGGGGCTAGTACAGTAATACACCATTTACCTAAAATCACCTGGCCCCCCCCTAGACGCCATGAGAAGCCAATCACGGATCCGGCAAATGAACAAAGGAGGCGAGAACATCAACTCTGGGTAAACCTCAAATGTTGGGGATATACTAGAAAGAAGAGTCAAAGGAGACAAAACATTTACAGAAAACTTAAAATGTTAGAAGAAGCAAAAAAAAAAAAAAGCACCAGGTCAAGTAGAATTGCATAAAAAAGTAAGATTACTTGTCAAATACAATACAATACTGGTTATAGCGCCACTGGACAGCAACTAGGGGCAAAATAACCGTCTCGAGGTGACACTAAGAGGCCACCGGACTTCGCCAAGACCAGGGAGGCGCGAGCAACCTTTTGGAACCCATCCCATCTTCCAATTCCCCATCTCCGTCTTCTCTCTCCCCATCACTCATCCTGTGAATGTTCCCAATCTATCTTCTGTGTACCTTGTTGTTCACAGTTGACCGCGTTGCTCCTGACGCCCTCCCAATCTATTTACCGTGGGACTGAGAAAATTGGGGGAGGAAAGGAGGCATTCCTCCGGCCACTCGTTTTGCTGTCATTTTCTCCATTTTCACTTGTCCAGATCTCTTGACTTTGAGATCTTCCTGTGATCCATACGGTCCGAATACAGTTTGATCGTGTGCTCGACTTGTTTTTTTCCTCCGTTGAAGACGCATTCATCTTCTGATCACACCTCCGACACGATTTCTCCGCTATCTCCCTAACGGCCCCGTGCTGTCGCTTGGGCCTGACAGCTGACCTCTTGCCATTATTCTTGGGGTCCCACCACATTCGCACTCATGAGCTTCATACAGCGTATCACGAAAAGGCTGCCTAGTGCGCCGAGACTGCCGTTGGAAGATGTTCCTACCGAGAAAAGCCGCCTCCATCCTAGATTCGCCTTTTTCCGGCGGAGGATTCGTCTAAAGGGCAACTCATCTATTTCTATACCCCTGGGTCTTGTTTTACTATTTCCATGTCTTGTAATTGTCCTTATTCTGCTCCTCTTTGTCCGACATCCTACCTCTCCCGGGGGGATGCTAATTCCAGCAGGCACTCCGCCTTCTATCCGGTTCGTATCGCCCTGTGTCAGTTCGGCGGTTGTATGTGTGATAGCTAACCTCCTGCGCTTTACAGAAAAATCAGCGAAAAATATGATAAAGTCTTCGCTACGGGCTGTATGCCTATTGAGCCCGAACAAATCGCAAAGGCTCCCCGTGCCAATGCCGCCTTCGTCGTCCTTGCTAGAAATAAGGAGTTGGAAGGCGTGGTCCAGTCGCTCAAGTCGATTGAGAGACATTTCAATCGGTGGTGGCACTACCCCTATGTTTTCCTCAACGATGGTGACTTCGATGAGGAATTCAAGGCAACGGTCAAGAACTACACCAGCGCAGAGGTTGAATTTGGCAAGATTGACAACAGCATGTGGGGATTCCCTGATTGGGTTGACCACGAGGTTGCCAAGGAAGGCATCAAGAAGCAGGGTGATGCCGCTATCATGTACGGTGGAATGGAAAGCTACCATCACATGTGTCGATTCTACTCAGGGTCAGTCTTCAATGGCAGATATTCAGGAGATTGGGATTATAAAGCTAACTCTGCGATAGACACTTCTACAAGCACCCTCTGCTGATGAAATACGAGTGGTACTGGCGTTTGGAGCCCGAGATCAAGTACTTCTGCGACATCACCTAGTAAGAGACCTACTACTGTGGCATATCTTTCTTGTCAATCTGCTGACTCGCTACTCTAGTGATCCATTCCTCAAGATGGCCGAGGCAAACAAAACCTACGGCTTCACAATCGCAGTGAAGGAGCTTCGCGAGACTGTCCCGAACATCTTCCGGTACGCCGCTGCTTACAAGCGCAAGAACAACCTCAAGTCCAAGGGTTTGTGGGAGATGTTCCTAGAGCAGCCAGAGCAACCAGAGACTCCTCCCGAGGAGAAGAAGGACAAACTACCGGATGAAATTCTGCAGACCGACCCCGGTGACAACAATCTGAAGGACGTGGACCCAGAGGCTATGGAAGGCGAGAGCTACAACATGTGTCATTTCTGGAGTAACTTCGAGATTGCCCGTTTGGATTGGTTCCGCAGCAAAGAGTATGAGGACTTCTTCACCATGATGGACAGAAGTGGAGGATTTTGGAATGAGCGGGTATGTTACATTGTGTATTCGAACTCTGTAAGTTGATCTTTACTGACTCTGCTTGCTAGTGGGGTGATGCTCCTATTCACTCTCTCGCCGCCGGTGCTCTCCTCGCGCCTAGCGACATTCACTACTTCCGTGACTTTGGTTACCGCCACACAACCATTCAGCATTGCCCGGCCAACGCCCCGGCACGCCAACTCACTCGCATCCCTTACCTCGAGAAGACTACCGACGACGAGAAGAAACGGATTGAGGAGGACGAGTACTGGGCGACCCCTGACCAAGTCAAGGAGAATGGTGTTGGTTGCCGATGCCGCTGCGACACTGACATTGTCGATGTCGAGGGCAAACAAGGCAGCTGTCTCAATGAATGGGTGGATGTGGCTGGTGGCTGGGCCTCGCCATAGATGTTGATGATGCCGTGGTGCTCAGTGCTCGCTACATCTTCCTGCGTATCCTTTCCCCCTGTCTACTTATTCGGCTGTATGCATCTCTTGGGTCCGCCCTTGAGTGTTTCCAGCTAGAGCCTGCATGTTATGTTGGTCATGGGGTTTCCTTTCTGGGCGGCGTTCAACGGATCTGACGGCTTTTTTTCTTCTTTTTTCTCGGAAGATGGTGTCACGATTTCCATCATCACTATTGACACATTCATCAGGCATGCTGTACCCCTGGGACTGGCTGTTGTGACTCACCTCTTGGTTGCATTTGGAGGAAAACGTGTGCGTCGCCGGCAATGGAACATTGGTATCGTACCTCGTGGGATTCCGGGGCCATCTCAAATGGTCTCGGACAACTCTTATATCCAATGTTTTCTCTAGTTTCATTCAAACTAGATCCCATCGCTATATACTCTGTTCTGCCGGCACAGCTTCATCTCGGTGGTAGGAGACCATTGATTCGGAGGCTGGGAGCAACTCCAAAAGTAACTCCCGCCGTTTACTTCGACGTGTCTCTGAGCCTCTTTTATTGCCATCCCATCAGCCACTTCTCCCGCAGTTGCTTCCCCCTTTCCCATCCCCATGTGCGCAGTTTGTGGTTGTCTTCCAGCATGCATTCATGAAATGTACATACCTTCCCCCCTCTTCCTTACCCATCCTTGAATCCGTGGCCTACATCCACGGGTTGTTTTCTCGCATTGCCCACCTTTGACCCTCGCAAATACCAGATCGAGCATGGTTGTCTATAGAGTATGGAATAATCACCAGGTGAATTACGTGAAGAATGATATTAGTATAATGCACTCTATTTCTTCGGATTTTACTGTGGCGCGGATGTTTCAATAGAAGAGCTTCATTTTGCAGATGTGCTACTTACCTTAAAGTAGCGCGAATAAATGTATCATTACCTCAAAAGGGCATATCACATGGGATCTTGTAATCAAGATCTCGGTTGACCGCACGTAATTCCACTGCCAGCATACAATAGCCTCCTAGGGACGTACCTTCTCCATTTCAAACTCGTTTTACCTCGAGTCTTCTTATTAGGATAGCCGTCAAAGCGAATAATGGATGTAGTGGATGCATAGAAGCTCCCTCACACCACAACTCAATCCCCAGCCACTTAGCTAGTAACCCACTGCCACGCATTTGTCTTGATAGAGTTCATTATATCCTCAACCTGTGCATGTCCATTGAATTCTTCCAAATTGAATGTATCCTGGTGAAGCCTTGCCAATCTACGATCTAGTTCTGCTTTCCCATCAAATCGATAGAACCTCACTCTCGTGCCGACAGCAACAGCCCCAAAAAGTCTACCCATTTCCGAGTTCGGGGTTTCTGAGATATGATGAAGGAAATGGCTCTGCATGGCGTCATCCCAGTCTAATGGGGCTTTGCTGCTATCGCTAGATGCACGCTTGCAAACGACCAGCAAAATTGGGTGTTCGATCAACGGAAATGTACCTGCAGGTATCTGGACACCTTGGGTAACCCGGAGGACGGTGTCATCAGGCATTTTGGCGAGTATGGGGACTTTTATGGCCCATACGTAGCCACCGGAAGAAGTAAACCATTGAGATACGATTGTTTGCCACACGTCCTGGACTGCGGCTTCAAGGCTGTCGGGTTTCATCAAATGCATTGTGTAGGCGAAGGCGATGTTGGCCCGTAGAGACGGGGTAGAGCTGGCCATGGTTGGGGTTGAATAGGGAAGCTATTTCGAGTAATTCAGAGATATATAGTCGTATCTAAGCGATGCTTCTTGAGATCCAAGATGGGATATCTGTGGTGTTGGGCGGGGTAGACTATTGCTTTTGGGCCTAACTCGATGCACATGTCAAGACTTGTTAAATTTAGTCTGCATCAAGCTCCCAGAAAGCAAATTGACTTACTACTCTACTTAATATCCACAATAAACGCAAGCTGATATTGCTCAGAATATGTGAGGCCAGTCTTTAAAACTCCCACGCAAAATCGCAATAGCCTTTATTGCTTCAGTCAACCGAATTAAGTCTTTCTACCCTATAGCTATTACTCGTCCCGATATAGCGAAAGCGGCTAACTACCTTACCGACTTACTTATGAATCTAGGCCCTGGAATATCGAGATATTGTAAATCGGTTGATCTAGTATCTATATAATACTCGATTCCTCGCTCTCGAATACTATCCTATATATTTGGTACCTATACTCTATTTCTTAAGCGATACTTCCTTCGATAGTTAGATTAATAGGAAGAGCTTAAAAGGCTTCCTCTATAAGTTTTTTTAGTACTACTACTAATTACAAAGTAAGTAAGTAGAAAACTATTATAATATCGATAATAGAGGTAGAACTAGTCTTCTCCAAAACCCAATTTGGGTCCGACTTTTATAACCCAACCCAACCCAAGACCCAATACGGAGTACACTAAACTCAATGTTTTTGTCTTGTTATTGCACCTGTAATCTTAGCAACAATCTCTCCCAAAGAATAACTGGCTTTGACTATGCTTTTCGTGGAACACTACAGGATTGATCCACTCGGTAGTCCTACTTCAATATATTAGGTAGTCAGCCTTGAGTACCATCCGATTTCCCCCTTCGATGCATTCCTTCATTCCGTTATCTCTCTAAGCTATCTGAATCATCGTACAAGATGGATAATTTCCATAACGAGAAAACGGCTATAACTCCGTGGGTACAATCGTCCGAAAAGCTGTTTTAAGCACCGCCACCACTGGGTTTCTTCGTGTTAATATTGGTCCATTTGTTGCACAAGCTGAAGGGGATAGTGAGGCCACAGGCCGCGATAGTAATTGCGAAAACAACCTTGATACCCCATGCGTACGCATGGAGAACACCGTCCAGCTCGGCTCCGGAAAATAGCCGGTGTATATCAGTGGCACCGGTACCTGTAACTAGGGCAGGATTGACGCTTGGTGCGGTGTTGGCAATCTTTTGCACGATCTGGTTGACGAAGCCGGATTGCGCGGCTGCAAGCAAAAGTGTGCCGCCGACAGATCGAGCGACTGTACACGAGGGATATAGTTAGCTTTGGGATACAAGGGGACAAAGAAAATTGACGACGTCCTAGGACAGGGCGAAGGAGAACTTACATATAATAATCGCGGTTGTAGGAGCTATGTCGCTTGGCGCAGCAAAAGCCTGCGCAACGACGACCGGGACTTGGAGGGCGAGGCCGTATCCGAAGCCCGCCAAGATCTGATACCCAACCCATCTGCCTGTCGAGGTCCCAATGTCGAGAGTATACAGTAGACCAGCGGCGATGGTCACGACCACAGAGCCAGCTACCATATAAGGAGTTGCAATACCCGTCTTCGTGATGGCTCTGCCTGAGCCATATGTGGCAATGCCGAACATGATGATGAGAGGAATGTTGCGCACACCTGAGCCAATCGGACTGACGTTTTCGATGCTTTGGAAATAAATAGGCAGGTAATAGAGCGTGACGAAATACCCGCCAGCGAAGAAGAAGCCCCATACGCTGCTAGCCCAGACGGTCCTTTTTCGCATAATGCGTGGGGTCAGCATGGCGCGTTCACCTTGCCATATTTCTGCAATTGTAAGTGCAATAACTATGACAACGAAGCCGACGAGTAAACCGATAACGACGCTGGAATCCCACGCATGGGTTACGCCACCGTATTGAAGAGCTAGAAGCAAGCAGGCCAGTGCACCCATTGTAAGAATCGTCGCTATCGGGTCCATGTGTAGAAGCTTCTCCTTGAGCGTAGCCTGGACCACTTTAGCGGCTTTAGGGGTCTTGAAGGTGAGCAGGATGACAAACGCGGCCAGACCACCGATTGGAAGATTGATATAGAAACACCTAAAGTTGTCACATCAGGCCAGGTCTGGTCATGGCAGGATTCGATAACTAGAAATAGTCCCATGTTTTGCAACAAAGACAAAGCAGTAAAAGTTTCTTGACTCACCACCTCCAGGATGCCCCTTTTGTAAGCCCTCCACCAATGAGTGGTCCGCAGACAGCAGCGACACCATATGACACACCAATGACCCCCGTATAGGTAGCTCTTTTGGTGGGCTCAGCAGCAAAGGCAGAAATCGTGTATACTCCAGGCGCGATACCCGAGGCACCGAGACCAGAGATGGCACGTCCAACAATCAGAGTCGTTGAGTTTGGGGCGACAACGGCGATCAAACTCCCGAGTTCAAAGATAAAGATTGCCACCAGGAAACTAGTTTTGAGGGGAAAGTATTTATACACTTTGCCCCAGGTTGACTGGAAGGCTCCGAGGGTCATGAAATAAGCCGAAGCGTACCACGAGATATCGTCAAGGCTGTGGAATTGGTCGGTAATCTCTGGAATAGCAGTTGCAAGAATGGTCTGAATCGAGAGTATCAGCTTACTGGTGTGTGATGTATTGCATTGGCAAAATACGAATATACGAGAAGCTTGGGGCGGTAGAACTCACCTGATCCAGAGAACAGAGGGTGATACTGAGCACGAGCGCAACCATGATAAAGAAGGCTTCGATAACTTTCGGATATTCCATAACAGGTATTGGCGGCTCATCGACAGTTTTTTCTTCAGTAGCAAGGCCATCGTCTATACTGTTGACAGACGAAAATACCGTAGTGGACAGTTTGTTAGACTCTATGGTCTGCTTTTCCCTTTCAGGCTCGACCTGATGTGTCTTCTCTCCAATCGCTTCGAGGTTGCCGTTACCATCCTCTAGCAAGGGAGGTGCGGGTGTTGATGGAGACATATGTGTTTGTCGTATAGCTACAGCTCAATTTCCTCGGCTTGATACAAGACTCCATACGCTTTAGTGACGCTTTAAGGTTAATGTAAGCTTTTATAAATAGGGCTCTTAAAATCTACGGAGATAATAGGTATCAGACTCTTATTAGCGAGAGCCCAGGAATTTTGGTAACAAAATTATAGGGGCCTGTTAGTATAGTACATGCCCAAATATCAATTGATTGTAGCTTTTGGCGACTATCGTTAATTCCGTTGATTGTTTTAATTCCGTTAATTCCGAATAGTAGGAGCTTTTGTTGATACAGCCCGGAAAGATCGTAGTGTGAGTAATTGTGGGGGTTTCCAACTAAAAGAATTCAGCTTCACTAAAAAGTGGGACTTTTGATATATAAAAGTACTTAGGATTCGATACAGTCAGTGTGGGATGGTTACTTTTCGTCAGTAGTCATCTATGGATGGGCCATGGCTACAGACAGCGGAGACAACCCACCTTCAAAAAAAAGCGAGAGGAGGACGCCGAGCGCGTCGGCAACGATTTAAAGAACATATCTAGGAACAAGATGTTAGCAATTGAGTGGACTACTGGACACAGACGACGAATAATTCTTCAGGAAATGGATACCTACACACCATCAATAGCTGAGACAGTAAACAATGGGATACCGATGGGATAGCGATGGTATCATGCAGGTATCCTATAGTTACCTATAACAATAAGCACAGATTATTGATGGATCACCTAAAAACCGAAAAATATAGCCCTGTAAGACACAGATACTTACACTTGGTAAAAATAAGCACTGAAGTAAACATATAGAGGTTAAGAATGATAGATATGTCAAATTCTACTTTGGATTGTAGCAGCATCATGACATATATCCACAGATATTAAGGACAGAATTGTACACTTGGTTTTATGAGTGAAAGATTTATATACACGGCAAGGCCCTTGCAATTGAAATCATTGTTATATCCACTGAAATTGTTGATCACTCGGCTGCAAGAGTGGTGCAGTCTGAGAAATCCAGTTCCCTTCAATATTCTCATTGATATATGCTGCTTGCTTTTCTTCAATTTTTGCAGCCAAGTTTGAAGTAGCATGCCAGAGCTCATCACTGTCTGGCACCGCAAATTGCAGATCTGCCAGAGAAAGAAGACTTCCATCCGGTGACTGTGGCCCACGCCAAGAGCTGGAATTAGGTGCGTCTTCTAGGAGTTCGGTTTCAAGTACCCGGGAATGCCTGCACACCCTGTACAAAGACAAGTTGAAACGCTTGACTTCCTCGATACCAAGCCAGATGAAAACATCAGGGTCAACTCCTAGTTCGAATTGGGCCAGTATTGAGGGATAAAAGAACATGTGGCGCTTTAAACAGCTATGCACGAGAGAAACAAGGAGCTGAGAGGGAATTTCAGGGAGAACTTGGGTCAATTCCAGACCTGACCGGTCATGGTTGAGGAGAAGAGAGAAGATGAGGTGTAGTAGGATTCCTTGGTATGTTGCCATTGGCCAGGGTGTACCAGATGAGGATTTTTCGTGACATTGCGAGTGCGGTTCGTCAGAGTGATTCAACATATCCCAATTTTCCTAACTGGCTCTTTAATAACTAGAAAATTGCGGAAATATAAGAAAGGGTTGAACTAACTCTTTGCTCGTATATTGACAAGCTTAGTCTTTTATGTAGGTCTTTTGCGGTCTGTTGCGTATTGCTTTCCATCATCGCCCACGAGCCCATCATCACCACCGATTGAGTAAGAAAAGGCAGCTCGGTATTGAAATCGAATGTGGCTGGGTGTAAGAATGGCCATTTTGGGTGAAATTTGTCGAAATAAGCCTGGACATATGGCGCAATTCTACATGGACTATTTTCAATAGTTTCCGAACGCTGGATAAAACCTGCCAGTTCTGTCGGAGCAGAATGAAACGAATCTGCACTGTCCGATTCTACAGAAGGTGTAGGGCTTTTTCGAGACCTATTTTGTTCCAATGCCAGGCCTCGTGAGCTTTGGGAATATGAACATTGAATTCCTCGCTGGAAGCACGCGCCGCAGGGAGACTGTCCGTCGCATTTTGACCGTCGTGAGCGACAATAGGTACAAGCTTGAATTGCCCGAGAGTATCGTAGCTCTCTGGTTTTATGATGAGTGCGGACATGCTGTCGTAGCGTGTCATTCCTGGAAAAAACGCGATCACAGAAGGAGCATTCAAAATACTCTGTTTGGAAATGGCTTTTAGCATGTCGGGTCAGATGTTCTTTCCGTCGATAGCTTAAGCCACACGCAGGAAAGTGACATTGGAAAGGGGATTGCTGTGTTGTCATCGGAATCACTTCTGATGGATAAGACGAATGGGCTGATAAGCTGAACAAACAGAATAAAGGTCGTTTAAGTCAATGTCCGAATTTTGATGATAGAGTGTCCCAAAATGTGATCATAAGCAGGTAGTCAAGGTCTGGGATAGCGATGGGATACCGACACGACGGATGGTGGGGTACGAGGAAAAGATAGAATAGCGATGAAAGCCTTTTAAAATAATAAGGCTTGGCAGCAGGTCTATATTGACCAAACATTCAAGGAAGATTGAGGAATCGGCCCTGTCAAAGAAAGAGAGGCATAAGGTACTCCGTAGAGAGCACTGCACTTCTCATTTCTTCCAATTAGACCTCTGCAAAGCCCACAAAGCCCAAAGCCCAACCCGCCTCAACCCATTTTTAGCCTTTATTTTAAGGTGATATTGTACTCCTTTAACTGATATATTATTATAAATTAGTTGAATTCATATATTACTTTTAAACACGCGAAAAAAACACGTTATTAAGGTAAGTTTTAAATTAGAGAGGTTCACTTAGGAAGTGGTGGCACTCCCGTGTGTAGATCCTCAATATATTAATATTTTCTCAACCTCCACTGGTCGGGTTTAATTTAAAATTAGGATGTATACTTAGATAACAATTACAATTCTAACGTCTATACTTAGACCCTATAAAATTAGTAGAAGGGTCAGAACACAGCGATTCCAAGATGCTAGTTGAACCCCCTAAATGGGCTATAATGGCTCATAGGGTCCCCACGAATTGGCTGTGAGTTGGGTTGGGCTTTGGGTCCGGGGTCCGGACCCATTTATGGGCTTTGCGGAGGTCTATTTCCAATCATGCTTTAATCACGTGTACGGACGACGAAGTGTGTCACGCGGGACTTTTGTCGTATTGGGGACTTGTACGGTTTACAGAAACGCATGATCCCTAGGTATCTCCATGAGTATGGCTCCCAATGTTTACTGCCCTCTTTGTGGAGTCGTTCTGCTGCCCGACCCCTACAGTAACGACTATGGTGAAGAACCAGCTTGGCAGTCCCACGCTCGACCTTGGTACGCAGAAGTACGAGGGCTCTACTCAACCGATGTTACTACTGGCAATGTCACCACAACTGGGCTGGGGATAGTACGTGGGCGTAACATTCTCTGTGCGCCGCTTCGCAGTGATCAATCCTATGCCGGCGCGGAGCCTATGGCGCTGGGGGAATGGAGGCTCTTCGGATCATCTGTAGTCCGTTGGTGCTTCGGATTCCACGACTCGTGTTGGAAATTGCTTCTCCTCAGACTTGCTCATGGATCGGATGAGGCCTCCCTGAGTGAAGCGGATGTTGCAGAATCGGTTTTTTATCAATTATACTGCACTCCTTGTATCGACGGATCCATCTTCCAGTTTGGCCACGACTACGATGGCGCCGCGCAAACACACAAATCCTTCGGACAGCCAAATGCAGTGAATCTGCGCTCACATCTCTATGCTGACCCCTGTGCAATACCTTCCCTAAAGGAATTGGAAAGAACCGCATCCGATTTCCGCAAGATATGTGGTAGTTGGCTATGGAAAGACCGAGATGGTGCTTATCCAACGACTGCAGCCGCGGCAGACACTGACTGCCACAGCAAAGAGGGCACCTCTGCATCAGGCTCATTTGGGCCTAGTGGTAACTGCCATTTAGTCCCACCCCCTGATATAATTACGAAACAAGTGCGCGAAAATGCGGAACGACCTAAACACTACATCTTCGATGGCCTCCCACTCGAGCTGAGACACGAGATACTCTCATATTTATCTTTTGACGAAATTCTCGGTTTGAGACTTGTATGTCGAGGTATAGCTCTACTTGTAACAGTCGATATGCTCCCACAGTCGTACTGGCGGAGTAGGTTTCTCCTGAGTGAGGAAGCTGACTTTCTATTTCTGAATGTTACGGCTACGCAGGACTGGTATACGCTTTTTTTCGGGACCAGAGCATCACTCATGCTAGGAATGCCGTCGTTGGTCAATCGGAAAAGAATCCGACATCTGCTAGAACCCGTTGTTAGTCTTGTGGGCCTAGAGGCTATTTTGAGGAAAGGTCCATGCGGATCTGCAATTCACCCAGCGCAAATTGAAGGCGGATATTATCAGCTGATTGATGGTCAGAGTGCTGAAACCCCATCTGGACTCATAGAGATAGCCGGCTTCTTTTCTGGTCAGATAGCCTCTATTGGGGCGAATCGCCCTTTGGATAAGGGATGCCGTGTGCTTTACCATAGAAAGCAATCTTTTATATCCCCGCTTTGGCAGTGCCAACAGCGAATAGGTATCTCAACAATCCAATTCGGCACACAAAGCTTTATATCTGGAATAACCCTGTTTCCATCCGAGGAACACGATATCGTTGATAGTCAAGTTGGATATCACAATCCAGCTTCCGAGATATGGATAGACATACCGGACGCCTTCCATGTGAAAGCTCTCGGCGTGGCGTTTTGCTCGGAAGGACTGACGGGGATCAAGCTCATATACACAGATTCAAGTTCATCAGGCTGGGTTGGTAGTCCCGACGGCCCAGGAATTGCTCGTGGCACCCTTAGCATCCCAGAGAGGCCAAATCAGTGTTGCTTGCTTGTAGGTTTAGATCGATACAAGATCGTTTCACTCGGCTTCGGTGAAATGGCCAACCACCTTGAAACCCTAAAGTCTTCTCACTCTCAAAGTGTTAGGGATTCATCTAGGGTACAGTCTTATTTATGGATGCCACATCCTCCGAGGCACGATGATTTGAGCATTAGCATTCTCTTACCCTCCGCGTCTCCCCGAGCTTTTGAGCCCTTGACCAATATTGACTTTGGTGGCCAAAGAGGTCTTCTTCTCGCGTCCTTGACGAGACTTACGTTTCATATGGCATCTGACCCTTACCTATTCATTGGAATAGAGGTATCATATTCTGATGGGAGGTCTGTACTTTTCGGCTCTAACGGTGGCTGTGGGATATCCTTTTTCATCGACGGGCCGAAAGGGGAGCGTATCAATCGAATCGGGATGCTGCCAAACATTCGGAGGCCAACCATTCGGAGACCAGAAATTCGGGGATCCGACCCAGAAGGGAGCATTGGTGGTTTGCAGGTATTTCCTGCCCCTTCCCTAAACATCTCTGTGTGTAGAATGCTAACTTTGGATTAGGTGTCAACAAACTATGGACGAACTGCTACTTTCGCTCATCTTCGCTATCGGCTCAATGCAGCTGTTGAGTTCATACCAATCTCGCCGCCCGGTAACACTATCACTGGATTGGTTGCCGTTGAAATGGTATGTAGCAATTCCTAAAGCAAACCCAGACAGCAGCTAAACAGATCTAGGTAAGCCCAACTCGCTTTAAGCGCATCGGAATTCAGTCCCAGGAGTGCGGCAAACAACCTGAGATACCAGATATTCTGGATTACGAATGCCATCAAATACCCGACGATGAGCTGCGATATGACGAAAAATTCTCTCGTTTCATAAATAGTACAAATCCTGGTAACTATCACACCTATGCGTCACTCAAGAACATCCGGAGAATCCAGGCATCTACGGGCATATATGGTCGTTCCAGATCTTCAAATTGCATATCCGGTTTGAAGTTCGAGTATTACAACCATCCAAGTCCTGGCATTGTAGGACAATGGATGCACGAACTCAATGATGGGTTTGAACTCTCCGAAGATGAAGACATCCAATCCTTGACTATCTGGCTCGTTCCAACGGGTTTCTCTACTGAGTGTCAGGGGATAGAAGTAGGCCAAGTTGCAGCTATACACATTGAGACAACGTGTTCTCGCAGTGTCACGTTTCGCCCTCCAGACTTCCAGTCCATCCCATCCCAGACACTGCAACACCACCAGTATCAGGGTGACTTCGATGAGAAACTCACAGCTATCTCTTGGATATTGAATCTATCCTGTGAACGCGTCCGAGCTGTTATTTCTAGGAATACAAGCCGCCGAACCTCCCAAATATTGGTCCCCGAGCAGGAAACTCCTTTTGACCAGGTACGGAAACTATACTTTGAGAGGCAGAATGATGATGGTTGCAGAGATACCATAATCACAGCTGAAGCCTACTTCAAAGACCGGGCAATAGTCGGACTAGTCTTCATTTATGCGTCAGGTCACACAGCGAGCACAGGTGATCTCCACACCAAGACCCGTCAAACAGTTCATTTTGCGCCGGATGCCCAGATTGTTCGCTTGTCGGCTGTTGTTGCGAACACAGACCACAAGCTTTTGGAAATTGAATTCGAAGTCGGACGGAATGAGCAGCATCGGTACGAAAAGCTTGGACTTCCCGCCAATATTTCCCATGACCTAGGGCATATCGTCAGTTGTTACTGGCGAGAGACGCAGTGTAAGGATGATGCGTCTGCGGAAGATTATCAGCGGTTTTCAGTGAGTGAGAGAGTATACAAGCCCCCGAATGGGTCGAGGCTTGTTGGTATCTATATGTGTTGTCAGGAGTTTTCTCGTGTTGGGGCACTATACGAGCTTGGTGTTTCTCCATAGTATGCAAATAGCTCTAAAGTGCGGTTGACATATTCTGCATCAGAATCAAGGCTATAAAGAGTGCGAAATCGAGGGAATTCTGTCAAACTCTAGTTTCAATCAAGAATCTCCATACATGTTAAGCTTCAACCCCCATCACCCAAGTGTAAAGACTCTTTTTTTTTTATTTCTTTCCTTGCCTTAGCTTGTCCCCTTGCACGCCTTCCCCACTACAAATAGATTCAGCATTCAGTTACCGCACCAAAGACCGCACTTGAGTATTAGCATAAAATAGTCGCCATCGAGAGTGAATTTCTTGCCCATGCAGCCGACTTTCTGCTAAAGACATCTCCAACAAACGTCATGACTGGAAGTAACTTTAGCTGGAGATGACTGCAGCCCTCTGACACCCGGTTGAAACGGGCACCCACCGAGACCCAGTTAGCATCGACAACAGCTCCCTGCTGTACAGTACCATTCAGGGGCTCAATGAAACCAATGTTCGGCTCCTCTTGAAACTCGGTGTCGATTCCGAGGTGCTGTACTCAGACTATCTGGTGTTTAGCCATGTCGCAATGCTGCCTTTTGCATTTTGTGTAAGGAGCAGGTGGAACCTGCGTACAGGGATTGTTCGGGTCAATGCCGATACCGAGCGGGGAGTGCTTCGGGATAGCACGATACTGCTTTTAGAGAGTTAAGTATGTTAGATCGAGTAACTGAAACGAGATAAAACCCAGGTAAGTAATTTTTCAATCGTGCTTCGTTTCTGTGTAGATTTTTAAATGTATGGAAGGAGTTCAAAGGAGTATGTATATCGTGAAGGGCTTAACGTTCGGGTTTAAGGTGATAGTGGGGCATAGTGGAGATCTACCTATCAAGTATAGAAACAAATATATGAATAGTATAAGAATAGTACATGAATAGCTCCTTGACAAAGAAATAATGGGATATGATAGGTTCATGTCCCTTCTTTACTTTGGAGTGCATTGAAATGCATTGGAGTACATCGAGAGGGGAAAACAAAGGACTTGCAAGTTAGGTATCAACCTGTGTTCGTACCTAGTACAGTCATCACCGCAGATATCATCATACAACAACCAGGTACCTTGTACTACCCCGCCATTATTGTCACTTGGGTCATCCTTATCGCAACATAATACACTCCCCCCTGTTCAACTTCCACGTTTCAGTTCTCTTTTTTGTCCCCTTCAGCTTCAACTTCATTACGGTGTTTCTTTCCCCTTTGGCCTTTTACCGTTTTCACGCCTTTACTCTAGGTATTCTAGGTACACCCCTTCCTTCCTCCAAGTCAGACACGCACCTGACCTAACATCCGGCTCCCCGCAGACCCACCCGTGGGCCTCATCACTCTATTTGGGCTTTCTGAGTATCTGCCTAGGACTCTTATCCAGTATCTTCCGACCTTCCCTTTTTGTTCTATCACCCTGCTCTATATCTCTGTCTTTGTCTCTAACTCTGCTTTTTTTGACCTTCCTCCTCCGGCTTGGGCTATCCCTAAGCTCCTGTTTCCGCCGCACCCGTGTGCTCTATGAAATTTACCTCGACAAAATGACTGACGATTCAGACTCGCCTCATAGGCGGCTCCTCCGTGCTCAGACTGCTTCGAGTCTACAATATCCGACTCTTCCACCCCTGACAGCTTCTGTCGAGGAGTGGTTGTCCCGTTCACGGCCTACCAATATGACGTCAGATCAACTTTCTGATCATTCACCAAATACCCTGAGCGATAGCTGGGCGACTTTGAGTGTTTCTGATGTACGCTCAGAGGATGGCAGCCACTCCGAACAAACCGATGCATGCTCCTTGATCGGCCACACCAGCCCTGACGATGTTGCAAGCCTTGATGAACGCTATAGCGGTAGTGAGGCCGATGCACAGGATGAAGACAACCAAGAGGATGATCGGATAGACAGGGGTGAAGGGCAATACTCCGAATCGGCTTCCCAGGAGCTACCTGCCCTCTTTGCTGCCACACGAACCACGATCGACGACAGCATCACAACTACAAAGCCCTCCTTCCCTCGCACCAGTGATTCGATCGAATTTGTGGAGCCTGAGAAGTGGCCCGAGATTGAGAGAGTAGAGCTCAAGCATACTATCCGCATCTTTGAGGGTGCTGCAGCCTCAGAATTGAAGAGCCGGCTGCCCTACAATTTAGCTAACTCTATCCTCATGGCTACGGTTCAACAGACCATGACAAAGCAGGGCCTCGATCTGGACAAACCTTTCCGTGTGCTCTATGTTGGACAACCAGGATTCCGAAACATTATCCTCGACAAGATCGGTGATGTTCTAGTATCAAGCTCATGTGCCGGCTCAGAGCCTAGCTCGACAGAATCTTCCCGTTATCATGTCGTGCCAACCTCATTTGGCGCTGGAGCTGTTCCCAACTTCGCGGAACTTCTTCCGATTCATGTCCAGCTAGTGGTTGACGAATGTCTGGAGGCCACAGCCGATTCTTACTCGGACCGACCTAATACACTCAACCTGAAGTTCAAGAATCGACCTATCTGCACTTCATCCTGGAACGGGTCTGACTATCATGTAACATCTGCAACAGATTGGACTCTTCCAGATGTGGCAATTATCTTTGTCTCCGGCCTCGATGATACAGCGGCTACCAAGACCCAACGTCTTTCCCACGTGTTCCTGGAACGTCATGGAGTTCCGGCGATGGTAATTTCCGAAGAGCCAATGTGGAAGATGGCCGGAGAGATGATCCCTCTCAACCACAACAGTCTGCACACATGTTTGGAGTCCCGCCATCCAATTTCCGGGCAGACCGCAGTCCTCCGACGATATCCTATTGATTTGAAGACTTTCGAGAGCATCACGCCTGGTCAGTTGAATCGAAACCTGGCTTCACTTGTCAGCATTTACCCAAAGAGGGCACATAAAGTCACTGCCGATACTCCCAAGCCTCTCAAGAGACACATATTTGCGGACCTCGAGAAGTATCCTGGTAACTGGCTCCCGCCTTCCTATGCCACTCGGGCCCGAGAGCTGGGCCCCATACTGCGTCTAGTTACTTTGACTCTCGTTTCGGCCATTGCCATCTCTATTGGGTATGCGGCGGTCAAAATTCTGGTCGTCTTCTTAGCACAATGCTTTGCTGGCTCAGTTATATCCACTGCATCCTTTCCAGTGGCTTCCAATGTCTCTCCCACGTCTGTGCTGACCCTGAATCGAGTGATACAGCCCTCAATCTCAACACGGCCGTCAGCTTCTGTGCGACTATTTCATATGCCCTCCTCGGGAAATTCAATCCCCGAGGGTGCCACAGTGCCAACTATTTCTACTGCAAAACCATCAGGGACGAATGAATTTGAGATTCAGGTTGTTGGAGACTGCCATGTTATCATCAAACCCCCACATAAGTTTGCATCATCCAAGAAACGGCCACAATTCAATGTGAGCGTTCACAGAGAGGACAAAGCTCTTACGTACGAGCTATCACAGCTGTTCGATGGAGTCTACACGCTGAAGTTGAACCGCGAGGATGCGTATGGATTAGTCAACTTGACGATCACAACGAAGTCAAAACAGCCAATCAACCAGACCATGGCTGTTGACTTTGGAACCCCGTGGCTGAAGATCGCAAACTGGAAGCGTGTAGCACAGGAAATTTCTTCACAATTTGCCAAGGAAATCCATACGGCTCAGACCGGCCTGACTGGGTTATATGGCCGCCTCTCCACGGACTTACAGGTGATCGTTGGAGATGTGGTGAAGAGAACCCATATATTGCGCCGGGATGCCGAGGAGCTACGACGTGAGAGCATGAATGCACGCGATGCGGTTTTATCACGTTCGAAGCAAATTTCAGAAATCTTCACTCGCAATACTATCCAACGATTCCGAAATGTTTCTTCTGTGCTGCAAATGCGGTCTAGTCATGTAAACAAGGAAGCCAAGGGCCTTGTTCATGATGCATGGAGCCGACTCGAAAAGTCAGCGCCGAAGCTTGACCTCCGCAGTATGATGGATCGAGTACGCAACGTTAGGAAATGTGATGCGCTGGATCGGGCTCAGTCGCGTGCACGACATGTTATGGGATTACGGCCTGGCAAATCTAGGAATTGCTCAACTCATGGTTCGAAATGATAAATGAACTTCTTTGACGTTGTATTTGCTTTTTTTTCTATTAAGGAGTTGGTTGAGGACTGGGTTTTTGTTCATGGCGATCAGGTTTGGGTGGCAATGGAACTGGAAATGGGGTTTCACGCGAATTATTCAGTCGGCGCAATGGTATCTCTTATTTAAACCGTAATCCAACTTTGGCCTTATCTGAAAGTATCCACTGAGATAGAATATTCACTTCTTTCTTCCTTTGATGTGTGTTTTTGTATGTCACATGTAGTTTCATAACTATACGGAATACATTATTGGCGGACGAGGGCGGTGGCGGGTTCTGCCAGGCATGGGACCCAAACTAAGTATTAATTTTTCCCCCCTCATCGCCGCTTTTTCTGATCAACAAACACTATCTCTTACTGAAATTCCACTCTATCTCCCCTAGATCTCTGCCATCTCTGTTTTTATCTTTTTAAACCGATTGTCTTGAATCCCTCGCCATCATGTCTGACATCACCGAGACTAAGCCCGACCCCGCCATCTCTGCCTCCGAGACCAAGCCTGAGGAGACCACCCCCGCCACCGGCGAGGGTGAGCAGTCTACCACCGAGGCCGTTGCTGAGACTGCTACTGAGACTGCTGAGAAGGCTGTCGATGCCGCCAAGGATGCCGCCGTGAAGACCTCTGACAGCATGTTCTCCATGTTCGGTGGCGGTCCCAAGAAGGAGAAGAAGGAGGAGGCCGAGGAGCCTACTGATGAGCCCTCCGGTTCTTCCAAGGCCCAGAAGGCTAACGATGAGGTTAGTTCGATACATCCGATGCTGGTGGTATAGGCGGTTGTTGGACGCGTCTACGATGGGAGAGCGGGGTCTTACGCCCCTTTCGCCATATAGTGGGGTCGTCGCAACCAAGCCATAATACGCCAATGCCCGTGATTATTTTAGCTCCGCGCATATACTAACCATAATATTTTGACGCAGGATGAAGTCGAGGAGTCCGCGGATGTCCACTTCGAGCCCGTTATTCGCCTGACCGAGAAGGTTGAGACCAAGACCAACGAGGAGCTCGAGGAGCAGACCTTCAAGATGCGCGCCAAGCTCTTCAAGTTCGACCGCGAGTCTAAGGAATGGAAAGAGCGTGGTACCGGTGACGTCCGCCTGTTGAAGCACAAGGAGAACCAGAAGACTCGCCTCGTCATGCGCCGCGATAAGACCCTCAAGGTCTGCGCCAACCACTACAGTGAGATCACACCCCGGTCATATTTTCCAAAGATGATCTAGTGCTAATGTTTATTTCCAGTCGTCCCCGACATGAAGCTCAGCGCCAACGTCGGCAGTGACCGCAGCTGGGTCTGGAACGCTGCCGCCGATGTCTCTGAGGGTGAGCCCGAGGCTCAGACTCTGGCCATCCGTTTCGCCAACAGCGAGAGTGAGTTTCTATCCTAACTTGATGTTATTCCTCTACTAACCATGGCTATAGATGCCAACGCTTTTAAGGATGCTTTCGAGACCGCCCAGGTTGAGAACGAGAAGCTCTTCAACGCTGAAGAGTAAACAGCTCTTCTTCTTTCGCCGTCTTTCTAACTTCGAGGATGAGGATACCCCATCATTGTGTACTTGGTTTCCCAAGACATTTGGGTCCATTGTCCCGGAGGTTGCTTTTGAAAACCATCACAGTTTCACCCCTTTTACACTGTTCCACCCAATCATCATCCCCAATTCATCCCACTCCCACCCCATCCCCTACGACGCGACTAGCGAGGTAGCAGTTATGAAGATGCTCCTCGCATAGCTATTGCGAGCCATGCAGTCTACGAAATGGAGGGCAGTTCCCTAACGTCGGTGGCTTGGAAGTAGATAGACTTTTCCCCATCGAATATACCTGCACATCACCCCATACCCTGAAGATATCTGAAGAAAAAAAAGAATAAAAGTAATGATAAGTATGCCTAAAAAGCGAGTGGGTGTCAAATAATACAAAAATTGTGCCTCTTTAAGGAAAAAAAAAAAAAAACTCCATCAGCTTACATTTTCCTTTCACTTCTCAAAGACACGATGGTTGCAGATCGCAAATTGCATATGAATAGAAACAAAGTTAGGACTATAGCCTCAAGTAAATTTGTTTATAGCTATATTTATAATCCTAATAGTCTCAAGTTTATATATTATATATAAAAAATAGGGTAAATCACCAAGAAAGTCAGAGAGTGTCGAGGTGAAGTTGAACATAGTGGGCAAGCCCTGAAGATAGCCCATGACTCTCACTCTCGCACCTCCTTGAGCTTAATTCACCGTTTCATCAATTGCCTTTAGAACATCAAAAGACCAACACTATATAGCAGTTCTTGCTGCCTTACACTGAGGTAAAATTCCTAAGTTGATGATTTCTCACGCTCATTGCTCACCCCGATAGACAACCGCGCAAACTTGTCTCCGAGACGCCCACCTCTCCGCACGTCAACGTCCCCTTTCGGCCTTAAAACCCTTAGAACCTCACGATCCTCTCAAGTGCCGACCCAAAGTCGCTAATAAAATAATCATGCCTGACGTGAGTATACTCCCCCCTCAACTGCCGCAAACTTGCATCTATAATCCACCACTGTGGGTTTGTCGTGGTCGACAAGCCCAAACCTGGTCTTTTCTCCGTTTCCAGCACAATTAAGCTTGCACACACTAACACTCCTCCTCAAATAGGTCAAGCGCACTGTCCGTCTCATTACGGAGCAGAACATTATGTATGCGCCCCTCCCTACCTACTTCCACCTTCCCTCCCTTCGCAAACTCCGGTCTGAGAACAGAGCGCCGGGAGCTACTGTCTCCTCCCACAATCTCCTTTCAACGCTATCGTTATGTCGGTCCTGTAGCTTGCAGGATGCGAGGTCGATATTGCGCACAAGGATGAATATAGGGCGCGCTTCGCACACCACCGCTCTTCTCGTCAAACAAACCCCCTCCTCCCCTCAACACACCCACCTATCCCTCCACATACACGCAAAACACGCTAGATTAGACACATTGGCTAACTTAGGCTCTTTTCTCCGCACTATAGAGATAAGCCGTCGGAGGTTGAAGGCTTCCCGCAGCGATCTTGGCATATCGAGGTCTGGCTCGTGAACGAGAAGGGCGCCTTGGTCCCTGCAAACATCTTCGACAAGGTCACCTACCACCTGCACCCCAGTTTCGGTGAACGTGCTACGCAGGGTATGTTTTGGTCCCTATTAGTAATTTTGATTTGGTCTTGGTGACGCGTGGGGGGGGGGGGGGGGGATCTGGCGATTCAGAAATCCCACGGGCAGTAAGATATGGTGGATGGTTTTCGAATCGGAGGCTAACGTGGGATAATTGTCCGTTTCGAATAGTCTTCAAACAGCCGCCGTTCCGCATTCAGGAGGAAGGATGGGGTGAATTCGATATGTCGATCGAGCTCACTGCTGACAAGTCATACACCATTCAACATGACTTGAACTTCGCTCAGAACCGTTATGAATCTAAGCATGTGCTGGTGAGTTTGATTTTTGAAACCCGCGAGAGAGAAAGTCCGGTGTGTTGATCAATGGCGCGTTTGGGTGCCCGTGTAGACGTTCAAGAACCCCAAGCCGGCTTTGATGGCTGCACTCCGCGAGTCCGGTCCTATCCCCGGTGATGAGAATGGTATCAAGCACAAGCGCCCTGCTGGCGGCGAAGAGAGTGCGAAGAAGAAGAAGCGCACAGATAAGAATGTGAGTTTTGATATGGGTTGTGAGATTGGATGTGGGAACTGACGCGCTTTCTCAAGGTTGACATGGACAAGCTTGCTGATGGGCTTCAGAAGCTCAACGAAGATGACCTTCTGCAGGTTGTGCAGATGGTTCATGACCACAAGGCCGCCGACTCATACACAAAGAATGATGTTGAGCGTAAGTTCCTCTCCATCTCTGACCTCGGGTATATCAGAGAAGAAGAATCCATATTCTTCCTCTGCTTGTCTGTATTTTGCTCTGAACATAATGCTAACCCTCCCCTTTCATTTTTACAGTTGGAGAATTCCACGTGGACCTGTACACGCTCCCTGACGCGTTGATCAAAATGCTCTGGGATTTCACGGCGGACCGCGGAGCTCTGTAAGGAACAACCGAGCGAGCAGAAGAAGGGCGAGAAAACAAGGCGCGGGAGTGTTAATTTTGTTTTTCTCATTTCTTCTTCTTTTCCTAAGTCTTCATTTCTCAAGTCTTCGCTTCTTTCTCTACTGCTATGTATGCTCGGTCACACCACGACCATACGTCTAGTTACTTCGATATCATGTTTTTTTGTCTTTGACACGGGGAGTTAGTGGACTACTGAAGGAAATTGGATGGCTCTTTTTTCTTTTTCTTTTTCTTTTCTTTCGCGCTTGGTTCTAAAATGCGAGTATTGCTTTCTCTTGGTGGGATGGGGGTGACGGGATGGGCGAGGTACTTTTCAATCATCTCTTGGAGAAAGACTGGTGGAATTCGAGAACACAGTAAATGAGGTTCTTTCGATTGATGCTTTACACAGGATACTATGGCTCTTATACCAATCTCGAAATTCAGTTTTTGCACTTGGACTCAGCGGTCTCTTCGTTTCTCTTTGCCTAGGTCTATCGACGAGATGTATCCCGAAGACAGACAGATCCTCATATAGGACTGCGAGACTGCATGTTTACATCTCCCAATTCACATACAGGTCATTCATTTGATTTTGAGTCTATCTAGTCGAGACATGAAATGGTGTAAAGCTGCGCATCTCACATTTGCAATGAATTGGGGCAACTCTCTATATACACACACACATAGGTAGTTGGACTAGGAAATGGGAGGGGTGTATTCAGTGGGACCTGCCAAGTGGCTATCGAGCCTTAAGCTCAGCTGCCAAGATACATAACTCACGTGAACTGGTATTTATTCTAAATTCGCACCTGCATAGATCTCAACAACTTAGTTATATCGAGATCCATGTAACTAGGTGCAGGGAGTGTATTCCGTGAGACTCGTCATGGCTACAGGGCCACAAGCCCCAGCCACGACTTTATCAAAGAGCATCCACGTGAACTGGTACTTGATCTGCATTCGCACCTGCATAGAGCTCAACAATGGGTAATGATGAGATCCCTGTAGGTGCAGGGTTGTATTCCGTGAGACTCGTCATGGCTACGGGGCCACAAGCCCCAGCCATGACTTTGTCAAAGAGCATCCACGTGAACTGGTATTTGATCTTGGTGAAGACCTGCGTGGACCAAAACAACTGGGTGATGTTCATATTCATGCGGGTGGGTACCGGTTGGGTACCCTCTGCCTACACTGTCTCAGATGAGATGGTGGTCCAGAGGGTTGGGGAGAGGAAGAAGAGGGGAAGAGAAAGGGTGGGAGGGGCCGATTTATATTGTCACATACACGCGTACCTTCCTAAAATGGGGGGGTCTTATGCTCTTTCCTTTTTCGCCTCTGGGTCACTGGGTGAAATGGGTGAAGCAGGTGACCAAGCAGGTGATCATGCGGAACCCTACATAGTACATAATATAGTGTCTACCTAAGGTATGTCTTGCTATTGTAAAAGAAAAAACACTAGGGTGGACACGTCTAAGGAGATTACTAGAGAAAATTGATAGGAGCAGTAATAAAGCATGGGATATCTCGAGTAAATCAACATCAAGCCCAGCCCCCGCCGGGCTGGAAATAGTAGGGACATAATCAAACAAGGAGAGAAGAGAAGCGCTACGTGCCCAATGGGGCACGCCATGATAGTAACCAGACCATCGATCAATGCACCCCGTTCTAGTGCCAACGCCATTTCAAGAAGATTTGTTCTTGGGGGTTTTTTTTATGCAGAAAATGCATCCAACGATAAAGAGATCGAAGACAAAGAGAGATGTGGGAGGGGAATTTTCGAGATAATAAAAGAAAAATGAAAGGAAGATCAAGCCATGCAGAGATCACGAGGGAACGACAAAGACGCCTTGCTGCCGTGCCAGTAAATGTGGACGCTGAAAACATAATAGCAAAGAATAGATCATAGCACATGGTTCCTGTGATCGCCAAAAATTAGTATACGTTTAGTAGGAAAGGAAGAAGAGCTAGGTGATACGCACAACTTCAACAAGTCCTCAAGACTGTCGGCACTGCAGCTGCGGCCGCGAGGAATGTTGTGCAGGACATCGATGATGGTAGCAAAGACATCGCCGCCACGGTAGGCCAGCAGAGCGGGGGCCTTGATGTGATCCATCTCCGCGATATCCTGGTGCAGCTTAACGAAGCGGGTAGTAGGTTGTCTGCGAGCGATAGTGACAAGACATTCCTCGACCATAGCGCTGTCATCAGACTATAGAAAAAAAATATATATATATTAGTCCCAACCCCGCAATTACATGCCAGAAATGCATTCCACATACCTTTTGGTCGTAGATACAGACAACAACAACAGTATCAGAAGTCACCTTCTCAATAGCATCAAGGTACCCCACCGCATCAACAGTCTGAACCGATCCAAACCGTCTACCCCGCGGACTGGAACGGCGACTATTCCGATCCTGTAGCTCGTGCATACGGGACTGGCGCCATTTCCGCATGAAGCGGGCCTCGTCGTCGTCCTCGCTAGCAGAGGACTGATCGCCGCCGGCGAGGGGCACGTCATCGCGAGTAGACGAGCTGTAGGAGGGGCTGTCTGAGTCGAGCCCCGCAGCGCTGAGGAGAGTGCGGCGGAAGGACTTCTTTCGTGCGCGCTCGAAGGCCTGGGCGTCGGCGATGACGCCCTTGGGACCTGTGTTGGCCTCGTAGACAGTGTTGGGGATGTGGTAGTTTGTGTTGGCGGTGCGAGAGGAAACCATGTCGTCGGCTTCTTCGTCGGATGAGTCGACGGTTTGGCGGGAGCGGAGGCGGGAGGTGGGTTCGTCGTCTGAGAAGTGAGGGTCTGAGTCGTGGTCGTGGTCTTCTGGGTGGGAGGTGAAGCGGGAACGGTTATTGTTCACCAGCTGGTTGAATTCTTCTTGGGCGGACATGGTGAAAGAAATGGTGCTTTTAGATGAGAGGGAAGGTCTAATTTTGGAGATCTGGGTTCGGGGCAAGTTTGGTATGTTTCGGATTTGACAAGGTTCAAGGAACTAGGATTTGTAGATATTCGAAGATTGGCCCCCTGAGGTTAAAACGGAGATGAGGCTGAGGTTGGAAGAGATCGTCATGAAATAGAAGTGTGGAAGTTATGAAACGATAAATAGGCCCCTTTTTTTTGGATGTTTCATGTTTTATGTCTCCACAATGAAAAGAACCATGTTCCTATTTTAATACAAATTCTTAATTCAAGGTCTCTTTCATATATTAACTGACAATATCTATAGTATATTGTTCTTATACTTAGTATAGTCTTGGCCTTAAGTCACATTTATCCCCATCTTTGAAACCCTCTTAAGCATATTATCTCCAGTATGTATATCAAATGCCTCACGTCTCACGTCTCCAGCCTACAAAAAAGCAATTACAAACTATTCTTCATTGCGTGTCTACTCCGTACTCCGTAGGGCGGCGACATATCTACTTTAAGGTACGGATATATACTCAGCCCCATTCTATTGTGTAGATCTTTATGTCTCCACCAAATATTCGAGGTCTAGATCTTGTTAGTTTCTTTTTCTATTTTCCATTTTCTTTTCTAGGAGTCCTATGGCCGGTTTGGTTTGATATATGTAGGGGTTGTGAACGTGCCTCGGCAAATAGCATATATGATTATTATAAGGATAACCACAGGGCTGACCCTGTTTATATTCTTATTTCGAGTATCTACCTCACCCATCGTCTTAGTCCTACTTCTCTCCAGGATCAGTGATTGATTCTTCTTCCCTTGTTTCGTGTCAGACTCTGGGGCTGATCCCAGGATCGATGAGCTACATGTTAGACAACAATGAATGTCGACTGTGTGGGAATTAGGCAACGACAAATTCAACCTGGCATGCGGACATGCGTGGCATCCATGGATACTCCTAGCCATACCCCTAGCTGTTCGTGACCCGACATAGGGGACAGGCGTGGGTTGTATGGCGCCGGACGCGTAGTGTCAAAGGTCGGTATGTGATACTACTCCATCCTCCCAATTGACTATAGATTACTCACCCGAAGATGATATAGACGGGTGGGATGGCACCTTCTACCTTACGGCTGGGCCGAGGTTCAAGACCGTGTGTGCATGCCCTATGTCTGATACTCGCCACACTCGCATTGCAGAGAACCAAGCAAAAAGCACCAAGCTGCCTGATACCATCACCTTCAATGCAGGGAATCAAAAATGGAAAATCGAGTTTCAAAAAAAAAGTTCACAAATGGAAATTGGAGCTGCTCGAACCATTATCAAAATCCGACACCAAAGAATCCCAGAGCAAGAGATTCCAACGCAAAGACAGTAAGTACAACAGACTCTTTCTTTAGAGGAGGCACAAATAAGGGGGGAAATAGGAGAGAAGAAAGGAGAAATGAGAAGAGAGAATAATGAGGTAACGCATAGGCGAAAGAAATCCTGGCCAGAATCCGGCAACCAGGTCCTCATTTTTTTCGCCAACAGGATACATGTCAAGACCAATGCGGAGGCAACCCAGAACGAAATGGTAAACTGAAGGGGGGATAAAGAAATTCAAGAAAAAAAAAGGGGGAAAAGGGCGTCATCGAGAAGTCAAAGGGGAAATCGAGGGACCAGAGAAGAGAGCAACGGAGGAAGCACCAGATGGATCGACTCGTTCCAGCAGTTCCTTCTGCTGGCCGCAGTCACTGTACATCCATCGACAACCCCGGACCTCGTCGCGCTCTTGTCATGCCCAAACAAGTATTGTGTCGTCGCTATCGTTTGTTCGCCGGGATAGCATCCCATAGCGCTCACATCCACCTCCATCACCTTCCGTATCGCATGCGACGACGATGTCTGCGCCGCGGGTAGTGTATTATCGTGGGAACCCAAGGGATTCCCCGGTAATTGATTATTATCGTACAATGGCGGAGATTCGAACCATCGAACCTAAAAAATTTCGAAGAAGAGCATTGCAGAATGATTGACACGGGGTATCTTGCGTTTTGTTTTTTGTTGGTTTACCAGGCCCAGACCTTGAGCTGTACGAGAGAAGATCAAAGGTTAGTAGATGCATTTGAATGAGCAATTGCAGGAAAACTTACAAGTGAATCCCAAGATCCAGTGCACAGACTAATGCCGTCATTGCTGACACCGAGGCAGCTCACGCGGTTCTCGTGGCCGCTCAACGAACCAACCTTGTCACCACGCAGAACATCCCATACCTAAATTATGGATTAGCATCTAGTCATATTGTTAGGGGGAAAAGGCTCGGCATACCTTGCACTCGAAATCATCGTAACCTGCGAACAGTAACCGGCCGGAGACTGAGAACGCAACGGAAGTGATACCGCACAGGACTTGGTCGCTCTGGAAGAAATTGAAATGTCAGTTTTCGTCATCCAAATCAATATCTCAAGTAAAAGATAATTACCTGGTAGGTGTTAAGCTCGCGGTCGGCACGGATATCGAATAGACGGCAAGAAGTGTCGTCAGAGCCAGTACCGAAGGCGTTGCCGTCGGGGAAGAACTGAACGGCATTGATGTCGGACTCGTGGCCGGCGAATGTCTGGACGGACTTGCCGGTACGGATATCCCACAACTTGGCAAAAGCGTCGCATGCACCGGAAACGAAAATGTTCTGGTTAGTCGGGTTGATACTGATCGACATCACATCACCCAGGTGGTCGGCGAACTCGGTGACCTTGGTTCCAGACTCGATATCCCACAGCATACAGGTCATATCGCCAGAAGAGGTAATGATGCGACGGTCGTTGATGAAGCGACAGCAGGAAAGATATCCCGAGTGTCCGGAGAGCTCGCGCGCGACACGAGTGGGACCTTCACGCGATGACAGGTTATAGATCGAACAAATATTGTCAAGACCACCGCAAGCCACGTAGTTTCCGCTCGGGGCATAGGCACAGGTCATGACCCAAGATGAGCGCAAGGGAATCGCATGAACCTTATTTGTGGTGTAGGCATCCCAGATGATGAGCTTTCCGTCCTGCGAAGCCGAAACGAGATGGCGCCGGTCGGTGGACCAGTGCATAGCATAAATCTTGGCGAGGTGACCTTTCAGCGTACGTCGAGGCTTCATTGCAATTCGTGGTAGGGCATCGGTCTGGTTCTGCGCGACTTGACGGACTAGACGGGAGGGGGGAAAGTTAGTATGTGTATGTTCAATCAAGTCCCCCCTAGGACAATGCAGTTGACAACAGCCTGAGGGGGGGAAAGAGGAAGACCTCGAGGTATAACAATGGGTGAGGGGAGTCGCACGGGAGGTATCGGCCAGCTCATCCTTTCTGCGCTTAATCTTGTCCTTCAAACCCTCAGCTTCGCGCCTGGCCGCAGTAATCTTGGCCTGCATCTGTTCGCCGCTCATATCGGCCATTTTGTCGAAACGGTACCCCGGAGAAAAACAATTATGGTCGAAAAGATTGGTAGAGGGGGGAAGGGTAGAGAGGGGGCTGAATGGAAGATGTGGAGCGAAGGGGAGAGAGAGTCGAAATGCGGAACCGAGTTAAAGCGCCTCAGGCTTGGATCATAATACGGGGATTAAAAGTAAGAGAGAAAAGGGAGGGGAAAGGAGCCAACAAGAAAGAGGAACAGACCGGAGAGAGAGAGAGAGAGAGGGAGAGAGGAACAGGGGGTGAAGACCGAGCGAGGAGAGAGAGGTCAGCGTATTACTAGTGGTAATAAGCAAATGAGAAGGGTACCTTGACATGCTATCAATTTGTATGAGATCATAAGTACTTTTTTGTTTTTTATGGTATTGCATGAAAGAAAATTGTTACATATGTGAGCAGATACATCCACCATACAAACTACTCCGTACGATACATAGTCCAAGGGTCTTTAAATGATTTCAATCCTGCAGTTCTTTGTTTCCCCCAAACCCCCCATAGGTGGAGTTGGCATTCTGTATCTTCTGGTTGGCTACGGAGGACAATACACCAATACACGCACATTGCTTTCCCCGGGTACCTGATGCCGGTCTCATCTTTTTTCTTTTATTGATATTCGAACTAAAGCTGACGTACATGCACATGTCTAGGTACTTATGTATATGTACTTACATACATACAGCTGTATCTAAAGGGAGCAAAAAAACCTATTTAGCCTGGAGCCTCTTAATCTCAGGAGAAAGATGGGAAATTGTGGCGTTAGGATCGGCTTGGTGCTAGGACCGCTAGCCCCAAGACTGAAGACACAGTAAATTCAATTAACTGCGCCAAATAATCTTCAGTTACTGAAGTGTCGGGATTTAACCGCCCGCGGCTCTGGGGAATAACCTGTACGATGGCCTTGACATAATTGATTGCATTCTTCACGAGCTAAATCAACTCCCTTGCGTACCCCTTTTCGGTTTACATAGGTAATTTTGAGGGAGCTAACGGAGATTGGACTATCCTGCATAGCCATGGGTATAATATCGGTTTAATTCCCTATTAAGCCGTCTATATGAAGAAGAAACTCTATATTTTCATACTCCGTACGGAGTATATAGGCCTAAATACTTACACATTAGAACTAATATATCCTATGTATTATATCCTGATCTCTTTCCGATCCTAAACTCCCAATCTATACATACTTAAAAATCAATCTACTCCGTACAGGCCCAAGCTTCATATCTGTCCTGCAGCGTTCATTCAGGCGCACGGCCCTGTGGCTTACCCATTTTCTTCTTCGAATGCTTCCCGGGCTATTGGCTAATAAATTGGTTCAAATCACTCTATATTGGATATGATTCTGGGGATATGTACAATGGCGTCAACTGGTGTCAAGGCACAATGTATAACTACGGAGTATACTCCGTATATACTTCTATATTAACCCCATGTTCAAATGTTGTGACTTCAGCTTCAGTTATGGTGGGTCCAGCCGTTTCCCGTACATTGGATAAGTGCATTTCATTTAAATGAAATAATTGAAAGAGCAGGGATCTTTTTCTCAATCCACCATCTGTCTCCACCGGCAGAACAATCGATTGTGATGTCTGCCCCCCCCCCCCCCCCCCCCTTTTTTTTATTCCGGCCCGGGGGAATCTCTGGCTTACTTTGTACTTGTATTCTTCGTCTCGGCGATCATTACTTGCGACGATACAATTATTTGCGAGATTACAGACTCCGTTTCGGGAAACTCGGCGCGATGTCATTTCTCTCGCTTCGTCTCCGTCGTGTACGGAGTATACATCTGCCATCTATGTCGTATACATGTATTAGAGCAATATGTCCTTGTCAATGTTCATGTTCTCTATACTCCGTGCTTTCTAGGGATATTTGGACAGGTCCTGCCAAGGTCTCCACTCGGGATCTTCAATATGGCGTCTGTCATGCAGATGCTCATCATCGGAGATTTGCAACGAAATTACTCCGTACTTGCAACAATGTATATTGAAGCACAAATAGGCAACTGAGCCAGTATCTTGGGATTCCGAACCCCCTCTTTTGGTAAAAAAAATCCATTGGTCTTAATGACATGATTACCTGTCGGCCTGGCATGGGTTGATCTGTATGTACAGTCATGGTCCAAACCTTCGACCAGAGGGGTGAACTCATCTCAGCTCGGGACTGCAAGGCAACGCCAACGCCGAGAGGGTCAATATGATAGAGGGCTATTAGATCATTTGAGTCATGGTGCTTAGTAGGGTTGGAATCTGAAACGGATCTCACTGTGTGCCGTTGATATCCTAGTAGTCATATCCTGACTCCGATTCTCAGCGTGAAAAATATACAACATGGTAAGCAAGGAAGCCACCCACGGACAAATAAAGCAAATAAATCCGAGGAAAGACTACCAATATCTGTGCCATGGTCCCCACGTCCTCAGCTTCAAGGATGATCTTCAGCCCAACACAAGCAGAACCAGTTATAGTTTGCCCTATATTACAAGATACACTCAAACAAGAATGATATGGAGGAAGCTTATCTCAGAATCGATTCCGAGTCAACCATGCGGCTCTGCTGACGACGACCATCTTCACGTCCGTAGCACATGGAAGGCGACCTAGTTCCGATCTTTTCTTCCTTCTCGAGAGGATAATGCATACCAATATCACGCGAATTTTGCATCGCCTTTCTCTAGAGTAAATAGTGTCTTTGTAGTTACTCAAGCAACAGGCGATCGGAAGTCGATGTGTCACGAGTGTGTATAAGTTTCAAAGGGCACGTTGTTAGTGTCGGTAAGCTGTAGACACAGACACAGATACAACTTGCAGTATTAACTCCTTGCACAAAAGTGTACCGGTGGCCTAATCAAACAATGTCTCAAAGGTAGTTGTACTCGCCAGCTATGAAATAAGAAATTTGCATATCAACGGATGTTGGAAGACATTGCAAAAGACTCCGTGCAATGCATTGTATCCCAGGGGAAAAATTGAAAGTCTAATATAATTCACTCGCCGATATTGGAAACTCCCCGGGATTCTTCTGCACGACTATATCTTGCTATGCCGCAAGGGAGAATACCCTCCATTTGCACTTCGGCGACCACTTCCGGCTTATAGAAAAGGGGCCGTATATGATGAACCAAGCTGCCCCTTTTCTGTAAACAAGAGGGTCATAACAAAGATGAATATACTCCGTGCGGAGTATGTATGCATAAGGCACAAGTGGAGCTCGCTAGTACTAAAAGAGCTCTCATAGTGTACACAAGCAACTTTGCCCTGCCGATGGTGGATCGAGAATTAACCATTGAATACAATTTCAATCCTGAAATTTGCCAATGGGGCTCGGTTCCAAATGTCGAGAACCGTTAGAGCCAAACTAGTCTGGCGGGGCGAGCCTTCACGATCCTGGGCAGGCGAGGAGTCTATAATGTACCATCCCTCTCCCTAACCAGCGTGGCTATTGTTTGCTGGTTTTCTCAAATCCCTGTATAAAACGCACAAACTTGAAATCCCAGAAAATTTTCGAGATCCAAACAGGCGGATATGGATTGCCGGCAGTTCGCAGGTGTTGTTCTAATCTTAGATTACCGTCTGTGCGCCACAATGTTGCAAGCGCGTGTAAACCCTGTCAAGATGTGATAGAGGCCCTTAGCGGCCATTGCTATCACCTGTGCGGGGATATTCGATTGGTCCTCGGTAACGTGCTGACAATTGTTTGTTGCTAAGTTTAAACTCGTTCTCAAAATAAACTCCCCCGTTCAGGGCTGATGAAACAGAACCAGGAAGTATCAGAAAGGTGATAGACTCCACTGGCAGTATTATGATACATTATAGGTGTAGCTATCAGGGGTAAGAAGGTTCAGGCCATACGGGATATTTTCAGGATTCTGTTGCACGGACGGTTTTCATTAAACTCATTTGGATTATTCAAAAAGGTGTTATATATATTGTATTTATATCATACTTTGAGATGTGCAATGGACAGTTTCAATATACAATAAACATTGAGATTGTTTCTTTGATCTTGAGATTAGATTATTTAGTCATGTTAAGCTGTTGACATCGACCGAATTTAGATGTAACACAACTAATTTCTGGTATCGATCCGTTAACACTTGTTATGGGTATCCTAGGGAGAGAAACTATAAACAGATGCTCAATCTGTGTGGAATTCGGCCTGAGCTTCTTCTAGTCAGGACAAAATGCCGAAGCTATTTAAATAGTTCGTCAGGGCCATTGGTGGATATGGCCATTGGTCAAGATCTACAAAGTACAGCCTCCGCTCGTGGTGCCGTCTGTCATATCAGGCGGCATAACCTGGAGAGTTTGGCAACGATCGTCTCCCAAGGTATACATACAATGTACAATATATGTATATTGTACATATTTCGATCCGATAGAAACCCATCCTATAACAAGGATGTAATGGTACTATGTATGTCAAGAAATCTTGAAGTGGCAACTCACCGAGGTCGGTACCCAACAGATGATTCGGGTCGAGGACAGAAGAGATTGGATAGAAATATGAGATATATGAGAGAAAACAAAAAAAAAGAATGTAATGTTCCGTTCGAGTTGAGATCAATCAAAAAAAAAAATAAATAAGGGGAGGAAAAAAGGGAGAGAAAGGAAATTCCCAAGGTGGCGCCAAAATACTGTGTCGGGTCACAGCGAAACCCATATTTGGTAATATTAAGGAGGCACCTGACGCTCTCCGCTTTTGCCTTCGCAAAAGCCTTCTTCTCTCTTCTTCCCCTCCATCATCACCCATCTTATTATCATATACTGTGTAGACACATCTATCGTCTCATTGCATATTGCATTTTGTCTCTCTTTCATTTCTTCCTCCTATTCCTCAGTCTCAGCCTTTGAGACTTCGTTACCCTTTGCCCCTTCTGGCCATTGGGTATTTCATCTCCAATATCCAAACCCGTCGCTCCATTCGCCTGATGTATCTGGATTGATTCCTCTTAGCAGCGCGAGTCCTGATCCGCAGTGGAAATCATCCTGTCTCGGCTGAATTCCACTTCAAAAACATCGAGTTTCTCATCTCTTTCGCATTTGATCCAGTTCTGGCTGCCATCTTGCATCGATCGATACCACATTTAATCTCTTGCCCTTTCGTCACATTCCCGCTGTCATTCATTCACCATGCGGGAAGTCAATTTTAGTATTCCCAATGTCAATAAGGCCTCGGTCAACATCACTACCACCCTCTATGACCGTCGTGCCCTTGATTGCACATCGACTTTGCCGCTCATCAACTCGCTCAATCATCTTGCGTACCTCACAACCTCATCTGCTCGGATTCGAGATATCCTCACCGTCGATGGCGGCATCGAGCGACTGATATGCATGCTTAAAGAAGGTCGGAGCAAGGAACTGATGGAAATGTGGAAATGGAGCCTTGCCTTCCAATGTGTTGTCAACATCGGTGTGCGGGGCTCTGAGAGTGTGAGGACCAGAGTGGTAGAAGCCGACATGGTCCCCGTCATTTCCACCATTCTGAACAACTACATCAAGGTGGTGGACAAGGTGCGATCACGCAACGATCCCGACTCCGAGAAGCAGGCGTTTTTAAGGCAGTCAAAGCCTAGCGGCAGCCGAGATGTCTCCACTCGGACAACCCCTATGGATGCAGATACCCAGATCGAGTCACACCCACAGGTCGAGTCACACCAACCGCGTCGACAAGCCCCTCCGCCGAGTATCGAAATCCCCCGGCCTTTCTACCAAGACATCCAGCCTAACGACTCTGATGCCATGGATATCACATCTCCTCCCCGTGTCCCGATGACATCCCCCCCGGAGCGCAGTACATTTGGCCAAGAAGCCCATAACCACCGTCTCAACGATGGGCGGTTCCCACGTACTAGCAATCGCCTGCGGTCAATGCAACCGCTTGCCACAGCTGTTCCATCCATGGATACCACGGATGGGTTCGGATTGCGTCCTGTGCGTGACACAGAGCGTCTTCCTAGCATGCTTCCTGGTTTGCAGACTGGAATCGTCTCGCAACCCGACTCTCCGACCACCCCAAGTGGCCCCCTCCACTCACAAACTCGCAGCCTTCCCCAAACCATTGCCGCCCGACAACGTCCTTCGATCCGCCAGCAGCAGTCAGCATCCGGTGAATCGGATGATGCGAACGGCGAAGATTCAACTATGGGAGATGATAACAATATGGGACAGCCCACCGAAACCATCGTTGGACTCCCGAACCGGATGGAACTTGACAGTGTTAATGAACGGGAAACAACAATGCTAGATGATGTCTCTGCCGCCCATGATCTGACCGTCACTGATCCCTCCGAAGAGGGCGGCCCGGAGGTGGAGACTTTCAACATCACTCATCGTTCGACTGTCGACGGCAGTATCATTAATAACGGCAACACACAGGCCAACGGTGGACTGGGCCTCTCCCCCACCCAGGCCACCAACAACCCCAATTCTCCTACTCTCGCTCCTAACGCCTACACTTTGTACCTTCGTGACCGCAATGCTCCCGCAGCCCAGGGAGTCCTGACATCCATGCCTCGTGATGAAGATGTCCTGATGTCCCTTCAGCTACTGGCATATGTCTCCAAGTATTGCAACCTCCGAGCATACTTCCAGGCCACCCACCTTGTCCCAAAGTTGAAGATTGATCGCGAACTTTATCTTTTGGATGAGAATGCCGAACCCCCTTCGCCAGTTGATCCGTCTGAGGATGAAGACGAGTACTTGCTTCCCGACGATCTCAATATCTTCCCCCTGGTGGAGAAGTTTACTGTTCGACATCACTCTAAGGATATGCAATACTGGGCGTGCGTGGTTATGAGAAACCTCTGCCGTAAGGATGAAGCGAGAGGTGGCATCCGCCAATGCGCCTATTACAAGTGTGGCAAGTGGGAAGAGTTCCAGCGTCAGTTCGCCAAGTGTCGGCGTTGTCGTCGTACCAAATACTGTAGCAAAGATTGCCAGAAATCTGCGTGGGTATATCACCGGCACTGGTGCCATACGACCCCTTGATACGATCCGATGACCCCAGAAGAGTTTCCTTTTGATTTCCATGCATACTGGCTCGCATAGCATCATATCCGTCTTGCGTCTCCCTTCCATTCTGTTCCAAGATTCCTCTTGCGCATGGCATTTCACAATTTGGCGGCGTTTCCATTCCGACCCGAAGATACCTTTTACATGTCTACTTTTTTTTCATATTCCCTCTCTCGCACAGCTTGCCTTCATCTTGGTTCATTGACATGGGGCCCCTCATTTGCGAGCCCTTTTTTCATTGCTCATATCCATATTTGACCATTTATCATGACTGTATATCTCATTCTAACCTGCTCGCCAGGGGCATTATTTGCTTTGCCTTTTTCCTTTTTTTTGGGGCGCCATTATGTTTTCTCTCTTAACTAATTGCGCTGTCACGAGTTTCCTATGTCAGTAGATGGGCATCATTGCCGACAACTTAGGCCGTGTCATGGTCATCTGGAGCATTCATTCTGGTGCACATCCCATCTATGATTCTGATTTATGTCCGGAGGTCCTATCTTACTTGTGTGTTTGCACTTTGCCACAACGGCACAGGCGTTTACAATTTATTCCCAGTCTTATGAACGACTCTTTGTTTACATCTACTCAATGATTCGTAAGCTACATGTAACTAGTTCCAAGGTTTGGGATCCAGGCTTACAAAATAGCAGGCAAGCAAACATTGAAACTCTCAGATGCTTTCCTCACTACTAGTGGACGCTCACTTATCCTTAGTAAAACCATAGGTAGCCTCCAACCTTGACATGAGATGTTCATGCGCCGTCAAAGGCCTCTTTCCAGGCACCAGATTTCCTGCGCCACCTCCAAATCCAACCCGCCCATCAGCAACACCCCCAGTCTTCTCCCGATGCGCAGCAACAATCCCACTGGGAACAGGCACCAACTCCGTCTGGTCAACGGGGTGACAGAAATAAACCAGCGTATACCGATCCTGCGGATTCGGGCTCCGCTGCTCAGCAAGCGGGAAAACAACACGGTGCACCGTCGACTTCAGCAGTCCATCCGTCCAATAGCTCAGCAGATCACCGATATTCACCAAGATGGGCGGGAACGGATATCCCTCGGCTTCGGCAGCGGTGCCGGGTACGATCGGCACAGGCGCCCAGCTGCCCTCCGGAGTCAGGATCTCGAGACCTGGTTGGCCTGGCCTCTGGAAAAGAAGAGTTATGCTACCGTAGTCGGAGTGCGCGCCGGCTCGAACATCCTTGTCATGCTTGTAGGCTGCCGTTGCTGCTGAGAAGATTGATGGGTAGTATAGGTACCGCAGGATGCTGCCTGTTGGGCCGGCGCTTGGGTCGTGGCGGGTTGTGAAGAAGTCTTCGTTGATCTGGGGTTGAGTGGTTGGTATATATTGTATATTTATATGGGTGGTTCCATTGATGGAGGAGATATATAGATCTGGTTGAGTTACGTACCTCTAGGCCTAGGGCCAGCAGAGTCAGGATTCGCGTGCAGGTCTTATTGCAGAGTTCGGCGAAGCCGTTGATCTCTGCTTCGTGGGGTGCCAATGACGATGGCAGAGGCTGTTGGGCTTTGCCGTCTTTGAAGTCACCGAAGTTCATGGCTCTAGTTGGGTGATTAGTTCATGGGAGTGTTTCCATTGAAAGACTAGTTGATATAGATGTTTCATACTCTTTGAAATCTCCGGTCTATTGGTTTGTCATATCTAGGGTTAGTCTTCGTACTCTATGCCAGGGAACTGGGGAGTTAGAGCCATGACCTACCCGTTGATGTTCGGGATCAAGGGTTTCTGTGTGCATTCCGGACCAGCCGCGGTTCTATGAATATCAGAGTTAGATTGAATGTGTTTTTTTTCCTGTTTGGAGTCAGTCTTGTTACACACATTCTGCTCGATCCGGCATGTCTCCTTCTCCTCTACGGGAGACGAAAAGAACTTCTTGGACTATACGAATGGTCAGATGCTGTGGATATAGATGGCAATCGGATTGTAAGTACCAATCCGAACCCACGGTCCACATCCTCCACGGTGAAATCAGTTCCTTTGCTGTTGACGTATAAAAAGCCATACTTTGCAGCGGCATCTAGCATGGCCTTCCCCACGGCGGGGTCATGGGGATTAGAGATGTCAATGACGGGAAGCTTGATTGGATCTGTGGTGTCAGCCATTTTGAAGAGTAGATAGAAATGGGGTTTAGAAGTTAGGGTTCAAAAGGTATTGAATATATAGTTAAGCAAGGGAGTAAAATCACTATTAGTGCATGTGATCCGACCTATTGCGTATCTTCAATATCACACGATAATCGAATTGGGGCTCAACCAATCCAATTACTTGAATGAATTGCTGGCTCCAGTCAGTTTTCTGGGTCAATTCCGAGCTCAGGCGATATCCGACCTGCCTAAGACCTGCCTATAGAATGGACTTGGAACCCCGCCGATGTGTCATTGTCCCCGCTTATACATCTGGGCATGTTTGATTTAGGTATTCATTATAAATATGCTGGATGATACTTAGTAAGATACATAAAATATCTAGATACATTTTTGTTATATACTTCACTGACTATATATATACATACTTTGTACTCCGTAGTTACTATACTAGATGAAATTGTGGATTTGTGGATTTGTGGGACTGTATTGTTTCTATTTAAACATAGAGATGACTTCATTATAAGCCGTACATTCTTTCTATAAACAAACAGATAAACAAGAACCTAAGTTTAAACAGGCGAACATGGAATAACTAAATCAAATACTAGACTAAAAACCAAAATGTAGTGGTTGAAACAAGCGACCAAAATGTGATGCGATGCATTAAAAGGCAAAAAAACAATCCAACTCCAACTCCGCCTTCCCCCCCTCGTGATCTCGCTATCCCTCATTCCGGACACCCAAACAATCCCAGCTCCGATTCATCATATTCTGAGCACGGAGCTTTCGATCTGCTCTTACCTTTGATATATCTTCTTGCTCCCATCTTCGGGCATCAAAGCCCGGCGTTGCCGTGCTTTTAGCCCGTGACAGACAGCTCCAGAACCATGCCGAGTACGCAGCACAGCTCCACAATCCGCAATCGCATCAGCTAATACTTTATGTCCATGACTAGTCCGTCCTCTCGATGAATGGGTCGTTGGCCGCACCCAGTCCCTACCCCTATCGGCATTGAAGGGCGCCGTTGTTGGCATCGATGCGTCGCACTACATCGGCCAACACCTCGTGAACCAGTCAACCCGGGAAGCGCTTCTAGGCGCATTAGGCGGATTCCCATTCGCCTTGAGGGCCAATATTGAGAAGGAATTGCAGACTTTCAAGAACCTTGGAGTCGCCACTATCTTCGTCTTCAATGGGTTGGAATTCGGCAAGAAAGAACAGCGCGCCCAACCCGCAGCATCGCGCTCGTTCGAACAAGCTTGGGACCTTTACGACCAGCAACAGGCAGACCAGGTAGTCGATGCCTTCAGCAGTGCTGGTATGATCACCTACTATCCCTATTTTACCATCTCCCCGGTTCTGGACCCGCGTGGCTTTTATCGTTTCCGTTTGACCCAGCGAAGCTTCCCAGTACACGCTGACACAACCAAAACCCCAGGCACCCCACCCCCGGAGACGCTCTTCAAGTTCCTGCAACGGATTTTGACCCAGAACGGAGTCGAATTTATCGTAGCACCTTACAGCGCCGCAGCCCAGGCGAGTTGAATGCCCTATACGCTATGGTTGGATTTGTTCGAGTGCTAACCAATTTCTCCGAACAGCTCTCTTACCTCGCCCGTGGTAGCAACCCTGTCGTCGACGCCGTTTTTGCCCCCTCCGAAGCTCTTTTGTTTGACATTGACAAGCTGGTTACCCGTATCGACACCGAGCCCGCGCAATTCTTCTGGATTACGAAGCAAACCTGCCAGGAGGAGCTAGGTCGACTTTCCAATGAACAATTCCTGGACTTCTGTCTACTACTGGGCTCCCCCTTCCTGCGATCCCTCCCACTTTTCGAGAACCCTGCTTATCCCGGCAAAAGCCCCACCATTCGTGATGCGTTGCCGATGTTTAACGCCGCTGGACGCAGTGCATTGACACTGTGCGCCCAATTCGAAGAGGATCGCCGTATGCAGGAACTTCAATACGCAGACCTGTATAAGCGAGCCTATATGATTGTGAAGCATCATGTCTATATTGATGTGGACGGTAAAGTCGGTCCCATGGACCCAGAGAATACCTCGTCGGATATGCACGAGCTTATTGGGCAGCGTCTGCCAGAGGAGTTGTACTTCTATCTCTCCAAAGGTATTATTGGAGCTGATGTACCCAACTTCCTCACAACTGGCGAAGTTCGCATCTCGCTACCGCTGGGTACCGAAGACACCGAGATATACCGCCAGCTCGTGGGTGAAATTTTGACACCCGTCCGCACTCAGTCTATTTGCCTTCTAGCAAACTCACTTCATCGATTCTACCAAACTAAAGTCATTCGGATCCGCCCGTGGTTCGATGAGAACTCAGACCGGACGATCAATCTCAAGGGCATTCCATCAGTCAAGGATACCATCCACCCCTGGAAGATTCACGGAGAACATTTCTCCGAAAGTATCAAGAAGCTCCAGGCGCCTCGAGGATCCTTTAAGTTTGCTGTCCAGTGCTTAGGCGACTCTGAGTTTGTGTCCAAGTCATTTGCTAATAAAGAAACACCTGTAAGTTTACTCATAGATTGGACCTTGCTTTCGATAACTAACAGGTTTCGAAGGTCCTTTCATCGCAGGAGGATATCTTATCTAATGTTATGTGGCGCTTCCTGCAACTGCGTGGATATGTTGACGACAAGCACAAGCTCACTTCATGGGGCCAGTGTCTAGTGCAGGCATTATCAGCTATCGATGCTTCGGATAATCTCGAGGAATCTATATTCATTGCTATTGAGATGATCCGCTTGGGTCTCCTCAACACCAAGCACTGGTTTTCACATGTATCCGGCGGTCCCATGAGAGGGTCAGAAGAAGACAAGACCTTCAATATGCTGGTTTCGCGTGTTGCATGCGTTGCCAAGCTTCAGCACAAGAGCATTGGATATTCTGGACCTCTGAGCCGTCAACTTCTTTGTTACCGCTCTTTGATTTCTGAAGTGCGCTCTGCACTGAGGAATCTGATCGAGGTGGTATTGACTGGTCTGCTGCTCAGTGGTGACGCTGATCGGGACCGCAACGACTGGACTGAGATGGCTATCAAGTATGTTCCTCCTAGACTAGCTATGTTGGATCAGGATTGTTCTAACCTAGTCTCTTAGGCTTCCGTTTATTGATGATAACGACTGTGGACTTGGAATTGCGGTTCGGACTTATCTCGACGACCTTCCCCTACAGGCCAATCCGACATCGCCCGAGGCTCGAGCGGATGTGAAGGCGAAGGGCAAGGAATGGTTCCAACACAGTGAAAGCTTTATTGGAAACTTGGATTTGGCATTCAAGCTGTGGGATGCGGTTCGTATCGTCTGATGTTGAATGTTGACCAAAGCTAATTTCAAAGATAGGTTTACGCAGGTACACAGAGTACGGGCAAGGAGTTCAAGGAAGCAAAGTTCTGGGAAAGCGCAAACAAATGGCTGGCAGAGAGACGATGATGTGGACAAGCTTTGCCAACGACACCAATCAACCACCGTGGGGATTCTGGGTTAACAACCGCAGCTTGCAATTGAAGTTTATGCCAACAGCTCCGATCTTGCCCAAGGAAATGCGATACCAGCAATTCTCCAGTGTATTACTAACTACCCAGGTAGCAACAGAGACAAAACAAATCAAGAAAACGAAACACATGAAAGCTGATATTAAGAGCAGAATAATCAGAAATATAGAGGGAGAGTAAGTTTATTATGTTGTATTGTATCGTAGATGTCAACCTTGGGAAGTAGATGGATGTGATCTGCAGAGCTGTGGAGGCACCAAGTGGCCTCTTCGGCTTTGTTTGTCATCGCCTCCCCGAGCTTTAATTCCGTCATCCGCCCATTTCTTTTGTGAACTCATACTTCTTTCGAAAGTATACTCACACCTAAACCCCATATACACAATGGCACGCTTGAGCTTCCTGCTCGTCGGAGCCCTTTCGGCCCTCAGCGGCTTCGCCACCGCAAGCTCCGGCTCCGTCGTGAAAGACCTACTCCCCACCAACTTCGACGAAGTCGTCCTAGCCGGCAAGCCCGCGCTGGTTGAATTCTTCGCTCCCTGGTGCGGCCACTGCAAGACCCTCGCCCCCATTTACGAGGAGCTTGCGCAGACCTTTGCCTTCGCCGAAGACAAGGTCATCATCGCCAAGGTCGACGCCGACGAGAACCGCTCGCTCGGCAAGCGCTTCGGTGTCCAAGGATTCCCTACTCTGAAGTGGTTCGATGGAAAGACCGATACCCCCGAGGAGTACAAGGGTGGCCGTGATCTCGAGAGCCTGTCCGCCTTCATCACCGAGAAGACTGGTGTCAAGCCTCGTAGCGCGCAGAAGGAGGCTAGCAAGGTTGAGATGCTGAACGATGCTTCTTTCAAGACTGTTGTTGGTGGCGATAAGGATGTGCTGGTCGCTTTCACTGCGCCGTGGTGTGGACGTGAGTTGATTCCCTAGTTGGATTGCTTTTCTAGTTTATTTCTTTTTGCTAATTGTTCGTCCTTGGTTCAGACTGCAAGACCCTCGCTCCCACCTGGGAAACCCTCGCCCATGACTTCGCCCTCGAGTCCAACGTTGTTATTGCCAAGGTCGACGCAGAAGCTGAGAACGCCCGTGCCTTGGCTAAGGAGCAGGGTATTACTGGATTCCCTACCATTAAGTTCTTCCCCAAGGGCTCCACCGAGCCCGAGCCTTACGCTGGCGCACGCTCCGAGGAGGCCTTTGTCAAGTTCGTCAACGAGAAGGCTGGTACACACCGTACCGTCGGTGGCGGCCTTGACAGCTTCGCCGGCACCATCGCCGCTCTGGACGCGATTGTTGCTGAGAATGTTGCGGCTCAGAAGTTCGATAAGCTGGTGACTGAGGTTAAGAAGGCCGCCGAGGGCCTGTCCGACAAGTACGCTGAGTACTATGTCAAGGCTGCGGAGAAGCTGAGCAAGAATGAGGGCTACGCTCTCAAGGAGCTCACTCGCCTTCGCAAGGTCCTGGCTAAGGGTGGCTCCGCTCCCGAGAAGATGGATGACCTTCTCTCTCGCAGCAACATTCTCAGTCGCTTTGTTGGTGAGGAGAAGCACGATGAGCTTTAAGTGCTCGTCATTGTTATTTCTGGATGTTTGTATTTTTTTGCCTGGATTTTTGGCTTAAAGCTCTAGTCACTGTGATTCTAGATTGAGGAGCAGGACTGCTAAACATGGATTCGAAGGAAATCTATTGGCTTGTCTATGAAAACATTGGCTTAATGTTGTATATTGTACAAATTGAGTACCAATCCCGAGGCTTTTTACCTTTCCAAATATGCCTGGAGTATGTGATATATGTGATATATGAACCAGACCCACGCAATTAAACAAAAACATGGTTCTTCTGTACGAGTATCCTCGTTTTTCTGTAGGGTATCTATGAAATCATTAAAGCATAAGTATCAGAACCAGACACAGGCCAGTTGTGCTCATGCCACACGGCTGTTCAATGCACACCCCCAGAAAGCATCATGCAGCCATAAGTAGAGTGTGCGTTGGGCTATTGGTACAGAGCTCCAGCAGAGCTGAACAGCCTAGAAAATGCAGCGCTTATTGCTCTCGCCAAAAACGCCATTCGAAAACAATGCACAAAATCGGAGTATTTGTAAAAGGCGTTCATATTTATTTTGCCGGATCTGGGGCGCCAGGCGCCGCAGCTGCAGTTAGAGACGCTTCTAGCTCATCAAGGCGCTTGGTCATGTCATCCACTGTGCATAAACATGGATTAGTTTGCATTCACAGGTATGAAGATGGCTTGGCGGTAAGGGCGGAGGATGATTGGGACAGGAACTCACGTTTCCCGAACATCTCCGTAGAGACAGCGTCGAATTTGCTTTGGAGTTGATTGAGCAGATCGTCCACGGCTGCCGTGAGCTGACCTTGGGCATCGGAGTTCTAAGGGTATTTAGTTAGTAAGAACGACAAGTGGGATTGGAACTTGCAGAAGGGATATACCGGTTGGGACAGAAGAGACTCTTCCTCTGGTAGGGAAGAGACTAGCTTGTCTATAGGAGGAGACTTGGAATCGTCGACCATTGTGAGACTATGCACTCCCTGTACAGACTGTTTGGAGCATGTAGAGACGAGGACAGTTACCGGGCGGTGGACCGATAAGGAAACGGATGATATATATTTCCGAGATATTGCTATGTGTGGACTAGCGCGGTCTTATCGGTGGCGCTAGCTTGATCTGTACTAGCGCAACTTCAAAAAAATCCCGTGGATTCTCGGATGCGGGTTTGATAGCAAGTTGCTTTCCTTTTTTCAATTCCTTTCCCATTGCACAAAATACAAGTTTTTCTTTGTATTCTAACACAAAGCAAACATGGTCAAGCGAAGCAAGTTACTTCAGGCTCTCGATGCCCACAAGGGCCGGGATTTCGAGGCAGAGAAGCAGAAGAAATTGATCAAGACCGCCGAAAAGAAGAAGGCTAAGAAGGCTGCTGTCGCCGCCCCCGAGGACAAGGTTGTTGAGGAGGAGAAGGAAGAGGAGAAGGAGGAAGAGAAAGAGGAAGAAAAGGCCTCCAGCTCTGACGCCGAAGAGGAAGAAGAAGAGGTCGACCAGGATGAGGAGATGGAAGATGAGGAAGAAGAGGAAGAAGACATCCCGCTCTCCGACCTCGACGAAGACGAGCGTGAGGATGTCGTTCCTCACCAACGTTTGACAATCAACAACTCTGCCGCTATCACCTCCGCCCTCAAGCGCATTTCCTTCATCGGCCCTCAGACCCCATTCTCAGAGCACAACTCCATAGTCTCGAAAGAGCCAATTGAGATCGAAGACGCCAATGACGATCTGAACCGTGAATTAGCCTTCTACAAGGTCTGCCAGGTTGCTGCTACCCAGGCTCGTACCCTGCTGAAGAAGGATGGCATTCCTTTCACACGACCAGGCGATTACTTCGCGGAGATGGTGAAGAACGATGAGCACATGGCCTTGATCAAGAAGAAGCTTTACGAAGAGGCTGCTAGCAAGAAGGCTTCTGCTGAGGCTCGTCGCCAGCGTGATCTTAAGAAGTTCGGCAAGCAGGTCCAGAACTCCAAGTTGCAGCAGAGACACAAGGAGAAGCGCGAGATGTTGGAGAAGATCAACACCCTGAAGAAGAGTATGTTTTCACTTTGTTTTACTCTTGATACCTTTCTATGAGGTTCGCAGTCGCTAACCTGATTTTTCACACAGAGCGCAAGGCTGATGGCTCTGCCCCTACCGACGACGCCAATGATATGTTCGACATTGCCATTGACGAGGTCACCAAGCCCGAGAAGAAGCGTAGCCGTGGCGAGGGCCGTGGTGATGGCCCCGGTAGCTCGAAGCGCCAGAAGAAGGACTCCAAGTTCGGATTCGGAGGCAAGAAGCGCCATGCTAAGAGCGGTGATGCTATGTCCAGCGGTGATCTGAGCAACTTCTCCGCTAAGAAGATGAAGGGTGGCGCAAAGCGACCCGGCAAGAGCAAGAGAGTCCAAGCCAAGGGACGCAACTAATCGTTTTAACGTGATGGGTTATGTTGTGATATTGCATTTGTATCGTGCATCATGTAATTATTTATATCGCTTGGGTCTGGATAACCAAAAATGGCAGTTTTGATTTATTATCTCTATGACTTGCGAATATGAGACTTTGTAGCTACAGCCGAATCATAAAAGCGACAAAAGTGAAATATAAGATGAAAAGCTTCAGGGCAGGTATTACACACTCTATACCGAGGTGTGCTAGTGCTACACCTAAGAGGCAAGATATGGTACATATTGAATTGAAGGTTTGATATTACAAATAGCAAGTCTATATACAAATGCTATATCATTTTAGAGACTCTACAGTCTATTGAGCTGCTTCGGCTTCAGCCTTAGCGGCTCTCTTCTCCTCCCACTCTGACAAGAACTTCTCTACCTTCGGTCCCCAGACCTCTTCACCGGCCTCAAGGTCCTTGTACTCCAGAACCCTGTCGGGGGAGAGTTCATAGTCACCTTGACGACTGCGCACTAGCTCGCTCATCAGAGCACAGCTACCAACAGCTTTGCCTAGATCATGTGCCAGCGAGCGGACATAGAAGCCTGACGTGACAGTCATCTTGATCTTAACAGCCGGGGGCTGGGGCTGGGGCTCCTCTGCAGGCACAACAGGGACCTCTGCGGTTGCAGGTTCGGGGGCAGTAGGCTCAGGTACCGCAGGCGCTGCCTCGGTCTCAGACACCTTCTGCTTCTTAGTAGCCTCCGCACTATCATCATTTCCCTCATCCGCAGGGGGTGGCGACTTCCGCTTGGTAGAAGAAGCCTCGGGGACATCGCTCGTAGCCTCACCCTCGGCTGATGGCGCAGACGCTTCCTGATCAAGAAGCTTCTCAGCGACAGCCTTCTCATCACCAGTCATCTCCTCCTCGGGCCATTTGTACTCGTGCGTGCCGGGCTCATACCACTCAACAATCTCCATATTTAAGACCTCAACGGGGCGGTGCTTAATCTCAATCGGCGGCATCTTGCCCTCGCGCGCATACTCGTACAGCTTCTTTCCATTCACCCGCAAAGCAGAGAAAATAGGCGGCTTCTGCATGATCTTTCCGCGGAACTGTTCCAGCGCCTTCTCGACTGCTTCGCGCGTGATGTGTTCGTAGGGCGCGCGGCGCACGATTTTTCCCAGGCGGTCGTAGGTATCCGTCTCCGCGCCGAAGGTCACAATGGTTTCGTAGCTCTTGGTGCATGCCAGGAAATCCTGGAGGGACTTTGTGCCCTTGCCAATTCCGGTGATGAGCACGCCTGTCGCGAGCGGGTCCAGGGTTCCGCCGTGACCGATCTTGACGTCGAGGCGCTGGTGGCGACGGCGTTTGCGCTGGAATTGGCTCTCACGGTCGCGGCGCGCGCGTTCCTCTTCTAGCCATGGTCTGAATGTCTTGGAGGGGTTGAAGTGTTTCTGCAAAGTGCGGATCACGTCGGCGGAGGTTACGCCTTGCGGCTTGTGGACGGCTATCGGAGAAGTTAGATCGAAGTCTTGCTTTAGTAGGACTCATGCTCACCGAATACGCCTTCGAGGATCTTCTCGCCAGACATTGTGTTGCGAAAAAGCCGAAAACCTGGAGGGAATGGCATCTGGAGAGGTGGGAGTCAATCCAGAATGAAAAAGTTATTTGGTAGAGATTTGGCTCCCGCCTTTACGGCAGTTCTTTTGGGGCCACGAAATGCCCTCGCGACTAGTCACACTGTGGTTATGATTAGGACAAACAAGTTTCTGGATAATTAATGGGGATATCTATAGATGTCACAGTACTATAAAAATGGATGGTCTTGGAACTACGTATTATTTGAATGTCTTTTCAAGTGCAATTTGAAGAATAAGGCAGGTATACTTTGATCTCTTTGATGTCCTTGTAGTTGTCATTTTTCACATTTTCTTTTCGGTTCTTTTGATTTATAGCACATGACAAATAGCAGATACAATGTGAAAGCCAAGATTTTGAATCAATTCTCGTCATAACAATTAGGGCCTTCAAGACGCCATTGTCGTAATGGTCTCAAAAAGCTACCCCATGACATACTATCCTACACCACATGCTGACTATAGTGACACAAAATGCACCCTTTTTGAATGCTTTGCCTTGAAACTGTGGATTTTCTGGTTTTATACAATGAATATATGCACAAGCCTCTAGCTCGCAATAGAGACCAGCTAACACCTTGTTCGCTGTTGGGGTGCAACAGCCAAGTTTCCATTCAACAAGGTTCTGATATCCTCAATGTGAGACATAATTCCATGCTTAATAGCCCTTAGATCTGCAATCGGGATAGCATCATGTCTATGACAACTAATGAGGTGAGATCTCTAGTGCTTTCTAGTTCTGGGGCCATGCTAGCAACCACTGGTACCTCGTGCTCAGCCGATGCATATAAAATTCCTAGAATCAATGGGACTGAATTAGAGACTGTTTGACATACCCATTCTCAATATGACACTAGCTAGAATGTTATTGGCGCCTGAGGTTTTGCTCACCGAAGTTGATGTCATTCATCCTGGTGCTGCTCTCCAATACAGACAAGAAAGGCTCTCCTGGCTTGAACCAGATTCCAAGACTGAGAACATGATACCTAGCCTAGGGGATACTACATTACTGATTGATTTGGTGGATGATGGTGGATGAAGAGAACGGACAGCTGAATCCTCAAAAGAAGAAAATTGATGGTTGATTCATGCCCGTGTCATAAAGAAAGCGTAGACATTTGGTCAGCCGGAATACAATGTTCCTACCAGTTTCAAATGTGGCATTCTACTCCGTAGTACATACATACATATGTATGCAGGTAGGTCTTAGCTTTCTAAAGTCGGAATAGATCCAGATCGGAGTTTAATTTAGATCGGATCCGTGGACCATCCATTGTAGTTAACCTTAAATTCAAGCTTATGTAATTATGCATTATACACGTGATTCCCCATAAATCAGGCAGAACTCCATGTAATTAATTGCGGGTAACTTCGTGTATCCGTAATTTACGGGTGGTCGATGACTTCGACTGTTGACAACTACAAGACTCCATTCCAAGTCACTTTCTTCTCGTTCTCATTTTCTTAATTACCCGACCTCGCCTCTCTATCAATATTTCTACATTATTGTCGAAAACCACCATGTCAACTCCACCATGACGTCCCGCGAAGAAACCGTCCTAGCTCCCATCGATCCCTCTATCACTGATGAGAACGATTGGTGGGAGTTTGGCCTAACCGATGTGAAGGTCCTAAAGCCTGGGAAGATGCTATATGCGAATCTACTGGATGCTACTGAACAGAACCCAGTACAAGTGATCGGCTGCTTAGAGCCACTGCGAGAGGATCAGGAACACTTAGGTATGTATCGTTGTATCAATGCGCGTTTATCAAGCAGCTTGTTGACCAGTCACTCGCCCACCAGTACTCAACCCGGACAACCCCCCTAAGCGCATTATTATTGACGAAGTCACACACTATGCCTACGGCCAAACTGAAGATAAGAGCATCGAGCTCTGGGTTGCTGGTAAGGCGGGCTGGTACGACATCATCTCGCCCGCCAAGGGTTTCACACCCACATACAATCGCATGGTCCAGGCCATTGACATGCTGTATTTCCTGGTTGATAAGCACCAGCAAGGGAAGAAACAGATCAATCCCTCATTTAGGAGTCTCTGCGAACAAGTGAGTCTTGATTCCGAGTTATGCGCTATACAAGCCGAGGCCTAATATTCATCCACTCTTAGTACACTTACCACACATATGGCTCATGTGAGACTCGAGAACAGTCAGCTGAGGCCTTTGCGACACACGCTACTTTCTTGCTTCGCTGCATGATCCAAGGTGATGCAGATGTGGACTGGAAGAAGACAAATATCTTCGTCCATCTGCGTCGCCAATTTCATGTGAGTAAAGAAGCATCCTCGTTTACAATGGCCTATAAGCATACTAATAATAAACCTAGGATGACTATAATAGACTCATGGAGGAGCTTTCGCCCTCCGAGGAAAGCGAAACTGAACCCGAAGACACACCAGAAGTAGCAACTCCTCGACATCAGCCTGCGGCAATTTCGAAATCACAAGCTGATGCCATCTATCAATTGCTCAAGGACCTCAGAGCAGAAGGCCACTTGGCAAAGCGTCGCCTGCATATTGACCTCCTAGGAGAACGCTTAGCAGAACGGTTCTCTTTCAGCAACGAAGATGCCCAGAAAATCATTGCGATCCGGGCAAGTGCCGTGATAGAATTGATGGATGAAGAGGACTTTAGATGGCCTCGCTATGTCATCCATAGAGAACTCACACATGCATCCACGAAATCCGCCCCTCTGCCAGCTTCACTTCTAACCCCCTTGGATTCACAGGAAGAATCCAGTGATGATGAACGATACGGTCGGACTCAGAAGTCTGTGCTACGTCCAAAAGTACACACAGTCTCCAATAAAGTGACCGGCAAGCGAAACCGTAATGCCTCCACAAACCAACAGACAGTCGAATCCAACGACGAGGAAGACCAAGAGGACACCGAGGAAATCGACGATTTCGAAAACGAGATCGAAACACCTAGCAAAATCCGCGGCCATGAATTAATCAGAGATCCGTTCACAGCCACAAAGCCTCGGACTCGTTCGTTCTTGTCAGCCTCCTCGAGCGTCGCCGGCCCCTCTCTTATGAAGAGCCTGTTTAAAGACAATATCAAAAAAGACAAACTTCAAACTCCTCCTGTATCTTCGTCGCCATCACGCCAAAAGCTTCAGACTCCGGAGCGGGATCAAACTCCAGATACGTCCGTTGAAACCGAAGAACTCATCGATGAGATATCTGGTACTTGGACATGTCGCATGCCCGGATGTGAGAGGTTGATTTCGACTACGGACAGAACTGAGCGCAAGAAGCTTGTTGGGGACCATGCCGGAGAGCACGAGTGGGAGATGCAGATGAAGGTCGAGCTGATGGAATCGGAGAAACGCATGCATTCTTCCTTCCCTGTCACCAACCTCATGCAGTACGTCGTTGACGCGCATGTGCTGCAAATGCGTGCTGCATTCCCGGAGTTCTATCCTGCAAGTAAAGAAAATGACACGCCTCTGAATGGTGAATACCTGAACGGAGATACATCTGTTCCAGAGACAGAGGGATTAGAAGAGGAGAATGACGAGGATGAAGAGGATGATGAAGATGAAGAGCTTGAGGATCTTGTGAATGGCTACACATGATCTGCTCATCCCGAAACTAACGATCGCTATGTGCTATGACGTTCATCGAAATTCGGAAACACGGTTGAACAAGGAAAACCTCACCGCTGAGCTTCGATGATTACAAGAAACAACGGAACCAGTAGATGGGACTGAAATCCAGCGCCAACACTTACAGAGCTCTTCTCTCAAGTATGTATGAAGTTACTTCTTGTTCGCAGCTCTCAAGAACCCTCTGTCTAACGATTTTCTTTGCCGACAGAGATACCCGCACATTTCAAGCTTTGCTCACCGGTGGAATAAAGGCGCTGGGTGTTAGAGGAGACAGGCCGGGTCAGAGGAGGATGTCTCCTACGGAACGAATTTGCTAGACATGCACGACCCAGAGGTTTGACGGACACTATGCTTTGCTGATGATTCTTTCGGATTGGGCCTTTTATTCCTTCGACTTGATACCCCCGCCCAAAGTAGATAGAACCAATGAATCCTTTCAAATACACTTTCAAACTTTAGTATGCACAAATATGGCAATCAGAATCTAGATTAGAATGTAGAGCTTCTAGAAGTAACCCAAGAGAAGAGAAAACAGTGTATTGAATAGAACACCCAACACTCTATACGAAAAGCATGGAGTGTGTATGCAAGAGGAAAGCCATTAAGAAAAGCAAGCAAAAGGGGGGGCAAAGAAATACTGTCTGTCTGTCTGTACATGGCGAAGAACAGTAGATTGGTATTGAGAGAAGTAGTAAAGGAAAAGAGAAAGAGGAGACGCTCTTTTGACTCGGAGGGGTATACCAAGAACATGCCACATATATCACCACACATGCACACCAGATTGAGAGATAAGAGATAAAAAAAGATAGGGATACAGAGGGGATGATTGTAGAAAAGATAGGAAACAGATGTCAAAGGATCAGCAAGATGCGTGTAGTGGGGAAAGAAAAAGGTGGGCGATGAAGCCCAGAAGAGAATGGAAATGGTCTATCGATCGGCGCGAAGAGTCCTGTTCTTTGGACCAAATGTGAGGATTATTGCTTGTGGGCACTGTGAGCCTCGACAAGAGCTGTGGTTGATTAGTTATTTATTCTCCGACGAAGAAAATGCAATGGATACTTACTCTCAAGAGCAGAAGCTTGTCCTTGTCTGGATTCACAAGCACATTGGAGGGTATTTCCATCTAAGAAATCAAGCAAGATGCTGTTGGGCAGTTCCTGCATGTCTTCATCAGGAAGACAAGGAGTGCGGAACTCGCTGAGATGGTAGCGTTTAGTCATGTTCCGAGTGGTGGCATCATTGGTGCCAGGTGTGAGAACAACGTATCCCTGTTCATCGATGCGCATGACCCGACGCTTCCACAGAAGAGTTTCTGGGAACTGGACGTTCACCTCGCCAATGTCAATGGGCTCTGAAGTATGCGAGCTAGAAGACCCTGGAGCCTTGATAGACCCATTTGTGAATGCGGGAACAAACCCTTCTTCCTTAACCGGCGAGCTAAGGGCGCCGATAATGCTGCGCCGAGAGTTGGATGTGATCGATGACATGCGGCGCATGAGTCGCGAGGTGCGAGATGTCTTCTTATCTTCGGATGTGGGAGAGGCAGATTGGATGCTGTCGTCAGTCCGAGAGCGCGAGCTAAGAGAAGGGCGGCTTCCGGGGCGGCTGCTGGGGCGAGACGTCGCTTGGCGACTAGATGCAGTAGATGAAATAGACAAGCTTCGGTCGTGGGAACGCCTGGCAGGCTCTGTAGGCAAGACCTGAGGGAGTGGTTCCTCCTCGGCTGTCTCATGCTCCACAGTCAAAGGACTGGCCTGGAGGTTGAGAACATCTGGCTCTGAAGGCTTAATTGTTGAAGATTTAGGAGAGATATCTGCATCGCGCACGATACGGGCCGTCACGGAAACAGAGCTGGGAGGGCGCGTAGGATCCACTGACACCCGACGGGTATGCCGGCTCACGCTCGGCGCACGAGAAAAGCTGTCGGGGATGTGAACAGAGTGTATTGTGCTTGACGGAGTGGTTTCGTGGTTCCCACTGGGCATCGATATAGATGCACGTTTACGAAGGTTCTCGAAAGACGAGGAGGCCGATGGCGCACCCAAAGCCGGACTCGCGCCTAAAGGGGTGCCTTCCCGGCTTGAAAACTTCTCAAGAGCCTTGATGCGACTGGAAATTCCGGAGGAGACATTAATCTTCTTGGCCATGAGTACCGGCGTAGATGAGCCATTGTCAGAGTGAGAGCTAGAAATGGACCGGCCCCCGACTGCGAGAGCTTGCATACTCGGCGGTGATCCCATAGAGAACGGGCTCGAGACGACACGTGAATTCCTCCAAGTGTGGTCGTTGACGTTGGGAGATTTCACAGACACCGGCCTGGCCTCCTGGACAGTAGCTGAAGTCAATTCCTCCATGAATGAATCGTCGGAAAGGAGGTTGTCGTCGTCTGAGAATTCTAGAGTAGGCACTTGAATAGGTTCCAGGCGGACCTTGCGCCTCTGATCCAGGGTAGGAGGCTCGGGTTTCTCGGCAATTGGGTGATCAGGGGCTGACTTGTCCACCTCGATTGAGACCAAAACGGGGGCGGCTGTAATTTCCGTGCCAGTACTTTCTGGAGGGGTAATAGAGGGGGTGGAAGGGAGGGGAACCGGCTGGAGGACCTCTGCTGAAATAGGCACTTCAGAAGGTTCGTCAGTTGGCACATATGCAACTGGGGGGATTTTAAATTGTGTTTCAGGGACGTCTGCTAAATCAGGTCGTGGGGCGTCTGAAGGCTCATTTTGAAGTGGAGGGTCAAGATTAAAGGTAGGTGGGGCGACACCAGAGATTGCGGAGTCTTCGTGCTCGGGTGTTTCATCCTCAGGGGGTGTCGGTATTGTTTCTGTCTTGACAGTCGCTGAAGGTGTAGCAACGCGATCAGCTGAGATAGGACTATCGGCGTTTGTGCCTGTAGGTGAGGATGGCCCATCCTCAGCGTTGGCAGGAGAAAGATCGGTGATCGGTTCTGATCCAGCCTCAAGAGGACCAGAAGGCTGCTCTGGCTCGAGTGTCTCGAGCGCCACGGCAGACTCAACAATTGTTTCGGCGACTGGTTTCAGAACAGCCTCGGAGTCTGAGTCGGCAGGCGCAATCTTGGGAATGGGATCAGCTAATGCGTCAACAACAGGCTCAGGGGTAAGCGCGGGGCTGCGCTCAGTGACTGCCTCGGCGACAGGCTCAGGGGCAGATTCAATAATGGTTTCGGGGACGGGTTCGGGGGCAAGTTCAAGAGTGGAATCATGAACGGGCTCTAAGGCAGGTTCAAGGATAGATTCAAGAACAAGCTCAGGGGCGGGCTCAAGAGGCACGGGTGGATTGTCCGAAGGGGACTTTTGTTGGTCTTGTCGAATTGTCTCAGGCTCAGATAGCATCATTTCAGCGTCAGGGTAGTGAATCTGAATGAGATTCTCTTTATCGTCATCCAGATCCTCAGCAACATCCTTCACTGGTTTGATCGCTCCTTCCTCCGACACATGCTTCTTCTTCGTTTCCTCCGCACGCTTGGCCATATTCTTCCTTCTTTGCTGCAAAGCCTTCATCAACCGTTCTTTTTCAGGTGTCAACCCCGAAGAGGCAGACAAGGCTCCAAGAGATTTGGCGCCGGGGGAAAGCTGAGGTCTTGAGATCGGAATCGATGGGGGTGGGACCAGCAGAGGTGGGACAGGCGGGACACGGCTGGTGGGCTTGATTGTGAAAGTGCTCCCCTGAGATCGAGGGCGGGGCGCGTCACCGTTTTGCTTCCGCACGGAAGAAGTGCGTATATTTGTCGGCAGGGATGCAACAGGTCGCTGGTCTAAATTTCGAGAACTGCCTGCTGTGCGGGGTCTTCCACTGCTATCCACGGACGGCCGGGGTCCCAGCTTAACCTTTGGGGTGTATCCTGCGGCCCGTTCCAACTCTCGGAGTGAGGGGCGGCTGGATTGGGTGGACAACCGGGGCTCGTCTGAAGGACGGGGGAATTCATCCAAGATAGCTCGGTACCTAGAACTTGACCGAGACCGATCTGACGTTACAGACTTGGGAGACATTGTCGCTGATTGTGGTTCAATAGGACTCCCTCGAGAGATTGTGGCTCTGGAGCTTGCCCGGGATGGGGGTGGCATGAGATCTACCGCGGCTTTTTCGCTCTCTGGTGATGTCGGGGGTAGTTCCGGTTCCACGGGGGGTTCGATTGGGGGTTCAACGGGCGAAGGCACTACGGTAGCTTCCGACTGGACGCTCCTCGAGCTGCGTCGGGCCTCGGACTGGGGGGTGGGATTGGTGTCGGAGTTTCATCCTTTGTGCCATTTTCCTCGGCATCTTCCGTGATTTCCATCAGCCGTCGGCGCCGAAGAGAGCTCGAAGAAGAGGTGATTGAAGTTGAAGCAGTATGGAGGAGACACGCGGAGGACAAAGCGCTTTCGGTGAGATCAGAGGCTTTAGATAAAGGAAGTACCGTGTCGTTGGGAGTGAACTTGTCGGTGACGGACTGGAATTGGACATTGCTGCGGGCTGGGACGGATTAGACCAATTTCCAAGGAAAGTCTATTGATAAACATACCTAGTATGAGCCGGGATAACCCCTCCGGCATGTAGCGGATGATCACTTTTCTGCGCCGGTATTGAAGGAAGCCGTAGAGCGGCGAGCATTCCTCGTAGCTGTCGATGGCATTCCGGATTTCGGGTACCCCACCAGTGCCTCGTTCGTGAAGGGCAACCTCATCTCTTGCAACGTAGTGTAGTAAAAACCTGAAACATAGATAGGGGTGTCAGTGACGTGAAGTTCATTGTATCTGTACAGCATGAAACACTGCAAAAGGGGGTACTCACCACCCGCCCGCATCGGCCAGGGCACTTTGGTAGGCTTCAAGGACGGGGGCAGTATCGAGCCCATTCAAAGACATGGCGTGAGCCGCATGGAGAACGGAAGTAGGCGCAATGCCGAATGTAATGGGGTGAAGCAGATGGAATAGGAGGGAAAAGTGGCCCCAGAAAGCGGGTAACGACACTAAATGTCGACTTGGGATCGGATCTTAAGATCTCGAGCCCAATCAAGGCCGTGCGGATTTGCCTGTTTCATGAAAACAAAGTTGGTTTAGGCGAACTGTTCTCAGGGGCCTTTTTTCAATTGACTCCACCTTTGATTATTCCAATTTGAAAAAAAAAAAAAATTCCATGTCCAAAAGTACTAGAAGTGCTTAAATCATTATGAGACAGTACATGTACGGAGTACAAAGGTACACATTGTCCACATAGAACATTGAATGAGCTCATTGGGATTATCCTGCATGGGAATAAGCTCGAGTAAATGATAGACTACGGAATAACCATACATATGTAACAAGTTGAAATACAAATAGTTACAATCGTTACAATAGTTTCAATATATAACTTGGAAGTCCTAACAAACTATTCCCGCTGTTCTCCGCCTCGGCGTCCTCCGAAAGTGGAAACTCAGATTATCTACTTCTTACATATACTTAATTGCGACATTGCCCCTTGATATTTATAAATATTTCATGCATATTCAATAAATTCAATAAACTACACCATGGCCGACCTTCCCCCGCTATCGACGATCCCTTCCCTACCCCAAGAGGCCCAGCTTCGGGTGCTCGATACACTGTTCGAACCCTCCCCAGAGCTCCACCGACTGATGATTCCCGTTCTGGCCAACCAGACCTTCTCTTCATACACCAACCTCATCGATGCTGTAGGGGGTCGTATGTCTGCTCTCTCAGCTCCGAATTCACCAACTGACCGAGACGTGCTCTTTGGCATTTTGGGATCGCATCCGCGTCTTGGTCGAGCCCCAGCCAACCCAGAACATCTGAGCGAGCTAAGCAAAAAAGAGCAAGCCCAATTGAATGAAGGTGCAGAGGAACAGGCGGAGAAATTACGAGCACTCAATGCTGAATACGAGGAAAAGTTTCCGGGTTTACGGTTTGTGTAGGTCCACGTCTCTTGCGCATTGTCTATATATATACATGCGGCTGATTTGAGATCTATATAGCACATTTGTCAATGGTCGTAGTCGGGATGTGATTATGGTCGAAATGCGCCAGCGCATTGACCGGGCCAATGCGGAGAAAGAGATTGAAGAGACCATACAGGTAATGTTCTCTTATCTGTTGAGTTGCTATATACTGATTTTTCGAAGGGAATGTGTGATATTGCAAAGGACCGAGCAAGAAAGCTTCAATCACACATTTAAAATGCTTCTAGTACATTCTAATCTGTGTTTTATACATTTTATACTTTTATACATGAACACGATCATAAGCAAAATAAGCAACCCTGGAGGGTCCCAAGTCTCCACCCCCATCGCCCCCATTTGATGTCATCTAGCGCTATCCGGTCTTTGCCGCTTTACTTTTCTTTCCTTTTCCTTTCTCTTTTCCTTTGTATTTAAGTGTGAATACTGTACATCTACATTTGTATATTCTCTGATACCACCCTCCATGCGACTGAACATATGGCGGAGGGAAATAATCTCCAACTACGAGTCGCAATGACCCCCGCGATAGCCGATTTGACCCCCCTCGGAACTTCGACATTCCCCGGTAAGTTGGGATATTGAATATTACATTTCGAAGCTTGGATCTTCCTTAAATTCCCCATACTTGAAAGTTCAGGATTTGAATCCGGTCTGGCCTGGAGAACTCCAATGCGCCGCTGGCTCTGGACTGTCCCTATCACGCGCCAAAAACCGAAAAAAAAATGTCAACCCACAGGATGCTAACGGAACTATCAGCCTCGGCTACCTCGGATGTCGCTTCGGGCTCAACTCATAGTTTACAAGATGCTCGGAATGCTAGACGGTCGGTCATTGGCAGCTCTATACGAGATTCGATCTCAAATACCCCCCACGAGAAGACCGAGTCAAGTGCCATAGATCCGTTGTCGCAGGTAAGCTTCCTATGAGCCGAATTGGCCCGGTCCGATCATGTGCTCTTTGTGGAATCTTCGAGGTGCATATACGGAGATGCAGGAGCCAAGCTGACAGGAGGACCGTGCTTTGTCGTTATAGCACATTATCCAACGCACCAATACCCAAAAGTCCATTCCCCTGAAACTACTCGGAAGAGCCTCATACGAAGCAGAGGCCGTGGGCTCCGAGTATGGCCAGCCAGAGCGAAGCCCAACGCTGGGAGACGCATTGCCTACCTCAAAACCCTCCAAGGAGAAGAAGTAAGTTTTTATAGACTTTGCCAACTTGCCTTGGGGACACAAGTTACGCCGACAGTTTGTGTCGCCGAAACTTGTATGCCGGGTGTTTCTTTGCGCCTCCCCACAATAGTCCACTTGGGAATATTCACCCCCAGGATTCTCGCATCAACATACATTATATTACCAGTGGCTGACCCGTGGTTTGTTCTACTCAACTGCAGAAAAGGTGTCTCCTTCCTCAGTCGAATCATTGGAGGCAAGAAAAAAGACCAGCAGTTTGAGGCGGAAGATGAAGGCTCGGATCCCGATATGCACCGCATGTCCGTTGATACTTCGCATCCAATTGGATTTATACCTCGACACCTTGCTCCGTCCAAATACTTGAAGGTGCGGGCCCACTACAAAAAGGAAAAGACGTTCAGCCGTGTGTTTCTGGCCCAGGAACTGGGAGGTAGCGGCCCAGTACCCAAAACTGCAGATAGAAGGATATCTACCTCCTCAGCTTTGCCACAGAATGGAGAAAACACCGGAAAGGCCGTCTGGGCACTTATGTTTTCTAAGGATGGTAAGTATATTGCCGCGGCTGGCCAGGACCGGAAGGTTCGAGTATGGGCTATTATCGCTACACCAGACGAGCGTGAGGATGCCAATGGGGACGAAGAGTCGACACCTGTAGATGCACAGGATAATTCCGGCCTGAAGGCGCCTGTGTTCCAGCCGACGCCTGTTCAGGTGTACGAGGGGCACACGGGAAGTATATTGGACCTGAGCTGGAGTAAAGTATGCATTCCCAAACATTCAACCCGATGGAAACGGTCATGCTGACCTGCGAGCCAGAACAACTTCCTCCTCTCCTCATCAATGGACAAAACGGTGCGGCTATGGCATATCTCTCGATCAGAATGTCTTTGCTGTTTCCAGCACAGTGATTTTGTGACTTCGATCCAATTTCACCCGCGTGACGACCGCTTTTTCCTTGCTGGATCTCTTGATACGAAGCTGCGACTTTGGAGTATCCCAGACAAGAGCGTGGCCTTTGTGACTGCTGTGCCTGATATGATCACTGCAGTGGCATTCACCCCGGATGGCCGATACTCCATTGCCGGATGTTTGAATGGCATGCTCAACATCTATGACACCGAGGGTCTAAAAGTATCATCTCAGATCCATGTGCGATCGGCCCGTGGGCGCAATTCCAAGGGTAGCAAAATCACTGGAATCGATACGATGACGGTTCCCAGGAGCGATAACAAGGATGACACCGAGACTGATATCAAGTTACTGGTTACCAGTAACGACTCCCGCATCAGGATGTACAACTTTTATGATCGATCGTTGGAGGCTAAATTCCGCGGTAACGAGAACACATGCAGCCAAATTAGAGCTACATTCAGCAACGATGGCAGATACATCATATGTGGAAGTGAGGATCGTAGGGCATACGTGTGGCCAATTGGGTCTGTGCAACGAGATTCTGAAAAGCAGGCTGTGGAGGTATTCGAGACGCAGTCCGCCATGGTAACCGCAGCCATCATAGCGCCGATTCAAACGAAACAGCTACTGGCGTTATCAGAAGACCCAATCTACGACATCTGCAACCCGCCCCCGGTAGCCCTATTGGGTCCGGAGTCAACAGAACCATCAAGAAAAGGAAATGGAAAATCCCACGAACGCTCTGTATCAGCGCCTCGCCTATCCATAGTCAGCAAAATGGCCCACGAATCACCCTCCTACCTCGCACGATCCAAGCATCCAGGCGGAGAGATAATCGTGATTGCCGACTACTCCGGCAAGATCAAAGTCTTCCGACAAGACTGCGCATATCAAAAGCGACGCTTCGAGAACTGGGACGCCAACTCCACCATCTCACGACGGATCCTCAGACGCTCCAACTCCGCACACCGCAGCACAGCCTCCTCAACCGGGAAGGAATCTACCCACAAAACCCCATCCGAGCGCATCGTCTCCTGGCGTAACTCCGTCGTCCGCCAGGGCCGCTCCAGCACCGAAGGTTCCCGCTCCGGCCTCCGAACCCGCAGTCCATCTCCCCAGCATCGCTCAGCCATGTCCAGACTAGCCTCCTCCCGTCCTTCAAGTCTCGGTCCGCACGAGTCACTATCCGTCACCACTACATCCCCGCCCCCATCGCCACATCGATCCCGCCCCACCAGCAACCGCACAAGCGAAGACGTGAGCCGGACAAACGGAAATAACGGCCGTGTAAATGTCTCAAGCTCTAAACCCGTGCAACCCTCCATAAAACTCGGCTCATCTGCAGACCTCCTGGCCAGCAGCAGCAAAGCACCAGACAACCCACTCTGGCTACAAGGTGACCGCAGCTATGCGTACTGGAACAAGATCACGCACGATGCGATAGCCATGCAGTCCCGCCACTCGAATGACTTTCTCAGTCCGAGTAGGATCCCATCGCGCGAGCGCGGGATGAGCTCTGGCAGTGTGTTGAGCAGTGACTATACCTCTTCGGCGGGTGATACAGAAGAGGACGTGCTTAAATGTGATAACTGTGGCGGGACGAGTTTCCGCAGTGTTAAGGGGAGGGATGGGAAGCAGAAGCTTATCTGTTCGGAGTGTCGTCGGCCTGTTTCTTAAGTCTGTTTTTTTTTCATTTGATCTACGATCTACGATATATGATTTCCGGGATGTGTGATAGATAGCGTTTTGTTTCAGCATTGGATATATATACTGGAGGATGGGTGCATTGGTTTCTTTTTATTTTATGTAGTTATGATGTCGAGATATTTTGTTTAATCTGTACATTTTGTTGGGCCTTTAGCAGGGCATATTCAGTATCAGATAAAGAGATGAGACATGGAATATTGTATACTGGTTCAACTATAGGACACTCCTTTCTGGCCATGCTTTCTTCACTTGTAGTCTCTTGCAACGCATTCCCAACTCCCAAGCTGCTATAGACATGCATCTAGGGCATCCATCCATCCATCCTTTATCTCACCCAAAGATGGCCGTCCCTTTCCCTTCCTTCCCCCCTGGCCCAAACCCAAGAAACGCCCTACTCCAGCCCCCTCACATCCTCAACAACCATAACCTTCATTCTCTCCCGATCCCAAAATCCCGCCTCATCGGCCTCAATCATCGCCTGAGCCTCCGGCGTGCCCAACGCCTGACAGAATCTGCCAAAGCCAGCCTCATCCTCAAATGACATGGTCACGACGGCATCGTAGGTCTCGCCAACGCTTCCTGCCAGTAGCATCGGATTGGAGCTTGCATCATGCTTCAGATACGACCGTGTGTGGGAGACAGGCGCTGCGTCGCCGCAGATATCGGCTATCATGCGCATGTGCTGCTCGTAGCGGGTTTTGAATTCTTCATGTGATATGTTGGCCTTGCGAGGCGCGAAGACCATTACGCGGTAGACCATGGTGATGATTGTGGGTTATTTGTGAGGAATTGTAAGATTATGAGTGAGGCTGTGAGTGTGAGTGTGATTGTGGGAAGTTCAAAATCCAATAAACAAGGCTTCGTAGGCGGTTATATACCCAACAACGTCTTTCTATCTGCAAGAGTTGAGAAGATTCTTGTGGCCTCCAAGAGCCCCTTGCACCTTCTAGAGGGTTCTGGTTTCTTTCCTGTGACTTCCTGCGTCTTCTTGGAGTTTCCTAAGCTGACATGTACTACATGCATTTGGGGGGCCGTGTGCAGTTGACTTCTATAACCGGTAATGATGAACGTACATATGTACAACATAGACAATCAACAAATCAGATTATGGATACTGTAGTATTTGTTTGATTTGGATTTCTTGCATTGCTTTTATGGATCAATTTCGAGCAAGTATGCCAATTTAGGCAGACGACTGCGTGGACGGAGTCATCAAACCCTAAGGTCATAATGTTACTTTCAACAATCATATATGTACCCAAGTAGAGTGGATTTGATAAATCTTGGGAAGTATATCTTTCACTGGAATTCACAAGTTGCTTCAACTATATTATTGGATATACTCCGTGTTCGTCCTTCATATCGCGCATCACTCGAAACTGCCAGGGAAGCGAGCCACCTGGACACTGCTCCGGCCAATACTCACAGCCAGTTTGTCTTTGATAATCGATAATCTCAATTGACCATGAATTCTCCCACAACTCCGAAGTTATTAGCACAATGCCAGTCGTTTCATACCGTTTAGAACATCTTCCTCTGTATGTTTTTGAAGAAGAGACTGATCTGTCAACTCTCGTTTGTTTACCACCACACCAGAAAGACCCAGTGATACTCGACAGTGCCAATTGGAAAGGCTCATGAAAGGTATAGTCGCAAAATTGTAATTGGGGGGTAGCTCGTCAGTGTAATTGATGTTCTTTGGCGGTCTTTCTTCCAGTAGGCTCACCACCACCGTAGGAGTAACAGGTGCAGCCTCTAATACATCAACAAGTAGATTGACTTTCTGTTCCACTCGTATAATTTGATCGATATTGTTGTGTGAAGACAGTATAATGTTGACAAATAACTCTTTCCCTTTAATTCTCTTATGAGGAAAGTCGTGAAGGTGTCTTCGGACGGCTTTAACGTCATTTAGTCCTCGCCATTTGGCCGTCATTCTCTTGGAAATCAACCGAATATATAGACACTTTAGGCTGTTGTCAATGCCTGAAATTCGAAATTCGTGTTTCATTCCGTGGTAAAGGTGGGTTGATATCTCTTGGTTGAGGTAGCGGTTGCAACGTAGGATGGATAATACATTGCGGGCTGTATGTATGTCGTAGAAGAGGCATTCCCATACCAGCAAACGGATTTCAAATGATAGCTTTGTAAAATTCCCTAGCTGGGTAGAGCTGGATACTTGAGGATATCGGTATTCGCTGACACGGTCCATGGCGTTTTGATAAATGATACGGCGATATTCGATGAAATATGATATATTTTTGATGAAGCAGCTTTAAGTACTTCTGTCTATACACTACTAGTTATTAACTTATGATCAAGCTGTGAGTCATGAATACTTGAAATGGTTGCGGCCCTTGTAAACCTTATGAGGGATGATCTTTGGACTATACATTATGTATGTACCTAAGATACCCGTCATAGATGTACTATATCCATGGATAAATCGTAGGGTGGTTTTGGTTATTTTCTTTGTTTAGTTCTTTCAAATTGGTTTTGAGCCCAATGAAGTAGATATGGTCGAGGGTAGGGGCTTGGCTCTCACTCTCGTCTGTGTCTAATGATATTTAACAATCCCTCAAATAACGGGCTTAGCATAGAAGCATAAATACCTATTAGTAAAATTCCTTCTGATTACTCAGAGAAGTGTTCCGCCTATTAACAGCCATCTCAAAGTGTACATGTATCCATAGTTGCGGAGTGAACCATATTGATGCCAAGACATGGAAAAAGCCGCCAGCACACTGATAACACCTCCACACTCCCTCCATCCACCAACTCTCCCGCAAACCAATTCCTCTCTCGAGCCTTGAATCTCAGCGGATATTTCCCTTTGATCTGCGACCTTTCCTTTTGACTATTCCCCGCGACACCAAGAGATACCCACCAACCTGCGCATCCCACCACACCTCTCAACCCAAAACCAAAACCGCGAGCTCTACAGACGCTCGCCACCACTCCAAAATGCCCTACCTACCCACCTCCCAGGCCTACCTGGAACAGTCAGCGCAGTTATTACAAGCGTACCCAGACACAGTAAGCACCATAACTCCCCATCCCACTCCGCCATCATACTATCCTCCACACCTCGTGCTTCCCCCACAGCGGGCAACAATGAACACCGATCTCCCAACCACAAACTCAAATCTAAATTCCCCAACTAACAACCCCCCGACCCGGATAGTAACAAAATACTCCTTCCCCACAAACCGCCGAGGCAACCTTCGCCGATCCCACAAATCTCAAATCCGAAAAGAAGCCAAAGCCAAAGCCACCGATGGTCCATCCACCACACCCGCACACCCATCCGCCGCAACCGCAACCCTCACTCTGAAAACATTCAATCCAACCACCGGAATCTGTCTGCACTACCGCACAAACAAGCTGCAGGAAGTCGGGCGCCTGATGACGAGTCTTGGCAAGCTGGCTGCCGGTGCCGATGTAGCGGCTTTGGGGTTATCGGCTGCGGTGCCTGCTGCCGGCGCGGATGTAGAGATGGTTGATGCTCCTGCTGAGGAGGTTGCGACGCCGGCTGCTACTAAGGCGCAGGGACAGGGGCAGAATGCGAAGGGGAAGAAGAAGGGTGGGAAGGGGAAGCGCTAAATTAAATGAATTCTTTTGAATTGGAGTCAATTCATTCCTTTGTTTCTTATTCTTCGCTTGTTACTTTCTATGATGCATTCATAGATGTGGGATTGAGGTCTTTTGATATCGGAATGAGCTACTGGCTTTGAGTTCGAGCTGGCTATGTAAAGGCACGGATGATCTTGTGGATTAAATGGAGTTACAGAGTCTTGAAGTAGGGATGAGACTGATCGATTGGTAGCGTGTATTAAAGAGGATCAGTGGAATTATCTATATCTACAAACAGACATATGCAGAGACAAAGACACATCGAATAAGTAATTTGAAGATTTAGATACAGAGAGTCCGCCATTTATCCATGGACACCAGAGTCCAGGGCTGACCAGAAAAAGAAAAACAAAGACAAAAAAACGCCATTTCCATGCGAGCCTCAAACAGAAATTGCATCAATCAATAAAAGAACAGAATAAGAAAACGGCATAATATCACGTGAAAGGGGAGAGGGTATAAAACAACACAAGAGGGAAGAGAAAAGGACGTCATCTAGAAGTCCTCATCGAAGTTGAGACCGTCGCTTACGACCTTCTCGCCCTCTGCGTTAACCTCCTGCTTAGTGCTGGCCATGACACCGGCCTTCTGGTAGTCACCGACACGCTTCTCGAAGAAGTTGGTCTTTCCGGCCAGGGAGATGGACTCCATGAAATCGAAGGGGTTGGTGGCGTTATAGTACTTCTTGTTGCCGAGGGCCAACAGCAGGCGATCAGCGACGAACTCAATGTATTCGCACATCAGCTTGGAGTTCATTCCAAGCAGACCACAGGGAAGAGCGTCAGTCAGGAACTCCTGCTCGATGCCGACAGCCTCGACAATGATGTCCTCAACCACCTTGGAATCGGGGCGGTGGTTCATGTGGGAGAACAGGAGACAAGCGAAGTCAGTGTGGAGACCCTCGTCACGAGAGATCAGCTCGTTGGAGAAAGTGAGACCGGGCATCAGGCCACGCTTCTTTAGCCAGAAGATAGAGGCGAATGAGCCAGAGAAGAAAATACCCTCAACAGCGGCGAAGGCAACCAGACGCGAAGCGAAGGTTGACTCGCGGTCGGTGATCCAGCGGAGGGCCCAGTTGGCCTTCTTGGCAATGCAGGGAACTAAATGCCGAGTTAGACAATTGAACCATAAACTCAATGGGAGAAGCACTTACTGGTGTCAATGGCGTCGAAGAGGTAGGTGCGCTGCTTGGGCTCCTTGATGTAGGTATCGATGAGCAGGGAGTAGGTCTCGGAGTGGATGTTCTCCATCATGATCTGGAAGCCGTAGAAGCAACGAGCCTCAGGGATCTGGACCTCAGAACTGAAACGCTCGACGAGGTTCTCGTTGACAATACCGTCGGAGGCGGCGAAGAAAGCCAAGACGTGGGAGACGAAGTAACGCTCATCGTCGTTCAGGCGGTTGTGCCAGTCGTGAAGATCCTTGGAGAGATCAATCTCCTCGGCGGTCCAGAAGGAGGCTTCGGCCTTCTTGTACATTTGCCAGATCTGTTAAAATAACAGGTATGGTTAGCTCCAATGCTCGTGGTAGCAGAATATCCTTCGCGATATCCACTTTACGCGTGAAACGCGTCGACGACTTGACTTACCTCGTGGTACTTGATAGGGAACATAACGAAACGGTGGGGGTTCTCCTGGAGCAAGGGCTCGCTGGCTTCCATCTCCTTGATTGTAAGAGCCTTCTCGGTGGGCTTCTCAATGGAGGTGTCGACGGGCTTAAGAGACGCGGGCGCGTTCTCCTTGCCAACTGACTGGAAGTCGAGCTTCTTAATAGGTGAATCACTCATCTTGAGGTTCTCGAGGGAGGAAGCAGCCTAAGGAAGAACAAATGTTAGCTCAAATAGACTTTTGAACACGCGTCTTGTCGCGAGAGGCAAGAGGCGAGAATTGTGACATCACATACCTGCTTGGAGGGAGTGACTTGAGCCATTGAGACAAGTATATGAGGTATGTAAATCACAGGAACAATTCTCGAGAACAAAAAGACAGCAAGTAAGAATGAGACCGAAGTTTTGAGAGTGGGATGGGAAATTTGGAGTTGGACGAGGGAAGAGAAAGTCGATTAAGTACTGCCGATTTCTCTTTAGCGCGACGTGCTAAGTCACGTCGCACGTGACCGCGCGCCGTGATTAGGTAACGTTCGGCGCGTCTTCTCCCAGCCGTTCTTTCCTATTTGGGCGACTTTTTCTCATGCCACTTGGATCCTAGCAACATCCGAACCTTGAAAAGGTAACTCCGTGCTCCGTATGTAGAATGGATACATACGCAGTTCTTGGCTCCATTCCAGCTCCATTCTTGTGCATGTCAATATAAAATCTTGTACTCCGTAGATTTAGATTTAGATCTTATCTACATCTAAGAATCCTTAGGTCTTTAAACACTTCTGATAATAGTTGTAATATCCAATATCCAATAGAGCAATTGCCACGCTATTACCTCCATAAGCTTACTCCGTACAACCTAAGACATCAACACTTTCTACGCGTCTCCAATTTTCAGTCTCCACTATTGATCATGATCTGATAAGCCAGAGAATCCACCCGACAAAAACGCGCGACGCGACTAGAAAAACAACACGGATTTACGGATCTTATTGGGTTGGTCTAGATCCAGGTATTAGCATCTCATTCGCCAATTTATAGCAATTTTCCATGTAAGGGCTTGCTCAGCTCTCCACACGCGTTCCATTCTGTTGTACATATATCCGTACCGAGTGATATACTCCGAAAGTACTCTGTACACTGTTTGCTTACATGCTTTGTCCAAGGGTCATTCTCGTTAATCTCAACATTATACATAGTCCGTAGCGTTTCAAACAAGAGGAACATGTGGCAGCTCCTGTCAAGTCCTAGGAATGAAGGGGCTTTTTACCCTTTACCCCATAGAGAGTTTCTCGGTGTGGACCCGAGAGGGAAAAAGAAAGTGCCGATCATCTTAGTTGCGTCACGTCTAGCCATCCAATATATTAACGTTAGGGGTCTTTGTTTGACAATTTTAGGCATTGACGTTGCATTGGAATATACTATTTACGGAGTACAAGAACTATGGTCGTCTACACTTGTTGTTGGGTATATTTTGACACTCTTCCCAAGGGTTGAATGCAATGTGGCAAGTAATCCCTTGCAATGCCCATCGAGATACTCTGCCAAGTTTGAGCTCTCGGTGCACCCGCAACGCAACCCCCACATACTCTAGCCTAGTGGACTAGTGGGAGCAGGGAAGTACCTTGCAGCAACACGTGCTAGCGCGTTCTCATCTTTCGTGTTTTGTGCCGGAGAAACCGAGTGTTAACTTCGAAGGTAATCAAATAATGCCAAGGCAAAGAGCCAAAATATTTCCAAGGCTTGCTATATATGAAAAACAATATGTACAGACTCTTTCTGAAATAATAGTTCACTCTTCCAAACGCCATTTATGTATGTCCAATCAGAAGCAATCGTGCGGCACAGATCGTTCGAAAAGAAACCCCAGCCAGGCAATGCAAAACACTGATAATGCATATCATAAGAAGAAAGATCCCTTCAAAATATATCCGAGGTTGCTTAGATTCCCTCACGGAAGGAGTCGGGCAGGATACGGTCCTCGACACGGCGCATCAGCTTATTAGTCTGCTCAGCCAGGCTCAGAGTCAAGATCTAGAGGCAGTGTTAGTTCATGAATGCTAAAATAAGGCTCAGCTCTTGTTACTTACGGTGTGGGGAAGGATGCGGGCGAGATGGGCGAAAAAGCCCTTGTAAATCGCAAGGGGACCCTCGGTGCGGACAGTCTTGAGCAAGCAGTCGAATACACCACCGTACAGGTTGCCTGTCTGGTTGTACATACGAGCCATGATCGTGTCTATAGAGAAGAAACGTCAGCGAAGGACATACTAAAGCCCGTGTTCGAGATGACATACCAGGGGGGTGCATGAAGCAGCACACAACGAAGCCAGAAGCTGCGCTGCTGGCCAGATGCAAAGCAGGACCCTCCTCCATTCCCAGGTGGTGGGTCAGACGGCGCTTGGCAAAGAAGTATGTGGGGAGCTGCACAGCACTGCCGAAACTGGTGCGGATCATAGCAGCACCGACACCACGGTAGATACCCTTGACACCCTCGGCCTTGTAGATCTTGGTAAGGCCATCAAAAGAGTTCTTATAGTTGTGCTGGGTGCCGACGGGGAGGAACGGTGAGTAGGACTGAAGACGGGTCTTCACAAGGAAGAAAGGTGACCCCGCTGCGGCACCAATGACACCCGAAGCAGCTCCTGCAACGACATTGGCACCGAGGGATTGGACCTTAGGGTCATTGTAGATAGCAGTAGTGAGGTTCGAGCGGATAGGTTCGTAGAGGCCCAGACGGCAGCCGTTAAGCAAGACTTGGTAGATATACTATATGACCCGGGTGTTAGCTTGGTGCAACTTTATATGTAATTTTGATAATATATCACATACAGCAGATCCAATACCGCGGAACAGACCCCGAGGTCCTTCATTCTGCAAAATGACTTTGACGCCGTGCAACGGGCCTTTGTACATCTTCACTGCCTGAGTTTTGTTCTGCAATTCACCCTGCAGTTGCAGCCTTGTAGCACTGTCAGTACCATGACAGAATATCCGGAGTATTGGAACACTAACCGGATCTTGACCGTCTCGAAACTATGAGTGACAGTGACTGCACCGCATGCTGCAATGCCACCTGCAATAAACGCACTGTTCAACCACAATTGCTGTTAGCCCAACACAAGCTTTGTACACCCTCCCGCACACGGATATAACATACCCTCCAGTAGTAGCCATATCGCCTTATATGTGATCTTTTGATTGTTTGATGGCTCGCTCAGGTTTGTTGGTTACCGGAGGAGGATCGGATCCGCAGGATGAGATAAATGTAGGGAAATTCTGTGGGATATGTGCAATGTATCGAGGCTATATATCCAAGTCAGAAAAATGATTGAACGATATTTTCACCCAGACCCAGATGAAGAAGAAAGTCAGATACGCGCCCTGAATAACCGTGGACATAAAAGCTTACATGCGGCGAACTGAAACTCGGTTAAACGCTCATTGGTCAATTGACCCTGGCACCTCCGGCGTCGGCCCCGGAATTCTTATGTCAGCTGAGGCGGTGAGACGCGCAAAAAAGCCCAGTCGCGGAGCTTCGCCTCGGAGCTGGTTATTTCTATGTCCTAGCTGTTTCCTCTCTCTCACGTTCTCTTCACTTTACTACTTGCAATTTGCAATCCTTTCCTGTAATCAAAATATTCCCAGTAACCTCTTCATCTCATCCGTCAACCACATCGCCATGACCGAAGGCCAATCAACACCTCAACAGGGTGCGCCCGCCGCCGCCGCCGTTTCCCAAGCTCCCCTCAAGACGCAGAAAGTCACGGATATCATTGACACCTTCCGCCCATCCAAGGTAGGTTAAAGCGCATATTGGGATTATAATACCATTCTGATAAGGCTGCTCTACAGGGCTTCCACCCTTGTAAAAAAGACCCGTCCAAATACGTGACCTCTTTGGACTTTGACGACCAGGGCGACGTTTTGATCGGCGCCGGTAACGATGACAGTATGCATGTTTATGATGTGAAAGAGGGAAAATTCAATAAATCCGTTGCCAGCAAGAAATACGGTGTCCATCTTGCGAGATTCACCCACCACTCTCGCCAGGTCCTCCATGCAAGTACCAAGATTGATAGTATGTGACCACATAGCCTTGCTCTTGGCTACCTAGCTTACCATGTGCAGATAATTTGCGGCTACTGGACCTTCATAATGAGGGATATATACGATATTTTATCGGTAATAATGACCAAGTAACTTGCCTGGCTCAATCCCCCGCAAGCGACGCCTTCATGTCCTGCTCCAAGGATGATACCGTGACATTGTGGGACCTGAATTCGAGGAATCCTCAGGGCAAACTCAACCTTGCGACACCATACCTTGCTGCCTTTGATCCTTCAGGTACAGTCATTGCAATCGCTTCCCAATCTACAGCTGCAGTGCTTCTTTACGACTTCCGCAACTTTGACAAGTCACCCTTCTCCACGTTCGACCTTGCACCATACGAGGAGAAATTCACACCATCAACGCGGGGACGAGCATGGACTCGGTTGGAGTTCTCTAACGATGGAAAATATTTGATGGTTGGAACAGACTACCATGGTCACTTTGTTTTAGATGCCTTTGATGGCACACTCAAGGCCTTTTTGGCTGGCAAGAGTGGATCGTCTGGTCGTGCTGCACCAGTCTCCACGACTGGTAAGCCTCTCGGACAAGGCGACGCTTGTTTCAGTCCCGATGGTCGATACGTTATTGGAGGCAATGGCGACCAGCACGGTGTTCTTGTGTGGGACTTGGGACAGATCGGTGGGGGAGAGATCACACTGCAGCCCTCAGCAAGGTTGCCTGCTCCAAATTGTGCGTCCATGGTAGAATATAACCCGCGTTATAACATGATCGCCAGCGCCGATAAGGAAATTATCTTCTATGTCCCCGACGACCACGGCAAATCTTCAGAGAAGTAAACCAAGTCTGATGGTGCGATAGAAAGGACCATATCTCCTGTTTCCTCTCAAACTACCAGCCAATGACTGTCTACAAACACACTACGTGACTGGATGGTCCGCAGAACAATGGCGCCGTGTTTACAAATGGTCAATCAAGAAAAGCGCTTTCTATTCCGAAACGTCTAGCAAATGACCGAGCCTTTATGCCTATGCTTTTCGATCTTTGTCTTTGCCCACCAAACTTCGCGCGGTGTCACATATCCAAACGTCAGGGCCTTCTAGGCCATCATCGTCTTTCCTGCTGTCCTCGATGGTGGTCTCGATTTGCTTGTCGATTGTGCGATTGCTGGAAATAGTCGTCAAACCGGTGACCCAACCGTACAAAAACACGCTACGGTTGATATCCGATAGGCCTTCGCCAACTTCATGCACCACTGGATGAAGGTTGCCCTGTGCCTTGGCCGCATCAATCACTTGCTGAGCTTCAACCACTTGGATGGGAATCCTCCAATTTGCGGGAACCTGATAATCAGACAATTCTTGGAATTTCTGGAGAAGAGCCTCACGATCAAGTTGTTCGTATGGGGGATCTCCCAGCAGCATTCGAGCCCGGCTCTTTTCCGTCTCTGTGCCGATGGTTTCGACAATTTCCTGGAAGCGCACTGCGGCCTCTTTGGTGGATATAAGCTCACGACCATCCATAGCCGGCCAAAGCTCGGAAGTGAGCAGTGGTTTTTCCCGCTCAACTTCGATTTGTCGAACGATGGCCCTGTGGAAATGGGGGGATAGCGGGATGTCCTTGATGTGAGACAAGTCAGACACCAAGGCAAGGAGCAAAGTGCAGTCGACATTCAGAGTTGAAGTGAAATTTTTGAACGGTTGAGGCAGGAGATGTGCTAGCCCGGTGGGGCTCTCTGTTGGCAGACTCCCCTGGCAGTCAACCCGAATACCATAGCTCCGCATCTCGTTCAAGACGGCGTCAATTTCAGGAACACTTCCTTCTTCAATCTTAGGTATAACAACCCGTAGCCGGGGATGTCTATATCTAACGCGTGTAGCATCAGACGCCTTTTTTAGATCCCGGGCCAGCTTAATGAGCTCCAACTCATCATCGTCATCCCCATCCTCATCATCATCAAAATTCTGCAAAATAGTCCGCCCTTTACCCCCGTCATCAGACCATTCATCCTCATCACTATCACCCTCCCAGCCCTTCTTCGCCATCTCAAACAAAAGCCGACTCTCCGAGACAGTAGACACTTTCACCCACTCCTCCCCATCACCAGCCACAATATCCACAAACACACTCTTGCGCTTATCTTTGTTAGCCTGTTTCTCCGGCCGCACAGCACCGCCATCCTTCCCCTTTCCACTCGCATTCTTTCTCTCGGTTGCCTTCGTCTCCCCATCCCAGTAAAACCTCTTCCCCAGCGCAACCAACCCAGAACAAGACCCACTCGCGATCCTCCAGACAGCCTGGTAGAACGGTAAATTCGACGAGCGAAGCGCATGCACCAACCGCAGTTCCAAATCAGGGTCACCCGACGCGTTGGAAGGTGCTTGTGTCGTCACACCATCTTCCGTTCGACTTGTTTCTGGTCCTGGATTTGTCCCTTCAATTGCCTCCTCAATCTGCCGTCCTAGCTTCTCCAGCATCCGCAGCTCGGAGACTACGCTGGAGCGGAATTGGCGCACCTCGACGAGCTGTGGGTTCCGTAGCGTGGACACGAGGAGGGATTGGTAGGCGTCGATCTGGGATAGTAGGTCGTTACATTCTTGGATCAGCTGAGCTGAGAGGGTTGTGCTCATCCTCGAGCTTGTTTCTGTTGATTGGGGTTCTGGCTTCGCGGTGGCTGTGCTTGTGTTGTCATTGTCACTTTCTTTGTCGGATGTGGAGGAGGGGTTTGCGGGCACGTGAGGGTGTGTATCTGGTGCCATTGTGTATGTTTAGGCACTGGTTGCATACATGTGATGCTCGGAGAGAGTGGTCCTGCCTTGCATATGCAGACGAGGTGTGTGCTAGGATTGTTGGTTGGGTATGTTGTGTTGTTTGGCGAAAGTTGGAGCTGTTGCGGGTTTGCGGGGCAAGTGCGATAAGATTTCTTTTATCGGACTGGAGTATAGAGTCAAAACATTTCAAGTTCCTTTTCAGCATGGAAGTATTACAATATTGGAATGAGTCAATTTATATTACGGACAAGAGAGACTAGCGCTCCATGTGAGGCTCTGGATGACTCAAAAACCATCTAGCGCTGTCTATCTAAGGCTCCACTTCTGATTCTGGAAACCTATGGATGATAGCCATCTATATACTGATTCCTCAAGTCAAGAGATGAGGCTATTATCCTTCTGTAGCACTAATAAGAAAAAGAAGATATACAAAAAGACGTTCTCAAAAGGCTCGCAATATAATGTGTCGAGTATACTAAGCTAAATATATTAGGTTATCGGCAAAGCGATTTGACCGGCCTGGTGCTATAGCTATTGCTCTGAAAATTCTAAGCTGTTGGAAGATATGACCTAGCCCTCGAGGTGAATCCATTCTATATGCATTTCTAGAATACAGACCTATCAACACAATCATAATTCAAGCAGCATATCAATTGGATAGTGATCGTCCAGACTCTCATTCTCCTTGCACTGGCCTGTCTTGAGCCTCACAAGTTCATCCATTTCTTGCCGTTGTTCTTGGTCCAAAAGTTGTATACGGTCATCAAGAGAGGTAAAGGTCCCATAATACCGATGATCGATGAATGTCCAATAGATTTCATCGAACATGGAGCTGTATCTTGCTGCTAAGCAGACCCAAAATAACCCAGTCTCCATAGAGTTTTCCATCCGTGGAGACAGGCGCTGTGACTCCGAGAGGAAATTTTGCTCTATCAATTTATCTTCATGGTCCTTTGGGCATTCCAAAAAGGTATAAAGCCTAGGAGTATAACGAGTCAGAAACTGGTTGAGATCACCTTCCCAGTCCTCGGGGCTTTGCAATAAGAGCCACCAAGGAGCCACCCATGTAAACTCAGCAGGCGCAGCATATGTAAACTCCCAGTCAATGATTCCCGAGACACGGAAAGCATCGAGATCTATTAGGATGTTCGAAGGGCGAAGGTCGTCACAATATAGCCGAAATGGCCCCTCAGGATACTTGGTGAAGAGTTTCTTCGTAATATCCAGGAACAAGCAACGAGCGGTGAATTTCCTCCGGCAGTCTTCCTCGCTGCTAACAGCATCTCGTTGCTGTAATCGAAGATGGAAGAGATGCTGCATAGCAAGCGCTTTGAAGTAGTCTGTAGTTGACCTGAAGGTGTGTGAGGGAAAAACTTCTTCGGGTAAATTTGCAGACAGCATTAACTCATTCATGTTGAAGGTGAGAGGCCTCCTGGCGACAAAGAAACCCTTCTCATTTTCCTCAATTGCACCAATAGAATCAAATTCATGTTTGGATAACTCGAGAACAAGCGCAGCCATTTCACGATAAGCCCGCTTCAAGCTCCGATCACTTATTTGCGGGTTCAGGACCGGCCTCCCTTCTGAAGAAGGGTCTTTGAGGAGTTGTGATAAGGGCACTCCTTCGAGAAATGACATGACAACGTAAGGGCCCGCCCAGCAGAGACCGGACCCAAACACCTCAGGAACAGTTATCGAAGTGGTCTTGCGTATGTACCTCATTGTTGCAACTTCAATTTGGACTTTCTCCCTGCGGAGAATAGCCCTTCCAAGCGCAGCGAAACGAACAATGACATCTGGTCCGTCATGATATCTGACCCGATAGCATATATTGAAAGCACCACTTTTCCATAGACACGCAGATACAGTTTTACCAGGTCTATGCTTCTTAGCAAGCTACATAGACAAAATTTCTGGGTTCCGGCTCAACCAGAGGTTCAACCAAGCAGCAGCCTTCTGTCCATTCTTCTTTTCAGCAAGATGATCAAAATCCATAGTTATAAGGTTGTAGTTGCAAGGGAAATGAGGACAATGCTAGGGAGGGTTACTCAAGGAAGGGGGTTCTACCTATCATAAAGACAGACCCCGGATTCGGATAAATTCATACTACCGGACCAGCCACGAATAGCATGTGGCTATGTTTAGTTTGTGTTGAGCTGTGCACTATTTTCTACGGAAGATATCGAGCTCCAAGAGGAGCTAAATTTGAATCCTCGATGTGGATGTATTCGAACTTTCGCTATCTTGTTGGCTTCGAGAGATGCCTTTGAGAATGGTTACAGTCAAACAACACGTATAAGCCAATAATATAACTAAAAAAACTAGCCAGGAGAACTAAGTATTCGACAAAAGTGTGAAGGAAAGACCAACGCCATGACATGCTTGCATCCTTGCCCTGGAGACAGGTTGTACATTGAGCGAAATGACAACCCCACCGACTTACCAGATGCCCAGTCCTAATCTGTTTTTATACTAACCAGGAACAACACCCACATTAAAAAAAAGATGAGTCAATGTTCAGTCTAATCCTTGTCTTTGCCGGTAAGTCTCTGTCTCTCGCTTGAATTACGAGGCGACTCTTCATCGTCAGACCACCTCTCACCATCCTCTTCACCGACGGCGAATATTGTCTCTTCATCGACTGACTCGCGATGGCGGGGTGCTGCTGAGGAGGAGAAGGGCTTGGGAGGAACCGGGGAAAGATCGCGACGGCCCTCGGCGGCTGAGCTGCCAGGATAATCCGGTGGAGCATCATATGCATCTTCCTCATCCAAACCACTGCCGAATGATCGAATCTCGAATCCATCGTCGTCTTGAGCAAGCTGTAAGACATATATTAGTACCCCGATTTTGCTCTTGATTATTTAGGGAAGAGTTCCATACCTCATCACTCATGGCGAAGCGACGGTTATTGACGGTTGGTCGCCACAGATAAGCCACGAATCCGATATCGAACAAGTAGACCAGGTTCAGCCAACCGTCAAGAACGAACCATCTCGCTTTCCAGTGCTCGGGAACAAAGCTGGCGTCACTGCGTCCAGCGAAGGCGAATGAATTGATAAAGAAGAAACCGAAGATCACAATGATGCTGCCGAGGATACACCACCACAACTTCTTGTACATCATCGCCTTGGTCTTTTGCTTTCTGTCAATAAGATCCTTCATTGTCGCGTTCAGGGAATTCAAGGTCCACACGTAGAAAGCTGTCAAGGTTCCGGCAAGAGGCAGAACGATCAGAAGCACTAGAGGACCGGCGCTATCAGGGGTAATTGAAAGACTGGCAACCGAGTAAACAACCGCGAACACGAAGTGAGCAATGGCTAGAATGCGAACATAGATCATGGTTCGGCCTAATGAATGCTTGACCACGCCGTAACCCATGCAGACAATTAGGAGGAGGAAGAAAGAGAAAGCATTTCTACCCGCATTGAGTACTGCTACAATGACCATAAGTGCCTTTGCGCCGGCATTTAGACCATGGCGGTTTTGGAATTCTAGATAAGTCAGATGGAGCCAAGCAAGGAATCGATTGTTGCCTCTTACCATAGAATCCCCACGTCATCAGCTGCTCGACGATCAAGAATACCACAATTGCAGTAATATAGTTTTGGACAGGCACTATCCACTATTAGCATGGCTCGGATAAGAAGGGATCTCGACGTACAAATGTCATAACGGTTCTGCACGTAAAGGAAGGCCCAGAAGCTAAAATTCGGCGTAAGCATTTATTCAAAAACTTATCAAGTCCATCGATTTCACAAGTCACATACACTCCAATAACAGCGTACACAATAGTCAAGGCCCCATAAAATGGAAGCTTTGCGATTTGTGCAGCGGGAAGCTCGCCGTAGGAGTTCCGGAAAGTAACCACTGCTTTATAGTCCTCCCCAGAGTATGCATACGTGCTCACGCAGTAGAATCCAGTCTTTCTGATGGGGTAATTCACGGCATCGGGGTTGTTTAGGTGGATTGCTTTCGAGATGATAGGGCTTTTGGCGACGTCGGTGGCATTGCTAGTGAGAACAAAAGAGCCAAGCTGTTCTTTAGTGCAGATCTTTGCCTCAACGTTGGAGGCATCGCAAATTGTTTCCTTGACCTAATCCCGATAATTAGCCGCGTCGCTTGTTTCCACGGAGTTGACAGACATACCTCAGCATCGCCGGACCGGTACTGGCCAATCAATCCCTCGTCGGACCACTCAAATATCACCAGACTAGCCAAAGGATCACCTTCCTGGCCTTCCGGCTTTGTAAATTTCACCAAAATGAAGGGGTCAACGTCTCCTCCCCAAGCTTTGCGACTATACATCCCTGAGCATCGTTGTCGGTGCGCATCGTCGGATTTCTGCAGAACGACATTAGTCCCTGACAATTACATATTGAATAGAGTATATGGACATACCAGTTCAACATCATTAGCAAGCGCATAGCTTGCCAATAGGGCCGTCAAGCCCAAGGTCTGGAGCCAGCCTTTCATGGCGACTGTAGAGTTGAAGCGAGACTAGGCTCCGGGATTCGGGATGAGGTCTTTAAGACCACGCAGCATCAAAGAAAGGATATGAAAGAAGATAGAAAGCCGAATATGCTAAAGTGTGTCCCGTTAGAAAATTGTAAGGCTAAGGTGTTCTTCTTCAACTTGATGGGCCCCAAACCGGGGAAGCCGCGCGTGGCCATTATCTAAGCGGGCACCGCCACTATTTTTTAGTTTCTAACTTTGGCCGACATTTTTTTCGATGTCCAGTCCAGAATCCAGATTTAATAGTCATAATTCTACAGCAGTCATCATGCCAGCAAAGGAACTGAACAAAACATGCATGGAATGCAAGGAAGCAGAATTCGAGCTCACTGTCCGCAAGAGGCAGCTTTGCAGGTATGCGACAAGTCGACAATCTACAACCCCTCCAGCTCATAGTTTCTGACTTTTTTGTCTAGCTCATGCTTTAGGCGCTTCATAGCACACAAAGTTCAGTCTCGCTTGAGCGTCTACAGAGCTTTTGGCCTAGATGGCCCCAAACACCAGTTGCTTCTCCCTCTGTCTTTCGGTGTTTCCTCCTCGGTCTTGTTCCATATATTGAATGCCGATCGACAGCATCGCTTAAGCAATGGGCGCCCTCTGGGGTACGACTTCAAGATATTGGTCATCGAACCTTCAACCGTTGCGGCTACAGGCGTTCCCTTTGATCAAAACTACGAAGCTCTTCAAAAGAATTTCCCGATGCACACTATTAGTCGGATACCTTTTTATAGCATCTTCGACTACATTCCTGAGATGGAAGAGATTATGCAGGATTATGCAGGATCAAAATTCATAGACGACAGCACTCGGTCGAATGAAGAGCGCCTAGCTGCCTTCCGTGCCTCTATTTCCACCCCCACTTCCAGGACCGACGTCGACACCGTTCTGCTGACCAGACTGATCGTTGAATTTGCGAAAAGGTCTGGATGCGAATCTGTGATTTGGGGTGACTCGGACAGCCGTTTAGCTGCGAAAGCACTTGCGGGTGTCGCCAAGGGACGCGGGGCTTCTCTCACATGGCAGGTATCCGATGGCATGTCTCCTTGGGGTGTGAGGTTCGAGTACCCGCTCCGTGATTTGTTTAAGGCTGAGTTGCTTCAATATGCGGGTGTCTGTGCCGAGCTGTCTGATATTATCATACCCGATCAACCGCCTTGCGAAAATGTTCTTACCAAGAACCTTTCTATTGACGAGTTGATGCTGCGATATGTTCAGAACCAAGGCGCAAAGTATCCGGGTGTCATGGCGAATGTGGCCAGAACTGCAAACAAGCTCAACCCCTCCACTTCGGATAGTGCACCAACATGTGCCCTTTGTGCTAGTCTATTGGGAAATGTGAAGGGTAATTCCGGTGTTACTGTTGCAAATCAGGCAGAGGATAACCACAGCTCTCAATTCTGCTACGGATGTATGCGGTCTCGACCTGATGAACTTTGCTGAAGAGAAGGATTCTTGATTCATGACAAAATTAAATGAACTAAAGGCGAAAATCCCGCATTACTTGAAATCATCAGCAAACAATCATGGGGTATCTGAAATTACGACCTCAATCTTCATGCACCACATAATACCTCGCTCTACCTCGCTCCACCTCGCTCCAAATCATCTTCTGGATGGCCTGCCCCGCCAAACCATCTTCCAAATGACTTCCGGGACTGTTTGGCCGGCTGGGGTCTGGTTGGAGGCTCGGGGGCCGCATTGTCCCTTGCCCCATGACTCGATGGTCGGACATATTCATAGGATGGTGGACGGTTGCCTATAACGCCCTCTTCTTGCCTGTCAAATGCATCAGGGAGACTGTTGTCGATTTCAACTATCCGCTCCTGTCTCCTGTTGCTTTGTTGTGAGGACGCCTTGGCACCCTTTTGGCGGAGATGGCTTTCGAGAATGACAGCATTTCGAGTATTCGCTTTGTACACTGCATCGGCAAGATCGCCAATGAAAGGGACAAGGCCAATCAAGAAGTCGATTATCACATTCATCACCATCTTCATGCGCAGAGCATGAGGAAGTCCACCGTCAATCCCTTCGCAAGATTTCACAACCATCATTGCGAGCGCAGCATCGCCAGCATCGCCAATACTGTAGTTCATTTGTTAGCATTGGTCTACTCCCGCCGATGTGCAATAAACCCCGGTGAAACCTACAATGGAATAAGCCCAACCACACTTCCCCAGCCGAACCGGATTCCGCATAAGCTGAAAAGAGCATAGTCCAGCTGGTACGCCCTGCGTTTGACTTTGGTTAGGACCTTCTTATCATTCTCAGAAAGGCCCGGTGGGATGGCCTTGCGACGCTTTTGGGTCTTTTTTCCAAATGTACGACCGAGACGTGAAGCAGGAACTTCTTCGAAGTAGGGGTCCTAGATAGACAGGAAAGATTGGGTCAGCCTGATATCTCTCCGCAAAACTAAATGGATATCATTCAGGAAACTCACTTCAGTACCAAAATGATTCTTGGCAGTTTCACCTAGCACTTTCTTGCCAATGAGAGACACCAGAACTTTGGACATATTTGGTTTGGATCACAGTATTTCACTGGGGGTAAAAGTAGTTCGGAAATTGGAATCTTTGCGGGAGAAGTGCTGAAGAAATAGAGGAATGTTGAGCAGAGGTAAGAAAAATGGACTATGTATAGCCTTTGGTCGTTTCAGACCCTAAGCCCTTCCTGATTGGGTAGACAGGGTTTCGGTAGGCGCTCGTTTCACTTGTTTCCTCGACCTCGAGGACAAAGGGCGCGTAGGAAAGGTGCTTGGCTTTTGAAAATACGTGGATTAATATAGCAATCCCAAAGAATCTAAGGGATCCCGGGAGATAAATGGTTTTGCGCGACAAGACGTCATAGCCCCGAGAATCTGGGAACCCGCAGCACAGCCACATCACATTCACATGTGGCGCATTATTTGGATCATCAGACACCGCCACATACTACCTTAGTCACCCGATCACCACCTTGGGCAGCTCCGATCATTGCGCTCTGCTTCCCCAACACCTTATTGAACTCCGTTCTTTGATTTGATTGGAACTTTGACTTCCTCTCTACACTGCACATCCCGCTGAGATCAGTCTCTGCCCCACTTCATTCAACATATTCACACAGCCCTGGGTTGGTCTACCCTCCCTGGAAGCTGCTCCCTCCACCGTGTTGCTTGCTTATTTCGACCGTTTGCGCTGTCGGATTGAGTGAGCAGTTATTTCTCAGCCACCAAGGGTTTGAAATGCCAGAGCCTATCTACCGATATGACCGAAACAAAGATGCGGTTAGAAGATTGTGAGTACCTGGTTGTTGATCAATAGGAATGACGACAACCTGCTAACCGAGGCCGGTGGGCCGTTGCTAACAGGGCTGGATGATTTGTGTGTTCGTTTCATTATCAACCTTCCGCGCGAGGAGCTTGAGTCGGTCGAACGGATATGTTTCCAAGTCGAAGAGGCACAATGGTTCTATGAAGACTTCATTCGTCCGCTTGACCCTGCGCTGCCGTCAATGAACCTGAAGACATTTGCTATGCGCATTTTCCAGCATTGTCCACTTATGTCATCATGGTCTCATTACCACCATGTAGCTGCCTTCCAGGAGTTCCTCGATTACAAGACACGCGTGCCGGTGCGTGGTGCAATCATGTTGAACCAAGAGATGGACGAGGTTGTTCTGGTGAAAGGTTGGAAAAAGGGCGCCAACTGGAGTTTTCCCCGCGGCAAAATCAATAAGGGCGAAAAGGATCTTGATTGTGCCATTCGGGAGGTCTACGAAGAAACTGGGTTCGATGTTCGGAGCGCCAATTTGGTTAAAGACGAAGACGATGTCAAATACATCGAGATTACGATGAGAGAGCAGCATATGCGACTGTACGTCTTCCGAGGTTTGCCCCGTGATGCTTACTTTGAGCCGCGCACCCGAAAGGAAATCAGTAAGATTGAGTGGTACAAGCTTTCAGAGCTGCCAACATTGAAGAAGAGTAAACAACATGATGAAGGACTGGCAGTCGCAAATGCGAACAAGTTCTACATGGTTGCCCCGTTTCTCAGCCCACTGAAAAAGTGGATAGCGCAGCAGAAGAAGCTTGATCTGAGAGCCCAGGCTGGTACAAACCAGGTTTCACACGCCGAGGGATATCTTTCTATGGATGAAAATGGCAATACCAATGGCACTCCAGGGATGTCCCTCGCAAAGATGGCTATTCCAAGTGATCTTCCTGAAGTGACATCAGCGCAAGATGCTTCAGATCACCTCAAACGCCTTTTGAAGATTGGCGCCGCACCGTTGCAAGCTCACACACCAGGCCTCGAGCCCCTCCAGGTTTCTGCTATTGACCCATCTAAGGCGAATGGGCTTCTTGCCTTGTTGCAGCGTGGATGTCAAGAGACATTCCCTCAGGATTCTCTCAGTACTCCTATGGCGTCCCTCAATGTATCTCAGTCCAACGTCCAACCTGCGGAACAACGGCCTCATTTGGGCCCTAATTTCTTCCCCGGCTTCCCTCAGCAGCAACAGAACATGGGTCCATCTCCTTTCATGCGGCAGAACTCGACACCATTTCACACTGTTCCATCTCAACCTCATATCCAGCACTCCTCAAATGGCCCACAGGTTCCTCACGGTGCATTCCCGACTTCTGCGCATAATTGGTATCCTAAACCACAGGCGATACCACAATTCCCTCAATCCACCATGTCTCAATATCAACATCATAATCAGCCTCCTCTAGCGCCTGGTATTTTGCCCCCAAGCCATATGCCCGCACCATTCCAACGGACGGGAGATCCTGAGTTCTCTGAATCCGCCCAGTTATCTCAGACCCGGGGCCCAGTCGTCCCGCCAGCGAGCAAATTGCCTCCACCTAAGCTCACAAGTCATTCCCTGGCGCTGTTGGAAGTTTTCAAGGTTAAGACCCCCAAGGGTCCGGGTCCAGCAGTGTTGGCGGCTCCCATGCAAGGCTCTTCCCATGTGCCCAAGACCTCTCACCATCAGGATAGTCTTTTGGGTTTGCTCAAGGGTTCCCAAGCTTCCCGTGTTCCTGAACCAGCGGAATTGTTAGGCAAACCTGTTGCGCCTTCAGAGAAGCAGATTCTTCAACGTCCTCGTGGTCACCATAATCAGTCCAGGCACCAGGCTGGTGCAGCGAAGAGTCTTCTGGGACAAGCTCAAACATCGGCTACCGTGTCTGGACCGTTGAACACGCCACAATTTGAGACATTTACCAAAACGCACAAGTCAAACAACGAAGCATACAGAAATAATCATGTGAGCAGGCGAGAGCAACCTCAGGCACAGCAGTTATCCTCGCCCATTACCATTCTACCACGACCCCATTCTGCCAAACGGGAGGTATCCTCTCCGAGACCTGTTGCACGAGCAACCCAGGTTCTGCCTGCGAAGATGCCCGAAGCACCTGAGCCTATCAAGAATTTCCAACCGCAGATTCTACGTCGATCCGAAAAACCCGGATATGAGGTATTGATGGCGACGGCTCCTCAAGCAGAAGCTATTGAACGCAAATTGAGTCTGCCAGGTGCCGATACAAATACCCCGAGCCTGGCGCCGCAGGGCAACTTTGACCGTCGACCTAGTCAAACTGCTGAGCAGAAAGCTTCACTTTTGTCTCTTTTTAGCAAGGGACCTGTCTCTCCGGCGCCCGTTTTTGCGACCCCGTTCGACTCCCGAGCTGTCAACCAGCAACCGGCAGCATTTTCGGGTTTTGTCAGTCCGATGTCGTCCCGCCATCGTCCGAGCAGTGGAGATATCTCTCGTCGCGGTACGCCATCTGATGGTGGTGCACACGTCAATGGCCAACATGTCTCCTCTCCCAGCAACAAGGCGTTCTTGCTTGGGTTTTTGGAGGAAGTGGCTAAGGGCAATAAATAGCTTCGTGGTCGACTGTGATTTTGCAGTAGCTCCTAGCTAGCAACATGCGACGCGACATCCATACATAGCAATGGTGTAATATTGAAACAAATTATTCTTACGTCTCCTCAAGTTCTAATTTCTAAATATTGACTACGTAGTTCAATACGGAGTACTCCGTACCTAAACCTCAGTTCCCGAGTCTATGTATAATATTCCTTCTGCCGTAATCCACCGCCCAACGTCATCGCCCGATTTGTAAGAAATAGATCAACTCAGATTGGTTCTGCTACACCAACTCAACCATGATGCGCCCGCGTCTCTCGGATTGTAGCCGCTGCCTGGCCCGCAGTAGGCTATTCTCTACCACAGCACAGCGTACCGAGCAGAGCCAAAATCCCCCCTTCCCGCCGATGGAAGGGTACGCCCGACTCACAAACCGCGGACTGATCTCCATCACCGGCGCCGACAGCACAACCTTCCTCCAGGGCCTGACGACCCAGAACATGCTAGTGGCAAGTGACCGCAACCGGAGCCTTCGAAGCACAGGCACGTACGCGGCATTTCTCAATTCGCAAGGCCGAGTTCTGAACGATGCCTTCATTTACCCGCTCCCCGGCGCAGAGGCCCAGGGTGCGGAGTCAGGCTGGCTAGTAGAGGTAGATAAGAACCAGATTCCCGCCTTGCTGAAGCACCTCAAAAAACACAAGCTGCGCGCGAAACTCAAGCTCCGCGCTCTGGAGGAAGGCGAGCGCACAGTCTGGTCCTCATGGAACCTGTCATGGAAGAACCACGCCAAGTCGCAACCGTGGGCGGTATATACTCGGGAGACAGGATTCCCGTCACTCTTCGAGCCCACATCTGAAATGACCGGGTGCATGGACAATCGTGCTCCGGGCCTCGGATCCCGCATTATCACACCTGGCTCGGACGAACTGCGCACCTATTACCCGGATAAGTCGCATGTTCGTGGGGACGAGGTCCAGCTGGACTCGTACACCGTCCGTCGATTTCTGCATGGTGTTCCAGAGGGCCAGGCGGAGATTATCAGTGGAACGGCTTTGCCTTTGCAGTGCAATATGGATATGGCTGATGGTATCGATTTTCGCAAGGGTTGTTATGTCGGTCAGGAATTGACGATTCGTACGCACCACCGCGGTGTTACGCGGAAGCGTATTTTGCCTGTTCAGCTATATGATTTGGGTCAGGAGGGGCAAAATGCCCCGGAACTCTTCGCATATGATCCATCTTTTCAATTGACTTTGCCTTCTGGTGAAGCGGATATTGTTAAGGATGGTGCGGCTACTCGCCGGGGCCGTAGTGCGGGGACATTCCTTAATGGCATTGGCAATATTGGACTTGCGCTGTGCCGTCTTGAGGTTATGACCGATGTTGCCCTCATGGGTGAAGATCCTGCTCATCCTGATGAACACCACTTCAAGCTATCTTGGGCTCCGGAAGTCGAACAGCCTAACGAGATCGGAGTCCGTGCTTTCGTTCCGTCTTGGCTCAGAGAATTCATCTCCAAAGGCAGGGGGGGTAAAACCCGCTTGTCGTAACCTTGAAGCAGAGGGTGAACGGGCGCGGGAACTTGTCGAGCAATTAGAGGAAGGGGAGGAGGAAGCCGAAACGCGCCGAGACTAAGACATTAAGTGTCTAACCACTACACTCATGTATAATATAACACAAGACAGAATGATATGATGTAAATAGCTTATGTATCTCTATTCAACTCAACATTGCAAATACAACGTGCTCGGGGGTATCTCTTGAATCTAAATACAATCGTAGAATTAGGCCGAACCCTTTTCAAAATGCAGGAATGAAGCTAGCTTCGAGCGCAATAGTTAAGTGCCTTTCGCTGCCGCTGCTTCTGCAGCATCTGCAGCCTCGTCTTCTCGTATCAGCTGTTCTTCAAGGGCTTTGCGCTCCTTCTCACGCTGTGCATTCTTCAGCCGCATCATCATCACTTCTTGTAGATTAGGCGTGGCTGGAGCCTTATTGGATGGATCGAATGACGTTGCTTTCGGGGCAGCTGCTGCAGTAGATGCAGAAGCGAATGAGCCAAACGAGGGCGCTTTATCGGATTGGGGGGCTGTAGCTGTTTTCAAGCCCTGGAAATTGAATGATGGTTTAGTGGGCCTGCTGGAAGTGTCGATAGAGGGCCCTGGTGGTGCTGGTGTGGGCTCAGCCTCGTCAGGCTTAGGTGATGTACCAGGACCTAGATCAGGTTGGGCGCCGGATGCCCAGAAGACAGACTCGATAAGACCCCAATCGCCATCTTGACCAGCATGTTGACGAATTTTCTTCTCGCTATCGAGAACAGCAGTGTGAGCGCTGACAATAGACATGAAAACCACCACACCCGTGGCAACAGTCTTCTTCTCCTTCTTATCCCCGATCCGTTGGCGCTTATCCTTGAGCGCAAATGTATTCTCGATCTTCCCAAATGGCTTGAACAATACCGCCAACTGCTCAATATCAAGCTCTAGCCCACGACCCTCCCGCACCCAGCGCACTTTCACCGCACGCTCGAGCTCAGGGACCTGTGCGCCGCCACCCCGGTCCACGCGCTGGCTACTCCGATCCTTCGCCTTGCGAGCCTCTTCTTCCTGCTCCTGAATCTTCTTCTGCTCATCATCGAGCTCTTTTTTAGCCTTATCTTCGGCCTCGCGTCGCCTCCGCCGCCCATCCTCCGCAATCCTATCAATCTCCCGCTGCAGCTTCTCTTCCGCATCCTCATCCCCACCCGCAGCCCATGATCTCTTGACACCCTGCTTGACACCAGCACCGCCCATTTCGGCGGCGCCTGCCCTCTCCCGTGCTTCTAGGTCTTCGCGCATCTTTCGTTTCGCCGCTCCCATCATATCCCGCTCGCGCTGTTTGCGCATCCGCGCGTCCCGTGCATTGTCGTACAGCTGTCGCACTGATTGGTCGGAGAGGACATCGTAGGCAATCTGGAGGAAATGGAATTTGTCGATATCTGCTGCGGTGGGGTTTTTGATCTTGTCCGGGTGGTACTTTAGTGCGGTGCGGCGGTATGCGCGGCGGATCTCGGTCTCGGTGGCTGCTGGTTGAATGTCTAACAGGGCGTAGAAATCTTGGTTGGAGGCCGCGTGCGCCTTCAGATCGTCGTTTGGCATCTTGGTCGTTTATGCGACTGGATGTCGCCTGTGAGGTTTGCGGAGATGAAGTGGAGAATTTGATATGGCGAGTTTCAACTCTGTGGTTGCTTGGTTAGGCCGTAGGATATCACGGGACACAGTGATGGCCCCGAGAGAAAAATAAACCTAAATTAGAGCTCTCGAAAGTGAGTTGTTGTTGAGATGGAAATTTGTAGGCTCAAGTTCGGAGCTTAGGCGGTGGATCCATTACGCCTCAGGCCGCCAACTGGTATACTATGGATGAGATCCCAATTGCGAAATCACCAGGAAATATACTGTTTACTGGTTGAATTGACCAAATAATCCTTTGAGTACTCCAAATTCTGTGTAGACTTTTTCCTGGGTGTATAAAATATGTCTGATTGTTATTATGGCCAAACTTGTAGGGTCGAAGTAGATATATATATACCGGATGCCTGGGCACGTGTGCAACCTAGAGTGTTCCAAGGTTTGCTCTTAATCAATACATGACAGCCTTCTACTCCAAGCTGTGGTCTATTAGAGCCAATTGACAAGATGAAAGCGATAGAACCGTCTAAATCTGGTGTTGCACCTCCAACAAAGCTTCAATTAGCCCTAGCATTGGCTGTTGTCAAGGGAAAACCACCAGGCCAAAGCGTGAAAGGTTGGACGAACATCCAGCTTCTACAGAATTAGACCGTTGATTATTGACTATAAATTCTAGAATACATTTCGCAAATTCGCGGATGCATTAAAAATGCCAACAATTTGGACAAAGTTGTTACGACAGACAAGTTCTTCGACAGCGTCTCCTTCTGGCGACAAGCGTACGAACGGTCCGAGGCAGGACAGAAAAAGCTAGAAGATCAAGTCCATGAGCTCAATCAGCGTATTGAAAGCCTGCTTACCAAACTGCATGTCAAAGTCACTACGAACGACACTGAGAACGACACTGAGACCTTGCCAACAAACAAACGCAAGGCGCCTGCTGCTGGCAAGAATGCCAATAGTTCGAATATGGCTAGAAAACGCACAAAGCTGCCACGAAATATGCAGGAAACCATCCCATTGATAGATGATGACGATGACTCAGGAGAGGAAGATGGTATTTCGCTCCTCTTTCATATACTACTCATGATGATAACTAATGTCATTGCAGACTTGTGCCTAAACAAGCAGCTATATACCGTCCAAAAAGCCCTGCAAAGAAGAACAAACAGCAGTTCTGAGGCCGATTCTCTGGCTATAGATGCAGTCACCCTCTGTAAAGCGGCAGAGCAGAGATTAATCCAAAATATCCAAAACGAGAGCAGTATGATGGAGCAGAGCCCTTCCCAAAGCGAGCAGGTCAATATGCCAGACACAGATTCTGTTATAAATGCTGTGACAATTGCTTTCCATCTCATGCATAAAGCGTTGCACAAAATGGCCGGGGTCGAGAATGGCACGCAGCACCAAGCTCAGGTCATCTACTACTTAGTAGGTCTGTTTGAATCAATCATGACCGCACTCACTTTGCATTGCACTGCAATCTCAAAGCAAAAGCCTGTCAACAAAAACACCGAATCGGGCGGAGGCCCAAATTTTTCCACGGAACCTGATGAACAAAACAAAGTCACAAATGAAAAGAGCCCATCTACCAAGAATGAGATAACCTGTCGCCTCGCAGACCTGCTCTGCACAATGAGCCTCTCCCTCAATCTAACTCGTACCAAAGACCAAGAAGTAATGGAAGGGTTTCTCTTCCTTGTCCTCAACCGCATGGGTAAAATGTTAGCTCTCCACGTTTTCCATGATCTGCGACTGCCAATGGGTATCTGCCCTGGGATGACATTCCCAGATGGCCTGGAAGCAATGACTGACGAGGGCGTTATGCCAAACGAGGCACAACTCGAAGCCAAGTATCTCGTTCGGCTTCTGGACAGAATGCTTAATGCCGAGGCCCTTGAATCGCCCCTCGAGGCATCGGCTGCTCGTCAATCTGTGACAAATGCGAAAGATCGTCTGCAAAAGTCCCTCCTCCGGGCTGTATTTGGACCTGATGAGCATCTGTTTCGAGAGGGTCTGCGGCGTCCGCATACTCCGCCTCCTCAGGTACTTGACAGTCAACAGATGGATCAGGACAAATTTTCGGATTGGCTTACACAAGAACTGTGGCGGCTTGTTGGTTGGGATGTGTTAAGGAAGGTACTTCCTCCGAACTAAAGCCCCCGATGGTGGGATTTGTACTCATTGTGCTACATTCTTTTTACGTTCGTTCCCCTTTATCGCTTTATACCCTAGTTGTTATTGGTGTGATTATATGCGCAGACCCGTATAACGATATTTATGCTAAATAGTATATGTGCTTATTCGAGTTTCAAAATACGAGCAGCATTGCCACCCAGAACAGCGGCCACGGCCTCATTTTCTCCCTCGAAAGTGGCATCAATAGCCTTATAATTGGTCGTGACACTGATCCATTCCTTCTCACCCTCATTTAGAGGCGGGAAGAACGGATGATCGGTACCTGTGAAATATATTAGCTTGATATAATCCCAACCATACCGACAATAGAACTAGAAAACTTACCGAACATAAGACGATCAGTACCTCCAGCAGCAACAGCAGCCTTGAGCCCAGCAGTCCCGTAAACAACAGCATCAAGGAAGATATTTGTCTTCAAAATCTCCCAAATACTCCTCTGCGGGCCAGGAACATCGCCACCATGCTCCACAAACTTCCGCTCATGCATAATACAGCTCTCGATGCGCCCAGCCAAAAATGGCAAAGTACCACCCGAATGAGCCAGCAAGATCTGCAGCCGCGGGAACTTATCAAAGACACGGGACAACAGCATGCGGGTAACCGCAATAGTTGTCTCGAGCGGGAAGCCAAGAGCCAAGGGGAGGACATGACCGTAGCGCTTTGTCACCTCAGAGCCACCAAACGCCTCATCGGGAAGACCATAATGAGGATGCAAGAAGAGCAGGAACTGGGTTTCCTCAAGCGCAGCCCAAACAGGACCAAGCGCTTCATCATCGAGACCATTTCCCAGCCCTGATGTCCCCATAATTACGCCACGGATATGAGGCAAGGTCTTAAGTCTCTTGATTTCATTAACAATGATATCCGCGCTAGGTGCGCTCAGCGGCAAAGTCGCAAATGCAAACAAAGTTGACCGCCCCTTGAGAGGGAGATTGTTGTCCGGGTCAGTGGACTTATTGTTCTGAGCACATGTCTCCTCTAGATCGTTGTTGATGCGCTCAGCCCATTGCTGGGCTTCGGCAGGATCGAGGAAGTCCAGCCAGGGATTTGCGAGAGAGATCACGCTGCAATCAATGCCATGCTGTTTCATGAAGCTTAGCTTGACATTGATGTCGGAGTAGGATGTATCGACAGGACGACCGCGCTCGTCGATTGGAATTGATGGGTCATCGTCTGATGATAGGATGATCAGGCGCGGTTCTCCACTTTTTGGGTCGTGGATGTAGGGGACAGTTTTGCGAGCGCGTAGCATCGCCATGTACGATGGGGGGTATACATGAGTGTGGACATCAACTACTAGAGGACGAGACATTTCGAGATATGCAAAATAAAATTGGATAGAAAGGAGAAAGGAAGAGAGGAATAGAAAGAGTATGCAGGTGAGGGGAGAGAGTACATAGATAAGAGCGGGGATGCCCCTCTCTCCTGGGGGGATGTTACAATTTCATTTATCTCCGATAAGTCTGGTCTTTTCATCTTACGTATTTTGAAGGATTCGAAGGATTGCAATTTGAATGTGAAACGTGCTATCAGTAAAGATATATATAGCTTCTCATTAGAAATGCCAAGGTCCTTTCAAGTCTCGTTATAATCCGATTTATTTCATTGATTCATTGGTAACATGAATTGAATAGTCGCTGTATATCAATTTCAGCACCCAGACACTCAGTAGCACAACGTTGCACATACACCATCGACGATCAAATTTAAAGTTGAGAACCAGCCAGAGTGACGGGCTTCGAGTTGGTGAAGTTGGGGATATCGGCGAACACCTCCACAGTGCCAGGGGCCTGCAGAGCAGCCTTCAAGGAGTCCTCACTCTCCCACTCGAGGGTGGCCATGATCAGGAACTCAGATCGCGAGCCATCGAACGCGGTGGGATACTTGGTGACCTTCCAGCTGATCAGGCCATGGGGCTTCCATGTGGCTTCAACGAGGGGCATGTGGGTTTTCATGTAGTAGGGCTCATCGAACTGGATGTCGGGATTATTGGGGTACATGACAATAGAAGAGAAAGTCATCTTGGCGATTGGGAAAGGTATTGAAAAAATAGAGAGATAGTGTAAAGTGAAAATGAAGTTGTGAAGAGAGAGAAATAAACAGCCAATGTCTTCCAGTGACCTTCCGGGGTCCCACTAACCGGCGGGGCAATCGGGCAGATTATTAATCGAGATGGGCTACGGGCGGGGCCGGGAGATGTGGACCTCCGAACCCTGTCCAGGTGAGCCTCAGACTCCCGGTTCTTTGTGGATATAAAAATCCATGTTACTTTGCATATTCCATACATATTCAGAATACTATCTCATTCCCATCTATTTATCCCAAATCCACAATGTCGGCAACTCGAATTCTAAGCCCTCGAGCTGTGGTACGGGCTTTGATTGTGCTCGGAATTGCCATTTTCTACAAAGCATATGTACACAACATCATCTTTCTCATAATCGGTGTCGGCCGAGATATCCAATCAATTGACGAATTCCCATTGACCTGCACTCGCCTTGAGCACCCTCTCCTAGAAGCATGTGAGGATATGTGGTTAGACGATCAAGGACGCAAACTATACGCAGCATGCAGCACTATAGATTCTAGACAGGGATGGAATCCGAGTGGCAGCAAATTCAACATTTCCGCAAGATCCCGCACAGATCATATCGCAGTGTTGGATATTGACCGACCCGGCCCAGACGGAATGTACGGCCTCCACAAGCTCAACCTTGGTGGTTTCCTTGGCGATTTGGATCTACATGGATTCAACGCGCGCAGTATTGAAGGCAGACTTCGATTCTGGTTGATCAATCACAGACCTCCAGTCCATCCTACAACACGGGAGCTGCTTGATTCCCCGAGCCTTGGAGCGAATTCCACAATTGAGATATTTGATTTGGACGATGCTTCAGAGACACTCGAGTATGTCAAAACTATAGCCAGCGAGGCGATCATCTCACCTAACGACTTGGCCGTTGACGATGATGGTCTGGGGTTCGTAATTACCAATGATCGCAGCACCAAGGTTGGTGCTTTCGTGGATTTGGGAATGTTGATTGGCTCAGGAAGTCTCACCTATTGTCGATCTGACACTGGAAAGTGCCATGTCGCTGCCAACAAAGGGTTTTCCTTTGCTAATGGCATTGCGCAAGAGAATGGGCTTTACTATGTTGCTCATTCAGTGACTGGAATCGTGACAGTCCATAAATTAGTTGGCGACCAGCTGGTTCAAGTTGACAAAATCTACACGGGATACCCAATAGATAATCTGTCGCTCGACGCAGATGGGAACCTACTGGCTGCCGCAATTCCGAATGCTATTGCGTTTATGAAGTCTATGGACGACCCACGCAGGGTTGTTGCCCCTGCTACCGTTCTCGCTATTAATGGAATAGCCACTCAGTTGCGAACTCACAGCGGGAAGGATTGTGAGGTCTCGAAGCTTGTGGAGGACAAAAACGCCAAATGGCTTCCTACTTCGACTGTTGTGGTGCGCGATGCTAAGTCGCATCGCTTATTCCTTGGGGGAGCTATGTCACCATTCATCACGATATGTGAGCAGCGCATTTAGTCACTTTTTTGCTTGCTCTTTAATGCAGGGGTCACCGTGGAGGGGGTTGGAGGGGATGGAGAGGGGTGGAGCGGGAGAGGTGGAGTGCTTCTCAAGTCCAAATATGGCAGTCAAAGAAAATGTCTGATAGCCAATGTAATATTAGAATAGACAACTCAACAGAAACAGTCAGATAGACACATCCATGTACATAACCAAAGCAGATGTCAGCATTTAAATGCTTATCTGATGGCTTATCTGCCCATACGGCTCTTATCTTCCTGATGTATGTAGCTGACCTATGATCTTCCTAGGTTTCCCCGACTTTCCCCTCTTCTTTAGATCTTCCCTTTTCGCCTGAACAGAAACTCACTTTGCAGGCCCTTGCTCTCTCAGATTTCTACAGTGACAGTTCATACCAATTCCCAGGACCCCTCTACGAAATGACTTCCAACATGTCCCCAGGCCATGCTGTGTCTGCTGCAGTAGACAAGGATGACTTGAAGATACCGGTATGCTCTCTCTCACAATTATTTCACAATTATTTCAAGACACGACTAATGGAATCTCTTCTAGCTGATTGACTTTGGCCCATTCTTCACGGGTACTCCATCTGATAAACATGCCGTCGCTCTCTCCATAACTCAAGCCTTCAAAACATCCGGCTTCCTCTACCTAAAGGCGCATGGGATTCCACCATCCGTGGTGTCCGGGGTATTTGCGTCATCTGCGCGTTTCTTCGCCCGCCCCCAGAGCGAGAAGGATTCTCTGGGCTGGACGACCCCACAGTCGAACCGTGGTTACGTCGCCATTGGGCGGGAGAAGCTAACCACCGTCGACGAAACAGATGGAGTCGATACTCTGCGTGCGTCCGCACCGGACATCAAGGAAACTATGGAACTTGGTCGCGAGGGAGTCGAGGGCCTGCCCAATCGCTGGCCCGATCATCTCGACGAAGAAGGAAAAGAATTCAAAAGAACTATGCAATCATTCTTTGAAATGGGAAAGACCCTACATAAGCATATCATGCAGGCCATTGCATTGGGAATGAGCTTGCCAGAGCATTTCTTCGACGACTCTGTCAATGCTGGTGACAATAATCTCCGTCTGCTTCACTATCCTCCCGTCAGCAAAGAAGTCTTCAAAAATAACCCTAACCAAGTGCGCGCCGGTGAGCACAGCGACTATGGTTCAATTACTTTGCTTTTCCAGGATCGACATGGTGGTCTGCAAGTACGCAGTCCGAAAGGAACATTCGTGGATGCGACTCCCATTGCTGATACCATTGTTGTGAATGCGGGGGATCTTCTCGCTCGATGGTCCAATGACACCATCAAGAGTACCCGTCATCGGGTCATTCAGCCACCCATGCCTGAAGGCTCTGAGAATGATGCTTCGGATTATCCTGCTCGGTACAGCATAGCGTATTTCTGCCAGCCCAACAACGATAAACTGATCGAAGCACTCCCGGGAACCTTCGGCGAAGAAATGCAAGTGGCCAAGAAATACTCGCCGATTACTTCGGGCGACTATCTGATCCAGCGATTGACAGCGACTTACTGAGTAGTTGGACAATGACTTTGAGATTGTCGTTGGCCCGGTGGATATCATTTTTGTTTCGTGCGTTTCATTTGCGTTTCACTCAGCGATAATTTATTCATATCTGGACATCAAGCAGTCTACAATGTCTATCTTCATTCAATCTCAAACCTATAGAGTCTAAATTTATGTATACCCAAACTGCATCTAGCCCAAAAAGAACCCCATTCAGTAGACAGCAGGCACAACAGAAATCCGACCGCCATCAGTAACCAAGATATTGCCATTGATATAACCACCCGAGTTACTAGCCAGCCAAACAATCAAACCCGCAAAGTCCTCCTCACTACCACCACGGGTAGCAGGGACCATTTCCTTCGGGAACGAGCCATCAGAAATAGCAGGACCCTGAATACCGGAGCCCTGGAAGATCTCGGTTGACATATCCGAGTAGTAAAGACCAGGCGTGATGCCATTGACGCGAATATTGTAATAAGCAAACGCAGTAGAAAGCATCTTGACCAGATGAGTCGTAGCTGCCTTGGAAGCGTTATACGCAAAGCTATACGGCACTTTGCGCATAAACCCAGCAATGGAGCTCGTGATAATAACCTGCGCAGTCGGAGGAGCAAGAACATTCTGCTGCGGCGCAGGGCGGCGCTTATTCGCCGCCTCAAGTAGAGGCAAGAACGCGAGAACCGTGTAATAAGCCCCGGTAACATTCACGTTCATCACGTTGTTGAACTCCTCCATGGGGACGTTGAAGAGTTCATCGCGGACTTGCGATAGTGGCGGGAGCGACCCGTCTTCTGCGGGTTGTGGGGGCTTCATTTGCGCGCCCATTACGCCGCTGTTAGCGATCAGGAGATCGACGTGTGTTGTTTGCGCTGCGACAGCATTGTAGGCTGCCTCGAGTGATTCTTTCGAGGTGATGTCGCATTGGATCGGGATGACTGTGCCGTTAATGGTTTGTGCGGCGGTTTCTTGTAGCGCCTCCTCGCGTCGGCCTAGGATGAAGATCTTGGAGACTTCATTGGCGTCCAGGGCTTTGGTCATGATACGCCCGAGGCCTGGGTTTGTATTAGCTTATCTGTGTATGCATGTATCTGTGGGATGTGAGGGTTCTTACCACTTCCGCCTCCGGTGATCACGACCACCCGGTCCTTGACTGAGAATAGGTTCGATGCCTGGAGATGAGCCATGACTGTTGGTTGGTCGATTGGAGGGGTTGGAATAAAGGGGAATAGAGCTGATGATAATGTATTCTACAGGAATTAGCCATCAACGCCCCACGATACCGTCATTCTAGGGGTTCCCCTCTTTCGATCGGCATCGCTGCCGATAATAGATTATAGCGCGGAAGAACGCCGACCTTCCATTCATTTCGATTATAAATCTGCGTTTTGCGCCTCGGGAGAAGTGCAAGGGTTTCGTGAACACTTATACTGAATATTGAGACTATTAGTAATATTGTACATTTCCATAGATAGGGAAGATCTGTGTTAGATATCTATGTCCAATTTTTGCGTTTACAATAAAGAATTGCGGTTGTTCGATGCTTTGTAAATAGCGGTGGCGACGCAGATAGCAGCTGTGGCTACTGGGCCTAGGCCACTTCAAATGCTTGTTCAGATCTCCGACACTTGGGGCCAGCTATTCGCAGGCATAGGTACATATGTAGATTTTCATAGGTCCCCTCGAAAGCGCTCTTGGTGCAGTAACAGTACTGCATGGTGTTAATTTGACATAAGCCTTGCCCTGATCTACACGGGTGATCTCTGCCGAGCGGGAAACAACATCCATATTAGCCCACTTGCTCATGTATAACTACAAAGTACGGAGTACTATGCAACCACGTTCCACTTTTTGAGATCACTAGCGGTCTGATCAACTTAATCGGGGCTTCTGCTTCTAGACCATTATACAGGCCTATGCCAGCGGTCTAGCCTGCATGGTAATAATTGCTGCATCTGGCCAGGACGGTTTTATTTCTATATGATGCATTGAGTAATAGTGTCACTTGGAGCCCAATGCACTCAATAACTTGATAATATCTCCAAGCCTATGATCAGGGTTTATCCAGTGTGCTAATCATAGAATACGAACTTCGTATAAAAGGCCCCATCAAGAGGCGGAAACTAGTTGCGGGAACGTCTGTCGATTATCCACTTTCCCCCACTCGATGGAGCCTGAGACGAGTCAGATTCCTGTACGTTTAACTAGGTGCTTCTGGACAGACTATATACTGGCTTCAATTGGTTGATATGATTTGATCCTACGCTCGGTTAGAAAGTCCACTGCAGGTTTCAAGCTAGGCCAATTTTCGACAATGCTCCTACCATATACCGATCCGAGTATCAATTACAATATACACCCCAAGAAGCTGCATATATGCTGCAGCAAGACGAAACAAGCGGTGAAGAAGCAAAGTCGAAGGAGTTGTGGAACTTTTATTTTCTTTGTGCCCCGTATTCATTTCTTTGTACTCCGTAAATTTAGACACACCGTCACGAATATAGCGGTAACTTATGCATCTACGGCTGGGAGACACGGCAGATCTCATCTTTGCTTCTTCTGGACACATAAATGTCAGTTGAAAGAAGCAAAAAAATTCCCCACAACTCCCCTCTTCCCCTTTCCCCTTTCTCTCGCCTGGGCAACTCCCGAGATCCACGCCACCAAAAGCCCAGTAAGCACCCTTTTCTAAATATTACAGGTCGACTACTGACGAGCCAGTCATGCCTCAATGGATCGGATCTCTAACCAGCCACAATGGCAATTCTCTGGCTGGCGTATTCATGATTAACGGCGAGCCATGGGTATTCGAGAAGAACGCTCGCGGTAAACCAGCAGCTCCATTTCAACGAGCCCCTGCAGTCGTGAATATCCCTTGGAAGGAGCTCGAAAGTATTCGACAGTCCCTGCAGAGCCGTGAGCCTTTCACCGCGACTATTATGGGCTCTACTATGGAGATTATTTGGTCTAATGGTGTGAGGATCACTGCCAATGTGCCCCATTGTGACACCTATGGTTACCTTTCGGGTGAGGGTGGCTGGCGGACGCAATGAAGTCTGGTGCCTATAGAGTTAGGTTGTTGAACCCCTCTAGCATTGTGTCTGATATTGCGACTTCAGGACTATCTATATCGGAAAGATTGACTGATTATGGATTCCATCGAGCAATTCTATTTCTACAATTTCTACAGATTCCGACAGCTTTGTAGTAATTCAACCACTTTTCATCGTTATGTATTTATTATGCTGATAGTTCAAGGTTTCGTATAGCCCCTTGTTCTCAAAAAATATCCGGCATCGTCCGGCCGGATTCGATTTCCACCCCCACAGATATCTCGAATTGTACGTTGGTCTCTTCGGGTCCATGGGATGTTTACAGGGGAAGCATACTCCGACGTCATCTGTTGCCGAAGCATGCCGGGGCTGTTCTCTAAGTGTGAATTGCAGTATTTCGCAACTACTTGACAGCCAAGTGTACAAGAAACGCCCCCTCGAGAATAAATTGGGATTACAAAGAACCTTAGCATTACCGTGCGGCAATTCACCATTCGGAATTTATCCCCGTTCAAAGCTACCCACATCTCAAACATGAATATGGTGTCTTCAACCATTGTGCGATTCTCTTACAAAACCAAGGACCCCGACTTTGCATTGCCTTGGCTGAGTGTTTATTGTTGAATATTGGCCGAAGTGACATTGTATGTGCTCTACGCAAGGTCCGTATCTATCCGACGGCTTTCAACAATATAATTAACCCAATTCTTTGATGACTAGTGACAAAAAGGCTTCTTCTGTCTTGAATCAAAGAAATCTCAACCTTGAGCAGAGATGATCTGGAACAGTGTCATTCTGTTGAGCCTGTTGAGCTCACTTCCTTTTGCAGCTTCGTCTCCAAAGAAACATCACGATGCTGTGACTACATCCATTGACCCGCCACCGGCAGCTCAAATTGCAGATAATGAATCGGCTTCAGCGCCGCCACTTCGAAGTTACAATAGTTCCAAGCCGCATACACCTTTTGCTGGAACTCCGACTACTACAGGTGCGCTGACAGCTTCTTCAATCGGAACGGGCATCCCTCCCGGAGGCGTTGCAGCCGGAGCCACAGCGTATCCCGGTGATGGAAGCCTCCACCATGCGGAACCTGCTCCATATGTCCCGGCAGGTGGTGTCGGGACCAACGGAAGCATACCTGTCTACAACACGAAGAGTGATTTCGACTATGAGTCCTTAGTATGCATCCGCACTAAATTGGCAAAGCAGCGTTGTAGCCCAGAAGCTAACCTACAACCAATAGGCTCTTGCTCTATACCAAGAATGGATCGAGCTCGATCTGTTCCGAGATGGACTTAGGCGTTTCGATGATTCAGCCTTCCGAGCTGCCGGTCTGGGCGCTTCAGATCGTGAGTTGATCGCATTCATGGCGGAGCAAGAGATAGGCCACGCCACTATGCTCAGCAACATTCTCGGAGCGCGCGCCCCACAGCAGTGCAGCTATATCTACCCGTACACGAACGTCAAGGAGTTCATCGACTTCTGCCAGAAACTCACTCGCTGGGGAGAATCTGGCGTGTATGGGTTCTTGGCTCATCTTGACTCGCGCGAGGCAGCCACTCTTTTGACACAAGCTATCACCACGGAAGCGCGACAGCAAATGATCTTCCGCCAGTTCGAGGGTCTCTTCCCGATGGTCGAGTGGTTCGAAGCTGGTATTCCGCAGTCCTGGGCCTGGACGTTGCTGGCACCTTTCATCAGCTCTTGTCCTGAAAATCAGACTCGCTTGATTTGGCAAAATTTCCCAACGCTGATGGTGGTCAATGAGCCGGATCCGTGGATTGTGGGGACTACTCGCAATCTTTCTTCGAGTAACAACCGAACTTCGGGGTACAATTTTACTAAGATTGCGGATCAAATTTCAAGACTCAACACGACTTCCGGGTTCAATCAGACCGCGGGATTCATGTTTAATCAAACTACCGGAATCAATAATACTGTCGGACCAGGCGTCAGTATCCCCAAGTCACCAAAAGGCTCCGGAAGATACAACTCGTCTATTTCAGGTGTCGGCTGCCCTGCCCCTGTTAGCAAAACTCGTCCAGTACCTCTCACGGCTCCGGGTCGTCGGGTACTGTTGCAGTGGGATCTTCCTGGGAAGAAAGTTGGTCCCAACAATAGCTACATCACCACAACAGAGACCAAAGCTGGTAGCGCGAAGTATGTGATTTGGGTGTCGCAATTGAATATTACATACACCCCTCTGCATGTTGTCAATGGTACCAACAGCACCAGCAGCACAAACAGTACTGATATCACCAACAACACCAACATCGCCAAGAGTACCGACAGTGCCAACAGCACCGCTGATGGCATTCGAGGATATACTATCCAGCCCAACTTTGAAACATACCAGGGTGACCCAGCTTTCAATGGTACCATTTTTATCGCTATCACAGACAGCGATCCGTATGTGAGCCCGTTCAATCTGAGCTTGATTGACCCACATGTGGTTGCCGGTCCAGCTGTGTACCAGGCTGGTTGAATGAGTGGTCAGTCCGTGTATTTATTGGGCGTGTCAAAGGGTGCAGAGAATTAGCAGGATCTTTGAATTTATAAAAGTTTGTTTTCGTATAACTCAAGTCTAAAAAAATATAGATCTATAAATATAAATGTAGAGTTGATTAACAGGCGATCGCCTTAACCCCGATTCATGGGGCTTATCGCCGAGCTGTCAACCTCATTTTTCCACGTCAGTGTTTGTTAACTTTGTGTCCCGCCGCTCATAATCCCTCCACACCAGCCTAAACAAGATGGAAACACCAAGGAATCGTAAACAGCGCCGCGCAGCAGCTGGATCTTCCTCCAGAAACAACGAGCCCGAAATCCCCATGGCCCATCCCACACGCAGTGATCCGACCAAAAATAAACCAACTGTTGAGCGAACACTATATGACATCATCGCAGAGCGACAAAGCGCACTCCATCAAAAGGGGGATCAATTCCAGCTTCGGTAGAAGCTCAGGGCATACCGACCCAGTCAGAGGGAACCCGATTCGTGACGGTCGACGCGTCCGGGAACTTGGTTGACACCCACGGCGACATCAGCAGCCATCTCTCATCTTCCACGCAAAAGAAGACCAAGAAGAGTAAAAAGGGCACAAATGGCAGCGCTGTCGAGCAACCGGACTCCGAATCCGAACCCGATAAACCTCTCCCACCATTCCTCGACACAATTCTCCTTTCGATACCTCTTACAACCCTCCACCTCACCCTAAGCTACCTCGCAGCCCACCAATACGCCGAAAGAATCGAACTGCCAAAACTCTTCAAAGAATCCCTGACAACCGCTTTCCCTCTCCTTACTTTCTTCGTCCACCTAGCACATGGTCATATCATCTCTTTCGGAAAGCGCGGGTCAAAGAATGCAAAGGCAGAGCCTGTTCCTTCTTTGTTCCCATTGACAAGTGATAAGTTCACCTTTTCCTTCCTGCGAAAGCTGGTTTTCCCGCCTGCGTTGCGGACTTGGGTCTTTCTTCCTATTGCTGCGGTGCTGGGCGCCCATCTTATCGCTATCACGAATGGAGAGCCGTACTATGCGGTTATGAAGAAAGCGCCTGCTGTTGGAACTATTTGGATTTGGTGTATTCTAGAGTTGTCATTTGGGGCAGCTGTGCTTGGGGCGTTGGGACCGTTGGTTTGGGGGGTTTGGTGGATGGGGTATGGTATTTTTTGAGGGTGGGGATGGAGAGTAGTTATGGGGAGTATGTATGTACTTTAAAGAATGGTTGTATAAGATAGACTTGCATTGGGAAGGAATTCCAATTCCTTCGATGAAGATCGGAAATGGAATATCACATAATGAGTTTCATTAATCCATCCCACGCTGTAGAATAACAAAACATCTATAAAGACATTGATCCAACTTTGAAACAAACCACATCTAACACAGAAATACTGAAATAAGCATAGAGAGGCATAACACAATGGCAGCAGCCATGTCATTCAATCCTAAGAGAATGTCGCAAAAATTAAGAAAAACCCAATAAACCCCCTCCAACAACCTAACGCCCTATACTCCGTACATATGTACCACCGACATGAACACCACAAACATGCCAGTAAGAATCCTTTTTCAAAGATATTGTACATTCGCCAGAAACACTTTTCAAAATATACTCAGGTATGATCCGCTGCAGTATTGCGACAACTTGTCATAATGAGAACATATATACGTAGATATATAGTGATATATACATATCCTCTCTCCGCTATACCGTTATACCTGGCATCTTAAATTCCTGAATTTTTTATATTTATACCAAAAGCAGAAATGGCAGGACCAGAAATCTTAAACAGCTACCTCGACCTTGGGGGTAGCTTCCTCAAAGACTTACCAAATTCAATTAAAAGATATCAATACGAAGGAGAGTCTCCCTTTCTCCGGATCTTTAATCGAGAACTTCATCACTACGAATCCTCGGGATATGCAACGAGCAAGTTTATCCTATTCCATACGAGTCGAGAAACGATTGAAACACTATTCAATCCAAACGAGGAACTAACTACTCTTGTGAGAAACTGTTCCTCTTTTGATCTTGATGAGCAACTCATCCTCGTCAGAATGCCTGATTTGCCACATGTGTGCGCAACTCATGCAGTAGGCGAGGCAATCATAGCAGCTCTCTCGCCAATGGGGCTATCTGGTAGCCTAAAAACATACGCCAACGCAACTATACGCGGAGAAGCGAAAGGGAAGCAACCTGACAATGGCTGGGCCCCTAAAAGGCTACCGGCTGGTTATCCAAAGAGGCCCTCAGTTGTTTTAGAGGTTGCGTGGTCCGAGTCAGATTCAAAATTGAATTCTGATGTTCGATTCTGGTTAAACCCAGCCGACGGAAATGCGAGGATTTGTCTAACTCTAACATTAGATAGACACAAACCAGAAATCAGGATTGAGAAATGGTGCCTGCAGCATGGAAGACCTCATCGCTTACAGAGTATCTGGGTGACTAAAGTGTCAGACCGGATAAGCGTCATAAATCACCCTCTTATCATACCATTCGAAGATTTATTCCTCTGTTCACCATCTATACCGGCCGAAAAAGATGTTTAAATCTCACAACCAGCCTTTGAACGGATTGCAGAGGAAGTATGGGATGATCAAGGGATCTAAGCCTTAACTCCGTCCTCCGCATCCCCTTCCCCCCCCAGTCCAAGACTGCTTAACCCATGGCCCTCAGCGCAGCAGCGCTAGTCGTCTTGACCTTCATCCTCCCTTCTGCCTACCGCAACTACAAAGTCTTCAAAGCCTACGGCCCGGGCATAACGCGCTGTTTCGGCCATTCGGGCGCGAGATTCTCAGCACGAATGAGTATGTAAAACGCATTGTGGCAGCTAAGGGACATGGGAAGGGTGATGAGGGGTTTTTATTATTCTTTGAGGAGGACCTTGGGAGCCGATATGGGGAAGAGAGGCGATCCTCCATCCTATCGGAAGAGCAGGCAAACTCCGTACAAATCATTCCTCTGAAGTCCAGTCCCAATGTCCGAACGCCACGATGACCCCCTTCTTCACTACGGAGTGCTCACCTACTAATGCGACTACCCTGAAACAAGAAATCGTTGACACGATTTTCAGCGTGCGCAAACTCCGTCTAATTGTCATCATTCCTGCACAACGTCGCTGCGCTGGCAGCCTTGGCGTTCCTTTTCATCCGATCCTTTCTCACCGACTGGGATAGCCATAGTATACAGTGGGGCCTTTCCGTGGAGGCACGTACCAGGCCAACGGCAGACCTTCATCGAGATAGATATCACCACGTATCCGAGTCTGCGCAGGAGCGAGAGCGAGACTTCGCCTTCCCTGTTTATGTGCTTAATTCCGATCTTGACGGGAAAAATTCGCAGTTCTATAGATATTCTACCAGGGCTACCAATAACCCTCGAGGACTGATTGAGGAGCTTGCAGGATTGTGTTTGATGTGACCGTTATTGGTTTCATACGTTCTACATGCATGTACAGAGCGATTCCTCGATTTGAATTAGTGCTTGAATTTTGAATTTTCTGAGTAGTTTGCTCTGGTTTTTTCTAGCTTCTTCTCGATATAGACCTAAACCCTACTGAGGCTGTGGATTTGACAGGTCGTAGACACTCCGTCCGAGCTTTTTCAATGCATATGTCAACAAATAAAAGAAATACAAATGCACTCACACCCAACAAATAAATGATATAATTTTTCAGTCCTCGTGATTCGGATATTTAGCTATATTCGAGTGGCTTGATACGTTTTCTTGCATTTTTATTCCCGATGACATCTTCGTTTTGAGTCATACGTATCAGTCTGCCAGGGTCGTACAAGGGTGTATCCTTGTTTGTGGCGCTTTATGCAAGGTGATTTGATATTTTCCTTCTTCTGCCCAAAGCAGAACAGAATATAACCCCCGAGAAAAGCAAGGATACCCTGAAGAAAAGTGCCCCAAAGAAGCAATTCCGTAGACCTGTCGTGCCAAATCACGACGTGCCAAATCTTGACATGACAAACTTGACGTGACAAACTTGGCGTGACGAGGCTGACATGCCATACCTAACATGCCACAGTCCATCGGGCCGATGTACATCCCGAACTTCATCAAGTGGATTGAACCCGTTAAGGGCGGCCCGCGGGACCCTCTATCCACCATCCAGCATACACATGCCGGAAATAACAGGAGCTGAGACCAGGACAGTCGGAACGTAACAGGACCCGCTATAGGAGTAGGTACAGAACACTACGGAGTACGGAGTGCGTGAATTCATTTTCCATATTATATTTTCATATTTCGTATTTACATATTTCTGCCCAGGTGTATACATCTTCTCAAATTTACTTTCATACAACATAGATTCTCTTTAAACTCCCACTAAACCCAAACCCAAACAAGAAACCAAGCTAACACCTTCACAGCTTAACACCAGTGGGATTAATGCAACCTAATCGGGGCAATCAATAATTAACCTCTTTAGCTCTGTCGATCCCCGCTCCAGAACCAGGGAAACCCCTTGCATGGAACGGGACGCGGAACCATTCCATGGGTTCCACCCGTGACTGCAGAACCTGGGCGGAACTATTGGCGCGGATGCAGTTCGTGGGACTTTTCCCATCGGACTCGGAGTCGGATTCCGTATCACCTCTACAAAGTACGGAGACTACTGCTACGCCTAGCCCCACACCTGCAGAGGGTGCATGTGCATGATGCGAACCAGATCGACGTAGGCCCCGATTTGTATTTTCGTAATTGCAATTTACGGGTGTTTATATATCACATTTTCTTCAGGGGTTACCGATGCACAAACCGAGATCTGATCGTCTTCGGGGCCGAGGGCTTGGGACAGGGGGGAGTGGATGGGACTTTCGAACGGCGGTGTGGGTTGTTCTAGATGTCTCACTGCATGATCGGAGGTTGGAAATACCCTGAAAAGGGGGTTTAGGTTGTTTACTTTGACGACGGGATATAGAGTAATGTCTATGTTTATGAACGTGGATTATTTGGTGTGATATGTAAATTTTTTTTTCGAGTGAAATATGTATGTAGAAATGGAAACGTATGTATTGAACCCGCCGGTAATGCTAAGCATGAATGACAAAGTCATTGGGAAAATCATCGTAAGGATGTTCAGTCTAATTCGTTAAAAAAAAAGATTTGACGACCACCCAACGGAAAAACGAAAGTAAATGAAAAAAAAAAAAAAATCAAATGCAAAAATCTCAAATGTCCGACCATGCTGTGTTGCCCCTCGAACGCCGCCCCATTTTCCTTTTCACCGTACTTCACCGCTGAATGAGTGGCATACAACTCATATGCGCCGTAGATTTTGTAAAGTACTGTTGCCCCACTTTCTTATTTTAGACTAACACCCGTCCTTCAGGGATGAGTCCGACAGGTGACATCTCAGCCCCAGCGGGTAGGCCCCGTCGAGCCGCGGTGGCTGCAGCGGGGGCGTCGCCTTCGAGTCCAGATAGTAGAGACGCCACCATCTCACGATAGGTGTTCATCTGGGACAGCTTGAAGCGCTGGATTTTTCCACTTGCAGTGCGTGGGATCTCTTCCACGAATACGACACCTCCATCAAGCGCTTTGTATCTAGCCAGATGCTGGCGTGCATAATTGTAAACCTGTTCGGCGGTCAGGCGGCGCATGTCTGGGTCGCGAGAGCGCACGATGAAGGCGCGTGGGAGCTCGCCCACGCCGTCCTTGTTCACACCGATCACGGCAGCATCGAAGATTCCTGGGTGTTGGAGGAGGACGCCTTCGACTTCAGCTGGGGCTACTTGCCATCTGTAAAATGATTACTATTTTTTGTCGAGTTGATGGAAACTGGGGGTTGACGATAGACTTACCCTCGTACTTTGATAAGCTCCTTTGTGCGTCCAACAATGTAATACTGGCCCTGTCTGACGTACGCCACATCACCCGTTCGGAACCATCCATGTGGCTCCAATGCGTCCGTGCGGCCCTTGTATGCAGTGAGAAGACCTGGCCCGCGGACGTACAGTTCACCCGGGCAGCAATCGCCATGCACGATTTTACCATCTTGGTCTATCAAGCGAACCTCGTATTCGGCAATACAGGTACCAATGCTGCCAGGGTCACCCTGCTGGCCATAGCGAGTCTGGAAGGTCACGCCAACCTCAGTCATTCCCCAGATCTGGCAAGCATATCCCATGGGGTTCATATGGGTGCGGAACTGTTGCATGGAATGGCCATCAATAGGAGCGCCAGCAACACCAACATAGCGCAGCGAGGACAGTCGATCACCGATGGGCACAGGTGACTGGTTGATAGAGTGAATGACAGCGGGGACAAGGTAAGTCTCCGAGATCTGGTACTTGTTGACCGCAGCAATGAAATCATTGACCTCGAAGCGCGGCAGGACGAACAGCGGATGTCCGTATCGGACAGGGAAAAGATGTGTCCAGAGCGCGCCAAATAGGTGAAACATGGGCAGCGACATGAGCCGGCTCACTGGGTAAGGCACGTCGTAGTAAATGGTGCGATGCTGTGAGACAAGCGCATAGTGTGACAAGATCGCTGCTTTGGGTAGTCCGCCTGTACCACTGGTTGGGTACATAGCTGCAGGCGTGGCTCGTGCTATGACCGGATCGGAGAATTTCATCCAGTCACTTTCACCGTAGCAAAGTAGATTTGCGAAATTGTTGTGACGGGCATCACTGACACTCATTGGGAAGAAATGGCCTGCCGCTGAATACCCGAGATCATTCCACAGGAACAGCTGTGCACAATGGTCGATAGCTAGTTCATCGACGAGACAGACCTGTGCTGGGTGGATGCCCCGGGTAGCGGAGACATCGAGGACGGAGGAGAGAGCATCGCGAGTTGTGAGAATCAATTTGGGTTCGGCAAGACTGAGGATGTGATCGAGTTCTTGGGGTTGGCTTCGGGGGTTGGAGCCCATGTAGACACCGCCGGCACCAATTATGCCGAAGAATAGTGCGGGATATAGTATCTGCATATGACAGGCCCGAGAGTCAGTGTTATTCCATTTATTTTCCGAGAATCTCTTTGGTCCCATATTGTATTTCTGATTTCAAGGCTTTTTTTTTTTTTTTGGTGACTCACGCTGTTTCCCAAGTGTAGCAATACACAGTCTCCTTGCTGGATATTGTGGGCTTTCAAACCGGCGATCAAGGTCTGAACTAGTTGTCGAAATTGAGAACCTGTGAATGATCGGGAAGGATCCTCAGCATCAATAAACAGTGGTTGGTTTTGGTTGTAAGGCTTTGGGCCATCGAATGTGAAACTCAGCAAGTCAGAGTAGACCTCATGAGAGAGCATATTGTTCGACATAGTTGAGTCCCAACCCATTGTAGAGGTTTAGATGTGAAGAAGATGAAAGGGAAGAAGATGAAGATAAAAAAAGGAATTGTTGAGTACAATATATAGCCAGGCAAACAAACACATTCTCTCGGGAGATTATATAGGTAAAATGTATATTCCATTTTCCATCTGATTTGATTTTACCTGACAGTCCCCCCGGGCTGTTCCACCTGTTCCAGGATTTGGAATACATGCTTATGTAATGCACTAGTGCCCATTTTAGGAACTGTAAGGTCAAAATCTAAACTATACACTATAGATTCAAAATACTCAAAATATAGATCAAGGAGCTGAAAATTAGTTGCAAGCTGAACTCAAACAAAACAGTAAGGGCCTCAAACCAGAAGAAACTATTCACTATAGAATTGGAGATAAACAGGCTGGAGTAACGGAGTTCAGGTCTCCACCATATGTTCTGACACTAAAATCTAGCGCATTCCATTGTGGCGGATTTTGAAATTTTAATAGATTAAAAATTAATAGACCAATGTAATTGCTACGAATTCACTAGCCCTTCCAAAGCTGAGCCACAGATCGGATTCTGATCCGGGTTCCCGAAGGATTGGTTCCTCTTTTTGAGATATAGTTTGGAATATATAGAATATTTAGAACATACAGATTATATATATATATATATATAGTATATACAATGTCTTAGACTAAGTTTATAGAGGATCGGATCGTGAGATAGACTCCATATACATACTCCGTTATGCCCCAAATGTTAACTTTAATATGAAATCACATTCTCTCTTTTAAGGAAAAAAAAAAAAAAAAGACCTGATGCAAGAGAATGCAAGAGAATGCAAAAAATATAAAAAAAATAGCAATTTAAAATGTCATTTTCTTCAAAGTCTCCCACGAGCTTAACAAACAGGGGGTACTATCTCCGGTAATCCGCCGATAATGATTTGATTCGCCTAGAACACTTCTACGCAGGCATACGTGGACAAACTACTCCCTGCTGCCTTCTATAACGTTTCGTGAAAGTATGTATTCTTCTTCCACTCATTATCATGGGCCCAAATGTCTCAGTATGTTGTAGATGCCCAAAATCTGCAGCCGATATCTAGTGGAGACCATCTACTCTGTATCCATGATCCAGCAGGATCCAGCAGGATCCATGATCCATGTCTATTCCCTGTGGGGTCTGAATCTGAAAACGCTTCTCCTCCCGAATCCAGATCCAGATCGACTAGTGAAAGATCGACTAACGAAACCGTGCTCCACCTCCACCCAGGTTATGTACTGTATCCGTGCGTGGTTGCCAGGACCTCGGTGTTGGGTGGGGATCAGCATAAGTCTTCGCCTTGTGAGATATGAGAGGGGCGGGAATTGGATATGGTGTGGATATCCTCAGCTGCACTTTGATGATCGATTGCACAGAGTCGAAAATAAAAAAAAGCCCCCAAAAAAAAAACAATCGCAAAACAAAAGGCGGAAGAAAAAGCAAATAGTATCCCCAACAAACATGAACTGCTATGTCACCCGGCGGGCCAATGCATTAACTCATGGCATGATTCCGCCACAAAGTCCAGAATCCACATTGTCATTGTCGATGGCGTTTCGAGGTTGCATCCGGCGGAAGCGAGCTTATGGCTAGTCAACGCCATCCCTCGGCTGCAGATCGTTCAGTTTTATTGAAGACTTTCTTGGCCGTCTAATCAGGTGCACTGGCCTCATCATATTCGACTTTCGTCCCATCAGGACTAGTCAAGAAATGTCCTAGCTGGATTGCACTTGGCCCATAGTACTTTTTCGCTCCTCTCGCCTCAATGGGGTTTCTCGGGTCGGTTACTGAGGATATATCGAAGTTAATCGGATAGGATCAATCCTGAGCTCATTCTTGGTTACTCCATTTCCCGTTCCCCGAAAGGAAGGAGTTTTCATTAACTATGGACGATCAGACAAAGTTTGACAGGCTACTCCGTACAGCGAGGATCTTTCCGGGGGTTTCGTCAGACACTTCCGCGGGGTGTACCTGAAGAATCTAAAGGAGCTGAAAGCAAGGGAGTAGGATGTTTCTCTGGTTGCTGATTGGCAAGAATCACCTTCTGCACTAGCATGAGGTCTGGGCCCCCCATGTGATAGTGTCATACATTCTACTTTGTAGAGAAAAAAAAAAGAAATGGATAATAGGGAAATAATAGAAAATAATAGGATCATATGCAATGCATACTCGATTTTCAGGACGAACTCAAAAGAGACGGGGAAAAAAAAAAAAAAAAAAAAGGGACCATACCAATAGGCGTATAGTAACCAAAGTGGAAAAGGGCGTCACCGTTGGCAGTGATGCCCGGTGAACGCCCAAAAGGGAATGAAACAAAAACTCGATTGGGAAAGTAAAGAAGCGGAGACAGGAGTAATGCAGATGGGACGTATGTGAGGCTGATCTTGGTGCATTTTGGGGGGAAAACAAAAAGACTTTTGGTTATCATGCTTCACTTCAAAAATAGAAGAACTCGCCACTGGTTGGGTTGTCAACTCTTTCCTTCAGTACTTTTCACTTCAAGGAATCCCTGAACTGATTATCTTCACTCATCTCCTGGTCACCTTTTGAACTTCTCTTATGAGAGTGTGAACTCATCATGGTTATGTCAGAGAAAGCCCCCATCACTATGCCTCCAAAGGCTGCCATGCGCAACACACCGACTGTGAGCGAGGCCACTCTTACCAACGGAGACAAAATCAGTGAGAAATGCTACTCTAAGGAAACCGAATCCTTACATATCGACCTCGAAAAGGAGATTGATGTGGAGGCACAGACCCAACACCTCACCCAGCGGAAACCCAAGTTGTTTGCATCCACCAGATATGCCATTCTCACACTATACCGGCGTCTTTTTACCTTGGTCTTCTCCGCCAACGTCGCAATGTTCGTGTACGTCATGAGCACCGAACAGAAAGTTTTGGCCCTCGTCAATGCCATAGCTGCCAATTTGCTTGCTTGCGGTTTGGCCCGTCAGCCACTAGTGGTCAACGCTATATTTGTCCTTGTGTGTTCAATGCCGCGCTCGGCACCACTTCCCCTCCGTCGTATCGCCGCCAAAGTCTACCATTATGGTGGCGTTCATAGCGGGTGTGGAGTCGCTGCCCTGGTGTGGTATGTGGGATTCGTGGGTGTGTTATCCCACCAATATTGGAGGCCATCCGCGGACGGTCTGGATGACGGTCTTTCAGCAGCGCCGGTTGCGCTAGCTTACGTCATATTGTTTCTGTTACTCGCAATCATCGTGGTGGCTCACCCCGCCTTCCGGATGAAACGGCATGATTATTTCGAACTCACCCACCGTTTTTCGGGGTGGCTTCTGGTGATCTTGTTTGTCGCCCTGCTGCTCGTCTTCTCGAAAAGCGCTAGTCAGGCCATAGGCCAACCACTTGGAACATTCCTCGTCGAACTACCAGCATTCTGGTTTTTGATGTTCACGGTAGCTGCCATTGTCCAGCCTTGGCTATTCCTCCGTAAGGTCGCGGTGCGGGCCGAGCCACTCTCAACCCATGCCACTCGTCTGCACTTCGACCATGCTATTACCACATTTGGAAAGGGCATCCAACTAGCCAAGCACCCCCTTCGAGACTGGCACGGATTTGCCACCTTCCCTGACCCTGCCCCGGCAGGTGTCCACGGCAACCCTAGCTTCTCTTCTTTGGTGTCCAAAGCCGGCGATTGGACCACAGAAACAATCCAGAACCCCCCTACTCACCTCTGGAAGCGAGGTGTGTTGATTTATGGCTTCGCATATGCCATGCGTGTGTTCAAGAGAGTGATAGTTGTTACAACCGGATCAGGCATCGGACCCTGTCTGTCATTCCTTGGTGATGATAACCGACCCGCACTGCGTGTAATCTGGCAGACTCGGGCCCCTCGCCGGACCTACGGTGACAGTGTGATGAGCCTAGTCCACAAGATGGATTCAACCCCCATCATCCTTGACACCGACAAGTGTGGGCGTATGAACATGGTTCCCATCATCTTGCAGCAGATTAAGGACTTCCAAGCTGAAGCAGTATGCGTGATCAGCAACCCTGTACTAACGACGCGAATCGTCTATGAGCTCGAAGCGCGAGGGACCCCGGCGTTTGGCCCGATTTTCGATTCTTGATTCGCAATCTTATTATTCCTTCTCAATGTTTTGTCCGCACATACCTTTTGTTCATTGTTTTCTTCAGCCAGTTTTCTTTTTTCTTTTTGCGTTTGTTCTCATCTAGGAGGTAGTTTTTTTTTTGAGCATCTTGCCATATATCCTCTCCGGCTCGAGGCGTTAACAAGCGTTGTTAATTGTTTGTTTTATTGATATTTTCGAAGGGATGTTTGAATTGCAAGAATCCTCATCAGGGGAGGGCCTTGCTTGTGTACATATGTCAACACTTCCTAGGAGTATTTGGAATCGCACGCTATGACCCTGCTGGTATCCGTAAGACGATTCCTCTTTAAGCAAACCATTTAATGAACCCATGACAAACTTTATACTTCTAAAAGACAGTGATCATGTGTGCCTGATAGCCGTGCAATTCCAAATACATACTATCTTTCTCCACCCGGAGGCTTGGGGACCAATTAAAGTTGTGATGATATGTGTGATATGTGTTAAAGCCTACATCAAGCACATTGGCTGTTTAAATTTGCATGTACTATTATAGTCGATCTTCATATCTCAACTTTGATATTTCAGATACTCGAATTTAGGTTGTGTTTCATGCATGTTCTTGCACATATCCTCACTATATCATCTTGTTGTACAGTTTGTTATAGTCAGGGATAGATCGGAGAATATTTCGATCTCCGATGTTAGCGGCGATATTTTCCCAATTTAGTAATTACCCGCGGAGTATAAGTATATGGGGTTGGTATAGATATAGTATATAATTGATGTCAAACATCATCCAAAAATATATGACAACAAGCGGTATATCCAAATCCCAATCATCCCAGGAACAAAAGAAAAAAGAGAACAAAAAAGAAAACCTCCAATGTTACACCCAAATCCACCGCAATGTCCGAACCACGCAAGGTACCTAGGTAAGCACAGTCCAAACCGGTACCTACATTGCACCCATGTCAAAGTCAAAATCTCCTAGAAATCTCCTAGAAACCTCCTAGAAACCTGTACGCTACTCAAATTAAACGTGCGTATCTAACGGAGACACATAACTCCATAAGCATAAGCAGATAAGCACTTTGACTCTTGGCTTTCTATTTCCGTATTAGTCACTCGCCGCTTTTGCCCCTCCAAGTAGAACCGGGCACATGCTGGGGCATCACCCTCGGGTTACTGAACCTCGTGGGAACGGCTTCCTCACAGGTACGGAGTACTCCGTACAAGGATCTGACTATATACTACAATCAGTCTAGCGCTCCTTGAGCTCTCTTGCGCACATTTTTTCTTTCTTCGGCTTTCCAGGTGAGACATTTTCGCTATCACAGAGCTCCTAACCCTAACCTCCGCGTCATCCTTCAATGGTTATTGACCATCCACGTATTCAGGCGCATTCGCCCTACAATGTTTTAATACCATCCGCGTTAAATCTGCCTCGAGAATAAACACCGCACGGAGCACGGGGAGGGGAGTATTATCCACCTGCAGTCTGGTAAGGTCCCGATACAGGATGCCTGACAGGGGGACAGAGTACATGGTCTATCCAAGCAGAGTCATTCGTATATGCACGAATTTTGACAACTCATCACGAGGGTTGTGGCTTGTGTATTTTGGTCTATTATAGCGAACCAATGGTTGCTATGCTGTACGTTGGTACTTTTGATCATGTAGATACAAAGTACTTGTTGTGCCCTACCTACAGAAGGCATATTTCCTAGACCTGCAATCCACAGGTTGGCGCCCCGAATTGAACATGTATTTATTTATTTCCACTGGCAATGCTGTAGTCTCATAAAATTCTTCAGAGTCCACCAGGATCTAGCCGATCTCGTGGAGGCGCAGGACAACTTTGCACTGCCGAGAAATACGAAGTTTGAAGATCAGTGCTCGCTTGTCATAGAATATATCTAGTGACTTTGGCCTCTGGCCTCGCTATTCTCTATATTTCAAACGTCCTGGCCTAAAAGAGCGTCCTAACTTTGTACAAAAAGCATCTCCGTTTTCATCCTTGTTATAAGCCGCAGAGCAAAGCAAGGGAGAGCTTCATCAATTAATATGCCATTTCACGAACCTGATGACACAAGAGACTATGTCCCCCTAGTAGTCCTCAACACAAACGCGGAAGAAAATAACGATGAAGTCCAGAATGTACAACCCAAGTACACGCAAAGGAGTTTGTTGAAACGCGTGGGTATCACCGGTTTCTTGACTATATTCCTTGGCTCCGCAGTCCTACTATTGCCAATAGTCCTGTTGGCCCTTTTCTGGAGAGAGTCGATGATCGCCATCGCCGGAGACAAGCCAGAAACATATTGGATCCGCATCGTCAATGCCAGCTGGACTACCAGACTAGTTACGGTATGCACCACTGCCATCCGAACCGTAGTCGCTTTGCAAGCTGGTCTTGCTACTGCGATGGTCGCAGGGATTGCCATGGAGACAACGGGTATTCCTTTGCTACAAGGGCCGATTTACTCTATAATTCGGGCGGTTAAAGTAGCCCCGAGCAGCCTGTTAATGGCGACTGACTTTCGGCCTCATCTGTCGTTTTTCATCGGGGCACTAGTGACCATAGAGATCCTAGTGACGACATCGTCCCAGTTTCTGTCAACTATCTTCTTATCCGACTTCGCCGATGGAAGCTTTACACTACCAAATAACTCGACAAACATTAGTATCCTAGCGAATCCAAGTACCGCCACGACTGGATGGTGGACAATGCCTCCGGCAGCGAGCTGGACATTCGCTGAGTTGTCAGATTCCTTTACAGAAGGACCAGACTACCATGATACTGGCCACACCTATCGAGCGTTTCTCCCGTTTGAAAACGAGGCCCAACGAATCAAGCTACGCAGCCTCCGTGGTCCGGTGCCTGTTATGGATCACCGAGTCGTCTGTGCCAGCCCAGCTCTGACCAACATGACACTTGACGCATCGGATCAGGGTAAAGTACGATTGTCAGGTCAAATCGCTATGAAGAACAAGACTTATCCGATGTTGCTGAATGCTGAATCCCAGCCCTACATCAACTTTACCTGCCAGCTGCCCGCACCACTATATCGGGCAAACAATATGCTAGCAGAAAGCAGCATATGTTTTGCCAACAGCGGAAGTGATTGGGTGGTGCTCTTAGAAGACCCATTGGTACCGCCTACCGCCAACGAAGGAAGTCCTTCCCTAGTCGGCTATCCTGAGGCATCGACCATGTTCATGGTCTTAGATATGGTTTCCGCAGAGGCCATGCTGGACGCTGTTGGAGCGGAGCACGCCGTTCAGATGACGCGTACCAATGGACCGTGGTCAATGGTGACGAACGGATCCGATGTTGAAGCCTTACGGATCTCTGCATGTGTTACCAATTTGGGTGCTGAAACCCTCACAGTCGGCATGAACAGCTCAGCCGATAACTTGGAGCCGAGTATGTCTTGGGACATCCACGGTTGGAAGTACCTGACCGAGAGCTCGCGTCGCCAGCTTGGCGCATCGAGGACTCGAGAGAGTTTGAAAAGTCGGGGGGTGCTTGCCCTCGAGCCTAAGTCTCAGTGGCAAAACTTTCAACGTGAAACTGACATGAGCGGTTATGGAACACCGTGGTTCTTCTCATTATCGCTCATCTACAGCATGCCGACGGCGATATATCTCACAACGAACACGACTCTCAATCCAGGAGTGATTCTCTCCGGGAATGCAAATGCATACAGCGTGGCTGCACACCTGACGCATGTCGATATGTTTCAAGACACGCTGAACGCAACAAGCAGTCCTGCATTGGCCTTGCAGGTATTGTTAACGAGGGTATGTCAGATGGCGTATTATGAGCAGCTAGTGAAAATGGGCACTAAGGCAGCAGCATCGACTGCATTTTCTGTTGTCTCGTCAATTCCGGTACAATGGACCGGTTTCATCATCGGAATGGCTCTCATTGCGACCCATTTTGTTGTCGTTGGCATCGTCGCCGTCCACTTCCTGAGTTCTACAGCTGGTTCGGTTATTGGGAGCTATTGGCAGGCCGTTTCTCAAGTGGTTTCGAAAGAAAGTCTTCCCATCCTGGAACAAGCGGATCGGATGAGCGATGCGGAGGTCGAGAGCTGGGCTCAACACCAGTCGTTGGATCTGAAGAGCCGGCGCAAGCTTCAATATCAGGATGATGGACGGGTCGCTGTAGGTACCACGGAAGATGAAGGGTGAATATCTAATGTTCATGTGAGTGTGTGCAGCTTTAGTCCTATATAAATGAGAAACTGGACAGCGAGGTGGGATCATGAATGTGATTATGTGTATGTTTTATTAGTTAAATGGGTTTTATAGAGCTGCTCGTTTTCTTGCTCTTGAAGCTTATGCTAGGGTATCACGACAAGCTCTGGCTAGGACTGAACAGAAATTCCCAAAAAGCCCTACAAAAATCAGCGGAGATAACTGTTGTATTCACAAATGGTATCTGATTAGAGTGTCGGTTCCATAAGCTTCTTGAGCTTACGAAGAGAGAGAGGTTTGACTAAATAATCGTCGATACCTGCGGTGACCGCCGCCTGTTGCATGGTATCCGAAGCGACACCTGTGACAGCCATGATGCGGGAGGGTTGGAGACCATGGTCCTTTTCGTGCTGTCGGATCTTGCTTGTTGAAACCAACCCGTCCATTATAGGCATTGATAAATCTAAAATCAATACTCAGTTAGTAATTTTTGCTTGAGGGATGTTTAGCTTGTAAACTAACCCATCAAAATCAAGTCATATCTCCGACTTGAAGATTCGACTTGTTCCAAAGCAATCAGCCCATTGGAAGCCGTGTCGTAACTGCAGCCAAGTTTTCGCATTAATGTAGCCAGGATCTGTTCCATGGTTGTAAGTCAGATCAAAAGGAATGAATTAAGAGGGCTAATATGCGAGAAGGTGAGGGCATAGCTAACTCACCTTGAGATTGATGTCATTGTCATCCACGATGAGGACATTCATATTGTTCATTTGAGGCGAGTCCGGGATTAGAGGGCTCGGACAAACCAATTCAACTAGAGGCCCTTGTGAAAGACCTTTCGATGTTTCTGGTAGGTTTGATAGAGTAGGTTCTGGTGGAAGAGTTCCAAGGCTTATTGGTGAAACGGCAACTGGAGCTTCGAGGTCACTGGTTTCAGCTTGTGACTTGTGCAGATCGATGATTGTTTGGGCGGTTTCACGGATCCTCCGAGGTCCATATCTGCATCTAAAGTTAGCTCAAGTAATGACCAGAAGGGGCAGCTTTGGACGTACGGCTGTAACATCAGAATAGCATTCGGAGGAAGAGAGTAGTTCTGGGAGGATTTCGTGCTGCCCAAGACAATAAAGAATTTGAAATGATGGCCGGAATTCATAGTAGATGGTGATTGGCCATTCAACATAGCCTTGAATTTTGCCTCCTCAACGACTGCGACGTCACCCTCCCCCTTCTCAAGTGAATCAGCCAGTGCGATATGCCATCCCAGTTGCACTCTAAAAACATTGGCGAGAGTATTCTGAACAGAAAGCATTCTTTTCGCATCGGAGCTCAGGATACCAGTGGGCGTCTCCCTCAAGTCAGGACAGCCGTTGAACCCAACGAGGCATGCCTTCAGAGCGTCCTTGTCTCTTTGGATTCGTAGCGAGGAAGCATCGTCCTTAGCGAAGATATGATCCTTGGGACACTGTGCGGGTATGTAAACATCGACCTGGGTACCGACACCGCTTTCGCTCTTCATCTTCAAATGACCACCCAGGAAAGTCACTAGCTTATGCACGACACTGAGTCCAAGCCCAACACCATCTGAGAGGGCGTCTTCCTGGGCGAATGGGGAGAATGCTGAGTTTTTAAGGAAGTCCTGTGTAATTCCTTGGCCGGTGTCTGTGATGCGGAGATGGACCAGGCGAGGCTCTGTTTCAGTTTGAGCTGCGGCCTGTGACAACGATACCTCGACGAGGCCGGCCTGCGTCCATTTCATTGCGTTGCCAAGGAGATTCATGACTATTCTTCTCCAGGCGCCAGCGACTGATCGGATATTCCACGAACTAGACTGCTCGATGTTTACTATCACTGACAATTCATCCCCATTTCGAGTATTATGAGAGATGGGTTGAAAGGATGGAGTAGCAGTAGACGTTTTACTTGTGAGAGAGGAGACAAGCCTGGGTGCCGTTCGGCCGGTATGGAGTATCACAGCGACTTCTTCAACCAAAGAATCGAGATTGAAGTCGGAGACTAGAGTTGTTGAAGAATCTTCAGTGCTGGTCACGCTGAGACTTTGCGTAGTTGTCAAGTTGTTAATTTTACAGTAGTCCAGCCTGAAATATGTCAGTGGATGGTTTTGCTTAACGGAATGTGAATAAAACCAACAGATGATCTATTGTGTCCAGCAATGTCAGTCCTGATGTTGAGATCATGTTAACCATATCACGATGCGCAGTCTGGAGCGGTATATCATGCAGCAACTCTGCGCTCGCGAGGATCCCGTGTAGTGGGGAGCGAAGCTCATGACTGATAGAAGTTACAAAGTCGAATTTCGAGTTCTCACTGGCGGTCCAATGTATCCGGGATACTTCGGAAATCATAGAATCTCCAAAAGCTTTAAAGTAGTGCAGGTCTTCTGCGCCCAGAGGACGATGGCTTCCATTTACCCATACCAGTGTACCTGCAAGCCATCGTGATTTGTTCCAATCCCATAGAGGATAAAAAAGTACGGACTTGGCTTCAGGGAGCTGACGAGCGAGGCGATGAGGGATCTGTCGAATGATTTCAAGATTAGGAGTAGGACTGCCTGGATTGCCATTGGCACAGTCCACAGGGTTAGCCGGATCACTCCTGCTGTCTATGTTGAAGATATGGCCGTCTGGAAAGTGTTTGATCAACAAATGCAGCAACTCTTCGGTCACTTTGACCTGAGATTTCGTGTTAGTGTTACTCTGAGCTGGCCTGCAGCTTATAGCCTGGCCTAAGGAGCCACAATAATTTTCTGCATCTTTGTGCGAATTTGCATTAGAACCCCAGGGGCTAGAGCGTGAACCAGCGGAACCCGTCTCAAAATTTGGTAAAGCGTCCCAATCATCATGCCGCTCAGGAGGCTCGCTAAACTAGAGTTAGAAAATATTAATTACCTATCCAAAGAAAGAATGACTAACAATTGCGGGTCGTTTCGGTGGGCATCAAGAAAGATTACCCCGTCCAGATCCAGAGATTCTTTCAAGAGGAGACTGGCACGGGCAAAGATCGCAGCTATGCGTTCAGTGATGGGTACATTTTCTGGCACTAATGATTCTGTGGTTCCTTCCACGGAAGAGGAAAGTGGTTCCGCTGGGTCAGAAAGCGATGATGGCAGTGTATAATTTGACGTGGGAGAAATCTTTTGCGAAAATATCGACACTTCCTTTTCATTAAGACTTGCGGACGAGACTTCAATATCCTTTTGTGTGGGCAAAGACTCGAGCGTTCCAACCATGTTGCCTGCGCTGGCTAATCGTCTCAAGTCTTCAGAATTGAGCTTTTTCGCAGTTGCTTCCATCTGACCCTGTGTAGAGGAACCATTGGGGTCAAATTTTGAATGACTTTTCACAAAGTTGGTCAACCCTTTAACCAAATTCTCCGAACGACGATGATATTGAACGATCCGCGCGTTTTCAAGGTGATTCGTAATTGAGTCGGCAATCTCCCGAAGCACAGCCACATCTTCGTCTCCGAAATTTGTTCGAGGCTTGTTGTCCACCACACAATATGAACCTAGTACGAACCCAGAAGGGCTGTACAGTGGCACCTCGGCGTAAAATCGAAAGAAAGGCCAGTTAAGCACATACGAGCGATCTTTGTAGAAATCCTCCTTGGTGAAATCGCGAATTATGTTACGTGTCTGGTTGGCCGTGATGTTATCCGTGTCTTGTATTTGGGAAGGATCCTGTCCAGTGAAAAGTCGAATAGCGTGGGGACACACCCCCCATTCCAAGTCAAGTGTATTGACGCCTAGGAAAATGCCATCATCCGGGCGATGAATATCTTTGTTCCGAAGAGAGATCGACGCGGTTGCTTCTGCAATGACATGCTGACTTTCTCCGTCGATGATTGAAACAAAAGACCGATTGCATCCAAAGCGATAGACACCCAGTTGTGTTAGGGCAGTCAAGGTGGTATCGTTTGAAAGACGAGGGAAGGGTTTGTCCTGGACATCATTTTGTTCTGAGCTTGCATAGGGTTGATCAAAGGTACAATAATATCTGTTGAGATCAGGGGATGCGTTAGTGGCGATCGCAACCGCAGCGCGGGGAATCAACAAACTTTGATAAATCGCGGATTCTCTCTTGCTCGACATCATTCGGCTGACCCATATTAGATGGGCCAGCTGATCTATAGCTGGTCAATTTCACATAAGAATGCAGCTAGAGATTTTTGAAATATATGTACATATGTTGTCAAAATAGAGCAAAAAATGGGGTTACGAAAAAAACGGGTTATGAAACCTGTTTTTGGGGAAACTTCTTACGCTACGTCTGTGGTGGGGCTTAGCTAGTACTATATAGTAGGTAGTGCCTAGGTAAGATTTGAACATTTATAGTGAGATATTATTGTGTAGCGATTGGCATGGATTGGTCTAGATTTTGGTTTATGGAGCTCCTGGTTATCCCTTGGTTTTACATAGAACACTCCTAGTACTACTCTGTGGGCAGTATGGTTTATTATCCCATTTTTTTGTACATAACAGCAGATATTCAAATCAAACAAAATATATTGGAATTTTATCCTACGTATATATAGAGCGTCCCTTAGAGGCAGTATATACGGCTAAGTACTGTTGTGCTGTTAATTAGGTTGTGGTTTGAGGTACCATCGAACACCTGAGTCGCGTTCGATAGCAAGGCTTCGCGACTGTCAATGACCAAGTCCAAACAAATCTAAGAGTTCACTCGCTTGAACAGAACATTCCCGGCTAACTTTCGGCTATATTCAGTGGATCTTTCTATAATGACTCGATCTAGATGCTGCCAAGACTAACCCTGGTGATATCTCACCAGAGTAACCGTGATAGGTATAGCTTCCAGATGGAGTGGGGGGAAAGGGAACTGGTTAACCTGCCTAGGCGACCTCACACTTCCTCTCGAGTTCTCTCTCTCTGCCCGACACAATCATGAAATTCTTAGATCTCCCGTTGGAAATAACCTACCTTATCACCAGCTTTTTGGAACTCGACAGCGATATCAGCGCTCTATCACGAACGACGTAGATACACCTGATCTCTTCAATTTGGTCATACTGAATCTACGTCAGAGACTCTAGTAACAGGGATACTGGGTTTCATTGCAATCTATGTACAGTGTGTTTCCTGTGTTCAAAGACAGAAAGAATATGAGATAGCAGGGCTCAAACAACTAACATTTCCTCGCATCTTTCTCCTCAAGATTAAACTCCTCCCATGAAGCTCGGTCAAATCCATTCGGACGACTAGAGCGCACGAACTGATTATCCACTCCACCAATGGCTGCAACTGGCTTCACGACCTCGATATCCGCACCATATGCACGCGATGACCATAGTTCCGTCAATGGCTTACGGCCTTCCGACTCACAACCGGCAGGCTTGTACAGGTGCGGGAACTGCTCCTGCATGCCCTTCAGCACAGTCGATGAGATGCGGTCAACGCTGTCGCAGTGACGCAACTTGAAGAACTCAGGTGGTTGCGCCTTACGAAGCTCCTCCTGTACATCATCTGGATATTGTCCCATTGCAAATAGAAGAAGGTCGTAGTGCATCAGCGAGGCTTTGCCATGGTACGACCCACCGGTCTTCGTGCGGTGGTAGAGACCGGTCAGTGCGGCAATAGCGCCCATGCAGCCTGTGCCGTAGTCGGAGATGGGGAACGGGGGTACAACAGGTTCTGAGAGGCCCATGAACTTTCCTTGAGCCCAGGCGATTCCAGTAACCTGTAGTGGAGGTAGGTCAGCTTTAATCTGAGTGGCGCAAATATTGGATCTGAGAACTTACACAGTCTGCGATCTGCTGCCATCCAGCCCGGCCAGCCCACTCGCCTTCATATCCGAAACAGTTCTCATTCACGTAGACGATGCCTTTGCCGCGCTTCTTTGCCAACGCAGCCATGGCCTCTGCTCCGTATCCAAGCTTATCCAGTGCTCCGGGACGGTAACCATCTACGATAACATCCACATCATCCAGGAGCTTCTCGAACTCCTTTCGTCCAGCTTCGCTCTTCAAATCAAGATCTGCTGCAAGCTTGCCCATGTTGCCATCGACTTGGAAAAACGGAACATCGGAAAGGCTCGGGCTGGTGATCTTCAAGACATCGGCACCATACTCGGCTAGAATGCGGGTAATAGTCGGGCCTGCAATGATACGGCACATTTCCAGCACCTTGATACCCTCGAGGATCCTCTTGCTGCTGTTGCGTCTAGCAGGGAAAGGAGTTGGAGGAAGATCACCAGGCAATTTGCTGACTTTCCATGCAGGCTCTTTGACGTTGATTTTTCCCTGTCAAATGATTAGTTTGCTGGTTGCGGTCAAACACAACACCACGTCAAACTTACATGGGGGGTCTTGATGAAGTCCTCATGCTTGTAAGCAGTCACACCAGCCTGGCGTTTCTCCTTGTTCATCTGTTCAAGCTCTGTAGTTGTGTATTGCTGTACCTTACTTTCAATAACTTTGATGATGTCTTCATAGTCTGTCAGGTCTGGTCGTTGGCCCTCCAGTCCAATCATTTTTAAGGTCGTCGTAGCTTCCAGCGAGCCATGAATATGGAAGTATTCATCTAGGTTCTTAGTCTTGTAAAGATTAGCTGACATACGTCGGTAGCCGTTGGATTGGGCAGCCAACAGATCCGTATCTGTTACAGTCAATATTGTCCTATCCCTCTGCAGATCAGTCTACACAGAAGTACATACCCTTTAGTTTCGATTTCACCGCCCGGTCCAGTTTTGACAGACCATCCACCTTTGCCATGTACGCTTGACAGCCAAAAGCAGTGGCAGCTTCGAGATTGACTTGGATGCCACGAGGTTCCGCACCAGCACCAAAGCGCAGGTCTGCAATAGCAGCAGCCACGGAACCTTCGATACCCTTCAGCGCGGCAAGGGTCTCAGTCTCTTTGAAAGGAATGGGAAAATAGATTTCATTATGACTGGTAGAGAACGAGACGCGGTCTTTGTTTGCGAGGACCTCTGGTGGCAAGTCGAAGCGTTCCGACTGTTCGCAAAGATCGGAGAAGATGCGGCTGGCCTCAAGGACCGGAGAGTAGTACGTGCTGGCTGACATGTTGCCTCTTCCAATGGTTCTCTCTGGGTAGATATCTACACTCGAAAGTCCACTGGTTGGTCGAATAAATGCTGGTGCTTTCTTTGATATTCGATCAACGCGGGGTCGTTGCCACGTGAGAGTCCGCAATTGGAAAGCACGAGATGTGCCGACAGTTTGAGGGGAAACAAAGCAGGAATTAGACCGGATATTATATCCATGACGACCTCAGATCGGGTCCCGATAATTAAGACGTCGGGTGGCCACACCCGCCCCAGTAACCGTCGGCTCACATCTATTATGAATTTACTACTTGGCGAGAATTATAAAAAAGGATATGCTGGTTTGCTAGTATCCCTATCCACTACTTGCAGTTGCAGACTAATACAATAGATCGCGATTATAACACACCTCAAACTGTCAAGATACACTCCCGCATGCAGATCCGAAACATGAGAGTATCCGGCCTCGGGATCGGATGCGATCAGATCGGAACAGTCACGTGTGGAACTATTCAGGCCTTTCAATCTTCGAGAAAATGTCCATATGTGCTTGAGAGATGATTGATGTCAAATTCAAACTATTCTTGTTGGTTATTGATGTTGTTTGACTGCTTCAACAGTGGGATGAGGCGGAAAGGTCGACTTTGCTCGGGTCACATGATATATATAAATATACAAGTCCATTATATCATGTTCCAGATTGATTAGCCATCATAAAAAAAATACTGCATTCGTAATCTTGCTATAAATGCTAAATGCACCTGTATTGCAGCAATTCATAGATCCGAGGCTCAGATACAAGCATATCCCCATATGATCACGTGAGCTATAAAATGTTTACCCCAAATCTCCAATCTCCGAACATTTGCGGCTTTTCCAGTAGGCCATCATGCTACTCCGAACAAAATTGCGGCCCAGGGTATTGCGGCCTACAGCTTATCGCCTAACCCGTTTCAATTCCACAACCCCATTCATTCGCATTCAAGATGGAACTTTTTACAAGAAATACCCAACTGCCGAAGACTCGTCCAATCCACCTCTCTTCCCGAACCTGAACTTCACTCTACCCGCCACATCCACTCCCGAGCAACACCAACACTGGGCTATAATTGGTTCATCAGACCGAACTGACCTCCTCCATATACTCCGCGGCCAACATATCTGTCTCCCGCCCAATGCACGTTCATACCCATACCTCCTCACAGACAAGATCGCGGCAAAGGACCCACGGTTACGCTTAGTGGAAAATGCGATCCAATATGTTGGATTCAGTGGCGAAGGCTCGGGGGCCATCGGGGGAATCCGTGGCGCATATCTCAGTGCTCGCTATGAGAGTCTTCGGGAGGAGACCGACTGGACCGTGCTGCAATACTTGCGTGGCCAGACCTCCTTGAATCCGCTGGACGGCGAAAAGGAAGGCACGCTGCATGATGAGAAATTTCTCATGCAGACTGTTCGCAGTCTTGAGCTAGGAAAACTACTTACCTTGCCAGTCTCGAGTCTGAGCAATGGTCAAACCCGCCGAGCGCGAATTGCAAAGGCAATTCTAAGCAAACCAGAGCTATTGCTTCTTGACGAGCCATTTAGTGAGTGTTTCAATTTCACATTTGATGACTGCGACATTCTAACCTCACTTAGTGGGATTGGACCCGGTGGGAGTGGGGAAAATCTCTCTGCTTCTTGAAAGACTAGCAAATAAACAGGCCCCGCGGCTCATTCTGGCTCTGCGCCCTCAGGACAAGGTGCCGTACTGGATCACCCACATGATGGTGGTGGGCAATTCCCATGAGGTTCTCTTGCAAGGGCCAAAGCCAGTTATCGAAGACACGCTCGACGTCTGGAGACACGTTATAAAAAAGACTGTACCGGGCTCTCTACCCAAACAGGAAGCAGAAATATTGAATAAGTGTAAAGCAGACTTGAAGGCCGGTATCTTGGACGAAGAACTCCTTGGGGATCTGGTCGCCCATACGAAGAATTTAAGGTCCTCAGAAGTCCAGGCACCATTGGGCGGAGAGCCAGTCATTGAAATGAAAGGAGTTCGTGTCCAGTATGGCGACAAGGTGGTCCTCGGTGATTGGTCGCAGTATGTGAATGGCACATCAAACCGTGGGCTGCACTGGCGAGTTCGTCGGGGGCAACGCTGGGCGATTCTCGGGCCCAATGGTTCAGGCAAAACAACCTTGCTATCAATGATCACATCCGATCATCCGCAGGCGTATGCGCAGCCCATTGAGCTTTTCGGAAAATCCAGGCTTCCGGAGCCTGGCAAACCAGGAATTTCAATCTTTGAATTACAGTCTCGCATTGGACACTCATCACCCGAGATCCATGCATTCTTCCCGCGTCAATTATCAATCCGTGAAGCGCTTGAGACCGCCTTCGCCGAGACCTTCCTGGCAAAGCCGAAGCTGAACATTGAACGAGATCTCGACATATCTGTAATCCTGAGATTTTTTAAACCTCTACTGGATCCAAATTACCACACGAGCGAAATACCAGAAATATCGACTGCCCATCTCCCGACCTTCAAGAAGATGTCTCACCACAGGGCATACTTCCCATTGGATCATATTGTTGAGTACGCGGATGAGATTCTCTTTGGCCAGCTCACCCCCGCAAAACAACGCATTGTGCTTTTCCTCCGAGCCCTCGTCACCAGGCCGGACATTGTTATCCTCGATGAAGCTTTCTCGGGTATGTCCGCAGCACAGCGTAACCTGTGCTTGCAATTCTTGGAAACTGGCGAGAAAACTAGACGCATCCGTTCCCGAATTGAGCCTGAAATACGGTACACTGGTCTCACGCCGGACCAAGCCTTGATCATGGTTAGCCATGTACCTGAGGAGATTCCTGACAGCGTCCGCTATTATATGCGACTGCCGTCTCCTCGAGGCACTGGGGATCCTCTTGATTTCCGCTTTGGAATTCTGCAGTCTAAAACTACTCTGAGGCATCCTTCGACTTGGGAGGCAGCCTGGTCTCCTAAGGAGAAGTTTCTTAAGCACGCCCGCAGGACTTGGCGCCGCCAACAACATACTTTACCGGTACAGGATATGAGTGAATTCGAATGGTGGTCGATATAAAATTATAGACATTTATATTTGATCTGGCATCCTTGGTCTTAATATTATAGATATTCCTGTACATTTAATTCAAATCCCAATTCACCTTTGACAAATCAAGCCTCTCTCTTTTCATGCCTCTCGGTCAATCTCAACAATAAAAGAATCAATGTACCCACTCGTGCATAAAATCCGTCTCCGTACCTTGAAAAGATTCACCGTCATCTAGTATTCTCTAGATAACTTCCCTAACAGAACTTGCCTCAGCATTAGGCAGTTCTTCGCGAGAACTCTCATCACTCCGAGGCTCATCTTCTCTCCCGTCTTGCCATGATGAGCAATGGCGACAGCGAAGCGCCTTTGAACAATTAGCCAAGGCAAAGCACATATTCGATCAAACTCCTTACCGATTTACCAATATACTGCTTACAGTATGGACACCGAACAGTAGGCTTAATGACCTTGTCATGAAAGATAAGCATGTACAAATGTCCGACTGCGTACAAAGTAAGGCTGACACCCAGGAAGTTGAGGACTGTCTCGATAAACAATCTGCATAAATATTTGTTAACCTGATTGGCAGGACAAATTCGATGAGTAGCTCAGGAAGATCCACATACCCATAAGCCAGAACGAGTGCACCATCTTCTCTCGCTTGATAGAGGGTATTATACCCATACTGCTGGTCGTAATTCGGACCTTTGGAGAGAACAGCGAATTTCTCATCCATGTTTCGGTTCAGAAATGGCAGTAGAGAGACAATCGGTAGAACAAGGTCTGATACGAAAGATGTGACGACTTTAGTGAACGCATTAGCTATACTTTAGAAGATAGATGTTAGCAGTGTGGTTCTCGGACACGTTGGTTGTTGGGTTATGCAAGAAGGGGAACCAACATCAAACCCAACGCAACCTCAAGAACATTATCCCGCGCCGCAAAATTTATGAAGCCACCCCAAGCATGTCGCACTTGCTCCTGGGCTTTCTGGCCAGTACGTAAAAAGACCTCTGTGCTTTCGTCGAGACCGCGCATAATGGGTTCACGGTGCAGCTTGGGAAGCTCGTAAAGCAAGAGAGCATATTCAGGCAAAAGCCAAAAAAAAAAAAAAGGAGGAAACGCCTCTCAAAGAATGCCTTTATCGGAGCTTTAGCGTCTATGCGCTCGGGTCATGTGGGTTAGGGCGCGGGGATTCAATTTAGGTATCTTGGCGGCGCCTTACTACATGTAGTACTTGATGCATCATAGTGCCCTGTTAAGGAGCTCAGGAGCAGTTGTAATAAACATACCCTGCCTGGGAAGGCATTGCTTGGCCCTCAAAATGGCTGGGTGTATGCTTGGGGAACATCTAAGTACCCGGTACCTAATGATAGTAAGTTATTGCCGCCTTGCAATAAGTATTTCGTACCTCGTCCAAAATTAGTATAGATCCCCCATTCAGGGCTGGTAATCGACAAAAATAAGTATACCAAGAGCGTTCGTTACCATAGGACCATATTCACTAAATATCCGTTCTTTTTTCAGATATAGAAAACTTAGCATAATTGTTTCCATAAAAAGAGATCAGAATCCGGTATACTAAAACAAGGACTAATTTCGTAAGCGATGTTTTCCATCCTCAGGACATGTCGAGGAAATTCGACTTGATAGCAGTCATAAAGCTAAGCACTCGTTCACGATTCGCCAACCCGCTGAAGGAATACCACTCCTGATCAGAAACAAGAGCCATCAAATCAAGCCGTAGGCCCTGCCAATCGATTGAATCGCTGGCCTCCCTGAGTGATTTCAGTTCAACGAATATCGCCTCTTCTAGCCGCCTCTTCCAAAACCAATCTGGCAATATCCATTGCCATGCAGACAGCATATTTCGCGTATTCATCACATCGGCCGGTGTATAGTCAATGGGGCAAGTCCACTCGGCGATCATAATCGCAACTTCCAATGGCACGTTACTACCACGACGTTGGCTTTGTTTTTTCTTAGTCTTCCTTGCGTTGTCGATTGCTTTTTGAACCTCGGGGACTATGAAAGGATTCATAAATATGTCGCAGCCGTACTCGAACCCTGGATGAGCACTTTTCGAGCCACTATACTTCCATGAGCCGAGCAAACAATCGTAAATTCCCCACAATTCATGGTCACGCCAGTATTTTCGGGCAGCACGAATGAATTTCTCCATTTTCCTTTCGACCAATGTCGTTGATATAATTCGGTCGAGAAGAGCCCAGCAGTGGGCATGAACAACGAATCCGATATTTTCGCCTTTGAACCGACTCAGTTGTTTTTTGATGGACGCTGCATAGAATTGCGTGAAGGTATCGTCATCGTATTTGATATTACGCCTTTTCCCGCCGATTCGTGCCATGCTGGGGTTTTTTGGAATAATGTAAGGATCAGTGGGGCTAGTTTCAATTGCAGTAATGCCACTCAGAGAGTATTTGGTACCAGGCCCTTTGAGTACTGTGTCGGTTAGGATAAACTGGATCTAGGATGTTTTTATAAAACTCACTGGCTCGACACATGCATGACCACATGTCAGGGAACTTTGCGAGATATGCCTCTTCTACCTCCTTTGATGGGACCATCACATGTTCAAGTTTGGCTTTCCTGTAGTGTTTCCATTTATTTTCTTTGAACAAGATGTCAGAACGGGTTGGATCCACATTTCGGGGGCAGAGATTCGAAATCTCCACTCCGCATAGAAGGCAATTTGGGTATGGATTGACGCCCGAAACAGAGACCATGTGTGTGCGGGCCATGACTGTACTGTTGAGTTGATGTATGATCATGAAGCCGAGTATAATACACGAAGAGCCGAAAGGGAAAGCTCTATAAAGTGATGCAAGAATGAAGGCTTGACTTGCACAACAATTTTCATTTTCATTAGTGTGGTATGCTTTTCGGAACCGGGGTTAGGTGAACATTCAACAAGGAACCCTAGAGGATTTGCAGCTGATGCCTTACGTTGATGGGATCTATCCTCTTCGATATAGAGCTTGGTGCACAGGCTTGCCAAATACTTACATAGTCTCTCGACTACCACTCTGTTCATTTTCATTACAAAATAATAATTAATAATACAGCCTCACTTTCGACAGAAATACAGTTCTACTGCGGGTACTATTGCAATCATTATGCCAATAGTCATGGGCTGTTTTTTTCAAAATATTCCACCACATAAAGCCTCCTAGTTACCCTCTTTCTTTCTTACCTCATACACAGTTCTACCTATACTGTCCACAACACCACCCTATTACCCTTTACGTCCCATCATCTCATATACTTTCTTGGGAGCTCAAATGAATGATTCTTAATGTCAATGGAACCGGGATTTTTGTTAGGATTTGTATGTAAATTTGTAGTATGGATCCAGCCACGATGACATCTTCAGAGCTCAATGGTTATCCCTGATATAATCAAGGATTTTTGTAATCTTGGGTTGATCTGTTTTGTTAAGAATATCAAGAAATGCACCCTTTTTTACACCATGCGGAGCCCAATCCACAACATCTCTTTGCGCATCGGAGTACTTATAGACACGCATATATTTCCCTACGGTAACAATACCGTAAACTAGCTTGCGGGATTTCACAGGATGAGTCTTATGTGTTGCACTCAGATATTGGCGCAATTGCTCGGCCCCTTCTGTCCAGACAGACTTCCGGCCTTCTAAACCCTTCCTCTTACACTGGGTGATGAGGAACTTATCGGCCTTGTTTTCGCCATCTGGATAGTGAAAGGTATGAAGGTCAGAATACCCCTTTTGGCCAGATTGCGAGGTGTGCTGGTCCTGTGGCCTTGTAATATAGCCATCAACAACCGGAAATTGCCAAGATAGTATGGCATTCCATACCCCGTACGAAACGCACTCAGGACCAGCCCGACGAATGCGCTTTGCCTCCATCTCGATGGCATGGATCTTAAAAAGCTACTAAGTGTTAACAACTCGTATAAAGTAAGAAGATTCATCTCAATTTGGCTTACCTGCGACATAATGGGGGCAGTGCTTGAAGGGGAAAAGGAAAGGAAAAGCTTCATATTAATTGATCTAGTGGCTCTTTAAGTATTCTAGTTGCCGTTAAGCTTACTAGGCTGCTACTAAAATCAATTGATTATATCTAAATCAATGAATAGCCTACCTATTAGGCTGCCTCCTGGGTCAATTGAATATATCTCAATCCGTCAATAACCCGCTGATCATGCACCCGCTACTGCTTTCTATACATTTTTATTTCTGCTTCTGATATGATACTCCTATTGTCTAGAGCCCTGAATATTATTTTAAGCACTGCTTAGCAGCTCTCCTCATCCTAGAAGACAGATGCCCCCTCCCCCACGCCAAATAACTGAAAATTCACTGTTAAAAGTTAAGCTACATATATGCAGAGAATGGAGTTGATATTTAAGAGAAAAACTCTACTAATATAGTATGTTGCATAGAAGCAAACGCAGGTTTATTTGCTGAGTAGCAATTTTAGTCACACTACCTGATTATTGATGACTACATGGTGATAATGTCACATATAAAAGGTTCAAACACCATCTACACATAAAATTTGCACTGGAGTTGCAGAGACGTCGACTCAAGGAATCCAGCAACCCAAAGGTTCTCTATCTCCTGGCGGTCAACCTTCAACGCCATTCCCTCTATACTAGCCTCTATTTCATCGCACTCATCTTCAAACTCGGTCTGATCTACCAGAGGCCGGATGAACCAATAACTGCGTTCCTGAAGAATAAGAGAACATTTCGGGGTTTCCGCAACCATATTAAGTCCGGTATTCTTCACTCGTGCTATTTGATGCCATAAGTTTATAAGCCCTTTATGAATATTGTCGCGATGCTTATCTTCATAACTCCCCGGGTATTTCCTGGCATAATCAGCTAGAGTTTCTGCCTCTTTCACGAAAGCACGACACTCGTTTTGAAAGCTTATCTGCCACGGTGAGCGTGGGTTAGGCATCCTTTTGTCGGGGGAGTAACTTGAGTGTTAATCTGGGTTGTGAAACTGGGACTTACCTAGGTCTTGTTGTTAACGATTTGGAATCAACTGGTCTGAAAGAGAGAGACACTGCGGACCTTGTTCTTGGAGGTTTGAATGTGGGTTGCTTGTTTGAATTACTCAGGAAAGTGCCGGAATAAGAGCTATTTATGAATTCTGGTTAATTTTCATCTAGGTTATGTGTTGAAACCCTCTGAGTAGAGAAAGAAACGTAGGAAAGGCTATAAAAGCCTTTGTTGTCATCCACTTCTCTCCAGGCTAGCCATTCAATTCTTTCATGTCTCTGGTACTCCCAGTTGCACTAAGTCAATGGCTTGAATTCTTTGTGCTCTTTTTCTTCTGATGAACATGATGCTTACAAAGCGACCATAGCTTCCTTGTTATAGGTAAAAAATAACAAAGAAAAAAAAAATTTACGATATATAATTTTCCCTTGAGTTACACGGTGGACTGGTTATGAGTTGGCGATTGATTCAATTCACCCCTAGGACTAGGAGAATTACCCCCTCCTCCGGTGGATCTGTGGTTCTGTTGCAGCCAGCCATTCTTCTCTTTAACGTGTGAATCACTGGGACTGCTCGCATTGGTAGCATGTGGGCTAGGAAGTCTAGGCCAGACCTTGGTGTGCATAACCTTGAACAAAGGCCGCATGTTTGACAGACAAGCCGCGACGATTCCAACAGCGGGCTCGATGCATGTCCACACGCTTGCTGGGACTTGGTTATCTGTTGAGGTGTTAGCAACTCCTCATAGGCGTGATTCGGAGAGGAGATTATGCGCACAGGTGATGTCTTCGCCCTGAGTTGAAAGCTTGATCAAGACGACTAAACGAATGATATCGAATATTAGAGTCCTGTATCATGTCAGAAAAGTACTCAGTGTAGAGACAGTGGGTAAAGCATACAAGAATCCCAGGATAAAAATCCCAGAAAGACCCAGCTTCTGAATCTTGGAGATGGGAAGGTTCCACACGATATGCATGGGCATCAAGAGGATTATTGCGTCCGTTGCGATGTTGGGAATCTGAAGACCGTAGTAAAACTTGGACAGATTCATGCAACCACCTTCTATCATGGGGTGCCACAGCTTCTCGGTTGGGATACAAACGAAGCAGCCTGCGAGAATACCGCAGGCAGCCCACATGATCACGATCAGAGATACAATATTTACGGCGTATTTCATGGTCTTGACAGGGAAGAGTCTGCGATAGAGCATCAGGATAGATAGTTTGATGCTTGCAATACAGCCGGTGTAGAGGATCGAGCCTGTAAACAGTGTCTGCGGATCTATCAGTACATAGTCTACAAATTCGATGCACTGCTATGCACCGCAATTTGAATGCAGTATCTTACCTTCAGGTAGATAGCGACCTGTTCGGGGGACAGCTCAACAATATGGGTTCCTAGTCCATTGTAGAGTACTGCCGTGTGTTAGTTCGAGGCTAGTTTAGATGTGAATAATCACGACATACACACAACTCCTGCGATCGATATACCGTATTCGAAGATCTGTTTGTAAAGGTTAGCCTTGAAGTATAAGCGTTCGAGGCGTGTTTCTCACCAACCCAATTATAATGAGCCAGTCATCCAGAAAAAGACCGCTTCCATTAATTATTCGAGAAATAATCCGGAATCCGACTGCGGTAGTAGACAACACGAAGGCAAAGCAAGTCGAAGTGATAACCACATGGCGTAAGTTATCATGGTCATAGCCATAAGCCATTTGAGCCACTGAATCCGCCATACGGCAATCAGCAAAGTATAGAGAATGCCTTCTCAAATAAGTGGAGACACCAATATCAAGGCGCCAGGTTGAATATATACACGAGCAGGTATGCAGAACCCAAAAAACGCCCAAAGAGGGCAATGAACAGGTCTCACATTACTTAATTCTAATAATTTGAATGAATAAGGTTGCCTTACAGAATGACTGCTGTCCCGCAGCAGTGGCTATTGGGTTGATATATATCTTGCCCTTACATATTAGCGGGTGTTTAACATCAGCGATCTCCAACTAGTCGAAAACAAGGGCTTTAGCCCTGTCAATATTTCCCGGGGGAGATATTTCCACGCCAGCGCCAGCCTCTAGGAATAGTCCCGCCTTGCCCACTACCAGTCGATGCATCAGTTATGTATCTGGACTTGCGACATGCATATATCTATGCTCCATATGCCTCTTCCATGCACGCCTTACATATTCCCGTAACTAGTTTGACAGTCAGGGTTATTGAATTAGTAATTATGTACTCCGTAGTACAAAGGACTCCGTAGACAGATGTCTTCAGGGAGGATTGGTGAGCTACCTGGTGGATCTCGTGGCGCATATACTCATCTCCCCGGTGAGACCACGAGATCGGGGCTAGTTAGAGTCCACTCGCTAGTTTAGTTTACACGATTGTTTTGTTCTTGTTGAGATGATAGATACATCCTACATGTATTACCCCGTCCTTTGCGGAGCATCCGTTACATTCCATGCCTACAAAGACCCGCTAGCTCTTAGGCGGGACCCTCGATGCTTTGATGGAAAGCTTTAATAATATCTAATGATGTGATACTTGTCAAAGGATATAAGTAGTAGCCCTCGAAAGGGTTAGCTTATTGGCTATAAAACTGGAGCTTGGACCTAGCGATGAGATTACATGTTGCGGTAAAATAGTTGCTTAGCGATGAATAGATTGTTGATTCCACTGGAATGAACCAATTCTCCCTCCTACTTTTGTCTGTGCGCTTCAGCTAAGCTAATTAGCCTAACTTCCTCCCTCGCTATGTCTATTGTTGAAGTTCAGCGTAGGTGTCAATATGATAAATCATATTTCACCAGCTGCATGCAATTATCTGCAAATCTAATCACCTGAGCAGAGTAGTGAATTTACGTGTAGCCAGCCTTGGCCTTAAAATTTAACGCATCTCTCTCACATCTATTGGTGCACAGAGCCGACCAGCTACGGAGTACTCATACTCCCTACAAAACTGGTCTAAATCCAACATTTTGACATATAACAATCAAATAACAAACGCTACTACGTCACAATGCATAAACTATATACATTCGCGGAGTACACAAGACTCCGTGCCATTGAACTCTACTCTCTCGCGAGACCTAGCGCATTATCGCGGTGGCGGGCCATACGACATCGGCCCGGGGGTAGTATACGGCAAGAGCATAGCAGCCCCGCGTTCCCTAGCCGCACGAGTGCGGTACTCCTCGCGCTTCTGGATCTCTTTCTCGTCCTGAATCAATGTGCAGCATGTGCAGCAGGTAGCTCGCACACAGTCCGACCCGATACTACCCTGGATGCCATATGCCTTTCTCGTTCTAGTGTGCTGGACGGTAGCCAGTAACCCTGTTATCTTGTGAGAATTGTGCTCTTTTTTTGCCCTCAGTTCCTCGGTCGCGTTGCAGATCTCGCTCAATCCCAGAACCGGACTGAAGTTGAAATTGGAGTTAGACTTACATTGACATCCGCATAGCAGTCCCATCCCCGTGCACGAGGCATTGCATGTCTCATAACCGAGCATGTTGGTCGGATCCTCCTTTCTTGATTTCATCGAGAGTCGATGTTGTGTTCTCCCATACAGAATGCACGGACAGAGTATTCCCAGGCAACAAATCCCGAAACTAGAAAATTCACACAGTCCATTGCTCCATCCTCCTCCCTCCTGGCTTGGGTGGATGGCTTGGCCGGGCTGGTGGTATGCGCTCAAGTCATCTGGTTGGGGGGCGTGCGATGTCGCCACTCTAGTGGGTGGAGGGAAATATGGGGACTTGGGCGACTGGAGGGGATTTTCGTCCGGAACAATGGCCACCGTGTCGCTTTGTGGTGGACATTCATGGTTTACCTTCAGGGGAAGTGGACCTGGCGAGACCGGGGGTGAGCCGGGAGTCTCGGGGTACGAGGCATATTGCTTAGTTGATGTTTCCATGTCACGTTGCTGTTCCTGGATGTGCGTGTATGGCTGCGTCGCATACGGATGGCTTGCATATGGATGACTCGCATATGAGTGGGGAGACAGCGGGGTGCTGTGCTGGTATTGTTCGGGCACATTCGCATATTGAGTTGTTATGTTCATCCCAATCTGTTGGTGCCAGTGGTGTTGCTGTTGCTCTGGTATATTTATTTGTGATTGGTTCGAATAAGCCTGAGGAGACATCGAGCGGGTTTGCTGTTCGGGTATGTTTGTATATGACTGGGTATAGGATTGGGTATAAAGTTGAGCGGCATGCTGCTGGTGCTCGGGCGCAATTTCGTACGTCTGAGGAGACATTGCAGTGGTGTGGTGTTGCTCCTGCTGGTTTCGAGCCAAAGGTGCATAATTGGCTGGGTGTTGCTCGAGCGGTGGACAATTGGTATAGTCTGGCATTATTCCCTGATGCTGAAATTGCTGCTCTTTCTCGCTCGGTGCATATGACCATGCTCGCTGTCGCTTTTTGGGTAGTTCTTCCACTGCGGGATGCTGAGGTGCACTCAAGTCTGGAGGAGGTGCTGATAGATCCTGACGGTGGGGTGATGGGTGCATTTCGAGAGGTGTCTCCATGAATGAATATCTCTGGTGGTTTCCTCCGACTGTAGTATCCACGTTCAAGCGACTCATATTGAAGTCAAGATAGTAGGTTTGCTGGTGAATCTGCTATGAAATAAATGGATAGAACGCTGATTGGGAGCTCCTCAATAAAATAGTAGATTGACAAGGTAGATGACTGAAGTAAGATACTCGTACGACATGAGACTTAACGGCTTTCCCACGGTGGTTGACATAGGAGAAAGCAGAAGCGCTTGCTAAACGACCAGGGAAAATGGGGTGTATGAGGTCTCTTAGTGCCCTACTGCAGAGCAGTCTCAGATGTGAGTGAAGGCGCATGGTGGAAGGAAACCGGCATTACTAGGGAGTCGTAGACCATAGGAGGCTTGTCGGCGGGGCGTACAAATGTCAGAGATCTGCGGGGATCTCCTCTTCTCGCTGTTTTTACAGGGAAGATGGTTCGTTGAGATGAAACCTGGTCACCATGGCTTAGCCCCTAATGCAGTTTGAGCATCTACTTCACCTCGCTGAGCATTCTGGTTGGGTTACGACCCGCTCGGCTCCCAATCACTTTTCATCCCATCACAATCACATTTTAGCCGCTGTTGGATTTTTTGTCCTTTTAGATAATCACTAAATATGTTTGTTAGTTTTGTCCAAGCTTTGGAATATATAAGCTTGATGTACCCCTCTGAATAATTTAGATGAAATCTACCCATGGATGATACATATACCTACTACATACATAATGTTGAAATTATATATTTTGTACTTCCAATGGGTAAAGAGTTGAAACTAAAACAGGCAGCAACTTTATAGGATTTTAATTCACAGGATATACCGCTTGGTCTTGGCCAAATCTTTGTAAATCACGTTTTTTCTCCTCGAGATAAGGTCACTTTGGTGGCTTTTCAAAGTGGGGGCAATTAATCTGAGATCACTCTTAGTGGTTTTAGTTCCCATATGGGGACAATATTGTTAATAAGGCTTGGGTTAGCCCGAGAGAGCTCAACCTCGGACTAGGGGAAGTTTCAAGGATATTCAAATGTGAAGATGTTGCCTAGGTAATACGTTCGAGGCTCATTGAAAGTCTTGGGAGAATCAAGGACACCTATTAGCGATCGTCATGGCTGCACAACCATGCATTGAGACAGGTGATTGGTAGATCATGCGAGATAGGAATTGAAATATATTGAATGTACGGAGTACATAAGGTATATATTGAAAAACATCAGGCTCCAAGAATTGGTTCCTGAAAATTCTCAGGGATGTTGCAAGCCTGGGCTATTTAGGCTTAGGTGGAATTATATCCCTCTATAGTACGGAGTATTATATCACTTCATTCCAAGATCCCAATATTTTAATATATACCAATATTCAATACTCTAGGAACCCTAGTCATAACCAAAATGTATTGAGAAAGAGCAACTCTGTAAGACGTTGCACAATAGACTGAGTACTCCTGTTGTACTTATAGACGATGTCCATTCTCGTCAGTTGTCAATAGAAAACCTGCAAAGAGGCAAACTCCCCGATTTTTTTTTTTTTTCAATTTTTTTCAATTTTTCTAAGAACAAAAATTTATATAACTTCATATAACTTCATATTTCTTCTGTATTCTTTTCCTCTTCTATCTCTTCCTGAGTGGTTTGAAGTCTCTAATATCTCTATCATTTTCCCCTAATCTTCTTAAATCGGATCCACTCGAGGGCGGTGACGATCAAAGGCCCTCTTCTTGGAAACTTCCCCCAGAGTTCTTCAACAATTCCACTTTCTCTTCCTCTTTTTACTCTTTGATCCCCGGCATTCCGACTTGCGGCTTTTTCTTAGCCTGTAAGATCTCTCTATGCCCAAACGTGCCCCCTCCATAACTCTCCTTTTTCCCCCCCCTTGAATACATAGAAATTCCTCTGACGCCTATCGTTCTTTCAGGTTCTAGTCCAATTATCTTAGTCTTAACAATCCCTGTTTTTTTTTTTTTTTTTTTACGCCTAACCACTCCGGTTTCCGCTTCTATACCATCCCGTTCTGTGCTTGACCAATGTCATCCTCATGTCAAACTCGCCGTCCGTTTCCGAAGATACCCTCTCTACTCCCCTGGTGACACCTGCTACACCTGCCCAACATGATTGCTCCAAGGATACGATACATGAAGGTACCCCACACTCGCGGCAGGGCCGTCTCTCTCAGGGGTCTAGAGAGGTTTTATCACCGTCGCGCGCTGAATCTCCCACCGCCCATTCTTGGTCCCAACCCGTCTCCCGATTATTACCTCTAAAAAGAACCGCGACCACACCCCCAGAAAATACTGCGCATCCAGATATTGTCTACAGGCCCCAGCTGTCAGAACGTGACAGCATTTTTGCTACTCATTATCTCCCATCAGATAGCGTCGCAACTACTCCACAATTACCCCCCGAAAAGGCCTTGGGCAATGAGCGCCAGGTCAACTTGATCCCTAGCCTCGATGATGCATCCGTGTCTCCAAGTGCATTCTCCAAGGTCTCTCCCCACCGTTTTAACGTCGACCCTTCCCACATGGAAGTTGACGTCCACAGAAACTATCCTTTGCGTTCCTCTCTATTTTCATCCTCCGATGTTCCTCGTTTGAATCTCCTGCGCGCATCGACCTCGCCGACTGATCGCTCAAAGAAAACCGAGGTTGAGACGGGCGTGCAGGCTCATTTGGGATCGCAGCGGTACAAGGTGCCATTGGATAAAACAGGTACGAAAACCAGTCGGTTTCAAGGCACTTTACCTGAACGGAATATTTTCCCGTCCACACTAGATGATGTCTCTCATGTCTCCCCTTTGACCGTATCCTCTGGCGAGGACTCTCAGGTCAGTCGGGATCTCCTATCCTTCAGTCCTCGAGAAGAACCCCATCAAGCCCCGGTGGCGGTTGAGCGGAGTCCCAGCAGAGGCCGTCGTGGCCGAGTTGACAGCGCCATTGAAGCCAATTTGGCCAATGCGGATCCGGGCTCTCATGTGCGCAGCCGTAAATCCAGCCACTACCTGGGCCTTTTCAAAGAGAACACAGCCACAACATCACCGGATCGTAAACCACGAGAGGATCGCGGCCGACCACAAGATGAGACGTTGGAGTCGATAGATCGCGTCATGGATTATGAACAAGAACCACATCGTTCAGAGCATGAAACTTCGCTTCGTAAAAGCAGCTCACTCTCCGCGCTTGGCGACCCTCCGTCTTTCCAACCTTCTCTAGATGAGCGTTCTCAGATCACACAAGACGATGAGCCCTCTAAGCGTCGCCCTACAGCGTTGCCTCGCAGCTTGCTGGAGGAGATCCGAAATTTCCATCTCACACCTGGTGGTGGCCATGGATCTTCGTTCTCAAAAAGCATTCCAACTCAATACTCAGAGCGCACCCGTGACTACTTCCAGGAGGATCCTAATCTCGAGATATCCCCGTTGAACTCTTTTGAGGAAGAGGAGCGTGGATCGGGGCGAATTGCAGTTGAGGAGGAGGAAAACGAGCAGATTTCTTCTGCCGTTTACTTCCCCCACGAGCGTACAGTGCCTGATGGCGTTGATAACCTACAAGAATTCTCCGATAGCCCTGATGTACAGCCGGGTCAGCTATCGACTGTGGAGAAAGGTCATGAGCTGATGTTAGTACCCAAAGAACGTAGCGATTCTCCCGAAGAGGAAATTAGCCATGTGGATATATCCTTGCGATCTAAGAATGATAGAAGCATCCTTCATGGCGATATCCATTCTCCACAAAAGACTTTGCCAGAAAAGCAAATTCCTTTGAGTACCATCTCTGAATGCAGCTGGGATTCAACATACGATTCCGAAGCCGAACAGCCGTCAGCAGACGAAAGTGTTCAATCTGCTAATGAGGAGTCCAATCTGACCGACGAGGCGGAAACCCCGACTGCGACACCTACTCAGCGTTCCCGGCTTCTCTCCCGCCCTAAACCCCCGCCCCCAAAGCCTCTTGGTGCTGTGGAATTGAAGCCCTATCGACATCAGGTTGGCGGGCACACCACTGTCTTCCGCTTTTCCAGACGTGCTGTATGCAAGCAGCTGAACAACCGAGAGAATGAGTTCTACGAACGCATTGAACGGAGGCACCCAGAGATGCTGGTATTTCTTCCAAAGTATGTAAATTCAATGCCATGCAAAGCAAACGATTATCAGCGTATCAAATACTAATATTCCGGTCAGATACATCGGAGTGCTGAATGTGACCTTCTCGAAGACATCTAAACGAAAGGATCAGGTTGATTCTGCCGATGGAACATCTCAAGAGGTGACACCTGCCAATGGAACTTCAGCGCTCACCTCACAGCTTCTCGAGGCAGCAGAGCGAAAAGAGCCGCAGCAGCGAATAGTTAGCCAGTCCCAAGTCACAGGGGTTATCCCCAAGGTTATTCTTGAGAACAATCGCCACATCATTCCTGCCGATCTTTTTACCCGCCAGCAGCGACCACGGACAGCAGATGCTTCAATAAACCGCGCACGATCCGTTGACGGCCTCGAGGGCATGTCAGTGGAGTCTGATCCGTCGGCTCTGAGCAAGCGGGCCAAAATCTGGGGCGCCACAACTGTCAATCTCAAGCTTCAGGAGCAGGTTCTCCGCGAGGTATTCAGCCCTCCTGCCATTCATCATCATCGACGGCATGCTCGCGGTCATGTCCATCTGCCAAGAGCTAATTCCGACATGCCCACCACCACACGCCGCCGAGAGAACCTATCAGAAGACCAATCGGCCGGCAACCGGCTACCGGTCCCTGGACCAATCACAGCTCTGAAGACCGAAGCGATTGACATTAAGGCGCCCCCTGGTGAGCCTGCTCTTTCGTCGTCGGCCTCAACTGCCCTAGAGGCCAATCAAAATCGCCTAGAGAAGATCCGGACCGAAGAGGAGCCTACCCGAGCAAGCTCGCTCTCTCGGGCTTCTCACACAAGACGGCGGCATTCCGGGAGTGGTCTCCAGAGACGTGGCAGCATGGACTCTCGCAACAATGGAGAGCTCCTGTTCTTTGATGACGAGGATTATGTCGCTGACAAGGAGGATGATATTTTCACCATGGAAGCTGATAATTCGATGTCGAATTCTTCTTCCACCGCGAAACGGTCAGCTTCGCCAGTGTCAGAAAATAACTCGACAAATGGTTGCCATGTAACCGATGTTTTTGCTTCTAGTAGAACTTCTGATTCAGCCCGCTTCAAACCACAAGAGCCTGTCAACCCAACCTTACCCAGCAACCCTAAAGAGGCACAGCTGAGGAAGGACGAACGAGTGCAGTTCTTCCTCCTTCTTGAGGATCTGACGGCGGGTATGAATAAACCATGCGTGCTGGATTTGAAGATGGGCACTCGACAGTATGGTATTGAGGCGAATGAGAAGAAGAAGAAGTCTCAGCGACGGAAATGCCAGTCCACTACTTCGCAGCAGTTGGGTGTACGGCTCTGTGGCATGCAGTCTTGGAACGTCAAGAAACAGGAGTACATCTTCGAGGACAAGTATTTCGGACGAGATTTGAAATCTGGTCGTGAGTTCCAGGATGCGCTCACTCGGTTCCTCTATGACGGTGTCAGCTATACCAGTGTTGCCAAAAAGATCCCTGTCATTCTGGAGAAATTAGCTTTGTTAGAGCACATGATTCGACAGCTGACCAGCTATCGGCTGTACGCTAGCAGTCTCTTGATTCTTTATGACGGAGAACCATCTCCATCTCCATCTCCATCTCCATCTCAGCAAGAGCAGCCTCGTTCTGGCGAACGCCCGCCACTCAAACGTGGAACCTCCAATGATGGCCAGGATAGACTGAACGTTCAACTGAAAATTGTCGATTTCGCTAATTGTGTCACTGGCGAGGACGAACTTCCTCCAGATACACCATGTCCACCTCACACCCCGCACGACATCGATCGTGGATATTTGCGTGGCCTTCGCACACTGCGGATGTATTTCCAGCGAATCCTGAAGGAGGTCAGTCTGGATGAATTTGTAGAACGAGGTGAAGGGGAAGCGATCGCGCTGGGTTCTCAACCTGCGGCTCGTGAGAGACCTTCTGCTCAGTATTGGGATGAGACCATGATGGAAAGTGACGCGGGGGAAGTCAGTTTCTAGTGCGATTTTTTCTATTTTTGCTTTTTTTTGTCTTTTTTATCATCATCTCTCGGCCCACCGCCGATGCGTGGCGTTCGGATAGACCCCTCCGCATTGGAACGCCAGCATTCATATGCACCAGTGCCTGATCTCACCTGATCGACACTACGAAATAACGACCCGGGCCCTTCAATGAGTGCTTCTATGATCCCCGTCAACGCTTGGATGCATTTAGAGAGTCGGTTTTTTTTTTTTGTTTTTCACTTCTTTTTCACAGAAGCCTTTTGTCCTTTTTTTTTTCTCGGGCGTGTCTCAGTTTCTTTTCTCAGTCTTGTTTTATTGATATTGATAATACCCCCAATGTCTCCAAATCATTTTCTTTTCGGTCTGCATGGTCTTACTTGTACATGAGTATCCCTTTTTTTTTATATCTCTAGACGGTGAATCTCCCTTTATCTCGACTATTTCACAATATATTCCTCCTTTTAAAAAAATGAAGTGATCGCGTCCCCATTTTTATAGATTGTCAAAGGCGGACCTATGAATTATTGTATCGGGTTATTTTTTTGCCTCGTGGTGGTTAGCGCCCCAATACGCTATCACACAACCTACCTTCAATGCCGCTGATATACAAGACCTGTCTTCGCGGTATACAGTTTTCAGGTGTAAGGAACACCCAGGGATTAGGGAAACAGGAGGGAACCAATTTCTAACATATTACCTTCCCAAAGCTAGGGGTCATTGTTTAGCCTTACGCTGCATAACTAGTTAACTAACTAAGCGAAGGAGACCTGGCAGCAACTTGACTATAGTTTCTGGGTATAGAATAAAATGCATCCCCGCCAGAGTTGATTGCTCAGACTCTGTGACAGTAGATGGATGCCCCTGAAATGGGTATCTTTGTGATCATGGCTCCAATGTGTTTCATGTATCACAGGGAATCTCCCCCGGGGACTCTAGATAAAAATAAAAGAAAGGCTATACTACTTCAAATCTATTGCTCGTTGACATCAATCTTACTCTGTTGCATCATGCATCACTCGTTTTCTCATCTCGTTGGACAACGGCCTATTAGTTCTCGATTTGGTTTCGGGCGATTTCTCGTGATGACAGTTCGAGCCAGAAAAGGCTGTGAGCTGGTGCCGCCAGCTTCTATAGGGTCAGAGTCCTGAGCTACAGCTCCAAAGTGACTGCTGTAACGTTTCTCGACCACATGTCTTAGACCTCTGGCGTCATCGACCCAACCAATTGTGAGTGGTGTATAGTTGTAAATGAGTCACGTGAAATGACTCCAACTATCTCCGCTCGTGAAGTTCTTCCCCCTCAGCTTGGTTTCTGACGAGTACAGCTTTTAACCAACATATACATTGCCTTATACCCTGGCAATGTTGCGGTGAACATAACTCTCTATTATCAGAAGCCAAGCTTCAATAAGATAGCATTGAACAACACATTGAACAACACAACCTCCCGATATCGGGATCCACCTACCTGACACCGCTCCCTGTCCTTGAAGCTCCCAGAAGGAATCCGTGCTCATCTCAGAGCCAATAAATCGTGAACGCCGCTTAGTTTGATCTCAAAAGCGTTCCTGTCTTTTATAGCCATCTATACGAACTTATCTTCCACTTCTCGTGAGCCCTGGAGCAAAGAGTCGGTTACACAGCCTATCGCAACCGGTGCGGAGAAACCAGGCACAATGACAATCGATAAGCGCGATTTCGACGCAAATCGCCCACTCCTCCAGGATATCGATGCAGATTCAGCCGATCCAAGCGCAGAGCCATCACGGCGACATTCACGAAGCTCCACTAGTGATGGATTCGGTCTACGGAGTGAGGATGGGCTATTGAGCGATGTTGTCGAGGAGATTGTCGAGCGCGATAGACGGAAGATGCAGAAGGAGGTTATTCGAGTGCTTAGCTTTGGCTGGGGTGTTATTACTTGGTATGGAAACCCTCTCTCCTTGCTGTGGTACTTATATTTAAACGAAATTGGGAGCCTGAAAGCTGACTCTTATATTCGTGTTTTGCAGCTTAGGAGCTGGCAGTATCACTGCTTTCTCTTTATATGGCCATCTACTCCTTACCCGACTCCATTACTCGCAGCTCCAGGTCAACGCCGTTTCTATCTCCGCGGGAATCGCAATGTACCTCCCCGTCCCCTTATTCGGCTATCTCTGTGATCGGTACAGCCCGTCGCCACTGGCTATGTTCTCGGGGCTGATCTTCGGCATGGGATATCTTCTCGCAGCCTTCGCGTATAAGAGCGGCCCGCCTGCTGAATTGGGCGGCTCTGGATGGCCGTTCTGGGTTATGATCGTGGCGTTTATCGCCATTGGTATGGGCACGAGCTGCATGTATCTAGCAGCTGTTGCGACATGCGCCAAGAACTTCGGCAGGGGAAAACATAAGGGGATTATGCTTGCTGTCCCTATTGCGGCGTTCGGTCTCAGTGGGATGTGGCAGAGCCAGCTCGGGACGTATTTGTTCTATGAACGTCTCGAGGATGGGAGTCGTGGTGATCTCGATGTTTTCAAATACTTCGTCTTTCTAGCGGTGCTGTTGCTGGTGATTGGAATCATCGGTACATTTGCATTGCGCATCGTGGAGGATGATGACAAATATATCGATGAGACGGTTGAAGAACTAGAGCGCAGTGGACTGCTCGAGGAGAGTGATTTCTTCCGTCCGCGAAATGAAATCAGACAAGCAGTCGAATACGGCACGTTCTCTAATGCACTTGATGAAGAGCAATCAACCCTGTCCGATGAGGAGCGCGAACAGCAAAGGCTAGAGAAGGAACGTGAGGAGGAAGAGCGTCGGAAAAAGAACTGGCTGCTCAACTATGAAACCCGCCAGTTCCTACAAGACAAGACCATGTGGTGGCTAGCCTTGGGCTTCTTCCTGGTCACCGGCCCCGGCGAATCGTACATCAACAACGTGAGTTTTATCTGAACCTAAAATCCCAACTTCCAAACCACAAGCTAACCCATTATCCAAAAACAGCTGGGCACAATCATCCCAACTCTCACACCTCAATCATATCCCACCGGCGCCTCACCCCCAGCCGGATCCCCCTCTACCCACGTCACAACCATAGCCCTAACCTCAACCATCGCCCGCCTCCTAACAGGCTCCCTCTCTGATTTCTTCGCACCCCCAGCAACACACCTCTTCCCACCGATCCCCGAAGGATCCCGCCACAGAACCCCCACACCCTCTCCATCCCCACGCCTCACTCTATCCCGCATGATCTTCCTCATCCCCTCGGCCATCCTTCTCTCCCTGGGCTTCCTCCTCCTCGCCTCCCCCGCCCCACTAGCACATCCAGGCATCTTCAACCTGACAACCGCGCTAATCGGCTTCGGGTACGGAAGCGCCTTCTCCCTAGCGCCGATTATAATCTCCGTCGTCTGGGGTGTCGAGAACTTCGCCACGAACTGGGGCATCGTTGCCATGGTCCCTGCGGCTGGTGCAGCGTTGTGGGGTATTGTCTACTCTGCTGCTTATCAGAATGCTATGGATCTTGGCGATGGCTTGTCTGATGGTCAGTGCCATGGATGGCGGTGCTATGGGTTCTGGGCTGTTGGGTGCACGGTTAGTGTTTGGATTGCTGTTTTGGCTTGGCTTGCTGCTTGGAGGGGGTGGAAGAAGAGGGAGGTTGTTGTTTAGTTTTTGGTGCTTAATACGGGAGTTTTTGATTTTGGGATTTGTTTAATATGCCTAATCTGCTTGATATCTGCGTTTATATGGGCATTTATATGGTGTTCTATACGGAGTACATGGGTGTGGGTTTGGCATTTGCATATAGCTAGGCAGTTATCATTTCGGTACTTTCTTTCTACTATCTTATATTGATGATCAAATATAATATCTGCATGAAAAAAAAGCAATCGCTGCATTTTTAGGTGACATACATACTACAATGTCAGACTGCCTTGTACCAACTGGCAGTTAGTTGATACCAATATGCCTCCACAATCTAACAAGGAATCCATCTCATTTGGAAGGCAATATCCAATTTTCCAGCCAGAAGTGAGGGCGAGGCAGGGTTCAAAAGTCCAACTAGTCGAACAACTAACCAAAAGATAATCCAATACACCAATTGAATGCATGCAGCATCCACAGTGCAAGGTTAGCTCTGCAGTAGCGTAGCAGACTCATGCTAAAAATGGCAGAAACAACCAAAATTAACCAAGATAAAAACAAACCTAAATGTCCGTTGAACTCGGATCAAGTCCAGTGAACACTTTGTACAGCCGCTTACTTGCAGCGGGTCCAATGCGGGCATTTGTCAAAGAACCGTTTTTGTTCGCGGATTTCTATAGCAATAGCAGTTAGCAAGGTAATCCAATAGAAAAAGCAAAGCCAGCATAAAGATTGAAAGAAAAGAACCTACCTTAATATCCTCCAACATCATAGGACCATTCATCCGCATTGCACGAGTCAAGTCCGCAACACACGGATACTGCCCTGCAATCCCATAAGCCATAGAAGCCGTCACGCGATTGACCTCCTGAATCATCTTGATAAAAGTATCCTGCTTATCGACGCCCGTCTTCACCTGCCCCGTATCCATACAGAAAGCAGCATTGTGTGCTTCCTGCCGTTCTCGGCGGTACGGGACTGTCGATATATGCTCGGTGAAATTCTTAATCCACTCTGCGGAGTCGGCTGGCGCGGTCGTGTGGTGAATGAGACACGAGTGCGTGACCTGCAGTTGGAGAAGAGCGTCTTCGACAGTCTCGTCGTCGACGAGGGTCGTCGCCTCGGGAGTTTTCTTTGGTTTTCGCGCTCTGCGGGCTGTGGTTTGTTCCTCTGGTTCTGGTGCAGTTGTTTCGGCGAGTTGGCGCAGGACTTCGGCTTGGAAGGCTCTGTTTCGTGCGTTTGTGTTTTTGCGCATTAGAGCAGTCAGGCCTTCGATTAGGTAGATGGGTTTGCAGTCAGGGTAGGCGCTTTTTATTCGGAGGACGTGGATTTCTAGGGTTTCTCTTTCTGAGTCGTCCGGTGGTGGGGTTACCATGTTGATGAACTCTTGCGCGGGTAACAGACACAGCACGTGGTCTTCTTTTTGGATGAAGGGTGGACAGGGTTCCCAGTGGCGTAGGGTTCTGTTGTACGTAGCGTTCATTTTGCGACGCCATTTTACTACGTTGGGAATTGGGCTTGTGAAGAATGTATGTTGGACGCCGAGTCGTTTCATAAATTCGATGGTTTGAGTGCCGACGCTGCTGTCCTCGAAAGATGTGGCCATGTCGATGATCATCTCTGGGGTTGACTCCTTTTTGTTTACTTTCAGCTTGTTGACGCTCGCGATATCGGCGGCCCGTTGTTTCTCTTTTGCTTTCTCTTCTTTGAGCTTTAGCTTGCGCTCTTTCTCGAGCTGGCGTTCTCGCTCTCGCTGTAGCTTTGTCTCTTCGCGTGCTTTGGCTTTGGCTTCCTTGTCGGCGCCAGTAACCTTGCTTGTCTTCTTTGCTGTCTTCCGGGGTGCTGCTGGTTCATCAATGTCATCGTCGTCGGGAAGGACCTCCGCAGCCGTAGATTTCAAGTTAGTGCCTTTCTGTTTTCTACTGCCAGGCTTTTCTTTGGGGCCTGAATTACGTTCTTCGCTAAGGCGAGACAATAGGCGAGCAGTTGACTCGGAGAAGATAGGATTCGAGGAAGTCGGTTTCTTCAGTAGATCAGAAAACTCCGGCAGAGCAAACGGATCGCTGAATTCATCAATTTCACTACGCCGTCGGAAACTCGAGGGCGGAGGCATAGGGTCCGTCAATACGTCATCGTCATCAAGCGCAATAATATCCCGGGTTGAAAGCTGCGATCTCTGCGGCGGGGGCTTTGGCAAAGGAGCTGGGGCTGAAGAGGTAAAGACAATTGGATCCGACTCTTCAACACGCGACTGGGATTGTTTCTTCTGTGTCGCCGCATTTACTGGCGGTAAGTCAAAATCATCGTCGGAGATCGAGAACCAAGGCTCCGCCGCAGAAGCTGGAGCTCGAGGTTCGTTTGGCGTGTTGCTTTGTCGCAGAGATGAAGTGTCTTCGTCGCTCACTCGCCGTTTCTTAGCGGGCTTGTCGAAGACATCTTCCAAGTCAAATAGGGACGTATCGAACGGGTCTGACGAAATCGCATTGAGTTGGTGGGATGGACGTCGCGATGGGGGTTCAGCTGGCTGTCGCGGCTTTGGCGGCTGGTGCTTTGGTGGGGTAGGAGGATCGGAGGATAGGAGGTTTATAATTTCGGGCATATTGAGAGACCCCAATGCCACTAGGGCCGGCGATTAAGGATAAAGATTAATTGTTAGAAGGGAACGCGACGTCGCCGCGAACAAAACACGAGGTCATGTGACCGATATGCATAGTGAAGTTGGGGAGAACTGGGGTAACTTCAGAATGAGTATATTAATGTAAAGTACACAATTTAGTGCATAAACTATGGGTTATAGCGCTTTAAGTAAAATTGCAACCATAACTGCAATAACAGCCCCAAGCAGAGCGAGAATGACAAAGACCTGCTGCCACCCATTGAATGGCCTCCTTTCAGCTTTGAGCATAGTGGAGATCTCTTCTTCCAGTCTATCTCCCATAGCAGTGAGTGAGAATTCCTGCTGTGCCCTGTTCTTGCCAGCAAGAGCCATGCGTTGAAGATCCTCCCGACTCAGTCCGTAAAGTGCCTTGTCCATCACAGCAGTCCACTCTTCATCTGCATGAGCATCCCGGAGCCAGCCCGTTTCACCCTCAACAATTGTCTCCAGTGGACCACCAGTATTAGATGCTAATACTGGGAGACCAGCACGCATTGCTTCGACCGGCACAATGCCAAAGTGTTCGTTAATCGGGGTGTAGAGAAGGAGCTTTGATTGCGCCAACAGGGTATCTTTGAATACAGTGGGAACAGAAAGAAGGAAAAGGACATCAATGTCATCGGGGATTGAAAGTGCAGATAAGACTGTCTTGGAAGTTGCAGTCTTCAACCCAAGACTGGTCGCTAGCTCATCCAGCTCTTGGTGGTACTGGACATTCTCATGGACACGATTGTCGTAACCGCCTGCAAAATACCATGTTAGCATTTAGACAAATCTCAGATCCATGCAAAATTTCTTACCAGCAATCACCAGCCGCGTGCCTTTCCTCTTCTCCGCTCCTAGTCCATTATAAGCGCGAATTGCCAGTCCCATATCCTTCTTACGCTCAAAGCGATTGATGCTGAGCAGAATCTTCTTCCCACCCCAGAGAGGGTCTTCCTCCGCTTTCTTTGGCACTGGTATCCCGGAATCCATATCGACACACGGATATACCACTTCCACATCACCTAATCGGTCCGAGCCAAAGACGTCACGCACGACCCCGCGGGAGAACCTAGAGTTCGCAACAACCCGATCCGACGCGCTCATCGCCCAGCCTTCAAACCAATCAAACGGAAACCGGTAGAGCACTTTCGCGAAGCGAAGAAGCGAGCCACCCTCATCTCGGCGCGCGAGCAATTGATCCGGGAAGTGACAATAGAATAGGATGCGCTGACGTCGGGACTTGCGCGGACGGCCGAACGACTTCAAGAATGGCACACATGCTGGCAACTGGTCCACAATGAAAATATCATCACGATCCTCCTCGTCGTCGGTGGTTGTGGTAGTTGTCTCCCTTGTTCCAAGCTCACCTAGTAGTGACACGGTAAGATGTAGCTGGCGCAGCGCAGCCATGAGGATGTGAAGTCGTCCGCAGACATGGGCAGGGAAGAGGGTATTTCCGCGCACGCGGACGTCCAGCGTGCCATCGCGCGCCTCATCGAAGCAATGCGCCTTATCGCGGTGGGAGGTGTAGATCGTTACGCGGTGGCCTCGGTTCTGAAGAGCGAGGGCGACGTCAATTATTAGCCGCTCGGCACCTCCGATACCCAGATCCGGGTGGATTATTGTCACATTGGACCGTTGGAGGCCCATGGTGAATTGTTTTTAGAGCTTGGAGTTTGGAGCTGTCGTTGCGACAAGCTTAAAGACACGTGGGGTATACGCGTCATGTGATGCAAATATGCCACAGTGTTAACTCGCAACTTCAATTGATTCATTTGTCTAATATTTCATGTTAATAACGTTTTGGCTCAGTGTAACGGCGAATACCTAGAAAATAGCCCCTTGGATTCCGGTGTTTTAAGGTCGTGGTGGGCTGGCTCAGTGTCAGTTAACGGGCTATCATGACTATCATGACTGGATGTCAAATACGTATTTTAATATGATTGTAGGATATAGTCTTCGGTGCAAAGTAGTTGAAGAGAATGGAAAATATTTTTCACGCGAATGATTCAGTAAAAGCAGTATGAAGCCCACTATCTATTTGCTTTCAAGAAGTTGACCAGAATCCGATAGAAGACAGCACACAGGATACAAAAAAAGCGGCGGATATCAAGAATGAGTATGTACTGATCCAATGAGTCTCAGATCTCCAGCCACTATGCCTTTTCCGCTGTTGTTGGTAGATGAGAGAAGAACGCACTAAATATAAAAAACAAAATGTTGGCCTACTGCTTGGTAGACTTGCGACATCGCCTGTCTATACTATGTAAAGTGATATTTCACCTAAATGGTCCAAGAAAAAGCAGTATGAAGCCCACTATCTATTTGCTCTCAAGAGGTTGATCCCAGAATCCGATATAAAACAGCCCACAAGACATAAAACGCAACACCAGATAACAAAAACGAGTAAGTTCCAATCCAAGCAAATGGAAAATGCACATGCGGTGTTGGTTTCAAATCGGAGAAGAACGCACTCAATATGAAAAATAGAATGTTGACCATTTGTAGGAGCCTTTGAAACCACAAAGGCATATCGGACAGATCTAATTCAATTGCCAATGAAAAAAGAACAACCTCCCAAACTCCAATCAATCCAATGACGGCAGGTGGACAATATAATATCAAGTTGTCTAGAAGATTGGCTGTGTCGTTGGTTATGCAGATGAGGATTAAAATAGCAATGCACACGAGAATGAAATAAAGTATGGCTCCACCCAGAGTTTGGGAATGATCATCCCACTTGCTGTTGGGATCATCTGGCCTCCTAGATGTTTGATGCTCGAAAGGAGAAGCAGTTAGGCTAGTTGATTGGGACCTAAGATAGGATGTTCCGTAAATAGTATGATCACTGCAGCTCATGACTACGCCAGTAGATTGCTTATCGTCTAATCATGTCTCGTCGTTAGTATCTCTCTATGTCAACGATTTGGAGCATTGAGTATGCAGGGATTACCGTAAGTGAAGAAGTATTTAATGACCGTGATCAAAGGTGCAAACAGTAAAACGAGAGCCACAACCTGTCCAAAGCCCCAGTCGCTATCTCTCTCATCGGAGTCCTGTATCAGCGGTCCCAATGACCCATCATCCTGATACACGGGAGTTTGAATAATGAGCAGTACTCCGAATAGACGGATTGTACCCCAAAAAAATCCAGCTATTAGCCAGCACACCTTGTTCACTGTCAGATGAAAGAGAAAGATGATTAGACAACTAAGGTACACTCACTTCTAGAAACATCGAAGACCACCCATCTAGAAATAGACGCGCCACGAGAAATGTCGTCAGCAAAGGACGGTACAGAAGGGTACGTTTCAGGCTATTGCGGGAACCACTTGAGCAACACCAAGTGAAAGCAAAGCTTAACAAATGGCGCGCTTGCATGCTAATCCTAGCTCTAGCTTTCCCCCAGCCGTCGATGGAGATAGTCTTATACAGTTTGATTATACGGGTCACAAAACCCAATATAATCAGCAGTATCGAGATTATCATTCCGCAGTATGCCATCATTGAGCTTGGACTAAAGCTCAAATGGCACATCGCGGGATCAATCATATCATTCCTCACAAAATAGGTTGTATCTGGCAATATTTTGAACGAAGTCCAATAATAGTCGCCTGTGAACGAGAGCGCTATAGTCAGGAATATGACAAGAACAGCCATAGAAACCAGTCGCCACGTGCGCTGAAGCGAGTGGTTGTACAGATAGTTTCGGAGAAGCGTTAGGCAAGCCAAATGAGTAAGACTAGAAAACCAGGCCAGGTCGACGATAACTATCCAGTGGAAGGATGAAATGCCCTGGTGGAGCTGCACATATCCACTTATGAGTATCGAGAGTCCAGTTATAATTTGGATGTCACTCATTTCAAGGATGCACTGTAGTATGTCAGTTCGTATTCAGCTCAACCCAAAGGGTATCTGTACCTTAATAAAGGCTTTCTCAACTCGAGCATTGATATGGACCTTCCGAGCCCCCATCAACCGCTTGGGTATATACCGTACGGTCCGCAAAATAATTTCATCTATTGGGTTGGGACGAAATGACTGATTCAAAGTATCTTGGTCTGTCTTCCTGAAAGGGTCCAGAGCTGGCTCATAACCCACGAAGAAGTATATGATAATGAGCAGCACTGCAATCCCTGCCGTTGCAACATAGTTTGCAATGACCTAGGCCTAAATTAGTTGATGGTACTGATAATTAAGTCAGCAACATACCCTATAACCAGTGATGTCGGTGTCAATAGATATAAAATGTTGCGGTCCCGAGCAGTTGTAATGTGAGGGCATAACGACCTAAACCAAAAGAGACTCTTGCTCCTTTGGTAGGAATTAATCTCTTGAGTAATGCGGAGCGAAAAAGGCTATATTCTCTCTTCTCTTCCTTTTGATCTTTCTTTTAGGAGGTTACGCTTGCATAAGTACACGGCTCAGAGTGTCGATCAGCTCTAAATAAATCCATGCACAGCCCACCAGCTACGGGGTTGCTAGAAGCGAGATGGAATCAATATATGGCAGGAACAGCATCAATACATGTACAAATAGGTTACATCATATATTTCCCACATCTTGCTATCAGATATCCACAGTGCAGGCTTTTTTAGCCGTTATACCTTTTGTACTGTCTGCCCATACAAAAGGTACAGTGACACAACAAAGGTGTTCACACCCAGTCTGGTATTCACTAATCAGATACATATGTACCCAGGATAACGGGCGGTATAAAAAGTTGATAAGACGGTAGCGGAAGGGGTGCTGAAGCATTTGCTGTGTCATTGTACCTAATTTCAAAAAGTATCGTTCGCTGAAGATGATCGTTGACTCGGGCGCACTAGCACAGTGAAAAAAGGGTTGTGCTTGGCACGATTATAACCCATAGCAAGTAACATCCATCTTACACCAATTGGTACATAACCCAAGAAGACATACATATGTAGTGAATTTCAAACCTATCAAATTTGTACTGCCTAGCCTTGAGAAGATAAGAAATAAGCCGACATTGAAAACTTCATTGACAGATGTACGAAACAAGCAACCTGATATGAACGAGCGAGCATCCATATGAAATTCAAAGAAAAGCGACCGAGAACTGACAATATCCCCCGCGATTGCGACACGAAGATTGAACGCGAATCAATCTGGAAAACAGCCGATGGAATGTACAATATCGAGGATTTTTAGCGTAAGATAAGGAATCAAAAGATCTACCAGTCATGAGGGATTCATGAGAGTAGGGAAAAAAAAGGAATATGTGAAGAACGGAGCTGGAAAATGGAGGGTGAGGCTATAGGACAAGGTATGGACGGAATTGACAGGGGGAAAGTGACAGAAACGTGAAATCTCATAATACAGGGAAATGGGTTGAGTAAGTAGATGATTGGAACCGAATAAAATAAAGGGGTATGAAACAAGAGACGAAGAAATAAAAAAGAGAAGAGAAGAAGAGTGACAGAGAAGGTTTAAAAAAAAGTGTACAACCGGAGAAAAACGATCAAGACAGACGAGAATGCGATCGCTTTTGATGCTGGGAAAGCTCAAGCAAGCAAATTCAAAGTCAAAAACGCCTAGAAGCAGTTGAGGGTGCTCTTCTTCTTTTTCTTATTGAGGGCGAGCATGCGCTCTTCGAGCTGGGCGCGCGCAGCCTCAGCTTCACGGCGGGCACTGCGCTCCTCTTCGACGGCCTGGAGAGATAGACGGGCGGAGCTGCGTTCCTTGCGGAGGGAGGTCAGTTCATCCTCGAATGACCAGGCCTTCTTCTTCCAGGCTTCGCAGTCGCTCTTAACCTTGGTGCTCTGGGCTTCAAGGTCACCGAGAGCCTCTTCCAAGGTAGCAGTCAGCTGCTTCTCGGCGTACAGGTGCTTCTCGATTGTTCGGATTCGGGCTTCCTGGTCCTCGACCAACTGGACGTTGGATAGCTCTTTGCTGGCGTGTCGAGAGTTGGGTGGGGACGCGCTTGAATTGCCGTTGGGGTGGGAGGCGATGGTAGGGAGGGGGGGGAGAGGGATCGCCGGTGGAGGCGAAGGAAGAGAGGCAGCAGAAGCACTCTTACGGAGATTAGATGTGAGAGAGCTGCTGCGGTCGTGGGAGCCCTCGGAATTGCCGGTGTTCTTGATTTGAAGCTCAAGCTGCTCGATCCGCACTTGATAAGTCTCGATGTCACCTTCGTAGGTAGCAATTTTGACCTTGGCGTCTTCCAGAGCCTGGTCACGCTCTTGCTGAATGACGGATAGGCGGTTGTGATGCTGATCGAAGCTGTTTGTAATTTGTTCCTCCAGCTCCTCCACGAGACGCACACTCTTCTGCTTCTCGATCATGATCTCCTCAACCAGGGCCTCCTTCTTCTTGACCTGTTCGTCCTTCTGGCGAAGAGTATCCTCCAACGTAGCCACCAAGAGAGCCAGCTCATTAACCTTGGAATCCTGAATGTTGTTCTTCTTTGTCATCTCGTCCAGACGGCTCTCGGAGTCCGCGTTGGCTGCCGCGTTAGCCTCCAGCTGCTTCCGAAGGTCTTCATTGGTACCAATAAGCTCAGCATACTTGTCTGAGAAGTTCTGCTTCTGAGCCAAAACATCTTGGATCTGATCTGCCAAGTTATCGGCTGAGACCTCAGTGTTGAGGAGAGTCGACACAGCCTTGAGCAGCTTAACCAACTCATCACGAGACTCTGCAATATCTTTCTGCAAAGTCGCCATAGATTTCTCATGCTCAGCGTCCTTCTCAACGAGACGAGCATCGTACTCGGCCTGTGCAGCAGCCTTAGTACGATCCTCCAACTCGACCAATTCACGCTTGTGAGATTCCCGAAGGGTATCCAGCGCAGTATTGTGAGAATCAACAACCAATTTATGGGTAGAAATTTCTTGCTCAAGTTCAGCCATTCGAGTAGAAAGAGTCAAGTCAACAGCGCCGGCATTGGCTCCTTCCTCGACAGTGGTCTGCGAAGCCAGTTGATCCTGGGCATCGGAGTGAGACTTTTCCAGAGCGGCAATTGTTGCAAGCTGAGTAGTAATAGTAGCCTTATGATCTTCGATGTTCTTCGTCAGACTATCCACAAGCTCCTGCTGTTCAGCGCGGCCACCCTCAAGCTCTCGAGCAGCGACTTCTTTCTCGGTGGACTCGGCATCGGCAGCAGCACGCTCAGAGCGCATAGCAGCGACCGAAGCCAAAGCAACTTCCAGCTCAGCAAGAGTAGTAGCGAGCTGCGACTCCGATGACTGCAAGGACTCCAAAGCACTCTTGTGCTTGTCTTGCCACTCTGTGAGCTCTCCCTGCAGAGTACCGATCTTCTTATCCTGCTCCTCGGCACCAGCATCCATTGCCCGAGTAGCGCTTTCCTGAGACTTCAGAAGGCCCTTCAAATTGCCAATCTCAGTCAACAGCTCCTTTTGGCGGGATTCATGAGCATCTCTAAGATTGTTAATCTGTCTTTCCTGGGAGACGACCTGATCGCGCAGTTGCGAGACCAGAGCCATGTCCACAGGTGAGACACCCTGCAAACTCGACCGTTCTCTGGTCAGACCAGAGATAATAGTCGCTTTCATTTCCATTTCTTTCTTAACGGCCTGGTTCTCAGCTTCAAGGGATTGGAGGCGCTCCATACGGCTTTGCAATTCATGCATGGTTTGGTCCAGATGATAGTCGAAGTTGTGCATAGCGTCAGGCTTACCAGCAAACTCCTCGGACGCAAGGAGCCGAAGACCAGTAAGGGCTCGGGTTGCACGGTCAACTCCTGACAGAATGTTCTGGCTCGTCATGCGACGGATCATTTTGAAACCGGGGGTTGAAGGGGGCGAGCTTGACTTAGCGCGATGAGCCTCGGCCTTCAGCTTTTCGACCAGTACAAGAATCTCCTCATGCTCGGCTTGCAACTCCGTATACTTCTGGGCCATGATCTCAGCACCCTCCTGGTGCTCGGCAAGCATCTTGCGCATGCTCTCAGCTTCTTCAGAGTCCACATGAGCGACCGACAGCACCTGCGGGGTTGAGGGCGCGGACGAAAGTGCCTTCGATCCGTCCTCAGACAATGCGCGCAAAGTGGATGGCTCCCCGGCCGAGGATAATTCCGAAGAGAGTGACTGCGAGAATGAGTGTTGTGCTCCAGGTTTCGAAGTCGGAGTGCCTCCATTTCCTAAAAAAGTCACCGGGCGTGGTGAAATTTCGTTTTGAACACTGGGTGCCGGGTGGCGGGCTTCATCGATTTTATCCTGGCGAAGCTCTTCCAGGGCTTTGAGAGCCTGCTCGTACTTGGATTCAAGGTTCTCAAATTCACCAATGGTGTTCTCGTGCTGCAGACGCAGGTCGAAGAGCTCCTGGGTGACAGTCTCGAGCTTGTCGGCAACGAACTTGGACTGGGCGGGACTTGTGATGGGTTCCTCACGAAGAGCCTCCGTGCGACGTGCCTCCAGCTTGCTGGTCACGTTTTCCAGAACCTTCAGGTCCTCACCCGTCTCCTGCTCGGATTCTCCAATGGAGTCGAGCTCGGTTTCTATGGTCGGCTCGACAAAATCCTCGTCTGATTCTGGAATGGCTGTCTCAACTGCTTCGCTGAGAACGTCTAGAGAGGGCGTGTGTCTATGAGACATCTGCGAATTCCTGGCCTGGTGATAGTGTGGGTAGTCAATACCGTTAGCGCTATCGCGTCTATCTCCGCGACCTTGTTCGTTTTGTTCGTCTAGCTCGCCGAGTAGGCGGTCTAGCTGCCCGAGGCCTCGCTGGCGTTCAATGACATGTTCTAAACGCATTACCTCGCGCTGCATAAGTTCCATGTCCTGGTCACCCTCCGCAAGTCGTTCTTCAAGAGTCGAGATGTATTCCTCGCAGCTGGCTTCGTTATCTCGGGCCCTGCTTAACTCCTTGCGCAGTTCGGCAACAATGGCAGCATGCTTCTCCTCGCCTGTGGAGTGCCCATCAAGCCTGGACTCCAATTCGTGGAGGTAGGTCTCGGTGTTGACTTCCCGGTCCAGCATCTTCTGAACACGGGCTTGAAGCTGTTCCTTGACAGTCTCGATATAGGCGCACTTGCTCTCGCGCTCAAGTAAATCACTCTCCGTGATAGCTAGGGAGCCGCGTGTTTCAGAGAGTGAACCCTCCAAGCTTTGGATGGTCTTTTCGTACTCCAAAACCATCTGCTCCACAGACTCGGCAAAGGACTTGGACCGCTGCATTCTCTCGACTGAGCTCTTCCCAATTTCGGATGTAGCGTCGTTCACTTCGTTGTGGGTGGAAGGCGACTGCGATTCACTAGCCATATTCGAAATCAGCTTGGCGTGGCGCTGGCTGAGAGAATTGTAGCTTTCTTGAACGTCCAACAACTGGTTCTGCAGATGCTTTTCACGTTCGTTCTGGCGATCGCTTCGTTCGGTGGGTCCGCCTTCCCGTCGCTCGGATCCTTCAGAGTTGCGGATCTGTAGGCGCAAGAAAGATATCTCGGACTTGAGTCGCTCAATCAAAGCCTGCTTGTCGCCGTCGTCTGCGATATGCTGAATGTGAGGTTTGCTCTGAATGGCTCGGGCCCGCTGAGCATATGATATTGTGTTCAAAGTCTCGCTCAGGTGGAACTCGGCGGGAGTCACACAAGCAATCATGTACGTGTACGCGTTTCCACCGAGAGAATCCTGGAGGAGTCGAGTAAGCTTTGAATCACGGTAGGAGACGTGAGAGCCCTGTTGGCGCGAGGAGAGCTGCGAGATGACCTTGCCAAGTGCAGCCAGGCCAGCGTTAATAGAGATACCCTCCCTGGCGCGTTCTCCGGAGGCACCTGTGTTCTTTAGCCGTTCGCTACCTGCCAGATCCACAAAGTGCAGTTTGCTATCGACAGTGACTGTTTCTCCGGCGTTGAAAGCGTCGACTGGCATCGACATGCGCTTCTCCTTTATGGGGCTTGGGGTCGCGTGAATTGAAGACTTGCGCTGCACAAGGTTCAAGCTGAAGACGGCATGCGATCGAGATGATTTGGCGTTGATTGCCGTGGAGTCTGTTTGACGAATGGTGGAGCCAAAGTTCAGGGCGCCGATTAGATCGTCGAATGAGTTAATGTTGACTTGGTGTAGACCGGTCAGAAGAATACGACCCTTGGTGTCTTCACGAATCGTTACGTTGCTGCGATCGTTTGCGACGGCCGATTCGGGAAGGAGCAAATCTCGCAGGTGTTCGTTATAGATCTGTAGGACAATAGTCAGAACAATGCAATTCCAGCAAACAGGTCCTTTCTGAATAAAAGCGCACCTCCACATATGTAGCCTTCAGTTGCCAGGTCTTTTCTTTTTCCAGGTGCAACTTCCCAAAGCTTGAGGCGGAGCTCATTGAATATCGTTGGGGTGTTCGGAGACCGGTAGTCGCGTTCGAACCATTCCGCATATGTTTCGGGGCACCTTCTAATTTATCGAACAAGACCTGGGCAGCACGGGGGATAATACCTAAATCAAAATGAACACACACATGGTTAGTCCCCAGCTAATTGATAAACAAGCATCTTTCAAACTCACCCATATCCTGCATGTTATTCATTTCAGTGGGACCCGAAGTACCCATTGTGAACGACTTTCCGGCGCCGGACTGGCCATACGCCATAATCGAGACATTGTATCCCTGAACAAATGAGTCGACACTATCACTAACATAATCCCAAACCCCTTCCTGTTGGGTAGTTTCGGGGAAAACACGATCAAACACAAATAGTTTGCGCCCACCAGACACTTCAACTGACAGACTAGTTGGCGCAGTTACATGGACTGTGGATCGTTGGAATCGCTGAGGAATCAATTCATAACCGGGATCGGTGGGTTTCAGTGGTGGTCGCACACGGACAGCTGCGCAAGGAGTCAGTAATGAATTTGGTCACCGGCTGATGCTGTGTTTCCTTGTTGCAGGTACCGGGTAACAATAATCAGGGGGAAGAATGGAGAAATGGATCCACATACCGACTTTAACTGCAGTCTTGCCATCCTCATCTGATGCACGACTCCCACCTTGCCTGCTGCTCATACTTAAACGACTGGTACTGCGCGGAGTGCGCATAACGCCGCTGATCGGGCGCGGGGGTGCGCCAGTGGGCGATGCTGGCGGTGAAGCTGTCATCTCTCTCCCCAAGAGAACCACACCAGGTGGAATAGAAGTAGGAAAAAAGGGAATTCGAAGTTGTTAATCAATAGTCGTAGTCATGAGGGCGCAGAATAAGGAGATGTCTAGAATGTGGAGAGAGGTCCAGGTATTAGTCTATTTTTCTGCCCGATAAGAACAGATACATCAACAATCAACACGCGTACCTGTTAGTCCCCGTAACGTTGTGCAGGAGGAAAGGAGACAAAAGATGAACCAGGAAGATGCTGGAGAAATTAACACCGTGCACGGCTTAGAATAGTTTAGCGTTTTAATTAAGATGAAGGATGATTTTATGTTTCCAAGCGAAGGGCCGGGGGGAAAAAAAAGCTAGCTCTTTGGTTCAGGGGCAATAGGCATTTGGGCTTTCTACTCACCAACTTTTCTTTTTTTTTTTTCTTTATTGGATTGATATACTGGTTACAAAGTACAAATATGTATACAGTAGGGGGGTTACTGTATATGCATATTAAGCAATAACCCCTTTCGTATAAATACTCCGCGCACATGGTAATGGTGTTATGCCTCACATGTCCTGTTAGACTTCAATTCTCTTATCTCCACCTAAATTAAATCAAAACCGCCAAACTTGTCAAACCCACATGTTTTGACCGTTCGTTTCAGGTTTGTTCTTTTAGCTTTATCGGGGGTTTGGGCTGAAGTGAACCATCCGAGCTCATTTCTCCTATTAACCCTCTTAATCGCCAACCTCATGGCATTCTGGATGCCGATCACTTCGCGTTTAGTCGCGGATGGAGTCTAATTGTGTCAGGGACGGGCCAGCCAGACCAATCCACCAAGTTCTCCTGGACTTGGGATCCACTCCAACTGGCCGCCATTGGGGGTCGGGTTCAGAGGTTCGGGGAATTGCTGGATTTCCACTATGTTCTGCGGATTTTACTCCGTCTATTATGTACTGGATACAAAGGAGTATGTCCAAAGCATTGGATCGAAGTACTCTACAATTGGCCCTAATCCATCCCGAGCTATCCGTGGAAATTGCGCTGAACTTAGGCAAAATGTCGAAGGTTTGGTGCCTGGATTGAATCGGAAAAGCGCTCCACTACTCAGAGAAACCGTTGAAGGATCGACGATGGCTTTTTTTTCCTTCGATTTGAAATCCAGTGCATTGCATTGCATACAAATATGCCAGAACCCGAACTCTAAACACTTGTCCATGGATAAGCTTATACCTACAAATGAATTTCATTGTTTACAACTTGGCGTGCATGGTTTTAAATCCTTCGTCCATTCTTAAATTCCTTTCAACTATGGGAGTAAGTATAAGTGGATGTTGATATCGCTTTTTAGCAAGCCCTCTATAGAAGCATGGTAGGAATATGTATAGATGTCCCATGATTTTTAGCAGCAATATCGCTAGGGCAGCCACCAAAGACCTCATTCATGGGCTTCTATAGATCTCTAACATATATCAACCAGTCAACCTAATCTCTCGGGCAGCAACCCAGTGATTGCTCACAGAGGGCTATCGAAATGGATAACCGTCACAAGCACATATATCATATTAATGATCTGCAGCAGGGGCAGAATGATAGCCTGATCACCATCAAGACAGATAACACGAGGAAGAGTCCTCCTAACCCGCAAAATGCTAAGTTTATCGGCAAAGTAAGGGGCTTGTGCATCAGAATACCGTTGTCTTTCCTCGATTTGCTTGATAGCACAAGCATCATCGTATCTGGGACATTGACGTGATAGTCACTTTTTTTTCAAGATATCTGCTGCGTTGAAGTCCAGATTTGGGGGCATACGAATTAATCGGGACGTCTTCACAATCCAAGATCCACATTTTGCACTCGAAAGACTTCACCACCGCTGACGCCCAATTTACGTGGGCCTTTATCTTCCTCTACATGCATTAGCTGGCAGAAGTCTTCTGTTCAATTAAGGGATATACATACTAGATATTGAGGCCATGAGAACCATGTCTAATTCTGCTAGTGCCAAATCGAGCTATATGTCTATATGAGGTATCAGTATCGAACGTGGCACGTGGTTAAGAGTGCCTTCGTCTTTGCGAGCAAAGGGTGGAAGGAGGGTGTTTTACCTAGATTCCCCGCATCTTTGGCCAGCCGATCCGCTCCATTCATTGCCCAAATGGTCAGTGTCCGCATTGACAGTTGTCGCGGAATTGGTGGGTCTTGCCCACGAATGTCTCCGGCACTTGTGGATAGTCCTATCCCGGGCAACTCAGGTACATAAACGTCCGTACAATTTTCCTGTGTGCCAATAACCAAGCACACGGCCAGACCTCTTATTTCTGCACCCCTATTTCTGGCGATTTATAAGGGATTATATATGATATTTCAAAGTACAGCAGAACCCTAAGGAAAAAAACTCTCACAGACTATCACGCTCGGACACCACAACAGTCTCCTCCTTGGGTTTGATGCCCGATATACCGTATACGGTAATGAATGCCATGCCCAAAAAAGCAGACACACAAGAGAACACCATTGCGACAATTCCCTTTGCGGTAAACCCGACAGGTAACCACGGACGTTGTCTGTTTTGACCAGTCAGATCGAGCAGGTCGTCCGTATTAGCGGCAGCATTGCCCTCATAGGAGATGTTTGCAGCCTTGCAGACATTAATTTCGCTCTCTGTCAATGACATCTGCTCTTGGATCTGCTTCGGGGCTTCGATGAATGACATTGCCAAGCCCTGCGACATGTGCCAGTCGATGTGGCAGTGGAATAGCCAAACACCAGGGTTATCAGCGACGAAACGGACAACAAAATTGCCCTGTGGCGGTGCGACAAACGTATCTCGGCGAGCGGGATATTTCGGGAAGCTACTTTCGGGATTCTCAGTGGCATTGAAAGGGACTGGGTCGCCGTCGGCGAAGTCATTGAAAGAAGGACCATATGAGGGAGTGCGACTGACGAGCTGGAAGTTGTGCCCGTGCAAGTGGAAGGGGTGGGAACCGCCGTCCAAGTTATTGAGAACAACCTCGATGACCGCGTTGTGCTCAAGAATAAACGGGTGGGTAAATTCTCCGTAAACCGCCGCATTTGTGGCGTAGTCCCCGGATGTGAGGACGGAGTATAAGGTCGGGACCTTGGGCATCGTGTAGGAGATGTTGTTGAAGAACGCATAACCTGCACCGTCATTCAGATTGTCCATGACGACGTCGACCTCAATGGTCATATCGGGATCTGTGAGGAGCGGCATCCGGTCATGAGGAACAAGCTTCATATCATCGTATGGGACAAGGTCGGAAGCAACGTCCACTTTCATCACAGCTTGCGGGTGCGCCGCATTGCTATTGTACTCGAGCCAATTGGTTTGGTTAAGCTGGAGAGAAGGCTCGATCACGTCCAGTAAAAGCGAGTCGGCAACGGTCACGATCGGATAGTTTTTATCCGTGGAATTTTTCATGGTGACCAAGATGGAATAACGTTGCGCAACGGCGATGTAAAGAGTATCAGCCTCTTGCTCGTCAACGTATACTCCGTCGATTTCAACAATGCGGAAAGTGTGATCTTCGATGTAGAAGTACTGCGCCACAAAGGCACCAATATTGATCAATCGCATCAGATACGTCTTTCCAGCTTCGACAGGAATATTGGTGTTCAAGGTGTCATTAAAGAGGAAGGAATCCGGAACAGGCTCAGCTCCCGTCGGGTTTCCAACGCGAATGAACGGAATATCCTCGATAAGCTCATGGTACCAATCACTCATGGTAACGGTAAGCTCATGGTCATACATATCATTGAAATATGCCTGATCGTCATGCACAATCAAAGCCTGCCGGTAGCCATCCGGGTAGCAAGCATCGGTATGGCAATGATACCAGTAAGTACCATTTTGGGGGATGGTGAAGTCGTAGGTAACCGAGGCACCAGGAGGGACTGGGCATTGGGAAACCATCGACGCGCCATCCATATTAGTAGTTCCATTTTGGAACATGCCGTGCCAATGGATAGAAGTCTCCTTGTCTCCAAGTCCATTATACATATTGACAATCAGGCGATCTCCCTTGTCGACCTCGATAACAGGTAGCGGCCACTGGCCGTTGATACCCACAACCTTGCGCTCATGGAGACCATCAGGGTTCGCATTGACCCAGGTGACGTTAAAGTCAAGATTTACTGTCTTCGCCTGACAGTACTGTACAAGAAATAGTACTGCCGTGAGGCGAAACAGCATTCCATAATATATCGCCATGCTTTGAGGTCTCGCCGGAGAGGAAATCAAGGGGGATTTCCGACTTTCAAATGAAGAAAGAGGGCGAATAGCCTTGGGGAAAAAAGATCAGTACAAACAAGGGAACGTAACAGTACGAGATTGATAAGCGGAAGCTAATCTCCCCGAGAAATACAAGCGCCTGTAGGTCTCTAATCAATCTCGTTTCGCCCTAATCAGATAAAAAGTCGGAAGTCTATTAAGGGTATTCTAGGGTACTCACGTGGGAGGCTATCAATTTTCCATTGGTGTGGTCCGTATTCGTATAGCATATGGAGACCGGGGACAAAATAGTTGTGTTCACCTGCTATATTAGGAAATGTGGCATGATTGTTATGCATTATGGCCGCTTATTTTTGCATATTTTTGCATATCCTAGAGAGAATCCAAATGGTTGGACCCCTACATGTGATAGTTCGTGTTGAAGAGATATCCACTACTACCAATCATAAAGCCAGATGGGCCAAAAAAGGCTTCCGATACGGGGGAACTCAACAAAACTAAGCAATCTGATAAATACAAGGTGGATCGTCAACGCTTGTGTAATTTTGATTGAATTCCTACAATATGTACGGAGTATGTTTCGGTAACCGCGCCCTACAAGGGGGGATTCTTATCGGGTTGCTTTTCAAGGGCTTTCTTGAATCTCTTCTTCTTTAAACATTGGGAACCAAATATATATATCCAACATGGGTGAAAATCGGGTTTTCGCTGTCACTGGTACAGTTCAAGCACTGCTTTGTGGAAAACACAGTTTATTAACTTGGTTCAATCAGTGTTTTTTATTTGTTTTCGAGAATGTCTCGAGACAACAGTGGTTGTGTCGGTTCTACTGGCTTTCTTGAAGCAGACCCTCTATGAGAGTGATCGCTCGACATATAGAAAACTAGTGAAACAAGTATGCGACCGGTTCTCACAGTCTTATACAAGTTCGCAAGCTAAAGGAAATAATAGGTCTGGCTAGGGTGCGGCTTAGGCCTATTTATTTGTCTTGCAGTCGGCGCAGGCATGATTGGTGCTTTTTACGGACTTGGAACAGACACTTTCTCCGGCACTGAGGATATTTGGGAAGGCGTGCTGGGAATTATTGCGGCACTCATCATCACTATTATGGGAGCTGCCCTTCTGCGCGTGTCTAAGCTTCAAGATAAATGGCGTGTCAAGCTTGCCAAGGCTCTCTCACACGAGCGTGATCCTAATGAGACCAGAAAGGGTCGCTTTAAGAGATGGATGGAGAAATACGCTATGTTTATCCTTCCATTTATCACGGTCCTCCGTGAGGGTCTCGAGTGCGTTGTCTATGTCGGTGGCGTTGGGTTAGGGCTTCCTGCCACTTCTTTCCCTTTGGCCGTCTTTTGCGGCCTTTTGGCCGGTGCCGCAGTGGGCTATGTTATCTACCGGTATGTCAATTCAAATTGCCGTTAAGAAAATATACAGGGCTAACATCCCGACAGAGGTGGACGACAAACTTCGATGCAGATATTCTTGATTATCTCCACTTGCTTCCTTTATCTCGTTGCTGCCGGTCTTTTCTCGCGTGGTGTCTGGTTCTTGGAGAACAACACCTGGAACCACATCATCGGAGGTGACGCGGCCGAGACTGGCTCTGGTGCAGGGTCCTACGACATCCGAAAGAGTGTCTGGCACGTCAACTGCTGCAACCCGCTGATAGGAGGTGGCGGTGGTTGGGGCATCTTCAATGCGCTTTTTGGTTGGACCAATTCTGCTGATTACGGCTCCGTGCTTGCATACAACTTCTACTGGATCTCTGTCATGGTTGGTTACGCGCTGATGTTCTACCGTGAGAAGCGTGGAGCTATTCCTATCATCGATCCGGCTATAAACGGCGTTGCAAGAGCCAAGGCCAGGGCTAGGGCCTTTGTTCTGCGCCGACCCTATGAAGATCCGGTGACACCTGTTGAGATAACACCGGTTCCCGTTCGGGAGAAGCATGCAGAGACTGGCGTCCTGGCTCTTTAGATTTGATCAGTCGAGACGGAGCAGTTCCAATATCGGACAGGGTTACATGAGAGGGTGGGCGAGATAATCATATTGGGCGAGGAAGCCGATGTTGTAAATCGAAAAGTATTTTTCAAATGTGAAATACATAAATACATAAATATAGAATAGTAATTTTACCACTGCCAAGCTCATAGTATTTACTAAGCTTTCATGCAGGGTCCACGGAGTCTCACTTGGTGTAGGGTACGGGGCACGTGCTCCCCCACCCGGACAATCCGTATCTTCCGTTCAAAATGTCGCCTGGCTAAATATCCTACATGTGTACATATGTAGGTATGTAGGTATTTCTTTTCTAGTAGTACAATAGGAGCAGACAATCTCACTAAATCTCCGAAAATCTGGTTTTCTCCGACTCGACCAGCCTTGTTCAGATACCTTGTCAGCTTTGTCGAGTGAGACATCCGAAGCATGAGCCCACGGAGTTACAGAAACGACATGGATCCTGGCGCTTTCTGGCACTTTCTGGCTCGCACTAGTATCATACTAGTACACCTAGCCAGTAATTAACTGATTGATAGTAATCTTAATCGTGGTACAGTGGCTGCCTAACACCTTCTCCCCACTGATTCGGAAGCAAGGGAAAAATTTTGTCAAATCGGTATGTACAGGATATGGAGTCCACATTGAGGTTTCATTGACGGCATATAGAATAGAGAATTACGCGTCAATCTGACATTGTGTATCCCAACCAATAGGAATAATAGGGGTAATAGGAAGGACGAATTGAACAGCAATGAAAGCATTACCCCAACTATTTTACCCTGTAATCTGTGGGCTTACCGGCGCCAACTACCAGGGTGTCCTGCATGAAAATGCCATTCTTGGCTACATGCAACCTGCTTACGTCTTTGTTCCACTATTAACTCCATATACCATTGCTGGTGTCTTTATTCACTAACGCCACCGAACTTTCCCTGGAAATTTCGAAAGATACATATGTACATATGTAGAAACCTTGAAAACTGGATCATTGAAGAAAATTTTATCAGATTCGGGATGGTCTTTCCAATCCAGTTTTATCTGATTGATTAGATGGGTTTGACTTTTCATCTCCATGGATATCCTCCCCTTATGTAGAGTGCGATAAAATCCTTCTACGGATTTCACACTAAAGGTGATTCGTAATCTATGTTGATCCCTTGAGATATATATCTCCGTCTCTCTAACTGATCTTCCCGTAAGCCTAAAAAGGAACGCGTTACATACTCAGCCTTGAGGCTTGATGGCTGAGGCTTATCTCTCATTCCAGCCCTATCAAAACAAGAGAATAGTATCGACATACATACACCATGAAAGGAGGAATAAAGTTCCAGCAAAGGGTTTATCAACTTGCAAATAGCCAGCTGAATATATAGCATCTATTAATTGACCCCAGTCTACGTCAACCGCTAAACATCCGCTAAAAATCCGTTAAACCTCCGTCGAACTTCCACCAAAACGCCGCTGAAGAACCTTAAAGAACCCTGAACAATCGTCATCAAGTCGTTTGATATAGTCATTTCATTTTGGTAGAAACAAGTGTTTGTTCGGTTGGTTTCTGTAACCCTAGTCTACATACGTATGTACGCCGGTGATGTTCCGGTTTCATTTCCTAATTGGGCGTGTGAAGATGCTTCTCGGTGTGTTACTATATAGGAACTTCTCCGTTTTACGTCGTTTTCGCCCTATAGCAGACATAATTAAGCCAATTGCATAGCCGTAGAGACAATAGAGACTCCATTTCATCAGCTTGGCGTGATTATCACCGGTGTATTGCAAAGGTGAGAAAGTGCAATTAATAATTGACCTGCCCGGCCAGGTTGTGTGGATCGTAGAGATTTTCATTCCAAGCTTTCAGGTTGAGCCTATCTGCAACAGTTACTATGAGTGCCCACGAGCCTGCAGCCGCTGCTGCAAAGGATGCTTCGAGAGCACTACGTTTGTCTAACAATGAGTGGACTGACAAGTGTTTTGCCATCTCTATGGGTGCAATTATGGTTCTCTTTGCTGTATACCACTGGTCAAGTGTGATTCACTTTTACTATGGTCGAAGGAAGAGTAACCCTACATTGACTCGGAAGTATAGGTATGTTCGTCGTTCATGTGGGCTAAGGATAATACTGATTATCTGGATATAACAGACAGGCTCGACGCTTTCTGTCTAGCTCAACGATTGGATTAAGGACAGATCGGTCTATTCTGTACATCATCTACTGGGCTATCAACTTGATCCTCGCTTTAACCAATATCGATCTTACAAATATCAGCTTTGTAAGTTGACCTGTTCATTCTCTGGTCTTGGTTTACGTCTTTACTGACACGCTTCTAGGTTGCCAAACGATTTGGCTGGTCAGTGCAGTGCCTCAATACATTCCTCTCCTACCGCCTAGAGACTGACAAGCATCTATGAACAGGATTTCAGTCGCAAACTTGACACTTTTGGTCTTCCTGGCCTTGAAGAATACCCCCCTCGCTCCCTTAACAGCCACATCCTACGAAAAGCTCCGCCCGCTACACAAGGTTGCAGGTTACACCTGCATCTTCACAAGCGTCTTGCATGGCATAGTATACCTATCTGCCTGGTCTGAGGCTGGAGAACTATACGAAATGAAAGAGACAAAGAATTTTGCCGGTGCTATTGCAGGTCTTGCCATGGTTATCATTGGCTTTTCAACCATCACATACCTCATGCGAGGGCATTATGAACGTAAGTTATTCCTTCCTATACCCCTACCATGTCCACTGCTTAACATCCACAGTCTTCTACATGCTGCATTTAGCCATGTTCGTTTTGATTATGATCACAGTCGGAATGCACCGTCCGAGTTTTTCAACCTCAACAGTGATCATCGTGATATTTACTGCCTCTATTTGGACCCTGGACCGCATCATCCGCGGTGCAAAGATAGTCTGGAACTTCTTCGGAAATTCCCTCACTGTCACGGCTTTGCCCAACAATGCCCTTCGGGTAAAACTCAGCCGTCGCATGCACTGCAGTCCGGGTTCCCACGCTTTCTTGTGGGTTCCTGCCGTCCGCTGGATTGAAAGCCATCCCTTCACTCTAGTATCTTCGAACCCATCTGAGTTCGTTATTCGAGTGTACGATGGCTTCACACGGGACTTGTACAAAGCTGCCGTGGAGTCCCCAGGGAGATCTCTACGCTGTTCTGTGGACGGTGCATATGGCCAAGTCCCCAACTTCAGGGTATTTGACAAAGTTGTTCTTGTCGCCGGTGGCAGTGGTGCTAGCTTCACGTTTGCTATTGCACTAGACCTGATCGCAACATCAAACAAGACAGTGAAGTCGATTGATTTTATTTGGGTAGTGAGAAATCGAGGTATGTGAAAGGGTCACGAGGAAACAATATTTTATTACCCACATCAACTAACTCTGTCTCATAGAGAGCCTCGAGTGGTATACCCAAGAACTCAAACAACTTCAGTCTCATCTAGAAGTGAATGTACTCATTCACGTCACTGGCATTTCGTCACCCACATCATCCCCGGACACTTCATTAGAAAAACTGTCTACAAAGAACGATGTAACTCAAACAGAGGATATCATAGTCTTTTCAACAAATGACCCTGAGAAAGGTGGTGCGCAACAGTCCACAGACAATATTTCTTCTTCCATACACCAGATCTTACCAGGGCGCCCGAATATTGGCAACCTGATCAGGACCGCTACCACTGCAAGCAACTCAGATGACCGTATCATTGTCGGCGCCTGTGGCCCTAGTGAGCTTCTTGGTACAACACGGAAGGCTGTTAATAATGAGTTGCATAATGACGGACTATCCATAACACTCTACACTGAGGTAAGTTAACAAGATAACCAGACGAAGAAACTTGACTAACATTCCAACGTAGGAATTTGAATGGTGATATATGATGTTCGAACGATACAATAGCGTTGATGTGTTGGAATTTATATGAATTTTATAGTTAGAGAAGAAAGATGAGAGATCAATTATGTTGCGATTGGAGGCTATTTAGATAGAGAGATTACTTTTACGATTATGCCACAACAGTTCTGCGTTCTAACTGGCTCCGGTCTATATGTAGATATGTAGTTAGTAGGTCTTACAGAACTGTAAATTTTCACGTGCCTGATGTGTGCAAGGGCGCCACAGCCATCGCGGGGCATCCCGGGGTTTGGTATACTTCATATGGATCTTTCATTGATTAGATTTTGCGATTCTAGATTTATTGCGGTGCTATAAATTCTGCATTTATTATTCCTCCAAGCTTAGTGCAGGCTTTACTGCAACATCAATATCTGTCTTTTTATATTCGCTCCTGGGCTATCGAAATTGGCGAGTGTGTGAAACAAGAAACAAGACTGAAGAAAATTAGGTATCTAGTATTGACAGAGATTGACATGTCTATGTATAAACAGGCATATCGAAACAGAGCGGTATATGTTAAAAAAAAGCCAACAGGAAATCACCCTAGCGCTGTGAGAAAATACCAGCTTTGAACCAATAAAAAAGGAAAAGAAATGGCGACCGAAAATAATAAATATATCAAAATGTGCGCAAAATGATATTTTTTCCCATTCAGGCTTGTTCGCTAGCCTTGGCCTCAACCTGAGTCTGAGACAGACTGGGAACGTCTGCGCCCTTCAGGTAGTTCTCGAACTCACCAACCTGTTTGCCACCCTGAACCCAGCGCTCACGATATGCCTCACGTCGCTGTTCAGCCAGCTTGTTCAAAGTAGGCCAGTAGGATGCATGGTCGTAGCGGAATTCAACATCACCACCCACAGACTTCATAAGATGGCTAGGTGGGACGTGTTGACGCAGGTCTTCATTGAACTTGAGCTTCTGTCGGGTATTGGGGTCAATCAAGGGTGTGATCAGTTTGAAGAATCCCCAGATGACGAACGGCACTATGATAAAAAATTAGTAACTTATCATTAGATTGCGCGGAATATGAAATCACTAACCGTTGATCACCAGAGCCCGACCAAGTCTCTCGGGGTAGTGGTTTTGCAAGAAGCCAAGCGTCTGCTTGGCCTGACCCAGGCTTGCGTTTTGGCCAGACTTTGTCTCCTTAAAGTTGACAATTAGGGAAAGAGTGTCTTGGCCAGGTCCCGTGAGATCAATGGCCCGCTCCAGCATGAAGACAAGATGTTCGAGCTGGCGGTCACTCTTCTCCGTATTCTGGTTGGAAGGCAAAAGATACAGACATGGCCGGGCGTGGATATCATAGCCCAAAAGGACCTGCTTGCCCGTTTCATTCTCAATTGAAATATACTCGGGTGTCAATTTCTTCAAGTCATACTCGCGGCGCCATGTGAGGGTGCTCTGGAGCCGTGTCTCGGCCTCTGCGACGTTCCACTTTGTCGCGCGTAGGTAGCGCAGGAGACAGTCGCGGGTCAACCACATCCTCTCATCCTCAGTTATGGGAGACGTCGGGGCATTTTTCTCGGCCTTGGTGGCGACTGTGGTCCATGATAAAGCAGACTTAAGCAAAGTATCGTACTTGGATTTTTGGTCCGGGGTAAGCTCCGCGGGGGGTGTTGGCTTGGCTGTGTCCAGCGGCTTAGCGAAGGGCTTCTGGATGAGGCCGTCTGCGGCGGATGTAGGTAGCTCGAGATCAATTGGCTTCGCAGATGGAGTAGACTCGGGCTTAACGTTCACGGGGGCGGATTCGACCGGTGCCGGTACGTTGGTATCGGGCACGGTATCGCCATTGGTGGGCGCTTGCGCTGTAGCATCTTGTTCTGGGTTCGACATGGTCTTGGATAGGATCTAAGTATCTAATTTTGTAGATTTATAGATTATACAGTGACACGTGGCAATCTAGAGAGTTGAAGAATAAATATAAGGGGCAAGTGAATCACGCATTCTCGCAATGGACAGGTCCACTCCGATCAAATGCTCGAATAATATTACTTCTTTAGGCCGCTTAGGTCAGCAACACGGTCTCACGCGTCTTGCGCGTGTTTGCACTTTCAATGTCCATTGCCCTTCCACGATACACATCTCGCCACAATGGACGCCGAGGCAGAGCTCAATGAGTATTTTGCGGGCTCATTCCCCGATGGAATCCCCAAGGATATCCTTGCCGAGCTCCTTTCCATGCTGCGGGTGCATTCAATCTCCGCGGAGGAGCTCTTCTACAAATGGGAATCATACAGCATAAAGATGGGCGAGGGGGTGACATTGACCATACAAACAGTGCGAGGCTTCAAACAAGATGTCCAAGAAGCGTTGGAGCGTGAAAGTCGCGACAAGGCTGTCCGACACACAGAAAAACGAAGCGCAAACATGGGAACCCCGCGGGGTGCAGGCGCAGCTGGCGGTGATATGTTTGGGATGTTGGATCAATTGACACCAACTGCCTCGAACCGAACTGGGAATGGATTTGGATCCGCAAAGCGCAAGGCCGAGTTCACCTCTCCCGCTACACCAAGAGTCAGCAAGTTCGAAAAGTTTGGATCACAAGCGGGCACAAAAACACCAACTGGAACACCTGGCGATGGAATGCAGTATGTGTTTTTTTCGGTTGTATATTATGTATTGAAGGTGCTGATATCAGGAAAAGAGCAGTTCCGTTCTCCGATCGACCGAATCCTGGCCAGACGGTGGAAACCCTCAATGCGCACCTATCCTTGCCAGAGACCCCAATGGCACCATTTTCCGAGGCGCGCATTAAGCCTACGGCGAATACAGACCTCAAAAAGCTTGGATACAAGCCCATGGGCATGAAATTATCAGAAGCATCGGAGATTTTGGATGATCGTATCGACGAGTTCGCAACTTTATTCCAGGCAGAATTCAATTCAGATGATATTACATTCGGCAGTGCAGCCATCCAAAGCACGAGCGAAATTATTGCAGTTGGACGGATCGCTTCCGACAGTCTCGAGGGAAAACTGAACCCAGCTTCCCTCGTACTCGAGACTTCGCGCCGGACCGGAGCCGGCAGACGAGTCCCCTTGAAGGTGGATTCGGTACCCTCAGTGAACTTCTTCCCAGGCCAAATTGTGGCTCTTCGGGGAATCAACCCTTCTGGTGAATATTTCACTGTCAAGGAAGTGCTCCCAATTCCCCTTATGCCACCAGCGGTATCTTCGGCTATGGCACTGGACAGCATCAATGAGCGACTTGATGCAGATGCGAACACACCGCTTAACATCATGGTTGCGGCTGGGCCCTACACAGCAGATGACAACCTAGACTACGAGCCACTGCAGGAGCTATGTCAGAAGGCAGCCGAGAGCTACGCCGACAGTCTGGTGCTGATGGGACCGTTCCTGGACATTGAGCACCCTCTTCTTGCGTCGGGCGACTTTGACCTGCCAGATATCAAAGGACTCGATCCGGACACAGCTACAATGTCTATAATGTTCCGGCACTGCATCTCAGCACCACTAGCACGACTTGCATCTGCCGTCCCAAGCATCACGATCGTGCTGATTCCGTCTGTGCGTGATGTACTCAGCCGGCACGTATCCTGGCCCCAAGAGCAACTCCCCAGGAAGGACCTGGGTCTGCCTAAGCAGGCCCGCCTGGTCTCGAATCCCGCCACATTATCGTTCAACGAATGCGTCATTGGAATGTGTTCACACGATGTGCTCTCCGAGCTTCGCCGCGAAGAGGTCTTGCATGGTCGGCCCACAGAGGGCAACCTGCTCACCCGTCTGCCCAAGTATCTCATCGAACAACGCCATTTCTTCCCCTTGTTCCCTCCAACTGCACGATCGAATCTTCCAAAGCCCGGGTCCGAAGGTGGTCTGGCTACAGGCGCCATGCTGGATCTGCCCTACATGAAACTGGGCGAGTGGTGGAATGTCCGGCCTGATATTTTAATTGTGCCTAGTATGCTGCCACCTTTCGTAAAGGTATGTTACCCGTAGCCAAGGACTTCCAATTTCAACCTCCGTAATGGTGTTAACCTTATAATCTCTGCAGGTCGTCGACAGTGTGCTAGTCATCAACCCAGGCACCCTATCAAAGCGTCGCGCTGCAGGCTCATACGCCCAAATGGCCGTCCACCCCCGACTAGTGGCAGAAGAAGAGCGGGAGCAAAAACAGCTGAGCCACAACTTGTACGAGCGGGCTCGGGTCGACATCAATCGTATCTAGGGGCATGTATAATCATATCGCATTACGCGCGGCGTTTAAGGCTCAGACTAAGCTAGGTCTGCAGCCATTTGATATTGGCGGTTCTTGGAACAAAATCGCAAATGGAAACGAATCAATGATCTTCAAGATATATCATAACAACAGGATACATCCAACGTGGGTATCATAACAAGGCTACCCAGCCCGAAAAATATGCTCCAGTAAAAAATGCAAGTAACACAAGACACGCATCTACTACTTATACAAGTAGGTAGAAGGCATTCAAAGCACCAGCTCCAGAAAAAGCAAACACGCAAAGGTCTCAGTAAATACTGATCCCCATTACCGCAATCCAATAACCCTACGTCCACCCATCTTCCGCCCAGAATCCCTGACCCTAATAACAGGCGCCCCGGCTGCAGCCGCACCACCCCCACTACCCCGCAGCGTAGCCCCAGGCCCAGAGGTCGCAGCCCCAGCAGCACCAGCACCTCCAGGGCCAGTCAAGGGCCCAGCATCAGGCCCATGTCCCTCACCATTAACGAGCGCCTCGAGACCAAGGTCGCGCCACACAGCCTCCCGTCTCCGTTCCATGGCGCGGGTAATACCGAACGCAGCATGCTGGTCTGGGACGACGTCGTCCTCGTCTTCAGGGTTCGGGGGCTGGTGCTGCGGTGCGACATAGATGTCTTCGATTGGTAGGAAAGATGGGATTGTGGAGGGAGAGGTCGAGCCGTATGTCATGGCGTTTGTGGCTGTGTTTGCTGCTTCACGGTTTGCGGCGGAGGCACTGTTGGCATTATGGGGGTCTGTTGTTGAGTTTGTGGCTGTTGAGGTGTGGGGGCGTGTAAATTCTTCGAAGAGGTCTGCTAGCCGTGGTTGGTGCATGTGTAGGTATGAGGCGGAGGAGTCTTTGCTCTGATTTAGGTGTTAGCTTGGGGTTTGGTGATTTGTCTGGAAAATCCTGGAGGAGGTTTAGAGATGGATATGTACCATTTCGAGGGTGTTTTGATCCCCTTATCAGGATCTTGGAGGATGTGGGAATATTTTGTCAATGGACTTGTTAAGGAAAAAGCTCACTATGGCTTATCGGCATGTAGATGATTGTTGGGGGCAGAATAACCATCGATTGTCTATACCGCTCTTATCACGTGCATAGTATAGTATCCATGGATGCGACATTCCCATGTCCACGATTCCAACGTCGGGACATTCACCCTATCCATGGGTCCATTCAGGGCTTATCACAGTCATACGTCTCTTAAAAAAAAACCAAATCCATATATCGCAAGGATATATGGCTCGTGCTAAAAGAAGAGGGAAAAGAAAAAGACAAAAAAGAAATCGACAGCTCAGAGATTCGAACTCTGGTCCCCGAAGGGACTCGCTTAGCAGGCGAGCGCCTTAACCACTCGGCCAAACTGCCGTATTTGATTGGTTGTGCATTTCCACATACATTCATAAAATGTCAAATGATGTAGCTCCAAGGTTTTCAAGCATGTATATACTTCGAGGACGAGCACTAAGAAGGTGGGTTGGTATTCGTGGGGGCTGAGGCTAAAGGATTTGTCTAACTGCACAACTGCTACGGAACGAGACTGAAAATATTACCTTTGCAAACCCATAGGGGGGAAGGAATTATGCGCACTCTCATCGCCATGGGTAGTAGGAATCAATTTTAACTAGCAGTCAGGTTGACTGATAGCTTCTTTTGTGGCCAATTTCTCAGCAATGTACTCACTCTAAGCTTGCTATTGACCCTTGTCTGTTAACCATTTGACCTCGTTGGTTCCGAATACCCTCGAGATTTTCAACCTACAAAATCTTCTGCCTGCAAATGGCCATGCATGTCCATCCATTTGTAGACACAGTAAGAACTCCGATCCTCTGCTGTCACACGCTGTACCATGTTGGGCTCACTGTAGGATCCATGGGATCCTACTGTCCTCATGTCGATGTCTGTTTCTCCAGGTGACAGTTCGTATGATATCGTAGCCAGGTAGCTTTACTACAGAGTCTAAACATAATCATCGAATGTATACACCTCCAGTGCTCATTACCTATGAAATTTTCCAATATAAAACTGGGAACTTCGAGTATCTATTCCCCTGTCGCATCCTCTGTCCTCGAGCCGTTTTATGTGTCCAAATTCACTATCTAGAATCGTTGTCAAGCAAAAGGAAGGTGTGCAAACAACTAGGGGGTATCAAGAAACAACCACGGTCCAGCCTAGTTCTAGCGACATCGGTCGAGTTGTGGTACCCAGGCGCCAATTGCTAAGGGTGAGTAGCCGAGCAGGTGTCAAGTTTGAACGTCGAGGGCATCAAGGTCGAGGGCCAGATCATTAACATTAGAGCCAGCACAAGGAGAGAAGCCTTTGGTGGACGTAAACGCGATTCAAATGGATCTCTACATAATATTCCAAGAAATATCTGTTCATCACAACACAAAGCTAGCTATGTAAACAAGATGATAGCACAGGACGCGTTGCTATGGACCACACTACACACAGGGACTTGTAAACAATTTTTTCTTCTCCAAGCGCCCGGACAAGCCGAGCAATTGATGAAAAAAAGAAATTAGTCGCATCATTCGGGGGTAGTGTGAGCCTAAAAATACGGTGTGGCATGACATATGCTTAGGCACAGCTAACAGTCCACGAGGTTCAAAAATTATGTAGGCGAGGGATATAGCCTGTTCCGCAGAAGAAAAGCAAAAGTGGAGCCTGCTGCAGTGGTGGGCCCAATTTATACCCCAGGATTCGGATTATATATAGTCCGGCACGCCACATCTTTTAGGTGCGGTACTGTGAATGGAGTACCCCGTAGTATCTACATTATCGAACCCCCGTGTCTGGGATTTCAGAACCATTTTCTATTGGTGATGGAGCAGCCAATATTCTTTGCACAGTCAAGTCTCCTCATCCAACCAGCATCCTTAGGCTCCTTGTCAACATGTGTTTACAATAAGAGGCTTATAATCACGTGATATGGTATCTGAAGAAACAATTATGTAATTCAAAATATCGGGAGATAAGGTAGCCAGGACACGTTGCTATGTAAGAAGAATTGAAGCTCTTCTCAAAACGCCCAGACAAGCTGAACGGTTGATGAAAAGTGGTTCGCGTCCTTCGGGGGTAGTGTGGGCCCAATGACACAGTGAGGCATGACATGTACAAAAGCACAGCCTAGCCTCGAGGTTCAAAAATTTGGGGGTGAATTTGAAAAGAATTAAAAAGAATTCACCCACCAGGAGGTACTACACTGGGGAGCAAGAAAGAAAGAGAAGGACTGCTCCAGGAGGTGGGACCGATATGTACCCCAGATCTCGGGATATATATAGTCCGGGGTTCTGGGTTTATCCGATCGTGAGGCTCTGAAGCACGAGGCTGCCCCAAGACTTCTAAGGTTGGTAAGATCGCGATTGGAGACAGCCCTGCAGGGCAAGACTGGAATCACCACGAGCATTTATTGTAGATAATACATTTTTCACTTCCAGGGTTATCTCGAGGTTCAGAAATACATACATATAAGTTTAATAAATAAAAAATAAAAATAAAAATGAATCGACAGCTCAGAGATTCGAACTCTGGTCCCCGAAGGGACTCGCTTAGCAGGCGAGCGCCTTAACCACTCGGCCAAACTGCCGTATTTGATATAAGATGAACAGTCGGTTTGTATTATCAAGGATATATCTTAGGCTGGCTAAGATAACTATACATGTGTGGTCAAAATGTAGTAAACTGATCATTTCTTGATTGTTATATTATATGAAGAATCGTGTACAAGATATACCTAATTAGGTATAGGAAATATCGGAAGAGACTTTATCCGAGTGGATGTCTGCAAAAAGATGAGAAAATGCTAGGAGATACATAGTACGTTCGTCAAGATTAAGAAAGTGGACAGAGGTCGCTTTGTATGTGAGTTTCGTGGGCGGGGGTATCGGGTATGATTTTTGTAACTTCGGTCTTGTGTATTTCTATCAATATTGGTGGTTAATTTGTTGCATGCGTTGGGATATGCTGTTGACTTGGAGATATATATATCTCCTCCCCATACGCACTCGCTACAGAGTAATTTAACTTAAAAAGTAACCCTCATGGCACATCTTCAACCATCTGCCGTAAGAATAGTCGGCCGTATATGCAGCATTCATATACAAGCAGCGTAGTAATATCACACACCAAACTTCCAATATTGGAATGGATAGATGGATCCAAGGCTGGGATGATATAAGGGATGTTATTTCAAGATTCTCCTACAATGTCTTTTTGGATGACAATGCCCCCACCGATCGGCATTATAGCTAGCCAGAAGGAAAAGTCAACTCAGTCACATGGTGCAAAAAGCGTATGCGCAAAGTAAGGTTCCCATATATAAAATGGGATTGCTATAGTGACATCGAAGTAGTTATGGCAAAATGCCCACATACATGTATACACCTAGCTGGCCACCATTATCCCCACTGACTCTATCATATAGGATCCCAGTACTGTCAATGCTACAACACGCAGGCTCGACAAGAGCTCGAAATTGACTGTATAGAGGAATATATACAATCCTGCATCTTCATTGGCTGCATCATCTGACACCATATACATATCAGGTGGCTTTACTCCGTAATTCCCCGGGAAAATCTAATAATTAATTAAACGCACTACTCCGTAGACAAAACCTAATACCCGACTTTACGCGCGCCCCGACTCCAATCGAGCCGAGTACGTGTTTCAACCTGCTTCAAAATTAACGAGCTGGTTTCTGTAAATACAATGTAGTTCTTATCGAGTGGCAATCTTTCATCAAGCGGCAGTTTGGCCGAGTGGTTAAGGCGCTCGCCTGCTAAGCGAGTCCCTTCGGGGACCAGAGTTCGAATCTCTGAGCTGTCGATTTCTTTTTTGTCATTTCTTTTTGCCATTGTTAGTTATACTCGGAACTGGGGATTTATTGGTGTAATTATTGGTTGTGTTGTGTAGCGGCAATTTTGTTTGCTTTTTTGAGTTTATGCATATCTTCGCCAACTCTAGTATATCGATGCATCCCTGTTGTCAATTTATACCTACATCGTACATATGTAGGTACCTCTACTTGACAAGACCTAAGGCGAAGGAGGTATTTTAGCAAATAAGATTGTAAATTAATCGAGATGAGGAGTGAGGGTTGCAAACAGGTATACTCCAATGGCATTTGGTGATGGTGTATACAAATAGCCAGGTACGTCCACAGAAGGATGGGAAATGGGAGTCATTTCTGTCAAACCATGAATAAATATAAGAGATCTATTGTCTATTGAATTGTGCTCCAATATCACCAAGTGTTGGGTGTCCAATGCACGGCAAACCCGAAATCCAACGAGTAAAACAAGTGTAACGCGACAGAATATGTATACACCTACACAACCAGGCAAACAAGCCAACGAGGACTGCAAAAAGAAAAAAAAAGTAACGAAAGAGAAAAAGAAAAACACTGGAAATCACGACGCCTATGCAGTCGGAAACCGTTTCATTGCTTTTAAAGATTACAGTGTGATACGCTCCAGATTCATGACCATGTTGCAGAAAAGCGAAGAAATTCAATGTTGATATCAGAGATTTGTCACCATACGGTGGACGATCGGGACCGCACTGGGAGGGAGACTGCCCATCTCAGTGATGACCATATCAACGTACTCGGCAGGTGTAACATCGTACATGATGTTAAGTAGCTGCAGGTTGGGCGTGTCGTGCCAGTTCGCAAGAGGCGACGACGAGGTCTTGTGTGGGACAACAGGGGACTCGGGAGCCGGGGCGCGGGCTCCGCCCTTCTTATTCTCAGGCGGAGGGGGGACATAGGCATCCGCTGGGTCGCGAACGACGAGGGAGACAGGAGTGCCCATGGGCAGGAGCTCGTTGGCGTCAGCAATCTCGTTAACGACGATGCTGTCGAGGGCAACGCGGTCGGTGAACTTAATGGTCTCGCAGCAGACAATAACGGGGATTTCGACACCGCTGGCGCGCTCCTTGGCGGACATAGCGACGAGAGCAGTGCCAACGCGAGAGTACAAACCGCCATTACTGGTCATGGCGTGAGCACCGAGGAAGACTTTTGTGGCGTCCTTGACGGCGTGGGTGATAGCGTGGACGAGGGAGTATTGGACATCGAGTCCGCTGTTGGCGAGATCGCGAGCGAGGCTTTTGCCTTCGAAAAGGGGCCGTGAATCGATGATTGAGACGCGGAACCGCTTGCCTTGGTTGTGTGCTAGCAAAAGTGTATGCTTGACGATGCTGCTACCGCCAAATGTCACGATCACGTCGCCGTCTTGGACCTTCTGTGCTGCGCTGTCTGCAATCACCTGGTCGGCGACGGTAATCTTCTCTCGGATAAAGCTGTCAATGTATTCGCAGAGTGAGATCTTTGCGCTCGCCTCGGGGGTAGAGGGATCAATGCCGGCAATGAAGAGCTTCAAGGCACGGATAGCATTTCCCTGGCTGATGGAGAGGGGTCGGCATGTCGAGAGGTAGGTGATTTGGTACGAGAGGTGTGTTGTCAGGTGGCGAGCCAGCGAGGTGCCGATGGGGGTTGTGTAAGATTCAATGACCTTTAGCAAGCGACTTGTCAGCATACATAGCCATAGCCATCTCTTATCGGGATGAAACAAAAAGAAAAACATACTCGTTTAAAAGCAATCAACGTTGCCACGCAACGCGCACTGCTGCCGCAGATAGTGTAGTCCATCAACTGCATGCCCAAGGCTAGGATGGCAGGGTGTACTTCCTTTGTAGCACCGGCGACCGTGACGCGGCGCTGTTGTCCGTACAAATGTCCAAAGACCGCAACCTTCTTATCATCCTTCTTTTTCTTTTGCTCCACGAGAACGGAACCTGTCTGCGCGAGGGGACCTGAGCCACGGCGCGGGGGCGGCGCTCGCGGTCCCTTCTGTGCAGAGCCAGCATTGGTAGCGTCCTTCTTTGGTGTAGGTGGTGGACGAGCCTGGGCTCCGGCACCAGGAGTGGGAGTGGTACTGGCGACGGCACCTCCTTCCTTCTCAAGTTTCTCTCGGATACGTCGGGCAGCCTTCTCGGCCTTGGCTTTCTTCTTCAGCTCGGCCGGGGTAAGCGCCTTATCTGTGGCGCCGTCTGTGGACGCGGGCGCATCTTCAGTGGGCTTGGTGGGTTTTGAGTCGCGGATCGGGAGAGCCTTCGGAGAGTTTTCGGTCGCGGGTTGAGCTTGCCCTGGTGCCGATGGGGCAGAAGCTGAGGCTTGCGCGATCGGCGCTGGACCGGAGGGTTCCGCCATCTTGTCTGTGAATTAATTCTCGTGTGAGGGTGGATCCGTGAAGGTGGTGGGGAGGAGGAGGGAGGGTTGACTCACTGAAAAAGAAATGATGCCATAAGCGGCCCACTAGCCCTAATATGCATTTCATCGCGGAGTACAATGAACAATGTGTATAATTATTGAATTGTTCTTAAGTAACTCTCAGCTTCTATTCAGCTGAATACTTGGCTTGGAACAGCAATAATTTACTACTTCTAATCAAATGACATGGCCTCCATATAAGAGTGCAGCCTGAAAGAAAGCCGTGATACCCAATAAGTAGGGCGGTTGGCATGAAACATGCATAACATCAGGTGTCTCATTATTCATCGCAGGGGGTCGCTATAACAGAAATAAGTACACAGGCCAAAACTAGTCTGGTCCCAATTCAAACAAGGAAGTCCGAACAAAGACTTCAAACATTCCGAAGGGCGTCGCAGAAGCGCAGACAAAGATATCGCCTCCAACACCATTTAGTCCCTGTACACCCAAAAGATAAAAATAAACACATATCCACATATTAACGATTGTTGGAAATGGTTCCCAGGGCCCGCCGTTTCCGAGTCGTATGCTCCTCAACCGGACGGAACCGTTCATGGTCTGTGGCTAGCTTCCTCTTGAAGACACTCAGATCACCAAGAAGATCATGCATGTAATTTTGCATCTGCTGGGCCTCTTGATCGCTGACATCATCGGTGATAATATAATCATCTTCCCAGACGTCCATGTCAGATTCGGCATCTGATACCAAAGGAGAGCCTTCGCGGTCTTCTGGATCATGACTGGGTGGTTGATTCTCATCATTCATGGAAATAATGCTAGGCTTTCGCTGCTCGAGGGTAATGGCTGGGATTGGGTTTTTGAGGCTGTCAACGGCTAGCTTCAGATGCATGCGCAAAGCGTCGTTTTCTGTTTGCAGTTGTCGAATCTTGCATTCGCTGACCATCTTATTCTCCTCCATGAGACGTTGCATTTTCTCGACTTTCTGCTGGTACTCTTCAAGCCTTTCATCGGCAGCCTCGCTTGCACGCTGGTGGAGTGCTGCTTGGCTCACGCTGAGTTGAAGGGTGCGAATTGTCTCTGTCATCTCCGCAATTTGTTGATCACGCTCAGCTGCCGACATTTGATCTTGGTTGACCCGTGCCCGTGTCCGAATATTCTTGGCCTGGTCCGCATAACGAAGGGTCGAAAGTGTCTCTTCATAGTCGGCAGGTGCGATACAGGCAATCATCGCAGTCTTGGAGTTGCCACCTAGACTGTCCTTCAATAGCCAGGTCAGGATCGAGTCGCGGTATGGTACTAGTTCTTTGCCCTTTCGTGGGCCGCGGAGTTTCTTGGTATCTGCGAGCGCTGCAATGACACGTCCTAGCGTAGTCAAAGACTTGTTGATATTTGCACCTTCACGAAGTCTAGCGCCAGTTGCTTCGGTAGATTTGGCACGTTCGGAACCTGCGAGATCGACCAACCGAATCCGAGCAGTGCGCTCAGTCGTTTCATCTGTTGACAAGTCGTGATGGATCTGTTTTAAAGTGATGGTAAAGACCGAGTGAGATCGAGAAGAAGTGTCGTTCATCTTTGTGCTAGCGGTGGTTCGTGAGACGTCACCCTTTCGCATAAACTTCATTAATTCAGTGTAATTCCTTGCAGTAACCTCCGTCAGATCTTTGACATATGGACCCTCTGACGGCGATTCGCGAATGCGGAGGTAATGCGGGGGATCTGTTCGTGGGACCAACAGATCACGAACATGCTCGTTGTATACTTCGAAATAAGACACTCGGACATTGTAGCTGATATCGGGAGAAGGAGAGTTCTCAATACGCTGGAACAGATCCTCGCACGTTCGAGGAATCAAGCCGGGCCTTTCTGGTGTTCCCATCATCGTGTAACTCTTTCCTGAACCTGTCTGTCCGTATGCGAAGATACAAGTGTGGTATCCTTCGAAGTTGTGATCCAGGAACTCCTCACCGAGGGAGTTGTACACATCTTCCTGGTGTGCGTAATGTTCATCCTCCTCATTGTGGGACCAAAACGAGTTATCGAATGTAAAAGATTTATTTTCCAAGATCTTGCCGCGGGCCTGTGACTTTGGCTTTCCCTGGTCGCCGGGTTTCGGTTTCGGAGCTTGAAGACATGTCACCTGTGTGCGGGGGTTCATAGAAATTAAGCATTCTGCCTTGCGATCGATTTCTGCAATATGAGGTCAGAATACACTCTCCTCGGTAGTACCGCACCTCCCCGCATCGCCCCCAAACAACACTTACCTCGAGGTAAGAACTTCCTTACTCGCACAACGACGCGCACATTTCCTCCTGGTGTCGGGCTAGCCATTCCATCTCTGGTATTGGATATTGCGAAACCCTCTCGCGCGCGGAAGGACGGACTTGAAGCTGTGGATCGGAGGATGGCGGCGGAAGCGGAGGTGGAGATAATGCTGGGTGAAGTGATTCCCGTGGCGGCCGATATATCGGAAGAAGCGGCCGAGGATATCGAGCCTGGGCCCGGATGGCCGATGTGGTGATAGAAGCGCGGATCTAGCGCCATGTCCCTACTACTATCGCTCAATAGCTGCACACAAGTGGTGACGGCGTCGCGTCGTCGATCAAGAAGAGAATGGTACATGCAATGGGATTTACATGCAACGGGATTGACAAAAGGGAAACAAATGATTGGATTGGAAGAGGGAATAATATGTAGGCTGGAATGAGTGAAAGGGGGGTCGGTACTGTTGCGCGTTGTTTCCCTGGGGAAATTCAGTTCATTGTAAACAGTTTTAAATCTGTAGCATATTATTGTGAGGAAAGAATGTAATATATATAAAAAGAAAGAACGAAGTTGAAAATTGGAATTGAAATTGAAGGAAAATAATAGTAACAGTGATGGTTTCCCAAGGTTCTACGACATCAAGTTGTCACCGTCTATAACGTCCTGTTGCCATAGCAATGGCCCGCTAACTCCACCATATATACTTGCTATCTCTACTGAAACCTATTGAAACATATTATTGAAACCTGCAGTAGATCATTTTTTCAACTGCTTTGATTTAAAAAAAATAAATATTATAATTATTTGATTTTCATTCAACACATGTGGAAAACCCTTTCGCATTCAAGTTGTTCGATTCTCCCCGATATAGACTAACCGCAATGCACATGGACGATTCTTCAATGTTCAAACTCTGAAGTATCTGCGTTCATAGCCTCAAACAAGTCGGTATCCTCGTCAGGTTGTTTTCTCGTAGGGCCCCAGCTTGCGTCGGGTACTGGGTTGCCAGCGGAGTCCATGTGTTCACTCAAAAGTTCAGAAGGGCCCATGTCGCTGTGAGAGGCTTTTTGTGTAGCGTGGGTCCTAGCTCTGTTGCCAGGAGCTTCTTGGCCTCGGTTTTGGTTTTGGCCTTGATCCTTAGGCATAGTGTCTTCATAATGTTAGCAAGAGTTCTATAGAGCGTCGCAACCCCCATCGTCATCTCCAGACGCTCTTCTCACACATAAGGCCAAGGAAATAGCATACCAATTGTTCTTTGATTATGTTTAGTTTTTCGCTTGGTTTGTATGATAAGGTGTCTTAGCATCTACATAGAACTGTTCCTATTTATGAGATTGAAGGTGGTGGCAATGATTTGATCATGACGATGACATTCACCACCACCTTGGGTCCTCTTCTCCGCACTTGCCATTCAGATGCATCTAGTTGTGCCACTGATTCTATTATGTTCTGAATTTAATTTAGCCTGAGCCAGTCAATTGATGCTTGTTGTGGGCCGTGGTTATTTTGAGGCAATTTATGGTTATTGATTGTATGGACATGCCGTCACAGCTTTTTTGCCACGCAGCTTTATTTTTATTGTCACTTTTGGTATATCCCACGGATAGTACCTTCTTTATCCATCCTTTTCGTGGCGATCGAAGCGCATTGATCCTGTTGGCCTAGTAACTACCCTGGTTGAGGGTGTTACCAACTGCAACCGGTTATGTGCAGGCGAAAGCAGTGCATATGAGCTGTTGAAACCTATAAGCTTCTGAATAAGCCACCAAGCCTCCTGAGAAAACATTACCTTTGATGTCTTCCGAGGTTAGTGAGGCCCTAGAATGAACTATAGAACGGACTATATGACGTCGAGATATCACTTGCGACGATCTAATATTTGCGGGGCCCCGGTATTTGCATGTGGCAATATATCTGGCAAAACTATGGGCGGTTGTTTTGGCGGTAACATTGGGAATTCTATGAGAAAATGAAAGAATTTATCTCTAAAAGCTTTTATAGAGATAAAAGATGCTACATGTTGCTAACTGTTCCATAATTTTTTTTAAGCAAGTTTGCCTAAGACAATTTTCTCATCTGGCCTGACCCTAAAGATTGGGTATTTCATATTTGGGAGTTCCTACAGGCTTTATACAAACACATCAGAAATCTAACCAAATTGAATCACCGTACATTTCCTAAAATATGCTCAATTATAGTGATACCTCTTCTCTGAATCTGCAAACCATTTACTTTGTTCATTAGGTAAATTTCAAGAAAGCTTGTCATTGAGGCTCTCAATGCCACCGAATCATACCTTATTTGATCCATCCACCACCGAAAGAAGTTTGTGCAACTTTGCTCCAAAAGCCACCTTCTCCTTTTTGGGCCTGATAAATTTCAGCTTTCAGTACAGGGTTGATTCCCTTCTTTCGCATCTTTTCTTGCTTCTCGAGAGGAATTTGATGAACTGGATGATCGGGTCCAGGTTTTTCATTGGGGTCATATGGCTTAGAAGGGGTAATTCCCCATTTCAACGCAGGATCTGGTAGGGATTCTTTTGGCTTTTCAAAAGCTGATGACTGCGATTCGGTCTTTTTCGATTTTCCAAACATAGTTTTAGTCTAGCCAGATAAGACGTGATATAATAGTCGACTTCGAAACTAGATGGGCTTGTGTCAATATTGTAGTTGGAAGGCGAGGTGATTTTGTAGAGAGAGAGAGAATTGTCTTTGCAGAGACTCTTACGAACTATTTATGTGTATTAACTCATAGTAGGGGGCTAAAACTACTTAGCGCCAAACGTTGACCTCATCGCCCCAAGAATGCGCCAAAAACAAGGCCGCCACAAATCAAGTTTAATGAAAATCACGTCCGAATATAGAAAGATATGCGATACAGACGTTTGTGTGGGCATATGAATTCAAGAAATGCTGCCTCACCTAGTGAAGGGTTATTTACTTATTTACTGTTGCCTATGTTGAGAGGTTCGTACCTGATATTCCAAGTGGCTTGCGGCATGGCTTGCGGCCCGATCCGGCTAAAATCAAGGTTGTTGAAACTTCCGAGGTTACTCGATATTTTGAACTTGTAGCTATTTATTTTTTTATAAGCCGATGTTGTGTGTCAATTTAGAGGCTTTAACTTCAACATGGATGTTGTCGGGTTCCACATATCTCCTGGGGTGTTCATAGTGAATTCGAGGTACACTATTGCATTTTACCTACTCCGAGTTCTCCCCACTAATGTAAAAGTCATTTCGTTTCAGTATTCTATATAGGCTTGAGATTGATGGCCATTAAATCCGTGCTTGGTCTTCCTTCTCTTTTCCTCGTTTAAACCAGGGGCCGGTTTGTACGGGTGCCTATCTAGGTACACGAAAAGGTACATATAATGTTATGTCCATTTCCCGTAGGGTTTGCCGAGTCGTCCTGCTTGCAGTCATCCTCGTTGAAGTCCTTGTGTTGATCACCATAGTTCATATATCCATCAGTACTACCGCTCGTATGGGTGCTGTAAGTCAGAGCCAGCATAATTAGCATGTTGTCCCTAAATGGGTGGCGATAATGGAGAGCAGTATTACCAGATGGAGTTCGGTAACTGTGAATCGTAGCAATGATCGCCTGAGTGCCAGATCTTATTGCATTCTGTAGTGAGGGTATCCTTTCGGCCGTCACCGTAGTCAAGTTCCACACCACAAGTGTGCGAGTTATCGCCGCCAACAACGGGGTTCTATTCAACAAGTCAATTAACTATAAATCAGAGATAGGTTGTTTCAACTCACTTGACCGAGACGCTCCCAGAGTTCGAGAGTGCAGGTTCTATCGCGAGGCACCACGGCGGCAGCAGAAGTGCCTACCAATAAGGCAGGAAGAACAGCAAGTAGTATAGAGAGCATTTTGATTGCTGACTAAATTGATTTGAAAGTGCAATAGCTTAAGAGAAATAAGATAGAAGACTGGATTGAAATTTTGGAATGGTGAGAGGGTGAATTCTTATATAGTTACTTGAAGCTCATGTTGTAAGGTCGTTCTTTCCTTTCCGGCCCCCTACTCAAATGATGTCACAAATTTGGCATAGCCCCAGGGGCCCTGCTTAGTTCCTGAGCTACCTCCAGGGCTATTATGCCCATACCTGTGATATCATTCATCCTCTCAGTTCAGCCCCCATAACTTGGCTTCTCCCGGAAAACACCCAAGGTGACATTCGCTTGGAGACATACCCCACTTCAATCAAAATATTCCAAGAATCAGGAAGACTTTACTGTTTATTTTGATCGAAGTTGAGTATATCCCCGTAGCTCATGTGTTTTCGGGGGCCAAAAGCCAAAACTTGGAGGAACCCCTGTCAGGAATACCAGAAGAGTGCCAAATCGAGGCCCGGAAGGATTCGAGGCTGATCAGTAGAACATTTGAAACTATTGTTCGCCCGATAACTTCTCATTACAACCTACGACGTGGGCTCAGTGGGCTTAAATCTACATAACACCTGCAACAGAGTCATACGGACATCCTGGCTACAGCTGGGTGTGCGCTCGGGGTATGTTCTTCTGCATTGAAGAATAAAAGCGTAGTCCGGCATCGGAAACTGTCCCGAGTAATCACCTTCAAAGCGGTTACTCAACGGGAATAAATAGAATGGTCCTGTGTCATTGAGAAATGGCACAAAGCTAAGACCTGGGAACAATTTGCGGAAAAGACCCAGCAAAGCGAGGGAGACCGTCAGTCACTGCATGACCCTTCTAAGTTTACCTCATAGCAAGAAGTGGAAAATCGAAGACCTCGGCCGTCCTCATGTGTTCATGATTGCTCCGCGATGAGTTGTTGTCGCTTCTGAGCTGGGCCAAACAATTTTGGTTGAACGACGAGGAGACTCTGGGTGTCCGTGGTGATATGATTCTTGTCCTTCCTTCCGGACTAAACCATCGACGCCTTCATTATCTTGCTGAAACCAGCATGTCTCAGGTGAGTCCCCTTTGGAACTCTTATTGAGGGCGAGGAGTCGGTCACCGCGTGACACGGTGCCGTTACGGCCTTCCATACTAGTTGTATTCTTGCGGCTGAAGAATTCCTTAAATAAGGAGTTGAAGGCTATGGTGCTCACTGATACGCGCAGTTCAATTCAACTTCTATCCACTACATGCATTGAGTGCTTTTTTCAATTCAAGATTCCAAATATAGTCTCTTTACCATGAGCTCCATTTATACTAAGCTTGATTTCATCTATTGTGACAGAATAGAATGTAGGTGCAGGAGTTTGTATAGAAACTAGAAATGACCAAGTGAAATATATCTAAAGGTGAGACTGGACTAAGATGGAAATGATAGGATATGAATGGGTTGAGACACAAGTAAACAGGAGAGTTCTATATCATGGCGGTCAAAAAAGATTACCATATGGCCTGCATATCCGGGCTAACCTTATTTGGACTGGGCTGTTTGAACTGCCTCTCATAGTTCCACCTGAGACCTAGCAATGTTTACATAGCACCTGCACTCACAAGTTTCCAGAGCCATGAAGTGTCTTAAAATGTGAATCCGTTCAAATTAGTTCCGCAGGGGAATCAATTTCAACCAAGATCGTATCAGACAGCGATACGATCGTAGAAGAAAGTAGAGAACAAGAGAGAGCAAGAGATCTACCTAGTCTGGTCCTGTTACATGGATACCTCATTCCAGCAAAGTACATTCTCAACTGGAGAGGTCCCTAATGCAACGCTCAAGAACTCGATGGCGTATTCTTATTCAAATAATACGCAATGTGGGGGCCCATTGTGGTGAAATCCGATATACAGTCAGTGGGCATATGTTTTGAACACACCTATTGCCCCACATAGCTCACCGCCCGTATAAGAATATACCGCCTACCTAAAACGTATAGGAAAGCTATATATGCGACACTACAAAGGGTATTTTGTTGGCTACTGCGCAGCAGACATGTGGTAAATCAAAGTATATTATCAAGATTATCTCTGTGAGATGATGCTGCACCGGATGGAAGCTCTTATTGAAAGCCAGGGGCTGTATACACCATACTAGATTCATAGTATGAAGGTTTTTGACTGGCATTATATTATATAATCAAGGGGGTGTGGGGCCAGGTGTTAAAAACTTATGTCCAGTCACTGTACGGAGTAGTCCGACGCTTATCACAGCCAATCATCATACACATTAGGAACATGACTCATACAATATAATTAGAGTCTGAGTTCTGAATGGAGCTGTGCGCAATTATATGAATCGAATGACCCAAAGGGCACGATGTGGAATTGGACGACAGGGGTGTGAGATCTCGGTGGAGGCCAACCCTGGGCAGATCCATGTAGTGCTTCGAAACCCTAGTCATTTATATTAGAAGAATTGGATAGCTCTCCGAGTTTAGTACCTCCTTGTGACCCGATGCTTCAAGCACTTCAACTTCGTTAGATGCTTCCTATAGAGTTATATTCGTAGGCTTAAATACCTGCATTAGAAACATGTATTAACATTGATATACGCACAATATGCATATCTAACTTTAAATCTTAAATCTACTCAATCTCTATAACACCAGAACAAGGTATAACCAACATCACTGACCAGCCTCGCGGATCTATTTCGCCGGGGCAGCCTTCCAGAACAACCACGCAATGGCAGCAACAAACTTCATACCAGCAGCCATCCACAGGGCAGATTGCATACCACCACTGCTACGACTCAACCAACCACCGACAATAGCACCGATAAGCAGAGACACAACGCCGCCAATACGACGGTTGCGCTTAGCATTTGCAGTCGGCTTATCAATGATCTTCGGGTCGGAAGCAATATCAAAGTAAACACTCGTCAAGACCACGGTCGGGATCTCATTGTAGCCCAACGCACGACTGCATGTCATTCCGCCAGCGGATTGGAAGGCCAGCAGGCCGATAGGGATCAACTCGAGGAAAAGCGAGCCGCCGGTTAGGGTGGCGTCAGAGGAGGTGTGGGGGATGAGGTCGGCTTCGATTAATGCGACGGCGATGATGATGAGGATGGTCTGCACGAAGAACGAAATAAACATGGTTCCGCGACGGAGGGCGCCGACGCTGCGCATTGCGATCGAGAAGATCATCGCGCCGAAAAAGAAGGATGAGATCGAGACAAAGGACTTGAGCCAGCCCCATGGCTTGTTGTTTGGTTGATTGGAGGCGCCGAGACCGAGGAAAATGGTGTTTCCTGTTTTGAGGAGGGGTTGTTAGTTTGTTTTGATCTTGTGTTTCGGGGTTTTTTGTTGCTTTGTTTTGGTGACCCCCCTTTGCGGGGGAGCGATGGCTAGGATTCGTACCAGTTTGCATTCCAAGGAAACAGGACCACGCATTATAAGCGCTACTATCGCATAGACCGGTGAGAAAAGTGAGCATCAGACAGACCAAGTCTGCGTGTGTGGGTGTCAGATTCTCCTTCCATCGTTGGGCGACGCTGGACTGTTTGGCGGGGATGCCGGGGGCTTCGAGGTCTGGTGAGGACGAGGGCGGTGTTTTCTCCATTTTGGCGGGATAGTGTGAAAGTGTACTCCGGGAGTACAGGGTAATAAATAGATCGAGATCACAGGTAAAAGCCGTAGTACAGAATTTTCGCGTTCCTGAACGGCACGAGGCGACTTCCGAGGGAAAAGTTAATTTTCGGGGTTTGGTCCGATTGCGGTCCCTTTCACCTGCAAGTAGACAAACTAGTACGGAGTAGAATTGTCTGCAGGATATCCTCAGGTCTATATAATATTGCCAATATTTGAATATTACAACTAATCCCTTTTTGAATTTGGCTGCCTGAAAGCTCAGCACGCAATAATAGTGGATAACTAGTCGAGTAGTCTCGGATAGGGCTGAATTAAGGTAAGGATAGCCACATACTCTCTATAGTACACTGTAGGTACTAGTATAGCCTAAGAATCGCTGGTTACACTTGAGTCATACAAACAAATATAGATTCTTCTGTTACAGTTTATTCTACGTGTGACAGAAGTGATGATAGACAGCCGTATCACCTTGAAACCCTGAATTTCGCCAAGAACTAGCGGAGAAAGCCACACTCCTTGATGGTTGCATCCATATGCCCGTATGCAAGAGTTAACCTAGAGCATAGAAGCGAAGACAAGGATGCGTGTTAAAAGCCCGCTCTATGTCAATTGATGTAGTGGAGAGTTGCAAAAATTGCCGAATCACCAGCAAAATGTAAGCCTCGTGCTTTTGTAATATGTAACTAGTGCATCGCCTCAGTTTCCGTGAGGAGAATCTCATTTTTACCCAAGGAGTAGTCATGTAAATCACGATAAGCCGGGCCATGCTATGCACAATCCCAGTAAGTATCTCACATCTAATGCAGCCACCGTTTTAGCCAAGAAACCGCTGCATTCCTCACCCCCTCCCTCTAGCCCCTTTTATTTCAGCTTCATTATCCCGATTCACTCTGATATAAAATGCATGTTCCAACCCGGGAGTTACTGATAATGATAGCGCGATCTCCTTCAGATCTGGTGCGAATTCACATGATGAATTCCAAGCGCCATGATCTGCAGTAAGATACCAAGACGCTAGATGCCGCCGTAAGCCGAAATGAGTTCCCAGGTGAACATTGATATGCAGTCCACCAAGTGCCAGGAGCTTGGCAGAGGAGATGTTTTCGGGCTTGCGGACGTTTTTGTTGTTATCTTCTGTGAAACTGAGGGGATCTGGCCAATGTGTTTTCCTCAGCCGTCTCGAGGTGTTACATTGCAGTATTTACATTTTCCTCGGCAGTAGAGGAAAGTTTGCTTTTCATCTGGTTAAATCGCTTTTTCTTGATGTCGGCATTTGTACTTTGTGATTAATTTGCCTTTTGGTTTTTATCTACCAATGTTGAGGTAGTCTTTCTGCGTAAGGCAAGGCGGATAGGTCCCCTGCTTCCACTAAGCCATAACAACAACGACACCCAAGATGAATATACCAGTCCGCACGCCAATGATAACAATAAAGGCAAGAAGAATGATAAGCCACCCTTGGCAAAATAATTCACGAGAAGCACTCCGACAACCGAGCCCAAAGGGGTAGCTTCTCAAAGGGGTAGCCAAGCAAAGGACCTCCCGCTGTAGATGTCCCAAGTACGCTGAAGAAGTCTTCCCCCACCTATGATCCCTAGGCCAATTATCGTGTGCTGATAAAAAATGAAGTCGGGAGATCGGCATTTATTGCGCTACCGAGGAACTTAAAGCCAAGCTTCCGACAACGGACCGCTTGCCCCGTAGCCTATCGTTAGTTCAAGATACTTGATTTACAACACTCCAAGCCGGAGACCCTTATTTTCCTGGTTGACACTGTCAGCAGAGACGGGGCTAGCCTCCGATACCTTTTGCACGAAAAAAAAAATTGATAAGAACTCGTAACTTGTGGATAACGATCTGATTGATAGTAAATGCCACACATTATTTCTCCAGATCTATATTATTCTCTCGAATTAGCTTCTCTTCCTTGTCTCCAGGGAGGGAGGGCTCCTGGGCTCCAGGGCTGCTTTCTTGGCTTACTTAATGCTCATCTCGCTTATTTATCACATCACTTATTGCCCAGCCATTGGTCGCGACGACCTCATCGAATCGATATGGAAGAGATCTCGGAGTGTTTGTACGATGATGATAATATAGTTTTGACTAAGATGACTCGGTATCCGAAAGCGATTTGTTGATTATTGAAGAAAAAGAGCCTTTCCGTGGACAGAACTTACACCTAAATCATTCATCTCAGCGGTTCTCATAGTGATGGTGTACGAGGCTTCGCTGTTGAATGTTGACTCTATTAAACAGAGCAAGCCTCCCAAGGCCTAGCCCTGCCTATCTAGGCAGGTGGAGCCCCGGAGGGCTCATGATATAGCTTACGTAAAATACCTCCGACTTGGAATCTTGGAAAGCTCCGAGGTCCATGTGGCGCCCGCCATGGATCACAAGCACAATCTACGAACGATCAACCTCAAAAAATATGACAAGTTTCATTGTGAAATCTCTTTCATGACCAGTGGCAATAATAATGCCCAAATATATATATGTTGTTTCGCCCTTAATTTGCTAGCAACTGTGCATTTGCAAGTGCCAAGAAGCCACCTTGTCGCATTGGCTCGATGAGGCAACATTGGGAGTGCACACTCTGAGGAGAGCATCAAACCAAGCTAGTTGTATTGTAATAAGTGTTATCAAATATACCGTTGCTTAAAGTTGAAATTAAACTCATATCTTACAGTAGACCAACGGTCACATCGCCCCTAACTTGTGTATAGAGCTCTACCTCAACTTCCAGCAGGTCAATTTTGATCTTCAAACTGCCTTCCTCCTCGTCCACTTTCGCTGGTCGATCCCTGATTCGCGCACCGCGAATCAGACTAATCCTCCTACCAGAAAGAGGAGCTGGCATTACATCGTCCTCATACTCTTGTGGCGCGGGCGCTCTTCGTGCAAGTTTTGCGGGCTCGCGGCCTCCTGTGTGATTGGGAGGGGATTGAAGCTGTGGTTGCGCTTCTTCGGATTCCTTGCTGATTTTTTGCCGGTGTCTATAGATATATCATTAGTTTCATGAACAGAAGGTTAGGAGCTGAGGATGGAGATGTGGAGACTTACACTTGGGACATTATGGTGGATCAATGAGGGTATTATTGAGAATTGATATAGTAAAATATATATTTGCAACGAAAATGGCGGAAATCTATATACATTGGAAGCGGGCTAGATCTTAGATAAAACGCGGCATATGATAGCCACGATATACGCCTCCATACTGAAATGTGGAAAATGGACACACACTAGGCTCTATGGGGTCGACATAATGCATCATAATGCTAACCATGGCATATGATGTGGATGAGATGGATGAAATAGATTGCAATTGGAATAGATTGATTGCACTTTTCCTCAGTGACGCGTCTCACGAAAAATAATCAGGCAACACCAGCTCCCACCGTCTCTGATCGTTTGCAAATAAAAACATTCTTCAAGATAATTTCAAAATCTAATTAAGAATCAAAGAGAGATAGTCCTAGGACTACTAACAGCTATAGAGGCTTCTCCTGTGATCGTTGATACTACTGAAGCAGTCCTCCAAGCCCAAAGAACAATGCGAAAGAAAAACACAGAGGCATGAAATCGAACCTCGTCGTTTCTTGCGCCAGGACCTCAAGTGAAGGCAGGTAAATTGATAGTTGCTCCGTAGTGTTGCGCAACAACAAGATACGTATTCTGCAAAGAGACTAATTCAACAAACCTGTCTTGTTTACTAATATAGTTGAGAACCAGCTATACATTGCATAGCCTAACGCTGAGGATTGGACTGATTTATCACAGCATCCAGTCGCAGGATATTTTCTTCCTTATTCCGAAAAAAGAAAAGGGGTTGCAAAGGGGAAGGAATGGTCTCTACGATCTGCGATGAGCCTCTGCAATTAACTTGGATATACGTGGACGAAGAAACTAACGAAGTAAGATACGGCCTACGAAAAGTTTCGGAAGATCATCTCGTTGGGCCGTGGAAATGCACTCTAATTGAGAAGAGGATTACCTCAGAGAGTTGGAAGGGCTCCATGGCTGTGTAAGTTGACGGCTCATGGGAGCTCTATTTTGACCGGGATGACGAGGATTTCGGAAATTGAACTGATGAGAAAAGAACGGAGAAAAGGGAAAAATAATGAGGACTAACCAGTCCTAACTAGATTGGAAGCAGAGATAGAAGATCCAAATGCGATATGAATTATGATGAACTGGTTCTGTGGAGAAGAAATATAGTGCATTCCTATAAAAAAAAGATAAGATACTTCGCAACAGCTATCCTCCATTTGCTGCTCTGTCAATCACTGACTGTCGCTTCGTCTACGGGTACGCCGAGTGGGAGTATGCACTTCAGGCTTCGAAAACCGAACAGGATCAAATGCCTCCGGTCCAATGTAGGAAGTGATATCCAATTGGCCCTTCTTGAACAGACAGCTGACATATGTCTGCATACCCTTTCCATCTTCCAATTTGCGGTGCTCAGTGAGATCTTCAAGCATTTCCCTGTATCTCTGACCATACTCACCCCGTCCGCGAGATGTCATCCACTCAGTGATGCCCTTTGCAAGAGCCCCATCGTCAGGTCCATACCGACGCACGGGACTATAAAATTTGATATCCGGCAGAGATGCCCCAGGAGCGATATCGAAGTAGTATAGATAACCGGTTAGCAAGATATCGATCTCGACGAAGTTATCTTTTGCAGCCGGGTTGTAGTCTGACATGCTGGGGATTTCAACTTCTTCGGGGTAGTTCTCGTCCAGGCCCGTCACTGCTGAGATGAGACTGCGGAGTTCCTGGAAGTGCGTTTCGGGGACCGGAATGCGACCTCCCAAAGTCATAATCTCTCGCACAGAGGCAAAGCTAGTATGCGGAGACTGGAAGTAAAACTTCAGTCTCGACTTCTCAGGGACGACATTATCAACAGCCAGCATGCTTAAGAGTTATGTTAGCGATATCCGAAAACAGCGAGCATTCATTCTTGAGATGCGGATATAGTAGACTCACAAGGGACTTAGCAATTTTCCTTCCGGGCTAGTGTTAAGGAAATCGTGCATTGCAGCTCTAGCTGCGCTGTTCGGATCAATCTTCACGAGCGATTCCTCCCACTGGGCCATGGGCATCTTTCCATCTGCTTGACCTAGACGACGGGGGACGAAGTATGTCTTGAGATTCAGGCCGCCCTTGAGCCACTCCGCGGCCACTACCACCGAAGTGGTAAAGTGTGCACCTGCTGCGGCTTCTTGCATATACTTAGACCGGTCATGGTCGAAGAGCGTGGCAAAGAAATGGTTTGTCCAGGTAAGATCAACTGTTGGCACGAAGTCTGCAATGCGGTGCAACATCTCAAGCGTGGCTTGCTGATTTAAAGGATCCAGAAGGGTCCCTGTAGCGGCGCATATTGCCTCCATAGTGTAGCGGACATCGGGCTTGCCTCCTGCAGTATTCCATTTCCAAGAATACTCGATCGGAGACCCTTCTACTCCAAGCAAGGATTGCCATTTGAAGGTGCCATCTGGCCCGGGCGCGGGGCCCATATAGGGAACCTATGCAAATCACCATGTCAGTGTTGTTGCATTTCTATTGGAGAATATGAAAAAAGTGGAGAATATGAACAGGGAAGCTTACGATCCAATGATAATGGAACAGAAGTGCCTCATATTGCTGATCTGTGGTGTACCCTGCTGCTTCGACCATTTTAGACAGATGCAGGCCTGTCAACTTCCACCAATAGTCACAATCAGGGCCCGCCGAGGGCAGCAAGTGCGCTAGCGTTGCCCATGCCTTGGTGGGTGGTCTTGTCACTTCAGCCATATTTCGATATATAGAGCTATGACCTTTTTATCAAATCTGTGATTATGGAGTTCAATGACAGGGGATATAATACGAATTTATTCATTGTAGGGATGTATAGTCTATTTCGGGGTTCAAATCTCACATCTTGGCAAAATGGGAGCTTAGTGAATGGGGAAATGACAAGGTTCGACGGCCTGGGAAATGTGTCGGGCAATCGGGAATCTCACGCTTAGCTCGGGTATGTACTCCGTACTAGGGGTTGGGGTAATACCCTACATGGATCGTAAGAACTCGCAGGGATCGTGACATTCGGAAATTATAAGTCCGGTAAGTCCAGAGTCTTTCCAGGGTATTTATCTTAACTCCGTTAACAAAAGGAATTTCTTTGTCTCGGATATCAGGTATTAAATTGAAATGCTATTCTCTGTCTTCCGGAAGAAGTCGATTATTACATTCTGATATCTTTCATCCTTCTCCAACCAATCATCAAACATTCCCGTCATGGCCGCCACAACTAAGCCCTTGATTTTGATCACCGGTGCGAACCAAGGCCTGGGTTTCGCAACCGCAAAGCAGCTGGCTAGCACTGGAAAATACAATCTTCTTATCGCCGCCCGCTCCCAGGAAAAAGCCGAAGGAGCAGTCAAGGAACTGCAAGAGTCTAGCGTTGAGGGCTCTTTGACGCCTATTGTTATTGATCTCGACTCAGACGAATCTATCACTGCCGCAGCCAAGTTCGTCGAAGAAAAGTTCGGATCACTGGATATCCTAATCAACAACGCTGGCATTAATAGACCTGCCAACCCCAACGCTACCCTACGTGAGGCCTACCGAGCTGTATTTGAAACCAATGTATTCGGTGTGGTAGTGATGACCTCCACTTTCCTACCCCTGATTCGCGCCTCAAAGTACCATGACCGACGTATTGTCAACGTGTCGAGCGGCCTAGGCCAGGTCGGCATGGCGCTCTCTCCTACTTCAGATTACAGCGCTAAAGTATGGGACCTGCCCATCTACCGCAGCAGCAAGTCAGCGATCAATATGATTAATGCTGTTGATGCTACTATTCTCGAAAAAGAGAACATTCTCGCTGTTCTCGCCGCCCCAGGCTACTGTCGCACTAACTTCGGTGGCGGTCAAGGTGTCAAATCAGCAGAGGAGGGAGCTAGGCCTCTTGTGCGCGCTGCCACTGAGGGTAACCCCAAGGAGCTGTTTGGAACGCTTGTGGACGACGAAAAGACACTGGTCGAGTTTGGTTGGTAGAATCGCATAATTATGGGCTCATGCGGTTGGTGACATGGGAAGGAGATTAACGGTGGCTATATGAGATCTTGACATACAATTTGTTGAGATGGGTGCGTGGAAGGTTGTCTGGCTGGTCTGGCAATAACCCTGGTAGCAAACATATAGTCATCTCCTCTTATAGAATACAACACTTTTCGCACTCACACTGGCTTTTCATCTTGGAGAATCAAAAAAATTGCTACTATTCGAGCAAGTAGAACTTTTTGTAAGCAGGATAGCGAAGAAACCGACACATCCTTTGCGGCCTTTCGACGGGACGGTTTACATTCGTCGGTAATCATGGAAATCACGCTTGAGCCCTAGAGATTGAACCTATTCATACAAGTTTACTACGAAGGGGCATAGCGGCTAGTGATAAATAGACTGTATTTTGTCATTGGTGCCTGATTTTAGATGGGCAGAAAATTAAAATACCTGAATTACTATTACAAATTCCTTAGTAAGCTGGGTATCTCACCTGGGCACTTCCAGGGCTGGGCAATTCCCCAGCTGAGGCTAAAATATCACTCCAAAAATAAAGCTTTTCCTGCTATATAAATCTATACATCACCACTTTTTTAGGTGGTTGACTTTCAATTCCTCTCTCTCTCTCTTCCTCTCGGTCTATCCACGCCTTCTTCTTACTGTTAACCACTACCGCACGCCTGGCCTTGCCACTGCTTACTTGCTACCTCACTGCCCTTCTCGAGGTACACACCTGAGGCCGGGAATACTGATTTCCACATCGTGTGTATCACGGAGATAGATGCGAATGTCGTTATATGTAGTGCCTTGAATGAGGAGACCGAGGATTCGTCTTTGTAAGGATCAATATCAACATAAGCAGGTATAGCGATGAAAGTAAAGAGTAGTGAAAATGCAGAGAGGTAGAATAGTTGGTATACAGTACGTGGTATTAGGCGGTGTAAAAGGCGGTCTATAATTCAGGCAATAATTTTTAATTTGGACGAAAATTGACAAAATACAGTCTATTTATCACTGGCCGCTATGCCCCTTCGTAAGTTTACTGATAGATTTTGAATATTCTTGAAAAAAATGTTGAACTCGATGATCTCGGCATCACCATCTGACACATGAGATTTATCCAATCAAATTTCCCACACATTTTCCACATATTAAATCTGACATCCTTATGGGATGGACCTAACTCTATTAAATGACATTTATTACAAAAATCTAGTAGGCATTTTTGATTAATATCAATCGCCGAGTGCCCGATAGGTCGTTGGGCAGTAGTTGCCGGGTTGCCGAGTTACTGGGAGGAAGTTCTTGTCACATTTCAAGATCTTCAGGGGTGTATTATCCCTACCTTGATGCTAGACAAGCTTTCCACGTGGTAGTATTCTAGCTCTTGAACATCCTGGTCCTTCTCTGCAACACCTTACCTTAGGCGCATATTCGTCATGTCGGACTCCCCACTCTCTCGTCCTCACGGAGGCCGTCCCCTGAAAGTTATCATTGTGGGAGGTGGGATTGCTGGATTAACCCTGGCAAGCGCCCTTGAAAAGGCCCCTGTCCCGATCGAATATGTGATTCTGGAAGCTGGAGACACCATTGCACCTCAAGTAGGAGCTGGCATTGCTCTTGCTCCAGGCGGGTGTCGGATTCTCGACCAATTGGGTGTATATGATGATCTAGAACAGCTGGTTTATCCAGTGCAAAGCAGTGGTGTCTCTGATAGACAGGGAAAACAATTACTACCTGAGCGCAGTGACACCGCATTGGTTGTTACTGCCCGCATGTCATACCCGTTAGGATGGGTTGAGCGCCGTAGTGTCTTGCAAGCGTTGTTTAAATACATCTCCCGCAAAAGCTGTGTGTTGACAAGCAAGCGAATGGATCGAATTGAACACTCTCTTGATCAAGAGAAGCCTGTCAAGGTCATCTGCACTGACGGCTCGTGCTATGAGGGTGATCTGGTTGTGGGGGCCGATGGAGTTCACAGCAAAACGCGCTCGGAGATGTGGAAAGCTGTCGAGCAAAATATCTGTGGCAATTTTGATGTGCAGAAGGAACGTCGCAGTAAGTGAACTAGATTCAACAAAACTCTTACGCATCTACTTGAAAGTGTGTACTAACAGAATAACAGCCATGACAGCTGAATACCAGTGCATGTTTGGTATTTCTACCCCCATTCCGGGACTGGACCCTGGTATGACGGACGACACGTTTGCAAAAGATGTTTCAATGGTAGTTGCTAGTGGCAAGGGCGGAAAGATCTTTTGGTTTCTGTTCAAGCGTATGCCATGGTTATACCAGAGTCAGGAGATCCCACGATTCGATACTACTGACGCATCAAGATTTGCAGAGCAATATTTCGATTTGCCTGTCCGACCTGGTGTGAATGGTGTTACTCTGCAAGATCTCTGGAAGAGGCGCGAGACTGTAACACTGGTCCCTCTCGAGGAGGCCGATTTTGCGCATTGGACGGCTGGTCGCATCGCTTGTCTTGGTGACAGTGCTCACAAGATGACACCCCATACTGGAACCGGGGGCATGCTTGCTATTGAGCATGCCGCAGTGCTGGCCAACATAGCCTATCAATTGGCAGTCAAGGGAAACAAATCATCGCTCACAACATCTCAAATTGAAACGGCACTGAGTAAATATGACGACGAAAGAGCACACCGTCGCACCTCCGCGAAAATCAAGACTACTGGGGAGGTTGCTCGCATGCAGACCCTACAGACTGTTGTGCATCGGCTTGTTGTTCGTTTCCTTTTACCTTACCTTGGTGACATCCGCGCTGATCAATTTTGCGATGATGCCGTTGGTGCAGAGCATATTGACTACATCCCCATTCCAGTGCGCTCTATGACGGGATTAATGCCCTTTGATCCCACTCGTGGTATCGGTATGCAAAAGAGTTTATGGCCACGCGTCTTGTGGGCAATTCCACTGCTCATCATGGCAGTGGCCGGGTTTTTGTCCATGTTCTCTGTCGCGCCGATTGAAGATGTCTATGACACCCTTGCACATCTTACCTACCGTGAGGTGGCAATCCAAGATAAGTTCTACAACGTTAGTTTCCTCGATGATTTTTCGAGATCTGGAGTCTTGCGCTTCATTGTTAGCGAAGCGCACTTCTTTTACCAGTCTTTCTCCCTGTTTGCCGACTACGGTGTTTGGTATGGCATTATGTTAATTGAGTCTGCGCGGAGAGCTCACCGACTCAACATCCTCAGTTGGTAAGTCCAAGATATAATGGCCCTTACTTTTAGGGATAAAACAGTCTAACTAACTATTTCACCAGTGCCATTCTGTGGGGGATGCTCAATATGTGGGGAATCGGGATTTTTGTTCCCGTTTACTACTTCGCTTACTACATCCTCACGCCCACTTCCACCTTTGACGCATTCGACAGACGCCTGACGGATCTCTCGTATACGAAATCCATCCTCCCAGTGCTGCTGGCTACCCACTATGCCACTTTCATCGACGCGTATTTCTCTCCGGTGATGGCCCACCGCCAGGGTGCTGGCTACTTGTGGGAGCTGTTCCCTGTCTGGCTATGCCTCGCACAGGCAGGGCTAGCTCGATTCATCCTGCCGAGCACGCTGAAGCAAGACCGACTAGATAATGTCACACGCGATCTACCCACTATCAGAACGATCATTCTCGGGCTTTGCGCCGTTTCGACTGCAGTCTGGCAGTATACCATCTGGTGCAGCGGGGAATCGCTGGTAAATATTTTCGTACCCATCTTTGGTAGTGTTGAGGGCCACACTTTCGAACAGCTGTTTGCTGAGTTCTTGAAATGGGACCAAGTATTCTTCGCTATTCCGAATGTGTTTTGGATCGGGCTGCTGTTTGCGGATCTTCGTGCCGCTGGCTTGATTCATACAGGTTGGCTCAAAATAATATTGTCTGCCCTGGGCTTGACTATTATTGGTGGGAATGGGACGATGCTCGGGATGATGTGGCTGTATAGGGAAGAGATTCTGGCTACGAGGAGGCATCGGACCGCTGTTGTCCAAAAGTCAGACTAAGTGGAGACTATAAGATATGAGATGCTGGGAAAGTAAGATGAAATATTAGAAATATGAAGGGAAGCGAGGATGAAAGACTAGATATGCAGGGGTCTCTGAAAGGTAGTAGCTAGGTATTTCGGCATGTAGGAAGCGTGAATGAACTAGGTAGCTTGAACAACCCCATTAAATCTATTTACGCCCTGTTTGTTGATCATTGGAGGCTTCGTGTTATTTATAGGGATAATCGGGGGTTTGATATGGCTTTTGTGTGATGATAATCTTACACGCGATAATTACTTCCAAGAAATGAGCGTTGAGTACAGCAACTGGTCAATATTATTTGCCAGTTGGTGACTACATTCACCCATTTTGTCTCCGTCAGACTTTGCTCCATTTCTCCATTTCAAATAAAGCAAAATTCTTTCCTTTCCAATTTTGTCCAAATATCTCATAATAAGCCTTGGACTGAATTTTTAATTTTTACTGGCAACGCGGTGAGGAATAATTTAGTAGAAATGTCCAAGATAACGAATTGTATTGAGAACGGGGTAAAGAAAAGACCTTGAGCCCCTTTTTATATCGATACAGGCCCGTAACTATATATTTGAAGTGTCCGCCATAGGTTCCCAGGTGGTGTATTAGACGATTGGGTTATAGTAGGAAAACTTGCCGTGAGGATCATACTTGGCCTTGAGCTTCCGAAGTTTCTCCAGACGCCAAGGTTCATACCCATAGATAGCTTCCAATGATTCTCTGCCAGATGCATAGTTGACATACGCAGTGGGCTTGCGTGTTGGCTGGCCCTCATTCCAGAGTCTCTGGTTCTCGGTCACCCATTCTATGGCAATTTGATCTAGAGTAGAATCCGGGGGATATGAGACGGTCGTTTGCCTGTACAAACCCACCCCTGTTAGTGTCTTTTATTTTCCCACAGTATCCCATACAACCTGGGTAGAAGACAAGACTTACATGAGCAAGTAATCATCACGCATAGGATAGGCGGATGAATCCGAGTCAACCTTCAGCACGCCCTCCACAGAGTAACCTTCCATTACAACAGCTGAGGCGATGAGTGCTGGGTAGGCCTTGATGTTCTTATTGAAGAGCTCGTAGATTTGGCGTTGCGCTGTGATGTTATACTCTTGAAGTCCAGCGGGACCGACTATCCGTTCAAGACCCTTGTCACAAGTAGCATTGTTAATTCCAGTTCCCTGGATATCAGGAACTTCAGGGAATGGAACATTTCCATCGATAGTACTGAGCGGCTTGAGGTTATCAAACGGCGTCAGATACTGCTGTGCCTCACTTTGCGAGCCTGCATAGGCGAAACTCCACCAGATAACTGCCTGTTTGTTTTGTGATCAGCCCAGTCTCCATAAAAAGAGTCACGGATGACGATAGGAGAAACTACTCACCTCAGTGCTGCTAACGGTTGGGTCCATCAAGTAAAGACCGTATTGAGCGGCCATTTTGACTGGTTGAGTTCCATTGTTTTGCAATTTATTCAACTGCTCAAAGACAGTCTCTAACTTATCCTGCGTGAATACGTAGTTCTTGTAATACCACGAGTCAACTTGGCTCGGGTAGATGCTCATTTCAAAGCTCGTCACCACTCCGAAATTATGACCGGCGCCTCTCATTGCCCAGAAGAGATCGGGGTGAGATGTGCTAGAAACAGTAATGGCCTTGCCGTTCGCGAGCACGACATTCAGCTTGCGAATATTATCGCTAATTAAGCCGTAGAAGCCTTGCTGGCGTCCATGTCCGCCGCCTAAAGCTGGACCAAGCATTCCAACACAACCACAGCTACCAGTAGCTGAATTGCAGATTCCATGTTAGAGATATATTTGATATATTCTGTTGGTATGTCCGTCTTCTGCGCTGTACTTACTGGCTACGTAGCCCTCATCCCACAGAGTATCCATGACTTGTTGATCGTACGTTCCTCCTTGGAAAAGGGCGGACTCCCCGTTAGGGCGTATGGTGATCTGGGTAAGAAGCTGCATATCAATCTCCAAACCACGGAATTTGGCCTGAGAAATAGGTAGACCATGGCCTCGATTAACTGCCAAGAATGGCAAACTGTTGCGGTTGGCATATTTAATCTTTTCAAAGTGTCAGAGCGGTTGGATATTGGGGTCCAGAAAAGGAGACGTACAACGGTCGAAACATCGGATTCACGTGCAACCTGAACGACTAAGGTGAACTGAGGAGCAGCATACTGCTGATACCTAGCTGTGGCATTTGCCCAACGCGGGTCGCTGGGTCCGAAGACACTGGAGTCTTTTGATAGGAGCGGGCCCAGCTCACGACTGACTTGTAGCGGACTGAGGGTGGCGCGTGTTTTCAGACAGAGTCCATCTAGACAGTCGCTCGGTGCGGCGGCTGCCAGAGACAATACAGTCGCGAGCACATAGCTCCCAATCATGGAAAATCGGACCATGATGCTGACTACACTGTAAGATGGGGATATAAAAGAACCTGGACTCGCTCAAGTGAAGTACTTTCAACCTTTATATCAAATGTTTTTGCGCTTCCTTACGGATGGGCGTCGGGAATACGGGAATCAGTCATTTCCTGGAAGCTAAAAAATAGAATTCATTTTGATATCGAATTAAGGAGGCTTAGATGGATACAATGGCCCCCAAAGCAAACGAAATGTGGTATGATTTAGCTCTCGATGTGCCCCGGGAAATGTAAGCCGCCCCAGCGCACTCGTATAGACCGGGCGTAAGAGTGCCGATGTTAATTTCATGTTGAGAAGGAAGTGGAGAAGGGGAGGCCTGTATTTATCTCATTATATACAATTTTATAGACCATGGCTAGAGACGCAGTCGAAGAGAAGGATATTGTGATCGAGGGATCGACGAAAAGATTGCCTGTTCCTGGGAGGATCTACTTCTTATTTTGGCTTCTACAGAATAGTATGCAAACTGATCTCTTGGCGCTCCTACGCTACATGGATCTATGCAGTGAGAGAAACGATCTGGGCTGCATGGAAAAGGCGGAGCTGGTAAGGATAGAAGATGAGCGACGAGGCACAGATCAAGATTTCTATTTAAAACTGTTCAGCCTCATCAAAGACCCTCGAATGGGGGCTGTATCTAGTTGATATTCTTGTGATTACGATTATCCTATAGTTACCTACCTAGGTAACTATCAGATAACTATCAGATATCCCTATGTACCTACGGCTCTGCAGGCTATATCATGCCTCATTCAAACCTACGCAACTAAAACATTCGAAATCTTCTTGTGCAAAAGAAAAACGAGAAAAAAATGGGCCACAGTGCTGTTAGGTATGTACACAAAAACAAACGATGCAAATTTTGACATGAAATGGAGGCTGATCTGTCTGACGTGTATTCATTGGCGATCACTTTCCCGCCTGGTGGGTCAATATTAGCCACCAATCGGACATAAGAAAATGAGGCGAAGGCTTAATTTAGGCTTGGTTTCCCGTAAACGAGGAACGAGGAACGACGAACGAGAAACGACGAACGACGAACGACGAACGATGAACGATGAACGAAAAACGAAAAACGAGAAATTAAGATGATTATCCTCGACGAGATCGGGAATGTCGGTAATTTCGGGGATGTCGGGAATATCGGTAACTGGATTCACCAAGAGCAACGGCTAGGGATGATCGGTCGGGGTGTGTTGTACTCTGTACACTTTGTAACTCTGGCGATGAGCTGTAATAGAAAGAGAAGAGTATCAGTAGTGTTAAAATTGGCATGATGCTTATTGACTCGAGCTTTTGCCAAAGTTTATTCGCAGCCAAGTAAACATGGCGCTCCAGATCAACGGCGTGGCAATTGTGACTGGCGCGGGTAGGTCCCTTTCCAGTCAAATCTATAGTAGCGCTTCTGACATTGCTAGGCAGTGGTATCGGCAAGGCTGTCGCCCTCGCCTATGCCATGGAAGGGGCTCGGGGTGTCGTCATGGCCGATTTGAACATCGAGGCTGCACTTCAGACGGCAAAGGAGAGTGAATCGGTCGCAACGAACCCCATTTACAAGCCACTTGCAGTGGCTGTCGATGTGACCGATGCGGAAAGTGTCGACCGCATGGTGGCAGCAGCAGTAGAGAAATTCGAGCGCATTGATTATAGCGTAAACAGCGCTGGAATCGGCGTCAAGCATCACAAGCCTGTTGATGAGGCAGACATTCCTGAGATGAACGCCTTCTGGAAGGTTAATGTGCTAGGATCACTCAACTGCATTAAGTCCGTGACCAAGGTCATGAAATCCCAGAGTGTCACCACCTTGAACAGCCAGGGGAAAACACGTGAAGTTGGCCGAGGTGTCATTTTGAACGTGGGATCGTGCAACTCGTATATTGCGACGCCGGATATTGTTCCATATACGACGACAAAACATGCTGTGATGGGTTTAACTAAGAGTGCCGGTAAGTCAGAATCCAAAATATACTCCAAGTCCAGGCTCATGGTTTCTTATTTTGCAGCCCTCGATCTCGCACCACATGGGATACGCGTCAATGCTATTTGCCCTGGCTGGGTCAATACACCTATGGTGACTGCAGCCATTGACGGAAACCCAGATCTCCCTGGCATGATGAAAACAGTTATTCCCATGTCCCGAATTGCAGAGCCGGAGGAGGTTGCAGATGTGGTTTTATTCATGACTAGCCCTCGATCTAGCTATGTCACTGGAGTTGGTTGGATTGTAGATGGCGGAACAACTCTGCAGGTGCAAACTTGTTGAAAGGATCATGTGTCTCTCTCGACTGGTGTTGGAGCAGCCTCGTGTAGATAGCATCCTAACTTCATACCTGTTTGATCTTCTTTCCATTTCTTATCATTGACAAACAAGCTCAAATAACGCATAGTTTCTTTCCCTTAATAACTAGTTAGATAACTAGGAAACACCAGGTTTCCTTCTGCTTTCTCAATTGCTTTTCTTCACTATTATATCTATGTTTTCACATCAATGGATGTTGAGAAAGGGTAATTAGTTCCAAAGTCATTGAACACTTTTAGTTAAACCTTGGTTCTCCGAAAGATGATTCTATTTTGCTATAATTTGATTAAGAAAACACTGCACCAAGAACATGATCTTGATTTTATCTGCCACGCCTGAGTAGCTCAGTCTCGTATGTCGCCTAGCTTATTGAGCCATATATATGGGCCAGGCATGTGTTAAGCCTTTTCAATGCGCCTATATTGACGAATACTAAAATCACGTTCTTAGCTAGCCACCTCTAACGTCTAACTAACAAGGAGTGAAAAGCATGATGCAGTAGCTCAAGGCTAATTATAAGCGTTCAAGACATCAACTTCAGCCTTTGCTGCGGCAGCCATGATTACTTCCTGTCTTCCCGGTCGGGGCTTGATATCAACCTGGAAAGGATGACACTCGTTCAAAAATCCATCGCTGTATGCCGTATTCGGGTTAACATCAACAGGAATAGGGTTTCCGGCACTATCCAATTTGTGTTGAACAGTGAATCCCCATAGAAGCTTGGCGACAGCTATGAAAACCGCTCGCTCCGCCAGATGGATGCCAGGGCAAATCCGCCGGCCAATTCCGTAGCCGAAATGATCACGCTTTTGTGGATCACTTGCATTTGCATAAACCGAAGCAAGTTGGGTTTGTTCAGCAAATCGAGAGGGGTTGAAAGTCTTGGGGTCTGGGTAACGAGTCTCATCATTGTGAATACCCCACACGTTGAGAACCAAGTTTGTTCCCTTCGGGAATTTCATCCCTTCAAATTCATCATCTGTTCTTACATATGAGCGGCTAGTTCCCGTTGAATGTCAATCATAAGGTGGATTTTAACATACCTTGAGCTAAAGTATGGGGGAATGATCCTGGAGCCGGAGGCCGCCAACGCATCAATTCTTTGACAAGCATGGCCACATATGGAAGCCGATCATAGTCACTCCAGGATGGTGCCTCGCCATTGGTGAGAACACTTTCAATTTCCTTTTGAGCTTTGATCTGAGTATCAGGGTATGTGACCATGGCTTGGAAGAAAACAAGTATCATCGTAGCGGTGGTATCTATTCCACCTTCAAGCAGGTTGCCGCACATGATGTTTATTTCTTCCCTGGTGAGTTTGAGCTTCTCCTGCTGGTCAAGAACTCCATCAAGGAAAGTTGAAGCTCGACCTATATTCTTGCGGCGCTCCACTACCCGATCCACCAAAGGTGAATTAAGGTCATGAACTCGCTGACGAAGTCGAGCTGCTCGTGTCTTCCAATTACCCCACAATCGCTCCGGGAGGTACTTGAAAAACGGCAGCCAATCTACCGGTGGACTGGCACCAATTTCGCCCAAAGAACTCAATTCACCTACGATGCGTAGTAGCTCAATGCGGTGGGGAGTGGTGTAGTGAGGGGTGCGAATGCCGAAGACTAGAATGACACAAAATTAGTTCGAGGTGGCCTCCAAGAGATATTTTCCGCAACAAGGACACCCACTTAGGGTCATGACAATGCTGTTACTATATCGAGAAGGATGTTGCATGAAGGAATCCGGATCGAGGCAGATGTCACGCAGTAAATGTGTAGCTTCGGCGTCGAGAAGAGGTATATGCTCTGTGTTACACCGCGCTTCATTCATCAGTTGGAAGTACAGCTTGCGTCTGAGTTTCCAGCGCTCGTTGGCATCCATAAACATTGGATGATCGCCTGAAAAGACCAGATTGCCCAGCAGGAAGGATGGCGGCCGATTGCTCGAGATCGCCGAGCGCTTATCCATAATATTAGTGGCATGGTAGGCAGAGGTTAGAACTACCATCATCCCGCGGCGACCAATCTTGATTGGGAAGACTGGACCATATTCTTTTGCCCACTGAGTGAACCTGTAGGTCTTCTTGTTAGCAATAATGCCACCAAGGTAAAAGTTGAGCATCTTTCAGTACCTCAAGTGGATACCCGATCGGGGAAGTTGGTGTACGTTTCCAATCAGAGGCAGCGTCCGAGGCCCTAAAAACTAATCTCAATGAAGAGTTCAAAGCAATCGGGCAATTCTGAAGCCACTGTTCTCTTACCAGGAGGCAAGCTCTCTTTTGACGAAAAGGCCGAGCTCAATAGCCATACGGCCAAAATGATCAAAGGTCCAACGAAGTAAATTGCATCCATGATTGACACGTGGGAGGCTATCAGTCGAGAAAACAGCAGGGATATCCATCATTATAGCTGGTGAGCGCCCCCAAATTTTGCCCCAAACACAATTAACAGACTGCTGTTGATTAGCAAACCAATCACGGGGATGGGTGACGGGATTTCTGCAAAGCTGACAATCCGGAATCACCGACCTGTTAGGATCGCTGATCGGGGAAGCGGGCATCCCTGCATGTGTGCGCCACCAAGATTTACAGGCCTAACGACGGAATTCTCCGGAGTCTCAAAACTCCATCCCCCAAGGTCTTCATTCTATACTGCCAGAACTCTCTATCACAACTATGTCGGCGCTTTCTTTCCTCTACTCTCAGCTCTTCATCGAGCCGCCAGTGCCTACACATGACTTCCAAGGCCAGACTGTCATCATCACTGGATCCAACAGGGGAATTGGGTTTGAAGCCGCTCGTCATTTACTTAGATTAAATGCGAGTAAAGTCATATTGGCTGTGCGGTCGGTCGAGAAAGGCCAGGTAGCCGCAGATGACCTCGAAAAGTCTACGGGGCGATCCGGAGTGGTCCAAGTCGAGGAACTGGACATGACCAATCATGCCTCAGTCCAGCAGTTTGTAACCAAAATAGCTACAATTGATCGAATCGACGCCGTGCTGTTAAACGCAGGTATCTATACTCATGACTTTAATTTGGCTGAGGGTTATGAAAGCACGTTGACCGTCAACGTGATTAATACATTCTTGTTGGCTATACTTCTTGTTCCAGCGCTGAAAAAGTCAGCCAAAACATGGGGTATTCGGCCGCGTCTCAGTTTTGTGGCATCCGACAGGCACGTTATGTATGCCCTTCCAGAGTGGAAATTGCAGAACACCTTCGAAGTGCTGAGTGATCCGCAGAAAGCCAGGATGCCAGAACGGTAAGTCAATTCCTATTCTCCTAAAAGCACGAGACCAAAATAGACTGATATAACTTTCTCAGGTATCCCATCTCTAAATTGATACAGATCCTACTTACCAAGGTGATGGCGAAGAAACTCGAGTCTGCTAGGGATGTAATCGTCAACACGTTCACTCCAGGCCTCTGCGTTTCTGGTATTATCGATAACGTGCACGGTGTCACAGGGTTTGCACTCTGGTTTCTGAGCAAGGTCGCCGCTCGGACAACCGAAGTTGGAGGTCGGACATTGATCGCGGCTATTGCGCAAGGGGAGGATAGTCACGGGAAGTACCTCAATGACGGCAAAATTGACGAGTATGTGATTCTTTCAAGCTTATATTCCCCTGTGTCCAGTCATAGCTGACCCAGCTCCTCCGTGATTAGAGCATCATTGTCTGCGTTTGTAAGGAGCCAAGAGAGCATGTTGGCGAGGGACAAGTTGTGGGAGGAATTGATGGGAATTCTAGAGAAAAAGCAACCTGGAATTGCTTTGCTTCTTGAGCCTATCCCATGATGTTACGTACGTACTTTGTGTCCTGGTTAATTTTATTATTGGGGTTTTTTTCGGATAGTTATACTAGAAATGCAAGCTGAATCAATTGGACACTCGAAAATAAACTTTTATCCATCATGTTTATATGTGTTGCACTTGGGCAGCAAGGCATAAATATATTGCTGGCTTTTTGGCTGTCTTGCTTGGTTTGCATTGTATCACGGATATATATATATAAGACGAGTGTTCATTCAGTTGATCACTCGTTTTTTGCTTCCTTTTCAACACGTATATTACGTGAATCTAACTATATTACTCCTAGAATAAACCTCATCATCTTTTTTATTGTTGGTAGCTACATGGTAGATTTGTGTTGGGTTCTTGAGGCACTAAACATATGACAACACCTGTTGTTTGGTAGTTTGTAGTAGACAGATCCTGCGCTCTCTCTCCTTTCCCTTTCACCTCTGTCCATCCCTTACATAGGAATTGTACACAGCTTATTTCTCCATCGTAATCCATGGCCGTATCGAGATTCCTAGAACTGCCATCCAAAAAAGCTTGGCAAGTTTCTTCACCCTTCCAATTCCCGATATCCCCGAAACTCCTCTCAATGATGGCTCGGAAGGACCGAATTTGTCTCGGTTTTTATCAACTTGCCCGAGCTTTCAAAATATCCCCGCTGCTAACACCTATCCTATTTTGACGTTCCCCGGTGATGCGGACGCGGGGTGGCACATGTAGTCCGATGCATGTGGGTGCTGTTGTAATCCCCCACGAGAGGGAAACAGTTCCCAGGTTTGTTATACATAGAAGAAGCCTTTCTAGTTTTTAGAAGTTTTTTACAGCGTCTCATTATCAACGCCAAAACATCTTACTGTACCTTTACGAAAACTACAATGGCTGCTCCCGTTACCAAGTTCCCCGCTGAGGGTCTTCGCCATGCGCGTAGGTTTATTACATCCCACAACAAGGAGGGCAAAGGTGTATTCGTTGTTGATGACGATGGCGACCACCACCGAATCATGGTCGATGGTCTCGCTGTTGCAAACATCATTTACAGCACATCTGGGAACCCAGTGGACATGAACGATGATAAGGACCTGATTTATGCACGGGACAACGAGGTAAGACGGGTTGATGGGTGTATCAGCCTGTTTATGGAAATTTTCAATTAACTTTTCTGCCCTAGCCCTCGATTCATGTCGCAAATGGCAGCGTTGCTCGTCTGATTGACTTCGGCCCAGGCGTGGAGTCACCCATTCACCGTGCCTTGTCAATTGATTACGGCATTGTTGTTGAGGGAAAGTTCCAGCTCACACTTGACAGTGGTGAGAAGAAGGTGATGCTGCCTGGTGATATGAGTAAGTCCTCGCGCTTTCGACAAATCGCAATAATATATAGTGACTGACCCTGGCTAGGTGTGAACCGAGGCTGCATGCATATGTGGAAGAACTTGGACGAAGAGAAAGCCGGACGCATGCTCTTTGTCCTACTGGATGTGACTCCCACGAAGGTGAATGGGGAGGAGATTAGCGAGTACTTGGGTATTTTGGAAAAGGACTACGCCGATGCGAAGCATTGATTGCAGTAAGTGGGGGAATTTGCCGCAGTAATCATGCAAAGTACTTGCTAGAGCAAAGTATAGTTGTTTATAGTCGCATTTCTGCTTTGCCTTTTCAGTGTCAGGTCTCACACTAGAAATCGCTGCGAGCTTCAATACACTTTGAAATAAATTCTCTTTTTCCCAACCTCTTTTGTATCACTTGAATTACTCAACCGATTTTAAAGAAGAGTCATATGGGTCGGGTGGTGTGAGGGAATGGAAAAAATAATATAAAAAGTTATATGCAAAATTGATTCTATAGTAATGAGCTCGGTCAGCCTAGAAATAGGTGACCGTCCGATCATAATAACCTCCCAACTCGGCGTGTCACAAATCCGATTTATTTTTGAAGTTGTTGGCGGGCCAGGAAAAACGCGAAGAGAATTTTGTATTGAGATGGTCGTGAAGGCAAAGAATACCTAGCTAATCCGAAGTTGAGTTCATGTAGAGACTGAGCGTGTAAGCGCGAATAGAAGTAATAGCAAGCCTTCTGTTCTTCGTCAATTCAATTTCTACGTGCGCGAAGCATCATTTATTAATGAATTTTATGACCATCTACGCCAGGCTCTAGATTCATTTCGAACACTGGTGCGTGTCGCTACTTAAATCGGGATCACTGGATAATATGTGCATAATGTCAAATTGCAACCCAACTGATAGAACTCGTGGACAAACATACAAATCACATGCTCAACTTGTTCAAGTTAAATTGGCGAGTGAATATCCAGTCCTAGAGACAGATTGTTAGCCGTTGTTCTACCTGAATTTGACAAGTCAAGATTATGGAGTTTTTACCCAAAATGTACGTGGCAAAAATAGGTCGCCAAATCTTACAATCCCCGTGGTGGCTCCTGTCCAGAACCAGGCACTCGGGTTTTTCTTCATCACTTCAGAAACGACGGACTTGGCATATTCTGCGGGTGTAGTCGTGTCTGGATAATATGTAAGTCCTCTCTAACTAACCCCAAATACTAAACGGGTAGGTACTAACGCGGTGTCCTGTTGACATGGTTCGCGAACTCCTCCTCCAGCGGCCGGTAAAACGAGTTCTCTGGTAGCTTGCGATTGTTATCCCGTTTCAGGATGTTTGTGCCTATTTCTCCGGAGATAATATTGATCACATCAACACTTCACTGAGGTTAACGAGATCAAGGAACCTCTAGAAGGAACTTTAGGGGACTTACCCAAATGGCTTCATCTCGACCCTTAAAGTGTTGCCCCAGTGGTGGAGAGCGGCCTTCGTGGCATTGTAGCTAGCTGCAAATTTGGTCAGCGTTTAATACAAGCACATTCCGGACAGCCAAAGAGTCCACTTGCATCCATAAATGTAAGGAACAATGCCTCCCACACTGCCAATATTGACAATCTTTCCCTTCGCCTTGATAAGAAGAGGGTGGAAGAAGTGGACCATGCGCATCGGTCCAAACACATTGACACCAAACATCTTCTCCACCTCCCTCACATCGGTATCGATTGCGGTCATTGTATAGCCTGCCTGAGTTAGCCAAATTGGGAAACTCTCCTTAGCATTGAGTCACTCGCATATTCCTCTATTTAGTATGAAATGTTAGATTTTGACTGGCGAAGGGTATATCTCTCTTTCTTACGCATTATTAACAAGCACGTTCAGGCTGTCCTCTGTTAAGCTTGAGATGGTATCTTTCAACTGCTCAACATCGGTGTCCTTCGTAACATCTGCCGTGAAAGCGTGTATGCCGAGATCGGTCAAATGGTCCCGTGGCTCATGCGCCAGAAGAGTCGTGTATACCACGTATCCTAGAGATTTTGTGATTAGAATCTGTAACTACAAGCAGTGGTGTGGGATAAAATTGATACTAGTCATACCTTGATGTTTGAATTCAAGTGCCAAAGCATGTCCAATTCCCCCTTTGCCACAACTGCCATCATTGTCAGCAATGCGACATGTGAAGTAAACTCCGGCCCAATTTTACCCAGTTATCAGAACTGAAGGACGAATTTGCCCCTTGGTACTCATTTTTAGAAATAAAACTCTGGTAAAGTGGTTGGAAAAGTTGAGTACTGACGGGCTGTCAAGCTCACGCGAATATAATTCTCCCAAAAATAGATTAGCTGCCTCGTATCATCTAAAATCCATATTCAGAGTATAATTTTTTGCAATCAAAGCCTGTCAGACCACTCTGGGAATAGATCGTCCAGAGGAGGGGCTCGTCGGTGATTGCGCGTGCCCGAGGCGCGAAGCCCGCTCTTCAATTCCCACAAGGCCGAAAGCTGCAGAATCTCGGCAAATCGGGACTTATGCGTTGAGTACCTCAACTGTAAGCAAAAATTTGCCATGGGCATTCATGTTCAATTCTGGGTAACTCCGATATCAGTGATTGTAGGTTGGTGTTTCATCGGTGATCGCTTTCAATAGGATAGGAACAGGGACAAAATATGGCGAATCTCAGCCCCAAACGAAAGTATATGATCTAGAGACGTTCGATCAATTCAAAGTCTTTGTGTTATCACTCAAACCTTCTGGTAACTCAAATTCTTTTACCTTTTGGCCAACTTCATCATGTCGCCTATTGTGCTAGATACGCCACCTGCCAATGAAGGCCTTGGTGAGCCCATTGCCATCTGTGGAATTGGTATGAATGCACACAATCTATTATCTTTGGGAATTTTAATACTGATTGCTTTCCTTTTAGCCTGTCGTCTACCAGGAGAGGCCTCAAACCCTCGTGCATTTTGGGATTTGATTTCCAGTGGCAAATCTGCTCAATGCAAGGTCCCCAAGTCGCGCTTCAATGTCGATGGCTTCTATCATCCCCAGGGTATGGACCGCCCTGGAAGCATGATTACAGAAGGTGGCTATTTCCTTGATGAGGATGTGCGAGAGTTTGAGAACAGCTTCTTTGGGATCAACAACCTCGAAGCCACATATATGGACCCCCAACAACGAAAGCTGTTGGAAGTGGTATATGAATGCATGGAAAATGCAGGAATCTCTCTGGATCAGGCATCTGGATCAAACACAGGATCTTATGTCGGCAATTTCACTGTCGACTATATGGTGATGCAGCTGAAGGACCCTGACTAGTAAGTACACATCGTCACCCTCACGGGTCCATGGGTGTTATGATTATGTTTTATAACTAACCCACGTAGTCTGAGCCGTTACTCTGGAACTGGTCTGGGTACCACCATTTTGGGAAACCGTATCAGTCATGTCTTCAATCTTCTGGGACCTAGGTGAGTCGCAAACGGTAAAATATCCATTGCAAGTTGAAAATTGCTCACATTCGGTTGTTTCCCTTCTTCAGTCTTGTTCTTGATACAGCCTGCTCCTCATCCCTATACTGTCTTCACATGGCATGTGCAGCCCTGGAGAACCGCGAATGTGATGCAGCCATTGTCGCTGGCGCCAATCTCATCCAGTCCGCCGAGCAACACATTGCTACAATGAAAGCCGGTGTCCTCTCTCCAACATCAGCCTGTCATACATTTGATACCTCTGCTGATGGCTATGGCCGTGCGGATGGTATTGGAGCTTTGTATGTCAAAAGACTCGAAGATGCCCTCCGGGATGGTGACCCAATCCGGAGTGTGGTTCGTGGTTCAGCGATCAACGCGTAAGTGGAATTATTTTGCCGGCAGGTGGCTCTGTGCTGACTTGATATTGTGTTACAGAAACGGTAAGACTTCTGGAATCAGTCTGCCTAGCGCTGATGGTCAGGAGGCTGTTATCCGAAAGGCCATGGCTAAGGGTGGCATTGTTCCCGACGACATTACATTTGTCGAATGTCATGGAACAGGCACCAAAGTTGGAGATGCCATCGAGGTTGAGGCATTGGCACGGGTCTTCCACCGCACGCCAGAGAACCCACTTATGATCGGATCAGTGAAAAGTAATGTCGGACACTCCGAGGCGGCGAGTGGAATTTCCAGCGTGATCAAGTCCACCTTGGCCCTTGAACGCGGTCAAATCCCACCCACTCACGGCCTAAGGAACATCAATCCCAAGTTGAAGGTCGAGGAGAGAAATATCAAGATCCCAACTGAGTTGACGGCTTGGCCTAGCCGCTCGTCTCGGGCGAAGCGTATTGGTGAGTAACAACCTATTTAATGGAAATTGGGACGATCAATGAGCTAATTCACCACTAAAGGTATTAACTCCTTCGGTTACGGTGGTGCCAACTCCCACGTTATTCTGGAGGAGCCTGCCCAGCATCTGAGCTCATCTCGTCAGCTCAGACAATTGCCCATCACCCAGTCTACCGTTATCCTACCTCTATCCGCTGCCACAACCGGCTCCCTGGAGGCTCGCGTAGCGGATTTTGCACAGTATGACTTTGGTGATACCGATATTTCCGACCTCGCGTACACACTGGGCTCCAGACGTACTCACTTCCCCGTGAGAGGCTTTGTCCTGGCTCCCCGATCGGAGGAAATTTCCAATACTTTCCAGACACGCACCTTCGTAACATCACCCAACGCAGTCACGTCTGTTTCAACTGCTCCGTTTGCCTTTGTTTTCACCGGACAGGGATCTCAGTGGGCCGGCATGTGCCGTGAGCTCTTCGCCGAATTTGCTGTTTTCCGGGATACCATCACGGAGATGGACTCAGTCCTTAAGGCACTCCCAGAAGCGCCCGAGTGGTCGCTGAAGGAGGCTATTTTGGATGTAACCAACCCAGACCTGATCCATCTACCAGAGCGCTCCCAGCCATGCTGTACTGCGATCCAAGTTGCCCTTATTCGTCTTCTTTCTTCTTGGGACATTGCCCCCACAATGACAGTTGGCCACTCTTCGGGTGAAATCGCAGCTGCCTTTGCTGCAGGCCATGTCTCTGCTGCTGAGGCAATTGTGATTGCCTACTACCGTGGATACTGCGTCTCGAAGTCTACTAAGATCGGTGCCATGATGGCCACCGGCTTGTCTGAAGGCGATGCCGCCGATGAGATCTCTGAAGCTGGACTGGAAGGTCAGATCAGAGTGGCGTGTGTCAACTCTCCGGAGGGTGTCACCATCTCAGGTGATGAAGGTGCATTGGATACCTTCTTGGCTGCTATGCAACAGAGAAGCATTTTCGCACGCAAGCTGAAGACAGGTGGCCAGGCCTACCACTCCCACCATATGGAGGCTATTGGAGAAGAGTACCAGGGCTTGTTGGATCGGGTCCTTCCCACTCTGAGTGCCTCTATCCGACTGCCTCTGGGCGCCTCTGTGATGTCTTCAGTGACCGGTGAGCTCAAGTCATCTGGATTCACAGGCAGTTACTGGAGAAGCAACCTGGAAAGCCAGGTGCGATTCGCTCACGCGATTGAGAAGATCAATGAGATTTCAGAGCACTGCTTCATTGAGCTTGGCCCTCACTCTTCTCTGGAGCTGCCAATCAAGCAAACCTTGGCAAAGTCTGGCGCAGAGCTCAAATATGCTGCCCCAATTAAGCGCAACGTGGACTCCGTTGGAAGTATCCTAAACTTTGCTGGAAGTCTTTGGCTTAAGGGATATGAGATCAATTGGGCGAAGATCAATGGCCTTCAGACAGGCGCGAAGACTTTGCGCTCTTTGTACCGCGTGGTCACAGACCTTCCTCCATACCGCTTCACTTACGAGAACCTCCTCTGGAACGAATGCCGCGCCAGTTCTGAATACAGACAGCGCACTTATCCACGCCATGAACTCCTGGGCAGTCTGCTCACTGGTGGAAATGGCCGCGACATGATCTTCCGCAATGTCCTCAAGGTGGATGATGTCTCCTGGCTCAAGGACCATAGACTTGGCGAGACAGTCGTTTTCCCTGGTGCAGGCTATTTGGCCATGGCAATTGAGGCTGTCATGCAAGCCACAGACGCCGACCGCACGGAGAAGCCCGCATTTGAGTTCTCCAACGTCAACATCACCAGTGCGTTGACCTTGAACACTGAATTCTCAGTGAATGCAGAGATCTTCACCTCTCTACACAAGTCTGCCATTACCAACGCCGCTACGTCAGCCACCTGGTGGGACTTTGTCATCTCAAGCTACGATAACAACAAGTCCACTGTACAGCACGCTTCTGGATCGATCGCTATTCAGGCACGAAAGGCAGTTCTGCAGTCAAAGTATCAGCCACCAAGCGATGCACTTGAGTCTACCGCAAAGCGTACCTGGTACGAAAAATTCGTCAAGCAGGGGTTGAACTATGGCCCAACCTTCCAAGTCATTTCCGAATTCTACACCCCACGTATGAAGTTGGATTCCTTCGCTAGCGCCAAAGCCCCTCTGTTGACATCGAGCGGCGATGCACTTTCGGTATACCCTGTGCACCCAATCCTTTTGGATGGCATGATCCAACTGGCTGTTGTTGCAGCGACAAACGGCAAGCCAAAGGAGTTGCGTGCCCAGATCCCCACGAGACTGCCCTCGGCAGTCGTGCACACTGCGACTCCCACTGATGATACTTGCGAAATGCACTCAGTGGTCAAGCGGACTGGATTTGGATACTCTCAGGCCGGTATTGAGATGGTCAACAGCGATGGACAAATCCTGGCCCAGTTCGATGATATGCGACTCGCCCCGTATCAATCCGCCAATCAAGCCGATGCGGAAGACATGCGTCATCCAGTTCTTCGAGTTCTTTGGAAGCCTGACGTATACGGACTGGGGCTTATGACTGCAGATGAGGCCCAGAACCATCTCCAGAAGTTTGCTGACGAGGCCCACTCACCGGTTTCGGGCCCCCTCCTCAAGCTGGGCGCTATGCTGGATCTTCTGGCGCACAAGAATCCCCGCATGCGTGTTCTAGAAATTGGAAACGATATCCAAGACATCACGCTGGCCGTATTGGACCTTCTGTCCTCACAGGGAAGCTTCAAGCGACTGACCACATACAGCACAGCATCTATTGCTGAAGATGGCACTATTTTGGGAGGTCCCGTAGACCTCGAGACCGGGGAGCGCTCCTCCAGCCCCACCAAATTGGACCAAGAATTTGACCTCATCCTGATTCCAACGCTGAATGAGGGTATTAGCCGGGCTGTGGACGCCTTTACTGCCTTGATGGCCGACGATGCAACCGTCTTGGCCCTAGGCTCTGAATCTTCAGTCAGCTCTCTTGCCTCAAGTGGCCTGGAGTCTCTGCCAGTAAACCTTGCTGGAGATAATTCCACCCTTCTTGTTGCACGGAAGGCACAGAAATCGCAACAGGAGTTACTCCAAAAGAACAAATTCCTCATCGTTGAGCGAGAGAAGACGACACTTGGATCTGCACTGGCGGATGCCCTGAGACCCATTCAAGGACACTGGGTGCAGCGTGTCCGACTGAATGAGCTTACACCAGAGCTTGTCCCGAGCGGAACAACGATCTTTAACCTCTGCGAGGCCAAGTCCCCCCTTCTGGCTCTCATCTCTGATGAGGATATGGCCGGCGTCAAGGTCATGACCGACAATGCGGGATCATTGGTTTGGGTTACCAGCGGTAACATCATGCATGGTGGCAAGCCAGACTTTGCTCTTATCTCTGGTCTGTCCCGAGCATTGATGCTTGAACAGCCCTCTCTCAAGCTGTACACCTACGATATTGACGAGCCTGAGAGCTATGTTCATGAGACTGCGCAGCGCCTCATCTCTCTTCTTACCCAGACCAGCAGGAAGCCAGATCTTGAATTCGCCCAGCGCAAGGGCGTTCTTCATGTCTCTCGGTTCACCCCCGATGACAGCATCAATACCCTTTTCCGCAACAAGCAGGGTCTTGAGACCATGGAGTCCAGCGTCCAAGATGCAAAGGACGTGAGACTCGCCATGGGACAAGCTGGCCAGCTGGATTCAATTTACTTCCAGCAGCTAGAGGCCCCCAAGTCAATTGGTGCGACCGATGTGCGCATCCGGGTCGCGTCCGTTGGTCTCAACGCGAAGGATTATTACGTTCTGGTTGGACGAGTTGATACTCCCGATGCCACCTGTCAGTTGGAATGTGCCGGTACGGTTGAGCAAGTTGGATCTGCTGTGACTGACTTCGCTCCCGGTGATCGTGTCGTTGCCATGGCGCCGGCCCATTTCCAGACCTATCAAACCGTTCCTGAGTGGGCATGCCACAAGCTTACTGATACTGAGAGCTTTGATGTTTGCGCTACATTGCCCATCGTCTACGCTACAGCTATTTACGGCTTGAAATACCGGGCACACATGCAGGCTGGGGAGACTGTCCTGATCCATTCTGGAGCTGGTGGTGTTGGAATTGCGGCAATTCAATTGGCCCTACACGCAGGAGCTGAGGTAAGTCAAACTAGTACAGCTCAACTTTCAAAACGCATACTAATAAAAACTTTCTACAGGTGTTCACTACTGTCTCTTCAGAGGAGAAGAAGAAGTTCCTGGTTGAGAAACTTGGAGTCAAGGCATCTAACATCTTTAGCTCCCGCGATACCTCCTTCCTCGAGGGTGTCCTCAGCGCTACCGCTGGACGAGGTGTAGACATCGTTCTCAACTCTCTGACTGGCGATCAGCTCCACGCTACTTGGAGATGTTGTGCGGCGTTCGGCCGTTTCGTGGAGATTGGCAAGTTGGATCTTACCTCCGCTGGCCGTCTTGAGATGGATCAATTCCTGAAGAGCACCACTTTCACGGCCTTCGATCTCAGCCACCTCTACTACACCGATAGTGATGAGCTTCACTCTCTGTGGAAGAGCCTGATTTCCCAGGTCATGACACTCTACCGTGAGGGAACCATAACCGCATTCGAGCCCCTGAGCATTTTCGATGTCAGCGAGACTATGCAGGCATTCCGTTACTTCTCCTCGCGTAGCAGAATGGGCAAGGTTGCCATTAACCTTGAGCGTGGCGATTCCGTCATTCCAATCCAGCCACTCAGACACACCACACAGTTCGACAGTGAGAAGAGCTACGTGATGGTTGGATGCTTGGGTGGTCTGGGACGTACCCTTTCACGTTGGATGGTCAGCCGAGGTGCCCGTAAGTTTGCTTTCTTGGGCCGATCCGGCATTGACAAGGCTTCTGCGCGCAACCTGGTTGAAGATCTCGAAGCCTCGGGCGCCACTTGTGAGGTAGTCCGAGGTGACGTTTGCAGCGCTGCCGATGTCGAAGCCGTTATCACTGCTGGCGCTGCCATGGGTGAGATCGGTGGTGTTGTGCAGGCCGCCATGGGTCTGAATGAGGCTATTTTCTCTGTCATGTCCAACAAGTACTGGCATACCGGTATTGACCCCAAGGTACAGGGAAGTTGGAATCTGTACAACAGCCTGGAGAAAGGCGCACGGGGCTCTCAGCTTGATTTCTTCTTGCTCACTTCTTCCGTCTCTGGTAGCGTTGGTACTGCTACCGAGTCTAACTACTGTGCTGCCAATCATTTCCTCGATCAGTTCTCCCGCTTCCTGCGCAGCCAAGGATGCCCAGCTGTTTCGGTTGGTCTAGGTATGATCTCAGAGGTCGGCTACCTCCACGACAACCCAGAAATTGAGGCTCTCCTTCTCCGCAAGGGTATCCAGGCCATTGATGCCGATGAGCTTCTGCAGCTCATTGATCTTGCCTTGTCATCCAGTGCTACCATGGGAATTCCCCATGCGCACGATGACTCGGCCGCTTCCCACCTTCTGACCGGTCTCGAGGCCTTTGGACTGAAGGAATTGCGCAAGAGAGGATTCGAAGGATCCCACCCAGCTCTGGACGATCCACGTGCCAATCTCCTAGCTAGCGCCTTGGACGGTGGATTGGAGGACTCGTCGAGCGGGCAGCACGGAAGCCTACCCGCTGAAGTCACAGCCCTGGTGAAGGCAGGCTCCACGCTCGCTGAGGCTGTGCTGGATCACATCCGACGACGATTCGGTAACCTCGTCCTGTTGAAGTACGAGGCAGTTGATGTTCAGAAGCCTTTGCTGCAATACGGCATGGACAGTATGATCGGAGCGGAGTTCCGTACATGGTTCTATCAGAGTTTGGCAACAGATGTGCCATTGGTCATGTTGCTAGGCTCATCATGCACGCTCGAGTCACTTAGGGATTTGGCGATGACCAGCTTGGAGGGAGTGACAGAGTGAATGGGTGATTGATTATTTGTCTGAGGCCTGTGAAAAAGATTGGATTTGTATCACTGGCAAGACTGGAGTTTAGCATTATCATATACGTCTTATACTAGAGCAACGCAAATTGATTCTTTTTATTGAATACCTCTCTATGAACCAATCATTGTTCGGGCAACCAGCCTTATTTCTTTTTTCACTGGTCGCTCTCGCTAGAAATCTCTGTAACTATATACAACGCATTCATCCAATCATTTTATGTCGATAGTATATCTTGGTGCTTATCGACAAACGATGCAGCAATTGAACTAGTGCTAAGATGTCTCTAAAGTCTGTCTAACTGGTCCACTCTATACATGTAGTATATCAAGTTGGGTTCAGTCTGTACCAATCGGACTAGCAGGTTTATTCCTCCCAAATCGTTTTTCCAATCTCTTATCTTTCAACCTGGTCGACCGAGTCTAATCTATCGATTCGCTCATAGCCCTCTTGGGCCTGATACAAATTGTTCACGTTATCCACCTTCTGCGCCAGCCACATATGTATGCACTGGTAGGCCATAACTTGAGCAGAATCACCAACGCCATGGTTACCTCCCAGCCGGCCGATATATGTATTGAACTGGTTTAATACCAGACGAAACTTCCGAAATTGTAGTAGCCACATATGTTGTTTGAGCTCGTCTTCTTCGTCTGCATCGATTTCTAGTGTCCCCCATGACAATTTAGGCGCGTGCCCAGGTCCGCCTAGGCCACTCGGTGTGCTGAAACTTGAGGCATTTGATACGGGCCGGATTATTGCAAGGGTTTTCTCGAAACCTTGAATGACTCGCCCGATGAGAATGCTTATCATCACTGGAAAAAAAGAAGTTCATTAGTATAGTGCTCAGTCCAATTTCGGGTCTTTTCTTTTCTGCTCTGGGTAATGTAGAGACAATATTAGGGTGGAAGAATTTGAGATTGTCTTACACATAGCCATATCGTCTTGTAATGTGCAACTGCAGCCCATGCAGGCTTTTGACAGTTTAACGGCCATTTTTAATTCAGAGAGCTGGACATCAAATGATGAGTGTTCTCGATTTTCGAAAGCAAGCGGCATAGATACCAATTGTTTCATCAGGTGTGATGCGCAGCTACACGTATGATGGCTAGATTTGTCGGATGCTGCGTGGGGGTGATGGTGATTTTGGGAACTTGTTGAGTCTAGTTCAATGTCTGGGTCGGTATGTCCTGCATGACCGGAGACGGGTATGTTGAGGCATTGATTGAGGAAGTCGTAACCATCTAGGATGTCTTCGTCCATTGGGTCGAATGCTGTATGTAGATTCATTGAATTGTCGACCGAGTCGAATAGTTGTGGGTTATACAAACCCATATTTGGTCGAAAGGATTGAAGGAGGCTATCAGCCATCGAATCAAGATTGACCTTGTGGAATAATCCATTAGACATCGTAGAGGGGGGACATGTTGAGTCGTCTATTGTCCGGCAAGGAGAAAGGGGACACACGACTGGTGGTGAGGCTGAATCGCCGGTTGATTCGGCGGTCGATTCGGAGGATTCAGGTGCCGTCGTAGATTGAGTTCCGATCCGTGGGGCATCTTTGTGACTGCGACGGGATAACCCATATACACAAGTAATGTTTTGTTTCTCGCACCGGGCGCATGTTGGTTTTGCTTGACTGCACCTGACTTTGGATTCGTTGCAGGCGTCACAGGAGGCTCGCAGCCGGGCTACTTTGCCATCCGTCCTTGTAGTTTGACTAGTTCTCATTATTACGTGATCTTGAGCAACATGACACTGAAGAGTCTCTGGTTTGAAGAATATGGTGCGAGACTCGTCAATAAAATATCGTCTCACCTCAGCCCCCACTGCTGAAGTAATTATTTACGCATAGCCTTACGACAGGGGTTATTGCAAGTGCTTATGATTGATGATGCCACTATGTTTCTCCTCGGGTATACATTTGTAAGATGATTCAACTTTTTTTTTTGGTCTACAAAATGTTTTTAACGCTGAACCATAATTGGTGACGTGTCCGTCAAGTTGAAGTGTTGATAGGGTATATGCATTGATCTCGACTCAGAACCACTTAGATATTAGGTTACATCGTGTGCTCTACGTGCATGAAGGAATTTATAGTGAGACCGCAACAGTGTTAATCCGAAATGGCCTGTCCATAGGGTGAAGAGTCTGACCCGTGAAGAAAACATCATGATCCCCTATATATATATTTTATAGCTTTTCGACCAAAGATTGTGCTTTGTACAACAAAACTACATGTATATACTGAATTGTATACTGTTCATATTGATCAATCCCACAGTCCTACAACACTACCATCATTTTAGCCCCATTTAGTTACTCCGTACCAGGTACTGCATTTTGCTGACGTGATTTTCATTCTTCTTACTTCTTACCTACATATGTAGGTACCTATGCAAATTTTTAAATGGATTACTTATCATACAACTGCTCACCTTTCCCCGCCTTCTTTCCTATTCGGATACCTATATCCGCAATCGCTTTAGCATTTTCCTGTCCTGGAACAGATAGTCTGACGTTTGGCCCCCGGGTGGCATATAAACCCTGCTCATTCCCCTAAATCGGAGGTCTCGCCGCTGACAATGGTCTTAATCGGAGATTGAAAGGATTTACGTACGTTTGAAACACGCGTCGAAGGTATGGGGTCCTTGTGGGGTGCCGATAGACTCCAATTCCGGCGCGAACAGCGGATTATGACACTGAACACTGCATGAATTGGGCTCTATACCGTTTCACCATTCATTTTGTTAGCTAGATTCAAGATATTTTTGATAAAAGGCTGAATTGCAAAATTGATTTAGGATTATTCAACAAAGTCGCGTTTGCGTCACTGCTATAACCCGTTAGTCGTGTGGTTACGTACATCTACGTAAGCAGGAGCTCTCGGCCGGAGATAACAAATTCGGAGAAGATGAGTTGCTGAATATTCAGTAAAAGCTTCAACCGAGCAACGCGCTCATAACGTGAGATGGTAGGACCCCCTCCGTCTAATATAGAGATCGGCATTGCCTAAACGGCCCGGATGTGGAGTACGACGGTATATGGATTAGAAACCTGACCAGTCGGTGATCATGGTCTCTTCCAAGGTTATCGGGTAAGTGCCCGTTTTCGTCAGTATTAGCTCCGGAGGCTGAAAAACAGATAGGCCTAGAGCTATTGTATAGATAAAGTCTGAAAAATATCATTGGAGAAGAAACTATCTGCAGGGTCTAGATAATCTACGAGCAAGCAGAGGCTATGTGACATCTAGCATGCTTTAATTTATATAGAGACAAGCCATGAAAAGCCACGTTTGAAGAATTTGATGCTCTGCAGGAAATATGGTCCGATAGTCCGTTCTATGCATAGTTAGCCGGGAACGCTTTAAAAAGTTGTAGCCTTAGAAATTCATACCATCTCACCATATTTGCCTCATGTAGAGATCTGGCATCTTCTCCGGGAACCTTCATCTAGCTTTGTGATTACTATCTCGTCCGTTACTCGCCCGTTACTCGTCCTTTCCGGACACTAAAAAGCTCTACCGGACCTTTGGCGCCAAGGGGAGGTCCAAGTTTCGATCCTTCAAGCCCCAAACCAATAAATTGTCCAATTACAGAAGCAAACTGAGTGCACATACAGTGGAGATGTAAAATCTAGCTCCTAATTCTTTTTAAAGCTAATTATTCTATTGATAGGCTAGCTATTGATACCCAGGCTATTGATAGGATGTATCCCACTTCCCCGACACAAAACTTTAAAACAGTCTTGGCCAGCCACACCCATCCACCAACAACAACTCATAACGCCCAAGTCTTCTCAATCTCAAGACAATCCTGACCAATCTCCTTCCACTCCAAATTCCCCCACCTCTCAGGCCTCTCGACAGCATCGACAAACTGCCTTAGCGCGAGTACCGTCTGCACTGCCCATCGCTTTTTACTAACTTTCCCAACACCAACAGCCAACGGCGTCATAAGAATCCTATCAATCCTCCCTTCCCCCTTCGCAGCACGATTATGTCCCTCAACCTGGCACAACGTGCTCCAAACACACTCATAGACAACCTCCTTGTCCCATCGAACGTCTGAAGGCTCACGCATTGTCGGACAGATAGCCACCCATCTGCAGCCATATTTATTCTGCTTTAGGTCATCTGGGAACTCGACAAGCGTGCACGAGCCAGGCGGCGCAAATCCGCGCCACTTCTCGTAGAGGACTGCCTGCGCTGCGCGTGTCAGAGCGTGGTAGTCTTTTCGTGGACTGAAGGTCATTGAAATGGCGTGGTCGAAGGCTCCGTCGAGGCGAGCGTAGGAGTTTGCTGGTGAGACGATTAGGTCGAAGGTTGTTCCTTCTGGGAGGGAGTTGAGACGCTCGTTTATCGGGGTGATCTTCAGTTTTTCACTGTCATGGTCTGGCCATGTTGTTTTGAGAGCATCATCGAAGGCTGTCATGAAATGGATGTCCATGCAGAGCAGGAGGATTTCAGGGATGTTGGATGTCATGTTTGATGGCGGGGTTGTTGGTAAAGGGAGAAATATTGAAATATTCCAAGGTTGTGTGATAGAAGCTGGTAGGTTTCAGGGTCTATTCCCGTGGTTAGATTGTAGACGGGGCCTCAAGGCATCAGCAATTTACACAGCCTTGTTTGGGGAGTCTGCTAAGCCTGATGACTGTGGCTTTGGCGGTTAGAAGAAGACAGATGTCACTAACTCAGTAGAGGGTAACTATAGGGGTGTATGTTGACCAGAAAGGACCTTTCCTATGTCCGTCGTTTATTTTTGAGGTTCTATTTACCATGCATAGGTACCTACCCGTCTAGTCGACGGGCATACGTAGTTATGTAGTCAGCACCTTTCTTTTATTATATAATCCGTGAGTGGACCCGTCTCTCACAGATCTATACTTCTCTTCCGATGTCACTAGGTGCACTTTATAAGCCCGAGTCACACGACAGTCTGCTAGGCTCCAATTCTTGACCCTTCTAGCCTTCTAGGAGAAATATTCAGGTACTGAGTGAGGCTCTAGATTTCAGGAGTCTGGTGATAGGCCAAGTAAAGTGATGACACCACAGTCTATTGGATAGTGGTTACTATAGTAGTAATTTCCGTTCAGTTTGTTGACTCCTACATGAATAGAGAGCGAATTCACTATTACTTCTAGTCTAGCTTTAGGCGTTAATGGAATAGTATTATTATATGATCCCTGGATTTCCCCCAAGGAGTCATTGACATTTGCTCATCGCTCGATGCATGATGACAGAGTCGTATAACGAACAGAAATGCGTGATCATTAGACTCCGCTCAAAGGAGTTCGATAATGGAAAGCCAGATGTCATTATTGAGATTTTCCATGCCTTCTTGGAGTTTTTTGGCTACAGGAACAACGACGTTTTGCAGGACAAGCATTTCGTTCATTATGAACTACCCCAAATTCCTCCTAGGAGACACTTCTACGTTGTACTCGATATGAATTATAAGAAAGGCATTCCTGACCTTGACTATATTCAATTTGAAGTTTACAAAGCTAGTTGCAAACTGTGAGTGACTTTTCCTTGCTTATCATCTCCAGCCTAATTGACATGTCGCAGTACCTTTGAACCCACCGCACCGTCAAATCAAGAAACAATACTATATTGCCAACTAGCTAAAAGCCTTTACCCATGGGGGAATAAAGGACATCGCTAGCCTTAAAGGAGATTTGGGTGTGGTCTGAAGCCGAATTTGCCGCTATCAGATGTAGGATTCGCGGCTACTTGAAGACAGGGCTCGAACAGTTTTGTCGCCTGTAGCAATGGATATATCGGATAGGCTTTTAGTCAAGCTAAATTGTGAAATACCGGACTAAGATTGCTCAGAGCATCGGAAGTAGCTATATTCACAGGCCGAATTGAAGAGATTGAACTGTTGACACTACGCTGTTTGCATTTCCTTAACATGCAAATTTATATGTGGATTTATAGTGGAGCTGCTCGGTGACAGGCCAGCAGGAATGCGGGAGCAGTAGGTCCATAAACAGTGGCACCTCTGAGAAGGACGTTAGAAACACAATCCATACATATATACCTAATATTGTAGTCGGGTCCTGAATGTGATTTACCACTTCTTAGTCGACTGTCCTCTCTGTCCTCTCTATCCCCTATGTCCTATACTCTCTATAGGGGAAGATAGGGGGGAAATTTCTGTTGGTGAACACTAATCGGAGGATGGATTGAAGGATGCCAAAAGATTCCAGGTCCAACAGTATGATTATACATAAATCAATTCATATATCGTGCTAGAAAGACCGCCATGACAGCAATGCGACCTGAACCCAAGACTATACTTGTTTGCAAACTCTTAACCCACGCTTTGGCCTGTTCATGATCTTCATACTCTAAACACTCACATCTGATCTGTGTAATCTTCGTGAATCGTAAGCGCTCAAAAACTGCCATGATGGCAGTGGGCTTTTTATTCCAGACTTCTAGAGTACCCCGTACAGTTGATCCTGTGTACTCAAAATGGGTTCGGCCCTCTTTGGAACAAAAAAAGAAACAAATCATGTATCGTAGGACATCCGAAGTGTTAGGCAGAATTTTGTGCTCCTAGGTATAAAACGGTATACAAGGGTACAAAAGTGTTGCCCAATTCTTCAAGAAGTAGCCTCGATGCTGCGGGCATTCTAATTCACTGCCTTGTTGCTTCTACCAGGATCCTGGAAAATCTAGAGACACATGTCTCCATCATCGAAAATATTTACCGGTTTGGGAGGTGGGCGGAGTAGGGGGAGAGTAGGGGGAGAGGGGAGGTGAGGGGTGGTGCAAGTATCAATTCCCTACACTATGTAAGTATAGTGGAGGGGATTAAAAAAAAAAGATATTCATTCATTCAACCCTATATCCCTCTCCTTCCTCAGAGTTGCTTCTTCCGACAGATCGGCATCAGCTCCCGCACCCCGACTCTCCTCTTGAGTCGACACGTACCGAATCAAACTCTCACACAGTCGATCTAGAACCCACTGGGGCTCTGTCTGTTTTGCCAGCATGGGACTACTCTCACCAATCCAGTCCCAATTGAGAAGTCCAAATTCATCTTCGTAATTAGAAAACCCGCCATCCTCATCTGCCGGCTGATTCCTCCCTGATGACTGTGGCCGAGCTCGCGGATCAGTGAACTGAATGAGTCGGGTAAACTCGACCCATTCTTCATAGGAGTATCGCTTTCGCTTGCCTTCCCGTGCCTGTTTAGTGGCACGGCGAATAGCGAAGGCAAGTTGCCTAGCAAGCTCAAGTCGGGTTGGATCGCGGGCAAGCTCCTCGAGGGATTGGCGGGGATGACACTCGGCCAATTCGTCGTTTTCAGGACTAGATCGACTAGCCTCCTCGGGATCTCTTCTTTCCCCGCTGGATTCATCAGCCCCCTCAAGTGGGAAACCGCGCTTTTGCCGCTTTTTCTCTTGGCGAGTCTGTATGAGGTGGGCAACGCCGGGAATCCGACTCAAGCCTGACTTGTAGATACCGGATTGAGGAAGCACGGAGTAATCGGCGACTATTTCAGTGGCGCGCTTGAAGCTGGCGACGACTGTGTCGCTCATCTCCGAGATGAGCATGGTCATGGTTGGGATGGCGATTAGAGACCATACCACAAAAAAGGGTCTCCCTGCATTCGACTGTGGTGTGAAATCACCGTAGCCGATGGTAAGCAAGGAGGTGAAGCAAAAGCAGAGAGATTCGAAGTAGGTCATTGTTTCTAATTTCCAGAACACCACTGCTCCGCAAGACCACACAATTCCAAATGCAATGATGCTGATGATCAAATTGCTCCAGCGACGGAAGCGCATGGTATCATACTGGATACGACGCATAGCGTCAAACCGATCCTTTTCTTCACGCATGATAAGGATCTTGGATTGGCGGCCCGTGGCAAGAGTGTTGATGGTGTTGCGAATTGGCCGATGACGGCGGCGATGAACTTTGGATTTTTGGCGAGTGAGAGCCGGAGGGGTGACAACATCTCCATTAGCCAGGCGTTTCCCTTGAGAAGATTGGAGCTCTTTATAATTGATTGAACGCTCGAAAGTGGATTGCCGTTTCTGTTCAATGTGTTTGCGAATGACATTGTCGTAGTGAACCTCGCGAGCAAATTTGAAAATGCTTTCCACGACCAGTCCCAGAATGATAATCCCAATTACTGAATATGGCCAAATAAGACCTCGACCGACGGCATCGGTGGCAACTATATCGCCGTACCCTAATGTGAGAACAGTGACATCGGAGAAGTACAATGCATCGGCGAAAGAGATCCCGAGCACTCGCTGGAAAATAGCTGCACCAATCAATAGCCAAACCACCAATGCAGTCATTTGCAGAATCAAGGTTCGTTGCTCGTCGGTCAGAGCGAAATGTTGCGGGTATTTACCCAGGAAATAGCCCAGCATGTTGATCATCAAGTTGAAGCTCAAGACAAAGTAGAGGACTGCTGCAATGACGGCACTCCAAAAAGCCTGGGAGTAGACCCTATCGATGCCCACTGGAGGAGCATAGATAGATGTGGCTGTGGTAATTCCGCAGAGCTACAAGCAAACGTTAGATCTGAGACCAACAAAACTAGGAACGTTACTCACGATTCCCGCAGCCATGAACCACGAAATAATCGTCACGGGCAAAGCTATGATATAGCGTATGACATGGGTAAAATTGAATAGTAAAAACACATTGCCCACGATCCCGCAGAAAAGTGAAATGGCATTTAGGATAGTGGCCCTATATGTGGTGTTAGAGAAACCTGACTCAGGGTACGCTCTTGCTTTGTACTCACCAATGAGGGTCCGGATATCCTTCTTGGATGGGGTTTCCACCAGGGCCATTATGAATTGAGAGAACTCTAGTTCGCCATGGCATAACCAGTGCAGTGACTGACATGATATTTGCGAGTGGTCCCGTTGTAGCAGCAATCAGCGGGATGGCCGTCGATGCAATCCACCACGACTGTGGCTCATCATCTTCAGCTGGTCTCATATGAAATTGGCTCCGGATCCATTCCCATGAGGATAGCCCATCAGGCTCGCCCTCTGTGGGAGTCTTAAGTTTCGTAGATCCATGATGCATCGTTCACCTAGCATGACCATGTGCCCAGATTGGGGGCTGTCGCGAAGTGATCCTTAAGGGAGATATTGAAGTAATTCAGATATGTTAAATCACCATGCTGCTTGCCAGTAACTAGATTTTTGAGTTAAGGGGAACTTCAAGCGTTGCATCCTCGTCTGTCCCGGGTAGGGTGAGTTTGCATCAGGCCAGCGGATGAGGCGGGTAGGAGTGTTGGTAGTCGTTGACTCCTGAGCAGGTCTCTGAAGAAAATCGACTCGAATACGCAATATCTCAGCTAATCGAGGGTTCAAAGCACTAGATACCTACAGGGCTAGGTACGTAGCATCACACAGCAAGTGATGTCAAACACAGCTCTGAGAGCCGGCGGTCCCGTGACCGTCCCGCATGCGTCATCATTATTCTTCAATTCTTCAAGTTAACGATATAGAATATTTGAATCTTATTCTTAACTAGCTTAGCCTAGTACCTATTCTTGCTTCCAGACCATCGTTGCACCAACTTGGTAGCATGTAGTGGTTCATTTTCAGCGGGTCCTGAATCCAAAAAACAACTTGCAAAAGCGCTTCCAAATCGGAATCCCAGCGCGAGCAGGTGCAAATTCGAGAACACCACATTCAGCCACTAATCATCAGTACAGCACCGGCATTCATTGTCGCCGAAAAATGTGACGACGACAGGCAGTCTGCAAGAGGCAGTCTCACGATAGGACAGCGAGATATAATGGCGCAAATGATCGCAGTCGCAGCTGCAATGGCTACCTCCTAGCGCCCTCGCTAAGCTACGGCCTCGGGCTCCTGGGCCCGCCTGGACCGCCGGGCCCAGGATCTCCCGGCAACCCGTCCGGGTGACCTGGAACACACGCTTCAATGCAGTTTGGAGTGAGAACATCCGAAGTATGCCGAACCCCCGCAGCAGGTGTGAAGGCATGCGCTCTCCATCTACGGAGTACTGAGCCACCGATATGGATTTGTGCATTTCAAGGTTGGAAACTTCTTTGATATGTCCTATCTAGACCTCCTTCCTAATTGGGACACATCTACTCAGAGTGATTCATTCCCCAGGATTATTTTTATTTTCTTGATACCACAGTTCGTTAAGAGCATTCAGAAAGTCACCTTCACACCAGGAGACATGAATGCTTACTTACCAAAAGGTGCACTAACTCTGGAAGTTGTTTAATATGAGAACTTTGGGCAAGCTTAGTAGATATATCCTGAGGAACCCCCAAGGTAGTTCTGATAGGGTAAATAAGGTTGCATGACCACATGGACTTGGAATCCTGGTGATAAAATAGTAATGGCCTCTCAGTTAGGGAATTTTATACGTTTATGCTTTTACATTCAGCTCAGACTGTCTTGAGCTTTCCATCTCATCTCGCCTCCCAACAGTGTCGGCGATATATTAACATCTGGCCGCTCGGCTCTTTTCTCCGACCCAACCGTCGGCGCCAATGTCTCACAAGTTCAGCAAGACCCCAAATAAAAAATGTGATTCATAAACTACGTCTGAATCAATATATAAGCTGATAACTGGCGCGTATCGCCCATCTAAACATATATTAATCAAACCCAGGAGTATCCCCCAAAGCTTCAATCTACACCAAATTAACCACCTTAATATCAAAACTATATTAAATAGCCGTCAGCACTCTTTCTCAATAATGCCTCGTATCCCAGATCACCATGCAACGCAAGACAAAGCCAGAAGTCATGCACGCAACTCCCCGCACCCCTGCATCTCAGCCGTGATAGGTTCGCCACAATCTCGGGTAGGTACCCCCAACCAACGTGCATGCTGCATTCCAAATTGGAAACATAGACCAATAACAGCTACCATCACCTGCATGAGAAGACGCCAATTAACCCAACGCTGGGGCCTACACTTATATGAAGTCTGACATCAGCTGCCGTCATTGGGGAAATAGTACCTGATTTGGAAGCTGTACAGCCAGTAAACGATCAAGTAGATATTTGATATTAAAACTGGGTAACTAACGCACCCCCCGGAGTGTTTCTAGACGCTTTATTGTGGTTCTAATGGGCGGGGTAAAATGATCCACACTGTACGATGTAGGTCTTGCATCGTGCCGCGTACATACATGTAAGAAGCGCCGGGGTGAGGGGTAGCTATCACATCACATCGCTGCCTGTTTTGGGGTCGGTTTTGGACTACGTGGAAATAGTATTGATTTTTACAATACACTGGAGAGATCGGAAAGTATAGAATGATGGTATAACGAGTGTCAGGGTTGGTCTATCGGACGCTTGGGTCGTGTTGGTTCTATGTGCAACCCAGTTCCTCCGACCCAACATCAAATCAAGCAAACAGGAGATAGCAGGATAACAGGTGTAATGCAAAAGACAAAGGAAATTAAAGACAAAAGAAAATAAAACAGAAAACAGAGCACGTATATAGGAAATCGCAAGATGGTATCATCGAAGCAGAGTGACACGGACTTCAACGGCAAGAGGCAAGACAGAACGGACTTGACGGCCAGAAATGAAGAGATTAAACAAGGACGCCAGAAATGGAATAGAATCGAGACGCCGTCCTATGATAGAAACGAGCTCAAAAGCAAGGCGCCGGCACCATAAAAGCAAAGTAAACGCAAGAACAATGATCTTTTGTGTCGCGCCCTAGGAAACATCTGCCCATGATTTGATAAAACAGACAGTAAATGCAACGAGCAAAGCCAGCCGAAGCCAAAGCAACACGCTCCAAATGCAATTCAACAAATGTCAAATGCTCCAAGTGTAGGTAGGAAAAGCAGTAGTAGGAACAGTCTCTGTGTCTTTGGGGGTATCATTCCCTCGGCAGTCGGTAGTATAAAAAAAAATAATAAACGTATGAAGAAGACATCCTAAGCAGCCGCCGGTCGGCGCAGAATGTCTTCGCAGTTGGCGTCGAATCGCATATTCCAGAGACGAATACTGTTCATGAGCTTCTCTGTATTTTCAAGCTCACGGTCGCGACCGAAAATCGATTCGACAAATTCGCAACCTGCATTGCGGCCCATCGACACGGGCCCTTTGCCACCTTCTCGCTTGGCGGCCTTCCACATGTAAAGTTCGCAGCCCTTGAGGAGCTTCTTGAAGCGGGACCAGAGGCGCTCGCCACTTTCCAGGAAGTCTTCGACGACTTCCTGCGCCTCCACGCGTTGAATGCGAGGGAGGCATTCGTCGGCCCTCTTTACTTTGCCCGCTAGCTTGATTAACAATAGCCACAAGTCGCCCGCGACGTCGGCCATGGGCGTCGATGCCCCATGATGGAAAACGGTCCAGTCGTAGATCCACTTGCCGAGGGAGTTCGCATCAAACACACTGCCGAGCAAAATGATTGGCGCTTCGGTTGGGTCCCAGTTTTTGATCGAATAGCCTGGTGGGATCCCTGCGCGCTCGGCGTCATCTTCGGTGGCGGTGGGTGGCGGTTTGGCAGTAGCAGGAGGTGGTTTTGGTTTGTTGGGAGTGCGAGTTGATGTAGATTGGCGCCTGGTGCGGGAGCGTCTGGCCGCATCGATATCCTCGGTGTTAGGAGCCTGAGTGAAGTAAAAGTGAGAATCAGCTGGATTTGATTTTTGGTAAGAGGTCGAGGTGTTGCGACGATGTTGGCCATCGTCATCTCGGGTGTGGTCTTTGGCCGGGGGACGACCTTGACGACCGGTATTGGACTCGCGGGCGGGTGTGCGCGGGACATCGAATGCTTCGTCGACCCCATCTTTGTAGGTGGGTCGAGTCTGCGATTGCGACGGGTAGTATCCGTTGCCGAAGCCATCCCCCGTAGGATGACCGGTCGAGGAGTATCGGTGGTGTGTGGGCTTTCCCGCAAAAGAAGCACTTACATGATCGTGCTTTCGCGATGGAATGCTATAGTCTGGGGTTGCTTCATAGTAGCTTTGTTGGTAACCCGACGATGCATACCATGGAGTTTCTTTCGTGGCCGAGTAGCTGGCCTTGCGGTTGTGCTTTCGCGGGGCGCCTCGTGGTGAAGTGTAAGCGTTTGCGAACTGAGAGGCGTAGTAGGCGTATTGAGGTGAAGTGGGAGGCGACTGAGTGTAGTCGTAGGTTGACCACCCGGGCGGTGGACTGGAGTAATGATACATTATCGCACGAGCATGTGGAGCACCAGTCGAACAGATGAATGTAAATGGGAGGCGACAAGCCGGAAATGCAAACAATCCCCAAGGCAGTTAAATGAAATCAGCAAAACAAAAAAAAAAAGAACACCGAGTATATTATACAGGATATCGTGCACCCAAATAGAAATCGACGCCGACTTTAGAACTGCAGGTCAGATAGGTTTTTTTTTTTTGGCTAGTAGGACCGTCACCGTGGTACGGTTTCCGATTGAAGAGAGGAGGATTGAAACTGAATATGCTGAGAGAGCATTTGAACGTTCTTCGGTCAATCCGAGGAAAAGAGAGAGAGTGCGTTTAGGGGATCCTAAGACCCAATATCTCCTATGTATTGATAAAAGGAGATTGAGGAAAACAAAGAGCAAAGAAGTCTCCGCTCCAAAAGATCTTAATGGCTTTGAATTTCAGTGGAGTGTGGTGGAGAGGGAAAAATTTCAACCCGATGAAAGGGAAAAGAAAGATGGATCCCAATGTCAGCGCCGGTGATATTGGCACAGGCCAATCAGTGCATCAGCTAGTGGCTGGCGCGTGTGAGTTGGCGTTGTGGGCTGTGGCGTTTGGCTTCTTTCTTACTCCGTACATGTATTGAATTTCAAGAATTTCAAGGTATTCTATTCATTTCCTCTGGAATTCGCTTTTATTTTAATTTAACTATATTCCTTCTTCTGGGTGATATCCCGTTTCTCTTATAGTTTGCGCTCGAGGTCAGCCATTACATACTATGACTCAAGATTAAGTGGCAAAGTTTAGAGATACAATCGAGTCACCATTTTAGTAGAAATTCGTACTTTCTCGTACTTTCTCTATCGTCTGGCAATCTACTATAACCAAAGTACCATCAAGTCTCGATGTCCCTACCCCTCAAGCTAGTCCAGATGGAGACGTTTCCATTGGACGCTATATGCAAACCGCTTGGCTGATAGCCCCTCAGTTAGATCACGCAGCGGACAACTGCATTTTACTCGGTATCTTTGACTTTTGCCCGTCTCAAGGCAACTGTGTAGCGAGATTTCCTTTTCGGCTTTTGGTGGACTGACTGACTCTGAGATAAAGGCAAAAAAATCAGGCGTGAATCTCGCCACTCAGACGTAGTGTGATTCTATAAAACATCTTACTGGCTGCCTTACAGATGCCTGGCTATGTAACTAAGTTGGGTCACCCCTCCATCAGCTGGCGTGTCGTAGCTGGGTTGGATGAGCGCAAAGCCATGTGCTTGACTTCCAGAACCAGGCTACATTTTCCATGCCTCGTACAGCTCATCTGCATGAACGCCATGATTAGGTGCAGCATGACGGAGAATACTGGATACGGTAAAATAGTCCTTGATATCGATCACACGAAACAATCTTCCCTATTTGTAGCCTCAAAGGCAAACGTAATTACCGATGTAAGTACCAACTTGGTACTCCGTATAGGCTGTGCTCGATGTATGCAGTGCTCGATCGAGCAAACTAATGCCGGTTCCATGGTTGGACCGACGGCATCCCAGATTTTACAACGGGCCATCCCGCCTCATCCAGTGGTTCAGACTCCACCAAAACCCCAGGCAATTCGGACATTATATTACCAATATCGGTAACATACATATACACCCATGGGTGAACACGTTGCCATGGCAAAAACAACTAATGAGCCCCATCAGAGATATCTCTTGCACATCCACTTCGCACTGCCGTGTTGGGCGACATCACGGGCTATGCATAGGCTTTACCGCTGCGTCGCTGGGCAGCAACTACTATTTTGGGCAAGAATATAGAGAATTTGCAGACCGCAACTTGCTTCTTCAGTCTGACTATCAATAACCTTGTGTGGACTGAAAAAACTTCCGCCTAGTAGCAAAAAATAGTAGTTATCAAGTACGAAATCGAAGTATGCGTAGCGGCTGTATACGAGGCGTTGGGATCGAAGCCGCATAATGGAAGGGCCAGTGTCCAACCAGAAGCAAAATGAAGTCACTACTTCTGGATCATCTGTTATGTATGTTGTATCCATTTTTTTTTGACGTTGGCTGCCCACACTTCATTGTTCCAACGTGGGGCGATGAACATTAGGCGACTCGCTATCGTCGTGATTACATTTAATTCCAAACCCTAGTCTGCCTTTTTGGGACTGGTCTGACATCAACCGACGCTATCAGATGCGCAGTGTGCGTCATGACTGTACTGTCCAGACTGCATAGTTACATCTACAAAGTACATACGGACTACAGTTCTCTATTCTATAAAACAGGGCACATGCCTCTGTATGTTCAATGTAAAGCACAGAACCGCCGCGACTTTGCGCAGCCACAAATACCACAAATACCAACATACTTTTTACGCTCACGCACCGAGTATAAAGGGATGAAAGATGGAATTCAGCACGTCCTTGCTGCCCACACAAAAGAATTCTAGGTTCACCCCTGATTCGAGGGTTTTTTTTTTTTTTGAATGAGTCAACCCTTCGAGAATCCCCCTGTCTTAGCCAACCAGCCCAAGAGAAGGGCAAAAACCCGTGCTGCACTGCCGATCATCTAGGGTTGCACATGGCTTATTTCTTTTTTTCTCAAATTAAAATTAAATTTCCCACATTACTTTGTATATATTTTTGATCGTATCTGCAACCTTGGAAGCTAGATCTCACATGCAGGCAGCATATTAAAAAAAGAAGAAATATAGATGTATCTGCTTACCATAGATAATAGCGCGTCTAACAGATCTTACTCAAGGACACCTAATATTTCTTTTCACCTCTTTTGCCCAAACTGATTTCACCCAAAAAGAAAGCCAAATATAAATATCTTTAATATAATTTAGTGCGCACTAACCCTCGGAGTCATGGAATTTCTGGAACAAGGTTTAAAGCCCAAAAACCCACGTTAACAAGGCTGCAGGGGGCCAACGGGCTGGAAGCATAGTCCCTCGGCTGTAGGAACATAACCTTGAACTGGCGCACGGGGACACGCACATATTCTTTGTACACCGTTCTCCCCTGAGTGCAATAATTGGCTCTATTTAATTTATATTGTACGACTCGCATGGTAAGCTTAGTATGGCATCTGGTGTATCATTCATATTTATATCGCAACGGTTTTACGGCTTAACATTCTTGCTAGGCAATCAGGTTTTGGGTATAGGGGCGGGCGCCTGGATGCCCTGTGGGTACACCATACTCCATCCAGGTTATTATTGATAATCACAGAATCCTGGCGGGCTACGGATTTCAATGTGGGATTTCAATGTGGGATTTGGTAAATTTGTTTTTTTTTGATATCCAAGCCCCGCCAAGTCCGCAGTACAGGGAATATGGCAATAATAGCTTCCTTCACCTTACGCCTACAAGCACCTCCTTACCCCTTAGCCATCTTATTAAACACGCACGGTCTGGATGAGATCCATAACCCCATTTCACAGGAATATTGGCTTGTAACAGAATCCTATTTATTTGCCCCTTGCACGAACGGACGTCGGCGTTGCCGCGGGGGAATCAAAACAAAACCTTGAACCCAATTTAGTGTTTTCCTGTTTTCTAGGCCCAGGTGGAATACTAGCGGTGGGTGAAAATCTTCGAGGGTAATTAGTACGTGTATGTTGTATTATTGATATTGGCCTTGTCGAGCTTTCGAGGTTTTCATTGTGCGTGCTGATCATATAGGGCTTACATGGTTGCCCTTGCCCTGTGCCCTATAAAATAGTATGTACTCCATAAGCGCCTAAGATCTAGGTTGGGGCTAAGTGTTGGTACTTTTGTCGTTGCGCGCCGTTGGATGTGTGATATGTGCCTAGGGTGAGAGGGCTTTAGTTGGGTTGTTGTGTGGCCTTTTGGAGTTTTTTTACCTTTACGTTTGGGCATACTGCTTTTACCTGGGGACAACTCGGGTTGATTATGTCCGAGTGGCTTGGGCCAGCCCCTGTTTGGCCTTTGGGCCTGGGTGTAGAGCGTGGATTATATTCCGTACAAGGTGGTATTTACGAAGGACTTTTGTTCATGATTAGGAATTGCTTATGAATAACTTGGAATGGACGAACAGTCGGTGAACAAGTTGGTTCATGGATTCCATGGGTGATATTAGCACATGATCTATATTTGGATATATCCTGATTCTATGTGCACAGACATGCGTCTATTTAAGCCCCTGCAAGCTCGAAGAAAAAAAAGCCAGTATGTACAATGTAGAAGGTATTGGCTGGAGGCAATATTGCTGCATATAGAATGAATGGTATAATGTCAAAATCCAACATGCAAGTCGCTAATGCTTGAACAAAGAAAAATCCGATGAGTCCCACCAAGATGCTGTAAAGCTGGAAACCACAAGCGTATAGCTCGGGCGAAGATTAGAAAACAAAAAGTATAAGATAAATCGTCTACGCGACCATGTACTCGCCGTCTCCCCGCTTGGCCTGCATAACTCGAGACCAACGGAAAGCTTGGGATGAGGCCGGTGCCCTGCCGCCAGCCAGCGGGGGCGGGGGACCAAACCCACTAGGATAAACTGGGAACGAAGATTCATCAGAATTCTCAGCCCAGATCCGTTCCAGCAGCTCTAGGCAGGAAAGATTGTTGATAAAGCCAGAGTCCTTGGAGATATCCTTGCAGCGATTGCGGATGATCGAACGGTGATCGTCCTGAACACACTCCGAGCCGACAATGAACAGTGGCCAGAGAAGATATACGTCCGATTGCACGGTAATGATGCAGTGCATGGCAAGCTGGACAAGGTGCTGGATACGGCCATGACATGATGGAAGGGTCGGCTCGGCTAGACGTTCGCAGTAGAGAAGGGCAGCATGGCGGAAGCACTCTGAGATCTGGTATATGTCCTGAAGATTCTCCGGTGCCACTTGGTATGCTGATGAGGAATTAAGTTGCGTCACATAGGTAGTAGAGTTCCAAGCCATTGTAGATGGAGCGGATAATGGCGGAGAAGGGAAAGAAGCCTGAGTAGGTGGATCGAATCTCCAGGATTCGAGTCGCTGCCTGAGCGAGTACCACTCTGTCCAGAATTCTGGAGAGGAAGGACGACGGGACGAGTCACTGCTTTGTGGCGGCGTGGGAAGAGAGAATCCGTATTCCGGTACGGAGCCCATTCCTGGATTGAGCACAACTGTTTCCCATCCCGGGAACAGCATATTAGGAGGGAGGGATGTAGTGGAAACAGCAGCGTCATTTGGGCGTGATAAGTTAGGCTCCTGGTCCTGACTGAGGAGATTCAAACGTCCTAGCTGAGAAATCAGCTTGAACAGACGACCATCACAGCCAGCTAAGTTCTCCAGGCCCCATTCTCCATCAGTTATGGAGCTGATCTCCAAGCACGTTCCGCGAAGTTGAACATCACGGTCGTTTGTGGTTGCCGTCAATGTATCAAACCACGAGAACATTCGGATGAACCATTTGAGGTCATCTGTTACGACACGAGAATGGCGCATTCGGATTGCAAGTAGTCTTGTTACTCCAGCAAATTGTTCACGGAAGCTGGCAACGCCAGTATCACAGCCGTGGAAAAGACAAAGTATTAATAAAGTTGCCAGTACAGAATCTGACAATCTGCGACGAGGGTCGGCCAAATCAGCATTCAAAGCCTTGACAGCCATCACCCGATGGTGATTCTCTTCTCTGATATACCCTTCGACCATTGAGATGCCATATCGATCTTGGAAATCTTCATCGGTGAGGGCACGATGTGCCATTGATGACATACGCGCCGGCAGAGTTCGTTCCGTGGAGAGGTGGTTGTGCTCTCGCCTCTGGCGCAAGTTGCTCGTCGCCAATGTCGCAATTGCCTCCTGCAGAGCTTCGCTCTCCATCGCCAAGCGTATCACATGAGTTCGGAATGGATTTCTCGGGGTATCGAAGGCAACGATCATGGGAGCAATGACTTCGGCGTAGTAGCTAATGAGATAACGAATACGCGGGGTCCGCCCCACAGATCGTGCCAACAGATGCTGAGAGAGCGACGGAGAATGGGCAGCATTCCAGAGCACATGATAGTTAGGATCGCGTTTGACATCCTCGTCCGTGTCTTGTGACGCTGGGGGAGTAGCAGCCTGATATGAGAATGGGACTGCAGCCGGCCAAACCATAGAGCCGCGATTAGCCGTCGGGCTTTGGATGGGAGCATATAGCAATGGCGGCTCTGGGGTCATGTGTTGGCTTGTATTGTTTGGAATCATCGGCCGACTGGGTAACGGAAGCCCTGAAATCGCAGGCGGAGCAGCAAGCGTGCTCGACCACGATTGTGGATCTGGCATGTCCATTGCCCAAGCCATGTTCGAAGACATGTCGAAGGCAGCTGGCATCATCGGTGGGCTACCTTCTAATTTCACACTCGGCGTACTTGCGCCAAACGATGCCATCGCAGGACCGGTTGACGGAGCCATCGGGACCGAAGCATTGTAAGGAACCTTTGAAGATGACGGTCCACCACTACTTGCAGCCTTCGGTTGTGATTTTGCAGAACTCCCCGTCGACTTTCCTTCCGATTCCATCACCGGGAGCTTCTGGCCCCGGAGTTTCCCTCGACTTGCGACTCCAACACCCCATGTCAACGTTGTCTTATATCCGGAACATTCGCGGCCCAGGTCGAGGCACTGGGAGCAATACGGTCGGCGCCGGTCACACCGTGCTCCTCGCTTGGAGCAGGCAAAGCAGTCGTCTGGGGCTCCGCTTACCACGGTTCTCTTGCGGCGTTTTCGGATCGGAGCGTTCGGATCGGTCTTGCGGGATTTTCCCTTGGGCGCGGGGTCTCGCGCGGGGTGATCTGCATTATCGGAGGCCATCTTGGACGGGCGTGGGCAATGCCCGTACGGAGTCCATCCGTTCAAACCTGGAACACCTGTTTGATTGGAGTAATATGTGTTCACGGGGCGTAGGTTACTCGGTTTGGGGGTTGAGGATTTGTAATGGGGGCGCAAATATTGAATCCCACAATATCGGCGGATTCGAACAGGGGTTCGGAGGTAAAGTTGTATTTAAATATGAACAGCAGACTCTCTGAGTTCTGCAGACTGAAAAAAGAAAGAATAATATGACAGAGAAAGGTGTTGGGGGGTGGATATGGGATCTTCCCGGTGGAGGCTGATCCGCGCTTTAGTCGTTTAGGAAGAACTGCCTATGTGGACTGGGGCGCTTTTTCCAAAGGCAAATCATTAAAGCATTAATCTCATTGGAATATAATCGCTCAAGGTCTCATATGTGGTCCGATTCGATCCTGTTTCATATTTGCCTTGATGCCGGCGTTGTAACGTATGCTAGTTAGCAAGCCTGGGCTTTCAAGGTATGGGACTGGGGTATTTCGTAAGTGATCTTGTGCCTCATGCCGAGATTGGATTTTTCAAAGAATCAGATATTCGTATACACATATACCAATATATTGTAGACAATGCTGGTCCAAGTTGCGGATGCACGATGCAGGTACGTATTTGTTGGTAGACACTTGCCAAGACCACTGGGCTAATCTTCTTTCCGCCCAAAGCGCGGACTCCCTGGAACGATGCGCCACAACTCTACAACTCCCTCGTGCTATGTAAATCGGGTGATATATATGAACCTTTTTTTTTTTCTTCCTTGGCCTGGCGAACAAAAGCCGATCGACGTGGCCGCGCGCCACTCCCTGAACCCCTGTATCAAAGCGCAGCTACCCGGACTATCTAACAATAATGGGTGCTTTTCGACCTGCGAGAGCGAAAGCGCTTTTGCTAGCGATGCTCACTTTGATTTTAGTTTGCACTGTCTACTTTTACTGGTCCCCGACCACTGCGTCCTCCACCGTTCCTCTGGTCCCAAATACAGCATTCGAGGTTCCCCTCACGGAACGCCAGAAGGACTTCTGGAAAGTCCTCCGCCCCATAATTGAACGCCACAAACCGAATTGCCCTTCCCCGGAAAAGCGAGGCGATGTGCAAGCTCAGCACTTTGACCCCACAAAAGACCAGCCACGGCCTGACCTAACAGGTCTGAGTGATGAAGATGTACGCAAAATGGAAGAATCCCATGCGGCCTTCATCGAGGATGTCAAGAATTCGGACAAGAAGTTGAAGCCGATTCATACCCCGGGCAAGCGAGGACTGGTATCGACAGCTGGTGCTACATATCTCCCTGTTTTCGTCTCATCGCTGCGCATGCTCCGCCGCGCGGGGTCAAATTTGCCGGTTGAACTCTTCATGAAGGATGCTACCGAACACGAGAAACATATTTGCAACAATGTGCTTCCCAAACTCGATGCGCGGTGTTTGATACTAGCAGATGTGGTGGGTAAAAATATCATTGAACACTATCAACTCAAAATCTTCGCTGTTCTTTTCTCATCCTTCGAAGAAATTGTCTGGATGGATGCCGACTGCTTCCCTCTTGGTAAACCCGAGGATCTGCTCGACTCAGAGCCATTTAAAACCAATGGTCTTATCACATGGCCCGACTTCTGGGCTTCCTCCGCATCTCCGTTGTACTACAGAATTTCACGTCAAGAGGCACCGTCCATGGCTGCCAGACAGTCATCAGAAACCGGGGTATTCTTAGTCTCCAAGAAAACCCATTCCCTAGCTCTCTTGCTGGCGGCGTATTATAACTTTTACGGCCCCTCGCATTATTTCCGCTTGTTAAGTCAAGGAGGACCTGGCGAGGGAGACAAGGAAACCTTTATTCAAGCTGCCTCTGCTGTAGGCGCACCTTTCTATACTGTCAGTGAGAGGGTGCAAGCCATCGGACACGCGAATGCAGATCAGCTGTCTGGATCAGCCATGGCACAGTCAGATCCGCGCGAGGACTTTGCCTTGATCCAGCAGGATAAGCGACGTGTAAAAGACGAGTCTGTTGCCCCTGCACCACACATCTTCTTCATCCACGCAAACTATCCCAAATTCAACCCCGGCGACCGGATTTTCGGCATGGGATGGGAAACAACTCCTACTTTGAAGAAGGACGGCTCAGATGGACGCGCCTGGACGGCACCCCCAGAGGCCATCAAGCGATTTGGATACGATGTCGAAAAGGCTTACTGGGAGGAGATTAAATGGGTCAGCTGCAACCTCGAAACAGCGTTCAAGACGTGGGAGAACAAACTGGGCCTTTGCAAGAGAGTCGAAGAATACTGGGGTCATGTCTTTGCTGAGCCGCATGACGATGACCCCAAGTTTACTCTGGATGGCTGATCTCAGGTCTCGGTCTCACTGGCACATGCTGTGCCTTGGGCCGCCCCTTGGCTTACCTAGCCTCCCTTCCTGTTCCCTCCAACCTCCGAACAGGATTCCGGTATTTGGCTTCAATCCAACTGCACTCCGGGTATATGCCTCCCATTGCCGCAGTATATGCGGCTTGGTTTTGACAGTGGGAGTCTTCGATCACCCAAGCCATTTTTTTCTGGCTGAATAGACCAGTCACTCTAATGGAAAGTTACAGGTATCTATCTAATGCTTGTGACTTCGGCTTTGTATAGATTTTGGATACTTCATCCTGTACAATAGCTCGGCCCTTGAAATCTCGGGTCTCATACATATCGCATAATTGTGTTTAGAAAGCGATCTCATGACATATGGCTCATTTATTCCTACGTTTCACAATGACACACCTGGATACCACATTTTACCGTTTCATCTTATACTGGTTCTCGCTTCTACTTAGGGAGACTTAAATTATATACGACGCTACCTTGACAAGGAGTAAGAAGTACAAAGTAGAATGGAAGTGTTGGGCCCAGTATGAAAAATAGTCACGATAACGTATTCTACAATTGCATGTCAAGATTCAAAGCAGCACTATATACAATCTAGACATGTACAGAGTTGCACACCAATTTGTCTTATCTCCAATGTAGTATTCATTCAGTGGCATCGTTACTCGTTCAAGAGAACGTTGACCAGATATCATTATTATCGTACATCATGTTCCAACACCAACCCTTCCATCCCTGGCTGACGAATATTCAATTCCAATCAGAAGATATGAGGGGGTATTTTGTAACATTAAAAAACACCATTAACAAATTTAGTGCTTAATGCCCTTTTCCTGCAGACGCTGCTCATCCTCAGCCTGGAGCTCGGCATCAATCTTAGCACCTTTAGAAGGAGCATTGCCATGCATCTTAGCCTGTATTGAGATAGATGTTAGTAAATGCATCTCACTCAAGGATCGTATATGCCATGGGCGAATAGACTTACGGGCTTGGTGGGATCTTGCTTGCTCAACTCGGCCTCAGCATCGTACTCGCTCTTGTGCTTTGAGGAGTCGGGCTTGTTCTCCTGGGAGGCAAGCTTGTTCGCAATGGAGCGGCCATCTTTAGAATCAAGGTTCTTGTGACTATGGGGCATGCCCTCGGCGTAACGGGCACGCTCTTGGAGCTCGGACACGGGGACATTGCGCTGGTCACCGGCCTCGTAGACACTGCGGTTTCCGACGCTGGAATTGCCTGACATGTTGAGTAGGTATAAAGTGGATTGGGGGTTTGTTGAAAGGGGTTTTGAGGGTTGCAAGGTAAAGGTAGGAATGGATGAGGAGCTTGATTGATTGCTTTTACTATTGGAAAATCTCGATCTTATACTTGGTATACTCGCTGTGATGTCATGTTAGAGTCACTGAGATCATAGTGGGGCGTTGCCCAGTTTGAGGGCGATGACAAAAGATCCCTGTTCATTTTCTGATCGCATGTGCTCTGGACCCTTCTTGGGGGTTCTGATTAATTTGAAAAACTGTTGCAATCAAGGCATTGGTGCTCTATGACATTGTTGATGCTTTTAGGGTTCCGCTGGCTAGTATCCGCCCCACTTTATACTTCAAGAATATAGCTTGATAATAGTCCCTATCCTTGTGTAAATGGCATATTTTCATTCATTATTGATTGATTACAGACATCTTTGTATCAATTGATTTCATCCTGGGTATTTCTTTGGTGGATGTATGCGATCCATCCGGTCTGTGATCGGCTTAGATATGTCTCTGTCGTCCACGGGTACATAGGATACAAATATAATATAGTACATATCTAATATCCTTTTATTATATTTTGATATTTCCTCTTAAGACTGAGGAGCTTAATTCCCTGAAAACGGAAACAAATCGAAGTTTTCGGACATCATACAAAATGCTTTAAGCCTGCAGTGACCCACTTCCGCCGTCGGAGTGCACTGCGATTGATGGAGAGATCACAACTTTACGTTGTATTGAACGCTGTAATTGTACAATATACGCCATGTTTTCTCGATTACCAATCCGAGCCAGCAAGCTGCAGCTGAAGCCCAAATCAATTTCAATTCTTTTCTCATACCAACCGCCAAGAACAATGAGTTTTTCCACCGCCACAGCGGAAGTCCAGCCCCGCTACCATCAACTTTTCACCGAGCTAGAAAACCGCTTCAAAACCACCAATCTAGGCAACGACAAATGGTACATCCTAGCCATTTCCACGCTAGCCGCTAGCCCAGATCCAGAGCGGGCAGACCAGCTCTATCTCCACCTCACTCAGCAAGCAGACTATGCGACCTCACCAGCCCGGCAAGCCCTGATCCGCCGGCTCCGCGAGGCGCTCATCAAAGCTGTGCCTATTGTCGGAGTATGCAAACCCATTGAGGCAATTTTGGCTATTAGCGAGCTCGAGCGCGACGAGGACAAGGATTACACCTTCACCCGCAAGGGCTGGCAGTGCGACCAGGCCAATCACGAGCGTGGCACGGAATGGTTGCAGAAGCTGTACGCGCGCAACACCACAGGCACGCTGGATTTGTTTAGTGCGCACAAGGACTTTTCTTGGCTTTCCGAGGAAATTACCTATGGGTTGTATTTGTCGGATCGTCAGATCTTGGATGATCTTGATACACAGCTTGTTGTGCTGCCAGCTATCATGAGTCAGAATTTGCCCAAGGAGACCCATTGGCATATCCGTGGTACGAGGCGCATTGGTGTCTCGAAGGAGGAGGTTCAGGTAATTTGGGATTGTGTGCAGCTTGTTGCTCAATTCTTTGATGTTAAGCTTCATAAAGTACCAACCGTTGAAGCGGTTGAGTATGATGTTTAGAATTAGGAACTTAGCTTAAACAATCAGTAATTTTCGTGATTTGATATGTTATCATTACATTGTATATCAATGGATATTCCTAAGAAGCTTTAGATGCTCTAATATCCCGGATTGTGGTTGTGCATTGTTTATTTGCTGTATATATATGTTAGGTGCAAGTATATCAACCAACACACCTTGGGACAGTTTATCCATGAAACCCTACATATTGACAACTCTTCTCCGAAGTCCTCTCAAGACCCAAATGATATATAGAGCTTATCATAGAAAACCGAAATCGATGGGCACTGCCTGGGCAACCAACAATGACCTACATCGGCGATAACAGCCGATAAGGAAAAAAGTTCGCAAGCGGCCGAGCGCGGGGCCAAGATCAACCTTTGGACTTCAATTTTACCCAATACCAGACAAAACATATCTCAATTAGCACAATATGGTCAAGCGCAAAGATCCCAGTGATGTCACCATGGGCGGCACCAAGCCAGAGGAGTCCGACTCCGATGAGGTTAGACTCGCACCCTAGACTGTGTACCATGTGCCGTCGGATTGCTAACGACGACTCAGGACATGGACATGGTCAATGTAGAATTTGAATGGTTCGATCCTCAGCCGATTGATTTCCATGGCTTGAAGAACCTCCTGCGCCAGCTATTCGACAATGATGCTCAGATCTTCGACATGTCCGCACTGGCCGATTTGATTCTCTCACAGCCAACATTGGGATCGACAGTGAAGGTTGATGGACATGAATCAGACCCTTACGCATTCTTGTCAATTCTCAATCTGCAGGAACACAAGGTTTGTGGTCTTCCGCTCTTCATCTTTTCGTCGTACTAACCACCTGCTCCCAGGACAAACCCGTCGTACACGACCTGATCAACTACCTCAAGACTAAAACTGCATCCAACCCATCCCTCTCCGTCGCTTCCAAGCTCCTTTCCCAAACCCCTATCCCTCCCATCGGTCTAATTCTGACTGAGCGTCTGATCAATATGCCGTCCGAGATTGTCCCTCCCATGTACAACATGCTCCAGGAAGAAATTGCCTGGGCTGTTGATGATAAGGAGCCTTATACTTTCTCGCACTACATGGTTCTTTCGAAGAACTACGAGGAAGTTGAGTCGAAGCTCGACCAGGAAGAGTCGCGGCCTCAGAAGAAAAAGAAGAAGGGTGGTGAGCAGGCTGAGCGATTCTTCTTCCACCCCGAAGATGAGGTTATTGAGCGTCATGCGCTGTGTGCTGGCTCTATTGATTACACTCACAAGGCCGACGAAGGGCACTCAGACTCGAAGCGTGCGTTCCAGGAGCTGGGCATCCGGACGAAAGGTAGCTTGATTTTGATTGAGGCGGCTAAGTTCGAGCCTATGGTTAAGGCCCTTACACAATATATGTCGTAGTTAATGTTAAGACTTTGTAGTCTGATGCATTTCATGCCTAGTTCACGACAAAATCCATTCAATTCTAGATTATTTTGCTTTTGGCTTTTATTTTCAGAGTTGCGTCGGCCACATAATCCACATAATCCTCATAAATGTTAAGATTCGATGGACTGATCGTATTGGAACCTTACCTATGCTAAAGATGCTTCTTATTCCCATTGTGTGCCCTTGAGTCTCTGCATGAGATACTCGACCTCGACAACCTTGGTCAATGGGATGACACATTCCTATAAAAGTAGCACATAAGTCAGTAATTATATACCCAAGAGTAAAACTCCAAATCTCTCCTCGTACCTTGTACATAGCAACAACAGCATCAATGTTGATCTTGGGGCCTTTCTCATCAGGCAAAGCCGGATCAGTGCCATAAGTCTTCGCTTTAAGAGCCAAACGCTCAAGAACCTTCTGTTCTACAGCAGCATTGGTAATAGCAACATCGATACCCTCCCGATCCTCGGCCTTAATCAGACGCACAAAAGTTTCAGGATCCTTCTGGAACTTTGACTCAGCAACGAACTTTCCAAAATGAATCCGGCGCGCCAGCGCCTGTAAACAGGCAACGTCGCAGGTCGCCGCGGAGCCGTAGTTCTCCTGTGTCTCGCCACGGTCCTCCCGTCCAAACTTGGGGCAAACTGCTGGCAAAACTTCTTTGATGTATCGCTCTTTGATAATGTCGTTCACGCAGACATCATTCTCGTGCAGGATGCGCGGGTATTCCAGTGGCTGCAGGATTGGCTCTTCGAGCACATCGGGGAAGAAGGGGTATTCGTCGGGTGATTGATAGCGGCGTACTCGGGACTGAATGCGCTCTTGTTCGCGGAGTAGGTAGTCCAGCAGACTGAGCTCGCTGTTGGGGATCTTAACGCCGCCGGGAACGTAGATGGTCTTGTTCAGTGGGAATTGAACTCGCTCGATCATATGGAAGGTAATTGTATCTTCTAGTCGACTGGGGACCTGGAATTTTAGCTAGCCGCTCTCGATTGTGGTGTGGTTTGAGTGTTCAATAAGAATGTAGTCTTTCATATGGGTATAGTGTGGCATTGAAGGTTATGGCGGGGGCGGGGGAAGTGGAAAGTATTTCAATCGGAGAAAAGATGGAAGCTCACATCAACTGGAAACGGATATTAGCAAGGTCCAATGCCTTACGGGCATCGGAAAGGTCAATGGCGGCATCCATAGCTTGATATGTGATGAGGTGTAGATGGAGAGAGTCTGCGGGACTGCGGAAATCGGGATGCCTCAAGTCCACTCCGCTCGATTTATACATTGCAGCAGAGGGGAGAAAGAAATAAAATATGCTGTGTCAGAAGCTCTACATCGCTCTCATATGCAGAGTTCACCAATTTATTAATAAAAAGGCCGGTGAACAACCATAAAGTTTCCAATGATTTCGTATATGATGATCTATTGCATTTGGTACTTTGGACAATATGCGACCGAGGCACTTGCAGGAACACCACAATCCTGAAATCAACAAAATTTGAACATCCTTGCATTTCATCAAATATTGATTCAAATCAACCCAATTCAGACAGTCGAAAAGCGAAAGCACCTGGGCTTGTTTCAGCCTGTAAAAGTACGATACGGCAGTACCCGGGGAACGCGGTAAACTCGCGTGGGACACCAAGTCTCCTACTTTAACCTAGCGCAAGCTTTCAACTTCCCCCTCCTGGTATCACATGGGTTTTGGTTGAGCCCAGGATACTCTTGGTCTCATGGAGAACCAGCGCCGCGACTACTCGCCCTCGGGCCTGTCGGATATCGTCGAGGGCGATGGCCTTCTGGGCACCGGCTTAACGGTAGGCTTTTTCCAACCCTCCGATGACGCCCCTCCACCAAACTGCAGGCTGACTGGATTTCCTCTGCGGTGATTGCAGACTCGTCACATCGAGGCTTTCGGACGAAAAGTCACAACGACCGCGGGACACCTGATGGGACCGGGCGAACAGAATGCTGCCCACCTGAATAATGCTATGACCGATATCCACCGCGAGATGCGGCGACCGGCAACGCAGCGCAAGGTGTTTTCGCTAACGCAAACAACACCGACCGATCTCGTCCGCTCAAAGCTTTCGACTACCGAGATTCAGTCTCGTGCCCTATCCTACCTCCCGGATGATCTTCTCGCCAACATCCCCGAAGACAACAGCTCCTACTCCCTTTTCCAGGGCTTTCAGGCCTCCATCCCCGAAGATGAGAAAGAGAAGAAACGACACCGAAGGCGCAACTCTAAGGGAAAGCTTCTCAAGGACATTGAGAGAGGTGGTACCTTGACTGCCGGCCCGGCCGGGCTAAAGGATCAGCGCAAATCGCTGAGTCGCAAATTGGAGTTGATGGGAATCCGGAAGAACATGTGCAGCGCGGAGATCCATGAAATCGATAACAAGGTTGCCAACTTGCACAAAATGCGCAAGATTGTTCTTGATCGATTGGCCGGGTTGGAAATGGACGAAGCGGGATTGGAGCAAGAACGTGGGTTAACCTATTGAGACAAACGCGATTATGGAGAGAAAACTGATCCAGATGGAACAGTGACGGACCTCGATAATAAGTTGGAAGATCTCCCAGAGGAAGACTCACAGGACACACCAGTTGCGACGCCGCGGTCAGATAGCCAGGATTCTACTGGGTCATCGGGAGATCCAGCGATGGATGCTTCGTTCATGTCAGAATCGATTTATGAGAAGCTCCCCTCAACCTCGCGAAAAAGTCTACGACATCGATCTAATCGTATGGAATCCTCCGACCTGGTACGTGAATCACAACTGACAACAGATTTAGGGAAACGGTCGATGCCAATCCTACACGAACACTTCTCCCCTGGGTCTTTGATCAAGGAAATAGAAGCGCACACCGACATGGTCACAGCTATTGACTTTGACTATCCATTTGGTACTATGGTCAGCGCTGCACTAGATGATACTGTGAGAGTTTGGGACATGAATGTCGGACGATGCTCCGGTTTCTTGGAAGGACACAATGCCTCAGTTCGCTGTCTGCAAGTGGAGGATAACATCGTGGCCACAGGATCCATGGATGCTTCTATCAAGCTGTGGGATCTGAGCCGTGCTCGACCCACGACTCGGGACGGGCGCCTCAACAAGCACGAGCGTGATCAAGAAGAGGCAGCTATAGAGCACAACTTCCCAGTACCGCCGACCTCTAACCTTGAAGACTGCAATGTATTCTCGCTGGAAGCACACGTCGACGAGGTGACAGCGCTTCATTTCAAGGGTGACACCCTCATCTCAGGATCTGCAGACAAGACGCTCAGACAATGGGATCTGGTTAAAGGTCGCTGTGTCCAAACTCTGGACGTTTTGTGGGCATCCGCCCAGTCATCTTCGTCGATGATGGGAGACTCTGACTGGCGACCATCGGGTCGCGTGCCCGATACTTCGGCTGACTTTATTGGCGCCGTGCAGTGCTTTGATGCTGCGCTGGCATGCGGAACAGCAGATGGCATGGTCCGCCTCTGGGATTTGCGCAGTGGCCATGTCCACCGAAGTCTTGTAGGACACACGGGGCCGGTCACATGTCTCCAATTTGACGATGTGCATCTGGTCACGGGTAGTCTTGATCGGAGCATTCGGGTAAGCACTCCAACTCTTTTTTTCTCTTCTTTCTTAGCTATTGTTTCTAATTGTTCATAGATTTGGGATCTACGTATGGGCTCTATTTACGACGCTTATGCCTACGACAAGCCAATCACCGACATGATGTTCGACTCCAAACGAATTGTGGCCGCTGCCGGGGAAAATGTGGTCAAAGTCTACGATAAGGCAGATGGCAACCACTGGGACTGTGGTCCAGGTGTTGGGCTTGGCGACGATGGTCCATTCCCTGCGACCATCCAGCAGGTTCGTCTTAAAGATGGCTACCTTGTGGAGGGACGTAAAGACGGCACTATGGCTGCCTGGACGTGCTAGACATGTAAGATCTTTTAGACGGCGCATACTTGGGGTCACATTTTGCTTTCAGCCTTTTCGCGACCGTTGTATAGTATTCAATCTTCAAACTGTGTCTTAGTAGCGACCGGGCGAATCAGGGGCAGGATCATATTAGTTATTCGTATACAGCAGGAACAAAGTCCTTCAGGCAGGGAAGTAAAAAGTACTCTTGAAACAAAAATAGTGTCAAGATCGTAGCAGTCCGAGGCGTAAGGGTTGACAAAGAGATCTAACCAACAAAGACTATGGAAGTGAGACTGCTATAAAGAAAGATAGAAATACGAAAGAACATGAAATTCCATGCGGAGGATAAGATGTGCATACATATACAGCTCTAAAGTCGAGAGTTGAGATTCTTCAGTGATCTTCAGATTTGCACCCTCCACCCTTTTTCCCCATCTGGTTTTCCTCACTTCACCCAACCTCCTGAGCCTCCCCCGGATTCCTGGCAACTCAGACCCAAATTGTCGCTCTTCTTAAAATAAAGCAAGCATTCCACGACCTCTTGGGTGCATCGGCGCATCACCCTCGGAAGCTGGTAGCTGGTAGCTGCAAGTCACGTTCCCGTCGCGTCTGCGCGTCTCTCCGGGATCGCGATCTACAGGCTTCGGACATCTACACAAGGCCTTTCAGGGTCTGCATGGTTAATCTTCTGTGATAAGTCGTAAGTTTGAAATTGTTGTGGCTTTCTTTTTCCTTGCTCAATACTTTTGGCAATGGCCCTGGTCCCGTCATACTAGCACATGTTCCATTCTCATGACACCATTTCCACTTCATGTCGCATTGCATGTATGCCTTGATACATTATGTTCTGTTTCAATCATTGATTGTTATTTTCAAGGTTTCAATTTTTACATTGACCATGTCCCATTTTTGTGTTTGTTTTATCTAAACCAAAGCTAATATCTCAACTAGACACAAAACTCAAAGTATTATCTCTAAAATCCATTCTAGAGGACAGAAGTAAAGATGCCGGCCAAACGTGCTACACGCCGGGCTGGCGCGACTCCTTCACGGCCACATATGGACCCCGAATTTGAGTCCATACTCGACCGTGTACAAGGACCTATTTTGCCTAGTGTTCCAGTCCAAGCATCATTCAATTATGGTGCTACTACTACTACAGCATTACCTACACGCATGTCGGTACGGCCCAACATTGGGATTGACCAGATGGCTGGAGCAGTCGATGCCCGTCTTGAGGTTGCTCGGAGGCGAACAGCTGCTACCAAGAAGAAGAATGGCACTCAAGCACGCAAGCGTGAGCCAACACCCGACGAAGCTCAGCTTCAACAGTCGTTGCATAATGCAGCAGATGAACATTCCGATAAAACTCCTTCGCCTCCTGTTCCACATTCGGTATCTACAGACTCTAGTCCTGATGCTCAACCGCCATTGCAACGTCAGTTGTCAAACTCTCCGCTTTATCCATCGCCACTTCAGCGGATGGGGTCTCCTCGAATTAATAGTCCTCTGGATAGCTCGCCATTCCGCCACAGCTCTGTTGATAATGCCTCTGTGGTGTCTTGGGATCTGGAACGTGATATTAACGAAGATGACCTGCAAAGAACGCGACCAAGCAAACATGGACGCAACATTACAGCTCCCCCTCGACGAGTTTCTGGCCTGGCTAATGTTCCCGAAGAGGACGAAGAAGAAGACATTCAATTTGACTCAGCAATATATCATGACTTTGACCCTCAGGTCCCCAAAGAAAGCTTTTTGAGTCGATGGCTAGCAGCAGTGCGGCCCCGAAGTCGGGAGCCCCAGGTTCTCAATGAACCCCCCGCCGAGGTACGCCGAAAAAACTTGATGCAAAAGTTTGAAACAGCAATGGAGGGCAGCTACAAGAACTGGATTAGGGCTGCGTTCTATTTGCTCTTGTTTCTGAGCTTTATTTTCATGCCCCTGATCGCCGCGAAGCTTCGCGATTATCTAGATCATGGTGCTATGGATTGGGATTTCTCTTCGAATATAAGCGTCTCTAAACCGGAAGTTTTCCATAGCCTTCGGAGCCAGGTGTCAAAAATGGACGTTCAGATGTCATCCTTGTCGAACGAGCTCAGTTCTCTTCAATCAGGACAGTCGCTTTCCAACGTTCATGATTCGACGCCCACAGACCCAAGCCTCCATCGGAAACCGGTCTACAAAGTAAATTTCCTCTCGGTGGCATTGGGGGCAATGATCGACCCAGCGAAAACCTCACCAACTTTGGGCTCTAAGCAGAGCGTTCCTTTCCGAGCCCTCCTCTGGGCGAGTTCATTTGTATCCAGGCGCGCCATTCGAACACAGCAATCTCCTATGTCTGCCTTGACCACGTGGGAAGAAGTAGGCGACTGCTGGTGCAGTGCCCCTCGTAACGGAACGACCCAATTAGCTGTCCTTCTCGGCCGTGACATTGTGGCAGAAGAGTTGGTAGTTGAGCACATTCCCGTGGGCGCTTCTCTCGAACCCGAGGCGGCACCACGAACAATCGAGGTGTGGGCTCGCTTCAAAGTGAACCCCCACAGAATACCAGTCAAAGCGAAACCAACGCCGGAGGCTAGACCTGGCCGCGTTGGCTTCCTAAAACTCTTCGGAGATGCAACAGTGTCACAACCGCCACCACCATCAACCCAGGCCCCTTCGTCCCGCGAAACAGGACTTGGAGGATTCCTAATCCCTGGAATCGGTTCACTCCACGGGTTGGTGATGGATCTATTGCGTCGGAGCAACCCCTTCGATCCCCCGAGCGCGTACTCAGATGACCCTATTCTCGGACCCAACTTTTACCGCATCGGGAAAGTAGAATATGATCTCCACAGCCCTGATTACGTGCAGAAATTCAAGCTCAACACCATCGTCGACGTGTCGACTATCCGTGTGGACAAGGTCGTCTTTAGGGTGACTTCAAATTGGGGTGCCAATCACACTTGCATCTATCGATTCAAGTTACATGGGCACATCTAGGCTTGGCTACGGATATTCGGTCCTCGTTACACTTCGTTGAGCTTGATTCGTCTCTTACAATTCTCTCATGTATTTACCTCCAAAGAGACCAGGTTCTGGCTGGTCTAGAATTTGGAACAAAATGTGCTTTGCGATGATACCTTGCATAGCTGCGGCGGCGTTGGATGGTTTTTTTGGGTTAGTGGTCTACTTTTTTTTGTCTCCATATTTATCTTTTATAGTCACATCACATCATAACCATTGGGCTTTATTCCAAATTGCTTCGCTCCTGGCGCTTTGCTTTTCCAACAGCACGCTTGCCGTGCTTCTTGTGCAGGTCATGTAAGTGGGCCGGAGCACAATAGCTACGCAAGGCCTTTACGTCCAGTTGGTCTGGGTAGAAGATGATCCCTCACCTGCCACTTTTATTTCCGTGTGACTGGTGATGGTACTGGCCTCTAGGGGAGTTCCCCTTTCCTACATTACTATGTAGGTATCCACGCATGCCTGTTCCATTTAGTCTTCAATATACCACCGACGGTTGGTTGACCTAGAATCACTATCACACCTCGGAAGTCCTGTTTTGCCCTGCCCTGTTGGCTGCCAATTTAGATTCATATCCTTGTAGGCTTATGAATAGTAGGTGGTCACTATAGTTTCGTCTGTTCTCGTCACCAACAACCTCTTCTAATGATAATTCAATACGTTATCCAACATATCCATTGAAAATTCCTCTCGAACTTTATAGTCCAATGATTCTTAACAGTCTATTTGTTCGCATTGCCTTGCGTGAATGGCCATGTACATATGGCTTTGATTAACATAAGGCCAACCTCTACTAATGAGGGTCCAATACATCGTCTAATAACTCTATCCTAATAATTCTCGCATACCATCACCACGGTAGGTGTATGGATAGGTACATATATATCTGGGTAAGGTAATACTAGTTCCAGGCAGTATCTCAGTGAATGGCGTTATATATGATGTTGGCTAATATAATGCGAGGCAATACTAGATGGCTCTTACCAACTTGCCGAGAGTCGCCCCTTCCTACTTTCTCCATTCACAACAGCGGATCTCTTCATAATCACATCTTACATATTTCTGATAATATATCCCTAGAGGTATTTTTGGGTGCGTGGCGCCTGGTAAAGGACGACTCTGTAGTCTCCAGGCTCTGTAATCCTTCTAGTATAGGGCAAAGTGTGTTGCTTGTCAGGCTCCTATGGGAAATATTCAGATAATTGGGAACATTGAGTCATGTCTTATTTCTGTTTTCTTGTAGGTTCTCGGTATTAGCGCTTTCTCCCGTCCACCTATTTGTTACAAAATCATATCTCGCAAGTTATAGTCCAACCAACACTAGAAACAGAGGTAACCGAAACAGTTGGATTAGACTACTGACAAAGTGGATGTGAACTCGCCACGCAAATGTGATAGAAATTTTGATGCACTAATTACTATTATATGTCAAGGAAGTGCTTCCTGGATGATGTGTTTCGACGTGTATAAATATGGAGCTAGATCCTGAGAAGATTCTTGTCATTCAACCCAGATTCCAGACTCACAATTCCTTCAAGGCTTAGTTCAACTACTATCATCATATCATCATGCCTGGAGTGCGCGCAGAGCTCTGGGATTTGGTACCCATTTTGACCAAGGACTTGTTGAAGACATCGATTGAACTGGGAAATCAGCCCGGCCGTCAATTGGTGACGATGAAAAGGGAAGCTGCAATAAAGCTTCTCGATGAATGGCATAAAGCTGATCTGCCATATTTCACCATCGAGGCCCTCCAAGACCTCGAAAAGCAGCTGGAGCCCCTACATCTCCCTAATGTCAACACAGGTGAAGTCAGCCTGGCGGCCCTCACCGGCACCATTTTCAAAGGCGAAATGAATTTGGGGCATTGCTTCGTCTCGAAACTTTATGAAAGTAAGGTTGAAACGAAAATGATCAAGTAAGTTATCCACCCTATGTTTGATTTATCTACTGGTGGATTCGTTATAACGAGAGCTGATACCATGTAGCTTGCGTTTTGTTATAGAGTACAATCATCCAGCAAGGCTGATGGATAGCATTACGCTAGCATACAAAGAAGGAGCAGATGTTCCAGTTATGAATCTCATGCCCTTTCAAATGGCGCACGAGGTGTTCGAGTGCCACAACTTGGAAGAGCCCTCAAGCTGTAAGATTGCGGGCGACGCTTTCAAAAATGAGAGACAGGCCTGGGAAAAAACTGAGACATGCAGGAAACTTCCAGTGACTTTGTCAAGAGCCCTTGGTCACGAGATCAACAGCATCGTCGGTTTTTCTTGTGGTAGTCTGTCCCTGCCAGGAAGATCCAAAGCTGCCTTCCAGCACGCGTTGCTGGTTACCATAAAGGACTGGCTGATAGAGCAAGGCAATGGCAAGAAGCCCTCCTGCTATCTGCAGGATCCAGAATACACCGACGTCGATAAAGAAATCCTCCACAGTGTCGATTTCGATGTGGTTCACGACCCGACCGGCTTTCTCAAAGTCAATGACAAGTCAGTTGTGCTATCCATAGGATCTGATGCACCTACCAAGCAGATCATCGCGGATATCGCTAGACCTGCTATTGTAATTTGGGTGCGCCACCAAGGAGATGGCCTGTGAGTGTTTTCTTCACCTGTTTAATGTGTCCTTTGGCTGTTAATTCCAAAGCTAACATGAACTTTCGCTAGCCTTGACTATGACTCATCCCGTGTTATGAACATGATGAAGGATTACGACATGTATGAGCTTGGTGATGCACCGCAGTTTCGAAAGGCTGTGATCTATATCAGGAAGCCTGTTCTCAGAGCCAGGGTTGCGGAAAGTGTATTGGCTACCAGAAAAAGTGCTATTCTGAAGGGTCTTACGATAAACCTCAAGCATACCCCCATTCGTACCTGATGTAGGTAGTGCTAGTAGCTAGTTAGTCTTGAAACATGTCATTTCTTTTGTTCTTTCAGTATTTTATCTCCGAATTAATATGTATTAGGATTACTGTTGACCAAGTAGCCGTGCCCCGCACATGTGATATGTAGGCGCAAGCGTGATGGACGCGCTGGCTTATTAGGCGCCAGCCCCGGTGACTCTATTACAAGTACCCGTGGACTGCCCCAAAATAAATCAACTTCTTTCTAACCCGTGGACCTTGGAACTTAGTCGATAACATGGATGAGACAAGTAGTTTAGGGCCCACCGTGACAGAAGGAATCTCGCGGCTAGGGCTTGCATACAGTTGCACTCATTGTCGCTTGGTTGAACCTAGGGAAAAACAAACCCTGGAGAAGGCGAAACAAATAATCGACAAACTCTATGCATCCGGAGTGCCATTTTTCACTAAGAAGTTAATACAGGATATGTGGGATCAGATCAAGCGAGAATCAGCCGACAAAATATTTACCAAAGACATAACCGGCGCGGTTGTTGAATGCGATGTGGAGATGGGTAAGGTTCAGAAGGTTCGAGAATGGGAGGATGATACGGAATGGGCATATGTGTGGTGGGTAGATGCCGTTAATGCCTATACATATGCTATGGTGAGAACTGATACCATCCAGCAAGGAGCTAGTCCTCAATTACGAGTGTCGAGCATCTCTCAGGAACAATATTGATGATCACAGATTAAAACACTGGAAACCCTGCTCGATTAGCATCCAGCATCGGATATACGAATGGGACAGTGAGGCCAAGACAATTATCCCACAGCGTGCTCCTATTGCCCATGAAATGGTCACAAAAACCTTCCAAGATAAGGCACAAAAATGGAAAGACAGCCCAGCCTGTGAAAAGCTCACGACGATTCTGTCATCGTCTGCAAAGAATCATGAAATTGATAAGGTCATCGGGTTTGCTCTTGGCACGATGTCCTGCGAATGTTTCAATGAGGATGGCAGTCTGAATACTAGGTAGGGCTGGGTGGCGATCTGCATCTCAGCATGCGCTCCTCGTTACCATGACAGAATGGCTTAATGGAAGAGACCACAAACAGAAAGTCTTAAGTTACTCACAGGACCCAGTTTACACCGAAGTAGACAAGAGGATTCTGGACGAGGCCGGTATCGAGGTGATTGAAGATCCACGTGGTTGGCTCGAGGTAGACGAGCAATCGATTGTACTCTCGATAGCACCGAATGTGCCTACCAAGGAGATTATTACGGACATTGCTCGACCGGCAGTTATTATTTGGGATCGAGTGAAGTTCAACGATGGACTTGATGAGAGGTTGTGAGTATCAGATCATCTTCTACATTCATCCATTCAATATGCTAACCTCATTAGAACTGATCCTGATTCCTCCCGGATCAGAGCAATGTTAGAGGGATATGAGCTACATGAATTTGGCGCTGATGATGAGATGTTCTCGGATATCGTGCTCTATATTCGGAATTCAGTTGCAGCCCCAATTCCCTCAGATGGAAGATTTTCCTAGAGGCGAGGGTATACAAAATTCATGCCTGATTTCTGCCCGAAGAACTAGGTGTCATCCCGGGTATATATCCATATCGTATACAATCAAACAAGGATTATTTGAATGTTCCCGTATAGTCCGCGTACTTGCAGCTCCCCCTCATTTAGAGAGAAATTAATTAATAGAATAGGATAATCTGATATGAAATGGAAAAACTAAGAAATAAATTATTCCATGACTTTAATCTCCTTTTTGATCTCTAATCTCCTTAATTTCAAAGTTGCGTAGGATATCCACCCCCCACATATCGAAAGGCGGAAGACCCTCGACTCGGGACCTTCATCTCTGGTCACGCGCCTTTCGTGCAGCCCATCCTCGTACCTACGCCCCCCCCCAATGGCCTCCGAGCGAGCGATCGATCGGGAAGAGCGACAGGGCCTTGTAAGTCTTTTCACTTTTGCTTTTTCAAGGAGGGGGGAACCCAACCCCTCTTTATATCTGACGTTGGACACTATGGGGATCGGAATTGTGAACGTGTTTCGGCATGGGTTCACCAGTCACCAGATCACCTGGGAATATCCAGATCTTGACTAACGCAAACAGCGTGCCATTCGCGATTTCCTCAAGGCCCGAAACTCCTACGATGTCCTGCCGCTCAGCTTCCGACTCATCATCTTCGATACCTCGCTTTCCGTCAAGGAGAGTCTGAACATTCTGATTCAAAACGGTACGTTTTCGCGATTATCCTCCTTTTTCTACAAAATTGTTGAACTCCAGCTGACTGCGAACCCGTGAATCGGGAGGTACAGGCATCGTTTCAGCTCCGTTGTGGGACTCCAAAGCCTCCAAATTCGCAGGTCTTCTGACCACCTCCGACTACATCAATGTCATCCAATACTATTTCCAGAACCCCGCCGCCCTGGACCAGATCGATCAATTCCGCCTGGACAGTTTGCGAGGTGCGTTGGACCATGTCGCCGCATTCCTGCAGGTACACCCGGCTAACGGGAATATACAGATGTCGAAAAAGCGCTAGGTGTGGCGCCACCGGAGACCGTCTCCATCGACCCAGAGCGCCCTCTTTATGATGCTTGTCGCCGCATGTTGGAATCGCGCGCCCGCCGTATCCCTCTCGTTACTAGCGATAGCCAGACCGAGCGGCCCCACGTTCTTAGCGTCATCACGCAATACCGTATCTTGAAATTCGTCGCCGTCAATGTTCCCGATACGCAGCAGTTGCGCCGCCCGCTGGGTGAACTTTTGCTTGGATCATATGACAATGTTGCTACGGCTTCGATGGATACACCAGTTATTGATGTTATCCATATTTTGGTCGAGCGCAGCATATCCAGTGTACCTATCGTGAACTCGGAAGGCGTGGTGTATAATGTATTCGAGTCGGTAGATGTTATTACGTTGATTAAGGGTGGTTTCTACGATGATTTGAGTCTCACAGTTGGGGAAGCATTGAAGAAACGTTCTCCGGTATGGGACCTCCTTTCCTAGTGATATCAGTGATATCAATTCCGATACTTACGTTCTGTGCAGGGTTTCCCGGGTATCTACACATGTTCATTGAATGATGGACTGGATACTATCTTTGATACTATCCGCAAATCTCGAGTGCACCGTCTCGTTGTCGTGGATGAGCACTTCAAGCTCAAGGGCGTTCTGACTTTGAGTGATATCCTGCATTACATTCTCCTCGAGGGAGAGAATGAGGAAGCATGATGTTGGAGTTAAAACTCGTGGTTTTTCCCATACATATTCAGTTTGCATGGTTCCGGCGTTTTGATCTGCCCTTGTCCCGAGGGAAACCTCGAAAGACGAAGATAACATATGAATTGCCCGAGAGCACATGGGCCCGGCGAGGCCATGGCTGCTCCAGGCTATTATTTGGGCTTTACGAATGTACAGAGGTAATGACATGGTTTCCAAAACCGCTCTTGTTTTTTTATTGCCGAGCACTGGCACAGAAATAGACTTGGAAGATTTGAATGCCAATTTGAATCCTTGGTTATACATCCTTGGTTATACATAGAAAAGGTCGTCTGCACAGTTTCTGCTTTTTATTACCTTCGTATATATCTAAATAGATAGCTCAAAGGACGTCGTGTCCAAGAATATCCAAAACACATCCAAGTGTTCTTTTGTATAACGTCCCTCATATATATCAAGTCCCAAATATCATCGCCAAATATACGTTGTTAAGAACATACATAGGCTACGTGGCTAATTAGTCTTGTTATCTTAATTATTTGGCTTTCAAAGGTCGTTGTTAAGATGTAGCTTCCTCATCTCAGCTCCTTCCTCCAGGACAAGACCTTGTCCAAGTTCACAACACGGGCCCTGTCCTAGTCCTTACTTCATCATCATCTCTTCCTCTCGTATACATTATCCAAACGTAATAATGCGGCGTCTTAAAACTGTGTTCCGATCTAGATCTGATACGCCTGACCCCTCATCATCTCGTGCTGTCTGGCAACGACGACGTCCAACCTCCGAAGGAGACCCATTGAAATCTCAGCCAGCAGCCACCTCGAATGAATTACCATGCGATGAGCCTACCGAAGCGGGAACTGCCAGCACTGATGCGAACAAGCCACCTTCATCGGCTGCAGCCCCCGTTGACAATGCCGAAACAGGGTCGAATGTCCACACCCAAGACACTGGCGAACTTCCTCGGTCCAAGAATAGCACCAGACGTCTGAAGAAAATGTATGCTCGTTTGCGCGGTACCTTATCCCATGAAGATGATCCCGTCACAGACACACAGCCTCAAACTACGGGGGAGGGTAGCCGTACATCGAGGCCGAGCTCCATACCTTTGTCCTCTAATCCATTTGAGCCAGATACTGCCGCGGAGCCGTCCACCTCAGCTGGAAAGTCTGTCAGGTTCGATGACCCGAAAGACCGGCGGAAGGCCAGCGGTCAGACAACTCGTTCTCAGGATTCCAGCCAGACTGAGGATACTGTCTGTCGAGACCCTGCCCGGCACATCGGGATGCCTATTCAAGAACCACCTTTGGAGGAATGGGGATGGCCGGGACTGATGTTGTATGACCCCGAGAGTACCCACCTTCAAACTCAGACTCAGAGCCATACTCATACTCAAGAGGCTTCGGACCCGTTCTCAGATGGGAAGGCCGCCGACGTCCGACCAGTAAAACCGGGAAATTCGAGGCATAGTGCAGGCACGAGCCGAGAGGAATCGAGGGCTTCGGAAGGGACACTGGAGCCTATTGCTGAGACTGATTTTGACACAATCGAACCAGCTCCCGAACCCGCTCAGCCTGAAGGTCTGGACGCTCAAAGGGCAAGCTCGGCGAACAGCCAAACCAGTTGGAGTACACTTGACTCGCCCAAGGCTATCTTGGCCTTCAACCAGATGGCATCTCAGTTTGGTATTCCGATTGCCATTCCAGTTGATGACACTCCACGTAAGTTTTTTTTTTGTTTTTGCTTGTGAATATATTGCCACTGACTAGACCCTAGCAGCAGAGGGCAATCCTGCTGAGGAACAAAGCGCTAGTCGTCGTGGACTTGGATTGTTGGGTAAAGTTCGCAAGGTGCGATCTAGTTTGGCTCCCGACACAACTCCTTTGGCACCAGCTCCTAAACTGCGACGAATGAAAACATTCGCGAATCTGCGCCGTCCTGTTCCGATGACTTTGTTGCAAGGAAGATCGATCGAGACTTTGGCCCGTCTTGGAGGACATGGCTATCTTATGTTGACAGACTTGGCCCCCTGTCCCGTGCAGCTGCCCGCGTACATTGTAGCGACGCTAATGTTTCTGCATAAATATGGTTGGTGGCGACTTTCCTTTTACGTCATGACATGACTGACTCGGGTTCCTGCAGCTCTTGACACTCCCGAGATCTTTATCCAGTCCGGCGATCTGAAAGCTGCCATTCGCTTGTATGACCATTTTGCTAGCCAGGTGCTCGATGCCGAGAAAGATGAAACTAAGATTTCCCTTACGATGCGTGTGGTTGCCATGCCTCAGCTCCGTGAAGACTCGGCGCCCGTGTTGAGTGTGGCCTGGGCCTTAAAGGCCGTGTTGGCGGGTCTTCCAAACGGGATCCTCGGGAGTGTCCGGCTCTACCAAATTCTCAGGGCGATGTACTATCACTCCATTCCAGATAAATCCCATCTGCTCTGTGTGCCAGATTGTATTTCTGAGGCGAGCCCAACGACTGCCGTCCGAGTGCAGCTTATGTGCCTTGCGCTCATTGCCCTTGCGCCCGAAATGCAGCGGGATCTTATCTGTGCGGTATTTGGCTTACTTTCCTTACTGGTGAATGCGGAGACCAATGTCCAGGAGCAGCCCGGGATGGAGCTCCGTGATCCAGTGGCGAGTCCAAACTTCCACGAGTTGGTGCGGGTGTTTGGACCGCTCCTCCTCGGGTCCAGGGGGCAAGAGAACCGAGATGGAACAGAAGTGGAACAAGAGATTGATGATCAACGTGTGGCGGGACTACTGCTCAATAATTGGCATTACATACATCGACAGTTGCGACACTGGACAAGTGGACGGTATGTGATGGGTAGGGAATAACAAAGGAGTTGTGTTTCATTAGAGACCACTCTGATTGGACTATTCTAGAAGCTGTATACTTCCAGGGATTTCCCAACCCTGTTTTTTTTTTCCAAGGATTTCCTTGACGGTTTTGAATCCTGTTGGATACCATTCTTCCTTGTTTTTTTTTTCCTACTTTTTATCTTTGTCTTTATTATTTAGTGGGGGGATTATTGTCTTGGTATGGAGGGGGTCTAGGTCTTGAAGGGTCTGAACAGAGGGGGGTTTTTAGAAATCCAATCATTCTTTTTAATCAACCCTTTCTAACATTCCTCTCTTCTCTTTTCCATGGTGACACCAAAGAAAAACATCTAACAGTGCCATTCGCCCGGATCTTCTGGACCGCAGGAAGTCTTGTCCGACCGTGGCTCCAACCAGGTCGACCTCCATCTGGACCTTCTTCAGGCACCGACCAAATCCATCAGAAACAAAGAGACCTTTCTTTCCCTTCTGTTTAGGGTTATTAGGGCAAGACTTGTCTTAGCTTCCTACTTTTCTCTTAAGGGAAATAACTTTCTCTCTAAAGCTTCTCACCAAAGATTCCTCTTGACATGTCTAACCTCAAATCTGCAATGCCGTCAGGTCTACCATCAGGGTTACCTCCAGGCCTTACAGATATAAACCTCGGTCCATCACCATTCACATCTTTTTCAGGCGATTTCCTAGGCCTCCCTATTCCAGACGACGATCAGCTCTGGGCCCTAAGCCCCATCTCACCAATGGCGACAGCCTGGGATAAATCAGATTCGGCGGCCTTCGCCAACTCCGCTCTCGAACGAGACCTCAAAAACGCCCAGGTCAGAAATGGCCAACCAACACCACCTCCATACGATGACCAAACCCGCGACCATCTATCGGGTCTCGACATGATGGAAACAGCCTCCAAACGAAGGCGCGTCCGCGAGTACAAAACCGCAGCCGCAAGTCTCAGCCCGGACCTAGACGATGCCCCGCACGAACGCGCAAAACGCGCAAAGTTCCTAGAGAGAAACCGTCTCGCAGCAAGCAAATGTCGCCAAAAAAAGAAAGAACATACTCAGAAACTCGAGTTTGATTTCAAGGAACAGTCCGAGAAAAAAGAACAGCTTGTTGCGGAAATCGCACGGCTGCGCTCTGAGATCCTAGGGCTCAAGAATGAGGTGCTGAAACATGCGCAGTGTGGCGACGAGCCAATCAAACTGCATCTCGCGCAGATGGTCAAGAAAATCACTGACAAAGATGGTGGTGCCCCATCTGCGGGTGTGCCGGAAGAGTCGCCTGTGAGAATTCCCAATAATAATCCATCCGTCTCCCCGCTCGAACCCACCCCGGCTCCTCCGGTTACCGCGGCTGTGCCTGTTTCGGCGCCCGCACCGACGGCGATGTCGTTTGGGTTTGATGATCCGCTGCAACTTGAGCCTGCTGCGGCGGCGGCGGCCGAGGCCTTTGAGCAGCAGATGCGGCGCGAGAGTGAGGCTTCGCTTGTATCGGAGGGGTCGTATTCCTTCTCGGCGGAGGATACTTCCTTTGATGATTTGATCAATGTGTGAGAGTGAACAGCGTGTTGATTGTTATGCGATAACGACTTTTCTTTTTTACGTGGAGGTAATGGGGCAGCAGGTCTGTCTGGCGTTAAATGTGGGATTTTTGAAAGCTTTCTGTTGAATTGCGATCCAGTGTGGGAACTGGAGGGTGTCTGGCGTTTGTGATTCCGATTCGAGGAAACGGAAGCTTTTATTTGATATTACTGTTTTCTCGAGATTCTAGCTACCTCGAGGGCCATTGGCTAGGTGGATTTTGTTGCTGAAGGCAATTGCCTGGGATGTATCTTCTATACAATAACATGGCAGATGGAAATGAAATTGTTTCTATCGATATGCTGTTTTCATACTTTATGTGGTAGTCTAGGATTTACTCATATAGCCTAAATTCAAGACCATCCAGTGGTCGACTCGACATGCGCAGTCCGATGCTTGGACGCCGATTTGGCATCCATACATGTATCATCAACCTGCGCATGATACCTTTCAGCAGGTACATGCGATCCAGCACCACTATCCAAAGCGGGATCCTTCCCATGCTCAGCATCTGAATTAACCCCATCGAACATCCAATTAATCTCCTCGAGAGACTTGCCCGCCGTCTCCTTCAGACAGAAGTAAGTAAAGCCGACAATCGCCACATCCAGCAGCCCAAAGAGCAAGAACGTACCCCACCCAAGGCTTTGCTGGATATACGGCGTCGAGAAACTCCAAACAAAATTAAAAAGCCACTGCGACCCAACAGCAAATGCAACACCAGGCTCGCGAATGCGCGTAGGGAAGATCTCACTTGCGCACGGCCACGGCAACGGACCCCAGCTGAAGTTATAAGCGATGATATCGAGATATATCAGCGCGACCGTAGCAATCCCCGAGGAAGTAACCGTCCCATCCCCAGGCTGCGGATAAAGCTTTATAACGATCGCAGTGGAAATCATACAAACCGCCATGCAAGCCGCACCACCCGCCAACAACGGCCGTCTCCCAAAGCGATCCGACAAAAACACCACAAAAATCAAACAAGCAACGACCTTAATCGCGCCGAAAATCCCCGTTATTAAAAGCGTCCTATCGCCATCCCCAACAAGCAACTCGAAGAACTGTGGTCCAAAATACGCCAACGCAGTCGATCCAGTCGACTGCTGCGCAAGAAATAACCCACCCGCAATCCCCATCCTCTTCAAATTACCCCTCTCAACTAACTCCAACATCCCAAATCCATCCTTCGCATCCCTCTCCTCCTCAAGTCCCCGTCTCATCCCCTCAAACTCCGTCCTAACCCCCTCCCCCTCCCCACCCCGAATCCAAACAAGACTATCCCACGCCTCCCCCTCCCGACCCACCGAGAGTAACCACCGCACACTCTCCTTCACACCCACCATCCCCACACCCATCAAAACACCAGGCACAAGCTGCAGTCCAACGGGAATCTGCCATTGTCGCGCACCACTATCCTGCATCCCCTTAACGCCATAATCAACCCAGTACGAAATCAGGATCCCGACCGTGTACGTGAGCTGATAACAGCTCCCCAATCGACCGCGGATTTCCTTTGGACTCATCTCCGTCATGTAGATTGGTATGACGGTTGCGGAACCGCCGATGCCGAGTCCGCAGATCACGCGGCCGAGGTAGAAGACGGGGAGGGAATGGGAGTCGATGGTTTCGAGGATTACGCCGAGGGAAAAGATGGTGGAGCATAGGATCATGGCGAGGCGTCGGCCGTAGAGGTTTGTTAGAGGCCATATTAGGAAACACCCGGTGAAGGCGCCGAATTGTTGGATTCCGACGGCGAGGGCGCTTGTGTGCGTTTTGGAAGAGGGGGGAATGGGGAAGGAGGTGGTGAAGGAGGGAAAGGTTAGGACGCCGCCTGGGGTTGTTAGTTGGATTGGTATGATTGCTGGGTTGGAGAGATAGGTAGGTTGGATGTAGTGTAGTGTTGATGTAGTGTTGCTCACCAATTACCCCCGAGTCATAACCAAACAAAGCTCCGCCGCTGCAGAGCACGAGAGCAAACCAGTATATGCGCCAGTGAGGTTTTGATGGTGGTTCTTCCATTGTAGCTGTGTTGGGAGTATCAGGTTGTGGTGTTTGAGGGAGCGGTGAGTAGGAGGTTATGGTTGAGTTCCACCATGTATGAAGAGTGTTGTAGCATTTGGAGAACGGGGATGTGGGGTTATGTGTATATGTACTGGTGAGAGGTATGGAGGATATAGGGATGACATTAGGCATGATCTAGAAAAGTATTGAATTAAATTTGTCAAAGCGAAAGAAGGAATGTAGGTCGGTTATTGGGACTATTGGGAATAGTTCGAAAGAGATGAAGTGTGATATCCCTAGACACCTGCAGATCGATAGATTATGTCACAAATCGCGCGCGACATTAGATCTGCATTCCAACATCTTTGTATGCTTCTATACTTCTTGTTCTTATATACGCCCATACTTCTTAATTGCGTGATTCTAATGTCATTGGCTCATTCTCTTAGTCCCTGATTTATGTGGGCCTCCCCGCATTCCTGCCGATGGCCGATGGCCGAGTGGCGATCATATACAATGCGTGCGTATGTATGATGATTGCAGGGATCTGCGAGATCTGATATAACCATTGACGCACCCATTACCCCTCACTTCCGTTATTTTTTTTTTTAAACAATGTCATCCAGACGCCCCAACTTCCTCGTTATAGTCGCCGACGACCTCGGTTTCTCCGATGTGGGCTGCTTCGGCGGAGAAATCCGCACCCCCAACATCGACCAAATCGCCAAAGAGGGACTTCGGTTTACCGACTTCCACGCAGCAGCAGCATGCTCGTAAGTGTACCTTTGCCCTGTTCGGACCAGCTCTCACCCAAACTCACAATACTTAGTCCTACACGTGCCATGATCATGACAGGTACAGACCACCACATCGCTGGTCTGGGAAACCTAATCGAATGGACCAACATCTCCGGTCAGAACGGACCAAAAGGCTCAGAGATGAGCACTGCGCCGCAGCGCGGGATGCCAGGATACGAGGGCTACCTCAACGAGCGTGTCGTAGCACTCCCAGAGATTCTGCGTGACGGGGGATACCACACCGTGATGTCTGGCAAGTGGCATCTAGGTCTGACACCAGAGCGATCACCACACAAGCGAGGATTCGAGCGTTCATTCGCGCACTTACCCGCCTGCTCAAACCACTATGCCTTCGAGCCGGAGCTAAAAGACCAGGACCAGCTCCCGACTTTCATCGAGGCCAGCTATATCGCCCTGCACATGGAAGATGGCGACTACGTGCGCCATCTCCCAGATGACTGGTATTCGTCCGACGGGTACGGCAATAAGATGGTAGATTATCTGAAAGAATGGAAAGCGAGCGGCGGGAGCGAAGGCCCCGATGGAAACGGAGACCGGCCGTTCTTCGCTTATCTCCCCTTCACGGCGCCGCACTGGCCGCTGCAAGCTCCACGCGAGTACATCGACCATTATCGTGGTGTGTATGATGAAGGTCCCGATGTGCTCCGCGAGAAGCGACTACAGCGTCTGAAGGAGCTTGGGATGGTGCGCGACGATGTCGAGCCGCATCCCGTCCAAGCGGAGGAGGTCAAGGAGTGGGAGGAGTACAGCCCAGAAGAGAAGAAGAAATCGGCTGTTGCGATGGAGGTGTTTGCTGGTATGGTTGAGTGCATTGACTCAAATGTCGGGAAGGTAGTTGAGTATTTGCGGTCTATCGACGAGCTGGATAACACGTTCGTGTGCTTTATGTCTGATAATGGTGCCGAAGGCGCCGCCTACGAGGCCTACCCGATGGTGAAGAACGGCGTTATGCCCCATCTGCAGAAATACTACGATAACAGCATCGAGAACCTCGGGAACGGGAACTCGTTTATCTGGTACGGTCCGCGCTGGGCGCAGGCTGCTACTGCCCCGTCGCGTCTGTATAAAGCGTACACCACCGAGGGCGGCGTGCGCGTCCCATTCACCTGTCGCTTCCCGGCGAATTTCAATGTCAACCCTGCAGATGTTGAGTCAAGTATGGGCGGGATCACGGATCAGTTCGCTACCGTTATGGACCTCGCACCGTCGATCCTGGACATGGCGGGGATCAAGCATCCGGCGCCGATGTATCAGGGTCGTGAGGTGGTCGAGATGCGAGGACGGAGCTTCCACCCCTGGGCAATCGGCGAGGCAGAACGGATTCACCCGGTTGAGTTTATTCAGGGATGGGAGACGTGTGGACGGGCAGCGTTGCGTTGTGCGGACTGGAAGATCGTTTTTATTCCCAAGCCTAAAGGCCCTGAGAAGTGGCAGTTGTATAATCTCGTGCAGGATCCTGGAGAGATTCACGATCTGTCAGATGTCGAGCCGGAGAAGATGAAGCAGCTGCTTAAGCTCTGGGATCAGTATGTGCTTGAGACGGGTGTTGTCCCGCTTTGTCCTGACCTTGGGGAGTTTTTGGAGGCGACGGAGGCACAGATGCCTGAGAATGCATGGATGGAGTTTGACTATTGGAAAGACGGGGCTAGAGATGAGCCGGAGAAGTTTACTCGTCAGCCGCCGAAATTTCAGCGGACCGTGAAGCCTTTCTAAGCCTTTCTGATGGAAGAGTAGAACTGTTATAGCCGAATCCATGCATCCAAACAGATTAAACAAGTAGAAATGACTTGTCATCAGCCTTTTGTTTCAGAAAATGCAACTGGCCGATACTTTTGGGCAACCGCGGGGTAAAGCCATTCTAGATGTCACTAGGATAGACGTCTACTTATATTAGACGTACATTCCCCTTGAGCCCAGAACTCGAGAAATTTCAAAATGAATACCAACATACCCCCAATAGTTCAAGGCAAACTAATGTTCTTCGACGAAGTAGCCTGGGACAAAAATGACGACCAACTATCAGCCTGGAAAGAAAATCCTCTTCGACGACTCAGTCATGAAAGATATAACCCAATTAATCAAATACCACTGCAGAGACGTATTACACCATGCAGGCCTCTCCCCACCGCAAAAAGGCTCTTTCAACATGGTTATCCGACTACGCCTCACCAGCACCTCAGCGATAATCCGCTTCCCAATACCGGGGTACTCCGTCTTCCCAGACGAAAAAGTCACCCGCGAAGTATCTGTGATGCGATTTCTTGAGCGACACATGGGCATCCGAATACCGCACGTCCTGCACCACGGCTGTATCGAAAATCCCGCTCTAGGCCCATACATTATCATGGAGTATATTGACCATAACGCTGATTTGGTGGATGAGCTGAATACACCCGGACTACCGGATGAAGATAGGCCTGTTCTCGACCCAAACGTCAATGAAGATAGGCTGCGCTCCGTGTATAATCAGATGGCAGGATTGTTGCTACAGGTTTCGAAACGCTCGTTTACGCGTATTGGATGTATATCTAATGCTGCGGAAGACGAGTTTGATGATGAGTGGGTTGTGAAACATCGACCGTTGAGTATCAATATGAATGAGCTTGTGCAGGTTGGTGGTGTGACGAATGAGGATCTACCGGCGATGATGGAAACGTTCGAGACGACGGAGGGGTATTTCCTTGCTCTTGCAGAGTTGCATATGACGCATCTTTCGTCGCAGAGGAACGATGCTGTTGACGATGCGCAGGACTGCAGGACGAAGTATATTGCGCGGTGTTTGTTCCGGAAACTCGCGAGGGAGGGACGCTCTGTTGGGTTGGGCAGGAGGGGGTGTTCAAGCTATTCTGTGATGATCTACGGCCAGCGAATATGCTTGCTAACTCAGATTTTGGGTATAAGATATCTGGGGCTATTGATTGGGAGTTTACTTATGCTGCACCGTTGAAGTTCGTGTATAGTCCGCCGTGTTGGCTGCTGCTTGAACGGCCGGAGTACTGGGCGAACGGGATAAATGGTTGGGAGCGGCTGTATGAGGCCCGATTGGAGGTGTTCTTGCAGGAGCTGCGCATGCGAGAGGACGTTGACATTCAACGTGGCGTTATTGGTGAGGAAAATCGGCTTTCTGGGCATATGCGCGAGAGTTGGGATAATGGGGGTTTTTGGGTTAGTTATGCGGCGAGACGAAGTTAGGCTTTTGATATTGTCTACTGGGAGAGGATTGATCGGAAGTTCTTTGGGGAGGGAAGTTTAGAAGACCGGATTGGATTGTTGACTGTTGAGGAGAGGGATGGGATGGAGGCGTTTGTACAGAGAAAATTGGCTGAAAAGGGGGCTTATCAGTAAGATGGTATTCCATTATAGGGGAAGCTCAAATCCACGCCAGGAGTATATAAACGGTTGAAATAGGCAATAGGTCCTGGGGGTTAGTATGAATATAGTAAGAGGCCTGTCGATCAATATCTTGCGGTTGTTGCGCCTGTTCATGTCTTCGACATAATTTTGAGCTAAAAATATGGCTTATTATGTAGGTCACACACTGTCTAGGCATAAAAATAAGCAAATAGATCATGTTTTGTAGTATCAAATGTTCATGGACAGGTATTGTGTCTGGAAATGTCCTCTACTTATGGGCTACATAGTTACAAAATGAAGATGGCTAAATATTGGTATGTCTCTGTTCTCTTCACTCCATAAAATGCACCTGGATTTGATATTTGATTTCTACAGAAATATCAAATCCCTAAGAGAGGTAGTTGGGTGTCGATCACACACCAATCACAGGGAGTCAGTTGCCTAGATGTATATTGGCAACGCCCTAAGGATCTCCTACGACCCATAGGGCTTCTAGATCTAACTTTATATTATTTCTAATGTTTGCCTTGAAGTATTTCATGAATCCCATCCGATCACGATCATCCTCGCCATCCGCAATCCCCGAGAACCGGCGAAATTGCGGGGAAATCGACCCCCGTCGAATTTCTTTGCGACAGACTAGACAGACTACGCTCTTTATCTAGTATGCTTTAGGCTTAACCCGGGGCTTGATCCATCATGGAGGTAATTTGAATATTCGCTTACCTTGTTCCTGGCTGTTCCTGACCCAGACTAACTTGATTTCTTCTCCACAGGTGCCAAAAGCCCGGGGAGCAGGCAGGTCGGGCCCGCGTAGACGGACAGGGTGCCTAACATGCAGGGCCCGTAAAGTCCGGTGCGACGAAGCAAAACCAAGCTGCTCCAATTGCGATCGACTCCGTCTACGATGTTCGTACAAACCCCCTATCCCCCCCGGTGTGGGGTGGGGTTCATCACCAACTCACCCATCAAACAATACAACTGCATCACCGAGTAGCACATCGATCTTAGAGGGTCCAGGCTCATCCGCTATATCTGCGAGTGTATCCCGCTCCTCCGACATAAACTTCTTTAGTACGGTGCTCCGCGCAGACGGCCACCACACAATACCAGCGCCGACAGCCACACTTCGGCAGCTCCCTACAGACCAGGACGTCTATCCTTCCGAGTTTGACATGCTTGGATTTATGGGTGGGATCACTTCTGAGCTGGAACAGAAACATTTGGACTTGACAACAGGCCTTGCGGTGGCTTTCACCGCTAGTCCAGCCTCGCAGTCGCTACCCGCAACACTCATACCAGGCATGGACGAAGGGCATTTTTCAGCAGACCGTCGTATTCCGCTTACTCCAGATACATCATCTTCAATTATTGATGGTACCTCGACCAGCAGTGCTTCGGACGTGCCAACTGCGCGAGGTAGCTTGTCCGACACAGGCGGTACTTCGTATGAAGACCACCTGTTGAAGCACTTTCTGACTATTGACCCGCCGGCTGCTCTTTTCGCGCCGGTCAACATCGAGTGGAAGTATATGCGGCCAGCACTGCTGGCTCATGCACGAGATTCCAGTTCGCTTTTGAATGCGTTGTACTGCTATGCAGATGTCCATAAAGCGATGATGGAAGGGAAAAGATGGCGCTGGGCGCCTACTTTTTACAGAGTGGCCAGTTCGGAGATCCAAGCTTCTATTCACGGCGAGGTGACCGACTCTACGCTTATCAGAGTTTTTGGTTCTATTTTTCTCTTAATGATATCCGAGGTATGTTCTCCTTAGTCTAGATATCGAGCGGACTTGTCTCATATTGTCCCAGATTCTCTCATCTCCCGAAATATGTACCGGAACCTCGTATGTTCACTCCGGGTACCATATTATACAACGATTTCACAATCGTACCAAACATTGGACTGGTCTCGGCCATATTCTGGTATCATGGGTTTTGCTGCTAGATGTCAAGTCCCTGATTGCAGGCCGAGATGGCGATCCTCTCGCTGAGCTTGGCAACATCCCAGAACATAGCATACCACTGAAACCACTAGATATACAACCTTCCCAATCACCTCACCCAACAGCGCCAGACTACAAAGAAGAGGACAGCATCGAAGACCCATTCGTCAGTCCCAGCTACCTCGTCTACGAAGCAATCGTAGGCCCAGCATTCCGATTCTTCGTGCAAGCGCAGCAAGTCGTCCGGCGCATAGTCTGCATCGACCTCCACCACCGCAGCCGCGGAACTCTCACCGACGAGTTCGAAGTCCTCCAGCTCGCCCACAAAGTCGGCGCAGACCTCGAAACACTCTGGCACAGACGTCCCTCAGCAATTGACATCTACGGACGACCAGAGGCTCTAACAGATATCCTGCACGCGCCTGTTGCATTGGAAATCTGCCGCACATTCAGACAGTACGTCGCCAACTTCTTGGCGAACTTTATATATCTGCATCGCGTTGCTTTTGCAATCTACCCTCGGACAGACCGTGTCAACGGTGCAGTCGACCAAATTATTCAACTGGCTACCGTCGACTCTATCGGCCCGGACCATCTACCAGTCAGCTTCCTGTGGCCGCTGTTCGTGGCTGGGCTCGAGGGTACGGATGACCAGCGCAAGTGGATTGTCCACGAGATTCAGCGCATGGCTGCTGCCCACGAAGCTGACTCGGCGCCTTCAATCACTCGCCACCCGTCTGCTGATAGAGTCCTCGTGCTTGTGGAGGAGATGACTCGGCGGCAGGATGTGTCGCGCACATGGGCAGACTCGAAATGTGTGAGGCGGGAAATGTTTTCAGATTTTTTTGTTATAATTTGAACTTCGTGTTCCGCATGAAATGTATATATGAATCTGTAATGGCTCAACGGTGCGCTCATAATTCTAGCGATTTTGCTTTTCTGGTTGAATTTTGTGATGGTCTCGTTCATATTTTCCCACGAAGCATAATACAGGAACTTACAACCACTTTGTAGTATGTTCTAAACCTCCTCAGACACAATTTCTCGATACAACAATTTATCCCCACCCATACACCGCGATCGATGCAGTAGATGACCCCGTTCCTTGCGCACATACGCCGCAAAACAAACAGCAGCGACCGCCACAGCCCCAAAGCTGATCAGCACGGGATATCTGAACTGAGCCGGCAGCGGAAAAGCAATCGTCGAAGCAAAAGAAAGCATCTCGAAAACATTCTGCAGCGCCATTTCAGTCGCCGAGAAGCGGGCACGGGCATGTTCTTGGATATTCTACATAACCCCGCCATTCGTTTAGTACATTCAACCAACCACAAACCGATAAGGAGAGAGAAACCACAGCCACTTACCTCCTGAACAAGAAACTGAACAGACAAATCGAATCCCCAAAGCCCAATGCGACTCAAAGCGACGCCCGCAATCAGCGTCCCCGCTACGAACCGCTCGCTCGAGTCCCAAGCAACAAAGGCCACGGCTGCACCAGCCACGCAGACAAATTGCCAATTCAGGAACCACAGTCCCGACCGAATCGGACCGATACGGTTCATGATCATAGGCGCTGTCCATGTGCCCGATAGCTCGGCGGCAACGGAGCCGATGCGCATGTAGCTGACCTGCAACGAAGAAAAGCCCGTGTGTAGCAGGTATGTGACCATTGTTGCGCCGAAGGATAGGACTGTTAAGTAGAGAAGGCTCAGGGCAAATGATGCTAGGAAGACAGGGCTGGCTATGTACTCCCTCCAGGGTGCCAGTGATGAATCTGGCGAGGAGTCGGCGGTCTTGTGAGATGTATTGTCGTTTTGAGAGGACTCGCTGTTTATATCATCTGTCTCTGTTGTTGAAGCTGGTGTTTGCGTCTTAGTCAAGGCTGGGACTGATTGGTAGACCTGGGCAATGGCCATATATTCAACTAGCACAGATGCAGTGTTCAGGGTGAATACTGTCCACATTGCATATCGGGTTGATATGCTGTCGATCAAGGAGATGAATACTGGTGCCAGGAGCTTGCAGATAAGATCAATCCGTCTCATTGAGGCGTTCAAGTCTGTCATTCCATCAATGTTAGATATTGTACAGTTTGGAGTAGCTTCGGGTTTCTCACCTTGTCGAGGGACATTGATACTATCCGAGATCACGATTGCCTGTCAAAATATCAGCGAAATCTCCTAAAATAAAAATGCACATCGGATGGAATAAATCGGATAATGAAAATACGACTCCCTGCACATACCCAGTCCCGTTCTACAGCCACTGTATTAGCCGTAGCAGCCAATTTCTCTATACAAGCCAGCAAGCCTTGCACAGCGAATAAGACAATCTTAAGCACCCACGAGTTCACAGACAGAGTCGCTACAAAGCATAAACATGACACTGCGACAGGGACTCTTTGCCAGACTACTCGCTTTGATTAGCCATTGGCGCTGAATGATAACACAGTGGAATATCGCTTTGGGAATGTTCTCGTCGCACAAACTTACCAATAGAATGTCTCACAGCTACGAGCCGGTCTGATCGATCAACTTGCGCCCCCAGCCAGGACGATAGCGCGACGGCTGAAAATGCCCGTACTAGAGCGTATATCGAAGCGTATAGTAATGTCCCCGGGAATATCGATGCTAGAAAGAGCACAGCGCCGAATTCGAACATGCGGGAGTTCCATGCTGAGAGAGTGTGTGAAATGTATAAGCGTGTTAATACTGAGCGGGCTTCTGGTGCAGGGATATATTTGGGGGTTGAAGTATCATCCGCCGATGTCGGTAACAGAGTGTCGGAGGGATTGGCGATGCTTTCTGATGAGCGCCAGCTAGGCTCTGGAGATATCTCCAGATCCATGTTGAAATGTGGCGATTTACAAATGCGCAAGGAAATGGCCGATTATTATGGATTTGTTGAGATCAAATTGGGTGTCGGGATCTTCAATCCCGCAGGTGGGCTGAGGATCCTCGTGGAACCATTTTAGTGTGCTATTTTGTGTTCGAGTCGATTGGCTGAATACTACAGTTGTTTTTTTTTTTTCCCAGTTGTCTAGTTCAAGATAATTGCAGATCTTTAGGAAATGCAATAAATAGTATATGGTATATGGGCCCAATTCCCAATAAATTCTAATACACAACAATAAAAATTACAAGCTATAGACGGTATCCCTCTTTTTAATTCCACTTGAGTCCTTCGGGAGCTGATGTCGTCGTCCGTCGGGCAATCACCTCAACGACCTTTCGGCGCACACCCTCGCGGTGGGCGTATTTCTCGAGGAAGTAGTCGACCACGGGTCTCCGCGATGCGTGGCCTTGGCGCACAACCTTCTCAATCTCTTTCTCAGAGGGAAGAGCGAAGTGGGCATGGGGGTAGTTCTTGTAATCTCCCTGGCTCAGAAGTGGTAGACGGGACTCCTCGTTAGGGATCTCGAAGAATTTGTCTACAGTTTCATTTGAGACCTCCTTGAGAGTAGCGGGCTGCCACTCGGGCTGGCGGGGAGGCTTGGACACCAGACGGGCCTTAACACCCTCGACGAAATCAGGGTGGCGCATGAAGTTGGCTGCGATCTCGTGCTCGCGCTGGAAAGTCTCTGAGATGGTCCACTTCTTTCCGAGACGCATCTGGCGAAGGGTCACCTTCAAAGAAGTCGGGGAGCGGCCTGCCAGAGTCTCCAATGTCTTTTGTGCCCACTCCTTGTGCTCGGTTTCCTGCTCCAAAGCCTGGATAATCTCCTCGATGGTGTTGAATTGGAAGCAGCGGTCAATCGCAGTGCGCAGGCTACCGGCCATGAGCATAGGCTCCTCCTCAAGCGGGGGAGGCCGAGGGAGAACTCAGCCATGGTCTTGTTCACAATCTCCAATCGCTCAGGAAGCTCGACGTGGTCGGGGAAAGTCAGCTCGGAAAGACGCTGGGCAACACTGCTCAAAACACTCGAGTGCAGGTAGTGTGTGGCGATGCCGGCGTACAGGGCCTGGACACCCTTCAGGCGCTCCGAGGTCAAAGCCAGGTATGTGCCGGTCTCACCATCGAGACGCGGGAGGAAGAATGAACCGCCAACGTCGGGGAAGAATCCAATGGTGGTCTCGGGCATAGCAAAAACGGTACGCTCAGTCGCAATTCGGAAGGGGGCATGCATGCTAAGGCCACCACCACCACCCATAGTGATTCCATCCATAAATGAGATAACAGGCTTCGAGTATGTAGCGAGTAGGTAGTCGAGGCGGTATTCGAGTCCGAAGAAGTCTGTTGATTCTTTTTGCCCTTCCACTCCACTCTCATTCTGTAGCGCGAGCGCAGCAACATCACCACCTGCACAGAGAGCCTTGGAGCCGGCTCCAGAGATGAGGATCATGTTTGCAAGATGAGATTTCTCCCACTCCTATTCGTCCCACGCTTAGTATTGTGTATTCCTAAAGTTCCGGGTATATATTCTAACCTTCAATCGAGGGAGGATCTTGCGAGCCATCGAGCCGTTGAGGGAGTTGAGCTTCTTGGGTCGGTTGAGCTCAACGCTGCGCAGACCGTAGATCGAGTTGAACAGAACATCATCGCGCTCATCGCCGGGGAGCTCTTTGGGGATATCAGATGAAGTCGACATCTAACGATAGTAAGCACTGGATATCGGGCTTCTCTCCGAACAGGGTGCATACCATAGCTGTTGCCCGAAAGGCAGGGCTGGTCACCTTAGCGCGTAGAGGCATTGCTGAAGGAACGCGCGAGATCCAGCTCGGCGAGGAGACGCGATTGAATTGTCGAAGTAACATCAGGAATTGGAATATGACGAGAACAAGAACCAGAGATGGGGGTTATGTGGTGACAATCAGGTGTTTTCTCCGCTTTACATCGACCTCGGGAGTTTTTTCGCTGGATTTTCTCTCCGCTCCGAGGGTCAACTCTCCGCCCATAACCGACAACCTTGGATATTTTGGCGATCACCCCAATTGATGTCATTTTTCTAAATAGTACAAATGGAAACGAATAGTGTGACTGGGATATAACACAGAAACCGGGTTGGTTACTACATATGTTGTAGCCTCAAGCCGAGTAGAAGAAGTGGTAACGTTCGAAGTATACATGGTCTATTTGTACATAGCTAGATAATGCGAAAAAACAGGAAATGGAAAATGATGCGACTAAACATTCTTCCATGTAGAGCTCATCCGGCTAAAGTCCAGCGGATACACCTTCTTTCCGTCTGCTGAAGGCGAAAAGAGAGTGTCCACCTTCGCCAGGTCCGTCGTATGCGAAAGCAGGATCTTGTGCAGGGCGTTCTTCTCAATAACCAATCTTGCTGTCTCCAGAACATTCTTCACATCCAAATCCTCGACGCTGATAGTTCGTGCGTGGTTCTGGAACTTTTCGACCGCATCAGAGAGCACCTCATTCGGCTTCAGTGTAATGAATGTAGACCGGCCCTTGTGATACCAGCCATGAGCTTTGATGAGATTTCTGATGAAGAAGGGACTGGCGGCATCATCCATCTCGATCGTGTTGTCAACAACAATCAATTCGCCACGCGAAAGCCGGTGGCTGAGAGCAATACGCCAGGCTTGGTCGTAGATCTTCCGGGGCAGATCGGTCGAGAAATCACGGGGATGAGGACCGAAAGCGACACCACCACCTCGTCGAACTGGCGACATCTTATCACCGGCACGCGCACGACCGGAGCCCTTCTGCGCGTACAGCTTCCTGTGACTACCGTGCACATCGTCCCTCCACTTGGTGCTGGCTGAACCTTGTCGGGTACCGTCTCCCTCGTAGATGACTGCGCGGTGGAGAATATCGTGGCGAGTGGGCATCTGGAGTAGCCTCCGGGAGTAGTGGACTAGACGTTGGGGTTCCAAGTCAGGCCAGCGGTAGGTCATGACTTGAACAGGGGTTTGACCCCCTGGTCGTTGCGCTTGTTCGACCTGGACAGCATCCTTAGTCGCAACTGGTGGTTGTATTTTGGCTTCGGTTGCCATTGAACGTGTAAGGCATCGTTGCTGTACGATTCGACACGCTGTCAGTAAATACGTCCTAGAATCGGACCGAGAAGAATTCATGGAGTGCACTAACCGTCACTTGCTTCGGGCCTGACATGAGTCCACCCGAGCTGCGTGAGAGCAGCCGCAGCGACCGAATAATATCGTTACCTGCCATTGTGAAGGACACTGTGTGATCGACGTATAAGTTGGTGATGTCCCAGAGTGTTGAATGGAGCAAAAGTTGATCCCGGGCGGTGGGGGCTAGCAGAACCTTGGCGCTACAAAGTATAGATACACTAGCCCATCTTTCTTTCCTCACCTTACTACTACCTATGTACAAGAATATTTATAAAGTCGGTCTTCCTCCTCTTCGTCATTCTTCTCATTTGAAAGCTGCCACAGCCTCAAAATCATATCCTCAAAGACACAACCTCCAGCTCTAATATACAATGACTAATGCATGCCGCCTTCCAATCTTCGATACTACAAGACGACCTCTTCCTAGGAACTAATAATGTCCGCCAAAGATTTTCCAAGAAATTATCGCTAGCAATCCTCATAAAGTCTTCTTGTAGAACCGTACCTCGACTGAAAACAAACATAAAAGCTTCATACTACGTCGCGACTCACCCCGGCGTTTCCCACTTCATATCACATTTGCAGTCAATTAGAGAACGCTCTAATTCATTGAATTGGTAGAACAGGAAGCAGAGATGAGGAAGGTGAGGAAGGAAGAATCAAAGAAACATTGAAGCATACTTGAATTAATTTCGATATCTACAGGAATAATCGACTGTTTATGCGGCCTTATTATGTCTTTTTATAACTCTCTTTTTATCAATATTCTCTCCCGTTTCTCAGTCTGATACCTAGAAAATGAAAAGCCAGTAAAAATTCTAAACTTTACAGACAATATCTCTTTTCACAACCAGGGACTTTTAGGCTTGAAAGGTTCTAGGTTGACCTACAGAATGTGGCCTACCACTAGGGATCACGTGATGGGTTAGGTCCGAACAGAAAAAGTTCCCCGGGAAGACAACAACATCAGATCCTCAAGGTCAAGCCCATCATAACCCCCAATTCCCAAATCATGGCCCACTGCGAGCGGGCTTCAAAGCCCCTGCTCCAATGCCTTCGCAATACCTACTCTAGGGGCGTGGCTGGAGTCCAGCTCCAAACGCGAGCCTTCCAGTCGACCGCCAGCATTCGAGAGCCCGAAGCTGAAACCCCGAGCCAACCTTTCCACAAGGCACCCGATCCCAATCTTGTGACGAGTCCCCGTCTTGAAAGACGCTTGCTGCGAGAGGGAATCACCCCCATTGGATCTCGTCGTCGCCGTGCCGCGCTCCAAGATTCCGAGAACCTTCCCTTCGAACAAATGCCCTACCAATGTTTCCAAGAAGCCCGAAAGATTCTGCTCGCGGACCGTGAAGAGAAATTGAAGGAGATTGAGACGATGAGGCAGCGCCTTGCTAGACAGGAGGCTTTGTCCGACCAGGAGGCCGGAGGAGCAAAGGCGAAGAAATCCCGCGTTACTGCGATGCAATTACACTTGGAGCGTCTCAAGGTCCTGGCCGATATTAACGACCCCTTCGTCAAGCGGAAGTTCGAAGATAATGAGGGTAATCATCTCCAGATCAATTGAAGGGGTTGAATTGAGGCTAATGGTTCGTTTTCTATCAATTCAGGTGACATGAGCAAGCCCATCTACCGCTTTTTGGCCGACCGCAAATGGCGCGAATACCGCCGCAAGATTCTGGTCCAGCGTATCACCCAGATGAACGTCGTTCCCGATGTCCTGCCTCACTGCGACCCCATCGTCGAAACAAAATTGTACTTCGGTAAGCGACAAGTCCAAGCCGGTGAATTCGTCGAGGCGAAACTCAGCACAAGCGCGCCTAAACTCGACGTGCAAATGTTCGAGGGTGGTGAAAAGTTGGTCACCATTGCAGTTGTCGATCCCGATGTTCCGAACGTTGAGAACAACAACTTCGATTATAAGACACATTTCCTGGCCGTCAACGTCCCCATCTCGGCCACTTCCACCAAGGTCGATCTCGCGGCGCTTTTGGAAGACTCCCAGGTCGTTCTCCCCTGGCTACCACCTGTTGCCCAGAAGGGAAGTCCCTACCACCGTCTTTCTCTCTTCATCATGGAGCAGAAGGATTCCCAGCCTCTCGACTTTGCCGCCGTTAAGGCTAAGGAGAACAACCGCGACACCACCCTCCTTCGCTCTCTCCAGTCCCGTTACCACCTCAAGGCCATTGGTGCTCACCTGTTCCGTACCCAATGGGACGACACGACCCTGGAGGTCATGAAGGAGATTGGATTCGATGGTGCTAACATGGAGCTGCGTCGCAAGAGAGTCGAGCCTCTGCCATATAAGAGACGTAACCCCTCTTCGTTCCGCTGATCTTGGTTTTCTCTCCTGTTTCATGTTCAAGCCTTTAGGTTTTGTATTGTACAATTTGATATATGTATGAATATGCACACTGCTTTAATCCCTTTCAACCAAACTCCATGTGTATGCTTAAACAAATGAACCCGAGTACCACCCATCGACAAACTGCCATCCTCTCTGGTAATGTACACTGTATGTAATCCTCAAATGTTCTGGGCGTCCAGTTGCGCCGGTTGCAACGGATTGGTCACCCACCCCATCTTCGACAGAGGCCATACCCTAGCAACTATCTTCCCATTAATGAGACCCATGGGGACTGGACCGTAATTCCTCGAATCCCTAGACCAGGGAAGATTGTCGCCAGCCAGAAAGACATGACCTTCGGGGATCTGCACAAACATCACAACAAGTCAGCAATTGAACCTCCAGGAACCAAGACACGCAACCCACCTGGATCATATTTCCCTCCTCGCCAATACTCGTGCTAAGCGGCTTATCTTGGCAGACAAAATCCCCAGGCATTCCCACTACCCGCTTGGCCACATGCACGCCTTGAAAGTTCGGGTGACCATATCGCACGACATCTCCGACCTCAATTCCTTTGCCATTGCGGTGCATGCGCGATATTAGGAGCCAGTCACCTCGCACATCGAAGGTAGGGTACATCGACGGACCCTCGCTGAGCTGGATGGTTATCAGGTGCTCCCAGATCAGCGCGCAGGCGCAGAACGTGCTAGCGCCATTGAACGCGAGCCGACCAATTGTTCGAAAATTGGTAGCTTTTATTGCAGACCGGACTATGTGCTCCATGTGTGCTGAATTGGAAGCATGGTGTCATGCCCAGGTAGAGCTGTATCGACCATTCCGCGGTTGGTCAGGAACGGTCATGTGACCGTAGGAAGCATTTAAAACTCGTTTTTTTGCTCCGCTTTTTTCCTCTTCTACCATCATCAGTCAATATGTCCGATGTTTTGAACCAGTGATGGAATATCCCCGTCGCATTGGATATCGAAATCCAGGCGCCTTCTAGCTATGTCAGCTACCTATTAATGTGTGGGTGCTGGGCTGAGAAGGACCTGGATTTTCATTCATGCCCCGATTATTCTGAGCATCTCTACATCCTTGGGATGCTCATACGGTCGATATGCTTTACGGAGTACATAGACATCCATTACCCCTTTCCCTGCCCCCAATTCCGAAAGGGATGTTCGCTTCTCCAATGCTAGAGCGTGCCGTCGCCTATAACTAGGACGAAGCACGTGTGGAATATGAAGCAAGATGAAAATAACCAGCCTATCTCTTCAGATACGTTGTCCTCCAGTGTGCCTCAATATGACCCCATTTCATTATGGGACTGGGTTCTTGAGGCATGTGTAGCGGGGAGACATCTCAATTAGACAATTTATTATCATTCTCAATTTCTTATTCTCTTTTCTAGACTCCTTTGTAGCCTCCTTGGACAATATCAATGTGATGTATCCATGTGTCAGTCATGTTTACTTTTTCCACATCGAATCAGCATCTAACGACCACGTCAGTCCAATACAAGCAAGCCAAATTATCAAGTACAATACATACCAGGATGCTTCTCAACCGGTTCAATTCCCTCCCTCTTCTTCGCCTTCTGTCGATGATCAACTCCAAACCTCTTATTCCGATCCTCCAGCAACGAATCCAATCCCGCAGGATGCGCCAGCTTCGCACTCTCATTCGATACAAAGCTGCCCATCAACTGCGGTTCACCTAGAGGAACAGGATCTCCACGATCAACCTGCCAGAAGTGATAGGTCTTGCCATAGATGGGCGCAATATCTTGCATCTCGGCTGTCTCCGCAGCTTCCCATACTGCATCCGGTACACCGGCTGGTACTGGCATGACCAGCATCCCGCTCTTGACCTCGAATTCATGCGTGTGCCATAGCTTACGTTCTTCGGTGGGAAGAGTCTTGAAAATGCGCGGCGAGATCATGTACTCCACGCCGATGAGGCGGGCATTTGCGTTGGGCGAATCGTAGATCAGACATTGGCGCACATCTGGGTGAAGTATTAATGTCCAACTCGTAGGCCATTCGGTTTTCTTTGAGTTATAGAAATGGCTGTTGGTACATACCCTCTGTTAAATGGGTGCAATAATGATTAGCCTCGACGCATCGGGTTGGATCGTTGGCGTAAACGTGGAATGCATTGAGATGTGCGCAGATTTGTTTAACCGGCGTGAAGTCCTGGATCATTGAAGCTCCGCTCTCGAGGACTCGACTCTTCATTGTTCGTGGATCCCCTGGGAGTTCATTTCCCTTGCAGCAAGAGCTCTTGTTGTTTGACATTTTGCTGTGTATACCTTGATTTCAAGGATGGGTTGTACTCGCAAATTGTCAATTAGTGCCCGTTAATAGAGTCTTCGACGACACGCATTGGAGTTAGTACTTGTGAATATAAATTCATGAGGCAAGTTTTTTAAATGTTTCCGTTACGTTGACGTCACGATGATTGTTGATTTCTTATTTGGGACTATTTACTATTACTGCTACATTTATAAGTGACGACATCTAGATATATAATTTGTGGGAATGAGAAATTGATATGTTGTACTTCGAGCTGTCAAGAGTTGAGTTAATGTTGTAGGGAGATATTGTATGATATTGTTATTATAGACATGGAACAGTTGCGTCAATTCCGCGTCTGATATATTGGACTTAATCTGCCTCAATAACTCAAGCAATAATCTCCCTCTGCTCCAATAAATCATAAGTTGGAGCCTTCCTCATATCATAATTACCCTGACCATCAAAACGGTGCTCATCCTTCTTCCGTTGGCAATAAGCCATTGCCATATTGCGCACTATACTCCACTCAAGCATGCTCGTGCCTAAGGCCTTATTATCGGCCTGGAGTGTTTCCAAGGCCTCCTTTACCCACGAAACACAGTTCCATCCTGGCCGATTTTGTCGAACAGGCGTATTGCGCATAATTTCAGCCGTATGATATCCATCCAATACCTTCCCAATCATGATACGAACAAGTAACATTCTAGTAGCGGTAAGTGAACACTCAAGCTCTTCGAAGTGCCACTCAGAGCCCCCTCCCAATTTTGGACTCTCGTTCGCGTGGTAGCAGAAACCAGTGCTATTCTCTGTTTCAATTTTGGGCCCTACAATTAGGGACCAATGGTACCTATCAAGATATTGGTATTAATCTTGCTGGTTGCTTCAAGCTAAAACAATATCATGGATGGTGATCTCACGTGTCTTCCTTGTCTGGCATGTTTGTGCTGCCTCCTCGTGCGTGGAGAACAACATATATTCGATCTTTGTTAGAGGGCATTGCAAGCGACGTTGACCAAGATGGCTAGATATTCTGCTATTTGGGCCGAGTATCGCTCAAAGGATGGTAGTAGTGGGGTTCTTTTATAAATCTAGTCTATACCGGGGTGTATGGATCTCTTTATATTTTAGTAGCTCAACGGTTGCTAGAAGCTCTGCCCAAAGCTATAGCCGCTCTTGGATAAGATGTGATGTGATTCGGGTTGCATTTGATCTTCCAATGCTTGTCTTAAAATAGAATCGAATTGGGCACTTTTCTCAGATAGGTGCCTCGCACGTTAAACCCGAAAAAAGCGGCCAATTGCATTGGCAGAAATTCCAACCAAACAAAAAATCCCTGCGAGAAGGACTAGGCGCAGCATAAAAATAGAAATTCGAACAACCAGGCGAATTAGTGGCTCGGCTAGCGTCGAATCAGTTGTTAGCGTCGTGTGCTTCTTAAGTGTTGGGCAGATACCGAGGTAAGGTGCTTAAGATATACATATACACAAGAGTTTATTAGGATGTTATGTCTCAATTAATCTAGGGAGTTGACACTGATCCCAGTCAAAGGTGTTCAACCACTAAAGCAACCCCCATGAAGAAAAAAACGTCTATGCATCCAAGTTCTCCAAGTACCGATAAACCTCGACAAAGCTGACAAGCCATTCTTTCTCGATCGCATTGTGAGGATGCAAATAAAGGGGTTTTGGCCGCGAGAAACCTCTGTTATCGCCATATTTGAACGCTATGAAATAGGGCCCTTCTAAAGAAACCCCTTCATTTGCGGCAAAGGGTTCGGAGCATGGAGTATTTACTGTTCGAAGAAGGTCGCCATCTTCATTCGCTGCATTCCTCCACGCAAGCTTAGCATTTTGCTCCGCCGCTTCTGGGGGTGCGATATAAAATCTCGGCATTCCCTCAATAACAATTGTAAACGAACTGATGATAGAAGATGGGTGCGAAGCGGCATCAGCTGTGATTGTGTTGCGCGCCACAACCCGGCCATCTTCTACGATACCATGCTTTTGCATCATATGCAAAAGCTGCTTCAAGGCTGAGTCGAACGGAATGACCCCTAGGAAGTCATAACGGAAATATTCAGAAAAGATGAACTTCTGGATAGGAGCCCGCAGGATTTCACCAGCGACGCCCCGCAATCTCGACACGATGTGTGCAGTATTTGGCCGTTTTTCTTGTGTTGGATCCAGTGTGCGCTTGAGGATATCTGAATTTGCTTCCAACATATCAGCAGTCCAGCGAAGCTGCGAAGCCCCCAACTGGAATAAATTGGCCTTTGCTTTCTGTATGTCATCCCAGCAATTCTGCAGCTCTTCGAAGGAATCGAAGGTCTTGAGAGTTCCATACTCAAATCCATTGGAGTAATTAGGAGAACCGAACCGAGTCAGGTCTGTTTTGCACCAATGAATATTGAGCTCGTCATGAATGTGGACCTTCATCTGATTCGAGATCGCTTTATATTCGTGAGGCCTGATCCAGTGGATAAGTGTGCCAAGGTAGTTTTTTCCAACGCAGTATTGTTGCACAAATGCCTTTCCCACTGCCATGAATATATCTTTGTAGAGGTGGGCAGCGAATTTCCACTTTGCAAGAGTTTCTGGGTCGGCACCGAACATGCTACGGCAGATTGGATGGGACATGATGCGAGTGTCCACTTGATCATCATCGTAGCACAGGAGTTTGAGGACGTCCCATACTCGCAGGTCATCGATGATTTGATGAGTGAGCTCTGTCGGCAGAACCGCTATATTGCGCACTATGGAACTGATTGGTGTTTTCCGATTTTCCATTTTGTAACTGTTGCTGCTTTTGGAAAACATGATTAAAGGAACTTGAAAGATGGAAAATATCACAAAAGGATTTTATGGAGCCTCACAAGATATGCAGCCAATACACATAGTGGGGGCCAAAGACTTCCAAGGAAATACCTGAGTCATTTCCGTTGAGTCACCTTCAGGGGGATTAATCTATGTCCTTCTATGAGGTCCTGTTCTGTTTTTTTGCTCTCGAATTTATTTTTCAAAAAAACAAGATGAAAGAGGAGCCCCTGACCCCGCAGTTGCCAGACGCAGAGACAATTGCACAGCGTCTGCGTCAAGATCAACAAGCCTGCAGAGAGAGAAAAGTGCCTAGTAATCTAGCAATCCAACTATCTTCTGCGACAGATAACCTCTTTGACGAAATTGCCTGGCATCTCACTCCCCACAGCGAAGTCTCGAAAGCATTGCGGTCGACTAGATGCAACAGCATTATCAAAGGCATCAAGGCCTACCTAAACCAGTTGGAAGTGATGACTAAATCAGAGGAACATATATCTATGGATAGTATGCATGTCCCAACAGCAGATGAGTTGGAGACGACACTCAAAGTATTGGACTATTTTCAAAAGCACAACGTGGTTTCTCCAGCAGAGGCTCTGTCTGAGGTTATTCTAGCGGTGCATGGCCAACTCTCCATGGACGAGAATACCCGACACACACAACATGAACGATTTCAAAGACACGGCGCACCAAAAGCCTCAGACATGAAGAAAAGATGCTATATCTGTCGGTATCGCTTCTCGCCCACTGAATCTCACAAACTATACCCGTCACTATGTCGCCAATGTGGCATGTTCAATATCGGCTGCTCAAATATTTCTCTACCAGAAAAGTTAGACCTCACTGGTAAAATCGCACTCGTTACTGGTGGGAGAATAAACCTGGGTTACTTTACTGCATTGAGACTCCTCCGCTGTGGAGCCAGAGTCATCGTATCCTCTCGGTATCCAGCCGATGCTGCAATTCGATACTCCACGGAGCCAGACTTTGCGCAATGGGAGAAACAATTGAAAGTAGTCGGTGCAGACTTCAGGACAGCAAATGATGCTTTCCGGCTGGTACATATTGTTAAACAATTACTCTGTGCCTGGGGTGGCGAGACTCCATCTACTACACCACAATCCCTGGATATACTTATCAACAACGCCGCGCAAACCCTCACTGATCCAATTAAAGGAGAAATGAAGGCCATTTCCAAAGAGGAAAATCTGAAAAACAATCCACAGGCCATCTCCCTACTCGCAGAATCCGAGAACGACAGATATACACCCCGCGTAAGAGGAGGACAACAAGCAACCTGGATCCCACGCATTACGAGCAACAAAACTCAGCCTCAAATTGAAGACACGGGCAGTACTCAACCTACAAACCAAATAGCCACGAAAGGTCTCCGAACAATCGACGATGAAGATGAAGAACCCTCAAAATCATCCTGGGTCCAATCCCTCCACGAAATCCCCTACGCAGATCTAATAAGCGCCCACTCTGTCAACGCCTTCGTGCCGCTGATACTCTGCCGCGAACTCCTCTCAGTGATGGGCACTTCAACCTCCTCCTCTGCTTCTCCCTCTTCACCATCCACGCCGGCAGGATATATAATCAACGTCTCATCCCGCGAAGGGATACTGGAAGATACACCACAGTCAAGCAGCAAAGCCGGACACCACGTACACACGAATATGTCCAAAGCAGCGATCAATATGATAACAGAGACAGAAGCACACGCTGCATGGAAGGGACGGCGTGTTGCTATGAATTCTGTTGATCCAGGATATATGAGTGCTGCGCCGGAATGCCGGACTGTGGAGGGATGTCCGATTGGGTTTGAGGATGGTGCTGCGAGAGTTTTGTGGCTTGTTGCTGTCGGGGAAGTTGAGCGAAGGGTCATTTGGGGGAGGTTTTTGAAGCACTTTCGAGAGGGGGTTGCCATCACGCGGAGAGGGTAGAGAGATGGATAGATAGATGGCCCTCTCGTGATTTGTATGCATTTATGTCTTGTTTTCATGACGCATCGATATTCCCAAGAAAGAGAGTTTGCCATATCTGGACCTTGAATACCATCTCATACTCCTCTCTCCTGTGGTTATCACCGGCATCTATCTAGGTAGACTAGACCTATCATACCCCTCCTTGAACGTGGCCCCTAGAAATTACCCCTTTTTTTGTATGTGGTTATTACCACAATCTATGCCAAAGTACATCTGCTTGAATAAACCTTCTCTAGCAAGAAGATTTTGTGGAGTATCGAACTCAACAAGATTTCCAGCATCCAATACTGCGATTCGATCGAAATCTATGATTGTCTCAAGCTGTCCAACAATTAGCTCTTAGAATAAACAAGATACTAGACGAAACTGCCCAGGTAGAAGGGACCTACTCTATGGGCGACACTGAAAACAGTGCAGTCATGGAAAGCCTCTCCCATGACCTTCTGTACTCGCTGGTCTGTTTCAGCATCAAGACTGCTCGTGGCTTCGTCTAGAATTAGCACGCGACAACCAGAGTTACTGGTATTCTTTTTAAGAATTGCTCGTGCCAGGCAGAAGAGTTGCTGCTCTCCTTGCGACAGTGGATGATCCTCAAAGAGTGCGTCCAGGCCCCCACGGCTTTCAACTGCTGCCCAAACACCGATCTGCTTCAATACAGATATAATCTCATCATCACCAGAAAGTCCCATAATGTCCACATTATAGCGGATAGTTCCCAAAAGTGCGAATGAATCCTGCGGTACAGCTATCAACCTCTCTCTGATTGATCTCGGGGTGATCTTGGAAATGTCAGTCTGATCAATTGTGACATTGCCGTGCGAGAAGTCCACGAGGCGTAACATGGCTAGCGTGAGGGAGCTTTTCCCGCTGTAATGTGGGGAGTTGGTCAGCTGCCTGATTATTGGAATATAGGAAATCCCAAAGATGACAATCGACGTACCTGCCAGTGCGGCCGCATATACCGATCTTTTCGCCTGGATGTATGTGCATCGAGATGTTATCCAATGCTAAAGTTCCGTCAGGATAGCGGAGAGAGAGGCCTTGTATGTCAATATTTCCCCTATCGGGCCATGATGCAGCCAGCTCTGCGGCTGTATCCGGTTGGTCTTCACATGGCGTTGTCTCAACAAATGATTTGACACGAGCTATCGCTCCCAGTGAGGTCTCGAGAGTAGTCCATGATGTAATAAAATATGACAATAATTGGTTGAACCCAAGGATATTGTTCAACGCGACGCCGAGCAGGCTTGAATCTGTGCCGCTACGTAGCACGACGGCCAGTGTTACCACAATGGTTGCTAATACCATCACCACAATGTCCAAAACCAGATTTAACCATCTCTGCGCACATAGTAGCATATAGTACGGCTTTTGGGAGTGATCAAGATGCTGAGTTAGAATTTTCGATGAGGCATCTTGCCAGCCAAAGGCCCGAATTGTTGGCAGACCTTCAAGGACTTCGGCAAAATGAGAGTACAATGGGCTTCTAGACTCTAGATCGAGATATCGTAGTTGGCGACTTGTCTTAAGATATATCTTTTGCAAGAAATAGAGTACGATCAGTGTGACCGGTATTGTCGTCGCCATAAAAGGAGAGCCCATGGCGATTAGACCAACGGTAGCCATACATCCAAAAAGTGCCTCAGCAGAAGACATCAACGCAACAGGAAGGGCCAAATCTACCAGTGTCATATCTTGACTAAAGCGATTCAGGGTCACACCATTGTCAGTGGCCGAGAAGAAGGACAGCGGTGCCCGCATTGTCGCATCTAAAAGTAACCAGTGCAAACGAGTAGCCGATTTCGGCATCAGCTTAAGGAATACAACCCATATACAGCAAAGCGTAAGGAGTGATGCTGACAACGCCAAGATCACATAGACAGATAGATAGAGAGGAAGCTGTCCGCCTCCTACTGTGGTCCATCTGCTCAACCACACTTGAGGAAAGTTTTCGGCGAATGCTAAGAGAACATGTCCAATAATAAACACGGCGCAAAGAACCGGACCGAATGTTCGCGCATAGTAATGGTATACTGATAGATCTCCAATTTGCCGAGCTCGATCCATATTTTCGTCACTGATAGGGTCCGAGTCCGAAGTCATTGTGTTTGAATGATCATTGGGTTCGTCATTGAGGTCATCCAGGATTCGTGCATCTGAATGTTGTCTAGCCTGCCAGAAATTTGTATTTCGAACGGCCTCACTGCCCGTTGTTTGAAGTTCAACTCGACCATCTGAAGTGAGCGAGACGACACTATCTGCGATTCCAAGGAGTCGACCTATATTTGGGAATATCTCGAGTCAGCACTCCTTAGTCACAAAGATCTGAAGGGCAACACACAACTGTGGGTGGTCAAAATCACAGTTGTGCCCAGCTGGGAAAATATCCCGCCAGGAGAGAAAAGTCGTTGAATGATTATTTCTTGAGTCTGCGCATCCAACGCGCTCATGACATCGTCAAGCAAGGCTACATCGTGGCGACTGTATACGGAACGAGCCAGCGCCTGCAAAAAGGAATTAGAATCTGTTGAGGGGACACAAATTCTGGAATCTTTGCGTACTACTCTCTGTTTTTGACCTCCCGAAAGGGAAAGACCCTTACTCCCAATCTCACTTTGGTCACCATCAGGCCAACGACGGATGTCTTCATCCAAGCAACATGAATGTATGACAGTTTGGTACCACTTCTCGTCGACCTCGTGGTCCGAGATACCAGTTATGCTTTTTTTGATTGTCGTGTTGAGCAACCATGGATTCTGGCTGCAATAGGAAACTCTGCTTAGTCTAATAGATACGGCACCCGAAAGGCAACCAAGCTCCCCTAAAATAGTCTTTAGCAATGTGGTTTTACCAGAGCCAACAGGCCCAATAATAACCACCAGGCTGCGGCTGGTGACTTTGAAAGACACATCCTTAAGGGCAACACATGTAGCCTTTTGTGAAGGTAAGACAGTAACGCTATCCAAGACGATGGCAACATCCGGCTCCGTTTTGTCTATAGTAAAGTGTGGAGGGACTTCTTTCGCAATTCGGTCATCTTTCACCGGTTCAGATACCATGTATTCGTGAATTCTCTGGAAGCAACCCATAGCAGCCGCTAGCTGCGGCAAGACAGCGAGTAGTCTTTCTGCGGGTGCAGTGATGAGGGTGATAAGACTCAGAGCAGTGAAGGCCTTTACGGTAGTGAGGGAGTCGTCGGCCTTGATTTGTGCCTGTACAGCGTATACAATGAAGGTGATGACAGGTGACCATATCCGTGGCAAACTTGCTGGTTGAAACCTTCATATTAGCGGAGAAAAAACACACAAAGACAAATTATTCTACCTAGACCGTTTAGCCACATAATTCCCTTGAAAAAGACACGAGATATAAACAGTTCCTGTTCGCGGTGTCTCTGGAGGGCCTGAGATAGTTTGCCAGAGAGCCCTGAAATCTTGATGGCTTTGATAGAACCTAGTATGGAAGAGGTATTCTGGATCCTCTTCTGGATTTGAATATTCCAATTTTGCTGATTCTTTCCAATTGTTTTTGCCACCAGCTTCTGGCCACCCAGACATGCTAGTTCAGAACATAAGTATGAAAGTTAGACATTTTGAGTTTGATTTAAGGCCTGCTGCTTACCTAGAGTCAGAATTAATGGAACTATGCATATCGCACCGACTTGTCTTTCAAGTAGCCATGTACCAATTGCCACTTCAATCGTGCGTGCCCAGACGTCATTAAAGTTTTCCAGATGCTCGATAATGCCCTCAATGTCTTTTCGGGGCCAATTAGCACACGGGCTTTTTCTTTCATGTCCTCGCAAAGTACACCTCTGACTCACCTGTACTCATCAAAGTAAGAGCTGCACTTTCCGCAAAGAGGTCGTAGTGAAGTGTCAAAGTCCTGTCGTGGATCAGTGAGATCATTGTTCCACGGAACAACGTGCTCACTCTAGAGAAGCGATGTCTATAGTGAACATTAGACAACTATTATTTTGATTAGCGGTGAAATAAATGAAAGGTAAAAGTCCAAAAACACAGATCATACCGCTAACCCAAGGTAAATCAAGAAAGTAGCTCCGATGAGACCATATCCACGACTCCAGCTCTCTGGTGTAATTGGGTCCTCTATGTAAGCCAAAACCGCCGTGATCATAAATGGTTGGGCGAAGTTGAATCCAATCATACATACTCGAGGAAAAGCCGCGGCGAGGAATTCCCACCAGAAACAGCAGAAAAAGGCCCAAGGTAAAGAAAGCCTGTTCTCTGCTTTGCCTGGAGTGTGTCAGCTTATGATATATCCAACCTCAGAGAAGAATTCGGACCATGCTTCTCCCACGCTATCTTCAGCTTTCCCCCTGTAGTACCGGAGCGAAGGCTTGGCTCAAGAGCGAAAAGATCCCGACTCCCAATGATCTTCTCATACCCAGTCAAAAAGAGCCGATTCAGCCACCAGACAAAGCTCAGATTGACAATACCACTGGTTGCCTCGGGCGGATACTCTTTGTAGGGGGACTTCAGGTACGACGTTTTCTCTCGAGTCTCTAATAAGAGCATGGCGAATTTAGTCCCAAGGATTGCACTCTGCACCGCTGCAATGGCAACTCGATGTGTAAGCCATAGCGTCCGAAGCTGTGTCGCATCGAACAGAATCGACAAAATCAGATAAACAGTCAATATGGAAGAGGGGCTTGTTGATTTGATGTCTTCGGTGTAGGACAGTCCAATTATAATGGTAGAATTGGCGAGGCCTAGAGCAGCCGATGGGATGCTAGTTGACGTCCGCGAAGCAACTGATACACTCCATAGCACCAGGAGGGACAGCTGAAGGACGAAATTAATTGAAGCAGCAACCTGTTGAGCTCATTAGTCACAGCTCAATTTACGCGAAATATTAGATATCAAGTGTGTCTAACCAACTTCAAAACGTAGTTATGTTCGGGTCGCGTCTTACGTTGACAACGAGACAGATGGAGTAGTCGGGGTGGTCCGGCCAATAGCAGGACCGCTGAAGGAATTATCGACAATATAGCCTGCTCGAAGGTGATAGTAAAGTCAAATGGCCTTAGATAGCTCACGGGCCCGAACGCGTTCTCAGAGGTATTTTTCCCCCATGGGATAGTGGAACTAAAGGCCATTGCTGCTAGACTTTAGCAGAACTGGAGACAACTGTAAGATCGTAAAGACCTTCCCTACGATATTTAGGCGTAACATAGAGGATTCGAAGGGTGACGACTGCGATGGTGCCTAGTTAGAAATGGCTATGATGGTGGGGACTACCTAGCGCGTCTGATTTGCTAAGCATACAGCTATCATCCCTGCGACTTCATATCGGATCAGATTCGCGCCCATTTCATGGATGTTCGGATGATCGCCGGACGCACCTATTTACACTGGACGCAACCCGCCTCGTCGATCCCTTTTATCCCCATGCATAGAACACACCCCTTCTCCTTCCCTTTCTTAGTCTGCCGACTACCCAAGCCTGATGAAACCGCAAAATTTTTCATTCAGGCAAATTCATGACTATGATCTGAGAAGAGAGTAGGCTGTTGTATTCACTAGAGACTAAAATTCCGTGGAAGCCTCACAGAGCAGGCATTCAGGCACCAGACAGATGACGTCAGGCGGCCCCAGGCATAGCACTGATGTCCAATACCAAACTTGGCCATGGAGGGTCAGGATGAACAGGAGATAGAATCCTCGATATCATTGAAAAGAGCCCCATAGTGTGCCTCTCTAACCTCATGATATATATTATATCCATGAAGCAGCAAAGACTCTCACGGATAGCCCCTGGGCGTATCCTACCCACTCAACTAGGCTCGACAGCTACCCTGTTGGTATATTCTTACAGCTAGCTCAAGACCTTTTTCGGATTCTACATGGGCCCTTCGCGCTTAATCTACCAGAGAAGTTAAGACTTCTGATCCTAGTCGCGCTTGATCCATTGAAGAGTCACCGTGGCATTATAGTATGCCCAAGGCTCGGTTCAAAGTCGGGAAGACAGAACAATAGTAGTATGCATTAACTTGCTTCTATGGTTATTAAAATGGCCCAGATATTCATATTTGCCATAGATGTCCGTCAGGTTACTACATATCTAGATGGCGGTATGCATTATTCGCTGTCGATTTTCTATTTACCTAGTCCTATCTCGTTAGTTAACTATGCACCTCTACCGAAATCACTCCCTAGAATGGGGCGATAATACTAGAACAGGGGTGCATAAAGAGCATTATGCATTGTAATTATGTGTTTCGCGAAATAAAGTAAATCCGATATCGGGATTACACGAAACTCCGAAAACGCCACACCACGGTCCGCATCCTGGTGGCCACATTAAGTAAGTGCACGGAAATTTGGTCGTTCTTGCATCCAGTGAGATAACATTGGAAGCGAGCTTACATTTTGATTGCATGAATACGAGGACCTTCGGGGAATATCACGATAACCGGCTTTTTGCTTGGTGAAAAATAGTATCATACCCCGGGTACGGGTTTAACAATTTCTAGATGAATTGATAAGATTGCTTTGCATATAAACATTGAAACCATTAAGCCTAACACTAAGCATGAGAAAGAAACCATGTATATTTATTGTTGTCAGGACTTCTACCTACCACGGAGAGCATATAGTATACATACTAATGCTGATGCCTTGGCTAGGTAGTATCCATTGGTTAGAGAGGTGACAAGCATGTGGAGAAATGACTTCTGGAGCTTGTTTCAGTCCACTTGCACCTGGGCAGGGTTATCGACAACCTAGGAACAGCAATCTAATTGGTTAGACATGCGGCACAGAGATTCCGCCGAGGCTTATTTTTGGCAACGCCATCTTGGGGGCCCTGCCGCACTGGGTCTCTAGTGCATCTGCTCAAATATTTAACAGTACATCATCCATGTGGACGTCCTAAATTTGACCAATAAGGTTACCATCGTTTCAGATTATCTAATGTGGAAAGTTCGACGACATATGTAGTCCGAGATGGCGTCGAGATTGCGAAACTGTTGCGTATTCCCTCCAATAGCCGGTTAAAGTCGGCTGGCACTTCCATAGTAGTGTCCCCACAACATTGCAGCGTATGTCAGACATAGTTAAAGCAAAACTCGATGTGCCACAATTCATAAGCACGGGCTATAAAGTTCGGATCGGTAGTATTTTCCGTCAAGGGTTTCAAACGCCACCTAGTCAAGCGTATACTCCATCAACTGCCAGAATCTAAGCCGACTATGCCATGATATGTTCTAGGTTTTTAATTAGAATGAAAGAAGAACTACATAAATATATAGTAATCAAACCAGTGAAACAAAGCAACACGGAATGAGAACAGGGATCGGACTTCTTTAGAATGCACATCCTAATCAATATAGCCTTTCCGTTAGTACTACCCTGCCAGTCTGGCCAAAGGAGGACTAGTGCATGGACGCCAGCAGTAATGAATATGGTATTCATTCTGAGGCATACAAATAATTAACTACAAAAAAGGTTAGGAGCTACATAACGGCAGTTGATGATGATGCAATTATTAATATTGGTATTACTGGCAAAAGACAGCATTTGCATATACATCAACATCCTTTTTCGGCCGTGCTGTCGTAGCATATTAACTAGTCAACCTTCCTCATCCCCATCAGGCTAAGTGTTTAAATTGAGTTGGCGCCGGAAATCTCCAAAAGTACCTACACGCCCTGCCCCTCCATTGGATACAGTCTTCAACAAATTTAGCACATATGCTCCCCTATCCTGCAGATAATCGTGTCCAGCTTGTCATTTTCTTTCCTTTGCAACGTGATAAATTTATTCAACATACTCCGGAAAATCCTAATGGCTGGAGACTCGGTTCGAACCAATCGGCCGGAAAAGCTAAGATCTAGCTGTGATCGATGCGGTACGGCCAAAGTGAAATGCGACAAGGAACAACCAGAATGTGGGCGGTGCATCTCACATGGTGTACCCTGCGTGTATGGGATTTCGCGTAAGATGGGAAAACCCCCACGTCGTCACAGTCTATCTCAATCCACAAGAGACACCGTCACACCTGCCCAAAGTAGTAGTGAAACCAGCTGTGGTGGCATGTCACTGGATCTGGAGTTCTCCTTCAACAATGATATGAAGTCCTGGGATCATATGGATGAAGACAACAACAATCACACATTCATCGACGTCCTGGGCGCTGGAGGGAGCTTGAATCATGAGATTCCAATACCGATGATACCAAATCTGCCCTTTGATTACAATGAGTGGGATATCTCTGATCAGACCAATGTCAATATTCTTTTCCCTCTTCGGTCCTCTCATCAGTCTCCAATACACGGGGAAGACTTATCCTCCGGGACTTTCCAGTGGCAATGGGACCCGAATACACATGTTGAACAAGGTTCAATATCTCCAGATATTGCGAACGGCCACGACTGTCAGCGGAAGTCTCATGAGATCCTTGAAAGTATATCCGTTCACAACATCAGCAAACCTGAGGCCGACGAAGGACCCCCACCATCAACTGGGTTCGCCCTAAAATCCGAGACCACAGTTAACGGGGTACCACTAGACTTGGTGCTCCAGCTTAACCGCGAAGCGACTGAGCGTCTCTTTCTACTCGTTTCTTGCCCCTGTGCACAAATTCCGTCTGTTGCATTACTCTATGCATCAATCATCTCCCGCATCCTGGGGTGGTACGAGCAGGCTGCCTGCTGTACGCAACTCTTCTCTCTGTCGAGCTTTCCTAGCGCGGCAGGAAGTACCTTGGCATCCAGCGACTCTGGTAGAGGTACATCCTCACCACCGATGCAGCCTCCAGAGGTATCAGTCGCGCCGTCACGAATGATGATTGGGAAATTCAGCGTGGACGACCCTCGCCTCCAAACTATGATAAATATACACCTACTATCTGGCGAGATGAAAAGAGTCAAGGATGTTATCGATCAAATTGCCTCACAAACTGGGTGTTCAAATCCGGCGACGGGACAAGTCGGAGGTCTTTATCTGAGTCTTAACTTATGGCTTAAACAGGACTATCTAAGGATTTTGCATATGATGCAGTCGGAATTGAACGAATTAAGCATTTGAAATAGAACTATTAGAATTCAATACATTGATTAAATGTAATTTCATAACCCTTTCAATCAGTAAGTCCCAATAGTGAAGTCTACATATATATTCTAGCAAGTTGGAGCTAAATTATAAGGGTTGAGCATGATGACGTAGATCAGCATTCCAGATAAGCGCTTAATATAAATTGAATTCGGATAGCGAATGTTGTCGTTCCGAGCACGATCATGCATTCCTAGTGCTTATGCCCAAATTGCACTCGGTTCCCGGTACCGGTGTAGGTCTCGAAAGTCTTTACCTAGTGCTCAAGCTATCTGCTATTACTGCCGAGCAGCTCTCTATACACTGCCATGCCAGCCCAGTCGAGAAGGGACGCTACTGCATGCACGCCACGAGTAATAAATATGGTATTTTTTTTTTCAAATGAATACATCAAATAAAATATACAACATAACAACGGCTATAAACTACATAAGGACAATGGATTAATCATAACCATTAGTATTGGTATTACTAGCAAAAAAGCAAGTTCATACATATGCATAAGCGTCCCTTCTCGGGCTGGCATGGCAGGGTAAAGCAACTATTTCGACCTAGTTATATCGATGGAAATATTGCGGCGAGTGAAAATGTCAAGTACATAGCACATTGGCAGAAACAAATAAGCCTTTCACGTACAAACTGCTGGGGAAATGGAGATGGAAGCTGACATCGGGAGCAATATGAAGACGAGGAAATTCCCAGGGTTACTTCCACCAATCATACAACTTTGTAAACCCCCGAAAGGATCCACTCTGATATCCGGACGCGTCCCGATCCGCCTACCCGCTAACCTTGGTTTAGCGCGATCCGAATCCGATTTTTCGATCCGCAGAGATACCGCGGAGGTTTACCTAGATAGGCATAAATCTTTGATCGACCGGAAGTTAAATCCCGTGAGAAGCATCCATAGATGTTTTATATGGTAGATTTAGGCAGCATGATTTGTTAACTATTTAGCCAGTAGGTTAGATTTGCAGCTCTCGCTCTACTACCCTCGAGAAAGAGTTTTTCCGAAAGCCTGCATTTCGAAGCAGTTCAAAGAGAAGTTAAGAAGAGGGATAGCAGTATAGCACTCAGATAACGATGCATATTTCCTATGTGATGATCTATATTTTATATACTGTCGATGTCGTGTGTATGCCTAGCACGTTCCGCTATTCTAGACCTCTGCAGCAGAAGCCACCAAGACATCATTTGGGCTTTCATTCCTGTATCATTCCATCGACATTAACCGGAATACCACGCAACTCGTAGCCTTCTTGCATCGCAACCTGCCACTGTTTCTTGACAATTTCCAGGCTCTCTGCGCTCCTGGGTACGAACCTGGCAGCAAAAGGCTTAGGAATGGTGAAGCCACCATCGGGATAGGCATTGTCGCTCAAATCCATCTCCACCTCGACGCCATCTACCATTGGCGGTCGGATCTCGAAGGCCCACAGCATGCCACTGACAGCGATGTCGAGCGAGCTCTCTGCGAGACGAGCACCGGGGCATACACGTCTACCCGTGCTGAAGGTGAAATTATCTCGTTTGTACGGGTCGCTCATAGCCGCATACTCGGAGCTGAACAGATTATGTTCTAGGAAACGCTCCGGCATGAATTCGAAAGGCTTTTCGAATCGTGTCGGATCATAGTGCAGGAAAGCCGTATTCGCAATAAGCACGGTTCCCTTTGGGATGACATGGTTCTTGTACACGACGTCCTGGTCTGCATAGTGACGGATCCCCGGGGAAAGAATGGGGTTCATGCGAAGCATCTCTTTCACACAAGCGCGAATATAGGGCAGATTAGGCATGTCCTCGAATCCGGGAAGACGGTTGGGTCCGACCACTCTCATCAGCTCATCATGGGCAGCCTTTTGCGCACGTAGATTTGCCGCAAGTTGGAGCACCAGACTGTTCAATGTCGCTGCGGATGTCTCAAACCCAGCCTCGACAAGGCCACCAGCAACCCAGGCTAGGTCCTCATCATTGAGGCCTTGAGCATACCAATGCTCTTTGCTTTCGATAATGCTTCGTGCAAAACAGTGAGGCGCTTTGCCAGCCTCGAACTGTTTTTCTAGTCGATGCCATAGCCCCATCTTGATATCAAGTACTTGCTTGGCTGCTTCGATCGCATCCTTTCGTCCAGGCTGAAGCCAGTTTGGCAAAAGAGCCAATGGTGGAAACTCATCAACCAGAAAAGCACCAGGTCTTGATGTTCGTCGCAGGATCGCTTGACTTCGCACTGCATTCTGCGCATCGGGATGATTCCAGTTCTTTACGCGCGTGCCAAATGTGTTGGTCATGATAATGCTAAACGCATATCTCCGCATATGCTGGTAAAAGTTCTGCTGGTTGTCGTTGTCCATGGCAAGGTCGAAAAGCAACTGTTTTGTCTCGAATTCTTGACTGGGCACGAATGTTGCTGTAATAGGGACAGTCGTGACCTGACGCACCACGGATCGCTGTGCGCGCCAATGCGGACCGTAAGGCATAGTTGGCATGCGCTTACCACCGGTGACAATATCATGGCCCATCGGCGAGGGCGCCTTGGAGGAAGTCTTGGTAGCTTGCTTCTCGAGAATCTCTCGTATCGCCTCAGGCGTATTGATCACGACCCAGTTATACCAGCCGACACGGATTTTGAACACATCTCCATGTTCCAGAGCCCATTGGCGGAATAACACAGGAGCTTTGGCAGGGAGTTTGTAGCCCACCCCTATGAGTGGGTATGTTTTCGGGCCTGGGATAGAGTTGAGCCTGCGATCACGACGGAGCCATGCTATCAAAATGATGAAAATCCCAAAAATAGTAGGAAGGACAAGCAATCGATTGCTGTAAAGAAAAATTACGTGGTCCATATTCACTATTGCCCAGGTGAAGTTGAGGACAAATGATACGTTATCTGTGGTAAATCAAATAGATTGCCATTATATGCTCTTCATACATGAAATATCCACGGGCGCTAGTAGTCATTCAATAGATAAAAAGATCTCTTTGTTCCAGGGATGTTACTCTACCCTAGCTTGACCCCCGTTTACTGACCGGGTTTCAATCGGGTTTCAATACAAATACCGGGGTGGATAGCAAGGCTAAAATGAAACAATATTCTTGTCAATAATAACGATAGCAATAAGAATAAGCGAAGAAACAACGTACTAGCCACGGTTTTCTCTCCAAGAAGACACTGAGTTCGGGATAATCCATTGCTGCTGCACCGGCGGGACATCAATCGTCATGCAACGCCCTCGGTGAATTAAAAATGTATTCATATACTTCATGTTAAAATTGCTCGACTAAGATATTGTATAACCAGTAGTCTTCTTTCAATCAACTATGGGTAGCTTAGAGCCTTCTAGCATCCTCATCGTGGGCGCAGGCCCCGTCGGACTCGCCTTGGCCCTAGACCTAGGTCGACGTGGTATTCGGTCGACCATCGTCGAGCGCAATCCTAGCGCCAAAGACACGCTCCAAGCCAAAGCAAGCGTGATCGATGAACGTACCATGGAATTCTGCCGCCTACTCGGAGTTCGTGATGATGTTGCCAATGCAGGCTACCCCGGTGACCTTCCCGGCGATACTGTCTTCTGTACAGCGATGAACGGTCACTATATTGGCCGTCTCGAAATGCCCTCCGCTGAGACACGCGAGGTCCCAGAACAGTCTGCCGAGATGCTACGGCGTTGTCCGCAGATCTGGTTCGATCCGGTCTTTGCGCGAGCTGTGCATCGTCAAGGAATGACAGATATTCGCTACGGCATGGAGCTCGTTAGATGTGACCAAAACGACGATTTTGTTGTTGGTCATCTCAAGCGCGTTGCTGATGGCGCCTTGGAGGATGTGCGAGCACGGTACGTTGTCGCATGCGATGGGGCTGGTAGCGCCGTGCGAAAACAACTCGATATTCCCTTTGAAGGCAAGAGCCTCGGATATGCGATCAGCTCAATTGTGCGAGTTGATCTCTCGAAATACCACTCCTGGACTCCTGCAGAACGTTTCATGTTCATCGGCCCTGACGGGACCTGGGGAAACTTCACGACAATCGACGGTCGGTCGCTCTGGCGGTTCTCGATTGTCGGTGGCAAGGGAAAAATCGATCTTTCAACCATTGACATGGATGCCCTCTTGCGAAAGGCTCTCGGTGGGGATGCGCCTGAATACGAAATTATCAAAACGGTCCAATGGCGACGAAGTCAGTATACCGCAGGCACGTACAACAAAGGACGGATCTTCCTTGCTGGGGATTCCGCTCATACAATGTCTCCCACTGGTGGCCACGGCTTAAACACAGGCATTGCAGATGTGATGGGCCTTAGCTGGGTATTGCAAGCCCTACTCGAAGGATGGGGAGGACCCGGTCTGCTCGACGCATACACTGCTGAACGACGACCTATCGCCATTCGCAATGGAGCGGGATCCTCTCGCAACTTTGGAATTTGGATCGACAAAAATGGGCGTGACAAGGTCCTTGAGGAAGGACCAGAGGCAGATGAACAGAGAGACAAGCTAGGCAAGAACATGGCCACCAACATGCGCCAGGAGTTTCAGTCACTGGGCCTGGCTTTGGGGTATAGTTACCCTGAATCGCCGCTCATCATCCCTGATGGGTCTCCTGCGCCATTCGATGACCCGGATATCTACATCCAAACCTCTCGCCCAGGTCATCGTGCACCACATTACTGGCTGAGTAAGGAAAAATCGACAATCGATCTCTTCGGGCGTGGCTTTGTGCTGCTTTGTCTCGGCGAAGAGGCAGACACAGACGGCGAAATTATGCGATTTGCACGGGAGCTGCGTATCCCACTTGAGAAGGTTATTATCAATCAGCCTGAGGTTGGAAAGCTCTATGAACGGCGGCTTATTCTGGTTCGTCCGGATGGAATGGTTGCTTGGCGTGGAGAGGCTCTTCCTGATGATTCCCAAGCACTTCTTAATCATGTAAGAGGAGCCTCCTCAGTTGTCTGGTAGAAGCAGAGGTGGCGAGGTTTTGTTTGTTGGATTGAAAACTTGTTTGTACTTTCTGTCATACACAAACAAGAATGGTACTAGCAGTTTCAAGGTTGGCCGCTTATGTAGCCTTGTTAAGTCTTTTTGGTAATCTTCTTAAATGTCTCCTCAGATACATTCTCAGATATATTCGTATTAGATATTTTCTACCTTAATTAGTGTTGTAGTAGAGGATAAGAATAATTAGCCGGAAAACATAAAATATAGGCGGTTAAACGGCTTAAAATCTCCGAACAGATTTTTCTGTACATAGCATTTAATTCTGCGACAGATTATATATAGCTTCATTATCAACTAATTTTGGGTGCTGTAAATCTATAAGGAAGGCGTGGATGGCAATTTTGGTTGACGGTGAAGCTATCCAGATGCTTTGAACCTAGCGCACGGCATCAACAATATCCTAATACAAATATAAGGAGTAGACCGAATATCTGTGGACAGTTGGCATTTAAGATGCCTCGAGTGAATGCTCCTTGTAGAGTTCAGGTGTTTGGTTTTCTTTCCTAGTACAACTCTCTTCCTCTTCTCCCTTCGGGTCCCACTACGTATTCCTACGACACCCAATCTCTCTATGGACCACCACAAAGGACAAATGGAGCGAATCGGGTTTCATCTCGGGGTTGATCTCGGTCTTGCCAAATTTCTTACGTGACCCCTGGTCCCGAAGATCGGCATAGAATTTACCCTAACCAACCTTGGAAGATCTATATCTGTTTGGTGATACGGGCTTCGTTCTCCTCCACATTTTATATTGTCAGCAAATGGCTTTTCTGACTTATCTGCATATACAATGCAGAAGTACCCGCAGTATCCCCGATACAGGTGTATCGTTGTTGTGCTTGATGCCGATTTGGTACCCGGCTATGTTCAATTTGACCCCGAGATGGAGTGCTCTCGTTTCCCGCATGCATACTTCTGGACGATGATTGATGGCATGCACCGTCTTTATTAAAGGGGCTCAATCGTTAAAGGAAACATGTCAAGTCGTTCTCTAGCGGCGCAAACCTCTTTCTAACCCACCCACATGCTCCTTCGGTCGTGCTAAGTCCAAGTATTTCCACAATGGCCGATCATTTGAAGTTATATCTCTTCGGAGACCAGACCTACGATCTTCAAGCACACCTGAGAGATCTGCTTCAGAAGAGACACAACCCTGTCCTGGATCATTTTCTCGTCAAATCCTACGATGCTGTACGTGCCGAGATTTACAAGCTTCCACCCGCTCTCAGGGAGACTTATCCACGGTTTACATGTGTCGATGACTTGATTATGTGGAACCAACGTGGGAAGAGACTTGTCCCTCTCGACATGGCTGTTACTTCCATCTATCAGCTTGGGACGTTCATTAGCCAATCAGACCCCGGTGACTTCTTCGCGGGCAAGGCTCTTGCGCTTGGTCTTTGCACCGGATCTCTAGCAGCAGCGGCCGTAGCATGCAGCCACAGCGTTGTAGATCTCGTCCCATTGGCAATCAATGCTGTTGTTGTGGCTTTCAAGACAGGTGTGCTTGTCAATGAAGTTGCCCACCGTGTGGCTTCCTCGGAAGAGTCAGACCAGAGCTGGTCAGTTGTGATCCCTGGGTCTAAGAGCCCCGAAGCCATTCATGAATTCTGTGCGCAAACCGTGAGTCACTTCCCCTAACCCAACCTTAAGTTTTAAATGCTCATATTATCTCTATAGGCTCTGCCACTGACGAGCAAGCCTTATATCAGCGCCTATTCTCCCAACGGTATCACTGTTAGTGGGCCGCCCAAGTCGCTCGTGCACCTCAAAGAATCAACCCAGGGCAAAGACCTGATATACAAAGAGATCCCCATTTATGCGCCGTACCATGCGCCTCATTTGTATTCTATGTTTGATGTCACCCAAATTATTGGTGACTTTGCTTCTGATGGGGTGTCTCAGTGCTCAGAACAAGTTCCTCTCTTTTCAAGCACTGGAACTAAAGCCAGCGAACGCAAATTTGGCTCGCTCCTAGAGTCTGCTGTGAAGCAGATCTTGCTGCAAACCATTAGCTGGAATGATGTGCTTGGGGATCTTCAGTCTTGTCTTCAGAGCGCAGCCCCACATTCATTTACTGTTGTTCCTATTGGAAGTACAGCGCATCAGCTGATATACACTGCACTGAAGCAGACATCGTTAAGGACCTTGGTACCATCTGCCCAGGCTCAGAATGCACCGGCTTCTGCTACTACAGACTTCAATGCCCCCCAAGACAAGTCTAAGCTGGCCATCATTGCCATGTCAGGGCGCTTCCCCGGTGCTAAAGACAACGAGGCATTCTGGGACGTTCTCTACCAGGGCCTAGACATGCACAAGCCCGTCCCGGCTTCTCACTGGGATATCAACACTCACGTTGACCCCACTGGAAAGACGAAGAATACTAGCGCAGCTCCATTTGGCTGCTGGCTTGATGACCCGGCTGGATTTGACGCGCGTTTCTTCAACATTTCTCCACGCGAGGCGCCTCAGATTGATCCTGCCCAGCGACTGGCCCTTATGACCGCGTACGAAGCAATCGAACAAGCTGGACTTGTTCCGGATGCTACTCCATCGACCCGACGTGATCGTGTTGGTGTGTTCTACGGCGTTACCAGCAATGACTGGATGGAAACAAACAGTGCCCAAGATATTGACACATACTTTATTCCCGGTGGAAACCGAGCATTTATCCCCGGCCGGATCAATTACTGTTTTAAATTCAGTGGCCCGAGCTATGCAGTGGACACTGCCTGCTCATCCAGCTTGGCTGGTATTCACCTGGCGTGTAACTCACTTTGGAGAGGAGACATCGATACTGCCATCGCCGGTGGAACCAATGTTCTGACCAACCCAGATTTCACTACTGGTCTTGACCGCGGTCACTTCCTTTCGCGAACTGGAAACTGCAAGACATTTGACGATGGCGCCGATGGTTACTGCCGTGGCGAGGGTATTGGAACAGTCATAATCAAGCGGCTTGACGATGCTATCGCCGACAACGACCCTATTCTCGGTGTCATTCTCGGTGCTTACACAAACCACTCCGCCGAGTCGGAGTCTATCACCCGGCCTCACTCTGGAGCCCAGCGCGAAATCTTTAAGAAGATTCTGAATCAAGCTGCCGTGGATCCATATAGCGTTACCTATGTGGAAATGCATGGAACGTAAGTCACCTCAAACCGTACTCACAAAAAAAATACTTACTATAATGCAGAGGTACTCAAGCGGGTGATGCCGGCGAAATGACCAGTGTGCTAGACACTTTTGCCCCAACGCTCTCGACGGTTCCCAAGGGACGAACAGTTGAGCAACCTCTCTACTTGGGCTCAGCTAAGGCAAACATTGGGCATGGCGAGGCCGCCTCTGGTGTGTCGGCGCTGATCAAGGTGCTTCTGATGATGCAGAAGAATATGATTGTCCCACACTGTGGAATCAAGACCAAGATCAATTCCAAGTTCCCGACTGATCTCAAAGAGCGCAATGTCAATATCGCCCTAGAGCCAACGGTATGGGAGAAAAGTACCGATCCTTCCAAGCCTCGCCGCGTCTTCGTGAACAACTTCAGCGCGGCTGGCGGCAACTCCGCACTTTTGATTGAAGATGCCCCAGTCAAAAACTCGCTGCCTCTTGCCACTGTTGATCCCAAAACTCTGCATCTCATCGCGGTTTCGGCTAAAGCTGGAAATTCCCTCCAGGGCAACCTGCGCTCTCTCCTTGCTTACTTGAAGCAAAACCCTGCAGTCTCTTTGGGTGAGCTCTCATATACCACGACGGCCCGTCGGATGCATCATAAACACCGTGTCGTGTTTGCTAGCTCAAATATGACCAATATCTGCACCCAGATTGAGACTGCACTGCGGGATAACCTGGGGATGACCCGACCGAAGAGTGTCCCGAAAGTGGTGTTCACCTTCACTGGCCAGGGCGCCCAGTACCCGGGAATGGGCAAGGACTTGTGTGAAATGTTCTCTCTCTTCCGCACTGAGATCGCCCGACTTGATCAGATCGCGCAGAGCCTAGGATTCCCGTCTTTCCTTCCTGTCATTCAGTCCGATGAGTCAGACATTGGCATCTTTGACCCGACTGCTGTCCAGCTTGCTAGCGTCTGCATGCAGATCGCGCTCAGCAAGCTGTGGGCCTCGTGGAACATTTTCCCCACTGCTGTTGTCGGCCACAGTCTCGGCGAATATGCCGCTCTAAATGTCGCAGGCGTGCTCTTGGATGCAGACACCATCTACCTCGTTGGAAAGCGGGCCGAGATGCTCCAGGAGAAGTGCACGCGTGATACTCATGCCATGCTTGTCGTCCGAGGCTCGGTAGAACAGATTGCTGGAGTTCTCAAAGATCAGGACTACGAGATAGCCTGCATTAACTCCCCTGTTGAGACTGTCCTTGCCGGAACAAAGGAGAAGGTCACTACCTTCAAGGAAATTCTTACCGACGCTGGCATGAAGTCCACCCTCCTAAAGGTCCCCTACGCCTTCCACTCTTCCCAAATCGACCCCATTATGGCTGACTTCGCGAAAGTCGCCAAGGGCGTCACATTTTTCAAGTCTAAGATCCCAGTCCTGTGTCCATTGGAGGGAACTGTGGCCACAGCGGAAGAGTTCAACCCTGCCTATCTTTCTCTGCATGCCCGCAAACCTGTCAATATGTTCAAAGCGCTCCAGGCTGGTTATAACAGCGGTCTTCTGACGGAGCAAACTATGACGATCGAGATTGGTCCTCACCCGGCCATCTCTGGCATGGTTAAGGCTGTTCTAGGATCACAGATGATCACTCTTGCCTCTGCGCAGCGTGCCCACTCGGTTTCGCAGGTCCTCACAACCGCACTGAAGACTCTTTATAATGGAGGTGCCGATATCAATTGGGCAGAGTACCAGCGTGACTTTAAGTGCTTCCACAATGTTCTTCGTATGCCCGCATACAGCTGGGATCTGAAGGAATTCTGGATTCAGTATGTGAATGACTGGTCACTGCGTAAGGGTGATCCACCTTTGACAGTTACCGCTGGTCCAGGCCTAGAAAGCACAACCATCCACCGCATTGTGGAGGAGTCTGGCAATTCGATCAAGACTAAGATAGTCGTTGAAGCCGATATCGCACGCAAGGATCTCAGTCCCCTGGTTCAGGGCCACGAAGTTGATGGAATTCCTCTCTGCACTCCATCGGTCTATGCGGATATTGCCCTGACCCTGGGTACCTATCTTATCAAGCGTTACCACCCTACTCAGGAGGACAATCTGGTCGATTTGTCGGATATGACTATCTCGAAGGCTCTGATCCTGAAGGATGGTGCAACAGAGCAGCTTCTCCAGGCCCATGGTGAGGTGGATTGGGCTTCTAAGTCCGCATTGGTCAAATTCATGTCATTTGACGTGAGTCTTGCTTCTCCTTCTTTACTTCATTCGCTGTTAATAGCATACTAACCAAAATATAGAGTAAGGGTAAGCTTCAGGAGCACGCCCGTTGCATGATTCGATTCAAGGACCGCAGTCTTCAGAAGTCTCTCCAGAATGCTGCCGGCGAAGTTAAAGCCAAGATGCAAGCTTTGCGCGATGGTATTGCTCGTGAGACAGTTGCCCGTTTCAACCGTCCTATGGTTTATCGCGCTATCCGTCCTCTTGCTCGCTTCCACGATGACTACCGAGCTATTGATGAGGTCTTGCTCAACAGCAAAACCTTGGAGGCTTCTTCGCGTCTCAGCTATGGCACTGTCAAGAGGGGTGGTCAATACCACACTCATCCTGCTATGATTGACTCCCTCACGCAGTCCTGCGGTTTCACCATGAACTGCAATGACCGCACAGACCTCGATAACGAGGTTTACATGAACCATGGCTGGGGCTCATTCCAGATCTTTGAACCCCTAGACTTCGACAAGTTGTATACTACCTACACCCACATGAAGGAAGGTGATGATAAGTTGTGGCACGGTGATGTTGTCGTCTTTGACGGTGACAAAGTTGTTGCTTTCTTTGGAAAAATCTCGGTAGGCTCTCTATCCTTGCTCGCTATCTACCGTTCACATATACTAACAATATTTAGATCCAAGGCGTTCCTCGCCGGGTGCTGAAGGTTATTCTGTCTCTTGAGAGCGGCGCAAAGTCACAGAAGCAACAGCCAGCCAAGGCAAAATCAGCTTCTATTACTGCTTTAGCTCCCATTGCAGCTAGCACCCCTGCACCCCAGGCTTCTCAGTTCTTAGATGCCTTGGCAATCATTGCGGATGAGAGTGGGCTCACTATTGATGACTTGACCGATGGTACTGTTTTCGGTGATGTTGGTATTGATTCCCTTCTGGGACTCACTATCTCAGCTCGCTTCAAGGAGGAGCTTGATCTTGACCTTGACTTCAATGCCTTTTTCTTCGAGTATCCCACCGTCGGTGATCTTAAGAGACTGTTGGGCGGATTCAGCTCCGGTCCCACAATTCATCGCTCCCCATCCTCATCTGGGTCTAGCGATGACGGTATGGACACACCCGATAGCATTGGAACAGGCGCCACCACGCCTGTTCTATGCGATAACAAGGTTGATATGAAGCGTGCGCTGGAGATTATCTCCGAAGAAAGTGGTATTTCCATGAATGACCTTACCGAGGATACTAACTTCGCAGACTCTGGTGTGGACTCTCTTTTGTCTCTCGTTATTGTGAGTCGGTTCCGCGAGGAGCTGGATTTGGATATCCAACACGAATCCCTCTTCCTCGAATGCCCTACTGTGGCCGATCTGAGACAGTTGTTGGTGGGCGAGCCGGCCATCAATGAGCCCGTGCAGCAGCTGTCAGTAGCCCCTGTGGCTCCTATTCAGCAGACCGTTGAACCCATCGCCAAAACCGAGTATCCTGCGCTTGACCCAATTTCCCTGGCTGTTCGCAGAAAAGCAGTTTCTGAGTATGTGGACAAGTATACTGCTGGTTTTTCTGTCCCTAGCCCTTCGCCCTCAGCTATCGCACCATCAGCCAACGAGAAGGTTGTCCTGGTAACTGGAGCGTCCGGTAGCCTAGGAAGCAACCTCGTCTGCCATCTGGTCCAGCTTCCAGATGTGGCAAAGGTTGTCTGCCTCAACCGCGAGAACAAAGCTGAGCCCGAGATTCGCCAGCAAAAGGCTATGCGGGCAAAGGGTATCCGATTCCCAGAGACTCTTAAACACAAGCTCATTGTGCTCCAAACCGACAGTGCTAAGCCAATGTTTGGACTGACAAAGAGTCAGTACGACAACCTGTCTAGCTCTGTCACTCACTTAATTCACCAAGCGTGGCCGATGAGTGCCAAGCGTGTGCTTTCTGGGTTCGAGTCGCAGTTCCAAGTCATGCGCAACCTGATCGATTTTGCATGCGACAGCAGCTCTCAGCGCCCTGCGTCCTTCAAGTTCAGCTTCCAAATGGTTTCCTCTGTTGGCGTTGTGGGTCACTACCGCCTTGGTGACGTACAGGAAAGAATTATGGTTCCAGAGGAGAGTGTCGACATCGACAGTGTCCTGACCAACGGCTACGGAGAGGCCAAGTGGGGCTGTGAACAGATGCTCGACCGCACTCTCCAGCAATACCCCGATCAATTCCGCTCAATGGTCGTCCGTTTAGCACAGATTGCTGGATCCAGTACCAGCGGCTACTGGAACCCCATGGAGCATTTCGGATTCTTGATCAAGTCGTCTCAGACTCTCAACGCCCTGCCCGACGTTCCTGGCACGGTTTTTTGGACCTCGGTGAATGCCATTGCCAGCACTTTGTCTGACCTTGTTTTGGCTGAGAACAATCCCCATCCGATGTACCACATTGAAAATCCGGTTGGCCAGCCCTGGAAGGAGGTTAATGCTGTCTTAGCTGATGCTTTGGGCATCAAGGACTTGATTCCCTTTGAAGAATGGGTTGCGCGTGTGAAGGCTGCACCTCAGCGCAACAACCCCGCTTCCACCCTGTTGGAGTTCTTGGACAGCAATTACCTTCGCATGTCTTGCGGTGGACTTGTTCTAGATGTTAAGAACACACTTGAGCATTCCAAGACTCTCGCCGCAGTAGGACCTGTGAGTGATGAGGTTGTGAGAAAGTATATTCATATCTGGAAAGAGATTGGCTTTTTGAGCTCGTGAACTAAATAGATATATACACTGTTTTGATTTATTTTATGTTTTATGTTTGAATTTGCATGCTGATTTACCTGTCCGACATATCAAATCTGCTATATATTATTCTCTACGAACTCTATAGTTTCAATATCAAAGATCTTGCACTGAAACCGCTCTCTGGTCCCTCGTCGGTTCTATCAAATGGCAATGGTGGTTTCAGCAATGAGCCAACGATGATTCGTTCCCAAGTGTCATCTCTTTATCTCGTCCGAATTTTGAATACTTCAATTTCTAGGTACTGGGGTTTCTCTCTTATAATTCCTACAAATTGGTAAGAAGAATGCAAGCTCGATTTTATACACGCAGTGTTAAACGAAGAAAAATGGAAACAAGGCTATATAGAATACTATCAAGATTTCTTTTCATCAAATACCAATTGCTTCTACCAATGTTACTATAGCTCGTTTACGCTGATGGTGGCATATTCAACCTTCAAATCCGATACCTCCTTCAATACCATATCGCCCTCTGTGACTTTTGTACTTGGAATTTGGGCTCTCTCTATAACCTGTCTAACCATATCGGCAATCTTGTTCGAGACCTCCGTGGAGCGAGGGATGTCATGCCCGCCGCCATGATCAAACTCCACTGTATCATCACAGAATTCCGCCAACTGGATGCCAGCCGGCCATCTCGGATCCTTTGAACCATATATATTCACAGTAGGTATCTTGATTCTTGCGTTCTCAGGAAACTTTGTGAAATCAAGACCAAAGACGTCGCTACGCTTGGGCCTCAGCTCAGGGTTATGCACATTGCGATCTGCAGCGTATTCCCACAGTCCCGAACCCCGATTGATCAGATACAAGTTTTGAGCTAGCATTGCCAACCGCCCAGCCGCTTCATTCAACAATGCGCCAGTGTACTGGTTGACTTCATGCGCATACGGCGAAATCTCTAGACCCATATCTTCGAGGGCTGGGAAGGGAACGCCGCCGCATATAAAGATGGCTGCGCGGAAGGGGAGCGATTCCATGTCGGGCTTATTGTTGTTCATGGCATGGTATAGTGCCATGGTCGCAGTGAGCGAACATCCCTGAGAAAAGCAGCAAAATGCATCGTAGGGACCATTTTCGCGCGCATAGTCAGCTACCCATTTGTGGGCGAAGCGGATTGACTCCGGCGTGCCTTGGGGCCACCATGTGTATGTTTGAGTCTTGTAGATGGTGGTTATGCCAGGCGCACCCTGGCTAGTGAATGGAGCGTCGATGAAGTCGAAGTTATAGCTATCATCAAGCTTGGACCGAAACGCGGCTGTTTGGGATTTGAAGATCGAGGCACTAGTTCCGTGCCCATGAAGGCAAAGGATACGAGGCATAGCGTTTGGTGAAATGCCTGCGGGGTATGGATGGAGTTTTTTTATTGGGAATAATCATGTAGTGTATGGCTCTTTGCATGGGACTAGATTCACCCTAGTAATTATACACGTAGTGCATCCCCGACGTCCTAATCCACTTATGTCGAGATCGTCCCGATCGGTTCCCGAGATCTTCGCTTTTTATATTCGGCTCCCGAGATTCAATACATATCTGAATGCTTGAACATTGTATTTTTTTTTCACTGGGATTGTTTTCAACCTCCTTTCATTTTCTCTGTTTTCTCGCAAGTAGAGGCTCCGTAGTCCAGCGACATGGCCCAGCCGACAGCAACAGCCGTTCTCTTATCTCCAGAGACCACTCCAGGCCATGTTCATGTTAATGGACTGACAAGAGAGAGCGCAGAGCTTGTATCTGAAATGCTCACTAAGAACCATGTTCTATACAAGACGCGATGGAAAGACACTCTTCATAGTAGGTATCTAGTAGATCCCCAGATGAGTGATAGGTTAATTTGGATATAGACCATCTCACTCACCACCTCCTTGCTATGTGGGCACTGGGAGCAACCCCAGCTGAAATCCAGGATATGTGGGATTACAATACGCCTTATCAAGATGACATGAATCTCGACCCAGAGGCATCTTCCTACGATCTGCAAGATCCAGAAGTTTTTGAAAAATGTCTGGGGATTGACGACCGCTACCCCGACTTCCTCAGGTTTTTTGAGGAAGAAATCAGCAGCAAGGGAATGCAGGAAGTGGTCAAGGAATATCTCTTCAAGGAAGATCAGCGAGCGAATGACATCCTGGGGCGCATGTTTGCGGGTGAGCCGAAATCCACCCATACGACGGCAGAGCTTTACTCACAATCTATTCTAGATCTTGTCCATCCAATTATTCACCTAGGTTGTGGCATTGAATTCAACCAGCCGAGTCTCGTCGCAGAAGCATTGGCTGGAGCCTGCGTTCACGAGAATTGGCCCAGTAGCATCCTGCTCCCTACAGAAGATTACGTGCGTGCAAACCCGGACATACCATCCAAGTCGATGCTTCAAGTCCTAGAATCCCTCCAAGCGGATAGCCATATTTCCACTGGAACGAGAGAGGACGACCCTTTCAATAAGATCCCCGATGGCTTCCTCAAGCGCGTCACACCAACGCAGCTGGTGCCCTACCTCAGCCAGTTCCAGGTCAAGCCCGAGCCCGAGGACCTGAGACTCAAACTATCAGACATGATGCATACTTCCGCGTACATGCTGGGTGCCGCCCAACGCCCGGGGAAACGCGAAGCCATGGACTTTGTGACTCTCCACGCTGCCACACTGGCAGCATTCTTCCCCGCAATTATGGCCCAGGACTGGTTGTCCAACGAGAACAAAGCGCGACTTCTCGAAGCCACGGTGCGTGTCAATGCGGTCATGTATGGTGGCACTGCGTGTCCACCCATGTATGCCGACCGAGTGATCCACTACATTCCTCAACATCCGACGCATGGGTGGTCTGAGCTTTTCCACCGCGCAAACGTCTACCGTGATGAGGGCCATGCTGTCAAGTTGCTTCGCGCGCTGTATGCGATAGAATCGCTGGAGCTAGGACCGGATTTTCCGATCGCTAAGAGTGATTTCTTCAAGATTGCGCACATGGGAATCGACTCCATTGAGCGCGCCATGGCTGAGGAAAATGGCAATCATGTCCCTAAGGAGGTCGCTGCTGGGGTTCTTCAACGGGTTGGACGTGGAGGCGAAATGGTGGTCGGGAACATGACCCGATGGGTATTCTATGGTGGGCTTCCTAACGCCTGGAGACACGTACCTGCGGTATAATACTTGCCATTAAATTAGTAGATTCAAATAAACACTGTTGAATTCTGAAACAATTCTATTTTGTTGAGAAATTCATCTTGATAATTTTATAAGCTAAATGAAGCAAGAATAGCGAAAGACAGGCTGGAGAAGGAAAACAAAAGAGCAAAAGAGAGAAGAAGAAACTGGAAACAAAGATGAGGGCTCCTCTGGCCACGTGATCCTGTTTCACCAAGGGACAGTTCGACCAAGATAGTCGAGGTATTCAAGTCCCGGTCTTTCTCTCTTTGCAAGAAGCACATTCACCAAATTGGGAATGCTTTCTTCGATGGTAAGCCGAGCCTCTGGACCTCCCAACTCAGTTTTGACCCACCCCGGAGCCATCACCACCATCGGACGCAATGGAACCTGACGAGCTGCAAAGCTCCGCATATACATATTCAGCGCAGCTTTAGTGCCACGATATACCTCTCGCTGACCGGTCTCATTGTTGGTAATGCTTCCTTGTCCAGATGACATCACACCGATAAGACCTTTGGGAGCCACGCGGTGTGCCAGACTTTCAACGACACGCATAGGGCTGAGCGCATTCGTGACCATGACATGTACAAATTCTTCGGTTGATACATCTCCAATTTTTTGGGTTTGGTCACGATTTGTTGTGCCAGAGTTCACAAAGAGGACATCAAATATCTTGCCCGACAAGCGCGCATCGAGCGCCTTGATTTGATCGGGTTGGCAAATATCCAAGGTCTCAATGTCAACACGCCCGCTGTACTTGTCTGCTAGATCATGGAGTAATGTGCGTGATTCGCCGCGAACTGTTCCAACAACATTCCATCCCTTTTCTAGGAATTCTGCCGCCATGGCGTGACCAAGGCCACGCGAAGCGCCAATGAGAAGGATTGTGGGAGGTGAAATGGACATCATGCATAAATTTATTTCAGATTTGATCAATATGAGCGGATTGCGGTGCTTTTTAAATCCAACAGAGTGGGCTCGGCATTTTCTGATCCTTATCTCCGAGTTCTCCTTGGGCTAAGCATATGCTTGTCGTATTCGGCCCCGCCATACGATCTTCCCGCTCACCACACAATCACTACTTTTGCTTCCTATATCTTGTCGATCCTACCAGGACTCGGTATCACGGTCTAAACAACTTTGCCAGGCGTATCGCGACTTAAAAGGTATTGGATTTCAGGAGTCATGGACTGAAAATACCAGGGGAATCTGACACCGACCCACTGATAGGCGCCCAGCCATACCAAGCTCATTGTAGTGGAGCCCGGGGATCTAATGTCTCTCCTAATTGGCTATGGGCTTCACTAAATCATGGTCACTTTATTTTAAAGGCCTAAACTTGTCTGATCTGTCAATGGATGTCCACCTTGGCATCTTCTTGCTCGGCTTTACTGCGAAATACCTGGAAATACCTGGTATCTCCCCGAGGACCCGTGTAGAACAATATGCCTGGATATAAGCATCGTAGCATTCGCCTATAAGTTCTGCTGCGCACGAACCCCGACTCGAATTGACCAGAAAAATGGCAGACGAGAAGAATCATGGTGTGGCCAACAACAACCTCGACCGGGATATTGAGATGTCTAGCACAGAGGCCCCGTCCTCTCAGCCCTCTCCGCCCACTACGTCCTCAGGGAAATCGGAACCGAATGTGAGCGCTATCGAGCCAGAGATTGTCGTCGTTCCTCGTTCAGAGCGGCGAGGTCTACTGGGCCGGTTCTCCCTAGTTCCTGAGATCACCAACCCACGAGACTATGGCAATGGAATCAAATGGGCGATGACGGTGGTTGTCAGCTTCGCTGCCATTACATCCTCCACGGGATCCTCTATCTTCTTCCGTCAGTAATATCATTTCTCTTCCTACGGATGAATTTCCTATTAATCAAATTACAGCGGCCCTGGCTGAGGTGGCGCATGACCTAGACACGAGCCTGACCGTTGCTAACTTGTCGCTGGCGTTGTACTTGCTCGCCATGGCTTTCACCCCTATGTGGTGGTAAGTGTATCTGTCAAGATCACCACTTGCTGTGAGGCAAGAGGTATAGGGGCGTTTCTAACGAACTATAGGTCTGCGCTGTCCGAGAAGCATGGACGGCGAACAATCTACCTCCTCTCCTTTTCCCTCTTCTTAATTTTCTCTTGCATCAGTGCCGTCAGTGTCAACATCACAATGTTGATTATTTTCCGAGTTCTTAGTGGTGGAGCCGCAGCTTCGGTCCAGTCCGTGGGCGCGGGAACCGTCGCCGATATCTGGGATCCAAAAGTGCGAGGAAAAGCCATGGGAGTCTTCCAGCTAGGCCCTCTCTGTGGGCCCGGTCTGGCGCCCGTGATCGGTGGCGCTTTGGCTCAAGGTTTCGGCTGGCGTAGTACGCTCTGGTTCCTTACCGTCTTTGGTGGTGTGATGCTGATCCTGATTTTCCTCTGTTTGCCGGAGACGATTCCAAAGCGTGAGCCAAAGCCGCAGACTGAAGAGCAAAAGAACGCCAGCATCGCTGTCAAAATCTTCATGGCCATCTTTGGCCCATTCAAGGCGCTGGCCCTGCTCCGCTTCCAGCCTGTCATCGTTGTAATCTGGTCCGGTATCATCGCTTTCTTCGCCATGTACATCATGAACGTCTCCATCCAAGCCGTTTTTGACCAGCCTCCCTACAACTTCACCGTTTTGGAGGTCGGTCTTGTATACCTGGCACCGACCATTGGATACGCCATCTCGTCGGTTTTTGGTGGTCGCTGGATCGACTACATCATGGCCCGTGAGGCGACTAAGGCCAACCGCTACGACGAGAACGGAAAGCTCAAGTTCTTCCCCGAGGACCGTATGAGAGAGAACATCTGGCTGGCTTTGACACTCTACCCAGCCTCCTTGATTTGGTATGGCTGGACCACTGAAAAGGGTGTTCAATGGGCGGTCCCCTGTGTTGCCTCTATCTTCTTTGGTCTCGGCATGATGCTCGTCATGGGTACGGTGCAGACTGCTCTGACGGAGTTCACTCCTAAGAAAGCTTCTAGCGGTGTCGCCGTGGCAAACTTCGTGCGAAATGTTCTTGCGTGCACGGGAGCCGTCGTCACTCAACCCATGCTCGATGGTATCGGCAACGGATGGATGTGCACTTTGATTGGTCTGGTCGCGTTTGCCACGGGTATTTCGGCCATCCTTTCTCTCCGCATCTGGGGGCCCCAGTGGCGGGTACTAATGGATCAGAAATTGAATGCCCCGAAGCTGTAAATATTTATGCTGGTGGGAGACCAGTCTCGGTCATTCCTGGTCATTCTGGGGTTACATTTGATTCTTTTTTTTTATATAGCTTCTTATAGATTGGCATACCGAGTGTTGCATTTACTTGACTCAAAAAATGGCCACTGTCTAGATGATAGCTGTCAAATTAAGCAATATTGTTATCATTTTGCAAAATATCGACTTTCCTGGCAGCACATAAAACTCCTAGTCAAAGTGGAAGCCTCGAGTTCTTGCATAATTTACCTTGCCTGGCATAGCCCTGAAGTCCTGTTTAAGCATCACAAAATGGGAATATTCCATTGCCCGAATATTCCATCTCCACTATAGCGTAGCCCGCCGTAACAATGGCCATCTGTTCAATATTTCTAGATTGTTTGGCCAATCACGGGCTATCGTTAATTCCCGATTTTACCTCAGCATAGGGGAGAAGCCCCGATCTAAGACATCTTTGTTTGCTACTTCTCCCTCATTATACCGATTGAACTTTGAATGAAAGGGTCATCTCCCTTTGACACTCGCCTTTCATGGCCAGTTTATCTACTTGGAGTGTCGTTATATTGTTTACTACCCTTTTTTTCATGTTGCCCGGATTCCAAAGACTATTCTTCTCCTACAACCAGTCAAAACACCTCGATATCCCCATTCTAGCAACAGCAATGAGCCACTGGAGCAAAAATTCCTGGAACCCGCGCTGGGAAGCCGTGGACGCGTATTCTATTTCGCATGGTCATCCTTCCACCCGACCCAATGCCCGGGTACTACAAGATACGATCTCAGCATCCGATACAGCGGGTTTACCAAGACACGCACTCTCGGCCTCCCAAGCCAAGTTCCTCTCGCTGCACTGTCGGACTACCAATGTGACGCATGCACTTGAGATCGGCACGCTGGGTGGCTACTCTGCTATCTGGATGGCCAGTCAGAACCCACAGCTGCACGTAACAACCATCGAGTACGATGAACACCATTACAAGACAGCCCAGAAAAACATCGAGCTTTCAGGACTGGCGGATCATATCGAGGTCATCAACGGTGCTGCACTTGATGTCCTTGGTCGTATAAGTGAAGAGGTTCACTCCGGGAGGCGGCCTTCGTTTGGTTTTACCTTTATCGATGCGGATAAGGTAAATAACTGGAATTATTTCCTGATGGCGAAAGATATTTCCAAACCGAACTCCGTCATCTGTGTTGATAATATTGTGCGTGATGGCCACCTAGTTAGCTTCGGTGATAATGATTCGTATCTGAGAGGTTGTCGAGAGGTTGTGGAGAAGGCAGGAAAAGAACCCGGGGTTGATTCTGTTGTGCTACAGACTGTGGGTGAGAAAGGGTATGATGGTTGGTTGTGGGCTGTGATCAGTTAATCTAGGAATGGGTTTCCAAGCTCGTTTTTACCAGTGAATTCCATGTTTGTGTTAATTTCTAGTGATAGCATTGCAATTATCAACTGCAAATCTCTGGAGAAACTCCAAATAAAGTGAACCACGCCCCTAGTCCTTCTTAGGACCATGGCCCATCACCTCAAAATCGCCCTCAATCCACATCTTCCTCATCTTGTAGAACTTGATCTTCCACAATCCCTCAGACTCGACCTTGACCATTTCAAGGTAATAGGTACCGCCAGTCCAAAACCAAGGGGCTTTCGGGTCAACTCCCGTACCAAGACGGTAGTGCTTCGCATTATACAAGCACGAAAGGCTTGCCTCTGTTCCACTCTCAGCAACGTTGATACGGACACTTGTAACGTAGTGAGTGGTGTCGAGTTTGATGATGGTTTTATCGAAGCACTCGATGTGAACTTCCTCCAGACTGTTCATCTGTCGACCGAACAGGTCCCATTTCACGTCCTCGGTGAAGGCTGAATCGAAAAGCTCGGCATCGTTGGTGTCCATGCCGAGCATAAATCGGTGGAGGGAATCGGCAATGGCTTCGCGTGTATCCAGGGCCGGGGTTAGAACGGCTGGGAGGGCCATAGTCCTATCATAGGCTGCCATAGCTGCATCGGCCATCTTGAGAGATTTCAGGTGCTTCTGAGGAATCAGGTTCAGTGTGAATGGCAGTGACTTAAATTGAAAATTACATGCGTCACACTACTAATATAATAGCCCAGTCCTATCTATTCTTTTTTCCGACCTCATCACTGAAAGTTTGATCCCCGAGGTAATTCTCGTATTGAGTCGGTGGCCGAATCCCAAAACAGTGTGAAAGTAGATATTTCGGCCACTCGGGCAGTTACACTGTTCCTTTTCTGCTTAATTACATTCCACCTGCAGAACCTCCGTGTATTAGGTGAAGATCGAATGATGTATCTCTTACAAGCGTAACTACCCGAATGGGGTCCCGACGGGCTCGAATCTCAACGGGCTGCTCACAACAGACAGAATATCCATATGAATTACCTTAGATTATATGATCCTTCAGTTCAATAAACTACCCGGGCAATCTTACTTCTAAGAACGCGCTTATGGAGTAATTCGCTGATGATTTCAACATCGCTGTGCGCTTTGATCGGGCGACCCAGCTTCTTGTTGAGCCAACGCCACCAAGCGCCCCATGAAGTCGTATCAGATAGAGAGAACAGGGAAAGAATAGTGTCATATAGATATTTTTCGGGTCCGTCTAACCATGACCTGGGTTCGCCTGCAAGTCGCATCATAAGCTTAAGGTATTCGGGATTTCCCTGGATATGGGCTACTTCAACGACAGTCCCGTTGTAGTAATGTACTGAGGCTGTTCTATTTGAATATTAGAGATATCAGAGCGTTAAAAAAGAACATTACTCGCTCACCCATATGAGGGGGTCAGGTCAAAGCCGATCCCGGGAGCATCGTGAATCTGCGCAGAGAGGCATGTTTCGCACGACGAGCGAGGACAATCATAGAAAGCATCGATAATGGAGACAAATTGAATGAATAGAAACCCTATAAACAACCTATTCATTTTAAGCAAGAATTTGGATTTCAGTTAATGACGATGGTTAATCTTACGTTCAAGTTCGAGTTCAACGTGGCCCGAAAAAAACAAACTAACCGTGTTAATCCCCGACGAGCTCAGTACCGAGCATAAAGGGCATTCATCGATAGTGTCAAGTGGCATCCATTATCTGCAAGGTATATCGAATTCTATCATTGGAAAAAAAAACCTTTGAACTTGTGTATTTATATATTTCAATTTGCCCAGCTTTCGGATGTATATATCTTTAGTAAAAGGTACGGTTCAAGTCCATTCATCCATAGAACATCGCGATGAGCCAGTTCAGCAGAAATTGTCATATATATCAGTCCTTAGTTGTCTTTAAATTGGACTGGATTTAACTTATCTTCAAACTCATGAATGGAAAAGGCCCTCAATGCGGCTGCTCGGCCAAATAAATGGCTAGCAATAAACCAGAAATTCCTTCCTAACTAGGTCATGCATAGTTTTCTTTTGCTTTCTAAAATGTAACCGTATCTTGTGGGATGTTTTCCGCGTTCGAGGTAGAATAGCAAGCCATCGACCATTCTTCTAATGTGGGACTTGATTGATGTTTTGAACATCTCCGGGATTTGCGATATCAGAAGCTTTTACTGTGTGGCCCCATCAAGTCGCATTATCCGAGGTGGTAGCAATGAGGAGGCGTGAAGTGCGAATCGAGGATGATGCTTGAGTTAATTGCCCTGATTTCTTAGATTTGCAACTCGGTGAACTTGTGATGAAAAATTGGACCATTTTTTCAGCGGAATTACTTTTGGTGCAGGTTTTTGACTGGGATGCTTATGGCTAGTTTTCATAGCAAGCAAGATTTCTCCGCTGACAGAGCATATATATTTTTCTCGCAGAATCTCATAGCTATCATCTCGGATAATGCTACTTGATATGTCTTCGATGGGATCGGGTGCTGATATCATCCGCATACCCTGCTACTGCATGAATCATTTAGCTTGCGTGAACAATCACATTTCGAGAACATTGTTGATTTTTGTCGACATCTTGGACGTCATGGATTGATTTTAACCACTGTCACAATGGTCCAAGAAATATGATGGTGTGCAATGCATGTAAGGTTGTATAATATTGGCTGAGGAGAATGGGAGGGAGAGCACCACAGAGAACGTCCGATCCATTTGGCTCGAGTCATTTTGTGGCAGTCCTGATATAATTTTCATTAGTATACCGTGATAGGCGTAGCTTGTACCGATCCTAAATCCTAAAAGTTGACTTACTGGAAGGAAATGCATATATGCCCTATCATCGACTTTTTGTCAACTGATTCATAAGATGAACCATCCATGGCCCCAGGACACACGGAGCGATGATTCAAGCCCTACCCTGGTAGGGCATCTAGAAAAAGCAGACAAAATGAGAACGAATTGCTGCCTCAACTCCACCAAGACAACAACAATAACTCACCAGCTTCGCAGAGCTTGTGTTGCCTAACACAGTGGGCACAGGACTTGCTATTAGCTGTGTCCGAGAAACAGCCAATCTCAAAAGGATGACAAAGCTCATTTCCCTTATATTCTCAGTTGCGGTCCGAGATATGAAGGCACCACAGGTACTGGATGAAATTCCGTGGTATCAGGATCAAGGGCTGTTTACGGTAGTTTCGGGACCGCCATGACGAACCAACGAAGAAAATGAGAGTAGCAGCATATTAGCAGGCATGCTACAACAGTGATGGTATAGTGATGGTTGTGAAATTTGGAAAAGAAAATAAGGGACAGAGTAAGAAAGACAACGTAATAGGAAAGAAGGTGGAAAGGAAAGAAGGAAGAAGAGGAAAGATAAATACAGGAGCAGGAGAAGGGAAAGAAGAAGGAAATAACTCTGCTTCTATTTATTAACAAACAGAGGAGGCAAACAGGCCTAATACAAGCAAAGCGATATATTATCTAAACATGTTACCTCACCCTCTCTGCAAGTATCCCTACAAGCACACACGCTATGAACATGAAAGAGCAGATGGTCCTTGATATGGCTCTTGAAGTTCAAGTTGAGTCTCGAAACACCATATGAGCTGGCTCTTTATTGTTTGTTTTTACATCTGGCACAAACTGACAGTAACAAGGAGCTTAGCTGGTTAGTCTGATTGGTTGTCTAGCTTTAGACTGAAACAAGCCCTGGAGAGAAATAGATATATGGCAGGTATCAAGATTCCGTGAATGAACAACTGCTGATTCCTAATGTGAGAGAAAGGTTTAAGGTGACGACAGCGACTCATAGTCCCTTAACGAGATGTTACCTCCCCGACTTTCAGAGGTGCAACTACGGAGCCAAATATCTCGGAGCCCATCGAGCCTGGCGGCCGGTTCACAAGATTGAGACTCATGAATGACATCGCAAGGTTGGCTATCGACACTGAGCACCATAAGAAGTTTACAAAGGGAGCGGCATTCGAAAACAGGCCAACAAGATACTTCGAACTCTCTCTAACTACATTATCTGAACATGTTGAGCTTGGATGGGAGATTTGCAGTGCTCGTCAAGACCAAGCCATCGGCAACCCTTCGGCGTGGGTCTTATGGATATATGAGGATGAGGGAGGGACTACTGCAGCTCGGGGGACAATCAGGTCGCTGGCATTCATGCTCGTTTCAATTGGGTCAAGGAGGCCGGCGGGTTCTTCCTCATCGCTGACAACAAAAGGAGAAAGATGATGACAAATGGAGAGATATTCAGAACTGATCGACGCCTGATTCGGCCCAAGAACACGATCATGATTGGGAATGTATTTTCGCTTCACCCGAGCATGTCTGAGGGGAAACCCGTGATCGAGCCGTTGATTTTCGGGAATTTCATATAATTCGATTGGGCTGATTCTCAAAAAAAAACCCCCATTAAGTCGAGGATTAAGCCCGGCATTGACTTCCTATATTATCGATATGTTTTTGAAAGTTTACAAAACTCGCCGTTGGCCAGATGTGCCCGAGACATCTTGGAAGACGATCCGGGCTCACGCATGATGGCTGCTGATGCTTCGCTCTGCCTTAGCAACTACCGGAAGAGCAGGGAAACGAACGAGAGGAGAAGATAGATGCCATGCCAATCTATGGATGGCTGATAGGATCAAGTTCTAGCCTGATCATTCTAAGTTCAGCTATTGGCTGCCCTTTCTAATTTGAAGTGCATATTTCCATTGATTGATTCCACTGAGCTTCTGTCACACATAGATAATTCGAAAATTATGCAAATAAGACGAACAATAAGATTCAAGCAAATGAAAATTCAATCGCACGTCCCCTCATTAGGAAATCGTCCTACGTAAGTAGAATCTGAGGACAGACCCGGCTATATAAATTCTACGAACTGGCCTCGTTTCTATCTTGCAAACCGATATTAAACTCCCCGCACAGCATAAACCTACGTATTACTCCGTTCTCCGTTCTCAAATCTGGGTGGCAAAAACATAATTCTCGACATAAGCCCAGCGCAACACCGCAATGCCGCAAACCCGCAACTAGAAAATTAATGCGCAAGCTCCATCCAAAACCCAAGACTATGTACTCCACATTCCATCCGTGATCTACGAGATTGCACTCGCGTAAAGTGTAAAAACCTAGTGTAAAAACCCGGCCTACTGCAATGGCCAGTGCCCGAAATCAATAATGCGCTCATTGCTCTCTCGTGGTAACACCTATATGTTGTCTCCACCTCTAGTGTGTCGTTAGAGCGGGCAAGGAGCGGGAGAGGGATTCCATTCGTCCGATATGGAAATGATACTCATTTTAGGTGGGGGCTGTGACTCCGGTAAACTGGGTCTGTCGGGGGGGGGGGGGGGGGGGGGCTGTTCCCACTATGCAATAATAATATACATAGGCGTGTTTCTCTTTTTGGGTGATCTTTTTTTTTTGGATTATCTTTAGAATGGAATTACGGAAATAACTATGGAGTTTCGACGGAGCCCGGAACACCACTTAAAATCAGGGTTGGTGTGTTGTAGGTGCATATGTAGGGGAGTTGAAATGGCATGAAGAAGAAATGTGGACTCGGCGCATATTACAAGAGTACATATGGTAGTATACAACCTACGTTGTACACTGTAGGCGCAGACTTCCTGTTGGTGTGGGGGAGGTACATACGGAAGGGAAGCACTGTATATCACATCTGTATGCCTCGGCCTACATACCCGGCTGTGGAACGTAGACAAAATCGCGAGTGTGCTGGATGGAGAACGCGGTGAACAAGGAACCGGATGTATTTATCCCAAGTACAGAGTCGAATCGGAGTGCATGTGTGATAGGGATTCTGATGTCTCAAAGGTCTTAACGCGAGCCCGGGCAATTACATTTCCTGATCTGGACTAGTTTATTAAACTATTATGGAGAGCGCGGGAGATGACTCCATGGGCTTGAGCCCCTCTCATCTAGAGAAAAGGTTGAATTAGTTACAAGTGGGGATTTGTATTGTGCCGTTTAGCCAGCATCAAAGGGTAGGTCTTTTTTGAAATTCTAATCTCGAGTACAAGATTGCTTAGAAATTAGTGTGGTTCAGGAGGGCGGAAGCGCAAAATATCTATCACAAACACATGATAACTGCCGAGAATCAAGGCTAGGATCATAGCCAGTGATATTGTGTCCCCCGATATAACCCTAGCAATGGTGTGCCATCTCACTGCAGCTGTTCGTTGCATATACCCCTGCCATCAGCTGCACCGCACTTCTTCTAGCGACGTATGTTCAAGCTATGTATAAACTAAGGCATGTCCTGTTGGACAATTCCTGTACGAAGTATCGTAAATAGTAGTGGCATACCCCATAGTAAATAGTAGGCAACGGAGCTACGTACTTTGTAGTTGTATACGAGGGGCAGCCCCTCAGGATCAGCCCCTGCATGTGTACGGAGTATGGATCCCTCAACTCACTGACTTTCCCGTATTGGGAACAAGATCAGCGTAAGGAGATCAACATATGAAAAAGGGTCACAGACCAAGAATGTGGAACTTGTACCGAACAGAAATGAAAAAAAAAAAGGTGCAAAGCGTAGCAAGTAAAGTAAATTGAGAGCTGATGGAAGGTTTTGGAGCAATTTCGATAGATTCGGGTGAATGAGACATGTGATTGGCCCAACCTCTTGGCTTGACCGCTAGGCGCCGTCATTTGTCTCTCTTTTCCAACACCTCTCCCCATCACCCAACAACCTGGGTTTCTTCCAAGTTTATGCTCCACCACCAGTCATACGTTTGACTTCACACGGATAAGGAATGTTTTGCCCCCTAGACCTGGACCTTACGTGGCGTCAGGACCCAACACATCCGAGGCAGCCTGCAGTGAATTGCGCCCGATACACCTTGACTTTCGAATCTGATTATGGTACTCCGTACTCCGTACAGAGTTGTGTCGATGACGAAGGATAACCGTGAGGCTGCAGCCTTCATCGTGCATCGTGCATTAGACCTTACGTGTCTATATATTGCTGTGTCACAGGGCCCTTGTAAAGGTCTGGACTGGGATCGAGACAACTTTTTTTTTGTTGGACCCAGGTCAAAAGCACAACCAGCTGATTTCTATATTTTGCAGCCTATCAGAGGATGGCTCTTAACTTTCAATCTTGAAGACAATAACAATATTTGAGTGGTGTCGGAGGATAATCCGATCGTCGAGTCCCGAGATAGGTGCCCCGCCAACAACGCCGACCAACATCTAATTTGGGGGATAGCGACCGAGGCAATCAACGGTCAAATTAATTATTTACCGACACAATTTTTTATTTTTTTTTCTCTTTGGAACTTCGTAGCTTCGTCCTCCCGTACAAAGGTACTTCATATCCGTGTTTTTATTGAATCCCATCACATTTTACATATCAGCCCCAAAACAAGAACAAAGGAGAAACGCACGGGGATCAGGGTGAACAGAACGTTTGCATCCGATGCTACACCGTAAGGAGCTGATGACATGGCGCTAAAGCAAGCCAAATTGACTTGGCCCGCAGCTCCCGCTGCATTCTTTGGGGCTAAGAAGGGGAACCGGGCAATCATAACCCCCGACTTGGGACGTCTGGAAGGATGAAGGAAGCTGGGATCGGCTCCGCCCACCTATGTTGCCCCCATAGTGGAGGAGTGGTGGATTTATGAAGGTTGAAATGGGAAGTTCATCGCTAGTGATTATCTTTAGTGGATATACAATCCGCCCTTTTCCTACTGTTGGACCCAAAAAGAGGCTGATTTGTGAGGGCCCAATCTAGCGTCTGGTCTCGGACGTGACCGCTTATTGCTTTCCAACATCTCCGTACTCTATACTTATTCGTACTAGTCTAGTGTTCACTATATCAAAGTAGATTATATTGGAAAGGAAACATGGTACTGGGGCTCGTGTCTATACCGGCATGTAGGGTTTTAGGAATCTCGTATTTGCTATCCCGTACTCCGTACAACATAAGCTGAATCCTGCGAATATAAGATGGAATACCTCTTTGTATGTTCAAGGGGGGGTGATCAGACCGGGGCTGGATCCTTTAAGGGTTGAAGACATCCCGGCGGTTGTGCCGTCTGCTGTTACGGTGTGCTCAGTGCATACCATTAAGGATCGGCATTTCTCAGGTTGTGTCAGCGGTTCCACTACGGAGTAGAGGAGAACTCTGATTAAGACAAATCAGACACATCTGGCCTTCTGGAAATTTGTCTCCAATTATTCCCTCTTTGCTTTTTTTCTTTTTTCTCTTTTCCCTTTTTGTGTGGCCCCTGCAGTGCAGGCAGTGGGTCTGCAAATGCGTTCCGTTACAGGCTTGGACGCCGCGTGATGGGCTTGATGTGTTTTGCATCGAGATCGGCTCTTCTAGGGCTATTTGTCGGATCGAATCTTCCGTATATCGTATCTTGTACTTCGTATAATGTTTAATAACATGTATTATTTTCTGTATATATTGCAATTTACATAGCAATATACAACATAGATTAGAAATAGAAAGAAAAAAAACGCCCCTGACCATAGACCCGACCAAAGACCCGGGTTTTGACCGGCGATTGGTCCGTTTTTGGTTTTGGCAGAGCCCTAAGCTCGATCAGATCCACCTGGCCACGTTGTAAATGGCACTCCTTTTCCTGGCGGGTTCATTTACTTTTTAATGGCTTTCATTTTAGTTCCACGTTAGTTCAAGACGCCAAGTTCAAGACATTGGCAATCTTTAGACTGGGACTGGGAACTACTTTGTACCTATTCTAATGTATATCTGCAATTTACTTATATTTGTACGGGGTACATTGTAAGCTGCAGGTGATATGAAAATGATATGAAGACTGGTCACATTCTAAGTCTTCAAACGTCATGAAAAGAAAAAGAAAAAAAAAACCGCCGTTTGATCCGAACTCAAAAGTCAAGCTCCACGGGCAGTTCAACGCTTGGGATAGCCGAGCTTCCCGCTCAGAGTCCTTTTTTTTTCTAAAAAAATTAGACTGTTAACTGGCTTTCTACTCCGTTGGTCTAGTGTACCGAAGTTTTCCCATTTTGGTGGCGTCTGTGATGGATTTTTGTGCCACGCTCCCGATGAAACAGGCCCACAAACGTCGAGGCAATCGATACGCTACTATGTATTAGCTATATTTTAGTTAGCGCCCCTCTTTTTTTTTTCTTTCTCAGGTGATACCAGAGAATGACCTCAAAATGTTGATCCTGCAAAAATGCAAGTAGCCTAAGCTTCGCATGGTCCAAATTTCCGTTTTCGATTCAGCCAAGCCGACCTAGATGATTGGCTGTAAACCTGGCCGAGTCAAGTAGTCTATTTCTGGGCTCGGAACATTTAGCGATCACAATAGGAAATACGAAAAGTCAAAAATAAGAGCGAATGAGTCAATGAATAAATACATCAAAGATCATCTCGGGTGGCAATGATGCATCTCCTGCATCATGTACTCCGTACTCCGGATGGTAAAGAGAGAAGTGTAAAGTCAGCCTATATGCAGCAAAATAGCAACCTCACATCCGGGTATGCACGGTACAAAGGGAGCGGCAACAGTTCTTTAATCTAGACTTTGGGAAGGGCGCGATGACGGTAATTATCTTTTAACTCCACTTTTTACACCCCTGTCGAAATCCAAAAAGGAAGTGCGTAGTCGATCTCTTTAAGAGCCCATCACATTGTAACCCTTGCGTAACGAGCTCTGTAACGTTATAAGGGTGAGAAAAATAAAATAAAGGGACAAGGTGTCCTGTATACTAATCCAAATCCGGTCGCATTCTTACTTCAATTCAGAATAGAAAGAGAAAAAGCCTTAGGAAGTCGGGGAAGTATTGGCCGCAGATCGGGATCTAATAACATTCCCAGCGGCTAAAGGGTCAAAGGTTCCTGGGTGTTGGAATAAATTAATTTCGCTTTTTGCTTTTAACCAAAAGAGGAAATAGAAGTATAAAATAAATAAAAAAGGAAAAGAAAGAAAGAGAAAGAAAAAAACACGCCTACAAAGTAAGAAAACGGGAGCCCCATTCTATAGGCGTGGTGAGACTATCTATTGGACTAGTTGGACTTTTAGCATAATATACCAGACTATACAGACTATACACTATACATTAATCTATTTAATCTATGATTTCTTTCCCCATGTTCGCCTCAAAAAGCATGTTCCATGTTCCCACAGGTCCGATCCCACCCCCACTGCTATTTGCTGCACTCCGGAGTATTCCCTATGTGGCCCTGGTCGAAACGGTGGAACTGCCCTGATTCATGGATTCGGTTCCAGGTTGCGCTTTTATTAAATTTTTTTTTTTTTTTGTTGGTTAGTGTCAACGTCGTGTCATCTTAGCATGTGCGGTGGCATCGTAGATCCTTAGCCCTGGATTCCCTTATAAGCCTGCCTTGCCTGGTAACGGGATCTTCACTAGAAATACTCTCACCCGTTCCTGAACGGGAGCACCGGCTCTTTTATTATCACATCCACTCTTTATTCAACTCCACCCTACGTAAGCTATTTGCTGTCTTACCACAATTGACTATATACTGACTTGGTTCCCCCCTTAGTCAACTTCCTCTCTTCAAGCATCTACTTCTTTACAGTTTCTTATATGGCCCATTATTCTTGGCAACCTCAGCCTCCTTCAACAGGCTCTCAATGGCTTCAAGACAATGCTTCTTATAGCCAGTCCAATATGCAAGATCTCAACCGTGCTTTTCCTCGACCGAGGCACACTCGCGTTATGAAGCCTCGTAGTGCAGGCAACAGTCCTTCATCGGTAACCAGGAGACGATCGACAGTGAATCAAAATGTGATGTATGGACTGCCCACTCAATATCAGTCATCCCTGGAAGAAGCTCTCCTCGCCTCAGCCGCCCGGAACTCACGTCCGATGAGCTGGCATCCTTCATCTGCAAGAACTCGGGGTCTTTCCAACCCGTATTTCTCAGATTTCCCTTCGGATAGCTATTCTAGTATGGGAACCATGTCTGATCAGTACCTCAACCCGGCCATCTACACTGAAAACATCATGTCATACCCCATGACCGCCGACCCTTCATTCTCTCCTAACGACTACTTCCCTATCTACTCAACCATGCAGGAGGATATGCCACTTCCACAGAACACGCCGACGCTCATGACTGGCTCGCAGGTCGACCACATGGGATGGGATCTCAACTCCATGTCTACTGATATGTCAACGATGTCACACCCGGCCTCCGACAACTGGAACCTGGACATGCTATCAATGGGCACCAATATTCCCCCACCAGAAACAACATGTCCAAGCTATGTCAACGTCCCTTCCCCAGGTGAACTGAGTGGCCCATCAACACCGGACTTTCTCCCCATTCAACAATTCGAGGATCCCTTCCAGCTCACCGCTGAGCTCAAGAAGACCGGAAAGGAAGAAGAACTCGTCGGCATGGGCCTCTACAGCCAGCCCAACGGAACGCTGGCACGAGCCCCGCAGAGCAAATTAGGCGAGGGACTCAAACTCGAAGAAACATTCACCCCATCCGATGAAGACAAGGACAGCGAGACGGACGAGATCGAGATCATTGAAGAGAATGAATTGCCCCAGCAACAAAACTACAGTGACAACGCGCCTACTATTCGCCAGTCCCATTTCGCACCCAAGCAGCAGCCCAGACAAGCTCTAAATCTGCGGTCTTTCTTTTTCGACCACGATGATACGGATCAGCAGCAGATGACTGCCACACAGCCTTTTGCTGGTTTCAATCAACCCTGCATGAATTATGGGTATGGCTGGATCTGAAGAGATCGCCTAACGGAGGTTTTTTTTTTTTTGCCTGCAAATTTTTTTTCGCATTTCTTCATGTACCAGCGGCATAGCGTGGAGTTTATCTTTCATCTTTTTTTTTCGGAGTCGGATACACGGAAAGGATACCCTGGGCGAGACGGCTCGCGACCCGCATCTAGCTAAATTTACTTAAGTGTACTCGTACACGATCTATTATACAATCTATCCGAAATATTTGCTACCTATCATGTATTCCCGTTTTCAGTTGAAGTTAAAATCAGTCATTGTTGCATTATTTCAAATTCTGGAAGTATACAAATTCGCCCTCTGATTGGCTGCGGAAAGAATAAGCCTCGGCAAAACTATCCCAAAGGAACAACGATCCACCGAAAATATTTCACAGGCTATCAACGAAAAGTCAAGCAAGCAAAAGGTCACCCATCCAGCGTCGAATTTAATTTCTAATTTCTCATTTAAATCTCAGCACCGAGAAATGGCGAAGGTCATTTTCACGGCTTGGAAAACCAAGTCTCAGTTGCTGGAAGTGCGGAACGAGTTTTATCCTCCGTCTGCGTACGCTGGGCCGGATTTGCGCTCCCATGGCTGTGCAGTGGTATGTTACATGCATAAGGACAGAAATTAGCGGTTTCCACCTGTATATGTGGTTTGCTAATGATTTCCAAATTCAAGATCGAAGCTTGGAAGCTACGCGGCAATGTACCGCACCATGTTGAAGCTACGGCGTTGTTGACGGACGCTATTCTCCATGATGATGCGGAGAGGAATTCCATCTTTTCAATTCGTGCTACATATTCCGCAGCTTTCTGTCGGTGAGTTTACTGAGCCATGTCTGATTCTTGTTTTCATATTTATAGGAGAGAGACAAAGCCCTTCTGACTCCCTTGGGGTGATGTCTCGAATTCAAACCCCTCCATTCACATAGCAAATCACGTTTTTCAAAAACTAACCTCCCGATTCAGCTTCGTAACCGGTCTCGTGGACACTAAGATCCACGGCGTTCGCCGAACAATGTTCCAGCGCGCCACAGACTTAGGCCTCCCAGCCTCATTCGTGGAACTCCGCCACGAAGCAACCCACCGCGAGCCGCCGTCGCTCGTTGTACTGCGTAAAGCTGCACAGCGCTCGCTCGAGTGGCTTTGGGACAATTACTGGGCCAGTGTTGGTGATGACTCTGCATTGACCCATGACGACGATGCATCTGTCAGGGCTGCCTTGTGCGACGCTCTGAAGCCTCTATCCGGAGGATCGGCGGATCCTGTGCCCAAGAGGCGGAAGCGCGATCAGGCTGTTTCGGTCGCTATGCGGCTTGTCTCGGTTTGTAATGTTTCGGGGACGGGGCCTAGGCTTTTATCTTCTGTTTTGGTCGAGCGGGGTTTATTGGTGCCTAATGGACGGGAGTGAGTTTGCTTCCCCCTCTTTTTTTTTCTCTTTGCTTTTGTCTCGGCTGTTGTCCTCAGGGGTGCATCTGTTGTCGGGGAGTACATGCTGACTGTGATATTCTAGACTTGGGGAGTCACTGAATGATACATTCAAGGAGTGGAACCCGGTTTTGCAAAAGGTTGCAGAGAGTCATCCTGCATTTTTGAGGCATTTGACCGAAGACCTGGTTAATGATCTGGCCTTCAAGAACACAACCGATATATCGGAAGATGCGCCTTCCGAGGCACTGCATCTTTGGATTGCGCATATCTTGACATCTCCTGCCTGGGAATTCCACAGGCAATCATGCCCCCAGAGTTATGTTCTTCGATCTTGCGATGAAAGCCCACACCACTGGACAAAGATATTGGGAGATCAGTTAAGGAAGCATGCTAGCAAGCCTAAAGCTCTTGCTGCCCGACCTGCTGCTAAGACCCGAGTCTCGAAACCCAAACACGTTAGAAATGACTCGCAATACGCTCCTACTCAGCTCTCGGATAAGCTGCTGGAACATGGATGGGGATTCCTGGAGAAATGGGACAGTCGGCCTTTGGGTGTGGTATCGAGTAATTAGATGGGCGTATCTCCAATTCACAGAATTCATACGCTGCTGGCAGCGTATGAGAACCCCAAAGTCAATCCCCTTTACTATAGGCAGCTACATACCTAGTAGCGAGCAACCAATCAAAAGCGGTGGCATTACTAAAAGCTTTCGAGCTAAAAGGGGGAAATAGTTATTCCGGATGACGTTGGTAATCCGACAGATCCACCGGGACAGTGTACCTTCGAGAGCTCCCCGCACTGTTTTGATTCATCGTTGGTGATGAACTTTCTAAGGACGCAATTATTCGGAACTAGCTCCCGTCTATTCAAGTCACAAGTCAGAGCCATGCATATCCAATCAATTCCTATGTGTATGTTGTCCTCTGATTCCTGAATGGATATATATTACAAATCAACAGTGGCAACCTGATATATTGCAAGAGGAATATTTGCTTATTCTAAATCACTTATACAGGGACGGGGAAGGGCAACAACTATGCCTACCTCGTGACAGATGAATCGACTAAGAAGTCGGTTATTATTGATCCCGCCAATCCTCCTGAGTGAGTTGCATCTTCAGATCGGCTTGAAGCTATTGCACGAGCTGAACTAATTCTGTGAAAATGTAGGGTTGCGCCGGAGCTCAAGTCTCAGATTGATTCTGGCAAGATTGACCTGACGGCCATTGTTAACACTCACCAGTATGTAGATAGAACTCTCATGAGCCGGTAAAGAAGACAAAATCCAGGTTTGCTGACGTTTGCTGAAGCCACTGGGATCATGCCGGCGGTAATGATGAAATTGTATGCATGCTTTCGCGACTATTGTGTGTTATCTCGAGCTAACATTCCCACCAGTTGAAACAATTCAAGGGCCTCCAGGTCATTGGTGGCAAGGACTGCGCGTTTGTCACCAAGACTCCCGCGCATGGCGAAGAGTTCAAGATTGGAGATCGTATCTCAGTGAAGGCATTGCATACCCCTTGTCATACGCAAGACAGCATCTGCTACTATATGCAAGATGGAGACGAGCGTGTTGTTTTCACAGGCGATACTCTCTTCATTGGCGGTATGTGTATCATTCTCAAAATTTTCATCTGCACGTCTGTCGATGGGAGTGTCATGAACTAATCTGAAATTAGGATGTGGCCGATTCTTCGAGGGAAATGCGAAGGAGATGCACAAGGCCTTGAACGAGACCCTTGCAGCTCTGCCTGATGACACCAAGGTTTATGTAAGGCTATCTTTTCGTGTTAATGCAAGGCTCGTGCTGATTCTTTCTAGCCCGGTCATGAGTACACCAAGGCCAATGTCAAGTTCTGCATTGCAGTCTCCCAGGCGGAGCCCATCAAAAAGCTCCAGGCATTTGCGGACAAGAACCAGCAGACACAAGGAAAATTCACCATCGGTGACGAGAAGGTAAGAGCCAAATCCAAACCTAAGCAACATTTCTGGTCCAGACTGACAAGTCTCTAGCTCCACAATGTGTTCATGCGCGTCAATGTAAGTTCCTTGTCCTTTGCTCTTGTATCTGCCGTTGCTCATTTAGAACAAACAGGACCCCGAGATCCAAAAGGTAACCGGCAAGACCGACCCTGTGGAGGTGATGGCAGCATTGAGAGAGATGAAGAATGCGATGTAAAGTACGGGACTCAAGTTAGCCTGCAAATCTACCAGATCACATCCCCAATATATCTCTTTATAAATCATGTTTTCGTGAGAACCAGGTATTTCGAGGCTAGACTATACTGCCAAGAATAAAAAGCATATAAAACCCATCTAAACAGGATCTCTAACAAATCAAGCTATTTCACTTCATAGAATGGGCCATGTGTTCTGGGCTTTTATGTACGTCATAATCGTGCCAAGCCCACATCGGTGTTCGCCAATCTTTGTATAGTGCGATTTTGTTTGTATGGCCCTTATTCCTCCACATTGGATATCTAGGAATCATACTCGTAATAAATCAACTGCGCTGGATTTATATTATATATCAAAGAAGTTTCTCTTTCTTTAGCTAGCTCGAAGATGGAGAAAATTGATAGTATCTACAAGTATCTTTTATATGGGATAGTCATACTAAAGATACCTAATCTCTAGAGTTTTGGTTTGGGGCGTACCAACACCGGGTGGTGGGGCATGGCATAGCTACCCACTTTCTTTCATGCCACCGACATTCGTGAACAACACCCCAGGCCCGGACAACTCGACCATGACAAAGTGATCAACAGGGAAATTCAGTACTTAGGCACGATGGATAAGGCAGTTACAGACGATGTAAGTGCCGATGGACTAGGGTATTGCAATGACTGACCAATGCCATCATAGAACCATGGGGGGGCGAGCGATACGGACGTCCAGAATCATCTAGAGGTAAGCAAGTTGACTCCCATTATAGTTCCATACTAAGTGTATGTCGTTACCCAGGTCGTGTTTTATCCCGATGCCAACCACCGTCGCAAGTCATCCCTTGTTATGATGGATAAGCCGAGGGTCCAACCCTACCGAGCTCAGGATGACAAGATGACTGCTTGCTACGTCCACTCCCTCATTGCGAGCGAATGGACTTCACCCGAACACCACCTAAAAGATACAGAAGATGTAATACGGACATTGGATGAGGACAAGACGACTAAACCGGTGGCAAATACCAAAGGCATCCAGCCGGAGGAATTCGTCTCGGTGATCGACAAGGACAACAAGCCGATACCCACAGTCATCGAATCTCGGCATCTTACAAAAAGACAGCTATCAGATATGGCTTGGAATGTGCGCAAGCTATCTAAAAAGCTGGGCAGCATTAAGCTCAAGCTCACCGTGAAGAATGTCTTCGTCGTAAGCAAGGCGCAGGACGAGTCGCTGGTCAGCTTGACTCGAAAGGTTACAAGATGGCTACTCTCCAAGGACCGGGACTATCTATATGTGGTCTACGTTGAGCGGCGTCTCGAGACGCATAAGGACTTCGGTGCCTCGCAATTGGTACAAGACGAGCCCTCCGCCGAGGGCCGACTCAAGTACTGGGATCCCAAGCTTGCGCAAGAAGAACCGCATCTATTTGATTTTGTGATTACACTTGGCGGAGATGGAACCGTTCTCTACACTAGCTGGCTGTTCCAGCGCATCGTGCCACCCGTATTATCTTTTGCACTGGGCTCACTAGGCTTTTTGACCAATTTCGACTTTGCAGATTACCAGAAGAGCCTCGATAGTGCTTTCCGGGATGGAGTTTTTGTCAGTCTACGGCTACGATTCGAATGCACCATCATGCGCAGCAAAGCGCGCATGAGAGACCCGCACGCGCGCTCTCTATCGGAGCGTGACCTAGTGGAGGAACTAATCGGAGAGGAAGGGGAGGACACATTAACGCACACCCCACACCAGGTGTATGAGATTCTCAACGATGTAGTCCTCGATCGCGGGCCAAACCCAAGTATGCCTCCTGATTCCTGATTCCTGATTGCGATTATTCCCCCCAGTGTTACATGTCAGGTTTCACGATAGAAACAGACACACTGCTAACCAATCTTGCCTAGCCATGTCTCAAATTGAACTCTTCGGAGATGACGAGCACTTCACAACCCTGCTCGCTGATGGAATCTGCATTGCCACCCCAACTGGATCAACTGCTTACAATCTTGCCGCTGGCGGCTCTCTTTCACACCCCGAGAACCCCGTCATCCTTGTCACCGCCATCTGCGCCCACACGCTATCCTTCCGACCGATTATTCTACCAGACACCATTGTCTTGCGCATGGGTGTGCCGTACGATGCGCGCACGAGCTCATGGGCTAGCTTTGATGGACGAGAGAGGTGAGTTTGTGATATATGCCAGATCACTATTGGTTGGGTCTGTTATTTGACTAACAAACCACAGAGTCGAGTTACATCCCGGTGACTATGTTACCGTGTCAGCCTCGAGATATCCCTTTGCCAATGTCCTACCTCCCGGTGGGCAGGGTGAGGGTTGGGTGCACAGCATCTCCAAGACTTTGAATTGGAACTCGCGAGAAAAGCAGAAAAGCTTCAAGTAGCTGGAGTGGAGAAAATGCTTTTTTGGAATGGACCTCTGGTTCTTTCTGGTTCTTCCCCTTTCTCTTCTATAAGCATATTTGGTGTCTATTTGGATCAATTGCTTGGGTTATAGCCACTGGGTGGTTCATTTTTGGGCGTAAATACTTTCATCAAAATCTACGAAAACGAAATGGCCTGGGATCAACTGAAAAGAAATAAGAATAAGATCACTTGTTTATTCTTTTAGCTAATAAGTGTTAGCTATAAATTCCCAGCCATTTATTTTTTTCCAAGTGGACACTCTTTTTTTTCGCTAGTGGCTGCGGCTCCGCTCGGCCCTATAAAAGGCCATCTCCCGATCCGAAATTTCTTCTTCTTCATCTTCCTCAACCAACTCGGTTTCGAAGTCTTAATGTTGGCCTTGAAACTATGTTGTTGAGCCCGACAAATTCAAAGAGGATGTGTGAACAGATTCACACATACTCTTATTCATTGACTTGGTAAGTTTGCGATTATTCTTTTCTGCACTGCATTCCTTTCCCCCCAGCCAACGGCCTTGTGCCGTTCGATGATGAAAACCTTCCTACATTCGCAGTTTCCACGCTAGTTGTCGCTTGAACCCAATCAAGGCAGCGTTGAGCGGAATATCTTCCTTGGATGTCTGAGAAATATTTGGCTGTTCTTTTTATGAAAACTTTGGATTTCAAACTTTGCAGTCGAGACGGTTGCTAATTGTCTCTCAGAAATAGGATCCTTTTTTGGTTGAAACGTTCGATCTTCGACATCATATATACTATCGCCTTGCAACCTGCAGTGCCTGGTCTATAGCTTGTTGCTAGAGGTGCTCTTTGCTGCTTTACACAGCTCGGAGAAGATTATCGAGTGTCTGTGGGGAGCGAAAGCTCAACAGCTAGGAGCATTTAGTATATCAGTATCAAATGAATGACAGCTTTTGTCTCCAAATATCTTTCAATCAGATCATTTGGTCGTATTTTATAGCCAAACTTGTAGTTCGTCAGTGCAAGATTAAAATCTCGTAGGATTTGCACCTGAAGGAGTTACGCTCCGCCGTACCGCATCCACTGTTGACCCATATCTCAAACCTCCCATAGATACCTCAACTTGACCAGATCAAGCTCTCAAATCAACATTTCTTGACTCTGATCCAAATTACTACGCCATTCCCATGGCGGTACCACCTCGACACGCTACGATGCAATCTATCAGCAATGGCAACACAGCCCAAGGAAACGACAGACCACCGACACAGCAATCACAGCAACAATCACAACAGTCCCCCGGACTGCGTGTACCTTCCAATCGCAAGACCATCTACGACCGACACCTAAACCGAACTCGTAATGCAGAACTCAGCCGGGCAAGCTTCGCCTTTCTATTCGGGGAAATGGTCACATATGCTCAACGAAGAGTAACAGGTATCCAAGACCTGGAGAAACGGTAAACACCCCTGATTCACTAATTCAAACCAAACCCGGTATCCTCTCCTCGGCCCTCTCATAAGCAAATCACCGCCATATACCTGCACAGCAGCCCGTAGCTAACAACCATTCCATCCAGGTTAAATGAACAAGGCTACCCCCTCGGCCTCCGCCTCCTCGACCTCCTCTTCTACCGCTCAACCTCAACCTCCTCCTCCGCCCTCTCAAGTTCCTCCACCTCATCTTCACCCCCAAACCGACCCCTCCGCATCATAACCCTGCTGCACCTGATCCACGGCCCCCTCTGGCGTCTTCTCTTCGGCCGCGCCGCAGATGCCCTAGAGCACTCCGTATCCGCGGAAACTGCCAACGAATACATGATCACCGATAACGACCCAATGGTCAACACATATATCAGCGCGCCCCGCGATATGAACATGCTCAACTGCGCTGCCTATGTTGCGGGTATCATCGAGGGTGTCTGTGATGGATGTGGGTTTGAGACGAAGGTCTCGGCGCATAATCAGCCCACGGAACTCTGGCCCAGTCGGACGGTGTTCTTAGTTCGCTTTGGGGATCCGGTTATGGAGAGGGAGAAGGTGCTCGAGAGGGCCGGTATTAAATAATGAATGACCTTGCATTCGGGGTAGGGTGTTTGGGCACGCTACGGGCTGAGATCGGTGTGTGCTTGTTAGCGTGGTAGATCTACGGCGTTTGAGATGCTCGGGGGTGGTTATGGCGCTCTTGGTCTGTGGCTATTTGGTGACTCTTTTCCGGCACCGGTATTCTATTCACGAAGTCATGCAAGCACAATTCTGGACGGTCGATCCGAGGAACTTCACAGTTCTTGCAGTCTGTTGTGGGTGTACAAAAGTCCTTGATTGTCGGCCAACAGATATCATACAATACAATTCCTCCAGGAGAGGATATGCTATATTACGTACATGTACATACACAGAACAGTATTGGTACATTAGTTGCTTGAAATTCCAGATATCATAGCAGCAGATCCCACCATGCACATGCACCTTTTGATAGACTCGCGCCCCAACGCCGACAACAAAGTAGGATAGGAATCAAAACCGCCTTGACCATCAAGCCGATCATGAACTATCGACTCGCCGACGTTTCTCCCGATCATCATAAGGCGACGGACTCCGCTTCCGCCTCTCTCTAGACCGACTCCGCTCCACCCGACGCTCGTCTCGATCATCACGCCTGTCCCGTCTCGGCGAACGCGATCTCGACCTGCGCCGAGGTCTAACAACACTAGCATTGGCACCCGTAGGTCCACGATCCCCATCGTCACCCCCACCACGACCATGATCAGGCATAAACCGTTCATCTGTAACACCCAGAGGCGGCCCATCCCTCCTCCTCCTATTCTCCAATCCATCCCCAAACCTTCCCGTATCCTCAGACTTAAGATCCTTATAGCGCGTGCGACCCTTCTTTCCAAGTTTCGTCATATCGCGCACCTGCATGTATTGAGGCAAGGTATCGCGATTGACATCATCCTCGAAACGCGCACCCATAAGCTCACGCCGATCAAGACCCTCAGCCTCAAGATCCCCACGGAAGAAAGCACCCTTGTGGAAATACCGCTGCATATAGCCCGTCTGTCCGCGCGTAGCTTCGCGATCTTCTTTCTGTTTCGCGATGAACTCGCTGTCTTCGCGCTCCCGTTCTTCGGCGGTAAGATTCCGGCGGCGCTCGATCTCTTCGCGCTCTTTCTCGCTCGCTTCGATCGCTTCCCGGGACCGTTGCACACGCTTCAGTTCGCGGAGGGTCCAGGCCGCGCGCTCGGCTTCAGGATCTAGCCCGTCTGTGTCGTCAATGGCTTCTTCATCTTCGGCTTCGATGAGCTCGTCGTCATCCCAGGCGCGGTTTGCCTTGGAGCGCGCTATCGCTTCTTTCTCCAGTTGGTCGCGGATTAGCTGGTCGGCTTTTTCTTGGCGCTGGGCGGCGCGTTGCGCTTCGGCTTCGGCTTCTCGTTCGGCGGCTGCTTGGGCTTGTGTTTGCCCTGCGGCTGTGGGTGCGGTTTTGCGCATATCTTTTTTGATGAATGTTGGTCGGATGAGCATGCGGCGAGGGGCTTCGTCTTCGGAACTACTCTCTTCCTCGGAGCTTTCGTCCTCTTTCTCTTCTTCTTCTTCTTCCTCCTCTTCGTCACTCTCTGCGGCGGTTGTGGACACAGTAGGTTTTAAATCGTCAGTCGTAGGATGCGGTACTGCTTTCGGCGCGGGTGCAGGTGTAGGCTTGTCATCTTCTTCTTCGGTGACAAATCCTTCTTCGTCATCATCATCCTCCTCCTCAACCTGTTGAGCTGCTACTGCGGATGCTGGGAATGAGCTCGCTTTGGGCGCCTTTGCACGGCGCAGTGCCTCGGCTCGTCTGCGCCGCTCTTGTTCTCTTCGCGCCTCCCGTTCGGCTTCCTCGTCTTCTTCTTCCTCCTCTTCCTCAGATGAGTGCTCCTCTGCGATCGCCTTTCCAGGGCGGTAGCGACTAGGCCTGACGGGGTTTTTGGTCATTCCCCGGTGGGACGAGGGGAATGGAGGAGGCATTTTGGTCGGATGTGATGAGTGTGGAAGGGGAGTGGGTGTCGGTTATGTAGAGAGGTGTGGAGCTCTGTTGGCTGGCTTGTAGGTCAAAGCCAGTAAATTGCGCCGGGTCGGCTCTGTAGCGTGGTGTAGTGTGGAGTTGTTGAATTGACGTATCGGCCTGAAGCTTTTGCGGGAGATATGGAATCACGTGATGATATCCGAAGTATATAAAAATGCGCCTTTTCAATTTTGAGAAGCTCGCGTACTTGAGATGCGAGGCTGTGACGCACTCTGAGTTGCAAGGGTTTTCATTTTACTAAAATGAAGGATTCGAATGTTTATCAATGAAACCTTAGCCAGATTTTCAAATCTAGAACTGAGATATATCTTCGTACTTCAGTTTCCTATAGGTTTACTTCTTTCTTTCAACCAGATACAACGATATATCGTGAATTTTATACTAATAAACTACTGCTTCCTAACCTAGTGTCAATTATGCCCAAATGCGTTATTTCCACTTGATTTCCTCAAAATTATCCATTCCCCTCATATACCAGATCAAAGATTCCGCTATAAAGGCTTTGTTTAGAAGCCGCAAGCTCATCGGGAACTGCACCGGAGCTTATGCTCATTGCACACAGATGCAATAAGATCAAAGCTCAGTTATTAATTGTGGCATTAGACTTAGCCCTGGAGCCATCTATTTCATCCATACAATTTAATCACCACGTGACCACGCGTTCCGCGCGCGTCGATCAACCTTACTTGTTCCCCGCCGTTTTCCAGCATCAATTCCAGACAACGAAAACCCACCACTTCAACACCTCTAAACCCCGAACTCTCAACCTAATTCGGGAAACTGCCAATATTCAAAAACATGTCACTCCAAACTCCCCGCATCCTCCCCTCCCACCTCCACGCCTTCCACCCATCCAGCGCTAGCTCAAACACTGTTCGCATACTCGGCACCGTCACCGCGCTCCACGGGGCCACCGGAACACTCACCTGTGGCACCAATGGCGATGTTACACTGATATTGAAGTCTGATGCACGCTTGCAAGTCGGGAAGCTGGTTGAGGTTGTGGGGAAAGTGGCTGATCTAGAGGGCGGACAGGTATGTTCATGTCCAACATTGGTCTTGATCCCGGAGGGATATGGAACTTGATATCAAAAATTTGGTAAATGGCTATGCGTAGTGGATGCTAATACTTTGCATTCTTATAGGGATACGGAATCCGTGTACTCGGCTCGACAGAGTGGGGTGACCCAGCTGATTGCGGTATGTATTGAATGCTTCCCTTCCCCTCTGTGAGATGAAAGTTGGCCAAGAGACTGAGACTGACTTGTGTGTTTTTATTACAGATTATAAGATTTACGAGAATGTTGTCAATGCTACGCATAAATTCAAGTCTATCTTTTACGAGTAATGGGTCATATGTTTGAGGGATTTGAATATATGGCCTTTTTTTCTGAGGGGCGTCTCGGACCTGACATGAGCCTGGAGTACCAGGAGGACAGGTCAGCCTGGTTGTTGTGTCATTGGCAGCGTGGTCCATTAGGTGAAACCTATAGAGCGCAATGTCTGTTTGACCAGGCCTGGGATGTCGATTCTGTTACTGTGATTCTCCCTCTGTGATTCCCCGGCTTTTGCGTTTTACATATGAGGTTATGATCAAAGCTTCTTCCAATCAATATTTTACATTGCACTAAAATTATTGAGCACTGAAGGTCCACATGTGGAATGGATGTATTCGGTGACTACATGCCTACATTACTACATATGTAGAGAAATATTTTATTAAGCCGAGTCAAATCTTAACCACTCCCGATCAGACGTCCTCGAACCATTTCTGCCCCAATGCTTGACGCGCCGAAACCCGTTTCCTGGGATCAAAATATGTCATGGGGCATACAAGGCTTTTAAAGTCGTCATCAACACCATTCCAGAATGCGAATGGTTCACACGGGGCCTCTTGGTTGTATCCCTCCCAAGTCGCTTCGAAAACACGAACCCATGGATTGTCACCAAGATGGTTCAAGAACCCATTGATCCCATCTTCATCTGCGAAGTAAAAGATCTGGCGCTCGATTACGACAGCGAGTGGATCGACACCCTCTTCCAACTCGTCTTCTCGAACTGCGAAAATGATGCGCCTATGAACGGCGCAGATGCACTAGCCAGCTAGTTAACAGCTGCGCTTTGGAAATTTCTGGATGTGGGACTTACAACAAGAGCAAATGAGAAAATATCTGAAGGTTTGTTGACAGGCCCTCTTGCATGGGCTTCAGGGCTCCTCCACATTCAGTTGCCTGCCTGTTTCCCGACCATATCGCACCCTGGGGGAATATGAGCTGCGTCTTCTAGATCACCGAGTTGAACTTTGTTGACAAGAATCTCATCATTGCAATTCTGCCAGTCAATAAAAATATTGTCTGCTTTTATATCTACGAAGAGTAAGTTGTTGTCCAGTATTCTAAGAAAAGAGCAGGATCAATACCGGTGTGAACGATATCCTGATCATGAAGCTCAGCAAGTCCAGTAAGGACATTCTTGAGGACTTTCTTGGTCAACATAAGGGGCAAGTCCTTTTGGGCAAGAGTTAAGAGATGGCCTGTGAAGTGTTCGAAAACAAACATAGACTTGTCAGGAATAGTGTCCACAGCAAGGCGGACATGGCTTGTATTGCCATGCAGGCGATTATTGACTTCTTGAAGATCTTCAAAGTTGACTGGATATAAGTACTTTAATATGAACTTGTGACCGTCCACCCTGAAGAATGTATCAGCATGTAAACAGGGGGAAGGGTTCGGTGTCTACCCACGAGGCACGATAGACTTCACGTGGTGGAGAAACTTCCTCCTGTAAAATATGTTCAATGGTGTAGGTGCGACCAGACAGGCCCGTATGCTGTGTGGAAAGCAGAGAGTTGCTTGACACTGTACTGATTGTACGATGAAAACTAGGCTTTGGTCCTGATATTGATGTGCGCTGGAGAGGGTTCAAATACGTTGAGCTTTTGCAAAAGCGGCTCACTAGAAGTGCAGGAGACTTCAATGCTAACATTTGAGGCAGAGTGTGAGAATTGCAGTAAGTTCTACGGATTCATTGCTCGGGAAGACACGTGTGATTTCGATGTTTACTCAGGGCGCTCACCCCCATACTCAGCCCAGACTCAGTTGTACTTAGTGAGCAATAAAGCGGCAAGGTTTGAGCACTCAAATGGAAAGGCAAAGCCAAGATGTAGCAGAGGAAATCAGGTACATACAATATAGGTGACTAGCTACAATGAAAGATGATGTGATTAAACACCAACCCCCCATGTATTCCGTGGGACTCGTCAGATGGCTACGGAGCCGCAAGCCCCAGCCATGACTTTGTCAAAGAATATCCACGTGAACTCCCTGTTTGATTTGGGTGCGGACCTGCGAAGACCTCAACAACTTGATAATGTTGATATCTTTCTGGTGCATAAGTGAGGCACGGCCCTCTGCCTACGCTGTCTCCAGTGGGCTACGTAGAGATGGTGGTCGAGAGGGCTGAGGAAGAGAAGAGGGGGAAAGGTGGTGGGCTTTTATATTGTCACATACCACATACCTTCCTAAAATGGACGGTCCTTTGCTCCTTTTACCTCTCAGACGGGTTCACTAGTTCCAACCAGTGGGTGTCTACAACTATTCTATAATTTAATACTCATCAACGGAGTATACAGCAAGCCAGGATATAGTCATTGTGATTTTTTGAATTGATTTAGTACTTCGTGCTATCATAAAATCTAACATATGTAGAGAGGGAGGGGTATCAAGCTAACAAAGATCACCGCTTCCACTTCAGGGGGAATACATCCACCAAAAGGTACAGCAAATGAGTATCGGAATCCTTTCAAGGTACCCCGGGTCATCAGTTTGAAAAAATAGGAAAAGGCCGTAAACCTCAAATGGAAGTCAGGATCTGTTGCATGTATGCAACAAGATCAACCCATAAACCGAACGCCATCGCTAAAAAACAGCAAAAAGATAAAGATAAAAGGGGCAAAATGATCGGCCTGACATGTAGGAAAGACGCTCCCGGTCTTAGACAAGGGAGATAGTTTATTGGCCTTCAGATTGTTCACCAGCGAGCTGGCTTTTGGGTGCGTCGGTGGTAAGAGCATCCGAGCTGAAGAAGCCGGAGTCGGGAATGACAACGTCGTTGAAGTTGAAAGGGAGGAGATCGGGGTTGAAGTTGTCTTTCTCATTGGGGTTGTCTGAGAAGAGAGCGTTGAGCAGTTCGTTGGCAGGAGTTTCGCACGATCCAGCAGGAGAAACATAGTCCGCTGGAAGCCACTCCGCCCAGTTTTCACCAGCGAACTTGTCATTCTCCATTTCGAAGAAAGCCTCGGCCTTGTCAGCGTCATCGAAGATATCGAGCATCATGTCATCAAGGGACTCGAAAGTTTGCGGAAGACTGCCATCGGCAGGCTGTGGTACCACAGACTGTTGCTTGGCTGGCGACTTCTGTTGCCGTGGTGATGACTGAGGACTTCCGTGGATTGATTGGATACGCTGTAGGCGCTCTGCAGACAGTCGAGCTGGAGTCATAACAGAGCCTAGATCCTTGCGTTTGTTGAGGCTTGGAGAGTTCGCGGGGAAATTCAAACGCTTGTCAATCGCGTTGATCCGCGGGTTACGCCGACGGGGAGTAGGGCTTGCCGAATCAAATCCGATGGAGGGGCTTTCGAACAGATCATCGAGGTCATCGCCCGGGGTGGGGGCAAGATTCTCCTTCTGATGACCCGGCTTGTCATCTTTCGTGGAGGCAATACGAGGACTGCGACGTGGAGAGCCGCTGTTGACCATAGAAGAATCAAGCTCCTTCAGTGGCCCATCGGTCTGGGAATTCTGGAAAAGTGACCTTCTCAAAGGCTTGGGGGTGAGACTGTTGGCATCTGTCATTGAAGCAGAGCGGGCTTGCGTACGGCTCACTGGGCTAGACTTAGTGGCACGCGGAAGTGCCTCTCTGGCGTCCTGCTTGGACCAACGGCGTCCTGGAGTATCGAACGTCCCCTCCAGCTCGGCACTAGTGTCTCCAGGAGACTCGTTGGGGGAATAATCCGCTTCACCGTCCTGATCATCGTCTTCGTCATGGTCCATCTGGGGAGTTTCCCCATCGGGGTGGACAGAAGACGCCTCAGTGGGTGCTGGGGAAGAAGCTGAAGGTTTCTTTGGCGCGGCCTTGCTCCGGGTTCTAGTAGCAGGGCAGGAATTTAGCTGGCTGCGGTTCCTCGAAGGACGCTTTTTGTGCTTTTTGGCCGGCTGCGCTGCTTTTGGCTTGCTCCACTTGTCCTCTGGGCGCATCTGTTTGAATTTGTGGAGCCACAAACCACAAGGGTTGCAGAAGGTCATCTGCTCCCAATCAGTATCGTCCATCTCAAGAGCCTTTCTGTAGATCTTGAAACTCTGCATTTCACCCTTGTCGTTTCGATCCACGGCCTCCCAATAGAGCATGGGGGAAGGCTTCATCATCTCTTCTGCAAGGGTCTCGCCGCCCTTGACCGTTTTCACCCACGCTCGCCGCCAGCTGGCAGTCTCGATGGTGCCACAATTCTCGCAATACGGCGGAATTTCCCCATTGAGGATAGCATTGTCCAAGCGTGCCTTTATGTTCTTCGGCACTGGCTTGGATGCCTGTCTCGACCATGCCTTCGACTTCGACGTTTGTTTTGACTGCTTGGAACTGGAACTAGCTGTCTCACACGGCATAAAAGTGACGTCCACAGGCCCAGTAGAGCGAGGAGGAACAACGGGATCGCTAGCGGGGATTGCGCGGTACATTTGGGGAACTTCATTATGTAAGATATGTGGCGCTGGCGCGAGGGGCTTTGGCGCCAAGCGTTGTGCGCCAGAGCTCGAAGAAGGTCTCGATGTGGTGGCTAGGGGGGGCGGGATGCAGGACGGGGCTGAGCTGGGCAAGAAGGGGGAGGACGAGATATCGGACGCGGCGCCTGCTTTGCAACCAGCTCCGTTGGATTATCATCGACGGGGAGAGGATCATTGTTGGTTCCCTGGGCAGCACTGACAACGCTGACCGGAGAGCCTGCCTGCACGGTAGTGCGAACAGAGCACTGGTCTCGGGTTATCCCACGAGACTCTCCCATTCTGCGATCATCTAGGGGCATAGCGGTGTCGTCATCCATGAGTTCATCCGGTCCTGCACTCATGAAGCCGGAGTCGTTGTCCAAAGCCATCGTAGGCAAGACAGGGCTTGATCTATTTGCCAACCGGCTATCGAAAACTGGAGGTGATGATGGCATGTTGAAGGATGGCTCAAAGAGACCTTGGTAGCGAGTGTCCTCAGGAGAGGGACCGCCAGCGTCTGTGCTAGGGACGTCATCACTTATACAGTATGGAGAATTGTACGAAGCAGGGCATGAGGCAATGCTCAGGCTCGACGACTCCCGCAACAAGCTACCCGTAGGTCGGCTTCGACGGGGGAAATCAGACGGTCGAGATATGGGGGTGGGTGGACGGACGGGTTCTTCGTGGGAATGCTCGACCGTGAGAATGGGGTTCACGGGGGTTGGGCGGTGGATTCGTACAGAGGCCGCTGTGCTGGCTGCAACTCGTAGTGAACTTGGTTGTCTTTCGATGTTTGCACCTGATTTTCCGGGCCAATTCGCTTGATACACCTTGGCCCTCTTCCGGGCCGGGGCCTCCGTTGATTCTTCGTCACCACTGCCATATCCTGAGTGAATGGATCCTCTTCGAAGGTTGTTGCTTGAGATATGTGAAAGCTGGGTCTGGTTGTCGCAGTCCCGCATAGAGGCACTCGAGGACGGGCGAATCATATCACTATGAGGAATGCTCTGCTTGGGGTAAGATTGATGATGAGCTGGTGTTCGACATCCACCGGGTGTTGACACTCGACTGCCAGCGTATGAGTGTGAAGGTGATACCGAGCGGACCGATCCACTGTGGTGGAATGTAGGGAACTCTCGTGGCGTTGAGCCTTCGCTCAAGAGCTGGTGGAATCTCTCAATCCCAGATTGATGTATCGGAGATCCGACATTGTCGTTGTGGCTCTGGCTTCTCGAGGATTCTAGGAGGGCCGGGTTTTGACGAACGAAGTTTGCCCATGATTGCGTGTCAAAGTCGCCTGAATTGCCATTGATCAACTTCTGATACTTCTGCTTGTTGGCGAGGTACTCACTCTGAGTGACGGTTGGGACAGGCACCAGCCGTAATTTAACCTCCAATGTTTCTTGAGCGCCCTTTGAGAAGAGACCACTGAGAGGGCTCTTGCAAACTCGGCCAGTAATCATCGTCTTCGCCTGGTTGTTGGGTGTATCGGATGTCGATGAGAAGGTGGCCAGCACCCCAGAAAGCATGCCTTGCCCGACAAGAGGGGTTTCGAATTCGGAATAGTCGTATGCATAGACGGTATAATCCTTTCCTAATTGACCCACAAGCTCTGGGCTAAACAAAGAACCGTGTAAGTAAGTATACTATTTTTGTCATCCGGATGAAAGGAAGTCATACCTAGCAGAGATGATTGCCTGGATGCATATTTTCAACTCGATCACTCCAACCGGAGTGTTCTCGTCTAGGAAAGCCGTTTGGATGTCGAGCACGTGTGGCCAACGAGCAAGACAATTAGTCTTGTTTTCGTTGTCGAATGTGTAAAGAACTTTCACTGTAGGATAGCCATGTTTAGTTCCCGCTCAATTTGTCTCATCAGAACGGTAGTGGAAAACATACGCCTCATAGGGCGGACATCGATACCGTCCTGAGATTCCATCTCATCAGACTTTGTTTGCCCACATGCAAGACAGTGTGATCAAATTCTCTGGGGTTGAAATGAAGGAGAGAAGGCCGACGGTATTCAAATATAATCGAAGGTATGAGGCTCGAGGTTCGAAAATGCTGACGAGTATAAAGAGGGGGGAAATAGTGGAAGGAAATTGTCGATTAAAGAAAGCCCTTTCACTCAGGGTCAGGAATGAACCAGAAGGTCTTAGTGAGCCAGCAGATCAGCAGTGCACATCTGGGATCTGGTCGACCGGGAGAATGAACAGGTTATGTAGGAGTAGGTAGTAGAGGGGTAATTTTTTCTGCAGGCCTGAAATGTTAGCAATTGATTTACATGCCCTCGCAGAGGAAAGCATAGACACTGAAAGGAAAAAAACCCGATTCTTACCAATTAAAGAAAAAAGATAGAAAAAAGATAGAAAAAGCAATGATAGTCTCTCCACTAGCTCCGCATGAGCAGACAGAAGTGGGAGAGAGTGTGTTAAGGAAGGGGTGAGGTTAAGAAGCCTTGCATGCGCGGGTCAAGCTATCTCGAAAGATCTCCAAACAAGCGTGACGCGACGTGACTGCAGCCAATCGCGACCTCGGGAAATGGCTGGGAGCTGCTGCCTGAAGTATAAGGTGTCAACTATTTTTCCTAAGGTGTTCGCGAGATTTTCCACGTGACTTGAGCTCTCCGTCAACTTCAACTGTCACACTGCTACATCAACGGCATCTCTTGACTTCAACGACCTTCTTATACCCACCATGTCTACCGTTCCCGAACCCCAGATTCAGTATGTTACCACACAAATGACTCATAGCCTCATCTGTGACCAATCAGCTAACAATCCGAACAGAGACCTTCTCAACAAGCCTAAGAGCGAGCTCACGTACGTACACCCGTCACATTGGATTTGACCCCCTCCCGTCCCATGCGACCTTTCTCGTTCTGAGTAATCAATGGCCCCTTGACCTCGGGAGTTTCTGCCCAATCCTCGCGCTGGCGGGGTTTGCCTACGACGCCCGCATCTCGGAATCTTTGCGACCGACATCTTCACATTCTTATGCAAGCTGCGCAAAGCACATACAGGAAAAAAAAACTAATCTTACTTCTTGCATCTTAACAGGGAATATGAGGTCGCTCAGGTCGAGGAGCATGAGCTCAGCGCCGGTCCCTTGTCTCTCCTGCAGACCGCCACCCGCACTCACACCCAGGTCCTGATCTCTTGCCGAAACAACCGCAAGCTGTTGGCCCGCGTCAAGGCCTTTGACCGACACTGCAACATGGTTCTCGAGAATGTTAAGGAGATGTGGACTGAGAAGCCTAAGGGCGCCAAGGGCAAGGGCGTGAACAAGGACCGTTTCATCAGCAAGATGTACGTGCATCAGACCGTGGACGGATATTCGTCTCTCTGCTATTTTTTGAAACAGTCTCTAACAATACGTTCTCATTTAGGTTCCTCCGCGGCGACTCTGTCATCCTCGTCCTGCTCAGCTGAGCAACTTATCCAACTTATATCTCGCACACTTCGATCCCCACGTTGACATGATCCTGATATCTTCGATCTACGGTATTGTCGATGTCCTGTTATTTGCACAGCATCTCGAACCCATGAAGAATACCCGTGGGCGATTTATCATGTAATCGATCTCGATACCCTTTTTCTTTCTTTTTCTCCTCACATCCCACTTTTCTCCCTTGCTTCTGGTCCTCGCCAGAACAATTGACCGATGCTACGACTATCTTGATTGGCAAGGTTCCTTGTCCCAAAGTAACTTGCGTGTACAAGACTGTTCTGTCGATCTTGTCTTGTTTTTTTGATCTTCCAAACCGGGGATGGGCTAAAAAAAAACCTGTTGGCGTTCAGTTCTTTGCGCGGGCTGCTAGACCCGTTGTTTTTTTTGTAGAGGGAATCCTCGGGCGGCGTCAACCTGGAGCAGACCTGGTTAGCAATGAATCTATCAGAAAGATTTTATCAGACCTCGGTAGATGTTCGTAAGCTAGTGTTACCTTCATAGATATTGTGCTGTGTATACTCCTGAGCTTGTCATTCTAAGATGTCTCACTCTTGCACATGGCCCATCGAGCCCTAAGCCAAGAGAGGTAGTATAGCGTATTTGTCGTCATCCACTCAACACTGCAAGCACTCAATATATCAACAAATAAGACTATCATTATCATCAAATGACTATATCAAGCTATATCGAGACACAACCATGAACAAGAAAAGGAGGTGGCCAAGTATGTCGCTATGTAAAGAAATCACCCCAAAAACCTGCAACCCCAATCTAAACACCCTCAGCAAGCCCGGTCAAAAACTCCGACAACCCGAAAGCCCCAGGATCAGGAACCTTCCCAATCCACTCCTCCTCCCCACCGACATAAACACTCCTCCCAAGACTGGCCTTCATAGCCTTCGTCGACTCCGTCCCCTTCTGCGCAGCCGCAGCCGCAACCTTCACATCACCACTCTCAAGCAAAGAATCCACAAACGGCGAGAGCGCATCAATAAGCGTCCGATCACCAACCTTAGCAGGTGTGTATTTCCCTAGAGCCTCGAAAGAAGACTTCAACGCAACCGCCCACGTCTTCGTCGTGACTGTCGTCGGCGAAGATGTGTCTTGAGCCAGTAAGCCGTGTGCGAGTGCGTTCAGGAAGATAGCGTAGATCGCGCCAGAGGTTCCGTCCATTACATTCTCGACGACAGTCACGATTCGCGCGACTGTGCTGACGACGTCGTTTGTGAGAGGTGAGGAGGTGTCGTTAATGAGGGATTGGATTGCTTCGGCGCCGCGCTTTAGGCCGATGCCGCAGTCGCCGTCGCCGACGATTGTGTCATAGCGTGTTACTTCAGCCTCAGCGTTGATTACGCGCTGTAGGCCGGCGCTGAGAACTTTTTGGATCAGGGTTGGGTCGACTAGGGTTGGGTTAGTTTTTGGTTTATTGGAGAAGTTGATGCGATGGAAACTTACGCTGGAGGTTGCTGTGGACGACTTCGGTTAGATTGGTGGTCTTCAGCTCGACGGGGGCCGCGTTACGGTATTTTTCCCAGGTGGAGGTGTTGATAGGTGCAGACCAGCCAACAGCTTCAGCGGGGGCATCGAGAAGCTCAAGCATAGTAGTTTTCACGCCTAGACCAGGGTCGACCAGCTTCATCAGCGAGACACTGAAGCCAAGACCGTTCAGACTAGTCAGGAAAGTTCCCTGGATCACGCGGATTACGTTGACCTGGTAGTCGCGCTGGAGTTGGCGGTAGACTTCGTCTGTGATACCAGCCAGCTCGAGCGGGCTGACGCCGCCAAGGTTGTTAATTAGCAGCACGAACTGGTCCTCTGGCTGGCGAGTCACGTAGCAGCGGTCTGGGTCGTTATGGTCGAGTAGCTGGAGTAGCATGCTCTCGACCAGCTCGACGAGGTCGAATTTCACGCGGTGCGAGCCAGGCTCGTTATGGATTCCCATGCCGACTTCGACCTCGCCGTTCGGGATCGTGTCTTCAGGTACACCGCGGCCGGGCACATGGACGTGTTCCAGAGATGATCCTAGTGAGACGAGATTTGCGTTGGCTAGCTGGGCTAGAGCATAGACGTCTTCCAAGGAGCCGCTGCGGAGGATATGTTAGTATTAATTCCAATTGCTGTAAAAGTTGTAGCATGTAAAAGCATGCGATATCAGATATCAACTCACCCAGCCTCAGCCAAAGCACCAACCATCTTCAGAATCAATACACCACCGCCAATACCGCGACGACCGACTTTCCCACCCTTCTCGCGACCAACACCAACATCATCATTGATAGCAAAGAATTCCGTCTGAATACCGGCAACACGGGATTTCTCCGTGGCCATACCGAAGTTCAGCACATCACCGGTATAATTCATGGGAATGATCAGCACTCCGCTTTCAGTGGGGACGCGATCGATGACCGCTCTGCGGATCTGTTCGGCAGACGGTGAGGCAAAGATAGTACCGGCGACCGAGGCATCGCAGAGTCCGTGGCCGACGAAGCCTGCGAAAGCGGGTTCGTGGCCGGAGCCGCCGCCCGTCACGATGGAAACCTTGTTTGCTCTGCGGGGCGCATCTGGACGGCGGAAAATGATCTTGTTCTGTCGGTCCAAGGCCAGAGATGGGTTTGTGAGTGTAAGCGAATTGAGCGCTGTGAGAACCAGGTGGTTTGGATCGCTAAAGAAATGTTTGGCTGTGGAAGGGTCAGATATTGTGGGGAAGATCTGGGGTGATCAGAGGGTGGACCGTACTCTGCATTGTTGATCAAAAGTGGACAATTTCGATTAAGTGGATATATTCGACTTCAGATTCAAAGAAAAAGAAGAAGATAGAGGAGTTTGACCTGGATTTTAGGTATAAATGTCTCTCCGCGTAATCGGCTCCAAGTAATTGAGGGGACTCTTCGCCAATGGGGGATATGGAGGCTCCCAAGATTCCAAGATTCCGAGATTCTCAATAAGACTTAGTTGAAACCAGCAAGAAGCTCTCGGATTGGACTTGAGGGTCTTTGAGGGTGGGGAAAAAGTGGGCTTGATTTCTGTGAGATCATGTCAGAATCCTGGTATAATCAAGTGTAGTACGACTCACGTTGGGGATAGTGTTCAACTTTCACCTGGAGGGCACCCTCTCCTTCTTTATGGAACATCGTGAGTACGTACATTGTACAATGGAGTACGTATTCTTTTCTTTTTCCTTCTTTTTTCCAGCTCACATGAACATAATCGAAGGTCTGGATCTGCGGTTCGGGTTACCCTGTAGGGATATCCCGCCAGGTAATTCCAGAAAGGCGCTTCCTATCGCCCGAATGGACAATTTCACCGCCAGAGAACATTCCTGGAACTATCTACAGTACTATTTCCAGTCAGACTTGATGCATCCATGTACTCTCCACTCTCGCCCGAGTGAACTTTTGTTGGACCTCAACGGCATGCCGGCATACCTGGTGCACCTACCACCTCTTAGTTTGCTGATACACGTTATAAACATTCTAGACGTTCAAGGGTATTCTTGGGGTAGTTAACTATGATAGCTTATAGATCTTGGTCTCGGCTTTCAATTAAGATTTCCATTGCTGCAATATCTATAATATACTCCATACTACGGAGTACTCTGTACATAGATACTCCGTAGTCCCAACGCCAATGCTAATTGCCACTAGGGCAAATACTGGGATACCGCAAGTCCTAAGTGGAGACATCATGAGACCTCGAAAAAAAAAAAAAGATCTACAGTATACGAAAGGGGCATCCGGGTTCGGATCTACTGTCAGATCCAGGGGTGGTGTGGGGTCTATGTACATAGTTGTATGTATGTTGTATAGCTCTGGTCCTGAAGGTCATGGGGTGTTCCTTCACATCGTTAATCTCATGGGGTTTCAATTGGGTTATGACTGTGGATATCAGATGCATCCAGCTGCTACTTTGAGATAATAGCTATTCATTCAATATTATATTCAAAGGCCGACTATCCTCGGTGAGTACAGATAGGACGTACAATGGTGGCACGGAATGCCTCTTTAGTCTACCCCTCTACACTAGCTCTCCCCATATTTTAGTGGCTTTAGTAACTTTAGTTTTGATTAAGGGCCATCGGCATTGGCCGAGGTCAAGCTCGGCATCTCTGCACTTGTACTTTAAGTGGCTTGGTGGGACCGGAGCTACTCCGTTGTTTCTCCCAGGTAGAATTGCCGGATACCCCCGGGACTACTCCGGGGGCCGTAGTTAAGAGAAAACGTCTCTAATATTAGGGATCCGGGAGATATCTCTAGCACCGGGTTATCCAACTGAAATATCCGAAATCTCATTGTACTATCTTTGTTACATAGTAGGTATATAGAAAGCCCCGATGCACAATAATAAAGGCAAGTCACGATTACCTAAAAAGGATAGTGTAACCCCCACGTTAATAGTCCACTCCCCATAGAATCGGGACATAAACAAAATACGAATGTGTGCATTCAGTGACTAAAGTACCTACTCTCAACATGTAAAACTAACAATTATGCCTATGAGACGTAGCTGTATTGATTGGTGCCTTCTTTGCGCTCGATGTATTCTTTCTCGATCAACCTAGAGGGGAAACACTGTTAGACACAATAACCAGAACCATAACTGGGACGGCGGGGTAGCAATATAATACGTACTTCTCGATCTCTCCCTTAATCTCGGCAGGCTGAAGAACACCCCGGCTCTTGGTAGCATTAATAACCTCGGCGATCAGCTCGGCGTGGCTGAGGACTTTGCGGCTCTTCATAATGCGCACAATGGCAGCTTGTGTCTCGAAATGACGGTCGGCCGCAACCCGCTCGTGTGTCGACTTGGTCTCCTCTTTGGTCTCCTTCAGCTGGATCTGGTTGATCTTGATACGCAGTTGCTTGTCGCTGAAACTGGTGTTGTACGAGAATTGGTCGCTGGAGTTCACATCCTTACCCTTAGGGTTCTTGGATAAGACTCGGTACTTGGCGCATGCGAGAGACTGGAGCGTTCGCTTCAATTCCGGGTCGGCTACGTATCATGTTAGGGTTTGTTCGATTTCTTGGGCGCTGCAGATCTGGATCCACTTACACAATCCGGTCGCTTCTTGGATCTGGGGGTACGACATGCTCTCGCCGTCAGGGATGTCGTTAAATAGCAGCAATACAATCGCCTGGAACGAGCTGACTACCAGGTTCTTCTTGCCATTAGGGAAGTTTGCAGTCAGCTGACAATGGGCTAGTTGATGCTTCCAGGTGAGCTTGCGCCCTGTATGTTTGCCGTGGTAGAACGTTTCGAAATTGTTGATTGAGCGTGCGATCTTCGATGGGATTCGCACGGGGACATCAGGATATGTTGGCCAGGAGGCGGCAGAGAGCACGGCGACTTCGAATTCGAACCGACCCTTCCGGTCCCGATCCTCCTGCTGCGACCGTCTGAAGGCCGTCATTTCATCGTTAGCGGTGTCCATATCGTTGAACATGGACTCGAGGTTATGAGTGAAGCTTGACCCGCATTCTGATCAAACATTAGCCGAAGCGCATAAAAGTAGGATATCTGGTGTGACAAACCATTCTTCAAACGAGCCAACATGCTTTTTTCCGCATCGTTGCTCGCACTTCGTTTCATCAAGAGACGTCGGGCAAGGTCGTTCTTGTAAAAGGCTTCGAAGACAGCCTTTCCATGTACGAAGCGGAAAAGGTCGAGAACTTGATCAAGCTGTCGGTCAAGTTCTGCATCGTCGGACATCAGACTTATTTCCTCTGGATTACGGCCGGGCGGCAGCTTATAGCCACCCTTAAGCAGCCTATCCACGTATTTGGCGATCATTTCACCCGATTTGGGGTTGTCGGTGCCACCTGTAGACTCCATCTTCTTCCCATGGTTCATGAAGGCACCAAAGGCTTCACGAAGTGTGTGGCCCAGTTCCTCGTTCGACTCGAAAGCATTGGCCCACATATCATCAACCTTTTGCTTGAATTGGAGCAGGTGAACGACCATATCGACCCCCTTATCTTGGTCAAACACGATGCTCTCACCTTCCTGGACGATGTACTTCCTAAATGCAGGCTTCAATTCGAGAGTAAGGTCTCCCCGGTCAAGCAAACCGTATAGTTGTTTCAAGGCAGTCTTATTACCGGCTCGCATCAAACCAAGCACTTCGTTTTCGTTGGTCAACACGTCCGTTTGTTTTGTAACTAGAGTCTCATCCAAGAGCTCAGACAGTTGGAGCTTCGTGCTTCGATTAAAGGAGAACAGCTCACACCGTTCTACTTCACGTTCGATCAACCTGTGAGTATTCTCGACATATGCAGCCAGGGAACCTGCTGCTTGTTGTTGAGCCCACTCCTTCACAAATTCCTCAGACTTGGCCATGAACAGAGGCTCAAAGTCACTTCCATAAACATCCAGGTCGTGGAAAAGGTCAATGGCCTCTCTTAGCAGAGCTGAATCTGTTGATGCCTTTGTAGATCCGCCGCGATCCGCCTCGATTAAATCATGTGCTCCTTTCAGAATCTTTGGCTTCAGAATGGCGTCGGAGAAGATGTATGACCGGAATTGGATCAATCCCATTTCACGGATCACTGGTTGTTCTTTGGAGTGCAAGAGGAATGACTGGTCGAGATAATAGAAGATCCAACGAACAGTAACCTGTGTGAGAAGAAAGGTTAGCCGTGAACTTCCATTCGCGATATTTCCTGACCACATACTAGCTTCGAGTGCCAGGCCGACCATGCTTCGATCACCGCCCGTAATGTACCAACATCAGTGCTACCACCAGCTTTGGTAGCAAGATTCGTGCGCATTTTCCCACTGACAAACTCTCTGCATCGATCCTGAAGCTTCTTAGCCAGCAAGGCTGCCCGCTCCTGGCGGCACACATTCTCGCCGCCTTTGTATAGCTCTTCCAGCGAGCTCTCCGGTTTCCTGCCATCAAAAATGGCCGTCAAAGCGGCATCCAACTGGGACCACACCTTATCGAAATATGATGCCTGATTAAGCCGTGGTCCGGTACGAAGGTTCTTGACAACGAGCCTTTTAGCGCCGGTATGAGGAGAGAAATTATTTTGGCGGGTATTAGCGTTCAAGCCTTGGGATCTGACGGGAGCATTATTTAGCCCAGACACTCCCCGACCAGATACGCCATTCTTGGGCGGGGAACCGGAAATCGGATGCATCTTATGCGGGGCCGTTTGGGTTGAGGGACGTGAGGGAGACGGCGACAGACGAGAACGCTTATGGGTTTGCGGATCAAGGTTGCAGTCGGGGGAGTACCTCTGGGACAGAAGCTCGGAGATGGTTTGTTGCGATCGCGGCTGCAATGGCTCTCCTTGATCAGAAAGCTTCCTCTTGCCGATCGATTGGCGCTTACCGCTCTGCTCGGTGTCGCCTCTCGAGTTCTGCTGCATCTACCCGGTTCAGCCCGACTGGGAGTTTGACTCGCTCTCGGTTAAAGACGATGGAGGATGAATGTGGATTCGGGAGACGTTGAGGGGAATTGACGTTGCGCTTGGGCTTTGGCTCCGCACGGCGATAAGATACGGAGCTTACACTCTGACTACCTGGGCAGGTGGCCCTGGGGATGAACTGGACTTTCATAAGGGCTTTTATATCAGTAACTTCTACTTAGTGTCGTTGACAAGTATTTGCTTTCTATGTTTAATTAGATGTTGCAATGTAAATCAATGTACATTTTTCACAATTACCAGAAACAGTACATTATAGTCCATGGATATATACCGGCTAAAACATCCTACCTGATATATCATAGGAGCTGGCTTTCTAGTATGATAAATCACCTATCCTCGGTACATAAGTATTTACAGTACTCCGTATATATGTGCCTATACGTACCGGATGTTCCCTAGCGGGTGGGGGTTTCCTATTTGAGCTGCCGCCGCTTTTATGAGGGTGCTTAGGCTGACCTGAGTAGATGTCAGCATGGGCTTAGATCAGTGATAAGGCTCAGGTCATTCACATGTAGAATGACTGATGCTCAGTGAGTGCTCATTGGATCCATGGATGCTCTCCGATTATTCAGTGATGCCTATATAGTTAACCACAATATTGAACTATACCCTGATCAGTTGGGACGGATCTCGAAACACGTGTGGGGGGAGAGCGAGAATTCTAGCTTATTATTACCTCTGTACCTCTGTTAGTTCTCTTAGGTAGCTTCTTCAATGACACAATCTTTGCTGTGTAGATTCTTGAAGACAGGGGACGCGACAGAGAAAGATGGCTATAGAAAGAAGAAGAATGAAAGTCATGAAGGTCATGAAGCTTTATTTAGTACATGTTGTTTATTTGCCATGCTATTTGTTTGCCATACAACGCCAGTCCTCTTTTGATAGGCGATCTATATAGGAATGGTTGCACGTGATGGGATGAACGTGTCGCATTTTATTGATGTAGCTTACTTAGGCCACTTATCCCTACACTCAGTGATCAAAAAGCGGCAAGAGGTGAGCACTAAAATGGAAAGGCAAAGGTCTCGAGTGCAAGGCATTATCCGGTACATATGTATGCTTACCCTGTACGCACCCGTGGACCCCTGCCACATCTCACCCTTACACCGACTTTCGGGCGTTAACTACATCGATAGACCCTGCTGCTTACTGAAAAGCTTTGAACAATGACCGAAGTCGGAGATCGAATCAGGCTTCGAATATTGAACCCTGTCTAGGAGTTCATCAAACAGATGGATCAAAAAGCACGGCTCATTGGGCCCTTTCTTCTCCAATGTTCAACCGGCTACTCTAATGCCGCAACATGGGACAACCAGGGTGCCGATCTGAGTTAAACTATTACCGACGCCCCTAGTCCTCCACCGCAGTTCGTACTTTTGCCTACAGATCATCCAGACATGACAAAGGTGTACGATGCTGGTGATGCTACAGCTTTTTTTTATCTATAGGTAATAGTGCTTTCTGCAAGGTTAAACTACGTGTCGATGGCGTATCCCGATAACCTCCTGACAGCCTGACTTTGGGACGGAAGATATTGCATACTTTCCTAGAGGATGGATCGAACAAGATTTGATCGGCATAGGATTGGATATTCGGGTACGTACAATATAGGTAGATGTAGGTCGGGGTACGTAAATTCCTCCGAGAACTAATAGGAACAAGCTGAGGTAAATAATACAATACAACGTACATTGAAGGTCAATAGTATAATTCATGCAATATATTCAAGTAATGCAACGCTGGTAAGCACACGATCATCAATGTAATCAATGTAATGTCCATAAGTTTTTGACGAACTTCATCTTTTGAAACAAAAAAAAGAGTCTGAGTGTGCAAGGGACCATAAGAAAGGCGTAAACTCATAAGAATAACCTAGGAAAGACCAATCAATCAACACGCGGAGGACTCCTCGATTTCTTTCCCATGGGACTGGCGCTCGTTCTGCGAAATTCCAATATTAGCTTCTTGCTTCTGTCTTCACCACTACACTGTGCAGCTAAGTTGAGGGTAACATACGACCGTCTACGCTCGCCTTCTTTCCGGAACCCTTCAATGATCTTAGCCATCTCTTTACGAGACGCACTGGCGTCAATATTCCGCCCTCCGAGACTCATACTTACCTTCTCATGTGCGCTCGCCATCAGCAAGCGCTTCATGAGAAGATAGCGCATGTTCATACACACGTAGACGCCGCAGTCGCTGCCGCCATCTTGCTGGGGTGAATCGTTTAGATGCAAGAACTTAATGGGCATGTTTAGAAGGTATCCGAATTTGCGAGTCACCGTGTCTGCTTCCCAGACGTTTCCTTGGTAGAGCGAGTCATAGTGGAATGCGATGCGGTCGACGACCGAGATCAACAGGAGAGACCAGTGCGTGCCTCCTTCTGCTTGGGAGACATTGCGGCAGTCGTTAATGGGGAGGAAGACATGGGTGGCTCGGGTGAAGTCCGGGAGTGCTTCGCGGAGGGTGCGTGGATCGGGGGTTTGGAGGATCATGAATGACATGCTAGGGCGGAGAAGAACGATGTTGGCGGATTGGTATTGTGTAAGAAATTCATGTTCGAGATATCTAGAACAAGGAAGTCGGGGATCAGTGCCTTGTTCGGTACTGTAATGTATCTCGGACTCGACTCTAGGGACTTACTCCTCCCAAAATGAGATGATCTATGACAAATTAGCTCATATGTCCCAGCTAGAAGGATTGGCTCGCTATTCAAACCCACGTTGTCTGTGAGCCAGTCGTTCTTAAGAGTTTGCATGTCCTCTCTTGTCACTGTATGTTCGTTAGCCGCCTAGAACCTTTCCTCGCATCGGGGATTGATTCCATACATCGCACGTCGTAATCTATGAGCACCCAAGGGCAACTTGTAAGTATACCGGTCTTCAGATCGCCAAGACGGCAGGTTATTCCAGAAACTTACAACTCAGGAAAGCATCATCTGGGTTCAACTGCGCAAGTTAGTACATGCCCCGCTAATGTCGAATGGAGCCAAACTCACCTTCTCGCCAAAGCGCCCGCGTACCTTGCGCAACATGATGGCAGTATGATATGTGCGTTGAAAAGTTAATCACAGAGTCAAGAAGATCAAACCGCTAGAATATGAATGCCTTGAAAAGCCGTGGCAAGAAAAGCTGTACACTGCGCCACAGTCGAGAACGCGCAATGATACGTGCCGGTGCCGAGTTCCTCAGATAGCCAAGCAACACCCCCACAAAGCGCGGCTATGATAAACGGGGCGGATCTTTGTGCAGAACTTGAGAGTTCGGGATGCTCCGTGCACACTGTAAATGGGATGCAATGTGCAACCTCGTTTATGCAGTGGCGAGCAAAAGCCGGAGGCAAGAGACGCAGGCACTGTCCCGACTAACAGGCTCGAGTGTTTCCCCCGTTTCTGCACTGGCGGAGTGGAAGTGGGACCGGTTGCTCGGGATTGGGCGGCGCTTCGGAGGAGGAGGCCGTCAGCCTTATGGGTGGCGGGGAGGCGGAGGATGAGTCGACGGGTTGAATGCTAATGCTAGTTTCAATTGCGCTTTATAGACAACAGTCGGGGGGGCATGCCAAGTTTCAGAGCAAGTAGATCTGGTAGTGGCCGTGCAGGGTTGAAGATCATCCGAGTTGGGGAGGTTAGACCGAGGCTATGTCTTTTCTTTAGAATGATGCAACCTGGAGCACAGGAACAAGGGGGTATGTATGAGAACACAAGACAAGGGACAAATCCTCAAAAGAACTGGACTCAGGCCAAGGCAGGGTTGATCAGGCTGCGTCACATGTGGGGTCACATGATGCTTCCCTATACTGGAGATAATATTGGACCATCATCGTCATTATACTGTTCAATGCTGATAGGAAGTATGACGAGGTAATTTTGATACAGCTGCACGGAATTCAATCATAATAATAATTTGGATAAATGCAGATTTATTAAAAATAATTGAATTCATAAGAGGGGTATCTAAACGTGCATCCCAGAGCTCCAGTAGAAGAAGAGGTTCAGAACATGCGCTGAGATGGGAGGAAAGAAGGTAAAATCGGGCAAAATAAACTGAGGCCAGATAGAAGAAACGCGAATAGGATCAAAGCAACTGAGATGAATAGAAGAGAAACCGACCATAAGTCATCAACATGAGATGACGCCGGATGAAGCCAGAACAGATCAAAGCAAATCAAAGCAAAGCAACAAAGGAGCAAATTGTAACAAGTACAGTTGCTTTCGTTTTACCCTGGTCTCCAGGGATATTATTTTGAAGAAATATGAAGACAGATCAGAAAAGAAATCAGGCAAAAGAAACACGGAATATGATCCTGTAATATGCTGTAGTTAGTATGAAATTATGTCTTTTTCTTGCAGATTTTTGAAAAACATTGGTGAATACATCGAATACATGGCGTGAGATTGTCGATTCAGCTGCCAATTCTGGCAAAATGTTTGTTCCAGATCCACCCAACCTTCCTGCTGGCATCGTCCTGGTTGCGGGCAAGCCAGAGCTCGCCCTTCTCGCCTATAACGTCGAAGATATCCCCGGATGTGTAGGTCAGATAGGGATATCCGGCCTCGGTGCGAGCGTCAATTTCAAAGTCATAAACGCTCGCCGCGCAGAATAACGTCGCAGGGCCAATGGGAGGGGCGCTGCGTTCGAAGTGCCCATCTACCATAGTCTCACTTGGCACATCCGACATGGGCATAGCAGACGAGAAGAATCCCGAGTATCGATCAGCCGGGGAGGCTGGCGCATTGCTCGAGTGCGAGGAGCTGTTGATCACATCCTCCAGGAAAGGTGTGTCTAGGCTGAGTCTCGGCAGGCTTGGGAAGGGCTCGACGTCACTGGTCCTCACAGGAGCGGGGGAGTTGGTGACTTGCTGCAGCAGTTGGTTGGAAGTGTCTGGGACGATTCGGCCAGATAGAATGGAATCAGCCCGGTAACGGCTGCTGCGGCTGGAGTGGCTTTCCATCTGGGGAGACTGGAATGATTGGCTGCCGACGCTGAAATCCCGGGACATTTTTGGTGAATCGCCGTTCAAAGACCCAGCTCGCGCGTTGGAGCTGTTCACTGTCGAAGGACGGCGAGGTGACATGGGGTTTTGCTGCTCGCTGGGCGAAAGTGGGACCAGATTGAGCGAATGAGCCATCATCGCCCCGTTGCAAGAGCTTAGCTCCGACATTCGTGCTTCCATTAGGGCGTGGTCGCCATTGAAGTCGCTGATGAGTTTGTCGAGGTCATTAGGGAACAATTCCACATGAGCCCCGATCTTTTTTTGTAGAACACTGTACCAAACAGTTTGAATTTCGACAAAGTTCTTCAGACACGCTCCCATTAGTTTGGCAGTTAGCGAATAGAGCTTGGGTAATTCATCCTTCAAAGTATCGTTCAAAGCCAGGAATTGCTCGCCCTGCTCAATGGTCTTCTTATCAGGTTTGTCACCACGGTCTTTGATGGCTTTGTAGCGTGCATATTCTGGGAGTCGTTTGTCGCGCTTCCGCATGACTCGCTGGGGTGCATTGTAAAGCCCTAGTAATTCAACCATGGGATCGATGACTGTTTTGCGGACGACAGCAAGCTGCGATAATAGTTAGCATTTTGCTCAACAATATAAACATGAGACAATTTACATGTTCTGGGAGAGCAGTGGTTACAATCTCCTGGACTGTTATTTTGAACTGATGCCACTTGCTCTCCAACTGTGGGTATGGAGAAGGCGACATGCCAATAATATCCTCAATCGAATTGGCATACTCGTTAAACTGGTTCACATAGAGTTGCACATCCCGGGCGTAACTCTCAGCGTCACGCATGACTACCTGCAACTGGAAATAGCCGTCGCCAAGTTTCTGCGCCAGTGAATCATATGTTTTATCTTCGAATAAGTCGGAAAGGCCGACTTGCTGTCTGAACTTCTCTGTGCGGCGACCAAAGGCTTTAGACAGACCGGCACGCACATCAGACTGGTTGCGCTTTCGACCGACAGCTTGACCAACAAGGTCTACCCGTTTCTTCAGCTCGTTGATACGATGGGAAACATTTGTGACTTCTTCCAGGGCACTGGCAATTGCCGCTCGATCCGGGTGGTCGTTGGGCGTAGACTCCAATAGGTCACGGAGAATAAGGGGGTACTTCAAGATTCTTTGTACCGGTTTAACGAGCAAAGAGTCCAAATCCCAGGCGGTCGTGAGATCCATAGCGCCCTTTTGACATTCGTTCAGCCAAAAGCCCACTTTCGGATTACGCTGCACGACCTGAAGTTTCTTATTCGCGGCATCATGGTTCTTTAGGTAATCAGTGTACACCTTTTCCATCTGCTGCATGTGAGTGGCAAAGATCTGTCCAATAGAGGTGGCGCGATCCTTTTCGAGCTCCGACATGCCTGCAAGCTCGGCTACTTCATCGGTTTCTGGCGTAGTGGATTCGGTTGGCTTATTGTTGCGCTTTCGCTTGCTGGTCCATCGCAGAGCCTTTGGCATGACGTAGATGCTTTGAGCTGCCTGTTTGAGATCGTACAAAAACTTGTCGGAGAAGGCCGCGACTTGATCGGAATTGCCGAAGAGAACCTTGACATCATCGGGATCCAATACTGTGAGCGAGGTGCTCTTGTAGATGTCTTCAATGATTATCATATCATGACCAAAGGTGTGTTCGGTATCAACAAGTTCTTTGATTATGTGACGCCGCTTCTTGAGACGTCGTTGTTCCGGGGAAGGCGAATTCTGTGGCTCAATCCGAATAGTTTGCTCAGTGGAAGGGACAAGTGAAGTAGCGGAGGAGTCAGCGGCCGCAAAAGAGTGAATAGACTCCAAATTTCGGAAAGAAGAGTCCTGACTGCTGCCCGGGCTGTGTCCCATGGCTCTAGGAGCACCCTGTATACTGTGGTGAAGTCCGATCTGGCCCGATGGCTTCAGCGTATTTTGACCTCCAAGGGGTTCATTATCGGTCGGGTGTGTCGTTGAGGGCGGGATGAGTGTTGGTGGAGAAATAACATGACGCTGCATCTGCTCGTTGGAAGTTTGGATATCAATGGAGACCCCAAGACCACTGTTCGTACTCGACGCGCCAGTGTCATTAGTTGCCGGAGTCACTAAGCGAGGTGTGAGCACCCCTTCAGTACGCATGCCATCGGTTTCGGTCCCGGGGGTGATAGGATTATCTTCAGCCGCAACCTGCATCCAGTCCATTATAGAGGGAGATGCGTGCTCCCAATCATCACGTCCGACCAAACTAGCCGTATGTGAGAGTCTATCTCTATCTGAGGCATGAAATTCCTGGAACTCTGGCACGACGACTGGATCGTCTGTCAGACTGTCGGGTCGCCCATTTATATCTGTATCCATAGGATGAGATCGAGGCTCGGACGAGGTGTGAATTGATGAGCCGGGGTGGTGACTCCTGCCTCGCGCCAACTCCTCCAGATAGAGCTGAGTGACGCGCTTCGAATCCCATCTGCCCAATCTAGCCAAGCTTGGTGGGGTAGAGAATGCATTGGGTCGAAACTGCTCAGATGCATGAAGTGTGTTCGGTCCCATTACACCGTGATCCTGAATTGGAGCTAGTAATTCATCGTCTGCTATTGAAGCTGGCCTCGTCGAGACGGCTGAACAAGATTCAGTTGGTGGTTCCGTGCCACGTCCTTGTAACAAAGAATCATCCCCACTCTCGTCACAATGCTCGTCACAAGTGGAATGTTGGTTTTGTATAGAGGACCATGAACTGACGCTCCATCGGTTGTGAAGATGAGTCTCATGTTGAGCCTGGTGCATAGTTGCACGCTGAGGTTCTTGAGTATTAGTGCTACTAGATGAATTGTAGTAGGTCGTATCTCCAAGCATAATCTGGATGGACTCTCTGTCATCATTCTCTGAAAGACTGCAATCAGGTTCGTCACATGAATCGTCACTCGTGCTGCACTCGCGAATTTGCATTATTTGATTCAGAATAGTTTCATGGGAAATGCCGGGATCCCGTTGGAGCAGCCCAGTCTGGGGTTCTGGATCGAAAGTAGTGACATGGGTGTCGCCGGAGTCTGACGTGGCAGCCGAGTGTGGCGTGTCATCATTGGTAGGTTGTCTTTCGCCTGCAGTCGTTGAATTCACGCCTTGTGGGAGACCAAGAGTGGGGGAGTCCATTGTAGTATGGGGCGCTGCCATATCTGATGCCGGCAGGGCAGTATTGAGGTGCAGTCTAGGAACGATATGAACCTGATTTTCGTTGTATTCAACCGAGCCGTTCAATTCTTTGACCATCGTAGCCATCTCATCAGACGACGGGACGTTGGTCACAGGCAGGTTGGATGTAATTGTAGGTTCATCCGTCGATTGCTTGGAATCTTCATGTATCTCCTGCTCTCGCGCCAAAGCGTGAGGTCGAACCTTTCCGGCAGCGGATCTGTCTGGTCCTCTTTCATTCTGATTCCCTTGAATACCAGGGTTGCTTGAGTGTCGGTTGATTGCCTGTTGAATGTGTCGGCGACGAGCGTCAAAATCCACCTTGCCCAATTCAGGTAATTTTCGTTGAGGACGAGACCGCGGGTCACTGTAGCTAGCCTGTTTTTGTAAATTCAAAACTCTATCTCCGAGTCTGGGGCGTGGGGAGATCGAGGAACCATGTGAGACGGGCTGTCGGGGTCGTGAACTGCGCAACGGGGGCGACTTTTTAGGCAGCGGCTCAGCGATGTAGGCCTGTAGTCGCCGACTGGACTCAGATAATTGATTGCGAGTTCGGCCAATTGTTAGATCCCGTTTGCCACGCGGATTTGTCGCGAACGAAGCGGGATCGTCTGCCGGCATGCGGGGAGGACTTTGTTTGGGTGACGGAATAGGAAGGCGGCTAGTGCCCTTGGGCGGCGAGGTAATGGCCGCGGATCTGCTGCTGAAGGTTGGATTGGAGGATGGTGATAAGCTTTCGGGACCGGAACCAGCGACAAGACGGTGCGAGGAGACAGGAATGCGAGACTTGGAATTTGGACTGCCCGAGGGCGATACACGGCCGGGCTTAGTCCGCTGCAAGGGCGCAGGTACCGCCATTTCAGGATTCCACGGCTCTGCAAGGGGCTCTCTTCTTTGATCCAAGTCACTTTGAATTCGGCGATGTTTGCCAGTGCTATTTATCCCGGCGTGGACTGCCTCCAAAGAAGTTGTGTGTCCGAGATACCAGGCAGTAGGGGTGAGTGGTGATTTTGTGAAATATTGATCGGGATGCTCGAAGAAGGCTGGGTTTGGGCTTGCAATACTTCCATCCGACCCGCGGCGTTGCAGACGCGATATGGCTCCGTTGTTAACCTGGGTATTGATCGACAACAGTTCACCAAACAATGGCCGGCGAGGATGCGACCCTGGGATGCGTTGAAACAGAGGCGGCGGAATATCACCGTTTGTGTCTAGGGGCGGACCGAATCTTTCAATCTCTGGCGACGACGGGGTCGAATCAACTATCGCCTGAGAATTGCTGGTGGTCGATTCTGGTAGAGAATCACGATATTGACGACGCCGTGGCAACACGCGATTGCGCTCTCCGTCAACACTTCCGGAGGGGCTTTGTGCCCTTGAAGTTGGATGAGAAACAGATGGTAAAGGGAGGACCTGGTCAGAGGTTTTATTGAACTTGTTGACGAGCTCCTTGAATGACGGCTGTCGTGACCTTGGGTTTGCGTTCAATGGCGGCGGTATGATGTTGGTAGAAGGAGCTCCTGATGTTGGAGAATCGGAAGTTGAACGATATAGTTGACGTCTAGTGCGCGATGACTCTAACATGTTTGTGGGCAGGGGCGACACTTTGTCACCGACTGCAGGATAGTCGGCCGCAGCCATGCTCGTTCTTACATTGCCGAACCCCTCTGTCACATTAGATGTTCCTGGCAGGGACCCACGTTGGCGATAATAGTCAGCCGGGTCTGGAGACTCCCGCCCTCTACGATCCAATTGATCGCCCGACAACCGATGATTGGTGGAAGTGGCGGTATTATGGGGTCCAAGGAAGCCCGACGGTAGAGGGTAATACGTGGTCGATAATTGTTCCTGAGAGGAGAAAGAGACGGTCGGCGAGCCACCTAAAGAAGTGGTAGTGTGCTCATTGACAGAGTGGCCAAATGCCGGGGCGGATGATTGTCGCCCAAACGGAGGCGGGTCGCGATACCGGACATCAAAACCCTGCTCGTCACCGCTAGACATCTTGCATGCTTCAGGCCGACAGGTCGACGTGGACTGGTCGCGGCCTTTCGGTTCTGGGCGGTTTGAGCTGGTGCGTTGTTCCGGGATGGTCGCCCAACGGGAATGTCGCAGATGAGTCGATTCAGGCTACAAAGCAATCCTCTCGGGTGGCGCACACCCATTCAGCATTCATGTTTGAGACACACAAAATAATAATAAAATAAACCGATATTGAGGGGATATATCCCCCTTGGAAGCTAAATCGAAAGATGAATGGAGTTCGGATCGGGGGAATCGGAGAAGGGTAGAGTGGTGAGATCGAAGATCGGCCAGTTGCCGAAATTACACACTGTAGCGAGGGGAAGCACGAATTAGGAGGATCGAGCTCGGGCCTGACGTTTTGTCTACCAGTGGTGGACGCTGATAGGTGATGGAACCTGGTAGTTGAGGGGGTTTGAAAGCGAATCCTGGCGGTGGGCCAGTTTGTTAGCTCTCTCTCTCTCCGGACCAATCCGTTTTGACGGGTTAACTTACACTTACCCAATGAGGAGTTGAAATCACACTGTCGATCTATTTTTGAACAATATTTTTGTGATGGGGGGAATTGTGATGAGTTCGAGGGAAAGATTTGAAATGAAAGAAGAGAAAAGAGAGAAGAAAGAGATTGGGACCAGCCCCGGAGATGATATGTTTAAAAGTGAAACGGAAATTTGGGAAGTGGATTTCTTTGTTCATTGTGAGGGTGTAATTATACATTGGTAACTCATATATATTTTGTTGTACTTCTATATACATTGTAAAGTAGCGATATACTTTAATCATATATCATAACATCTACAATACTGTAAGTAACAGATGTATATCCATTATACAACCATAGTACTAAGAGTACCTTCCATATATCCAGGAACAGAGAAATCCCCTGAAGACCTGAATGACGCAGTGGAGACGCAATAGCCAGGTATCTAGACCGCCCCGTTCCATGGTTCATTTTGTTGTTTAATTGGTAGCTTTGATTGGTTCCTGTGTGGGTTCACGTGTAATTTCTATGTCCCTTATGGACATTATACATCTCATACATATGCATGCATCATGTATACAGGGACCTTCAAAAGCTCTCATCCATGACCAAAAAAAAAAGTACTGAGATGCATTAGGAAAGTCCCTTCGAGAAGCCGAAAAGACCACTTGCCCGTCTAGACTTCTTATTTGTCGAATCTTGACGCGTCGCGTGTTGGGAACTCATCGCCTAAACCTATTGACATACAATGGACTAAACCATCTGGAAAAAGAAAGAATCAACAGAGCCCCAAAAAGAAATTATCTAATCATCATGGGCAAAAAGCGGAAAAGACCCATCAAGGACTGCGGTCCCACGTCGTCTCACATGGGTATCACCACATCTCCCCACCGTTTCAGAACTCCTCATACCCCAATTTCCCCAATTTCCCAAATAAAAACAAGCCATCCCGTTATATCTCTGTACTACCGAAATGTTGCACCCTTGCGGGAGTACCTGCTCCAGCAATTGCCCGTGACCTCCAAGTCGCGTCGACGCCGCATCCTGGCATTGGGCACGCGTGAAGACCAAGACCCCAATGCAGAATTTCAAAAATCCCAGACATTGGCAGAGTTGCTAGACTCCACCCTGGTGGGTGTGCTGGAGGAGGCTTCTCCGACCCTTAATTCGGAACGACAAAAGCAATACTCATCCTTTAGTGAGTCTCAATCGCGGTCGATTCTCACCAGCACCGATACCGGGCCGATCTGTCTGCAGTCTGAGGTGCGTCCATGGTGTCCAAATCATTTTTACGTACCAGACCGCTGACCCTTGTTGCAGGTGGTTGATTTTGTGATCTGGAAACTCTTTAATCATACCAAAGGCTCCTCCCAAAAGCCCCAGCATGTACTGAAATATGGCTTTCAACGCCTGGGTATGGATGTCGTGTCCCGAATTCCAAATCAGAATGTCCAGATTCTCAAAGAGGGTGCATGGGCAGCGATCCCTGGCTTACTTGGTAGTAATGGGGAGGAGATTATGATGCATCTCCTTTTCGACTGCGGAGTTTTTACCGCTATCAACGCCCAAAAGGGCATCTACTACCAACTCAGTGGTATGATTTTATCGCGGTGTGGGGAGAGAGAGAGTTGGCCCTAATTTACTAATACTTTTTCTAGGTGTACCACTTTCAGACCTCAAACCTTTGAGCAATGCGTTCTCAGGGGTTAATGGGTCTGCTGTCACAGCACAGGACCCAATGCCTACCACTGATCAGAGACAATCTGAAGAGAAGGCCAAACGCAAAGAGAACTCCGATAAGTCACACCAAAGTCCAAACAATATTGTGTTTTTACGACGGCGTATCCTCTATGGACGTGTCGAGTCCAAAAAGAAAGTACCCTTTGGGCTAGGACAGACACGTACGTTCTTCGTCGTTTGAATGTTGGATTCTAGGTTTATGCTAATTTCCACCATAGACGTTCTTAGCCGCTTCTCCTCGGTTGATTCGATGGCGCAAACAGTCCATGTAATGAAGTACATATTTCCCCGGCAATTCGGCCTGCTGAATGTGTTTACGTCGGACTTGGATGAACTCAAGAAGATGGATGTCTTGAAGGGTTTCATATATCGTGAGAGTGAGATATCTCATCAAGAAAAACGACTTCAGCGGCCCCAGCCCGAGAATCAATTCGCAGATGCAGATTGTGGCGAGAGAAGTGTCAAGGTACCGAAGAGGCTTCGTGGAATTACCATAGAGCTTGTCCGGAAGCTTCGGAACCGCAACGCACAATGCTCCTATGGAGAGTTGCTGCGATACTATTGTCCAACCAAAGTGAGACATTTCTGTTTACAATGGCTGGGATTGTCTAGCTGACTTTTGACAGCAAACCGGACCCGGGAGACTTGGTGCATTTGCCTCTATCTCCACACCTGATGCCAAAGAAAGCGAGCCTATCTCCTCCCTCAAGTCAAATTTTGTAACACAGGTGCAAATTAACCACCCGTCGTCGAGTGACAGTTCGACGCAGACCTCATATGATGCCTTGAGGTTAGAGCCGCATATGGCTATCGATGCATCTTGTGAAATTGATGCCAAGAATCCGGTGATTCGAAAAGCTCAAGTCAGTCTAACTGATTATGCGACTCCGGCATCTTCTGTCTCAGCATTTTGTCGAGCGGTGATCCAGAAATTGATCCCTCGACAATTTTGGGGGTAGGTCCGGATGGTATTTCGAACTTTAAGCTCGTTCTCAGACATGTTGATCGGTTTATCAAATTGCGCCGATTTGAAAGTCTTAGTCTGCACGAAGTATGCAAAGGCATCAAGGTTGGTCATTATTTGCATTGAACTGATGGTCCGAGACAAAGCCGTACTGATCCACACGCTAGATAACAGGCATTCCTTGGCTGGGGCCACCCCAGGTCCAGACTACTTCACCATCTGAGACAAGATCGAAGATCGCCCTGTCTGACTTGAACAAACGCACCGAACTACTCCATGAATTCATTTTTTGGATTTTTGATTCAATTCTTATCCCTCTTATCCGTTCGCACTTCTATGTCACAGAGTCTCAAACGCACCGAAACCGCCTTTTCTATTTCCGTCATGGTCTGTGGCAGCAGTTGACTCATCAACCTTTCGGGGACTTGAAGGCAACGATGTTCGAAGAGCTCGAGCCAGATCAGGCCAAACGTGTGCTTGATCGGCGTTCCCTTGGTTTCGGTGCTCTCCGTTTGCTTCCAAAATCCACAGGCCTGCGTCCCATCTTGAATCTTCGCAGACAACAAACCAAGAAGAACCCCTCATGGGGAAACAGGGGCATGTACTCTAGCGCCAGCATCAATTCAAGCATCAAGCCTATCTATAATATGTTGACCTACGAGCGCCAGAAAGCTCCTGCCAAGCTGGGTTCGTCAATGCTCTCCGTTAGAGACATGCACCGCCGATTGAAGGCGTACAAAGAAAAATTGTCCAAACGAGTGCCCTCGGGTTCTAAATCTTGGCAATCCAAACTCCCACAACTGTACTTTGTCAAGCTTGACATCAAATCTTGTTTTGATACTATCCCCCAGAAAAAATTGGTTGATCTCATCGAAGAGCTTGTCTCTGAAGAGAGCTACCGCATCTCAAACCACATCGAATTCCAACCGTCCGCTCTCGATGCGCAACAGGGAAACCCCACACGAAGATATATGGGTCGCGCCTGGCCTGCAATGAGACCGCAACACCTACCGGACTTCGTCAATAGCAGAGGCGCAGCACAAAAGGCCAACACCGTTTTTGTTGACAATAAAGCTCCAAAAGAGTATGATGCTGACAGTCTCCTGCATATCCTCGATGAACATGTCCGGAACAATCTCGTGAAGATAGGAGAGAAATATTTCCGCCAACGCAACGGCATTCCCCAGGGCTCCGTGCTATCCAGCATCCTCTGCAATTTCTTCTACGCCGAGCTAGAGCGAAAAGTACTAAATTTTATCAGACCAGAGGATTCTCTACTCCTGCGACTCGTGGACGACTTCCTCCTAATCACACCGAATGCAGCCGTGGCAATGCAGTTCCTGGAAGTAATGATCCAGGGCCAACCATTGTACGGTGTACAAGTCAATCCAGCCAAAAGCATGGCCAATTTCAGCGCAACGATTGATGGCATCTTGCTCCCCAGACTAGAAGGCTCCCCATTATTCCCTTATTGCGGCAGCCTCATCGACACCTACACGCTCGAATTCCACCGCGACCAAGACCGCATCCTAGAAGGCGGCGAATCAGCCGCTGCTACTCTCTCTAATACCCTAACCGTTGAAGCCACCCGCCTCCCCGGCCGCACCTTCCACCGCAAAGTGCTCTCCTCATTCCGCCTGCAGCTACACCCCATGTACATCGACGACGGACACAACTCGCGCGCAGTCGTGCTGGCGAACCTCTACTGCAGCTTCGTCACTTCTGCTATGAAGATGTACTACTATATGAAGTCGCTTCGGGGCCGTGCGCACCCCGGCCCCGCCATCATAACAAAGACTATCCGCGATCTGATTCTGCAGACGGCCGGCACGATCCAGGCTCGGCGGGCTGCTAATTCGGAATCTTCGTTCTCGTGTTTTGTCCAGCAGTCGCGTCTGCAGTATCTGGCTTCTGCGGCATTTCGATTTGTTTTGAAGCGCAAGCAGACGCGGTATGTGGTGGTGTTGCGCTGGTTAGATTCGATGACTAAAGATGCTCGACCCGCGTCGGATTCTGAGGCTTTGAGGATGGCGCAGGTGGTGAAGAAGGGGAATGCAATGTTTGAGGAATGGCGGTTCTAGATTAGTTCTACTGTGCTGGACTGTGGAGTGTCCGCAAATCCAAATAATAGGTGTAAACGGCGGACTACCTCCCCTCCTCTCAACTTCAATGTAGGTTATCCTTATGTAAAATGCCCACTCATTATATGTAGTTTACTTATCCCGTAACCCCCGGATTATTTTATGTCTTCCCAGTTCCCCTCATAAAATCGAATCGAAAATCCAAGAGCAACAGCCTGATATTTAGAAGCCAAAGCGATGATATTCGACTTACGAGGCTACCAACGACAATACCTAGAAAGCTAATCTAGAGTGCCAATGTATATATTAGAAGCCCACGTTGATTTCATTCATAATCCTCATCGTCCTAAAATCGGTATCTGGCCTTGTAGCGAACAATATCCTCCGGGGTAAGAAACCTGTGCCATCTATGATAATACTCTGACATGTCCTCAATTAAATCATTTGACCACAACCCAAGTTTAATCATTCGCTGCTCTTCCCATAGTGCGAAACCGTACCGGACATAAGCATCGAAACTAACGTACTTTCCAGGTCCCGCCTTGGGGCTGTGTATCATGTTCATCCAGAACTGCAGGCCGACTGAGTCCCTATCCAGGTTCAAATACTCCTCCTCTCTCTTGAACGCTGGGCCAAAGTCAATCGGTTGTGGCCTCCATCGGACGAGTAGACCTCGTCTGACCTGCATTCTTCGTATGGCCCGCGCTCTAAAATAATTTCCGCAGTAGTAGTTATTGCCGGAGCTCGAATCTGAGCTTGATCCTTCGTCTTCGCAGTCTTCATCATCTTCATCATCTTCGTCATCTTCGTCATCTTCGTCATCTTCGTCATCTTCGTCATCTTCGTCATCTTCGTCACCTTCGTCGTCTTCCTCGCTCGATTCGGATTCACCGTCAGTTGACGAGGAAGACGATCCGTAAAAATACAGCCTTGCAGGACGCGGGGCTTGGGTTGACTCTTGAACTTGAGTTTCAACCTGGCCACTGGTCCTATGTGCTGCCATAGTGCTTATCTGGCCAACCTCTGGGTTGGAATCTGGCGTTAGTCCACAGGGGTTATCCTCAGGTTTCCAGCCTTGGGTAACCGCCTGACACGAGGGAGGCGGCTGACAAACCCAGCCGAATTCCCTCCCCTTAGGTATTGGAGGTAATTGGGACATGTCTGAATAAGCTAGCACCCTTTCTTCTGGCGATAGCAAGAGTATCCCTACAATGTAGTCAACCGCTGTCAGAAGCTTCTTCCAAGGCAATAACCCCTTGGAAACATATGCATAAAGAGAGCCTGACTGTTTCAATACACCAGATGGCCACCCTAGTGAGCCTTTGCGCCCTTCTATTCTGAGTTCGTTGAGATATACCACGTGCCAGAACGACAGTAGACTACGTTGCTCTTCAGTCCACGTTGGAACTTCAAATCCCTCAGGGTACTGTCGTTGACCGAGCGTACCTTGAAGACATCTCTGGATGCAGGTTTCGATGTTCATGTGAGACAAAACGTGGACATGATGGGCGAGCCTGATCAACCACTTTATCTGTGACGGCGTTCCAGACACGCTCTCGAATAACGGAGCATTGTCCCACATGTCGTTGCCGCTCATGGGCTTTTTCGCAGGACCGTATTGGTAAGTATTATTGTGCATTGACAAGACGGCTTGCATGAAAGCCCGAGTTTGAGCCGGAACTTTCGTGTTTAAAATGGCATTGGCGATGTCACAGGCCCGTCCATTGAACACGGATGACATACGCGAGGATACATGAATAAGGCTCCAGAGTGAACTAAAGTCGGTACATTCCTCGAAGATCTGAACCAGGAGTTCAGTGGGTAGCTGCGAGAGCTGATCTTGGCCTGTGCGTGACATTTGGAACCTTGGAATGTTGATCACGGCGGGTTCCACGGGTGGGATGCGGGTAGATATGCCAAGCTTCAAACCTTACAGCTCAAGGTTCAAACGTGGGTGCTTGGCGTCACGTGGTAGAATATCGAAGACTGGGAAAGATAGCTGGTGATTGACTTAGGACCTTGCGGCGTGTCAGGCAACAACAAGAACGGTTTGCCTTTGACTATCGAGATACCACACGGCCAATACTCGGCCGGGTGAAGTCTACTAGAATGCGAGTGCGTCTCGCGATGTACAGTTGTAGAGCCGATAGATGAAGGTAGAAGGCCAGAACGCCCGGCAATAGAATTGAAAGAGCAGATACACGTAGTTTGTTTAAGGGGGAATGCCTCAAGATACGCCCGCTTCTCCGCTGTGACTTTCTCTTTCATCCCCGCGGGATATATACATTTATTTATACCCTTGTAATGTGGTGAGGCAGACTATTATACACTCGGGGATAGTTAGCTGCCAGTTAAAGCGGGGATATGATAAACAATTCTCTCTAGCTAACTAGGAAGCTGTATTAGTTGAGTCATAAGTGAGTGAGTGCTCAAGCCTTCTTCGGAAATTTAGGGCTTGGGATTTATACCGAGCGGCAAAGGATCAAATGAAATTTTGGATTTGAGACGCTTACTCCAAATTAAATACCAGTTTATGTTATTACTATCTCCGAATATCAAATGTACCAGTAAACTCGAGGAATCTTACAGCAGCTGGATTGGGAATCCATTGACAAAGCTAGATGACGCCGGTACACTAATATTTCATGAGTTTTAGGGATTCGATATAGCATAGTGGTATTACCTTGAGTTTTCCGTGTTTGCCACATTTCCGTATACCTTTACTTCTCGGGTCTGGATGCCTTGGCTTTCCAGGAGAGTAAGCCCATAAGACACCGTCTAGATAAATAGAGGAAGGAGAGCATATTGTCCATGCAACTCACTCCGATGAATTCCATTTGAGAGACTTTCAAGATCAAAATAGCAATCTTCAATGAGAAGATCACTATGAAGACAAAACAAGCCTATCATATTGTTGTGCTTTTTATGGAGTAGGCCATCTACGGAACAGGCTGGCGATATGATCTACAAATTATTGGCGCTGTCACAAGCCCCACATCTGTCTCATAGGGTTGTCCGGTGCACTTGGATGAAGGGATGAATATCTTCTCTCGGCTAAAGTTTTTAGCATAGCTCACCCTCTTCTCCTGGGATAAGGCCTCCTCTTAGGCAAATCGTCATTCTCCTCGATATGTTAGGAAAAATTATCCATGAGCTCCTTGATAGCAGGGATAAACTGTGTCTCCAAATTGCCTATAGTCTAGAACACTTTCCGTTACTTTTTTACCGAGACCCACATTAGTACTATAATCGCTGGAGATAGTAAATAAAGCTTAACTCACTGTCCAATGCTCATTACAGTCCTGAATAGCCATTTCTACGTTAGGGGAGCAGCTCAGGGAAGCTGACTAACAGGCTGGTACGGGGCCTGCCCGGGCAGCACACAGCTGTGGGTGGTCAAGCGACTCGAAGTCCAAACGGGCTCCTTTCCACCAGTTTCTGGCGTGGAAGTCATTTTCGTCAATTCCACAGGTCCTTATATTCTACGTTGTAGTAATTGTATGATCTCAAGTTGTACAATTATACAAATACCGCCAATCAAATAATGCGTATTGTGCCACATCTTCAGACAGCCATTGGGTATAAATCCGACTGGATCCGGACTAGGAGAGATCATGGTTCAGGGGTTCAAATCCAAGATATCTGTGTTTACTTTTTGTCTACTCCGTAGACTTCTAACATTGAAGGCTGTGTAGGTCTATCCCTTCCCATCTGGGTAGAGATTGGTTCGTCTTCTGGAAATGTATTGAATACTTGATCGATACTTCATGATTGCCCCTTTCTGTACTAGTGGCATAAGGTATCATCAAGGTACCCCTGTTTTCGGCCAGCCCGAGTGCGGCACGACTGCCTGAGGCTCCTCCGCTTGCAGTCTTGAACATATCGCCGTTTCTTCTTTTCACTCTTCTGGGATTTCTTGTCTTCATGTCTCTCGTTTGAATCTTCTGCTTCTTCTCTACCTCCTCACTCCCCCCACATTCATTTCCCACCTTTTTTTGTTTACACTCAACCCCTGACCCCCCAATGGTCACCCCGTAATCTCTCCTGATCCCTCTTTACACGACTACACCTGATCTGGACTTTATCAGGCTGCGGCTGTGCCTGCAATTCATTTCTACATTACTCGACTTCTATTGCGATCTTATTGTTTCCTGTCGAACCCCCTCGATCACTCTCCAAACACCCCGATCCTCGCGTCTGTTCTCGACCTCTTCCGGCCATCCCGTGATTTCCTCCCTTTGTTTTTCTCCGGGTAGATTAGAATTGTGGGGGATCACTACGTCTGAATAAATACATGAGATCATGACCACCGTTTACCCGACACCCAATTCTCCCCCCGAGCTCTCCGGGTCCAAATCCTCCAAATCCTCCTCGTTTCATTCCTCCTCACACCCGGACGGCCAGGACAGTATCTTTACGGATATCTCAAATTTCGAAGACATTGGCTTGGAAGATGATGCCGATTTGTCATATGCTGATCAACCAGGCTCGTACGGCCGCCCTGGGGTAATGGCACGGTCGCCCGCCGCCAGAATGTCAAGCAAAATCCCTGCGGCCTCAACTCGCGACTTGACCGCGATGAAGTCTCGCCAGCGAAGCCCCCTACCCCCGATTCACGGTGGATCGGCCAAGACGCCTCAATTGGCTGGCTCTCTCATGGTGACAACTGGAAACCGGAGAGGTTCAAGCAACACACTGCAATCATCCGGTTTGACACCATCGCAACCTCGCCGTTCACGATCTGTCTCACCACTACGGCCGACATCCAGTCGCACCGCCTCGAGCACCAGTCTAGCTCTGTCGCCGCTATCCGCACGAGTGCCCATTCAGAAACAAACCTGGCAACCGAATCGCAAGTCGCTTAAAGACCTGGAGGAAGAATACCATGACTCGGACGACGAGCTACCGGACGATGCAAGTCTGTGGAACATTCCTATTTCTCCGCGCCCAGTCCAAGATCGGACCCCATCACGGCCTGCCAGTCCGAATGGTCGCAGCCCCGGACGGCGACCATTACCTATCCAGCACACTGTAGCGGAAACCGATAAGCCAGCATCACCCGGAAACACAGCCAAGGCATCCCGCATGAAACGTATACAGCGATCGAGCTCCGCAGGACCGGAGCGTGGACAGATCTCGCCACGCAACCCTCGAACCTACTCGTATAACAGTTTTCTATCTGACTTGTCCGAGGAGGCAAAAATCATCACTGAAGCTCTGGAGCTGCATGCTGATGATAGAGATCGCAAGCGGGAGGAGCACGTTCAAACTGGTGCTCAGCGAAAGTCCAGCGAGGACTCGCATCGCATATCCCGTGATGCTGTTGCTTTACCGCCTCTGCAGAAATCAAACATTATGATCGATCCGTTGCCAATTAGCAAGGAGAAGGAAAAGGTTTTGTCGCGGACACGCCCAAGCTGGCTTCCGCCTAAGGACCAAAAAGAGGAGAAAAAACACCTGAAGCAGTATCAGCAAATGATGATCCAAGCTCGAGAAACCGGTATGTGCTAAGAAAAGATCTCTGGAGTATTCTCAGCCTTCTAACTGGTATATCAGAGAAACGAAAAGCTGCCCAGGTTGCAAATGAGCAGTGTGAAAAGGACAATACCCGAGTAACACTGCAGAACATCTGGGATGAATACGTGTGTCCGAATTGGGACCGTGCTCTCCGCGAGCCCCGAATTCGCGAGTTATGGTGGCGTGGAATTCCCCCTCGCAATCGGGGCACCATATGGAAACAAGCCATCGGCAACGAACTATCATTAACCGAGGAAACCTTTACCAAAGCGCTGCACCGAGCAAAGGATCTTAAAAGCAAGAAAGATGCAGAAAGCGAGGCTAACAAACGACTACTGGACTGCTTCGAGGCAATCGAAACAGACGTGTCCAAGGCCTTCCCGGATTTGAACCTCTTCCAAGAAGGCGGTCCACTGCGGGAAACCCTCGTTGACGTCCTGCAAGCATACTGCATGTACCGCAGCGACGTAGGCTACATCCACGGCCTGCACACCATCGCCGCCCTCCTCGTTCTGCAATTCCCCACCCCCGCTTCCGCCTTCCTCGCCATGGCCAACGCCCTCAACCGTCCTTTACCCGTCGCCTTCCTCACTTGGGACCGCGGCGCCATGGCCCGCTCCTACATATTGGCCACAGACACCTTGCGCTACAAGTTCCCCCGCCTACACACTCACCTGGCCGAAACTCTCAACCTCTCCGAGGCAGAGATCTGGGAGCCGATCTTCCGCTCGCTGCTGACAAACGGCCTGGACCTCGAGCGCATCTCCCGCGTCTGGGACTGCTGGGTCTTCGAGGGCGATCGCATCATGATCCGCTCCGCCGTCGCTGTTCTGGGCTGTCTCCGCGCCCAGCTCTTCTCCTTCCACCAAAATGATGAACAGTCCCGTCTTGCTGTGCGCGACGTGCTGGGCTGGGGTCCCCGCAATATCGGAGTAAATACCCAGAAACCTAAAGAACGCCACAGCGCCCCTGCCGCAGCTGGCTTTGGCGGTGGGCAGATCGAGAACCCCGGTGTTGCTGATTATTGGGTTCTTACTGCTGCAGGCGACGAAGATGGGTTTATGCATGCTGTACGAGAGGCTGGGAAAGTGCGCCAGCCAGTTCAATAGGCTTGTTGGATATGACATGGGCTGTGTTGGTTGCGTTTTCAAGGCCCTTGCTTTTACCCCTTGCTTTTACCCCTACCTTTTCTTCTTCCGTCACAACCCCATTCCAACGATGTCTTATCAATCTTGATATCCACTCGCTACCCCAGAGAACGCATTGTACGACATCACAGCATATTCACCGTGCTTGCTTGTCTTACTATCCACTTTCTATCCCGTATACACATATGTCACTCGCTGCACAGCCGTTTCGTCTATTCATTTTCTATATCATGGACTAGATGAGAACCACTCGTTTCTCTCTTCTCATTATATTATCTTCTTCTTTTTCTCCAGGAATACAAGTATTCTTAGCTCATTGATTGGTCTTCCTGCTTTTCTCCCATACTTTTCTCTGTCTTGTATTTTAGCCCTGGCTTTCATGTCCTTATGCATCGCTGTTTTTCATCGTTGATACGTACTTGTTTAGTGGTATTGCAAACAATCCAGGTCTTTTACACTCTTTCTATTTTTTTTTCTTTTTTAAAAAGAAAACTAGAGGAAATATGTACTGTCGTTCCATAGCTGGGGAGATAATGTTGGTATACTGACCACATCTACATTCCTTAAGGAGTAAATCCCGGGAGAGGATAGAGGTATGTCTTTGAAAGTTACAATTAGGAAAAAGATAGTCCTATATCACATTTTTTGATTGGAAGATATGTTCAGTAAAGCTATGAAACAATCATTACAATGGAGTTCTAACATTGAAATATTGCATAAACGATTAAACGAAATAAGGCAACAAAGCGAGCCCATGCACACTTTTTTCGGGTATTTTTTTCATGCGACAATCATTTCCAGCCATTTACCATGAAATCCAGGCGATAGGTCCCTTGGGGAACAATCTGACGAGGACCTTGCGGAGCTCATCCATACATAGCACACCCATTCCCAGACCAAGCGGGATGCACCAGAACTCAATGGGCACTGAGGCTGTAGAGAAGATATTTTGGATACCTGGTACTTCCGTGACGAAGATAGCGATGACCAGGGAAATGAGGATAGACAGAGGGAGCCAGACGTTCCGACGGGCTGGACGGATGGGGTCGGCTTGGAGGAGGGACATGCGCTTGCTGCGGACAGACAAGACGTTGCCCCATTGCATGATGACCAGGGTGACGAAGTAGACGGACTGGCCTACGGCGACGAAGTGGTTTAATTCGGCTGCGGTGTATCCGTGGAAACCCTCGCCGTAGTTCTCGAAGGCGAAGATTAGATCGGAGAAGGGGATGCCGGCGTGGCGCCACATGTATAGGAAGAACATTGCGTGGGCGCTAAAGGCTTCCATTACACCGACGAAGAGGTAGGATTGGCCGTAGATGCGGAGGTTGATGAGGTGGTCCTTTTTGGGACGGCGGGGGGAAGGCTGAGGAGGTCGAATTCTTCTTTTTCCATGATGAGTGCGAGGGATACGAATAGATCGGTGAAGACACAGACGATGATCATGAGGAAGGTGCTGAGTGGTGCAGGGCAACCGAAGAAGACGTTCATGATCACGGGCCAGATCTCGGACCAACTACCGGCTGGGAGGAGGTAAGCGATGACCTTTTGTAGATTCTGGAAGACTAGACGACCAAGGCGGATAGCCTCAATGATGGAGTCGAACTTGTCGAGGAGGACCAGATCAGCTGCCTCGATGGCAACATCACTGCCAGATCCGACTGCGATACCAACATCTGCGGCACGTAGAGCTGGGGCATCGTTGACACCGTCACCTGTCACAGCAACAACACAACCACGATTTTGGAGTTCTGTCACAATGCGAAGTTTTTGCTCAGGTGTGGTGCGGGCAAAGACAATCTCTTCGTAACCGCAGACTGTTTCCCAGTCCTCTGCAGTCAATGATGACAGGTTCGGTCCTTCAAGAAGCAGGCTGTGTCGTGACTTGGGAACTTTGATTTCCATTGATGGATCGAGGCCATCCCTTAGATCGTCGATGGTGTCTGCCTCAGCTTGTCCGTCGAAAATTCCAATCTCACGAGCGATAGCAGCTGCGGTCAATCCAAAGTCACCGGTAACCATGAAGAAACGGATACCAGCCTTGCGACAAGCTGCGACAGTCGAGGCAGTCTCCGGACGTGGTGGATCAACAATACCAAAGATACCAAGAACTGTGAGATCCTGTACACCATGTTCAATCATCTCGTTGCTGAAATCGTTAGAGCCAGGGGCAGATAAGGGAATGTAACGACGTTGGCAGATGACAATCACTCGCTCTGCACGGCGGGATAGTTTAGCCTGGTAGTTCGAGAATTTTTCCCGCGCCTGGGCATCGAGTGGACGAACTGCATCGTGGGTAGCAGACCAATAAGTGGCGCAACGGTCCAACAGCACATCCGGTGCTCCCTTGACATAGATAATGAATTCCTTGGTAGATTTTGGGTCACGGTGCAGGGTGAGCATCCACTTGTTCTTCGAGTTGAAAGGAATCTGGTGCACACGTTCGTATGGAGCCAGGGCAGTCGGGTTGGTCAATCCAACACTGTCACCAAATCTCAAAACTGCTGCATCTGTAGCATTGCCATTGACAGCACGTTCATGAATGGGCAGGTTCATCGTAGTCGGGTCGAACACGGCATCATTGCACAAAACTGAGGCTCGCAGCATATTTCGTAAACCTTCGGGAAGGTCAACGCTTCCAAACTCGCCAGGCACAAGATCCTCGAGACTGTATTCCCAGTCGACCATTCCGAGAGACTTGACAAACATGCGGTTTTGAGTGAGTGTGCCAGTTTTATCGGAGCAGAGCACATCCACACAGCCCAGAGTCTCAACGGTTGCCAGGCCCTTGGGCAAAATGTTGGTTTGTTTCATCCGCTTGGCGATCATCATGAGAGTCAATGCGACAGCGACAGGTACACCTTCGGGGATGAAGGCAACAACACACCCCATGACATTGTTCAACATGGCCACCACACTCATGTAGGTAGGGTGGTCCTTGTGCAGCCATCCTAGCCAGGTGAAAAGGATCAGCAAAGCCAGGATGACTGTGAGAATGACAATAATTGTGACGAAGCGATTGATCTCGCGTTGGATCAATGTTGTCTTTTGCTTGACACCAGCTGTCATCGATGCAATACGGCCCATGACGGAGTTAGAGCCGGTCAAAACGACAATACCAATAGCATTGCCATTAGTGACACCAGTTCCCATGAGGGCAATGTTGCGAGTTTCCAAAAAGTTGTGCTCGGTGGCTTCAATGGCGCCTTCAACTTCGTCCGACTCGCCTGTCAGAATAGCACGGTCAAAGCGGACATCGCCCGAGCTGGACAAGAGACGCATGTCGGCTGGGACCTTGTTTCCGATTCCAATTTGAACAATGTCACCAGCAACCAACTCCGAGGCAGGGAGATGAGTGAGTTTCCCATCTCGCATTACCATGGCTTCTGCGGGGAGAAGATCCAAGATCGAGTTCATGACACGCGCAGTGGACCAATCTTGGAAAGCCGAGAAGCCTGCCTGTAAAGCAATGACAATGAGGATGAGAACAGCCATGGCAAGGTTTTGAGGCGAGGGTGGGTCACTAAGAGGCTTCCAGCAGATGAAGAAGATGACGACTCCGACCCAAAGCACTGAGCAGAATCCACCAAAGATATAGAAGAAGATCTTCTTGAGATAGTTCTCGCCATGGTGGGCGATGACATTTTTGCCGTCTCGCTGTAAACGTGTGGCAGCAGAGGAAGAGCTTAGTCCAGTACGCTGGTCGACATTGAATTCTTGACACAGCTTATCGGTGGAGATAATGTGGTAGTCCAAGCTCTCGAAGTAATCTTGGTGTGGCTGCTTCTCCTTCGGGGGATCGACGACAACTTCCTTGGGGGCGTTCTGAGATTCTGAGATCTGGATAGAAAGGGTTCGGAACTCAATTGGCAGTTCGGGCATTCCCTGAACACTGCTTCTTGTGCTATGGATGGTATCACGGCTTTTCGAGCGGGGGCGAGTGACTTGAGTTGGCTGGTAGATAGATCGAAATCCCTCTGCAGAAGAGGACTCCTCGAAGGTGATCCTCGTAGAGCGTCCAGTGCGTTCATCATCTCTGAGCTTATCACCCTCTGACTCGACGTCGACGTCGTTCTTGTTGTTTTCTGGATTCATGCTGTGAGGTGGAGGAGAGGATGGAGGGAAGATAGGAAGGATGAAAGAAGAGAAGGGAAAGCAGAGACTGGATCACACTGCAAGAGCCCAGAGTAGCCAGAGAGTAGCCGTAGAGAAGAGTCAAACAAAGATAGAGAGAGTCAAGAGTGTGCGACCATCATCCTTTTATGTAGGCAACCAAGGTCAGAGGCTGTCTAAACCCTGGCTAAGCTTAGATGAATTGGGAAGGTTCTCCCTGACGCAAGTAATGTCGTATCACTCATCCCACGCGATTCCACGAGGGAACTGCCGATTCTGGGAAAAAAAGAATTGAGGGAATAAAAGAGAAGAATAACATCCACACGGAGTAGATCCATAAGGGTCCACTGAAAATGATACCTTGACAGGTACATATGTTAATTATGGAGATCTACATATTAAATCCAGGTACCACGAATGATCATGGTACTTTCCATAACATAATGTACGCATATATGACACTCATCACTATATTACATACATATACAAGATCTAGTGTAATATTACCCTTAAGAAAGCTCACATAGCCAATCATTAACTACATATAACTAGCCACTATAAGCAAGATGACAATACGGAACACAGCCACAGCCCTAACTTTTTGCTCAGCTACCAGTTTCCCTGGGATATTACATACTGGAAGGACTAAGAGATTTCTATATATATGTAACTGGTAAAAAGGCAAAAACAAATGCCGCAGACTTCCTGAAAAAGGTAAACGTTCAGTGGGAAAAAAAAGAAATTTTCAGCCACACAAAGAGTTGAGGTGATATTCCCCGGCCGTGAGCGATTATTCCTCTCCACAGAATTCAACCAAAGCAGACTCAATTCAGACCTCACACTAATCCAACTCCATACTACAGGCTTCCACATTTGAAATTTTTCTTACTCTCGCTAAGAGCGGCTTTAAAGGATCGAGAAAATTTTTAAATCGCTCTTTAATTGAGCAGTTTGTCCCGTCCAATCGCAGAATATCCCAGTGAATTGACTCGTCCAGGGAATTGACTCGAAATTCGATCGGGAAACTGTGATAGCATTGGAGTTGAGCTATCTTCCATACTCTAATTGTTTCTTTAGATCTATAGGAAATAAATTCACTCTCGCAATCTATAAAAGGGCATTGGTTTAATGCCTCGTTCAAACATGATGTTTCTCTTTGTTCAATGTTTTTGTGTCCTTCCACGCTGTAACCACCTCAGTAGTCACATAACGCGAACGACACCACCAAACTTACTTATACAACGATCGCCATGCGACCCCCACACCAAGCCATCGATCACCATCACAGCCTAATACGAGGGAAAAGCTCAGCTGAACGTCCATCCAAGGATTCCGCCATCAAAATCAACAATCTACCCCTGTTAGAATCAGTACCAACAGACCAGCAACCCTTGTTAAGACAAGACTCAACACCGTCAATATCTACACAATCAACCCAATCAATTCAATCGCTGTCATCACATTCAACCCAATTATCTATATTCCCATCCCCCAATCTCCCCTTCTTAGACAAATATGGCCGATACCGCCAGATGGTCCACTATGGCACGAACAGCACAACCCGTCTCCACGAAAGCAAACCAACCAAAACAAGCAACCCTCACCTCGACAACCAACTCGTCGCCATAAAAGTCTACCGACGCTCCATCCTAAGAGGTCCCCCCAGCTCATCCCACTCAACATCCCTTCATCCAAACCACCCAAACATCCTCCCAATCCTAGACATCCTCCACAACGAACGCGACGAGCTCTGTCTGGTAATGCCCTACTGCGCCGGTGGAGACCTAAACACTCTCCTAACCCGAAAAGGCGCCCTCCCAATCCAAGAAGCAGACTGTATCATAGCCCAGATCCTGCGCGCCCTGGCCTTCCTACACGACTATGGCTTGGCACATCGCGACGTCCGTCTAGAAACTGTTCTGCTCACTGCCAATGGAGCAGTGAAGCTGGCTGGGTTTGGTGATGGCCATATTCAGCGGATTTGGGAGGAGTCGGGAGGTGGAAGGCTTCCTTCGAGACCACAGATATCCACACATAGTGCATGGTCGTTCACGCTACCGTGGCCGTTGAATTCATTACGTCGTCAGAATTCTGACTCTGAGTCTTCTTCTTCTAACAATGGTAGTAAGCATGTTATTGCAAACTCGCCTACCGCTTCGTTTGTCGGTATGAGGCTTCCGTATATTCCTCCGGAAGAATTCAAACTTCATTTTCAATCGCATATGCATCGTGATGATAAACATGGCAGTCTTGATGAGTGTGATTCTCGTCCTGCGGATGTATGGGCCACTGCGATGGTTTACATGGCACTTGTCACAGACAAGATCTTGTGGCGCAGTGCACGTCCCAATCAGGAGGATGCGCGGTATTTGGATTACCTTGATGCTCGGCGCAGCGAGCATGGATACCCACCAATCGAGACTCTGGGACAGGTATGTTACAGCATATTCTTGAGTTCTGGCGCAAACAAATCACTAATATCTAGTCTTTAGAGACGAGGAAATGCTATCTATGCGATGTTGCACCCCTATTCTTGGAAGCGTATCACAGCCACGACGTTGCTGCGATCAGAATGGATAAATGGTGTGGCCATTTGCGACGCGGGAGAGAATGGATATTGAAAGTTGGAAAATGATACCCCCTTACAATACGTGCTTGCTTGAAGATGTTGTATTACACAAATCGCTCCAAAAGCACCACTGAGACTCAGCCGAGTCGTGCTTTTTTTTGATATGTTCTTAGCGTTCTTTCATACACCCAAAAATAACAAATATAATACCCATCTCAATCAAACAGACCCAGCAGCAAGAACATACCCCCCATCAACAACAACACTTTGCCCATTCAAGTACTGATTACAAACCGCAAAAAGCACCGCACCACCCATATCCTCATCCCTCCCGGGTCTAGCAGCAGGAACCTTCTCACGATACCTCTCAGCCGGAATGAAACTCTTCTGCCCCTCATCACTCTCCCCAGCAGTCATCTCACTAGGGAAAACGCCCGGCGCAATATTATTAACCCTAACCCTCAGTTTCGACGAAGTAACCTCATGCGCCAGCATCTTGGTCAAATGAATCGCCGCCGCCTTGGAGGCATTATACGCAAAATGCTGCTGCGAGACCTTCACAATCCCCGAAATGGATGTCGTGTTGAGAACAGTACTCGACCAACCATGTTCGATTTCCGAGCCGCGCTGGAGAAGTGGCAGGAATGCTGTTGTCATGAAGAAGATCTGGGAGACGTTCGTGCGGAATACAGTGTCCCATTCGTCGAATGTGGCGGATGAGTCGTCGAAGAGGGTTTCTTGGAGTTTGGAGGCATCTTCGGGTGTGGTTTCTTCTTTGTGGCTTGATATTCCCGCATTGTTCATTAGGATTGAGAGGTGGCCTTCGCGGGTGGAGATCTCCGAGACTAGTTTGCGGATTGAGTCTTTGTTGGTTACATCTGCTGGGAGGGGGATGATTTGTCCGCTTATGTTTTTGCCGTAGAGTGAGGCGACTCGGTCGAGCTTCTCTGCGGTCCGGCCGGTTATGTAGACTTTGGCGCCGTTCACGGCTAGGGCTTGTGCGGCCATTAGGCCTATTCCTGAGCCGCCGCCTGTGATGAGAGCCACTGGGTTTGTTAGAATGGAGTTGTTGGATTAGATTGAGTGTGTATAGCTCACCTTTGTCCTTCACATTGAACAGGTTTTCAAGCTTGAAGCTTTGGTTACTTTCGTTGGCTGCCATTTTCGTTTTGTCTGAAATGAGAGGTTTTCTTGTAGAATTTACTTCGAATTGACGAAAAGGTAAGAGAGGAGAGAGCTTGGGTATTCGGGTTGGTATGTAGGGTCGCGGCATGGCTGCTAAGCTATCAAATTATACTTATAGACGATTAAAATGGGGATAAGTCATGACTCGAAGGACCAGAACTTGTTCTGGTCATATCTTTCCTGTTTCGGCCATGCATCATTTGTAGGTCATTGCTCCAACTGTCTAACTATCTTCCAACTCCTGGGATTTAAATCTTCCAAGGTTGAATCATTGAATCTTGGGGTAACAGGGGCTCATATATATCAGAATGACGTCACTTGTGTACTCGAACAAAGCAAGACTCAAGCAGACAGAAAACACATCGAAAAATAAACCTCATTTGAGGCTCTACAGTAAAAGAACTAGTGAGTCCAACTACCTGTAATTGAGTTTCATGGAAGACCCTGTTGAATATAGGAGTGGCGTTGGTTATATATATTTGTGATTGAGTTTGCTCATGAAAACGTATTTACAAGATGAAAAGCGATATTTAACATGATCTGCATAAAAAAATATACCATCATGTGCTATGATCTGTTGCTATAAAAGACCTGAAACATGAATGCACGCTATCCATATATACATTCACAGCTTGGCCTTTACAGCTAACGCCTCGCTTACCGGCGCTATCTCAACCATCATCTTACCAGTGTTAGCACCATCGTAGAGGTCAATGAGACCCTGAGGTGCCGCCTCCAAGCCACCAGGCACGATATGTTCTTTGCGCTTGAGCTTACCCTCTGCCAACCAAGAGCCGAGCTCCTTGAGCGCAGCCGGGTATTGCTTCACAAAATCAAAAACAATGAAACCCTTCAAGGTGACCCGTTGCGACTGTCATAAATTAGCCCTCAATTCCCCGAGAATCCCACCCAACCCCAAGAGAAACTCACAATCACATTCATAAAACTGGCCGGACCCTGCGGCTTAGCAGAATTATACTGACTGATAGCCCCACAGATCGCAAAGCGAGACTGAGTCGCCGCCCTCGCCAAACAAACTTCAAGAATCTCACCCCCGGTATTATCAAAGAAGACATCAATATACTCCGGCGTAGCAATCTTAAGCTGCTTCTTCCAATCGGCATCCTTATAATTGACTGCGAAATCAAACCCAAGCTCCCGAACCAAGAAATCACACTTCTCCTGACTCCCCGCAAGCCCCACAACACGCTTAGCGCCCTTAATCCGCGCAATCTGGCCAGCCACCATGCCCGTGGCACCCGCAGCCCCAGAAACAACAACCGTGTCTCCCTTCTTCACCTGCGCGATCTCGATCATGCCGAAGTAGGCTGTGAGCCCGGTCATGCCGAGTACGGACATTGCGTCTGTGGGCCGTCCGCCAGCAGGCACGGTTATCTTTTGTGCTTCTTTCGCGCTGACTAGAGCGTACTCCTGCCAGCCGGAACCCGCGACGACCCAGTCGCCTTTACTGTACTTGGATGTCAGGTCGCTGCCGACAGTGAGCACTTGGGCGATGCTTTGCCCGCGCATCACGGCGCCTTGTTCGACGGGCGCGATGTACGAGCGTTTGGCGGTGAGCCATTGGCGCATGGCCGGGTCTAGGGAGAGATAGTGGACTCGGACGAGGAGTTTGTCTGTTGGTACATCTTTGGGGATGGGGAGGGTGTTTAGACGGAAGGTGCCGTTGGTGAGAGAGGGGTTGATTGCTGGGGCTGGAGGGGTGGTGTAGATTATTTGTTTGTTGGACATTTTGGAGTGTTTGTGGGGGTTTGTATGAGTGAAAGGAGGAGCTACGTTGTAAAGAGGGAAGAGGAGGTAGAGATAGAAATACAAATACTAGTTAGTATGTAGGATCGGAGAAACTCCATATTAGGAAAACAGCTCCTTGGACCGAGGCTCGGTTTCTTAAACCTTTCAGTTGTTGAGTAATCAGCTTGATGCATTATTTGCTTTTTGTACACAAAATGAGATATACATCCATTTGAGGGTAGAAGAGCTCACAAAGTAGTGATATACAAAGAAAGATGAATTGGTCAATTTCCAAGGTTATGCTCTACCCTCATAGTGACGTCACTACCCAGGAAGTATAACAGGATGAACTGTGGGAACTAACAAGCACAACCATATTTTCTCCTAACACCAGACCAACAATAAACAACTATTGATATTATATTATCAAATATCCATATATAAAATCATGTCGCAAACCTACCAAAGCTACGAACACGCCGATCCAACCCAAACCGCCCGGGGCGCAGTGGGTGGCGGATCCTCGACAGGCGCCCCAGGTCTCCCAACAGGTGTCCACGATACACTGTCCCAGTACGACGAAACCAGGGGCTACAACCCCGCCACAGGAGCCAGTTATTCGAAATCATCAGCGGGTGGACCAAGCCAGACCAGCCAGCGACCGCTCTCGCCGTCGCCGTCTCGCAGCGATGACCGGTTGATCGGGGAAGCGCCACTCCCACACACGGCGAGTACGGCGCAACGGGCGGAAACGGAGGATCGATCGGCTTCTAGCTCTAGAGCTGCACAGTTTGGTGAGGGATTTGGAGATAAAGTCAAGGGCGCTGCGGCATCGGTTCATGTAAGTTGGAATCTTGTTTTGGGAAATGGAAATTGGAATAGCGGGCTGATTGTGAGTGTGATTATAGGGTGCTGGAGAGTCATTGCGTGGAGCGCTGAATACGGCTGTTGATCGGGCTTTTGGATCCACTGAGGGTGTTGAGAGGAATGAGGAGATTGCGAATAAAGGCGCGGAGGAGATTCGGTCTGGTCAGTTATCGGGAAAGAGATATGCCAAGTAGATCGATGGCTTGTTTTAATTAAAAATATATTAAAATGTCATCACATGCAAAAGAACAACGTCAAGGTCTTGCCCCAGCTTTGTGGATGTCGATCATATAATGCATAAAAAAGAGATAGGGGGGATAACTGGAGACAAATACAGTACCTTGTCAGGCCAAGAGGTTGAATTTGCTTAAATGTTTCTTAAAAGTTCTTAGTAGTTCTTGTTCTTAATAATAAAAAAAACAGGTGTTTGACTTTTTATCAGCATCCGACTGTCCCGAGAAGGCTGTGCTGGGAAACCCACCTGTTTCCGGTCTTTTATGAACGCATCTCTCCAAATAAATCAACAACCTTCAAGTATACAACTTTGTAAAAAATATACAAATTGACACCGTCAAAGCTTTCTACAGTCTTATACATTTTGCGCCCGCATTTGCCTGCATTTGCATCATACATGAGCCAATCCCCAAGTTTTGGGATAGTGTCGCACACTCGTACCACATGTTTTGAACCAGTTTCAAAGTTTTATCATTCCCCGGCATAAATCGCCATGGCCTCAATTCCCGCTAAACGACGCGATTCCTCACGTCTGGCCCCAGAAACCGTCGCGACGGCCGCCGCTTCAATAGAGCCACTGAAACAGTCTGTGTGTTCTTCGGAGTCATCCTCGAATCTGGTCGTCTCAGACTCTCCCTCCCATTATTCGTCTTTCTCCAGTTCCGATAGCGACGATCCCCTCCCGCACGCAATCGAGCTTACCGATGAAGATGACGCCGGCGACGTGGTGGGGGTTAGCATTGGGCGCGAGCAGAGCCGCATGAAGGCCCGAGCTACTCCTCTAGAAGAGAAGAACCGGGTATTAGAACATCAAGGGACATACTTCAAGCCCATACCGGATACTATAGGAGAGGATGGTCTATTCGCGTCGGAAATCACGGCTGAGCCAGAGTCATTGGAGCCAAAGGCTAAAGAAGCACCGGCGCCAGCGCCAGAGCCAGCACCGTGCGAACGGAAGTCCGGAAATAAGCCTCAGGTGTCGCACCCCTCTCCGCGGTATAACCAGCCCGGGCCAGGTCACCTTGCGCATGGTCCTCGCAGCGATCTGTTTACGTCTGAAAAGACCGGGTCGAAAAATACAGCTGTGACTCAGCGGACTGGCTTTGTCGGGGCCTTGTTGAAAAATACATTGCCTCGTCGACAACGCAGCTGGTCTGGTGAGCTGAAGAAATTCCTACCTGACCTGACCAATTTGAGGAAACGGCCCTCTCTCCCCTTCCGTGTGCCCAATGGCCAAAACCGAGCCCGCAGTCAGACGGTAGCACCCTCGGTCAAAAAGAGCTCGGGATTGAAACGAACTTCATCGCTGGATCGGCGTCCGCCGCCATCGCCTCTTGCAACACCAAGTGCTTCTAGCATCGAAGATGACGGAGAAGCTGTTCAGCCTATACCTGAGCTGCGCTCACCAGACGGAAACTCGGCCGCGAAGCATTCCTTCGTGCGGAGGCCTAGCGCGGTGATGTCGGGTCGGCCGTCAAGCCTGCGAAGGTCTTCGTCGGATCAATCGCTGTATCTGCGTGCCTCGTCCACGGCATCATCCTTAGAGCAGCGACCATTGTACGAGAATGTGCATAGCCAGGTAAACAGCCGGTTCAAGGCAATCAAGGATAGTTTCCAAGACTCGAGTAGCAGGCTGCTCACCAGGCCGACTCTCCATCTGCAGGATATCCGTACTGATTGGGGCTCTCGTCAATTCCTGCCAGACCTTGGAAATGGCCCATCAAGTAACAGCAATGGTGGCAGTGGTACTGCTAAAAAGGAGCAATTGCCGCGGGCTGCAACCATGCCGCAATCTCCGCAGAACAATCCGAACATAACACATCCAATCTTGGAAGAAGCAATGGCAGATCTCACGGGCGATGTCGTGATTCTCGGAGGATACCGAGGATCAATCTTGCGGTCTGCTAAGCCACCCCATCGTCAACTTTGGGTGCCGATGAAGGTTGGCTTGAATCTGCGGAAAGTGGACTTGGAGGTCGGGCTGAACCCAGAGGACGAGGAACGCATGGAGGAAACCATCATTCCATCCGGGGTTCTCTCCCACGTTGGCCCAGTGGACATCTGTCGACGATTGATGAAGCGGTTGCGCAAGAGCGAAAATGCCATGCGCGGCGAACTGCGTGTCCACGATTATGGATACGACTGGCGTCTAAGCCCCGAGCTGCTCTCACGCAGACTCATCGCCTTCCTAGAAAGCCTCCCTTGCAACCAGGAGCCTTCACCAGGTGAGCCCCGACGCGGCGCTATGGTCATCGCCCACAGCCTGGGCGGTCTCATAACCCGACACGCAGTCAACGAGCGACCAGACCTCTTCGCCGGAGTTGTGTACGCAGGCGTACCACAGCACTGCGTGAATATCCTCGGGCCACTCCGCAGCGGCGACGACGTCCTCCTCAGCTCGCGCGTTCTAACAGCGCAAGTAAACTTCACCTTCCGCACGAGCTTCGCCCTCCTCCCAGAAGACGGCCACTGCTTCATCGACAAGCAAAGCAAGAAAGAATTCCGAATCGACTTCTTCGACGCTAAGACATGGGATGACCACCGTCTCTCCCCTTGCATCGGCCCCGCTCTCCCCGTACCCCCAGCAACAAACAACAACACAATCCTCGGCTTCAAGGACATCCCTATCCTCGGCAAGCGGTTCTCCATCGGTCCTCGCGATGACTATGACGAACTCCTCCCCACCCAGGATATCCACAACCTCCCCCAAGACAGTCACCACGCCCTATCGGCAACTGAAAAAGACATCCAAGCCCGAAATGCAAATACCCCGCACAACCCCGCTTCCTATGCCGCATACGCATCTGAAAAAGCCCGAAACCCAGCAGACGGCTTAGTGGGACCAGGCGCACACCCGCGCAGTAGCGCGGCAACCTCCAAAATCGCCACGACGAGCACCCTCCCGCGCGCTGCTGCGAAGAAGTACCTAGAGCGCACGCTGGCAGATACCAAGCGGTTCAAGGCGAACCTCGCATTCCGACCTGAGCACCATTCTGAGAACAGATACCCGCCTGCAGCGGTGCTGTACGGGAAGAGTGTGCCTACTGTATACGGGGCGCGGGTTGTCTCGCAGGAGAGTATTAAGCAGGTTGATGCGTATGATGATCTTGCGTTCGCGGCTGGGGATGGAGTCTGTCTTGCCTCAGCTGCTATGTTGCCGCCTGGATATAGGATTATCAAGCATGGGTTGGTGAAGAGTGATCGGGGACATGTCGGGTTGCTTGGGGATCTTGAGGGGGTTGGGCAGTGTCTTCGGGCTGTTCTGAGGGGGAGGGCGGAGGGAGTTGGATTGGGGGAGAAGGAATTGTGAATGATTTAAGTGATTTGGGGATGTTTTTTCTTTTTTGTTTTGATGATCTTTTGATGATACCATTGGCCATGCGCTTTGATGATTTTGGGTTATGTGGTTTTTGGACACGGTTTGGATATGGCATGTTTGGATGTGACTGTATCATACTCCAGGATTTGGTCTGGTATATATTGTTTCTATAGCAGGGGAGGATATGAGGCTATTCATGTAGAAATAGAAAGATAGAGAAGATTAGAGCAGAGCTCAATATACGAAACATGAATAGATCTCCTTGCACACACGCTATGTACCCCTATACCATTCTAATATGTGCTTTTCGTCCTCTCCAATACCCACCGGAATAGAGCAGACAGTCTTTATCAAGACCAAACAGAAGAAAAAGGAAACAGTATCCGAGAACCCATCACGGGATATAAAGTATGTAGAGAAAAAAAAATGAAGAAGGATGCTATAAAACCCCAAAAAGAAAACAAAGTACCATCATCAAGTGTTTAATCCGTGCGCGAGTTGGCAATGTTCATGACCAAGATATCACTCGCGCCGACCTTAATAAGTTCATCCATTACCGTAGCAATGCGCTTCTTCTCCACCATCGAGCTAACAGCAACCCATCCCTCCTCCTCGAGCGCGGTGATAGTAGGCGCGCGCTTGCCGGGGGTAATCTTTGACGCAACGGGCAGCTGCTCACGCGGAATGTTGTATTGGCACAGGACGAACTTCTGGGCGGTGATAACACCGCGCAGACGGGAGGTGAGGAGAGTGAGGATGTCGCTGTTGGCCTTGCGGGACTTGACCAGCACGGCGGTGCTGGAGACAACAGTGTCAATGGCCTTCAGGCCAGCGGCCTTCATGGTCTCACCGGACTCTGATGAGAAGATTGAGTGTTAGCAACGGGTTCATACTTCAATTTGACTGGTGAGATTTCAACATACCAACAAGATCAACGATACCATCAGCAACGCCAAGAGCGCAAGCAGCCTCAACACTACCACCAACATACTTGATCTTCGTGGCGAGCTTCTCGCCGGCCGCGAGGCCCTCCAGGTTACGGAAGAAAGCCTCGGTAAGGGCAGTGAAGCTGGTCACGACGTTGGAGCCAACAAGGTCCTTGGCCTCTTTGAGATTGCCCTTCTCGGGGACCTGCACCTGCAGCTTGCAGCCGCCAAAGCCCAGGTCGAGGATCTCCTCGACGTTGGAGATCTCGCCGGCGGGGAGGGTAGCATCGTGCTCGGCGACTTGATCGCGGCCAGTGATACCCAGATCGACACGGCCTTCGCCGACGAAGGTCGGGATGTCGGCGGCGGGCAGGAAGATCAGCGCAATGGGAAGGTTCTTGACCAGCGCGATGTCGAGGCGGGTTTCGCGGCGGAACTGGACATCACAGCCGGCGAGGAGGTCGAGGGTTGCTTGTTGCAGACGTCCTTCTGTATAGTGGGTTTGCGTCGTCAGTCTTAAGTTCTTTATCTTTGTCTCTTGTTCATATGGGTATCGCTGCTCGCAGTGGTCTATGAGTCACGATTTGGGAGGGAACTTGCTTTTGGGCACGGCGAAGAGGAGACGGCCTTCAAGGCTGTTTAGAATCGCTATGTTAGTAGGGATCCCAATGTAGGTTTGTAATTGACAGTGACTCACTGGTTGACGAGATCCATGGCGATAGAGCGGTGCGGCGCGGGGCGTTCACGGGTTTTTTGAGGTGGGGGAATAAGCTGACTGAGGATCAATCGGCAAGGAGGCCAAGTCAATTGCAATTCAGAGATTGTGAATATATCTCAAAGACAAGATAGAACAGTTAATATAGTCTGGAGGAGTCAGAGGAAGAGGGAGACCGGAGCTTCTTGCGGCAGAAATTGGAGGGGCAGATTACTCCGGTAGACTAGTGACGGGATCGGGGACCCGAAGAGAGTGTACCGTGTTGGTTGCACAGGATGAGCCCACGTGATATGATTCTGTGGTGTATGGCTATTTAAAATAACTATGTACATATACTTGGTAAGAGTCATCAATGAGGTTTTTAATTGATTTGACAGGATAATTGGTTGTGGAAGCCGAAATTGTCTAATAGTGATGCTGAACGATATCGGAGTTCCAAGAAAAAATGTGCTGCCTGAAGCTGCCTCATCCGTCAGGTGTCAACTTTTATCCGCTGACTCATCTTATGCCTGACGGCTCAGGTGTCAAGCTGGCCCTGAGCCCTCGCGTAATTTGCAAGAACCCACACAGGCCAAATTCCACTTCAACACACCCTCACCTTCAGTCCAACCAACTCCAACCCTCGAGCTCAACGCCCTCTCCTATCCTCCAAGATGGATTCCAGCAAGCAGCCCGTTAAGCTCGTCAAGGTGACCCGTGTCCTCGGCCGCACCGGTATGTGCTTTCCCAGCTTTTTACAGCTCCAAAACCCACAATTCGATATTCGATATTCGCGGGGTGCACCAATTGCGCCCCGGATCGCCCGAAACAACCGATGAAAACCAGACACTTGGAGGAATAGCAATCGCTAATTTCTGGTTTATTTAGGATCCCGTGGTGGTGTCACCCAGGTCCGCGTCGAGTTCATGGACGATACCTCCCGCTCCATCATCCGCAACGTCAAGGGCCCAGGTATGCGATATTGATTTCCTTCAATCCGGTCGTCTTTTGGGATCACAAGAGGAGGAAATTAAAAACTTGGGGTGTACCTGTACATTCTACAATGAACAGAAACCCCATGTTGAAATATTGAATTTTCAATGATCGACCCAAAAGACGAAAAACTCTGCCGAACCACATAGCTAACATCTAATCCGCACCAGTCCGCGTTGATGACATCCTCTGCCTGCTCGAGTCCGAGCGCGAGGCCCGCCGTCTCCGTTAAAATCAACCAAAACGAAATTTCGCTCGCGTCGTCTATTTTGTCTCTCTTCTTCTCTCGCATATCCCTTACGACCGACTTTTCATGATTACTCTTCGGCCAAAATCGAGTCCCCCGCCTTTCTTTCTTGCCGTACCTTCAACCTCCTATCTTCCTCAACCCTAAGCCGCCGCGCTGCCCCAATCATTCTCGCCTGCCGATTCTCAAGGGGCCGTTTCTACGATTTCCGACGTTTCAACTGGAGGTGATGGTTTGGGTGGATTGACTTTTTGGTTTTTATAACGCCGAAAGTCCCGGAAGGTCGATTATGGAGAACCGATCGTGAGAGAGAGGAGCAGAGAGCGCAAAAAAGATAATAGAAAGCCTTTTTTTTTATTGATACGAGAAAACGAAATCAAGTTCTTGCGCTGAGGGCTGGTTTGCGGACTTGTGGTACGGTCTGGTCTGGTTTCGATCTTGGTGTTTTACTACATACACACGTCCATTTAGGCGTGCTTGCATGGGCTCAATGCGACAAACGAGGTTGTGATGTTGTTTCCTTTCTTTTCTTCCTCGTACCAGCTTTCCCCCCATCACTGGTACTTAGAAAGGACAAACGCCGATTCGAACCAGGCCCCGATCGACAAAAAGAACAATGGAATCCAAAAAAAAGTTTGAAAACTTCCAGTTCAGCCTTGTCGAGGTCGAGGTTTTGAAAGCGTTCGTAGAGCATCTGGCCAGTGTAGTGTATGTGAGTTTGTAGAGATATTGCGGAGCCTGACTGTTCCCAATATGTCTACCAAGTACGGGTAGGCAGTAATTATGCCATGTTTCTATACATAGGAAAGTGGTCTGTATGCGTGGATTTTTACTGCCTTTTTGTGTCAATATTGATTCAAGATTGATATATATTCAAATTGGCTCAGAGATCATACTAACTCGTATATCACTATGCCGAAAATTCCTAATGCTCATATGTCGGTATCACGTGGGCCCAAGTCTACCTCAAAGATCATATAGTTATAAAAAGTTGTCTGCGCAGTTTATGTCGCCTTTTCCTGCTCTCTAGCTATGAAACTGAGAAGGGGAAGCAAATATCCCAAAAACGACATCTAAGAAAACCACCAAGACTGCCAAAACGACATCACAAGGCCACATAAGAGGCCGACTGTTCTTGTGTATATAACTATGCTCACATTTCCACCTTCTCATGTGCGGTCTTTTTTCCTTTTAAAATGGCTGAACAGCCTATATTTAGCCCAGTCTGCCCGATTCCCTTCATCCTACAACCGGCTGAAAGAACACAAGAGCTCAAAAATTATCTTCTAACGGAAATCGGTTAGATCTAGCGTGTGAGCGTGGAAGCTCTGATTGGGATGTATGAAAATGGTGGGCTTTGTCCGCGTCAACTCGGGGATTACCCTGTTTACTTGGCTGAAGGTAAACGGGTCGTTAAGGACCTGTGCCAAATAATGCTATTAAATGGTGTGAGGTATGTCTTATTTGACTACTCTGTACACATGTATTCATCCTGAATATATATATCAAGGACAGGACTTCCGTACAAGCAGCTAACTTTTGTTGCCGATGGAGATTCAAAATAGACATTTATTCAAAATCAATCTATCAAAAATTTGAAGATCATGTTTAGGTGCTAAACTCATATATATGTAACTGTACAACCGAAAATGCTCAATGCCCGCATAAAATGTAAAACTACAACTGCTCCGCACTAGCCATGAGCCTATTAAGCAGGCCATCGTCACCAGCAGCCTCTCCATCAAGACCACTCTTATCATCAAGTACGCGACCAACCGCCCCCAAAAGCCCAGCCAAGCGCTTCCGCCGGATAGACTCCTCCAGCTCAGCACTCTTCTGGCGAGCGACATCAATAACAGCTGAGGGCAAGTTCGCCAGCCGTGCAACGTTCAATCCGTAACTACGATGCGCAACTCCCTCAGTAACCTCATAGAGGAACGTAATCTCGGCATCCCCACCCTTGTCCTTATCACCCGTCTCCGTGAACCGCATATGGACATTACGGAGAGTCTGGTCCGGGAAGGAATGCACCATCCGCGAGAGATGCTGGTAGTGCGTAATGAAAAGGGTGAGTGATTGGATCGAGCGAACCATATAGTCAAGCACCGCCTGCGCAATAGCGACACCATCATGCGTCGATGTACCGCGGCCCAGCTCGTCGAGGATAACCAAGGATCGAGGCGTTGCTTGCTTGAGGATATCTGCTGTTTCAGAGAGCTCGACCATGAAGGTTGATTCGCCGGCGAGCATGTTGTCGAAGGCGCCCATGCGCGTGAAGACCGCATCCAGGAGACCGAGTCGGGCAGAAGCCGCTGGGACGTAGGATCCGATTTGGCCCATGATTGCGATCAGTGCTACCTGTCGCACGTAGCTGGATTTACCGCCCATGTTCGGGCCGGTGACGAGGAGCGCGCGCGTGCCGTCGTGTTGCAGGTTTGTGTCGTTGGGTACGTATGTGTCTGTGAGGAGTTGCTCGACCATTGGGTGTCGGCCTTGTTCGATGTGCAGGCCTGCTTCTTCGGTGTATTCGGGCTTGACGTAGCCGGGTTGCTGGGCTATGTCAGCGAGGGATAATAGGCAGTCGAGGGTTGCGAGGGATTGTATGCAATCTCGGAAGGACTGGTACTGTGCTGCAATATCGGCTAGGAGGACTTTGTATGCTTGGTCGCAGGCTGCTGCTAGGGCTTCCTTGTGCTGATCTCGCTCGCGGATGAGCTGGATGACTTCTGGCGTGTGGAAGCGGGACACTCTTTTTGTGCCGCTGACTTTGACCCACGATGCTGGCACTCGCTTGAGTGCTGGGGAAATGTTTTCGATCTCGATCAAGTACTCGATGCCGGAGACGGTAGAGTATTCGACTTTGCCTCTCCCAATTGTTGATGCTGCCTCTTTGCGGTGTTCTAATAACCCGTGTTCAGTGTTTCCAATTTGGAGCTTCAGTTCACCGATCTCCTCTGTCTCCTCTGCCTCGCGAAAGAAGGTATATTTGTCATTGGTTCGTGCAGCGTGCATGTTGATCTTGTCTAAAAACTTGACAACTGAAGCTCGGATCGTGGGCAGAGAGGCAATGGCTTCGCTCACTAGCGGTGATTGAAAGCCCGTCTGGGTAGGTGATTTGATATCTGCAAATTCCATTGCAATCATCTGCATAGCTTGAAGAACAGTGAGAAGTTCAGGTCGTTCGCACTTGGCTCAACATTAGTAAAGGTGTGGTCATCATTGCAGAAGTATCACCTACCTTTCCGTAGTAGATGCGGATCAAACTCTTCTCAAGATCACTCTTGACTTTGTGTAGTAATCCTCGTACTCTCTCCACCGGAACCGCTCGCGCAGGATCAATAATCTCTTCCACGGCATTCGTCCGCTCTTCGAGGCGTACTTTGTCTAACAAGGGTCTTCCAACCCATTGCCGTAACATGCGTTGTCCGAACCGTGTTTGCGTCCGATCCAAGGTCCAAAATAAACTACCCTTTGTCGAGAGATCCGTCTGGTTTTGGTATATTTCTAGACTGACCAGCGTATTTCCGTTCAGAAGCATATGCGAACGAGCCGAGAAGGGCTGGAAATATTTCGTGAGATCAAACACATGTTCCAGACCATACTCAGTCATATGTTCGATCATAGCAGACAGACAGATAGTCACCTGCTCTGGGAGACCGAGGACGTTTTGAAGCAACTTCGCAGCTTGGGTATCCTCCTCGGTACTGGTAGCCTTCATTTTTCCTGCATAGAATCCCGATACATGGCTGTGTGCCTCAGCGGCAGAGGTTTTCTTCTTCTGGGCCCGTTCGAGGCGCACGGCGTCCCCAAAAACATTCATCTTGCTTCCAGATAAATGCTGGACGAGCTTTTCGCTAGCGCGAGACATCTCTCCAACAATCAAGATCTCGCAGGGAGCGATATGCAACAGTCGTGTCTCAATCTCGCTCCGCATGAAGCCATCCTCGAAGTCATCGTAGATAACATCACCCGTAGCCGGCTGGACAGCGACAATCCCGACATGAACTCGCTCGTCATTCCCAGGGCCCTTGGCATTAGTCTCCGTCATACAGAGCATGTATCCAGTAGCAGGGGAGGCGCCTCCCGCCGCCGGCGCAGGACCCTGCAGACCTTCGGCATCATCGATATAGGTTCCTTTCGTGTAGAGATTGGTTAATTTACGAACAAATGGCGCATTTCGATTATCGCCCGCAGCCTTGAGTGCAGCCGTCTCGATCTGTCGCACGACGCCGACCTTGTGGCCGGCTGTAACGAGTCGCTTCACATGCACGTGTAATCGGTGCACGGGGATACTAGCCGAAGCAAAGCGACCAATGTGTGCCTCAGATGGATCTGCAGTAGATCCTGGCATTAGCGTATTTTTGGTATTCTGACACGCAGAGAATACTTACGTTCGTCAAATCTGAACTTCCCGGGGATACACACGATGCCCAGCTCCTTGGCCGCAATGCGCGCATCCTCTCCGAAGAACCGGAATTTATATCCCACTTCAATAACCAACACTGTGTTCATATTCTGACGCTTTATCTCAATGACCTGCTTCTCCATAGGCGTGAGCTTGCTCGTGCCCTTCTTCGCACCCTTGCCTTTAGTCGGAGGTGGTGGTGCGGGCTCGTCGTCTTCCTCGGCCTCTGCAGCTTCTGCCTCCGCGCTGGCTGCATCGTTCACTGCGATTCTCCCAATCCCAACCTGACAGTCTGGCCCACCGAGCTTCCGGACGAATTGCTGGTGCAATTTCTCCTTCTCTTTCTTCCGCTTTTCCTGCTCTGGGTCTTCTTCCTCTGCGGGGACCGGCGCAACGGCAGGGGAGCTTTGGAATTTGAAGATATCGGTGCGTTGACTGCTGCTTGCCTGAGATGTGTGCTCAAAGTCCACGCTTGTCGCAACTCGGATTGGCTCCTCCGCGACCCTGCCAGTGGTTTTAGCTCGCTTTGATGCTGGTGCCACGATATCTTCGTCGTCCTCGTCATCATCTGTTGGGGTGACATTATCTTGCTTCGGCTTGATCTTGTCGGCTGGCGACGCTTGTCTTTTCTTGGGTGTTTTGGCCGGGGTCGGCTCGGAGTCTTTCGGCGTGGCCGAGGAGGCGGGTTTCTGGGTGAAGAAGCTGGAGATGCTTGCTTGCTTTCGTTTCAACGATGAAGAGGGTGCGGAGGACTGCGAAGAATGAGGTGCCATTTTGACGAAGGATGGTTCCAACTGTTCCCACCGCAAGCATGCGGAGTGGCAGTGGAGTTGGACGTAGGGGTTCTAGGTTGTGGTAGTAAGAGACGGGATTCAATGAGATCGGATGTAGCGGTATTTCATCTCAGCTTGATCTCAAACTAGGAACGTCTCTAATTGAATCTCATGTGAGTTCTCCGCATTTACTTGTAGCTCGACGCGTACAGAACGCGCTGGGGCGTTAATTGGTTGCTGACTCATCACTTTACATCCACCTGGGCAGGCGGTGATCTGCCAGATGAGGTCTGGAGATCATCATGCTTGATCTTCCGGGCTGTCAGATATCGGACACAAATGTGCTATCAAGACTATGCCTAATTACAACCAGAAGCGTTGACTTTAGCATTAGGATATGTTTCTATGACAATCCCATTGTAAAGATACCCAACCTTGGAAGGGGCCCGTGCCCAGTCATACTATGTACGGAGTAGCCCTAGTTCAATAGGTATTTTGCATTATACGGAAAACAACTGGGTCAAATTTGTCTTCCAACAAAGAGAATCTACATGTATTTATGCAAGTTCAGCTATTATGCAAGTTTAGCTAAGTGGGGCTTATTATGATTTCGATTTGCATGAATTTGTATTGCTACTAGTGAGGATAAACCAAGAGAAAGAGGAAGTGAATAGTAGGTGATGTATAAGTATAGTTGAAAGAACTGACAGCCATGAAACTATTATAGCCTCGCAAGGACAAACAAGTGAAGACAACAAAGATACTGAGCAACAAACCATCCATCTGCATCCATTGCAACATTTATAAGTACATATATGTATCCAGAGCAACCTTCCGAGGTTAGAAGAGACACAAAGTACAGTCATGAAGGAACCATGAAGAAACCCCCGAGAAGAGAAAAGATACCCTCGGAATTCTCTTCATAGGGAGACAGAGGACCTTCTCTGTCGATAGGAGAAAAAGAAAGCTGTCACAAAGTGACTATGAAAGTAGGAACCTTCATGAAAAGAAAATATTACCCTCAGAGTTCTCTTCATAGGGAAACAGAGCGCTGTCTCTGTAAGAAAGGTTCCAAAAATTGGCTCAATGACCACGTCAAAGAGCACGTTAGGGATGGGACAGGGGTACATAAGACGAAGGATACAGCATGGGGCCATGACGGGGAACAGGAAGGGGGGGGAGGGGATACATGAGGCGAGAGAGGGATACAGGAGGCGAGAGAGTAGTGGAAGCTCCCAGATGTGCGATGGAGAGAATGAGTCGGACGTAACGTATCCGCAGAGGGCGCAGGGGGTTTCCGTCCCGAAGGATTCAACCCACACCGCGGCGTACTTCGTGTCGTCTTGGCTAGGAGCTCAGAGGCGCCGCCAGGCAGTCAGGACCCAGGCCGCAGCAAAGACTCCATCTGGTGTCCTCAGAGGTGTGAAGTTCTTCATTCGGACAACGGGTAACGTCGAGGGGCAGTACAGGAACCCGGAGCTGGAGGGGAAAGAGAAGAGGAAAGAGAGAAAATTGGGGAAGGGGCAGGTATTTATAATTTACTACTGGCTTAAGGCGATGGGGGGTGGCGACGAGTTGTGATCTGAGAGGGAAGGAGCCTAAAAGGGAAGGCGCCTCACTAAACATCGCGTTCTGTTTAAAAGGGAAGGAAGGCACCTGCCTAGACGACCGTAAATTTAACTTGTGTATGTATGTAGACAGCTTCACCTGGGAAGGCAGCGGTCCCTTTTTGTTGTGTATGCATATGGAGGGCATTTCAATCACGTCAGAATATATGATACTAATTGATGTTATCTGCATATGCACTAACATTAACTACAGTATCTGTGTGATTACAGAGAGTTCGATTCATCAAGTCTCCTCTGAATCCAAGTACAGAGCATAGCCTCTTTGCTCTTTGACAATTTTCACTCTAAAGGACTCTTCAGTAAAGTCCCTAGGACCTACATCTTCAAAATACTCGACCATATTGAGCTCGAGTAAAGGCTACATTATCATTGTAAACAAGAATAGTCGGCTGCTTATGCGGCCTTACGATGCCTTTTAGCATTCTTGTTTGTGGTCTTTGTAGATGTTTTTTTTAGATGTTTTTTTTAATGGGTGTTTTCTTCTCCTGAGTTTTACACCTAGACGGCGGAAAAGGGCAAGAAAAAGCATAAACTGTGTAGCTAATTTTCTATGTATAATCTGTGAAGGCCAACCCCCGAAGGATGCGTGGAGTTGAAGTTAGAACACAGACTCACCTTCTCCAAGCAAGTTGGGTTGTAGAGCTAATTCTTGCCTGATAATCATCAACCCTGAAGCAAAACGCTTGGAGGGGTGTGTCTGCTTAATAGGCTGCGTCTTGTAAAGATTCTAATTTCAAACAGCGAATGTACAGCGATTTGATGCTTCCTGCAAAGGCAGGGCTTGGTGAGTGTTAACTATGAGCTCTGACGTTGTGATAACTCAGGATATGTTACTTTGGACCCTGCGCTAGCTATGAGAATACCGTCGATAACGCGGTATATCACATTGTCTTGGGGTCTTCATATGATTTGCTATGGGGTTTTCCGAGTGGATGACGACAAAAGGCTGTCTTTCTTTTCTTTTCTTGCTTGGCTTGAAGATTTGCTATAGCGGCTGGCTGTTGCAAGCTGATAATGTATTATTATAGCTATTTAATATTCCAAGGGCTCATTGCGATGTAATTTCGCCCTATAATTTTGTTCCTAGGAGAATCAGCTTGATTCATTCATAAAAAACTAGATCTGTTAAGCCGATGTTACAGTCAGTTTTGCGTTATATGGCACGGCGATAGGTTTAAGATGTATGGTACAGCGTGCTGAAAACATGTTGAAGGTTGAAGCGAATACTGTTGCTAGGATCAAATTGGTGCAGGATAGGATAGGAGTGGTGAGGGTAAGGGAGAGTATTTCGGTGGTTTTCTTATAAAGAAGAAGTAGGTCCTAGATGAAGTTGGCGGAAATAGCTAGGGAGCACACGAGGGAACGTAGAGTTCAGGAGGGCAAGGTGGGCAAACAGGTTACTTAGTGAGTCGATCAGGGTTCCCGATGCGGCAATGTTACTGTCAACATTAGGGAAATAGACTAAGAGAATATTGTTCCAAGTATACATTATGGCACGGGAAGCATTCATAAACATTTCGTATTGATACTGGCTAATCATAATATTGTACATCATATCAAACAGCCCAACAAGGACGGGAAATACAAGTGAACACCCACGGGTAATCACAATTGTAGAAGCTATCAATTGGACTGGGTGCGAACAAGTCAGGGTCGTCGAGGGCAAAACAGTAAAGCTAGCACTGTCACTGTTGGGGGGATTGGTTCTGGATATCCATAGCATCTTCGGTCACTTCGGGGAACATCGTGTAACGTCAGTCGTGTCGCAGGGTTGGCCAATTCGAGCAGCAAGGCAGCCCAGGAATTGGTCAACAAATTCGTGAGATTTAGTTTGTATCGGTAGTCAGATAGTATGAGGAAAACATGTGGTCGTCTTCCGGGATGGTTTCATCGGAGGGAGCTGCCTGCTCCATTGAAAGCCAGTTATTCTGGATTGGAACATGCGGCTCTTCGTACTGGTTGTCATAAAAAGAGTGCTTCAAGGGGGCCTGGAGAGGGTTGGATCGGTATCCAGCCTTGTCAAAGTTGCTGCCGTATGGATCACCAAGATCAGAAGGGTATGGAAGGCCGTATCCAATGTCATTAGAGTCGGTGTGTTTGGCGAATGGAGAAGGCCAATTGTGTGAGCCAATTCGGCCTTGAGGGTTCAGAATAGGCTCGATGTTCTCCTTATCAACAGATGCGTGACCAATTTTCGGGACATGAATGCCAGTGTTGGTCTTTCCGTTCAAAACGAGGCGAGTGGGGGTCAATGAGTCAAACTGCGTGAATCCCGGTTCCTGATAAGATGCCTTACTCTCCTCTTTTCCCTGTTGCTCATCAACAAAAATGTTGAAGCCACCTTTCGGCCGTTTGCCAAAGGCGTTGACAGTAAGACCAAACTCTTCATCGCCGCCAACATAGGATTGAGTACGGTCTACCGCATGGTGGGCGCGGTGGGGAGGAGTTTGCTCTTCTTTGACTGATTCTTCTTCAATGTTCTTGCGGTCATTGTCGATTTTCTGTCGCTTTCTGTCCGCAGCACGGGGGACGTTGGGATCAGCTTTAGTCAAACGTGGGGCCCTGAGACGAGTGAGGCCTCGCTTGGGAATTGGAGTCTCTCCCTTCAGTGGAGTGTATTCCTCCACATTACCAGTGATCACACGCTCCGTCAGCAGAGTTCCATCTGGGGAAAAGACCATTTCGTTTGGCTCCACAAGCGAAGAAGATTGTATCATCATTTGCAAAGCAGCACCATCCTTCTTCTGGTTGCGCCGACGACGCATCTGCAGCGTAGCGGAATCAAAAATGTCCATGCCTGGCCAGAGAACTCCCTTGAGTCTTGCAATTTCTTCAGCTCGGGCTTTGTCAATCTCAGAATCACCAGATGACTGAGTCTGATCACCAGAGTCGATAAAAGGATCAGGGGTATCTCTTCCGATATTCCAGGTTCTGTCCAAGGGGATGGGTTTGTTTTTGCGATGTGCCGGTGTAATAGGCAAAGCCAATGATCGGTTTTCATCGCCGAGTCCAGAAGCATCCATCGGCTGCAACACGTTTGACTTTGTGCCAGTCAACGATCGCATAGAGCGCAGGATCGGACCAGTTCGAGATTTCGCATCGCCGTTCGCCACAATCAAGCGGTTTGGCGTAGTTGGCGTGAGGATTGTATTCACATGTTGATGGTTGTCATCGTGAGAATCAGCTAGACGAGGATCGAGGTAGTCAGGGACTGAGGCAACTGTGGTTGCAGGTGTGCTGGATTCCTCAGAATCGACTTTGGGAGCTTGGCTTCTTGTGCGTTTGGCAGCATTGGAAGATAATTCTCCATCCGATGTTCTTTTCTTACGAATTTCTTTCTTCGCCATGCGAGCAGCTAGCTGCTTGGCAAAGCCATTCGCCTCAAACCAATCGTCGTATTGTTTGAGAAGCTCGATCGAGTTGGAATCGTCGGTGCGGAGCTTGAGCTTGAAGTGGTTGGCCAGATGAGCCTTGGAGGCGGCATGGGTCAACAGGTGGGAAACATCGCTGAACTGGGGCTCCCCAGGGCAGATGCTGCACATGAGGGTAGTTTCATCCATGATCCAAGACTGGAGGAAGCAACTAAACAGATAGAATGAAATGCAAATGGAAAGGGCAAAACAACCAACGGTCAGCCAAGAAAGCAAGTGTGGGTGGTGAGTTAAAGAGACGAAGGAGCGATCTGGAAGATAAACACATCGATAAGGCGGACGTGTTTGAGCAACCCTGGAAGAGAATGCCTTATCGATCGGCTATTCACATGGGAAGGAGCGTCTTTCTGGATGACGGGTACCTGGTCCACGGGTAGGTCACGGGATGTGATTGAACCTAAATATCTTTCATTCATCCACATATGTTGGGGATTATTACTATGTACACAATGTATGTGCCACGATGTCTTAACAGCTCTTTGGCTATTGTAGGGAAACATGAAGCGGAATAAGCCAAAGTGGACATTATTCTCCTCCCGCATTGTATCCCAAAGTCCATAGAGAGGCGAACGTTGGGTTATTAGATTGCAGGAGGGTTCAATGCATAATTCAATCTGAATTAGCTACCCCGCAAGACATCTTGCTGTGATTGACTTAGGCATACAACTGTTCATTCAAGTTAGCAAATTATACCAGAGAAGATCAGATCATATCTCACTAAACAGCATCAATCTCTTCAAGGCCATTGAACTTCAATAAACTTAACCCTGCAAGGCTGAAGTGTGTGTGATACACATCAACCATATTTCCTGGTCGATCAGCAAAGCCACCGGCATCAGGGTCCTAAATAAGGGTTAGCAATAGATTCCACACAATAGACAATTAAGTTACCTGGCATTGTAGGACAAATGCAGCAAGCTTCTCGCCATCAATCCAGTGCAGACGGTCGATCATGGCAAGACTTGATCCAACCCACCAGCTGTAACAGGCATCAGCAAGCTTCTCTGGTCGACCATTGAAACCACCGCTTTCGATTTGGCGCTCACTGAGCCAAGCTCCGAGGCGATCCTTATTCACCAAGTCCAAACGGCCAGCGATGGCCAATGCGCCAATGCAAGTAAACACCTGGCCAGCGTGGGACTCGGCACCAGGGCGAATACCATATGCTCCATCCAAGTTCTCACAACTTTGGATATGAGAAACGGCTTTGGGGACATCGACTAGGTCCAACAGGCGTAACAGTGACAATGCATTGAGGGCACCATATAAGAATCGAGTATCTGTTTCGCCCCACTGGTCTCCCATGAAGGATCCATCTGCATTCTGTAGGTTTGCAATGACTATAACGGTTTAGTAAACAGTCATTGATAGAAGTCGATATGAGGGAACTCTTTCATACAAGACCCAACTTTCTGCTTGCCGCCTCTGCCCCGCTTCTCGAGTTCATCGACAGCATCAATGGTTACGAGGATCTGAATCGCAGAGACGGTATACAACATATGGGCATCATGACCTGGGGCAGCCCCGAAGCCTCCATTATCATTTTGGCACGAAAGGACGAAGTCGATGGTCTGATCTCGAGGTAATGTATTTGGATGACCTAGAATATGCAGGGCTGTGAGACCCCAGTAAACACCATTTAGTCGAAGGTGCTCTGTCAGCCAATATTCAAGCTCATCTTTTCTCTATGTTGGTTAATCACCATCATTCCCTTGGCATTCTCTTTGAAGGAGGGACGTACAGTATCTAGCTTCTTAATGTAAGCCACATGCTTTAAAGTGTGTAATTCAGAGTCTGCGGGGCTAGCCATAGCTCTCCCAGGGCCTGAAACAAGAGCCATATCCTGGAGATATCCTGGAATGATGGAAGTGGCTGATGAAAAGATAACCACTGATTGGATGGAGATGTGCAGGTTAGTAGATTGAAGATCTGAGAGCTTGTGAAACCTATCACTGAAAGCGGTGAAGCCGGTAGATCTAGGTATGCATGACATTGTGGACCTCCTTTGTTTTCAAACCGGAGAATAGAGGTCCGTGCGCAATTTGATTCACGTGATGCACAGAGCACGTGCTAGGCGCCAGTTTCGCCTAATTAATTATTTTATATATGCCCAGGTGGGTTTTTAGGGGCAAAATTGACCATGTAGATTGATAAACGGCACTGTGTACAAAGTCGTACTCCGTACTCTGGACTACAAAGTACCTTCTGCTACATTATTGTATTTGTTGATTGGTAGAAACCCTGTACTATCCACTCAACAAGCCCCGTGCACCACGCCCAAAACACTGTCATCCCCGAGCGCTAGTTTGACATATCCAGCCATGTTTCAGATTGGAACTCCAAGCTGCTTCCGAGGGATGCGAAATAGGAGGGCGGTGTACAGGAGTATCCAAGAGAAAAAGGGTTAGAAAGTGTATATATAGTACGGAGTACTACAACGTACATAAAAGGAATTGTACGCATATACTCCGTACTCCGTACTCCGTTCTCCGCTCTCCTTATCTTGTACAGAATAAAGTATTAGTCATTATTATGAAAACAATCTAAATCAACGGTTATACAGTATCCATATTCTACTAGAGCTAGCCGGAGTATTGTCAGCGTTGTAGCTCTCCGAGTCTTCCCATGTTATACAAAGGTTTCTTTTGCTCACCTTGCACGGTTATTGTAAGGAACCTTCTAAAAATGTCTCTAAAAACAGGATATCCCCACTAGAGACAGTCTTGGTCTGAGTGTTTATCGGGTTCCAAGGTTGAACCCGAGACCCGTGGACCCGGGATTAATTTATAAAAGTGGCACTTCGGACACGGACACGTTTGTGCATTTAGCTTACCCCTGATATGTGTTTCTGTTAGAGAGATACTAGCCTGGTTGTATGTTATATATGAAGTATAGACTATTATAGACTATATCGAATATGCATATGTATAGATGTAGGTACAAAGTAGTATACTCTAACTGCTCATGTGACCATAAACAGATTCAAATCACAACCATGGATCTTCCGGCAATGGAAATCAGGTACTGATTTAATAGTAAATGACTCGATTGACCAATGATATCTCACACTGTCAACGTAAGAGAGCATCATGGCTCTGACCTAAAAGTGGAGAGCTCTGATCATTCGTATACTTGGTACAAAGCCCATTCAGCGGCAAATAGAATCTAATCCTGTAAACCTCCAGAGGTTTTTTTTTTTTGGGTAACGTCAGCCAAATTGAGTAAGCAGTGATCCTTGGAAGTTGAATATAAAGATAGATATGGACATTTATGATGTTCTTATACCGTCACACTATCGGATCATCCAAGCGACCTCGAGAGGGTGTCCCTTGGGTTCTATCAAACTGACGTTTCGGCATTTGAGCACCTTCAGGGGGATCACTAATCTAAAAAAAAAAAAAAAGGAGTCCTTTTTCCCAAGGTTTATAGATATTATTTAGGTGCCTAAGTTAAAGAGATATGTGGAACGGTTTCAAGTTCAAAGACCCAAAGAACAATATGTACTCCGTACTCCGTACATAGTATAATTATAACAATTATCATTTTAGGATGATCTAATAATTATGACTTCTTATAATAATTGTGGCTTGTTTGATAGTCTCTCCTCGGACTAGTGTACCGCTAAGTCTATTAGGAGACCTTGGACATTGGCGACTTTTTTTTTTTGTTTACAGTTCTTCAACAATTCTTCACCTTTCATAATCTTCATTTCCTAATAACACAAATACAACGTTGAATGATTTGAATGATTTTCAACTTGGAACCTTGATCCACATACGACTCCTATCTCGCCCCCCCCCTTCTGCCCTGCCGATCCCCGACTTCGAAGCGCCCAAAAAGAGGGGGAAAAGTGAACTTGCACTGAACAAGTTTCAGTCTCACAACCCTGGAGACATCGGTAACAATTGAAAACCATAATATGAGGATATCGGTGAGTGATCGGCTGAATCCGGCAGCGAACCCATTGTTTCTGCGATCCCGTTCCTGGCCTTGTCTATCAACAAAGAGTCGAGGTGTGGCTTCTTTCACTCGGCGTTTGCCTGCATATGGTGGCATATGCAGTCTCACCTGTCTTTTTTTATTGCTCTTCTGCTTCCTTTCACGTGTCTCCGATTTCGCGCTGACCCTATAACTGGCGCTTCAGATCTCGCGTCCTCGATACTTCCGTTTGATCCACACTCCTTTCGTCACACTTGACGTTTAGGTAGACATTGCATGTGCCTATCTCCCAGCATTACTCAGATTCAAAGTCGCTTCGCCTCGACACGGTCAGACCTCGAGCATTGATACCCATACGAGAATCTCAGCCGCATACGTGACTCGGGTTTCAGCGCTGGTCAAGTCATATCTAGCAGCTCGAGGATTCAGTCATCAATCTATTTGAAGTCGCGACGGGACCTAGAATCCACAGAAACTTGATCCCCGAAACCTTCACCTACATCCTGGACTCGGGTCCAATTACCGCCCACTATGCCGAACCGACATTCAATAGTGCCTAACCTCGATCTGAGCTCCTTCAGGATCGAGTCGAGAAAGGAGAATGTCTCATCGCCTTTGACACCAAATGACCACAGCTCTAACGTCCCAACCCCCTTAACACCTCGTTCGCCCAAATCTGCATCCAGCTCTCCACTGTTCAAAGGCGCAACAATCCGCCCGGTCACGCAAGACTCCGACAGCAAGTCAACCAGTCCTACTCTCCCACTTTCTCCTGGCGCAGGGCCCCCCGAGCCTATGACACCCGGTATCACAGCCATTCCTCAGCATTTCCCTTCTCCCAAAGACTCCCGACATGGGCGCGATGTCTCAAAATCGTTTTTCGGCAACCTTAAAGCGCCGAAATCATCACACAGGTCACAACGCTCCGATAGCTCGGAGAACTCCACCGAACATCCCAAGAGCAGAGGCAGTTCCAGAGAGCGGAAGAGAGCAGTGACTCCGAAACCGTACGAGTCAACGCCTGATCTTCCAGGGGCACTTGCACGTGCGACGGCAGCTGAAAAGACTAGTGAGTTTCGCTCTCCACCTGTGTGGGGATCGCATCTAACAGAATAATCTACAGATGCACTCTCTGGCAACAAGAATACACAGCAACCAGTCAAGAAAGTCCCTACAGATCTGGAGTCCGCCGCGCCGAAGAAAAACAAACAACGATTCGCAAACCTTTTGACCCGATCTCGCTCCATTCGAGTTGACGACTCCTCCGGACCCAGACCCCCACGCCGACGTCCGTCTACTGGTCTGGCGAAACTTGAAGAGTTCAGCCAAGCCGCAACAACGCCCGCGAATCCACCCCGTTGTGCGACTGCGGTCCCCGAACGTACCACCCGAGGAGGCTTGCAACCTCCTGAGCGCCAAGCTGACGCCATTTCTTTGCGAAAAGAGCGCAGCCACGGCAACATGGTTGCGTCGGGCTCGTTGAGTCAAGTTTCCGGCGCCTCGGCTACCATTTTCAGCAATCTCAAGTCCTCAGGAAGCAGCACTGCAGATCGTATTGGAAAGGCTGGGAAAGGATTCTTCGGCAAGATCACACGCAGTGGCAGCACCAACGAGAGAGAGATGATCACCGATGACTCGTACACGTGCTCGGTCATCAACCTCCCGCTCATTGAGCAGGCGAGAAAGACCCGTATTGCGAAGAAACTCGAAGACTGCAGAGACAAGACCGAGTTCTGGATGCCGGCCTTGCCATACCGCTCAATCGATTATCTCAACTTCAAGGGTTGTGAGGAAGAGGGCCTTTACCGTGTCCCCGGTAGCGGCAGAGAGGTCAAGCACTGGCAACGACGATTTGACACAGAGCTCGACATCGATCTCTTCGACGTCCCCGATCTTTACGACATTAATACGGTTGGATCTCTCTTCAAAGCCTGGCTTCGCGAGCTTCCAGATGAGCTTTTCCCCAAGTCAACGCAAACGATGATCGCTATGAAGTGTGAAGGCGCTACGACCGCACCACAGCTACTCAAAGACGAGCTCTCCAAGTTACCCCCATACCATTACTATCTCCTCTTCGCCATCACCTGCCACCTCAACCTCCTTCACTCATACGTGGACCAGAACAAAATGGACTACCGCAACTTGTGCATCTGCTTCCAGCCCTGTATGAAGATCGACGCATTCTGCTTCCAATTCTTGGTGTGTGACTGGAAGAACTGCTGGCAGGGATGCTGGACCGAGAAGGAATACCTTGAGATTGAGAGGAAGATGGACGAGCGCGACAAGCGGGTCTCGGTAGAGCAGGAGGTTGCCAAGGCAAAGGAACAGGCCAGCCATGAACGCGCTATCTCGTCTTCCAGCAGCAGCGCTGGGGAAGAACCTCGTGCGTCTCCTGAGGAGCCAACTCGCCCGCCAACCTCACGCCCAGCGACCGCCGTTCGCCCAGAAACTGCTCGTCCAGCAACCGCTCGCACCCGAAAGGCTCCGCCGAAGCATATCGACACGGCGCACAACCGGAGCATCTCTCAGCTTCCCGAGCTTGGCCCGCCGCTCTCTCCTATCAAGATCTAAATCACAAACACCTCTTTCCTAGAACAAACTTGTCTTGGATGAAAACAGTTTCACGTCGCTATCTACCTTTCGTGACCTGCTTCCAATTTCGCTGGCCCGATATCCGCTCTATCTGCAGGACCAGATAGGACTGGACAAGTTGTTTCAGGATAGCACTCCTTTCCTCCTCGACCACCGCCACCTTCTCCTCTCTCCATACCTCTGATACGATACCTCCATCGCCCGCTAGCCATATGACCGATATCTCTATTATCATTTCGTCTCAACCGCATACTGGGATCAGATTCCCTATGAATATTTCTCTTTTCATATGTACATCCTTTGCTCCTTTGACATCTACTCTGACATTGGCGAATGGCCGGCCGTTTCGTTCACTCATGCCATTTTGCTTGACTTGCATTGTACCTCTCTCATTTTACTCTCTCTTGTCTATTCGGAAGCGCAACAAATCTCATTCCGTGCTTTGCTTGATATTGCAACATCTCCAGATTCCCCTCTGCGGTTGACATTGATTTCCATCATCGCTTTTTGCTTCATGTATGTTTGATGCGTTTTGCAATGGGGGTTCACATTTCCCCTTTGCTTTTTTTTTTTGTTTGAACTATGTATCTGGCGTTTCCTTTCGAGGATTGTACAATAAAGAAAGTGGGAAAGGCAATTTTCGGTTCGAGCAAGATCATTTCTCGTACAATAATCCCCGTAGCCTCACAGATAAACAAAGGCTATCGAGCTATCGAGTAAAGGCCATCGCAAATATCGACAGATGCAATAAGAGTGCTTTTGGTGAATCACGGTATGTCCACAATACATGAAGAATCCAATTCGACTCCCAACCCCAACGCCAGAGATGTAAAGAGAGAATCACAGGAAAAGCCAGAGGCCATAAGATGAGCATGACAAAAAGAAGAAAAAAAAAAGAGAAAAAGAGAGCACGATAAAACCAGCTCAATCACCGACCACTCACTTCGCACGAGCAGGGTTCGACCGCTTCTCATTTGAGCGCTGCTTACGCTCATTACGCTTAATACGTTCCTTGCGCTCAGTCCGCGAGATACCACGAATGTTACCACCCTCAGCACTGGCCTCAGCCTCCTTCTTCCACTTCTTCTCATCAACCTCAACAAGCCACTGGTTCTCGTCGTCCTTGTTCTTGCCCTTGTAACCCCAGCGCGGCACCCACTCGCCAGAAGCCTCGTCGTACTGAAGCTTCTTGCGGCGCTCCTTGTCCTGGCCTGCGGCACCGGGCCTCTGGCTGAACTTGCCGATACCCTTCTTGCGAGCGAACAGCTCCCATTTCGTGGGCGCCTTGGGGACGGGAAGCGGCTTGTGGCGCGGGAGGTGGATGTTAGGGGCGGGGAGGGTGAGGAGAACGCCGTCGGAGACAGAGGTCTTGATCTCGCAGGTCGTCAGGAGCTGGTTGAGGAGGACCTGCACGCCGTCGCGGGCTGTCGCTTTCAGCGAGTTGTTCACGGTTTCGCCCTCGGGGAGCTCGAGGGGGTTGGGGTCATTGACGAGCAGGTGGCCCAGGTCGAATGTGTAGGGGGTGGGCTTTGAGACAGTGATAGGACTGAACATAAGATGTTAGTTTCTATATTTTTTTTATTGGGTTTTTTCGGGCTTTTTTTGGTCGTATATCCGGTTCGGGAAGAAGGGTTCTTACAGTCTCTCGGTCTTGGAACCAGCCGCAGCGGCAGGCGCGGAGTCTGACATCTCGATATCAGGCATTGCGATACTCGTAGTATTGGTAGACTGTTGATGTTCGAAGGTTGGTATCAGCCCGAAGAGAAAAAAAAGTGGTTATCAGATACAGCCGCTTTTACTTTTCTGCCATGACTAAGACATCCCGACCGCCTTTCCATTCTCAGGGCGGGCGGATTTCGCATCAAATTATTGACCGAAGTGTTAACTGCTGTTGTTCTCCCAACTCAATTCCCACCCACCTCTCCATCTTAGCACCGGTTGTCCTCTCACTGGCTGCGCCGGTGTGTCTGACAACAATGGCCTCCTCGTGGTGCTGGAATTGCCTCTCGAGGCTTCGACCGACACCGCGAGCACTCCTCCCGCCGTCCGCAACGCCCCGGATTTCGAGCGCCCCCTTCCACTCCACCGCCGTGCACTATGCCCAGCCGGCCAAGAAGAAGGGAAACAGCTTGACTGTCGTGAAGCACAGACAGTCAACTAGCTTGAGAAGGAAGAAGAAGAAGGTCGCTGATCGCGGTGGACGTCCCCCGGCTGTGGGTGAGCGCAAGGCTTTGCGGAAACGCATTGTCCTGAGCAACCCCAATGCCCTCGAGATTGAGGGAATGCAGGAGCTATCACCGGAGACCATGGTGGATTCGCGTCTCCGTGGTACCGTTCTGGCGTTGCCTGTGCCTATGATCGATCAATTGAGAGCAGTGCAAGCTTTCAAGCCTAAGCAGGGCTGGTCGATATTCCGCCGACCTGGAACGATCCTCCGACGTGACACCATTGAGATGGGTCGTTTGTTTGAGCAGATCTCTGGGGATGCCGACGAGGCTCAGAAGGGCAAGGTCGTTAAGAAAATTGTTACGGGTATGAAGGGGTCTGGAAAGACCGTGCACCTGCTGCAGGCTATGGCCATGGGCTTCTTGAAGAAGTGGACTGTGATTACTATCCCCGATGGTAAGTGGGACTATTTTCTGGTGTGTATTGCAATTTTGCAGCTGCTGACCTGTCAATCTTACAGCCCGAGAGCTTGTGTCCGGTGACACCGCCTACGCCGCTATCGAAGGTAGCAACCCGCTGCAGTATGTCCAGCCTGGCGCGACCTCGGCTCTGTTGACTCGCACCGTCGATGCCAACCGCGAGCTCCTGGCTAGCCTGAAGGTTTCCCAGAACCACCCGGCTCTGAAGATGCTGAAGCCTTCCTCGACCCTCGAAGACCTCGCCAAGCTTGGCTTCAGTGATCCCGCTGTCTCCTGGAAGGTCTTCCAGGCTCTCTGGACTGAGCTTACTGCTACTGCTCCCGCCGCAGGATTTGAGAAGGGCTTCAAGCCCCGTCCTCCCATGCTTGTTGCTGTGGATGGTCTGGCTCACTGGATGGTCGAGAGTGCCTATCGCTCCGCTGAATACAAGCCGATTCACGCCCACGACCTCGCCTTCGTCCACCACTTCCTCTCATTGCTGAAGGATGGCGATTCCCTGAAGAATGGCGGTCTCGTCCTTTACGCCACCTCATCCTCCAACAACCCCAACCCCTTGGCCCTCAAAATTGCCCTGGACCGCCTGGCCGCCCGCCAGGCCGGTATCAGCGCCTCCTCGCCGGAATACCCACAGCCAGAGCCCTACAGCAAGGCTGATACTCGCGTTCTGGAGCTGCTCCAGCCCGCAGAGAAGGCTGTCAGCCCACTCGAGTTGCAGACGCTGGGCGGCCTCACTCGCGACGAGGCTCGTGGTTTCATGGAGTACTTTGCTCGCAGCGGCCTGCTGCGTGAGGTCGTCAATGACCAGTGGGTGAGCGAGAAGTGGACCTTGTCTGGCGGCGGTATCATCGGCGAGCTGGAGAAGTTCGGCCGTCGTGTTCGCGCCACTGTTTCCGCCTCGAAATAAGGGTTATATCTTGCATTTCTTTATCTTGTCTTATCTCCGGCTTTTTTGTGTTGAACGTTTACCACTGTATATCGGATGCTGGGGTTTTCCTTGTGTGTTCTTCGCCCATGTACTTTACAAATCTCACTTGGTCCTCGTGTCTGTATGCATATAATGGATTTGTTTTTGGAAAAATTTTAGATCCTCTATCATTGAGCCATTGAATCTATCTCTTCCACGACTAATTCAATATTAATCCAAGCAGAACCACCCTTGTCTCGATGTCAACTCGATGCTCTAGTCCACATCCAACTCAATCATCCAACTTCTTCGGCCTAACCGCGCGCACCAAATCAGGATAATCAAAGGTAGCCGCAACATTCAAAAAAGAGCAATTCCCAGGATGTGCCTCAGCCACATCATTCCCCCGGAACAAAAAGTCCATCGGGAACCCAATATCAAACTCATAAGCCCCCTCAATCTCCCTGACATCCTCATCTGACAAATCAACCTTCAGCCCCTCAATATTACCCAGCAAATGCTCAACCGTACGCCCACCAACAATCGGAACAACATACGGCGCCTTGCGCATCACATACGCCATCGCAACGCTGGTAAGCGCAGTCCCGTGTCGCGCAGCAATAACCTCCAACACCTTCGACACGGCAATGTCCCGCTCTGACGCCGGGTTCTGTCGTCCAGGTTTGTTACCACTCTGCGCAATCGCTTCTCGCTGCGCGGTGGTTTTGAATGCCCCGCCGCCGAGAGAGGCCCATGGTGCGAGACCCATTCCTTCGGACGCCGCCATGGGGATTATGTCGCGCTCGAAATCGCGTGCGGCGGCGTTCCATTTGCCTTGGTACACGGAGAAGGGGCGGAGGCCGTGGTCGCGGGCGTCTGGCGTTTGGGTTAATATGGATATACATGTAGTTGGGGGATAAATAACGCCAGAGGAAGATGATGGTGGGAGTGGCGGTACTGTAGATAGCTGTAAAACTTACATTGGTTCGCCTTGCTCACGATCCACGCTGGTGTATCACTGATACCCAGGTACAGAACCTTGCCGGATACGACGAGCTGGTTGAGCGAGGTCATGACCTCCTCGATGGAAGTGCTGAAATCCCACCAGTGGACATAGAGCTGTATATTCAAAAATTACATTTGTTAGCAAGAATATACTCTGAGAAGTATGTTGAAAGTTGAAAGAAGCCCTTGAAGCTAGCCACGTACCAGATCAATATAATCCGTCTTCAATTTCTTCAGACTCGCATCCACAGACAGCCTCATGCTCTTGGCATTGTTGCCAACGAAGTTCGCCTGGATCTCGGACTTGTTGTGGGTGCGGTAGGGCGAGGTATACTTCGTTGCGAGGACGATTTCATCGCGCACACCGCGGACTTCCATCCACTCGCCAAGCCATTTTTCGGATTCCTCGGCTTGGTAGTTATTTGCTCTTTGGGGCTTATTAGTAATTGGGCTCACATCAATTGCAAGCCTCATTCAATGGATAGAAAGAGGCTGGCGCTATACGTACGTATCAATGAAGTTGCCTCCGTTCTCGTAGAATGTATCCAGGATCTGGAAAGATGTCTCTTTGTCGCACTCGCCGAGGCGTTCTTTCCTGTCATATTTTTAGTTGTTGGTAATTGAGATCTATAAGCATTATGTAGGCATTCTACGTACCAGCCCTCACCGAAGTTCATCGCTCCTAGGCATAGTGGGCTCACTTTGACGCCGGCAGTGGGTGCCAACAGACGGTAGCGGCCGAGGTGGGACTTGGGGGGTGCAGCTCGGGGGAACATGGTGGGAATTGAGGGGTTTCAAGTAGAATTGGTATGGAAATAGGGATTGGGAGGATAGGCTTTCTCGGAGTTCTTTTATAGTCCATATGCGGGGTCAAACGTGTTTATTAATGTGTGGATAAACAGGGGTGTTGAATAATCAGGCTTGTTATGCAGGATAGCATCATGCTGTAGGTACCTATGTTGCATAGAATTATTCTCCGCACATCGCGTTGATTCGCTCTTGGGTTCTTTAATTCCTAAGTCCGCCCGAATCTGAGTTTAGGGTAGGCGGGTTAGGGTTAACTCCGGTTGGATACAATATATGCATGTTTTTTGGGGCTTTCTGGAATGTTCAAGTAGTATCATTCTTCTAATTAAGGCTCAGAATTCGCAAGACTTCTATTTACTAGCTGTATGTCCGTGGCTATTCCCGTCCGCACCCTCGGCCTTGATATCATCAGCCCTAACATCATCAGCCTCGGCATCATTAGCAGCACCGTCATCACCATCATTAGCCTCGACAGTATCAGCTTCAACAATATCAATCCTATCCCCCTTGGCCTCATCCCCGTTATGCTCTTCCTTGTCCTCCTCCTCGTCACTCTCAGATTCTGGTTGATTGAGGTCATAGTATTTATCATATATGTCATCCACAATATCCCGATACTCGCTCAAATATTCATCAATCTCAGAACCGTTCTCTCCAAGAACACCGCTCCAAATTTCCTGCTTTGGGGGAATCGTCACTGGACCAGGTGTCCAATCAACAGTCCCATTGTCCTGGGCAGTATCACTACCAGACACGGATTTAGCCTCCCCTTTATCAACAGGAGGAACAATTCCTCTGCCTTGACACCTGCCACACTCGCAATTCTTTCCAAACAGCTGCACGGCGTGCATATTGAGATCGGTGTCTTCGCCAATGGCATCAGCGATCCTATAACGTTGATACGGAATTCTGATCTCTTCCCCAGCTTTGATATCCTTGTTTGCCCAGACGACTACACGGTTGGGGACCTTGTCATCGTATCCCCACAGTGCGTTCTCAAAAGGGCGACAGGAATGGTTGAACATGCTTAATCCAGGGAAGAGGTAGAAGTTCCCAAAGGATGGTTCCATAACCGAAAGGTCTTCGTTTCTATCTCTCATTCTAGATTGTAGGGTTGGGTGTAGCACCGGCTTGGGGCCATCCCGGTCATTGAACGTTGGGTTCGCACCTCGTCGTTCATGTTCCCAGGGTACAGCATTGACTAGTAACTTCCGCAGCACAGTCTGAATAACCCAAGTATCGAATGAGAGGTCGGAGAAGATGTCCACTCCAAGATTGAACAGGATATCGAAAGGTATCTGGATATTACCAGCCAGAGTGAAAGGAAACCAGCTGTCTTTCCACGGCGCGTTCGTGTCGGTACCTGCCTCGAGGACGAGGAGTTCATTAATTTCATGCGCGAGAAGATTGGGGTCCTCTTGGCGGCGGTGGAGCGTGAGCTCGAGTACGCTCTTCAAGAGTAGACTCAAAATAGTCCCGTGGCGTTCGTTGGTGTGGGTGAAATACTGCGATCCGCCCCAGGTCACTTTATTAGGTCGCATAGCATCATGCAACCAACCCCAATCGAGACCACAGAATTCTTGGAAATGGTATGTTTCCCGCGCAATGGCCAAGCAAGGGGGAGCCGTGCCGTCTGATAACGCATCGTTGGAAGAACAGAACAGCAGACCGCCCTTTGTAGCTCTGAAATATCCTACATCCGTACATTTGCAAACCATGTCAAGACACGCGCAATTATCCGGGTGTTCCCACCCGGGAACAGGCGTCGGATTACGAATGGAGTCCCATCTGTCTTCGAGATGTTCAATCTCTTGTTGGTCAATTACCGTTTGACAGTTGTCGCATCGTGGGGCATGGAAAGGGTCTTTGCTTTCATCATCAAGCAACCTGTTGGGGATGAGATTTCCGCGAATAACGGGTTCCTCGTATTGAATAATGCTTCCTGCTTTGATGTTTGCAGTGGCAAAGACTCCCAATCCATTGAAAGTATCGTCCTCTGTGAGTGTAGACTGCACCTGGCATCTCCGCTTGGGGTACTTCCCGGTACTGGCATTAACCTGGAAAATATTTGCGTTAAGTGCATTGATAAAATGTGGTGAGTCGCGTCTCACATCCGCTTGGTCATATGGATATCTACCAGCACCTGAAATCCATCCTCTGCTCCACTCGTGTCCATAAAGAGATGGGTGAAGCGCTGAGGGATTATCTCGCCTTTGTTCGATCTCTGCTTTCACATGAGCACTCACTGCCATCCGCTTTTTGGGGACCGACGCATCGCGGTATGGCAACGGTCTTTCGAACTGGCTCTGCATATGGTCTTCGAAGTCATCCCAGCAATTTAGTGCTGCGAGACTGAGACTGGTAATGCTGTGAAGGGCATTTCTCAAGGTTGGAATGAAATAGTTGACACCATTTGCCTTCCTCATTTGTAAGATCTCTCTTGTCATTGGGACTCCCTTGATCTTCAATTCTATCATCAGGTGGTGCTGAATAGCGTCCCAAACCCGGGTATACATTCCGGGGCGCTTGTTTCTTTGTGTTGCTGTCGTCAAAACTTCGCAGAGAAGTTCTCCGCGATAGGCGTCTCCAATGGCGAGATCAAAATATCCCAGCAGATAATGACAATACGCACGGCTGTTCCAGTAAGTTGGATTGTACGGGCTCAGTTTGATTGCTGCGGTGTACATTTCGAGTGCAGACATATCTGTTCTCGTAGCAGGGCTCATTACAGGCCTTGACTCACGATGGATACCCCAGTGACTTAGGTTGCTTTGTCTCGAGAACCCAAAGCGCTCATCGCATTCGTATTCCCATAGACGACATTGTAGGTCTGTTTTTCTTCCATCTGTGCTTAGACCCCTTGATCTCAGTTCTTCCGTGAGTGCATCTTTCGTCCAAAGATCCGGGTCTCTGACATTCAGGCCATGTATGAACACTTTTTCTTCCATTGCGTCTAGTCCCTGCACGCCGTTATAGGTCTCGTCCAAGCCCTCGGCTGCGAATCTGGCTCGTGCATCCTCGCGCGAGATGGGCAGAAGTGGATTGCTCATCAAATGCTCATAGACATTGTGAGCGAGCGCATGAATTACCGATTCTTCTTCTTCGATTGCTCGTGTATAAGGTCGATTGGCATGTGCCTTCCATGCACGCCCGAGGGATTCATCGGGCTGTTGCCAAAAGCGACGGGCAAGAAATGCATCGTCTTCGGTCAATACCGGGGCTAGTGGCGCTTGATTGAAGAGATCTGGCCGCTTTGGAAACGGAGGCGGGTGGACGATGTCTCCCCCGGGTAAGACTTCGTATAATTTTTGCATCGGATCCATTTTGATCTCTGGTGTATCAAGTAATGCACAAAAGGTGCAAAAATAGGTATATGAGCACGGGAAAGAGTATGGCAGGTCTCAGGCCTTCGATCTTCTTATATCGCGTGAGACTGCGAGTCCAACACAGACCCACGGAGTTACTATGAGAGTATAAATGATAGATCAGTCTCATACCTGTCATAGGTTACGGTTGAAAGGAATCCGTCATATCAAAGACTCCCGGGGAACAAAGAAAAGATAAGATCATGCTGGTTTATTTTTGGAGACGAACACAGTCGACTTGAGTATAGTTCAACAAAGAAAAGCGAAAAAAAAAAAGATGTGTTCTTATGAAATGAACTTGCTTCTGTGACAAAGAAAACCAACAGTCCTCTTGGGTACCTTCATATCAACATCAGCTTGTACCGGAGAGGTCGGGATCCTTGGGGGTCTTTGAATCCACTTTTTAGTGGGAAACAACAGCCTTGGAGTATACGAGAAATAGCAAAACAAAGGGTGAAACGCCATCGTCCATGGAAATTTCTCGAAGGCTTGTAATCCTATGCGTTGGATCACGCCGTCGGTGCATCTGTCCCAATATACATGCATGTGTCCAGCAGGTACGGAGTAGTGCGTTTTCGTATTTAGGAAGTACTGGAGGGGGTGAACCGTGCTGACCCCCAACCCCAACAACACAGCCCTGGGGGGGTCCCTGGACACTTTTAAAAAGACTGCCTAAGAATTTTAAGATTTTCATGTCTTTGTGAAATTCTAATTCACCATGAACGGACAGTCGAGTCATCCTGGTCCTCCATCGCAGCCGGAATGGCGACTTCCTCAGCGTCTCCCCTCGCCGTCGCAGCCGTCACACTCGCCGCAGCCAGGGCCTCCTCCTCCTCCACGACTCCCGGTCCAATATTCGCCAGCGGCTCCGTATTCGCCGGCCACGTATGGACTGATTTCAAATCCCCAGAGGCTACCCTCACCGAGTACGGCAGATACATCCACGTGGGGAGTACGGTTCAACCAGAACTCCGGTCCCCCATTACCAGCAAGTCCGTGCTTCAAACGTCAAATGTAAATAACTAACAGTTGCATAGCCCCGACCTCCAAGTACCAATGAGCAACGATATGCCTACGGGCAACCTCAGTCCCATCCGCCTGTCGCAGCCCCCTTTCACGGGATCCAACCCTCTCCGCCCCCGCCTCCACCTCCATATACACCAACACCCCCAGCACCACCACCACCCGGTGTTCCACAACCGCCCCCAAAGATCCCACAGGGACTTCAAAATGTACCAACCCAACAAAGTGATCAGACGGGGCAAACTCCGCTGCTTGCTCAGGGCGCGGGACCGGCGGCGATGACTGGATCTTACGAATACCGCCCGCCTATCCTCAATACAAACACAACATATACCGGCGCATCGGCTCTGGGCCTTGGAACACCATCGGATTGGGAGCATCTTAGCCCAACCCCTGGACACTTCGATGATGCAGCGTGGTTCCCACCGCGTAGGACACCCCCTGCACAGCACGAAGGGTTTCAACCACCACCAAGGCCCCCGGGCGATATTTTCAACGTTTCTGTGGGAAGCGAGTCTGACATCGTCGCTCGCCCGAGAACAGATACAAATGAAACGCTTTCAAGTACTGTCTCTGGAGTGACACAGTCGGGACAGGGTACCTCAAATTCGCCCGTCAGTCCATGCACAGCACATCGGCTACCAACACCGCCTCCACTGGCCCGCGCGGATACCACTAGCTCTGCCTTATCTATGGGACGCTCGGAAAGCATTGATAATGTAATAGATGCATGGGTTCGCCCATTATCTCCTGCGCCTAAACCAGCTCAACTGGAACATCAGGATCGCCCCGGCGCATTCTATCAAAATAGCCCAGTAGAGCGCTCACAGTCAGCGCAAATCAGCTCCTCATTTGTCGACCATTTACGATCGAATTCAAATAGTTCTGCACGAATGGTCGAAGAACCCAGAAGGGCGGCTACGCCGAAAATCCAAGATCCCTTCGAGGATCTGGACCCCTGGTCTAAATCATCGTTGGAAAGATTTGTCGCCACACTACGTAAAGAGGCAGTGGCTGACTCGGACGAAGAGCGATATAAGATCTTCACGGCTTTCATGGCTAAGGAGACTAAGCTCCGGGAGATTCTCTATAATATTGAGCATGAGCCTGAAATTAAACCGCTGACTCCGCGAGCTCCTGACCCCGCTCCTCATCATCCACCATCTGCTTCCAACGAAAACAAACCACCTGTTGAGTCAGGACTGATACCTGTTTTGTCAGAAGAAATCTCGCCTCCCTTGTCGGCAACAGCAACAGAGGATCAAGATCTCGATGATGTTGCCAGTGAGTATAGTTCAGGTGGTCGACCCCTACTCGCTAAGCAAGCGGGCCGGGCCTCGCAGTTTCTCCCTAGTTTATCTGCTGTGCCCTCGGATGCAGAGTCGACCTATCTCTCAAGGCCCATCTCGATCATGTCAGTAGATACGCAGAAGCAAGTCTTGGAGCCCCTGACTACGAATCCTCCTCGACCCATATACACGCCATTCCAGTATACGGAGGGTCCTCAGCGCGGCTCAGATAACCTCACCTTTGCTCGCCCGGCCTACCAAGCCTATTCGGATCTGCGGCACGCGGCTGTCAGTGGACGAGTCATGTCAAATGCACCGCCACCTACATCTCGATCGAGGTCAAGCACTGCACTTGCTTCTCCAACCCAGAACGAACATGATGAGACTTTTCTCGGTCTCATCCGTCACAAGAGCGTCGCTTATTCTAAGCCGGCTGAACGAAAATCTCCGCCGCTTCCATCGTTGCCAGGAACTCTTCGTCAAGGCCGGCCGAGGACCCTCGTGGAAGAACTACGCACCATAGTATGGAAACCTTTGGACAAGCAGTCTGAAAGCTCATGGCACATCACGACTCGGGAAGGACTCGAAAATTTCCCTGATGATTTCTCATACATCCGATGGACTGCCGATCAATGGGAAGAAACAGCGCAAGCAAAACGGCGAAAGGTGGAGCACGAGCGCATGGCTCGTCAGGATGAATCTGAGGCGCATATCGATGATCTTTTCAATGGGAAAGAGATTGGATATGCGGATATCAATACCCTAGAAGAAGACTTCCGGCAAACTGAAGCTCGGGCTCAGTTAGAGGAGGAACGACACGAAGTCGACGATTTCATGACAAATGTCTTCAACCCCTTGGATGAACGCCTGAAAAATGAAATCTCGGGGCTTCGCAAGTCCTACGACTCTGCTCTCAGTCAACTCGACCGTGATCAACAGGGCAAAGGCTCACAAAGCGAGCGAAACAGCCCGTCCGTGACCATGAAAATGGTCAATAATATTCACAACAAGCTTGAAATCCGATTCCAGAAACGTCTTGAGTTGGCCCTCGACTGTGAGCGACGACGGAAGAAGGCTGAGCGACGACCACTTGTGGTGATGGGGGATGTGGTTGGTCTGCGAAAACTTGACGCCGAATTTGACCAGATGGAACGGCGAAATGTTCTAGAAGCATGCAAGGATCGTGATGACCGAGCTAACCGACTCATGGATTCCTTTGACGATGCAATCTTGAACGGACTAGGTATAAACCAGACCCTCCTGGACGAGGTTGCCTCTAAAGCAGCCCGTCTAGATACCACCACCCTCCGAGCCTCCGGTCTACCGGATTCTGAAATTGAGCAGATTCTCAAATCTGCAGCAACCTTTGCGGCGTCTCTCCGAGCCGATTCGGAAGCCATCATCCGCAGCGCTGGGGTTGCAGATATGGCCCTCAATGACGCCGACTATGAAGTCTCCGTCGCTGAAGCGCGATATGCCAACTCAGATCCGGATATTTTCAATCGGCTGGCGGATGAGAAGCAAAAAGAGGATGAGAAAATCCAGGATGACCTGAATTCAAAGTTGCAGAGCATTCAGAAGGGGCCTGTGCAGATTGAGGCCACAATTCAACGCCTTCTCGTTGGCTTGCACAACGATCCCCATACCGCTGCCCCGGTCTCTCCAGTCCAAGACTCTTTCCCAATGAGATCATCTGGTGATGTGTCTCTACCTCCAAGTCTTCGCCCTTCAACGACTAGCCCGGGTCCATCTCCCAGCCCAGCGCCCGTGGGCCAAAAGACGGATGAAGACTTGGAACATAAGCAGAGGCTTCTTAGAGCGTTAGAGGCAGCCAAGCAGCGCAACGCTGCCAGGGGCCACCATTGACCTGGGTTTGAAGCAGGCCGCATGGAGCATCCATGACGTGATGAATTGTGACGAATTTTCTTGCATCTCACTATTATACCCTTTTGTCTTTTCTCTTATCCTGTTCTTCACATGCTCGTGTTTCGTATTTTCAAAGGTGATACCCACTTTATGCAATTTACTAGTTAAATGAAGACTAGGGTAAATTACCTATTTTGATCATTTTGTCTCGCACACTTAAGTTAGCAACCAATTCATACTATGTGGACCCCTAGACTTGTCTCATTTCTTCTTGCTGTAGTCAAGTTTTGTAAAATATTCTAAACAAAGAATATATGGATAAGCATATGCCTAGTTCGAGTCGACAGCACAAAATTTAACGGAGTCTTTTTCCCGATGTCACACGAAGATTGTCTCTCGCTGAGAATTCTGTTCTTTTGTGTTGGCTATAAACATCAACGCCATAGCAATCTGTCTTAAATACCTCCAGGACTCTCTGGATGACTTTGATAATAGACCTAATGGTTGAAATCATACATTTCCCCCTCTCCCTCCCAGAAGACCCGTAAGACTCCGATGCATTTTGAGGACATGCTGATTTTACTTGATCCTTCCTTCGCGCCACAGTGGCTGCGTCATGGACAGGGGCCAAATTCAGTCAAGTGATTCAACGTGCAGGAAGAGAAAAAAAAACAGCGCACAGACGATATGTTCGAACCCTCAAGCACCAAGTTCCAGGAAGTTAACCATCACCTACGCCATATGTGAATCGAATATGATCGCAGTGCAGACCGGGGCACAATTTTTAGGCGCCTAGGGATGGCGATTGGCAGGCGACAGCCAAGCCAGTTAGCTAAACGCCATTGCTGCCGATCAACTGTGTTGCGCAGTCAAAAGTGCCTGCCGCAGCCCTGTCTCGAGTTGCCCCGGTGCTTAGGCCGCATCAACTTGCAGGGATAGAGGATTCCAATACCCAATTTGGCGGGTCTTGCTGGGCCGCACAACTCCCTGGGCGCCGCTCTCGGATTCGCTGCGCCCTCGCACTATACGATGGATATAGATCACCCCGGACAACTTGCGGCCGAAATAACGCCGCATAAAACATGTCTCCTGCGCCAGGATTTTTAAGACCACTCGACATGTCGCTCTTGTTCGGTTACAGTTTGGTGATCCACTTTCCAATGCATTTGTTCTGCGCGATATGCAAGGCAGGCACTTGCTATCACCAACCCATCTTGGATGAGGTTAGAGACATCGTATGGTGCCGGAGAAATAAACTCATTGCGGTACATTCCGTCTATGGCCTGCTCCTCCTCGGCTGCGCTCGCCATCCTTGGATCGGAGCATCGGATTTCTGATCGGAACTAAGAAGCCAGTCACCATCCTCGTTTGGAATCTGTCACATTCAACCCACGCTGACGAACAGGGGTTTCACTGCGCTTTTTTGTTTTTTTTCCCCTTTGAGGTATGCTTGTGATGTGGACTATGTGGTACCTGCGCAAAGAAGAGCCTCGGGTCCCCGACCTATCCGAAAGCTATGGCGTCCTAACAATTCTCCACTACGGAAAATACCAGGATGTGCAATCATGGGCCAAGGAAAAGGAACTAATTCGAATGCCAGGTCCGAGTGTTGCTGTTCTGGAAAGCTTTCGAAAAGGATTTCCGGTTCCCTTTCGGTTGCTCGGGCGGCGATCGCAGCGTCGCTATGCATCTACGTTGTAAGGTTCAGGCTGAGTGTTATCTTGTACAGGGAGTATCCCCCGTTATCTTGCCGACTTCCGTGGCGTTGTCCCTGTCATTTCTCCCTGCGCTAGGGTCAATATCTCGCCAACAGCGTCTACCTATGCAAATACGAGATCCAAGCTTTGCATTGGCCAACTGTAGAATCAGCAACCTTGCAATTCTCAGGGATCAACATACAACATACCAAGATTTAACTTTCTATTCCAGTTACATTCTTTGCCAGCTGCATGCATTGCTCTCAGGCAGAACCTGCGCATCTTTGTGAGACATGGCTTTTGGTGGCCCCGGAGAGCCGTAACCATATCCCGGGCCACAGTCTGTTTTCGGGTACCAGCCACTCCCCAGATCTTTCCACAAGATCCCCCATTAGTGGATTGTCTGTGCGCTGCGTGATGATGCTGATCCATGAGATGATACTAGGTAGGGATTAAACGGCGCAGCTTTGTTTAGACGCCACTCCTTCGTCTCCTGCGGCACCATTGAGCCTCCGGATTTCCCCCCTCTTTGCCACCTGAACAACTCAGCTTTCACTAAGCGCTGTTGGGTAGGAAAAAAAAAAAGCCCCCTTGAAAATTCCGAAAGGAAATCTTCCTTGAATGTTCAGAGATACCATTTATTTTGCGCAGGTGAAAATGACAAAATGAAAATCATGTCTCTTCAATGGCCCCTAATTATTTAAAGCGGGCGCCAGGGAAGCCCGTTCCATGGTTCAGTGTACCCGCTTCCGTCCATGGGTCGGGAGAACTCTGTGAGTCTACGAAAGTCCACCGTTTTGTGGGAAAATACGTCTGTTCTTCGCAATCCGTAGCCCCTCTTTGAATTTCCTTAGGGGAAGCCTGTCTTCCTCTCTTTTTCCCTCTCGCCATGTCCGCTCCAACAGGGCAATTTCATAGGCTGTCCATTGGTCAAAATATGCCACATACAGCCTTGCCCTCTAGAGCGGCCCGCGCGGGGCGGCCGGACTCTTCCGACGACAGTGATCGTGAAGACGATAGCTCGTCGGAGAGCTCTAGTACTGGCGAAGAGGAGGAAGAGGAAAGCAGCGATGAGCAGTCCGAGTCGACTAGCGCCTCCGTGCTCGCACCCTCCGGCATTACCTATGACCTTAGCCAACTAGATTCCGAGTCTGAAGCCAGAGCACTTGTGGGCTTATCCGGATGTTTTGATGTGGTCAACTGTCGCTCTACTCCCGCCGGGTATGCCTTCCAACTGTTGGATCGGCCACAGGTGCACATTGGCTCGGAATCATCTACCTGCACGTGCTCGGTCTTTCAAGATCGACCAGACGGGGCGTGCCAGCACATCTTTGTGAGTATACCTTTTTTTGGGGGGGGAAGGAAGCGTGAAAAGGCTGGAGGGGTTGAAAACTGCCAATACTAACCCCCATCCCCTGAACAGTGGCTCGTCGATCAATTGCACGGCTGCTTCCTCCCCACGCCTCAGTCAACGGAGGTGACACTGACTCCAGACGGACGGCCGGACCGCCTCCCTCCCATTGAGGATCTTCTGAAGGGTAAGTTGAAGTCGGTTGCAACGCAACTCAAGTGGCAGTGCTTGGGGGATGAGGAGGATGGGATGACACGGACAGAGAAGGTCCGGGATATCTTCTCTGCGTTCAGCAAACGGACTCTCCCAGAAGACACCCGCCGGGACTTGACAGAGACAATCGAGCAAGCACGAACGGCAGAGCAGTGCGTGGTCCAGGGGGATTTCGAGGCGACGATGTTCCGACTTGCAGTGCACGACGACGCAGTTTTCAACAGCCTCTGCAAGGCGATGCCCGCAGGCGCCTGTGCGGCCATCTACTTCGACAAACTACAAGAACAGACATGCCGACTACTAAACGACTTCGACCGATACTGCAAAACGGGCGAGTTGCCCGCGGACCCCGTGAGCCCAGACTTTGGCATAGAGGTCAACGACGTCGTAACGCAGCTTCAGCGTTCTGTATCCCGGATTGCAGTCAACATCGCAGCACGCGCCCCGCACGGCTCGGAAGGCGCCGCCGAAGCCCTGGTGTCTCTCCTGGAGTCAGTGGTGGCACGCAATAATGATCCCCTCGAAGGAAATGCCCTGGGCCGCCAGTCCTTCCACGGCGAAGACGAGGACCAGCGCAATCTATATCACTTGCTCATCGGGTCGGTCGAAACAGACTCCGAAACAGACGCGCGGCACTTTGTTCTGAACGCGCTTGATGCCCTGCCGCCGGTGGACCTCCACCAGTGCGCCAACCGCCTGCGCGACATTCTCCGCAAGATCGAAGTCAACCGTGCTCCGAAGCCATACCTGCTCCACCTGGGATCATTGATCCGTATCGCTGAATCTGCTGCCGCCACTGCTATGGGTTCTGGACAAAAGCGACCGGCGGCTGGGAATGGAAATTCCGGGGGATACTCAAAACGAACCCGTTGAATTGTTGTCTTTTTTTTATACATATGTTATCTTGTTCTGGGAGGCCATCTTGTTCATTCATTGCAATACCCCGCTGCATCGTGTCTTTGCGTTTCGTCAGCGACAAATCGCTCCAGTTCTATTTTGCTTCTTGGTCATGTCATTCGTTTACCCCTGGATATGTTTTGATGTCTACTATATACGATCATAAGAGCTGTGAGTATTGCAATAGCCATTTTCACATACAATCACTATTACAGGCAGCAAGATCAAGCCTCAAATCCACTAGAACCATTAATCCATAATCACGTACAAAAAAAAACAACTACAACGCAATTCCCATGAAGAACATGTCGTCATCCCCAAAAGCCCAGCACTCCGGTCTTGGGACCCCGGGTCCACGGTCCGGCTTCCTGAGCCGGGGTGTCACCGCTGCCCGTCCATGGATTAGTTCACGCATTTACGAGTGTGAACCATGGAACCAACTCTCGGTAGAGTCCACGGATGTGGGTCGTCCACACTTTGAAAATGCCTCGTGGGTTTTCTTTTTCTTTTTATTTATTTTGGCGCCCAACAAGCACACGAATCAGCAAGATCGAAAATATAATCCCAAAAAGACCGGGAGTCATCCATGGATGAATTTCTAGTGCGGATCTAGGTCGAGATCCAATCCACAGATCTAAATTTCAAATCCGTCCGATCTCGCACATCCGATAATCTAAATTTTAGGCACGCGATATATCTATCGGGGCCACACGGCATCTCAATTTCAATTTCAATTTCAATCTGCCCCTCCACGCCCAATGCACAAGTTAACTTTGATAACGCTCACCAATAACGCGTCTCGAAAACACGGCATGCTAGTCGTGTGATTAGGCATACATGATACGAACTGCATATATTGTACTCCGTAGATATATTAGGTATCTATAGGATACTAGACTGCGGACTTAATTACCAAGTAGGTCTAGGATTCCACGTGAAGAATAAAAAGTGGACATTGTATGGCCACGTTTTCGGCAGGGATTTCTCGCCCCATAAATTTGGGATTCGAAGCCTAGCCGAGTTTGTGCGGAAGTCGACCATTTTGGGACGTGCACATGGCTGTGTCTTTGGGGGCTAGTGTGCTTAGTGTTGTGTTTAACTTATGCTTGTCTTGAACGCCTACAGTTGTGTTTTATATATTTGCAATGTCATTGTATAGTATGCATGATCTCCAATCTGTGTAGTTCGTGTTAAAAGTAAATGTCCAACCAATGGCTTGTATATTGCCCAGCATTGTTCTGCTGGCGAACTGGCAAGTTATGTTGTAAGCTTTCTGCGTGATAGCTTAGCTAAAATGTATTATATGATAACTAACTAGTCAAAAGTCTACATACATTAGTAAGTTACTAAGCTGCCTGGGCAGACTTATGTATAGGTAGTGCGTGCCCATGGATAAAAGAGCTCTGGGTCTGTACAATATAACGACCATGCTCTGAAACTACGAACTCTTTATTGAAGGATGGTAAAGGTCCTCGTGTTTATTCCTTATACAAGGCAGTAGCTACCCCGGGTTCTATATCTGACTTAGATATAGCAAACAATATTGGTTCGTCCCATTATCCAACTAAATCGCAGCCATGATACTGTTTTCTATGCCAGAGATACATGGAGGCCCTTTGCTGGCCTCAAATCTATATCTCATGGTTTGCAATTTTCCTGATACGAGGGTAGCTTTCTAAATAATTGCCAGGGACTGCAGGGTCAGTAAAATAAAAGCAATCCACGAGGAGGAATCGAACTCTGAGGAGGTTCGTCCCAATTAGGAAAGAGGTCCTATATAGACACCTGAAAAAAAAAACCAAATGCGCAAATCTGTCTCAGTTACCCAGTAGATGGCCCTCTGCGATGAGAGCACGTCAAAGCTCTGGTAGCGGGGAAATTGTACGCTCTGGCCCTTAAGCTGGAGCTGCGGGTGGAACTCTCACACCACGAGGCCCCAATACTGGTGTTGGCTTGACTTGAACTCTTGGAGGTGGATTTGCGCACCCTCTTTTTTTTTTTTTCTTTTTGCTTAATACTCAGAATACTGACTGACTGACTGTCTATGCTTTATACCTGTGTGGACAAGATCTTGTTAATTTGGTATATCTTTCCCATCTTTTATATCATAGATCATATATCATAGACTAATAAAAGATGCATAAATGGCTGACAGTATTCTTGTTATACTTCATTAAGATGTTCTGCGGAAGAAAAACCTTGGAAAGAACGGCAAGCTTTACAAGGTTTGCGTATGTTCATCCCAAGGTTTGGAGTGTTGTATCTATCCAATTGAGACTACGGACGACCTCCGACACCCCCAGGGATTTCGACTCGCAACTAAATAATTCAGCACACCCTGTTAGCTCTTCTAGCATCTACAAACTCACCACTCAAAACTAACCTATCATCAACAAGAGAATATTCAAAGCGAAAAACGAACATGTCAGGTCTACTAGCACCCCCCGAGATTCTCACTCGCACAAACTGGAAATCATGGAAGAATGAAATCGAGAAACACGCCCGAAATCAAGGAGTCTGGAAGTTCTGCGACCCCGACGCCCTAGATAAATGCCACCCCGAACTCCACGAACCCGAGAAACCACGCATTTCTACAGTCCGGCCCGAAGCACAATCCATCGTTGATCTTGGAGAAGATGACTTCATCGAATTATCCTCGATCGTAGACCGATACTGGAAGAAAATGCAAGTATACGACAAGATTCAAGCGGGACTGGGGGTCGTCTTTAACCTTATAAAATACCATGTCGATGCCGAATACTTCGATCTCATTGAGCATGCAGAAACACCACTGGACCAGATGATGCTGCTATCTGCTAAATTCAAGAAACCTCGCCTGGAAGATCTGCAGCCAAGATGGGAGCTTATACAAAGACTGGCTAGTGCACCGGAGGTACAAGAGCTATTTGAACTCTGGAATCTCTTTTTCACAGACTGCAATAGGTATCAATCTTGTGATGCCCGAAGACAGGATGCCTTTTGGGAATGTGTTGATATGGGGGGAGACGTCTCGGGGAACTGGCTGCCTCTCACTGCCCAGGACTGGATTGAAAAACCCGATCATGTTGAGTCGGCGGCCAATTGGAACGATTCCGCGCAATCTCGTTCGCCGGCTAGGCAGGAATCTCCCGCTTCCCAGAGCTGGATTAAACCCCCCGATCATATTGAATCGATAAACCACTGGGGTGTTCGCGCTCAACCTCGTTCACCGATCAGACGGGAGTCTATCGATTCTCAGTACTGTGTCGGCGACTACAAGGATATGTTGAATAAACGTGAAGAGACATTTGGGGGCGAGTTTGGGTCGGATTTTACACGACGATTGACACTGTGCCAGACACAAGACAGCAAAATCTAACTGCAATGGTTTGGATGAACGGTGACTGGCTATGATGTACTTCATGTGTTAGTTTTGGTGCTTGAGGTGGAATAATTTATTTTCCTTTTCATAGGATATTATTAGTAGCCCTTGAGAGATGAAAGTTGAGAGAGCTTTTGTGCGTGGGTTTGCTACCATTGCTTGACAAGGCCATTGGATCACACGGCCTAGTTGTTTACCACGACCATCTTTACACAGAATCAAGGAATAAAGAGCATAACATTTTTCAACAGGACTTCCCTCTATGAATACCTTGGATGCACATATGGACATGATTTTGCGTGGATTAGTCTACAAGTATTTTCTCCAGGGCAGGTGTGTGCTCTATCAAGCATGTTTTAGCTTATAGCGCACAGTTTGACAAAATCAGGTATACTACGGCCGGCTGGCCCAATGGCAAGGCGCTTGACTACGACTTCATGGAATCAAGAGATTGCAGGTTCGATCCCTGCGTCGGTCACTTGTTTTTTTTTTATTCTATTTAATTCTTCCAATTGAAAGTATCTTTTTTTGCCTGTTCTTTACCTTTTTATTTTTGGGTGTGAAAACGATTCCTAGCGGAATGTAATCATTCTCGGTGTTTCCGACAGGAAAACCTACTCAATTGGTTCGAAGCGTCAAAATTATCATGTGGCAGTTACCGTAACAAGATTTATATATTTTCCCCATGACGTCGCATTTCGAACGACAACCTCGTTATTTTTACCGATAATGAAAAAAAAAGGCCCATAGTTCCAAATAAGAAGAAATTATACTGATATTCTGCATACACAGTATTCACCCAGAAAGATCCAATACAACCCGACCCTGTAGCTTCCCCTCCTCAATCTCCTTAAACACCTCAGTCAAAGCCTCCATCTTCTCAAGCCGATAATGCGCCTTAATAACACCCCTCGCAGCAAACTCCATAGTCTCAATAGCCTCCTTACGATTCCCAACCGCCGACCCAGTAATAGTCCAATGCTTGCTAACTATCGCAGCCGGGAATGCCGTTGCAATAGCCTGCGGGTCATTTTCCGGAAGGCCCACGCAGACCAACGTACCGTTGAAACGCAGCAATGGCAGCGCCTGTGCATAAGCCGCATTTACAGCAGTACAGACAATCGCTGCGTGAGCGCCCAGTCCATCCGCCAGCGAGTGAACGTGTTTCGTCAGCGCGGCGCCATTATCATCTCTCGGGAACTGTGTGATGTCCACGAAATGCTCCGCCCCAGATTCCTTGGCTAGTCCTTCTTTACTGCCATGGTCAATACCGATTACCCGCAGGCCCATTCCACGGCTCGCGAGCTGCACTGCGAGGTGGCCCAGGCCGCCGCCGGCGCCGGAGATTACCACCCATTGCCCGGGCCGCGCATTGCTGCGCTTTAGTGCGGAGTAGACGGTTACGCCGGCGCAGAGGAGTGGTGCTGCTGCGGCGGAGTCAAGACCATCTGGGATCGGGGTCACATAGTTTGCGGGTCCTAGTGTGTATTGCTGGAATGTTCCTGGCGTGTAGTAGCCAGAGACTTTCTGGTTAACGCACAGTGCTTCGGTGTTGGCTTGGCAGGGTGCTGGATGGGGTTTATGTTAGGTTCGAAGTCTTGGTTGTTGAGGACAGTAAATGGTATACTTACGGCAGTTCCCGCATACGCTGGAAATCCATTTGACGCCGACTCGATCGCCGATCTTCAGGTTCGAGGATTCGGTGCCTGCACCGAGCTTGACTACCTTACCGACGCCTTCGTGGCCGCCTACTTGGCCTGCCTGACATGGGTGTGGGAACAGGCTCCACTAGGGGGGCAGTTGTTAGTTCCCAAGAGATGACGAGAATAGGATGTGTGCATACTTTATTGGCCATGATACTGAAGTCCGAGTGACACACGCCCGAGTGTGTTCTATCATTGTCAGTACTAGTCTAGTATTTAAATTGCGACGACATGTACAGATTAATCAGAACCTCGCCAGCACCAGGCTCTGGAACATCTAGTTCCACAACCTTTGTCGAAACCGTTCCAGGCTGGTCGTAAATGACGGCCTTCTGCTTGGCGGGGATTTCAGGAGCGGCCATAATGACTGATTAATGGAGATAGATCGAAAAGAGGTTGGATATTGAAATATGGAGTCAATCTCAAAAGGTATTTTAGCGCCAGAAATATTCCTGCAGAGTAAACGTTTAATCGAATGCCGGGATGCGTCTTAAATACATTATACGCTCTCGCGCCAAGCATTCAAAAGAGGAGAACTACATCAGATGCGGGAGGGCTTTAGGGTCGTATCGCGGGGTTTACAAAGTAAAGATCGGATCGACGGATCATTTACACCCGGAGACACGCTATGAAACCTCGGAAGCTGGCTATTCAGTTATGCATTATATTAATGTGCCTCTTTCTGTCTGGATGAGAATTGAGGGGTGAGATGCGGAGTCGTGGGACGACCTCGGTTCTATTAAGCGGCATACGTGTATTCTTATTTGGAATACTAGAATGAAAACCAGAGTCGGAGGAATATATTGTATGGTATATTATAGAAAAAAGTCAGGTACAAATTCGAAAATGGGTTTATGTACGTTATGGAGAACCTCCAAAGTCCCCTTGTGGATGATTGCATATCATGTACATTTTATAACATACATGTGTACTATATACTCCGTGCGAAGTGGATATTTCCCCTTTCTGATTTATTATTCATTGTCACTTTGTTACGATTTAACTGAAAAGGCCCTAGTACAGACGACTTGTGCATTTGGGTTTTATGTCAAAGGATATTCATTGCAGAATGAAAAGACTGGGTGCTGGCGAGTGGAGAAGTTTGATAAATAACCTGAATTATATAGATAGATCACAATCGCAAAAGGGAAATTGATCTTCAGTTGACGAAAACCAGCGTTTCATCCTACATGATCCAGCTCCAGTTATAAACTTGCTGCTCAGGTACATAACTATATATCTTCAATGTACCACCATAAAAGTCTTGTTTTTACATTCTGCCGCAGCTCTTATATAACAAGTGCTTTAACAAAAGGTACTGAGATTGACTTGGCAGTTGTAGCGAATACAGGAAATCTCCCCTCCACAGCAATTCGACTCGGTGCAGCTTGAGTGGGGGACCCTAATCCCAAAACCATATGATTTTAGCATGGAGCATTTTATACCAGCATGATCAGGCTGCGTACCAATTGCCAAAAAACACTACAGTATGTGACAGGGAAGGGACCTTGTTGTGGACTGTCTACAATCTCATAGTTAGGTGAGTAGTCATTAATGCATGCTTCGTGATATCAATGAGTGAAGTCGGGATGGCTAGGCTCCAGGCTTCAGTTAGTTGGTGATAGATGTGCACCATCTCTCCTATTTTTTCATCTAGTAAAATGTGCCCTCTATGTCGATAACCAAGCTCGAGGGCCCGGCCGAAGGTGGATATTATTGTGGTACTGCGAGCGAAGGCCAACCACTTGCCAAATTAGTTGTCTGGGTTATTGATGTCTTCTTTAGTATTTCTGACCAAACCCGGAAGATGTCAATGTCAATACCACCATAACATTGATGTCTTGAATGAGGATTTCGATGTCCATAAAAAAAGAATATATTATGACTTGGCTTGCTGGCGAAAAGCATACTAATGAGTACATGAGTTTTTGTGAGGGCAAGCGAGCCGGAGTTGCCGGAGGAAAATTTAGGGCCACGCTGTGGACGAATGAAGTGCTCATAAGTGGTGTGGGATATTGTTTCCCCATCTTCACTTTCTTGTTTGAGAACGGTACGCTTGAGGGCATGTTTTGTTCCTTTGCAATAACCGGGCCGGGAATGAATAATCGGCGGTATTGTTAAGGTCTAATTGAGGGGGAAAGTATAGACAGGCAACTCATGGTTCTCATGGATAAATAACTAAGTGTGGAATATTTGCCTCGTTAGTACTGATAACGAGGAATGGCAAAGGATCGGTTGGTGCATGAGAAAAAAAGCTCATACATAAACTGCCCAACCTATCGAAAGTCAGCAAAGGGTGGATTATCAAACTGGGGAAAGAGACATACTAGGACACAGCATACCGAGATTATTTTCATCTATGGCATGCTGAACTAACTCATTGACGGGCTAGTTCTCCTGCATCCAAATCTGCATTCCTTTGAGTAGAAGGGGAGCGAAAGTCTAGCTGTACAACTTTTGCCGAAGTCCCTCGAGGGTGAATTCACACCATCGGAAAACATGTTTTCTTTTCAATATCTTTTTGGATGCCTTGTAGAAACTTGATTTAGCTGAACTGTTTGTTGACTGGGCGAGAGAAAGAGGAATCGCCTCACATTGGAAGATAGTCATTTCAAATAGAAGGATGAGATAGAATTGTGACCTGAGACATGAGAATTATGGCAAATCAAGTTTGGCCTTTGGCAATTCTGAGGAATCTAGGTAACTCGGGAAGGAGTAGAGGTCCTATCTACAGAAAGGCTGCCTTAACGTATCTTTTTAGACTGTTCTCTACTGGGGTAATAACAATTAGAGATACTATGTCCATTCCAAGATTGAGCTAAGTTGCTAGCCCTGATTTACTTATATGCACATGACAAAAACGCCAGAGGATATCAATACTCTCGCTACAAAACTCGTACATGAAATGTTACAAAACTTATGCATAAGACGCCCAGCCTATTGAAAGTCAGTAAATCAGTCGATGGCCAGGCCGGGTGAAAGAAAATAGGAGACATACCGCAATACAACATAGCAAGGTTCCTCTCATCACTTGCCTGCTGGACTAACTCATTCACAGTAGCAGTCACACTGAGTGTTTTGCTCAGTTTTTTCGCCACCACAGTCAACGCACGATCAGCCTCACTGGGCTCATTCTCATTCTCACGCTTCGAAGGGAGATCATCAGCTGCGCCAGGCAGAGCTGGGGGCGCATCACCGGCTTGATTGTCCTGCATCTGCATCTTCTTGATGCGAAGCGGAGAGACAGTCCAACTATACAGTGGATCGTACCGCAGCACGTCAAGAATTGTCATTATACTATACGATTCTTGCCGAAGTGCTTCAAGTGTGAATTCGCAGCAGCGTCGGAAAACACCTTCAGTTTTAGTGATGCCGAATCCGTCAACTAAATCGCGGGTTAAACGGAACGGTACTACCTCAGGAACAGGTAGCACACGTCCTTGCTCAAACGCTACACCGAGATCAATATGAACCACTTCCCCAGTTTCCTCATCTAGCAGGATATTATGTCCATGTCGATCGCCGAGTCCGAGCACATGACCGAGAATGGAGATGGCAGCTGTGCTTCGAGTGTAGGCTAGACGCTTACTAAACCAATCGTCGGGGTTATTGAACTTTTCCATGAAGAAGTATTTCAAGACTGGATGGAAATGCTCAGTCACCTGTCGGTAGGTTCTGACGCGTTGCTCAAATGATTTGTTCTGCACTTCGGCGATGTGTTTCCGGCAAGAGTTGGGTTTCATGTCCTTGGGGAAATATTTTTGATGTGCGGGCATTAGGTAGTCATGTAAAGGAATCGTATTTGGAACGAACTCAATGATTCCAGCGCTTGGTGTTAATGGGAGAACCTTGTATGTTCGGATACCTAAGCTCCGTTGGCGTGTGGGCTGGTGGTCTTTCAGAAGACTGCTGACTTGCTCGAATACTTGCTCCATGATCGCATCTTGACGCAGATCATCATTTCCTCCCTTGTACTGTTTGGTTTTTTTTTTGGTTAGTTGAGAACGTCGACAAATAAAGATAGAGCTTACCAGTTGCTTATAGCGCTCGCCGTTGGATGCAACAGCGGTCACGATCTTTGGTGCGCTAACGCCAGAAGCAATCGTGAACTCATGGTGGAATTTCGTAACCGTAGGAACATCACTGTAGTTGCAATCTGCGCGGAGATCGATTTTCATCGTCGGTGGTGGTAATTTGTAAGTGATGGCATCCTGTCCAAGCCGCTGGCCAGTAGTCAAGCTCTTCAGTGGAACTTTGGCACCACTTTTGTATTTGCTGTCTGGTTTGTCAATTGCAAATCGCACATAGCTGATGTTCACATTGTGCACAGCAATCCACGTCTGACCGATGTGACTGTCGTTCTTTAGACGATCCACAAGCTGGTTTGCAGCACGGAAACGCGAGTGAGATGACTGATCTTTCCCTCCCTTGGACTTGCTGCTGGCGAAAATTTGGTACATGCCATGGAAAGGATGCTCAACACATATCCTGAATACTAATTGAGTGAGTAATGTCTGGAAGTCATCGGAGACATCGAGTAGGCGAGATGATAGCTGATTCATTAATGGTGCAAATTTCCGGCTGGGTACCTCGTTGAGATGTCGAGCAACAGCTGTGTTTGCAGTCTCACTGTCTGACTTGTCAAGCCAGAGTGCACAGAAACGTAGAGCATCATTGTTGTAGGTGTCACTTTCCCTCAAACTGAGAAGGTAATTCTCGAGGCACTGCTGCAGGAAAGCCTCCCGACTTCGCAGCAAACGCTGGTATTCGCGGTCGTCAAGATCGAACCATTGCTTTGCTTTGGCCCGATAGTTCTTTAAGTATTCCCTCTCCTTGCCGGTAGCATTCTTCATCATGTCTTCGAGTCCAAGGACTTCTTTCTCCTTGCGATCACGCAGTTGTTCAACTCGCTTGAAGTCTTCGAGTCCATCAGGGTTCAGTAGCTGCTGATCACAAAAGGCTGCAAACCCGTGATAGACTCGTCCAGCCTCTTCTCCGTCGGAGCTTCCTTTCAATTCCTTGACTGCGGGATATAGGTACTCTTGAAGAATCGAGTCGGGCTTTTCCAAGCGCGCTTCAGCAACGTGATGACCCTGAATACGATATTAGCACGTTGTATAAACTTCTTTTGGGAATATTTTCTTTAGGACAACTTACCAGAGTCACGAGAAGTTCAGCCCGACTGAGGGGTATTATCTGTTTATGAAGGTCATTCTGGCCTTTCAGTTGCTGGAGCATGCGAATGGACGCGGTCATCTCTCCTTGATCCCACAGCACATTGGCAAGATCGAATTTGGCAGCTCCGTCAATGTTCATTCCTAAAGCTGCGCACGGTTCGGCAAGCTTCGAAAGGCTCATTGCGGATTTGAGCGATGCTTGGGAGATACCATGAGTTCTTGTGATTTCCAAGGATTGTCGAATGACTTTCGCTTCTAGAATTCTCGAATCCTCGAGACTCAGTTTCGCCCGTGATTTGAGGATGTCACTTTTCCTAATTGATGAAAATAACGCCTCGTGCCAAGACAAGATTTCCCCAACTTCATGATAGCTGTTCTAGTCAGTATGGATCCTGTACACACAGTTCTAGAAAGGGAAAACACCCACCTTTCAGTCTTCAACCAGCTGCTTCTCGCCATAATATTCTGCCACCCTTCCTTCATATCTCCAGAAGATGCAGAGTGCAAAGTGTCGCTGATCTCAGTCAAAATTCCCAACGCGCGCATTGACCTTCGCAGCTGAATAGCAGATCCACTGGTTTCGAGAAGAGAGGCCAGGGTTGTCAATAGACCGCTTTCGATTGAGTCAGTGACCTCGAGCAGAGAACCTGAGGTATTGAGACTTTGGAATGTACGGAATACAGTGGCGGACGGGGAGGAATCCAAAGGTGATACTGGAATATCCCATTTTTGAAGACTAGTTGCAGCTTGTAACATGCTGTCAAATACGACAGGGGTATCGTTCGCACTGGTGGAGACAGACAGCATCGTATTGGCAATGCCCTGAAGGTTGGTAGCATTCAAAGCCTTCAATACACCGTATGATTCTGCGTCATCAGAAATCTGGATTTCACTGTCATATTTTGCACTCTGAAACAGGAGATTTTTGAATCCGGAGCTTTCGTACTCTAGCCGTTCCATGACGCTAGTCAAAGATGAGCTCTGCTGAATGCCATAGAACAAGTCCGGGTCATCAATATTCTTGAAAACATCATGTAGTAAAGCAGGCGGTGGCTCGTATCTGACAACAGATGACCGACGAGATGTCGTAATCACTCGGGATGTTTGTATTTCTAGGAAAAGCAGCGAAGTTTTATGCATACCGCAGCGATGTGCAGCCAGAGATGCCTCTCCATATTCAATGTCAAGCCACGTATCGCGCTGGACAATAGTTGACTCATCTGGCACAGGCTGGTTGCGAAGGTAGAGAATGCAGTTAATCACAAGCTGAGCGTGAGGCAAGGTTTCCTCGCCAACCTCACACAGTACCTGTCGAAAAGCAGCAGAGATATCTTCTCGGACCTGCCCCCTTTCGCCTTTGTTATCCCTTTCTGACAGCAAAACATCATGAACCACGTATGGCAACAGCTGCACTGCTAAACCAGGGGTCACGTTGAGAATTTTGCGAAGAGAGCCAATGACTGGGTCTTCCAAAGAGGCATTCGATAAAAAAAGGGAAACACTGCGAGCCCAGTCAGCAACTGACAGCCCGGAAGCGCTGGTTGCCGCATTTTCGCATCTCTTTTGCTCTAAATCTGAGAGTAAAATGGCAGGACATGTATATGTGTTCCAGGTGAGAGCATTAATCAGAGATTCGGGAATCACCTCACTGCAACCTTGGAAGTCTGGATAGTTGGCAATGTTGCTGACGACTAGCTGCAAAGTACGCTCAACCAGGCCAGCTTCAAACTGCTTTTGCACGTGTAGCATATCGCAAAGCACTCGAAGGATTCTAGCCTTAGAGTGGCAGAAAATATCAGACGACAAAGAAGGCTCGGGATGTTGGAACAGTGAGAGATCCTGTTCCCGTAGGAGCAATTGATCAATTTTCCCAGTGGCAGCAAAAGATCTTCCGATGACCCGAGCGGCCCAAAGTCGATACTGGGGTCCTCCGTTAGAGTTTTGAAGCGTGTGCCATAGAGAAATAACATGGGAAGTGGGATCCACATCTTCATTCGAGACCCAATCCTCAGTGTCGGATGTCTGCTCGAATTCGGGACACAAGAGCGAAAGAACAAGATCTGCCACAGGCCTGCTCAACAGCGAAGTCACTGAATCGCGGTCTTTGAGAACTTCAAAGACCAAATCCTTCCCAAACTGTCCGCCCTCAGAGCCCTCAGATGTTGAGAATTTCTCAGCTAGTGAGACAAGTCGATCGAATGATATTTTCGTTTCTGTCTCCCAATCAGAGGAACGGAGTTCTCCAAGGAGATCGACCAGCCAGTGGTAGAATTCTTTTGCATTTGACTGCACTTTTCTGAACTGACTTTCCTGAGTCGTGTTCTCAGGTAACGACAAAAATATTCTGCGGAGAGTAACTAGTGTTGACACAGCAATACCTGCAGTAAATCCTGGTGCCACCTCAAGATACGGTTTCCCTGCCTCGAGTAGATACCAGAAAACCCCCAGAGCGTCTTCTGAGCAATGAATATCACTGAGGAAAGGCCGCAGAGAGCTGAGTGTCATCTCTAGAGGATACTGTTGAAGTATGATAGGACCGGCCACACAAACCAAGATTCTTATTTTGCGGATCACAGAACAAGCATGGAGTGAACCAAGGGCGGGATGTATTGACTCAAGCAGCGAACGGCAGACAAAAGACACCAGTGATGGCGTCCATATTGATTCAAATTCGAACCCAGTGCGTTTGCAAAGAAACTCAATCTCATCCAGGAGATAACGTGCCCGAAAGGAGGGTTGTTGATTTGCTGGCAGTGCATTTTGAGACGTGCTTTTGTTAGCTATTTGCGTCTGAATGTCGAGCGCATAACCAAAGTTTTCACGCTTCGAGAATGCTCGTTCGATCTGGTCATAGTAGTCGAGGGATTTGAAAAACGCAGCAATAATTAGAGGAAACTGGCTCTCGATTTGTGTCATGAACTGGTCTGCCCCAAGAATTTTCCGCAGACGGATCTCAACACCCTTGGGCTGACTGCCTTGCCCTGGAGGAGTACTGATATCTCGTGCAATGCTGTATGCCTCGGCCTTGTGGAAAGAGGTCGCCAAGAGCTCGAGATGTGGGATTTGGAGGTGCTTCGCAAGCTCAATTGTCTCCTGTTCCTTGGCACGCATCATCATTTGCCCGACGATTTCATCTTTGACATCCACCAGCATGTTTTGAAGGCTGTCATACCCAAATATACTAAATGGCATAGACATGATACTCTGTGTCTCGGTCCATGTGTAGAGTATTTGAGAAGAGAAAAGCTGGAAAAGTTCTTTGGCGTCTTGCAGACCAAGCGTCTGAGAAACAGAAATCATACATCTTTCAGCGTACCACAGGGATAGTGGCACTTGAGCTGGGGTTTCAAATAGATGGTAGATGCTTCTTCGCAGCAAAGTGTGCCATCTGGAAGCCAACTGTGAAAGCACAAAGAGGCGGACTGCAATTCCCTCGATCCATTCCGGGTCTCGCGGCAAACTGTCTAATACATCATCGAAGATGGCATCGTGGTCTTTGAGAAGGAACCGCTCAAATAAGGAAGGGATGAATTTTGCAACGCTGAATTTGACCTGAACATCACCTTCTCGAAGAATAGTGAATAAACTTGTTCGTGGTGACGGAAGAGACTGCTCATTGCCGTATGAAGGGCAGGTGCCAATCACCTCTTGAATGAGTTTGGCTAACGCAATGTAGACCTTCGGGCTAGCTCTTTTCCGGACCAACAGCACTTCCATAAACCAATTATACAAGTCCATAGCCGACTCTTTCAAGGTGTCGTCGGGCCCGTTTGTCCAAGAGTCAATAAAGCTGGTCATCATGCGGATGCAAACGCAATGTGAGGCCTCACACCGCTCCATTTCATAAGACTGTAGACACTTTTCACCCAAATCTTCCAGGATGGAGAGTAGTTCCGAGGGTTCTGATTCCGAGCAGTGCTGGAAAATTCCAGGTAAAATAGCCTGGGCTGCCAGGATATCGGCTTCATCTAAACTTGTCAGGTATTCAACGATAGATGGCGAGTCTGAATTTGCGTGGGTTCTGAGAAATAATGACAGTTGGATGGTTACACAGCGTTGATATGTGACAGAGTCAAGGAAAATAGATAGAGAATTTCGGTTTAAGTCAAGAATAGTCTCATCAGTCGCTAATGAGGTTTCGGCCATGAACCTGTCGTCCAAATCCATCGGATCTTCAGCCGCAGATGGATTCTTTGAGCTCTGGCGAAAATTCTCGAGCGTTTTGGAGAGTGGAGCAACAAGCTCTTTAAGACTAGCCTGGATGGTAGGAGGGGTGTTAGAACTCGTTAAAGGACCGAGGAGCGGCGGCAGCAAGTCCAAGCAAGATTGCACAAAGGTGGATTCATGAGTATGAGATGCCAGAAAATCGCATATAGCGTCCCACAAACTCTTGCAATTCTGATGTAGGTCTTGTGATCGAGATTGAGATTGCAATGCGCGGGGAAGACATGCCACGAAGAGGGAAGCCACAATACAAAATGATGACAGAATCTGCAAGTTATCCGGGGTGATATGTGATCTTTCTTCATTCATAGCGTGCCATGCATGTAAAAACGACTCTGATCTCACTCGAAGCAGATCCAATATCACTGTATCATCAGGGTCTTGCCTAGAGAATTGCTCTAAGGACCATACTTCCTGCAGACTCCAGGGGTTTGCTGCGGCCGAGCTCGTATGAAAACCATACTTCAACAATTCACAGTTTTCATGAAGAAAGAACCAAGTGCGGGCTATATGCCCCACTGGTCCTGTGACTTGATAACGGGGGATGGCAAAGGACCGACTAGTGCATGACAAAAATAGGTCCAGTAAGTCCAAAGGACGGGCATACGCAGCTACTCGAGCTGTCTGGATTCGATCAGTCACTGAGCCAGCCCAAACTTCTCTTAGCCAGCCACATATCTGCGTCGAGGCCTGCTGAGCTGATCCAGGATCAAGCTGTGTCTTCATTCGTGCAATTGATGCCCATAGCCTTAAAGACGAGTCTGAGATAGCAGACGGTCCATTGGCAGAAGTCAAGAGTGACCGCATTGTCTCCATAGCCACTGAATAATCCAATAAGTCTGACTGCAAAATCATGCTCAATAGGTTACATGCAGCTCTGGATGTCAGCGGAGATGAGAATGCACGCGTAGTAAATTCGACTACTCGTGGCCAGTGGGCCCTAATTTCAGGCGATCTGGCAGCAGCCCCGTTCGCAATACTCGTAAGGGCAACCATTGCCCATGATGACACAGCGCCATTACTGTCAGAGATATTTAGAGCAAGCTGCTTTAAGAAAGGCTCCTTGGTCTCAATGTCAACTTCGGACTCCAAAAATGGAATGAGTTGCAATGCGCATATTCTCCTTGTGCCTGTGGCCGAGACTGAATCTCGAAATATGTCCTGGATCTCCGAACCGAGGCGCTGCCTTTTGTTTGAGCTTTCGCGTGCTGACTCCCCAGACTTGATTTGGGTATGAATACCCTCCGAGAGCTTGAGGAGCTCCGCAATCAACCAGAGGATTGTCCAGTTATACTCTGATTTAAATGTTCCGAGGCGAGGCCCATATACTGGCCTGCTCTGGCATGCTTCGTTTTGATAGAGTGTTGCCTCGTCGATTTGTAGGATCTCCTTTTCTGACCGTCTCACATATTCCGAATGAAGTGTACTGGCTAATCCTTCGATATCACGTGCTAGAGATTCAGATGGGTCTTTTTGAGCAGTGTCAACGAGAACGATCATCGATAGCATCAAAGTGGCAAGTAACTCCTCCTTGAGAATCTGTAACTTAGTGGCCCATAGGCGTCGGATTACTGGAACCAGGCCCAAGAGAACCGAGCGAACAAGCTCAGATTGATCAAATATGACTTTTGTAACGACTGCATTGATGCTATTGAACGCGAACTGGTGTGCATTCCCAGTCACAGATGACTCGACAAACTCAGAAAGCCCGTAAAGTATGCTTTGGGCCGTCGTTTGAAGAGGAGGATTCGGACTCGTTGTTAAGAGTTGAATACAGATTACAACTTCTTCAATGACATTTCTATTGCCACTGTGCCTTTCCCTAACTGGGGTGGGAGCGATGGTCATCCTTGAGGGGGTAGAACGGCTGTCGCTGGCATCTTGATCTTCGGGAACGGATCGACCGCTCCGAATACTCAATTGACTCTCATCGTTCTCCCGGAGGCTAATACTCGCAAGACAAAAGCTTATGAGATTTTCCCAGTCTTCTCCGTCAAGGTGCTCAGTATGAGGATGGTAGCGTAGAAGCGATGCCAAACACTTGGTATAGTCCAGGCTCAGGGGTTCCCACAGACCTTCCCCAGGGACTGGTATGGTCTCAGTGATGTGATCAACGATAGCGCGGACTGTTTTGATTCTCAAATTTCTCAGAAAGAGGTCAACAGCCATTCGGAGTACGGAAGCACATGTCGAGAGCCGGGATGCGGAAGGTGTTTTTGAGGACTTTTGGGCTCGATTATATATTGACCTTTCGGCTGCAACGAAACGGAATAGTGATTCAAAGATCTTGTGGCAAGCTTTGTCATTGAGTGTTTGTCTAGAAAAGGTGAAAGATTAGTTAGTTACTTTGATAGCCTGCAGGGTCATTTGTTGATTTCCTACAGCTTGGAGCTCTTCTTGTTCTGCTGGAATATATGCTTCAAGTCTACTTGAGTTAGCAAAATTTCTGCGATGAGACAAGATAGAAACTATCAAACCTGCCAAACCATCTGAGCGAGCCTTCTGCTTGTCCGACGAGAGCAGGCTAATCGTCTTGTCGAGAAAGACCTCCCCCATCGCGTCTGTTTTGGGGTCTTTTTTTAATGTACAAAACAGCTTGACACCTTGAACCTCAGCAAATCTTCTTCACCTGGAAAAAAAAAGACATCTCAGATAAAAATCAGCCAGTCTGCGAGCCAATCGAGTTGATAAGCGCGAGGTGATTGTGTTTAATAGAAAGTGGAGTGGCAGTACTTGCGGAAGCTGCGTTACCGCCCGATTTTTGTCGCGTTCCGCCTTCCTAAACTCTCGGAACAAACAGAGAGAGCTCGAGCTTCACTTTCCAACTTCACCCCGCCGTCATGGAAGAGCTCCACAGCAAACGGGATAGCCTCCATGGTCTGTACCAGGATCTATCTGCTCTTTCGAACTGTCAACTCCCCAACGTCGACCGCTTGTGTTTCGAATTGGAGACTCATATTCAAGACTTCCACAAACTCCTAGACAAGCCAGCAAAGAACAATGCCAGTCGCCAAGCTGTTCTCTCGGGTAAGTGGTCGCTTGCTCCGCTCGACCGCTCTGATAAGCTACTAATGTCGAATGCGATATCATAGGGAAGGTCACCATAGCCGATGTTGAATACTCGGTGAACCAGGACTTCCAGCAAGGCGTACTGCAGCTTGCGGATGCGCTCGACATCGATGAAATTGAAGCAGCGGTTATGTTTTTAGCGGCCCAGGAAGATTCACATGTGTTAGACAGACCTCCGCTGATAACTGCGATAATAAGCTTCCACGAGCGCCGCCTTTTTACCCTCGAGTGTCTACGTCTCATCTTCCGAGAATCGCGCGTCGTTGATCGTGAAAGGACCGCCCCTATTATGCATGAAACGCTCGCCCATGTTCTGGAAATCAAAAACAACTCTTTGCGGAATGCCTCCCTTTTCGCACGGAAAGCCTTGAGTTCCATGGCCGACATCGAGAAATGGCTGTCACTTCTTGGAGATCAGGTGCAAAAGGCCTCCGTAGTCGGCCAGGAAGATGACCGCGATATTATGGAAGCCATTACTTTCCAACGCTTAAGCCTGCAACAGCAACATGAGTCACTTGGAGCGATCCTATTCTATCTGTTCAAAGGGACATACACAAGCTGCGAAGATTTCCGCATACTTGTGAGTCAGTTGAGGAACATTGATCGATTTGACGGACTCTTGTTTCACTATATTCCAGTCACAATTGTGTCTTTTGTGCAGCATGGTTCCCCCGAAGGCTCTGGATCCGAGACGGAGGCACGGGATCTACACAAATTAATCACTACATCTAAAGATGGCCAAGGTTGGAGGCTGTCAAATTTTCATGCCGCTATTGTTGCTCTATGGCTCTCAGTCTACAGTGGATGGTACTTTGATGGTATTTCCTCCCCATCAGTCGACGCGGAGAAGGAATCCGAAGAGCGTACGAAGATGTTCATGTCCTCTCTTGACGATGGCGCTCTTGATTTCATGCTTGCGATCTGCTCCAGCGTTAACACTGAGGAATGGGCGGACCCTGCGCGCAGCGAGTTAGTCACATTGCTGCTTAGGGAAAGCGTCGTATCATTGCCTGATCCCGAGCCATGCTCAGTCTTTATGAAGGAGCTTTTAATGGAAAACCTCGAGGTATTTGTGGAATCATGCGTTGCAAATATGCCTGACGCGGTCCGACAACTGAAGTCGGAAGAGGACTCACAACGGCTGGATCAGATCACTGCACTTAGGGATGGCCTCACCTCTAACCTCCACCGTGGCTTGGTAGAGGTGCGGACTCATCTTGAATCCTTCCTTATGATCATCTCATTCGCCTTTGAACACCGGCAAGATGCCGCTGAAGAATTTTGGGCTGATCCCGATGGTAACCTTTACGGCTTTCTTCAGTGGGCATCCAAACGACAGACTGTGCCTCGGGTCAGCGCTTTTTGCGAAATGCTCTGTTCGATCTCCGAAGGTGAAGAAAATGCAGCCGCGGCGGATCGGTTCTTGTCAGAGGAAGACAAATTTATGCCCTCCAAGTTCAAGCGATCCACAACAATGAACTGGTCGCAAATGTTCGCTGAACTAAAGCTTTACGCATCTCGAGTCACTGAGAAGCCTGCCACTACAACAAGCCCCCAAGGAGTGCCAGGGATGTTCCGTCCACGGAAACCTGAGCCCGTAGAAATGAATGAACCTGAGAGCCCCGTGATGCTGACATGCTATCTTCGGCTGATGGGTCATCTATGCAAGCAGAGTCGACCTATCCGAGAGTGGATGCTGCAGAACGAATCTTTTAATGTAGTCAACACACTGTTAGACCTGTGCAGTGGGCCTATTCCATCGCATCTTCGGTCAACCGTCTTTTCAACTCTCTCAGCACTGATGACTGACAAAGTTTCCGCCGTTGGGAATGAAACGTGGACTCGCCTCGATGGGTGGTTATCGGGAGGATCCGGTGCGTCGGGCATTGGCAAAGTGCCTTTGGTTTCCAACCCTGCCGTGTGGCACCAGCAACAAGCCTTGCAAAAGATCGGAGAGAGCTTTGACCAGACAAATGCATTTGTCATTCTTGTCAATGCACTTGCTGCTCCCTCGTCAGACACAATTGACGACCCAATGTCATTGCCTTTCCCGGAGACCCTAGGTGGAACTTATCGCATGTCCGGGATTGAACCCTACATCGATTTCATCCTGGGCCATGCCTTCTCACGGAAAATCCAAGACCTTAACGAGTATCAATCCCGCCTGTTGACCTTTAACTGCCTGGACTTTGTTGTGGCGAGCCTGGAATCCTTCAATGAAGACCTAGTGTTACTTCTGAGCCAGCCCTCCGTGTCCGATTCCCCGACGCAAACTTCATCGCTGCTTACCTACGTTCGCTCTCATCCGTTTGCCCGCGTGGTAGACTGGCTTTTCAATGAAGATGTCCTCAAAGCTCTTTTTGCAACTTCTAAACAAGATGTTTCGGAGGTTGCTAGTGCATCGTCCGACTCTGTTCTGGTCCTAACCTTACACAGGAGTCTGAGCGTCATGAACTTGCTTGTCGACCTTCAATCGACATACTTTAACATTGTCAAGCCTCTGGTACACTCCCAGCCCGTGCCATCCCGGACCATCGTGGCAAACTCATCGCTTGCATCATTTGAGGACACCGTGCTAAACAATCTGACACTCATCCCGTCACTTTGTCTCTATTGCAGCACAGGGCATGCAGAACTTACTGTCGTTTCCATGGTTTTACTGGAAAAGCTTACTAGTTCCAGAAAGCTCAACAAGATGAGCTCCCCGGAACTCGTCAAGTGGCAATCCTCGAATAAGATTGTGGAGGTGCTTGCATCCGAGGTCGACGTGGACAGCATATCACTACCTCTTGTATTACAAATGCAGCCTGACGTGAGAGAACTTGATTTCGGCCCTGAGGCTGCCGGTTATCTCATTCGGGAACGCATTCTTGCTCTTTTGAACAGCTGCCTGGGAACAATTACAGATCGCCCGACCGTAGCCCATTTACTGCTTGGCTTCGACTGCGTGGGCAATATTCTCGATTTGTCATCGGAAGGGCTATTCGCAAATCAAAATTCCTTGCTACATGCTATCGTGAAGTTCCTGAAGACTGATCTGGAGATCGTCGTTGGCGAAATCACATCTTGGGTAGTGTACCTCAAACGTATGGCTTTCGAAGTGCTGAAACATTTGTGGTCATCGAAGCTCGCAAGCTACTACACCCTTGGTGAAATGCGTGCCCAGGAATTCCTACGCGACATGTTTGCCTACCAACCCATCATTGGGCCGAACACTACCTGGGATGGACTCCCTGTTGATGCAGATGAATTTTGGATTGAAGGCGGTGCAGATGCCATGGCGGAATTCCTGCTTTACCGAAGTCACTTGTTCACCTATGCGGCGACCGAAGTTCGCTCGACAGCAAAGGCTAGATCACCCGCTCTACACACCCAAATTCTGTCGGTGTTGCTCGGAAACACGCTTGCGGACAACGGCGAACCTATGTCCAATCCGTCTGTGTTTGACCTTTTTGATTTCGCAGATCTTGATGTTGGACGCGAGTTCAACATGCCCCAGTTCTCCTTGCTCCATGATATTGCTCTCCAATTAGAAAGCAAACGGAAAAAGGGCATGTACCCCATAGAAGGGGTGGAGGAGATGTTACAAGTGCGGAAAGCGGAGCTCATGGCCAATGGACCGCTCCGGCCGCAGGATGAGGACCAGTGGGTAACTGAGGCCAATAACCTGAGGTTGTTCATCGGCGCAATAAATCAGAGCCATGTGATTCAGACCAGTCGCTACCAAGCCCTTCGTTCCTGGGTAGAGCTCGTTGCTACGATGGTCACTTGCTCTGCTATCGATGAAGGAAGCAGGCCGGCTTTCATTCTACACTCTGTCCAATTGATTCTCCCTAAGCTCACAACGGCAATCGAGGCTGATCTTCCCGAAGCGCTCGAACTGGCACGATTGGCTGAATTCTTGATCGGTGGACTTGCATCCGAAGCATCGCCAATAGATGCGTCTCGAAGCGGAGATGTCATCGATGAGAAGCTCCACCAGCTCTTCCAACTCTGCATCCGAGGTACCAACCTGGCAACAGGAAATGTGTTGTTGAGAGAAACGCTTTACAGTATTTGCTCCCACTACATCACACGCATCACATCATCGAACAAGGGCCACGAAAACCTACGACGTCTTAGCCAACATGTTATCAAATCGGCGGGTTCTAACTTGATTGAGACAATGTGCGACGACGCCTACACTGGGCAGGAGTCGTGCCGTGCATCCGCTCTTGTGCTATTGAATAACTTAGCTGTTCTTGATCGTCAAACCGACTGTGTTTTGGCTGAGCTAATCTCACGCTCAAATTATTTAAGTCTCTTCCTAGACGCATTACGGTCTCTTCCCATCGAATTTCACAATGCCCAGGGAAGCGGTAAGTCATTTTCCCTTTGAAACACTCACGTTATTTCAACTAACCAAACCTTCAGACACCCCAGCACTACTGGCATACTACCAGTCGCTTTTGTCATTACTTCAGCGGCTATCTCAAACCAAAGGCGGAGCGAATTGTGTGCTCAACTCTGGTCTTTTCCAAGCCGTGCACGAATCACGGCTTTTTGCTGCTGATCCAGATATCGGTATTGGTTAGTACATCATATCCTGGCCCAAGTATGCGTTGCTAACCCTCCTAGATATTGAAAATCCTGATGCCCTTCAGAGGTATTACGATCTTCTCCTTTCAGTTCTCCAGGTCATCGTTTACGCGGTTTTCTCGCGAGGTATCCAAAACGAACAACTTAAGCAGCAGACACGGATGTTTTTGGCTAAAAATCGGCCATGCATGGTGGGTATCTTCAAACGATCCGCCAAGATCGGAAATACATCAACCGCCCACGACGAGACTCTATGTGAACTAGTCAAGGCATTCATGGCTCTTATTACTGCCACAGATTTCATGGAGGTATGCTTTCTTTCTTTCTCTTCCCCTCAATTTATTGGTAAATAATGATCATGTAACTAACTGAGTGTAGTTCGAGGATCAGGAGGTCCACCATATCGCACGACCAGCGTTGTTTTCGTGAGCCTTTGTCTACTGATACTCACTGGAAAATTGGGAGGAAATGCATGTATCATTATGACTAGGTGGAGTGTGGGCGGTTCCCAGGTTGAGCGATTTTACTATGAATTCATTTGTATGACATTAAATCCGTCGTTTGTAAGACACCCGCCCTTTAGACCTTCCAGGCGTTGTTAGGGCTATCTTTTGTAGAAATGAGTACCATGCTTGCTTTTGTCAAAGTAAAGTGACAGTCAATAATCAAGTTCCTGGGCCGAAAGGCTATGTTTCCCTAATGGATAGCTGGTCCGTCCGATGCATACCCAGAAAATGCACACCCGTAACTCACTATGAAACTTTGAGTGCATCGTCGAAGGTCATATATGGCAGTTCTTTAGGACTACCACGACAATGCGGTCTTTTCCCTAGGAATCTACTCGTCCTGCAACTCATGATACAATCCATGATACTGTCCAGGCCCATCTTTGAAAGGTCCATATTACTGATTTAAGGGACCATGGATGTTGGAGTCATATTTTATATTAGATGAGATTGAGAATCGAAGAAAAAGCCGAAAGCTGATATCTATACAAGTATAACTCCATGGCCCTAACTGGGTCCTCACATTATCTTTTTAATACCCTTAGAGCCCCGATAGTAGTTTCGAATAGAACCAAATGCCACACGTGTAACAGTTTTGACTCATTTAATCAGTCTTACGCTAAGCTTGAAGAATGCAAAGTGTCCTAGGGACATCAGGGACGCTTTACCCCTATGCTTTGGTGCAGTCAGTGTGTCTTTTCTGCTGTCTTTTCTGCTGTCTTTTCGGGCGTCTTTTGTGTTATATTTGAGATGTCTTTTTTCATGTCTTTTTTCATGTCTTTTTTCATGTCTTTTTTCATGTCTTTTTTCGGCTTCTAAAGAGCACAGGAAAAATAACAGATACAAAGCAGCATTGGAAGGATGGTTCAACCCCATACGTAACCAAGCCCTAACTCTCGCCAATTTGATAGATCTTAGCTGTCAACTGGTATCAACTTGGATCTTTGGATACAACATACATGTACTAGCTATGTAGTATATAGCATGTAGTAGTGATATCACCGCCCTGAGGTTGTATGTAATTTCCTTACCCTAATTGGTTTCCATGGCCACCATCCACCATCGTTCCTTCCTGTATAGCTTCATATTCTGTTTATCAAACCATCGCACCTTCCTGTTGCTATTGCCGGTTGCTGTTTACCGTTGCCATGGAGTATCCGAGTTGTTATTTATTTCCCCCCAGTCCTCTTCTTCTTCTCTCCTTTCTCCTCCCCCCATGCCACTGGCTTTTTTTCATTTGCATACTGCTCTTGATTACCAAACCCATTTCTCAAACCCATTTCTCATTGCTTTCAAAGCTTTTCATCATGCACCCCTCTTCCTTTGGCAAACCGATTCGCCCCCCCCTCTCGCAGCCTGCGTTCCAAAACCAGGCCTCCTCCTGCCAAGTCATGCCTTGCCGCTTCGTCTTCTCGCAGCCTGCGTTCCAAAACCAGGCCTCCTCCTGCCAAGTCATGCCTTGCCGCTTCGTCCTCTGATCGGGATTCCTCCCACTCCGGAGAGCCTTGCGTCCGGAAGTCAGTACACTTCCCTGACGACAAGTTTCTCGTGAGAGTCAGGTCAATCCCGCCTCGCGAAAATCGGCCCAAGATGAAGGCTATCTTCAAGCAAGGTCGGATCGGGGAGAAGAAGATGTTCATCATGTACACTTCTGATTCCATGGGCTCCAACCAGCGGTTCCTTCGCAAGCTTCCTAGAGGCTACGGACGTCAGTACCCATCTCATTCCCAATGGGTGAGTATTGTACGTGCCCGTCATATCGCCGCTGCCTATCTTTCTGAGCCCCGTTCTCCTCGGTTCGCACCTTCCTCCAATGGATCAGTGCCTGAACCTGCCTTCGACGGTTCCCTGCATGGATCTGTCTTCGATATGTCTTCGCTGAAGGATGCCCTTCCTGAGCCTGCCTCCCCTGGCTCACTGCATGGGTCTGCCTTCGACATGTCCTCGATGCTTCATGCACTGCCTGATCCTGACCCGACCTTCGACATGGGCCCTCTAATGGATGCCCTCCCGGACCCGAATGGCGCATTCAATATGCGCTCGCTGAGTGATGCCCTGTCTGAGTCTGCCCCCAAGCCACGTGGGTTTGCCTCTGACATGTCCTCCCTTATGCGTGCACTTCCTAACCCCGATGCTTCCTCTGATGTATCGTCCCTTGTGCATGTGCCCAAGCCCGTGATTGCTCCCCGCGCTCGCAAGTCTCGCGAACTACCTCCAAAGGCTCGCCGTACACGTGTGGTTCAGACCTACGTCCAGGTCGGTCCGTTCTCTACCACCTGCTTCTTCAGCCTTTGTGGGGTCTTGCTTGTGTTGGGGCCGATCTTCCCACAGCTTCTACCAGCATTTTATGCGGCACTTGTACTCCAGTTTATCTATGGGACGTGCTTCTCTTGATGCTGCCGTCTGCATTCGGTGTCCTTAGAGCCCATCCCGGCTGGCTTGACTCTTTCTTCCTCCTCCGCTGCTCTCATTTTGTTTTTGTTGTTTTGTTTTGTTCTGCTGAGGCTTTTGCCGTTTGCTTTTTGTGAAAAGAAAAAACTACAAAAAAAATTGGCTTTCTTGTTCTGCATGTTGTTTTGTTCTTCTCTGCTGAGGCTTTTGCTGTTTGATTTTTGTTTTCCTCTTTTGTTTTGTTTTGCCTTTGGGGATATGGGGGTAACGTCTCTGTCTGTGAGCACGCGGAAGACAGCAGAGACATGTGGTGGTTCAATGGGATGGCCACGAGGGTAAGTCCTTGCCAATCATCTGATGGTTTCAAGAGCTAACGCAACGATAATTTCAGGCGGCTCGTGGACGCTGTCCCTGCGAGTCGAATTGATCGAACGTCTCTGTCTGTGAACGCGCGGAAGGCAGCAGGGCGTGTGGTAACTATATTTCCCCGGTCCTTTGAAAACAGCATGGTTGAGCCGCAAGACCTTCCTGCTTTGTGTGTTGACATCTTATAGATCGGTCAAACTTGTCTGTCTGTGAACTTGCGGAAGGCGGCAGAGCGTGTGTTGACTTCATGTTTTCCTCCTTGAAGGTAAGTATGATTCCATTCCTCTCCTTTTGAATACATACTAACCGCATGTCTTCCGGAGGAGGGTATTGGGTACGTCTCTGTTTGTGAATATGCGGAAGGCAGCAGAGCGTGTGGTGGCTCAATTGGAGCGGTGACGGGGGTGAGTATACTCCAGACCTCTGATGGTTCTATGGACTAACATTCACAGTTGGCAGGTGGGTATCGTCGCCATGAATCGAACTGATCGAACGGAACGTCTCTGTCTGTGAACACGCGGAAGGCAGCAGGACGTATGGTAGCTATCTCCCCCCCACCCTTGCTTCGATCCTTTTGAAACAGCATGGTTGAGCCGCAAGGCCTTCCTGCTTCGTGTGCTGATATTCTATAGATCGGTCAAACGTCTGTCTGTAAACACGTGGAAGACAACAGGCGTATGGTGGCTTCATTTTCTTTTTTCTTTCAAGGTAAATAGTTTCCAGCCCCTCCCTCCTTTTGGCTGCATACTAACCGTATATCTTCCGGTGGATGGGGTCGGGAACGTCTCTGGCTGTGAACATGCGGAAGGCAGCAGGACGTGTGGTGGCTTTATCTTTTGGCTTCGAGGGTAAATATTAATCCATTCCTTCTCTACCTATCATTTTATGCTGACCTCTTGTCTTCCAGGGAAGGGCGGCGAACGTCTCTGTCTGTGATAGCGAGGAAGGCAGCAGAGCGTATGGTGGCTTCGTACTTTTTATACCAAGGTAAATATAATTCCACTCCTTCTCTCCTTATCATTTTATGCTGACTGTAGCTCCTCCAGGGAAGGATCTTCGGCGAACGTCTCTGTCTGTGATCATGCGGAAGGCAGCAGGGCGTGTGGTGGCTCGCCTTTTTGGCGAAGGGAGTACGTTCATGCCTTTGCTCACAATTTCTGTGGCTGTACTGACTGCCTTACTAGTGCCCGATGGCATCCTTCTACCTTTTTCCTTCTTCTTTTTCATCATGTGTTCTCGCAGTGCGAGGGGTATGGAGAAGAAAGGATGAAGTTGAAGCAGAGTATATTATTAAGCAGCTGCCTGGAGTGAGGATGAACCAAGTGCATTCATGCATCACTTGGAGGCACAATGGACTTTCCCAACGCAAAGTGAGGGGACTGTTCAGATACACAATTTGAAAATTCTGAAATGTATTCACAACCCCAAGGCATCGACTACAATGTTTCAGAAAAGAATTACATAGGGTTGCTACATAAGTACAAGGCACAGCCAAGAAAGGTTCAATACAATTAACCACATATCTTTCACATTTAATACTACGAATTGCAAGCCATCAGCTCATTCGAGTGTGGGCACTATTCTCCCTAGACAGCGCCCCAACAGTACCCTGCGTTGTATAGCGTAGCCTGTGGCACACTACACGGGCTGTACATATGATTCACAGCGAGATCAGTGACACTTAAAATAATTGGTAACCACCTAAATGCGAAAGCAGCTTTAGTATTTCTCCCGCACAAGCCTTCGTCCAAACCATTAAGAATCTCTATCCGTATAATGGTTTAGTCCCGGCAAGTCCTATAATCGCCTAGAATGACAGCCTGTATTTCGGTGTCTGCTTTGGTTACGCTCTCGCTGTGCGCAAGAGTGCTGGCCCTCTCGGTTATTGTCACGAATCGTGAATGGAGAAGGATCTGCCCCGCCGAGTGTACTGTTGGAATATCTCTAGTTATAGTTGCGGTGTCTGTGGTCAGCGTGATACACACGCTGGCTGTCCCATTGATGGTGACGGTTGATGTAGAGTGAGTAAAACTATATAATCCTCGTCATCTCTTGACCCGCTCTTGAGTATTGCCAGATTTACCAGTCCGTATTAGTGACTGTCGTGCTGCTAGTGTTGTCTGTGAATTTCTGGTTTGAGTGGTTGTCGCTAGAGCAGCCTCTGCCATGGACAGGGGAATGGGAACTGGTTGTTGATGTTCCCGTTTCCTCACAGGATAGGCTCAAACTCAGCCAGTAGAGTTATCAGAGATGTGAGCATTGCATGAACCCCCTACAGAAGGAGGACTTGAACAGCCACAGGGCATGTATGAAAAGGCAACGGGACTAATCTTCGAAACTCAAATCAACGCCCTCTCAAAATCAGGAGACAAGAGTGATATCTTGGAAGGGAATGATATTTCATTTTTTGTCTAGACATGACAGCATTTTCCAACAGTTAATACATGATATAATCCAAGCAGAGGCGCTCTGAGGCATGTCATAGATGTAGAGTTCCTATGATAATCAGATGTTATTTAATCTGGAGCTAAAACTACATTAAGAATTCCATGTGACTTAGGGCTAATTGCCGCAAAGTCCGAGTCCGAGGCCAGGAATCTGTCATGTGGCATTGGGTTTTGATTTCGCGGTCGACATTAGTTTACTAAGTCCGTTTATGCATTCAGTTGGCCTTTGCTATTGTCGAGCTTAAACCAGATACTTGGTATCAATATCGATCATTGCCTCATGTTTCTGTTCATAATACCTAGGTCTCGAAACTAGAAGGTCGAGGATTGATATACTTGGACTACTCTACGAATGTAAGGGACTACAGCTACAAGAAAAAAGAATTGAGAGAATGAAGGCAAGGCATATTAAAAAAAGATATTCGAGACTACCCCTAAAACAGGCGAAAAGTTAATCTGTAAACAAACTTGTAATGCAACAAAGCGCCAGCATAACACCAACCCATGAAAAAAGATAAGAGAACACCGCATAAACTTGCAAGACCAATAACAAGATCAAGTAGATGTTTATGTATGTTGCAAAAAGGGGGAATAGTTGTAAAGAGACAACCCGCAAAGCCCGGCCAGCTGAGAACAAAAACTCTATACAAGTCGTGACGTGTAAATGCGCTGAAACAGATCCAGATAGGTGTAAATGGGGCGTGTGTACGAGGTGACGGGGGAAGGGTATGAGACGCCAGAAACCAGAATGGATACAAGGTCGAGTGCGAGAGATGTGAGATAGGCAGGCGCTCAACGTATCGAAGGATAATAAAAAAGATGAAAAGATAAGATGGGTGGATCATCTGAGGGGGAAGAAAAGGAGATGTGCCATGTAGAAATGGCAAACTCAGGTATCCGACGAATGGACTACGGTGGCGTCGGAGTTTGTCCGAACTCGACGTGGCCGCGAGGCTTATTCTGAGATCGCATATACATGGCATCAGAGTATGCGTCGGGTGCTGGGGGAGCGATCTCCCGGGGGAGGCTTCTGTGCTGTTGCTGTTGTTGTTGCGTCACAACCTCGCGTGCGTAGAACTCTACGAGCATTGTCCCATACGACTCTAGTTCTTCGACGGTGATGGCGAGTCGGAAGTCATTGAGAAGGAGGAATTGTAGTTCCAGGTGGTTGAGCTCCACCAGTGGAAGGCCACCAACCTGCGTATTCAATTATGATTAGTTATGATCTGCGAGTTAGATGTAAGAATTACATACCTTTGCATAACGTGAATTGGTGTAGAAAACATCAGAGAAGAACTTGCTCGCACAGGTCACGGCAGCGATGACCAGTCGATGGATATTAAAACTATCAACGACGAAGAAATGTGAAAGTGCCTCAGTATCCGACTGAGGTGAAAGGCCGGGCGAATTTGAAGAATTCGACCCTTGCGAGTCCTGCGCAGTAAAATCTGATGAGTGGGGTGGTGTTGCCATTAAAGAATCCTGCATCTGGTGAGATCCTGGAGATTCGGTAGCTGTGGACGAAGTTTCGGATCCTTCCGCGGAGTCCCAGCGTTGGTGTAGGTGGTCGAGCTGGTTGCGGTTGACTAGCTCAGTCATGCGGTCGAAGTAGACCAGCAAGCTTAGAAAAACCTCGTATGTTGTAGGACAATATTTGTGGATGCGAGTCAAATAACTCAAAATTGTGATGGTCGGGACATTCTTGCCATGGAATGCAAGCACGCTGGTAGCCTGCGGGCTGAGGTTGGAGGTACCTTCGGGCGGGGGAATATGGCGATGTACATGTTCGTGATGTACATCGTTTGTAGTTGTGATCTTGGTCAATAGCCCAGCGACCATCTCGATGATCTCCGTGACCGGCATGGAGCTGATCTCATACTGTCGTTGGTGCGATCCATTTCCGGGATTGTGTGAGCTCCGCGATCCCACCAAGTCCTCATTAGCGAGACTCTGGATATGGGATAAGCTTTGGACGCGAATGCGACTCGGTGAATTGGCTTCTGAGCCTGGTACAGACTGCATGGACTGGTATGTGGGTTGGAGACGCGGTGAATCCGGCGCCGACTGATTAGAAGAGTATGGGTTGCTTCCGCTCTGGGTTGGTGGGGTACGTGTTGAAGAATAAGAGTCGTGAGGAAAAGCGCCCGGATGAGACGTCATTGAAGGCGGACGTGGGGTGAAAGTGGGAGTATCGGAAGAGGAGCCTGTGGAAGCTTGTGAAGGTGTGTATGAGTTGATGTAAGCCGGTACATCATTCGCATGCACAGGAAGCCGAGCAGAGCCTACGGACGGTGGGGCAGAGGTGGGGGTGTTGGAGGAAGACGTTGAGTGGGTGTCCATAGACACGCAAGAATAAGAATCCGAATTGATGGCTCCTCCCAACATGTCGATGTGATCCGACGGCACGTGGTTGAGGACGACAGAGCCCATGTCAAGGCTATGGTCTGTTTTTCTGCGGGAGCACGGGTCAGCAAGGCGGTCGCAGCTTCGGGCTATCTTGCCACTATAAACATGGGGACAAGAGAAATAGAAATATACGAAATACAAGGGAAACAAATAATGAGGGGTTTACATACGTGTTTGATTACCCTCAAGGGCTAGAACAATCAGATCAAGGAAAACTCCCAAGCTTAAAAGACAGATAAGATCTTTTGGAGAATCAGCAACTGCCAATCGAATCCATTTGAAAAGAAAAAAGACAAAGGAGAAGAGAACAGGAATACAGGGGGAAATGACGCGTATGATAATATGAAGTGAGTCTGGTCAAGGTGAGGTCAGAGTGGCTCCCGATGAAACAAGATTCAGATATTGAACTTTTTATGTATTCTTGTTTGGACTACAATGAAATGAACGGAGTAGAGAAAAATGAAACATATCTTTTAGGGATTACCTGTCATTAATACTCTCCATAGTTATATAAAAGACGGTGTAGATTATATATACAAGGCTGTTTCGGTCTTATATTGACGAATGATAGAAGGATATGGGCGCCCGTGGACAACTGATGATTCAGATATCTGGTCTGAGCGTCTGTTTACGGAGTAGCCTTGAGAGGGAGTCGAGTTATTTAATCTGGGGATCTATGTTCTATGTTCTATGTTGGAATTCCATTGTGGATATTTCCTAGAATAACCTTGCGTGTCCCTTGGGTATAGACTTGCATCAAAAAAAAAAGATTGAAGAGCATGGCATTTTGCGTGCATGTGGGATGTGACATGTTCTCCCTATGGATCTCCCAAGGTCTGGGCAGTACTAATGGAAACTACAGATCTAGGTGTTCTACAAACGGGCAGTACTACAAGACTCAAATCACTCCATGTTGCAATAGACAGGGTATAATTCCGGTGTTCCTTCTGGTAGAATAACACTCGGCACTTATGACCCAATAGCTCACTGACCGGGCACTTCCGATCTAGTTCTTGAACTGCTCGGTCCTTTTCTCCCTACATAGCCCGATATTAAGGGTGGTGGGGGGTATGGCAGCACCCGTGAACTAGTGTCAAAACTTGTCAGATTGGCACTCGGACACAGCATATCCCCAGCAGGGGCGCATAGCAAAATGCGAACACCGGAGAACTGGGATCATGAAACCATTTCATTTGGAGATTGACGCAATATTAGAACACTTATTAATTCGTCACTCCCGGCCCAGTGTAGCCATTGTCTGGAAGGTAGAGATGTCTCACGGCACCGGCCTTGGTCAGGACCACCAGGCGAATGACACCACCGGAGCTGCCATCCCACTTAATCGCCTCCTGCAAAGCACTCCGCACGAAATCGATGCCCTCTTCCTCCGTCATCTGTTCCCGCCAGTGGGCATCGGTATAACCGTAGATGTAGGTTGAGCCTGAACCACCGATAGCGAACGACTGCTTGTGAAGGGATCCTCCCAGCGGTATCGAGAAAACCTGACCTCCGTGTCGTGCATCCCATCCGGCAAGAATGATACCCGCACTATTGTTGAGTTAGCATGGATTTTGAGTGAATACCAATGGTCCAAAGATTCGGGTACAGACCTCAGGGCATCCTTGTTCTCATAACACAATTCCTGGAAGAGTGATGCAGCAACCTGTGTGGTTGGGGCCTCGGCGTTCGTTACGCCGTACATGTTGAGATGGTAGGAGACAATGTCGGCCACGGCCTGGGTGTCTGCGGCGGAACCGGATCGGCAGCACCAGATGGTGTCGTGCACCTGTGTCAATTTGTCGGTGACTCGGTTGGCAATGTAGGCACCGGTGGTTGTTCGACTATCTGCACCAAGAATGACTCCGTCTTTGAAGTTGATAGCCATGCTGTTGGAACGTTAATGGGGATGTTTGCAGATGGTAATGTTCGAGAGCTCCAGCTCAACTCACATCGAGGTACCCAAGCTGAATGAAGAACGAAAGGTTAGTATATGTTGTGTAGCTCCATAGGAAGTAGTATCATCAGGGGCTTAGCTTACTTGACCTCGCCAGACTTCAGGTGGTTCATGTCGACGTGAATGCCATCTGGAGATGTTAGCTGGTTGCTGTCGGCGGATGACGATAGCTCTGCTCACCTTCACCGAGCATTCCTGTTGTTCCATGAGGGGCGACCATTTTGTGCTGTGCTTGAGGAGAAATGAAAAAAAGCAGAAAGATGACTTGAATAGACCAGATAAAATAGCAATGAGAAGAAGGAGGTTAAGGGAAGAAGTAGAGGTGATGCTATCATGAACACAGGCAGAAGCTCACAACGCGGCAGCTCGGGCGGTGAGCCCCCAGCCCCTGCGATCGACTTACCATCTCCTCCCCCGCGAGACTCCTGAAGCTCAATTTGTTCATTCCCTCGAGGATTATCCATCTTGGTTTAGTGTATTCATCTCTGGTCGCATTGGCCACATCTGCTAGTCGATAATTTTGCAATACCAGAATCTCCCAGACCTTGTTTTGTCGCATCCTCTATCTGGTCCCCACTCTTTAAAGTCCCAACTTGACCATGTCCGACTCCCCTCCGCCTCCGTCTTGGAGCATCAGCAACATGGCCAACAGTGCTGCGCAGTGGATGCGACTTCCTGTTCTTGCGTCATCTGGCCTAGCTGTTGTTGCAAGTGGACTACTCTATTTCAAGCAAAAGTACGCTTAGCATCTAGACCATTTGTTTACGAAGCTAATAATTTTCCCCAGTGAACTAATCTACCCCCGCAATGTCCCTGTGGATGCACGGACAAATGTCCCCAGTCCTCGCCAATTTGGCATAAGCGACTTTGAAGACCTTCAGATCCCCACACCCGACGGGGAGTCATTGCACGCCCTTTTCCTCCGGCAACGACCAACCCGCTACTCTCGCAATGTGACAGTCCTGATGTTCCACGGAAATGCAGGCAACATCGGCCACCGTGTCCCCATCGCCAAAGCTTTACAGGATACGCTTCAATGCAATGTTTTCCTGTTAGAATACCGTGGATACGGTATGTCGACAGGTACACCGGACGAAGCTGGCCTTAAGATCGATGCTCAAACAGGCCTTGATTACCTACGACAGCGCCCAGAGACAAGGGATACCGATATCGTTGTCTACGGACAAAGTTTAGGTGGTGCCGTGGCTATCAATCTGGTTGCTACCAATGAGGAGCAAGGTGATATCGCAGGATTGATCTTGGAGAACACTTTCCTGAGTATTCGCAAGTTGATCCCAAAGTATGTTTCTGAAATATTAGCAAGACTCACGAGTATTACTAACTTGGAATCAGTGTCTTCCCTCCAGCACGGTATCTGGCACGTTTCTGTCACCAATATTGGATCAGTGAAGATGTGTTGCCTAAGATCACCAAAACTCCAGTTCTTTTCCTGAGTGGACTCAAGGACGAACTTGTTCCGTAAGTTTGTCTACTTCAAGCATGGAATCTTCATTGCTAACCCCACCTTCAGCCCGTCGAATATGACCCAATTATTTGCTGTTTGCAAGGCTGAATGCAAGATCTGGCGCACACTCCCGAATGGCGGCCACAATGACTCTGTTGCCGAGCCAGGTTACTTCGAGCACATTCTTTCCTTTATTACGGAAGAAGTACTATCTAATAAACAATAAACCGATGCGACTTATTTCTCTTGCTTGGGGGTTTCGGATCCCCTCTGGCAAACCCTTTGCACGGTCTCTCCTAGGTTTTTTCCCCGCCAAGAAGTGCACAAGCTTTGCTCCAATGCTTGGCTGTCGAATCCCTTTTAACGGCCAATCTGGACGTCTGGTTTCGGCCCCTACAATACAAGAATCAACTGACAAGAACTGTTGATTATGACCATGATACCCCTGCCACGCAACCAAGACACGAATTTCACTTTGCATCCGTTCAAATGACCACACCACGGCCTGCCTCTTATGGTCTATACATGGCCCTGATCATTTCCTTTATTCACCCCCCAAGCACTTGGAGTAAAGGGCCATACCTCCCATTTGATTGAAAATGGGTATTTTCTCCTTTCTACCTCTTCTTGTCTAATATATGTTTGATTCATTCTTATTCATTGGTATCATATTCGTGGTGTTTACAATATTGACCCAATATCAGGCGCTGGGCGTGTCTTCTTCTCTGCTTATTTCTCTGCGGAACTTCCAAGGTTTTCCTTTCGCCTTACATACGCGCTCCGACAATCTTCCTTCTTTGAGAATTCTAAACGGAGGGAACCATTTGCAGTCGGTACAAATGGAATAATTTGATTTCTAAATCTTTCGCTGTGCAATCCTAGGATGCCTATCAAAGACAGATCTTATGTTGACGTTATCCGTGGTCTTTCTATGGCAAAGGGGCAGCCTAAACCCCAAGACCTAAATAGCGAGGGCACTAAACAATAAGCCCATCATCTCAAGGCTCGGGTGGCCGTAGACTCAGCGAGTCATCTGCACCAGTCATCCAAATACATTCTCAAGTCCCTTTTCCCTTGCCCTGCATTGCAGGAGGAAGAAATCTGTTCTCAGCCTCGGTGCATACATCTAAAAGTAGAAACTCCTTTGACCAAGTCCAAGCAGGCTTCGTCATAAGTAAATCCTAAAGTGAAGACCTTATTGATTGTTGAATATATATCAGGAGGAGATAGTTCTGTTTTTATATTTCAAGACAAGCTGAAGAAAAATATATTTCGATATCCCGCAACATGATATATATCACAAGCTACATCTACTAGTTCAATTTGAGCCCCCAATCTAATATAGACCGTGCATCAATGATCAAGCATGTAATAAGAAGTGACATCAGTCAGTTTATATTTGCATATGAGAATTTATTCAGATGGCGCCAAGATGGGCTTGGATGGCCTGCAGGCATTATACCTACATTGGGAGGGTACTCCATCTCCATTCCAAATGCCTTGGACTTTACTAGCATGTGCATTTAGGGTGCAATCCATAAGAGGTTGGCAAACAGGAAGGCAATATATCGGAAACCAGCTTATTCTTTTTCATTTTTTTACATCCGTTCCATGATCAACGGCAAATTCTTTGAAGATCCCTGCAACCATGAGAGCCCAAGTCCCAAAGATATATAAAACCACCCGACAAAATGTAATGGAGAGATACATATAATACAAGCCACAGGATTTAGTACAACAGAAACAAACTACGGAAGTTTCTCAGCCTCAATCAACAGTTCCTCAACCTTGAAGTTCTCAACATCACCACGGGTGAACATGCGGACAAGCTCACTCTTCCGACCAGAAGCCAGTCCCTCAAAGTCATAGAATCGCTGCACACAGCTAACAAGCCAAGTCGCCTCGGGGGCCGAAACACCGCCCTCAGGAATAATCTGGCCATGCATAAGGACCAGACCCTTATCATCCGCCAGATCAAGGTGGTGAGTAACAGTAGTGTGAGGCTGGGCAAATGCGCCGTGCATCTTATAAACACCCAGATTTGTGAAGATCACAGTCGAGGTGTGGGTATTCGAAGGCGACGGGGTCGACCCCTCAGCAGGCGGGTGGAAAGCCCATTGGAGGAAGTGAATATCAGCTGCGGTGCCAGTGACACCCTCGGGTGTTTGCTCTGCCTCTTCGGGGGTCTGCGGACGCGGGAGGGGCAGGATGAACTGCGGGTTCTCGCGTGCGGACTGGATCATGCGGTTGTATGTGTTGATGGGGATCGCGGCGGTGATAACATTAGGATTCTCAGCGAAGCGGAGACGCCAGAGCGCTTCGATCTCCTTGGCTGGGAGTTCACGGATCTTCTCGACGTCCAGGTAGGAGCTGAGGGGCTTGACGGGGCTGGAGTCGCCGGAGACGGAGCGCGCGGCTTTGGTGGTGCGCGATTCCTGGGGAGGAGGAGGAGGGGGAGGGGGAGGTTGGAATGCTGCGGATGTGCCTGGGATGGCAGTGGTGGATGTAGGTGTGGGAGTCTCGGGCTCTGGGGTAGCTACAGTGGATGCTTTGCGGCGGAGTTCTTTGATTTTTTCGTCGTAGGCTTCCTTCAAGGACTCAACTGACTCGTGTCCCTCTCTGGATTATATAATCAGTATTGAAGCAGAAATAACTGTTGGGGAAGGTTTGCTCACTCCTTGGCCTTCTGGTCCAGCTTGGACCGATATCTTTCCAAGACATACTTGGGGTCGTGGTGTGAGGCGAGGAAGCGGACGTCGTGGACCTGGGCCCACCGGCGCTGCTGATAACGCAGCAGGTGGGAGTTGCCACGGATCACCGATTGGAATCCCTGCAGTCGAAATGATGGCATTTTGAGTTTGAAGAGTAAATACAACGAATCCCCGAAGGTAATCTGCAGATAAGAAATGCCGGACTATATGATGACATAATCACTGACATAAGCGCTCATATTGTTGCCCCGGTGGCTCCATAGAATTGAGGCATAATGTGGAGAATGCCAGGCATCAATATTCCCTAGTTAGGATATATGGCTTCCTATATTTCACTAAGAGTAGCCCTTTTCTGAATTGGAGACCAGCTGTGAGCTGCTATGTTTTCTATGAGCCTATAGTAGAGTGAGTAGAATTGTCATACTGGGCTGTATCGGTCAGACCGATGTCGGCATGTAATACAGGGTCGAGAGGATTCTTGCTTTTTTTAACTCTGGACTTCAGTACTCAATAAGCACATGTACCTACTACCATCTGAAATAAACAACAAAATCAAAGGCGAGAAGATCATATAGTAGCACAAATTGAACCAAGAAAGATCTGTTTTTCTACTATGATGTTAATTCGTCAAATCTACGAGTTGAGATCTACAAACTGTCCCTTTGGATCCTTTTATCTGGGAATAGCAGTACCAAGGCTACTTTTAATTTTTGCCTCTGGACAAATCTGACTTGACTCGAAATTAATACTCGAACAATAGCAAAAACAAACCACCCTCAACATACCATAGTCCATCCATTCCTCAATTGCCTCCAATACGCCATCTCTGCTTCTCCATTGCACATATGTATGTATCCCAGCGGGTGGATCCATCTATATTATCTAAGATCCAAGCAACATAGAAGTGCGCTAGCAATTTGCAAACTACCTTTTCCAATATCTAATATTTTGCATTTCCATACATCGATAACTAAATCATTCCGCCACCCATATATCTTAGTCAGCAAATCCCTGCCCAACCAAGGTTACCGAAGTGGAATAGGCCCTGAAGTATAACCTTAAAAACACCGTCCTGTAAATCCATCTCCTCAAAAACAAACCCCTCATCTCCAAATAATCTCTATTTCCCCAACATCTCCATCTATCACCATCCAAGAGAAAAAAGAAACCAAAAAACAACAAAAATGCCAATCCGTCAAAAAGAATTCTCCACCCCGCCACCCCATCCACCAGTGGGTACACCCAAGGACTCCCCATCCGCACTGCCCTGGTACTCTATCGCGCCGGGGGTATGGGAATTCCTGTTAAATGGCAATGAAGAACACAAGGCCGTACTGCAGTGGTGGGAGCCAAATACTGTGTCTCCGCAGACAGAGCCAATAACACATACCTACATCGAAGAAGTGTGTACGCTGCGCGGCGGGCTGGAAGATGTTACGCTCGGACAGTCGTGGGGTATTGGTTCGTATGCCTACCGGGATCCTGGGATGGTGCATGGACCGTACCGGGCGGCCAAGGAGGGATGTCTGCAGTTTGTTAAGGTTGTGCCGGTGAAGAAGTAGGGATTGGAGATGGGATCTATAGAGTTTAATGGCTACTGATTTGGCTATCTGTGACCTACTTGGCTATTTTTGAAAGGATGAATTTCGAGTTTTTTTTTTAGCTATTTTTTGGTTTACGTTCTATCCCAAAACATGATGCATGATGCGTGTAACGCTTTTGATAAGCGATATTGTATCGTGTATGATGAAACTCCAAGGTGAATGCAAGTGACTTCGCAAAGAATGAGACATGTACAACGCTTTTGAAACATCTTTTTTGTTTCTCAGGTCATCAATCATCAAATCCTGTCCAAGAATTTAGACTGGTACATCATTTGTAACAGATGCCTCAGCCTGAGTGGGGCGATCTTCCATAGGGGCTCCCATAGGGGCTTCCGTAGGGGCTTCGGTCTTAGGAGCAGCCTCAGGAGCAAGTTCAGGTTTTCCCTCAGGGTCCTCACTGACAGCCATTTCCTGGTCCCGATCCTGGTCCTGTTCCAGTTCCCCCGCTTCCTCTTTCTCCTCCTTCTCCTCAGCCTCTTCCCAATCATCAACAACCTCAGGCGCAGGGGTCTTCGCACGCAAAGACTTCCCCACGCCAACACCAGATCTCAGAACCAAGCGCTCGCGCTCCTTCTTCGCCCCATCACCATCAAGAGCAGCATAAATAGACTTGCTGACCCACGAGTTCTGAACGGGCGTTCCAGTCCTCGAACTAGCCCCGCTACCACCCTTACTCTTCGAGGCAACCTGAGCCCACCCACCGTCACCGCCTCCAGTACTAGCCTGAGCCTTAGCAGCTTCACGGGTGGCCTTAGCCTCTAGTGCAGCAACACGACGCGCTTCTTGTTCTTTGCTGCGCTCGCGCTCGCGGAGCTTAACGCACTCGCGCACGCTCATGCCGCCGATACCGATGGTCGAGCCACTGCCCATGCCGAAGGAAGGAGGTGTCCAGGCAACGGGTTTCAAGACGAAAACGTGGCGGTGGGGTTCTGGATCGTGGCTTTCTGTCACGAAGCCCCAGTCTGCGGCGAGGGAGTGGGCGTATGCGCGGAGAGTGGATTTCGCTGGCTGGAAGCGGAATGAACGGGTGGGTTTGTCTGCTGCTGCCAGGGAGTGGAGGTTGGATTCGTAGGTCTGGAGAGTTGATAGAGGTACCGAGCATGCGAGCTGGACGTATTGGTTCAGAGTCTCTTCCGAGTAGGGAAGGTTCTCGGCTGTGATGGTTTGAAGCGTGGTTGTCTGGTTGATGTCGACGCCGAGGGCACCTGCCAGGGTGCGATTCCGCTCTAGACGTGCGCACTCGTCGTCACAGGTCAACGGGGTCAACTCTGGCTGGCGCTGGGGCGACTGCAGCTGGCCCTTGGAGGTCACGGCCTTCGCGGCGTTGCAGCGTCTTTCTTGTCGTAGTCGTCCACAGGCACATGTCACTGCGATCTTGGAGGAACATGGTGTCTTCTCGGGACATGCGTACGGCGCATGGCATTGCTCTGTGCAAGGATGGCCGCACATCGTCTTGTTCTTTCCACAGGGCTGGCTGCAAGGTTTGGTTGCGTCTTCGCAATCCTCCGGGCGATGGCAGTCCTTCCGGCAGAAGTGAGAGCCACACTTGAGCAACTGTCCACATACTTGACCGCAGCGCGCATCTGTCAGCCAGCAGGGTATGTTTTTCAACACCCGCTTTCCGCACAGACACGGTTTCTCAGTCAAGAATGGACACTTGGGACAGTTCTCCTCGTCGGTATGGCAGCTATGTGCGGCTTGAGGGTGGCCGCATCGCTTCGGACGCTCACAGGGGAAATTGCAAGCGGGTGGCTTTGCGCCACATGGCTGCGGTGGATACAGAATAGATCTTCCGCAATTACACGAGATCTCTTCAAACACTGCCTCCCTGCAGGTATTGCAAGCGCCCTTGTGGCAAAGTTCTGGGCATGTGTGTCTTCCGCATTTCAGCATCCGGCCACATATGCGAGTGCAAATATGCTCAGCTTCGATGTCCTCCTCAGCAGGGCGGAGATGGGGCCTGAGTTTACGACGCGCAGCCTGGCGCTCGTTAGCCCTTTGCTCTCCCGGACAGCACCTTTCAGTGCATGTGTGTCGACCACAGTGTAGAGTCGCCTTGCACATGCGTGGGCATTGGGGAGGCTCATTTTGGCCTTGGTGACAGATTGTCAGATTATTAGTACGACCGCAGTTGCACTTGATGTAAACATTGCGCAAACAAGCGCCACATGATCCAACATGACACAGCTTCTCGCAAGGATGACCACATGGCAGTGTCTTCCCACAAGGCTTTTGACAATTCAAAATGGGGTCTTCGCAGGAGGTACGAGGTGTATAACCCGGGATCTCAGATAATGGTGTCTTGCCACAGGCGCAATTGACAATGACGTCTGGTGACTGTGGGCAGTGCGCAGGGTGTGGATCTTGCGGGTGACAGTTCTTCTTGCATGAATGTATACCGCAATCAAACGGACGATTACAAGTCTCTCCACAACCAAAGCAGCCGGTCCACTCATCTTCTGAGCCATCCTCGCGGACGATCCGACTGTCCTTCTCATCATCTTTAGACTTACACAACATCTCCGTCTGCAATTTTCCACAGTAGCAACGAGCGTCAATGCTAACCTCGCAGCCACCACATAATCCCTCATGACATGGAAGCGGACATGTATGCTCCCCGCAGGGCAGCAACTCACCACAGATTTCGCCACAGCTCCATCCATTCTCATAATCTGTATCCTGACAACGCTTCTGCGACGAATTAAGGCCACAGAAACAATCCTGCATCGGTCCCATAGCCGTACAAGGTGTACACGGACCAGCATGACAAGTCCTATCACAAGGATGGGGACAACCCTTGCGAGGCCGCGAACAAGTCTGACCACACGAGTGCGGAGGCAAGCCGGGCAGCGGCCTAGGATCAATCTCTTTCTCACACCAGCAAGAGTAGCTCGTTGGGAAGTTTTGTTGAGAAAGGTTACAACCTGGACAACGCCAAGCGCGAGGAGTGAGGTCTTCTTGCCCGTCTTCTCGAGCAGAAGCCCTCTGTGCAGCTGCACCCTCATTCGTGGACCATTTCTTGACACAGCTTAGATGGAAAACAGTCCAGCATAGCTCACAAGACCAGACCTTAGACCTACGACCCAGCTCGCTACAGCAGATGGGGCATTCGTACAGGTTATGCGCAATGTCTTCGTGGATGCGGGTAGCTAGGTCGTCGGCTGTGGACTTCGCTTTAGGTGGTGGCGGTACCCTAGGCTGCCTTGCTTTCCCTTTCCCTTTTGAAGGTGGCGCTGAATCAGAAGGCTGTTCTTGTTGAGATGACGGCATGCCTGGTACAAAATCCGGCACATCGGGTCGCAGTGAGTGATCATGGTCGTGTGCATGCCCCGCACCGTCCAATAGAGGGCCATTTTCGGCCTGGTCTGGTCTTGTTAACTGGGCTTCGAAGCCACGCGCTCGCATACCACGGGTTCGCGCCTCTGGTCGTGTTGCTTGGCTTTCAGGTCCTTCATTCCGACTCTGTCCCGGCCGCGGAGGCCCATTGTTTCTTTGTCTCCGGCCTCTTCCTTCTCTGTTTCCACCTCTGCGCGAGCTGGACGGTCCGTCCTGTTGACTAGACTGGGGTGTTGTATTCGGCTGTGGTTGGGACTGTGTAGGCTGTACTTGCGGCACAGCTTGCGGCGCAGCTTGGTTTTGAGGCTCACCCGCAGGTGTTTGTTGTTGCTTCGCAGAACCCCGCCCTCTGCGTCTAGATGGCCTGGAAGAACGTGGGGGTCGTGGCCCGGCTGGGATTGAAGTCTCTGGCTGTGGTGTTGCCATGACTGGAAATGTGGTGGAGATTTGATTTAAGACTCCTGGCGTACTCATATATTTCCGGTAGATTTCACACTCGTGTTTTGTTTGAAGAGAGTAATTGGTGGTTGACTGGGTGTGTTGATCTATGTAGGCTGAAACAGTATGGCAGTGTAAAACGAGCGGAATCTAGACAACGAATAACGAAACAAAGAGTAAATCAAAGGCAAAAGCCTGCTTATAGAATGAAGAAGAAAATCGTAGCACAGTGAATTATCTAGAAGGCGATAAAAGCTCTCATGGCAGAATTTGGCGGTGCAATAAGCGGTGGCAGAGTGGCAAGCGGTTGGTGTGAGTCAGGAATTACATAACATGACTCATTGTGGCTCCCGACGGAGATCCGAAATGCGGGTCGGCGATCTATGAATTCGAGTCATGCTTCGTATGACTGAGAGATAGAATGAACTGATGCAATCAATTGGATTTTAGCTGATGCGTGCAATAAAAAAGTCATGGAAAAGAGGGGTGTTTAACTCCTTTTTGTGCCAAGACATCAAACAAAGACTCAATGCAGGAGGGCTTGTATCTAAAACACCATCTTGCAGGATATCAAAGCACAATCGGACTATGCTCGATCTTGGCTGAAACAAGGTACATAGATCCTTCGATTCCATGCCGTTAAGTGGGGTACACGAGAAAAGACGGTCAAAGAACATTATCAATGCAATTTAGTTCCGATCCCGAATTAATATAGACAAAAATGCAATATCGAAGCCGGCGCATCAAAAGAAACATGGCGCTATGCAAAAAAACCAGCCCATTCACCTCGTAACAAAGAACCAAACTACTCATCCCAATCCTACAGTTTGAGTGAAATCATACACACCAAGTCCAATGTCTAAATGAACACAACAATCTCGCCACGATCATTCCGTCTCAGTCTCAAAGCACGGAAAAGATCCTTCTCATCATCAGCTCTGCGCTGTCCATTATCATGACCAGCATCATACTCAGTCGAGAGCTCACGGTGGAAGCGCTTAAGTGCCTTGTTGACCGAACTTCCACGCTCGCTATCCTTCGGGACCAGCGAGAGGAAGTGATAGGCCAGCTCGCGCTGCAGATCATCACCCGTGCGTGCCGGCGGCCGTGACTGCTTGTAGACAGCAACCTGATGGTGGCCGTGGGAGGAGGAGTCGACGGATCCGTGGCGCTCATCAATTTGCTTAAGACGACGAGAAGGTCTATCGCCATCTGTGGGGTTTGAGCTCTTGCGCTTAGACTTGCGAGATTCATCCTGATCGTCTGCGCGCGAGCGGTGCGACTTCTTGCTCTTGCGCACTTCGAGTTGGCCGTCGCCGCTGGAGGAGCTGCCGCGGCGGGCCTTAGCGCTAGGGTCTGTGCTAGAACCGGAGACGGCTGAGCCACCGAACATGGAGGAGACGAGGCGGCCGGCGCGGTTCTTCATTGAAATACCGAGACCTGCGTCGCTGTTGCCGTTGGATTCTTTGCCGTTGCGGCGGCTGCGCTTGATCGGGGATGAGGTGTCTTGGTAGGCGCGACGGCTGGTTTCTGGGCTGTCGTCGCCGTCGGGAGACTGCGAACGCATCATCCGGTTCAGGCCGCCTGTCAGACCGGAGTGGTTCAGCATGGGTGTGCCGGCGTTGTTGATTATGCTAGAGGGGGCCTCCATCATTGAAGTGTCAACATCTCCGCCCGGGGTGCTGAGAACCTCTGCTTGGCCGCGCTTGCGCTTCTTCTCGCTGACAGTGCCGGGGGCTTTCTCCCGACGCTCCTTCTTCTTGGGTGCGGGTGTGACGAACTCGGTTGTTGACGCGTTCGGGGGCGAGGCTGAGTGCGGGATATTGCCGGCGCCATATGAGAAGCCATTCTCCTCGTAGGCGATGTCGTAATTCTTACCCTCGTCATCGGTGTTGGGGTTGGTTTCGACACGAGTGAGGGACTGGCTGGGCTCGAAGACCGATTTGGCATTGGGGTGCATCTGCATCTGTTGCTTGGGCTCAGCAACAGAGGCCTTGGATGCGTTCGGGCTCTCCTCAGCGACGAGGTAGTCAAACACATTGACAGGCTTGTCGTTGTTGGCCGGGGCAGGAGCAGGAGTTCTCACCTCACCGGGAGGCGGGGGTGTAGGAGCAGGGGGAGGGGGAGCATTCTCCAGAGCTTGCTGGTAGCGGCCGTTGGGGTTTTGATTCGCATTCTGCTTTTGGTTGTTTTGTCCTTTCTTGTTCTTCTGGGGCTTCTCTTTATATAGAGCACCCTGGTATTTTTGCGCCTCACTCATGCATGACTGTAGTGGCCGGTCTTGTTAGCGGATGTTTCCATTGTTGATCCAACTGGGACTCCAGTAAAGTAGTCCCGCAACCGTTATGCAAACATGCGACGCGGATGCGACGTACCGTATGAGCTCTATACTCCATTCCGTAGAAATGCACCATGCAATCGATACAGGTGAAGGAGGCGCCGCGACATTGGCCGCGATGAGGATCGAGCTTTTTCTTCGTGAGGACATCACCACAAGCCTATCAGACGGATTGTTAGCAGCGATACAAGCGCAAAGCATGTACCTCAAGACACCAGATAAGACTCACCTCGCAAGAGAAGGACACCATTGTTGACACTCAATATGACCCTATTGGGTGTGCAAACACGAGTTCGAAAAGAGTTTTCAAGAGGGGATTATGTATCCCTTGGAGAGTTCCAGTAGAAGGCGACTAGGCGGGGAATTTGCTTTGATACGAATTTCTCGATCGGCTTTTCCTTTTTCCCTTTTTTTTTTTTCCTTTTTTCCCTTTTTTCTTTTTCGCGTCGACAAGTTTGGCGCGCAGATCCAAGCTAGTCCAGATCTGGAACCACACTAGACTATTTTGGGTAATATGAATGGCCTGGGCGCGTCGAGGGAGATGAAGTGCATGAAATGCATGAAGTCGTACTCTCTTTGCCAAGTACTTTGGGAACATTCATTGAATAAAATAATAGAAATAAAGTGAGAAAGCCTCCTGATTTATCATCTCTTGAGTACTTGTTTCAGGGTAACTGAACAGATGAAGATCCCATGTGGACATGGATGTCAGGTCTGTCAGGAGACCCCATGCTTTCATTTGTCGCTTCTTCCCAGTTGAACGGGCAGACACGGGGAGAATCCGAGGATAATCCGAGGATAATCCGAGGCAGCAGTCAGATTGGCCGCTTGAAATATTCCATCTTGATGGCTTTATTGCTATTTTTGGTCTAAGCTGAAACATACTCCCCAGACTATCCTTTCATCTATACTAGAATCCGTGATTTACTGCCAGTTTGAGAATTCCGTTATGCCACATGAAACTAGTTGATCTGTTGGAGGGTTGGTATCACGAGGGTGCAACCTGAGGACATCATCGCTGTTGCTCACAGTGAAGAATGAGATAAAAGTTTAATCGGTGCTTTCTGCTAAGAGGCATGAGCTTGGTAGGACGGAATGCGCTTTTTTGGTGTGCTTTGTTGTTCAGGGATATACTGGCTAGCCCTCTTTGGTCATGCGCGCCATCTTCCACACTTGATCACCAGATAGGATGATCTTTGCTGCCCGGGCCATGCACTTTATAGAGATCGACAATCTATGCGTGGACTTGTGTACTACTGATCGTTGACCAACTCACAACTTGCTGTCATTCGCATTTTCATAGGATTAGGTTAGTCTCTCGACGTATCTGTGTTGTCTGTCATGTGGGAATTCTATTGAGCAAAACCCCCAAAAGATATGCTTGGGAAAGAGAGCCAGAAATCAAGATGCGCTCAGATATCTATAATCAGTACAATGATATGATGATAATCTAAGTAGGGAGAGACCCCTCTTTATATCACGAGCCACATGCAGTACACGACAAGGGTATATTGATATTGACAGACAACTGATGATCTATTATTGTACAAGGGAGACCAGCTCCATAAGCGTGAACAACAAGGTGCCTAAAAAGCACCCAAACGCTGCGTATAAACCAGACGGAATGAGTCCTATGGAGTCGAAAGAACAGTCAAAGTTTCATCCCATCAACCACGGGTCGTCCTAAATCGCACGTTAGCAACCAAACAGCCATAATCAATACGCCACAACGGGAAACCACTAACTCTTCCTTCGAGATCTCCACCGCAGGGCCATCGTGCTGCCCCGTGCCCTCCTTCCCAGCATCAGGCGGAGAAGCAGCCGACCCTTCCTCGTCCCCACCGCAGCCACAATCATAGAACTCCCCCAGATTGGCGCAGTCAAACTCAGGCTTACCAAGCATGGCATTGACCTCATTATGAATAAAGCAAGCCCAGCCCGAAGCCGCATTTCGCGACGAAACTTGAGGCGGATACTTACTCAAATGCTGCATGAAATGCTCCGCACATTCCCCACTGATGTCATCGACCATTAGCTCCCGATCTGGCACAGAACATTGCACTGGAGTACGTAGGGAAGAGGAATCTCATACCAAGGATATAACCTCGCAAAGAGGTAGATATAAGAGTGCAGCGCCTCCTTCTGGTCTTCTGTGGGTTCCTCGGGGAACCGCGCCATGACAGTGTGGAAGTACTTCCAAGTCGCACGACCTAATTCAGCCCTGGAAAAGCCGCAAAAGCCGTAATCAGCAATTTTTCCCACCACGCCCGTGTATTGTCAATGAATTCCTCCCTGGGGTGCCTTACTTGACCGTCTCGTTGCCTAGCTTCGGCATCACCACAGCGCCCTTTAGCGTGCTATCTTGAATGTTGATCCCCGGCACTGGCGGTGCCGAGTGGTCGATGTGGCCTGGGGCGCGGACGGCCGGGCTCGGTGGCCCCTGCGGTCGAATGAAGAGGAAGAATATGAGGCATAGTGCGATCGCTGCGCTGGTGACAATGCGCCGTGTGATTTGTCGGCTCGCCATGTTCGGAGGTGGCGATGGTTGGGGAAAAGTAATAACGTCGCCAAGCGTCCGGTCGCGGGAGCACCTGGGACTTGTAGATAGGGTATAGTCCCGTGCTGAAGACGAGACAGAATATTTCAGCTGAGGGTTTGAGAATATTTGTTAAAGCGAGCTTTCTACGAAAGGGATTCCACGTGTTGCCTACTTAGGCCCCGGCCCGGGGGGCACTTACAGCTTAGTCATTGATTCGCTGGGCCTCCCACAATGCGGGGCCGCAGTATAGGGAGCCTTGGAAGAGATCTAAAAATGTCTATCATACGATTGATCAGTATGAGACAACATGATTCGGAGAATATATATCCCTACTAGATGAGCGTTGTCTGCTGACCGTACTATGGTTCTCCGAATCATAGACCATCCTATATAGACCAGACCCACATCGGATATGTTCCGGGGTTTCGCTTCTAATGTTGCAGGGTTAAGCCTGGATGCACAGAAGGGTTGACAGACTGCCACGAAGCACTCTCGGTCATTGAGATTGGACACCCGACTAATACATCATTGTGTTCAAGTCCAAGCTTATCTACATCCCATCGTGATTTCCAGCAGCAGCAACCAAGTCGCTCAAACTCGGGGGCAAGTCCTCCTTCCGTGTACCCCAGTTGCTCTCCTTGTCCCCGAGTGTCAGCTCTAGAGTCATACCCTGAGTGAAGAACTCATGTCCAATCCAGCTCTTGTTGTATGGTTTCCCATTAAGCTTGGCACTCTGGATATAGATCTTCTTGTAGGTTTTGTCAAAGTTGACGTTTCGAATGGTCGCAGTTTGTTTGGTTTCAGGGTGAGTGATCGCAACGGCTTCAAAGAACGGAGGAATAATTAGATAAACATTCTGGCCGGGATTCGGGAACAGGCCCATCAAGCTCCATGCCAGGAATGAGCCCATAGCCCCTGAGTCGTCGTTGCCAGGTAGCCCGTTATGCGAGGCGTTGAACGAAGATGGGATGTAAGCGTGGGCTCGTTTGGCGGACAGACCAGGGCGTCCGGCGTAGTGATAATCGTACACGGTCAAGAAGACAGGTTCATTGCCTATGTCTGCTAAGCCAGAGGTGTGGAAATAGTCCAACCGAGACACGAAGGACTTCGGACCGCCGACCATCTTGACTAAATTTGCCATGTCATGAGGGACAAAACTGTTTAGAATTAGCGTTGGGGGTTTAATGGGGAGAAAGGTACACGCACAATAGGTATTCCCAGATGCTGGACTCGAATGTCTCTGAAGGATTCGAGGTGAGAGAGCACCACGACGCCAGAGCACTGCAGGCGATAGGATCCTGATAGCCCCAAGTTCCGTTATTATACCTTGGCTGGAAGAACCCAGTAAATCCAGTATCTGTCCCATTCCCTAGCAACGACTTTTGGTCTTCTTTGTACAAGTTCTGCCAGTTGCCAGACCTAGACAAATATGTAGTGTAATCCTTTTTGCCGAGGCCCTTTGCTACGACTGATAGGGCGTAGTCATTGTATGCGTACTCTAGAGTTCGTGAGATACTCCGTGAATTGGTTCCAAAGCCAATATAGTCGAAGTCCAGATATGGGATGTAGTGGAGGTGTTTCCAGCTCTGCAGGCCTCCTCGCCCTTGATATGACCATTCGAGCGGTTCATTCTCTGCATCATTGAGCATAGCTTTGTAGGCGAGTTCCCAGTCAATACCCGTGAGATTCTTCACGTAGGCATCTGCGAGAACAATGTCGGCATTGGAACCTCCCTGCGTCCAGCCTTTGCAGAGACTCATGCGGCAATCGGGCAGCCATCCTTCGTGCTTGAAGGTGTCCAGCAGGCTACGAACCATCTTTGACTGTGATTTTGGGTCGATGATTGTGAGGAATGGATGCTGTGACCTGAAAGCATCCCACAGACAGTAGAAAGAGTCGAAGTATGGCTCATCGCTTTTCCATAGTGGATTCTCCCCAGTTAGATCTTGAGGCGATAACATCGTTCGGTAGATACCACTCCAGAAACTGCTGATCATATCATGACTAGCACCACCCGCCGTGACCTTGATAGGACTGAGCTTCTCCTTCCATGCAGCCTCTGCTCTTTTGCGCAGATTATCAAAGGCATTTTCCGGCTCAGGAACTTCCGCTTCGGCATTTCTGCAGGCTTGATCAGAGCTAACAAAGCTGACGCCTACCCTCACAGTCACGATTCCATTGTCCGGCCGATCAAATGCCATGTAACCTCCGGCTTGGAGGTAGAAGTTGTTAAAGCCGCGAGTGACAAATAACTCCTGCACTGATCCAGCTCGATCATTGACCCAGATTCCACTGTCGTCAACATCGATCGTGTCACCGAAATCAGCACAGAAATATGACTTGTAAGAGCCAGCCCCAAAGCTCGGCAAGAAAGTACCATTGCCTTTGATTCGAGCTTTATCTGCGTCAAGGCTAATAGAAGCATTCTGTCGACTATCCCACAGATCAGTAAGATCCACCGAGATTAACGGATTGAGATCATTTCCATCGGCGGCCTGTCCCTTTGGGAAAGTGAAACGGTACAACGCCGTGCGTCGCGCTGCAGTCATCTCAGCCTTGATGCCACTCTCGAGCGTCAGGGAAAAATAGCCAGGCTGTGCAACGACAGAGTCATTCTTGTAATGGACTGCGCGGGCAGCTTTAGGGAATTTGCAATTATCCACGATATTGTCTTTGCAGTACTGCGGGAACAGAGGGAAATTTCCCATAGACGGGTTCCCGCCTGTGCCACTGTCGTGCATATGCGAGAAGCCGGTAATCTTGCTCCCATCGGTCGAGAAACCTCCAGTATTCTGGCCATCGACGTCGGCGACGGGTTTTGCCATGCCATAGGGAAGGCTTGCACCCGCGAAGACGTTCCCGCCATTAGTTGACCCGATTAGGGGATTGACGTAGCGGAGATCATCCTGGGTTGCTACTGTGCTCAGGGCATATTGGAGAAGTAGGAGGCTGTAAAGGGTGCTTTTCTGCAAAATCGTCATGGTGCTCTGGAATTTGAAGAGTCGACCACGCGTAATGACGCGTTTGGTTTGTAGTTCTGGCTTGTGAGCACAATAGAACGCGGGAAGAAAGAGCGAGTTTCCTCTCCTGCAAGGAGGGTGTTTTTCATGTCGCCGTGTTGTAACGTCGCATTTTTCACGCGATCGACAGCCTAAACAGTGTTAGGTCTAGAAGACATTTACGTGCGGGGTTGGTGTATTCTCAAGTCAATGCGCCCCGTCGAAGCGTGTTTTGAAGTTCCGCATTGCCATATGAAAGTCAACAAGGGCATTCGAGAGTATTTTAAGGTATTGACTCGAGTTATGTTGTAGTTATCGGTAGTCGATACTTTATATCAAGATTCTCTATAAACACAGCCTCTTCTTGGAGACTTCATTAGATTGAATCACCGATTAAGCGAGGAATACTATCTAATTCGGTAATCATGTTATTTGTCAAACAAGACTATGGCCTGAGGTAGGCCATAAATAAAGAGAGATGTATATATACCTTGTTGTCTGCTATGGCCTGGTAATTGAATACTATATCACTTCAACATGATCCACTCTCTATCTAACCTTAATTATAGCGTCCACTTGGCATTATCATCACTGGGTCACAATATCGTTTTCTCAATACTTTTTGTGAATATGTTTGAGACTCCATCCCTAAAGACATAGCCTACAATTTATCTTATAGTTAGTTCTGCCATCTATCCGGAAATTTACTGTACCCCAGTATTCCCCAGACTACAATATACCCAATTTGAGTTGAGTAGAGCACTGGCGCACCAAGCTTTCATGGCTTGCCACTTCAAGATGGACGAGAAAAGGCCTATAACCCTACCCAATCTTCCTCTCGAGCTGTTGCTCATGATATCCGAGCACTTGTCACCGGTCGACGTTGTTTGTCTCGCCTTATGCAACGGCCGATAGTTGCTTCCCTTGTGATCTGCATGCTACAACATACCGAAGGGCCGCCGCACTGGAGGGCCTGAGGATGGGCTGCGGATAGATCTTTTGACATGTTTTGCTCGTGATTTACCACAGTAACATCTCTGTCACGCTTGTCTACGACTTCATCTTTGGCAAGAAGTGGATCTACCAGGTCCCGAATTCAAAGTTCCAGCCAGTGTAAAACAGTTGAGTTCATTGATAGTGAAATTTGAACAGGTTCTGACATTTACTCATGCATATGAACCGTGGAACATCCTCGAATGGGCTTTCGCCTTCTTTAGATGCCGCTCACAGCCCTAGGGCTTTATTCAGCACGTCAGCAATAGATTTACATTTCTGTGCAATCGAGCAAGTCAAGGAGACCTAGAGCATAACTCGACATAGGCGAAATTGAGCCCCTGACAATGATATCCCAGAAGGCTCCTCTAAAAGAGACGGGATCTAGAAATAATTGTCAAAAGCTCAATTTGGCCCATGTCGAATTATACTTTAGACGGTCTTGATTTGATTAATTATATGGGAAGTCTCACCAATATATACCGAGGGAGGGCCAGTTATTAGGCTCCCCCGTAGAGAATACTCGGGCTTAAAGCAGCTAAGTTTATTGACACTAGTGATATTTGACTTGAAGATTTTCTGGCATTTACTCATACAGGTGGTCCGTGGCTAGAGAGCTCCTCGGCCTTTTTGAATGTTGGTCACAATCGTGTCCTGGCATAGTCCTATTCAGTACTCTAGAGATAAATTTGCATTTCTGAGTATATGCTGGGCTTATTAGACTTGAAGTTTGCCCTTCCACCGCACAAGGCGCTCTGGTCATTGGGATGTCGGGAAATATAACAGCCTTGTTCCTGGAAGCTCGGTCTATACACATACATATGAGAGCGATGGCATAGCCAGGGCCAGTGACGTATTATTACTAGGCTAGCAGAGTACACCGCTGTGTAGTCAATTGACTGGGTAGTATCGATTGTCTATGTTGTATAATATACATTGTATCATACAAAGTATGTAAATCAACTCGACGCTAATGCATCCTGCTTACAAGCCCCACCTGGCCGCCGGTGATATAACATCAGAAGGCCAATAGTGACTTGAATGCTGACTGTTAGTCCGAATCGTTCAATTTGCAGGTAAGATCTACCAAATGAGGCATATGTTAGAGGCAGGTAGCATTGCACTCAACAAGTGCTTCCACCTCCTATCTAGCATATGGCATGATGTCATTGTGGTTTAGTGGGGTTGATTACGCCCCACCTATAAAATGTTCGGAGTTAAGGGGACACCCATAACTACAAAGTACATGTATTGACCATAGTTGAAGCCGAGAAAAACTACGGGGTAGGCAGCATGTATGTTGTAAGGATAGAAAATTAAAGTCGATTTGGCTATTACAGCACCCATGGAGCAAGGTGGAATTTTTTTATTTTTTTCTTCAGTTCATCTATGCTCGAGGTTGCCAGGAGAAAATCGCGACCCCGTCTGTTTTCCTCTATATTGGTACATCAAACTCATTTGCATTCTACAGATTAATGTGCATCAGAGAATTAACTACTCTGTAGGTAGATAATAGGATAGTAGCACATTTCTTAGAGCTCAATCCAAACGGAGTTAACACTTACCAGCATGACCCACTTGCTGAACTAAAAGCCTTAATTCCGGGCACTAAATTTACTTAAATTCAAACTCATTGCCACATATTGTCACTTTCTGTAAAGCAACAGAAACTACGAATCTTCTAAATTATCCAGCTCAGTCAAAATGGTCAAGACTCTTCCTTTCGGCGATATCCAGGTCCCAACACCAGGCTTTGGTGCCATGGGCTTGAGCCATGGTTTGGGTTCCAATCTGAGCCTCGAAGAAGCCGAGCCAGTCTTGCTAAAGGCCATTGAACTGGGATGCACATTCTGGGATACTGCCGTTGTATACCAAGCCGGCGTGAACGAAAAGCTTTTGGGAGACTTCATCAGGAAGCACAACGTCCGCGACAAGGTTTTCAGTAAGACCTTATCTCACCACGCAATATTTATTCGAAACTAACTACTGTCATTTATAGTTGCCTCTAAGTGTGGTCTCAGTGTTATGGGAGGGGGAGATGGCTCCGTTACGAACTCCGCTTCGCATATCAAGGAATACATTGAAGGAACCATTGAGAGACTCGGCTTTACGCCTGATTTATACTATTTGCATCGGATTGACCCTAGTGAGTCAAATTTTTATCTTCTGATTTACCATTACTGATGTAAATAGATACCCCCCTCACAGAGTCCATTCCGGCTCTTGATGGAATTCGCAAGGCGGGGAAGACCAAGTACATTGGAATTTCGGAATGTTCAGCTGCTACACTACGCAAAGCAAACTCAAGTGCGTTTCCTCCCAGCTAGCTCGCGAATATTTTACTGACTATCTATAGTCGCCAAGATCGATGCTATCCAAGCCGAATACTCAGCCTTTGAGACACTTCATGAGACAGACGGCTTGATCGAGACAGCAAAGGAGCTGGGCGTGGCCTACGTCGCATACAGTCCACTAGGACACGGCTGGCTCGTCGATAACTTCGATTACAACTCCCCGGATGACTTTTCCCCTAATGATTTCCGCAAAAATTGTATGTACCCAGTCCCAAGCATCCTAATCATCCTAATCCTAGACGGAACAGAATCGCTAACATAATCCTTCTCGATAGCTCCCAAATTCCAAGGTGAGAACTTCTACAAGAATAAGGCCATCGTCGAGGAAATAAAGAAGCTCGCTGTCCGTAAGGGATGCAAAGTTAGTCAAATCGCGCTTGCTTGGGTTGCCTCCCAAGGATTTATCCCCATTCCGGGAACAACCAAGGCAACCCGCCTAGAGGAGAACTGGGCTTCTCGTGATATTGAATTGACCGAGGAGGAAAAGCAAGCAATGCGCCGAATTATCGATGCTGCCAAGCCACACGGAAACAGATATGGCCCCGCGCATCAGGCAATGGTTGGGCATTAAGTGAGGGATATTTAATTGTACCTTCATTCAGGAGGACATTATCGATGGGGATATTTCTGGAAATTATTGCATAAGAGAAATCCAAGATCAGATTAGATGACACCCGGTGATTGATATGATTGATTAATCTAAATCCTGCGGACTAAAAAAATTGTTGTGTTGTTGGTTATAGCCAACACAGAGTTTTGGTCTGATTCGCTGCGCGGTTGCACAGGGTTGCAAGGGTGTCGAAGCGGCCAAGTGAGTAGGCGGCTGGAATCTCATAGAAAAGAAATACGGTGTGGACTGATTGATAATAATAACTAGTACGAAGTATTGCGAAGCGCTTCGAGCGCTTGGAGAAAACACGACTCTGAAGAGGTTCGAGTTTGGGTAAAGCAAGGGGGATCATAGAAGATTAACAGCGCCATAGGTAAATTCTGGTTGCGCTATCTGATCGGAATTAGATAAGATGGCGTAAAAGTCAAATTCTACCACCGAAGGCGATCTGGTCCCACGACGGATGTTGAATTGAGTTGACATAGCAATCTGGGAGAATCCGAGACGGAATGATTCACGCACGAGACTAAGAATTGCTTGTTCCTTTGTGTACTAATTAGGGGGCTGGAAAAGATCTTGAACTTTTTTTTTTTTTGCTTTTTTAAGCTTCTTACCCGTGAACCTTGCACTGTACTCCGTACTTTGTACACTGTACACCGCGTGGAAATGTAAGGGACGGGGATAGACTTTGCCAGAGGGTAGTAAGAGGAAAAAAGAAAATAGTGAAGTAGATGACGGCACGACATGAATATAACAATATTAGATAGTGTAATGTTCATATCGTTGACGCAAACGGGTTGCCGCATCAAGAAGGGTGCCTTAACCCTCTGGAGAGAGAAGAGGTACAGGGGAAAAGAGAGAAACTGTGACCCTAGAGACTTTGGCAGAACAACGCTAGTCTAAAATAGGAGAGGAACCTTCAGTGTCGACCAATCAGATCTGTGTACCCCACGCCATCCAGGGATAAGTGATGATGATCGCCCGCCACCACAACTCCTGATTGGTTGGATGATCAGATTGACCCAGTCAGCCCACTCGATTATCTGATCCTCGTTGCATTCGAGGTCGTTGAGGTCGAGGGGGAGAAAATTGGAGACGATGTTCCGGACCACTGCGGGACTTTCTGGTCTAGAAGCTCTCGGGCCTCTGCACTTGCAGATTATAGAAAACGAAATCTGCCAGCGTTGCAGATCTCTCCTCGCTCCTTGCCATCCTCCCATCGCCTAATCCTCGATTCTTGCCTATCCTCATAGAGCCTCCTCAGAAGCAACAGAGGATCTAGCATCCTTTCTGAACTTCTTGAGATCGGAATAAAGGAAGTCACAGTCATGGGACTCCCCGCGACCGCCCACGGTCAGGATGACAGCAAAAGCATCGACCGGACTATAGTAGGGGAGGAATCATACATTTCACAAAATGAGAAATCAGAGAAGCCAGAGGCACTTGGGGCCGCCACCGACAGTTCCTCGTCATATGATCTCGAGTCACCGCCCACATCGGACGGCTCTGAACATGCGGGCGACATGTTTGACGACGAGAAGGAATTGGAACAGCACCCCGACAGTGTCACGGACGGTGCTGAGTTGGGTCAGCAGAAGGCGGAAGCAGCAGCGCTTGTATGGAGCTGGCCAGCGTTGGTTGGAATATATGCTTGGTAAGTAGATCGTGGCTCACTGGTTCCAGAAGAAATAAAATTTCTGACGATAAGTGAACTTTCAGGATCTGGGTCTGCACATTTATGTTGGCATTTCACTCGAATATAAGCGGCTTCCTGATCAACTACATCCAGGGTGGTTTCCGATCCGCACCGCAAGTCTCGACAGCCTATATCCTCGCAAATATTGTGGGTGGCGTTCTGAAGCTACCGCTCGGTAAGACCTTGAACTTGTGGGGTCGTGCTGAGGCCCTGGTGGTCTCGACTGGCATCTACCTCCTCGGCATGATCATTCTCGCCGCGAGCAACGGCCCCAATGAATACGCGGCGGGCTACGTGTTCTACTGGATTGGTTACTACTGTATATACATGATCTTGAATATTTTTGTTGCTGATACCTCGGGTTTGAGAAACCGAGCGTTCGCTTTTGGCTTTATTCAGACTCCTTTCATCTGTACTGCATTCACGGGCGGACTTGCCGCAAACTCGATATATGCTAAGTATGGGTGGCGCTGGGGCTATGGCATCTTCTGCATTGTGATGCCGTTTGTGTTCTTGCCCCTCGCGATGGCCTTCAAGTACTTCGAAAAGAAGGCAGAGAAAAATGGCATCTTCCGTCGACAGCCTAGTGGTCGCACTGTTAAACAGTCTATCGTCCACTATCTCCATGAATTCGATGGTGAGAATACCTAATACAAAGCTCAGGACATTAATACTAACATTCTATTACTAGTTGTTGGTGCTTTCTTGCTCATGACCGGTTGGGTATTGTTCCTCTTGCCATTTAGTTTGTTGCAGTACGGCCGCTCCGAGTATTCAAGTGCAAGTTTTATTGCTCTCATCATTGTCGGTGTCTTCACCTTGGGTGTCTTCGCAGCATGGGAGAAATGGGGTGCACGAACCCACTTCATCCGCTACGAGTTGATCAAGCGGCCAACAATCCTAGGTGCATGTCTATTATCCGCCGTGCTATTTTTCAGCTTTGAACTCTGGGATCAGTACTTCTACAACTACATCCTGATCTCCTACGACATTTCCGCCGTCAACGCAAATTACATGCTGCAGATTTACAACGTCGGCTCCTGCTTCTTTTCTCCCATCATTGGTGCCATCATCTGGGTCACCGCGCGCTTCAAATACATTTGCCTGTTCTTCGGAGCCCCGCTGATGATTCTCGGCTCCGGGCTGATGATCTACTTCCGAGGCTCAGACCACGGCATTGGCTACGTTGTCATGTGTCAGATCTTCATTGCCTTCGCCGGTGGCACCCTCGTCATTGGCGAAGACATGGCTGTTATGGCGGCAGGTGGCCGCGAGGGCACTCCAATGATGCTGGCCCTCATTGGATTGTTCTCAAACATCGGTGGCGGAATTGGCCTGGCTGTTGGCGCTGCTATCTACAACAATGTCTTCGTCAATACCCTCATGACACAATTGCCAGACAACTTGAAGGCCAATGCCACCCAGATCTACCTCGACGGTATCCCCGTGCAGTCGACTTATCCCTGGGGAACCCCGCTTCGCGAAGCTGTCGCCTATACGTGGGGCTATGCCCAGCGGCTGAACTGCATTGCTTCCACTGCTATCTTGGCTTTGACTATTCCTTGCATTCTGGTCTGGAAGAATTATGATGTTAACCGGAAACAGAACAAGGGTAAAATGATCTTTTAGAAAGGCTTTCTGTTGCACAGTATACCTGGTTATGACGCACAGGTTGGAAAGTCCTGTTCACGTTTCACGTTATTTCGGGTGTGCTGTATTCTCTGCTGTGCAGAGACAAGGCATTACGTTTAATGTACGTCTATTGTAGTTATCACGCTGGGCGTGGATACCAATGTCTTATGTACATTTTGTGCTACCGTCAAGGTGACTGTTCATTCTTTTAATCAATAGAATAATTAGAATCAAATAATCTATAATGATTCACTTTCTCATTCCAATGGCTTAATTGTATATTGCTACGTTGAATTGAAAACAAAAACTAGTACCACACTGCTTTTTTTCACGCCACTACTATGAATAAAACCAGTTAACTAGATGAGATCCCCACAGCAAGAATTTATCGATGATTTCCCTAAAATGAAAAAAAGTTGAAGTATATCAGTGCTTAAACGAGAACTGGGACTAACCACAACACGTGACTAGACTGGCATTACATGATTGGACATAATGTACGCCACATAGCGAGGATAAATGCTCGCCTCGCCTCGCTTCGGTTTGCCAATGCCCGGAGCAATTAGTGACATGCTCATAATGCTAAGAAATATGGAATGGATAGTGAATTGTTCTTCCGTCTTCCTCATGCATAAATTGACTAAACCGTATCAAGCCGAAGCGAGTCGAGCCGAGTATCCTATCCCTAACAGTTCCATAGATATTCAGGAAATTGAGCTATGAAGCTTGCCGGTGCATAACTTTTATGTACGAACTCACCATCTCTTCAAAGTGGACTCCGGTGGACCCTGAGACTTGTGGGGATAAAGCTTCAAAGAACTTTCCATCTCAACATTTGAAATGGGTTTCTGATTCGGATTTCCCCCGATCCTTACAAGAGCTTCTTTTGATCTGGGGCTCTGCGGGATCGCGCATCGTAGCCATGTGTAATAAGAAATGTACAGTGTGCAGTGTAACCCTATGCTTGTTCGGCCCAATTAACCATCCGACCATTAGGGACCAAGTATCTTCGGCCCGATTAATGGACTATCGGGGAATAGGGGCAAGTTGCAAGATGTAGTCTGCAAAATGGCGAATTTGTGTAGCAGGTGCTCGAAAGAAGGGCTTCTTTATAACAAGTAGGTACCCGAAGCCCTTGGGGGGCTCTAATAATTCTAGGTATTGCCGACAGCGACACATCTTCTAAAATGAGGGATAGCGAGGGTAACTAGTTCTCTAATTTTTCTATTTCAAAATGATCTATGAAGAAAGGAACATCTAATGAATTCATACAGAAACCACTTCCGTCGATGGATCGACACTCAGCGCAAAAGCCAACGCCAAACACGGAACAGATGTTGAAAACGGCTCCGCCGAGCTGAAAAACGCAATGAAAGAAGAAAATGTGCAAGATCCGAACATCGTCGATTGGGATGGACCAGATGATCCTGAATCCCCGCAACTGGACATCTGGAAAGAAGATGACAGCGACAGGCTCTATCGCACTGATTACGCTTCTGACGTATGAAAGATCCTCTCCTATACCATCCAGTTGATCAAAGCTAACCTCTGGAAATCGATCATCTATGTTCGCCCCCGGGGTAGGCGAACTACTAAAAGAGTTCAATGTCACCAGCATTGAACTGTCATCATTCGTGGTATCGGTATACCTGGTGGGATACTGTTTCGGTCCCCTGCTCATCGCACCTCTATCGGAGTTATACGGTCGGCAGTACATCTACCATGTATGCAACAGCCTCTACGTGGTCTGGATCATTGCCTGCGGTTTTGCACCCGATATGGGCAGTCTTATTGTTTTCCGGTTCCTCGCTGGCTTTGCCGGTAGCTGTCTGCTGACTATTGGCGTCGGATCGATTGCGGATATGTTTGTACAAGAGAAGAGAGGCGGCGCGATGGCATGGTGGGCTCTTGGTCCTTTGATTGGGCCTGTCATTGGTCCGGTTGGTATATTTATCTCCCTCATTTTTCATTAATCGATAGCCCGATTGCTAACTTTGTCTAGCTGGTGCATATCTGTCACAGGCAATGGGTTGGCGATGGAACTTCTATGTGCTGGCTATGGCTGTAAGTAGGAAATATCACACCCAATGCGAAACACATTCTAATATATTTGGTAGAGCGGTGCTATCACAATCAGTTCGATCTTGACCATTCGTGAGTCCTATGCCCCAACGCTCCTAGCTCAGAAGACCAAGAAACTCCAGAAAGAGACTGGGAATATGAACTTGCGCTCTGCACTCGACACGGGCCGTACACCGAAAGAACTCTTCCTGTACTCCATTGTGCGACCGACGAATATACTCTTCCGCTCCCCGATCGTATTCCTCCTTTCGCTTTACGTCGGCGTGATCTACGGATACCTATATCTGTTGTTTACAACCATCACCTCCGTATTTGAAGAACAGTACAATTTCTCCCAGGGAGCAGTCGGCCTCACCTACCTGGGTATGGGCATCGGCTCTTTACTAGGAGTGTTCCTTCTAGGAGCAACATCCGACAGACTACTCAACTATCTAGCCGCCAGGAGTGGCGATAAAAAGCCCGAATATCGTCTTACGCCTATGATCCCTGGAGCTGTCCTAGTTCCTATCTCGCTGTTCATGTATGGGTGGAGTGCCTATTACAAAACACACTGGATTGTGCCTATCATTGGAACCTCTTTCCTTGGTGCTGGCATGATGATCACCTTCGTGAGTTACCTTTCCCTTATCCATGACTCTGTTTTGCCGCGAATTGATTGACTGACACTTGGAATTGCGGCTTAGATGTGTGTGAGTACGTACTTGGTAGATGCATTCACGGAGTACGCGGCGTCCGTTATGGCGGCCAACACGGTATTCCGCTCACTGGCTGGTGCCTTGCTTCCACTTGCCGGCCCCAAGATGTATGATGTTCTTGGGCTTGGTTGGGGTAACTCGCTGCTTGGGTTCATTGCTCTAGCATTTTGCGCATTGCCAGTCGTCTTTTGGATATATGGCGAGCGTATACGGACGAGTGCAAAATTCCAGGTGACTCTCTGATCGGTTGGAAGCACTCGCTTCGGGAACTGTTGGGTTATTGCGTCTATTTTTGCTTTTACACATTATAATTCGGACTACAGATGGAGGAGATGTTGAAGATAAATGTTATTCGAGAGAGTGGGCTGGTGCAATGGCATTGAAACAATAGCAAAACCATGCGTCTATCGACAAATCTTGCACGTCAGCTCTGAAGATGGCAGCTTGTCCCGGGAAGTACGTTAATTTTAGCTCCTGAGATCCCCACCTGCGCATGGTTGGGCTTCCAGCCCTGGAGTGCTCGGAGTGGAACGCACGGATATTGGTGTAACCGCACGGCTAGAGGAGTTCCACGGTAGATCCGTTGTATGCTGCACCAAGCTTTAACCCCGTCTGCTACGGCAATTCTTGAGGTCTATCGATCACAGCAACTGGGGTTTGAGGGTTTTTAGTAAAAAGGCTATCCATTAGCCTATTAGCCATAGAGGGTATAGAAACACTAAAACGGACATAAAAATATATATATTTCAAACGTACATCTTTCATAATAATTCACCGAAAGGATGGCTATCGTTAACAAGCTTGGCTGCATTCCGAAATATTCTTTGCTGCAATGGAAATCGATCTCCTGGGCTATCGTATACACAAAGTATTCATCAAGTGCTCGATCGACCGTTATCCAATAGAGAAATGAACGTACTTATACATATCTACTTATTGTAGCTACCTACCTACTTACATAGGTAGGTAGCCCTGGAGCTGCAAGTAATTTACTCAGCAACCTTTGTACGATCCCGAGTCCATCACATTGGAAAGTTGCTGGAGCCCTGGAGCCTGGGTTTTGTTCCAAAAATCTGCATTTGCGGCGCATGATAATTATGTAATCCTAGTTTTCACACGTGGACCTGCCCAGTCGACAGGTCCACGGGTGGACCCCGATGTCGGCTTCTTTTGGGCGCCCACCAATCAACGCGTCCAATGAATCTGCGTCATCTCCCTTAGTAGAGTATATGGGGTTTACATAGTATACGAAGTTCGGCTGATGTTCTATAACAAGATACCTTAAATTTGAACCTGACTAGACCTTGAAGGCATTTTTTAAGTGCCATTCTATTTCTCAGCCTGAGATTGACACAGGCATTTTTTGGCCGTCCTCGGATATCCAAGTTGTATTTCTGTACGCTTTTACATTTCACCATGGCATGGTCATCGAGCCACAACCACATGGACTTTTCAAGCCCACCTCAGCAATATCAGTCGATTGATGAAGATCCTACCTTTTTTAACGGCGAATCTGCTACTCAGCCACCTATTGCTACAGTTGCAGAGCTATTTTCTACGGAGTATAGCTTTTGGGGTTCTCTTTTACAACATGATTCGACACTGCTTTACCCTGACTTCCCTTTCCCTTCCACCATGGGTCCTCTCAACTCGGGGTATATGGACCAGGGCGCTATGCCAGACTTTTCGACCACGTGGAATAGTACCATCGAAGACCCAGCTGCAGACTCTCACCATCTAGCCGAGAACACTGTTAGGGGCCCGCCTCTGGAGCCTACATCCATTGCACAACAGCCAACTCCACGCAAGGTTGGAAAAATTCCCACTACTCGGGGAAACCGTCCTCGCCGCGCCAACAAGAAAGAGTAAGACATCTGCCCTCAAATTGAAAATCTGGGTTGACAGGGTGTTTGCAGGGATAGAAACGGCGATTTCGAATGTAACTGGATAGGCTGCGAGAAGCGCCGCATCTTCAGCTGCAAAAGCGCGTTGATACGCCATATAAAAACCCTGCATATCAGCCCGCGCTCCATCGAATGCCCTAGATGTGACAGGTTCTTCAATCGCCAAGATAACATGGAGGAACATCTGGGAAGAATTCATCGGGAATACATCTCAGATTCGAGCTATCGGCATTGATATTTGGGTTTCTTGGTGCTGGTGCTGGTCATCCGTGCCGTATGTGGTCGTGGTTTTAGCATTGGAAGGATTTGGGAGTTATGCAGCGTATTGATCTCGAAGGACTGAACGGTCATGGGTTTCGTCTGTGGTCGCGGTTTTAGGATGGGAAGGATTTGGGAGTTATGCAGGATATTGAACTTGAAGAACTGAATGTTAGCAACTTGTTTTCTTGAGGAATTTACTAGCGCAAAGATCACGAAGAAAAGTTCGAGGAAGTTCGTTTTCGGTCAGCTCCAAGCTTAGACAGCCATTTTCCGACCCACAGTTTTCCAAGACGAGAAGATCTAACATACAAGTCCAGATATCTTAAGGAGGAAGCTGGATAGAGATCAATAGAGTCGCATTGGACCTGATTGCACTCATAAGGAATAGAAGAAGAAAGGAGAGGAGGAAGGGAGAAGAGGGGAAGCTTCGCGGTATAATACATGGCTTAACTCCCGGAGTGGGGTTGGGGCGCACGAGCTCAACGCAAATTCGTGTTATAAGTACAGTTTGTATAGGGTCCCATACAAAAAGTACCTACTTGATGTCTAAATTCCTAACAGCTCATATTGCTAGTTATTCTAAGCCCCACTCTTACACTAATCTAATAGTGGGCAGGCTGCATGTTTTGTAATAGAGTATTGTCGTATACAGTTTGAGATTTATGTAGAGAATATAAGAGGGGAAGAAAGCCGTGGATTGAGCTCCGCTGCTAAAAGAAAAGGAGAGAGGAAGGAAGATCAACCCTGGCGAGTAGCAGAAGTGGTATCCACATTAAACAGAAAGGCCCGCCTCAACAATGTACAATATCGACGGATAAATTTCTGATAGCAGTGACTTGCTGCATAATGAGGAGTGGAATGATGAGATCTCGCACCACTATGAGCATGTTTACTTCAAGTTGCTGTTGCTCCGTGGGGGCTGGGTGCGTAAAACAGGCAAATGTGTCCACTGGCGGACCGAAGATTTCATGTTAGGTAGAGGTATTGGATAGCTGGAGCGATACTTGTACCGTGGTATTTTAAAAGAGTTGGAGTAATCCGACGATGATCGTGACGACGAGGAAGAAAAATATTGCTGACATTGAATGCGCGAGACAGCCGCAGTACCTGTACGAGCCGACGTTTCTGTCAAGGTCAGACGAGTAGCTGGAGATGCAGTTTGTAGGCACGGCTACTACCTAACTAAGATCACATCATTAGGCACTGCCTACCAATATATGGATCCATGCTTTCCTTATATGCTTCTGGTGATGTCATGCTTTCGAAAACTGGAAAGAGAAGTTAGCCAAAAGACAAGGCCATGGTAACTATTACAAGACATTCGACAGTAATAGAGCTCAAGTTAACTCACATTCCCTTTTAGCTTGTTTACTCTCGGCTGCGTCATGCCACAGCCTCAGAAGCCACGTAGCGACTAGTGCATCCCTCAACTCCTGCGACATACTTCTCATAACGGATAATTTATATCTGTCATTCTCCTTTTCTTCAACAGCCACCTCTCTGCCATTGGAATCGCTCCATCTATAGCAATTGCGACCAACTTTCCAATTTGGTTGGACGTCAAACAATAGTCTTTGTTGTGTACCCTCGTCAAACAATGGCTTGGTTGCGGCTGTTCTTTTCGCGCTTAACATCGCCTTGAAGGACGTCCTTTGGAACCGCGAGTCAGAAGACTGGAGGCGAATATTGCCCATCATCTCGGGTACCGCACAAGTGAGGTAATATCTAGCAGGTATATCGGTCCGGTATTGACCATTGACAGGGTGTGCGAGGTAGAAAAGATGGCGCTTTCGCGGTGTGCTGGCAGTGTCGCCCTCGACGTCAATCTTGAGCCCAGGTACATCATGCTCGATTCTTTCGAATGCCACGGATGAGTCCTTGTTCGAGGTTGAGCTGATATCACTGTTTAGTTGGTAAAGTGGGATTGGAATTGCAGCCTGGACGTGGACAACTCGACCTGACAAAAAGAGGATGGCGGGCTCAAGAACGTCCTTTGAGAGGTTTCTGTCTGTCTTGTCGTATGATTCAGAGTCCGAATCCATTTTTTTGTGCATTGGGTTCGGTTTGGATCTCTGAAGACTTTGTAGCAATTCAGTATGTGAATATCTGACCGCGAATGCGCAAGATATGTGTGTTCAACAATAGATATAGAGAGTGGTAGGTAGTACATTTTGTTATGATAGGCTGTAGTAGAGTGTTCCAAGGATACACCGCCCAAAATTGAGACCCGTAAACCGCGCCCGGGTTACCCACATATGCACTTGCCCAGGTGGGCGCCTGTCCATGTGGTGCCGGGCGATAAAATAAGTTGCATAAATTTGGCCCCCGGGGGGCCGCCCACATATCCCATTATCGCAACCTGGCGTCAAGCTAACTTGCCTGAACAGTCCGCAGACATGGAAGACAGTCTTATGAGCCTTTTTTTTTTTTTTTTGGCTCTCTTCATATGAGGTCCCTGCGATGATCATAAGAGATGGATGCGCCAAGTTTGGGGGCGGGGGCGGGATGAGCCGCGAAAAGCCCAATTTAGGCAAAGCTCAACATTGGAAGTTCATAAAGCAATGAGCCCCGCGATAGTCATGCCAAGCCAGCGATATTTCATCTCAGCTTTGAGTGGAGTTATTTGGCGGCTGTGGCTGTGGGCCGCCATCAAGGTTAATATCCTTTGCCAGGAGCAACACCCTGACCCCCAAAAAATCGGATTATTAGTCCAAAATAGTAGTGACTAACTAGAGGGTGAAAAAAAAAAAACAATAAGAAATCCCGAAGTCTACCTAATACTATTGGTTACCTAAAAGGTATAACAAATTGATCGTAAATTTTGGAAGAGCACTGGAGCTGTTGCAGCTAGATTTAGCTAACGCGCTCCTTAGTGTGTACACCAAAATCTATAAATTTATGCAGCCTGCTGTGAACGGGATCCTTGCATAGTGCAGAATATCATCACCCGTTTCACGGCCCGGAAGGCCCTTTTGCTTTGGGCTGGTACGTCTTACCCGGTGATGGCAGTCACCACTGAGTGCATGTTTCCCGCGTTCGCCCCAGGAGAAAAGTTATTCGTTCCCAATAATTTTTAGGGTGCTTCGGGTGTTGTAAAAAGAGCAAAACAACTCAAATTTGACATAAGCACTATAAGGCTCGTTGTCTTCTTGCAGTGTGCTCATTTCGACTATATCTGGCTCATATTGGCAAAGGGGGACAAAAACCTCATCCATGATACGTTCGATGTATCCTGACGGCCAAGATCATTGCCCCGTAGCCAGATTCTCGGGTTTGTTAGAGGCTACACACCCCTCAGAAAATGATATAGGAATATGTGAACCTTGATTGGATCTCAAAATTCCCGGGACTAAATAGAATTGTGGGTCAGATCTCCATCATGAAGGGGAAACTTCTTAGATTGCCATCGATATGGAATTGAGCCTCAATTCCTGCCATGAATAGCTAGCTTACTTCAACACGACTTTGATTCGAGAAAGGAAATTTTATGCTGGTTAGTACGGTGTGATTGGAACAAGTAACAATGTGTGGCACTGACCACGAAGGGCTAACTAGGTGTATGAATGCATGTTCTTACATATACACTGGATTTTAGGCCGCAAGACATGGCTTTCCGGTAGTGCTTACATCAGAGTGCTATATATAATACGAGTCGCCAGCTTAAGGGAGGAGGAGGAGGGGGGAGGGGCTGATGGTTTGCGACTGCATGCATAAGCGCTGTCACCTTCATGTAAGCCACCAACTGATAGCCCACCTCGAATTCAAACCCAGCCTTCTCGACGTCCCTCTCGCCAACCACATTCCCATTTTCATCAACCTTCCTTCAAAGGCAAAGCCAAGCCATGAATCAGTTCCAGGATGTGATGAAGAGGCAGGTGGGAAAAATAAAGACCAGGAACAAAGAGATCGAAAGCCGTCCCTCATCTTCCTCCTCTTCTCGTTCTCATACCCAAGATATGTTGGCCCAGGAACTCCAAAAATCCAAGTCACAGTGGGAAGAAGGCCAGGAGACTATTCAGAAGAACGGGGCAACCACTAAGGAGCTACTAAGTTACTTCGAAGAGGCTGGAAGTGCGGAAGGACTATTCAAAACGACTCGAGAGCATTTTAAAACGATGCGCCATCCCGATGACAATCGGCTCACAAAACTCAATGAGAAAGTTGGAAAATGTTTAGATTGGATTGATTGGGGGGCAGAAATTGTAAAGAACAATGTGTCTGGCACTGTGAGTATTGTTTCGTTTTGTTCATCCTGGGTGGCTGTGTGTGGGGTTATAGGGAAAAGCACCTGACAAGTAATATAGTACGCAACTCCAGCGCAAATACTCACCGGCTCAATCTGTTTCATGATCAAGGTAAGTTGAGAGGAGTTATTGCTACTGCAACTCCTGTCTAGCCTTCATATTTCTTTTGTCTATGCTTTTCAATGAGCTGTGTTAGCTTGGAACTGACCCAGACCACTCTGCTTGAAAAGGGCGCCCAGAACGTGACTGCAGACTTGGATCAGATTGAGAATGTTTTCACAGAGATTGAAAAGACCCTCGAGGACATAAGCGACATCAAAAATCGAGAGTCGTTTACGCGAGACTTCAGATTGAGTCTGATAAATATTTATATTGCGATGGCGAGCTTTTTCAATTTTGCTGGAACGTTGTTTCAAAAGACTAATAGGTGGCGTAAGTTCAGCTATCCTTCCCCAGGAATGAACACAAAAGGTAAAAATTCTTGCTGATTGGTTACCTATTTATGTAGGTCTGTATGCTAAGGCGCTAAAGGGGAGAAATGAGAAGATCGATAAAGAATGTACGAAAGTGCAATTAGCACTATAACGACTTCAAGGGAGGATCCCAATGCGCACCTTTGACCACGTTAATAATACTGAAAATGACACCGCGCAGATTAGACGGGGTATAGACCATATAGTGCCGGATCTTGTGCAAAATTTCCGTGCTATGGACCCGAGCGAGATACAGGAGTTGTTTGGACGGGATGCATTGGCCAAAGTCAAGAACTTGCTGGCACTCAAGGATCTCAATCTCAACGTGGACAGATCCCTGCAACCTATCCTCAAGCGCATCGTTGAAAATACCTTTGATTGGGGGCTGAACACCGATGAAAAGGAGGCAACCTTGCAATATCGTCAATGGCTACAAGGGCACAAAAATTCTTGTCTATATGTTTTCGGGGAACTTGGAACAGGAAAGACCTCCTTCTGCGCGAAGCTGTACGCGGAAATGAATCATCGCGATAGCAGAGACACTCTGGCCGCATTCTTTCAATTCATGCCCAACCAGCAAAAGTCCCAATCAGTGTCTCATATGCTGAGCTCGGTCATCTGGCAAATCGCAGAACAAGACGCCAAGTGTTGCAGTGCTCTTGCCAAGAGGTTGGATCAGACTCAGAAAAAAAGGCAACCAGGGGACTGAGAGAACCAAGATTGATGCAGAAAAATCCCATTTATGGACTGCTTTGATGGAGACGTGCGCAAGCAGCTCAACCACCTTTCGAAAGGTTTACGTTTTGTTAGATGATATCCACTTCATGAAAAGCCAAGACCTTAAGCACATGCTGAAATTTTTCCAAGATCTTCACCCATACCAGAACCGGATTCAAATTCTGATGACAGGAGACAATCGAGGCAGTATCCCGAAATTGAATGATACTCCATGGTGTTGGGAAGTTGACATGGTCGAGGCAACCAAAGTTCACGGCGATCTTGAACGCATCGTGGATTATCACCTAAAAAATAGCCAGTTGGACAAAAAAAGCCAATCCATCGTACGCACAGAATTAAAGAATGTGCCCGACAGTAAGCCCGAAATTGCCAGTCCCAAATTTCGCTACGCTAACATGTATCACTTCTTAGAGACGTTATCTGTCATAGAGCTCGCGATCATGACCTTAAAAGATACTGCCTCGAGCAACAGGTCGCAAGACGAATATATTAAGGAAAAGATCAGAGAGCTCTTCAATGAAACAGGGATGCTCACTGAGATTATGAAGAAAGTGCTGGAAGGGAAAAATCCAGTAGACAGGAAGTTTGCCCAACTGATCTTCAAATACTGCACATTTGCCAAGGAGCCATTGACCGTTTACCAACTTGAGTATTTGATCAGCGCGGAAAGCCAACTCCCAAAGTCTTCGGACCTAAGCAGGCAAATATACGAGGCATCCCCGGAGTCAGTACTTCCCCGATAGAAGTAATCAATGAAGAATACTGATTGATGGCTGGGTTACTCTTCTAGATTACTTATCATACATGACTACCAATCTAATGCCACGGTGGATCATCATGGAGGCATGCAGGGTGGAATGACCGCAGAGACACAATCAGAGCGATTCTCACTCAAGAACAACAGATTTGAGGTGGTCACCTTTCGGCAGTCTGTTTTCAAGGATCGCCTACAACGTTCTGAAAATTCGAAACAATCAAGTACTGAAAGCCTAATTCCGGATCCAATCCAGGCGAAAGTTGACATATTTGTCAAGCTCGTGGATATTCTGTGTGGCAAAGACAACATGGTTGAAGATTTGCAGCCACTGCGAGTATATGCGGCAAAATGGCTGATGGGACATCTGAAAGATATTAATGTGCGAGAAGTCAGCTCCCAACAGGCTCGCCGTGTAGTGGAAGCCATGATGCAGGTACTCACAAACACTAATAATGTCTGTCGAGTGTTCGAATCCGTGCAAAATTCCCTGGACAACTATACCGTGGCCTTGGATCTTTACGCAACAGACCGTGACGATGCTGATGAGCACCGAGACCTTTTTCTTAAATGGGCTGCTTGGATGCAATTCCATAGTGAGGAAAGGCCGTCGGATGGAGCACTGAAATGGATCAAGGAAGCACTTGAAGAACGCACCCCTATTCTTGAGAATATAGCTCGAGGACATATGATTAGTTGGATGGAGGCGAGGACGGCCACTGAAGCTGAGAGTCCTTACTTGCTTTTGAGTGCAACTTTGTGGTCCGTAAGTAGAATATCCTCTATATCCGATTATTCTAATATATCTCTGACGGACCCCACTTGACTGACATCCCACATAGCTTGGTCAGTTTTCAGATGAGGGAACCTGGCTTTTCTGGACGAAAACATCTGTTTCGAGGGCTCATAAAATCATTCAATTTGGTGACCAACACTCCATACTAAACAGTCGCAATTTCGTTACACAAGCGCGATGCCGTATTGCAGCTGCTCTAGGATTGACTAACTCCAGTTGGCGGAGCGAGGATTGGGAGGGGGCCCAAAAGCTCTACCAGGAGAACATTGACAAATGGGCCAAAGCAGATAGCCCTGAAATGTTCTATTCTCACCTCGGTCTGGCAGAGACCTATATCAAGCTGAAGCCAGAGAGTGGTGGAAGTAGTGATTTCATCGATACTTGGGCCAATGTCCTCGAGCACTCAAGTGCCGCCATGGAGATCTGGGAGAGAGGGAAGGAGTTCAGATCGGATGTGCTGAGAAAGGAACGATGCATTGAGGGGTTTTACTTGAAGGCCAAGGCTTCGAGCATGTGTGCCAGAACCAAGGAAGCAATCGAGACATGCAAGGTAGCTCTGCGTGAAAGCAGAGAAAGTACACCGAGATTCATGGATATTTTATCGATGTTGATCGAGTTGTATTCAAAGGAAAGTCAATATGATGAGGCTCTCTCCGCTGTCAGCAACCTTTCTTGGAAGATGAGGTCCCAGTGGGTATGGCACCGGCTTGAAAATAGAGATGAAGAGCCTGACCTATTTGACCAGTCTGCAGTTGAGACTGGACGGCTTGATTTCACTATTCAGGTCTATGAGGACGCTGCTGAATATTGGGTCGCGGATCCAGAAAAGCATTTCAATATTCAGCTCAGTATTGCATGGGTGTATCGGCGACTCGCAAATGCCACCAAGATGGCAGATCGCATCCTTCAGACAATTCTGGATGACTTCAAGAACAAAAAGCTTTTGGTCCAACCAAGAGCAGTGGGAGATGCATTTACGGAGCTAGTCGATGTCATCCACGAGACCTTCACTGTGAGTCACGTAGAAAAGGTCAGGAAACAGGCTGTTGAGCGCCTTCAAATCCTTCTCCATGACTATAGAGACAGTCCTGGTCTAGAACGAGAGCATCTGGCCACTGCGATGCTCAGCTTAGCAAATATGCACAGGGAGATGGGAGACAAAGAAAGCTACAAAAGGCTTTTAGGCAAAGCTTTCCGGCTCTGCATCAACGACCTTGAAGATTCAATGGAAGCCAACGACATGGATGCCCTTGTATTATTGGCCAAGCTCCTCATGTGTGTTGACATGGACGTTCATGCTAAAGTGGCACACTCTCTTATATTCTCCAGACTTTATCATGATCCCAACTATGATTCCGATTCCGATTCCGATTCTTCGGGGGATGGACCACCCAATGGTACCAGTGAGACGGGTGAAACTGGTGCCCAGATCGATCCTGGAATTGAACAATCGGAATTAGATCCCAACAACTCCCAGCCTCATATTATAATCAACGCGAAAGAACTTTCCTCTGGTATTGAAAATAACGAGGGGCTGGAGAGCATTTTGAACGAGTCAGCAGATCCAGACGCAGCCAAGATGGATAAAACCCCCGATCTTCATGCTGCAAAGGAGCTACCACTATCTACGCCACCAGACAATCCATCACCCAAACAGGACCTGGTACCAGATCGATTGATGTGGTGCAATGGCACATGCGGCAAGAAAATCATGGAGTTTGGGCCGAGTAGTGACAAGGGTCTTGTCTGCTTGGTTTGTCCGGATGTGTATTTCTGCAGAGACTGTCATAAAAAGCAGGTGGAGCTGTACGAAAAATCTCGAAAGGCATTTTGGTACAGATGTTGCTGGGCGAAGCACGAATACGTAGAAACTCCCGTTGACGGATGGCTTGGGGTTAGGAAGGGAGTAATCAGATTCGGAGAGAACGAAATCCCCTGGAGCGTGTGGCTGGAACTTGTGATTGACACGTGGAAGTACCGTATTGAACGGATATAAGGACTCGTGGCAGATATTTTCACTTCCTCGAGGTGGATGAAGGCTAAACAGACTGCATGTAAATGTTGGAACTAGTTCTGATAAGTTCGAGATAAATATCGGCGAATAGCACGGGCTCAGTCGGAATGGAGAAGCCGCCGATCATAACAACTCAAATGTTCCCTATCCCAACATGATATAGAATATGGCTACATGACTGGGCTTGAACGGGGTAAATTGAAACTAATATTCAACTGAGGGATATCCATGGTTTGGGCTTTATCCCACAATAACGGCAAATGAGAATCAACTTTAGGGATGATATATATAGTAGAGCCATGCGACCTCGTATTATTCCGGGGATGCAATAAAAATTCTGCGTGTCTCAGACAAATTTCAACGTGTAAGTTGCCTTTGAGGCAAAGTTTTTCAGTTAATTTGAAGTCAATTGAATTAATGGGCCAAGACAAAGGCTTTGTGCTTTTGGCCCCAGGAACAGCGATCTACGTAGCTTTGCGAGTTCGACAAGACCAATCATTGATCCAACTCGATAATTGACCCACTGAAAACATTAATATTCTGCAGTTAGAGGGTGGCGGAGTTATTAAGGAGTACACTATGTAAAGCCAGTGAAATCTATGCCTCTGAGCTAGAGTCAACAATCAGCATCCTTTTCTTCTCAACTTTTTCTCCGAGTCACATCATGTCCAAACACCAGGAAATTGAAGCCCCGCCTGAACATGACAAGGCATTGGTGACATCATCTCGCTATGGCTCGCTACCATCAACCATGAATGTACATGGCCAGTGGACAAAATGGAAGTCTATGAATCTCTGTGGCGCGAGTGCCAAGGACCGTCTATGTCTGATTGAAATGCAAGCTGGCTATAGCGGCAAAGCTCCACTAGGGATGAGAACAGGATTCCTTCTGCGAAATGGAATGAGCACCAAGGATCCACTACTTGTCGCCGCTGGCGATGAGTCGGAGGGTCTCCATGCGTTCAATCCCGACGGTATCGTTTTCTTGCCGTCACCTGATCCAAACCCGAAGTCTGACCGTATGGAGAAGGAGGTCCTGCGCGCTGAACCTGGTACAAACAACGATATCGCTTTCCACTTCTCCATCGAAGTAGACGAGAAGGAGCAGCGGGAGGAGTTTGCGTGGAGAAAGGTGAAGAAGGGTGTCGACCAAGCCAAGAGAAATGGGTTTAAGTTGGTTTGGCTCTCGTCTAGCAAACAAACAACCCAGCTGAGTGGCAGCGGCAGTTTCCAACAATCCGCCTCATCCTCGCCTCCATTGCCAGGAGACAGTGAGACTGTCGCCTTTCTTGGATGGGTTATGGCCCTCCCTAGTATGACACATGCCTTCTCGCTTGATCTGGTGGACGGTCAGTCGTGCGCCTTGGGAGAGCGCTGGACTCTTATGGTTATTGTTACTGCAATTAGACTCTATACACTACATGTAAAGGGAAGAACAAGCAAGTTTGTCGTCGAGATTGGGAAGAAGACTTCGCGGAAATAATCCAAATGTTATACATGACTGTATGTATGTACGGGATAATACTTATCCAGGGATATACGCAAAGAGAAACGTATCTTAAATTTAGCATTAGAGGGATGAGTAAAATTCAATACAATAAATTAAACCGGCGTGATTCCTTACACATAAATTTGATAACTGAATCGGGTACGAACAATCCCACTACGAAGATATCTCTTTGCATTTCGGTTTTTATTCCGTAGAATTATCACCCTGTTAGAGAGTGATAAGATCGTCAAGTATTGTCGGTGAAGTAATTTGACGAAGATGTAGACTGATCTCGTCCGCCAACCTTGTAAATGACTTCGCCGCGTTTGTCATTGCTGCAGTACATTAAAGAGTGTATCTTCTGAGCTCAAAATGAACAGCGAGAGTACAACCTAAGATATCCTTTGCGGGCCATTTGCCATCATAGTCAAGCTCTTCAGGATCCATTGTCCATCCTGGATGGGGTGTCATCTTGGCGCTTTGTATGTAGTCAACCGCGGGACATCCCGAGATCACATGGAATGGATATATGTTCATATACGACGTAGCCATCCATATCTTCCAACGTAGTTAAGGTTAGGATCATGAAGGGTGTAAACTCACTGGATGTTTGGTGCTGGCCCCAGGGTCCCGTGTCCTGTCTCTGCCAATCAGGCATTGTCATATGCAGATCCCCCAGAAAGGGACCGAGACCGAGGTCGGGGGTACGGATCTAATTTGTCCGAGATATAGAATATGAATCGGGGCTGAGGCTTGTTGCTTTTTTTTAATTTTAATTTCTTTGGTCACCCTGAGTTCGTTCCTGAATGGCAGCCATCAATGCCATCGCGTCGCAGCCATACGAAGTCCAGGAAGGGCTGCTTGGAGTGTAAAAGAAGACATGTCAAGGTCAGTGCCAACAAATATACTCCCCCGAACCCGATGGGGTGCTGCATGTGCCGCCCCAGGAGCCTGCCTGGATCGATCGAGATCCAGCTAGCCTTGGCGAACGGCAGTAATCCACCAGTTAAGATTTATATTCTAACGTAATGCTCAGTGCGATGAGGGAATGCCAAAATGTACTCTGTGCATGAAGCGAAAATTGGATTGCAGATATCCTCCCCCAAATGAAGACGAGGACAGCCCTAGAACATCATCCAGCGCCCAGGATGAAACAGAGAGTGGCACTTTGACCCCACCAAGGGATTTTCCACAGGCAACCCGCTTGCTTGAGACAAGGTTATTCCACCAGTATATGACTTCAACGTACCACACTCTGTCACAGGATGGGCTGTCAGCGCACCATCTCTCCATGACTATTCCTCGCATGGCCGCATCTTGTCCTTACCTGCTCGACAGTATCCATGCATTTTCAGCCTTACACTTGGCATCGCTTGAAATTGATAATCGGGCTTCATGGCTAAATCATGCCGTGCGGTATCAGAGCCAGGCATGCGCTGGACTGAGTAAGGTTCTTCCAGAGATCTCACCACCAGATTATGAACCAGCATTTGTCTCTTCCATCATTATTATGCTTTTCGCCATTGGATCTCGAGTATTATCTCTTGAAAACCGACCACTGGACCCCCTTTCGGTAATTCTCGAAGCTCGCACATTGATGTCTGGCCCCGCCATGCTTTTTTCCCGGATACGTGAAGGCGGGGCCGACGCACAACTGGATGGCTGGCTGTGCATGTCTGAAACAATAGAAAGGCTTGGAACTGGGGAAAATAATCAGTACGGAATTCCTTCTCCCTACCTCATTCGGGAAAGCTGGATGATAACACCAAGCAATAGTGGCAGCCCGGTCGAAAACACACACGTTTTATTCAGCCTCCAGAAGTATGTTCCAGTGACGTATGAAGTGACTATCTAGGGCCTACGAAGCTGATATCAAACCAGGGACATACTGATGTCGCTGGCTCAAATTCATTTGGTCATTGACAAGAGTAAAGGATCGGATCAACCAATCTACCAAGCCACATGGCAGCAGCTGCATCAGGCCGTTGAACCGTGGCCCAAAATTGGGCCACATGGAGGACCCCTTGCATGGCCATTATTCCTCTGTGACAAGTTTTCCTCACTTTTACAACATGGCGACTGGATCGCCCGAGTTCTGCTCCTACATTATGGCATAGCTATGCGTCTCCTGTGTCATCGATGGTACGTGCGCGACTGGGGTTGTCGGCTCGTATTGGCCACACTAGAACCATTGGAGGAGATTCCTCAGGAGTGGGAGGAGACTATCTCTTGGATAAGACGAGCCGCTGCAAGGGATGACTTGCAAAAATGATACCACGTTGATCGGAGATATACCTAAAGTACTGGGGTTCTTATAGATTGGAGCATTTAAATATATTTTTGATAACAAACTATCGAACCCAATCATATATATCCGGAGATAAGTTACCTAGGTACATTTTGACCTCGGAGTATGCAATATTTATCGAATGACCCCAAAAGTCCCCCGGACATTGGTTTTCCCCCCAAAGCTACCCGCTTATCAGCGGGGTCGAATCAGGATTCTCTACAACCAAAAAGCAATTATCACACCGCTATCCAGTAGATTTAACCCCCTTGGTAGATGCCAACCGTCAAAACGTTCGGTCCTTAATTTCCATCCCTTAATATCCGTCTATCGATGCTGGTTATATTCGCCGGGCACACATGGAGCCCGCTGATCCTATACTAAAGCGTGCGGAGGCCTCCAATCGTGACATGCAACAACCCTGCCAGATCAGCGGAGATGTGGAGAAACAGGTACCGCTATCTTTCCCTATTCCCCTCTTGACAACAAGTTTCCCCCCTGTTCAAAATACTAAAATACCGGATGGTGCCATAGCTAGACTTGGCCTTGCCAGCCTCTTCTTCCCCCGGGCCGACTGTTGTGCAACATTCTATACCACGGAGAAATTGTAGACAAACTCTTGTCAACATGTTGAAACCGATAAGACTGGGATTTTTGGCGGTACTGTCGCTGCTATTGGTTGCAATTCACCTGCCCAGTGCAAACACTTCACCCTTGGAGTTCTCCGGGCGAGATCCGAATGGCGGTCATGGGTCACATGGTAAAATTGGCCTGGGAAAGCTGGGCGCTGTTGCTAGCGAGAGCTCAATCTGCTCCCGCCATGGATCTGATATCCTGAAGAAAGGCGGAAACGCTGCCGATGCCGTGAGTATTCTTATCCAGGTGGATCCGGAGTGAATATCGGTGCTGACAACAGCGATATAGTTGGTTGCAACCGAATTTTGTATTGGCGTCGTAGGTAAGGCTACATTTATTCAGTCAGTAATTGTATCTGAGCATAGCTAACGGAGACCAGGCATGTACCACAGTGGAATCGGCGGAGGTGGCTTCATGCTCGTAAGATCAGCAGATGGTGATTATGAATTCATCGATTTCCGAGAGACAGCCCCAGCTGCGGCATTCGAGGATATGTACAAAAACAACGAGAATGCTTCCATCCTTGGCGGACTGGCAAGGTCAGACAAATACACGCAGAACAATGGGGGTCAAGCTAACATCTATACCAGTGGAGTACCGGGAGAAGTGCGAGGTCTCGAGTACATCCACAAGAAATATGGCTCTCTTCCGTGGTCGACCGTTATTCAGCCCGCTATCCGCACAGCCCGTGACGGGTTCCCTGTCACAGAAGATCTTGTTAGATATATGGCATCCGCTGTTGGTAGTGGAGAGGACTTCTTATCTAAGAATCCCACGTGGGCAATTGACTTTGCTCCGAATGGAACCAGACTTGGGCTGGGTGATACCATTACTCGACGCCGGTATGCGGATACTCTCGAGGCTATTGCAGAGCGTGGCCCAGATGCATTGTACTCGGGCCCTATTGCGGAGACTATGATCAATGCGCTGCAGAGGGAAAACGGCACAATGACGCTGGAAGATCTTAAAAATTACACAGTCGCTATTCGGGATATCGCTCAGATTGACTACCGTGGCTATAAGATCACGAGTACATCGGCCCCATCGAGTGGTATTATCGCTATGAGTATTTTGAAGATTCTTGGTACATACAAAGATTTATTCTCGACTGAAGCATCCGTGAATTTGAGCACACATCGGTTGGATGAGGCGATGCGATTTGGATACGGCGAGGTATGAAGGAATGACTTTGTTTTCACTCTGGTTAACGATCGCTTACACGAAATGCAGAGATCTAATTTGGGTGATCCCTTGTTTGTTGACGGGATGGCCAAGTATCAGAAGGAGATTTTGGAGCAGGCTACGATTGATGACATTCGATCCAAGATCTCGGATGTGCGAACTCAAAACGTATCTGCTTATGATCCAGCTGGACTGGAAAGCCTGGACACGTAGGTCATACTTCTTGCATGATTCTCTGACATTGAGCTGACTCCATATCAGCCCTGGAACTTCGCATATCGCAGCAGCTGACCATACTGGCCTCGCAATCTCGGTAATCACTACAATCAACCTGCTCTTCGGTAGCCATGTCATGGTCCCAGAGACTGGTATCATCATGAATAATGAGATGAATGGTACGTCGAGACAGCTAGCCGTATATCACGGAGTTAACTAACATGTTCGCAGACTTCTCCATTCCTGGATCATCAAACTCATTTGGATACATCCCCTCTGTGTCCAACTACGTTCGCCCTGGAAAACGCCCTCTTTCCTCCATCACACCCGCGATAGTTGAGCGACCCAATGGCAAGCTATTTTTGATCGCGGGATCCGCAGGAGGTAGCCGTATCATCACTGCCACTGTACAAAGTATCATACATTCCATTGATCAGGGACTCTCCGCCGCCAAAGCGTTGGCCCAACCCCGTCTGCATGATCAGCTGGTGCCAAACCAGGTCAGCTTCGAATACTCTTATGACAACGCAACAGTTGCCTCTATGAAGGCGCGCGGTCATAATGTTACTTGGGTTGCTCCAGGACAGAGTACTGCCCAGTTGATTCGGGTCTTGCCCAATGGGACATTCGATGCTGCTGGTGAGCCGAGACAACTCAACTCGGCTGGGTATTCTGTATAGAACGGGATATGGTCCCGGTGTGGAAGTCAAAGTACATACATTGTGACTATAAATAGATAAATGGATCTAACAAGTTCAAATTTTTCGCGATTGTTTCTTTGTTGCAAATTCTTGGAACACCCCTGCGCCTGGTAGATTGGCGTTTCTTTATCGGACGGTCTGTGCGTTTCAAGATTCCTTTTTTATGATGTAGAGAGCTCGACACGTTGGCCTTTTCTCATCCCTTAAACAGTCTCTAGTGGTGTGAAAAGCTGCTGTGAACTTGTCTCTTTCTTAGTTTTTGCTTTCGAGTTCCATTGACACGAAATCGCGTCACCTTATCAGATTTACACGTGAATTTATCTCCCCGCATGAAAGGGACCTTTCCTCGCGATTTCCCGAGAACACCACGCATTTGACTTGCATAGGGGGCTTGAAAGTAGGTTTTTTGGTCGGTGTTTATCTTTTACCTTGTATTAACCAGACAAGTTCCATCCAAACAGTTCACACCCAACAAACAACTACCGCGACATGTCTACGAACCCCTCGAACTTCCCCAACTTCCCACTCTAGACAGCCTGCTATCCGCTGTGACATCAATAATACAATGGCTCGACTCAGTAACATCTCCGTTGTTGTTCCCCTTCCCTCCTTCGACATCGACCCCCTCAAGACCTTCGACGACGGCTTCTTTGACCGTGCTGTCGACAACATCTTGTCCGAGGAGGCGAGCATTGAATCCCGGGATGAGATGATGGACAGCAGCGTTGGTGTTTCGAGTCCATTTGGGTATGATGGCACATTTGACTCTCCAAAGCTCAACGTTCGTCGTAGCCCAAGGATCGAAGCCAAGTCGCCGCATTTTCCTACTCCCTCGACCTCCTCCTCACCTACATCTACCACATCTAAGAAACCAAAGTCGAGAAGATCTTCTCGAATCAGGAAGAGCGTGACAGTGGAGGATCTCAATGGCGATGATAAAGCGCCTGTGAACTCCGGAGACATCACACAGCCCCAGCCTGAGAAGAAAGCCTTGGAAGTTGAACCTCACCCCGTCCCCCAGGGGGATAGTCACGCTGCTGCGCTTCCTCAAATTACTGATTCATCTGAAATGCCGACTGATGATGCCGAAACTACGGCAGAAGAGAAGATATTTGCTTCGGTGAGCCTAGAGAAGCAGATGGAGGTGTTGAAGTTCATTGCATCACAGTCTTTCATGATGGAACAAGTTCAACCTGTTCGACGTGCAACTAGGCGACAATTTACTGGCCAAGTGCGTGAATTCGCTATGGAGGCTGGAATGAACAACACAGCTATCGATGCTTTGATTGACCACGTTCGAAAGATCTACCTCGAGGACCGTGAAATTACAGCAACAGAAGATGCCAGTTCTGCATTCGGGGAGGAAGTGGATGACGAGCAAGAAAAACACACCAAAATCCCGCGCCGAAAGCGGCGCAAGAGCAGCTCGGATCACTCCGAGGGAAACGAGAACAAGAAAAGCAAGAGACACCACTCGGATAAGGCAAAACGGCACAGCCACGATTCTGTACAGCGTGATGAGCCGATCAAGGTAACGGAAGCGCATGTCACGGCTGGTGCTCCAATTGAAGACCAGGACAAGGCCTGTGTTGAACCGGATGAACCGAAACAAGAGGTCAACATGCCAGATCTGCCCAAGATGCCCACAAATCTCACTCGGGATAAAACCAGCATAATCATCGACCTGACAGACTCTGCGCCCGATGACAAGCTCGTCCCTGAAGCTACGGCAGTTACTCCACAAAACGAAGGTCTTCAGGCCATCGGGATTATTCCTCAGAGCCCTCCGACTGAAAGATCAGAAGCAGAGTCAACGAAACGTCGCTCAGATAAAACTCGAAATAAAGAAAAAAACAAGCGCAAGCGCCAACGGAGGAAGTTGCGCAACAAACATCGAATGACCTTGGGTGGACAGGAACAGCCCCAAGGCGACTCCACCAATGTATCAAAGACTCAACCTCAAGATACCTCCATTGATGGAGCAGATCAAGGCCGAATTTCGCCTTCCATTCCGCGACAAACCTCTTTCGGGAGCTCCAACGGAAGCAGACGGAGCTCCGCTCATCTTCCACTACCCGCCGATCCAACTCTGTGGGACACGGATTTTTGAAGACCAGTGATTTGCCAGGTGCGACTCCAAGTGATGAGGTTAAGTCTAAGTATTTCTTGAGAGCCGACAATTCCAAAGTTGGCTCGAAAAGCAAGCGGGAAATGGCTTCCTTGCTGTATGATTTCTCTATTCCCCCTGAAACCCGACGGCTGTTAGAAGATTTGAATCTGCCCCAGGACTTCCTGTCATCAGATTCTTCCTTGAGTGATGTGCCTAGTGATTTTGATTTTGATTTTGATTGGGATGATGTGCGTGATCCTCTATCGCATATTCACATCACGGTATCACCTCCGAAGAGCCCCAGTCTTGCATCCCAATCCACAAACCCCGACCCTAGAACGCCTGTGAAATCTACCCCTTTTATTCACCCAGAACCCATCAAACCCCCTCAACCCAAAGTCCAGAAGCTTTCTCCATATTTCCCACGTGTGCTAGTTGATCCTGGATCTTGCCTCCCGTTTCCCCCTATTGATGCGCCCTCTTTCGGACTCATCCAGGAACAGCTTGCACATGATCCCTTTCGTTTACTCATTGCAACCATTTTTCTCAATCGAACCCGCGGTGGCGTTGCCCTGCCGGTCTTGTTCAAGGTCTTTGAACGATACCCTACGATCGAGGCGATGGCAGAAGCAGACCTATCCGAATTCGTATCGATGATAAACTGCTTGGGCTTTCAAAACCAACGTGCCAGGAAATGCATCACATTGGCCCAAACATGGCTATCAGATCCCCCTAACAAAAGCAAAAGATATCGGAAGCTCCACTACCCACAAAAACTGGACGGTCGAAATGTCGGTCGTGAAGAATGCATTGACGAAGAAGACTTGCGAGTCGCCTGGGAAATTGCACATCTACCTGGAGTTGGAGCGTATTCCCTTGATAGCTGGAGGATCTTCTGTCGCGATGAGTTGCGTGGAAAAGCCTCGGACTGGATCGGCAAGGATGCGACAGAGATCGGATTCGTGCCTGAATGGAAGTGCGTTCTACCACACGACAAGGAACTCCGTGCGTATCTTACATGGATGTGGCTGAAAGAAGGATGGGTTTGGGATTACAACACGGGCGATTTGACACTTGCGAGCGAGAAGATGATGAGAGCTGCGCAGAGTGGAGGGGTTGCTCGTGAAGAAGAGGGGAATTGGGTACTAGAGACCTCCCCTGTCAAGGCTGTGAATGGATTGCATGAGTCAGATTAATTTGAATAGGTAGTTCTCTCTCGATGTACATGGTAGCTTGAATCCCAATGTTTCAAACAACTGTATAGGTTTAAAAGAATGTAGTTGCCTCAGGCAGTAGAAACTTGCGGTGTTCCCTCAGAAAGTCAGCTGAGAATGACTCTTTATATATCTGAGATCAGGCTTCCATGCAGCAAATCCACGTCAAGAGCGGGGCCCGAAATTGTTCACCGCATAGTCGCATAGTGCATTTCTTTCATCTTCCAACAGTTTCATGCGCCGTACCTGAATGAGGGTATTCATTTCTTTTTTTTACTCTCATCCCTTTCTCACAAACACACGCGGAATGCTGAATTGGTTCCCGCACTTAAGCGACCAGTAACAAACGGCCTGACCTAAGCGCCAGGATAACCTTGGGAACAAAAATAGGAGCACATTCCCCCTCATTGCGAGTCCAAGGTAACCGACGACTGACCCTTTCGCGGGTTTACAACTCGATCGGATTTCGCCATGTTTCCTGTTAGACTAAACCGCGACGATAGGAAGTCGAAGACTGTCAAGGCCAAGACAAACAAAACAAACAGGAAGACATCAACCAAGGACCCAGAAGATCCTCCCACGGCTCGATCATCGACTTCCCGCCGGTCCTCCATGCCTGGATTAGATAGATCGGAGGCCGCCTCGTTCCTCGAGTCGAGAACGAGTTTACCATATCCGACTTTCTCCAAAGCTCACAGCAAGGAAGGTGTTCGAAAACCGAATATCCCCACACCGGACCCGACCGATTTAACAAATGACGACGGGAAAAATACCCACCGCGAGAATCACCATGCTCCTCCTAGTCCACCCCTGACCGGCCTCGATCAAGATTCGAGGAAGGGCAGTATCGTCAACGAAGATGAGAAGGAAACGGACAAACCTAAGAAAACAAATATCAAAATCAGAGCTCAAGTCAACAGGTCCACCTCAAGTCTTCGGTCAAAACGAGATGATAGCACGAAGTCCAAGTCTAGCAAGACCTCACGAACAGAGACAGAGACGCCCTCAAAATCCAGAATACCCAAAGATGAGAGTGAACTTGCGCCTCGGTCATCGAGCCACAAGCCCAAGACGACGAAGGTTTCCGATGACAGGAAACTGCCTAAACGGTCGAGCCGCTCGACCATGTCTGCCTCACAGTCGAACATCACGCTTCGCGATATTGGCGCAGAGTCAGCTAACGGTTCGGATGCGACATCTATTGCCCCCAACCAGCAACAGTCTGTGCCACGGAAACCTATGACCCCACCTCTAAAACCCCCTTCTCGCACCCAGAATCGATCGGCCATGTCCCATCACCGCAGTGTCAGCGACGAATCGGTCGATTTTGTGAAACCAGCAAATCCGCATTCGTTTGGGGCACCCCCGCCGCCCCCACCTCCGCCCGAAATGCCTGCCACTATTCCGCGAGTAGATTACTTGCTGAAAAATGGTGGTCTGGAAAATAAGGTCTCGAGAGCACTACTGGCTAGCCTCGGGCAGAAGGATCCGTTATCGCAAGGACAACCTCACTCCCGGGGTATCGCTGGCAAAATTTTTGATCCATATAACCGTTTGTTAGACGACTACCAAAAGGTCATGAGTAAGAATGGATCTCTCGCCGTCGCAACAGGATATCGGTCCGTCGCCCGACGTTTATTGGATCGCCTCGAAGCTGTGTTCGCGCGTGACATCTCATCCGAGCCATGTAACTGCCATATATGCGACCAAGCTGATTCAGATGATCAACCAGACGGGGTGAGCTGGGGCGAGGTTTTGGAGCTTGTGTCTGGCCGCAGGGAACTTCCCATGTGGCCTCCATTCACGATGGCACCAACTACCGTGGATACAGGAGCGCCAGGCGATGAGCATGTTCCAATGCAGAAGCTTGACGTTGATGTTCCTGAAGAGTACCGCGACCACTTCATCCGACAATCTCGAAAGACAAAGGTCGCTGTCGACAAATGGCTTTATGAGCAGAATGATCCAGGCACCAGCGCTCCTAACGAGGTCGACGATGAAACGTTGACCTTCGCCATGCTTACGCACCTCGAACCCAACCAGCGCTCGTTGTTCTGCTCTTTGCTTGGGATCAACTCTTCTACTCCTGTCCCACGATCCGACGACGAAAAGCCCAGACCAAAACCTTCGGCGCTTATCTCGTCAGCCTCGGCAATCCAGCGTCTTTACCGACTACCCTCCCTCCCTCGCGACCCTGAAACTGCTATGTACATGTTGAATAACCCTACACTCCACCATGTCCTCGCCACTCTGTCTGCCATCAGCGATGATGAGTGGGAAATCCTGATTTCCGGCCGCTTCGACGGATTCCTCCGCAGCGGCGCGGAAGACACAGGCCCCGCCGCAACTGCCGCCGGATCTCGCTACGGCAGTCGCTCTAACACGCCCCTAGGTGGCAGTATATCTCGAGGACCGACGCCCAATTATATGGACAGCAGCTTCCGGCCCTCTAGCCAAGCTGGCGGACAAGTATTCCCTGCCACATTTGGCGGCCCGATTGCCCTAGACGAGGAAACCGAAATTGCCGCGTTAGCAGAAGTCGAGCGCGACATTTTCCTTGGAATGGAAGCCCTCGAAGACGCCTTTGAAGCCCTCCACTGTAAAGCCGAAGCCGTGCGGCGCGCACTGCGCGAACGTGGCGCGGGTCTCTCGGTAGCAAACCAAAGCCGCCGGGGCTCGTTCGTCGAAGCACGCATGGGCACGCCCTTCTCGGGCATCGGCACATGGGAAAGCGGCGGCGAAGATGAATTCCTCGATGACGACCGCTCTCTTGCGCCCGATGACTCGGCGAGTAATATCAGTTCGAACCGACGTCGTCGGCCTAAGAGACGCACGGAGCGACGCACGCCTGCTCCTGTCGAGGAGGAGGACGAGGAAGATGACGGTCTTGGTCGTCGCGATACGCGAAGCTCGAGGCGGAGATAGATCGGCACTGGGATGGAATGTAATGGGAGTAATTCTTTTCGACCTACGTATAGAGTTGGAATCGTTCGGGACTATTCGCTGGATACTTGCTTTTGCAATGGGCTTGACGGACTCATGATACCCCTCCCTACTTTCTTGTCCTGGCTTTTTTTTATGTTTTTCCCACTTTTCCTTGTGCTCTGTTTTTCCGAGCTTGGCCTCATGCCTCCCTCGCCGCTTTTTATTTTGGTTTTTGATGATTGATGAATGCTATGAGCTTCCCCCGACCTGACGCCTGCCTTTGCGCCTGGGCCATGATACAAGTTTGATTTAGCACCTCAGCGGTTCAATTGTTAGTGTTGTGCAGTATTAGAGAACTGGATCTTATTGCAATAATATATTACAACATTTTCAGCCGCTCTAGAACGTGATCGGTAAACACAAACTTGCCCAGGTAGATATAGACTAGTGTGTCTCGCGTAAACCCCGCCTGGTGAGCCCAAAAGTGAATGCAACTATCAATATACCAACATATTATATATTCTGTACGATCGCGTCGTGCTGCGGCATTCTCTATATAACTTCTACTACTCAGGCCCATCTTCAACATGGAAAATCCCCAGAATCAACCCCTGACAGTTGTTGTGGTCGGGATCGGTCAGATGGGCCACAGCCATGCGCTTGCCTACCACAACAACCCAGGCTTTCAGATCATCGGCCTAGTTAGCCGGAGTGCGCCAAAGAAACTCACAGATATACTAAAGAAGTACCCGATTTTGCCTAGCTTTGAAGAAGCCCTCCTACTGAAGCCCGACATCGTGTCGATCAACACACACACAGCTACCCACGCAACCTACGCTATAGCCGCAATGGAAGCCGGAGCCCACGTTTTCGTCGAAAAGCCACTAGCAGCAACAATAGCCGACGCACAGCGTGTCGTGGAAACAGCACAACGAACGAATCGCAAGCTCGTCATTGGCTACATCCTACGGCACCATCCCAGCTGGGTGGAGTTCATCCGCCAGGCGCGACAGCTCGGCCCACCGTTCGTTATGCGGATGAACCTGAACCAGCGATCCAGCGGCGATGCCTGGGATATCCATAAGCGCATACTACAGGATGTAAAGAACCCAATCATTGACTGTGGCGTGCACTATATCGACGTTATGTTGCAAATCACCGATAGTAAGCCCGTTCAAGTGCGCGGCATGGGTCTCAGTCTTAGCGATGAACTCCCGTCCGACGGACAGGTGAATTATGGACATCTGCAGGTGATCTTTGAGGATGGATCGGTTGGCTGGTATGAAGCTGGATGGGGGCCGATGATGTCGGAGACGGCGCATTTCGTAAAAGATGTGATGGGGCCTCGTGGCTCTGTGTCGATTGTGATGGGCGATAATGAGAAGGCCGGTGGCTCAGCCGATATTGATAGCCATACGAAGATGTCCGGCTTACGTGTGAGCACTGTGGTTGATGGACGCCCAAATGATCGTATGATTTACATGGAGGGCGAGCCGAGTCACTATGAGCTTTGTGCTCGGGAACAGCAGTTTCTACTGGATGCTATTCGGGAGAATCAAGATCTTACGCAGCATATGATGGATGCTATCCGGTCACTTACCATTGTTTCCGCGGTGGATCGCTCTATGCGCGAAAAACGTGCAATTGACGTGTGATTACTCTTCATATGCCTGCGAACTAGTTTTAATCCTAAGAGTTGAAAGTCCTGATAGCAGCATGGGATCAACCGCAGCTTGCAGCCCAGAAGTACCAGAGTGGTGGATGAGCGGCCATGTAGGCATGCGATGGTTAGGTGTTTCATAATGTGAGGCTGTGAAACTACACAGTAACCGTAACAGGCAATTCATACTTCCTATTTATATGTATCGTGAGTAAAGAATCGCCAACGCAGAAACCTTCTGTGGATTTACCTAGCCCGCTCTGAACTGGATTAGAAATCATTCTTGACCCCATTAGGGATCTCAGCTTCCTTTTTCATATCCTGCTGGTCTATTCCCGTCGATGGGGCAACCTGCATAAGCAAGTTCCACCGCCACCCACTTCAGCCCATGCTATCCACGACGGAAACTCCGCACCGGTACATACGAAAGTGACGAGTCGGGACTAACTTGGGTAGGAAAATTCACGTACTACTGCAGTGAGATTTGTGAAGAATCCATAGCATTTACCATTTGCGTCGCGACCCACATGGTTCTTGTTTTTGCGCAGGTAGATCCGTTGATGGTATTTCAGCCTAACTCACCAGATTTAAGACTTGGAAAAATGACTATATGGCGATCACATGGCACACAGTCTAGGGGCGAGGGCACCATGTAGCCAGACAGTACTAGTCTACCGCTAAATTGGGAAATTTTTGCACTTCAATGCAGATCATCAGCCTAGCAAGTTGAAATCCTAGACATAATCATACGCTATTGATTATTGAAGTCTCAGGGTATGATCTGGGTGATGTGAGATTAAAAGACGGACGCTAAAGATCGATAGTTATTTTTGATATCGGCACGGAAAACAGGAAAGTCGGCCTGTTTTTCGAATCTTCAGCAATTTGAGCGTGTGGACCCAGGCTATGTATCGAAATACGGCTTCTGGGTTCCTAGAATGTTAAGGGGTAAATGAAAGTTGAGGGGCATAAGGTTGAATGCCACCGGGGGAGGTTGATAGAAACACAACCCATAAGGTTTTGGTGGGCCGCTTAAGCTTCCGTCTCATTCTAGTACGTGCGAATCTTTCAAGCTCAAAGCCTTGTTCTTGCTGTGGACGCTGCGTGACTGGAATTTGGATCGGCAACGAGCGGGGCGAAGGGAAAGGCGAATGAAACATGGCGTTTATGGGCCTTTTAACACTGGGAAGCTTATATTCAAGCAAATATATGTATAGCATAGCTGTCGGTTGTATCAAGGTTGGATTGTTTTATCCAGGTTGACAGTTTGAGCTGTCAAGGAGAATGGTGGAATATAAACTCGGATGTTCCCGATTTACCCCTGAGGCACGGAATAATATCTGAGACATATCGCAATTTCTACGCATTAGGTTGTGGACATCCCGCAACATCCCGCTCTAACTCGGGGCTAAGATTCCTTATGAGCGGGCCATTGCTAACTCCACGATCGCTGCGGCTCTGAGTTACATGGTGCGTAATCATCCTTTTGCTTTTAAACTGATTTTATCCAAATCTTCACTAGTCCGTGCCAGGGTCAAACCGTACAAAGATAAGCAGCCTCCAGAATCTGATTTTTTCCAATTTCTCATATTCCTGGTAAATTCAACCGCCAAAAGGGGGTCTAACAAAGAGCTGCCATCCGTATGACCTCTATAGCCGGTATTCTTTTATGCAGATGGCTTAATACTGGATATCACTTCCCCGGGGACCAGGACGACTACAATACAACTAAGTTTCAAAGAGAAAAACTGTTTGGTCCCGTGGACTCCATTGCAAGGTGTTGGTCAACCTGCGGTTGTAGAGTTAGAGGCGCACCGAAGCTTAACTGGGCCCATCGTACGGCTAAGAGGTTCAATGTCCACGGCTAAATAATCCTTTTGTTGAGCGTTGACATTGAACATTGACCACGTTCCCTATGTCCGAATCCAGGTTTCCTCTCGTGCGGGGGTTATTACACTTGAAATCCCTTTCTCGTTACCTGCCAGGGTCCCCCGGCCCACACCCCTGGTCACCCACATTGTCCTTTGTGTTCTTTTTCTTTGTGACCCAGATGATCTTGACATGATATAGCGCCGATCGACTTTATATTGTAAACGCCTCTGATCAGTTCAGGAAAGAGTCTGCTGATAACTGTTATAGTAGAATATGGTGATGTTTTCAAAATCATCAAAATCATGAAGTTCAAAAAATAACGCTGAACTCAGTGCCCCTCCGCTAGTGTTCCAGAAGCCTTTCCCCTGCAGCGAACGTAGGGTACTAGGGATCCGAGCCCCCTGTCAATGGGCCAATGTACGCTTTGGCCTTGAGACGGAGAGCACGGAGCCCGAAGCATCTGAATGAATTTTGCGCCATCTTAGTGGTTCTGAAAATTGGGGATGTTTCGTTTTGCATAGCAGAACAGTTTTCAACTGGCGCATTTTCTGTAGTATGTACTTTTGTAGGCAGATACCTAGTTCGGCTTGTCCGTCGTGTGGTTAGTACGGAGGAGACCGGCCAAGCTAAAGTTTGCGGCCGTTTTATTCGACATCTTGTAGTGAAGTTGCCCCCCCCCCTTACCCACTTGATGGGCACCGATGGGCTAAGAGTGGGCTAAAGTGGAGTACAGTACGTTGTATACAGGGATTTGCAGCTCTGGACCTTGAGGTATTATGGAGATCGGACTCCCTCCCTCAGATGTCCATATTTCCCACAGATAATTCTACACTTCACTCGAACATATCGTGCATAGCCTAGCTATTGATACACGAAAAGGCCCAATGGGTATAACACTCATTCTTCTGTCCTAGTCTATCAAATTTTGAGTTCAATCACTCCCAGTAGTGTTGCTGTTTCTTTCTCTCTTATTGCAGCTTGCATTCATTTTTCACCTCTGTTGCTTGTTCCCCGCGTTGAGCTATCCTTTGTCCTCCACTGCCGGCAGCCTATAAGGCAGCTACCGTGTTACTACAGCCAACCTCTCATCTTTCAGCACTCGCATCGGCTTTATATATCACCTTTTACTGCCTCGACCAGATTTCAGACAGTGATCACAAAAACGCCATCTTGCAGCCTTCAGTTCCCACTTCTTTGAATCAGACAATGATAGCGGAACATTCGAAGTGATATCAACCGAAAGCGCATTCCACCATGTATTCGCTTATCCTCATGGGCTTAATGCCCAGAAACAACGAGCACTCATTAGCAGCTCGATTGACCGGCTCTGTGGAGCTTGATATCGACCCTCTTCCAGCATCGCATCGACAAGGTTTAATAGCAATTTCAGCAATGGCCCTCATGTCCCTCGTTGCAACATCATTACTCCTCGGTTTCATCACCTATCGACTTATTTTCTGGCGCGGCAGCTATGCGCGATACATTGGTTACAACCAGTACATCATTCTTATTTACAACCTTATTCTGGCGGATTTTCAACAGTCACTTGCATTCATTATTTGTCTGCGATGGATTATGACGGACAAAATCCAATCGGGCACCGTCGCATGCTTTCTCCAAGGCCTGTTGCTGCAAATTGGAGACCCCGGTAGTGGCCTGTTCGTGCTTGCCATTGCCGTTCACACATTTCTTTTAGTCGTCTGGGGACGGAAAATGTCTTACAAGTTCTTCGTCGGTTTTGTCGTTGGTATCTGGATTTTCCTGGCGTTACTTGTAGCCATTCCGATAGGAATGTACGGCGCCGACATCTTCGTGCCTTCCGGAGCCTGGTGCTGGATCAAGGAGGAATACGAGACCACCCGGTTATGGACTCACTACATTTGGATTTTCCTCGCCGAGTTCGGCACAGTCCTTCTATACGCCGTGATGTACTTCCAGTTGCGCCGACAGATTGCCGCCTCCTCCATTCTCGGCAATAATCAACTGGCAAGCCTTCAGCGCTTGCGCCGCGTTGTAGGCTACATGACGATCTACCCAATCGTCTACATTGTCCTATCCTTACCCCTGGCTGCAGGCCGCATGGCCACAGCACACGGCAATGAACCCAACCTGGTATTCTTCTGCTGTGCCGGTGCCTTAATCACCAGCTCCGGGCTGGTCGATGTCATTCTGTACACGCTCACCCGCCGCAATCTGATCATCGACTCAGAACCTAGCGCAGACCGCTCCTACAACAAATTCACCAGCAGCAGGGGCAAGCGTGGTGAGAACAACGTTACCACCATCACTGCCGATCCAAAGCGCAACCGGGATACTTTTACCGATGAAATCGACCGCGATGGCTCAATGGATAAGATGGTCTCAGCAAACGGACACGGCCACGGGCATGATCTTGAAATGACACCGATCGGCAAGGTATACCAAGAAACCACCATCGAGATCACGCATGAGCCTGCATATCCTGTGGCAGTCGCTAGTGCCTCAAACTCTAGCAAAGAGGACTTCTCCTCCAATAGGCCAGCTGGTAAAGGGTGGCGGAGATGAATTTTTCTTTTGACTTTTTGCACTTCTCATTTATATTCCCACGCTATCTAGATCATTGCCACTAATTTTTTCCTATGGTATGATGCCCTTGATAGACTTTTGCTGTCGCTATACTTCATCTTCCTTCGCCCACAATCTTGTCACTACCACTTCATGTCTCCTTTTCATACCCTTCTTCCGCCTCTTTCCTTCCTCCTCGTTTTTTTCCCCCCTTCTTCTTGTCTTCTACTTCTATCTCGCTATCCTCTCACCCTTACTCTTCTTCTATGACAGAACCTTATATGTATATATTTTCAAAAAGGGCGAGCTCGTTCCTCATGTGAAACACGGTGATCCACATCTGCTACAATGTTTTTGAATGAAAACCCATGACTTGGTATTGATTGACAGGATTCCCACGTAATCTGACGCATTGCACGGTCTAAATGGTTCCACCCTGAATACGATCGGTAATTATCGCTCAAATTTAGTGGCCATAATAGCCCCCAACCCCAACAGTGGCGTCCGGACCCCCACGTACCTTAGAAATCCAAGATGCCTGTATTGATACGAACGATCTCCTGCAGTCATATGATACTCTTATTTACCAAGCTTCTTATAGAAATATACACGTTCAAATCCATCCTCCACTTTTCGCTCCGTTTCCACAAATCCCAGTTTCGGATAGTATCCAAGATTCTCGAACATCTTCACATTGGTGAATAATGTTACACTAGACAGCCCTTGTTTTCGGCCCTCCATTTCTGCGTGTCTGATCATATAATATCCATATCCCCGAGATTGCGCTGTCGGGTCGACCACCACATTGTCGATTTTCAGCGAGTTTGTCTGCTTGTCCTCGTAGAATGTGATCGAGCCCACGATCTGCTCATTGTCCCTCAGGACGAGAACTTCGTGCGCGCGGATCGTCTCGACCCAGTTTTCTGTCATGGGGGCTGGGGGTTTGCCAATCCGCTCGATGTATTTTGAATAGGCGGCGTCGACCATGGCTTTAATGGCGGGTATATCTTCGAGTGTGGCTTTTTGAAGTGTCCGATTGCTGTCCGATAGGGACGTTGAGGTGGAAATTGTGGCCATAATAGATGATGGGGAGAGGACAGGATGTTTCAATATTTTTTAAGCAGGCAATTGGGCGATGTGATATTTAAGAATACTATCGCTCGCATTGTGAGTCAGAACTACCCCACATACAACCGACAACTATATATGAATTTCTTTGCTCGGCCGAGACGATATGATTCTCAAAATAAATGCAATGCCAGGGAGATAAGCCCAGATAACCTTCAATTTGACACTCATTCATAGCTCGAACAGAATTTCTATGCGGAATTTGGAAATTTGATCTGATCATTTTGCTCTTCCATGCTTGGGCATCATCCAATGTCCACATAGACACAAGTCGCATTATGAGATTCGTCAATTTAACTACGCCGACTGATCTCCGAGGTCAATCTCTTAGTATGGCAGTCCACCGAGTGCTGCTGAGACCCTGAGCGTAGGCGAAGAAATGTTAAAAATGAGAATGGCGACGAGAAAGGATAACTCTCTCCGGGTTTGTTGTGACCGCCCTTTCTTGCCCGTGACTGATGGCAACCGAGAAAACCGAGAGAATAGTTTCAGAATACAACTGATGACTAGAGAAGCAGGATCTCTGTATGAAAAAGTAGGGACCAAACCATACTGTGTTAACTTCAATGGCGACCCAAAGGCACGCACATTGACGTCCAGTATTGGGATATGGGTTGTAATCTTTGGGATGCGGAGCCAAGTTGGATAGTAATCGCCATTGAATTTCATCATGATATCGAGCTTATAAGGTATCTTCATGCGTCTTCCAGGACACCTTGAGTTTCGATGAAAATTTGTCGACATGTGAGAAGTAATGGAAGGGACGTTGTGATTGAATTTGGCCCCGCTTTCTCTAGTAGGGAATTGCTCAGCTAAAGGTACGATGGGTCTGACCAACGAAGTCTGTTTACCTCACTCGGGTATCTGGGGTTTTCACGCCCAGTCACGATAGCGTCTTCGAGAATGATCTCATGGATTTCCACGGGGAGAGTGAGAAATGTTTTCATTTGAGGTGAAATGTCGCGTGGCTCGGATGGTCGTAGACTGAGTGAATATCGTAAGAGCTAGAGTAGTGGCTAGTGAAAGGTCTCGTCAGTAAATGGGTACGTGTTTTTAGAAGGCACTGACAGCGAAGCAAAGCTTTTTTGAATAACGGATTGCATGGACAGATAAGATAACTTGGAGAGATGGGAGTGATATACAATAAGGAAAGAAGGAGAGCGACCCTGGAGGTGAAGATAGTGTCATGATGACCAAGAAATTGTATCAGTTCGCTGGCTGAATATGGTAGGTCCATAGATGCTGTTATGTGAGATTGCTTGCCCTCATAGACTTGAAAGGCATTCCTATTTCTACCTCCTCAGTGGAGGATCTGCTCCTCAAGTTTGTATATATTTTGCTTCTTCGTCACATATCTCCTACCTCAAGTGAACATATTTATCTATTTATATGCGCTAGAACCGCCACACGTCGCTAGTATAGCACTTTATTGCTGGAATTTTGGCACCTGCCACTTGGAATGCAATATATATATATATATATATTTATAACTATATGACTTCAGGCTATCGCAGCAATTCGTATATACTGCTTCTTGATCATAAGGCAATATTTGGGCTCAGAGGATGGTACGCTTTTGTATTGATCCAAATTCAAATTATTAGGCAACGGAAAAGAAGAACGGAACAGGACTGCTCCTTCGAAAATCTTTTATATATTGCGGTATGACTGCCTGAGGCCTACGTCCCCTCTTCTCTACTACAGGCAGAACGTTCTTCTATAATCCCTCGTGCATGAAGATTTTTTCTGCAGACTTTGCTTGACTTGGAAGCTGTGATGACACTTCTCAACCGATTGAATACTTATGTAGGCGTGGAATATCTCACACCCGCAGGCATTCGGCGATAGTATATCCAAAATCCGAACTTCAATGCTAAATTACCTTGAGAATGTCCCCCACTATTGATGACAAAATCGTTCTTATTGGTCACTCTAACTGTGACTAGGCCGATGAACAATTAAGTTGTCACATGTAGCTCTAATGTGTATAGCTGGCTAATCTACGTCCAACAATATCTAGATAAATAATAATCTACGGCTGAACAACTCTTTTAATTTTGAATTTTGGACATACTAATGACTTGTAACATACTAAATCGGAAATGGGTCCAAAATCTAGACAAAAAAGCGGAGGGCTCCCGAGATCGGCTCTAGGGATTCTCGGCTCCCCGGAAAGGAGACTAATGCAGATTGATGACAATGGCCCCACTATAAGCTTTCCAAAGTATTGTCTTAGCTTTTGCGTGGGAATTGTTCAATGACTCTTTGACTGCTGGAAACTACCAGGAAAAATATAACGGCTGTGACGTCACCATGTCGGATTCTTTTCAAAAATACATAAATATTCCACTTTCGCAAACGCAAGTTTGATCTGTTTCAAATCCCGACTTTTGTTTTCATTCCTCTCTATCTACCGGTATCCCGATACCTAGACTCATCATGGCTGATCTTTGGGCTCCCGCTCCTGAACCGACTACCGAATTGGGACGTTACCGCGTTCTCTCTTCGACGGCTGGAATTCGCGTCTCACCTCTTCAGCTCGGAGCCATGTCAATTGGAGATGCGTGGAAAGACACAATGGGCTCGATGAGTAAGGAGGAGTCCTTCAAGCTTCTAGATGCATTTCACGAAGCCGGCGGGAATTTCATCGATACCGCAAACAATTACCAGGACGAACAGTCGGAGACTTGGATTGGGGAATGGATGGCCAAACGCCAGAACCGCGATCAATTGGTGGTCGCTACCAAATTCACCACAGACTTTCGATCACACAAGCTAGGCAAGGGGAAGGCCCCAAACCATTGCGGCAATCACAAGCGAAGCCTCCACATGAGTTTTCGGGATTCATTGAAGAAGCTGCAAACCGACTGGATTGACATCCTGTATCTCCATTGGTGGGATCAAACGACGTCAATCGAAGAGGTCATGGACAGTCTTCACATCCTGGTTGAGCAGGGTAAGGTTCTGTATCTGGGTATTTCAGACACACCGGCGTGGGTTGTGGCAGCGGCAAATACATATGCTCGAGCCCACGGGAAGACACCCTTCAGCATCTACCAGGGTAGATGGAATGTCATGCTGCGTGACTTCGAACGCGAAATCATCCCCATGGCGCGCCATTTTGGAATGGCGCTCGCCCCTTGGGATGTCATGGGCGGCGGAAAATTCAAAACAAAGGAGGAAATTGAACGACGCAAATCTCAGGGAGAGGGTCTCCGGAGCATTTTGAGTTCGGAACAAAGCGAAGAGGAAGCTGCAATGAGTGCAGCACTTGAAAAGGTAGCCAACGAGCATGGGATTAAATCCCTCACCGCGGTTGCCCTGGCATATGTGATGGCGAAAGCACCAAATGTTTTCCCTCTTGTAGGCGGCCGCAAAATCGAGCATCTCAAGGATAACATCCAGGCTCTCACCCTGCGGTTGACAGCGGAACAAATCGAATACCTCGAGAGCCAAAAGCAGTTTGATGTCGGCTTCCCAAGCAACTTTATTGGGCCGGATCCCAAAGTGACTGGGAAAGCAGTCTTCCTCTTGGCCGCTAATGCTCCGTATGCCTTTGTACGGTCATCCAAATCTATTACCAGCCCAGAATAGAATTGGTAATGCCGGCCATCTGTACGTTAAGAATTAACCAGCAAAAAAAGCATGAGAGAAATAGTACGCGAGTTATCCTTGGTTGATTGTCCACTTAAGTAGTTGAAAAAAAGGCCTAGAAAGGAGAGAGATGACGCGTCGAGGTCCTTCGGAGTACCAACATGCGCTCATAAAGGGCTGGCGAGCATCTCCACCAAGAAGGTCTCTCTGGTTAAACCTATAGGTAGCACTGTCGCGCAAGGGGCTTGAGGCTGCTATGTTGAAAGTGAAACGAGGGGCTCAAAAAACCCTTGGAAGTTACGGTGAGGCTCAACAAAGTCACGGGTTCCCCTCATTCTTCAGCCTGGAAAGCAGTTTACTCGCAACATATCTCACATCAAGCTATCGACCATGGACAATAACATGTGTTTAGAACACCAGGCCTTCATCCTCAAATTGCCAGACGAGATTTTGGATGCGATTATCAGTTTAACGGCGCCGGTGTTGCGTAGCCACAGGTGTTTACCCGAGCATTCTAAAGTTTACGAGATGGCCATTGCGCTTTCTCTTGTGTGCAAACGCTTTCATCGAATTACTGTGCCATACATGTATATGGATTTAGGGATCAACACCAACGATGACGCCTGGAGACAACCGAAGAAAGTTTTCAAGAACCTTCATCGAAGCTTCCGAGAGAATCCATCACTTTGGAAACTTTGCCGAAATCTCACAGTGATCTGGAGCAAATCAAACGACAGGAATCTCTATATTGCAGCAGATTGTCTTACCTGGCTCACTGCCGCTAAGACCTTGACCTTCTGGGATTTGAATGGCAAGAAGGCATGGGAGCTGCTCCGATTAGCTACCGAACAAAAGTCGGCTTGTGATACTCTGTCACTCTCCTCCAACTACAATTACGACCTCCACCTACCATTTGTGATAGACGTATTAGGTGATTTTACGTCTGGGTTTCTCCCCAATCTCAAAAAACTAAACCTAGACGGGGTTTCCTTTTACGGAGATCAAATGTCCCAGGCAGCACTTAGGGTACGTGCATGCGTTTCGGACCCCCAGATTCTATTGAGCTTCTATCGATATACTAACAGAATAATGTTTAGGAAAAAGCGGGAATGGCCCCGTTCACGAAACTTCAGCTCTGCAGTTTTCTCCTAACTCCAAAATCTCTCGAAGGACTTGTCCGTTGGTCGAGCCGTCTAGAAGAATTTGAGCTTAAATACACATTTGGTGATGACTATGCTACCGATGGATTTTATAGCGATTGGAGGCTGGCAAAATTGCAGCCAATTCTTTCTGTTCATCGAAAAACCCTGCGGTCGATCACATTATACGGCATTGGCAGCCCTGGGTTCGATGGCTTTGATTTGCGCCAGTTTGACAACCTAGAGGAACTCAGCCTCTCATCGCAAATATCAGGTCATCAAGGCCCCAGAGAGAGGACAATTTACCAACCCCCTGACGGTCTTTTCGCATCGCGCCTTCGTGTCTTCCACTGGGATTTGACTCTGCTGGATCAGCAACTTGGTGAGAGTTTGTCCGACTTCGACCAAGAGGAAGAAGACTGGCTACGACTATTTGCACGCAAGGCAATTGAGTGCCGATGTCCACTTCAGAGGATTAAAATCAAATTTACCCCCTGCGACTGGCAAGGCGCTGGAGATGTGTATCCGTGGGATAGAATGGATGCTATGGGAGCTGATTTACGGCCCCACGGCATTAAAGTGTCTTACAACCCTCCTTCTATCAGCAGGGAGCAGTACATGACGTATATTGCGAATTCTGCTCAAAAGGATCCAGCGCTGGCTGCCGAAATGGAATGCGTCGGAAATACCATGCTGGCTGGAACTGTCGTGCCGACAATCTAAAAGAATGATCAATATGAGATGCGCCTTCCAAGATGATAATTACAGTTAACTCGCAGGCCCTATCATATGGCCAGCCTTGCAAATAGTCTCACGATCTCTACACATTTCTCATCCACGAACCGATTCTAAATGTCTGCTACTTACCTAGATAGTAAAACTATGATTACTCCGCAAGTAGATATGAATCCCATCCAAGCCCCACCAAACGGTAGAACATGCTTGGTAGCATCGATTGTACCGGGCCAAGCGGCTTGTGCAGCCAGAAACCATAAGCGCTCTCTCACTGGCCGTTTGGAAATAAGATGCACAGTTGGATGGAGCAGATAGAGAGAAGGAGACTTTGCCCAAGTATTGTGCTAGCCGTAAGTTGAGTGGCGTCTGCAGATAAAAAGATTTACTGACAGCATGGATAGAAAGCACAGCTCTAAAACTTCTCCAGCGCCTAAACAGTGTCTCAGGGCCATCGCAGTTAAAAGGCTGAAGCAGAAGCAAGAATCAATCCTCATTTTCTTGGTATGTTACACAGAGGAACTATATCCCCAGTATAAAACAGATACCCATCCGGATCTAGGGGAAGGAAACTAACTCTGTGAACCTTGTGTAGGCCCCTGTGATAGTCTTTCCGAGTAAAGACATGGGGGGCTAACTGAATCTTGCACTCTACTTCGGGTGTTTCCGAGACGACCTGTCGCTCTACAAGGAATAGGCCCGCGACAAGAGCGAAGATATCCCACCATCCCATATAGAAACTGACATATAGCCACAGCTGCCAATAGTAGATCCAGTAAACGCATATCCGGGGTAACGCCCTCGATGCGGGCGAATATGGCTACCTCAAGGATCTCGGTAGACTTCGGCTCATGGTTTGTTTTCACACCAGCGTCTTGCAAGAAATTATTAATTAAAGCTTCGTACTGCTTCTTTATTACATTGGGAGTCGATTCTTGAACTTTTCTTCGTGACAGCCCGCTGTGTGAGGTAGGCAGCTCCGATCCATCCAGAAAGGTTGGTTTTGGAAACAAGAAGACTAAATGCGCTGTAAAGCTGGTCAAAACCAGCCCACTCCTAATTACGCATCATACTATATCATCGTGCTTGCAATGGATGGGAGGATATTGATGTAAAACAGTGGAACAAGATACTTTGAAAACTCGATGATAATTTCAGAAGTGAAGAAGGGAGTCCCAATGGACTGTATACACCAGAATAGTATGATCATTTTATGTGACTTAGTTACTTCCTCGACTGTAATCATGGTATTTCGTTATACAAAGAAATATTCCCGATCTCAAAGCGGGCTAGCACATGTACGATCAAGTTTCGGACCTCGCAGATCAGCTTTTGAAAAGAAAAATGACCCTATCCACGTTGTAGCTGAACGTCCGCCAACTACTTATATGTCTCCTTTCTTGGATGAAAGTACGAACAAAGGCGTGGACCCAAAGTGGGTCGGTCATGAAAATGGTCATTCAGCCCGTACAGACGAAATGGTCATAGCCCCGATATTGACTGGTGATTTCCAGATGCTTTAGGAAGCTGCTACCTGCCATTACTATGTTCGTTGGAGAGCACTTGACGTACCAGTAGTTATATTCGAAATACCGCGAACTGAACTGAAACGAAGAAAAAATAGGAAATGTTGCATTGATATCTTCGACATTCTGAACACTCTGTTTATCTACGCTTCTGCTAGATACACGTCCCTTTTCTTGACTTTGATGTAGTAAGGATGTGTCGGCGCACGTGTCGAACTGATAGCTCCGGAAACCATTTTCGCGTCTTTATCAGCATCAGAGATCTAAGAGGTCAGCAGTTGTCAGTATTGAAAGAGAAAGGGCGTTGAATAGAATCTCCCAGCTTACCTCCAGCTTCATCAACATCATGGACAATGCCTTGATCGTCTTTGCCCGAGCAAAATGCTGACCAATGCAAGTGTGCTTTCCACTTCCAAACCAAATTGCGCATCGCTCCATGACCTTTCGTTGCTCTTCACTTGCTTCTAGCCATCGTTCGGGCCGGAAGCTCTCGGCATCTGCGCCATAAACACCCTTGTCGAAGTGAATCACCCGTGACAGGCATCCGACGGTGGTTCCTGCTGGAATATGGTGGCCACATATCTCCATTCCGCCCTTTGGCACAACTCGATCCATGTTCAGCTGAAGTATCAATGCGTATCGCATACCTTCCTTGAAGACAGCATCGAGGTATGGAAGCTTTGACAACTCCTGAAGGGTTGGTGGGTAAGACATACTGTCTTCTAGAACAGCTTTGTCAAGCTCTTCCTGGAGACATCGGAGAGCGGCTGGATTTTTGAGCAAGTAGTATACTGTCCACGCCAGGTTGAAAGCTGTGGTATCAGCTCCAGCAAGCAGTGTCGTGAACGTCATTCCGATGACTCTCTCATGTGCAATGATGTCTGGATGCTCCTGTCTTGCTTTGATATAGAAATCCAGAAGGTCCACCTCTGTCGCGACCTTGTCCTCCTTCTTCTTCTCTTCCATCCGACTACTGACGCGCTCCAAGCACATGGCGACCAATTTTCCGCTAGGTCCAACAAAGAAGCTCAGCGCCCATGCAAACCACATGAAAACGGTGGGAAATGCAAATATATACATCCAAACTGAGGTGAAAGCGCGAATTGTTTTCATGGTCCCCCCGATATCCGTGGCTTGTTTCATGAACCCCATATCAGTAGAAAAGGCAATGTTGTTCATACTATCAATAGCCCAGTATGGAAACCATTCATTTATATCAACAAAGTCGCGATTTTCAAGGTTTTTTACCAGTTCTTCCGCGCTGTTGTTAATATGAGATTCGTAGTTCAGAACAGACCTCCAAGAAAAGGCTGGTGCAATCACTCTCTTGACATTTGTATGTTCCACTTCATCAACCATTCCCTCAAGTCCGGCAACGTTCTTTCCTTTAACCCAGCCAACAACACCCTTGTACATATTTCCCTTAAGAACAACATGTTAGTCGATTTTGTTTCTACTATGACATTTTTGTGCATAGACGGCCATGGGGGAATGCTTTACCTTGTGTAACAGAGGCTTAATTTGGTAAACCCTAGAGACTTCATTCGGGTCCCCCACACTAATATGACGAGGACCCGTGCGGATCATGGGACCATGGCGCTGATGCCACGAGTAAATAGTCTCGCCATAGTCGCCTTTCAGCAAATGGTATACTTTCCAATAATCGGTAAATTTGGCCAGAAATGGTCCTGGGATGGCAGCGAGTCTTCGTTCAATGATAATAATCTGGACAACAATAGTTATTCCCAAACATGCCGCAGCAACCGGAAGCATGGTCATGGTAGTGATAATCCAGTATTAGAGATGGCGTGTTAGTTCGAGAAATGGCTTTTTGGTATGTATATATACACAGAAAGTAGCTGCCAAGCAATTTGTATGCCCAACTCATATCGCATAGTGGCTGTTGGTACTGCTTCTTCTTTTGGATGCTTGCAGAGTTGCTAAGAAAAACACCTTAGTCTACACACCATCATGAAATTACTCAAAATATTATCTGCATAGAGACTAAAGGAGCAAAGTCCAGTGGCCAAATATCAATGTGCAACCAAACCAACGGCACCACTATTAATATATCCAATTTTATAGTCTGTTTGACTGTTTGACAACCAAAAAATATACGGATTGCGGAGGCCATGCGCTGTCTATGCCCTCCATATGACTGGCGAATGAGTAAAATTTTTCTTTTTCGATGACCTACAAAGTAGAGAAGGACACAAGGCACAGACAGACAGTTTCCATGATCAGCCTTACCCTCAGCAAGTATCTACAATATTCTGTCCTAGAGGTGCGTACATAAGGCCTGTGGTGAGTTACTGCAAATTATCTACCCCGCTGTAGCCGTGCTGAAGATACAGGTTTGAGAATAAGTCTCTATATCTCTAGTGATATCTATTCAGCCAATGATACTCAACCTAGACGCCACAAATCAGCAGGCTTCCCGTATCTGTTGCTTCTGTAGAACTATAAATCCTTCCGGTCGATTTGCCTCAATATTTAGTCTATCTAACCCTTTTTGAACATGTACAAAGTATGAAAATAAAAATATCATTCCTCAAGGATCAAAGTATCCCATCCTAATTGGCCTTTCCGATCGCACTAGTGAATCTGGCTTCAGCTTCACATACTAGACACGTCACAAGACGGGCAAAATTTAGTGCTAGCGTAAACCAAAGCGATGAACTCCGCACGAGGCGTCCGTTCGCCGATCGGATTTGTTAGACGATCAAGGGCTTACGCAGAATACCCCGCAACACCTGGCCGAGAAGGGCACCAACTACTAGTGATATTGGAGACACTAGTAATACATTTTGTTCTTTTACGGCACAGGGCAAGATACGTTACCAATTACACATAGTCACTACCTAACTTCAAATGTTGACACTCTTCATATTGAATGGTTACGATTCGAAACGGTTTCTGATAGAACCCATTTCTTGCCTATCTAGTAAGATCATTACATACCATTATGGCCTGCATAAAGTGGGATCTCTTGGCCGGGCTGGCATGACAGGATGCATACATATATGTATGGAGTACAGAGTACAGTAGTAATTGCACACCGCTGATACCGCCTTCCTAAAATGTATAACATGTATGGATAGAACTACCTGGAAACAGTATAGGAAGCAGCGGTTTTTGTAGACAGATTACTGTGTTATTTTCTTCTTGACTCTTAAAGCTAGTGCTCTTATAGATGCAGTAATAGTAGAGATGATTATACTTTATGGAGATTCTTTTGACAGGCAGAATATTAGGTAATCCTAGGGGTGTGGGGCGGGATGCATACATATATATATATGGAGTACGGGGTATTCGAGATCGAATGATCCAGAAATGCTAATTTATAGTCACTTGCTGGGATACCATAACTTTCTAGAGGAATTGTACTATCGTTTTAACGCTCGTTTCTACTTCCTGTGCGAATATGTGACCTACTACACAAGAAAAAAAAAAATCTTCATTTATGTTACAATACTGGATATCAAACAGCCTCCAAGGTGACTCGTTCGCCGAGAAAAATAACTAGGGTCTGGTCTGGGGTGCGGCTAGTTTAGATTACACGTATATCATCATATCCATAAATAAAATCCTTACCGCACTATAATATTGAGATCTATCAGAAGGGATAGACAAATGCGGTATGCGGTACAATGATGAAAGGCGCATGCGCAAGCCCTTGTGACTAGGTATGTCCTGATTGGCACGTCAATCACATTGACAAATGAAACTGCCAAAGCAAAACTTTGGAAACAAAATAGGATAATCCACAGTACTGTGCGTAAGAGTGTGGAAATCAAACACCCGTTGGACAAAGTGGACCGTATTTTGTCCCAGATAGAGCTCGCTGGTACCACGAAGGACTGCCCACACAAGTCGGGCAGTAAAACAGACCCGTCGGATCGTACTTCTTCTTGATTGCTGCAAGGCGAGGATAGTTGGTACCATAGAAATTAGTAAGCCACAAGGGGTCGTTGCGGTCGGCCTTTTTAGTTGTTAGTATAAGACTTCGGCAATGATTGATGGAATACATACCTCATTCATGTAGCTACCTAGGGTTGGGGTCAACTGAGTCATGGCTGCTCCCTTGTTGTAGGTGATATCGTCCTTGACGGATTGGGAAGTGGAGTCGTCTGCCCAGCCTCTAGCGACAACGTTCACCATGTAGGTAGAGCGCCACGCAGGGTTGAGACCGGAGTGCTTATCAGCCCCATCAGTGAGGACCTTGCCACCGGCAATAAGCTCCATATTGGTGATTGCATATTCGTTCGGTTCACCTGCCGTAACTCCGATCATGTTGCGCAGTCGAGTGTGGTTAGAAGCCAAAGCAGCTTTTCCCATCATCCGCGAAGTGAGAGCTGAGTGTGATGATCCAACATTCTGCTTCACACCCGACATAGCCTGGTAATAGGCTGCGTATGTTGGGAACTCATACCATGAAACGGATACATCGAGGGAAGTACCATTGTACTTCTGCAGCTTCTTCAGAACTGGGTCAAAGATTTTCTGGGCATTAGCCAGCGACTTGCCCATAATTGCAATGGCATGAGTATAACCAACGGTCTTGTTGGAAAACAGCTGCATAGGGCTGTTAATAGACCAGGATCCGTACCCAGAGAATCCGCCATCCATGATACTAGGATATTGCTCGTAGATATCGGTGATAGCCTCCAATAGTGAATCGGTATCCTTGTCAATCAGACTGATCGTGAGGGCCTGTCCCACAACAGTCTTGCTGGGGTAGACTTTAAACGTCATGGAGATAACGACGCCATAGCTGCCGCCTCCACCACCACGAATGGCAAAGTAGAGATCCGAATTCTGGCATGCATTAGCTGTAACGATAGAGCCATTCGCTAGTACAACCTGAGCTTCTAGCACTTGGTCTGCAGCAAGACCATAGTCACGGCTAGCCGGCGAGTGACCACCTCCTGATGTGTAACCGCCAATGCAGCCAACGGTCTTCACGTAAGGAGATATTAGCATCGTCCATTTATCATCACGCAATTGTGGATATAATATGGGCTTTCATACCGGATCACCTCCACCGACAATTATGACATTGCGCTTGAATGCCACATTGTATACATCTCCCCAAACATACCCTCCGGCAATGGTAATTGCAGAGCCTTTCCAACCGCTGTGTGTGCACTTATCGGAAGCAGCGTAGGTCTCATGGAAAGTGATTCCCTTCTGGATATATTTGATCCAAATTTGGAGTGCTCCATAACCTTCGCTCCTATCATCGACTTAAAAGTCAGTGGATAGATTATTTATGGATGATTTGATGGGTAGAACTGACTTTCCCAACATATCATGTCCCGTATTTCTTATAACCAGGCGAACGTTGTTCTTTTTCGCAAATGCTATGCCAGCTGCTAGCTCTGCGGGCTCTGTTGCATTGATTGTGTAAATCGGGGCGGGCCCCAGGGTACATGTTCCAGGCTCTGTGCCTGAGCTCAGGTCAACAGCAGGGCATGGGTCGGCTGTAGGATAAACGTATCCGACCGGGGAAAGCTCTTGGAATGTAGAATTGGACCATTGCGAGTAGACGTGGGCGCACTCCTCGGTGTCCTGGTAAGTACCGGGGTAGCACGAAATAGCGACTGGGAGATTGTGGATAAGTTTCCCGGATACTGTTTTATTGAGCGCAGTCCAAGTGTCAACAGAAGGCCAGCATGAGTCGCCTGGAGTCTTCGGAGAAAGTCAATATAGGCACACAGATAAGCCACTACTCGCTGTCGGTCTCAAATATATGACTTACGCATTTGCACGAGGCCTGAGCACTCGCATAGCCGATGCCGGCGAAAGCTAGAAGGGAGAAAACTCTCGGCACCATGGCGAAATTCAGCTGTCCCAAGGGAGTAGCGGATCGGAAAAAAACTTCTAACAGATCCAAAGCAGACGAGCTGCTCAGTCGAATATTTAAGGGGCGGTTGGCGGCAGGGCGCGCGGATCGAATAACTTCCGAGCACCGTTGAGCGTACGAATGTAGCCAGCACAGGTTCAGTGTCGCATCAGCTCATCTTGCGACAATTTCCGGTCTAATTGAAGAGTGGAAACTCTTAGCGTTGTTGAAGTCCATTCTATGTTGTGGTCTGTGTGGTCTGTGTGGGTCAGGGTTCATGAAGTTGATATATTCTCAATTATCTTTGACTTTGAAGAACATGGGGGGGAAAACAATTCTTCCTAGGTTAGAGTAAAGAACATAAGGTTATTTGATGAAGAAATTGAGCGTCAGAGTCATGTGATAGAAGACGCCTTTTTATTTCTTCACGATGTGACAATGAAAGCCATGTCACAAACAATGCAGCCATGAAGCACACTGGGCTTGAAACTACCGTTAGAGGGCTAAGCCGTTGTGGCTAAACCGCGGGGCCGCTAGATATATATTACCACCAATCACACTAATCAAGGATAATTATAACCGACCTCGCTTGGAGATTTTAGCCTACTAGTCCCCAACAAAATACATAGATTAAACTATGATCTGCTCCCACTTGATCTTTTGCCCGTAAACCCCGGATACTTCCGATCACCTGGGGAGCAGAGACTATCGAAGATTGGTCCCATTTTTTTAATTTCTTTAACTGATATCAATATTGAAATTCTATCTGAAAAGGATCCCAATGATTCCCCTCGACTATTTTAAAAAGGGTGAATGTAAGGGGTGAAATTGTTAATCTAACGACAGGGATTATGAAATTGTTCATTAATTTTTTGACGCACTGCTGCAGATCTTGCCTCTTTGTACATTCCAATATCCACAAACTAGCCCCTCGATAGATGAATTGACGGATGACTGTTGGTCTCATTTAATTGGGGGCCGGTCTCGATTACCCGCAGAGCATGGGCTAAAATGCGGGTTCTACAACCCGCTTGTGGTACTTTGGTTGACCATAATATATATTCTTTTCAGCAACCAATTCGTATTCCGGTACTTTCGACCAGAGTATATATTTTTTCAGCTGTCAATTCGTATTTTGGTACTTTGGTTGACCAGGATATGTTGTATTTACTTTTTCCCCAGTCAATGCGTATTCCGTCATGCTGCATATTACTATTCTCGGCCGGAGCTTTGTCGGTCATTAGTCGACAAGGATCTGTTGCATTCGGAATATTATTCTTTTACTTCCACATATAGAATTTGCTTTCTATACAATTATGCAAACACTGCTGGGTCTTTCTTTTCCCTCAGCCTTCCACATGATGGACGTCTAAGGTCATTTGGAATCACCATATTCTGGTTGTTCCTTCACAACAGGAATTGTTAAAACTTGCACATCCTGACTGCTGTGGCCATGATCAGTGCACCTGCCCCCCAGGGAGTGGCCACCCAGCTCTCGGTAACTGGCCTCATAGCCGTCACTTGGGTTGGAGTAGCACTGGGTGTTGTCTTCACAGTTGCTCGCATCACAGTTCGGATAAAATATATGAAGTCCCTCCTAGCCGATGACTACTTCATGCTTCTTGCCTTGGCTTTCCTCATTACCAACGCAATCCTACAAACCATACAGGCGCCTCATCTGTATTATATGATACTTCGCCGTACAGAGCCTGATCTCGTTTACCACGCGGTGCACTATACACGCTTGGAATTTTTTATCATTGGTATATTTTGGTCCGTACTATGGAGTGTCAAAGGAGCCTTTCTGGCACTCTTTTGGATGTTGTCTGATGGACTGCCTCGGTATCGCCGGGTATGGTGGATCATTACAATCTTCGCGGTATTGGCATATATCGGATGCTGGTTAGCTTCAATACTAAACTGCCATCCGCCGTCAGACTACTTTAAATTTGGTATGGTATTCACTATATGGCAATGGCTTTGGGAGGGCAGTTTCTCACATTTCACAGGAAAATGCACCAAGCCAATTGACCAGAAGGGATCCGTCATCTCTATATCCTATAGTACAACGGTTGATATAATGACAGATTTGTTAAGTATGAGTTCCTACCGCCGCGATGTTTAGAGAAAATAAAATTGACAAAGCCATGTACTAGTCATGTCTCTTCCCTTAAGTCTCATTTGGGGTACGAGAGTCAACGTCCAGCAAAAGATCGGGTTAGCGATTGTTTTCAGTTTCGGATTTGTTATTATCGCGGCCGCAATTGTTCGCGCTATAAAGATCACCGGTAAAGCATACTCGGATCAAGCCGCCCTTGCTATATGGAGTATTGCTGAGTCGTCAATATGCAAGTGACTCCCATCTTGGAACTACCATGGAAGTATGCTAATTTTAGTAAAGCTATAATCGTCGGATGCCTCCCCCCATTCCGGGCTATAATTTCGAAAGGGCCAAGCAGTATCCAGTACCGCTACGGGTTTTCGAGTGGCAATTCGGCTTCCCACCCTATTTCGCCGCACGGCAAACTCCGTCCCACTACAACAAATTGGAGCGAGGTTCCGTTGCCCGTGCAGGATTACCACAACCTAGATTTTGAGATGCATACACCGCAAGCCGTGCATATTAACGGAGGCCAGGTTGGCGGACACCCAAACAACCCGAAAGATAGGCCGCGAAGGATGGACCTTGAAATCAAAATGGTGCAGGAATTTGTGAGTTATTCTTGAGTGACCTGGGGTACATATTCAGAGCTAATGTTCGGCCTATAGAGCGTGGTTGCCTCGAAGTAATTTTCTATTTGGTGATATCTAGGTGGGATACTATATGACTTGGGATGTCGAAGGACAATCATCAAAAAAAAGTTCAATTTCACAACTTCAGCAATAGTGCGACCAAAAACCAAAAACCAAAAACACTACGGAAGTCTTTCGTGGAGAGGGATTGGACGACGAGTTCGGCTGTAGGATTGCGATTATACCGGGAAAGAAACATGGAGGCACGGCCCATCGTGACATTTATCTAATGCGCCCTGATAGGCTAACTTGATCTCCATCGAAGCGCTCGAAGATTGGTTTTGTGTCACCAAATTCTTGTGTTCTAGAATTTTTTTACAACAATGCTCTCCTGGAAGCTCGTGGACCACACAATTACAGTCCCAGGGGTGGAGCATGACACCAGACGTCAGCCGAGCACTGCCAATTGGGGCCTCTACCCCGAAAGTACGATGGTGATTGCTAGGCTCACTTCGTAAGTACTGGTTGTCAGTCAACCAGGAAATTATGTTGAGCTTCGAAGGGTAGTTCATTTTCATGACATTGATCGCGTGGCTCTTGGTGATCCATGTGGCATGGTACGCGAGAGATTAGCCCAGCCTTGTAGCTCGGTATTTCCCCTAGAAGTTCTGGATAAGCTTGAAAAAAACGGGGTTCGACTGTCCAGCATCGCAAATCGTTCACCCGTTTGCTAAATTCGGCTGAGAAGGCATATAATTCGGTATGCGTATTCCAGGTGTATAGGCTTTGTGGTCCCGAGGGCCATGAAAATCGAAAGCAAGACCGCATGTAGGCAAGACATCTGTCCTGGGCATACTTCTGTGGCCACACCAACAAATGTTCACGAAATCCAGGCCTATAAAGAGAAATGGGATCATGTGATGAGATACTTTGGAAATTGTAGAGCCAAGACCAAGAGCGAATCCTCACCATACATAATACTCCGCATGAGGGACATGATCGATGACCATTTGAGAAGGTCTGCAGTGTTGATATATTAGTCCCGGAACGCAATGCAGGGTCATATGCTCCACATATCTTTGACGCAGGAATGTAGGGACCTCATACGTATATTCTCCCCTAACCAAGTACTACCAATATAGAAAATATGAATACCGGTATCCTAACACGCGCTCATATTAGGCAACAACCTACCAAGAGTTGCAATCTTGATACATATAGCATGGCAAGTCTGTCGGCCGCTCCATAAGTCCGAAAGACTTGCTCATCCATACGACGAATAGCTTGCCAGGTGGGATCGAGCAAATCTTTCTCTAGTACTGAATGCCAACCGTGCATGACCGCCGTGATCATGACGTTTTCATCATGAGCCTTCTGTAGTTGGCCCGAGAGGAGTGGACCGCTATCTCTTGATGAATTCAGCGCTGTATATGTAATATTCCCCATTGAGTTCCAAATAGATTGCGAATCATTCATTGTAGAAGACTGCAAGATAGCCGGTGCTAGCGGTTCAAAGGTTTTGGCGAGGGCTGATTTGTGAGAATATCCTGCATGGAGAAAGTATGGGTCTTGCGGAAGGGTCATATTCGTGATCAACAGACAAGGATCCGTGGTATTGGCAAAATTTGGTTCTATTTGCTCTGGGTTGTGCGGCACAGAGACAAGCGTTGCAAATTCACCACCTTTTTGCTGGAACGGTTCCACAGCTTCAAGCAGCTCGTCGAGGTCTGTGCTATATGAGCCCCAAGCGAATTGATCTTTATCCATATGATGTTCAGCAGTCCTTATCGGTTCTTTATCGTTGTTGTTGGTCGGTGATCGAAAGTTCTTCTCCTGGCCATTGACCTCATCTAAAGTAGTCGCAACAGATGTAGGATTGACGGGCGACCTATTAGCGCGTTCATTGTAGTTTCGAAGAGATGACTGAGCTAGCTCGGCTATATTTGTTAAGGTAGACCGGAGCTGCTGGGAATCGTTGTAATTTTCGTCAGCCTGCTGCATGAGGCGTTGGACCTTTTCGGGGTCATTGGAAGGAGCACGGCTAGCCTCAACCAACTTTTCCAAGTGAGAAATATAAGTTTTTGTCTTCTCGCGAGAGCTTTTGCGAAACTTCCGATCAGCCAATCTTTTCCGTGCTCGTTGGTCCGGAGTCAAAGTGCTCGATTTCGTTTCTTCTTTATTCGCATTCATCTTGAAAGTAGTAACCCGGCTTGGCAAATTGCAGGACAAGAAGGATGGTTGCAGTCGATAAGATGAAAAGATGTATGTAGCCATTTAGCACCGAGGACCTAGGCCTTCTGCACACCAGTAAACCTAAAACGCGGGGTAGGTTAATCACGGAACCATTTTGGTCCTATTGATCCGATTGGTCAGGTGAGGGTTCCACTTTCAAAAGTTCCAATGTTCTTCATCCGAGCTATCTGAAGTAGAGCTCAGGTATCAACTCATCGCCGGCCTTGTTAATATATTAGTATTATATGATGCCACTAAACCACCGTTAACCATTTCTCTATTTTATATCACATCATCCGTAATCCCGTTCTTATATTGAGAGTTATTGACGAAGGAAGTGGTTAAACACGAACCCTGAGGCCACGTGTTACTTGGTCAACTTGATGCACCGTGCAGATCTCATCCAGCAGTCTCAAAACGTGGGAGTCGAGCATAAAGGTAATTATGACAAACTGACAGGCGTAGCGGCCATCGATCTAGGTGTGGAAGACGATGTGTATTAGCCAATGGAGAAAAATGAAGCTGGGGAAGAAGAAACCATTGCATTCATCATATATATATTTTCGCTATGTGTGGGTTTTTAGGTCTGTGGGTTTACGAGATGCAGAATGGGCTGATTCAATACTCTTTACAATCAGCCGTTGTATAACTCAACGTTTGGTTTCGAATTCTTGCTTCAGTTGGATGAACTGCCCGCATAGTCATGCGCAACTAGTCAGACTGTAACAAGTTCAATGAACTTTGATTGATTGATTGATTGATTGAAGTCAAACAGCACGACGTGTAAAGCCAGACGTATTTATAGTTCACTCAATACCCGATAATGTTTCTACTTCAAAAGGCTCGCTGCACGGTCTGTGCCTCTGAACCGATTAATACTGTAGCGGAAAAAAAGCGAGGCGAAGAACATATGCAAAATGTGCTTGCCAAATGTTTCGGAGCCTATGCGCCCTTCTGACATATTCAAGCCCATCGAGTTTCCCTGCCTTTCGCCACTTTTTCAGTACCTGAATGAAGGCGGGAGATCCAAGTCCATATATGGAGTTCCGAAGCACCAATTCTGATTCCTTCCCTTCATTGTTGTAATAGCCAGGCGTGCATTCTTTCACAAAGTCTTGTTGCAGCTTTCCGAGTTCAACAATAGTCTGAACCCATTTGCTTTCGTCGTCCGCTGCAGTATACAAGACATTGATGTGCCTGTTCATGCAATATAAAGTGATATAGGCAATGTGGATTGCCTGTTCATCGAGCATGTGGGTCAAATTGGGCGTAACCCCTGATTGTAGAAGGCTGATAATATAGAGATTGGGGAAGCCTCTGCGGTGCATGCCATGGAGTGTGGATGCGCCGTTCTTCCACTTCTCCGAAAGCGTAAGTCCCCCACGACCTCGAATGACAAGGCTAGACCTGTTGGTATGGTTGACGGAATACTCGAATCCCGTAGCATAGATAATACAATCGAGCTTATAGGACTTGCCACCGGCAACTATGCCCTCCTCGGTAATTTTGTCGATACCTTGACCGTCGGTGTCAACCAAGATCACATTAGGGCGATTGAACGTTGGAAGATAAAAGCAGGGTCGCCCGCAGAACTGATTGTACCATGACTTCAGTTTCTCAGCGGTTGATCAATCGCGAACAGTGCTGTCTACCCGAGCACGAATTTGTTCCATCTTCTCGAAATCCGCAAGCTGTCGGTTCAATGCATTGTCCGCTGAAGCTGACGGCTGATCCTTACCCCCCAAAACCGATAGTCTACGGATGATGTGAGTCCAACCATCATTGACCAGGTCTTCGTTAGCCTGACCGCCTGAAACAATGGTGTTGAAGTTCTCCATCTTTTGGTTTTGCCATCCTGGTGTTAAACTGGCCACCCATGCCGGATCGGTCAGTTGGTTGTTTTGAGCATCAACAGAGGATGGAGTGCGCTGGAATAAGTAAAGATGTTTGGCACCTTCAGCAAGGTGGGGAACTGCCTGGACTGCTGTTGTGCCTGTTCCGATAATACCAATGCGCTTATCTGATATCTTGTCCAAGTTCCCGGTGGTATCTCCTCCAGTATAACCATAGTCCCAGCGATTGGTATGGAATGAATGCTCTTTAAATGTCTCAGACCTCGGGAAACGCAGAATCTTAGCATTTTGCAGCGGACCGCTTGCAGTTGCCACGAACTTCGCCCGGATTTGATCGTTACGACTCGTGGTTCCAATCCATCGCCCAGAATCCTCATTCCAACCAAGAGCCTGGAGTTCAGTCTGGAAGAGGGCTTTGTCCTAGAGGCCGAATTTGACCCCGATGTTGTGAGCATGCTTCCTCAATTCAGGCGCCTTTGCGTACTTTTCGGCTGGGATGGGACCTAACTCTTCCCGCAACGGCATGTAGATATGCGCTTCGGTATCACAGCCCGCCCCAGGATACCGGTTCCAGTACCATATCCCACCAAAGTCCCCAGCCTTTTCGACAATCCTGATGTTAGTGATTCCAGCTTGAATCAATCTCACAGCAATGAGTTGACCACATCATCCACCTCCCATGGTGAGAAAGTCGATATCTTCCTGGATGGGGCCGCGGGTAATTGGTGACTCAATATAGGGATCTGGCAGACTATCTTGATCCAACGGCACGTATTGATTGGTACCATCACTGCGCAGACGTTTGTCGCGTTCTGCTCGATACTTGTCCTGGAGCACTTTGGGATCAAAGCCCAGTTTGCTTTCGTTGGGGCCAATGCAGCCCATGTCGTTGCTGACGGTGGATTTGGAAGGGGTGATGAGTAGGGAACAGTGTATAGTGTAATATACAAGGGGTCGGCTGGGACCGTTTATTTATATTATTTTCCATTCCAATTTTGCAGGGATTGTGTAGTCCTTGTCGAGAGATGCCTGGTACTACTTGAGATGTCAGACACAATACAGGAAGAACAGGTTATCGTAATCCGTATGAACTGGCCCGTTCGAGTCGACAGATATCGAAGCAAGAATCACGATATGCAAGCTCTTATTGGTTCTTCACGCGTGTCTATATGTCGGGTAAATAGGCATCAAGTCGATTTTACGCCAAGGCCTAGGAAATGGCTGAGCTATCTTACATTACCCCGCAGCTATAGCCAGAGAGAATCCCAATGTGTCTATGGTCCTGACCTCATCCAAATCTCAGGCCATCGAATAGTCCTGCTCATTTGGCATAAAATTGTTAGTATAAGCTCTCTCATACAGCTGGCTCAGTATGTCGAGACCAATCCCCATCGGTACTAGCTTTGTACTTTTTCTAATACTAGTGATAGCAACTGGGCATCGGAATTGATTGTTCTCCTACATGTAACCATTAGATGTGATAGAAGACACGTGCAACACATATTAGAATCGTCAAGATGCAAGCATTAGGCTATTCATTCAATGAGCAGATATCGTTAGAATTAAATCGTCTCAATTCATGGAATGTAAGTGACCCTAATCAAGCTGATTTTGAGGCATTCTATGCAATCGCAACGGGTATTGTGTAAAGTCGTCCAGGGACCCCACCTCGCTCTAGGCGATGAAGACCATCGACCACGTCACTGAAGGGGATACATTCTAAGACAGGTCGGATGTCTCCGGATGAAATAAGTTGCAAGACAGCATGGAAATCCTCCAACGATGCCCCAATTGAACCTTTCAGTTCAATAGCACGAGAGACCAGGCTGAAAGTCGGCAGGGTGATTTCGGGATCACCTAAACCGACGGCCACAATGCGGCCTCCCAGCTTGACCGCTGTGACGGCTTTGGATAATGTGGCGGTCAAACCAACGAAATCCACAATCACGTCAATCGAGACATCCTTGATGCAGTCAAGGCTATCGAAACATTCAATGGCTCCCAATCTTTTGGCTGCGTCACGCTTGGCGGGATCGATGTCGAACCCATACACACGGGCGCCCTGAAGGATCGCAAAGTGAAGACCATTCATTCCCACCCCACCCAGTCCGACGACTGCAACTGTGGTGGACGTGGTAATTTTGCCTTCGGCGAGAATAGCGTGGTACGCGGTCGAGATGGAGTCAGTGGCAACAGCAGCTTGCTCAAAAGTGACATTATCTGGAATCGGAACAAGAAATTTAGCTGGAACTGCGGCGTATTCGGCATATCCTCCATCGAAGCCGACTCCGATCACACTGGAAAATTCCATCTCTTCAATTGGCTGACCGGGGAGGGCAACGGCAACTCTGTCGCCAACCTTAACGTTGGAAACATTCTTTCCCAGTGTGACAACGGTTCCAGCTACTTCGTGGCCAAGGGTAATCGGAAATTTGCCGCCCCAGTTGCTTCCTTTCAAGGTATGGCAGTCTGAATGACACAATCCAGCGGCCTTAACAGCGATTAATACCTCGCTGCTTGAAACTTCTGGCACATCAATGTCTTCCAACTGGAGACCAGCCTCGACGTTGTGGAATCGATATGCTTTCATGGCGAACTCGGAATGATGATGCGGGCTTGAGGTTTTGAGAAATGTTGGAAGTGATGAGTTTCCATGTTAGGGGAATTGGATGGGTATTTATGAATAGGGGGCTCGCCAGGTTACCAGGTCACCAGGTCGTGGTAATCACTGGTAAGCATTTACCAGTAATTACTAGTAGTTTATGGTAGTTTATAGAGGTTACTATGTGAGGGTTTTGGGGGGAGAGAAATTTGTCTGACCTGGTGAGCTTCTCACCAGGTCACCAGGTCGTGGTAATCACTGGTAAGCATTTACCAGTAATTACTAGTAATTTATGGTAGTTTATAGAGGTTACTATAGGAGGGTTTTGGGGGGATAAAATTGTCGGACCTGGTGAGCTTCTCACCAGGTCACCAGGTCATACCTAAGTCCTTTCCCAGATTCTACGTCCAAAATCCCCTGGTTATTACTAGTAGCCCAGTAATTACTAGGAATTACTAGAAAATAGTGGAATTATATTTTCTTTTTGTGACCTGGTGACCTGGTCGACCCACTTAACCAGTGAAAGGTATATCTGTGTAATGGATAAATATCTTTACAACCTGGAGACTGACAATACGGGAGTCAGCTGATATAGGACCAATATATAACCAGCCAAGTATCGTGATCTGATCGTGAGGGGTTCGTCACATGACGGCCACGTCAGTCGATCAGATGGTTTACCCTATAGTCTGGGATCCCCCTAGATCCCACTTACTCCTGTAAGAATTAGTCTTGAGACAGCTCCACACAATACATTGTATTTGTCTCCTCTCACAGAGTCCTTGTATCTTACCCGGTTGACAGGCTTTACACCTGAGACCAGTATACCTTTACAGGTAACCTTGGTTACTTCCGAATCCGCCCTGATCGTCCTTATATACCCTTATCTACTAGTATTTCTAGAAGGTTATCGTCTTCCTTATCGAAAGCCTTAGATAATCGTTTCCTTAATTGTTTACGTTATAGCTACCTACTTCGATCAGCTTTCCCACTATCTAAATTATTCTTATAGCTCCCTATCCGTTGTATATCCTCAATTAGACTGCGGCAAATTGCGGATATTGGATATCACTTTCATACCATATCCGCAAAATATCCGCATTACGTAAGTAATTTATAGTCTTGGCAGTATTTATTATGTTAATCTTGGTAATTATTAACTAAACTGATGAAACTTTTGTATTTACTTAATCATTTAGTAATAATAGACTATAAATAATATATTTGCTTAATAAAAGTTGTAAATTAAGGAAGACTTTCTATGTAATTTATTTTGATGTTCCCGACTTAAATATGGCATTCCAACCTAATAAGAAAATATATCTTCACATTTACTATCTAAAAAGCTTTTATATCTCTATAAACCTAATTTTTTATACTAACTATTATTAGAATAATATACTTACCCTAGTTTAATAGAGCTTTCCACTTAAAAACATAAAATTACCTAATATATTAAGGAGAATACAGATAAAGAACAAAATTTAAATACTAAAAATACCTTACATTAATACACTAGTGCGGATATCCACAAATTATCCTCAAGCCTCTTGCGGATAAAATTTTGCGGATATGCCGCAGTCTATGACCGCCCCACTCTCCTAGCTTTAGCTATCCTCCTATTAGATAGTTTCTTTTCTTCTCTTCTCTCTCTACGCGAATAAGAGTTTTCCAGTTACACCTACATCTTTATTGTAGATACTGCTACTCTCCTCATGTTTGTTCCGCTTGTTTGTTCCGCTTGTTTGTTCTGTTTGCATATGTTGCATATGTTGCATTACTCGCGGGATTCAGGAGGATCCACTCCTGGACCCACATATCTGCCCCACCCCATATATTTCTTCCGAAGCTTCTAATCTCCTAACGTCCTCTGCAAGATTCCCCGCTAACATGGTATCAGAGTGATGTCTGGTGTAAAGGATGCCCACTTGGTAGATATTTTTCTCAATGATCAATGAACATCCTTTTGCTCTTGGGCCTTCACTTTTTTTTTGGTGAAGTTCCATAAACCTGATAAAATGGACTAGGATTGAGGGCCAAGACAGCTAGCCGAAGCAACCAAACTGAGTACGAGTACGGAGTATGAGTACGGAGTACTATTTTCTCTTCAGTTCATTGGAGTAAGTATTTGGCGATTCTAAGCTGCCACTGTATAACCGAGAGATAAGGCTGGGAACTCAAAGTGCTGTTCAACAGTTAAGTATAGAAATTCCATCTTTATTCAGCTCAAACACACCTATAGGATACAACCAGGATAATTAGCACCCAAAAACCTGCGATATCCCATTGCTCACGTGTGAGCGAACATCCTGGAGTAGGTATAATATGCCTTGGCGTTATATAGTTGCACATTCACTTCCGCAAAGCCCACAAATGAGCCCCCGCCCTAGGCCCATAAGTAGGCCTCTGCAAAGCCCACAAAGCCCCAAGCCCAGCCCAACCCAGCCCACTAATGGGTTGGGCTTTGGGCTTATCCTTCGGGCCCATCGATGGGTTATGGGCTTATACCTTGAGCCTATGGGGACCATTTAGGCCTATACTGGGCCCCCATTATTTATCAGACAATACAAATATACCAATCTATCGCAACTGCATAATTACTATATTTTTTGCTGGTTTTTTTAGGTATTGAGATTACTATCCAGGCTGTATATAAACATTTTGAAGCTATACGTGAGTTCTTATATATATTCTTCCTCTTCTTCACCTTCCTGTTCCTTTAATTTCTTTACAAGTTTACAAGTAAAGTTATAGAAAGACATAATTCAAGTGATTTGATTCGATTAATAAGATACTAGAATTAGTGTTATATTCATATAATTCCTACTTCTTACCAGGATAATTAAATGTTACTGAGTATGTATACAGGTTTGAATATACGTAAGATACAGTCATTAATCAGCTACTTTATGTATGCCAAGATGATATTTATGCGGCAAAATGGGCTTTGATGGGGGCCTTATGGGCTTTGCAGAGGCCTAAGATATATCATCGTAATTCTACTAGCAAGTGAACATATATTCAGGGAACATTATCAGGAGCCCAGCCATCGGGGTTTTCCCGCATATAAAATTCCATATCCTGATCAGAGTCCACAGTATTCTCTGGGTTTTTGAAAGAGGGGATCTCATTTTTCCTTGTTACGATATTAGCGATCTAACATCGAATTCTTTCATTCGCTCTGAGAGATTTACCATAACATGATAATCGAAAGGCAGGTGGCCGAATGGGACGATCTCGATTTTTTCCATTCTGTGAATTGAAAGGACTTGTTTCAGGTTGATCGAGAACTCGCACAAAATGTGAGAAATAGGGGGAGGGGAGGTTTAGGAAATATGAGAAAGAAAGAATGAAAGCATGAAAGATGGAAAAAGGCAGGGAAGACTACATGTAGGCTACATAATATAAGCGCCATGGCACGACGTCACTGCTTTCAATAGCCGTACGTCGGAGGTACTTTCCATTTCACCAAAATGAGTGCTCTATTTTTCCTTGACCTATATATACTTGATGGCTCATCGTAATGGCAGTTCAATCTCGACAACCTCCGCATCCTCTGGAATTTTCACGCCTTCGGAATATGTCAATTTTTGAAAGGAAAGAGAGCAAAGTAAAGGGACTTACTCGTGATGTTGAATATCTCTTCTTGGGTCGGTTGCTTGCTCCTCTGAATTTTGGCACTGGCAATCCCATTGTCGAAGACGACCGTGCACCTATTGGGAAAAGTATGTTAGCAGAGCAATTCACAAAGGGGTTATTTGAAACTTACTTTGAGACTCTCATCAATCCACCCCAAAGCGGGTGTGGTCGCGTACTTGCATCATTCAGACACCACGCATTGTATGAGATAACTCTATAATTCGAGTTGCCCATGAGTTTGATAGCCCCAACAATCTGATCGATCTTGTCTTGAGTACCATCCCCCGAAAGAAGTTTGTGATTGAATACCTCATAAGCAGTACCAGTGGGTCCAGTGGCCGAATCGGAATTGAAAAGATGGAAAGTATAGCTTTTCCTATTGTTGAAGATATTAGCATCTACTATGTTTGTCAGACTGAGCAGTCTTTAGATGTTTTTCTATTTACAGGGTATTTAAACCTGCTTTTACTAGTTTTACAATCAACAATCCTTTACTTCTCGATCTTCCTTACAAGTACTTTATCTCAACACCTATTGTTACCGGCATGATTCCATGCGGTGTCAAGGTTAGGGTTTCTTCCATTTCCAGTGTGTCCATTTTTACCCCAGTCATCGAGCCATTTTTTCCATACAGTTTTGGTGTTCCGTTTGCTGTCCACCCATGAGACCTCTTGCTCTACCTGTCTAGGTAGCGAATTTATCGAGCCCTGGGTAAACTGTTGGGTCCGGGGACACAGCTTCGGCTGTTCATAGTCGGATTGCCACCTTCATCCATAGAGAATTGAATGGAAACTCGTCACAGCTGAGCCAGTTATTATTTCCTGCAGGTCCGTTCGCCTTTCCTGCCAACACACCAAGAACAGCCGATTGTTTAACACACTTATCAGCTCACGTGCCTTCATATTCCACCTGCTTACCACTTTCATCCGTGATAGAGTATTTGTGCCCAGACTTGCGACCGCAAACCGCCTGTCGATTTGTGCCATTCTCACTTTGGCCTTCGAGACTGAAAGTGGCGCTGAATGGACCGGAGCCAAGACCTGCTTGAGTGAAATACTTCATAATATTCTGGCAAACACCAGGAAGTGATCTTCCACTCAGCGTCATGTCGGGGAAGTATTTGCAGTTGTACATCATGGCGGGGATGGCACTGATACAGTTTTGGCTTGAATCAACATCCATAGGGTCACCGTCATCATCGTCGGCTCGTTTGCTCTTTGAGTCAGGCTTAGCAGGGTTCCATTCGCAAGACTGGCCGGCACAAGCGCCGCTGGAACATTGGCCTCTATCATTGCACGCGAAGAAACTATTATTTGCGCCGAAGGCAGCCATATCTTCAAGCATGCTTCTCTTAGCTAAATTGGGGGAGATTCCAGTGGCTTCAAACCAGTCACCTTCCTCCAGAAGCGTCGTATTGTATATCGGAATGAACTTGTCTGCGCCACCTGATTCTATTAGAAAGGGATTACTTGACTTGGTTGATTTCTCCAACAGATCTTGCCCAGCACACTCGCACTTTTCCGAAATGAATCTTTGGTTTAGGTGCTGTTAATCTTTACAATCATGTAGCAGCTGTCAAAGAGCCGGAACATTACGTTCGAAATGAGGGGTCTTTCTGGTTGAGCAGTGTGCCTTAGCTATAGGACACACCCTCATACTACTGGCACCTCATCGGAAGTGCATTGAACTTGGCATACCATTTTTGAGACGAGCCGGTCACACTGTACCCGCGCGTTTAAGTGAGGTCGGGCGCCCGATCCCGTACACCGACACTATCGCACTGCAATTTCCAAGATTGACGATTTCATCACAGGCTATCTCTATTTGGGATTCCCAAATAGAGGCGATATAACGTTACGATCTAAAAATGGATATGAATGGTCAGAAAAGAGCAAATGCACCTAGACGGGCTCGCTCATCTACCTTACCCAGTAGCGTGCATGCTCAATCACCTTCCTAAAACGGATAAAAATCGAGTCTCCGACTAAGTGCCAAAAGTAACAACCCAATTTTATATACCCCGGACTGCTCTTAATATACTCCTAGCTTATAAATTCAGTATTTCTTGATGAGCACCCGGGTTTCGACTTTTAACCGCGAGCATCTTTAGATCAGTCTGTTGAAGTCGGAAATTCTTAGGCATCTTACAGCACATTCACCATGAAAACTATACAATGCTTTGCGACGCCGCACGAGGTGAGTCAGCTAGCTTTGCAATTGATCTCAACCGATCTAGAAAAATATCCTTACTAGCAACAGATTGGACGGGCACATGGAGTGGGAGCGAAAGAACTTATTCGCGGCAGCATTGTATTTTATCAAAAGATGTTTGTCCACACTTGCAAAATGGAGTGGCCCGCTGTGCGCAGAATTGCCGAAGATTGGCAGAAGGAAATAGAACAGAAGTGGCCAAAATACTACAGTGAAATGCAGGGTACGTTTGTCCAACTGACCTCAATTTAGTTTGATCTCCACCCGACCAGTATGTTGCTAACAATTGTAAACAATCCAGGAATTGCCGATGGTGCACAGTTACCATTTATTGACATTTTAATTCTCAACATTCGCACCGAAATTGCGTTTGGGATGTTCAATGATGGGTGTACAAGCTTGTATTGCAAAACCGACAACCATTCCTTTTTAGCTCAGAATTGGGATGTAAGTTTATGTGGCTTGATTTAAAATGACCACCTTCTTATATTTCGATAGTGGATGGAAGGGCAAAAGCAGAACCTTATCATCCTGGATATAATCAGCGATAATGGACCTCGGATCAAGATGATCACCGAAGCAGGTATCATCGGAAAGATAGGATTGAACGAATTTGGTGTTGGTGTCTGTCTGAATGCAATCAAAGTGCCCGGATGCGATTCTTCCCGCCTTCCAGTTCATATGGCGCTTCGATCGGTGTTGGAGTGCTCATCGGCTGATGCTGCTGTTCGACAGCTGAAAGAGGTTGGAATAGCCGCATCAGCACATATTCTCATCGGTGACAAAGGAAAAGGCATCGGACTGGAATCAACTACCAAAACAATCCAGTGCATCGATATGGATGAGCAGAATTGGGTTTTCCACGCAAATCACTTGCTTCTATCTCATGATGATGTTGTCGATTCTGGATGGCTGGCTGATTCTCCTTCCCGACAACAGCGAATCCAGAAATTGGCGTTGGAATATGGTTTGTCTACAGGTCGTGTGCCAGATGCGACGGATATTACACGCATGTTGGATGACCATGACGGATTTCCGCATTCGATTTGTCGTTACGAGAAGGGTCCTCTAGGGATGGATGCTACGCTATTTAGCATTGTCATGGATCTTCACGGGCCAAAAGCCACTGTATACCTCGGAAGGCCTTGTCACGCTGAAGAGATAATAGAATTAGATTTCAAATGTTAAATCTCAAATTCATGCAAGCACACTAGCAGCCAGGCTTATTCTACACACTTTAATGTTTTACATCATCTTATAAAGGTGCAGCGATCTTTGGGTGTGGAGACGAAAAGAGAGCGGATATACGTCAGTTCTCACACTAGAAAGGTAGAGGCGGCCCGGGCCTTTAAAAGGTGCGGTTTTTAAATTCAAAACTTGTTGAATACTAAAGGGTGATGTCCTATTTTGAAAATAGTTCGATCCTACAAGATCGTTATATCATAGTAGCATGGCAGAGTAGATACATGCCCCCCCCCCCCGCCCTTTTCCACCAGAACGCTGTCCTCGCATATATTGTATTTATTTTCCATCCCGATATGCCGCCTGGACCTGAATCTCCACCAATGCCTCTGGTGGAAAGAGTGCATTGACGCAGATAGCTGCCCATGCCGGCTTGTTTTTCCCCAAGTATCGTCTGGCAATCGCGGCGATCTGCAACTGTTCTTCCTTCGTCAAAACGCCAACGTGGAATGACGTGATATTGAAGATCCCCTCCCACAGTTGTCTTGAATCGGTAATGTGAGGAGATGCCACGGCCAATGACCTCTCGATATTGATCATTGACTTTTCGAATTGCTCAGCATGGGTTCCCCACAAAGGGTCGTGGTTATCGGCAATTTGGCCAGAGGTGGCGACAATACGAGCATCGGCAGGAATTGACACGGCGGCTGAGATATTGAAAACATTTCCGAGCTTTTCATAGCCCGGATAGTCGTATCCACTGACTGCGGACATGTTGAGTATCGCGTGTGAGAGGTAGTGGGAGAGGCTGGGAAATATAGAATCGAGTTTCAAGCTCCTTGCTGATCAGCTTTTTCGAAGATGTCTGTCCCCTTAAATATTGTGAGACATTCAAGACACGCGGTTGCCACTGGAAATCAGTGGAGTTAGAAAGCAGATAGATTTAGGAGTATACTCCATTAAGTAGGTAAATGAGATCCCGGTGATGGTACAAAGATCCGCCTGGGAGATCACAAGACATGAGTATCGACATACAAGATATAATATGTACAGCCTCGAGAATATAAAACTGGTTATCATCACCAGGGGAGATCATTGTGTTCATCAGACCAATTTGAAGCCAGTGGGGAAAGACACGGATCGGCTATTCTTAATCGGGCATATAAATGAGATCCGAAGTCAGACTTGAAAAATAACAAATTTGTCCCCCAATGAAGATTTGAGATTAGAGGAACATCTAAGACTGGCCGAGAGGATAATAGACCCGATTTTCTTGTTCCATTGAATTCGATTTGTTTTCGGGAAGGTTTTGAGGCACAAATCGTCAAACCCTCATTGGCAGTGAGCCCCTATCAGTAGTCAATTCGCGGGGAATCAAGCTATGTATGCGGGAGTGGTATAGAAGAGATATAACATATAACAATGTCATGAGTCAGGAATATTCGTGTTGACTTGATATTTCAATTTTCCCCCCCCTCTTGTTCATATTTATGTTCTGAAGTTTGACTATACATTCTGGTCCAACGCTATACGACCGATTCCATGTCTAAATCAGGGGACCAGATTGACACCACGAGTGATGATGGCGATCATGTCACACCTCCCACAAGTTACGAGCCAGATGAGCTTCCTCGACAATTCTCCCTTTTCTCCACTCTCGCATTTGGGTTTAGTATGACAAACTCCTGGCTTGGTTACTCGGCAACCTTCATCACGCCACTCTTGCTGGGTGGTAGTCCGACGGTATTTTTTGGTCTTCTTGCTGCATCTGTCGCATGTTGCTTTATCAGTAAGATTACCATCCCTGGCTCCTGTCCCAAAGGCCTTCTGACACGCCATCATTTCCTAGCGGCTGGTCTGGCAGAACTCGCCTCGGCATACCCATCTAGCGGCGGCCAGTATCACTTTGCCTATATGGTCACCTCTCCGAAATATCGGGCTTTGGTAGCATTTGTCATGGGATGGCTGAGTGTGGTGGCGTGGGCCCTTACCAGTGCGTCTACCGCCTTGGTTTGTGGTGAGTCCTTATTGAAGAAAGTTGAAAGACCAAAGTGGTTACGTTGTATTGACATCTGTTGGCAGCCCAGATGATCGGCAGCTTAGCTGGCATATACAACCCATCTTATATTGGACAGGCTTGGCAGACATGGATGATATATGTTCTATTGGTTTTGATTGCAACAACAATTGTCTGTTTACTACCAGCGGCCCTCCCCCGAGCTGAGATGGTGATGTTTGTTAGCAGCTTCTTGGGATTCGTCGCCAGTTTCATCGCTGTTCTGGCAACGCGGAAGCATACACAGTCAGCGAAAACAGTATTTGTCGACTTTGAGAACAACAGTGGCTGGAGTGACAGTACATCTTTCATTATTGGTCTTGGAACATGTATGTATGCATACTTGGCCATCGATGGAGCGTGCCATATTGCGGAAGTAAGGAAACCCCGGCCTCCTTAAGTGTGGAGATTACTCACTTGAAAAAAGGAACTTCCAAACCCCAGATCCGACGTTCCTCGCGCTATGGGGCTTACCATGCTTATTGGCATGACGACAGTCATCCCATGGACACTTGTGTTCCTATTCTCCATTACAGACGTAGACGATGTTACCTCATCGTCGATTCCGGTGTATACGATTTACTTACAAGCCACGCAAAGTCAATCTGCGGCCACTGTGCTCACCGTCTGGATCCTATTCGTTTATTTTGGCGCGTTGGTGTCATGTATTGTGACTACTGGACGGCTTGCATACGCCTTTGCCCGCGATGGAGGTCTTCCATACTCGACTTTCTTTGCCCGGATTAATTCTAAGCATCAGGCTCCCGTCAATGCAACTGGAGCATGTGCAGGCGTGATAATACTTTACGGGCTGATCTATATCGCGTCGGTGACGGCATTCAATAGCTTCATATCCATGTCAATTCTCTCGCTCAATTTGACCTACGCTTTGCCGCAGGCTATCCTTTTGTTCCGAGGCAGAGAACACATTCTCCCAAAACGCCCTTTCGACTTGGGTCGACATCTTGGACCGATTTGCAACGCGTTTTCAATCCTCTGGGTGGTTTTTATCACCATTCTATTCTGCTTCCCTACATCCATTCCGACTACAACCGTTAGTATGAACTACGTCAGTGTCGTCATTACGGGGATTTCATTATTGATTATGGTTTCCTGGTGGGGAGGCAAAAGAAAGACTTTCTCCGGCCTGGTAAGATTCCCATGCATATTGCTGATATATTTCCCACCTCGTTTGCTTGCTTTTACCAATTATTCTCGTCCTCCTTTTACCATGCTGACCAAATCAGAGAATTGAGATAGAGGGCGTCGAGGTTGTACCGCAGGATAATGATTTCTCTTCAAGCACACCACCAACATCTAACAGGAGCAACTACCGAGGAAAATCGCCTGTTTCAATATGCTCTAACTGAATTATTTAGATAGAGCGTGCAAAGGTTGAAGTCATCAGTTCAGATCTCATTCCTGGCCGCTTAGATTCAGAAACAAACCCTACGAATCCGGTGCCATATGATCTCGTACTTTACCACCCTGTAACGTTTAGTACGAGAGCTTTCCTAAACAGAAGTAATCTAGCCTTTGGTCTCTAGTTTAGGGTATTCGGGTCTAAATTATGGGTCGTTCGGTAAACAGAGCTGTTTGTGACCGCCGAAGTGTTCAATGGTCAGAACGGCTGTGAGAAATGGATTACAGACGTATAGGATCTGGTTCTTATTCATGTTGTCAAGGTGGGGAGGAGATCATATGTAGAAAAAAATGCAGTTTTATCTGATCATACAAACAAAGGGGACAGGATAGAATTTACTGATACATATTAGACGTAGGGGAAAGCAGCAAAAGGCGAGCGAATAATATATCTCAACATGAGAGACGATAGGAAGATAAGAGTCGACGCCGAAACCTCAGGGCCACCCGTGCCAATGACCGCCGAGAGCGGGGCGTTCGGACCCCCGAGCTCAGATATTCACCCTATTCGGTCAAGATCCACGATCCAGTGCGTATCGTGGAATTCTACCTGACAAGATGTTGATCCTACTAAAAGATCAAAGAAAGTTCTGGTTGGCTTGAAAATTACCCAGAATAGTCATAATGTGATTTCAGACTGCCTTACTGGAGTTTCATGCTGCCTTGCAAATCACATTTTTGCAAATCACGTTTGCCCCCCACGTAATACAACTGGAAGAAGCGCAAACTGCAGGATAGATTCTGTTTATGGCGGGTCGAACTGTTTTGCGGCAAGGAAAAATCGCATACTTATAAAGCCGGCGATAAAGTCTTTCAGACTATCTCCATCGAGCGTTCGACACATTTACAAAATCGAGGTCTTCATACCATCCCAACAAAATGGAACCTCATTTATACTACGTCATCGCTTTAATCGCCATTGCATCTGGAATTTTCAAGTTCTTGTTATACCCGGCATTCTTCTCTCCCCTGGCGAAAATCCCAAATGCACACTGGTCCTGCAGTTTTAGTCCCTTCTGGATCTTCTGGATGAAATGGACGAAGCAGGAGAACCGTCAAATTTACAATCTCCATATGGAGAAAGGTCCCGCAGTGCGGCTTGGTCCGAGCCTGGTCAGTGTGAACTGTTATGAAGACGGGCTGAAGAGAATCTACCTTGGAGGTTTCCCGAAACCGGACCTTTATTTTAATGGCTTTGCTGTGTACGGGTATGGATGACTCGTTCAATTCATGAACGAAAGAGCACAGGTTAATTTCTACCAATAGGACTGGCAATCTATTCACGATCAAAGATAATAAAACACATGCCGCACATAAAAAAGCCCTGTCGGCCTGCTTCTCAAAGTCGTCCATCCTGTCATCCGAGACTGCCCGCGCCGCATCACGAGATGTCTTGTTCAACCGTGTTCTTCCCCTTGTTTACAAGGCTGCGACTGAGAACAAAGCAATCGAGGTCATCGAACTCAGTTACTCCTGCTTACTGGACACCTTTGTACAGTGGCAATTCGGGCGGTCCCTGGGTAGCAACCTAGTCGAGGACGAAAAAGAAAGAAGAATGTACCTCGATGGATTTCTTGGGGTATCTGAATACACATTTTGGCAATACCACTTTCCCGGCCTCATCAGCACGCTCCAAAAGATTGGGATTCACCTTATTCCTAAAAGCGTGGTAAGTGCTTTCGAGTTGGTCGAAAATTGGAATCTGGAAAAGTGCGATAAAGCGCAGCAGCTCCTGGCAAGTGGGAAACAGTTATCTGCGGAAGACCAACCAGTTGCATTTGAACCGGCACTGAAGGGAATGAGCGAGGTTGATGCAAAACCCAAAGAGTATCCCCAACGGTTGCCATTGGCAAGTGACATGTTCTCCTTGAATTCTGGAGCTTTCGAAACAAGTGGCAACACCTCTACCTATCTGTTTTGGGAGTTGAGTCGACGTCCAGAATGGCAAACGAAGCTGCGAGAAGAACTGCTCGGTCTCAATCCACCCTTGAAACATGTACCCGGAAAACGTGTTGAAATTGACGACATCACGAACCCTCAGGATATTGACAAGCTGCCAATTTCGCATGCTGTAATAATGGAAACCCTTCGACTTTGGCCCTCGGTGCCTGGTGGTCAACCCCGGGTAGTGCCGCGGCCATGTACCCTGGGCGGTTACCACAACATCCCCGCTGGAACGACTGTGCAATCATACGCATCCGTTCTACATCGCATGCCCAATGTGTTCCCTGATCCTTTTGAGTGGAAGCCGGAAAGATGGCTCGATGCATCGCCGGAAGAGTTGGCCGTGATGCGGAAATGGTTCTGGGGATTCGGCAGTGGTGGACGAATGTGTCTCGGACTTCATTTTGCGTATTATTGTGAGTCCAGCTCATCTCTTCTAGCAAGTGACATTTCGACTCTATGCTAACGCACAATCTAGCGATGAAATTCTTCTTCGCGGGCATTTATTCCAATTTTACTTCCACTGTTCACGACCACGGAGATATGGAGCCGAGCGATGGTTATCTTTCAGGTCCAACAGGTCACCGTTTAGAACTGAAATTTCATCTTTTGGAATGAATTATGACACATGCTAGGTATCAACGAGAGACTCTGGGGAATTTTTAGAAACTGCGGATCAATAACCTTCATTTCTTCTTTTTCTACTTTTATCGTACAGAATAGTCTACATTTTCGAATTATAGATTGCTTCAGTTGGAGAATTATTACAAATGGTTATTCTACCTGATATATGACCTTCTCTCGGCCAGTTCCGTAGAATCATAACCTTTCTTCGAACGACGTGCATTTTGTGCATTTTGTAACGTTGGAGCACTCCTTCAGACTGAAAATAGTACGGAATACCTTCTACATAATTGACAGCCCCTCTTATGGTTTGGTCTCTTCGGGGAACTTAGTTTCCCAGCTCTGCAGGTTCCTCCAGGGTATGGGATTTTATATTGTGCTTTAGGTAAATTGAGATCCCAATTTTTACTTGCTCTATGTCTTGTGAGAAACAGTCACTATTGAAGATACTGGATGTTTCACTCAATGAAATGTTTTATTACCATCTTCTATGACGCACGGTATTGTACATTATCAAGCGACTTTGGTATCATTCAGCTCCACCAGCGACTTCGACGCCTCCAATCCTCCCCTCTTTGAACTCATCAACCATCTGTTCAAATGTACACCACTCCACACCTTCATGTGAATTTATATATTCAATCATCCTCTCATGAAGCATAATAACTTGAGGCTTTCCGCTGACTTGAGGATGAATAGATATCGGAAAAACAAAAGTGTCATACTCTCGGTACAGGAAATCAAACTGGGATTTCCAAAGTCGCTCGATGACATCTGGATCCACATATCCATGAGACGGGCCCTCCTCAAGTTGAAATGGTGGCCAGTCATCTAAGTGCCAATTGGCGGGTACCTCGACGATTGTACTGGCCTTGAGCTTTCCCATCGGCTTCATCCAATGTTCAGCGGACTTTGAAAGGTCGGTGGCAACCAGCCCATCTAAACAATATGGAACATAGTAGAGCTGGGAGTCATGGTGCATAAACGAATGGTCATATTCCTGGCCGAGGGGTTAGATTTTGTGATTTGCGATATCATGCCAACTTTGCGTACCAGACCAAACTCTTCCAGCAGTTTGATGCTGCGGCTCGAAGTTCTCCAAGACGGTGCAGTCCATCCTTTCGGGTGCTTTCCGGTGAGTGCTGTAACCACTTGGATTGACTTGACAAGAACATCGCGTTCTTGTTGCTCCGTTAACATATCCACGTGTTCATGTGTATATCCATGCAGACCGCTGAATGGTGTCAGTCTTTGTTCTTTTTTTGGTTGCTGTTATATGCTGAAATATATAGGTTTGAGTAAGGAGTGAACGCTTACACTTCATGTCCAGCATCGCGAATCTTTATCATCTGAGACTGAAAGGATTCAATTGAATGAGCCGGAATAAACCATGAGGTTTTGATGTTGTATTTGTCCCATAATTTCAGAAGCCGATCGATTCCCACGGTGGCGCCAAAGATGCCACGCGATATGTCGGTAAAATCAGGGATATGGCCATCTTCAGTGTTGATCCTGTGCAGGTTCTTATTAGCCTTTCGTGTATCTAAATAAAGTAAAAGATGTGACCCACCAGCCACTGACCGCATCGACGTCGATGCCATATCCTACAAGTACACGCTTTCCCATGTCGTCTACGTTAGTTTCGGTGTTATATCAAATAGACCTATTCTTAAAAAAAAAAAAAAAGACCAACGGATTTCAGCTCATATTAGAAGCGCATTTGTTAGGGCTTGTTACCATCTCTTTATCGACCTTCCTAAAACGGTCAATAGATGAGATCTCCACAATAGTTGGCCCGTGCGCTGCTTCGGCCTCAGGCCAAAGTGTGACAAATCTCTCTCCGAGGTTGTGAGTGTTTGGAAGGACCAGGGTTCCCCACGGCGCTTCAATTATCTTGCTGATCATGCGGGGGAAAGAAGCAGCGAATCAGCTTCATGGATTGCTACAAGGAATCCTGAGTTTCATCGTAGTCCCTTGGGAGGAGAGTCTGAATAGTGTAGTGGGCTCTCAAGCAAGATATATATTTCTAACATATATGAGTGTGCATACATGGGCATCAAAATCTGAACAGACGAAATTTTAGAGTTGAAGATAACGATGACACATGGCTTGTGCTTCCCCGCAGGCTATCTCCAGATAACAGCTGCGCTAGTCAACTCCGCTCTCGGGGTCTGCGGCTTGGATATGTTTACCCTTTCATACCATGGCAAACGAGCGATACTTTGGAAGGGCGTGCAAGACATGTCGCCGTCGAGGACGAGGATGTGACCGACGTATGCCTTCCTGCAATACATGCGAAACCAATGGCTTGACATGCGAGGGTTATCTGCTGCAGTGGCCCGGTTTGGCAAGTCGCGGCCAACTTGTGGGCAAAAGCATCCCAGTGACAACAAAGCGACGACGAACGCGCCGAGTCCAGCAATCGGCAATTCCAAGTCCACCTTTGCCCATAGTTCCACAATCACCCACTACACAATCACCCCAAAATACCGACAACAATAATGACCAGAATGAAACACAAGAGAATCCATTCGAGGACCTGGTTGACCCCATGCAGTTCTTCATGGAGATTCCAGAGATTCACACTCCACCTGAGCTTCTGGTGTGGTCCAACGATGCCTCTCTCCTGAACAATTATGACGATGATCTTCTCGCCCCTCAGCCAAATCTCTGCACAGCGTCTCCTCCGCAGGATCATTGCCAGGAGCTTGGACGTGCTATGGACTATCGTTACGTATTAGGCCCAGGACTTGATGTTTTGAGCATACCCGATGAACTAAAATTTATCATGCAATACCGTCAGTGCTGAATTATCAATGACAAATCGCTAAAACCCGCTAATAACTTGCAGATATTTCTGAAGTTGTGCCAAAATTGTGTGTGGACAACTTATCGCCTCGAAATCCTTATCGCGATTACATCCTTCCTCTTGCAATCGAAGTACCATCATTGCTATACGCGTGTGCGGCTTTGGCAGCATGTCATTACGATGTCCGACTGTCTACAAAACAATTCGAGCGCGAGTTTTTCCGGTTCAAAGGGAAAGCAATGAAGCGACTCCAGGAGGATCTATATTCTCAAACTCGAGCCAGTCACCCAGGCACGCTCGCGACAATACTCATGTTGTGCTTGTGCGATCTTTCTCATGGGGGGATATCGGACTTTCAGTCGCATTTCCAGGGGGCTAAGAAACTTATCGAACTACGCCAAGAAAGGACTGCTGGCAATTTTGTAGAGCAATACCTCGTGTGGTGAGTTTTCACGCCTTCATCTGGCTTGACGGCTGGCTAATAATTTGGCTCTCTTCGTGACTTTAGGCTAGACGTTATGGCCGCCGCTTCGCATTCTAAACCCACGGTATTTTCATCACAGGAGATTAGCTCCCTGTTGGTCGAATCTGGAGACCGGTGGAGCTTCGATGTAATACCCTGTCCTTCGGATCAGTTTCAAATTATCTGTGAGATCGTCGCATTGTATAAAAGTCAAGTTGACGCCGACAGTCCCTCAATCGAGACTTCCAATCAGGTCCAGGAGATCAAGCAACGGCTGTTGCAAAAGCCCGCACATTGCGATAGGGGTCAGAACTGGCTTCACATGACAGAAGCATATCGCTTTGCGATCATTCTTTATTTACTTCGATTATTCTCTTGCAATATTGATGAGTTTGAGCTGGATTGGCTAGTCAGCAGTGTACTCTATCATGCCAGAGCCACACCACCAGCCTCCGGATGGTCGGATCAGTTACTGTGGCCCTTATTTCATGCTGGCCTGGAGGTCAAAGATGCTCGGCGCCAGGAATGGGTTCGGGAACGAGCTCGGTGTATGCAGAGCTCGGGAGGATTCGGAAACGTACAAAGCGCACTTGTGTTATTAGAGGACGCTTGGAGAGGAAAGCGACCGTCAAAATATATCAATCTGATGCAGGGAAGTGGAAACGGATCTGTACTCTTAATTTAATGCCATGGAGGCTGCGCAAGCTATTTCTCAATATCGACAAACTCTCCAAGGTTACAACTTCGCAAGGTGTGTACGGGCCTTGCAATGCTCGACCATCTCTTTTGCACATCGAAGACCAATCAAGTAAGCATTGATCTGAGTGTGATTGCTGTTATCGTTAGTCAATGAGCCGCAAGCTTTTCAAGCACAATAGCTTACCAAGTTAGAATGGGGCATACGCTCAGGTCTGCTACCCGGAGATTTTTCATTCCCTTTACTTGGAACCGGGAGTTTACCACAGCCTCTGGATCATTGGCCTTGCCCATGCGACAAGTACCCACACTGTGATAGCCTTGGTCCAAGTTCTTTCGAATGAAATTTAACATCACCTCATCACTGATCGCATCAAGGTTTGCCGTTGCAAATTCAATATCTGGACCATGGACCATTCGCTCAATGGTTCCTTCATAGGCTTTGGTGCGAGTAATCTTTAACTCCAGGCGAACACTTTCGATAGCGATGCGCTGATCGAATGGATGAGCCAGGAAGTTCGGGTCGAGAATCGGGGGTCTTCTTGGATCTCTGGAACTAATTGTGATAGTTCCTCGCGACAAATTGTTTTGCAGTAGAAGCTCATGCGTCATGTAACTCTGGTCTGGTCCATCGGGCTGGTACACGGAAGGTCCTGATCCAAGCCAAATTTCAGCTGATGGTCTCGTGGGCTCCAGCAAAAACCGTTGTGCCTTGCTGTCAAGGTCGGAAAACTCCTTCGAGTCAAACAGGCGCTTGATTCTGGGGAATGCTAAAGTACCACTGGAGCCATACATGGCAAGGGGCCCAGTATGATCTTTGGCATATTGTGCCTCCGCTTCTGCGAGAAGGCCAGGGTTGAGAAACAGCTGATTGTGCGCTGGAATTGAATTGTCCACCTTGTATTCACAGGTGATGATTGAATGGTCAAGCATGTTTTGTCCACATCCTAAAAAGGGGTTAACAATATGAGCATAAATAGTTCCGTATCAACGCACCTGGTAAGTCAGCTTGGACTGGAATGCCGTGCTGCGCCAATGTATCTCTGGGTCCGAGACCAGACAGCATCAAGAGTTTGGGAGACCCAAACGTGCCAGCAGATAGTACAACCTCCTCGCGACAGTAAACGTGGACTAATCTCCATCAGTTTCGTAATAAGACAATGATTTTCAAAACATACCCTTCTCCCGGGTAGGTCGGTGATACAAATCTATCCCACTAACCACCCCATCTTTAGAGCGGAGTCGGTCGCATTCAGTTTCCGTCATAATAGTCAAATTCTTCAGCGATGCACGAGTTGTCTGGCTCAGGAAAGCATTGGCTGCATATGATCTTTCTCCATCCTGAACGTTGAACTGGGCCAACCCCACACCCACTGGGTTTCCAGAGTTGATATCTGGACACAGTGGTATCCCGGTCTCCACGCATGCCTTCACGAATGTCTCAATACCGGGAACCATCTGGTCACCAAATCCAATCTTGAGAGGGCTGTGATAACATCAGCAAATCTTCGAGGAGAAGAAGAACCTTGAAGAATTACCCCGAGGTTCCATGATTTGAGGGCCGCGGTGCAGCAAAGCGTTGCATATCCTCAGGCAATTTTGGGTCGAAGTCCTCAAGCTACCACAGTTCGTTAAATTCTTCTATCGGCAAATGGACCTTCTGCAGAATGACCAACCTCTTTCATCAGGGGTAGTATATTTTTCCACTTCCACCCATCATCGCCAACAATTGTAGCCCAATCGTCATAATCGGCCGCCGGCCCTCGAGCAAGTGCCATATAGTTGACAGCCCTGGATTAAGTTCTTAGCCTTGTCATCTTGCCCTGTCAATGGTGAGGCACTCACGAGCTGCCTCCGAGCTGCCTGCCTCTCAGGAATACTAGCTTCCTACCACCCAAGTGTGCCTGTGGTACTGTCTCCAACTCCCATAATCCTTCTTTGTCTTCCTGTAGTTGCTTGACATATTTACCTGGCACGAGAACGTCTGGCACAATACCAGAATCTCTGCCTGCTTCTACAAGAAGCACAGATGTGTTGGGGATAGAGGCGAGTTCTGCTGCAATTACACAGCCTGAATTCCCTCCACCACACACAATGTAGTCAAATGTTTGACCCGCAATGGCTTTGGTGTCCATGGTCTCTGTGGGCTTCATCTTGAATTAGAGTCGCTCAATAACTTTCAAATTATGGAATACCACTAATTTATTATGGATCGTGAGTCTGGGGTACAGCTTTCAACTGTACGTTGGTTTATTCTGGTATCTCATCGGATTTCCATATTAGGAAGTTGGATAAGCAACGATACGCACTACTCAGGCCTGAGCCTATGTCTTGGCAGAACATTTTACTCAATCTTTGACTTGACAAGGCAGTTCGAAGCCTTTCATCAGGTGATCTATGCTGATCATCGCGGCGAAGTCCAGCCAAAAACCTACCAAACAAGGAGAGCCAACAAGCAAATCCAGAAATCCACAACAGCGATCCCGCCCCACAGTCAGTGTGCGATCAAACACTTATCCTGCAGCCATCTCCTCATCTACCCCTGTCAGTGTTCCTAGTTCAACTGAAATGCAGCTAGCTGGATTTTGGAGACCCAGGCCGATCCTCATCCCCACAGTATCTATAGGACTTATGTTTCTCAGCCTCAACTTACCTCATTAAGCTACCTACATCTATGGTTCCCTCCCACAAATAATGGATACTTGCGGCCATGAAGTATGGAAATAGAAAAGTGGACTTCCTATCCAACTACCTGTATCTGAGCTCATTGCTTTGCAAAATTTTGCAACGCGCCCTCAACCTAAGCGGTACTCTAGAGTGAGCGAGGATTATACGAGCGAAAGGCCAAGAAAGAGGAGAATGGGATGATAAGTCTTACACCCAGGATGATCTTTAGCGAACACTTAAGCTCATGCTTCCCAGATTCCAGCTCTTAAACTTGGATAGTCTAATTTGATCCCACATTGGCCTTAGTTACAAGAATTTATAAATGCTCTCCTCCAGCTACATACTTGCTCTTCTCAACATTACTCAAAATAAAGTGCCTCGGTAGAACGCGGCGGAAATCACAAACCCGAGAAATAGAACTAGACTAACACTAAATTAGTTCGGGGTTTGGGGCCAATTTCAAAAACCGCACTGGTTCTTAGGACGCCTGTGTTTTTCAAGTGTGATAAGCCTGACGACTCTCATAAGTTTAGGCAATTCCCTTTGTGGTTATTAAAATGACAAGGACCTCGGGAATACGAAGATAAGATTATCTACTACCGCGAATTAGCGCTTACTACGCTAGAAACATAATGTTGGTGGATAACTACACTATAAACTTCGGACATCGAATGTCATAATCGGTTTCTAGAAGACTAACAGCGATAATAGTGGCTGAATTGTGCATAATAGGCAGATAGATAGCACCGGATGACATCGGACTCTCAAAATGGACGACGAACGGATCTCGGGTTTGTCCTAAAGAGGACTAGCGGGTTCAATGAAACGTGGTTTAGAGTTCATCTAACCTTATCTGGTTAAGTCTATTTCCCCGAGCCAATAGGGGGACTCGGGTTATCGGAGAATTGCCGAAATTCATCCGCCAACATAACATTGGGGAAAGATAAGAGACATGCCACTAATCTTCGACGATGCTAACAAGAACTATTCCCCTGACTAGTCTCCTTTCACTCATATGAAGTACCCCATATTCATGCATCTCATCAGAAGCGAAATTAATAATTTTAATAATGTCATTGATATCTTCTCCTTATCGAATGAAGTCTCAGATAGTCCAATGCAACTGAGATAAGTATGTACTATGAGGAGGTAGAACGTATATATATAGCTAGTTGATGGCCGGGCATTTGATAAGAGTACCCCATTCACAAACAGTCAATCATCATGGTATCCTCTACTACTTCCTATGGGCTACCAGCTCTTGTAGCAGCTCTGCTATCACTCTCCGCCACCGCCATCGCAGCAATCAACCCCAAGGGTCAAACCGTCGAGCTCAATGGAAGCAACTACTACATTCCTCCTAAAGTAGTTGCAACCCTCAAAGCCGATCAGCACATCTTCAACAAACTCGATGGCTTGCAACCCCTGACAGTCATCCACAGCGATGCTGTGAAGCTGACAGCTTCGATCCTTGATACCATAGCAAGCAACTATGAAGCTGCTGACGATGTCTTCAACGCTGGCTTCCTTGACAACGTTTACGTCCAGTATAACGGTACTTCTAAGAAACCCTCCCAGAATGTGTCAACCCATTCCGCATGGGGCCCAAAGATGTTGGGATATGCACCTGCATATGGTACCAAGAAATCAAAGACAGTGACCACGTCAGCGCCCCTGCCTGCCGGTCCATATTTCTTGGATCCGTCCACTGGATCCGTCTTTGAAGCCTATCTGTTGTACTCCGATGTGATGGGCTCTTTCACTCAGGGATTGATCTCTGCTGGTGAATCCAAGTACGATGTTATGCCCGCAAACTTGCAGGGCTATGCCTCGTTGACTATTGGTGTTCCTTCGCGTCTATACTACACCAAGACAGCCAAGAAGCCTTTGGCTGGTGTATGTGTTCTCTCTTCTCCGCTCTTTTAAGAAGAAGGGCTCGTTCTGCAAAAGACATAGAATACTGACTATTCCTTCCCTCATAGGTTCGTCTCGGTGTGAAGGATATTTATGATATCAAGGGTGTCAAGACCGGCTGTGGAAACCGCGCTTACTATGAAACCTACCCAGAGGCTGATGCTACCGGCCCTGCCATCCAATCCCTCATTGATGCGGGTGCCATCATTGTTGGAAAGATGAAGACCAGTCAATTTGCCAACGGTGAGACCGCAACTGCTGATTGGGTCGATTACCACTCTCCATTCAACGCCCGCGGTGACGGTTACCAGGATCCTAGCTCCTCATCTTCCGGTCCTGGTTCTGGTATTGGAGCTTATGAGTGGTTGGATTTGGCAGTTGGAAGTGACACCGGAGGCTCCATTCGCAACCCTTCGCAGGTTAACGGATGTTTCGGCAACCGACCCTCCTGGAACCTGGTCTCATTGGATAAGGTTATGCCCATGTCTCCGCTTTTGGACACTGCCGGATTCCTGACAAGAGATGTGCAATTGTGGCGCACTGCTTCGGAGGTGCTGTACAAGGAAGCCGGCCTCAAGTCCTACACCAAGTACCCCAAGTCTATCAAGACCATCCAGTACCCAACTACTGCGTCGACCCCATCTGAAGAGCTTTTGGTTGGCTTCGTCGACAAGCTATCTTCCTTCTTGGGTGGTGCCAAGGTTTCTCCGTTGGATTACAATGCTCTCTGGGAATCCACTAAGCCTTCAACTGTTGCCCCCAACACGACTCTCTCCAGCCTGCTGAGCCTCACTTACCCTATCCTCATCTCGAAACAGCAGTACCCCCTCATCGCCGAGCCACTATACGCTGACTATGCCGCTGCCAATGGAGGTCGTAAGCCTTTCATCAACCCTGTTCCTCTGTCCCGCTGGGGTTGGGGACTTGGATACCCTGACTCCCAACTGGACACTGAAATCCAGAACAAGAACACATTCACCAGCTGGTGGAACTCAACTGCCCAGGTCTTCGACGACGAGACTTGCGCTGACAGTTTGATTCTTTATGTTGGATCTCAAGCCAACCCCACCTACCGCAATGCTTACCGAAGGTATGTGCTTGTGCTTCCCTATTCCAGGAACTTTGAGAGACTTTTTGCTAATCTACTGGAATCATATAGCGTGCCTGGTGTCCCTGTCGGATTCTCTACATCCCGCATTGCCAACTTCGCTGGTGTCCCCGATATGGTCGTTCCCAGTACGTTCAACTCTCTATTATCTAATAACCCTCCAGGAGGTTTCATTTAGAACTACAACTAATATAAATCATGATTTAGTCGGCGAGGCGCTCTACAACTCCACTGTCACCCTCCAGCAGGAATACCTACCTGTCTCGGTCAACTTCTTGGCACCACACGGCTGTGATCTGATGGTCTTCAACCTTGTCAATGAGTTGGTTGAGGCTGGTATTGTGAAGGAGCCCAGCGCCGGATCCAGCATGTACGGAGATGGTGTGACTTATTATTGAGTAAGGAAATTATTATATAGATGTTAGAAGGGGGTATCATTGTTCATTCATGTATATTTATATTTAGTGTATAAAGATTTATTTTTTTCGCAAAGTCAAGATTTTCCCGCAACTATTTTATATTCCAGATTTAGGGAGTTTCTACATTGAACATTTTACGATATATATCCCCGATCCTTGTAGGACCTTGAGATAGAACCATTGCGGCCCAGAAGTTCCGAACCATGGACATTTCTCAATTCTGTTTGATGCCTATCACAAGGTAGTTGTTTCAACCTCATTTTCTCGACAAGATCCGACGCATTAGGTGTGGATGGAAGTCTTCAGGTCAGGATTTATTCGCTAGAGTGTTTGCCCAGTTACTTCCTATCGCAAAACTTTGGCGTGAACCATGAAAGTATAAGAGAAATATACGCCAGGAAAGACTTCATCATATGGCATTATGTCCTAATATTTCGATCTCATATACATTTTTCATGATTTGACTTGCGCTCTCAAGCGTGCTTCTCACTCCACTGCCATTTCCGACCCTGTGCCAGGGGTGCCCGGGGTAGCGAGGCCGAAAGAATCCGTTCGGAGCGGAATGAAGAAAAGAGAAAACTAGTTGCCTTGCACCACAGTCCTAGCAAGCACGGTCAGGTACCCAACATTACCACTCGAAGTCGTATGAGCTGCATCCTGTCCTTTGATATGAAGACCGATGCCGTGCTATATCCTATGCAAAACGTAGATTCAGATAAGAAAAGCCTGGGTCGACCAAGTCCACGCCTAGAGCTTCCACTTCTGCATCTCCAGCCGCCGCCGCAGCAACCAGAAGTGGCGTAAAGTGCTAATAGCAAAGGTAAGTAAGTATTAGGATGGCCCTTGGTAGAATTGTCTAAAATTCAGGAACGTACCTCGACAGTGGGATGTGAGCGCTTGAACTCGTACAAGGTCTCCAACTGTAGCAAAGCTTCATTTCTCTCCTTTGCATTCTTCTTTGTCACTGCTGCTCTCAGCTTGGTATCAAAAACTCTCGATTCGGTGAGGACCTTGGCCCGGGTGGCTTCTCTCTCCTCCTCCGTCGGAGCATCTATGATCTCATCAATGGAGTTGAATGAGTGGACAGCCATGCCTGAACCTATGATGAGGTAGCCCTCATGCCTATGTATTTGTTAGTCATTAGTGGTCTCATGCACGTTGTGCATTAATAATTTTCTCTCAAACTAACCGTAGTGACTGTAAAGCCTGACCCAACCGGATTTGAATCTCAAGATCAGTGCCATGGAATGTAGAGATTTGGATTACGGGTATATCGAGTGGCGTCTCATCTGGAAACATGACCTTGAAAGGCACCCAGACACCGTGATCGACTCCTCGCTCCACACGTTTGGCCTTAAATCCTGCTTTGCGTAGGAGTTCCCATAGTTGTGCCGCTAGCGCGGGTGCATCTTGATGCGGCCAGTCGTACTCATAGACGAACGGCTTAGAGTCATGAAAATCGTTGACAAAGTCATGCTTGATGGATGGTCAATATTGTTTGCATCACAGCTTATCCTGTGAATCAGGGTAGGATGGATAGGATTTCTCACTTGAATATGTGTCCCATTTTTGACATTCACTACATATATGTCAGTTGGACCTTCTATTTGTCCACATATCAGGACTCATGCTATCGCACAATCTCACCTTCAATTACTCCAGGCCCATGAATCTCGCCTGCTTCGAAATGCCCGCTGAAAACAACGACAGCTTTGGGACGTGGTGACAGTGACAGGATCTCTTCCCCAATCTCCTTCAAGTTGGCCTGAGCAATTTTATTTCGAGGTCGCTCATCAAAGAGAAGGCCCACACCGGCATGACCAATGAAATAGGTAGGAAGAGATTGAGTAGGCTCGATGTTAGAAGACATGGTAAAATGAAGGCGTTGTGGAAGGAGAGTGGGTGTGGTCTCCTGTATGTCTTAAAGACTTTATGAAAACATATGAAGTGGGGAATAACTTTGCTTATTTTATATGTAGCATGTGTCATATCGTGTGCCATGGATCCGAGATTCAGACGCTATTTCTATAGTGCTAGGATAGCGCGGAATAGGATATAGATCGCTGCCTCATGTACACGATTCCATGCGGGTCAACAACCGCAGGGACCAAAGAGAGGTGCGGAACATAGATAAAGTGCGGAATAAATCCATTCATTATATTTGTATTGCGACATACCGCATCCCCAAGATTTATAAGCTAGTTGTATAACCCTGGGATGGCGCGGATTTGGCTGGCTATGGCGTCAACGGACCTAGGAAAACATTATGTGCGGAATAGCGAGGTCGGGAAATTTCCCCATTGTGTATTTTCTTTCTATATCCCGCATACCCGGGATTCAAACAATAGATCTAGAATGGATGTCGTGTATTGTTTATATATGGCGTCAGCAGAGGGGTTCGGCTAAGGGAAACTTGGCGGGTAAATGGACCAAACGATATACTCGGATTGCAAATGAGGACTAGTCAGGGTCCAATTGAGATCTATGTGCAGATAAGGGCCTGAATAGAACAACCTGCGCTATTGTACATGTGCCTTGATATTTCCCATGTAAAATTTGAGATTCTAGTCCCATAATCCTATGTTAAACATATCCAAGTGATTTCATTGCTTCAATGGGCAGTGATGAAAATTGGTCAGCTTTCTTGTATTGACTCGCGTCTTTCAAGGTTTAATTGTACAATAGGAAGATGTTTTGATTCCGCTATGAGTCGGTTGCACTTAGTGTAAGTCACGACATAATCAGATGTAAGGCGACATCCTCCGCTAACTTCCAGACCGATAAAATATACTCATGAAATTTACGGCAACTTCCATACAGATTCAAAATTCTATAACTTGTGCTGGACACCGCCAGCGCCCAGAAAAAAAAAATTCAGTAGACAGTTTATATATCCCTATAATCCATTGGTCGTCCGCACTTATATATACCCAGTCCCTCATTGCAACCGGCATAGTATTGATTCTGTTACCGCGTCCAAAGTTGCCACCCTGCCTACCAGCAGACCTAGCTCGATCAGCTACAGTACAAAATGGCAGAGGAGCAACGCCATTCCCCTGCCGAGGACCGTTTCGACGAGAAACAAAATTCAGTCAATTTAAACGTTCAGCGGCTTGACAATGGTACAAATACCCCTTCAGACATTGAAAAGCTCGACCCAGAAGCACCGCAAGACACGCTGTCTCACCTTATCGTCAAAAATGGCCACCAAGTTCTCGTCACTTGGACCCTGGAAGAAGAATCTGCCATCGTTCGGAAACTCGACTTCCTTTTCCTTCCCATATTTTCGGTCCGTCTCCCTATAATCCCGATATCTCTCGTTTTCCTTCCCCGCTAAACTTCTAACTCAGCTGATGTTTACTTGGATGGCCATTGATCGGACGAATGTGTCGAGTGTTCTGACCTCCACTTTCCTTTCTGACACATCTATGACCGGGGATCAGGCCAACACAGGCGTTTCCCTACTCTGGTTGGGCATTGTCTTGCTTGAGATTCCCTCAAACGTACTTATGAAATCTCCCTTTTTGGGGAATATTGCACGCCTGTCTAACTTTTTGATCAGATCGTCCTCCACCGCGTGGGTCCCCACTACTGGATTCCGGCACAGGTTGTTCTCTGGGGCTTAGTGGAGGTATTGCAAATGTTTGTCACTAATGCTAGTGGTTGGTACGCAGCACGGCTGTTTCTAGGGCTTGCGGAGAGCGGATTCATCCCCGGCGGCCTATACATCTTGTCCAGATGGTATGCACCAAATGAGCTCACGCAGCGCACTGCAGTGTTTTTCCTTGGACCGGCATTGGCTGGAGCTTTTGGGTCCCTGATCTCGGCCGGAGCATTGACGTTACACCAGAATGGGGGGTTGAGTGGGTGGCAATGGTTAGTCCTTATATTGCTGTTCCATCTTCTTGTGATTGTTATTAACGTGAATGTAAATTGTATAGGATATTTCTCATCTGTGGCGTCTCTACAATATGTAGGCAGTTACGAATACCCCATGTTGCCTGCCCAGCTAACACAAGTCCGATTCAGCCGCAGGGCTCGTGGCTTTCGCCGTTATGCCCAAGTCTCCCTACCATACGGGTCATCTCTTCGGTGGTCTGGTTCGGGTGAGGGGCTGGCTTAATGAGCACGAAGCTGACATTCTCGTTGCACGTCAAGCCCGAAGAGAAGACAATCAAGTAGCCGGGTCGACTCTCAAAGTTCACTGGAAGGACATGTGTGTAATTCCCTTGCTTCGCCGCTGCAAAAATATCTACTAATGTTCTGAACATAGAACTGATGTGTTCTTGCATTGGGCCACCTGGCCGTACCTCATCGTGTGCCTGGCGGGCCTACAATCCACCAATGGGCTTGGCACCTGGGGTGCATCCATCATAAAGTCACTCGGTTTTAGTGAAATTCGTGCTAATTTACTCAATGCGCCCGGGAACCTATTTTCAGCAATATTTGGCATTGCACTGTCGGCATTTGTGGACCGGTATAGTCGATTTGGGTATGCAATCATCTTTTCGGCTGTGTGGTCTCTCTCGGGTCTAATTGCACTTTATGTAAGACAGATGTGCTTCGCCATCGTATGGAGGATCTGCATACTGATTTTCATATGGCAGTGTCTTCCAATCACATCGAAAGCTTCGTGGTCGTTCTATGCAGCGTACCTCGTGACACAATCAGCGCCGTAAGTGATATTTGAGACTAACAGTCAAACAGTTGAACTAACTCATGCCCGGCAGAAACTGGCAGCCAATCAATGTAACCTGGTTGTCCTTGAACTTTAAGACGCCCCAGAAACGTGCCATTGCATATGCAGTATACAGTAAGGAACCACTACACTTGATGACTTCAAGGGAGGATGATTACTGACAGATGATACCATAGTCGGATGTTCTAACCTAGGCGGCACATACGGCAACCAAGTATTTAGAGCGGTACGTGAAGTTTAATTCAGCGGAAGACGACCAACTGACATTGAATGTAGAGCGACGCCCCTCTCTATCACACTGCGTGGATTGCTTGCATATCCTTGGGAGCAGTGTGGCTCGCTGGAATTATCATACAGGAATTTAGTTTCCAATGGGCCAACCAACTTTTTGCAAAGAAGCTAGCGAATGACCCGGCGCTGGAATCAGAGGTCACACATAAGGACAGAAATGGGCGAAAGTATCGCTACTATTGGTAAAAGTAGGGTCCGATTACCGGCCCGAGGACAGATATAGAAAGATAGTCTCCATACTACTAGTTACTATTATGCTCGGTGGCATACCATGGTTGTCTAAGGACTGCCATCATAGTTAGAATCACTCTTCATGCAAGATATATATCTTTCCTCCAATTTGTGTACATTCACCGTGATACATTAGAAGGTGATGAAGACTGAGGAAGGAAGAAGAAATAAGGATCTGCCTAACTATCTAGGATCTCCACCCAGTAGCTTTTCCCAGGTTCTTCACCGGGGATTTCAAAGGTGATCTCTGATTATCGAAATGATCTCCGCTTGCGGCTAAAATATCACAGAAAACTCAACAACAGAAATGAAGATTGTATCGCTCGAAATTTAAACATTGCATTTCGTCGGCCTTGCAGCTCACTAGCCCACATCAGTTTTTGCAAAATCTTTCATCATCATCGCCGACCAGCAGATCATCCCGCAACCTCTTTTGAATACGTTCCCGCATTTCCATAACCGTCGGCTCCCGTGCGAATGAATTTACCCAAGTGAAAGTTGAGAAATTTGGCCCAAGGCACAATGAAAAAGGGATTCTTATGTTACACTCTTACTTTTCACGTGGACTATATTCTCAGTCCATGATTGTCGAATCGCCTGGTGAGATCTCTTTCGATCGAGTCTTGTAAAGAAGCAAAAGAAGAGATGCTGAGTCCGTTAGTTAATTGAATAACTGCGCGGTTGCACAGTGCGTGTCTATGATTTCATTACTCATCCCCAGTGCAGTTAGCAAAGAGTGGCTCCTGTTAGTACGATTAAGCGAACAGGACTTGAAATATTTATTGTTTGAATTTGGGTATGTGTGCCTTGACAGGGTAGGGAACAGTGCTAAGCCGACATCAAGATATTGATATAGAGAGAAAGGAGAGTTTCCTTCATTCCAATTCTCCTAAAATGAGCTTCTTGAACGAATGGAACTAATTACAAGAAGATTCAATTGTGCATTTCGCTGACAGTTGGCTGCCAACACGAAAGAAACATGCCAAGACACCGGTTCCCTACGGGGGACAACAACCTTGGAATAGAGCTGGTGCTGACGTCAGTACAGGAATAGTCTGATTTGAATGTTATGCATCTCAGACAATGCGTGTCTCATATAGCTACGCTCGAGGCTGATTGTGCCTAAGCACAAGATAAACTAATTTACTAAATCTGATGCAGCCCCAGATGCCCATTGCATTGCCCAGTCGGATTCAAGCTCGATCGGACTGATTGATTAAAGCTCACGCGATTTGGCGATGATGACTTCAATTAACCAATTAAATTTAATAAGGTTGAATCACTCAATGCAAACTAGATCAACGGCCCTTGAGTGGGCTTCTTCGGACGATGACTCCCGACCTTCCCGAAGAGATGAACTCATAGCGGGTCCAAGAGATCGATGAGTTATTCACAATGAATCTCAAATTTCTTGTTCAGCCGACTCTAAATTAGCGAGGGAAAAAAGCGCGACGGTCGCGTTGCAAGGGGTGAGCGCTAACAACAGCGCCTATGCAACGCTAGAATATATATCCCCCTTGATGGAGTGAAATCGGAAGATTGACAAATTGACTGAGGTCGGACCTCCTCTTGCTGCAAGGCTGGTTCCTTAAATTACCGCCAACCTCCATACATACTCGCGGTTTTGGGCGAGTTTCAATCTCACAACGAGGCGATCGTTGCAGATCAGGGGCCTGGCGATCCGCTACAGTGGGCCAGATTAATTGTCATCGCCAATCAAGGCGCCGCAGCCGCAAGAATGTACAACGAATATGTATCTGTTTAGGATATGCAGTTATGTGTCCAGGAGCCGGGCCTGAAGATCAGAGCTAACATATTTAAAGTGAATATATCTGCGGTCAATTCGTGCCTTCGGATGAACAGGTCCCTTGTCCTTTGACATCCCGCGACTATGTTGCTCTCTCGCCACGGTCTTCTGGCCCCCTTGCTTGTTTTACTGCTTCTGGTAGGAAACGCGGTAGCCGATGACGCATGGACCAGAGCCCGCACTGCGCTCCAGATCCTTCAGGGCTGGTATAACCCCCAAAGTGGCATTTGGGACACTTGTGGTTGGTGGGATGGCGCGAACTGTATGAATACCATTGCAGATTTAGCTGCCCTGGACCCATCAGTGATGGATACGGCGACATATGTCTTCAATACCACATTCCACGTGGGGCCGGTGTCCAATCCGAGCCCAGGACCTGAAAAGAAAACCGTTTTTACTCGCGACAACCAACCATCGACTTCGGTCAACGCGAGCAAGTGGCTCGATCAGGCATATGATGATGATGCATGGTGGGCCCTTGCATGGATTGCTGCTTACGATGTCACCAATAAGGGGACATACTTGGAGCTGGCTGAGGGAATTTTTGAGAGCTTGGTATGCATAGACTCGCATTTGTATTTCGACGTGTGCTAATTCTTCCTAGGCGGACGCATGGGGAACCAACTGTGGTGGTGGTGGTCTTCCTTGGAGTCCGAACAGCACATACGTCAATGCAATAACAAACGAACTCTTTCTCTCCGTCGCAGCACACCTTGCAAACCGAGTCCCTGAGCGAAAGGAATATTATGTCGGCTGGGCAGAGAAGGAATGGGAGTGGTTCTTCGCCCAAGGCTTCATTGGTACAAACGGCACCATCAACGACGGCCTTTTGGAAAACTGCCAGAATAACGGAGCCACTCTGTAAGCACTTTAGTTTCCGATCATCTGTTTTCTTCTCTCTGCTAACTTGCCGGAGATGGTCGTATAACCAAGGAGTTATCCTCGGCGGATTAGTCGAATTGAACAGAGCGGCACCCAATGATACACATATATCTTGGGCCAACAAGATTGCAGTAGCAGCCATTGCAACATTAGCAGATAATATCAATGTTATCCACGATTTCTGCGAGCCACAGTGCCTTCCGGATGGCACGCAGTTCAAGGGAATATTCATTCGCAACTTGCGGATCTTGCAGAAAGCATCCCCGAATGATATTTACCGGAAGGTGATTAGCAGCTGTGCGACCAGTATCTGGAATAATGATCGCAATGCAAAGGGACAGTTCGGCGTCAATTGGGCTGGGCCTATCCAGGGAGTGGTGGATGCATCCACGCATAGCTCGGCTCTTGATGCACTGGTCGCAGCTGTTGCTGCATTGGTTAACTAGCGACAGAGTACAGGGCTATTTAATATTTTCTTTCGGCCATTCAAGTTCACGGCATTTCAACAGATTTGGTGCACATAGATTCTTCTTTCCTCATATATGCCATCGGCTAGTCCGACGTTTGATTTAATAACATTTCTTTCTCAGTTTCTAGTATGGATGTGCTCGCTTTGTCCAGACAGGCTGCTGGGCGGCCTGGGGTCTGTTGTACCCGGACCGAATGAGGGATGTGGGAACTAATTCCAGCCTTCCCAATTTTGCGCCCTGCTTGTCCTGTGCCCACACTGTCAAGGCTATATAATTGTCCCTCTCATGATTTAGGATACCCTCTGGAACGGGGAACGCTATTTGGGGGCCAAGGTTGTTGACTAAATTAGAATAATTAGAGTGGGCGGATTGTGGGGTGGAGCCGTGGAACCATGTCCAATCAACCAAACTTTGGAAGAGATACATACTATATCTTCCAAATTGATATCCATTGACAAAAAGCTGGCATCTGTAATTGTTGCCTCGGGTATGCTCTTGAGGACTATCATTGATGGAGTTGTTGAATACGACGCTCATTGGGGTATCCCATCCACTAGGGATATTCAACTGAAAAGATGCAGCATAAAATCCAACACCTGCGTGCGACAAGCCGTCTTTGACTGGGTTTGACAACTTCCATTTTGAACTTGGTGGGTTAGGATAATGATATCCTTGTCTCTCGGCATACATCCCACCTTCATTGAGAGGACCACGGATGAGATCCTGATACTGCTCTCCTCCAAGATTACCTGTCATCTTCCACGAGACGTCGGATTGGGCGTGACCTGAAACCCCGTAGTTCAAAATTCCTCGGGGAAACTTAATTGCATCAGTGCCAGGGGCCTCTTCATCTTGGCCCATGTGATCAATCAACACTGTGACCACATACGGGCTTCCCTGCGTTAAGGTGGATGGCAACGATATGTTGTGGACAGTAGTGGAGTTGGCACTCGACCCGAACCATGACCCAAGAAAGGTGTTGTTCAACCACACAGAATGTCCAAATCCTGCACCGCCAGATACATTCAACCAAAGATTAGATTCTTGGCCATTGGCATTAAAATGGCCACGGTATAACAAAGATCCTGTGTGGTATCCGTAATCCATGGAGTACAGACTACTAGGAGTGTCCAGTGGTCTTGGATTATGAGTTGAATTTTGTGTACAAGGTGTCCAAGCTGAGTCGTTGTACGAGTCCTGAATCTCAGGGAGAGAATCAAGGAACTTCCACTCTAGGTTGGACAAATCGGGAATGTCCAACTTGGGAGGGTTGTATCTGACAGTTCCCTTGAGTTTCCCATTGGAAGTTGTCGAAGTCTGTAGTACTTCTCCATTGAAGGTAATACCTTTCAAACTTGTTGCCGGACTGGAGATGACCTCGATTTCTGTCGTGCCATTTACATCACCTGTCAGTCGCAGCTGCTTGTTTGTCAGATCGGCTGTGCGGATAAGATATCCGGCCTTGACAACTACCAAGCTCTTCGATGGCGATGAGTAGTTTGCAATCGGACCTGATGCCGGCAACTCCATAACCCAGTAGTTGTATGCCTCGTTCCGCCAGAGCAGGTATACCTCAAGATCTGCGACCCGGATGATGCGTCGGTCTGGTGTAACATGCCACTTCACAGCCCAAGTAGATCTACATTGTTTTATTTCGATGCCAGCTCCTTCGACGACGGTCGGCTTTCCAAGTTGACTAGGAAGAGCAAACTCATGTGTTTCTCCGGCACCTCCGTAGAGAATTAACACACGAGTCGACCCTGACCCGCGCGCCCATGTGAATATCTCTGCGGAAGAGTATATCAAATTGATACCGCCAACATCGTAATCAGTGACGTGGAATTTGGAATCACGTCCATTTAGCGTCAGGTGGCCTTCTAGCTGAGGGATTTTGATATCGCCAATACTTGTGGACAATTCGACGGTGTACTGAATATTGTCGGTTGAAGTAAAGTCGGCATGTCTAACAACATAGAGATTTGTTCGCGTCCCATTTCCGAGAAGAGCAGTAACAGCTATCGAGGAGGGTGCACCGTATGTGCCATTTGCTCCAAGATGAGGAGTTGCTGTCAGATAAGCAGGAGAAACTTTGAGGAAGTTAGCCTCGAGTTTCTGTTCACTATATTTCTCGCGCCAGATTGCCCGTTCTTCTGTGATGGCTGCACCATAATCGTATGACGTATGCCCACCCATATAGCCGAGGTTCCCCCAGTTGGTACCCCCAAAAGTCTGGCCAGAATTTCACATTAAGTACTGCTATGTGAGGTCAAGCAATTGTATGGACTCACCATGTAAATGTTGAATATTTTTACGCCAAAGCTGTAGTTGTTCTTGTAGACAACTCTGACAGCCTCTTCGTTTACCAACTGGCCGCACATGTCCTGAGTCACTCCTCCCCTTCAATAATTTTAGTTCTCTTCATTTAGTAAAAGCCAGGGATTGGCGTACCATCCCTCGCCAGAACCCCCCTGGAACTCAGCAATAGCGAAGGGTGTCGTTGGACTCTGTTGTCTGTGCGTCACTTGCCAATCATATGGAAATCTGTAAGTAGGCCAAACACTAGGATTTGCGCCTACGGAAAGAAGCACATTAGCCTTGAAGCATATATAGCACCAGGGATATTGAAGCCAAACTCACAATCATAGCGCATTGGATATGCATCAATGGCGTATATATCGACTGCCCCTTGGCCTGACCCCGGTGCGAAGTATCCCATAACCAAGTTATCATTTACGATGGAAGGGACAGTAATACCTACAGCAAGAAGCTGTTCTTCAACTTGTTCCATATAATTTCGATTCATATCATTCGGGAAGTCAGTTACTCCAGGCCAAGTGGAGTACTCGTTCTCTGGCTGGACGATGATAACCGGGCCACCATGTGTGATCTGTGCCCTTTCAATAATTTGACCCAGCTTTGACATGTACTTGGCTGTCGCATTCAAGTATTCGGGGTCGTCGGACCGAATAACCGCTTGCCCTCGTAAAACCCACCCAGGTATCCCGCCAGCAGTGGTTTCAGCATTGATATACGGTCCCGGTCGAGCGATGAGGTATAAGCCAGCTTGGCTTGCTGCGTCAAAAAATTCGTCCAAGCTCCATATTCCATCGGTAATAACGTGTCCCGGGTTCCCTTCAACAAGGCTCCAGTCGACGTAGAATGATACTCCAGTGAAGCCCATACTCTTTATTTTTTGGAACACATCAAGCCAAAGCCCTGGGACTGGGAGGCGAAATGGGTGGAATTCCCCAGAAAAAATCATCAGCCGCTCTCCGCGTACTATAATGGAATGCTGGTCCCATGTCACCTATCCGCAGGGCGTCAGCAAAATAGTACGACTAGGGTGATGCTAGGCCCACTAGATCTTGTAGCCCATTGTTTTCGGGTTGACTCTGGCTGTTGATAGAGGCCAACACCAATGTTGTAACTACAGAGAGTAGGGTAAAATATATTGACGTCTTGAAAAACATCTTTTCAGAGGTGGTGATCTGACCCGTCTTAGAATACTATGAGTTAGAATTCTTGCTGATGGGCACCTCACGGAATAACCAAGCGCGACAACAAAGCAAACAAAATTCTTAAGGGGACCATTTTCTCTGATTTTGTAGTTTGAGGTTCTCATTCATTTCCCCCGCATTGACAAAACCAACTCCGCAGACCCCATGCAGCAAGCAGGTGCCAGCTTTGATCCCATTGAAGGAAGATCTCGCCAATTAACCGGCGCATAGGCAAAAATGCGACCTGCAGATCTTTTCAGCAATTACATGCTAGACGATATGAACTACAAAATTCCTTCCCCTCCGAATTCCTCACGCTAACGAAAATCAGGCTAAATCAGATCGGTGGATTACCCCAGGTTTTACCGGGCATATGTATTACATCATGACTATATCATTCCAATCGCCATCCTATGCCTTATTTCGAGCCACTCGACATGAAATTCCTCTTCGACACACTCCGGTAAATATCAATTGTCAAATATCGGATCAAAAAAATGGCCGCCCACTTCAAGCCGCTCGTCCTGCACGCCCACGCCTCGGGTCCGAATCCGGTCAAGATCGCCATGGCACTTGAGGCACTCAATGTCCCATTTGAAGTAAAGCAGTGGGATTTTAGCGACAACCCCAAGACCGGCGTGAAGGGTACAGAGTTTCTCAAAATCAACGAGAACGGGCGCGTTCCGGCCCTCGAAGATCATAACACCGGTGTCGTCTCTTGGGAATCTGGGGCATGCATGAACTACGTCCGCCGCGTTTATGACACGGGTAATACCATCGGTCCGCCAGGCGAGTCGGCGCAAGATCTGGTAGATTTTGAAAAGTGGGAATATTTCCTGTTGTCGACGCTTGGTCCCATGAGTGGACAGACAAATTGGTTCAAGTTAGTCGCTCGCGGATTTGAATGAAATGCTCCGATGATGCTGACTATTTATTTCTTCAGACACTTCAACGCCCAGAAGAATGAAGATGCGCTACAGCGGTACACGGCGCAGACCTATCGCTGCTATGATGTTCTCGAGGGACAGTTGAAGAAGACTGGTGGTGAGAGCATTTTGCCTGGTCGTGTCACTGCCGTTGATTATCATTTCGAGCCTTGGCTTCGCTTGTACTCCTTCGCTGGTCTTTCGCTTGACAACTATCCTTTGATCAAGAAGTGGCTCGGGCTCATGGCGACACGTGAAGAAGTCCAGGAAGCGTACATCAAGGTTCAAGGCAAGAAATAGACAGTGCAAACTGAGAGCATGCTTGGGATGTACTTGAATTGAGGACTATAATCGGTTAGCCATCTGAGGAGGTTATAACAAATCCAAAATTAAATAGAACAATCAATTGTACAGCAATATCATGTTTGTATCTCATTTGTTTCACTCATTATACATCGGCCCACATATCTAAATTTTCAAATTCTCATTGCATCCTAGGTGGCTATATATATTTACTATCCACCCAATAAAACTTTTGGAACGTTAATAACGTATAACAGATACCCCTTTCCCTCGTGCGATTTGCCTGGCAGCTTCCCTCCACGCACGTTGATCTGCGGAGCCTGATGCACAAGTGTAGGCTCAGGCATCACCTTGTCCCGCTCAGTCCTCCACTTCACAAACTCGTCCTCTGCCACGTCGTCCCTAGCCTCCTTTTTTTGCTCCTCCCGCTCGCTGATTGTTACATACGGAAATGGGTTGCGTGTCACCTCTTCATTGGGAGGCGGATAATCATGCCCGGCGTAGAGCTTTGTAGGCGGGGGGAAATCAAGGATCTGCTTCATCGAGCGGAAAAGTTCCCGATGATTGCCACCTGGGAAATCGCATCGTTCACTGTGGACATCTGGGCGGGCTATACTGTCTCCGGTGAAGATATTGCCCTCTATTTTATACAGAATATGGTCCTGTGTATGTCCTGGGAGGTAGATGGCAATGCCAGTAAGCTCACCGATGTTGAATGTTTCGTCTTGCTCGAAGAGGTGGTCGAAAGCGTTGTAAAGTTCTTCTTTCGGGATGTGAAATTTGTGTGCAAAATGACTTTGCATGACTTTGACATTCTCACCCATGCAGATCTGTGCGTGTGTGTGTCCGCGGGACCAGAGAGTTTGTTGGATGTAGTAGACAGCCGAGAGATGGCCTCCGTGGATATGCGTCTCTAGCAACATCGTGACCGTATATCCGTTATCGAGAACACATTTGATGAGTTTATCCGCAGCCTCGGTGGTGATGAGAAAGCCTTCAGGTTTGTAATTCAGAGTTGGGTCGATGATGGCTGCCTCCTTTGTTTTAGGACAGGCTACCACATACTGCCAAGAACATGTGTTGGGCTCGAAGAAGGGGTGAATATTTGGTTGAATTCCGTTGGCCATGTCGAAGATGAGTTGAAGGGATGGCTTGCAACTTGGATGAAATTTTAATTATGTTTCCTATACTGTGGTGAGTGTGCCCAGGTGGCTGGTGAGAATTACGTATTTATAGATCATCAGTGCCACCAAACATAGGTCCGGTACTTTTGTATTCACAGACAACTCCAATTCACAATTCGACAGAAAGATTCGCGATTGTTTTAGTGTCAATGCTATTGTCCTCCGGCCCGCACATAATGTTATTCTGCAATAGTATCTCTCTTGGAGACAAGCCTTTTGGCTGCTGCGTTAATATCTTCTAGCTCAGATATGGGTTCATCTTGGCACCCTAGTGTGGCTTACTGGAATAATTACGTCTCAAACAACGTACTCGGATAGGACTCTTCCAAGAAATAGGCCGAAATAGTGGTTCAATCACGGCGACTACCGGTGCTCCAGTGCCGAACCCAACACCATCTCCATACTCTTTCAAACCCGTTCCTACTTCAAGGCCAACAGTATCTTTTCGCTCATGATGTTGATCCATTGTCAGATGATGAAATAATCCAGATTCCCCCGCGGGAAACCGCAACTACCAACCGGAAATGGAATTGCTGGGTTTAGGTGTTAACGCCCCTCTCACATTCACAAGCAAAAGGAAGTGGGGGATAGATATCTTGGGATAATCGCACTACTCCAGAAGACCCTCGTATAAGAACAGCCGTAAATTCGGATGCCCAACAGGACATACGAACTTGAGGTAATCTCCATATTCGGATCAAACACCGAGCAAGAAACGATTCACATTTTAAGCTATTTCTAATGCCAAAATATCCTATCCTATACCTTACGGCGCATTTTTATAACTTTAGCTTTTGCACCTATCAAGAGAGAGGAAATATCCGAAACAAGTTTCTAACCAAGAAGAGATCTGAGAAGAACATACAAATGACTCAACAAGGCTGCATAGGTGGTCAACTACGTTGTCGTAAAATTCGGTTATCTGGTTGTTACACTATTTTTGTTAAACAAATACTCTATATTCAACTACTGATTCACTACATAGACCAACTAGAGAGCTGTAGTCCTATAGCTCCCAGTGACTGCCATAATAGCATCTGACTACATATCACCGCCATAAATAATGTCCTTGTTCAGTCCGTGGATTTCCTCCTCCTGGTGCTCTGTGTCTTTGTTGAACGCATCTCACACCTATGTGAACATGGCCCTTTGCCTGCGATCTAGATGGCTCTATCGATAATATGCGATTTTATTGATCTTGTTGTTCATTTTTGCCATCTCTGCACGAATTTCGCGCATTTCCGTAAGAAAACTGACGCCACCTTCGTTAATAGGTATTCTCCGCCCAGCATCGTATTTTAGCGACAGAACCTCCTCATCCATTTTGTCCCCCAATGTGTAAGCACTGCTAGCCTCTGTTGCTCATCCTTCCTGTCCAACGCTTACCTTTATTCCTTGATCCAATCGTCCACAAGCCATGTCGCGCTATCCCGTCAACTGTGGCGTGATCGATCGATGTAGTGCGTGCGGGTATCCGAAGCATTGCCCTGACGCAATTATTCCTTGAAGCTCTTGGAAATGTAGGACAGAGTTGAGCAGTAGACCAAACCAGAAAGCCGTCAGTCGGGAAAAGGGGGTTGGGGGTGCAGATCACTAGAGGTGATTTGAGGCGCAACAAAAGACAAAAAGCATTGAAGCCACCAGCTTATCGTTCAACGATCTAGCTCGTGGTGAAGCCAATATGACACGCTTTAGAATACTGCCCTGGGAAAGATGTCACTCAAGCTCTCCGAGCTCATTGCGAAACCTGTGATGCTTTAGTTAGTTTTCAGCACAGCCCGGGTAGGTGAAAGTGGCGTCCACTTCTAATCGGGCTAGGTCACTGCACTACATCAGCTCTGCTAGTCCATGAGACACCCCTTATAAGCTTCATCAGAATGCTCGTAATTTCGACCATACTCAGAGTTTGATGTGTCCGCATGCAGGGAGGATAGATGAGGATTTCGGATTCTGGGATATTCTCTGAATTGTGAAGAGAGTGTCTAGCGGGGATGCTGGGACTTACCCAGAACACCGAGCAACAACAAACTGAGATGTTCTTGGTACCGATCTAGGGACGCTTTTTTAGTTCTTGTTTGAAATGATGAAGAGAAGATGTTCTTACTCACCCCCATATATTCCGCGGGACTCGCCACGGAGCCCCAAGCCCAGCCATGACTTTGTTGGTGAGTTTACACATGAGGTCTTTGTTTGATTTGAGTGCGGACCTGTGGAGACTTCGACAACTCGGTAATGTTGATATCTTTCCGGTGCATAGGTGAGGCGCGGGCTTCTCCTTACGCTATGCCATGTGGGCTATGGGATATAGTGGTCGAGGGGGTCGTGGAGAGGAGGAAGAGAGAGGAGGAAGAAAGATGGCCGGGGCTTGTACCCCCTCGACCTATGTACTGACCTAAAGTGGGCACCTGGCTTGCACCTTGCCTAAGCAACAGACATCACAAAGATCGACATGATTCATCATCACTTTACGTCCATATATAGATCTATCAAATTGGTCACGGAGAGAATTTATGCGAAGATAAAATTGAATAAATGAGTGGTAAGGACAGTGAAAATACGACCTTGGTGCTTTCTAAGCTATCTACCACATAAGATTTCCAGGTATGAAAATAGACCGGCAAATAGTCGTACATAGATACCAGGGACTTGAAACTTTGTCTGCAAAATGATGTCTTGGACTTTCTTTCTAGCCCATGGAAATGTCTTTCAAATCTGCCTGTTTAGTGCTAGCAATTCCCATTGTTTTGTTATGCAACCGTTCTTGCAGTCGCAAACTTCTTCACACATACAAAGACATCCCAGGTAAGAGAGATTGTCCATAGGTATGGATTGCGAAGTTTTGCTTCGCGAGCATTCTGACTGATTAGAAATACATAGGCGATAGTGACGACATATGCGGTGAGCGTTTTCCAATAGAACCGTCGCTGACAGACCATTGATCAATTTCGCTCTGGTCACTTGGGACGTCCCATCGAGCGGTTTGTAGATCAAGGGTATGGGCAGTTTGGTTGAATCGGCATTGCAAGCTCTTCACGGCCTTGCATCCGGGCTTCTGGCATAGGTGGCCCATGTAGCATTTGATTGATCGACAAGCGCCGGCCCGAGTGCAAGGGTGTTGGAGGAGCATGTATCGCAGCACCTCAATGATCACGTTAGAGACATCGCTGTGGTCATATATGCAGCTCATGTCACCACATTCTCCCGACAGATGGTAGCTATTGCAAACTTTGTGTTCCTTGGTTCGTGCATGGTATTCATCAAAAGCTTCGGGTGACGGGTGAGGATAGTATGGGTCGATACGGTCCCCATCTTTATTGACTGGAATGAATTCTTCTGTTTTGATACTCGGCAAGGGGAGCATTGATCTAAGGAAATCCTCGGAGCGACCGACAACTGTGGGAGAAGACCACATCTGTTTAGGCGAATCACTTGCACCTGAGCCTGCACCTGAGCCTGCACCTGAGTGTTTAGGCGACAGCTGATGATTCAGTGACTGGTTCGGCATAACATGTTGCTTATTGCAGGTGTTGCCGAACTTGCAGATACCCTAGGTCAGTGTCAGTCAACTACTTGTTCACAAGACCATTGTGAGTCTTAGGATAAATACCTTTTGGAAGTGCTTGCAGACTGGTTTGGCGATATTTGAACCATTTGTGCCATTTGAACCATTATAAAAGTGGTGTGCACCGTTTCCACCATTGAATTTGGCCGTAGTCGGAGAAGACGCAGCCGGGCCAGTGGGCGGCTTGCTGTTAAGTAGAGGAGTAGACATGAATACCGAGGGCAATTCTTTGATAGGTAGATCCAAGGCCTCGAATTCACGATGGAAACCGGCAGCTTTGATGAGGGTGATACGGTCACTTCTGCCTCTATAGGGCGTCAGCAGGGAGCCGTATCCAGTATCGTGGCAACCAGCGAAATAGATATGGCGGCATTGGTTGAGATCCACGAAGAGACGGAACATTTCTTGATTTCGCAGCACATATCAGTATAATAATAAGACTATTCATTCCAAATTGGTCATTACCTCTGATTTTGAAATCACTGCCTTCCTTCTTCTCTGCAGCATCGACATAGTCGAAGAGCTCCTGAGCACGGGTAAACGATGAAGTGAATGGTGACATAGATCGAGCCTCGTGGCCCATAAGTCCAGCTCGAGCTAGCGCCTTTGACAAACCGAGAACGTTCGCATAGACACGAACCATGATCCGACACTGTTCTGCCTGCATTCCCATTGTCGAATGCATAAGCTCTTTGACAGAGTCGCTCAGCTCGCGGGCTGCATTAATGCCACCTTCGCTGCCATGCCTCAGGAAATGCTCTTTAAACTGAAGAGGGGAGTTAGTCGACCGATTTGAAACCGAGGAAAGCAAAACAGTCTCACCAGATATCCGTCTCCGTCTACAAGGACAAGAACAAAAGGGTTACGGTCCTGGTCGATTGTTAGTTTTCTAGCTCTCGGGCTTTCAGTAAGTTTGTTAACTCCTACCTGGCCTCTAGCCTGTCTTTTGTATTTCTCTCGGCCTTCTTTAACCTCTTCGTAGTCACTTTTGAGCGAGCTGTAGTCGTCCAACAAGTTCTTAAACTGGCTAAGTAGATCCTGCAGATTGTCATGTTGCTTTTGTTGCTCTCGCGATAAGGACACTAGATGCCCGTTCAAGGAATCTATATCAGAATCCCTCAGCATCTTGTCGGAGGTACCGGGACGGCATGTGCCAGTCCCACAAGCCAAGTTGATTCAACGCCAGCTGCCAGCATTCGATTGGGATTTGGAAGAAGAAGAAACCAATTTTCCAAGCTGTGAGGTGAGATGAAGAGCTATGGTGGGGAAATTTGTTTGTCTGTTTGGCTTGTTGGGCGGTCAATGGCCGTTAGGCATCAGGTGATCCCTCCAGGGCTGAACGGGACAATACAACACGCTAGTCGTGTCACGTGCGAACTTTCCCCATAAAGATACCAAAAGTGGACTAGCGTTAACGCGACCCATCTATTTTGGCTATGTAGTATGTTGCAGAACTCTTTTGGGAGCATATGTGAAGTTTCAAATATTGAGTGAGACCCTGTTGACGCACTGAAAAGAATTGTGGATAGATCATATTATATATATGAGCACAAAAAGGCAAGCATTAACTCTCTTTAGTTAGGCGTAGACTAGATGAAAAAAACTATCCCCCGTCATTCTGCGATTATTATTGTCAAATTTAAGTTGTCCAGAACTTTCGACGCTTAGAGTCCCTAATAGTGAGCACCCCCTAGTAGTGAGCACCTATTTAATTCAACTCTGAAAAAGAGTACAACGTTAATTGCCATGATATGCCAAAGGATGCTTTGCAGGCAGTGCACCAAAATAGCAGTAACTTTGTGTAGCCAGGTGTGATAGCGCTAATGTACCAAGCAGTATAGCTTCCATACATTAAATACACATGCCGCAGTACATAGAATAGCCCCCATATGTGAAACACTTACCCATTTATTACAAACAATCCCTAATCAAGCGCCATATCTATGTACATAAGTCGCAAACGGAAGTGAACATCATGTTTTAAAACAATCTCCTATTCTGGGCGTTGCTCCTTGAAATATATTTTTCTTGCCTCTAGTATTCGGAAGTAGAAGGCACTTGTTCAAAGTAGATAAAGAAGAAACGGGAAGGGGAAGCGATGCCAGTAGAGATGAGTTCCTTTTTCAATGTGAGGAGATAGGAGAAGCAAACACACGACAAGGACAAGAGAAAATTCAGGCAACTATTTCAAGTAACTTGTAGACAACATGTGCAGCTTCACGGTCATGTGACTCCTTGTCGACGTGTTGGATGATACCAAACTAGACAAACCCTGCTGGGGCATTTTACTATTCTCCCACCTTGGTTCTTTTTTTTTGCTTTCTTTTTGCTTTTTTACCTTCCCAATTTCTGTCAAGACTCGATCATCCACATCCGAGCCAATTTCCCGGATCTTTGAACATGGCGGTTCCATGCAATATCCGGGGCTCAGCTTCCCAGCTCTTCTACCAGGACCATCAATCTGCTCAATACCAAGCCCTCCTAGCCATCACCGAGCTACCACATCCAGACCGCTCCATTCTGGGCGCATTTCTTATAGATGCGAAGGATCCTCGGAAAGCAGCGCGCTATTTTTTGCGGGAAACATTAATCGATGGCACCTCACGATCCGTCCGAACAAGGACGATTTGGGAGTTTCTCTCAGATTGGAAAAATTTGGTCAGCCTATGTAAGTATTACGTGATTATATCCAACCAAGCCCCTCTCACTTCTGTTCCTGACCTGTGGGCGCTTAGTTCGGCCTATCACAGCAACAGGACTGTGTGCTGAGACCGAGCGGCTGGTGTATGACAGAGACGGCGGGCGCTGTTGTGTCACACAAGCCTGCTTCAATTCGCCAGCGGATTCTGACCTGCGCTTTGTGCACATCGTTTTGCCGCGGGTGTTCATGAATCCCGATCTAGTTGAGGGGGTACGTATGTCCATTCCATATCACAGGGGCTTTTTTAACACTAGCATACAAGGGCCGCCTATCTGAAATGCTCTACGCTTTTTTGTCCAAGGATTCTATAGAGTCTTTCCGGTCGATCCTTTCCTTGGACACACAGAAAACGGAGAGACTTGATAACCTCTGCCTGTTATCGGTCCCTGCGTTCAAGCTTGTAGAGGCCGGCGAGGTATGGTTTGAAACTATGAGCTGGGATCAGCGCAACTCACCCCACAGACAGAGTGTAAGTCTCTATCAAACAATTTATACAAGTGAATACTGACTTAGGCGCAAGTATATCATCAACACCAACCCATACAGGTACACAACTCTGAGCGAAATGCCCATTGCTTCATCAGCTGAGATGATGCTTATTGAGGATAAGACCAATAATCAAACCCCAGTCCCCCACAAGGATCTTTTTGGGCTTCATGCTCTGTTTTCCAACTCACTAGCTTGGATAGAGGTAAAGAGGGAGATGATACAACAGTCGGATCGGCCTAGTAGGTTTGAACCTTGTTTTTCCAGAATAATTTCTGATAGCTCTCAGGCGCACAAAGTTTTGGATTCCCGTCACTGTCCCAACTACTATTTTGCACTATCAAACCAATATAGATCACTCTGCCTTCTTTTTTTCGAGCCACAGCTTATGAAAGGCTTCTCTCTGCTGGTTCCTATATCTATGGAAAATCTCGATCCCCAACAGTCCAACGGTTGCCTTTGGGGCTTTACTTGCGAAAGGAACAACCATAAGGAGCAATTCAATGTCGGACTGAAGCTCACGCGCTTGGCATGGTGGAAAGATTCACTCAAATACCAGCGCCGAGGGCAATTGATGTCTTGGAAACCTCTGATGCTGCGTACTTGCTCATGACACGAGTCCCAGGCCGCCCAATAGGCCAGTTGCTCGATACAATGACCGACAAGCAAGTGCACAACGTTGTAGCTGACCTCAAACGTTATGTTGCCGAGCTGCGAGCGATCCCCAACCAAGTCAGCAAGTTTCAAATATGCAACTCTGAAGGTGGCGGGATCTTGGACTGGCGCATCCGTGACAGCCAATCAGAGGAATTGCGCTTCGAAACAGAGACCGACTTCCACAACCATCTAACTCGAAAGATGACTGACGATACTCGAAGGCAAGCGGCCAAGTCGCATACCATTCCACATGCAATTGTCTTTACGCATAGCGACTTAAATCCTAGAAACATTCTCGCTGAAAATGGCAGGATTACTGGCATTGTCGATTGGGAGAATGCAGGCTTTTTCCCGGAGTACTGGGAGTATACCAAGACGCATTACACAGTTCGACATGTGATTCGATGGCTGGCTGACGTGGTAGACCAAACTTTTGAGGGTTACCGGGACGAGCTGTATGTGGATAATATGCTGTCTGATTTAGCAGGTCCCTTCTAAGGCTGAAATAAATCTCCCGACTCTCCTAGATAGCAGATATCAGGTTTTCAATTCTCTTGGGATACATGTAGGATCCACAGCGTGAGAGGATCATAACTTAGGTAGAGAGAGTATCAGAGTACCAAAGAGAAAGTCTACGAGCCCAATTACAACACGAAGGTGACCGGAGGAGAAAACATAGCAACGATATACCCCCTCTAGAATTCAATTTGATGTAGTTACTAAACGGCCCTCTGATCACTAAAATTCACCTGTGGCAAGCAAACAATTCATCTCTTGTGACCTCAACTGAAACCCCATCCATAGAGTCTTCAATTCATTCCAGAGTTCTCCACCTGGGCGCTCTTGCGACCCTGTTCGACACTCAACTTGTGAAGACTAGCCCGCTTGACCAACTCCACTTCGATCAAGGAAATTTCCTGCGGAAGCACGATTATTCCCTTTTTTTGGAGCGCAATGATAGCATCCTTGACCCAGACTCGGCAGGAAAATGGCTCGCCGGTGTTGGGGGAGTGGGAGTAGTCGTAGGGGACCACGTCCAGGATACCTTTGCAGGCTCCAAAGGTGCTAGGGCTGATGGAACTGATCTTGTAAGCCAAGATGAGGCTCATGGAGAAGGGGACTTTGTTCGATGAGTTGGGCTTGACGTTCCAGCCGCCGCTTTCGTTGGTCGCATGCCAAACATCTCCCAACGGAGTGGGGGTCGGAATGAACAAGCCCCAGTGGAAGCCGACGCCCGCGCCTCGGCTGCTGACCAGGACATAGATTGAATATTTCTCCTACTGGGCCGCAAACTCGGAGCTTGGTGGATGAGGCATTCTAGAGAATGAAGGCAAATGTGTCTTACAAGGGTGCTGAGTGTAGAGTGATCTGGTAGAGGGAATATGCGATGGGTCAAAAGAGGAGGCTTTAGAGCTTGGATACCACGAGAAAGGCTAGGGGGAAAAGGATAGAATTGAAGAACCTGGGAGGCAGGAATGATGCAGGACTCGGGTCTCTTTTATAGACGAAAGAGAGCGACTGCCTAGGAGCGACCTTGTTGCCCATCTCACATCACCATAGGTGTGTCTTAATGTGATGAAAAGGAAAGCATAAGCTGGAAGCTGCAATCTTCCAAGCAAATCTAAGGGCTACGTGAGGCCCTATAGAGACAGCATACAGGTTGGGTTTGAAACCAGAGGGGCAGTGAACTCCCCATTCAAGTCAGTGTATTATCCAACACAGGTGCTATTCGTTCATGCTAGCACCTTCCGTGATGTTTTTTATTATACTACACAGGAATGTAGTGAGACCAAAATTAATCATACATGTATCACTCACCGATGTATATATACTTCGGCGCTTTAACAAACACTTAGATCTTATATCTGAACTAATTAAGGCTCGGCTCTATGTCTAAATCACAATTGATTGGATGCGGTGTTTCCCATATGACTGGCACCTTGAGTCGGTCTTATCAACTATAATCCATTGGGCACAATGTCGAGCCCATTTATCAGGACATAAATTGTCGAAGTAGCGCTGTTGGTGATATCAAGGATGTAATTTTAGTTGAAAATGTCGCTGCAAAACCCAGCTTTCCTCAAGATGTACGTGTAATCACAAACAATAACCCCCTTCTGCCATCTCAGAATTTCATTGATTTGGTAGTGAAATTTTGAAGAAAGAAGAAAACAAACTTATTGGATGAGGCGTTGGTTATATGGAACGTATTTGCGGCTAGCACCAGGGGGTTGGATTTCCACTGGGTAAAAGGTGAACGTCTCCTAAATCTACCCGCAAAAGAAATTTTACCTAATATAATAGTTTTCATTCAAAGAAAAGTATGGTTAGTTAGCTATGGGGAATTCCGCATGATATAATTGAGGATTTTCACAAGTAGTCCAATCACTCTACGAACCCTATATGCATCCTCCGAGGCCACAGGTTTAGCCCCACGAAAAACCGGATATCTATAGCACCAGAACCTTAGCTATAGCTCAATGGAAACCAGAGAATCCCTAAATCATTGTCTTACACAGGAAGGTTTGCCCTTTGCCCACTTCCCGAGCTTCTTTTAACCTGACAACTTTTGTTTCAACCAGCGGCCGAAGCTTGTTGGGATATATCAATACGAGGCTGTCTATCCATGGACGGGGTTCTATAGCCAACAATTTGTCAATTATACACTGATATAGATAACTATATACCATATACCACCACACAGGATCGTCCACGGGTGCATACATCGATATAGTCACAGGGAACTGAGACCCCCACTGTGCCACCTAGTCTATGAGCAACACATATCCAACAACTGAGTTTCAAGTTAATCGTGCCACAGCCTACCCGGTGTTGGTGGGCCCCAGCCGATAACAAATTCTCACCTGATCATAAATAGCAAAATCAAGTATCTTTTGTATGGTAACTCCATACGAAAGATACTTACAGGCCAAAAAATCGTAACCTCAATTTTCTCAAGCCTTAGACCAGTCAGGGAGAATATAAGGTATATAAAGTGTAAGTAAAGACTTATTAATTATGTTTAAAGTAAGAGAATGATTAAATTTTTAAACACAATATTTAATATATGGTGGTTTTTAAGACGCTCTTTACACATTTACGTAGAATTTGTAGAACTAATCCTAGTATTAGATGAATAGAAACTGGCTTAACTATATAAGATGTTACTTATTTTCTTTTTTTACTTAAACTGGTCTAAGGGTTGAAAAAATTGAGGTTACGATTTTTGGTCTATAAGTATCTTTTATACTTAATTTTGCTATTTGTGATCAGGTGAGAATTTGTTATCGGCTGGGGCCTACCAACACCGGGTAGGCTGTGGCACGATTACCTATATATAGTATAGGGGTTTGCTGAATAGACCAATCACATGACAAATATCAAGGCAAAGGCGGAAGCATCCGCAGACCCACAAATTCTTCCACAACGCGTAGAATCGATTCAGTCGAATCAACAAATCCAAAATATCCCATCTTTTTGGCTTTGGTCGTGCTGTGTGTTGACTCCCAGTCAGCCCTGTTGACATTTCAAGATAGGTTTCTCACTTACCTCAAACAAACCGAATAATTCATAGCGATAGCAATGTCAGTAAAGCCAAAGACGCGGTCAATATCCCGAAACTCCTTTTCGTCCAGCCCACTCTTCTCCGCAATCTCCGCCCACGCCTTTTGAACCTCTGGCCTCTTCGCCCAACTCGCAAGTCTAAAACGGTACCGGAACGCGCCGGGCGGACCATAACCACGCGGTGGATCATGTGGCATGATCACGGTCTCATATGAAGCTTCGTCGCTTGTATCGGGACCCGTCCAAGGCATTTGGAACCGCTCAGCGAGCTTTGGCCAAAACTTCTCCCATGTGAAGAGGCAATCGTCGGACGCATTGAAGCTCTCGTCTTTGGCCTGCTCCGTCAGCACGATCCACTCTGCGAGGTATCCATTCGCCCGTGCGCTTGAGATGGCCACAACTGCCTCCCACGCCTTGATGTCGCTGGGGTATTCCAGAGGCTGGTTGAGATATTTCTGGACCGTGGCGTAGATCGCCAAGGGGTAACACAGGTTCATGGCGGCATCTGGCACTGCTCCGGCAATGTGCGACGGTCGGGTAGTGTTCCAGCCGATTTGATGTTTCTCGGCGAAGGCTTTCAGATAGTCTTCCTGCTCGTAGTAGAAGTTGAGCCCGCCCGGGACGCGAGGATCTGATTCCTCTTGTGGGCTGCTCGTAGGACCGAGATGCATACCATAATACTTGCCGCCTAGCTGTAACAACACACGCTTTGGGATTGTGTTGTTCAATTCCAGGCCGTCAAGGAAGTTGAAGAGCAGTTTTTCTAGTCGAGTTTTGTTTGGCTAAGAATGACTTTGAATCATGTCGCATGGATAGTCACTTACTGTTCACAACTACCAACTCGTCTGTACTCCAAACCGCTTCCCCGTCCTTCGGAGTCGGTTGGGCATAGGCAAAAAAGAAGACGTAATCTGCGCGAACCCCTCTCTTAGCCAATTCTGCTGCGATATTTTCCGGTGACTGTAATAAATCAAGTGAGATATGCTCGACATGCTCGGGCCATGAGCCATGCGGCGGCCTTCTTGACAGAGCGTAAATCTTCTGCCACCGACGAGGGTTTTCACACAGGACTTTGAGCTGATGATTGCCAGAAATACCATTGGCTCCCGTTACAATGGCTGTAAGGCGTTTGATATCTTTAGAAATTACTGGGAGGCCATGGTATATATCTCTAGACTGAATTTCTGACATGCTGAGTTGCTGCAAGTTTGTACTAAGGGTGGATGTGGCTTATCATGCAAGTTGGCCGTTTCCCCTCACTACTTATAGGCAATACCATTACCCTTGTTCCATGATTTCTAATCCCTTCTTCGATGATTTCTAATCAACTGTGATTTTACTTTCACCTTTCAATACTCTCAATCTCCCTTGAAATTCTCTTGAAATTTCCATTTTCATGGGGACAAACTCGAATCAGCAGAAAGAACCTCCATACATATCTGGCAATGTCCATGCCCATGGCCCTGTGCCGCAATATCCCAGGCATCTCGAACCTCATTTGATATGCAGAACTCTGAGGAGGTCGTCCATGTTGCTGTGCCTGAACTTGCATCGTACATGAAAGAATACCGGGAGTCCGGCAAGAAAAATGTGCCAATATCAATTTCCATCAGACTCAGCTTAGGCATATGTTGGGCAGCCCGCCCAGCAGCAAGAAATACCTCATCCATGTTTTTTATCAGTAGTTGGCGGAACTGACTTTGCTCTTGGTTGTCAGAGGCTTCCACAGAGTCATGTTGTGAGACGGGAGAGGAGTCTTTGTCCAATTTTAGACATCCATTCAAGGGACTGTACCCATCGGCAGGGGCATATGTACAGCTCGCAACAAATTTCCTAAGGGTTGGCCAGAACGGGGTAGTGTTGCTAGCATCTACCGGCCAGAATGATTCAGGACTGATCATAATTTGAAACAAGTCAACACTTTCCAGCTGCTGGGTCAGCTGGTACAAAGAAAGACACACAGAATTAGGGCCTGTCGTTAATGGCGTGGAGCAGTTCTCGGAATATGGTGGCTTTGCCTCGTATCTTAGTTGTAAATGTCGCAGGGAGCGAGGCCAGCTAATAACGGAAAAATCTAGTCTCTTTGTCAAAACCTCTTTTTTTGAAAGCACGAAAGCGCAATAAAGATGTTGGTATCACGAACCACTTCCAAGGCTATCAGTCATCTCAGTAGCCTTTTTCTCTTTGTCACGGAGCTTCGCGTTGATAGTTTCCAGTCGCGGTAGATGGATTACCATCACAGATACAGCACCCGGTGCAATATTGCGGAGAGCATCACAACCCATCACCTTGAGTGAAGTAATGCACTTGACATCAGGCAATGCTACCTTTTCCATCAGCTGCAGATAGGAACTTTCGTACCTTCGGTGTAGCAGCTCCTGCTCTGGGAAAGCATGGCCTCGTTGTTGCCGAGCACGGCGCGTAACCCAGTCCTCCTCCGATTGCCAGTCACTTGGAGATTTGGCATAGATCTGGAGTAGTACCTCGTACCCATCATAGTTTGGCCATGAGCTCAGACTTTCAAACAGACCTTTTATGGCTTGCGTGAATACCTTGTTGTTGCCATCCCGATCATCTTGATTTTCATATTGACTGCGAGCGGCAACGCTGTAGTCTGGGAGAATGATCTTGAAATACAGAGATCGGATGTAGAAATATCGACTGACAGAGTGGGGGGAGGCAACAATCCGACGGAAGTCTTCAAGACTCGCCGAATCGATATGTAGGTCGGCGAAGGTAAATGCCTCAGCGGCGACCTGCCATTGTCGACAGACACAAGCATATGCTGTTAGACTTTCTGGATGGTAGGAAAATATCTGCTCAAGAATTTCAAGTGGCAATGACCTAGCCATGGTGAATGATAAATGTTAATATCGCCAAGACAAGTTTGGGCTAATGCCCAAGACTTCAGGCAGAAAACGAAGATGTGGGGAACGCTAAGCCAATTTTGGTATGCAAGATGTTGAGTTGACACCGTGTCTGGGAACCCCATGGGCATGTGAATGTGAAGCAAAGAATTAAAGATCGCCAAGAAAAAGGTTGTACAGCTTTTGGTTCGTAGTACATAAACTTGGAAACCTCGGTCTTACAATGTGGGACTTACCTCGGGTGGCCCCCATGTTTATTTAAGCACCTGTTTCCCCCAGAGTTCGTCCTGACTGCCCAGCGTACTACATTCACAATGAGATATGTCCTCTTTTCTTTGAGCGCGTTGGTCTTCTATGCCATATTTTATTTCGCGTCGATCAACGGCCTCGATGTGTTAGGTCGCAAATGCATTGAATCCGGCCAGCTCCCGAGCATTGATGCACCTTTGCGCACAACCTACACGGGCATCGAGGGAGTCGATCGCGTACTATCCCTTTTGACCGTATTCTTCTACCCGACTCTCGATGGCCACAACCCTGGGCTGCTGCTTCACGGAGTTGCATTTAGTGGTACATTCGGCGCAAGCTGGACCCTGATTGTCTTGGAATCTTGGAGAAAGGGAAATGCGGGGACAATAGCCGCTTAGTACGTCATGCCCACTAACCCTCATCCTGGATATTGAATGAAGGAACAGGCTGACTGGTCGACTTAGTCCGACGATATTTGGCCTCATTGCTCAAGTATTGACTTTTGCCTTTGGCATCCCACTGGCATGCGGTCTTCAGCTAGGCTGCTCAGTCACTGCGCGCCGTCCTCACGCCGATAATATCCGTATTCCGCGATCAGTTCTCGCAGTTTTGCCATTGATCATTGTCGTCGGATACATGGTGCCGACCGCGGCGATGGCGCTGCCCGCTCCATCTGTGATTTCCGTGGACCTGAAGCAGATCGCGATTGCCATCTGGCATCCCTGGCCCGCGTACGTGTCTATTTTGACCACGGTTGCCTACTTTGCTCTATCTCCTTTCTTCTCGAACAACCACCGGGCATCTATGTCTAGCTTGCGCTGGGTCTATGCTTTTGCGTTTGCCAATGCATCTCTGTCGCACATTGTGTCATGGGTTGTCTCTTTGGCAACCGTTGTAGTGCCAGTTCTGTTTGAAGACCGTTACCTGGACTCCCTCCACCCGTCGCATGTTTTTTCGGTTCCTCTCCCTTGGTCTGGCTTGACGGTTGATAATGTTGGTGACGGTGTTCATGTCTTTCTCCGATGGGACTATATGATTGGGTCTGCAGGTGTTTTGATTTGGGCTACCTCGCTGTACACCATTGCTCACAAGCAACTCCTGAGCACTGTTTCTTGGCCCAATCTTTTACTCAAAATTGCGCTGTTGACTGTTCTTGCCGGTCCTGCAGGTGCTGCAGTGGAATTGATCTGGGAGAGAGATGAGCTAGTGTTTAGCGAGACCGGCGGTAGTAAGCAGCAGGTTTCGAAGGCCAAGAAGTCCACTTGATCAAGTATTGATTGAGCAGTGATGGAACTATTATCGTTTGAAACTATCAATGTTGACGAAATATTGCCGAATTCATACAGTGTTTTAGGGTATATGGGGATGAAGTCTTCGTTGTATCACAGTTTCAAAATCATACCCACGGGTATTAATTTCATGCGAATATAATTCACACCTTCATAAATCACAAAGACGCGGAGGGCTTCTTGTCCCCCATAATTTCATAGATCGCATTGATGTAAGCCTCGACATTCTCATTACCCAAGATTCGGGATCCCATTTTGTTCATGGTATAAGCAATCGTCATGCGACGATCCAGGTCCATGACCAGGAAGGATCCACCCCAACCTCCCCAGAAACAAATATTTCCTTCGGGGATAAAGGCGACAGCCTCCGGCGTCGGTAAATCAATCCCAAGCCCAAATCTGACATTCATGAACAAGACCAAATCGATACCGTTAATCCGTTCATGCATCATTTGGTCGATAGTCTTCAGCCCAAGATACTTCTTCCCATCGACCGTTCCTTTTAAGCTCACAATGGAACCAATCCGCGCCAGTGCACGCGCATTTCCAAACCCATTCAAGGCACCAATCTCAGCACCCCTAAACCCGGGGGTCTTGGTGACTTCGGTCGTGAATGTAATGTTGCCAAAAGTTTTACCAACAACGCTTTGCGGGTCAATCTTTGGCAAATCTGGAAGAGCACAGGGAATGATATCTGCCGTACGCGGCCAGTCCTCTTCAGCAACACCGAGACCGAAATCCGCACCCAACGGACCCGTGATCTCATCGACGATAACTTGCTTTAATGACTTGCCACTAATGCGTCGCACCAGCTCACCAATCAAATGTCCATGGCTTATAAGCTGGTATGCTGACACCTCTCCAGCCTTGTACCACGGAGCCTGCTCAGCGAGCATCTCGGTTGAACTTTTTGTGTCGTAAATAGACTCCATGGGGAGCCGCTTATCCCAGTGGGGTAGACCAGAGGAGTGGCTGAGGATGTGCCACACTCTTGTATCTTCTTTGCCGTTGGCTGCAAACTCTGGCCAGTACTTTGACACTTTCTCTTCGACGTCTAGCAGGCCGCGGTCAACGAGGATCAGCGCCGCCAGTGCACTGACTATCTTGCTGCATGAGAAAACGACAACTAGGGTGTCCTCTTCCCATGGGCGCGACTTGGCGGCGTCTGCATGACCGCCCCAGATATCAAGCACGCTCTTTCCGTCGATGTTGACACAAATTGAGGCACCAACTTCTTCTCCCGAGCTCAGTCTTTCTTGGAGAAGATCACGAACACGGTTGAATGCGGGGTCACAGGGGCCATTTGTGACAGCCATTTTAACAGTCACGACTTTGGTTCTTGGTGTATAGTGAAAGGACGTATGTATTCGGAGCTTTCTCGTCAGTTTCAACTACTATGCACAATCAATATAGCGGTGAGGGGGTTTCCAAAAAAAAAAAAAAAAGCTGGCGCCTGCATGTAAGGCGCATGTAAGGTTATAAGTCGTTTGTGTGATCTTCAGCTTGCTTACTGTGTGGACCTCGGGACATCAAAGATTGAGTCAGTGATTTTGTCACTGGGAGTAGAGAACGTGATCGACACCCACTCAAAATATATATATCTTCACCCTGCATATCTATGCACTAAAATTATACGTCAAAACTCTGCAATTGATGCTATTTTCTATGTTCGCATATATCTAAATGAATTTCTAAAAAGAACTCAAGAAAGCGCTGGAGTGGTCTTGTATATATCGTCCCAAACATCACCCTGGGCAAAATGGACCTATATCGCGAAGGACAGAGATCACCTGAGTGGTTGACTGTTTTTGTTTGAGTAAATAAAACAGAATATCCTTTTCACAAGATTTAATACGAAAATGAATGGATTCCTAGGTGTAACATTCCTCTCAACTTATATTCTGGAGGTAGCTCATTAATACAATCGCCGTGGAACTTTGCCCCTATACTGTCGCTACTATAGGGCCCATACCACTTGTCGACTTGGAATGTTTCTCGGATTATGTATCTGTTCTCTTTTATCGTGTTAATATGGTGGAAAATACTGTGCAAAATGCATATCTAGTCGACTCTCATCATTCATCAACATCCTCCCTCTGTACAAACGGTGTGTTTACACCATAATTTACCCTACATAAACATTATCATCTGCACACATATTACGTACGCTTGAACTTTTAGTTATTCCTAATCTCAATTACCCCTTCTAGATCCAGCTTTTCAATTCTCGAGGATGCATGGTGGCACTCACTCCTAGGGCCCAAGCTGGGTACCCGCGTCGGTCTCGCTTCTTTCTCCTACAGGAATATCCATATAGAGCTATCCCAGGGTAGAAGATGCCCTCACTTATATAAGGATCAAAATAAATGCAACGTGACTTGACCACTAGCGCGCTTCGATGTAGTCAACCGGCCCGGTCACTTCCTCAAACCCCCTAACTCTGCATCAAGCATATGCATGGCAATCGGAAGCTTTCTGGATATCTCAAAAAATGTATACCAGTCGGGAAATTCCTATCCCGTTGATCTTTCGTATCACGCGCGATATGTTAATCCAAAAATCACTGGTTGTCTCGTATGACATACGAGGCTTGTCTAGTAGCTCTGAAAGAATTCCCCTTGGCAATGCGTCTAGACAATTTCGGGTCTAGTGTGGTGGAACTACCCTGCCGTCAACCTTATATAGAGGGCGCGCCAAAGCAACCTCAGAACGGCCGTGCTCCGGCCCAAGCCGCCTGGAAAAATATCCCCATCATGTCCACTAATAAGATCACTCCTGATTATGGGGAAATTTTGGCTCCTAAATGTGGAGGGGTGTACTTCATTTCCACCAACTGGTGCCGGATCAAGTAACGATATTCGTTTTCTTGAAATCCTGAAACTCCGATAGTGGAAATAATTGTATCGGTGCCCCCGGGTTTCTGGGTGCAGTTTCCGCTTTGGTCAACAGCAATGCGATATCAGGTCTCATATCCCGTCATTTGACGAACCAAACATGATAACCTAGGGACTATCTTCTCAATGGACCCTACAGTAGGACGGACTAGTGATCGCGTGACCAGCTTATAAATCTTCTCTGTAGAGAAAATTATTCTATCTGAGCTGAACAGCATCTTTCATAATTCTCAAAACCACTGGGTATATTATAGGATGGAAAGCTCATATAATGCACGTCGCTTTTTACAATCAAGTGTATCGCGTATCTGACCGGCCCGGCTGAAGGCACATATTTTTAGAACCGCACTGGTTGGTAATATAAGGATGGATGTGGCTATGCCGTTCCCGCGCGGCTGGTGATGTGGGGAGTTGGAAACTTCGAAACATCTAGCGCTGACATGATCATCGTACTGCTGAAGTGATTTTCAGGCTTACCATTTACTTGTTCAGGTAGGTGATAGCATGCCTGCCATGATAGTACTGCAAACCATCTGTTGATTTTTCACCTATTCTAGTGAGTGGTCTCATATCCAACTATATTGGGATCATCGATATGAAGATTAGAATCATATATCAAGCACATCTTGACCATGACAATCTTTTTTAACATTCATATCTTCTGTTGGAATATTGGTTCTTTCGGTCCATCTTCACTTCAAGATGAGAGTCCTAGAATTTGGCATTTTGGCTCATCTTGCCATCTCGGTGAGCAGTCTGACTGTGGGCCGGAACTCCTTGGTCAAGCCTCGAGCTGAACCGCTTCCTTCTGCCTCGGCACCCCCTTCGTCTGCCCCTACTGGAGATGCTTGGAAGACTATGCAATGCTCCCAAGTCCAGGGTGACTGGGAGACTGAATGGGAAGACGCAAATGCAGAGGCTGCCTGGAATACCACCATTGCCGCTTGGGAGGAGCAGAAACCGGGCAATATGAGCCTATCCTTGTATTTCAGCACATATCTTCAAGGGCCTAGCGGCATGCGATGCACCGACATCGGCACTGAAAACCGTTGCTCCCAACCTGTGCAATGCAATGATGCTGACATTCCAGCCGGGTAAGTCACATCATATGTTTCCTGTCCTACATTATCGCTAATGACGAGACAGGGCCCTGATTTTGAATGGTTTTACGGGTCTCCATCAAGTATGCCACCACTCCTTTGGCCATTGCTTCCAGTTAAACGTACTGATTACTTGTCTAGCTCCACGCATCGGCTTTCCAGGCTATCGGGAATGTCCAGGCTGGTGCGTCGAACGATATTGGCACCTTCACTTCCACCTTCTCCCCTCAGCCTAAAGATGATGGGGCCCTCATCAAAAACATTATCGATTCTGTCACGTTGGTGATTAGTATTGGTGCATCTGTGGTATTCAATGTCGGTCTGTTAATTACTCCCTTCAGCCCCAAATCTAATACCATCTGAGATCTAACCTTCATCCACTAGCCCTCCAGCAGATGGAGAATGTAATTGCTAAAGCCCTGATAACCGACGCGGTGGCCATTTCCGTGAGTTCAACCGGTTCCTTTTACAAGACGAATATGAAAGGGTAAGACTCCTTCTCCTCGCTTCAAATACAGCTTAGCCTGACAAATTGAAAAGTGCGATAGAGGGACTCCAAGCCCAAAACACTATCGATTCTTTCCTAGGTCAGACCATGACCGCCTGGAAGAACATTGAGTCGGATTATCTTACCTCCATATTCTCTGCAAACAACACTGACACCCATACTCTTTATACCATGATTAACAATGGTGCTATGGGTGCAGTAATGGATACTATTGATCTCACCCACACGAGCACCGATGTTGAAAAGATCCTCTATGGTCAGATGATCCCGTACGCATGGAGTGTTTCTCAGGACGAGACGCGTCCTTTCATCTGGTAAGTTAGTTCAAAAAGTGAATTTATTTTTGCCTGGCTTCAGAAAAAGCTGATTCACACCGGCGACTAAAGGCAGAGCCCAGACGACTGTGACGAGAACACCCAGTCCGTTCCCCAGGATTCCAGACTCTTCGTTCCCGACGGGCAAGCGGTCAAGATCAATGTCTGTTATAAAGGCAAGATGCATTATTTGCTGAACGCTAAAGAAATCAAGGGGAGTGGTTTCCGTGCTAGCACTCTTCCTGGTGGAGACCATGATACTCTGGATGGAACAAAATGGGGTGGAATCACCATCGAGGACATTGTTGCAAGTAGCGTGGATGGATGGACCAACAACAACAAGCAGAATGGCTACCCGCGTCCTGATTCCCAGGCCATCGTGGCTAGCTTCGGCGGGGATGATGTCCCAAGTGTTCGAACTCCTGGGTTCTTCAATTTGCCTGTTTGTGAAAATGCAAGCGTTATCGCCGACATCATGTCTAATGGTGATGGTAACTCACCATATTGGCCCTGTCCCAACCCTGATGGATACACTAGCACTGGTACCAATATTGTAAGTGTGCTGCCTGCTGTCACTTCGTTCCGCGACTAATTCAGACAATAGCATGTTAGCAGCGGCTGTATTGTGATCAATGAATCAAAGCGCTGCGAGACCTGGGGTGGAGCATACAGTAAGTCGCATGGGTTCCCTTCATTGGGGAGCTAAGCTGATAGTACTAGACGTTGCGGATCAAAATACTGCTAATAGCACCGCGATTATTTATGCCATGTTCAACGGTGGCAATACTCTTGGTCAAGTGCGTCCTGATTGCAAGCTCGAGGCAACATGGCCTCGCGACTATGGTGATCTGGACTTCACCGATAACTGTCTCAGGGATCGCAGCGGGGAGTACAGCCAGTGCTGTAGTGCCGCGACGAGCACAACTGACCTTGTCGACAACCCATATGGTCCGTCATGAGACGGTGGGTCAAAATGTGGATCGATATATGGGATCAAGGTTTGATTAAAATTCATTCAACATTTGATTCCGCCACTTTCCAATTGACGTGTCTAAGTGCTGGTCGACCATGTGGTGATCATTGTAAAGATCGGTGGTTAGTCGTGTGATCTCATGCGTTTTATGTCGTATGACTTTGATAGAGATAGTGTGCCCCTTTCCCTATCTACTCCTTCCTACGGCCTTTTTTTACTAGCTACTGTAGGTAATCGACTGTATTTTATCTCCGGCTTGCTTACTTCATCCTCTATGGTCCTTACAGGGGGTGTGGTTGGCCAATGGCAAGATTGTTGCATAGAGACATGGCTATAATTGAGGCCTATCTCGATCCCCTAGCAATACTAGTCTTTGGGGTTCACTCCAGATATATGTATATGATGTTCAACTACATGGAGAAACAAGTTGTGTGGTATTAAGTAATATGTTCATTCCGTGGCATGTACAACACCTGTCAAAGGCACAAGGTGTAAATAGTAAGTCAATAAATACATAGAAAAAAGTATACAAAATGAACACATCCGCTGCAATGTCGTGCAAATAAAAATCACAACTATACCGCGATTCCCTCCTTCATCCATCATATATTTATTCCGACTTCACTGGCGCAGTGGTAGGCTCATGGCGTTTCTCAAGAGGCACGTCTGACGAGGAAGAGTAAGACACAGCCTCACCAGCTACAACCCGCTCCTGGGCATACTCCTCATCGGCTTTCCAGAAGTCTGCCTTTCCATGAAGAGCACGTTTAACCCAGGGAGGGAGCAAACCGCCCTTGATCTTCCAAGTCCAAGGATCAGACTCATCCTTGTTGGGTGGAACAATGCGACCACCGGAGATCTTGTCAAGGGACCAGGCAAAGCCATTGAGGGTGATGTAGCTGAGAATACCTGCGATCAGACCGTAGGCAATGCTGTATGTGAACGGCATAATGGCGATAGTGAGGAATGCGGGGATCGCATCACCGTAGTACCGCCAGTTGATATCGGCGGCAGCCTTGGCCATCATAGCACCGACAATCACGAGCGTGCAACCAGTAGCCCAAGGTGGAATGGAAGCAAAAATTGGGGCGAAGAACACCGCGATGAAGAATGCAATGCCAGTCACGCAGGATGTCAGGCCTGTTTTGCCGCCTTCGGAAATACCGGCGCCAGACTCGACGAATGCTGTGACGGGAGGACTGCCGAGAAGGGATCCGATCGAGATGGAAATCGCATCAACCATGTAGGCTATGGCGCTGCCCTCGAAATCCTGGGTCTCTTCGTTGATCACGCCGGCGAATCGGGCCATAGAGTACATTGTGCCTGTGGTATCCAGAATATCGACATACTGCAATAAAAAAAAAAAAGTTAGTGTTAAACCTCTCGCTGAATAGAGAGATTGCAACATACCAAGAATGTGATGAAAGCCAGTCCAAACTGGCTGCCCTTGCCGGATAGGCTCCAATCCTGAACGGCTAGAGTATGCTGGATGGGATGGAAAGTGACAACTTTCTTGAAGAAATCAAACCTGCCGGTGCCGAGGTCGTCGTAGGGGAAGTAAGTGACAGGTGTAGTGCGAGGCCAAGAGATGATAGAAACCAGCAAAATGCCAATAATGATAGCACCCTTGATACGGTACATCATGAGCCAAACCGTTAGAATACCACCACAGAAGATACCAATCCACATGGAAGGATTGCGCATTTTGGTGCTGCTAGCGCACATGCCGGTTAGTTCGTCGAAGCTCGAACACCCGGCCAACTCAATGGGGGTGTCAGAGCCACCCTGAATCAATCCAATACCAGCACTGTAGGTCAAACCGATCAATGCAAGGTAGAGACCAATACCAACACCAGTTGCGAGTTTGATGGACTTTGGCAGCGCACGCGCCAGCCATTGTCGCATACCGATCACGGTCAAGCCCAGGAACACCCATCCTTCCACGAAGACAGCCGTCAGAGCAGTCGAGTATGAGACCATGCCGGAACCACGGGGTCCAACAACGGTGTAGGTAAAGTAGGCGTTCAGTCCCATTCCAGGCGCGAGCGCGATAGGCAGGTTGGCGAAGAGACCCATGCAGAAAGTCGAGAGAGCAGCGATGGCGGCGGTGGCGGTGATGATGTCGCGGTTGATTTCTTGTGTGCACATGGCGTACTCGGCATTGGTTTTACAGAAATCACCCATATCTTCCGGGGGACAGTAGCAGGTTCCACCAGTGACAGAGGTTATACCAGCGTTGACAGAGATGATGTATGCCATGGCGAAGAAGGTGGCGAGACCGGCGCGGATTTCAGTGAAGAAGAAGCTACCCTTCCTCTCTTTAGGCTAGGAGATTGTCAGTCTCACATTGCGGTGGTACAGTGCTATCGCACGCATATAACTCAGTATTACTTACATGGCCGCAGCCCTCCAGACGAAACCATTTCCCTACGGGACTGCGCGCGACTCGCGCGTTGGTGTTGTGGACCCAGGCACCGAAAGCCATTTCGATATAGTGTCAGGTCCTATGCAGTGGATACAGCGGATTCCGAAGACGCTGTCGTCGGCGAGACGCAGTATTTAAAGATGTTCCTGCAGTAGAGGTAGGGATAGAATATAGGTTGAAGAAAATAAATTGGCAAATCTCAATCAGATCCCTCGGCCAACCACATCCTGCTGATAAGAGATCAAAAAAAAAATTAATTAGAAATTCGCCTCTTCCCATTTCCAGCTGTTCTCCGGGTCTTTGGCCATTTAGCGGCTTGGCGGAGTCTTGTCACATCCGTAAGATGCCGCATAGAAGCCCTAATTGGTTCAACGTTTGCCGACATGGATACTTCGAAGATTCCATCTATGGGTCAAACCTCGGTAAGTCGCCGTAGGAGAATTGAAACTACATAGATCGTGTTATTCTGACCTAGTAGACACTTGGAATAAGAAATAGTCCAAAGCTATTGGCTTTGACATGTTATGAACTGTAATCCATATCCTATACGGAATAATCCCTGCAATGCCAAGACCCCGGTGCGCTCAGTCCTCGTATGTTCTATCTTATCATAAATTTGTGTGTCGTGATGAAAATCAGCAGGGATGTCGATAACCGGAGGAGCCCGATGACATAAGTAGTATGGGGGGAATCATCAGATCAGAATATTCTCCAGTGGTATGGCTCTAGGATATCTGGGGTATCGGCCATATCCGGTGGGCTATCCACGAATCTCGCCCGCAGATATCAGTTTTGATCAGTCTGAAAGGCTTACTTTGTCCATCAAGCTGCTTACACTACCTGGTAGTACTTCCTAATATGGACAAATAAGGGGCTAGGTCAGACTAAACTCATCGATGCACTATGCCACGTGGATGTTCGATCGGGAACAACTATAATTCTTTCGATCGTCATGCATTGGTTTGCATACATGCAGAGTACGGAGTATACCGAAACAACATCGGAACTTTGGAATGTAGATCAACAAACAAATATGTTGTAAACCTTGCATTGTACTCACGCGTTGTATTCACCGCTCTTTGCTACATGGCGCGTGCTCAAAGATTAATCCTTACTGAAGTTTTGTTCAATTGGTTTTTGTTTCTTTTTCAATCTCGAGATATCGCGTATCATTTCTCATCTATCCACTATGCGCCGCTTTGAAAGAATCTACGAGGTTGTCGAGTCCGTTGAGGAATACCGCGCGGGGGGCTATCATCCAGTGCACCTGGGCGACGTCTTCCACGAACGGTATCAAATTATTGGGAAATGGGGGGTATGGCACGTTTTCTACAGTATGGCTCGCAAGAGACCAAAGGTCTGTTCACAGCCATTTCCTCACGAAGTCAACACAACGTCGGTTTTCGGTCTTATATAGTCCTTCCTAGGCTACAAAAAGACGTCACCTTGAAAATTGTCAAAGCAGACGCCTCGAAGACTAGCATAGAGTTTTCTATCCTGCTTCATCTATCAAAACCAGAAATATCTCATCCCGGGAAAGATTATATCATCAATCTGTTAGATCATTTTGAACACAGAGGGCCGAATGGTCTTCATCTTGTGCTCGTCTTCCCGGCTATGCTATCCGACGGTGAAAGAATGAGTGAACGGGCAAAAACCACGCTCCGCTGACTACGTACGAGCTATCTCTCGCCAAATCATCGTGGCTTTGGAATTTCTCCACCTCGAAGGGTTTGTCCATACTGGTAGGGTACTGACAGTTAACCACTGGGTGTGAGTAATACTGATATTATCTACATATCTGCAACCGGCCAATATACTCTTCTTTGTGGGATGTGATTCGATCAGTGATATGCTCATGTCTCCCGAATACAGCCCTGTCCGTTGGCTCCCTGGAGTTGAGATTGACCAGAGTGCTCCCAAGTATCTGATGGTCTCTCAACGCCTTTATGGTCTGCTGGACGATGCCGACATTTCCACATTGCTTGTCAAAATTTGTGACTTAGGTGGAGGTGCAGCATTTCTTCTTGGAGGTAAATTCCGTGATGCTAAGACTCTGCGTAGCCGTCCGCAATGGCGACAATTCCTCTGTTCCCGTCACTCCTTTGGGCTTGCGGGCCCCTGGGCTGGTCGAGAATCTTCCTTGGGATTTCAAAATCGATGTCTGGTCTCTAGGTTGCTTGATATATTTTGTTAATATTCACTAGCTGGGTGTTATTTTCGATTGACATATATATAGCTATTCTAAATTGCCACAAATGAAGCACGCTTTCCTCTGATCGCTTTTGGTTGCACACGAGATTAGTTAAATGGAAATTTGAAATTCCTCATACTCAACTTCCTCGAGAATGGGAGAGATCAGTTAGTTTTTTTATTTAGGCGAGAGGCTACCTCATGACTTTGGCGAAAGGAATTCGGAAAAACTGTTGAGTTTCCTTTGGTCAATGCTACAACCAAAGCCACAAGATCGCAGCTCTATGACCGATCTTCTACTCCATTCATTTTTGAATGAAAAACTCACATAGGAAAAGAATTGCCCAGTGCTTGAAAGTTCCAAATTTGAGACGTCTATGGACTTGAGGATCGGTAACAGGCCAATATTATGTATGGAAATGCAACACACAGATGCCATGCCTAGACAGACCCAGCCAACCCTTTCTCTGAATTTTTTTCAGGCGAAAGATCGATGACTGGAGCAAATTTAGACTTCCTGCGCAATGCAGGTCCCCATTTCATGAATGCCAAAGGAATCGGAACCATGATGAGTGCGAGACACCCAAGTAGTGTGCCAGCCCATTGCACATGCATATTGACAAACATCTGCCTCGAGAACAGGGGAAATGCAGCTCCCACTGCAGATCGAATAATTGTATTCGCAGCAAATACCGATGCGGCACTTGATTTCAAGGTCAGTATATCGTTCTGCGGGCAAACGGAAATAAGTAAACTTACAACATCAAATATGAATCAATCAAGTAATTGAAGCACTGCAGGAAGATGACATAGATGCCAAATCCAGTCACAACACCGCTAGCAGTAGGAGCCATCCAATGGATCGACTCTTTCCATCCAGTCCAGCCATACCAGAACATCCCGACAGAGAAGCAAATACCTCCGAGGATGGCGGGAGGCAGTCTCCATTCTGGGACCGGGATGTTATTGTTGGCGGCTAACTTCTTATTATATGACTTCTGATTAATAAGGACATAGGCACCGGCTAGGAACTCGCCAACAATCAACCCGATAAATGGCAGACCTCCAACACCAATGTTCATTCTGTGGATACCTTCGAACACCACGGGGTAGGCACCGAGAAGTGCGTACATCAAGCCATATACAAAACTCATCCAGAGAGAGATCTAAAAGAAGGTTAGCTGGAACCAATTAGAGATTTTCACACACGACGTACCAGGAACACAATTGGTTCGGTAAAAAGTATACTGAATGGCCGACTAAAATTGTTCGTGATCAACTGGTTCCAATCAAGCTCGATCTGTTCTTGTCTGGCACGGATTCCCCAATTGTGTGTCTGTCGTCGCAGGATGGCCGCTTTTCCCACAAGCACAGTGGGTGCATAGCTCTCTTTGAAGAAAAGAACACAAAGAACAGTGGCCAGCCACCCCATGATGGACGAAATGTACATAGTCCACCTCCACCCTAGATAGGACATGGTGATGAAACCACCGGTGAACGGAGACGCGAAAGGCCCCACGAATACAGCCATGGCGAATATAGCAATAGCCACACCCCGACTCTCAGTCTTCCATATGTCGGCATATATAGCCGGCACAATAGCGAGCGGGCTAGCAGAGAAAAAGCCGGCAAAGAATCGCGTCAACATCAAGGTCTGGACATCCTTGCTAGTCGCTGTCGCAATGGTGAAAAGGGAATACCCGAACATGCCAATGCAGATTGGCCATCTCCTCCCAAATAGCTCACTTGCCGGTGCCCATATCGTCGGCCCCGAAGCAAATCCCAAAACATACAGTGTAATACCAAGGATAGCGACCTCCGTGCTAATGTGAAATTGAGCACTGATTTCTTGGACCGTTGAGGAGAATATGGCACTAGCAAAAGACGAAACGAAGGTTGCATATGCTAGGATCATGGATATAATCATTTTGCGTCTGAACGGCCAGTTTTGGGGGTGCATAGGATCGTTTTCATCGTTGAATTCGACAATGTATTCTTCTGGGTCTGGGAGAGGTGGGGGATGAGGCTTCCCAGCTCCAAGGGGGAGCCACTGGTCGCGCGGCGTGACTCCTGCACCGGAGCCTACTGTTGAGCGATGTTGCAGTCGAGAAGTGTTGATTCGCTGTAGTTCAACCTCACTCAGGGTGCTTTCGCGAGTGTTCCCTGAGCGCATGGACCCAATTTCTGACCGGCTGCGATCGGGTCTTGTCGTAATAGTACTGAGGCCATTTCTTCCACTGGTGCCAGTATCGCGTGGGGTGTAAGACATTCTGATGCAAGATATGATATGCAAAGCACTGGTTTCTAGTACTGATCTTATGTATGGAATAAGGACAACATAGACAGCAATTGACAAAGCTAGGAAATCTGGAACATACCGTTCCTACGGATCAGCCATTTTCATCACTTTGATGGTAGCGTCATCGACGGTTGCTTTCCCCGGTTGACCCATTGAAAGTGCTATGGCGGACTATAAAGCCAGTCCCGCTATGGACTACCCTGACGTCCCAATAAGGTAATACATCCCGGTCGCAAACCACGGTTTTCTGTGGAGACATGTGACCACAGTCATAAACTACAAATATATATGTAGCTAGTTTATATCCTAGTGATATATATTGTAAAACTATATAAGTATTAGGAATAAGACTATAGATCATTGATTTAGCGCTCAACAGGGGCCGTGCCAGGGGAAACGCCAGCAGCGTCCCTGAGTTTGGTACAGACTACAAAGTATACTATCAATAGGATGTCAGCAATAAAGCTTATAGTTAGTTCCCGGTCAGTCTGGGCATTTTTGAGCATTGCTAGTGAGAGGTCTTTGAAAATGTACTGATAGTGTTCGGACATTTCAGAAGGCATTGGAGTAAAATTGAAGCCTTGTATAACAACTACAGAGAATGAAAGGGAAGCTGTGCATCTTAACCAATCATGTAAACTAACAATGCTTAATGGCAGACACAAAAACGGCGATGGCGTTTCCTAATTTTTCTTGATTGTCATGGCTTGCATCTCCCACCATATCCCATGCACCCCGGGTCTGACGAAAAGCGCCCCAACCCTTAATTGTAGTAGTGTATCGTCACTGATGGGAAAGAGATGCGGCTCTCCCGAGGCAGGGATAAATTCGTTGGAATTTGGCAATTTGGGCCCTGGAAAAGAAAAAAAATTAATATGGCACCATGTCAAATGATGCTGGAATGTGTTCGATAAACATGATCATCTCGATCGTCACTGGATTACAGTGGGGGTATCCTTTTCAAGCCCCTAGATTCACTTGGGCTCACTTGAAATGTTACCAATGGTCCGAAATAATCTGAGTGCGAATATCAATCAACATAAAATCAACATTTCTAGATAAATAGTGCGCGATTTCCATCCAGCCTTTTGATCTACATGTACACATCAGTTTCGCTCCATGTCTGTGCACGGAGTAGTGCACCGCGGGATACCAAAACCAGATGATTTACCCTTCGCCAAGCCCTGAGTAACTGTAGTGTGACAAGGTCTGAAGGAATTGACGTATCCAGGCAAGGGCGGCCCCCGATTTGAGGGGCTGGTTTCAAGTCTCATACCCAATCAGCAGCATTGAAGCGCCGGACTAGCACCAGTAAGCGGCAAGGATGGGCAAATGGCATGCTTAGCCTCGTACGACCTGGAGAAGATTCCCCAGCGCCCAATTGCGAACCACCTAATGCTTTGCATCATGTCCACCCACGAAGGTCTAGATGCTTACTGACAGCTTTGCAAATATATATAAGTGCTTATTTCTCCTGTATAGAGACGGGATTTGTACTCCTCCGTAGATACCAGTTGGATCAAGAAGATCCTCACCATGTCGCTGTTACGAAAACTGCGGGTTAAGAAATCCAAATCCCACGATGTGAGACAATCCAAACGCACCCCCTACGGGGCTGTACCAGGCGAGGAAAACCAACCGAATCCAAGACCATCATCAGAGTCCCAATATTATACAACAATAGAGCCTGCTGAGATTGACGAACAGAAGCCTCAACCACAGCCCCTCAGGGTCTCTCATCTGGATAGAATTTCTCGCCTACTATGGGACTTAATTCTTGCCGTTATAGCCTCGCTCTTCGCCGTGTTTGGTATATGGATTTCTTGTATCGATGGAAAACCTGCCGGCCCAGACTCTGTGGGTTCTAAGCTATTCGAGGTCTCTCAATATGTTAGCTGCCCCGTCCTACACCCATCCTGCACAATAGTATTAAATCTGGCTAACACCAAATTCCTTTTAAAGGCTCCCACTGTATTTCCGGTTCTTTTCGCCGCCATTGCAGGTAGCAGCATCAAAAGTATCGCATCATGGCGCATACAGACCACCGCAGGAGCAACTATCGGGCTGGTAGAACAATGCCTCGGCAGTCAGACTATCACAGGAGCCATTCTCACTCAGATCAGGCTGCGTGCTGTCAATTTCCTCGCTATATTTACCGTTGTGTTGTGGTGCCTCTCTCCGTTGGGCAGTCAAGCATCTCTCCGCGTAATTTCCATCGTCCCGAGTTACCCAGGTAACCCGATCGAATTGACCACTTTGGACACCTTCACCCCGTACCAGTATGGCTATGGGCAAGGGGTAACGGAAGCCGTGACAGCAGTCGCTAACCCCATGATTGCTTCCCTATCTGCGGCCTCATTACTTGCAACTCGTAACCAAGATCTCTGGGGCAACATCCGCTTCCCTGTGATCGAGAATCTCGAGAAAAACAATACAGGTTGGATGGATATACCTCGAAATGACAACATGACGTACTCATCTCTCGTCGGTGTGCCGGTGATTGGCTTGCCAAGCTCCGGCAACACATCATTTACCCTCCCAGGCGCGTATTTATCCATATCCTGTCCTATATTCGACACACTACACCAATTGAATTTTACCAATTTCACTGGGCCAGATGCACCATCTCCCGGCAATGGAAACGATTGCAGCTGGAGCAACGCATGGGGAGGACATCAGTTCTCGCTCGCCCTCTCGGAGCCATGTTCAGGTTCACTCAATGCATCAATGACAAGGACTCGGAATGCTCGCAAACTTGTATGGGAATCATGGGATCGTGGTTATGCAAACTCCGTCACAAATCGGTCCCCCATCACGCGAGCTATATGCGACCTCACCACAACCTATGTCGATGTCAATGTGACATGCGAAAGCTTAGCCGGAAGTCAGTCAACGAATACTTGCAACCTCTCTTCCACTCGCCGGTCGGTGGATACAACTCATTTCCACAAAAACTGGACTATTTTCGATGTGAACCTTCCAGGAGATCCTAAACTTCCCGTACGCTATAACCAAGGATTCATGTATATCCTCACAACATTGTTTCCGCACGCTGAGCAGAATGGTGGCCTAGAGCCCATAATTGGATATTTTATCGACCCTTATCACGCCGTCGGAAACTTTTTTGGGGAAAATCTCATGTCACCCGAGACCACGACCCCGAAAATTTTTGGAACGCGTCTATCGCAGCTCTTCAATTCTGTGCTCTACCTAGGAATCAGCCCCTCAGCATTCACAGGCTCCGTCAACATGACGCAAATCACAAGGAAACAGAGCCAAATCAAGGATATCCCAATAAAATTGGCAGCCCAAAATATACATCTGCAAAAAGTTGTGAGGTGTAACCGTTCGTGGCTCGCCGTCCTTATTGTTTCCTCGGTGGTCATCTTTTGCTTTGCACTAGTGGGCGCCTATCTACACATTATAACCATCGGCCCCGATCTTCTAGGATCGATCTCCGTTGCCTTGTTGCAAAATAAAACGGAAGACATCGTTGGCTCTTCCACATGGTCTTCAGATGAATGGTCGAAGAATCTGCGAGACACGAAACTATGGCTTGGAGATGTACAACCTGAAGCCGATTTTGGGTGTCTTGCCATAACCACTGTGGCACAAGATGTTCCTCCTGGTTCGATAAAAGGAAGACTATATAAATGAGAAAAAACAATGAATTTATTTGTTGCAGCTAATTGAGAACGGCATTCTCAGCGGGCATTCATGTGTCCCGAGCTAAGATTAGGTATGAGACATTGTTTGAAATATTTTTAGAATAATTGTTTTATGATACATCGCTACGTTGTATCCCTTTGGATAAGGGTGGGAGAAACTAGATAACCCTGCTGATCTCCTAACTCACCCTGTTGGATCATCCAGAAAAGCAACCACGTATTCCACAAACGAGTGATCCATCCCAAAACACATAATAATCAAATGCGATATTTTACAAACTTGTTGTTGTATTATTTCATTTTCATTCCAAACCCTTATATGGCGTTTGAGTAATATGTATATCAATTTCAACAATCAAAAGGCTGCATCACTGTGGCATTCAAGATCGCCCTGCCCAAGGCGAGAAATATATATCACGGCAACAAAATCGCAGATATTTTCTCAACTCCCAAGAAAGGCTAGATATCACCTAAAAACCAGTGAGCCATTAGGAAAACTATATATTGACCACTGTTTTTGAGATACTAGGCTGTAAGTTATCGCATTTACTATGTATTCTGGGATGGACCACTTGGTTGTGGAACACGTTATTGTATATGCTATGAGATACATATATTGTGCATATCGCTCGTTATAATGTAGCTTTTCATGTATTCATAGATTAAGCACATCGATTTATATTACTGATTCCCTAAATGGCGCTGGTATACCAACATCAACCCCCAACGAAGAAAAGACGCCCAAAAGCTCGCTCGCTGCCAAAAAGACTAGATCAAATATACCTCAACACAGAAAATAGCTTTAGCCAACAGAAATCAACATATTCACGTAGGAAAATTTAGAATTAATTAAAAGTCCGGTTAGCGCTGGTCCCATCCATCTCACTGATTTGGTGGCTGCCCAGCTCGGCACTCCCTCCATCACCAATCAATTCAACAACGTGAGATCGAGGCGAAGATCTGAATGGGTGTACAGAGTCTGCTTCCTTCTCCACAATTGGGTTTGATGCATTCTCTGCGACCATAGTACCGCTTCTCGAAGACCCAGTAGCATCTACCTCAAGGGGCCCGTAACCACCATGCTGATTAGAAACAGCGGTATTCTTCTTGTTCTTTTTTCTGAGGAAGACAAAAATGAAGGCAACGACAATGGCGACTGCTGCTACTACGCCAACCACAATCCCTGCAATAGCACCCCCGGACAGGGAGGAATTGTTGGCATTTCCCACAGAGACTGCGGTGGACTCGGTGGGGGTTGCGGATGCGGATGCCGGGGATACAGTTGAAGAGGTGGATGCAGATGTGGAGGCGGGTGTAGATGTAGATGAGGAAGAGGATTTTGATGTTGATGTGGATGTGGATGTGGGTGTGGATTCCGTTGCAGATGTAGACGTCGATGTTACAGCAAGCGTAGAGGTCTTGTGTTTGGCCTCAATCTCGCCCTCAAGTAGAACATCGAAAGCCAAAAACTCGTCACTGGCATTCTTCCTCCACAGCGTGCACGAATATCCCGCTCTTGAATCACAGTCGGTGTCGCGGTATATTGAGACACATAGCTTGGATCCCTCAGGATCCCAAGTAAAAAGCTTTCCGTTACCGATGGTAGCATTTGTGCACTGTTGTTCCTCTTCACCGCGGGAAATTTCAGTAGCACCAGTTGCGTTGGTGGTGCGGAACGTCCATGCATCTACCAGAGGTATTAGGAAAAGTGCGTATAATGGTAACATCATGGCAACCTGCGTCTCTTGAAAAATGAATCCAAGGAAAGGAAGAGCGCGTTAGGACTAGATTCTCAGCTGTAAAACATGCGAGAGGGAAACATGTTAGCAATATACAGGGCGGAAGCACCCTGATCACTTGTTCAAATTTGAAGAGAATACACCTCGTATTGAAATGAGCCTCGTTCGTAGTGGGGGTGTGCTAGCCTGTGCCCGGGGCCAGTCAAAGCCCCTCGTTTCAGACTTTAAGATGAGTGCAGTAGTCGATCTATACCCGGTGGGGCAATAGACGGGTGAAGACGAAAGAGCTAATTCAGAAGCAGATTAACACGACCTCTAGCGCATCTCAAGGATGGGAGATCGCTCCATTATTGATTAGTCGTGAGGGCTGTAGGAGAATCAAACTGCTTCATCGCATTGTCAGAGCCCAACACCGATTCAATTCCAGGATATGCTAATAATCTTCAATGCATGGGCTGTATGTACCATGCAACTCAACATCTGCCAGCTGGTGGTTGTAGGCGGGCCATTTTGGAGAATACGGGGTGCAGCAGTCGTGCAAGAATACTTCGTATCGACCCTCTCAAAATCATAGTCTAAATCCGAATAATTTAGCTACTTCTGTAGAGATGTTGCGAAAAGTGTAAGTCAAAGTCTCGGCTTGCAGGTATCTTGTCCGTCGGGAATGGTGATTGGTGCCCTATGGGCCGAATACGAGGTGATTAACGTTCGAAAAATTTAAACTGTAAACCATCAGATTGTCTGCTGTATTGTGGAGGAAGATGAAGATAGATGAACGATAATATCTGTATGGTAGAGCATGAGGTGTCTGTTGGTCTCTTTCTTTCGTCTTTCACAGGTCAGGGCAAGATTGAGTAGAGAAAAACAGGGGCTGCCAAGAGTTGCGGGGCGAGCATGCTTGGTGGCTTGCTGACAGGGGTATAGCCTAATTTCCACTTTACATCTAGAATACTCCTCTTTGGAGTCATTATTATAACCCAAAATGACCCCTTGAAGGATCCTACTAATGGGCCCTATAGTGACCGTCTACTGGCTACTTCTAGAAAATATTTGATTTGTTGTAATACCGGCCAGCGGATATGACATTGCAGGGTTCATGATAACTGCGAGACAAAATTGAAATCGTACTCTAGTATTTGTGGATGTGAGAGGGGTTCTTTTTCCTCTTCGGTTAAAGCGAAGACTTGGACGCCCCAGGCACTACATTAAATAGACCGTTGTATGTGGACGTGTGAATCAGCAGCAACATGTGACTGTGCGTAGGTTCCGCAATTTCTTCGGCGATTAACAAAAGGAGAATGGTCGAATTTGAAAGTTGTTTAGTAAGTTGAACAAGTTTGTTTACTACTTCTTGCTACTAGATATGACGTCAAAGCACAGTTTCCAAGGTATGATGCGCACAAAGCCATTGCTGGAAACGATACATTCGATCATCATGGATCTAAAGGACTATATTGAAGTCAACTGCAAGGTCGAACGTTTACTGGGTATACATATTTCTGATAAACTGTGGCCCCCATTCTCGACAAACTCCTAGTCACGAATCGGGTTGTCACCAGGCATGCGACGAGCTGAGCTAAAACATGATTGATAGGTGACGCAGCGGTACCGGGACGGGTGTCCAGACTTATTCTTTTGTGGGTAGCTTTCTTTCTGCCACATTGAGATATTTCAATAAACATATTTGAGCCCAGACATATTGCGTGGGCAAGCCGTGTAAATAGCGTGTGGTCAAAGCATAGGTCGATATTACAGCTCAGTATGGGTATATCTCGTGCGTTGACATTGGAGCTCTGCGGAGCTCTACGGAGCTTCACTCTTGGTATCAGTAGCTTTCCAAATAGAATAGCCACGGTAGAGAATTGTTAGGGATCCAATCAAACCAGTAGCCTGCCTCAGCTTGGAGGTCAACTAGGCACAATGCAAGGTACCAGGGCAGTTGGCATCATCGATTGGCAATGTTTCCTGTCCGTCGCGTGCCGGAGGTTCCCCTGATGAACGAAGCCCACTCTGGCAAGCCCGATAATCTGTCTCAAAATTCCCCCAACAAGGTCACCACCGTTTACAGGAGTAGTCGTTGAGCTTCGAGCGCAATCAGCCAGACTGGATCCCATTGTGATCTGAGATTGCCCTTGCCAGTACGTATTTTCCCTCAAGCCATTGAAACATTCCTCTCTATCGTTGGTTTCATCAGGAGCGCACCTTGGTCAATGGCGACGAGTGGCATTTGGTTGATGCAGTTCTGATATGACGGGGTCTGAACGGTTGCTGAAATTTGATCCGTATAGTCGAGTCCCCAGTTGATATCACTACAACGACACAGTTTCCAGTGAAAATACACGTTCCGATAGCATGGCGCCGATCAAAATACTCCATCACACCAACTTCGTATCGATGTCTCTCCATTCGATTGTCGCAAGGAAAAAGACGGGCAACTGGGCAAACAGAAACCGAGGCGTAGTGCTTGTTTTTTGCATCGTCTTCCTCGTTGTGGTCGGAATCATGGCACTCTTCGCGTACCGACGAATGCTGAGGCGGAAGGCCGAAAAGGAGTCCTATGAGACAACACAGGATTAGTTCATTCGAGGCTCTGGGCTCTGGACACACATAGTACCATTAGATGCGGATGACCTCGCTATGGCCTAGATCTGTGTCTTAAAGGCTGGTGAGTCTGGCTGCTCAGAGCCAGTGGTATTTTGTGTCTGTGTTTGTGTTTGTGTTTGTGTTTGCGCGCTGGGATTCGACTTCGTGTATTTGTCTGGCCATTGGCGATGAATGCGTATTGGCACTTCAACTGTAAGAGCATGGTATGACCGATGTCCAAGTGGGAAGAATATGATCTAATTAATGTTAAGGATCAATAGTAATCAATAATACCTTGGTTTAGATTGCTGACCTCTGAGATGCGCGTCTTCATTGCCTTTGTGGCCAACGAGTCTCATCTGAAGGAATTATTCTGGACTAGTATTTGCTCTGAACCATCCAATTTGTTGCTAAATTGGAAAATCTGAAGGTCGTAGCTTTTTGGAGAACGAAAATAGCGATACATTATGGTAAGGAAACTCCCAGGGTCCAAACACACTATGGTTTCCCCGCCTCAGCATTCTCAAACTGCGTACTCACTTTAGTGCCGTGAAGCCAGAGAAAACTGCGTAACTTGCCACAAAGAATATGCCAAAGAGAAAGAAACGAGAAAAGCCACCACAAAAAGGTAAAAAGATGACCGGCAAAGTATCTGCAGGCAGCAATCGTCCCAGTGCAACAGTATCTAAACTTTCGATATAAATATCCCATTGAAGTCTGCTGATTCAACCATCGGCATGTCTTTGATCAACATCGTGGTCATTCTAACAAGGCTCTGTCTGCAGCTAGCTGGTAATGTGGGTGGTATAGTCATACATCCTACTATTCAATTAGTGGCTCCAAATGTTGGATTTGTCTGGTTCATATATATTCCGCTACTCTGTGCAATACTATGCGCCATTTCCTGTCTTGGGCTCAAAATCTGAAGGAAGTGTTTGCACAAGGGGAAGGTTGTGGCCTTAGGTAGTTTCAACTGAATTACTTTTGTGATCTCTGTGCGCAATATCATATACTCGTCGCGTTCTGTGGCGGGGCTCTTTATTTTGAATTGACTTATCTAGTGAGAGGCGTGTTAGATGGCTGAAAAAAAAGATATTTTACGTTCATTAGATACCAGATGCTGTAGAGATCCGGACTTGTCCTGTGCAAACGGAAGGAAGAGTAATATAGGGCTATAGTTAGTCTGTCAATGCCGCCTCTCACGCGAGAGCGATATATTCTATGACTTGGCTAATCGCAACAAAGAAAAGAATTGAAAAACGGAAGTGTTATTCCAAAAAGACCACGTAATTAACAAAACTACGTGAGATTATATGAGAAACAAGTATGGTTTCTCCGGTTCCTGTGTACACCTGCACCTTGTACAAAACCAGCTTTTTGCCTCTCATAGTGTCGGCCAATTATTCTTCTCACCTTCTCAGGGACATTCCTCATATACACTAAAATATTATCCTCTTCTAAAGACTTTCTGGAACAATTCACCGTTTATTTGTCCCATTGCTCCTGATTGTTAAAGGGGAATTATGAGCTCAGAGGCAGGCCCATCGTCTAGTGTTCGTTCAAGCGATGACAAGGGCAAGAGAAAACGGCCCGATTCGCCCTCTCAAGATCCAACTTCTAAGAAGGTTTGTTCTCTAAAGATCGCCTGTTTTTTTTTTTTTTTTTGAGATTGTTCCATTAATTCATGACTTAATAGTCCAGGGATAGGAAACTCCCCCAGAGGCAGTCAGTCGGGATCGACTCAATCAAGGTAAGACGATTTGCGACTGCCAGCATTCCTCAAATTTACCCCAGGAAGCAGGAAAATGATCATTCCCTAGATCATGGCAAAACGTCCCCTAAGAAGATTTTGTCTCAATATCAACAGGTCTCCGGGAAGCCTCATGGTGCGGTGAGAAAACATCGAAACTGTCCCCATTTTACAACGGCTAATTTCGGAGGGAAAAGTCACCGTGGGCTAGTGAGACAAGTACGGCCGATTATCTTGATCGCACGTTCGATGACCAGGGCAACTTCAAGAACTTTCTACGTGACTCTCGTGATGAGGCAGAGCTTGCCATGTATCTTGGTCTAGAGCACAAACACGACCTCAGACATTTCGCTTTGTCCTGGCCTGTCATCAAGACCTGGATCAAGGCACCACATAAGCAGACTGTCTCACTAAAAGTTGAGATAAATCATCTCATCCAGGATGGTAAAGAATTATCCTGCATCGAGAATCCTCACGAAATTTGGCCGCAACGCCCCCGAGAGTCAGAGGACCATGCTTCATTGAGAACTATACATATCATGGCATGGTATCTGATACGGATGTCTAAGGATATAGAGGAGTACACCATGTCCAGTGATATGCATAATTTTCACCTGACACGAAGATATCGCGGTGAACTAAGCGCGATGTTGGACCTCGATATCCCGCTAGATAATGTTAGCCACCCGCGTCCCCAACTTACATCGTGGAGGAACGACCTAAACGAGCGGCTTGATCGCTGCTGGGCAATCTTGGGTTATGTTTCATGGATTCCCTATATGAAGTCTTGGGAAAAGGCCCTGGGCTTTTTCGTCTCTTCGAAAAACCAGGCTATCATATACGATAGCAAGATGCCGACAGAGACAATCCCAAGACCCAATCACCTTGGGCTCGCTCAACAATGCTCCTCATTATCCGTAGAGAAAAGGACCCAGTCTCTTCCTCCAATTCAGGTGAAGGTAAACTGGGACAGGGACCGAAACTTACGCAAGAGCATAAATTTGTGCCACGTTCTCACGGGTATCGCCCACGACGGGAAAGTGCTACCCCGAACAGATCAGATGATGACACAAGATCCCCGATTATGCAGGACAGGTGCTTCATTCCGGGACATCATTCGACATATGATGTCTTGTGGTGGGTATGGATTGAACTTGGATGACCTGATCTTGTCGTATCGGGTGGAGACAGATAACTGCTATTATCAGATTAATGCTTTCCGATCCCAGTGGAAGATACTACATGGGGTATTTTCAGACCGGGATAATTCGGACTTTGTGATTCAGGTGCTTCTGGAGGTTCATGATTACCGGAATGGCGAGATCTATGAAACAACTGAGCTACCACCGGTGTATTGAATACTACGTTTGGATACCAATCACACGTCAACGTGTAGGGATGGCTTTTCTCAAGATATCTTCAACGAAAGTTCTCGGTATCCTTTTGCCTTAATTTTGACTTTCTTTTTGTTTCGCTGTCATTTTTCTTTCCATGACCGATGGGATTTGCACACCTCCGAGATATAATCGGAAGGCTGCATACCTGATCATATTGTTATTACCAAACAAATCTATATTCTTTTCGCCCACTAGCTCCTGTACTCGGAATCATATAACATGACTTTTCAACAATCATACTTCCCTAGTGTCCTAGCGGCAGATATTAATGCGCTCGCCACCATAACGTGGGCGAATTAAAGGCGCTTTATGGTTTGCACAAGTGAAAAGGTTTGCTACAGTAGCTCGGCACCTGGTAATAAAATCGATTCTTGGTTCAATGAGTGTCCAACCAATAGCTATAGGATGTGGCGTGAACGCTTGCCTATAGTCAGACTGGCTTAGATAATTAACTTCTCCGACCCTCCCGAGGTCGTTTGTCCGTTGTAGATGTTTAGAAATCAAAGCTTACTCTGTCATCGGCAAATGAGGCCAATCACCGACGGCATTTGAGGGTAAATTTCTAGAATTTGTAGTTGCAACTATTCGATAATCGAGACATTAGTAGATACTAGCAATACATAAAACATGACAAAATCAGTCCACATTAGATATAGCGGGCCCCAGATCTTATGATCACTATATAAGTCGATCCTGTGGAGAATCAAGAAAAAGACGTGGATATAAACCGATCATCAATCACCGATCCCCGCACTTTCATAGCCGTCACGGCTCCAAATGCCATCCTGTCTATACCGGCCTAAGTCTTCTTTCTCCACTAAAAATACATCAAGCCTTTACCCAGACCCCAGACCATTCCTGAGTGGATGGAAAAGCTTTCAGGCAAGATTCCTGTCCAGTGGGATCACCGTATTCCCTGCCATCAATTTCCCCAAGGCGTTCCCCAGGTTCCACACCCGCACCCCAGACTATCTAGCCCAGCAGCTCTTGATGGGCTATCAGTATGCCGAGACGACAAACAAGCCACTTGATTGCTTAGAATGCTTCTATCATCGCTTGTCATTGTTCCCGGTTATCTCTAGATTTAGTATAAATCCAGCGTCATCCGACGTCCATGACTCTTTTCCATTTCTTTTCCATCTTTTCCTGTTACGGCAGCCTTCTTCTAGGTTTAATTCTTCCCTATCCTCGTCCTGTTTATATATTGACTGGGAAAACATTCCACTCTTATTCAAGATGGGTTTCGTCAACTTCAAGAACTATCGGGTCTACATCCTGACCTCGGTGGCCTACCTGGGCTCCTTGCTCTTTGGTTAGTTGATTTGGTCAACCTAGGCATAGTATGTTACTGACGCATACTTTTCCTAGGTTATGACACGGGTGTTATGGGCTCAGTCCTGGCTCTTTCGAGTTTCAAAAAGGACTTCGGTCTCCCTGTTGACTCATCCGGATTCAGTGACGCGAAAAACGCCTATGTCGCTTCCAATGTAGTGTCACTACTCACAGCAGGATGTTTCTTCGGGGCAATCTTTGCTGCTTATATAAATGACAGAATAGGTCGCAGATACTCACTGATGATCTTTGCCCTGATCTTCCTGGTTGGAGCCGCGGTCCAAGTTGCAGCTCACCATGAGATTGGCATGATCTATGGCGGACGTGTCATCGCCGGTTTTGGTATTGGTGGTATGTCCAGTATCACCCCCGTCTTTGTCAGTGAGAACTGCCCTCCGGCAAACCGTGGCCGTATTGCCGGTCTCTTTCAAGAGTTCCTGGTTATTGGTAGTACTTTCGCCTACTGGCTGAACTATGGTGTTGCGCGTCATATCCCCGAGGGTACAACCCAATGGCGTATCCCTGTTGCCATCCAGCTTATCCCGGGTGGTCTGATGTTCATCGGTCTATTCTTCCTCAAAGAGTCTCCTCGTTGGCTACTGTCGAAGGGACGCCAGGATGACGCACTCAAGTCCCTTGCTTATATTCGCAATGAGTCTGAGACCAGCGAGGCTGTTCAACTCGAGTTGGCTGAGATCTCAGCTGCTATCCACGAAGAAGCGCAAGCCACTGAGGGTCTGACGTGGAGGGAATGCCTGAAGCCAAGCAATCGATACCGATTCTTCCTGGCCTTCCTGCTGATGTTCTGGCAGCAGTTTTCCGGAACAAACAGCATTGGATACTATGCTCCTCAGATATTTGCAAGTGTGAGTACACCACAGTGATTCTATATTATAACATCATTGCACATCCTCTGAACTCGGGAGATGCTAACTTTTCCACAATTACAGGTCGGATTGAGTGCGACAAACACCTCACTGTTTGCCACTGGTATCTACGGAACAGTCAAGGTTGTTGCAACAGCTGTGTTCCTGATCATCGGTATAGATCGCTGGGGTAGAAAGAAGAGTTTGATTGGTGGTGCTGCTTGGATGGCTAGCATGATGTTCATCATTGGATCAGTCTTGGCTACCCACCCCCCAGTTAAGAATTCCACATCCGTCTCATCGGCTTCCATCGCTATGGTTGCGATGATTTATCTATATGTCATCGGATACTCAGCATCATGGGGGCCGGTTCCCTGGGTGTATCTTGGCGAGGTATGTTATTCATTCTAATATATATCCCTACGCATTGTAGTCGCTAACATGCCTTGTTCCGACAGATCTTCCCAACTCATCTTCGGGCTTACGGTGTTGGTTTCGGTGCCGCCACACAATGGCTATTCAACTTTGTTATCACTGAGATCACCCCTCGTGCTATCAATAAGATTGGCTGGAGGACTTTCCTCATGTTTGGCATTTTCTGCTCTGCCATGTGTATCTTTGTCATCGTATTCTTCAAAGAGACCAAGGGCCTGACTCTGGAGGAGATGGATCTCGTTTTCGGCGCTGTTGATGAGGAACAGAGACGCGCTGATGTGGAACACACTTTGCAAAAGACTCAAATTATGCATGAAGAGCATGCTGAGACTACGGAGACTACGGAGACTACGGAGCACAAATAGTGAATTGGATCATAGAGACATACATGGATCCAATGATGTTACATTATATATCCATTGATGAAGATGAACAATCTATATCAGCATTTGACAGGGATTTTGACGTTGGAATACAATCTAAGCTCGTATACCTCATCGCCGGGCCCCACAATAAATACCGCGGGGAACTTCGAGATTTCCCCCTCACGCGTCAATTTTTCTTTCCTGCACGCGTCGACGACAATCTAAATGGGATCTCCCGAGGAAATTTGCGCTTCTTTGCGCGCCCAGATTATCGCCACGGAAACACAGCTTGCAGGGCTGAAACGCGACCTTGCAAACGCTGAACAAGCGGCGCAATCGGAGACCGCAACGATTCAGGAAATCCAACACGAGGATCACAATGGCGAAGGAAAAAGATGGCCGTTGATTCAGGAAGAATATAAGCGATATGGACGCCAGATGATTGTTTCACAGGTTGGCCTAAAAGGTGAGCCACGGCTTCGTTTTGGCAAAAGTTGGGAAATGGTTCCCCCTTGAGCAGTGGGACTGATCGCGTTTGGTTCTGAATCCACAGGTCAACTGAAACTCCGATCGGCAAAAGTTTTGCTTGTTGGAGCCGGAGGACTGGGGTGTCCAGCTGCGCAGTATCTTGCCGGTGCTGGCGTTGGCACTATTGGGCTCATCGATGGGGATACAGTCGAGGTATCGAATCTCCATCGCCAAGTGCTACACCGAACGAAGAATGTGGGGAAGTACAAGGTGGACAGTGCAATCGAGTCTTTGCGAGAGTGAGTGGATCAGGATAGGAGTACCGAGTTGGGCGCTGACGATTACTTATGACATAGACTGAATCCGCATCCCACATACATTGCGCATCGCACACACCTTACGCCCGAGGAAGCGCCCACAATCTTCCAGGATTATGATATCATTCTCGATTGCACCGATAATCCGGCAAGTCGTTATCTGATCTCGGATACTGCAGTGCTTCTAGGAAAGCCATTGGTCTCTGCGTCCGCCCTGCGGACCGAGGGCCAGCTGATGGTGTTGAACAACCCGCCCCGAGCTCCGGGCGACAAGACTGGAGGGCCTTGCTATCGCTGTGTGTTCCCGAAGCCACCACCGGCTGATAGTGTGGTCAGTTGTGCGGACGGGGGTATTCTGGGGCCGGTCGTTGGGACCATGGGCGTCTTGCAAGCCCTAGAGGCGATCAAGGTCATCACTGCACCTGGGATTGATGGAGATTCAGATGTGGCCACAGCTCGTCCACGGGATCCCCCATCTCTGCATATCTTTTCTGCCTACTCGTCGCCACTAGTCCGCACAATCCGTCTTCGTTCGCGCCGGGCTAATTGTGCTGTATGCTCTGCTGAGGCAACTGTTACACTGGACACAATCAAATCAGGCTCAATGGACTATGTCTTCTTTTGTGGATCCACAAATTTGCCCTCATTACTCGGTCCGGAGGAACGTATCTCTGCTCGAGAATATGACCAGAGACATACAAATGTCACGTCCGAGTCGTCACAACCCCATACGATAATTGACGTCCGAGACGAAACTCAGTTTGGAATCTGCAGCCTGGAGAACAGCATCAACATCCCTATCTCAAACATCCTTTCGTCGGGTCATTCTGCTGGGTTACAGAAGGCCGATGATGGGCAACAAGCTGCACAACTACCCTCTTGGTTACCATCCGAGGTTGCTTCGTCAGAGTCTACGAATCCCATTTATGTCGTCTGCCGTCTAGGGAACGACTCGCAGATTGTTGTCAAGAAAATGAAAGAGCTAGGACTAGACAAGAATGGGAAGAGATTCATTGGTGATATTCGCGGAGGACTACGGTCATGGAAAGAACAAGTTGATTCATCCTGGCCCGAATACTAAATGCATCAGACCTTAGATTCTTGCATGAAATGACTGTCCAAACTTTCGCCCTGCCTTCTCCTGTTTGTATCCACCAGCCAGCCTCCAGCGACCACCTCACATTCAATAACCTGGTGAGGGAGGATTACCAAATCATGCCTCCATCTAGATCCACCACCACTCAGTGTGCACCCGGCCCTCATCGAGGTTACCGAGTTGTTGGAAAACACTACGGGTAACATCGATGTCAAACTCTGCACATCCCTCACAACGATCCACGAGAGTGACATCTATGCCGTTGCCACCTCGCTGGATGTGGATCCGTCGACCACAAAGGGGATTGTGGTTTGGGTTGCCATCGACATTCGCATGGTCAAAGACAATACGAGACACGGCACAGACGTAGTCTCCCCCGTTATTGTACCAGCCGCATGCTCCCAGCCCGGTTTCATACCAGGTTAGATCACCGCCATAGGCCTGGCCCACGATGGGACTGTAAGTGTTGTTCCCCTGGCTGGGACTTGGGATCAGAGTTAGCATGGGCCTTAATAGATGGTCGATGTGCAAATAGGAAGACAAACGAAAAGGATTGGCATGTCAGAGTCCTGTTGCTTACTTGCTGGGATCATGGGAAGTGATGGCTTCGTTAGAATCCATGGGAGCACCAACGGCCAACCCCATGAAGAGCAATACGATCATAGCGATGGCCTTGCGCGCGAAGATTACGTTGGGATTCATTTTGTGAAGTCTTCTTCTTGGTCTTTGTGTCCAGTGAGAGAAGGGTGAAGTTGGGGAATAAGTTTGAATTATGATCTCGAATTCGTGACCTCTTTATATCATCTTTCCGGGAACAGTTCTTGTTTGTGAAGCATGTGTTTGTTTACACCCATCGCAACGCTACGGAGTATCAGAAGCGAGAATTAACAAATAAATCGGAGTATCTGAAATGGTCGGAGTGAAGCAATTGTGTCGATAGAATTGTCGGGCTGCTGCTGCCTGTACATTAGAAGCCATAGGCAAAGGACAACTCCCATTTGGGCCACCATTATTGATTCAATTATATCCATATTTTGCCAGAAACTTATGTTGGAAATCAATTGCGGAGACAGACTGTAGTGTATACTTTAGAACACTATTAGCCTTGAAATGTACGAAAATCGGAAGGTCGGAGAACGTAACATAACCCTAACAGGAAGGACGTCGGCGTATAATAGACCTTCAATTGTACTTCCAACTACTCATGGATGGCTTACCCACCGGCCTTGATCCCATATTAATAAGTTGTTCGGGACTACCTAGGTACTACTATGTACTTATGTATATTCATCACCTAGACCTAGGTTGCTGTATTTCTTCATGTCTTGTGTACCGCTTTATACAGGACTTTGGCTCTATAAGGGTGAAATCAAAGATCTAGAGCCGTATAGACCTCTCCCTCAAATGACACATTGTCTAATTGCCTTTTTTTAGGAGATTTTCTTAGCCAATTCCATGCCAGTCCTCTATCTTTCAGGTGAACCAGGCAGTATGTGCTCTCTACCTCCAGTAATATATCAATTAATTTTTCGCGCTTTATCACTATATGCAGACGGTTTTATGTATATTATATATTCTGATGAAATGAAATACCCGTTATGGCCATATGACTAGCTTCGTAGTATCTTCGTAGTATACATCGTCCAGGCTGTCCCCCTCAAAGTAATCCGTTCAAGTTTTCAGAAATTCCGTTGACATTCTTACTCGATTTTTCTTGCATGTCTATCTCATCGCCTTTTGATATTTTTCTTCGTTCCTTCCTCAACTACTCGTAAGAGTGGAAACAAAACAACTAAAGCAAGAACTGCCAAATCTGGCAAATCTGCCTAACCCACCTTCGCATGCATGAATAGATGTAGTTAGCAGCATTATAGCTTGTGTCATTCATCAGGAACATGACATTTGATAAATACTACACCAACCAGTTGCTTACCATGGAATAGCCGGTGTTATAACCTATCTGATTGTCTCGTTTCAGAGTAATTTTGTCTCATTGAGCGTATTATTCAATGGAAATATTACTAGGAGATTTCATAAGCTAGCAGCGTAGTTTAAATGCTCGAAAGGTCATCAAATATAGGAATTCTATTGAGCCCATCATGTCAATGGGTAGTTGGCCTGAACAACAAGGCACCAATTTTATATGCGGAGTACATCTTTCCCCATATATGGGTAGCCAATCACCGAGGGCGGGGTGTACTGCAAACGTCCACGATCGGGACTTCAATCCGACTCCTTGAAATTCTTTGCCCTTGCATATTATTCAGGTTTCTCTAAATTTGTTACATTCTTATCTCCAGATCATTGAAAGATCACGTGAGTGATGTCGTTGGAATCGCGTTCCTGAAGAATCTGATCTTTTGTGGCTGAGCCAAGGCGCATCACTGTGTGACCCCAGTCAATATGGCGCAAGTTCGATCTCATCAATCGGGCTCATCCTTCGGTTCATCACCATCGCGCCAGGATACAGAAGATAACTCTAGCAAGGAGAAAACATCGCTCTTCGGCTCCGTCAAAAAGACATGGCAGAAATTGGGCTTGGACAGACCCACCGTTCTCTTGATGATGAAGTGAGTTCAGGACCAAACTTCCAATGCGGAACAGTAAAATATCCCTAACAGTTACGATAGGGGCGGTCTTGCACCCACTATAGCCATTTCCATGTGAGTTACTCACCTTGTAAATGCCTGGTCTATCAGAATGAGGCTGACCCTTGCTCCAGCTGCCAATCTAATGTTGTTGCACACGAGTACAAGACCTTGGGCTATCTCGTACCCGTTGTCTCTATCTTAGGCTTTGCGATCATGCCTCGCGCAAAGTTTATCCAGATGATCATCTTTGACATTTTGGCTGTCTGCATAGCAGCATCTTTCGCTCTGTTGACAATGTTCTCCAGTGTCAGGGCACGCCAACACACCGCCATTGACCCTACTGATAAATACAATTCCTCCGCATCTGCTGTCAGTGGTATTTGGCTGTTCTTTCAAATCTGGATGGTTCACACCTTCCGCGCTAAATACCCGCAGCTGCAATTTCCCGTGATTATTTACGCAATCTTCGCCAATGTTTCTTCAGTATACGCTGCGCAAATGCAGAGCATGACAGCTGCGTTTACTATGGTGAAGCAATTGCTTGCCGCATTCCTTAGTGGTCTCGGCATTGCAACAGCAACGTCACTATTCATCCTTCCCATGACTTCACGTCAGGTCGTCTTCAAACAAATGGCGAGCTACATTGGTGGGCTTCGCTCAGCCTTGAATGCCCATGCTCTATATTTTCAATCACTGGAAAGAGACGACATGTTTGGTCGCACGGAGACCTACGATGAAGGCCGTGAGAAGTTTGGCAAGAAGGGAAAGATCTACAGTCCCGAGGCAGAAGCCATCCGTGGTGCCATCCGACAGATCACAGACATCCATGCCAAACTCCATGGTGATCTGACATTTGCGAAGCGTGAGATCGCATTAGGAAAACTGGGACCGGACGATATTCAGGCCATCTTCCGTCATCTTCGCCAGATTATGATCCCGGTTGTGGGGTTGAGCTTCGTGGTGGATATCTTCCAGCGACTGTCAGACTATAACAGATGGAACCAACCCATTGATCTAAACGAGCCCGTGGTCCCAGAGGATATTCGACAGCGCGTTGTGCACGAGTGGAATGATATCATGAGGGCGGTACACGATCCATTCGCGGTGATGATTCAAACTATTGATGAGGGGTTACTACATACGTCTTATGTTTTTAGGCTAACCAAGCCACCCAAACGCACAGCTAAAGCGAAAACTTCAAATGACAATTCAATGGAGGAAGGCAACGATGTGGAGGCCACAGCCGCAAACTCTGCCCCTGGAGAAAAGGCATTTGTGGAGCATTATGAAGAGAAACTTAGAGAATTTAAAAGCGCAAAGCGCCTCGCTTTGCGGACATGGGCTGAGGAGAAGGGTGTCACGCTCCCGCCCGACTTTTTTGATCATCCTACTTCTCCTGAAATGTTGAACTCCGATTTTTTGGATACCTCCGCTACGCAAAAAGAGCGAAGCCGACGCCAGCTCTATCTATTTCTCTATGTAAGCCTTCTTCTACCAGATACTCAGTATATTTGAAACTAACATAAACTCAGATGGAACAATTGCTGTACTCGACTGGTCAAACCGTGCTCGACTTTGTTCGTTATGCCGATCATGTTGAGGCCAAAGGGAAGCTATTGAAGACTCGACTCGTCATTCCTGGCAGTAAGCGATTGTGGAAGTGGATCAAGTCCTTCTTGAGCGCGGAGGATCACGATGATGATAATATGGGTGATATCCATACACAAAACAACATTCTTCAGCTTGGCGAGGCGTATAAACTTCGCAAAGACCCCGAGCATCTCCCACCTACTACTTTCTTTGAAAGGATGGGGGACAAAGTTCGGGTCATCCCGTGGTTTTTGCGCTCGTTCGAGTCGACTTACGGCTTTCGTGTCGCCTGTGCCACCATGACTATTGCGATCATCGCGTTTCTACGCCAGACACAGACCTTCTTCACTGCACAAAGATTGGTGTGGGCCATGATCATGATCAATCTCAGCATGTCCCCCACTTCAGGACAGAGCATTTTCAGTTTCGTGTTGCGAATTCTGGGTACATTCCTTGCAATGGTGGCAAGTCTTCTGATGTGGTATATCCCAGCTGAAAGGACACCGGGAATTATCGTTTTCATGTTTATCTTCATCTCCATGGCCTCCTATATCCCCATCAAGATGTTCCGCTTCCGAGCTGTCGGGATCATCAGCATCATCACTGTAAGCATGATCATCGGTTATGAGCTCCAAGTTCGCCGAGTCGGTGAGGCAGTCGCGACATCTAATGGACAGCTCTTCTACCCCATCTACCTCTTGGCGCCTTATCGGCTGGCTGTTGTTGCGGGCGGAATCGCTGTCGCGTTCATTTGGACGTTCTTCCCATATCCAATCTCTGAGCACTCAGTCCTACGTCAAAGTCTAGGGGCATCGTTGTATCTTTTGGCAAACTACTACTCTATTATCCACGAGACCATCTCCGGTCGCATGCGTGGTGACGAGGGCGAATACCTACTCAAAAGGACTTCTGCGGGTCGCAAACTTGAAAAGGCGCGACACAAAGTTTTCTCAAAGCAGATGCTTATGCTAGCTGGTTTACGGACATACTCGGGCTTCCTTCGTTGGGAGGTCCCGGTTGGCGGTCGGTTCCCTAAGAAGCAGTATGATGCGATTATTGTTTGTGTAGAAAAGTACGTCATGTCATTCCACTTCCATTTCAGGCACTAACAATACCTATCTATATAGCATTGTGAACTATCTCAGCTTGCTGGGCTACGCATCTGATACGCTTGTGTATCTAGGGGAAGGCGAAGATGAGACAGATAACTCCTGGATGGTTGATTTCCGGCGGTTAATCAACACTGCCAAAGTGACGACTCACGAGGTCACGTCTTTGCTCTGCCTTCTCTCTGCTAGCATTACGAACCGACAACCTCTGCCGCCATATCTCAAAGCACCCCGTCCATACAGCTTCGCAAAGCGCCTGCAGGATCTTGACAGTGATCTACTTAGTCTCCGGTATATTGCCGAACCAGGATTCGCGGCGTTTGCAGTTTTACAGATCTCGACCCGCTGCATTGTCGGTGATATGGACAGATTACTGCGGTAGGCTTTTGGGAAAAACTTTCTTGTTCAACCTGGTCAAGCTTGCTAATACGGTTATTTTATTCTAGGCTCGTCAAAGACTTAGTCGGCGAATTAGACTTCTCCTTCCACGCTGTAACCACAGGGGAGTCAATGGCTGAATCGCGAATGCCGTCCCGGGCTGGATCAAGAGCTGATTTGACCGAGTATGCATCATCATCGAGACCTGGTGATCGGGACAAGAACGATTGATTGCTATCTTTCTGTTTGCTCTGTTCGGAGGCAGCGTTTCGGTGTATATATATATGTATATATATGTGTATTTTGACATGACTTGTACATAACCAGATAACGGAGATCATGTTATCATTACCTTCATCGGCGGAAAGTTGTACAACTCACGGTCGATTTCGCCATCAACAATACCCCGCAATATACTTCTCCGCAATCGGTCGATCTACATAACCATTCTCACAACCATCCCCGGTCTTCCTCCTTCCTATCCATTCGCATCTACTTAGTATAAACCGACTAGTATGACCGAAGTCAAAATAGACCAAGCTATCTTCTCCCAATCCTCAGGTAAAACGGTCCTGATAACAGGTGCTGCGCGCGGCATCGGAGCCGCAACCGCCATCCTATTCAACTCTCACGGTGCCAATGTCGTCCTCGCCGACCTTCCTCAATTACGAGACAGCGCCGAAGAAGTCATTCAGAAACAGATGAAATTCTCAAACCGCGCGATATTCGTCCCTACCAATATCGTCAACTGGGCAGAGCTAACAGCATGTTTCGAAACGGCAATCACCACCTTTGGTAGGATCGACATTGTCGTAGCTAACGCAGGTATCATGGAGTCCGAGTCCGTCCTGGACATGGATAATGTGGATGAGAATGGACATCTTCTGGAGAGTTTGGAGGCGGGACGGGTCATTGATGTCAATCTGAAAGGAACATTGAACAGTAAATTTTCCCATGATCTTCAATCGTTAATCTCAAGTTGAGTCCGGATTTCAGCTTGCTTGCATACTGACAATTTGCAGCTCTTCGCTTGGGATTACACTATATGAAATCTTCAGCATCGACCACTCCAGGCCCCCAACTGACAAAGTCAATCTTGCTAGTTGCATCCACATCCAGTTATTTTGGTGGAACGGGTGTAGCCGCCTATATCGCATCGAAGCACGGTGTGCTAGGTCTTCTGCGTGCTTGTCAGAGTGTTGCGCACGGATACGGTGTCCGGGTCAATGCTGTCGCACCGTTTTTGACACCAACTCACATCACTGCGGGCTTTGTGGATAGATGGTCTGAGGCGGGTCTTGAAAAGAATACTCCGGATGGAGTGGCAGACGCTATTGCCTTTGTGTCTTTGGATGAAAAGCGGCATGGGGAGAGTGTTTTGGTGAGAGATATATATTGTAAGGAATACCTAGTTGGTATGAAGCTAATGATCTTTTCATATGGTTAGGTTGCTGGTAAGTATCTCCGAGAGCTTGAGGAGCCTAGGGCTGGGCTTTTGCCTTTGTGGTTGGGGGAAGATCTTACGGATTTTATGAGTCGGGCGATGCAGTTCTTTGTTAGTATCGGGGGATATGTCTTGCCGAAGAAGTATTAGAATCTCTTACATCCGCTGAACCTCGAGTTATGTGTATTGAAATTGCTAGAAGTCCCATGACCCCTGCGCGTAAACGTCTTAGTCGAGTGGGATTCCCCAACAACGAACATTTTGTACGATGTCAGGGTTGCAGAGGAACTTGGCAGCACATCTAGTATGTAACTAGTATGTTCATATGAGAAGGATCACAATTGCTAGGTTCCAGGTAGAAAATCCGTATGGGTTCTGTTGTTGTGCCCATGCGAACTCAGCCAGCAGGACCAATGTAGTTTATAGTCACGTGGCTAGCATGTCGAAAATCCGACTAGGAAAACTTGGGAGAAAATAATGGGAACTCCCAATTCCACAGTCTGGAGCGTCATGGTATCTTTACTGTCTTACTTGGTATCTTACTTGGCCTTACTAGTAGTATGTACATAGCATTTTGTTGATCCACTTAAGGCAAAGCGAAGCGAGCCGAGAATCCTGGATCCACCGAACTTGCGGGTCTTAACGGAGTAAAAGGGAGGAAACAAAGATACCTATACAACTTAATCGTGTTGGTTACTACCCCGTAGTATCGACAAGACTTGGGGAAAAGAAAAAAGAGAGAGAGCAAGCTATCTCTCTACAGCCCTAAACTATCAAACAGGTCCACGTGACTACTATCTCGGGAGTTTCTGGGTCACCAACAACCCCTATCTCATAATATGGCTCGACAGCTCCACAATGGTGACCAGGGGACTCTGGAACTTGCATGTCAATGGTATGTACTTTCCCCACTGACCAAACCCTGGTGGTTAACGCCATTGTAGGGAAATGGTACCGTTACTTCCACCCTCCCCGTGGACAGTCTTCATCCCCAGACACGCCAACAACACTAAATGCTATCCACCAAATTCTTTCAAGATCCAACAAATTCAAATTAGATCCTGTCCCATTTCCGACACCGCTTCATTTTCAACTCGATTATGTCTATACCATTGATGAAGATGCCGGTCATTTTACAGTCACCCATTGGGAAAGCGTGAATGAGGCTCTATACCCAAGAATCCGACGTGCGACGTTGGCCAGCATTCGAGAGACATCGCTCAGTACAATAGACACGCTGCTTGATGATGTGCTGGAAGTGCCTAGGTACAAGAATTACTCACTGGGTGATTTAAGTGACGAAACCGATGTGCAACATCTATTGAATTCATTCCACATTAAGCCCAGTGTCCCCGCGCGGCTAAACGAGCTACAATTTCAGCTCTTTACAGACTTTATTTTCACATGGCGATTTTATTTCGACGCCACTTCTACCTGGGAAAGCTCGTTTCCCATTTTCGCCGCCTTTGCTATTGGACTATTACGTATCGCAGCATGGGACTTTGAAGTTCGAAACATGGACACTGAGGACCTGCCGATCACATTTTCAACCCTTCCAGAATGGAAAGCACCTGCCGACAATGTATTCTGGTTCCACAAATATTTGATCGTGTGCTGCACCACCGACCAAATTAGTGCTTCGCTGGCTAAGAAAGCAACTGATTTTGCATCCCGCAATAACAACCGCGCAGGGACTGTTCACGGAATAGTCATTCCAATACGTCATATCGCACTTTTTGAGATTCGCAATGGCGATCTACTTCATTCTCCCCCTATTCCTCTTGTTACCAATACTTCCGCAATGTCTTGCTCCCCCGGATTCAAGATATTAACGTATATATTCACTTCAAATCACCGGGCTGGATATTCAGCGCAGTCTGAAGAGTATTGGGGAGTTACAATACCCACAGAGCTATTCGACATGATAATTAATGCATCCACGCCGAGAGATCTGGTCTCAATGGCGCAGTCGTCTATTTTGGTTGAGAAATGGTATTACTCTTCTATTCCACAAATTCACGGCCTCAGTATCCGCGACTTTGCCCTCTCAATACCATGTTGCGGCAAGCGAAATACATCGGGTGCCCTTGGGGTTTTCTGCTCGATCTGCTATGCTTGGTAACATAAGGAATGTGCACAGCTGTCCTCCCATATGCCCTCTGACACTAATAGATATATATGTTCTGATTGTCAAGAGAACAGGCCTTGTACTGCTCTTGACATGGGTGGCATTCACCAAAATTACCGTGAAACGCGGAAACGGAAGGCATGCAGTGTAGTTCATGGTGACAAAACAAAGGATTTTCTGTTGCGATTTTCCAAGCCATCCTCTAGGAGGCCAGAATTACAGCGAATCCGAAACCTCCGCCAGCCTCCTCCACGAAATGCCGACTACACAATATTCTTCGGTGGGGTGTTTTCAGGTCTTGGATATGAATTTGATTAGTAGCCCGATTTATTGTTTACATAGTAAGAGGGAGAAGCTGGGAGACTGAGGAAGGATAAACTAGAAAGTATGCTTATGCGTGGGATTTGAGCTTGTGGCCGTGTCAGTTAACCCACGTGAGGCTAGAATCCCGTAAAATCACCGTCTCTACTCCGTAGGACGCGACCCTCTTCTATACTAGCTCCTTTGACTGTTTCTCAGCCCCCAATTGCCAAGGTCGCTAGTACATATTGCGTGTTTCTCCGGATTACCCCACCTCTACTCCGGACAGTGGGTTTACAATATATATCACATTATACTCCGTACAGGGGTAACCAAAATCGGTTAGTTATTTCATTTATTATTGATACTCAGGTAGTCACCCCTACAGCGAATAAATAGTCAATGCGAGACGAGCGTAGAAGTAGCACGATCAGCCGTAGGCATCTATCTACGTGCTGCCAATACCTATATGCTGCTGATCAAGATGTTTTGAACGGCTTCACTTCTTTGTCTATTGTTGAATTACGATTAACTCATTAGTTGCTATGTTAGATCTGTGAATCTACACTTTCAACCCTAAAATTCAAAGTTCAAAGTATTAACTACCGTTTCAACCAGAATGTATGTTATGCTACATGTTTTCCATTCATGTCATTTATATATAGATTCTAGGGTACAACCTTCTTCAAGACACCATCACAAGCTAAGTTAGTCAAGTCCACACAGCAAAGCTCCTTACGTCATATCATGCACGGAATGCTCGTTGCACATACATCATCGACAACTCACAAGGGGTGAAGAGCCTGGAATGTCAACTATGGTAAGGCCCTGGCGCCCTTTAGCCCGTCATTCCTCGGGGACTAGCTCTAATATTCCCCCGGGATAGAAGGTTTAAATAAGAATATGTCATATTTCGGATTAATTGCAACGCAGTTACTATGTATCCCTTCTTTTGTGGAATCCGTCTAAACGCTCCTTCGTAGGTTTCCCGATGACCAAGGGGTGGATGGGGAGCTCGTATTACCCCAATGACTGTAGCGCTTCTATCCCACGTTTGTGTAGGTGACTTTGTCATGCTAGCTATGAAATCTGCCCCGAGAATCATTGTTAAGTTTCGATTGATGCCTCAATCGATCTCGGATATCATAGTATCCCGATTCCCATGAGGAACGACAGTTCATCGACAAGTATATATACCACGAGACGGCTTTCTGTGGCCAGAATCAACACAAATGGGACGACATTCAATATCCGAAGAAATTTACGATAATGAGTCTAAAATCAACTTTGGTGTACCGGACAGCGTCCGAAGCGTGGACGATATGTCGCAGAACCCGGCACTTGGGAGCTCAATCCAACTATTTGAACGCGAACCATCACCTGAAGAACAACGAAGACGATTCGAAGTGCGAGAATGGCTTGTCTTTATCTCTATCGTTATCCTGACAATGATGGATTCGTTCAATGCAACCATTTTGATCCCAGCCTTACCCGTATGTCATGTAATATCTCAGAGTGCTATTTTCTATACATAAGAAAGCTGACTAGTTCCTCAATCCAGGACCTGGCAAACAAATTCGCAAAACCACTAGCAAGCACATTCTGGGTTAACACGGTATACCTTCTTTTCGGCGCAAGCAGCCAACTTTACTTCACAATGATGAGCGAAGTCTTCAGCCATGGACCCGTATGGATCATCGCCGTAGTCCTCGCGACAATCGGCACAGGGATCTGCTGCGGCTCTATGAGTCTTGTGGAACTAATAATTGGCCGCATGATCCAGGGCATCGGCGGCGGCGGCGCAATGAGTCTATGCTTCGTGATAATGACCGAGACAGCGCCCGAATCCATCCACTCACGGTATTCATGCTATATCCTGCTGACGCGCATGTGTGGCGGAATTCTGGGTCCCATTGTCGGAAGCTTATTTGTCGATAATGCTAATTGGAGGTGGGCGTTTTATTTCAACTTCATTTTCTGCGCGCTAGGTTTGCTGGCTATTCCGTTTGCTCTGGATCTTCGCGCATTGAAACATATCCCGCTGCGCAAATTGCGCATTTTAGATTGGTCGGGGATTACGTTGGCCTTTCTAGGTCTCGGGTCTATACTAGTTGGTCTTTCTTGGGGCGGGAGCTCTCGTCGCTGGAGAGACTGGCAGACGATTGTGCCTTTTGCGGTGGGCGCTGTGATTCTTCTTGCACTTCTCATTTATGAGTCCAAGTGGGCTCTGCACCCGCAGTTTGGGAGGAGGGTATTTCGGTCGAGGATGATGATTATGACACATCTAGGGTGCTTTTTGCATGGATTTGTGGTTAGTACACATTTCCTTTACATTTGGTTCATATTGTCTGACATACCAGTTTAGGTCTTTGCTCATTTGCAATTCTTCCCATTATTTTTCATTTCCACTCATTATATGTCTCCCACCTTATCAAGCATCACCTTGCTAGCTATGATTGGGATTGCGATTGCACCAGCTACAGTCGTTGGTGTGATTCTCGCAAAAGAGTCAAGATGTACCCAGTGGATCATATCTGGTGGTTGGGTCTTGACTGCCCTTTCAAGTGGATGCTCCATCCTCTTGGATAGCTCCACGCCGACCGTTGCGTGGGTATTTTTGTTATTCACAGTAGGCCTTGGACACGGTCTGTTGCTTTCGAGTTATAATGTTCGCATCCAGAATCTGCCCAAAGATGAGGATTCTTCCCTGTCGACTCTGCCAACAACCATGGCATACTACATGCAAGCTTGGGGTATGGCAGTCGCGGTCCCTGTCGGGGGAGTTGTATTATTGAACGTATTCGGCAATGGACTTGCAAATGTTGGACTGAATCGAGATATAGTAAACTCTGCCAACGGATACCTCATTCTGATGAAAGATGTCAGCATGAGCAGTAAACAGAAAGAGGCTGTTACAATTCTGTCGGTCGCGGCATTTCAAGCGGTATGGGATCTCATCACGGGCGTGGCGATAGTCGGGGGGATTTCGTCTGCTTTCCTATGGCGAAAATAAATCATGTGAATAGTAAATGTGTCAGAAATGGAGGACATTGGCGATTATTACTATATTTGTCGCGTCGCGGATGTCTCAAAGTAACACGGCCAGCTAACCTAATAGCGTATAAGGCAATGACAGACAATGCAAGGCTAGGAAGACAACGCTATCAAACTCTGGTAAGAGTAAGTCGGATTTCAGGCTAAAGGCTAATTTGACATACGAATGAAGTGCGTTCACTCGGCTAGGATAAAGGTCGGCAATTAGGCTGACATGGGCATGGGTTGTCCGGTGATGTTCACGAGCCTCTCTACCTCACTCTCACTCCATCCATTTTTTGCATCTTTCAGCCTCTCCGGAAGAACAAACTCTCGCTTCCCTGTTATTTTCCAACCAGGCAGCCTGTCTTTGCCAAGCAGCTCTAGTGTCTTCTTCTCGACAAGACTGTATTCGGAGGGCTCATCCCGGTCAAAATTAAAAGGCTGTTTCAAGGCCACTGGTGGGTTGGTAATCACGCGTGGATGTCTCAAGCTGTTGACAGAGATAGAATGAAACATCAAAGGATGGAGAAGAATGACATCGCCCACCTTACCGGTCGCCTGGTGGAATTCGCTGCAATTCTTTACAACATCCGTATAAAAGGGCGTATCCGTTTGTTTTCCAGCAGGCTCTTGGCCGCGGGGGTACATATATGGTGACACACCCTCAGGGTTATCGTACTAGAAAGCCGAGTCAGAAAGACGTAGAAGTAGAACAAGAGGTTTGGCCACATACCAAATGCTGAGCAGCATATTTCATCGCCTCAGGGCAGATCATAGTGCCACCCGCACGTTCCTGGATATCTGTAAATAGGGGTATAACGAGTAGACCCTGTTCAGGCGAATCAAGATAATGGGTAAAGAAGTCGCCATCGACATGCCACCCCTTCAGGTCAGCAGGATGGGGCCATGTACCCTCGGATTCAGGCGAGCCGAGATTGACAATCAGTGCATCGTTCCAGGCGGCTGAATTTGGGGCTACACGGTCTTCGCCCCCGAGAAGCTCGCAGATGGCGGCCCATGCCTTGGGGGCGAAGGTCCTGGCTGGCTCTTCCTTGGTGTCGCCCATGTGGGTAACTTCAGTTGTCCATGTTGACTTGTCCACCGGTGACACACCGAGCCTAGTCCACACATCGCCTGCCCATTCGGTTGCTTTCTCCTGAGAGAAACACTCCGGTAGACGCAAGTACCCATGTTTCATGAAGTGATCGATTTGCTCTTGTGAGAGTTTGTAGTTGGGTTTGGCTGCCATAGTGTCTAGGTCTTCCGAAGTGGAGCTTTAGTATTAGCCCATAGTTTTAATAATGAGATATGATACCTGCAAGTGATCAATTACTTACTTTGGGAAGATGCCTTGTTTTTAAGCGAGTGAATGGGTTCCTTTCTGCCGATAATTTAGATTTGACCAATGATATGTGATTCCTTCTGTCCTTAATTTGAGACAGTCACTAGTATGAGACTGAAAGTAGGAAGCGGTGAACTCGGGCTATAAGCTTTGAACTATTATTGATATTTTGTACTGCTTCTTCAAAAGATGGCGTTGCTTGGACCTGAACAAGATTTCTGAGAAAATATCTAATAAACGGCGTTGCCAATTTATTAATTCTCCGGTTAAAATGTTCAGCCCGGCCTAGTACGTCTTTTCCCCGCAAATCAAGAATTGCTCCCCTTCCCCTCCCAACTGCCCCTGCACTTCTTGGCATCACAGCTCATACCACCTCACTTGTCTCCATGTGGCGTCCAGGCTAATTTGATTACTCAATTGGGTACGGGGAATTTCACCCGGACCCTAAACGTGTTTGGTATGCAGAGAAGCGCCCAACACGAAGTATCCAAAATCTTGATCGGGAACAGAAGCTTACACCTTAAGTGAACATGGAGCAATATCTGTCAATTATATTTATGCCCTTGACTTTCTCCAGGTTTATCTATTTGCGGGCCTCGGCCCGTCCAACCCACAAGACTGTGGGGAAGAACAACTTTCGACTATCCAAAGAAATACTCCTAAAATGGGGGTACCCAAGTAAGCAAAGGGATTTGGATCACACCGGGTATATAGACCACTTGTTACCAATCACAACGCTGCGTCAGGATGTGGAACCCGTGCCCAGGCGATATTAGCCTGGGCCTGATACCCCGTGGACCTAAAAGCCGGGGATGGACCCTTGTCACTCGACTAGCGTCCCCTATAAGGCAAGCTTGGTCTAACAAGCCCCTAATCTGGCTAGTCCGTGCATAAATCAACATCTCTAGTTTCGGCGCTGGGCACGATCGGTCCTAGCGTCTCGAGAAACACTCGCGTTTCTTCTTCAGTTCTGTTTCTCCCGATATGCGTCTCTATCGCAAACGCTAACCTGGGGAAAGCTGTCGGCTTACACAGGTCAGCCGAGACACCAACTACCGTATTAACCGGTTAATATCACAATGTAATCTCCCGAGGATGGCAAATTTGAATTGCTTAAAAAGTCTGGGGAGCCCCCCTCTCCCCCTATCTCTGCATTCCTCTGTTTTTTGTGTCACAAGCTTGGTGGACATCTCAATTTTCTACCTAGATACTTTAACTGTACACTGCATTCGTCTAAGCAGACTCCACAGCCAACATGGGTATCGCTGTTGGAGCGTCGACTCTTAAGTCCGACTTGGACGCGACTAATGCTCAAAGCCCTGAGCTAGAGCAGGTCAACTGGTGGCAAGATCCTGGTATGCGCAAGCTCTATTTCTGGGCTGCCGTGCTTTGTGTCGCTTCTGCCACTACTGGATACGATGGGTGAGCATCATCGTTCTTTGGTTGACTATGTATTTGAGCTGACACAGCCTTGCGCAGAATGATGCTTAACACCTCCCAGAATTTGGATACATGGCAAGAATACTTCAACCATCCCAATGGCGCTGAGCTCGGGTTGATGAATGCAATCTATCAAATTGGAAGTCTTGCCAGTTTCCCTTTCGTGTAAGTTATTCTGTACTGAATACAATGGAAGGTCGCTGACTCGAATAGTCCCTTCATCGCTGATCGATGGGGTCGCAAGATTCCCATCATGATCGGATGTGTTTTGATGATTTTGGGTGGCTTGCTTGGTGCATTCTGCACAAACTACGGAAGTAAGCTTGACCATTCTACATGCTCGGATCATTACATTTACTAATCGTACCCAGTGTATGTCGCCGGTCGATTGCTCCTCGGTTTCGGCAACAGTCTAGCCCAAATGGCATCCCCAGTCCTACTCAGTGAAATCTGCCACCCCCAACACCGTGGAAAGGTCACCGCTATCTATAACTGTTTGTGGAATCTTGGTGCACTAGGTACGCATCTTTCTGGCCAGCCTCCCGACACTGGTATGCTGACTGAGTCTAGTTGTGGCATGGATTGCATGGGGAACGATGTATATCCCCAACGATTGGTCATGGCGCAGTTTGACTATCCTTCAAATCTTCCCTGCTGCCATTCAGATCGTCTTCATCTGGTGTAAGTTTCCATTTCCTTTCTTGTGCTGGACTGGGTCCAGGTGGCTGACCGTGATTAGGGGTCCCGGAATCTCCCCGTTGGCTCGTCTCAAAGGAGCGGTACGAGGAAGCATTGGACACACTTGCCTATTACCACGGAAATGGAGATAAAAATAACGCCACCGTTCAGTTCGAGTACCGTGAGATTAAGGAGACTATCAGCTTGGAGATGCGGTTCCAAAAGAACAGCAGCTACTTGGACTTCATGAGAACTAAGGGTAACCGTTACCGTTTGGCAATTTTGGTTTCTCTTGGAATCATTTCCCAATACAGTGGCAATGCCTTGTTCAGCAACTACACCAATCTGATCTACAACAGTATGGGTATTACTGAACAAACCAAGAAGATTCCCGTTCGTTTCCCTTTGCCCTCTGTCGAATGACCCCTGCTGACGTTTGATAGCTCAATGGTGGACAAACCCTACTCAGTCTGGTTGTCAGTGTTTCTAGTGCATTCTTCGTTGACCGAGTCGGACGGCGACCTCTTTTCTTGATTTCCACAGTTGGTATGTGCCATCATCCTCGATGATAATTTTACCGAGTTACTGACCTTTTCCTCTTAGGAATGGTTCTCATGTTCCTCGCATGGACCGTCGTTTCCTCCGTCTACGAAAGAACCCAAGATGTCAAGTCTGCCGGCTACCCACAAGTCGTCTTTGTCTGGCTCTTCTCTGTTTTCTACGCCATTGCCTGGTCGGGGCTCCTCGTCGCCTACTCAATCGAGATCTTGCCCTACCGCCTGCGCGCCAAGGGCGTTATGATTATGAACTTGACAGTGCAGGCATCTCTGGTTCTCGGAAAGTAAGTTGTATTCAATATAGCTACCTGCTATTTGGACGAAAACTGATCGTCTTAGTTACACCAACCCAATTGCGTGGGAGAACCTTCCTCACCACTGGAATCTATCGCTGATCTACACTATTTGGATTTTCATTGAGCTTTGCTTCGTCTACTTCTTCTATGTTGAGACCCGGGGTCCCACTCTCGAGGAGCTGGCTAAGATCTTCGATGGTGATGATGCCGCTGTGGCACATGTTGATCTCCAGCAGGTTGAGAAGGAGATTGCAATCACTGAGAAGGAATCACCTGAGTATAGGGAACATGCTTGATTGTGTGTTAGTGTCAAAATATACCCATTTGCAGGGCATAGCTTGGTGCCGATTGTCGTCAGACAAAATCTATTTGCTTTACTCAGCTTGAATTAAGTTGATAATACTTTATTTGATTCTATGTTATAATCTGATCTATTTAATCTAAAATGATATTAAGAACGGTATACTGAGAAGCCTTTCTAATGTCTTTTTGATGTCATTTTAATATAGGAACTTCCCAATTATTTGTTCGTGCCGTTACCCTGGCATAATCCAAAATGTATTCAAGAAGTTTGCCCACTGGTGGTATGCGATCGTCAATATATCCTGGTCCATGTTCATTATTTCGATGTCTCCATTATTTTGATGTCTTGACATACTTATGTCTATTCCTTTCGTAAAACTAATCAATCAGGAACAGTATTGGATTTTTCATTCCACAAGCGTTGACTCTACAGACTTGTCAGCAATTTCTAGGCCCCCTCCTAGTTCTTGTGGTCGGATAGCCACTTATGCTTTCCATTCCCTTTGCAGCTGAGGAAGACTAGAGGCAATGGTTCTGATAGAGGCATGTATTAATGTTTGCTCTTCAAATTGTAGACATACATGTTAGTGCATATCAATAGTCAATGCGGCGACTTGGGTTTCTATCCGTAATACATTAAATAAATATATTACGAATATCTTCAGAATCGTTACTAACAACAAGTTCGAACTATCAGATCTAGTCAGTATCAGCCCTCATATGTAGATGGTAGTATCGTTCTCATGCCTCTCGGGGAGTTTCCACTTACGAGGAAAGCTATGGCAAGAAAGCGCAGCACGATGTTCTTCATTTTGGATGAGCTTGTAATTCTTCCATTTCGGATTTGCAGTGAACACCTCGAAGTGAAAGCTGGTATCGTGACCGAAGCAGACAGGGCTATTGTGAATAGGAAAGAATTATTTGTGGGACATGGAAAGGATTGAAGTGTAGAAGGGCAAGTTCAAATAAAAAGTACCTATATGTAGAGATATGTAGGTATATGACCACTTTCGAAGGATGTTCCTTCCCTCTTATAGATGATCACTATACTTTCCAATATCCCCCAATTCCCCGACTTCATAACTTCATCTTCCACTCTTTCATACATCATCAACCCCGTTATCATAACCCATTGATACTAGCATCTCTCATTCTAAATTTCTTAACATCAATATGCACTTCCACATTGCTGTCCTTCTGGGCGTGGCCCACTTGACTTTGGCTGCTCCATTCTTGAACGTGTCGCATCACCCTCTTCCGGACGGCATGCCTAATCCAAGCCCCAGTGAGCTAGAGGAGATTGAGCAGAATGCGCACGGAACTCTGCCAAACGGACCTCCTCCAAATGGTATCAGCGAAGGAGGAATCACCAATCTCAAGCTTATCGCATTCAACGAACTCTTTGAAGTTGCCTTTTTCGATCAACTGATCACAAATATTACCGACAAGGTCGTGGGGTATCGTTTCTCTGATGAAGATGATTATAACCTTGTTTTGAAGAGCTTGAAGGTGATTCTGGCTGTATGAGATGACATTCCCGTTAGTGACGCGTGGTGATATTTACTAATTTGACACAGCAAGAGGAGCTGCATGCCCTGGATGCCAACAACGCCTTGACTCACGTTGGAGTTGACCCAATTGAGCCTTGCCACTATACTTTCCCCGTTGAGGACTTCGATTCGGCCGTTGCGCTCGCCACCACATTCACAGATGTGGTTTTGGGAACCCTGCAGGACGTTGTAGAGAGATTTGCTCTCGGCGGCGACTTTGGGCTGTCACGCACAATTTCTTCGGTGATTGGCCAGGAGGGAGAACAACAGGGCTGGTTCCGCGTCATGCAGGGCAAGGTCCGTAGTGAACTGCCGTTCTTGACGACCAGTGATCTCAATTTTGCCTTCACTGCCATTCAGAACTTCGTCGTGCGCGGCACTTGCCCCAATATTGACTCCATTCCGCTCAGAACCTTTGAAGCTCTCGATGTCATCAAAGCCCCGACCGATGAGACCGGAAACATCAAGGTTTCTTTCGACTATAGCGACGAGATTGATGAAGGCGCACTGTGGATTGTCTATATCAACCAGCAGAATCTGCCAATTGTGGAACCTCTCCAGGTGATCTCGAATGAGAAGGGCACCATTACTGCAAGGGCTTTGTTCCCCTATGACGCACATGAGATGAACGGGTTGACCATCGCTGCGGTGACCGCAACCCAGGGCCCATTCCCAAATGCATGGAGTGTGGCGAACGCAACTCTCGCTGGACCTGGCCTTTTTATCATCAACTGATTAGACTACATCTTCAATCGCCTCTGGCAGATTACTAGCGAAAAATCCACATCACTATCATTAGCAGCCCTATGACTTGAACGCAACTTGTACATCCCATCGACGTGGATTAGTTCTACTCTTATTGTTATTGTTGATATAGTATATTGCTCATGATATCTTCAATATGAAAACTAGTGGATTCCATAGCACCCGTATTGCTTACACTAACTACCTAGAAATTCACAAGATTCAAATACACCTAAGCACTTCATTTCCACAACAAGGCAAGAGATGTAACAGGGACCAGGAGCAGTGATTTTGTGATGCACAAAGCGAAAACGAAAGGTTGCTACAAGGGGAAATTGACATAGCACACCCATATAATAATGTACATATACTATATTTCATACCATTCTACGTACTACGTACTGTTTTTTGTTATCCTGTAATGACCTTGGGCACTAATCTCCACAGTATGCAAATTTTTAGTTTCATTAATAGAAAAAAACCTCCTCTTTCTCCTCCATCAGACAAGTCTAGATCTAATGAATAAAATATACAGAGCTGAAGCGAATTCTTATCACTGACTTCTATGACGTGGCATTGAGCCCTGGTTTGAAAAAGAGACAGTCGAATGCAACAAAGAGGAAGTTGTTTGAACTACAACGTCAAGTGAACCAACCGCCTTCGGATGGATCTGGTATAGGCGCAGATGTCACGCAACAGGGGTACAGTTGAAGTGTTACCATGGTCAAGCTTGTGGCTATTGTATATGGTCCTCGAGGATAAACATACGTACTCTTGCATAAAATATAAGATAATCCATATGTATTGCCGCGCTTAGATACGATTGATTGACATTGTAGTCCTTCGGTTTGGGTAACATAGTACATTGGTGCAAAAGGACCACAATGGGTGTACCAACCAGATCGTCTAGAAGCCTACAAGACAGGCACCCGAAAACAATAACATTAAGCGAACTGGCAAGCTGCAACTATATTTAGTCGCAACAATTTCCCATCTACCTTAGCTACTAGTTAAGGGTACTTTAACACATACCAGGGCCTACTACTCAGGCCACAATTTGGAAAGGGTGCGGCTCAACGGCCGTATGTACCTCTGGAGTGGGGAAACAAGCAGTGGACTCTTGAAGAGGAGAGATAACTTCGGATAGTACTTGTCATGTACTGTGTATTTACCGTCAAGAACTTCGATTGCAGTATCAGCATGGTCAAGCTCTTGCTGGCTATTGTTTTGCAGGCCTTGAAGATGATTGTGTAAATTGCAAGATAGTACAGGAAACCGCGCTTAAGATAACACTAATCTCAAATGTCGGCGAACGGTAATTTAAAATCGTGGACCAGACCATCCAACTGGTATATGAACAAGCGTATCATGAAGGAAAAGGATAAGCTACTTGCCTTTCTCGAGTGCATTGGTAACCTCCCGCTGATTTAACATTCGCGCATACTCCAGAGCTGTGCGACCTTTTGCATCTTTATTATTCAAGTCCGCTCCATTGCTGACCAAGTAGCGAACCACATCCGCTTTGCCGAGTTCAGTCGCTTTATGCAGAGGCGTTCCGAGATCCATGAACGAGAATAGCGCCCGAGAAGGATAATGGTCCTCGTACATAGTTGAATTGATAGCTGCCCCTTTTCCTACAAGAAGGCTTAAGACTGCAATGTTATCCGAATGCCGTTCAATTGCGTGATAGAGAAGTTGGCCTTTTCGAACATCTCCGCCACGACTGAGCATGAGCTGGATGACTGATACTGGTGCGCTCTCGACGGCAAGGGAAAGTGGGGTGAGATCAATAACACATTGTCGATTAGGATCAGCTCCATGATCAAGGAGCCAAGCTACCATCTCCTCATCTGCAATAGCATAACTGAACAAATGTTATAATGCTATCGATAACATAGTTGAGATTATTGGGACGAGTCTCACCCTAGTACGGGGGGTTTGAGTTCGCTCATAGGTTGGTTGATATTCCATCCATTTTCAAGGAATACTTCCAGCGCATCCTTTGCCTTCATATTAACGGCTTCCAGAGTATACAGCGGATCCATAGGCAAGCCGTGATCAAGGAGCTCTTTGATGAACTGTACGTCGTTTCGTTTGATGGCTTCGATGATTATCGCATAGAAGTCGCATATGTCAAAGCCCTCCGATGAAGAAATTTGTGATTCAAGAATCTCCCGAAATTTCTGAATATCACCGCTAACGCAAGAAGCACGCAATACCTCAAGGGTCGCGGGTGGCGTCCGAGTTGGAATTTGAGGGTAATCGCTCGGCTGGACCGGAGGATAGTCGGGCGGCGGCAGGACATCCATAGCGGATTCTAATAGGATATTTTCACAATTTCTTTGTCACGCGTACTTAGGGGCTGAATGAAGCGGAAAATTTATATTCTAGGCATTGGGTGGTGAGGTATAGGTATTTAAGTCAAGGCGAAGTCATCAGACGCTGAATCCGCATTCCCATGCACGGGGCTAGCCAATTAGAAGGTGTGTCCAATAGGCGGTGTTTCGCAGCAAAATAATGTCTTCTGGTTGGTTCCAGATGAGCAGGTAGCCGCTAATATAATATGGCTGCGAACTAGAACAGATAGGAACCACTCTTACAGGAAGTATTGGTTTATTGACGAGAGAAAAGATAGACGGATCTGTGCGACCGTGCGACCGGGGACAGGTTGAATGTCCCTGGTAAATTGAGTCCCTAGTTGGTCCAAGCCGACTCCGTACAGCGCAGGGAGTCAACCAATTGGTTCTGTAGGTACATAGGAGCATTCCACTTTCGGGACACCAGCATGAGTGGGGCCTTAAACCACTAATCAGAGGCTTTCATTTACTACGTGTTTTAGGATGGGCGGCTAGCTTGGGAAAAAGGTGCACCGTACGCAGTCTATCAATTGGAATCAGAAAGCAGCCAGGGACATGAAACTCATGATCAGGGCCTTAACCATACTTAGCAGCTTCATTGAGAGGCTATAAGTAGTAGAAGATTACTCTTGATAGGCATGGCCCTTCTAACTTTTCTGAACAAATATACCATACACTGCTATTTTCTATAAGATCCCCACAATGTCCGGATCTGGAATCCTCGCTCAATGGCAAGCCTCTCGTGCTGTTCTTGTGGTACCAATAGGCGACGTCCAGTTTCTTTCTTTCCAACAACTAGCGGCAATTGGTACCGGCGACCTTAGATCATGCTCTGTCGTTCTCATAGTATCCGCACATGGTGCTATTCTTGCTCATATCCCTCCACAACCTTTGCAACCATCGCCTGATCCTTTTGCTGGTGATAACAACACTCGTTCTATGATGGGTCGAGTGGCTGCTCTTTACCAACAGAATAGCGGGTACTTTCCTTCGGCGGACACTGTTGTCGTTTGTGCATGGTTCAACGGAGCTGTGGCTTTGCCCGATCAAATGGAAATAATGACCTCGTCCCTTCGGCAATTAGGACTCAATCCAGTTATCAGAACATATCACGTGCCTGGGAATCGGAATATTCCTGGCCAGGGAACTGTTATTGCCATCAAGGGTGCCAACCAGCCTAGGCCTCAAATATACGTCGAGGATCGTCCGATCTAAAATGTCTGTACTAGCAAGTGAACGAAAAGTGGATTATTGAGTCTGGCAAGGTGGACGTGCGACCTGATGTCAATTTATTTTTATTCATGCGATTTGGGTTAAGCCAAACAATGCAAGTTGAAGTCGAAAGTGGACTCGGAATAAGGCTTGGATCAAACGGGAGCTGTGACGGAAGATGAGAGTTGCCTCGGACTGGCACACGACTCTGAGCTTTTGCAGAATGCATTCCTTTTTTGTTTCACCTCTTGGAACTTGTCGCCTGGGAGATAAAACATAGACACCGATGGCGTCATTAGTCCTCTGGCGATGTGTATTTGATTGTCGCGGACTTCAGGGAATACTGTAAACTCTTGGCAACTCACCGTGGTCTATTGCCGCCCTTTTCATCTACTCGTCCTGTCCAAACTAACTATCGAAAAAAAAATATATCCCTCAGGGCGAACAACTGAATGAAAAATGCTTGCAGCGCAAGGGCCCTTCCCCGCTTTATTGGGGCGTAACCCCAGCGCCTCCTGCATCACCCACACTCGCCCTAAGATCGAATCCCACGCCATTTTAGTGCTCGGGGCTCGTTGATAACTGGCCGCGTACTATATATTGCTTAAGTACGGCTGAGCGGACAGGGAGCCCTGTTTTCCACACCCTATGGTCGTATGTGCTTGGGATAGTAATGGAGAGAATCATATTACCCATGTAAATGCATAGGTGGCGATGGAAGAAGTTGCCTAACTACAAAATGAAGTCCGTGTTCCATGAGCGATGTAAAAGGAGCTACAGTAAATAGGACAATCGACCCTATCAGTATGGACTTATCTTTATCAAAAACGTTCCATTTATTGATTGTAATTGCTGGGTATACCGTTTAGTTCTCGACTGCTACTGAACTTTAGGACATTCCTTGCTTGTATTGGGATAGATAGAGCTTACCGGTCAATTCACAGGGATATCGCCAGGAGTAAAGGAGCTCTTGAAAATTTTTATGAAGATACAAAGGAATGGAAAAAGCCCAAGCTATACAAATAGCTGGCTAGTCATGTCTTGACTTATATGCATGTTATTATGTAGGTAATTAAGAGTTTCGAGCCTGCCAGTGGCAAGTTGGTTATACATGATTATATGTACAACTTGGGAAGTGTTTAACACTGAAGATAAGCTTCCAAGCTGCCAAGGTTGTCCACCGGGTGGCGGACCCTACCATGGAAACCTCAAAAGGTTGGATTATGCCACCTTACAGCTTGCCCTGACCAGCATTGGCATTAACGCTCGCAACAACGGAAGTATAAGCCGTCGCGGACGCAATGTTCTTGCCAGCGAAGTTGACCAAGAACGCAGTATCCGCCTGCTTGAACGCTCCGGAAGATCCAAATCCGTTAAGCACACACGCGCGGCCAAGAGACGCGGTGCAAGCAGCATTGGTGTTGGTATCAGGGGAGGTGAACAACTGTCCGGAAATCGGCGACTCAACGACAGCCGCAATGTTCTGGAACACGTTGCCCTCAGCGAGAACATTTCCACCCGCACCGATCTCGAACGCGTGGCCGACGTTCTGGTACCAGTAGTTGTTAACCTAGCGCATATATTAGTCTGTATTCATAGTCCAAAGAAAGAAAGAGAGATATGCACTTACAGCATGCAGAAGAGTATTTCCCTGCACCTTGGGCGCACGTCCACTGGTGTGGAAGATGTAGTTGCCCTTCAAGGTGATCATATCGCTGGATCCGGTGAAGTACATTCCCCAGTAGTGGTAGCCGTTGCAGGTGGCGGAGTACTGGCTGGTGCCGTCGATCACGCTGTTGGAGATGGTGACGCGCTTGGAGGCATCGGTGCCGAGGACAATGTGCTGGCGGGAGATGCGAGCGGTTGTGACGTGGTCGATCCAGACCATGTCGGCGTTGTTGATGGTGATGGCATCACCGCCCCAGACGTACTTGGGGTTGATGTCGGTGATAGCGACGTTCCTAGATGGTGTTAGTTTTGGGGTTTGGTTTGGGAGTTTTTGGATAGTATTTGCAGGCTGTCTCTTACTGGATGATGATGTTGTTCGCACCGCTGACGATCCGAAGACCCTTGCCCTTGATGATACCCTTGCTGCCCTCACCAACAATGGACTTGTTGGACTTGACGGTGATGGCGAGCACACCGGCGTTGTCACTGGGAGGATCGGTCAGTATGAAGGAATGAGTTGATTAGAATGATGGGGGTTGCGTACTAGCTGACAGGGGCAGAGGGTGCGTTCGGCTCGTAGTTCTTGCACCAGTTGTCTTGGTTGATGGCAACCTGGCAAGCAGCGGCAGTACCCCAAGGAGCGCAGCCGGTACCGGTGGTAGTTCCCTCTGTGCCGGTGAAGTCGAAGGTCTTGGTCAGGATGATCACACGTGGTGAAGAGTCACCAAGGTACGAGACCAGCTCGGATGTGGTGCTTGGGTAGACAGGTGTGGCAGAGCCACCACCAGTGACGCCCTTGGCGAAACCCTCTGCTGCACCGGTGACACCGACGGCGGCAGCTCGCACAGCGAGCGCTGCAAAGATGGCTGTGATCTTCATGGTGGTTGAGGAAGTTGGAGTTGGTTGAGATGAAGAGCTGAAGAAAACATGTTGGGCGCGGTGGACGTGATCTTATATAGGCGATCCGTCAAATACAGGTAGAGCTCCGAGCTAAGACAAGCATGTTTGAGAATTTAGCCTCCGGGGCTAAAATATCCCTATTGGTGAAGCCACCGTTTGACCCAGCCCGTGCCGAAACGATTCCCTAGCTAGGCCTTTGGTTCTGGCATAGAATATAGGCCCTAGGGCTGGCCGGGTATTTGAGTGGATTATCCATAATCCACAATTTTGCGGAGAAAATGAGTCGGTCATACCATGCAGGGGTTAGATTTGGCGAAGAGCGGAAGAATTGCAGACGCGTGACATGGAGGATAGTAGATACACCAATAGGGTAACTTTTGGATAATTCGTATACAAGGTTCTCCGTGGCGAAAGGGTATCTTGCAAAACAATTCCAGGAATTAAAGTTGAGAGTCGTAACCAGGGCCAGCGATTAAGGATCGCTCGGGCGTATGAAGATGTTTCACATCTGGGATGTTCCCCACGCGTACAACTCCATGAAGGGTCTCACAGTCTATGGCCGGACTTTACTCGGATGATCTCCGAGGTTCGGTCTGACCTCCCTTCTTCGGGTTAAGGCTATGCTCAGGTGGTCTATGTTCGCTTTTCTACGGAGTAAGTTTCTCTATTTTCTATACTAGTCACGGGGGTAAAGTTGTGAGGTTCGAGGGGAATTTTCTCCGTTTTGACTAATGTAGAAGTGATTTTCCGTCAATCTCTAACGGAGAGTTCATTATTATCGCATCAATCATAGTCTAAATTGTAAATGTGTGAAGATCAGATAGCTGTACTCCATACTCTGTAGTGATGGTCCTGCAGGTGGTCCAGCCCCTGGGGCTTAATTTTACCCACCAGAGCTGTCAGATGGGATCCACTGGAAGCTCTTTTGTTCGAGAATAATTTCGGCGATTTGCTGGAAAAATTTAAGGAAAAAAATATACGAGGCGTGTTTCATCTAAAAGTAGAAAGAGAAAAAAAAAAGGGAAAGGGGATGGAAAACTCTTGAATGCATTCTGTCCATTAATAACGTGTAGTCTATACATATAATCATGTGTGGTATACAACAAGCAAAAAATGATCGGCTTTAACCATTTTCAAAGATACACTCCAATCCCTTCTAAGCGACGGGAATAGGACGCTCCAAGTAACCACGCCACTTGGGGAGTGCGCGTTCGCCACCGGCACCTTGGCTCTTCTTCAGATCCTCGATAGCACTAGCGTACTTGATCAAGGTGGCCTCGGAGAAAGCAGTGTTCATAATAGCAAGGCCAAAGGGCATTCCCGATTCCTCGCTGACGCCACCAGGTAGAGTGATAACAGGGTATCCAGCCTGGGCAGCGATCTGAATGCTCTGAGCGACATCGGGAGGCACAAGGAGACCGTCAAGAGTAACATTGCCCTGCTTCAGAACAGCATCGATACCCTCCTCACGGGTGGTGCGCTGGCAGAACTCCAAAGCCTGGAAGTAGGTCTCATCCATGACACCCTTGCTCTCGAGGGAAGCGAGGAGACCATCCTGGCCAGAAGCGAAGGCAGGGTGGATACCGGGCAGACCACCCTCGGAGCCGGAGTTATCGATGTTGTACTGGACGAGGTCCTCAACGGAGCGGACATTAGTGTTCTCGACCTCGGACAGGTAGTCGCGCAGGTTGTTGTAGAAGTCAACTTTAATGTAGGAGTATGAGGACTCGTTGGTGTAGCCGCGGGTGGTGCCATAGTCCCAGTTCCAGCCGTCAGGGGAGACAATCTCCTTGTAGTGGGGCAGCTCGGTGCCGTTAATGATGGTAGCACCGGCAGACTCGATCAGGTCAACCAGGTCGAGCAGCTGTGCGATCTGGTCGGGGTCGCCGAGGGCCCAGAAGGACTCCCAGGGGATACCAAAGACGGCACCCTTAAGAGCAGTCTGGTTGCTCAGGAACTGGGCGTAGCCACCAACGGGGGTGAGACCCTCCTGGGCGGAAGTGTAGTTGTCGCGGGAGTCAATGCCGTAGATGGCATCGAGGGCGTAGACGGCATCACGGACGGTCTTGCCGAAGGTGCCGACGGTGTCCTGGTGGGCCGACTCGGGGATGACACCAGCACGGGAGGTCAGACCAACAGTGGGCTTAATACCAACAATGGAATTGCGCTGAGCAGGGTTGATGACACTGCCATCGGTCTCGGTTCCAAGAGCAATAGGCACCACGTTAGCACCGACAGCGACACCACAGCCAGTGCTGCTGCCACCGGGGTTGACGGTGAAGTTGTAAGCACTGCGACACTGGCCACCACGGGCGCTAAAGCCTTCGGAGTAGATGTTAGAGCGCATGTCGGCCCACTCGCTCAGAGCAGCCTTGCCGAGAAGCAGAGCACCAGCTTTACGCATGCCGTTGACGACGTAAGAATCACGGGGCACAACATTGCCGAGCAGAGCCCAGCTGCCAGCAGTGGTCTCCATACGATCCTTACTGGCGATGTTGTCCTTGACAATGAATGGGATACCATGGAGAGGGCCACGGACCTTGCCTTCAGCACGCTCAGCATCGAGCTTCGTGGCAATGGCGAAAGCATCCGGGTTCACTTGCAGGATAGAGCTAGAGAGGCTGTTAGTACAGCATAACCAATTGTAAAAAAAAAGAGTCAATATGTAACATACTTCAAGTAAGGCTGGGTCTGGTGGACACGGTCCATGTAGCATTCCAGCAACTGAACGCCAGTGAAAGTGCCGTTCTCCAGCTCGGCCTGGATCTGATCGATAGTAGCCTCCTCCAGCTTGAAGCCATGACACATGCGCATGGGGAATTGCGCAGCACCTTCACCACCCAGACGAGGGAAGTCATAGAGGTAGGGATCAGTGAGGATCTGGGATTCGACCAAGCAGTCGGCCTCTTGAGCAATAACGGAGCTCACCAAGGCGAGACCGCTCACCAATGTGTGAATTAAAGGTGCCATTATGGGAAATTAGATTGAAAATCCCCGCCAAAAAACCATGTGGCAGAAACGTTAAATTATTTCGGGGGAGTTCGCGTTGTTATACTCTTTTTTACAACGCACCCGGCCCGTTCGTTCGGTGACTAATCTGCACGCATAACCAACCCGCATTCCCAGGACATTTTCACTATTTTCGTATCTCCCACCTGTTTTAGGCTCCTTTGATTCACTTCTAGCTGTTTTAAAGAGCTTTTCTATTGGATTGAATCTCATTCGGTCCACTATATCCGCTGAACTATTGGGATTTGTGGCGTTGTTCGAAGTCTCCGTGAAAAATGTTCAAATTGATCAAAAGAGCCATTTAATTTACTTTGGATATTAATTAATCTACCCTGCCAAAAAAGAACCTTGGTCGTCGGCTACGGAAGCAACACACCTTCCTAAAATCGTACGTTAACTGGATCCGAAGAATCTTCGGCTTCCAATTAAGTAGCATCGGAACCGAGTTGTGCTCCGTTCGATCGATCCCGATCCACTGTAAGAAGTCTTGATTGGCTGACTTGCGCGAAGAATCCCCCCTACCAAAATTCCTGTGACTAACTCGGCTTAGCTCGGGCAATACGCGGTAGATTTTTGATATTGACAAGGGTTTAATATAGCGAGGGGACCTATGAAATCCCATAATATGCAGGAAGTGTGGAAAGACCAGCCGCTTAAAGTCAAAAGATGTGTGCTAACCGATTCTTTCACCCACGTGGGATAAACAAATAAGATTTTAGTTCTGCAGACTTAGGGCTTGTCTTTAATTTAGGTGCATATTCTGACAGTTGATAATCTAATATATAAAGCCCTAGTATATGTATACTTATATATATATATATGTATGTATATATATACTTATAGAAGTTCCAATATGCTACAAAGTAGAGTTTGAGACTTTCTCCAGATTTGATTCTTCAAATCCATGGTTATGAAAGGTCTAGTATATCTAGTATATCTGGTACTGATGTCTCGTTGGCCACTCGCATGAAATGTCCATGGAATTATTGGAAACAAGCCCCGCTTCCACTTTCCTTAACAAAAAATTGTACCGAAAATACTTGAAAATGGGAAAATCACGGCTAAAATAATCTTGGAATTTGCCTTCGACTGGTTCCTTGGGATATAGTCAGTCTTGTCCCACTGGGGCGTCTATATCGTCATTTTCCTTTCTGATGTATCCTTTGATCTTGTATACCTTTACACTATATTCCTTTTGATCATGTCGCTCGTTTGATTCCAATGGCTATTCCCGACGATATCCTTGCTGCAGATGCAGCAGGGAGAATCCCCAGCAGTGTCTCGCTTGAATACCTGGCAGAGACCCGTGATAAATCTGCCATTGTGGGAATCATTTTCATGATATGTTTTACTGGCCTGTTGATGATTGTACGACTATATGCCCGAGCATGCATTGTGAAGAAGATTGGTTTGGACGACGCATTGGCTGTCGTGACATTGGTATGATCATCCACTTTTCACCCCAGATCTGCAAACTAAACATGCACGACATTCGCCTCATGCACGACAGAATTGGCGCATAACAAAAAAAACTATCGTCACTAACAATGTCTCCCATTGCAGGCCCTGTACATCACCTTTGTCGTTCTCTCCATCATCCTGATCAACTTAGGAAGTGGTCGCCACATCGAATATATCGAATATGTGTTATCACCTGATACAGTCCGCGACACCGAAGTTTTGGACTTCACCGCCCACATTATCTACACCACCGCTCTATTTCTATGTCGTCTCTCCGGTCTAGCCTTTTACTACCGGCTGACAGCCCGCTCAACGAAACTCCACCTAAGCATTATCATCGCCGCACCGCTCCTCCTCGCCGCTTACCTGCCCCAACTCTTCCTCCTGATCTTCCACTGCAGAGAGGTAACAGGATTGTGGCCCTATGAGTGGCAAGTCGAGCCAAAGACTTACAATTGTCTCTCATGGGGACTGGTGTACTCGGTGAACTCAGGACTATCTCTCGCCTGCGATCTGCTGATGTTCGCGATCCCCGCGGCGCTCATCAAGGGACTACACGTCTCTTTCGAAAAGAAGATCAAGCTATCGATTGTTATGTTCCCTGGTATCTTGTGAGTAACAGCTCTTCAATTCTTAGATAAATCCCACAAAACTAACACCACACAGCGTAATCGTGATCTCCGCAGTCCGCGTCTGGCTCGTAGCAGTAGGCCAATGGAATTCCGACGGCAGTTGGGCCTACAATCCGATGATGTGCGTTGAGAACGCTGAGATCGCCGGAACTCTGGTCGCGCTCTCCGTTCCAGCGCTGAAACCCGTCTTTGGAAACCTGTTCGCACACTTGACCGAGTATACTTCCAGCCACACGCGTTCGCGTTCGACAAAGCTGCACAGCCTCGGCCATACCAAGACCATAGGCAGTGCTGCGGTCTCAAGCAATCGGGATAGCAAGCGTCTCATTAATTGGTCTAAGCTCGGCAAAGATGATTATGAGATGATGCCTTCTGAGGTCTCGGTTTCGAGGGATATTAGAGGTGCCTCGAGCGGGAGTGATCGTAGTGGTGGGAAGGCGGAGAAGAATGGTTCGAAGAGTCCCGGGATTCGGGTTACGAATGAGGTTAATATCAGTCGTGGGGAGGAGAGGATTATTGTTGAGAAGCCGGGGTCTAGAGAGAGTTAGAGGTGTTGCATTCTTTGCTGTAATAGATATATAAGACCACTTATAATATAATACAGGTCTCTCCTTGTTAATAGATCCTACGCGCCCTCTCTATATGGTGAGAACTTGCTTCTATCAACGGACAATGGCAGACATGCCATATGAACAACCCGATCATCAAGTCCTTTGTCGCCGGGGTTTTAGAGCGTTAGACATGAAACAAATAACTGAAGCAGTATAGACTAAGCCAATGTTTTCCATTCGTTGGAAAGAGAATGAAACCCGTGATAACTCGTTTGCCGCTTCCCAACACATAAGCCCTATTTTAGGGACGTTTCAATAACAGCAATGCGATATAGACAATTAATAGTTGGCATAACAGTATCTTGGTTCATTTATATATATACAGTATGTTCTATCTCGACAGTTATCAACCTCACTATCTTCAGTCTCATAGATGCTCATCCGAGCCCACTTCAAGTTATCAAACCTTTTAACTTCAATATCTACCTTGTTACTAATACCATGACTTCAAGAGCTCATTCCACCGCTGGTTTTGAAATCAGCCTAGCACCTCCACCCAATCCTCCACACCCACATCTCAAAATCGAAATCGACTCCGACGCACGCATATATCCATTTTGGTCCTGCGATGGGGAAGAACACCAGGACTTCCCAAAAACCATCAAACAATATTATGAGCTCGATTCAGATAAACTCGACAGTCTGATGGTGTTTTTTGAGCAATTCCTTCCCCGAGCCACAGAAACTACATCGTATCCCAGGATTGCTGATACATGGCTCAAGTGGGACTACAAAGAGAGCAGGTGGCTTCAAAGGACAATCGATATAGAAACCAAGCGCTGCATATTCGGCGTGTTCATCGGATTGACTGGCGAGCTCGTGGATCCCAGTCTCCCTAATCCGCGGAGATATCATGCATCGCTTGACAAGCCGGCGCAAAAACCGAAACCCCCGCCAAAACCCTCCGGTATAGCACCGTCAAATGCAGGTATTGTGCATGCACAAAGCCGTGATAAACCAAAGAAGGGGTTCTGGGCACTGTTCTGGTAAATAGATGGCATTGGTAATTTCCTTTTGGGAGGGGCAGGCTGTTGGGGGCGTTAAATAGTGTGGCGCTTAGTTTGTTAGTGAGACATGAAACGGGGGTTATTTTCTCAACTTGGATTATTATCCGGCACTTAAAACCTCTCTTCATTCAAGTTACTGTGGAGATCAATATATGTGAAGTTGAGTTTGGGGTGGATATAAAATTCAAATATTGAAGGATGAAGTCTTATCTGCTCGGCTTTTACCTGCCTTTTATGCTGTACATATGTGGAAAATATACTCCATAAATATTAACCCAAACATATCCACAGTGCCGGATTCCGAGGTTAAGCTTTCAATGTTATCTCGCGATGTCAAGTGAGCTTCATATATGAATATCAAAACGGTCGACTTCAGAGCAAAACCCGCCTCGGTCTGTTGGGTGTTACCCAGCACATGTTATAACGCTGGCCCCCAAAACTAGCCCCCAATGTTGACCCCAAGGCCCCAGGTGTTACGTTCTCATTTGCCAAGATGCATGAGTCAACTCCTTTAGGCCGTAGTTCAAGTTGCTGATTATCAATTCTAGTGCTTACCAACCTGATCAAATAATCGAGACCGCTTATAATGCGAAGCCGCTGACGATCAACGACTGTGACGCAATGAACATTTGATGTATAAAAGAACTTGGAACACTCGGTGTTCTAGGGAACACAATATCCATTTCATTTACTACATTGACTTGTCCCGGTGATCCTTGGCTAGAAACGCCCATAATTTCTACGACTATTCAGAATGACACTCAAATACCTCATTACAGGAGCGACTGGTGGCCTTGGTGCCGGAGTCCTATCCTACCTTGTTGCGAACGTCCCAGCATCGGAATATGCTGCAGCGTCGTCGAAAGAGGAGAATCGCAAACGATTTGAAGACCAAGGGATCGCATTCCGAGTAGCGAGCTATGATGACCCCCAGACATTAGAGACGGCATTCGAAGACGTGGAGAACCTCTTCTTCGTAAGCACTGCCACCTTCGATGTCGAGAAGCGGCGCAAGCAGCACCAAAATTTCGTAACAGCAGCGAAAAAGATGAACGTGAAACACGCAAGTCACCAATCTCCCAACACAACCATCCCCGCTAACATGGAAGCCACAGGTATGGTATACATCTCTCGCATTCGGCGGATATGGTTCCGACTCCAAGGCGGATGTCCAACAAGCCCATCTGGTGACAGAGGAAATGATGAAACAGTAAGCCAAGCCCCGACTGTGACAATCCACCCAGCTTCACTAACACCAGCCAGAGCTGGTATCAACTTCACCTCCATCCGTGAGGGTCTGTACACAGACGCCTTCCCAGTCTTCATGGGCTGGTATCCAAGCACATCGACCGTCTACCTCCCCTCTGACGGGCCGATTGCCTTTACACTGCGGTCGGAGCTAGGCGAAGCGAATGCGCGACTGATGATTCGGGGTGGGTATGATCGAGAGATCGTGCTGCTCACTGCGCAGCAAACTGTCACATTTTCAGAGATCGTAGATCTGATCAACGAGACGACTGGCCGAGATGTTAAGTTCGAGCTGGTCTCGCCAGAGGAGTTTTTGCGGTTGAAAACGGCCGACGAGGGCGGGAAGCCGGAAGGGTTCTTCCGGGCGCTGTTGTCGTGGTATGATAGTATTTCAAAGGGGGAGACGTGCACGATTGATCCGCTCATGGCAGACTTGCTGGGCCGGCAACCCGTGCCGCCGCGTGAGGCTCTTCGGGCCTTCTTGACGGAGAATCGGGACTATGAATGGCATCAGAACTATGTCAATCGTGGTTAGTTAGTTGGTTGGTTAGTCGAGCAGCCATTTGACTCTAATCAATAATATGACAATGTGGCAGTTCCAATGGTTCCAATGGTTGGCATGTGAGTCGTCCGGAATAGCCGTTACCCTGTCTCGGCAACTAGACCGGGAATGGCCTTGGAGCCTGAGGCCCTACATATTGTGGGTTTTGACTGGGGGATCACTCCAGGGCTGATCAATGGAGAGTTGGAGTAGATAAGATGGGGAGATTGATATAATCTATCAATTAAACCACACGCTGGTATTTCTAATTGATCAGTATTCTAACACAGTTATGTTCAATTGACCAGTAGGTGTATCGGCAGTAGATTCGAGTGAACGCCGTGTCCGCCCGAGGCTTGTAAACACCCTCGCGCTTATTGGTTAAGACCCGCTGATGTCAGCATCTACACACCCGACCCGTCAAACCCGAGGTTACTAGCGAAGAGACTCCTTGGACTTCATTTTACTGTTGAGGATCTCTGTTGGTTTGTGAAACTCGACTTCGTCGTCGCTACCTTCACACTTTTGAAAACTCTCCTCTCTGCTTTCGTCTCTCTCTGCTATCAATCCTATTTTCTCCAACCTCTCCATCCTCTCTTTACCGTCCACCTTAGTGTTTTTCACATTTCCGATCACCCGCCATGGCCTCCCTCCGTACCACTTCGCGATTGCTCGCTGCATCGCGGCCAATGTTCCGCCCTGCCTTCGCTCGCACCTATGCGACCGTCGAGCCTACTCCCTCCGAGCAGCCCAAGATGAAGACCTTCAAGGTCTACCGCTGGAACCCGGACACACCTAGCGAGAAGCCCCAGATGCAGTCCTACGACCTCGACCTGAACAAGACCGGACCTATGATGCTCGATGCCCTCATCCGGATAAAGAACGAACTTGACCCTACCCTGACTTTCCGCCGATCCTGCCGTGAGGGTATCTGCGGTTCTTGCGCGATGAACATTGACGGTGTTAACACTCTCGCCTGCTTGTGTATGTACCCGGACCCGCACACACGCTGTGTCGAAGCATCCGACGGCTCCCGACTGGAAGCTAACCCTTTATCTGTATAGGTCGCATTCCCACCGATACCAAGACCGAGTCTCGCATCTATCCTTTGCCTCACACTTACGTCGTTAAGGACCTGGTCCCTGATATGACCCACTTCTACAAGCAATACAAGTCCATCAAGCCATATCTCCAGCGCGATACTCCCACCGCAGACGTGAGTTGTCTTATATTCCAATATCACCTACAAAAACTAACAATTCCCAGGGCCTCGAAAACCGTCAATCCCCCGAGGACCGCAAGAAGCTCGACGGTCTCTACGAATGCATTCTCTGCGCCTGCTGCTCAACATCCTGCCCCTCTTACTGGTGGAACAGCGAGGAGTACCTCGGACCCGCCATTCTGCTCCAGTCCTTCCGTTGGTTGGCCGATTCCCGTGACGAGAAGACCGCCGAGCGCAAGGCCGCTCTCGACAACAGCATGAGCGTCTACCGTTGCCACACCATTCTCAACTGCACACGGACTTGCCCCAAGGGTCTGAACCCAGGTCGCGCAATTGCCGAGATCAAAAAGATGTTGGCTGTCTAGATTTGTGGATATAAAACGGAGTACCGCGGGATTTTCTTCTCTGTCCATTGCCTTTCCAGTCGCCTTTCCTCTGTTTCTCTATTTCCTATTTTCGTTTTACTTTTTTCCCCTGACTATTTCACGGATGTTTCTATAGGTGTAAATTGTGGACCTTTGTTTCTTACAGGAATGCACTGGTAGTCCATTCGGCTGTTGATGATAGCGCAACCTATACCTTTGCTTTGTATTGTATCAATCTATCAATCTAGATGTCTGATATTTCCGTATAAATCCATATACATATATCTGCAAATCTATATTGGTCAACACCGGATTACTCCGTAATACCTCCCCCTCCCCCCAATAACAGATAGCTAAGCGAATCCCAATACACTTATCCCTGTATGGGCTAGGTTCACTCGGCTATGCCCACACTAACACCGCTGCCACGCTAAAAAGCCCATTTCCTCCACAAATCGTCATAGGGTCACGAGCGTTCACTCAGCTGGGCTGTTAGCACAGTTGGTAGTGCGCCCGCTTCGCATAATTGCGAGCGTGCGGGAGGTCCTGGTTTCGATTACCAGATAGTCCATTGTCTCTTACTTTTTTGGGCTAAAGCTCGTACGTTTTCAAACTTTTTTTTAGCTTTGTCCTCTTGTCCGGCTGCAGTAAAAGCGGGTTATGAGATCCAACATCCAAAATCAGCATTCCATTGGGCCGCTCCAGCGTCAGCCCAGCAAAAAGGGTGGATATATATCAGCCACGCATGCCGTATCTTGTCGTCTACATATCACATCACATTTGTTCGAACCAGGGGTGGCCCATTGTTTCCAGGCCTATGGACAACACGATTGTGCTGGGACCAATCCTAGCGGTTGATGCGTCTGCAGCTGCATGGTGGGCAAAATCGGATAGTACTCGAACGAATAATAGAGCTATATAATACCTTAGGGGCCTCCTCCGGAAGTGAGAGTATCCTGGAATGGATGTATTGTTTAAATAAGCGTGTTGAATCAGGAAAGAGATAAATCCTACACTAACTACATATGCACTACGGAGTATGCACGATGCACTATCTATATGCACTATCTTACTCGTGGGGCTGTTTTATCCCTCTCTACCTATATTCACGCCCTTCCTATATAATAGATGGTCCTCGCTGCTCTTCCTCGCTATCAGTGAATTACTTGGACTATAATGGATTCCTCGGCACTATATCTATCCTTGGTGCCGTTGTCGCTGGTCCTGCTGGCCTTGCGCACCGTTTACCATCTGTACTTCCATCCGCTGTCCAAGTTCCCAGGTCCAAAACTCGCTGCTGCGACCTTTCTCTATGAGTTCTACTATGATGTGATTAAAAGCGGCATGTACATCTGGGAGATAGAGCGCATGCACGAGAAATATGGTGAGTATATAGATCCGATGTCAACATCAACCATCCAATTAAATACACAAGTCACTCACAACTAACACAAACAGGCCCAATCGTCCGCATTAATCCTCGGGAAATTCACATCAAAGACTCAAACTACTACGATGAAATCCACGCCGGCGCCTCGCACAAACGCTCCAAAGACCCTAAATACGCCATAGCCTTTGGGGCGCCCAACTCCCTCGTAGGAACAATAACCCAAGACCATCACCGCTTCCGTCGGGGCCTGTTGAACAACTACTTCTCCAAGCGGTCGGTGGTAGAGCTTGGCCCGTCCATCGAAGACAAAGTCGAGAAGCTAATCGCTCGCTTCGAGCAAGCCCACCAAGCCGGCGACGTGCTGCACCTGCAACTAGACTTCGCCGCGCTGACTGCGGATGTCATTACTGACTACTGCTACGGCTGGAGCTACGGCTACCTAGACGGTGAGAAGGGGTCACGGAGCAACGACCTCGTTGACGCTGTTAACGGGCTGATGGTTATGTTCCACATCAACCGGTTCTTCCCGTTCCTTATTACTGTGTTCCGAAATGTATCGCCCAAGGTGCTGCGCAGGCTGCAGCCGCAGATGGCCGATTTGTTTGATTTGAAAGCTCGACTTAGACAACAGGCGAGTGATACTTTGCAGAAGCAGGGTCTCCGGAAGGTTGACACTGAGGCGAGGCCGACTATCTTTGATGCATTGACGAGTTTGGAGTTGCCTGCGGATGAAAGGACGCTAGATCGGCTAGAGGATGAGTCCGCGCTGTTGCTTGGCGCCGGTACGGAGACTACGGCTAGGGCTATTACTGTCTCGATGTTTCATCTCATCAACAATAAGGAGATTATGGCAAAGCTGCGGGCGGAGTTGAAGACTGTGCTGCCGACACCGCTGTCCAAGGCTTCGTGGGTGGATTTGGAGAAATTACCATACTTGGTGGGTTATTGTTTCTGGGTCCGTTCTTACTTCCGTTGTGGATTGCTGATTTTTTTCGTTCCTTGAATTAGACGGGTGTCGTCAATGAAGGCCTACGTCTCAGTCATGGCATGACATCCCGGCTGGCTCGTATTTCACCAACCCAACCTATGCTCTACCAGGACTGGGTCATCCCTGCAGGTGTAAGTAAATGACACTGGCTTATCGTTTCTAAATGATTTTGCTGATAATTTTGCTGATAATTTTGCATTGCAGACTCCGGTCAGTCAGTCGAACTACTTCGTTCATATGGACTCCACGATCTTCCCTGAACCGGAGAAATTTGACCCGGAGCGTTGGATCCGCGCGGCGGAGAAAGGGGAGTATCTGAGTCGGTATATTGTTTCGTTTACCAAGGGGAGCAGACAGTGTCTGGGAATGAGGTGAGTTGTTCCTATGCATCACCTCGCACTATTTGTACTAAGGCATTCTCTAGTCTTGCCTATGCGGAGATTTACTTATCCTTGGCACATATCGCTCGTCGTATCGACTTTGCACTGTACCAAACTACTACTGATAACATCTGTGTTTATCGTGATATGGGAATTGGATGTCCGAAGGTTGGTTTGTTTGGTGTTAGGGCTACGGTGGAGGGTCTTGTCGGGGAGTAAGGTTGAGTTAGTGTAAGTTTGTAGTTTTCCTCTTTGGTGATGATGACGATTTATAAGACTTGAGCTTGTACTACTGTCGATATTGGTTTTCAATGGTACTTTTTGATGTGCGTGTTAGTTATGCAAGTAACCGTGTTGTGGGGTGTACTCGAGCTACTCCATGGCTTGATGATGGCGGTTTTGATTTCGGTAGATTTGAATGTGTTTAGTTATGATTTAATGAATACAATTACGAAGAAGTTTCCCCTGTGTGTCAAATGAACTGGAGAGCTCTTTTATATATCTCGAGCTACACAATAACTTCCCTGATCACCGATGCGAGCCATGATGTAATGTTCAACATAGATATATATTATTGTCTGCATTAGTCGTGGATTGGAGTGACAGAATGCACTTTCAAAAAACTTACAATATAGCTACCATCACCACTACCAGGGTATTTCCCATAACAGGTCTATTCTCGGCGACCATCCTCAGTAAGATCCCACCAATTCTGCCATTGTCTTGAGGTGCAACCAAAGTACCCGGAGCATTGCTCGACCTTCCCAACATTTTCGGTAGGGATAGGTACAGCAAATTCCGAGGGAGAAGGAACTGAGTGAGCGCGTGGCTTGACCAGGTGGTGCCAACTAACACCGAGACCACTCACCAAGATGGCAAGATGAGCTAAAACCTCAAACAAAGGACGAATATTTATTAAACAGGGAATGATAAACAATGGAATTGGCATGCTAAGGATGTCCTTTAAATATGATTTTTATCTTGATATTTATGTCCGCAAGACAGTTAGACCTGGCATCCCTAACCTGAACAGGTGGAAGGTAGGTATATAAAACCACTGACTAGAACAGCTGAAGCCAATACATAGCACCATTGCCTAGAATGGAGCTAAACCAGCTTTATTCAGTGAAACCAGTCCTTATTAAGTATCAAGGATGACCTCGGGAGATAGTACAAATTAAGTGTGACTGTATTTATCTACTTAATTCTAATGGAGATTAATTCAAATTGACAAACGACATATCTAGCCGTATAATATAAATATAAAAATGTTTTCTTGTATGATGTGCTTCCAATCTTGGAAGCATTATTCGATATAATGAATTTCTAGATTTTCACATCGAATAGATTGAAGAATATTGGATTACTCACTCATAATATTTACAGAGGTCCACAGGTATATACGGAGCGCTTTATCTCACATTATAAGGTTCCCACTGTGGCATTGTCTAAAATTAACTCGAGATGACCTACTACTGACTCCCTCCAAGCGAAGATTTATTGAACCAAACATAAATGAACTGAACGGTAGATCAAGATATTAGATCAAATACCAACCAGCCTCTGTCCATATTAAGCAAACCATAAAACCAGGACTAGGCAGATCATGGCTCGGTGCAATCAACAGACCACAACAAGGTGTGTACTCCGTACTGTACTATCAAATCCAAAGGCACATATCAGATCTAATGCGATCCTGAACACATGTGACTAAAACGCAGGAATAAAAGAAATATAATCAGCCTCGACGCAAAGCAGACTTGTACATATGGACGGACTGACTGGCAATGCAAGGGGTTGCTAGGGTTGTTAGGGGGTACTTCCTGCGTGCCAGAATATCCCTCACACATTCATCCCCCCCCCCCCCCCCCCCTGAATGAAGCGTTAACGGGGTCTTATTACTCTCTATGCATTATGGTAGACTTTTACTCCCCGAAGAAAGATTTTATACAATAACTAGTGTAGTGCTGGTATACGACGTAGTCTGTTTTTCAAGAGAGCCATCATCAACCCAATAAAATGAAACTCAAGCAACAACCTGGTTAGGAAAAATGAAGACACGTATTGCGTGAGATTTTAAGATCTACATATTTTCGACTCACACCCGCGAGAGGTTTGAAAAGAGCTTCATGTGTGCCAATCAACCTCACCCACTATCTCCGAAACGCTCAAGTTTGCACTCTTTCTTTATATGAAATGTTGATTATTGGATTTAACATTTAACATCTAGCATCTAACAAGCTTTCCTCTTTCCTGGGCAGGTCACTATGCGCTCATTCCACAGGAACCCGCGCATACGCAGCAATTGGAACACTCTGCAGCCCTCCCATAGGCGTAGGCGCCCTGTTATGTGGGCATCATCGCAGCCCAGCGATGTAGATCCCTGTCAGTAAGAGCGCGAGGCATGGAAGACGCGAAACAGCAATCAACAACATTTCATCTAGGGCCCTATATTGCCTACATAAACGCCATTGTAACCCCTGCTCCTGATCGCTAGCCAGTCATTCATTTGTTTCTCTGACCCTCAATACTCTCATTTACTCCCAATACCAGGCCACTCGACCAACAAAATGCACATCTCATACATCTCCCTAGCGTTCTTCGCTATCGGCGCCATCGCCGCGCCCGCCGCTCCCAAGCCCGGCATGGGAGACATCACTAGCGGCTTCCCCTTCAACCCAACCGGCTACTCCAGCGTCGAGGATGGTGAGGAGGGATTCGGCGACTCCTTGGCCTCCGCCCTCGACGCAATGGAGAAGGCCGAGGTTGCCAAGCAGTCTGCTAAGATGTCCGCCCATATAGCCGCTCAGCCCACAGCTTCCTCCACCGCGGCACCCAGCGCGCACCAGATTGAGCCTACTTCCGCATCCGCAGTCTCCATCCCAACTCCAGTCGTCTCCCAGGTTCCAACTACCTCCCACGCTGTCCCTGTCGCCTCACAGGCTCCTACAGTTTCCAAGGCTGCCCCTACCACCGCCGTCCCCACTCCGACCCGCGCCGTCATTCCCACTCCCTCTAAGAGCGGTTCTGCTAAGAGTGGTTCTGCTTCTCCTTCCTCCAGTGCGGCTCACCCCCCTAGCGCAACTGCTTCCGGTGGCGCCCTTGGTAGCCTTGTCAAGGATATTCCCGTTGTTGGGGGTCTCGTTAGCGGTCCCATGGCTGGCCTCGGTCTCCGTCATTGAGACCAGTGTCTACCTAGTGTGGTTCGGTGTGGTGTGGATTATCATCTTTATGTATCAGGTGTCTATGTTGGTCACTTCCACTCTTTTTTTTTCTTGGTATTTTGATACCTCTGCCAATGGATTGATGGCGCCTTTTCTTTTGTTTTGATTTCTCGCAATCATCCATATATCCAATGACTTTCTTTAATTTATATAATCCAAGAGCCGCTTTTTTGCTCATCTTCATAAATTCTTAAATCTATAACACTATCACATAGAATTTATCTCAACAAATGAAACATAAAACACCCCAAACTCATCTCTCTAACTCGATGGGTATTTCCCCCCAGATCCCAATCGATCAATGCATCCCTCAACAGCCTTCTGCATAGCATTGGTCGCCTCCTCCAACAGCGTCGTCAAAGGCACCTTCCCAGCCATCTCCGCCTGCACCCTCACATACTCATTATTCAACACCTTATTGATATTGACCTTGCTAACCCCACAATCAATGCACTTCTTAAATATCTCCTCAGTAAACGGATCCGCCCCATGAAGCACAAGCTTCACCTCCGCGCCAACAGCCTCATTAATTGACTGCAACCGCTCATACTCCAACTGAATACCTCTCGGCCCATACTCGCCATGGACATTTCCAAAAGCAGGCGCAAGCCAATCAATCCCCGTATCCACAAACTCCCGACTCTCCTCAGGCGTCGTAAGCAATCCCTCAAGATCAGCTGTATCAGCAACTCCATCCTCCCCACCCTCAATCCGACCAGGCTCTGCCTCAGTCGCGATCCCCCGCGCATGGCAGTACTCCACCAGCTCGCGCGTCAGAGAAAGGTTCTCCGCCTTTTCGTAGTGCGACATGTCGACCATGATGCTGTCGAATCCACCTAGATCCGCAGCATACCGGATAATCTCGGGCGTTTGTGCGTGGTCCATGTGCACGGTTATGGGCACGGAAGCTTTGCGCGCGGCTTCGGCAGCTGCGTGCACGAGTAGCCCGTCGGCGTAGTGAATAGCCCATGGGAAGAGGAGGATCATTGCTGCGGAGCGCTTGGCTTCGGCGGCGCGAACGGTTGCCAGGATGCCTTCCAGGTTGTAGCAGCACATTGCGGGGATGGCGTAGTGGTTTGCGGAGGCATGGTCTAGGATGCGCAGGGCGCGGTTTTCTTGGAGGGTCATTCTTGGGTTTTTGGTGGGTGTGAGGGTGAGAGAAAGGAAAGTTTGTATTTTTGAGCTTTACTATAAACTGGACCCTGTAGTGTTATATAGTCGGGGTTGTTGTGTTGTCCGAGTTGGTCGCTTCACTTCCGAGTGTCGGACTTGTTCCGGGCTACGTCACTTTGAGCTATTCGCTAGGGCAGCGGGCTCCTCTGTGCCTACACAGCCCATTAGCATAAAAAAATATGAGAGATTATACCGGAGAAAAAGTCAGATCTTCAGTATCTATGGCCCATATGCTCGTCAACTATGCGGTACTTTCACCACCTTGTTGAGTAAGACTACAACCGAGTTGGTCACGCGGAAAGTAGATGGAATTGGGGTTTCTTATTAGGTTTAGTTTAGACGTTAAGCATAGAGGTCGATGGTTCTATCAAATCAAATCGGAGAATTGAGGTCCCTTAGCCATTCAAAGAGTATAAAAGTGATTTGGCCTGTGGTCGGCAAACTTCCGAACGCCCACCGAGTACCACTTCTAACAAGCACAAGAAGAACCAGACTCACATCTAATCACCGGAAACTAAGAAACAATCAAATTTCAAAATACGACTCTAGCAAAGCTATTATATTTCGGTAAAAGCCCAGGGTAAACCCCTCGGACTTGTGCCGAAGCATCCCGCGTTTCCCCAAACATCTTCCCCTCATAAAAGCCCCCCACGCAGGTCGAGCCAGTTTTTTTCTTATTTTATACATCGACAATTCTCTAGTGACTATCTTATTTGTATACATCATTTCCTCGTCCTAGCAACTATTACAATTACAACTATGTCCAAACCCTCCATCGGCTTCGTCGGCCTAGGCGCCATGGGCTTCGGAATGGCCACAAACCTCGTGAAAGAGGGCTACCCAGTACACGGCTTCGACGTGTTCCCAGCCTCAGTAGAGCGTTTCAAGGCCGCAGGCGGAATCCCAGCATCATCACTCCAGGACTCAGCAAAGGGAAATGATTTCTATGTTTGCATGGTAGCCTCAGCGCCGCAGGTTCAGAGTGTCCTTTTCGGCGATGATGGCATAGTCGCAGGTAAACCACCCAACCCAACCAGAAATATATAATTAGAACTAGAATTAACCCACGAAATCCTTTCAGCCCTCCCACAAAACGCAACCCTTCTCCTTTGCTCCACAGTCCCAGCATCATACGCCCAATCCGTCGCCGCAGAGCTCATCTCCGTCGGCAGGAGCGATATATCCTTCATTGATGCACCCGTCTCCGGCGGTGCGCTCCGCGCCGCTGCTGGCACATTGTCAATTATGGCTGGTGCTCCTGATGCCGCGCTGGAGAAAGGCCGTTTCCTGCTGCAGGAGATGTCGGATGCTAATAAGCTGTACCTTGTCCCTGGCGGGATTGGCGCTGGTAGCAATATGAAGATGGTGCACCAGGTGCTGGCGGGTATTCATATTCTGGGTGCTAGTGAGGCTCAAGGATTTGCAGCGCAGCTAGGATTGGATGCGGTCAAGACGGCCGAGGCAATTAAATCCAGTGCATCTTGGACTTGGATGCATGAGAATCGATTGCAGCGGATGCTAGATGAGGATTGGCATCCCGGTGCTAGTGCTTTGACTATTATTCTTAAGGATGTGGTAAGGAATTTTTGCATTTCTCTTTTGAATTTTGGGGATTTTGGGAATTTTGGGCTTAGGGGCTGAGTTGGGCTAATTTGGGTTTGATCAGGGGATTATCACGACATCTGCGCGCCAAAGTCAATTCCCGACTCCGCTCAGCTCCACTGCTGAGCAGGTCTATTTGTCTGCTTTGTTGCAGGGATATGGGGCTGTTGATGATTCGTCTATGGTACGACAGTACTTTGCTGAGCCGATCACCAAGGTCGCCTGTACCAAGTCTGAGGAGGAGACGGCGGAGGCGCTGCAACTGGTACTAGATCTGATGGAGGTGACTAACCTTGTTGCGGCTGCTGAGGCTATTTCTTTTGCACGCTATCTCAAGGTCGATCTGAAGCAATTTTATACCCTTGTTGCTGATGCTGCTGGTGCTAGTCGGCAATTCATGACTAAGGGATTGGAGATTATCGAGGGGCTTGGACAGGGTGCGAATGAGAGCTCTGAGACTATTGATGCCGCTAGTTCTCGTCTAGAGAAGGCAGTGCAGAAGGCGCGGGATCTTCACTGCCCTTTGAACCTTGGCAATGCTGCTTTGGCTGTGCTGTACATGGCTAAGAAGACTGGATTAGGTGCTGAGGGGAGTGCCAGTGTGGTGAAGGCTTTTGAACAATAGTGCAATTGCGGAGAGTGATGAGACATGAAGATTTATAGTCCAAATATCAATTTTATGTACAGCCAAATTCTACCATGAAGCTTGAACTGTTTGCTTTTTCGTACTTCAAGGACAGCCAGCTAGGTATAGACTTGACCGCATGCCACTCTAGCTTGCTGACCTTATTAGGTAGAAGGAATACTATTTACAGCTACGTCTTTCCCGATCTCTCCACATGTTGATAAAAGAATGTCTTGATAATATTATCAATAAGAATAAAAAAAAAGCATTGTGTGGGTATCCAGAATATTATATCCAACCATAAGACCGATATTTACAGCTCAGAAGACCTCCAGCGCGCGCAGGGGTATCCAAAAGCCAAAGAAAAAAAAATCACGAAAAGCATCAAGTATACCAAAGGTCCCGACCCATATCTTAAAACGACTTAAACTCATTTCGCATGCCTCACAAAAAGCATCTAAACCTCGATTCCCTTGAGATTCTCAATCGAATCAATCGAAGGCAAAGTCCTACGATCCCTAATAAACTTCGGCCAAGTATTCGTAAGCACAAGATACTTAATACTAGCCTCAGCATCATCAAAGATCGAAGCTTCAAAGTCCACAGGAATGTCACCCCAGTACTGCACATTTTCCTTAATCGACCGAGCCGTCCCAGCCTGCATAGTCTTCCCGGAGTCCGTAGAAACTGACGACGGCTGCGGCAGATCAAAAGTGAATTTATCAAACGGATTAATGATATCACAATCGCGCTTCTCACCATACACAAGACGGGTCGGCTGCTCGAAGACATCTTCCAGCTTTCGCAGCTCTTGGTGCGAGATGTTGACGGGGAACTCGGCATGGCGCACGCTGATAAACTCCGCATAGATGTGCAGCGCGCGATTGAAGTGTTCGCGGACGAGGCTGCGCTTGCTCCTTTCTTGTTTCGCACTGCCGTCCTTAATACAGGAGGGGAGTCGACTGCGCCATTCTGCGACACTAGTCAGGAAGATGATGTTCTCGCCTGAGAATTCGCGTAATGCGGAGAATTCTTGGAGTGGGGCAGGGTTGCGCTCAAGGACATGCTCGAGTGCGCCCATTGTTAGGATGCTGTCGCGCGAGCTGAATGTGCTTGCCGAGCTGTTCGATTTCCATCCTGACATCATCGATGCTACCACTGTCATGTCGGAGTTAAGGGACTTTTCCTCCGAGCCGGTGGATTTAACTTTCAGTTCCCAGCGCGCAATCGACTCGAGGGTTTCTTGTCGGAGAGATTGGTGGCGCATTACTTCCCAGCAGGGGAGGAAGACTGTGAGGATTTCTATCACTAAAATGGAAAGGCCGATCCTATATTATAGTTGCGTTAGAGAAGTATAGCTTTGTGGTGTTAGTTTAGAGCCTACCACTGAGGAGGAACGAAGACCGCATTTACTGGGGCCATGGCGGGAACGTAGAGGGCAATGAGCCACATCGGGGTAGCGTGAAGACTGGAAACAGCGCAGCCAATGGTCTGGACTCGCCAGCCGTGGCTATCGTGGATGTTACGAGACTTCCAGAGGACGATGGGGGCAACGATCCAAGACCAGAAGAACTGCGAGACAACACCAGGCCACCATTCCCATCCTGTGCCTTGTGCTTCGAGCACCTCCGCGGGGGTACCAGTTACCTCGGTGCCAGGAATACCCCATGAGCTGTGGTACTTGCGGGAGATCAACCACATGAGAATAGTGAGGAATACCTACATGAAATATCGAATTAGATAAGACTCTCTCACAGACATGAAAAGCCCAAGGTAACCATACCTGAGCAAACATTGCAATAGCGACGTAAATAAGGATCTTAGTCGTATATCTGAGCGCACGGAAACGATTGATCAACCCAGCCTTGTGTTCCAAAGTAGGTGGTTCAGTGAAACGATATCCGTCCAGGGCATATTTTCTCTGAAGCTTTGCGACATGTTGAAAGCGAGTGTTAGATCCATGGAAGAGGGCAATGCCACAGGGCAGTAACGTCCCCATAAGCCAATAGGCGGCATCACCGGGCATGACGGGACCAAGCATAACTGCGAGCTGGGTCGGGAGCCAATATAAATGAAGGATGACGATAGAGGTTAGGGACAAAGCAAGACCTCGAATACGAAGGGCCGGCATATCACGATTGACTATCAGATAGATCATACCAGCCAGGAGGGTAGAAGTCCAGACAAATGCCCAGACAGCCCACCAGATAGCGACAGGGCGGAGATCAACCTGGGGCTTAGAGGCAGCCGTGACACCATATTCGGACCCCATATCAAATGAGTGCTTAAGGAATGTGAGTGAAGTTGGGTAGCGCAATTGAAGCAAAACAAAAATGGCGGGTCATACATCTTCTTATGTACAAAGTGCCATGTACATCGTGCATCGACGGGATCTGGGGGCACGGGGTAAGCGCCTGCACGAGTAAGTGGGGCCAAAACCAAGTCTTTTTGGCGTCAGGATGTTGATCAATATGGCTGAGATACTCCATTTTCACTCCATAGTTCTGCTAGGAGACATTATTTTGTGGAGTCTTTCAGATGAGTATAAAAGTGCGTTATGGTCTCGCCTGAGTTCCGGTGGCTCCTAGGTCCCGTTCAAAAATGGGGGAATATCCACAGGTCGTATTTGTCAAATGATATGAGTATATAATTGGTTGGATAAGATGAAATTAAGATCAAGATCTCTTGGCAGTACGAAGCCTCCTCTTTTTTATTGAATCCGCCCGTGAGACTATTGATTTCCCAAAACTATGTTCCTGAAGGGCGATCGTAGCCCTAAGAGGCAGGCCTTAATTTCTTATGTTGTACGCTTGGACGTTTCCCTGCAGCTATGATAAGTGCAACGTACAATATTCTTACAATTTCTTCATATTAACGCTTAAAATTCCAGGGGCAACTCTTCAGATCTCATACCCATGTCAAAAATTAGAGAGACATCTTCTACTATTGGAGAATTCTCGGGCCTCAGAATTGCAACACTAGCTGGGATATAAGATGATAGCCCGATCAGCTTGGACTTAGTGAGTTCAAAAAAGAGTCAACTAGAGCCAAAATAGGCCAGCTATGACCAACATCCAATTATAGGCTAGATATAACCCCGAGACTATCGTTTTACGATTTTACGATTTTACGAATCGAAGATCAAATTTGAGGCCAGTGATTTTATTCTTGGAAACAAAGAATGAAACGAAAGGAATGACAATATATTCTCTGCTATGTATTCCGTCCAAAAGAAATAAATAAGGGAAAGGAAAGAAATCTTGTAAATCACACATCACTCGATACGTGAAGGCTCAAAAAGACCCATGGCCTTAGCCTCCTCCTCAGAGTCCGCTCGTAAATTCCCAGAATACTTAATATCAAACCCAGGGACGAGTAGAACATCTTTCAGGCCCCTGTTCACAACCTCTTCCTCGGAACTCGCATACATATAACCGTAATACGTGTACTGCCCCTCCGAGATCGACACGTCCTCAGCCTTGGCACAACAATCTCCACCATGTCCAGGCTCCATCAAGCCCATCTGAAAAGCCTCCAACTCAGAGTAAGCCTCAACATAACCGTAATAAGTCCCACCATAGTAGTCACCACATTCCCCTGGAACTGGCTCCGCATCACAGAGTCCCATGTGTTCAACCTCCTCCAGGGAGATCGCACACATGAACCCAGTGTACTTATGATACACCCGCTCCGGCATGGTAAAAAGTGCATCCTTGCAACACCCCCATGGATGCCTGATATCCGTAAGACCCATCGCGCGCGCGTGATGCAAGTCGTCCGCCCGCAGCAACCCGCAGAATTTCCCGTTCTCCCCAGGAATCCGCCGGATATCCTCCAACCAGCGTCTCTCGGCCTCTTCCTCTGATGGTGCGTGCATCACCCCATAGTAGAGGTGGAAATCAACTGGTCGCTCGGCGCAACAACCCCGCACATGGAGAGGATCCAATAGACCCTGGCGGTTCGCGTCGTCTTCAGACAATGCCATCATGAACCCTTCCCACTCACCTGAGTAATTACCGTACGGTCGGACCTCGCGCAGCCCGCGTCGATAGGCAGATTCTTCGTCTACGAACATGCTTCCCATGTACATGTGCTTCTGTGGCTGGGAGTCTAGAGTCGATGAGGCCTGTTGACTCTTGGGGGATGTGCAATGGAGTGGGGAGATGGGTGTGCTGTCATTAGCGGGGGTTGGAGTGATGGACTTTGCTTCCCACATCTGGGAGAGGGGCTCTATATCCCAGAGATGGGGGTCCTCTTCGATTCCCAGCTCGGCATTCCGCTCGCGCCGCTCGTCTTGGTCCTTCTTTAGAAGTGCAGTGTCTAGTAGCTTAGACATAGCTTCCTGTCGGGCTTCTTTTTCATTGTTTTCTTCAATGCGCTTCAGAACGGTCGCTTCAATACGCTGCTGCACAAGGTCAATATCAATAGAGGGCTGGTCATACGAGGCATTGTCAATTTCAGGGCTATCAACTGGATCCGGAGGGAGTATATTCTTCAGAGCAACCCGGAGATTATCTACGTCAGCTTCATACTGTTTCTGGCCAGCATCGGCCTCCCGCTGTCGCTGCCGCTTCTCAAGATATTCGTCAACTCTCAGTTTAAGTACGTTATACCTTATCAAAGAAGATCCACAAAGCGACGAGCCAGAACTGTCTGTTTCGCAGCTGCTGTTATCGCTGGGAGATACACATCTAGCCTCCTCAGCATCTAGCGATTCGGTCTCAATACCGCCCTCTGCATAGTCGCTCTCATTGCCGCTGTGGGTGAGATGACCCGGACTGGTCTTGACGATTGTAGACACAAAAGAGTCAAGATCTCCAGTTGTCTTAGGCGAACTAGGATTAGTACGAGCAAAGTTAAAGACCGTCGTAGACGACTTTTCAGAATGCGCCAGGCATCCGTGAGAAGACTCCGATTCGACTGCAACAGCACGCGAACGGATCTGACCATTGTCGCTGTGGCCAGCACTGTCTGCGTTACCATTGCCCGAATCAACGACAGCACCCAAGAAGATCTGACCATTGTCGCTGTGGTCAGCACTGCTTGTGTCCCTGTCGTCGGAAGTGGAATCACTCACTACATTAACTTTAATGATATCGCCAGTAACATCTAGGCCCTCGATTGTCCGGTAATAGTTTGATATTTGGGTCTGGTTGTCTCCGTGAGAGGAGAGGTTCTCAGCCCACTCGTTCTCGCACTGCACACACATACTGGGCTGGGTGGAGAGGAGTAGATCATGGGAGGTTTTGTTCTCGGTGCAAGATACGCTGCGCTCTGGACCAGCCAGGCGAAGCTTATTGGTGTATTCTTGGCAACTCGTCAGACTCCAGTTGGAGATGTGCCCGCAGCTAGGGTAGTGGTGGTAGGTGTAGTTACACATTTTTAGGAAAGAGATAGAATAGATGATATTAGATGAGAAAAGAGTAAAGGAATGCTCTGCTGTCATATCAGATGTGCGTGAGGATCAGGGTTTATATAACTCAGTTTGGAGGTTGAGGGAGTCTCCGATGGGCGAGTACAAAGCCGAGTCGGTCGTTGAACAAAGACGATATGACAAAGATAGGATTAAAGGCATTGTTTTGGTGTCATCATGAAACTCTTTGTTTATAATATCTTCTGCCCATTAGATGCCCTGTTCCAGATATACTCAAAGACATTCGTACCTTTTCATTGTATCAATTCATCTGACAATGACTATTATATCCAAATCAGATGAGAAATTTAAAACATTTTTAATCCAAATAACTATGAACTATTTTCTTATACGTCTTAACACAATCTAAGATTACGTGAATGAAATGGAACCAAAAGGGGTAGAGAGGAGGAAATGAAATACGCTCTGATACCTAAGACGATCGAACTTCTTTGGCCTTTGATCTAATACAACTATGAGTCACAATATGTTAGCGGAATGAATCGAGGAAATTGCAGTCTTTTTCTTTTTTTCTTTTTCTTTTTCTATTTCTTTTCTTTTCTTTTCTTTTTTTTTGCTTTCTCGACCTCCTCGGCATACTTTGCTTTGAAGAAGCATCTATTTTGTTGATACCTCAGACGGGACCTCTATAGATAGAACAAGACACAATCTCACATATGGTATATCAATTTGGCGGAGATAATTACCGAAATGTATTATTTTCTTTAATTCCATCTTTTTCACCAGCGAGATTGAGTCCAAGTGCTAGACTGTGGCCATGTTCAACCCCGGTCGCCTCTCATGTCGACACAGTGCAAAGAAAGCTATCATGCCAGACGGTTTTCACTTGTAGCTTCAACCCTGGGATTTTACCTAGGACACGAACACATTATCTCAAACACATCCATGTCGCTCCTGGTGACAAGACAAAAGAAGCAATACAACAAACCACTCAACCCTCCAATTCCACCACGTACCTAACTCCAGAGTCCATCAACCACCAAGCAGCAGTCTCATGCATCCACTTCAACCAAGGCCTCTCCATCGGCATCCTCCTAACCTCGTCCGCTCTCTTCCACATAACAGTCTCACTAGAAAACATGACCATCCCCTCTTCCCCCTGACTGCTACTTTCCTCATAACTAATCGCCAACCTCCCCTGCACAAAATCTATTGCCTCCATCTTGATCTCAAATTCAACCCGATCCCTCCTCCGCACCACAACACGATAAACCCCACAAACCAAATCGCCGACCTCAAAATCCAGCGCGGCAAGATATCCCGTCTTGAAGCTCTGCTTCTGTTCCGGTGTTTTACTAGCCATAGCAAGCACAAGTGCCTGCGGGAATCGCGAGAAAGCCATCATGTTGCGGCACACGAGTCTTTTGAAGAGCAGGTCTGTAGCCTCATTGCTAGGGAGGGAGGCCCGCGGCACAGACTTTGAGGCGTGGTCGTAGATCGTAAAGTACTCATTGCTAAAAACAGTCTCTGGGATTGATTTTATACTTGTTGGTTTTGGGGCTGCGGAAAGAGTTCCGAGGTGGGATTTGTGTGTTATGCGCTTTGATAGGCGCTCATGGAAGATGTAGAAGTAGATTGCCGAGGAACTGGTTATTATCGCTGTTGCTGTGACAATAAAGCGGATCATGTTGGTTTTGCGGAAGACTGCGAGGTGCGTGAATTGTGATATTTGGGGATGTTGAGAAGAATGCATGTCAAGTGATTCGCATCATCGGATACGAGGTTGGCTTGGCAAGTCATCTGCCTGTTCCTACGTCTACCCTCATAGTATCTGCCAGTTGGAATATTTTTCTCATATAAATTCTGCATCTAAATCGTAAGGCCAAATCTGTGCCCATCGTAAAATAAATAAGTTGAGAAAGCCTGCGCAACGCCAACCGAACCCCAACCAATAACGTCAAACACAAAGTGGTCTCAAACAACATTGAAATCAAAGAGAATTAAACAAAGCCTCACTTTCTCGGATTCTGCAAGACATCTACACGGCCGCTATTATGCCATTTTGCAAGCTTAGCACCACACTTACCACAGGAATGCACAACATCCTTAAGCGATGACATCAAATAAGGGATACATCCGAGACAGCAACAGCAGCAAAGAACCGTAGCCCACCCACTATTTCAAAAACGAAAAAAGGGTCAATCAGTAATCCAATGTTTCAACACGGAAATCCAACTTACTGCGTAGTCCCACCGCTCACAGGCTCAATACGAGTCATCTCCCGCTGTTCACAAACAGGACAGTCAACTGGACACGACGCAGACTGGAGACTATGGAGCGGTACAGCTGAGGAATATCCACTGGGATGGCAGGAAGGCGTGTAAAACGGCTGCAGGTAGCCCTGTCCTTGCTGGGGTAGGGGTTGGCCTGGGTATGCCTTCTCAGATGGAGCAGGCATTGATTGTGGAGTGTCGCAGGCTAGTTCTTGGCCGATTGAGTCGGGTTGGTTGGGGTATTGTCTTTCTGGGGGTCTGTTTATTGGTGTTGTGGCGTAACTGGAACGGAGGGCATCTAGGAGGGATTGCGTGGTGTGTGAATAAGTGTCAGAGCTTGGGCTCACGGGGCCTTGACTTGGTTGGTTTGGAAAGACGACTTCTGGGTCGTCGCTGTATATGGGCGCTGGTTCTGGGGGTTTTTAGTTACGGCGTACTTGATGGGGGTGGTGAGCGGGGTGATAGCTTACTAGGCGTTTGGTCGGGGTGTAATGGCATTGTTGCTATTAAATTTAGAATCTGGGGAACCGGAGAAAGGTGGTTTTGTAGGGATGTGAGGTGTCTCACTTTTGGACTGGAACGACGATTTTAAGTAAAATCTGACAAAGCTTACGGAAGATATGTCAAGTGATAAAAATAGGATCGTCAAGGGCTATGTAATATGTAAAATGTAGTGCATACCTGGGGATTCTATTGGGCTGCCTTGGACAGGTGTGGGAGATAAGTCTAAGCCACAGGTTTCAAAGGTTGTCATAGCCATATAAAACACGACGATCATCTACAGAAAAGCTACATGAAGCATTCCGTGCATGTTCTAGGCTTTAGGCAGGAATATTTTGCGACCAATTTCCATTTGTATATCTATATGCGGAGTACAGTCTGAATATTTGTACATACTAGTAGGCAACAATGTAGGGAGTATGTATATCTGCGTACTGTAATATAAGCCTGTTGAGATTGATATCTTGCAGTTCAGTTCACTCCAAGGCATACTTATTATATCACATAGGGAGTACAGAGTACAAACCCCAACAATTAGATCGAAATCAAGCTCCAACCCATTTAGCCCCTGTTTTAAGATTATTACACCCAACGCCTGCGATGATCCTGAACGCCAATCCAATCAAATCACAAGGCGGGTGGCGGCTCTGCAGCCGATCAATGCCCGTCTGGGTGTTTGCCCTGTGAGCCTTTCAGGGCTGAGGGGGGTAGGCTTCGGGATATCTGCCCCCCTAATAATATCCAGAATACGATGCATTAAGCCGGAGTACGGATTCCTATCTATTTGCATCATACATATGGCTTGGAATGTTCCATACCATAGCATATTATTGTAGCCATGAAACATAAAATGTGATGACACTAACCGTGCCAAGCGCCCAACACACCGCTGTATGTTCGTGCACCCTACCAGATTTCCTCATTTGCATCAACTTCGCATATATTTTTACATTACACCACGATGTCAAATTCAACTGAAAATATCGAGGATCGAATCCAGGAAGCCGTCAAAGCCTTCCACCAAGCTACTAACCCCAATATCGCTAAATTGACCCGTGATTTCAACGTTTCATCTGATCGGCTCCGGAACCGAATTCGTGGACGCCAGTCTAATGCCCACGGTCACTCCATATCTAATGAGTCTTTGTTGGGCTCTAGGGATACCACTTTCGTTCTTCGAAGATTGTAAGCTACATTTAGAACAACTCCAAACATGGCCTACCAAAGATCAGAAGTCAACCCGGCAAAAGAAGAAACAAAATGGTTTGATGCTAGATGCTAGATGCTAGATATTATATACATACATACTCCATAGACTCAAAGTCATCAGAAAAACTGATATCGACCCCGTCCTCCAGCATAATACCCATTCTCCGTAAAAATCTCCAAAATCCGTCCCCTGTTCGTGTTCGTCGCAAGAGCGTAAACCGTCTCCGTCCGACCAATTCCCCCCTTAACAAACGGATCCGCCCCGCGCTCAATCAAAAGCCTAACCATCTCCACTTCGTCCGCCACAACAGCCTTATATAGTGGCGTCTGCCAAGGATACTGCATATGATCAATAGCCGCGCCCCGATCAACTAACAGTCTCGCAACCCTCATATTCCCATGTGACGCCGCCAGCGCCAACGCTGTATCCCCTGTAATATTAACGGCATCAATATTAGCCCCGCAATTCAGCAGCAGCTCCACAATCTGGTCCTCTCCGTACGCGGCAGCCTGCGACAGCGCCGTCTTGCCATTCCTATGACCAGCTTCCAGGTTCGCACCCGACGCGATCAGAATCCGCACTATGCGGTCGTAGCCGTGCGCTGCAGCAATAACGAGTGCTGTCTCCCCTTTTATTGCCTGGACATTTATGTCCGCGCCGTATTCGATTAGGAGGCGGGTTATGGCTTCGTGGTTCAAGGAGACGGCAGCCATTAGTGGGGTTTGGTCGTCGGCATTTTGGGTGTTGACGCCCGCGCCTTTGGAAAGGAGGGTTTGCACAGCTTGGGACTGGCCAAATTTTATGGCGGCTATAAGGGCATCTTTGGAGCTGGTGATTCCCCCAAGCATTCGGCTCATTCGGTTGGGCCTTTTTGAGTGCGTTGGAACTTTGAAGGGGCGAATGTCTGCCGAGGCGTTGAAGGGCCTGCGCCCCATAGGTGCTTTCACGGGTATTGGGAGGTTCATATCGTTATTTTGTCGAGTTCTGTCGGTGAGAACTGGGATGGGATAGTTCATATTGTTGACTTCTGGGTCTGTCTCTGTAAGAACTGGAATGAGGAAGTTCCCAACTGGCAGCGCTTGTTTCTGTGTATCTGTGGAATCATGCATGTCCAACATCACTGGTATTGGGAAGTCTTCATTCTGTATGGCCTCTTTTTCTGCATAGGGCTGCTGTGGCATTGGGTATGAACTGCCCTTATATGAGAATGAGAAGCCTTTTGGCGGGAGCGGGAGAAATGGAATGTCGGTCGGTTCGTCCGCTAGCCAGTCCTTGTCATCCCAGCTTCTCTGGGGTTCCAGTTTCAGGGCTGGTGCTGCTGCCATCGGCACAGGGACTTCCTCTACTGGAGCTGTGTTCTCTTTATCAACAGGCAGTGGACCACCCGTCGTTATTATCTTGCGAAGAGTCGAGATAACGAGGCCATGGTTTAGAGTCAACAAATCCGAAGCAATCCCAGTAGCTACCAACTCTCCTTGCAGGCGAGCCCAAGCTTCATCTCTCTGGAGATTTGATAAGTCCTTCAAAACATCAGAAACAACCGATGTTCCCCTTTTGCCAGCGCGAATTTCATCGACAAAACATCTCAGCGCATGCTCAATAGACTTCTGTGATGAACTATATCAATGTTAAGCCCCAGATCAACGCATAAAATATCAGCGCGAACACACATCATCATATTGCAATTCATATCACTAAGCTCGTAAATAATCGACGAGAGGCGCGCGCGAATGTCAGAAATCAGACTCTGAGCCCCAAGCGCATCTGGATGTAGCAGAAGCTCCTGCAATTCCCGCAGTACGGCATAGCAGTTTTGTAGTATTTTTTTCAGGATTGCGAGGTGGGTATATTCCGGGCCTAGAGCGGAAGTATATGTCTCGGTCGTACTGAGCAGGGGCAGAAGCAGCCGAAGCTCGGTTTGGGCCTGGTTCGTTAGGGCCGTTGACCCGCGCGTTGACTCATAAAGGGAGTTGACTAGCAGTCGGACTGTGGTGGCTTGATGGCATGGCTGATTACCTGCCGCTGCTTGTAGAGACATGGCTTTAGGATAACCAATGGGATAACCAATGAGACTATGTAGTCCTCGAGGGTGAGGGTGACATCCACATTGAAGAGGGCCCGTGCAGCATCGCTTTTTGGCCTCTGCTGATTATGTCATAGGAGAAGTGGGATAACTAGATGCCCAGGTGGATGTGAGCGTGTATTTTCAAAGGAAATAAAAAGTGAAAAGGAGTTAATTAGATTCAATTTAGTAGGATTCCCCAGGACATAAGAAGATAGTAGGAATGGCTGGAATCCGATTTAATTAGATACATATATGCGTAGCAAGGAAATGTGACTATACCCTCCATATTTATTCTCAGCATCCAAGAACCTTTACCTAAATTAGCATGCCTACTTATCAGTCTGGCTGCTTTTTCGCCTCATTGTTAACCTTCACCAAGGTAAAGCCCGCCTTTGTCTCCTTATCCAAAGCCTCGGCAAAACCCTTTAAAAAAACAGACGCTTGTTCCTTTGTTGAATCCATGAACAAAGCCTTTATCCAATGAGCCCAGTCAACTTTCAATGAAAAGTCATAAATAGATAGAATTTTCCATCCATTCAAGTTGTCCTTCCCAACCTCTGCAGCGCCAAAGACTCAAGGCAAACAGGCCTATAGTCATTCACCCTACTAATCAAGCCCCCAGTCTATTCCTCGCCACAGACAGTCACTATGAGCTCCTCAAATAGATACCCAGATACAAAAGAGGTTGACAAGATGGACTACGAGAAGCGATTCCTCATCGCATGCGCCTGCTTCAAGTCCTGCCTATGGGAGGAGTTCCGGTTCCTAGGTCTTGCAGACGGTATCCGCATAGACGTCCTTCCAGTCCTCCACAAGCTGGTGAAACTGCTGGAGGCCATCTTTTTCCTTGGTGAGGAGATGGCAAAATCATGTCCCGACTGTCTCACTGTACGCAATAGACCCCAGGACCACTTCTTGGCTCAGTTCGAGCACATGTGTCGCGAGCGCATTATGTCCCCCTTGGCGAAAGCCATTTGTGACCTTGAAGCTGATGAGATGTCGGCAGAACCGAAAACGAGCGTTGATTTTATTGTCGCTTCGGATTTGGATGATATTCGTCCCAGCACTATCTTGCTCTCTAGTAAGCCCCTGCCTCTTAGTATGGGTTTCTATGTTCCACTTAAGAATCTTTCTCGTCCGTGAGACTCTTTTAGTTTCTTTAGTTTCTTTAATTTCTTCGTTGCTGTTGAATAAAACGAGTGCGTCTGTTTGATTTATCTTCCATTGTAGACCACCAGGTAGCATCAAGTAGATGTAGCGTTTTCATTTCTCATTCGAATAGCCGCTCACTAGAGTCTATACCAAATCAGACCTCCAAATCAGTGTTTTCCAGTTACTCTATATAGCATCAGATAGTTCTGGTGTTTACCACACGTTGATAATGAAGTCAAGATCCTAAGTAATGATCAAGGAATACATTGATGGTAGTAAGAACGTTGCCATGATATTTTGACTTCGCCTAAAAGAGTAGATTTTGATCTAGAACTTTACAAAAAAAAGCCAAGGAATAGAAGCTTGATAGAAGGGTTTTCAGTGTGTATTATCTTCCTCAACCTTGCCCCCACACAAGTCATTACCCAGCTCCAACAAGCTTCATATTTTCGACGCATAGGCTTATTGGCATAAATTCCGGAGGATTCCAGAGGCTCAATTGGTAATGCCTCTATATGATGCTGTAAAAGGAAAGCTCTATATTGAGAATTCTCATAACTCACTCCTGGCATACTTCGCAAATAGCCTAAATAGTCTTAGAATGGCCTTAAAACAGTCCTTGGAGATACAATATCCTAGTGTGTAGCTTCTGACTTTCAAATGATACTGAATGTATCAAGACCAAAGTCCATAGACATGCCTCAATCCTCACTTTGGCACCAAAAAATCACAGTCCTAGCCAAGTAGTGGTTGTCCAACATGGACAGGCTATCAATTAGAACTGGTCTCGAGCCTAAACGGGTACCTGCACGATAATTGTGTAACTTTTTTATATACATTCAGGACTTTTGCGGTGAGCAAATACGATCAAATGCACGGTGCGCTCCGAGTAGATACATACTATATACTAGCTTCTAGGGCATTTCGAACTTCGCCACTACGTCATGAAGCTTTAGTTTTGTATTGTAGCACAAAACTGGATCTAAAACGAAAGGTCTTTGAAGATGTCTTCGTTCGATGATATATCAATAAAGGCGATGAGCATAGCATATTATAGATATATATGTTAATGTGCCTGACAAAAGCTCTGTACCTGGCGGATCCGTTCCCGCTCCACATCCCCACTAGAGCTCGAAGAAGTCCAAAGTCCATTGCTATACATTGCTATGCATTTATTGAAAAAAAATGACTGAAATAACCAAAATAAAAACCAAGTAAAATACAAGCGAAAAATCCAGAGGGACAAAGCGTTGAGGGGTTGATGTCACATGTTGAGTCCCCGCTGGATTTCCTTGATCTGGACCTCCCCCCAATCTTCTCTCCACCTCCCCCAAGCTCTCCCCACCAGATATGTCTTCTACCATTGACAGCTCGAGTATTCCGACCGATGGCACAGGTGAGCTTGCAATTACTAGCGCTTTAAAATCTATTTCTAATTCTAACAAAAAAATTAGGTGTTATCCAGCTGGATCCTTGGCTGGAACCCCATCGCGATGTCTTGAAACACAGATACCAAGTCGTCGAGACATGGGCCAAGACCATCAATGAAACAGAGGGTGGCTTGGACAAGTTCAGCAAGGTGAATTGATCTTTATTGATTGGTGTCCTCCGTACTAATGCGCTTATCAGGGCTACGAAACCTTCGGACTCCATGCGCAACCCAACGGAGAGATTAAATACCAAGAATGGGCACCCAACGCAAAGGAGGCCTCTTTGGTCGGCGAGTTTAGTACGTTGTGTACTGGCCATATTTAAGGAGCTTGAACTGAGACTGGCAGACAACTGGGACGTCAATGCCAACCCTATGACGAAGAACAACTTCGGCGTCTGGAATGTAACGGTACCAGCTAAGGATGGTGCTCCCGCTATTCCCCACGATAGCAAGATCAAAGTAAGCACACCGATTCGGCGCATAATGGAGCAACCCCACTAAGAACCCTGATAGATCACGATGGTGCTTCCCAGCGGCGAGCGCATCTACCGACTCCCCGCTTGGATCAAGCGCGTGGTGCAGGACCTAAGCGTATCGCCTGCATACGATGCCGTCTTCTGGAACCCGCCCGCGGAAGAGGTACACAAGTTCCAGCACCCGCGGCCCAAGAAACCGACAAGCCTGCGCATCTACGAGGCGCACGTCGGCATCTCGTCGCCAGAGACTAGAGTTGCTACATACAAGGAGTTCACGAAGAACATGCTCCCCCGTATCAAGTATCTTGGATACAACGCAATCCAGCTAATGGCCATCATGGAGCATGCATACTACGCTAGCTTTGGATACCAGGTGAACAACTTCTTCGCAGCGAGCAGTCGCTATGGATCCCCAGAGGATCTGAAAGAGCTTGTTGATACCGCCCATAGCATGGGACTGGTTGTGCTGCTTGATGTGGTTCATAGCCATGCCTCCAAGAACGTTATTGATGGACTCAATGAGTTTGATGGAACGGACCACCAATACTTCCATGGCGGTGCGAAGGGCCGTCATGAGCTATGGGACAGCCGTCTGTTCAATTATGGAAACCACGAGGTCCTGCGTTTCCTTTTGAGTAATCTGCGCTTCTGGATGGAAGAGTATAAATTCGATGGATACCGCTTCGATGGTGTGACTAGCATGCTCTATTCGCACCATGGTATCGGAACGTACGTGCATCCTTCTATTATAATTTAGAAGAAACCTGCTAACTGAAAGAAACAGTGGCTTCTCGGGTGGATACCACGAGTACTTCGGGCCATCCGTTGACGAGGAGGGAATCACATACCTTACCCTCGCCAACGAGATGCTGCACGAAATCTACTCAGAATGCATCACAGTCGCAGAAGATGTCTCTGGCATGCCCGCACTCTGTCTACCCCACAAACTAGGCGGTGCTGGCTTCGATTACCGCCTTGCAATGGCCGTCCCAGACATGTGGATCAAGCTCTTGAAGGAAAGCACAGACGACAAGTGGGACATGGCCAACATCTCTCACACGCTCACAAACCGACGCCATGGCGAGAAGACCATTGCCTACGCTGAGAGCCACGACCAAGCGTAAGCCCAATCTCCCCGCCATCCCCAACCAACCAACTAACACAATCCCACAGCCTTGTCGGCGACAAGACCCTAATGATGTGGCTCTGCGACAAAGAGATGTACACCCACATGTCCACTCTAAGCGAATTCACCCCCGTAATCGAGCGTGGCATGGCCCTCCACAAAATGATCCGTCTATTAACACACGCCCTCGGCGGCGAAGGCTACCTAAACTTCGAAGGTAATGAATTCGGACACCCCGAATGGCTAGACTTCCCTCGCGCTGGCAACGACAATTCATTCTGGTACGCTCGACGCCAGCTAAACCTAACCGAAGACCCTCTTCTGCGGTACCGCGCTCTGAACGAGTTCGACCGGGGCATGCAGCTCACCGAGCAGAAGTACGGATGGCTTTCTTCGCCGCAGGCGTATATCAGTCTGAAGAACGAGAGCGACAAGGTCCTTGTCTTTGAGCGGGCTGGACTGCTTTGGATCTTCAATTTCAATTCCACGAAGAGCTTTACCGATTACCGTGTTGGTGTTGATGTTGCTGGTACCTATCGCATTGTTCTTGATACAGATGATACGGGCTTTGGTGGGCTTGGAAGGAATGTTAAGGAGACGCGCTTCTTTACTACTGATATGGAGTGGAATGGGAGGGCGAATTTCGTGCAGGTTTATATTCCTACGAGGACTGCTTTGGTATGTGTCTTCCCTTTTTCTCGATCATGCTTCGTCTATCCTCTGCTGCGGTTTGCTAACCTTTCTGTGTTCTGCAGGTCCTGGCTCTGGAAAGTACTCTGTAACGTGAACGCCAGTCCATGTCTGCATCTTACACCCAGCCTCGGAGACTGAACATCTCGTTCTTGTTAGTCTTGAGCATTTGGTGTTGTTTCTTCGCTAGTATGGGCGTGGTTTGACCTGGCCTTCTTCGTCGTGTAATGTCCTGCATTTTGTTTTTAATCATATCTGTAGTTATCTATATTTAGCAAAGTCTGATACATATATTGTTTTTAACGCATCTTGCATTTCAGCTTAGGTAGAGGGATTGTTGAGTAATATGTAGTGTACAATGAAGATCATCTTGAGGGAAATTACATGTGTGGTTTCAGCTCAGAGACATCATATAACCTAGGCAAGGGGAGTGATCGAAAAGAACTACATGCTACATGCAGACAAGACCAGTCTCGGTAAGGGACGAATATGCGCATTGCTCCCTAACCATCACACCTACGATCTACATTTACATCTACAGCAATCTACGCAAACCCGGGACGCAGTGACAAAGGAAATGTCGAGAATCAGGTTTTGAACTCTAAATACACAAAATAATGAAACAGGCCGGTCGAGGGGGGGGTGTTGTGTAAGGTATCTCCAATCCAGACCGGCTTTAAAATCCCATCAACTCGCTAAGATAGAACGCAAGAACCTCCTCAACCACCAACAAGAAACTCTCCAAACACCTTCAACCCCAAATCCCCAACACCACGATTCAGCCCTCGTTCAGTCCCAGTCATTTCATATTCCCTTGCTCGGATTCCTTTCGGATCGAGTCTAGAAAGAACAACCCAAGAATTCCGACGTTGACGCGACGACCATAGCAGCAGAAAAGAGAAGTAAAATCAAATCCCTTTATTGTTGCATTGGTTTTTCTCCCTTAAGGGTAATGTACACTGTGGTAATATACACGCCTTGAAAAGGGAAATGATGTTGTCGCGTACAACGGGGGAACATTTTGGGTGTTCTGACAAAGGGAATTAAATAGAACTGTGAGAGACAAGAGAGAATAGGTGGGGGAAGAGAGAGAAAAGGAGAGGAAAGAACTTGGAAGATGGAAGGGGGAAGTTAAGACGGCGCTAGCTAGCAAATGACAAAATTACATTTAGGCCTTGTTCTCAAGCTCAGCGAGAATCTTCTCTCCCTTGGCGCGAGCAGCGTTGATGTCACCAACCATGTAGAAGGCGGCCTCGGGGAGGTCGTCACCCTCACCAGCAATGATGGCCTTGAAGGAGGAAATGGTATCCTTCAAGTCAACAAGGGTACCCTCGATACCAGTGAAGACCTGGGCGACAGCGAAGGGCTGGGACAGGAAACGCTGGAGCTTACGGGCACGCTCGACGGTGAGCTTATCAGCCTCAGACAACTCATCCATACCGAGAATAGCAATGATATCCTGGAGGGACTTGTACTCCTGGAGCATCTGCTGAACACGGGTGGCGGTGTGGTAGTGCTCGTCACCGATGATACGGGGGTCAAGCATACGGGACTTGGAGTCGAGGGGATCGACAGCGGGGTAGATACCCAACTCGGAGATACCACGAGACAACACAGTGGTGGCGTCCAAGTGAGCGAAGGTGGTAGCGGGGGCAGGATCAGTCAGATCGTCAGCGGGCACGTAGACGGCCTGGACGGAGGTGATAGAACCCTTGTGGGTGGTGGTAATACGCTCCTGCATGACACCCATGTCAACAGCCAGGGTAGGCTGGTAACCGACGGCAGAGGGGATACGACCCAGAAGGGCAGACACCTCGGAACCGGCCTGGGTGAAACGGAAAATGTTGTCAATGAAGAGCAACACATCCTGACCCTCCTCATCACGGAAGTACTCGGCAATGGTCAGACCAGTCAGGGCAACACGGGCACGGGCACCGGGGGGCTCGTTCATCTGACCGAAGACAAGGGCGACCTTGGATTCACCCTCAAGCTGGATGACACCGGTCTCCTGCATCTCGTGGTACAGATCGTTACCCTCACGGGTACGCTCACCGACACCACAGAACACGGAGTAACCACCGTGGGCCTTGGCAATGTTGTTCTAAAAGGTCAAAATATAAGCATTGTATCCAATTTTTCCAATGGGAAAAGGGGAAATCCTTACAATCAGCTCCTGAATGAACACGGTCTTACCGACACCGGCACCACCGAACAGACCAATCTTACCACCACGGGCGTAGGGGGCGAGCAAGTCGACGACCTTGATACCGGTGACAAGAATCTCGGCAGAGGTGGACTGGTCGACGAAAGCAGGGGGATCGGCGTGGATGGGAAGGAACTTGGTGGCCTTGACGGGACCACGCTCATCAATGGGGTCACCAGTGACGTTGATGATACGGCCGAGAGTAGCGGGGCCGACGGGGATGGTGATGGGAGCACCAGTGTCAGTGGCAATGACACCGCGGGAGAGACCCTCGGTACCTTCACATAGCGTTAGTTGAAGCTCTCATATACAGTAGGGCCACACTCAGTGTGGTCGCCCGATTGGGTAGGGAACGACACGGTGGCCAAGAAAGGGGGATGAGAAAGGGAGATGAAGCTTACCGTCCATGGCAATAGTACGAACGACATTCTCACCCAAGTGTTGCTGTAGAGTAATTGTTAGCTTGGATTCGATTTGAATCAAGGTTCAGCCAATCAGATCACGTACAGCAACCTCCAGAACGAGCTTCTGGCCGTTGTTGGTGGTGGTAATGGCGTTGTAAATGGCAGGGAGCTTCTCGCCACTGAACTTCACTGTAAAATGGCGAATAACAAGTCAGATACGGTTTTGTTGATGATTTTGGGGTTGATTGCGATGGTTTCGGTGATGGATTGGGTCCAGGGAAAAGATTTTCGCGAGGTCCCCATTCCGTCAAGGAGTCGACAACACGTACCGTCAACGACGGCACCAATGACCTGGTAAACCTTGCCGGTCAAGGAAGCATCGGAGCTAGCGAAACGGGCAGTGAGAGCCGGGAGAGCATTGGAGCGGATGGGCTGGAAGGCGCGGGCGACGGGGGTCGTCCGGGCAAAAGCAGCCCTCCCAAAGGACCGGGCGAGACCGCTAGGATAAAATAATTAGTTTCAGCATGAAAAAGAGGGCAAGATTTAATTATTAAATCATACCTCTTGAACATTATGACGGTGTTGAAGAGAAGTGATGAAGGGAGAGGTTGAGGTTGGAACGGGAAAAGAGGGAAGAAGAGGAAGGGAAGAGGTTGGTGGATGGGGACTGGTCGCCCTTAGCCTTTCCGGGGCGGTTTTGCCGACAGATCCCGTGATGAACCGAGCACCAACATGAGCTTTCTACAAGGAAGGGAGCTTGTTTTTCTTATATAAGATGGTTTTTTATATATAATTCTTCATCACTATCATTTTAAAATCTCCATTGTCACTAATATCGTGTGGTGAGGTGGTGGCCGAGGAAAGCTCAGCCCGTTGCCCTGGAATTCGCGCACACACACCGGGGCTTGGCGTCCGGGTGCAGGGGAGCCACAGCGGTTTTTCTCTGAATGACATCGTTCGGATAAACATCTATGATATTTTTAAGTGAAGCTAGTTGTGAAAGTGTGGGAATGAAATATATGGAGCTCAATGGCCCTTTGGTCCGAATATATATCGGAAAATCTCTGACATGTTGGGGGTCAACTCCGGATATTAGTTCTAAACTTATACACATATATAAAAACTTATACTAAATTATATTTGAAGCTAGTATGTTCATTATATTCATAATAATGTTGTTTTATATACATTTTCTATCATTTCATTTTATATTTCACATCTCCATAGAAACTACGGAGTACAGAGAAACCAATCCCTATTATTTATGTTCTCACCAACGTGTCCCGCAGGGATTCTCCGCACTTACGGTTCCGAATCACTCCGTAGACCACGCCATCTCGGAGCGTAGACACATACAAAGTACGCCTACATATTTTATAGTAATATCCAATCACCAAAAAAAAACACTCTCTATGGCTACAAAAGAGATACATTGATTATAGCACAGTACGGAATACACGCATTTTCCAATGCTTGCCAAAAAAGATAGAGATAGGGAACAGTCGACAGCCGCGCGCACGGGCGGAGGCCCATCCTCGGATACAAAGACATGCTGTGCATGACTATGGAAAGAGTAGCTTGTAAATAAAACGACTTCTAGGTCGTGCGATGAGTACCGCCGTCCGTCCTGCGTAGATATCAAATCATTCCCGGTCGGGCGGTCGGTACATCTATGACTTCTCGAGAGGGGGGCTCTGGACGAAGCCCTTACCTTCGTAACCCTCTTTGCTGATGCCGTGGATGGGGTTGATCTTCTCTTTCTGTAGTCGGATGGGTTAGCATCGTCCAATTTGCCTGGGGCAGAGACTTCTCCCGACTGCAGTCGGGGACGGGGGGAGGGTATATGTACCAGGGCATATTCGTTGGAGGCCTCCTGCCACTCCTTGGACATGGTGCCAGGCTGCTTGCCGGCAAAGGCGTGGATACCATAGAAGATGGCAACGGAGACGACAGTGAGCTGGGCCACCTTGGCAAACACGCGCAAGCCCTCACCCTTGGGGGACTGGGCACGGGGGCCGTGGGCACCGAAGGCGATGTAGTAAGCTGCAGAGGAAGATTTGATGTCAGCCAAAAAAAACGGTTATCTTGCAAAGCCAATTGTGGAGGTTCGAGGGGTCAAGAGAATCCCGAGACAGATAACCTCGGAAGCCTCAGGGTAGTCGAACTAGGAAGCTATCTTTCAAACCCACTCATTCTAGGGATATCACGTACCAGCCTTCTTCTCCTGCAGGGTCATCTGGTGCCAGTCAACCTTCATGCGGTCACGGAGCTGCATCCAGAGCTCGGCCTGCTCCTGAGGGGGCATAACCTCCCAGCGCTTCTCGATGTTGGCGAGGGTAGGGTTGGGGATGGCATGGTCCGAGGCAGCGCGGGTCTGCAAAGCGTTCACAGAGGCAGTCGGGGCAGCACGGATGGCCGCGGTGCTGCGAGGAACAGCGCGAGAGACGGTGCGAAGAAACATTGTGCGGCAGGCGGGAGGTGGCAGCACCACGTCGAAATCAGGTTCAATTGAGGTAATTAGAGTGGGGTCGGAAGTTCGACAGCCAGAGAGCACGCCAGGGCACGGCTTAGAGGAGAGTGGAGGGGGATCGTGGATGGAGATATGACTTGAAGACGTTTCTTGTGGTTTGAGGTGGAAAGGCGAGGAGCCGGTCGGGACTAGTGCGGTTTGGGTTTGGCCGTCTTCTCATTGGCTCTTCGCCCAAACCGGCACTTCCTGCCAGTGAGCATCATCATCATTTTCAGCCATATGGCATGATGTTGATATTTTTGATCTTTACGGACTTTTTTTAAAAATGTCAACTATTATTATGCCTCTATTCGCAAATTTCCCCGGTTTCAACCAGTCGCTCAAGTTTTTTTGTTGTCGTCGGAATCTTTAGCCGCCTCTAAATCAACCCAGTCCAGCAATAACTTCGCAGGAAAAGCCAGGAGCTGTCCAGTTGCTTAAATATTCTACATCCAACAGCATGTAGCCCAGGATATCTTCGCCATGTGCAATATAACCAACAGGGAGCAAGATTTTGTGCGCCTAGGGAACCAAATATCCTCAACCTGAGGTGGGAATCATTCAGATCAATTGGAACAAGCTGAAAGGGAAATCCAGACTCTTCAGGCCTCTGGCGAGATGAAACAAACACGGGCCAAGTCGTAACGGTCTTGCATTGCAACTAAGAAAAAAAAATGGGAGAACGGTGTGCAGAGAAGGTAATGAATTGATCGTTCCGCGGCGCCGTCAAGGGCGCACCCCTATCAGTCGCGCAGCCCGGATCCAGCCGGCGCTATCATCTATGCCTTGCCACCGCTGGCCTCCTTCAGGACTGTCTTCCACTCGATATCGGACTTGTCATCGGCGTGGATGGAAGTGACGACGTTGAGAGCGTTCTTGAGAACCTCGCGGGTGCTGGCGTAGATCATGGACCACTAAAAACGAAATTAGGTATTGAGTCAGAGCCTGGGGCCTGGTTAAGAGACTTACGAGAGTGGGGGTCTCGCTAGGCACCCAGGAGATGAAGATAATCTTGCTTCTGTGAGAACAATCAAGTCAGCGTGGGACCTGAGAACAATTGCGAAAAGTAGAATGCGCACCTCTTTCCCTCACCGGGAATCTCATACTCGACATCGTAGACGGCGTAACGGGGGGAGGCGCGGCCCTGGCTGTCCTTGGCATCGGCGAGCTCGTTGCGGAAGACTTCGTAGTCCTGGTCCTTGCCGACTGAGTCTACGACCACGGACTTCTTGTCGTCGGCGATCTTGTAGATGATGTACTTGGTCTTGCCGTGGCTCCGGCTGAAGTCTTGGAAGGCAGTGATGCAGTCATCCTGAATCTGGACACTGTAGGGGGCAGATGTCAATAAATGGTGGAAAGTGAGGGGAAACCGGTTGCGAGCGCGGGAACCGACGACGACTTACCCGGATGCGAGCTGCGCGATATCATAGTCAGTACTGAGTGTTGTATACCATGGGTTTTGGGGTCAATACGAACCGACATTATGGCTTATGTAGACAAAAAAAAAGGACGGGCTGTCGAGCACTATGTCAGTGGTTAAGATGGCAAAACTTAGGGGATCCCTCGAGCTTCTCGGGTTGGCATGAGAAGTCAGAGTAGTATACACTCCAATGACTTACGGGGATTGAAGGAGACGAAGATCAAGCAACGGAGACGGATGAAACGGGGAAGATGGAGTTTGAGGGGTGAATTGTTTCCCAGGTGTTGCCATGGCCATAGTGGGGGTGGCTGCACGTGATATCAGACTTTTGATGATTAAAGTGCTCGGTACTTGTTTATAACCTGAGTGGCGTGTTTGGGATTGATCTAATATGGGTTGTTTTTAATGTTTCTAGGAATTCCGAGGCTGTTGGGGTTTTTGAGTAGAAAATGACATGCATATATGTAGTGTCTGGAGTATCCATGTTAGTATTGAATGATATTTCTGTTCTCACGAGTTTTTTTTTTTTTTTTCCTTTTACGTCCTCGAAGTACCAGGTACATATATGAAGTACATTAGTGGTTCTAAATCACATCTTAGCCTATAGCTGCATAACATGTACCTCCATGTTAGATGTGAGCCTCTCCTATGTGGGTGGCTGCGAGGCTAAAAATGGCCGGCCGTCAACCATGGGACACGTCAGTGGCTATTTTTGTCTTGGCCCACCATGTTGTTCTGTGCTTGATGCAATAGATATGTCCGATATTATTGTTGACTGGTGTGTGGCTTATATATATTGGCAGAAGCAGGATTTATTACATCTGCCTGTTACAGCATAGTTAATTATGTACTAATATTCTATTGCTTAATTAACAGCCAACATATCCTTGAAAATATATAACTCGGCGAGTGTGTATATTTTACAACCAAAATATATATTTGGTCAAAACACATAGAATAGCACCCAAACATCCTACTTGATGAATTCATTTCTCATTCCTCAATCCATAAACAACATGAAAAAAAATATCCTGTATATGTATATAGAATGTATGTATTACCCCCAGTCCCAAAGCCTAGGTGCATACAACGAAACCCAAACCTAAACCTTTGCCGCAGGCGCAAACTTAGCCCTCATCTTATCCGCACAAAGCTTCTCATCAAAGATGAAATTAACACTATCATGCGCAACCGTCGCCTCCGCCCAACGCTTGAATCTCGGAACCTGCTCTAGCAAAGTAGGCAACTTGGCAGAAACAAGCCCATGCTCTGGCTTCGCAAAGCCCAAAATGCGCAACAAGAATGATCCCGACTGAACCTCAGCCAGGGTCAATTTCTCACTACCACCAAAGAAGGGACCCTTGCCCTCGGTATCTGCGAGGAGGGGCTCAACCTCCTTCGCGATAGCAGCGACGAGCTGCTCAGCTGCGACATCGCGCTCTGCGTCATCGGTGGCACGCAGACTGGCAAAGAAAGAAGGCAGAGCCTTGCTGAAGAAGGCGTCAACGAAGAAGGAAAGCTGAGCGCGGTAGATGGCGTTTGAGGCTGGTGAGGATGGGGGCAGGAGGTGGGATTGATGTGCGTCCGCGAGGAATTGGGCTACGATGCCGGATTCGGGGATGATGGTTCCATTGTAGGAGATTGTGGGAACAAGGCCGCGCTGTTGGGAAGATTAGTATATACTTTACAGTGTAACAGTGCATGATATGTAGCATGAAGTGTGTAGGTGGTGTATACATAGATAAGAGAGTGGGCGTTGGGTGTTGCAAGGGAAATTGCCACTTACTGGGTTAATATCCAGATACCACTGCTCACGCGGCTTGCTCAAGTCGATTGTGACTTCTTCATAGTCGAGGCCAAGCTCCTTGAGAGCGATGTGTGCGCGGTGAGCCCAAGGGCAGATGCGGTTGGTGTACAGGATGATCTTTGGGGCAGACATTATGAATTGATTTGTTGATTGTATTGGAGTGGAGGTTGGGAAAGGAAGTACAAGTTATATAGAAAAAGACACGCCATTATATAGAACATTGCGGAATTGAGGGGTTGCAGGTTGGATTAGTAAAGTGGTAATTGTTAATCAACTTAATTCAGTACTCCGTAATCTCTCCGAGTTCCCTACGGATAAAAATCAAGTGTGGGGTTTTTCGAAGGGAATAGAACAGAATATATCCGAATTGTCTAGGGCAGTATCTAGGTATTAATAACATATTAGGGAAGACGACTTTTGTACCTTAATTAAGGTGCTTTGGATAAAATTGATCTAATTATGTACATACATTAAAGCGTGCACTATATATGTCCGATATCTGATCAACCTTCGGCGGCGCTCATCCTATCGCAGTATAGAAGTGGTCTCAAGTGACAAACCGATGTGTAGTACGTAAGAAGACTGGGGGTGTGCTCTCTAGGCGTAGAGGGCACACCGAGTCCGATCCGCCAGCGACCGGGTTCACACAGATCAAGTGGAAGAAGATAAATCAAAATAAGTCAAAACAAGGAAAAGACGAGATGACCGTCATAAAATGGGGGGGGTATATCGAATACGAGTATGAAATAAGCATTGAGCCGATCGTTGAGATCGTTCGAGGGGAGGGGGATGGCCAGCCAGGTAAAAAGCACCGGAAGACGGAACAGAAGAATCAACACGCTGTCGTCAAGACGTAATTTTGCATGAAAACTGAGAATTGAGAACCGTGCTCAAACTTCCTCGTCTTCCTGGCCACCGTCGATGATCTTGTTCCAGTGCTGCGGTAGACAGATACATACCAAGGGGAAGGCCTTGATCTCGCCCGATGGCATGGGCGACGAGGCACCATGCATACGCGAGCCACTTGAGACACCACTGTCGCGCTGTTCGCGATAATTTATGTCTTGGTCCTCAGCCCGTTCGGGGAGTCGTACACCTGTCGCCCAACCATCGTCCCAAATGCCAATCACCCTCAACATCTCACCTCGATCAAGTTCGAATTCGTCGCCCGCTCGTGGCGAGTAGGCCCAAAGGACGGCAACCTTGTCACCAGGATGAATCTCATCTTGGGAGTAGTAGTCGCGGAAATATGACAGCTGCTCAGATCGACCACTGGTTACTGCTTCGGGGGAAGAGTATTGGTTCGTCGGGCCGGAGAGAGGCGAGCTGTCGCTATCTAGTCCAGCCAGAATTGAGTTGCTCGAGAGTGAGCCATGACGTTTCCCTGTCACTGGTGGGATTCTCTTGGACATAGCTCCTGGACTAGCGCCCATGCCTTCTGAGTCTGACCCGTCGCTGTACTTGGCTCCGCCGCCGTACATCGCTGCAGAGGTACGCGAATAGGCAGGTGATGAAGAACTGGGCATTTCGCGCAGAGCAGACATTCGTGTGACTCGGCCTCCTGGGATCAAGTTGTATGACGTTGGGCTTGGGGGCTGCTGCATCGATGGCGATCCACCCTTCCTTTGTGGATTTGGTTGATTGAGAGAAGCTTCGTTCTGCTTCCTACGACGGCGGCGCGTGGAAATGCAAAGAAAGGCGAGGAGAGCAGCTAGAATGCAGGCTCCTACAACGGCGCCAATTACGGTTCCAGCAATTGCACCGCCCGACAAGCCATGGCTAGAATGTCCAGTGGCGGAAGGTGAGGGCGTTAGAGGTGGTAGAGTAAATGTTGGTACTGCGACGCCGTCACAGCGACTTGTGGCGTTGGATTTCGTGCAGCAGCTATCGGTGCCGTTCGCACAAAAGGTGCAGAGACCAATGGTATTTGTCGCAAAGCCACAGTTTTCAGGCTCATTCGCAGCTCCTTTAACACAATCGCCGGAGAGAGCGTCGGATGGTTTCTCGCAGATGGTTAATTCGGCGTAGATTAGGTCCGTGTAGTCTTTGTCGCTCTTGACGCATAAGTCTGTATTTGCCATGGTCTCCTGCTCACTCCGGGCCCAAAAGGCACATGTGTCGACGCAAATTGGTAGCGAGTCGTTTGTGGAAAGTTTGCAGTCGGATATGGAGCTTTGCACAACACTGCTGCACAAAACACTGAGTGTATACTGGGCATAGTAATTGCTGGGCGCGCTTGAATTGAGGCCTTGACACCCCAGTAAGTCATCATATCTGAGAGCGCCTGTTAGTGACTCTTCTCCCGATCTATTGGTGCTAGCACATACTTTGTCGAGATATATGAGCCACGGACATAGTCCTTTAATGAATTATCGAAATCCGTCACATTCGATACGTTTCTTAGGAAAGGGCTAGCAGTGTACTGTCAGCTAACGATTTTTTTTCATGCCCAATTGGGCGCGTTTCCACTCACAAGTTCGTATATAAACTGGCACTGGTTGAAATGGACGAGCTACTCCAGGCAGGACAGACAGTTGATCCCTTGAGGGGAAAGCAAGAGTTGGACATGTTAGCCAATACTGGCGGTCTGGCCTTATAACTGGATCCCTTCGGGTTATATCGCGGAATGTGTCAATTGCGATCGAGAATGTCCCAGGTGTGATGCTGATCGTACGGATATTCGAATGAGAGAACTGAACAAAATGGTCGACCCCGGGTCGAAGCTCAAGTTACAAAAAAGAACGCGTCAAAGCGAGGTAAAAGAGTGACTCGGGTTCTCAGTGCCCGGAAGGAAAGGTCAACTGAGCCCCGTAGGCGCTCTGAATTCGACAGAATTCAAAAAGAGGGAAGGGAAGTGAAGATGACAAGACGAAGTTTCTAAGATTGGAAAGACGAGATTGGGCCTTCAAGATGGTCTGGGCTTGTGGATAACAGGGGCTTGGTGAAAAAGGGCATATTATGAAACACATCAGGCACAAATCGGCTATACAAGTACGCTAAACTCAATCTTGTTACCTATACATATAGCCCTGGGCGGGAGTTATAGAGAGACAATAAATATGATAAAAGGGGGTGGGGAAGGTTGTGCCCCAGGTGTTCCGCGTTTACCCTTTTGTTTTCGCTTTTATTCTCCGGGGTCTTTCGGGTATCAAAATATTCAATTGGGAACTTTCGACGGAGTACGGAGTACTCCGTATATTATCATACTTCGTACAAAATACAACAATGACAATATCAAAGTCAGTTATGATTGGCAAAATGGTAATTCCTATTAATTTCTGTCCCTCTCCCTAGCCCGTTAGCGGCTAAGGCTAGACGATCGCTATCACCTCTTGCCGTCTGGAAAAACTCGGGAATACTAGAATATTATCCAGGAGCTTGAGATTATTTTCCGAGTTTCCTTACTTCCTGCACAAAATTTGGGCAATAGATATAGCAAATTTCAACGTTGTATGTGAGCTATCGGTTGCGAATGCGAGGGGTTGAGTTGCAATCAGTAGAGCATACCGAGTACAGGGTACCTGATCACAAGCTGCAGGTACCGGGTAATCGCATGTACCAGCTACTTACAAGAATACTACGTGTTGGTCGAAGCTACCAACCCCCCCGCTTCGGTGGACATCTGACAAGTCTGTTTTTTACTCTTTATAGATCATCAAATCAGTATATACACGTTTACCTTACTTTGAATATATTAAAGTATATATGTAGGTAGAAAGCCATACAATATACAATGTGTAATGTACCATGTAGGGCTCTGGCAAATTATAGAAAGTCATGTGACCACTGACATCATCTGATCTGGACAGGGCTGCGCAGGCTGCCGTCAGACAATCTGCGACTCGTCTAAACTGTGGAAAACCTCTGCATAAACCATTCCCGCAAATTTCTAGTATACTAGAGACAACTCATAATTTCTGTCAGATCTCAGACACACCGTGAGCCATGTGCAGCTCCGACATTTTCCTAGCGGTACTCGCCGTCTTCTTCCCACCTATTGCAGGTAAGCCCAAATCAAACCAACACCCCTACATTCGGTAGTCCCACAATGCTAACCAAACTCCTGCGTCAACAGTCTGGATCAAGGCCGGGTTCTGCAGTGCAGACTCGCTCATCAACATAACCCTCACTCTACTCTGCTTCTTCCCAGGTCTCATCCATGCATGGTACATCATCCTGAAGTATCCGGACCCCAACGACGACGACGTAGCCTACGAGCCCATCCCCGGTGGCGGGAGTCGGCGCCGCGATCTGGAGAACGGAAACGTTACCTACTACTATGTCTCACACCAACAGCAACACCCTCCCCAGCGTGGATATGGCACAGTCGACACTCACAGCCAGCAGGCGCCTGGCCCGGCGAACAAACAACAAAACCACACCGAAGGCAGTGAGAATGCTGGGAGCAGCAGCGCCCCCCCTCCACCGACTTATGCCGAGGCTGTGAAGGGTGACAATAAGATGCAGAGTCAGGATTGAGAATGAGACTGGACTCGTTGGCTGTGCTCGTGGGTGGCGTCCTCGGCTCGCCATTGTCTCATCGGTCACTTTGATTCCGACCTCATTGTACTATCCATACCTCTTCCGCTTTGCTGTTCTTGTAAACGCACTTTTTGACAGCTGCATCCTTATGCTATGATTTTCACGAAGGAATGTTCTATGTAATTCTGAATTTTTGATTTTGCTCACTGATTTCTGGTTGTGTCTCTTCTCCTTCGGTTGTATGTTCATTATAAGGTTCTCGATGCGTGCCACGATACTACCCAATACTTTTTATCCTAGCCTTGAAGGCGTTGAGCACTAACTGGGCCTTTGGTTTGACAAGTCCTAGATATAAATAATTCTCGACGATCGATATATCGCTTGTTCTAGAGCCGAAAGTGTAACGCCATACATGGCTGACTTCCTGGTATCTCTAGAAGTGCTGCCTGACTATACTAGCTCTTCCTAGCTACCTAGTATTAAGCCTTGACATCTGGAGATGGTTAGCATGGCTAAGCTTGGACACTAAGCGTAGCACTCATCCCCTATAGGGATGAAGTAGGGTGCCTCATTCCTACTTATCTTTTACCTCAGATGTTTCTTGTTTTGATATGCCTATGGACTTGATTTTGGTAGGGCGATTTTGTAGGACAACTCTTGTCTCTTTTTCTTTTTTCTTTTTTCTTTTTTCTTCGCTAACTTACGGTACTCTTATTGATTTTGAATTTGTGTGCAATTTGGGTGAGTTGTTTGTCCTTTTCTACCGCGTAAACAATAGCGAAGAGTTTGATTTCTGAAAGTTCGCCTTTCGGCCTTCGATTTCTAGCTATTCCGGCGAAAAGCTCGTCCGAAGGGATGCATGTTGCTTTTGCCATGTTTCTTCTGTCTGGTCTGCGGATGGTTGGCTCTTGAGAATAGGAGCCACTGCTGGCACTCTGATCTTTTACTTGGCAATAAAGAGAGACATTGGGTGCAATTAGGTTTGCTGCAAAGTGGAGATGTTGTAAGGAGATGATCTATAAAGTGTTGCGAAATCCATGTGCGTAGAGCTATGTGCAGAAGTTAGCGAAGACCGCACGTAGCTCAACCATATCCAACCTGCCTCCATTGTGAGAGCCTCAGATCCACGCGACCTTCTGTCTATTTGGTGAACATCGACTCTGGAATTTGAATCGGAATCAGAAGTCGCTAGCTTCGAAGATGTCCTTGAGCACCCGACTTTAGGAGAGGTCACATCGAATCATAAATTACTGGGCAATAAAATGCGGATTATCCTGGATACTTCTCTGGGTAATTTGGCTCACACTGCAGATTAGATTCGTACCGGATTTCGGATATCAGCTTCTAGGGCTGTGAGCTTGAACAGCAGTGCTTTCTGTGGAAGCCTTGAATTTACTGGTATCATCGCAAAAAAAGTGAGGAGGGTTTCCTTTTGTTTGCTGTCCAGCTGCCGACTCTTAGGCTTGGTGTGGCGGAGTGAGACTATGCAGTTTTGAGGGCTTTTTAATAGCTCGACTTGCTTTTGTTTGATCCCTCATTTGCAGCTATCCAGTAGGATATGCCTTCAGTAGCTTCGACACCTGGGCATCACGCTTGGATTAGTTATATTTGGGTGATATCCTGTTTTAAAACGAATGAAAACCAGGACCGAAGAGTACTAGGCCTAAAATGGGCTTTATGTCCGAGCGGATTTTGGTAGTAGCAAGGTCGCTGGTATAATATCCAAACTAGCAGCTACCTTAGAGGGTATCATGATAGTCTACCTGGCAGAATGAATTACCATTTTCAAATGCCAAAAAATGCACTAGCTTCCATTAATCTAGTTAGCCACGGAGTTCTTCGTACATATTTGTTAGTATGGGATGCTCAGATGCTGCTTTGACCATGGAGGCTTCACTTAACACCGCAAATTCGCAGGGGTATACGCACGCACTGTTATCTCCCACGAATCACCACCAGCTTACAGAAGGTCACATTGTTTAGCCAGATAAATAAACTGTCAAAACATAAACAATAAGAACTCCATTTACCTCGTCGTGTTGACATTGAGTGGTAGAACACCTTTGAATTATTGTGCTTGGCATTTTGTACTGGTACCCTCTTCTGACCAAAGAGCCCGCCATCGAACTTGATCCTTTGCCTGGCATGGATTTGTCAGGATGCGTGGACGACGTTTCCTTTGGCCCTACAGTCAAAGGTTGCCGCGGAAACTTCGACTTTACTCTGAAGTTTGAGAAAATAATTCTCTCGATACTGCCATCCGCTTTATTTATTGCATTATCAGTTCCTAGAGGCATTTACCTCGCTCGAAGACCGGTAACAGTGCGCGGCGCAACATTTCGATTTACTAAGCTTGTGTGTCTTCCCTCGACCCCTGCTGGATCCATTTCGAAGCATCCTGGCTAATATGTTTGGCAACTATAAAGGCAGCAACAGTAATTTACGCAGTCTTGCGCCTTGTTCTCCTTATTATCAGCAGCATTGAACCATCCAAACTGCGTGACTTGTCCATTACAGCCGACGTGCTTAGCTTTCTCACGGCAATAAGTATATCTGTCCTGAGTTCCTTAGAGCATTCTCGCTCGCCCCGGCCCTCTATCTTGCTTAGCGCATTTCTCTCCCTGACTGTCCTCTTTGATATTGCACAAGTGCGATCTCTCTGGCTGCTGGCTCGGAGCTACAACGAGTTTACCTATGTGAAACTCTTCACTGCGGCCATCGCCTGGAAGGCTGTTCTAGTCTTATTACAATCACTGCACCACCAGGGATCGCTAATATGGGACCGGAAAACACATAGCCCCGAAGAAACCACCGGATTGTATGGACTAGCCAGCTTCTTCTGGCTCACTCCTCTCTTCTTGTCAGGATACAAAAAAGTTCTGAGCTTATCAGATCTATTTCCACTTGACAAGAGTGTGTCTGTGGAAGCCCTCAAAGCATCTTTGTATATCAAGGACACTGGCTTCCACGGAGATACCAATGGCTTGACAAAAGCACTTACTCGCGCATTAGCAGTCCCAATTTTGTTGCCGGTGGCTCCTCGCATCGCCCTGGTTGGATTGACACTGTGTCAACCTTTGCTTATTGATGCTATTTTGAACTTTCTCGAGGAGCCCAACACCTACTTGACTACCAATAAGGGTTACGGTTTAATCGGTGCTACCATACTGGTCTACACAGGAATGCCAATTGCTACTGCTCTTTACTGGTATCTACATGAACGAGCCTTGTTTATGACACGAGCACTTTTGGTTTCTGCGATATATAACAAGACGATTAAGGCACAGATTTCGGCTGCAGATGACTCGGCGGCTGTTACGCTTATGAGCGTCGATGTCGAAAGAATTAGGATGGGTCTCATGCAGCTTCACGAGTTCTGGGCAAACCCCGTCCAGGTAGCTATTGTGTGCTGGCTACTCCAGCGCCAGCTTGGCGCAGCGTTTGTGGCTCCCATGGTGGTCGTCCTTATTTGCATCGTTTCCTCAAGTATTCTAATGCATTTCATTGGCCCAAGACAAATGGCTTGGATGAAAGGGATTCAAAAGCGGATCGGTCATACAGCGAATGTCATTGGGAATATGAAGCATTTAAAGATATCCGGGCTCACCGCACCTGTTGAAGATTCAATCCAAAAGCTGCGTCTTGAAGAGTTAAAGGCCGGGGGCAAGTTTCGTGCTTTTCTGGTGGGCTCTGTCGGAATTGGTTTCACACCAGTTCTCCTGGGCCCTGTCTTTGCATTTGCTCTCACATCTCGAGAAGTGGATGTTACGACTATTTTTACTTCACTCTCCTATCTCCAGCTTCTCTCAGGGCCACTATCACAGCTATTCCAAGTTGTTCCCCAGCTGCTTGCGGCATTCTCATGCCTATCACGAGTACAGCTGTTCCTCGAGAAAGAACCTAGGCACGACTGTCGCCAGATTGTGAGAACAGATACATCTGAGAAAGAGCATTCGAGTGAGAACTTGCCATCGATTGTAGAAATCAAGGACGCAGACTTTGGGTGGGAAAAGGATACCTTGACTCTGAAGAACATCAATATTTCCATGTCCCAGGGCTTGAATATGATTATTGGCCCGGTTGCCTCTGGGAAGTCGACATTCTGCAAAGCATTACTTGGAGAAACTCCGATTGCGCGTGGAGAAATCTTCATACGAACAAAATATCACAGGGTTGGATATTGCGATCAAGTTCCCTTTCTTCCTAACGAAAGTATTATGGACACTATCATAGGCTTCTCAACCTTTGATGAGAAAAGATATGCCAACGTTATTGAAGCAACACTGCTCGCCCAGGACCTACCCCTTCTTCCTAAAGGAGATCAAACCATGATCGGCAGTGATGGACTCGCCCTTAGTGGTGGGCAGAAACAGCGAATCTCACTTGCTAGAGCGTTGTATCTGCAATGCGATTTGCTTATTCTCGATGATGCACTTGGAGGACTGGATGCAACCACAGAAGAACACATTTTCAATAATGTTTTTGGTCCTTCAGGAATCCTCAAGCAAAGAGAGACAGTCGTGATACTTTGCACAAACGCTATCCGGCATCTTCCATCAGCCGACTATATTGTTGCACTAGGAACTGACGGCACCGTCGTGGAGCAAGGTCGTTTTGAGGATCTTGTTGCGAATCACGGATATGTCCATAGCCTCGGATTCCAGGCTGACGACAACAGTATATCTCATCCAACAACAACACCCAGGATACCCCAGTCTGATATTGAGATTCAAATGGAGTCTATTCAAGCTAGCACTACTGAAAGTGAAGTATCCATTGCTGAAACCAATGGTAGCAAATCGAGCAGAAACCTGGGTGACTTTTCCGTCTTCGCATACTACTGCCGTAGCATTGGTGCTTTTTGGCTCACCAGCTTCGTCTTGATTGGTATTCTTTGTGGATTTCTTTCTAACTTCCCTGCAATCTGGTTAAGTTATTGGAGTACCGATTCTTTCAATCGATCGAAGTCTTTCTACATTGGTATATACGGTCTTTTCCAATGTCTGGCCTTAGCTACAATACTTAGCGAGGCGGCCATCGGCATGCTATTGATTATTCGCAACTCTGGATCACGTCTACACGAGAAAGCTCTGCGAACAGTTATTTCTGCACCGCTGAGTTTCTTCTCTCAGACAGACACGGGCACAATCACCAACCTTTTCTCCCAGGATATGACATTTATTGATGGGGAGCTTCCACAGGCTTTGATCAACACGTCCCTACAAACATGGATCGCAGTAGGAGGAGCAGCAGTAGTTGCAACATCATCTCCTTATATTGTTATCACATATCCCTTCATTCTATCAATTCTTTACGGAGTCCAGAGATTCTATCTTCGCACATCTCGCCAGCTTCGGCTCTTGGATCTAGAGGCAAAGAGCCCGCTCTAGTATTTCTCTCCTACCACTGTATTGTGTCGCATCCTTTACTAATATTTATTGGCTCTAGTACACACTTTTTGGATACGATCAAAGGCGCAGCCACTCTGCGAGCTTTTGGTTGGATAGAGAACTCCGTCTCTGTAAACAATGACCATTTAGATACCTCGCAACGCCCTGCCTATCAGTTGAGCATGATACAGCGATGGCTGGCATTCGTACTCGACATGATCGTAGCGATTATTGCATTGCTAGTGGTCACTCTTATTACCCAACTTCGTCCCAGCACTGGTTTTACTGGTGCGAGTTTGGTGTCAATTATGACACTTGGCAAAACTTTGGCTAGTCTGGTGCAGATGTACACGTTGCTGGAGACTTCAATTGGGGCTGTCTCCCGCTTGAAGTCTTTTAGTGACAAGACTGTTCCGGAAGATCTACCTGGCGAGACTAACCAGCCCCCCACTACATGGCCATTACGTGGTAGGATCGAAGTCAAAAATATGTCTGCAGCATACGGTGGTGCAGAGTCAACCGGGAACTCGGACACTCTTGCACTTCGAGACCTCACATTCACGATTGAAGCGGGGCAGAAAGTAGCAATATGCGGAAGAACAGGAAGGTAAGTCTGAACAGACCATTGAGTAGATCTTTACATCAGTGTATCCTAGTGCTCAAAGCTCACATCTATTTTAAATAGTGGTAAATCCTCCATCATTCTCCTCCTGCTACGCCTTTTAGACCCACTTGCTTCATGCACCGGCGAGCTCACCATTGACGATGTTTCACTCCTGACGATTGACCGCTCTACATTGCGCCGGCGCATTATCGCAGTACCCCAGGATTCAACATTGTTCCCCGACGGCACTTCCTTCCGAAAAAATCTCGATCCATTCGACACCGCGAACGAGGAGGAGTGCCAGGCGGTGCTCGAGATGGCAGGTTTATGGTCCTTGGTGTCTGATCGTGGGGGTCTCATGACCGGGCTAAGTGCCGATGGGCTTAGCCATGGCCAGAAGCAGTTGTTTAGTCTGGCAAGAGCGGTCCTACGCCGGCGAGTTCGGGCCCACTGTCTAGATGCCGAGATCGGGGATGCTTACATCAAGTCGCTTCCTTCCGCAACTCAGGTACCAGGTGATACTGGTATCATTATTCTTGACGAGGTCAACCGTGGTGTAGATATCGAGACACAGAACACCATGCAGGACATTATAAGGTGCGAATTTGCAGGATACACTGTTGTTATGGTCAGCCATGGACTCGACATGGTTATGGATTTTGACAAGGTTTTGGTTATGGACGAAGGCAAGCTTGTGGAAGAGGGCTCGCCGATGAAATTGAGTAAGGAGGTAGGGAGTCGGTTTAGAGACCTATGGATGGTCGGAAAGCATGAAATCTCGACATCCAAGTAGGTCGTTGTTCAGAGGGCATGGGAGTTGTGCTTTTTAGTCTCAGGCTGTTTCACAAAGTATATAATAAAGCTACTTGTAATTAAGATATGGTATTCGTATACAACGTACATATGTGTTTTTGAGTCGGAGCTATGTACTTTGTATGTTGGTGGCAGACCAGTTCGAGGAAGTGAGAAGAAATCAGGATCGTTTCACTGCAAACAAGAATAGTCGGCCACCTATACAGCCTCTGTTCTTGACAAAATAGGTATATTTGGGACTTTCTATGTAAGAACACTCCAATTTGTTTGTTTTTGGATGTTCTTTCAGACGTTCTTTTAGATGGATGTACCTATACGCTGGCGGATAAAAAGCATAATCCGTGCAGACGGATTTTCTATGTATGACTACATGGGGAATAAGTCAGAATATTGAATGGCATTGGCCACATATATAGTAAAGAATAGAACATCTGAAGGTTATATTCGTAGAAACTTGCTACAATGACCCTCAACAATCTGATAAGACTATCCGAGGCCAAGTTCCGTCCCGAGATGACCCTCACCCGTACTCTCTTCGCACCACCACCACTTCCTGCCACAAACCTGTGGCCCTTGTTTTGGCCATGCAGTCTATGCCACAACTGCTTAGGCAATCACTCCGATCAAGCCTCCAATTCACAACCACCTCCTCCCCAGTGCGAGCGCACTTCCGCCCTGCATTCTCCGTCAACAGACCGACTCCGCGGAGCTTCTCCGCCTGCATACAATGCCAATTCCGCCGATCGCCGAGCACATATTTGGCCTATAGTGACCGAGAAAAGTTCTCCGCTGATACCGAGAGGCTAATCAGGGAAAAGGAGAAAGAACTCGCCGAGCAGGAGCTCGCTTCGCGCGACCCGGTCCCGATCCCGGGTGTGGAGGCTGGTAGTTCTGTCGATTCAGTCCCTCCTGCTACAGAGACCGATCAGACCACCGCACAACCACAAACAAACCAGAGTGATAAGGAACAGTCAGTTCCACAGGAGGAAGATGTTAGTGCAGCTAGCGTGAGGAAAGGAGGCCTGCCCTCGTACTTGGAAAACCGTCGGTCAAAATTATCCAAGCAGTTCACCACAATGATGGACAATTTGCAATCGAATGTGTTCGTTGCGGGCCAGCGTTTGAACGACTTGACTGGATACTCCAGCATTGAAGCATTGAAGAACGATATCCAGTTCCACGGTATGTGTAGCATAACACCGTTTCAACCCCGCCGCGAAAATCCCGGGCGCTAATCCCACCAAATTATCCAGAGGGCCGACTCCGCACTGCCCGAGTGAACGTCAAGAAAGCGAAAGAAGAGTACGCCAAAGCGATTAACCGCCGCTCAACCTCCCAACGCGAAGTAAACGAACTCCTCCAACGCAAGCACGCCTGGTCCTCAACAGACCTGGAGCGATTCACCCTCCTCTACCGCAACGACCACACAAACGAGGTTGCTGAGACTGAGACCTCCCACGCTCTATCGGCCTGCGAGCGCGAAGCTGAAGAGGCTGCTGCGCAACTGAGCAAGAGCATCCTCTCGCGATACCACGAGGAGCAAGTCTGGTCCGACAAGATCCGCCGCATGTCGACATGGGGAACCTGGGGTTTGATGGGCATGAACGTCCTGCTATTCCTTGTCTTCCAGATCCTCGTGGAGCCGTGGCGTCGGAAGCGACTCGTCAAGGGCTTCGAGGATAAGGTCGTTGAAGCGTTGGAGAAAGAGAAGGTCCTGAACCGGGCTATGTTTGCCGAGAACGCCGTTTCGATCTCGGCGCTGCCGAATACCTCTATCGTCCCCGAGGTTATTGACTCTACCTCCGAGGACACACTTGAGACTACTCCTTCTCTTTTGATTGAGCCAAAGCTTGCTACGACGGAGACAGATGCGCCCATCACAGGGTCCATTGTCTCAGTGACCGATGCTGATGCCCCCCAGTCTCTCCAGACCCGTCTGTCAAACATTTCTTCTCCAGTTCTGTCACTCGAGTACTGGAAGCAGGTGACTGGCGAGTTCTTCAGTAATCGCAGCATTGCTGTCTCCCAATACGATCTCACCACTGCGGTTCTCAAGAGTGCCGCAGCTGGTGCAGCTGTGACGGGCCTACTCTTCGCCCTGATCAGATCTCGGTAAAAAAAAAACATTTCATTCGAGCATGTCATTGCATTGTCAGCGAAAACTCAACATGTTCTGGCTCATGTCCGGTTTTGTTATTTTGATATTAACTTGCCCTTTTGGTCGGGGGTGGTTATACTTGTACATACAATTGAGAAAAATAGATAAGCAGTTGGATATAACTCTGGAATCGAATATAGTGTATGACTACTTGACCATCTGGAAAGCGAGTATATGTCAAACAAGAATAGTCGACCGCTTATGCGGCCTTATGATGTCTTATGATTTCTTAAGATATCTTTTTTTTATATCTCAGTTTTATAGCTAGGACGATGAAAAAGCGATAGAAAGCATAAACCGTTGATCTAAAACAAAGGAAATAACATGAGTAGGTGATACACTAAATAAAGGACATATGTACTTAAGGAGACCATAGGACAATCCTCTGCACTGCCAGACAAACCCCTGGCTTGAGCATCTCCAAACAGTTCGGGTGTTTGCCATGGGGTAAGACCAAGATCCAGGAAGATAGGAACAAAGGAAGAAAGAGGCTCATTTTTTGTCCATATTAAAACACAGGTCTCTTAATCTTGACAAGACACACGGCCGCTCTGTCTAAAAAAGGGAAGAAAAACACACACAAGCACATACACAGATAGATAGGATACACAATCCCTCCATCTTTATCTCATCCACACTTCTAATGAGAAATCCGCCTGTTGGCGGCGATCAAAAAAGGGTGTATTCAAACGCTTAACCGATAACCAGGGTATCCTCCTCGGGGAAGGTGTAGGCGGGAACCTCCAAGTTCAGAGGGGCAGGGCCCTTCCGAATACGGCCGGAGATATCGTAGTGGGAACCGTGGCAGGGGCAGAACCAGCCGCCGTAGTCACCGGCCTCACCGATGGGAACACAACCCAAGTGGGTGCAGACACCTATAGGGGGAGAGGAGAGTTAGAAAATTGCGGGTTGCTCGCGAGTCGCATATTCACTTACCGAGCATGACGAGCCACTCGGGACGCTGGACGCGGTCCTCATCGGGCTGGGGGTCACGGAGACCCTCCCACTTGGACTCACGAGCCTCATCGATCTCGGCCTGGGTGCGGTGACGGATGAAGACGGGCTTACCACGCCACTTGATGATGACCTGTTGGAGAGGGTGTTAGATAGGGATCGTGGGGACTAGAATCTGTGGAATGAGGTGTGAATAAACACGTACGTTCTTGCCCTCGGGGATAGCACCGAGAGCGATCTCGACCTTGGCCTGGGCCAGGACATCGGCGGAGGCGGACATGTTGACCAGGAAATCTGGAAAGAAAGGATAACGTCAGTCGTTTGTTCAAGGTCGTCCGAATTTCCCCGATTCTTCAATAATCTTGTTCAATCGCTTTATTCCATGCCAATGCTGTTCTTATCTCTTTCTGCTTCGAAGATTTGACAAAAACCTACCCTGGACAGTAGCCTTGGCACCGACAGCACTCGCCAGACCGAGGGAGCCGGCCATGAAGTAGGAGAAGACCTGGTTGGAGCGGGGCGAGTTGTTGGACTTGTACTTGCTGAAGTTGGGGATCTTCAGGGTCGAGCCACGCTCGTTAGCGCTGGCGAAGGGAGATTCGAAGGACGACTTCGCATCGGCAACTCCCCTCCGCTGCTGGCAGGAGGTGACGGCGGCGCGGGAGGTGGGCAGCTGCTGCCGAGCGACGGTGCGCAGCAGGGTGCTGGAAGCGGAGGAGAGCGACATTGTGAGGGCAATTGACCACGGGGGAATTGAGCCGCGAGTTGTGGAGAGCGAGGTGAGGATAGAGAGTGGATGAAGTCGGAAGTTGAAGTTGGAGCCAGAGCTTTCGCTAGCGATCGGAATCACGGGGCCTGTCATTGGCTGATCCGTTCCCGTTCACTCCCTAAGAAAACATTCTACAACTTCAAGTATACTGAGTATACTATTCGAGTATGAGAGTATGGGAGTATATTTTAGTTATTTTCTTTGATAATGATTAACTATTCATTTTTCTGCTCAAATTTGACTCGTAAATTGTATACTATCTCGTTTTCTTTTGTGTTAATATCTAATCCGACCCAATGCGACCATACAAATCCAAAACCAATGAAACCCTTCAGAAAACTCCTATGCAAATAACAAGATTCAAAGAAAAACGGAGACAATATATCGCAATCAATCTTGCATTTCCACATCATGGTCATGAGTTGCAATGGGCTCGACTGTCCGGTCAGCAATCAACGCGCTTACAGGGACCATAGGCCGAGGACCCGACGGGGATGTCATCTTTGAATCTTCTCTTTGTGGGGTACCATCTCCCATAGCTGTGCCATTTGCTGGTGTCGGAGGTGCACCGGTACCGTTGAGAGTACGCTGGCCCTTCTCCATAGCACCTTGGTTCGCCGCATCTTTCGCCTTCTTCTCCTTGAATTGTTTGTAGGTTGTAGTCTTAGGGATAACGTCGGAAAGGAACTCGAGATTGTCGGTGTGTGATACCGCCGAAGCTATTCCCTGTTAGAATGCTGTCCGTCCTCTTGCTAACCGTAGGATAGGCGTAACTAACCGAGATCTTTGTATTGGACAGTCTTGCGCGGTTTTCGCTCGGATTTGACCACATTATGCCCTTGCTCAGCAAGATATTGAATGAACATCTCCTAGATCTAGCATTAGTCGGTGTTCGAGGTATTAAGGTAGAGGGTGTGGCGTACGGTAGCCATTGCGATGACGAAGGTTGCGTTGTTAGAGCATTGTACGATATCCTCGTCCAACTGGATAATCTTCTTAATTCGAGCAACTGTACAGACATGTTAGCATGTCAATCTAAAGTAAAAGTAATGTTTGGGACTTACTCGGAAGTGCGCTCTGTCCGGTGATCTCATCCGGCTCTCCCACAGTCTTGGGGGGCATGGTGGCTAATTCTGGTGAGATAGAATATTGGTAGAACACAGATTACAATTTCAGCGTGCACTGATAAAATATTCCCGTTGTAAAAGCAAGTTGGCGCGAGCGTGGAGTCGAGGAAGAGTAAAACGCGTGGCCGCGTTATCTCAGGAGGCTCTCCGTTATCGATCCATGGATACTTGGCGACTTCGCTTTGTCACATCATCTACCTTTAAGAGCTTCATTCACCCCTGTCTTCTGACTATCGCTTATAGGGGGCTGAATAGAAGTACTCCAGGGGCATCTGACTTCGAATTCGAGAATCCGAGAGTTCGAGAGGTCCTCTTCTCACAGTGAAGTGCGGTGTCCATTGCGGACACGGACAGATCATCGAGTCAACTCTAAATCGACTATGCTGACTCTACCTCCTCGATCAATGTTATGACCTCTCCACGCCCCTCCCCGACCTTTGATAGGTCCCTTTCAGTTCCAAGAGAGCGGCGCATCTCGCGAAGGCCATCTGATCGTTCTATTCGCTCCTCCTACGACCCACGAGCCGATTCCGACAATCAAGAGGCCCCCGCCATCCCAGAAGAGATCAGTGAGGTCAAACGATATGAAGATTTTACCACAATAGACTGGGTTCAAGATGCAGTTTATGAGCAGTCACGGCGGCGCGCGAAACGGCGCAGTGGCACTGGATTCTGGGATCAGGAAGGCATATTTGGCTGGAGACGGAAAGTGTACGAGTCATACGATGCAGGCCAGGCATGGCTTGTTGTTACACTTGTGGGTGTGGCAATTGGATTAAATTCAGCTGTGCTTAATATCATCACTGAATGGCTGTCTGATATTAAGCTGGGCCACTGTACCACCGCATTCTACCTCAATGAGTCTTTCTGCTGTTGGGGCGCCGAGAATGGTATGTTCAGCAGGTTGTACAAAATTCTTATAAACTAACCCTTTTCCTTGATAGGCTGCCCCGAGTGGAAACATTGGACCTCATGGTGGCTGATAAATTATGTTTTCTATTTCTTTGGCGCGGTAAGACGCGTGCCAGGTTAATACTTGAAAATATGAATTCCTAGGCTAATTTTGGAGATAGTTGCTACTTTCATCCATCGCCGCAGTCTTGGTCAAATCATTTGCGCCGTATGCTGCCGGCTCTGGTATCTCAGAGATCAAATGCATTATTGCTGGCTTCGTTATGAAGGGCTTCCTAGGTGCCTGGACTCTTTTAATCAAGTCAATTGCCCTTCCACTAGCTATTGCGTCGGGTTTGTCTGTTGGAAAAGAGGGACCCAGTGTACATTTTGCTGTGTGTACCGGAAACGTGATATCGCGCTTCTTTGGTAAATACAAACAAAATGCATCGAAAACACGAGAAATCTTGACTGCCTCAGCCGCAGCTGGTGTGGCTGTCGCTTTTGGCAGTCCAATTGGAGGCGTACTGTTCTCCCTGGAGGTGAGTTCAATGGCGCACTACCTCATAGGATGAAAGCTGATACCGCCAATAGGAAATGGCAAGCTATTTCCCCCTCAAGACTCTTTGGCGCAGCTATTTCTGTGCCTTGGTGGCAACTAGTGTGTTGGCGGTATGTTTCCCGTATTTTAAATTGATTTTGGACCATATCTAATCCATGCTAGGCTGTCAATCCTTTCCGAACTGGACAATTGGTCATGTTCCAAGTGGAATATAACCGCACATGGCACTTTTTCGAGTTCATCTTCTTTATTGGCCTTGGTATCTTCGGTGGACTTTATGGTGCATTTGTAATGAAATGGAACCTTCGAATGGCCGCATTCCGCAAGAAACATCTCTCACAGTGGCCTATAACTGAGTCAGTTGTTCTCGCGGGACTCACTGCGATACTGTGCTACCCCAACATGTTTCTAAAGATCAACATGACCGCAATGATGGAGATCTTATTCCGCGAATGCGAGGGGGGCCATGACTATCACGGACTATGCGAGTATGAATACATCTCTCCGTTACATGTAAGGACACTATTAACTCATTGCAGATCCACGAATCGATGGCCGATGGTCTTGTCACTAGCTATTGCAACTGTTCTGCGCACTTGTTTAGTGATTATTTCATACGGGTGCAAGGTGCCAGCTGGTATCTTCGTGCCTTCGATGGCCGTCGGGGCTTCATTCGGCCGCATGATTGGGATCATGGTACAAGCATTACATGAATCGTTTCCCCAATCAGCATTCTTCGCTTCATGTGAACCAGACGTTCCTTGTATTACACCGGGAACATATGCGTTCCTGGGAGCTGCGGCAGCCCTCAGTGGAATCATGCATCTGACTATTTCTGTAACGGTCATCATGTTCGAGTTGACTGGCGCACTGACCTACATTCTACCGACCATGGTAAGTCTTCATTCCAAGTGGCGTTATTTCATTTACTCATATTGACTGTTCTTGTATAGATTGTGGTAGGCATTACCAAAGCCGTTGGCGATCGATTCGGCAGTGGCGGTATCGCCGATCGAATGATTTGGTTCAATGGGTTCCCATTCCTAGACAACAAGGAGGATCACGTCTTCAACGTACCTGTATCCCATGCAATGACCACCGGTCCACTCTCGCTCCCAGCATCGGATTTCCCGGTGCGCGAAGCAGAGCATCTCCTAAATGACAACAAATTCCAAGGCTTCCCTGTCGTGGAGGACCGCACCTCCAAGATCTTGGTCGGATATATCGGACGAGCCGAGCTCCGATACGCTATTGACCGCGCCCGCAACCAGGGAATGGTCGCTCCAAACGCCCGGTGCGTGTTTACTAAAGAAGCAGCCGAGGCAGCCGTTGCGCGCAGGGCATCTGTCTCGCAAAGCTCTAGGACATCAGATACATTCGATGAAATCCAAAGGAGTGCAGGGGCTTCTTTCGTCGATTTCTCGCGATATGTCGACCATACACCGCTGACTGTCCACCCGCGTCATCCTCTTGAAACGGTCATGGAAATTTTCAAGAAGATGGGCCCGCGAGTTATTCTCGTCGAGCACCGCGGTAAACTCACTGGCTTGGTTACCGTCAAGGATTGCTTGAAGTATCAGTTCAAGGTCGAAGCTGAGGAACATACACTAGCAGCAACGAGTTCATCTCAATTTTCTGCACTTGGTGGGCACCTGAACACCCCTGCTCCCGAAACACTGGAAGACCGCTTGTGGCGACTCATTCAGAACGTGGCTGGGTTTGTATCTGGTAAGATCTCTCGCCGGCCGGTCCGGCTGCGTGACCGCACTGTACCTAGACAATCAGAGCCGTCTGATATCCTAGAAGGGAGGGATGATGACGCGGCGGTGGAATTGGAGGACAGGGAAGATCGGCCGATGATCCCATGAAAAGTCGGATTGCTATGTTGCCATGTTTATATGTTACGTTGATAAAGAGATATTTGCTACATACCAATTGTTGCTTGCCTGTCCATCTTCCTATCTGTTACAAGCTCTAATGCGTTCAAGCCAATGGAGGCAATACTTGTATTTCTCCATATCTAATCAGAGTAACAAGCGCCCGGTTGAATCTTCACTGGCTCTATCGGACTTTGCCCATGTCAGCCTCTTTTGATACGGCCTTCCATAATGTACTACGACGTAGCGGTTATCGGAACTACTAGAATCATTTATCTTGGAATCTTTGATGGCTCTATGAAACATGTTCTATGAAAAAAATAGTGCGTTTGCCAAGCTCGGACTCCAACTAATTCTGTTGGGAGTCACCGTTACCGGTGGGTCGTGCTAGGCTGATTGGACGACGCAGTATGAGACTTGGGTTGTCTTATGGTGGCTAGTACTCCGCCGCCGTAGAACCATGTGGCTTTTCCAGGTTTATTGCTCATGATCCATCCGGATGTGTTGCAACCCCTAATGAGACGTGACAGTTCTTGTGGGCCAGAGTTAAGATTGTGGCATGTGGCGATAGATTTCCCTCAGTGATTGTGTAGATTCCTCAGTAGGATCCATTAAGATCAAAATCATACCGAGAAATGAGTTCCAAAATCCCCAAGCATCATGTGGCCGAGATTTGAGATTGTTATGGCGATATCCTTGCATCTTCCGGCAGCGTAGGCCTATTTCTTCGTCTGGGTTGTGAAACAAGCGAGGAAAACCTGAACACTAGTATCGCAGGGTATCCAAAGCTCAATACAAGAATTGGCGAGGATATGAGCAGGAAAAAGTAGACCATATCATTGGTCTTCTGCGATTACCTCTCGCCGAATCAAGGTTGCATGTTGCGCACTCGAATGACTGAGGTCGTCCAATATCCAGGAAACCATTTCAGCAGTCACTTGCCATATCATTTGAAAATCGTTCCATATCCATATGTCACACTTGGTTGGAATAATTCCAAAGAGACCGCGTTTTTTTTTGGCATCGATATGTCCTTCCATTCGAGAATTATCGTGGGATGTCTTCTCAAAATATGTCCAGCGAGATCCATAAACACGGGATATCTGGAGTATTACCGGGAGCGACACAGATAATAGGAAACCTGTAGCTGTAATCGCAAGAAGTAAGAAAATAATCCAATAATTACCATTGCTTCACTCACTGGATAAATCTTTTCCCCATGCCTCCCCGCATCGGGCATGTCACGCATCATCGTGAGTCTCAGGTTAGCTCGTACAGAGATGGTGGTATCTCGGGGGAAAGAGTATATAGGATTCCAATGAGAGGAGGAAACACCGTCTGCGTTGGATTTTACAAAAAGTTGTCTTGGGCACGTGAATTTTATCCCAAGGAAGCTTCCTCTTTTACGACTTGCTCTTAGCACGGTCCTGTTCTCCAACATACCATACTTTTCACCCCCGTCACCTCCAAATCTGTCTCAGCCCAGGCGCCGTGCCTGGCTTCTTCATACTAGGCCAAGATGAGTAGTGCTGGCTAGCTTCGGCTGCGAAGCTCAGTCGGACAACCATCAGCACCCTAAATACCATGCTCTTCGGATCACTAAAAGACAAAACCACGAGCTTCAAGTCTGCTAAACAGTCGGCCAAGAAAGACCACACAGAAAAAACTGCAATAGCTGCAGACGGGAGCCTGGAAAAAAGAAGTCGATAACAGCTCATTCATCGATCGCTGCATTTCCAACCCCTACCAAGCCTCCATGGATGGGATTGGGCTGTACCAAACAACAGAGCTTGAGTCCCTCATGTCTTCCTACATACTAGCGAACGTGAAGATGTCTTCAGTAAAACTTGGACCCCATGGTAGTAACTATGGAGACGTTCTTGCCCTCGCTGCGATACGAAGGCTCATCCAAGTTTCCCCGGTGTTATTGGATTGATCACCACTTTCCCAAGTGAATCCAGTGGGGAAGCTTGAGGTACACAAAGTCTTGGTTCATCCAAATAAGCTACCCATATCCGAAACCAAATGGAAGAGAATGATTGGCGTTGTTGGCCTAAGCGATTGAAGATGGCCAGTAGCCTGTGTTCTCTACGTCAAGATCCGAGAAGACGGTAAGAACTCTTTATCCTGGATCACTATATAGAATCCTTGTTTCCTGGCGGTATTTAAATCTCTAAATAGCCAGCCATCAGATCAAGGACTGCTAGAAGCGGCTACCTAGAACTACAAACACAGCACTGGCGTTTGATTATTTGTGTGTGGGACGTGATCCTGGTAATTTACTACTCCCATACATAGTGAATCGATAATATGGTATCTAGAGCTTATGGATTCTAATTTCATCCCTTGAAGAATACACAATCAACCACCCGTGGATATAATGGAATTATTATGTCAACCACTGTTTGCGGGCTAGGTAGGCAATAAATGGTTGAGAACTGTAACTTGTCTCCAAGAAGGATCTTGGGAAATGAGGCCCCTCTCTTGGTCTCCCCCTGAGTGAAATCTTTCATACAGTTGATCTAAATCTCAAATCATCTTAATGTTTGTGAGGATATGGAGTGAATCTTTCCCGAATATGAACTTCCGTGATTCAGCCACTCCAAAGTTGAGCATACTCAGCCCTTCAACTATTCCCCACATTACATTGTCGGATTTGGTTATTACATCGACATATGCTTTGTATAATTCAGATAACACTGGAATGTTGTAACACGTTGATGGCCACTGGACCGTTTCAACAGATCCTCGGGGAAGATCCGTTTGGAATTGAACCATCTGACGGAGATGTGACAGGTGCAGGCTAATAGTGGGGTGGATAGTCGCTGAATGTAAGAGAAATACTTGGAGGTGCAGGATATACAATTGTTTTTTGTACTCTGTACATATACTAATGTTTGGAGAATCCTCCTGGTCTCAGAATCGCGATGGTATTCCAATACCTCAAAAGGCCACGAAAATGACCTATCCGATCAGGCCCCTCTTTTTAATGATAAATTACGACTAGCAATCATACGCGTAGATGCTGCAGTGTGATAATGTGCTAGTAACATGTGGCTGGCTGACTACCTGCATAAATTTCTACCTGTACGGAGTACAAAACAACAGTATATACGGAGTAGATAGAATATAATGGCCGACCCCTCCTGTCTGATTCTTCATTTGCAAACCAACCAACATGGCAGCCTCAACTGAGCTTATCCTTGATCAAAGCCATTCCAATTTTCTAAAGCTGTTACCTTCACTGGGGATCAATACGACAGGTAGAGATGCCATTGAACAAGCCCTGACAATCGTATGGATTGTAACCGTGCGTGCTTTTGTGACATCAACATCATTATATGTGGGATATGATGCTATTTCTGGTGTAAGCTATGTTGGTGAAGGAGAAACAGCGAAAATCCCCATAGCTTGGATCGACATCGATCCAAATGACAATGCAATGAGTCTGCAGCAACAAATTGCCCAAAATACACCTATAAAGCACTCCTTGGCTGAAGAGAAGACACATGCGTTCGATACGATCATTACTTTCAGCAATCATATGCAGGTCACGGTGAGTCTCTCTACATGAATATTGGCTGCCTGGGGCTCGAAACTGACGATTGTAGGCTGGCTTGTGTCTGAATGTCACAATTCAGGGCGAGAAACTTGTCGCAAATTTGACATTTTCAACGATTGAGCAGGCCCTCGCAGACACTCTCCTCCGCAGTTTCAATCAGGCATTGACTTCGCTCATCACAACCCCCTCTATCCCCATTGGTGATCTTAATCTCTGCTCGCAGCATGACCTCGGGTTGTTAAAGGATTTCACCTTAAATATTCAACCGCCTGGCGATGAATTAATCCACGATCTCTGTTTCAAACATGCAAAGACTTATCCCAACGATCTTGCTGTGGCTTCCTATGATGGAAATCTCACCTACGGCGAACTTGATGATCTGACCTCGCGGCTGGCGCACTATCTTGTCCGCCAGGGTATCCAACCAGAGACTTTTGTCGCATGTTCCTTTCCTAAGTCAACCTGGGCCATTGTTGTCCGTCTAGCCATCCTAAAAGCAGGCGGTGCATATCTCTGCATTGATGCCAAAGACCCTGTCTCCTACCTCAACGCGATAATGAGGCGTGCAAATGTCCGCCTTGTAATTTCGTGTTCGGACCATGTAGCCCAACTACAGCATCTTTCAGTTGATAGAATCATCGAAATTAGCCCATCGTTTGTCAACTCTCTCCCTTCTGTCCCGGGAATCCCTTGCGAGGAGGTAAAACCAAGCAATGTCGCTATCTTGGTCTTCACCTCAGGCAGCACTGGGAATCCCAAAGGCGTTGTGCAAGAGCATCGCGCCTACACGGCTGGAGCTGTGGCCGATGCAGAACAGTATAAGATCACGAGGGGTTCACGCCAGTTCCAATCTGCTGCAATGACATTCACGGCTGGGGACCTGGACTACATTACTTCCCTCGTTGTTGGTGCGTGTTGCTGTATCCCACGGCCCAACGGTAGTCCCCGCGAATGGGTTGAGGATATCAATAGCACCCAGGCAACGCACTGTTTCTTCACTCCGACGGCTGCACTTGAATTCTTGCCGGAAACTATGCCGTCGTTGCAATTTGTTCAGATTGGCGGGGAGCCCATGGCCGAGAGAGTGATATCCAGGTGGTCTGGGTATGCTACAATAGTTCAGAAGTATGGCATGAGCGAAGTGGCGACTGCCATTGCCATGAATGCGGCTCTACGTGCGGGCCGTGGCACAGTTGTGGGCAGTACGGTCGTCTGCGCCCATTGGGTAGTCAATCCTCGCTCACCGGCACAGTTGATGCCCGTCGGCGCAGTGGGGGAGCTTTTGGTCGAAGGACACAATATCACTCGAGGATATCTAGATACACCCTCCACAAACATTCTCGAGCCCCGGCCTCAATGGCTAGTCGACCTGCATCAGCGCAACACGAGGATTATTTGCTCTGGTGATTTGGCCCGAATCAATCACGATGGTCAACTGGAAATTCTGGGCCGCAAGGATATGATGCTCAAACTGGAGGGTGTTCGAATCGAGCCCCAGGAAGTCGAGTCTTTCCTTCACCCCAGTCTTGGGTCACAAGATGTAGTCATCGCAGATGTCCTCGGGGGAGTAAACTCTGAAAACAAAAGCAGAGGAGCAGCCTTGACCGCATACATCAATCTGTCTACAAGCCAAGCTCAAGCAACAGATCCCATTACTTTTGAAGCTGTTAACGAGTCGCACCCAAAGCATAACTTGGTACAGCGGATGAAAAAGACGATTGAGGAGACACTACCCAGCGATTTACGTCCCACATTATATTTGTTGGTGAACAGGATTCCCAAAACCACGTCTAATAAGACTAATCGGAAGAAATTGCATATGGCAGGTGAGGAGTGGTATGCATCACAGTAGTATTAGATAGCTCTCGTGTTGAACTGAGATCTTAGTTAAATCAATATGGTCTTCGGACAAAGACTTAAGCTCGAAATTCACTCACCCTTAAAGGATATATGGTCGCTGTTTAGTTCCACAACACTAGAGAAGCTTCTTAGAAGAATCACCAAAGAAAAATGCATCAGCTGAGCCTCAGAACACTAGAGAAAAAACAATACCATCTTGAGTATATACAGATAGTATGTGATATTGCTGATCATGATATAATTTGAAACCAGATCAAAACAAATCCCACAAGAGTCCATCGCTCACTAATCTCCAACGATCATTTTGCTAGAGTGCATCTAACCAGGGATGTCGCAAGAGATCCTCAGCCGAAATCCGATCAGTGGGGTTAATTCTCATCATTGCGTGCAAAAAAGAGGTAAACTCATCCCTGACACTTTGATCGAGGCCTGGTAGGAATGCTTCGGATGCTAGCTCTGGTCGATCCATTGGCGGCGAGTCCCTGATCCGGCCATCATCGTCAAAGAGACCCCGAACAAGGTCATTATTTCCTCTCTCTAAAACTTGGGGAACGGCCAAAACAGGTTCGGAATTTCCCTCAAATGTTCTTTGAGCTCGTAATGGCCGTCGGGCGGGACAGATCCGCTGAACATGCGAACTGCCCGGAAGACTTCGAGCACGACGTACCCGAGATTCCACCCGTCAGTGCTTGCATTCCACGGCGCCTCGATCAGGACCTCGGGATATTGGAGGGCCACGGGCTGGATCGTCTCGCTGAGATGTCGATCTACCCAGCTGGAGACGCCCCAGTCTCCGAGGGCGATATCAAACTCAGCAACACGTGTACTGTCGGTTTTGTTGAAGTAATAGAGGCGTAAGGGTGTCGAGGTGATGACTGCGTACTGTTCCTCAGACCGATCCTGTTGGGGAATGGCAACATTGACTAGATAACCGGATTCTATGAGGGAAAGGTCTCTAAATTTGACGAAAATGTTGTCCGGTTTTATATCTGAAAAGAGGAAAGATATTAGCATATAATACTAGCTACAAATGGACCCAAAAGGATTAGAGAGCATATCATACCAGTATGGATAACATTATGTTCGTGAGCAAAATCAAGCGCTAGTAAGAGTTGAATAGTGAACCCCCGCATTACCGAGTTCGGAAGTCTGCTTTGAATGAACCAGGCGCCAAAGCTGCGTAGCGTCTCGCCCATCAGCTCAAAAACCAAGCAGACGTGAGTTCCGTTGAGTGTTGAAAGGTAAAGCTCGGGAATTGATATAGCCCTGAAATGAGGCTACCTAATACAGTAAGTCATCTGCCAAGCAGAACAGCTGAATTGAATCAAGAACTACAGAGTGCAGAGTACAGACATACTCTTATATGTATATCAGATTCTAGGCCGTCGCGATTTTCCTGGGGCGCCGCTTTATGAAGTATTTCACAGTAGGTGAGTACTTAATGAGTACTTCATTATACATATGTGCTTAATAACATTTGAAGTACCTAGTAAGTGCCCATTAAGTATATAGCAGTCCAGGTCTAAAACTGTGTTCATTTACCCTAATATTAGAATTTCTTCAGACTCCATCTACCTCATTCGTACCGTCTACTTATTTTCAAGCACCTAGTCAAATCTACCGCCAATATGTGAGTATAATTCCACGACGGGAACCTTCCCTAAAGCAGACGGTATCTGATGGAATGCGAACGATTGCTAGATTCAATGTCCATTCAGGCACAAAGTACACCGCCACGCCATACATTGGGAGTAAGACGATGAAGGTGATTGCCGCATAAATTGGGCAGACTATTTGAGACGCTCACATTTCAGGAAGATGGAAAGCTATCTGAAGTTATTAGCCTATGAGCCTTTTGAATAGGTAGATACTTGAAAGGTATTACGGAATCGAAGAATCTAAAGAGGCGGTTATCCCGACATATACTATACTTGGTATATAGGACGTTTGAAATGGCGTTATAGTCGCTCTCGGCGCCCAATTAGTTCACCGCCACCTGGCGTTGTGGTGTAATCCTTCCTTTCTTCTCTTCTTTTCTAGAGTCATGTCGATTGAGATGATGCAATTATATTGATATTTCTCCTGCTTGTCTCCTTTAAGTTTTTTGATATCATGGTCAGTTCGCATGTCTTATTGCTTTTGTAGACTCATCATCACCCGTATCACTTCCTTCTTTCATCGTGAAAAGTGAGAGCGGAATAATATCTCTCGGCTGGAAGCGGCGTCGAGCACTTTCAATTCGACTGCCTGAAGGATAAACTTGGTGACTGGCTGATTGTGATACGCCAGCGCTACTGGGAAACAGCCTTGGAAATAGCCTGTTCACGATCGGCTTGATTGCCGGGATGCTGGCAGCGGTGATGGCGACAGCCACTTCGATTCCGGAGCAAACAGAAACCCCAAAGGTATCCCAGGAGGGGTCTGGGCTTTTATATAATTTCACAATGTAGACCATCCGCATGATGCTGGCTATACATGCGCTTTTCGTCTAGTTAGCACTGATGCATATGAACTCGATAACAACCACACCTGCACATACAAGGCGCCCAATGATAGCAAACTGGCGATAATAAGTCTTTTCCTAGTTCTAAGATGAAGCTCTGCAATTGATTAGCGTAATAATTAAAGCGACTCGATAGAAACCACAAACCTAGAACTGTTTTCAGTGGCAAGAGAAGAATCCAAATATCCGTCGCCAGAGACAGCGCGGCGGTCGCGTACCAAAACGGAATGGAGTCAAAGCAACTATAATGTTTGTATTTTTTTTCGTCGAAGATAGCATCGACCGGGGAGCACTGAAAGATAGTTGCGAAGACAAATGCGATACTCATGGCCGTGACAAATGCGATCGTTCCAAGTGAAATTATTCGGATGTTAGGGAATAGGCGTAGGTATAGCAGGCAGATTGATACCTTGGTTAGACCGGTGATCACGGTATAAATGATGTGAGTCACATATCGAAGCTATATCGTCACATTAGCCCTCCTCGATTTATGTTATCATTCTCCTATACCTTCGCTGTGGGCAATACGTCTGCTTCGTCGAGGTCCCATTTGTGCTTTCCTGTTCCGTACTTGACTCCTATTCGGGACATAAGAGATGGGATTGATCATAAAAAGAGCAGAAGGCGTACCAAATCCCGCAACCACCACGTTCCCAATTGCAAAAATCATCGCAGCCACCATTGTCCAGTCGTCCAGACCAAATTTTTTCACAATGAAGATCCTCGAAATCGCGCGAAGACCCACAATGATCGCCGCGATGCCTGTCACCGTTCCATTGACGATCAGCAATACAGGCCCACGGTTCTCGACCTAGACAGTTAGAGAGAGCCCTTGGGAGAGACTGTGCCTTCGGACCTCCACTTACCTCGGATCGTGGCTGGAGAAATGTCTCCATGATATGTCGATGGCCGACTTAGAATGAGGAAGGGTCACGCATGAACCAAATTGCTATAAAAGCTCCATAGTATATAAAGATTTGGAACTTGGTAAGGACTTTTTTTTTTCCAAGTGGCCCGGGTATATAGTATTTAAAGCTCCAATGGATGACTCGTTCTATGACGTTTTGGGATATCTAACCTTAACGGTAAATTGAACTTGGTATTCTATACCCTTCTGGCTAAATTACCTTAACTCTTTTGAGGCATCTGTGACCGAGCTATATTAAAAAAAGGGCAATATGATATGGCATGATTGGATACATACTCATAGCCTCGTATTAAATGCGCTTGTGGGATTACCTAAGTGGAGCATACCGGACCGTGAAGAATGAAGTTCGGTTAGACTGAATGGCTTACCAATGATGTAGAGTCCAAGATCGTTCTCGCGTGTACCTAGCAGTAGCGCCTGTTCATGCAGTAGTTATGTGTAGCGCTTATTCAAGTACTTCTTTATTCCAAGGTTCCTTACACCACTTAGTCATAAAGAGAACCTAGGAATCGTGCTAATTCTGAATACGTATTAACATAAGCGTCTGCTCTACCCTGTAGGTACTGAATGAAAAAAAAAAAAAAATGAATAACAATCTTGGATAATAACACAAGCGACACATATAAATGGAAAATTCGACCGAACGGGAAAATCTGCGGGAGTGGGAGAGCTTAACCGAGGCAATCCAAATTGCAGTGGGGAGGCCAACAGAAAATTGGCCGTCTAGGTACAGTACGTGATTTTCTAGTATGAAACACGGGTTCAAACTTACAAATGGTCTGGGGACTTGGGTTCTATTGGCTTTTAGAGTTCCAATAGCTTGTATGTCCGACTTTTATATCAGCATATTTGTATAGCAGAATATTCGGCTTATACTACCTCCTATACAAACGATATAGGTATTGGATAATCTGGATATCCCGTTTATTAGAGACGCCTCAATTAATACTTCACTATGATTTCTTTTCTGAATGTCGTCTTACGATTCCTTGTGTCTTTTAGATGCCTATAAATCTGAGCTGCAAGTATGCAGGTGAAAATTACAATACACAACAGAGCTTTTTATTTAATTAATTATCACGCTATAATTTAATTAACCCTGGCAAGTTTGACGGCCAAACGGAAGTATGCCTCAGTCCCATCTAGGCCCCATATTGCATTCCACCCCTATATACCTACTCCGTACAGAGTTCCCACGCAATAATAAAAGGGATGTTCTAATCTTTCTGTTAAATACCCTAGTGCTTTTTGAAAAAAAAAAAAAAAAAACAAAAAAACAAAAAACAAAAAAAAACTGCCTTGTCTTCGGGTACACTACAATTGGACTCACTGTTTACAACAAACATTTCTCAAATTTCGACAATTACACTGATGCCTTCTCTTTTGCAGAAGTTCCTGCTGGGAATCCCCCTGGCATGTCTGGCTAGCGGTCATGTTATTAATGGTTCCCTCCCCTCGAACTATAAGATCGATGTTCATTCCCATGTCATCCCGCCGATTTGGAAGAAGGAACTGATATCTGCAGGGTACCCAGTTAAGAATGGTACCTTGTATACAGATGGCTTCGCTGTCCCGGATTGGACATTGGATTTACACATTAGCACCATGGACAGTCTTGGGGTTAATTATTCGACAATGAGTGTCAGCGCCCCTGGCGTCTTTTTCTTAAAAGAGGCCCAAAAGGCCAAATCCTTAGCCCGCAGCATCAACCTCGCGCTTCATAACTACACTCAAGCTTACCCGACTCGACTTGGAGCCCTCTGTCTTCTCCCTCTACCTTATGTTGCCGAGGCAGTTGATGAGTTAAAGGTACCTTTCCCGCCTAGTAGATCACCTGGTCAAATCTAACTTTAGGATTTGTAGTTTTGCCTAGATACTCTCGGGTTTGCTGGAGTGGGACTATTCACCAACTCCAATGGGACCTATTTGGGTGACTCTTCCCTTGACCCTATCTTCACAGCCTTGGACGAGCGCAATGCCAGCGTGTTTGTCCACCCGGCCTCCCCGGACTGCTCATCTGTCGCCCTGGACTGGCCCATCCCGATGACCGAGTATCCTTTCGATACCGTGCGTGCCATTGAGAACATGCTGCTGACGGGTCAACGTGCGAAATATCCGGATATCAAGATGATCTTTGCCCACGGTGGTGGTGCAATTCCCTTTCTAGCCACCCGAATCGCCGGCATGGCTTCCCTTCCCTTGTTGGGTGGGCTGTCAATCCCTGACTCCCTGGCGCAACTCGCCGGATATTATTTCGACACCGCTGCCTCAACTTCTGCTATTCAGCTGACAGCTCTGAAGAGCTTTGTTGGCGCCGATCAGATTGTGACTGGAACTGACTGTAAGTGGACAGTGCTAGTAACGACTCTGGAACGTGCAGTTGCAGTATACTAAAATCTGCAGATCCGTATGTTCCTTCTTCGCAGGCGATACCGGGATTGTCCGCGATCCAAGGTAATGGCAACTTTACCATAGCGGAGATGGGTAACATCAATAATCAGAATGCCTTGACAATTTTCCCGCGGATCGTGAAAGCTTTGGAGAGCAACTGAGATGTATGATATGAGGCATGGCGTGTAAATAGAATATCCCTAAAAAGGAACACGAAGAGCCTTTTTAATCACCGTGTTCTTGATTAGCGAACTTTTTTTTTATACTAGAATTCACAAGAGTAATCATCCGCTTATACGGCCTTGTAGGTACTTCGCGATGGTGTCATTATGAAGTACCAGGTATATACTCCACAGAGGATGGATTCCTTTTTATCGCTTCTGTATCACTTGCTTTTGAACAATTTCTTAATCATCTCCGACTTTTGGCTTATCTCAGTATCACCATGGCGGAGCAAAACAACATGGAGTGTGATAGCTACCTTGAGGTCGATGACGCTTTCCTCAAAAATCTGCCTCCTTCCATTAGAAGATATACATACCAAGGAGAGCAGCAATTTTTTGATATCCTCAAATCCGAATCCGCTCTCTTCGAAGCCTCATCAACTGGCAGCGAATTCATCCTTTTTCATGCAAGCAAAGAAACCATCGAAACCCTTTTCAATCCGCCAAACGAAGAATCTCCTATCTCTAAACTTTGCACCTCATTTGATACCATCGAGCAGCTCTTTCTAATCACAATGCCTTCAAACCCACATAGCGCAGCAGTTGACGCTTTTAGCACTGTGATTAAGGACTCCTTGACATCAATGGGACTATCTTTTTCTCTCCAGGGATACCCAAACGCAACCACTAGAGGCGTTAGCCGGGGCAAACAGCCTGACTATGGCTGGGGCCCGAAAAGGAGAGCGCGTGGTGAACCTGATTCGCCTTCTGTTACTCTGGAGGTTGCATACTCAGAATCAGACTCAAAATTGAATTCAGATGTTCGATTTTGGCTTAACCCTAACGAGGGCAAAGCCAAACTATGTCTGACACTCCAAATTCACAAGTCGCGCCCGGAAATTCGCATTGAAAAATGGGAAAGGCAACAGGACCGAAAGTACCGCTCCCAGGTCACTTACATCACAAAAAATGGGGATCACTTCAACGTCATCCATCATCCCTTCACCATCCCGTTCGAAAGCCTCTTCGGTCGCCAACCGACTTGCCCTAGAGAGAAAGATATTGAGTTCTCCCAGGGACAACTTGGGGAAATTGCAGATATGATTTGGGAAAGCCAGGGCTGGTAGATCGTCCACCAAAAGTGGACTTTTTAGATTGCTCTCTTACATCCATCTTCTTTTCTCCATCCCCTCTTCTCCTTTTCTAACCGTAGACTATGATACACGATGATCAAGTCGTAATGATAAAGTTGATTTCACTGTAGTTGTTGAAATTGACATAAGACGAAATCAAAAGTTAAACACATAAGACAACCTGTTCAAACTCAAGATAGCTCTGCGAGGGCGACTACTTTCTGCATAACCTGGTTGAAACGGGGACCTGAGTAACTGAAGCTCACATCCCCCCGACCAAACAAGCAAAGGCTGAACGGACGATATAATCTCTTATCTAGAGATTGTTCCGCCAGTGCGTATTCCGGAATCCGCCGAAAGCTCAGAAACTCCTCACTCTCCATTACACGATGCAGAGTCAAACTGTCCAGTTGGTACATACCTCCACCCAACTCGCGGAGAATAGATCGCCAGCCTCCAATCTCCACTTGCACAGTAGAAAAAGTGAGAGAGCGAACAGAGTCTCGAATATTGTAAAGGAATATCCCCAAAGCAGCAGATGATCCGAATGTCATCCGCGAAAACGTCACTTCTTGTAGTTCCGGCAAGCAACCAACCGATGAAATCTGAGAGAGAAGTGAGGTTGATTTGCATGCCCAGTTAAAGATGATGGCTAGCTTTTTGAGAGACTTGGCACCTTGGATCATTTTCGCCATCCAATTAATAGTCTCGGTGTTGGCATCCGGGATCGCAAGGGTCAGTTCCTTGAGGTGAGAGAAGGCCGGGATGTCAAGAGTAGTGAGAGGGAACTGAGGTAGACTATCTTTGAGGTGTCTGTCTCGGTATTTCATAATCTCTAGCGAGAAAAATTCCTTTGGAATATGTTCAGTGGCTATGGCTTTGAGAACAAGACCAGTGGTCTCGTCAAGTGTGATGCCGTCGCCGCCGGAATACGTAGTTGTGTATGCTGAATAGTGTAGCTCGACAGATTGGCAGTTCACCAGGCGTTTCAGTACATTGCACCACGCTTGAATATGTACTTCGTTTGTGGTACGAGGGGGTAATTCCTCCGTTGAAGCTTTTGAATTCCCGACGATCTGTAAATTGCGGATATATGGACGAAAAGCTTCATCGTTGGCTGCTTCCTCGATTCGGGCAAGTGACGTTGGTGAAAGATCGGTCTTCAATGTGTGTACACAGGTTTTTGCAAAGTGGCGAAGGCTACTCTGGTACATTGCTCGGCAGGTGAGCCGAAGCATGCATAAATCAGAAGGATCGGTAAATGTAGCGATGTGAGCTAGTAGTTCCACTGGGAGACCGTGGATACCCCTACTGAAATGAGAAGCAGGGGACATAATAAGGATGGAAGAAATAGAGCCAGACAAAAGATACTGGTGTAAGACTCGTAGAGAGTGAGTACGATAAGAGTTGGAAAGAAGAAATATGGTGAGTTGGATAAAAGAGAATGATGGAGTTGGAGGAAAAGAAGAACAAGTTGAACGGTTGAACAGATGGAAGAACAACAAAGTTGAAGCTCCGATTCCCTATTGGGAAAGTATGTATGTAGGAAGTTTAATCGAAACATGACCAACTCGCCACCGCTCGTCGGACACACATCAAGGCCGCTCCCGCTTTTAGTATAGAACATCCTCACATGGATTTAACTGTTCGGGTGCATATAGCTTCATTATAAAATTATAAAATAGGGGATCAATAATGTATAACGATATAATAGATGGTAGAGCAGAAGGCAAAAATCGAGGTTATCTTAAGCCGCCCTATATAGGGTGGTATGAATGAACGTCTGGTTGTCAGGCAGATGTGTAAACAAACATATAAACAAGCTAAATGGGAATAGCCCTATTATAATTTGATACCAATGTGGTAACACAAAGTGATGAACGGAAACTGGACGGCTTTTTGTCCACTGTGAAATGTCCGGTTGGTGAGGTCAAGTTCTGACTGATCTAGCAGTCTCCAGGTTTCCTTTGCCGTGCGGATTCGGAGACTGGAGATAACCCCATCAATCCAGATAGTCAGAGGTGCCACGGGTAGGATGAATGTAAAAAGGGCATGGATCGGTGAGTCAGAGTACCAAACAAGTGTTCAAAGAAAGTATAAAAGAAAACCAAAGGTGAACATAGACAAGTCCAAAGATTGCGAGATGTGATTTCGAATATGCTGGTGGGAATCGAATTAGCTCATAGAACAAATGATAGTAATGGAATGAGGACTTGCATAAATGAGTCAGCAGACTCAATTGCATTGCTCAAAACTCCCACTGCATCTTCATCTTCGAAGTGGTGGAAAACAGATGTTGAATATCCGACACTCTTTTTTCGAACTTGCGGCAAATCAAGAAACAGCTCGAGCATCCACGGGGCTCTCAATGTAGATGATATTCTGCTGCTTCTTCGAGATTCGCTCGCACTCTTCGATATGGGGGTAAAGATCGGTCAAAACAAATGGAACAGGGCCCTTGCCCTCAGACCCGAGTTCTTTATTCAGCTCTGATTCAAGGACTGGGGTAGGTCTACCGGCGCCGGCGCAGATGTCCAGAACTGTGTATGAGGAAATATCTTTCAGGTGCTCCTTGAACCCTGCACATGCCTGTGTCGCGAGACTTCCACGGCTCCACCCGGGAGTTCGAAGATTCCACAGTTGGGTGAGAAGCAGTTGCTCGTGCCGGTGAAGCCATGGGGGACACCAGATTCGGTCGCCAATTTCGAGAAGGTGTGATCGAGGCCAAGAGAATAGCTGCATTGTGTGTTTTTCAAGATATTGGTGAGAAGAGTTAGTCCGGTGAAAGAACTCGAGGTAGGCTGCTGGGAAGGAAATCACTCAGTCATGTGTTGTCACATTCTACTATCTCTTTCTAAGAAAAAGCACATTGTACTTGGAACATCTTTGGTTCAGCTGTTCGCTTGATGTCCCCGGAAGGTCGTGTTGCCTTGAACATTACCTGTGGCTGGACCTCGGGAGGTATCCTTGCCAAAGATCCACAACTTCATCAAAAATATATGGCATCTGGGGATAGAGGGAGTAGTAAGTAATAAAGGAAGTATAAGCAAAAAGAAAAAAAACAGGGTGCGCAAATCCACCTCCAAGAGTTCAAGTCAAGCCAACACCCAGCATTGGAGCCTCGTGGTGTGAGAGTTCCACCCGCAGCTCCAGCTTAAGGGCCAGAGCGTACAATTTCCCCGCTACCAGAGCTTTGACGTGCTCCCATCGCAGAGGGCCATCTACTGGGTAACTGAGACAGATTTGCGCATTTGGTTTTTTTCTTCAGGTGTCTATATAGGACCTCTTTCCTAGTTGGGACATATCTACTCAGTTCAATTCCTCGAATTTTCTTTTATTTTATTAATCCAACTGCCTATATTACAGGGAATCCCCGCGGTTATTCATACACCACCCTCGCACCAGCACTGGAGGAGATATAAATGCTTACCAAAAGCGTCTGCCAATTATAGACCAACTATAAATCCATCTACCTCCTCAAATCTAAATCCAGATACCAAAAATCTAAGCTCCTTCTCTCATTCCAACCAAAATACACCCAGCACCCATCATGCCAGCCCCCAACCACCACAGTCCACCAACAGCCTCCTGAAACACAATCATACCAAACAGCGCCGTTGCCAAGAAATTTGACGCCGTATTCGTGATGGAGACTTTAACCGTCGACGGGCCGGCTGTTAGCGCGCGTGTGAAAAGTGCCCACATTATAATGTTGCAGACGACGTTAAGGCCGAGACAGGCCTGTGGAAATAAATATTGGGTTAGTGTGGGAAAATAGAGTTATTATAACATGGAGTTACACATCTTGTAGTTGGTAGATAATCTTTGGACTTGGGGGTAGTCCAGATATAAGAAAAAGGTAAACATACACCTCGAGTAAGCATTTCAATCACAGGCGAAGACTCCAAGCCGAATAGGTGGGCGATAGCTGTCGCGAAAGCCGTCGTGTGGTCGTCCGTGGTTCTGTGGAACGTTAACATTGGTTCTGGTGTGGTTACACGGGTAATGGGTTTGTGGATCATAGAGCTTATAGCTTATAGCTTATTATAGCTTATATAAATATCCAGCATTGCTTCGATTCTGAACGTACAATTTCGCGAAAACACCATTCAATGCAGCGAACGCGCCGCTCGTTATTGCGAGGATGATCCAGGGGGATTTGGAGGATTGAGCGGTTGATTGGGGCGTTGAAGTGGACATGGCTGTGGCTAAAATATAACTGTATATACTGCGGTATATCGGGTGTCCTTTTTATAGAATTGCAGGCTATACCCAAGTTACGGAGGACTCAAGGGCTGGCGTCTTGGAGTGACGTTGGAGTCGTCCGCGTGCCAAGACTGATAGTGACGGATAAGATAGGCTGATATGGATGATCGACATGAGAAATTCACATACATCGTAGCTCAAGTAGCACCTTTTTAATTGAAAGCTAAGTATAAATTATTACCAGTAGATATGCAACCGATCTACATCTATGACCTTATCTACGGCGACAGCCTCTGAACCTGCCACTTGGCACCCTCACCCTCTACCTCACCCCCAACACGCACATACCGGAACCGATCATGCAAACGACTGCGACGCCCCTGCCAGAATTCCACAGACTCCGGTACAAGCCTCACACCACCCCAAAATGGCGGCAGAGGAATATCCTCAACGCCCTTAAATCTCTCCTCCATCTCCTTAACCTTCGCCTCCAGCAGCGCCCGTCCATCCTCATCATCTGTCTGATCAATATCCGCTGGAACAACCGAACCCCCATCAAACGCCCCCTGCAACTTCGCTACACTCTTCCGTCGCTGATTCTCCTCCATCTGCTCCGGCTCCGCAGACCACAAAACCCGACTCTGCCAACTCGCCCATCCACCAATCCGACTCCCGCGCTCGCGCGTCCGCCAATACAGCTCGCTCTCTTCACGACTAAGCGGCTCAAGCAGTCCCTCAACACGGACCTGGCGCTCAACATTCGACCAGCTGAATGTCAAAGCGCCCCATTTATTTCCTGTCCCAACCTCAGAGGTGATGGTAGTAGGCTCCGGCATGGCGCCGAGTGTATCGGCGCTATCGCCAAGCCCGAAGACTTGCCCGCCTTTACCTTCCCGACTACCCCAGTTGCTGTAGACGACCCAGCCGCGCTCGTCGAGTTCTTTTAGGTAGACGACGCGGGCGCTGACGCGGCCCGAGGGCATCGAGGCGGTTGATAGCGTGCATGTTTCTGGGGCGGAGGACGCGGGGAGTCGTGGGTCCCGGAACCAGGTGTTGAATTGGTGGAGTGGGTTTGTGCCGTGGATTTGCGAGATGGTTAGAGGTGGGTTTGTGCCGAACTGGTGGGCGCGCGCGGCGTTCGAGAGGACTTCGGTTTCGGTGGTCGAGTTTGGGGTTGAGATTGAGGTTGAGGCGCGCCGGGCCTCGGCGATCGTCGCGGGAGCTGCTTGTGGTTGGGGTTCTGGGGTGGCCTCCTCGGAGGTTGGTGCGATGTCGCCGGGTGCGACTGAGGGGTTGGTATGTTAGCTTAAGGTTTGTATGGGGAGGGGGTTGGATCTGTATGTGGAGGATCGATTGACATTACGTACAGATTAGCTTCTTTGGACGCCGAGCGTCTGTCTGGTGTTCGTTTTGATCCATTGTTGGTATGTGATTGCTGGGGTGGTTGGTTGAGGAATATCGAAGTTGGCGGGGTTGGCGGGGAACACGGAGGAATGACTCAACGACTGAACGGAAAGTGAAGGGTAAACGAGTCTGCATTAAAATAGCGGATGTGGAATAAGTATAATACCTCAATTGCCCGAGACCTTGTGATTTGAAGAAGTAAAAATCCCCAGAAGCTGTTAGTTCCGTAGAAGTCCTACAAAATGTATGCTTTTGGACGGGAAGTTCCGAGACGTCACGCCATATCATTGGAGATAATATATAAAGATTAGATTACCCAGATAGAAAAGATATTGACTCATTCACTTTTTTTCATTTTGATTCTTGCGTCTATGACGCGGGAGAGTTGAGATGTGTCTATTGGACAAAAAAAATCACAATGGTATACAGTGCTTCAATGCACGCCCTTTTTGTTCGCCAGAATAAACGCCGAACCTTCGCTGGATGCATGAAAATGTGTAGATCAAAAAAACAGATAACAGATATCCCACCAGGTATATTGTATCCACCTGCCGCCCTGCAGACGCCGAACCGGAAATATCCCAACACAGGGATCCAGCCCTGGCAGAGAGATTGTAGATTAAATGGGTATCACCTGGTCACAAATATAGGCAAGAGAACTTAGAGAGAGGCGGAAGCTCCACCGATGAGATCGATGATCTTGCCAGCCACTGCAGAAGGGTATCCGCGTGACATCATCTCCTGGACGATGGTGGCAGCACTGGCGCGATCGTCAACGCTGAGGAACGCACGGGTCATCGCTTCGTATGTGCTGGGCTCTCGCATTTGAATGCCAATACTATCGTAGATGGCTTTGGCCTTGGAGATGTTACTCTCGGCGGCCCAGCCGTGAATCAGGGTATTGGCAATGTAGGCGGTCATCTCAACCTTGCGTGCGAGCATGTTCTGAACGACTTCCTCGGTGTCGGTGACGCGGTGGTTGGCAACCATGGACTCGAAGAGGGCTTGGTAGAGACAGGGCTGAAGGCGCACACGGCGGTCGGAGACGACGGCGTCGAAGACTTTGCGAGCACCATCGAGGTCGTGAAGGACGCAGCCCCTAGCATGCACTAGCGAGGCGTAGTGCACAGCGTCTGGTTGGTGACCGGCAGCCTTCATGGATTCCAGCACAGCTTCGGCGGCAGCCATGTTCACTGGCTCCAGGGAGGCGTGTGCATCAATGAGAAGCTTGTAGGTGTGTAGGGTAGGCTGGATGTTGCGTGTCTGCATGCGCTCATAATAGGCTAGGACTTTGCTGATGTCACGCTTGGTGTTGAGGAAGTACTGGATCATGGAGTTGTAAGGCGCAGGGCGCGGCTTGTAGTTGGGCATGGATTCCATCTCTTCGAACATCTCCTCGGCAAAGCGCTCGTCGCTAACACGGCAGAGAGCATTCACAATGGTTCCGTATGTAACACTTGTCGGGCGCACGTTGTTGGAACGCATCTCGGCGAAGTACGAAAGGCAGTCGTCAATGCGACGGGCCTTGCCCAGCTTGCCGATCAGCGCATTGTACAGGAACGAAGTGGGCTCCACACCTTCAGCAACAGCACGGTGGAAGACCTTAAGAGCCTCAGTAGCCTCGTCGAAGGTCTTGGTAGACTCCTTGAGGGTGGTGATGTACAAGCCGAAAGTGTTGGCTGAGGGCGCGGAACCGAGAGTGAGAAGCTCCTGGTGGTACTGAGCAGCCAGCTTGCGGTCACCAAGTGTGAGACAAGCAGCAACCATGGCATCAAGAATGGAAACCCAGCCGTATTTGACAACGCTGAAGTTCATATCAAGGGGAATGTCGGTGCGTGCCATGTTATGGATGTCGTGGGCCAGGGTCATGCGGCCAGCCTTGGCCGCGGCAGTAATCAGCTTGGCATAGGTGATGTAGCGCGGGTGACGACCAATACGGCGCATATTGTTCAAACGAGTCAGAGCCTCATTGAGGTGGGTCTCGGTGCGTCCACTGGTCTTCTCAAGCTCCTCTGCAATGATAGCAGATCCACGGAAGTCGGTCGCGTGAGCATAAGGATCAAACGATTCGGGAGCCAAAGATGGAGTGGTGATCGAGGTCTCCGCCATAGAGACGGGGCTTTGACGATCGGACGAAAGGAACATCTGAGAAGGCGAAACGGAGGTCTGGGATCCTGCCTCCAGATAATCCTGCCACCTCTTGACAACATCGGGACGACTGACAAAGAGCTTGCCAACGGCCTGGTCGACGAGGCTAGTGGTGTAGAGATCTAGAGGGAGGGCAGAAGACAGAGCGACGTCAAGCATGTGCGCGAAGCGAACAGGATGAGCGACATCGAATAACATGGAGCCGCTGCTGACGAGCATGCCAGCCTGGACTTGGAGGGCAAGGGTCAGATCCGCAGCCTTGAGCTGGGAGATACCGATGGGACCAAGGTTGGCGACAGCGTGCTCAGCCAGAGGAGACACTAGACCACCGTTCTCTAGCATAGACCACAACAGTGTCATAGATGATTGAGGGGATAGCACCGCAGTCGACTGCATAAGGACGCGACCAAAGAGATGGAGTGACTCGGTAATCTGTTCTCTGACGGGGTTGGCAACGGCAGCGTGTTGATCTTGAGTGACGGTGCGGATACGCTTGAACATAGTTCGGGCCTGGTGAAGACCTTCCTCGACATTTCCACTCTTGAGCAGAGCGACCGCATACATAGCTGTCGGCTGGACCAGATCCGGGGTTGCCTGACCCACGGTGTTCAGCATGATCCACAAGGAACGGGCCGCTGAAACATTGCCCCGGCGGACTTGAAGGGCCAGCAGTGAAATGGCTGGGTTCTGACGTACGTCAGGGGCGGTGGGCAGACTATCGTAAGCCTCTGAGGCGGTGGGGAGATCGCCCGCATCAGCTGCAGCAATGCAGATGCGAGAAATGGCCTGATCCCGAGTTTCATCATGCAATTGATTCTTGGCCTGGTCCAATGCCTTGCTGTAGTCTCCCATGTTGAGCGAGTGTTGCACAAGTGCATCGTCGACAATCACAGTTTCCACTGCAGACCATCGGTCCTGGCGACCTTCGGTTACCTCGTCGAACGAAGAACGAATGCGATCAAGGAACTGTGTAGCACCCTCCTCTTTACCACAGGACAGGTATGCACGGATTAAAGCAGCATAGACCTGACCGTCTTGACGCTGAACAATACTGAAGACGCCGCTGTCATCCGAGACAGCGAGTCCTCGGTACTCGTTATAACATTCAACGGCACTCCTGAGATCACCAGTGGAAGCAAATGCGGTGATCATAGAAGGGAAGATAGTAGCATGCGGGGTCATCTTCTGGGACTCCATATGGGCGTAGATCCGGATCATATCCTCCACCTTACCTTCCTTGGCACAGGCAATGATAAGGTGACGGTACATATCGAGCGGGAACACAAGTCGATTGTGTCGCGCCGTGGCGGTATCAAAGAGCTTGACAGCGATGGACAGGGAAGTATCCTCGGCAAGCAGATCCCGCTCCAGTTCACTCGACTGAAGCATGAACTTGCCAGGCTCTTCCATACCACCGAATCGAACGCGTTCCTGCTCCAAGATTTCCTTGGCCTTGATGATATCGTGAGCTCGGGTGACCAAAAGCTGAACAAGAGTCTCATAGGTATCTTCATCGGGAATTACCCTTCGACGAAGCATATCAGAGTAAACATCGAGAGCCTTGGGGATCGCCTGAGCTGCATCTGGGTGAAGACGAATAGCAGCGACCAGCAGGGCATTATATGCCTCGACAGTCGGAGTAAATCCCTCTCGGAGCAGAGATTCAAACGCAGCAGGGATTTCTGCAAAGCTGTTGGACTTGGCCAGTTGTACAACGCGATCCGAAGCAACTTGGTTGGCTTCAGACACCGCTTCCAAAACGGCGACTTCCTCAACAATTGCTTCAACGCCCGCATCTGCCCCCAGCGCAGCCTCCTCGGCCTGTGCCTGTTCCTCCTGTATCTGAATCTCCCGGGCCACAGCCTCCTCCACTTGGGCACTAACATCCTCGTTCACAGCAGCCTTGGTAGGGTGGGGGGGAACTAGATCAGCAGTGACCCGGTCTTCGTGAACATTGTCAGCTTCCTCCGCCGAGGGCTTCCACCCAATACGACGCTTGAACTCGAACTGGGTCCAATCACTGTCATCACCGGTCTGCTGAGCGTTCTGCCATGCGGCATAATAGGCAGCTAGACCGAGATCTCCATTTCCAGATCCTCCCTGGCTGGCCTTGGCACCAGCGCCGGACGAACTGGACGCATTAGAGAAAGCATTCTGCAATTGGGTTGTGCGGGAGAATTTGGCGGGTTGGGCGAGGGCATTAAAGGGGGTTGTCGACGCGTACGTCTGCGAGGCAGCGACTACGGATTGAGCATAGCCGTGAGTAAAGGCTTTGGTGAAACTCTGGCGCGCGAGGTGGGTGAATGGTTTGAAAACCATTTATCTGATTGACAACCTCTTCAGAGCAAAGAGGCGATGCTGGAACGAAAGTCAGTGGATGTTGGAATGATTTTCACGTGCTTTTTTATTACCTTGCACTCAAGGTTATAGCTAGAGTGCAGGTTCATTTGACGACTGTCTGTCGCCAATGAACGCGCAAATGCAAGATTAGGATAGGAATATTAAAAGGACCTGTGGATGACAGGGCCAGAAATTGTGTGTAAAAGAAAGAAAATGATGGTAGCCTGGAAGGAGGAAAAAAAGGAACGAGGGGGAAGCCAAGTGTAATATTACGGGCGTCTTCTGGAAGGAGATGGAGTTTCCCAGTGGACCAGTCTATTAGGGCCGATCTTCTCCGGAGAATCCTCTTATACTCCGTAGGCTTTACTCCGTAGATCTCTACGTAACTATAGCATTTTGTGATTACTCTTCCATTTCTCAAGGTTCTTACGTGTACCTTTACGAGATAGTTGTACTGTGTACATTGATAGATTGTATATGGCATATCAGATCTTACCTGCAGCGTGGGGGTTTTTCAACGAGTCACCTTGAAGATACATTGATGACAAGTACCTTATACTTCGTATTGGCCATAAGCTGAGAAATATTGGGTTTTAAGCGTCGAACAGGTCAGGTGGCTGAAAAAGTACTACTCCATAGTAAGCAAAAAAAGAAGAATAACCAATCAACTTCAAGACAATCCCTTGAAATTCCTTAAAATTCCTTGAAATCCCTTGAAACCCTGAAAAAAAGGGGGGTCCCTGAACGTGAGTCACGTTTTTCCTCCGGTTCTTTTTCTTCCTTTTCTCGGAACTTCCATCTTCTCTTCCCCGGTCATTTCGGTCGCCGACTTCCCGATGCGGATTTAACGGATATCCGCGGATCTACTGTGGCAGAATTAAATTTATGAATAATCCAAGGCGGTCAGCCATGACGTTGGATTTGATTTGTCTTTTGAATCCTTCTTGCAACCCGTCGATTTTTCGCGGGATTTTTGCTCTGTCACTGTCCCGCATGACCTATTGACCATATCGGCTTTCTGATCATTATCTTTGATTCGATATAGTCGACGTCATATCGAGGTAGATTGGCTTGTTGTTTGGGTCTGAAAATGCCCAAAATCGGACTTCTTTGACTCTCGAGATCTCACCGGGATCTTACACCTACGGCCGAGCACCTACTATATCCAACTGCAAATGAGACTATAGTCTTTAGTATGGTTTGAAAGGTGCCCGGTTCCCAATGGGGTATTCTCCGGGTGTAACGCCAGTCCTGGTAGGCTGATTTTGGGTGATTTTCAGGCTCAAACGACAAGCTAATCTACCTAGCTCTGAACGTTTGATGTCTTTGGTATAGTGCTTATCCTTCGTGATAGAAACTTGAAGTATTTGAGAGCACGTCCCAAGTATGATTCCCTAAGAATAATTCAATGAAGAACACCGTGGGGTTTACATCCATATATTCAAGAACATCATTGGCTCTTCCCCAGGCAACAAGGTTTGATATAATTGTCCACGTCGGGTGACTAAGGGGGTTTGAACATCCAGCGTCGTCATTGAAAAAGTGTGCGAGGCCTTGTTACGGTGCTGCAATTCACTGAGCAGGACTGCATGAGGGTTGACAACTCATTTTGGCAGTGGCATAGCGTGGTTGAGAGGATGAAATATGCTTCATGGTGTATAAATAGGCGGTATAATTCTGCCAGAAAGTGAGGTTATATAGCACAGAACGAACAACTATTTCGCCCTTCGGGGCATATGGTCAAATGAAAATATACAGAGAAGATTTGGCCCCTGCACTAAGGATGACATGCTTAATCAAAGAGAAGCACTATTTTTTTTCCGCCGTTTTATATTGAGGATATAGGGTGGGTATTTTCATATAGCGTGTGATTGGTTATGTGGTGATATAGTCACGTGTGGTATTGTAACGGCTGACTTTCGAATGAGCTTGCCGACGAATCTTTTTTCTTTTTTGGTATTTATACAAACCAGGAGCATCACAGTGCGTACATATACAAACCTATCACAAATGTGTTACAGGTCAAATCCAGTCTTACAGCTATCTGGCAATTTCGATCAACCATAACAAGCGAGGGCTCTATCGAGTATGTATTCACTTCATAACTTCTCTCATATCGTTTACCTGATTTCATACTTCCGTCGCTAAGATAGAATTACATGGCACCGGATACACTCTGGCGCTGTAGCAAGCAATCAAAGGCAGCGGGTACTACGGTTGGTGTAGATTCATAGCCCAAAGCAGTGCAACGAAATGAACATCATAAGTGGCTCTGTCTGGGTTTTTTATGCTGTACATGCCCATCTTCGATGACTTAGATTTGAGCGTGGTTCGGACTACATCATCCGTTATCTCCTCTCCATTGGCAGTTCGCACATGTGGCGATCACCTCCCAGTCTCATCAAGCTTGACGACCAGGTGCTCTGGGGGAGCTTTCTCGTCGGCGGATGTATATGCCTAGCACACCAGACGATGTATGGGATCTGCATCACGTCTGCCAGTAGACTGGAATTCGGGTGACCACGTAGCAAACTCTGTTCTCTTTGAAACTTTGGAACTGCGAGGAGAGTCACATAATACCGGATAGAGCAGGTTGTTCGATCATATATCTTGTATATTGATCAAAAAAGGTAAAAGTACTACTAACCGCACCTAGATTATTTCAATGGTCATATGCACATAGGAGATCAGCATCTCCTCAACCTGCATTAAGATAGACAGATAGGAAGGACCGTCATCGGGTGGCTTATGGTATTTTGCACCATAAAAATATTTCCGATCTGTTGCTTTGCCTTGACTATGTGGTGGCAAAGACTCGCTGTTCGTTGTTCCCTTGCCTGTATGTATGCCATGAGGGCGAGTTTGACGGAGAAGAAAAGTAGAAGATATGGACCATCCGTGTGAAAACAGAAGGATGGATTTGGTCAAATATGATGGTATGGTCAAGGGGACTTCACCTCGGGGACTATAACTGTGGCTCTGTGGGCGTTGTAGATCATTACTTGCCCTAACTCTCTAAGGCACGGTGGACACCTTGGTCTAGCGGTTTGATAGTATGGTGTATTTCTTATCCTTGTCTTCCGTATCGCCTGGACCCGGTGCAGTTCTGATCGCTGGTCAATCCAGGTGATGCCTTTTTTTACTTCTCTTAGCTACCTATCATCTACTATATATCTAATATTGCAGACTGATACTCTTCCAGTCTTATAAAGTGTATGTCAGATTCTATTAACCTCTTAAATTCTTAAACAATTGAGGCGTCAGCAATGGAGGCATTTCATAGCGGCTTCTAGGAACACTACCTCACTCACCAACCGCTGTTCTACGCCGCTCAACCACACTTCTTCCCACTAGCGGAGGGTTTGCCCGGGTTGGCATCAGAATACACGCGCAAGGCAATTGCCAGCGGAATGCTACCAATGTTCTCCATATCACCTTGATTCATTGTATTCCAAGTTCCGAATTCATGCATTCTGAGAGACGGACGGGGCGCATTTGGGGGCAGTGTATTGTTAAGATATTGGATGTAACTGCCATCATACTCCGCGAAGGTGATGAATATCTGGTGACGGTCCTGCAATACGTGTATACGACGAAGACTTGTAAGTAACTTTGGAACAAAGCCAGGTATTGAAGCCAAATAGAGCGAGGACAACGGCCAGAAGCCTGATGACAAATGGGGAATCATAAGGTCTACTCAATAAGATAAAAATTGGTATTACAACGCATCTCGTTGGGTTAGATAATACTAGATGACGGCGGCAAGCTGAGGGGAAGCGTCACTCGACGTTCCAGGGTTGCCGAGCAACTGTCAGTTCCTTATATAGTATGATGTATGAAGCCGCAACGCCCGCCCTTATCCAGATAACTTTCCCATCTTCCAAGGTTTTCTTCCATCCAGCTATCAACCTTGTTAATCTATTACTCTCTTTTTTTCTTTTTGCTGATAATTTAAGCGGGTCTATATCCTCATCAGTCTTCTCAAACTCAAGATGGAGGACGCTCTCGTGCGAGAGCGGGCTGCTCGTCGCCACACGCTGACTGGGATTGAGAACCTGATCAAGAAAACTCAGAGTCATCATGTTGAATCCTCCGACCTGAAGGTGGCTGGTATCTGCCGCCTCTCGTTATCCCTTGAGGAGAATACCCAACATTATCCACGCTTCTTCAAGCCATACCAAGAAGAACTGCCTCTCCCGCAGAAGGAGGAGGAGAACAAACTGCTGGAATTTGATCCAGATCCAGATCACATCATGTGGGATACTCGCGAGATGAAAATCTTTCTTACCCAACAGTTTCGTGAGTGCTGGAAATATGCATCGCGGGAGCACCCCCATAACCCCCCGCCCTCTGGTGTATATCGAGAGTACGTTGCCTCTCACAGCTATTTTATCTTTTGAAATTAGGCTCCTGGCCGTTTATAACAGAATTGGAGATTACAAATTTGGCCAATTACTGGAGTGTATAGGGTTCAACTGGTATGCTGTATCAGTAACTGATTATCCAGCGAGAAATTATCCACACTTCAAGGTCGTCCTAGAAAGTGAAGTGATCGCGGACGATCGACTGCTTCGTGGGGAAATCATCACCATCACCGACATCATGGCTGCTCGTTTGAGGACCAAATCGCTGCATCAGCATATTATTGCCCCAGTAAGACTTCCTATGGTTGATTCTAAATGATCTACTAACTTTGCTCTATTAGATGATGGTCTTGTCTCTCATGGGTCCTCGTCATGCTCGCGTCCTAGAGGCTGATCTTGACGGAGAGATTCTCAACATTCGGGTCTCTAAGCTGTACAATTTCACGCAAAGGAACACGGATGCTGTGCAATTGCTGACGCGGTATGGGCTTGGTGATGCGTGTGGTCAGACTATAATGAAACCCTCCTAGTTCGGCGGACATTTTTGTTTAGGCTGGAAACTGCGACATGGTCCTATCTGGTAATAGGAATGCGGGCTTTTGGATGTATGATAATGAGATTGCTATCTCATGGACGTCGTTCTGGAAACGACGTCTACAATCTGGATAGCTAATGAATGGGTTTCAACTAAATCTAACGGAGACTGTATATAGGATACCAAATGTAGTGAATTGATAGCTACTGAGCTCGGATCTGTTGTGTGGAATGCGGGCCCACTGCAAAAAGAGTCTGAAAGAGGCTATAAAGTATACCAAAAAAGACTGTTAGAAAAACGGATAGAAAATGTATAGGAAGATGGTAATAAAATGCTATCTAGAAGTGTCACTCGCTCCAGATATAATTTGGCTATACCTTAATGTCTGTATACCCTACAATTTAAAAGTATCATACTAACTCTTGTGCATCACCTTCTTTTGTGCGTATATATTGGTACATCCTTAGTATTCAGCATAACCCATTTTGGGTCGAAGGTCTCAACCCAGAACCCAACCCAGACCCAGTGACTGGGCCCCAGAAAACCCAGTATAGGCCCAGTTCGACCCAGTCTCTATATAAAAGGGGGTCTTGGCAGTTATAAACCAGTTAAATTAGCAGAATTATACACATAATCAGCGTGTTTGCTTATTTTGTAACCCAATTTGGAGCCCCAGAGCCAGTACTGGGTCGCATCCTTCGACCCAAAACCCAACCCAGTCTGGGTCTTACTGGGTTCTGCGGAAGACTATTCTCGCCAGTCTATAGGATAGAGGTAGAGGAGCCGGGCTCAGCACAGTTCCGGAGGGATCCCTCCGGGGCTCCGATAGAATAGAGCAATAGCCTGATTCGGTCCGTTTGGGTATCGACTCCCGCCGGCAAACGGAGAAGAGCAATACATATATGTAGCTAGTCTACAGGCCTAACCTCTTCTTTATCAATAGAACTCTTTCAAGACAAGCACCTACTGTTTGACTAGTCTTTCTCACCAACTAGTGATACCTGGTAGCTGGCACTGTCTCACCTACAGTCGAGATGAGTTGGTGCAAGAAGGCCTTCCGATTGTAACGGATAAAGATCCTTACAATATAGAGACAGAGTCACCTGACCGTGAACCCCGCAAGCATATGAACAAGTTTCGACTTCGTATTTATCCAAATTGATCTTATCGCGGTCGCCAATAGAAGTACAATTAGATCTACTACTTGGTCCGCAGCGGCCGAATAAGCTACCATCGTGAACAGAACAAAAGGTTCACGTCGAATGACTGAGACATGTTCGCTCCACCAGGCTCCCCAGATGTCTTAGCCCTGGCAACATTCGCCTACCAAGTCTATGACACGTACAAAGGCGCTCCAAAAAGATTCAAAGATCTCACAGGGGACATCAAAGGACTTGAGATTCTCCTCCGGAAACTTGGGAACAGACTTGCCCTCCAACAAGTGGATACTACCGGCCAAGAAAATTCTCAAGAGACTTTATTATCGTCTGATGAAGCTGCGGGCTTGGAACAGCTTGTCAAACAAGCTGGAAATATGTTAGAAGAGTTGCAGCAGAAACAAGGATATGCATCAGCTCCAAGAGGATTGAATCGATTTAGGTGGTCGCAGGGGGAAGTGGACTCTGTGAGGTCGAGAATTACGTCTCTTTGTGCGATCATTGGAGCATTCAATAGTGGTTTGGCGCTTCCTAATATTGCGTCGAGAGTCCCCGTGTGAGTCTCATCGTAGTCATATCAACTGCAGTGTGCTGAAAGCATTTCCCTTTTGACGATGAATTACTGACTGAAAGTAGGATCGACAAACAACAAGAAATATTGGATAAGTTAGATACCTTCCTTCTGAGTCTCAACAATAATAGCCTCTCATCTACTATCTCCATGGCCGATTCGAGCGTCCCAACCCTTCCTGAAACCGAAAACGAGGTGAACCCAGAATGGCCCAAGCTAGTCCGCCGAATGACCGAATACGGTATATCCGAAGCAGAAGCAAAGCAGAATCAAGATCTCATTCTGAAATGGACAGCTCGTGCATCTAGACCCGCGAGTTCACCTCCTCTCAAGCAACCACCAACTACCAACTCTCTTACGGGAAGTATAGGTGCCGACTTGGGTTTAGGAGCGCACAAAGAAGAAATTGAAGTCATCTCAGCCGTATACGGACCCAAAATTGTCACAGACATTATGAGACACATTATGAATGCGCACTTGGGTCTAAAGCTGACCAGAGTGCCTTTCTCGGCCACGAACGAGACATTCGGTGGAGATCCTTGGCCGAACTGCATTAAGGCTTTCTCAATGGTCTGGCGAAAAGTGATTCGTCTCGATTATGGAAACCTTTATTCAGCTCCTCAGAAACTATTCGCTGAGGAAGGTGAAGTGCTTACCATCGATCTCTCAGTTCCACTGCCTCCCCATGAGAGTTCGGAAACGAATAAACGGGGTTCGATCTATATTTTGAATGCAAGCTGGCACAACTTCGACGTAACGGAACATGTCGCATCGATAACGGCGAATGATCCTCGACCGGATATCATGGCATCAACTCATGAGTTCTTCGCAATGGATCCGCGCTACGGACACAAGAAGGTCATGTCCGTGACATGGACGTACTCGGATACCGCTGCGGCACTATCACATTGCGAGGTGAGGACTGTAACTGAGAATTATTCGACCCAAATCCCTCCATTCCTGGATATTATTTGTGCGAACTGGGGTGGGCTGGACATTACGAATCTTGTTCGAGCGAAGATCACAGCTCAGCAGACATTACACTTTGACACGAAGAATGTCTGGGCCTTTGCGTCTCCCGATCCGCTACCTGGATGGCAAAAGACAATTTCGATACTGTATCAGTATGGTTCTTTGGAACCGATGCAAATGCTGGTTACAGGTGAAGACTCTAGCTATGCCACGATCGACCCGGGAGATCGAATGAGACGAAATTTCTTCTTTTCGAAGAGTATAGAAGTCACATCAGATATCAGAGTGGTGGCTGCTGTGTGGGGACTGCAGCCTGTTTCTGAGAAAGTTTTTGGCAGGGCTGTGATAGAGAGGAAGAAAGTCCCTTGTAGTAATGACTTCTTTGGGAGGGATGGATGGGGTGGGAGGCTAAAGACTCTTCAGGTATTCTTGCAGAATGGGCATACAGGGGAGTGTGTTTGTGTGAGTGAGAAGGAGGGGAATGTCCTTGAGATACCAACTGTTTGGCCAGAACATTAAACAGCCTCGAAGTTAAAACCTACTCTACACTATTGCCTTCTATAAAAGGAAACAGGTGATTGACCCTCAACAAATTATCATGTGATCTTTTAGTATCCCTCCCCCCCAAATGTCAGCATTATCAGAATGGCCCTGACACCGTTGCCAGTGCTGACTCTATTTCAGGACAAATACCTGCCAGGTATCTGGATTTATGGTGGTTTGATTGGCTTAGAGCATGCCGAGAGCGACATACATAAAAGAAGGGAGGTAATGTCACGACCTCTTCCAATGAATATCGCGGGACTCGAAGTAGATTGACGGAAAATATGGAGTGAAGCAAGGTGTGGTAAAGCCTCTATAACCGCATCAGCAACCCCACACTAGTTAGTGCACAATATGATCTTGAGCTTGGCCGGGTGGGCAGACCTCCATAATGGCCCAAATATGATTCACTGCAGTCTGCATAGACTCTTAAAGCGCATTTACATTTAATTTAATCTCTTCGAGGATCTTCCTAGCTCCTTTCTCATGATAAATCGATTTCAAGAGATTTTCCTGCTCCTCTCTCTCCCCGGGAGTTTCATATTCTACAAAACGGCACGGGAACGGCACCGCTAAACTCCTGGTCTAGAATGATGGTAATAGGACAGTCAGGTTAGTCGGGGGTTTCACATGTCAGAAACAGGGTGCACAAGCCATAGGCGTTGGTGGGAATCAAATGGGCTGACACTACTTTCGGCGTCACCTACCGAAAAAGGCAGTTCCAGAGCAAAGGAAATTCATAGTAAGAAAGTGATTTCTCCAAATCTTCAAGAAAAGAATGCTTGTTTGATCTTTGCTTGAGAATATTCAATATCTAGCTGAGAACTGCTCGCTTTTTTTTTAAAAAAAAAAAATGTAATTTAATTCAGTCTTCTCTTGGTACTTCTATCTGTTAATCTCTATTGCTGACACAAATTAACTCCACTCGCTAGTGTACATATGTAGCCATGGCTTTGAATGACGTGAGACTAGTTGTATATATATATATATATATATATGTATTATTACTCATAGCATAGACTATTACCATATATTCCAACCATCCTTATGCTACCTCTACATGAGGATATGTATAATTCGGGTGAGTCGGAGATAAAAATCAATGCCAAGTGTACTTCCATAGGAGTATAATACTCCATTTGGACTTCACGTGACCGCGGAAATACGGGTCTTAAGAGCTTGGTATTTTATGTGGGTCTTTTCAATATCAAGTCCCCTTCAATCACTTCTACTTTGGCCGTTTTCACTTGATTTTTAAAACTTAAGAAATCGAAATTAAAATTAAAACTACTTTGAATATTCATGTCAAAGATGCTCTAGAATATTTGGAACTTTGACTCGGAACAAAGTTCCAGGGCCACGAGACATGTACATATGTATACTAGAAAGCTCGGAATTTAGGACCGAGGGTATAACGTACTTTTTATATTGTACATCCCACATCCCGTATTGGGCGATCAACATTTACGATAATGGTGGCTTACCGGTTATCATGTGTCCATATACCCATATAGTATAGGGTACAGTATTCAAACTATAGGAGTGGGCCCTAGATCGGCATTCATATGACGATATTCATTTCCTTTTAAGACCCGTGTCATCCGTGGTTAGAAATGTCGTAGTAGCGTACAACCACCCAAACCTCCTCCGCCACAACTAGATCTCGGAATTCGGAGAGGGAACGGAAAGCGCCAAAGATGGCAAAAAGTGAAGAAAAGTGAAGAAATTAGGAAATATGGTATATCCGGACGAAAACCTCCATTCTTTGGGTCTTTGCCGCTCTAAACGGCTCGAAGCATTGCCGGGATAACCGGTAAGAGCTTCCATGTCTGGTGACGAAATCCACTATGTGGCTACTAGCCATACAGCTTTGGCGAATGATTGTTGGTCTTGATCGTGGACAAGGGATAGAATTTCGCCCGAAACCGCGTTGCTTATAAACTGCGCTAGATCCCCTTCAGGGTTGTGGTCGCTGTTTACTATACACATTGCCTTCCTCAAACAATACCTAATACATTCTGGACATCTCTTTTATATTAGTAATAGCTTGTACAAAGCTCTCTCATCATGACGCAAACACTCTTGGAGACACCACACCATCCTGGGCGCACTGGACGAGGCTCGGAGAGTGATAGCTCACTCGATGAGATCGCGCAGGAGAAGCAGAATGCGCTGGTGACAACACTCGGCCATCATGGAAAGGACCTCGACAGTTCAGCATCCCCGAAGCGATGGAAGAGTTTCTGGTCGGCATTCCGACACTTGGCGCACTTAACCCCGAAACAAGTCGACGATTTCATGGCGTCATACGTTATCTATAACCTTGACTGGTCCGACGAAAAACAAATGACCGAGTCTCTGGGCCCCAACTACCAAGAAAAAGTCGGCGATTGCTTGAAGTCCTATTACGGAGTCCTGAACCACCTTTGCGCACTCGGCGATGTCGAAAAAATGTACATCCCACCATGGATGAGCCCCAAGTCTAGCGTGCTAGAGAACCAAATCATATACGAGCGCTCAATCGCACAAGACATCGGCCTGGGGGCAGGAATGAAGGTGCTGGATCTGGGCTGCGGCCGTGGGCGCGTCGCTGCCCACATGGCGCAACACACCGGTGCCCAGGTAACGGGCCTCAACATCGACCCGAACCAGGTCGAGCAGGCAACAACCTTCAACCAGGAACATGGGCTCCAGAATAAGTTCGTCACCCAAGATTTCAATGAACTCCCTCTGCCCTTCGCCGACGAGAGCTTCGACGCATTCTATCAGATCCAAGCACTGAGTCTGTGCAAGGACCTTCCCGCTCTATTCCGTGAGATCTTCCGTGTCGTCAAGCCGGGCTCGAAGATCTCCCTGTTGGACTGGATCAGCCTGCCGAATTATGACCCTAGTAATCCGGAGCACGCGGAGCTTATGCGCCGCGTCAAGCCGCTCATCGGTGCTGTTGGTACACCCACGCAGGAAAGTCTCGAGTCGGCGTTGAAGGAAGCTGGGTTTGAGGTTGTGCGGTCAGGGAATGCTAGTATCGACGGTCTCCAGGCCCCGCTTATCGATACTGTCGATGTGTACTTCCGCACCCTGCGCCAGGCTATCCTTGCACTCGTCAAGGTCCATGTGCTGCCGCGACACTTCAAGACCTTGATCAACCGTCTTTGTTTGGATGGTCAGGCTTTCGTTAAGATGGATCGTATGCGTCTGGCTACGACGAGCTATAGTATCATTGCGCAGAAGCCTAAGGCTTAGGCTTGAACAAGTTTTCTGTGACCAGCGCTCGAGACGTGAGAAAGATACCAAAAGCTGTGGTGATCAAGTTGGATCAATCTATATCCAGAGCCCACGCTGCCGCCCCAACGCTATTGCCCTTCATGAATTGGACATCTCGACAGACCATACCCTGTACATTTATAATTAACGGATTTGAAAGCTTTGGGATTTGATGCATGGGGAGTTTTGGTTATTCATTTCACTATTTATATATTTTTCATATGCGTTTCTTGAGCAATATGGAGTATCAAGGGAACCGCATAACTATACGTCTAATAGTTCACAATTACATACTACATTCGAAGATATACTACTTTGTTCTGGATGAATATCAACAATAAATAGACAAATAAAAAGATCAAGTCATAGTCCAACCAAAAAAAGGAAACAGAGAAAAAGGAAAGGTCGTGCCCGGGATCGAACCGGGATTGCTGGTATCAGAAACCAGAGTGATAGCCATTACACTACACAACCAATTGATGCAAGGAGTTGCCGCTTTTAGCTAGAGGAGGTTGTCCTTCAATTTATAGACTAGGTACACCCAGCTAGTCCCTTTTAGGATAATCCCATACACCTTTGCCCCTCTCTATAACCTGGAAATGCTCAGGTCTCCTTTGAGCTGCATCTGCATGGCAGCGTAAACTCAGCACATCTTATCTGCACCATTCCAACCTGCTCCCTCCCCAACCCCCGTGACCGCGGGCCAGTCCCTCCTTACTCTCCAAGCGCCCCCGTAGTTCCCGGCTTTTTCTTCCCCACAAACATATCTCCAATCTACCAGTACTCCCATGTCTCCTTTACCGTCTTCTGTCACGGCGCTGTCTGCGCCGGGAAAAGTCCTCTTAACTGGTGGCTATCTCGTGCTAGACCGCGGCTACACGGGCACTGTGTTTGCGCTCGATGCCCGCATCCATGTTATTGTCCAGCAGTTGAGGAGGGGTCACCGCCGCGGGGCCTCAGGATCTGGGCCTGCTCCTGGCGTCGACACGCTATCCAACTCGGGCGCTGAGGACCTGGACGGGGAGCATACCGTTGTTGTGCGTTCCCCGCAGTTTGTCGATGCGGTGTGGGAATATGGTGTGCAGCGATGTGGGAATGGTGGGGGTGTCAAGGTCATCCAGAAGGGAGATGGGTATGCTTGGCTAAAACACACTCTCTCTTTGCGCGAGATTAATTGACTAATATCACATTGTTTTTCTTTAGACCGCGAAACCCCTTTGTGGAGACCTCTCTCAGTTATGCATTGACTTATATCAGCTACGTTGCTGATTCTAAGGACTTCGGCTCCCTGTCTGTCACCATCATGGCTGACAGCGACTATTACTCGGAAACCACTGCCTCCAAGAGCTCGGCCTCGCAAGGGCGTGGCGGGCGCTTTGTCAATTTCGGCGTTCCTCTTTTCGAAGCCCACAAGACAGGATTGGGCTCTTCGGCTGCTCTGGTTACTGCGCTTGTCTCCGCCTTGGTCATTCACCGCACCATGCAGCCAGAAGACCTCGGTGCTGGTCGGGATAAACTCCATAACCTCGCTCAAGCGGCCCACTGCGCAGCCCAGGGTAAAGTCGGATCTGGATTCGATGTTGCTAGCGCGGTCTACGGTTCTTGCCTCTATCGACGGTTCTCGCCGTCAATCCTGGAATCTCTCGGCGATGTAGGCTCGGCTGGTTTCGAGGAGCGTCTGTTCCCCATCGTGGAAGACTCTGATCCTGAGCATCCATGGGACACCGAGTGTGTTGACTTTGGCATGCAGCTCCCCCGCGGGATGCAGCTGGTTCTGTGCGACGTGGATTGTGGTTCCCAGACGCCCTCGATGGTCAAGAAGGTTCTCGAATGGCGGAATAATAATCGCAAGGAAGCGGATATTCTCTGGGCTAGCCTCCAGAATAACAACGAGCGACTGCGTCAAGAGCTCAAGCGCCAGGCTCAACACCCCGATGCTAATCCCGAAGGCGACTTTTCTGATATTCGCACCCTTATTCAGCGGACACGCCAGCATATTCGCACATTGACCCGCCGGACGGGCGTCCCCATTGAGCCGAGTGTACAAACCGAGCTGTTAGACAGTGTTTCGGAGATCGAAGGTGTCATCGGCGGTGTCGTCCCGGGGGCTGGAGGATACGATGCCATCGCGCTCCTGATCCAGGATGATCCTACTGTAATTGCGCGTCTGAGAGATCATCTTGCGAACTGGACGAGCACAATCGAGGATGACTTTGGAGGGAAGATCGGCAACGTACGACTGTTAGGCGTGCAGCACGGCTCCGAAGGTGCGAAGAACGAAATGCTGGAGCAATATGCCGGTTGGGTCTAGGTTGCTCTCTCTCTGGTTTTAAAACAAGGCAACCGGTGTCCCACATCGTGACCATGACTTATCAACAACGTGTCTCGGCTACCACCTTAGCCTCCCCTATTGCATCTTGGGCCGGACCCTCCAGAAAATATACAGGCCTGTAGGATAATTAATTGCATGAATCATGGCTGAAACATCGACTTCGGATGGATGTTCCTATCTTTTACACTCCTATCTGTGTGCTCCGTCAGTACCCACCTATCTGCGTCCTTTCATCTTCAGACTTATCCCCCTGCATATGCACCACGAGTCCCATGCTTGGCCGAGAGTTCTCTTTTTTTTTCCCGATGTCCTCCTATGTGTTACTGTGGCCTGTTTGCCGGGTATTTCGATTTAGGCTGGACTGCTTTCAAGGCAACGAACTGCGGTTAATATTCTTCGGCTTCATGATACCTAGTATATGAGATATTGAATATATATAGAATTCACTTTGCATTTTATGGTGACAGTGAAACGGAGAGTGAAACAGTGACTACTGCATGTATATTGTAGTCATGAGATCTTAACCGTCGTACGGAGTACATAGTACAGAGATACATATGTGGAGAAAATGACCTGTCCATGCAACTATCCAGATGTCTAGATCTACATACACTATTAAACGTAGCATACAAACAAGCTCAATGGTCTTCTAACTAATTTCCCCGGATCTTCAATTGATATTCTTTACTGAATATGTTTTATAATGACATCTAAGTACTAAATTATTAAGAGGGGTTTTTTTTTTTCTTTCACCCAAAAATAGGGGAAATATTTTGGGTGCAGTTTCAACCAGTCAAGAAGTCTGTTAGGCTTGCAGATCCCCTTTTGCCTTCTTTCTCCCTCTTCAACTTACTCAATATAAACTGAATATCATTTCGGAGGTACATATATGTACAGCCATTTCATCCACACTAGTTGAGGTATTATCACTGCGCCTCCCGCTCTTGACTCCTCACATCATTCTCTCTCCCTCTACCTCCTCCCATTCCAGCTCTCAAGAACACCCATTTCCAAAAAACCCCCCCGTTGACAGTGCCCCTTTTCCCACGGGGAAAAGTCAATTGTCTGCCATCGGGGCATCCTAAAAATGTCTACAACCGATCACCCGGAGTCGGGGCTAAACACCAACAGAGATACTAGCCAACCCCCAATCACTACATCTCCGCAGGACCAACAGACGCCAGCACCAACCACGGAGCTCCAAGCCCAACAAGACCTCGTCGCTGATACGTCCATCTCATCCGTCCATGATCAAACACCCGCGAACCAGACCCAAACCCACCCCGCAACTGGTCCCAGTGGCGAAACCGAATCCGCCCCCGTGACAACACCACCGACCACAGCCAACTCTCCTCAAACCGTCACTGACAACACATCAGCTGTCCCGCTGGCACAAGACACTACACCGCCTTCAATGGAGACCGACGAGTTAAAGACTGTCCCCGAGACCTCGACAGAGCACTCCGATGACGGCTCTGGGAAGGAACTTGAGGATGATGCTGGCCCGTCGCTGGTGATCACTTTGCTGTTGACAACAGGATCGCGGCACCCGTTTACTATCGATGGAAAATATCTAAAGAAGCGATCAGTGAATGTCGAGAACTCCGATCCATTCCTGATGAGCGTCTACACGCTTAAGGAGTTGATCTGGCGCGAATGGAGATCCGGTAAGAGTTTACAGAGTTTACCCCGACCCAGACTTCTACATGGGTATTGGATGGGCAGAATTCATCTTGATATGAAATCCTGTGAGATAAGAATAGCTAAGCTAACGCTATTGTCGACGCAGATTGGGAGACCCGTCCTTCCTCACCAAGCTCGATCCGTCTTATTTCGTTCGGGAAGTTGTTGGATGATAAGGCGCCTGTTTCTGGTATGTTTCCTCATATTTTCATGGTTAATATGGTTATAAACACTATACTAACAAACCGACTAGACTCCAAGTTCAGCAAAGAACATCCAAATGTCGTCCATATGACTGTCAAGCCGCAAGAAGTCGTTGACGAGGAAGATGCAAAGGGAGCGAAGGCACAGTACACCCGGGAGCGCGAAGCTAGCGAGCGTAGTCCTGGATGTCGATGCGTGATTCTATAATCTAATCTCGCTGCCCCAGCTACGGGTCTGAAGTGTGAACGGTCTGCTCCAGGCAATGCTGTTGTTGCTTACATCCTTCAAACTTGATACCCAACCTTTCCTTCCTTGTCCATCTTCCGCCAACCCCTCCAACCACCATCTACCTGCCATTGCAGCGATATGCCTCATTCTGCCTGGACGCAGAATCAACATTTCTGTTTTGCCGAGCCATGAGCGCTCCGGAAGCGGCGTTTGGACATTTCTTTCTTCTGGCTGGACTTCCATCCTGGGAGCATGGGTTTCGACTTGTTTCTCTTATTTCTGTGCCATGTTCTGGCCCGTCCGCTTGTTCTCTCATCGCCATATCGTCTGCATGCCGGCCTCAATTCATCTACCCATGGATCTCCTCGATCGGAGTGCTTTATGTTTCCTTTTCGTGTCTTCCGAGGGCTCGATCTGAGATTTATTCTTTGCTTTTCGCATTGCTGCTGTCACCATTATTCTTACTCGACTGCCCGATTTCTCGATATATACCCCCTCCAATCCGACTTTCCTTTTCTTTGTGCTCTATCATTTTCCCTGTATGGTTCCTTTTCTCATGGATTTCTGTGTACTTACGACTTTGACTCCCCTTCTTTCTTGCTATCCCTCATTTTCTTGCGTTTCTCTCCTTGTGCTTGCTTTTTTAAACCGCCTACGGTGGTTAGTCGTAGTGTATAGGGTGTTTTGGAGAAGGTTGACATGTTCTTTGCCATATATTAAATAACTTCTAAAGTGCCTATATATCTCCACGGTCTTGGCTGTAAGGCACTCGAGGTCGACGATTAATTCGGAGTAGTATGTTATTGATTGATAAGTACTGTAGAGATAACCTTGGAAGTACTGTAGAATCCTGAATAATATTACTGTTGGAGGTGGTTCCGCCAAATTGCTTAGAGATAGATCATGGATTGATTCAATATATCAAGAGTACTGCACTGCCCTGATCACAGACAGACAGATAAATCCGAAATTCATCAAGTCCAGTGATCTATCATTCTATTTGACGACGTAAGGTGGGAGTATGGCGAGGGACGTAAGAGGAGAATAGTCGAACACATCGACATAGAAAAGCAGGCAAACAAAAGAACACCATATCATCAAAGCCATTAGAAATCCATCTTGAGCCTCTTCTCCATCTCATCATGGAAAGCAGGCGGCTCACGGAGGTCATCACCTAAAGCAACCAAGTCAGCCAAAAACACATCCAACCAAAGACCGCCCTAAAATAAGAACCCAACATACCATGGTAAATATCCTCCCACTGAACCTCAGTATCCCGACCTCCAATAACGAGAATATCCTCATGAACATTCCCACCCCGCACACCGCCAAGCACAGCAGGCCGGAAAGTCCCATCCCGAACAATCTTCAGCTCCATACCACGACGAACAGGCTCAGCAATTCCGTACGCCCGACGCAGTCCCTCCATCTTCAAGGCATCCTGTGTCGCCCGCCACGCGATAAGTCGTGCCTCGAGGGGGTGCGTAGATGACGGCACATCGCCGCTGGAGTTAGTGGACGACGCGTGCGCGGTGGCGGTCTGCGTGAGCTTGTTGCGGAGCGTATCCGGTAGGCCGGGGGCGGAGGGAGCGCCTTTGGATGGGCGGGGTGCTTGGATGCCTGCTCCTTGCCGGGTTGTGAGGTTGCTAGTTTGTGTTGCGTTGCCGCTTGGGGGGGCGATGCGGAGGGACTGGAGTTTTTTGGTCAGTTTTGTGCCTTTAGGATTGGGGGTTGGAGTGGGATCGAGTGTGTAGAGGATGAGGCTCTGAGATAGTGATGGTGGTTCCAGATGCTTGCTTATGGGCTGGACTCTAGGGTGAGGTCCGTAGCTTGATAACGTACCATGATGACGGATGGATAATGCTAAGACTTGGGGTTTAAGGGTCGAAATTACAAATTTGGCAAGTCTGGGTGTGGATTCAAAGCTCGGAAAGGAGATAAAAAAAGTAAAAACAAGAGCAAAGGGGACGATGTAGATGACACCGCCGATGATGCTTCAGGCAGAGAGAAGCAGCGCGGCCAGCTCCTACGACAGCCGAGAAAAACCAACAACGCAACAATCCAGTCCCAACATACAATCACGTGCCACCCACTCCGCCGGGCCAACTCAATTCTAGCGCGATATTCTTGACCTACCGGAAGGGGAAACAAATCGCTCTCAACACACCATCCAAAATGTCCCAATTAATTTCCCCGATAGCCCTCCGGACCCTACGGACTCTGATCCACCGTCCTGCGGTCTCCTCACCCCTCTGCCGCACCATCACCACATCACCCGCTACCTCCTTCGCCTCGAAACAATCTCCCATCACCTCCCGCCTCAACTTCCACCCCGTCTTCCGCACAGCTGCCCTCGGCCTCTCCACTGTGCCAAAGCGGCAATTCTCCAGCTCGCCTATCATCCAAGCTACGTACAACCAGGTCCGGCGCGGGATCCGAACTGGACAGCGGGCTCGCCGTGGTGGATCGCCTGCGCTGAAGGGTACGCCTGGTTTGAAGGGTGTTTGTCTGAAGACTGGTGTTACCAAGCCCAAGAAGCCCAACTCTGGCGAGAGGAAGGTTGCAAGAGTGCGGTTGAGTTCTGGGAAGGTTATTACTGCTTATATTCCTGGTGAAGGTAAGATTTACTTGCAATTGATTTGGATTGGATTCTATTGGCATTGGAACTAGAATCAGGATTCTGTTCAGGTGCTAGTGCTTCTATTCCTGGGATTATTGGCTAATTTCCTTGTACAGGCCACAACATCCAGCAGCACAGTGTTGTCCAGGTCCGTGGTGGACGTGCTCAAGATTGTCCTGGTGTGAAGTATACCCTTGTTCGTGGTGCTATGGATTTGGTAAGTCCTTTTTTTTGCTTCTGTTTTTATATACCCACTGTCGGGGTGTAGGTCTAGATCTTTTACTGATTGTATGTCACTAGGGTGGTGTTGGAAGCCGCATGACGAGTCGCTCGAAGTACGGTGCGAAGAAGCCGAAGACCAACTAAGATGGATTCGGGGATACAGGTTGATCATGATTGACCTGCTGTGAGATTATACAATTTTGGCTTTGTTTGATCAACTGCTGTATAAGAGATAACCTGGGTACTTTGGATTTGGCTTTTTGTGCTCTTCGCTGAGCATGCTCTTTCTGTTCATATTTGCATGTAACACTACGGATTGCGATTGTTTATTTTCATATCATCTCTTTCGATATTCAAACTCTTAAGTCAACTGGATTGACATCTTTGACCTTTTTTTAAGAGGTATAGAAAATGGTTCCAGGAATACCACTTTACTCCGGACCTGGGCAACGAAACAAACCCCAAACAAGGATCGACGCCCGAAAACCCATAGTAAGACATCTCAGACATTGGATTAAAACATCCTGGGGGTAACGCGATAATGGGAATCAAAATGAAATAGTTAGAAGGTAACTCTGCAGCTTTTTTTCGCCCAAGCAGGGCGGAGTCGAATAGAATATTGCTTCATCCAGGTGTATATTCACCACGAACAGAGTAGTGGGTAAAGTGCATGCGATTTGACTGAGGTTTTGCAGTTACCGCGCAAATGGGTGACACTGTCAGCCCCCAAAATGCACAGCGCTTGGCATCAAGACAAGACAACCGACCCGCGCATTGTCCATTGTCGCTAATAAGGAAACAATTGGGTCATCTGTGGATAGACCCAGAGGGATTGGACAAGATAACGTAAATCAGTCGTATTTCTTCTCCCATCCGTTCGGCTTCTCCATCTTGGTGATATCGAACCAATGTTTGGTGCCTGTATCACAATTAGTTTTGCACTAGAGGTATAGATAGGGTTATGGACATACAAGAATAATCCTTCCAATCGAAGTTATCTTTCGGTTGGCAAGAACATCTCAAGTCCAAGCGTTTCTTTTCTTCTGTGGGACAATGCGTGAATGGGACATGGTAGTAAGCGATGTCATCCCAGAAGTGGATTTCGTCTTTCTTTAACATCAGAGAAGCGGCGATAGAGTGAACCGGTGCATCGCCCCATCGCTCATAGAAGAAACCACCGTCCTTGTCCAAAGACGTGAAATAGTCAATGTATGCGTCGGATCGCAGCCACTCTAAGCTTCCAATCTCAAAGTTTGACCACTGGTAGAAAGGTTAGCGAGGTTGTAGTTTAACCCAATTCGAAATTGGAAGTCCTTACGAAGTGGCAGTTGTTATAAGTTTCTCCGCCGTCATTGCTGATGAATTCCATGGCATTCCCCTCAGAGACATACTCGGGGTGATTGCCTGTGAACTTCTTCACGCTGTCCCACAAAGTAGGAATGGTCGCCACATACTCGTACAGACTGATGACAAAGCTGTACTTCTTCTTGTTCTCCTTCATGAAGCGGAACGGATCGGAGTCGATGTCACAGAAGAGCTCAACGCTAGGCTCAACGCGCCAGTAGTACTCATAGTTCAGCATAAGCGGGTGGCGGAAGAAGAACCCGGACTCATAACGGCACATATGGCGGTAACTCTCCGAACCGCCGTAAATGATCTTCTTGCGGTCCATCTCCAGTCGCGCCTCTTTAGCCTTGTCCTGGTCGATCCACTCTGGGTAAGACCAGTGTTCCTCGGGGATGACACCATAATGAGTGGTGCCTGAGACCAATGCGGTGGTCAATTTCTTGAACTCTTCATTGAACTCATCGTCATTCAGGAACACCCAATCATAGTTGTAGTTGTGGTTGAAACGGTCTTCGATTGTTCGAATGGACCGGACCATGTCCCAAAGGTCGGAGTTGCGCGCGAGGGTGACAAAGGTGGCATTTACACGTTCGCCATGATGTGAGCCGGTCACTTGTGGTTTTTGCGACTTGACTGAGTCGTATGTGGGTGGGGTCTTGGGTGCAGGAGCGGTTAACCCGGTGGTAGGAATCGGGAGGGAGGATTTTGAGACGAAGAAGAAGACCGCCAACGCCTAGTCAACGTTAGCAACAAATATTCGTGAGCATGGAAGAAAGTCTTACCACGACCG